CCCCCTCCCCCCCCACCAACTACCATCACTATTGGTACCAATTCTAGAGGTCCTCTCAGGTCTCAAACTGCTGAAACTAAAACCGCTGCTATCCGAAACGGCCCTGTCAGTCTCTTAGACCCTCGCACAGTCAGCAAACAGATCACCTCCGATCTTCCGCGGGCCGCTCCTCCGTTTGGTCAAACTACGTGTTGCCTCTGTCCACCACACACCACGAGCCCAGTACAGACAATCTCATGACGACCTTACCGTCAGAATTACAGCATTCGAGTGCTTGTACTGTATTGGACTACATATGTACCAGTCTTCTCCCGATCTGGATATCCAGCTACGGTGATTGGGGTTCGGCAGCGCAGACTCTGTGGACGGACTCGTGAGCCTACGTGTTCATCCCGGCCGGGCTGGAATCAAGCTCTCTTGATAGGCCTACAGAGGACATGGTTGCTCAAACTGTCGGCGTTTACCCCTCCTTCACGCACTTATGTTCACTGCTTCTGTCTTGAGTCTCGGCTCTGACATGACCGGTGGATGCGCTTGGTCCACAGCATTAGGGCACATTTAGACCGGACGATCCGGCGATCCCATCCCACGTAGGTCATATATCGAGGAGAGGTGCTTATGCGCTTCTCAGAGAGTAGTTATGTGGTCCTGGCCACGAACGCTCAACCTCAAGCAGTACTTCGGCTCTATGCAGCTTGATTTACCCCCTCGCATCCCCTGGCCCTCCAGTTTACCTACGGTTGACAAAGCCTAGGGTGAATACGAATGGACCGCCGAAGATACGAGGGAGAGAGATCTACGCTCGACACGCGACTTGCCTATGTGTTTCAGGTCTAGATAAGCGTCTTTAAGTTCCAGCATCGGGCCTTATCGGGCCAGGGTCAGTGACAAGTCAGTTGACACTTGCTTGATCGCGCAACCGGTGCATCACTATTGGTAATGACCACTGCATGGTTCTGGAGGTCCTGCCCAAATAAGGGCTAGCGCCGACAGTTTCTCGAATCGGGAAGAATCGCTTGTGGAAGTCACCAACACGGAGAGAGTCATCGCAGCCATTACCTTCAGCGTAGCATGAAGCTGTCGTTCTAAGCTGCGTGATGGTGGAGAGCTCAATACGTTGCGGCGGAGAGCTACTGAAAAAAACCGTTACCATACCGGCAGATACGGTATTTTCGTCCTTAATAGACCGCCCTGGCGGATAACATCGTCTCTTCACCAGCTGTCGGAACAAAAGGCGAAAATTGTTGCTGCCCATTCTGTATGGGTCAATAGGCCAGCAAGCACATGCTCTTATCTCGGTTAAACGGGGAATCCAGGGTAAACGGGGTTTGCTTGTTGCTTAAGCCGGCAGGGGCAGGGAAGATGCAATCCCTGCGGAGAGGATCGACCGGTCATGTCCCCGAACAGGACAACGGCGTTCAGCTCAGTTGAACTTGGCCCAGCGGTCGGATGCGACCCCGCAAGTCTTGTCAGATGATGAATAGGCTTGGTCATTCTTGGCTGATTGTCTTTGCGCCGGCATATTCTTCTACTCAAAGAAAGAGCACATCAAACGGTAGCTTTTTCGATAGAGTGGGCAAGCAAGTCAGATGTGGGTCGATCATGATAGCTACTCATGTAGCACAGGGCAAGCCGGACTCATTTTATCACCTCCCTCCTTCTGCAAGGATCAAAAGAGTGCTGTTATAGGGAAGCTTCTCCTCGAAAGGGTAAAGTCACTCGAACTAATATACTATACTCTAACTAATAGGATAAGGTGCCCTTCCGAGGCTATCGAGTCGATAAAAGCGGAGGTCCAAGCGTGACGAAGCCAATCTGGCGATCCGACGGCTGATGGTCTTAATTGGTCGCTTAGTAGAGTAGATACTCATCACTAGGTACCTCATTGAGTTCTCTGTAGTAGGTCGCGGGTCCCTTACTCTATAACAGGTACAGAGTAATAAGAGCATCAGGCCATCGGGCTATTAGCACCTGAAACCTTGGGTCTGTACGGAGTCTAGTATAGCTGGATAGGCTGGCTACCGCTGTGACGCTGCTCCTGCTTAGATGGCGGAAAATGTACTGTACATGTACCCCAGAATTCAATCTGAGCACCTGCTGTACGTATGATACAGCCATCACCCTGCCAAATGGCACCGACTGCATCTTGAAATCTCCCACATGCAAGGGGGTTTGGTGGAAAAGGCGGGGAAAGGGCAGTCGAGTCCAGAACCCTGTCGTTCTGTACTATGCTCAAGGTATTCATTGAAATGTTTGAGAATTCGGCTACTACACACTTAAAAGAAAGGGACGTCGCAAGTAAGTTGCGGCACGGTCTGAGGTACTGCCAGTCTTGCGTTCATCACTCGAGCCGAAGAGACAACGGATGAGATACCGTTTCGGGCCTCTGGTTCCCTCGTGGCCCTTGACACCCAGAACCTACCGCTGGCTCAGCGGAGTCTCATGTACATGTACATGTATCTAGTCACTCGCCTTCCGCGTATAACGTGCCGATATACCAGACAGTGAGCGCTGTTCGATCCGGACGGAACGGCAAAGTGTACATAAAAATACGTATTTACTGTACATAGTAGAATTATACAGTACTTGTACTTAGTACCGCAACCTCGGTCCACCCAATCTATTTTTAAAGGAAGAACAACGAGGGGCTCCATTCAGCCTTCAGCTGGCCAGCCCACGCGGAGTGGAGACTTTTCGCCGTCTTGTGGCGCCGGCGGGACCCAAGCAAATTCTTCTCTCTCCCATGTTCCTTCCTCAGGGACTCTGGGTTGACTTGGCTTGATATCTACTGGTGCTGTAGTCTACCTAGTAGTTCTAACCCGCAGGCGGGCGACCATCGACGACTTGCCATTGGTACTCTCTACATAGTAACCTCCAGACGGGCAAAAACTCAACACTGTTAGTACCTACCAGTAGTTACCTACATTTATTCACTAATTAATGGGCACAACCCCCCTTCGGCCCCCATCAAGAGAATATGGGAGAATGGGAACCATGTCTTTATAGAATAGTCTGCTGGGTTTGTCCTTGGCCGACGGCACGATGAAGAGATTTCTTTTTCAATTCATAGATATGTCACCCAGTAACAATCTAGCGTAATTTATAATTCCCTGATGACTTATGTACAAGACTGAGACTAATGTGAAAAAGAAAAAAACTGATTTATTCGACAGAATCTTTAGCGAAACAGACCTACAGCGACCAATCATAAATGCTCCAGATCCCGATCTAAATGGATGATGGGTTTGTCGTCGGCTTTCTTCCGAGGGTCCCTCAGGACGAACCAGTGGCATTGGTACAGTAGTCTTGTTAAACATACGCCTCATGGATCGTGGGCATGCATTCTCACAGGTGGGGGACGAAGATCGCACAAGTGGTCTTTTCAGCCCTCTGTTGCAGTTCAAATAATAAATGAATATCGGTGTATACGAGTACGAGGCTAGACCCGAAAAGGCCCTCGGAAGTTTGGAGACCGAGACACATCCGGGATCAGCTTTGAGTGGCTAGGACAGAGCACCGCCACATCACTTGGAGGGATATCATACTGCAGCTTCATCTGGCAGATCCCAGACAGGAGGACTGGAGCTACCCACGAATGCATCGCACTAGTATGATGTGTAATATACCTACGATTTCTCAGAAAACTCATGGTGTCTACATATGATGGCGCAGTATATTCTAGCTTGCAAGCAAGTCTACGGAGTACACATAATCAACATGATCACCCATTCCCTGGACAGCCCACCCTGTCCACACGAGTCAACCACTTAATCACTCGCATGGCCTGACCTGCAGAGCCACGATCTTTTAGAAGTGTAGACTCTATTTCTTAGCAGATCCAGTGTCCTCCACCGCATCCTCACGATCCCAGCTCTTGACCTCCAACGTCCGAACCCTCGCTTCAATGTCTAGGATGCGCTGCCGCCAGTATTCCTTTGCCTGCTCTTGAAGCTCCCACGTCTTCTTGAGCTGTTCGAACAAGAAAGGCGGTAGCGCAGTCTTCTTGCCCTGCTTGTAGTCATACGTGACCAGGTCCTCATGGACTCGAGCGGCGTGTCGGAAGCGCGCCTCAGAGAGGATGATGGCCTGAAGATGGAATGCATATGGCGAGGCGTCGGGTGCTGCAGGGTCATGGACGACTTTATGGTATACAGTCACCTGGTCGGGGTAGGTCATGGGCTGCGCGCGCATCTGGTAGTCAGCATGCGATCCGAGGCTCAATGCGAGGTGTTCCAATCATACGAATTTGTAGTCGATCTTGATGCTTCGCATGATCAATCCAAGTCCTCTCGAGCTGAGCAGGTTCAGCCATTCCTTCTTGTGGGCCGGGTCGATGTGCATCGCGAAGTTACGGGTGAAATATACACGGGCGGTTTCGGCGTACCGGCCGTAGGTGACGTTGTTGACATGTCCTGGTAATAAGCGTTAGTGTATATGACGACTCAGTTTGCGAACTTGGGGAATTTGGGGTAGGAAAGATAGATGTACCCTGTACGGATGGTTAGATGGCTATACATCGAACCAAGTTGGTGGGAGAGATCGGCTTACCATGCTATCCTGTAGCGTCGCAGCGACATGTCAACGTTAGCATGTTTGTATGATACTACACCAGTAACCTCGTGAGGGGAACCAGTAGAACCAACATACCATCTCTCCCCACGCGACAGCCTGCTTGAACAATCCTCTTCTTGTCGCATCGGTCAGATATCCTTCGCTACCCGCGACGAGCTCCCGCCAATCCCGTGCAATCTGCTGCAGCAGTTCGCCGGCCTCCTGAATCTGCGGCGGCTTTAGACCGAACATCATGCAGCGACCGAGTCTACGCTTGGTCATGGTCAGCCATCGGGGGTCAATGCCGTGTGGCTTCTTTGTGATGGGTCCTGTTGTCGAAGTGGACTGCGCGGTGGATGAGGGAGCATTTTGCGGCGAGGGAGAGGTTGAGAGAAGACGGCTAGTCAGTAAGGGTGATCGCATTTGCAGGGAGAAGCACTGCCTTCTCAGACTCGATAGTTGTATCATGGTGATGGCCGTAGGTGTGGTTGTGAGTAAACTGAATACTGTGAATGGAGCTATCTGGGTGGTCTCGAAGCACATCCACCTCAAGCTGGTCGGCTAGTTCTCCGGGGACTGTTCGGCTAACCCCACTCACTCCCAGCTTTCCCTCCGTCTCCCCGCGACCTTGAAGGGCCGAGGCCAGACAGAAGCATGTTTGGACAGCACATCAATGGGCTGGCTGTCTTTGATATTGCAAACATACGAGCTTGGAAAGGCTGATGAACTTCTTATAATTAATTAAATACAGCTTGTTTGGACGTGGTACATGCAGGTCAACCATGAACGCCATACACGACCGAGTGGGTTTGGATGCGCCGGCAAGATACTATATAGAGAATGGTCCATTGACCACCAACGGATATTTATACCTAGCGGGCTCACACCAAAAAAAAACCCTCAATTCGATAATATAATCCAGCCGATTAATACAGGAGTGAAAGTTTTGCTATGATTGTAGAAGTCCTCAGATCCTAGGAATGACTGGGTGACGACGTCACCGGCGATGTTCCGGCGGAAGCAAACAATCTCCCTCTCGCGGTAACAGCTCAGTTACCGTAGTTATCTTCCGCCGCCTGCCTACTTATCTTCCTCAACTCTCCATCACTACCTCCCTGTCCAAATACTAAATGGATCGATCAATATGAATCCAGAACTTCGCTATCAGGTCATCAATATCTACAAAGGTTGGTGATCTCCCTGGGACATGAAAGTTTTCGCTATTGACTGATTCATATCTTCAACAGAGCTCCTCTTTCTCGGTCGCAACTATCCTCTGGGCTACGACTACTTTCGGAACAGGCTACACAAGGCATTCACCAGCCAGGCACATTTGGAGGATGAAGAACAAATTCGGAAGGGTATAGCACGAGCGGAATTTGTCAAGAAAGGTGCGTCATCTTGCTTCACCGGTTCGTACGAAATACATTCTTCGAAACTGTGACTAACCTCCTATCCCTCGCTAATGCAGAAATCGAGGCTCTGTAAGTCATTCCATGTTCTTGGTGTCCCTGTCAACTCCACCCAGCGCCGATGCGCGTCTTACATCACCTCTGTATGCTCCTGCATTCAGATTCAACATGATGCCGATGATCTCATTTGATATTTCATTTGAGTGTCAATTCCAATATATCGTCAGGTCATAAATTTATAAACAAATGCGGGCACTATCAACAGCAAGACTGATGGAATACACAGCTACTACCTCAAGCGGTATCGCACGTTGAAACAGCGCTATGAGAACAAATAGAGCAGCCACCAGGATGTGAGCGATAACCCGCATCCAGCGCACGTCGCAGCAGAATATTACACAGAAATGAATATTATGACAATTTGAAACCAATAAAGAAGAAAATTGTGGGGGTATCACCAATATGAGAAGAGCAACGGTCACCCTTCTGTTTTTCTTTCTCCTTCCTCTCATTCGCCTGAACTCCGAACATTGAGTGCACGATCCTTGCCGCAGAGAAAGCAGCCTATATCTTTCGACCCCACCAAGCACAGACTTCCAAGCACTCCCCATTCGCGAGGCCATCCTTCTGGAACAAGTCGGTCATCATTGCTGCCCACCAACGATCCCATTCGTCCTTGGTCTTTCCACTAGCCTCCATGAGGATGTGTTCCATGCCTTCAATCATTTGAATGACCGTCAGAAGCGCAGTGCGACGGATGGACAGTTGATCGGCCGTCAACTGTCTTCGAGTACCACTGCTCGTCTCCTTGCCATACCCCTCTCGTTCCCAGCGTAGTTCGCCCAACGGGATGGCAATACGACGACTGTCGACCTTCTCAAGGACGTCTACCTCCGCATTGAATGACAGTCCCATGGTGGCGCATGGCAGGGCAGTCAATTTGCGTTGATCGAACGCCTTCTCGAGCCAAGTATTGTAGTCTTGGAGGAACTTATTCTGGGCTCGCGTAAATGGCGTGGCAGATGAGAAAGTGTACGTTGCGGTCGCATCCGCGGTCTCTTGCTCTCTCGACGCCAATTTGCGGGCGGGCGCAGGATTGGGCAGCAGAGAGCGGAAAACCCAGTCGGAATCCCAGACTTCCAAGATGCCGCCGGATTTGAGGACGCGCAACGGCTCGCTTAAACCCGAAGCTTGCTGGGCCGCGCTGGAAGGAAACATACCCGCATCCTTGATAAAGACGAAATCGAAATAGTCATCGGGGAATGGCAAGCGGGGCTTGCGTAGGTCGTGACGCTTGAACTGCCAATTGACACCCTTTTTGCGCAGGTCGGGGGCGACGGAGACAATGTCGATGCCATTGAAGGAGACAGTGCGGTGGCCGCGACGAGCGAAATAATCATGGCACATACTGGACCACAGTCCTGAGCCACAAGCGAGGTCCAGGACTCGCTTAGGGGCACGGTCGGCCATGTGAGGGTTACAGAAGGGACCCCCAAAGACGCGCATGAGCATGAGCGAGCGCAAGGTCTGCCGGTGTATCTCTGGAAGATCGCAGGGAAGAGGGTACTGGTTGTCGGGGTCTCTGAGATAGGTGCGATCGCCATGGCGTATCAGAGGGAAGTTGGAATAGTCATTGAGAGAGGAGAGGGAGGAAGTCGACGTCGCTGCCAGGGTTATACCGGTCGAACTGGCGGTGGAATGATGGTCGGAGCCCGACGCTGCGGCAGGCGCAAGGACTGCCGGTCCATTTGACATGATGTCCATTTCGGAGGGTAAAGATGGAGTGGTGGGTGCTCGTCAATTGAGGGGACCTGCTAAGAACGAACGATGCGCATTCTTCCGCATACAAACAATGGCAGCGCAGATCGGTCACGAACGGGGCAGGCGGTTGTTGATTAGAAGGGACATGGTACAATATTTGGCAACAACAGGGAAAGAGAGAGAGAGAGAATCGTAAAAACTGAAGCTAACAGAATTGAATGTGGTGGTGATTGCGGTGGTGGAAGGGGCAGTGAGTGATGATGAATGCTACCCAGGTCGGACACCGTTCCAGGTCAGTCTGACCCATGGAAGAAGTTCGATTAAAGGAGGGGGGACACTGAAGAGAAGGGAACGAAAACAGTCATGCCTAGAAGAGGACCAGTGGAGGAGACCGAGGAGGGGGGCAAAAAAATAAAGAACAGAAAAGAAAAAAAAAAAAAAAAAAAAAACCACATTGCGACAAGAAATTCAACAGAGCGCCCCCGGCTCGATGACCCCTTAGGGCCACTCCACTTCTTGCGACGCAATTTACAGTAGTAGTGATTTTAGTGACTTTTTGAAGTTCACTATCGTCGACTCCAGGCTTGTCCCGGATGCCAACGTTTCTGGAAACGGGGCGCCCCTCCGATCTTCTTGATTGTCCAGGCCTGGCGGTAATTGCTTTTCTCCTCAGTAACCTTCTAGCGTGGGTTGGAAGTGAGCGTTTGCCTCTTCCCACAGTTTCTCCTCCTCATTATTAAAGCACTTTCCTCATACTCAAATTATCTTAGGATGGCACTGAATACTCCCCGAACAGACCTCGGAGTCCGAAGGGAAGCGCAGATGCACAATAGCTAACTTAATGGTAGCGGGCGAATGACTGGCGGCAGGCAAATCCTGCCATTGGGATCCTTAGCTAGCCACGAACCGAACACATCAAATTGAATCCTATCATATGGCCAATCTGGTAAACAAAAAGAACTTCCAAGCTGATCCTATACTTGTCCAACGAGCGATATCGAACCAAACTGCGAGCACATACATAGTAGTTACTTGCAGCACGGTATCCGAGCTCCCGGAACCTTTTCCCCGCGATGGATAGATCAGGACAAGGGCCGATTGATTGCATGGATTGATGCAATGCCTGCAGGAGGGGAGGGGGGGGGGCATCCATCTGATCCATCTAATCGGATTCTCCAACCGTGTGCGAGTTCATATGACAGAGGTACTGGACTTAGTGAGTGGTGAGTGAGTCCTCTGTAGAATCGACCATGCCCGCCCTCTCATTCTTTGGGGAGTGTCTTCTGCCGGGGCAAAGTTGTCACGGGAAGGCGTGTTAGTAACTTAGTGCTAAGGTAGGTAACTACCTACCGTAGGTAGTAGTCTAGTATACATAGTTGGACTATTAGTCTATTGTCCACTTCCGGGCACGGGGGTCCTTAATAAGTTTATTTCAAACCACAGTAAAACTAAAGTAAGAGAACCAACCCGTGAATTTGGGTACCGGTACTTCCGGGGTTGGCATTGAATGATAAACCAAGGTTCCAAGCGAACACGGTCACACCTGCAGTACACCACCCACATTCCTCCTAACTTTGATCCTCCCTCGGTCGCTGTCTCTGTGCGGGTGTGACTGTGACTCGCGAGTGTCGAGAAAGTTCGACTTTCAGGTTCTGTGCGTGTAGTGTGTAGTGTGTAGTCGTACTCTTACTTAAGGTTTTGGATCTGTGTTGTGTCTCACATAGTTGTTCATCCGTGACGAACTCCCTGCCGTGCACTATTCGGGTTGCCCGGCCGGAGTGGTGGGCTCTTCCATTGACCATGTTCTACAGGGTTTTTTGGAGATTGGGGATTGTAATTGCCCTACTAATCGCTGAGATGATTTGACTACTAGTCTAGGGAAAGGTCCCTGCTTTCTGTTCTCCATGGTCTTTGGGGGATGGAGTATCAGCTGGCGACTGAGTTTCTGTATGCATGTATGTAGAATCCGACCGTGCAAAAACAGTAACTAAAACAATGAGAGAGTCTCTCCGCCCTCTTCCCAATGCATCTGTACTATGTATACCGGATCAAGTACAACTTACTGGGGCATTGGCATCGAGGCACCTGTCATGTACTCCGTACTCGCCCTGGAATTGACAATGATAGCGATATCACCGCGAGATATTGGTACAATCTGACAGTCTGACATCATGACATCCAACTAGTCTATCCGTCTCCCTTGGGTCATCTGTGCAGTGTGTGGGGGGGGTGGGTGCCATACAGTATCTTGCAAAGACTGAAGATTCCTTCCGGCACGGCAGCGGCACACGGGGAGATGCGTACAGATTTCAAGGATGCTTCGGTTTCCCATCCGGCGGTCGTGCCAAGCTCTTCCTCTCTCCCGTCCCCGTGGTTCGCGTTTTCCGTTAACTCGATTTCATTGATATGATTCACATCCATTCGCTTTGGTTATGAATGTGCTTGATAATGCGGATACTTTGTGCGAGGCAGAAATACACTGGCCTGACTCATTCGCTAGGCTGGATTATTCTACCGGTCTAAACTTATGTGTGCCGGCCCCCTTCCCAAGGGGAAGGATTAGACCGGGGGGGGGGTCCCACTGACACGTGCTGGCACGGGTCACTTGTTGCCCTGACGGGGGCCACAAAGACCAAATTGCAGGAATGGTCACATGGGTATGTAACTGATTGTTTCAGCGTAGATTGACCTTGTAGTTTTAGTGCTTCACTGCCTCGTCCGGCTCTCTGGCTTTCTATCTTCGACTGTGCCCCGGCCCCACGTTTTCTTTCTAGGATGTGGCGGCTGTTGTTGCATGGAAATGTCTTGCAATGGGGTGGGCAGCTATGGCTGTGCTTGCTGCTACGCATTCATGATAAATGGCTGCTTGGCTGCGGGTGGGTTGGGGGCAGAAATCAATCGCTGCGACTTGCAATTGACGTTACTGTAAGAGGCGTACCCCATGATTAGGAAGTGAGACTTGCGTAAGGCTGGCGTGACGATTACTCTATCAAATCCTTCTCTCATGCTTTGAAATTTGTTCGGTTCGTGGTCTAGTATATTGAATGGAGCTGAATCACTCATTGATGGCTTCTGTCATCTTTAATGTGGCTATGCAGGAAGACGGACCTCTAGAAGCAGCTTTATCGTTTGTGAAGTCTACTTAGGCTCAATTGCCCAAGAACAAAGGTGGTCCTCAGGTTTCGGGCCCTGGCTCAAGCAGCTACACTGGCTAAATTGAGGCATTATGAGGGAGCAATGAGATGATATGGTGATGATCTTCGGTCTTGACAAGCGACATTGACTCAAGTCGCCGAGAAGAGATATGATATTACTAAACCGAGGTTGATGATAATGTTAAGAATATGCCGAGGGTAGTTATACTGACTATTCAACGAGCTAGAAACGCTCAGCCGACTTGATCAAAGCAGTGGGGCCCAAGACATGACAGGAGTCAGTTTATAAGTGATGGGTGCAAAGCATGATAGGGACCAAACGCTACTCTGCTACTCCAACGACTGGGAAACTACTCCGTAAACAGCAGGTTCGCAAGTGACTGTCTTGTTGGCTTTGGACTCCCTGGGGTGGCAGTAGTAGTGGAGACCAGTTTTGACATGACAATGATCATCTGATACGCTCAGTCGCCTTCCACCATGCCATTTCTCAATGCGTTTCCGCTACATCTTTCGCCACCGTTCCCAATGAGTGGGTAAGTCCAATAAAGGGGCAGAATTAGTGACCTACTCCAGGCCTTGCGATTGAAAAATATTCATAGCAGTGTTTGGAGGTTTGCAATCAGGCCCCTGGACTAAAAATTGGTACTAGCTTCAACCTGATGATCAACCGTTGCGGGTGACACAGAAGATCCTAGAAACAACGAGAACAAACCCACTGACTGGCCCCTGAGAGCTCCTGAGCGACATTCGCTGGAAATCTTGGGGAGGTATGCGCACTGTCCCCAAGTCTTAGGTAGAAACCCAGCCTCTACTGGTTGTGCGAGGTTTAGGTACTTTCGTGTATGCGTCTTCTCTTGACACCTATCTTTTCAAGTGCTTGCTGTGAGTTGCTGGTGGAAACCGTCAAGGGTCCACTCCGCCGCATGTGCCTCTTCCAGATCGCTTCAACAATCCTCCTTCGATCCGGATCAAACAGAGAAATCAGGGAGTGTGACTGACCTGTCAGCACCTTTGTTCTTCTACGCGGGGAAGGCAAGCGAGATTGGCCGAAAGGTCCTAGCAATTCCTATATTAAATCTAGATAAGATAGTTGTAGGTGTCTGAGCTGTTCCGATCACCAACCAACAAGCCTCCGATAAGGACGGTGTGAGTGGAGGGACGGCACGGATAAACCCGCAGGGTGAATAAGCCCAATTGTTGATGCACAATGGGAAGAAGAAGAAGAAGAACTGCAGAAGACATAAATAGGAGATCTGGCAAGAGGGATGGATGGATGGATGACAGGAGGCCCCCCTACATCCCTTGATGTGTGGGTGAATATGTGACTAGGCCCTTGCTGTTGTCAATAGTAGCCCCTCCTCGTAGATCCCTGGACCGCAGGTAACTACCGTAGTAGTTGGCAGTTGATTGAGAGCTACCCAAGTTAGTGACTAAAGTACGGGGTCCCTGATGCAAGAGTGAATACGACCGCTATCGCTCTGATCCTGTATTGCTCGAAATCAAGGGGTTTGTTGTTGGGTTTGGAAAGTGGGAGAATGAAGAGAGAATAAATTGAACAGATGAAGGCTATTGCCATCATGGTATTTATTGATTTCATCTACTCACTAACTACCACCTACTAGTAGTGTCTATAAGCATCAGCTGAAAAAGAAGTGTTTCTTGGCCTTTGCCATTGGCGGCGAACTGCGCCCGCCTGGATGTGACACCACGTGACCTCAACGACCTCCCGCCTTCGAATGCAAACCAACTTCGGAGCGTCAAGTCGACTCAGTCACCCCCCCCATCTATCTCTTCGAGTCGCTGGCGTCTCTGCTACCTCCATCGCATCCCCGCTTGCTCGCGCGCGTTACTCGCACTGATAGTTCATCTGCTGTCTGACAGCCCGCACCACTTCCATACAGATCTCTGGCCAGTCTACCGTATCCCGGTCCTGACTCGCTCGCCCCGACCACCCGCCTGCCCACACCCCCCTCCGTCCTTTGCACCTCGATCGCCCCTCCGGTTCCCAACTTACTCGGACTTCAGCTCAAGCTTGCCCAAGCCAACCAACAATTGGTGGGAGTCGTTATAGTTGTGAACCTCTGCCAGTCTTCGAATTGGGGTGGTTCCGCCTAGGACCCCATGTTCAAGAGAAGGAGAGAACGTATCCAATCCCCGACTCCTCTCTCTCCTGCCGTCCCCGTTATCCTCTTCAGTCCGGCTCGTTCAGCCTCAATCAGCCTTAGACTCTTTCCCCAGTCAGTCAACTCACGGTCTCGTCTGCCACGTTAAATGGCAGATGGTACCTACAGGTTCCAGCAGCCTGGGGCCGGGCAGTTCTTCTTCCAAACACAAGCGCAACAACACTCTCATCAACGTCACCTCGCACGGAACGGGACCAACTCCCCGACTGGACGACTAAAATTCAGTCACGAAACCCCTTCTCCCTCCCGCTCTCCTCCGCTCAGCCAAGGAACGGCGCTCAATCCTTTTACAATGTATAGCCAAACCCACCAAGGGCAGCATGTCATGATCAATGGCGCACAGACCCACCAACGCTTTGGCATGCAAATGCCGAAGTTCCAGTCGCAGAGCCACCATCCGCATCCTGCTCAGCAACCCCACCACCATGCACATCATAATCAAGCTTCTCACAACATAAGTCATCAACATAACTTTTCCAGCGGGGCATTGGCCGCTGCTACTCCGCACTTCACTCCGGGCCCCCTCCAGAACGGAGCTCATGTCAATGTTGAGGAGGATCTCGATGAATCAATGAATGAACATTGGCAGCAACAGCTGCAACTAGCGGCGGAGTCGCGACAGGCCAATTCACCCCATTACTATGCCCGGACCGTTGCTCAGCAGACTAAAGGCATCCAGATTGCGCCTAGCCAGCCCGAATCTCAGGAGAACGGGGTTGACGAGAGGAACGGTGTCGTCAAGTCGAAAGCTTCTTCGCGGCAAGGTTGGCATGCTCTTGATTTCGGGGGACAAGGCTTGCGGGCTCTGTCCACGTCCTTGTTCCATTACACCTTTCTCGAGAAATTGTATCTGAACCACAACAAGCTCAAAACACTTCCTCCGGCCATTGGACAATTGCGGAAGTTAACCCACTTGGATTTATCGAGCAACGATCTCACAGAGCTTCCCGAGGAGATCGGTATGCTCACAAGCTTGAAACAACTGCTGCTCTTTGACAACAATATCCGCACGCTTCCTTACGAAATGGGCTACTTGTACAGGCTGGAGATGCTCGGTATAGAAGGAAACCCGTTGAACGACGTCCTGAAGTCTCAGATCATCAAGGAGGGTACGAGAGCACTCATTAAGTATCTCAGGGAAGAAATGCCAGGTTTGTACACACTGTGGGACAGTGTCCGCATCATTGAGTTTGATGGCTAACGCATCACCCATAGTTCAACTTCCACCCCCCGATCGAGACTGGGTTATCCTGGACGAGACCGCAAATTCCCGCAACGCTCCCACGGAAAAGGTCACGGTTCTCTCCCACAACGCTCTCTGCGAATCGTCTGCCACGGCATCCCACTTCGGTTACACTCCTTCGCGTGCGCTTTCGTGGGAGTATAGACGAGAGCTTATCCTAAGCGAGCTGAGATCTCACGACTCGGACATTGTTTGTCTCCAGGAAGTCGACCAGGGAAGCTACAATGGATTCTTCAGAGAGCAGCTGGCCTATAACAACTACAAGGGTGTATATTGGCCTCGAGGAAGAGCCATGGGCATGCAAGAGGAGGACGCCAAGAACGTCGATGGTTGCGCCACCTTCTTCAAGGACAGCAAGTTTATTCTTCTGGACAAGCAACTGATTAACTTCGGTCAGACGGCCGTACGGAGACCAGACGCCAAGGGCCAGGATGATATCTACAACCGCCTCTGGCAGAAAGACCACATCGCGGTGGTCGTATTCCTGGAGAACCGGTTGACAGGATCGCGCTTCATCGTTGTCAATGCTCATCTCTACTGGGACCCGGCCTTCAAGGATGTCAAGTTGATTCAAACAGCCATTTTGATGGAAGAGATTACCAAGCTCTCGGACAAATACGCCAAGTGGCCTGCCTGTACGGAGAAGACGGCCTTCCGCTTTGCCGATGCAGAAGGCAATGAAACGGAAAGCCCACCGGAATGCGCGCCGTCCATGGAGTATAGCAGTGGCGACCAGATTCCGCTTTTCATGTGCGGAGACTTCAACTCTGCGCCGGGGTCTGCAGCCTACAATTTGGTGGCCAATGGCCGGCTTACAGAGGCGCATCCGGATCTGGAGAAGCGACTGTACGGCAACCTGAGCCGGGTCGGTATGACACATCCGTTCAAGCTGAAGTCCGCGTACAATGCGATTGGCGAGCTCAGTTTCACCAACTACACGCCGGATTTCAAGGACATCCTGGATTACATTTGGTTCTCCTCGAATACACTTCACGTGTCGGCGTTACTCGGGGAGGTGGACAAGGAGTATCTCCAGAAAGTGCCCGGATTTCCCAACTTCCATTTTCCAAGTGATCATATCGCATTGTTTGCGGAGTTTACCATTAAAGGGAAAAAGGGCAAGGTTGTGGAGGCTGATTTTGGACCGCAACGGAATTGAGGAAACGGAGCATGTTGAATCTTACGAGACTGGTGTTTGTGTAGCCGGTTTATCTTGTTATCTCGGAATCTTTGGGGGCCTTTCGTGTGTCTGTGGTGTTCTACAGTTGTTTTCCCTGTCTGTGCTGCATTTTTCCTCTCTCCCACTATTCTTCTTGTGAGTCTATTTTCTTGTTTCAGCTGTCGCCCGGTGTGTGGGGGGTCTTTTCATGCAGCCGAACCTGCATCCCCGGATTCTTTGGAAAGTCGTTTTTTCCATGGCGCCGTAGCAATTCTTTCCCGTTTTCTCTCTCAATCTCTTTCGCTTCTCTCCGTTGGCATGTGTTAGGATCTGTCTTATGCTCTTTTTTTTCTTCTTTTCTTTTCTTTCTTCTTTCTAACGACGCTTTCTCCCTTTCTTTTCGCTCTTCCGATTGTCGGCTTCGTGATCTACTTGTAGATTGGAATCCTGGACTAGGTTCTATCATTCTTCGGGATCACCCACACCCCTCTGCCCTTGCCGTCCTTCTTCTCCCTTGAACACTTTCATCCTTTGTACTCAGACAGGCGAATGGGGTCAATGTTGCTGCTGTTGTTGTTGTTGTGTGTATGCATGGTTGGCTGGACGGTTGGGTTACATAGTCTTGAACCCTGAAACGATTTATCGTTGTGTTTATTTTTCTCTCGCATTGGGGGGAGCAGAAAGCAGATTGGTTTCTTCCTTCATCTTCACGAGGCTTTTTAGGCTTTTTGGATGCCGGTAGGGAGGGCTGCTTGCTTCTCGACCGTGCAATTGTTGCTGTCCCAGTAGAATCTCGTAGTGTGTTGACGGACACCACGAATAGCCATCTGCGGGGGGTCAATCCGTTTAAATGGTAGGTAGGAATGAGTGACTCGATATGCCAGATGATTGAGTAGGTACTAGTACTAGGAAGTGCGACAATCTAATGCAGTAGATCCGACGGGGTGTACGGAAGTTTAAGGGAGATGGAACTACTGGCCCGGTTATTTACCCCCAAGTGTTGTTCAGAGTCGATCCACGATCTCAGCCATACTGCTGTGGGTCTCTGGCCTTGTCGCTTTTTGTTCGAGGGAGAAAAATAACTTCGCAGTAAGCCGTAGCACTATTTCAATATATGCTCGCCCAGCTTGCGCCGTGCCATTCCTACCCAGTCTGAAACTCTTCTTATTTTTCTATCATGAATAGGAAGGAAGGCATAATCAGTGAAGACCGATAGCTCCCCCTCAATGGACGTGTTTTAGTCCAAAACTTCAAGAAGCAGAAAAGCAGGAGATTCCTCTAATCTAGACAAAGGTAGGCAGAATGGCACAGCAGCTGAGAACGGCGCTCAATTTCTCCGTATAGTTGACCGGCCCCTTGGCGAGGTCGTCCTGGATCCAGATTGCCTCGATCATTCTCCGGACCAGATACAAGGAGCGGGAGGCGGCGTGTTCCTGGGTTCTGGTGATCAGATCCAGGACGATGGAGCGCTCGTGATCGGATCGAGCTTCGCAGCCCAGGATGAAGAGCGGGAACTGTCGCTCGCACGCGTCGAGCTGGGCCAAGGTGGCAAACGCGTTGTGGAGCCGGCGCTCGGTCTCGGCCGCCAGCTCGAGGAGATCCATCGACGCGGCGCGATGGAGGTAGACGAGCATCGCGCACTGGAACAGCGCGGTCATGGTTCGACGGCGGCTGTGACCCGGGGGCGGGATCTCCGCGGACGAGATGGTTCGGATGCGGAAGACGAGGGTCTTCAGGAAGGTGTGGTGGTCGTCCCGGTCGTCGTCGGTGGGCGGCATCATCTCGGGCGAAAGGGTCGAGATCGCATCGCATATGTCGGAGAGGAGTGTCAGCGTGGTCTGCTCCACCGACGGCATCCCCGGAGACAACAGCGAGAAGGTCTTATCAGGGGGGTTTTAGTTAGTTAGTGCTGCCATGCCATGCCAATGCCATGGAATCGGGAGAAAGGGGCGAAATGCTTCTTCTCCACGCACCTCTGCACTAGTCTCTGATGAAGGAGAGTCGGGATTCGCGATTTTCGAGTGCCAGTGGAGATTGCTGAATCGCGACAGCACATCGTGGTAGTAGACCCAGTCAATCAGAGGTCCAAATTCGCCCGACGACTCGAGAGAAGAGGCTTGGATGATGCGCTTCGCCCCGAGGAGGTAGGTCATCCATTGGCCGGAAGTGCAGGAGGCCCGGTGGATCTAGGTGTGATGGCAATCCGATGAGCATCCATTCCGTGGCTCCCTGGGACTTCATTTCAGACAACTGACCTCGAAGGAGCACAGTAGCATCCCCGCGGCCACATGTTGAGCCGCTTCGATCGCGGTGATGTCATGCTTGGGAGCGGCGATGAGCGCTTTGAGGGCGGAGATCTTGAGACCTGCCGCCTGCGACTGCAGCCCGTCGCGATGTACTGACGACAGGGCGAGGAGAGCACGCAGCACAGCGGTGGCCGAGGGGGAGTCATTCAGCAGGGTCAACTGCAGAATGATGTTTCCCAAATCCACCGGGTCATGCGTGAAAGTTGTTAGGGAGCGGGAGGCGATACAACGAACTGCAGTTGGATTTGGTTACTGGTGCGCCCCAAGGGGTGGCCGTGCATCGCGCAGGAATCTACATAGACAGGCCGTCACCTACAGTATTGTAGCAGATCGTTCTCCGCAATATCCAGATGACTCGGGTTGAAGGGCATCGGTGACCGTAGGGTCAGCTGTGCTGCGTCTTTCCCACGTTTAGCTGGCCTTCTTTGCTGATTGATTTGCCGGGGACCGAGTGGACGGGGTCTTACGATATGATTCAGGGCCCGTCAGATGGTGGTGGAGGTTCATATCGAAGCTGGAGAAATTGACCAGATGGACGTGGGCCAAAGGCTGCAATGCCGCCTCTCCCGTGAATGACGGCTTGCCCACCATAGCTCGTCTTCGATCCTTTGGTTTCGGCCAAGACAGCCGGAGACCATATCCTTGGCAGATTCGATTGGAGTGGGCGCATTGGAGGCAGATAGGGGCAGTCCGATCGCAAGATATGCGCCGATCTAGAGTGGGTGAGTGGTGGTTTGAGTTAGCCGGTAACAGTCCTTCGCGGGGAAGTAGGTGTAGATAATGTGTGTGTAGACTGTACCACGGCACGTCCCGCAGCTTCGACTCATCTCCTTGACTGTTCAATTCGACCGTCGCAGAGCTATTCGACGATAACAGGAGAGACGTTGATGTTGATGGTGCGAAGAGAAGGAAGAGAACGGAGAGAGAAGAAGAAGAGGACGAGGAAACCGAGGGCTGAAGGAGGAAAGGAAATGGAGGGGAGGGGGAGGCTCCAAGCAGCGCCATAAGCACTAATTCACTTTAACCATCAAACACAGCTTCGTTGACCAACAAGGCGACCAAGTCACATACGTAATCCCCAACGTCTTGATCCGCATGGTGGCAAGTGTGAAGAGTTGAAGATAGGGATAGACAACGTGAGATAGTAGTGGAAGATGGCGGAAGATAACCCGTTTATCTTTCCAGTTAACTACCAATCTCTGTACCGATGCATGGCGTGAAACTAATCAGGACCGAGCCGTGAAGGACTCGGACCTCTTGTAGCTGCGCTCGAATGATCCAGATCTCAGGAGGAGAATCCTTTGTGCATGAAGAAATTCGTTATATATTACTAGGTAGTATAATAGTGAATGAACTATTTTGCTGCGACTCCGGACATTCTACAAACTATAGCCTTGCTTTAATAACTAGTTTAGAGTATGACTGGACCAGGCTGTCGATGAGTGTGCAAACTCATACCACTACGTCTCTCGTAGCTCTGTAGTAGTATTATCGTATTTTCTGGCTTTGGCAGAGAAGGGGATTTGCTCTCAAGATATATTTTGAACATTGATACGCTTCTTGCTGGACTTGGTGTTACGCACAACGATAGACAGTGACTCTACCTATAATCCCAGGAATTGTCTGCTCTCAAATAGACGGTACCTATCTTGCCCACTATATCATGAACAGTGTCAACTCTTCGCACATACTGATTAAGTGCTATTCAACCGTTTGAACGGCTGTCGATTTCATTCCTAGTCAACTACCAACGACTATACTGAGAGCATATTGCCCGACTTCGACCCACTGAAATCAGAAGTCCAATGCATAACCTTCCGAGCGACACTCCATCGGACAGACAGGACACCGAACCCAGCCTACAGCCATTGCTGATTCCCATAATGAGACACAAAGGTCCCGACATCCCCCTTCTCCACACTAGCCTTCTCCATGACGGCGAGCACATCCTTGACGGCCGCCTCGGTGGAGGCGGGCCCCTTGAAATGCGGAGCATACTCAGCAAAGGAGCCCAACATGGCCATCAGCCCTTGCATCTGTTCCGGCGTCGCTATATATAGTGAAGCCCAGCCATCACATCCCCATTAGCCACGATATTTTCCCCTTCAAGTTTCGGGCCGGTGCAAGCAAACAAGAGCAGGAAAGAGAAAGAACTTACCGTCAACATAATGGCCCGTATCGACCATGCCGGGACAGATACTCATAAACAAAATCCCCTCTTTGGCGTACTGAACCCCAAACTTGGCGACGGCGGTGTTGAGCGCTGCCTTGCTGATGGCGTACAAAGAAGCGACCTCGATCTTGAGCTTGGGGATCATATCGAGGGCGGCCTGGCCGCTGGAGATGGCGATGACCTTTTTGGCGGTGCCGCGCTGGATGAGCGGGAGGAAGACGTTGAAGAGATGGATGTTGCCGATGACATTGACGCGGAAGAGGTGTGTGAGCTCTTCTTCGAGCGCGGTGGGGTTCTGGCCTCTGGAGGGTGCGTCGCCGATGGTTTAGTGATCCCCCTTTCTCAAACAACTTTTCATCTTTTTTCTTGCAGAGACAAGAGACACAGAAAGAGATACGTACAGGACTCCGATCGGGTCGTAGGCGTCAAAGTGAGAGACGACGCCGGCGTTGGCGATCAGATAATCGAGCCCTCCCCCGGTGATTTGGGCGGTTTCGGTGGCCGCAGTCTGTTTTCAAGGAAGCACGGGGGTCTCAGTTCACTAGCCAGGGAGAGAACCAGAACATATGGAAAGGGGTTTCACCCACCTGCAGAGAGGCATAATCGGTAATATCCCCCTGGATGATATGGAGACGCTCCCGGCCGGAGGGAAACTCGTTGGCGACTTTCTTCTCGGTCTCTGCCTTGTTGCGCACGAGTCCGATCACCGTATTGTCCGCATGGCTGGCGAGCTGGCGGAAGCATTCCCACTACATCGATTTAATCTTTAGTACGCACACCGTTGGGTAAATCACCAGGGCGAGAAGTTCTCACGCCAATGCCTCGAGAGGCTCCGGTGACCAGATATGACGGCATATTGAGGAATCGCTGGGTTCGAGACAGAATGGAGTGGGTTTGAACGAGACACGAGGTCGAGACAGGATTGCGATGACGGGGCACCTGGTGTCCATTTATGCTCCTGCCGGGGAGGCTACCGTCGCTTGCGGCAGATCCTGGAATCTGAACTACAGTCCCATGCTTTGAAATCCGGATGTGTTTTTATAGTATCGCGGAAAGTTGCCCATTTTCTCAATTTGCCTCAGGGCTGCAGCGGCGCCATGTGGGGCGCCATGCATTGCCTGATGCTTTAGCTGGGGGGATCCGCTCTGCTTTTCTGGACAGCCTCACAAATCATTTACTCGACTACTGCCTGGGATCCAGGATCCATGACTTTTGCGCCTTGGAAACTTTACAAAAGGGTTAGTTAGTCTATGACCATGGCTGCCGCCCCCTGAATGGTTCAGATCTGAATGGTGACTCGTTGAGGTAAGACATCCCACTAAATTGCCTCTATCAAACAGTCTACTAACTCTTCTCCCCCCGCCTTCCAGACCCTCCTCGTCTAAATCACGGGGTTGTAAAACCGGAATCGGTTCTCGGGGTCATACTTCTGCTTCAGCGCGCGCAACCGGGCCAGCCGCCACGGCTCATACCCATACATGGAGGCGACGGGCTCGTCGCCAAAGGCGTAATTGACATAGGTGGAGGGCTGGCGGCCGGGCTGGCCCTGATTCCAGAGGGCGCGGGTCTCATCGGCCCAGGCCATGGCGGCGGCGGTCAGATTCGAGCCGTCGTCGGGAATGTCGATGGCAATGTACAGCAAGTGATTCTCGGCGCGGTAGGGGACGGCGGTGGAGGCGGCCTCGACCCGTTTCATGGCGGCGTTGGAGTAGCCCTCGTGGGTGACGCGGGCGCCAGCGGCCAGATCCGGGTACTGGGCGACCTTTTGGTTGAAGAGGGTGTAGATCTGGCGCTCGGAGGTGAGGTTGTAGTCGACGCTGCCGGCGGTGCGGAGGGCCCATTTGTAGCCGGGGACGCAGGCGGCGCTGTCCAGCCCCGTGCCCTGGATATCGGCGATGTCTGGGTAAGGCACGTCGCCGGTGGCCTCGGAGAGGGCCCCGATGGCGTTGAAGGGGGCCAACAGGGCTTCTGCCTCGGCGGCGGGGCCCGCGTAGACGAAGCTCCATGAGAGCACCGCCTCGGTGGTGCTGTAGTTGCTCTCGATGCCAAACGCCCCGAAATTGACCGCCATGAGCACCGGGGTCGTCCCGTTGGCGCTGGTGTGGAAGAGGTTGAGTTGCTCAAACACCGTCTCCAGCTTCTCGCCCGCCCAGACATAGTTGTGGTAGTGCCAGGTGTCCACCTTGCGCGGGTGAATCTTCATCTGGAAACTCGTCACCAGCCCGAAATTGTGGCCGGCGCCTTGCAGCGCCCACCACAGATCACTGTAGCTGGTGGCGTTGACGCGGATGGCGGACCCGTCGGCGAGCACGACGTTCAGGTTCACCAAGTTGTCGCTGACCAGTCCGTACTGCCCTTCAAACCGTCCGTGGCCGCCACCGAGGCCCGGCCCCAGCAGCCCGACGCAGGTACAGCTGCCCGTGGCTGAAGCCCCAAGTACATCGCGGTGGTTAGCCCGGCTGATTCCCTTCTGCTGAACAGACATTGGGAGAAGACAACAAACTCACTCGCCACATAGCCTTGCTCCCAGAGACTGGAGATCACCGATCCACCATAACTGCCCCCCTGAAACCAGGCCGATTGAAAGTCGGGTTCAATGGTATAGTTCCGAAGAGACGCCATGTCGATTTCAATGCCCTTGAAGCGACCCGTGGTGATGGTCAGCGAGTGGCCCCGGTTGACCGCCATGAACTCGATGCTGTTCCGGTTGCAGTATTTGATCTAGCATCGAGTCAATCTTACTCCACCCTCCATCATTCCTGGATCCATGTGGGCGGCGGCAACACTCACGATGATGGGGATGTCGGACTCCAGCCCCGGCTGCACCACCAGCTCGATCGTCGGAGGGGCAAACGTGGTGTACCGCTCCGTCGCATTCTCCCACCGGGGATCTGAGGGCCCAAAGATCGAGGTGGTGTTCGAGACGAGGGCGCCCAGTTCGCGAGAGACCTGCGACACCGACAAGTCTCGTCGCGTGAGGCCATCGCGGTGAAAGTAATGAGGGACGGGGACCGGCTCACTCAACACAGTCACCGACAGAGCTGCTAGGCCCCAGGCTGTAAAAAAATTCAAAGGAAGCCTCATGATGTGGAGTATATACAGAAAGAAAAAACAGGGTGTAGGAGAGTTGCTCTTGGAGGAGTTGAGAATGTTCTCTGGAGAGCTTGGGATGAATGAGTGCAGCAGTGAGGCGAAGGCTGGATTTTATACCTTCCAGGCCAGCAGGCCTTCATACAGGCTCTCCCTGGGGCAGGCGATGGATGCTTTTTTTTTTTTTTTTTCTTTTTTCTTTTTTTTTTTGGCAATCTTGAGACATCCTTCTGCTCGGCTTCTCTGACTCAAAAGAGAAGGTCCGAATGAAGAACACGCGCGCACAGCCTTTGACTACGAGTCGACGTCAGCCATTCCTACGGAGGTTCGGAGGCGGGACAAGCTTGAAGCACTCGTCAGAGCTCAACAGGACACAACAAGTGGGAGTGAGATAGAGACGTGGGGGCTGAAAGTCTCGGATGGATACAGCCCGTCCGACGAAGGAAGAAGGACTTATGGTAGACCGTCTGACCGGGGTTTATGTCTAGCGTAAGGCTTACCTCGTCTGATATGAGTGATATGGAGTAAGTATGCGGCAAATGGACTGCTGTCCCCAGGCAAAACGAGGCATTCCTCCGAGCAACACCCGCCAATCCTTGGAGAATCCAGACATATCATCTCGGATGGTATGTATGCGGCGGTAGTCTTCCTACCATGGATTTTATCAGCCGGTTCCTGGAAAACACGCATCTATCCACCCCTGAATCAGGGCCACCACGTGGTATGTAGAAGCTGCACTCAACCGCCGGCTTCCGACGCTATTTTAGCTCGCTCGTCTGAAGGATTTCCAGTACGTGGGTTCTGCAGGGGATAGTTCTGATATTGTAATATTCCTCTATTCTGGGGATCACGCGAAAGTCTAACTAAACAATTTGATGTGGTCTCTCCTCTCTATCTTCCGCCAGTCCCCCGTCCCAAAAAGCCGCATTTAGTATAATTTATGGCGCTGTTTACCACCCCCCACCGACAGTCAGAATGTGAAAACCAAGGAGGAACAATAGAATGATTGGCAGAGGGAAGAGAGAGAGAGAGACACTCACCTTCAAGAACAGGGAACCAATGAACCCCAGGGCCGAGGCAGCCACGAGAATGGCAAAGACGTTGCGGATGGCGAGGGTCACCTCGGCGATGACTTGGGTTTGCAGCGCCGGGCTTAGGGTTTGGAACAACGTGCTCTGTCGGCCAGTCGTCAAATCCTGCACTTCGGCGCGGGAATACGCGGGGAGAAGGTCGTGCAGCTTGTTGGCCCCGATATTCTGATACAAGGATGCGGCGACACTGAGGAGAACAATTTGACCCATCATTTGACCTGTCCATGTCCGGCACAATTCTCGGGTCAGTAAGCTGTCTCTTGCTTTTGCGCGGAACCGTGGTTACGACCAACAACGTACCAATTGCCATGAAGCCGACGGCATTGTTCATGTCTGCGAGGGGGATCAGGGCCTGCACCACGGCGAATCCCGCGGTCACATATGAACCCACCCCGGCGCCAATTACCGCGGTGTACCCATAGATTCGGGAGGTCGAAGTCTTTGCGTCGATGGTCACTAAGGGACAAAAAGAAGTTGGTGGATCAGCATGTGGACGGAAATGAGGGTTGGGAGGCCGACAAATGGTCAACTTACGCATCAGCGATGACCCGATAAGAATCATAGCATTTCCAAAGACATACCACGGCATGTAATAGCCGAACTTCGGCATGAGTGCGCCGTTGACAATGCCGAAGAAGACGATGAGACAAACAAAGGGCAGGAGGCGAACCCCGGCCATCAAGGGCCCGTCGGAGCGGGTGAATTGGAAGATCAACGGGGTGTAATACAAGGTGATCATCATGGCGCCCGAGGCGACGAAAATCGCATACTGCAGGATGTTGATCTCCATGCGCTTCATCAGGTGGATGGGATACAGCCGGTTCTCGGCGGGGACCAGCGGATGGAGCCAGGTGACGAGGATGAAGACGACGAGCAGCACCCCCGTCACCGTCCACAGCGCGATCTCGGAGCCGTCCTGGAAGGCGAAGGTGACCCCGCCAAACGTGATGGCCATGGTCAGCGAGGCGGCGCCCCCGAGAAAAATGACGATGGCCACCCAGTCCTGGGTCCGGAGCTTCTGCATAAACGGCATGTCGACGGGGTTGATGTTGGGAAGGCAGAGAATCAGGGCCGGGGCGACGAGCGCGGCCACGACGAGGTTGATATAGAACGCCCACCGCCAGGTCGCGCTGCTCTGCGCGAATGCGCCGCCGATGATGGGACCTAAAACGCTCCCCAGACCCCACATGGCGACGACCCCGGACAGGTACAGGGGGCGCTCGTTCTTGGAGGTAGTCATGGAGATGTAGGTCAAGGCACCACTATAGCAACCGCAGCCCGCCACCCCCTGGATGACTCGTCCCACGATCAAGGCGTTCATATTGGGAGCCGCCCCGCAGAGCGCGCTGCCCACTTCGAAGCCGGTGACACACGACAAGAACAGCCATTTGGCATTGAAGATCCCGTAGGCTTTGCCCAGTGGAAGGATGGCGATCGTTCCCAGCGCGATGGCCACCCCGATCCAGGGCAACTTATCAATCTCCCCCAAGGTCACAACAATGGACGGTTGAATATCGGCGACCTACTGAGAGTCAATATGGACCGCACCGAATCGCCAGGATTATTTTGGGGGGGTGGTCTCACAATGGTTCCGTCAAGGGAGTAGAAAAGGACGGTGGAAATGAGAGAAGCGTACGCCAGCACCCACTACCCAAGTAGAACCACAGATCAGTTCTGTTCTGGTTATTGATCACTGGCACTGGGCATCCACCATACCTTGATTCCATGGACATTTCGGACCGGGGCCAGAGGCTCTTCTTCGGGTTGTCTCCCAGCTTCAAGGACGGAGGACGCGCTGTTGGAAAAGTCCTCCTTGCTAGAGACATCCTGGGCCTGCGGCATTGCTTCGGATTTGATTGTGGCCATTGTCTTCAGATTGCAGACTGCAGAGTTGGATTGAGTCTAGTTGGTCGCAGAGTTTATCCCAGCGGGGGATCAACCGTGGACCGTGGACCGTCTTGTGAAGCTGACATTTAAGGATGAAGGGAAGAGAGGGCTTTGTGGCAGGGTCAGCATTGCAAAGAGGGAGCTGGCCTGGATACTGGTAAGCATGAGCAGTACTGTTGGTATTACTGTAGGTGTACTTTGTTCAACTGGAAGCGCCGAACGCGAATAGTTGCCTTATGCCCTCAATTCTTCAAGCAGCCACTCAGCTGGATTGTGAACCCTGATTTTTTTTTCTTTCTTTTTCTTTTTCTTTTTCACTCCTCCATCTATTTTCATTTATTTCCATTTCACTCCTTTCCTTCCCTCCGAAAGTTCCTCCTCACTAACTACAGAGTAAGCGAAGGGTCGGAAGACGGCCGTGCAGCCCTAATCAGCCCGCTTCGCGGAAAGTTGCCCAAACTGCAGACGATCAGTTATCTTGCATGCCACCTACGGGACTTACCTGCACTACGTATAGTTAAATGCGCAGAGCTTAGCGTATCCGGCAGGTCCCTGCCAATCAATCCACTAGCTACTGTAAAAGAACAGGCGCAGGTTTCCCCGCACGCGCGCCCGCGCAAAGTTGCCTCCGCTGTGTTTGCAACTTGCGAGGCTGTCTGTCATACCGTACAATCCCGAAGAGCTTAGGCTTATCGCCCATAGTTGCCTAAAGTTGCGGACCTACAGGGATGGTGCAGCAAACTACAAGATACGGAACTTAATAGTTGTCATTGATTAAGTACCAGGGTAGATATTTATTTCCTTTTTTTTTTTTTTTATCTTCAGCAGGATCGGAGCTGTTACTAAAGAAAACCTACTCTCGCCTCCTGCAATTTAGGGTTACCCACAGACATTGAACTTGAATCCGAGAGATACCTAGTAAGTGAATACTACAGTAGTGCACGATCCTGAAACTAGTAGTATAGTATAGTATAGTACTCGCCACTTCCGCGAGAAGTTGCCCAAATTAGGGACGGTATACTGACACTATCCCTGGTGGGAATGTACGATTAATGCAAAACCAGACACCAAAAAGAAGCAAGAATTGCTCCCATTATCCTTCAGTCGAGCTGCCGGAATCATATCATGTTGAGATACTGTAGATGGACTTTAGCATGCAGGCAGGTAACGAGCGATACTTGACGAGTCTGATGAAGAAATTTGATTTGTGCGCTGTTGCCAGCAGGACGTGCATGCATACCTGGCTAGTGCTGGCAAGAAGAATTCTACTGTAAATAGCAACTACCTAGCGTATCGCTACATTCAGTCACATAATCAAAAGCTGTGATCCATCTCTATACTTGTATAGTCTAAGCTTCAGACCAGACTTCATGGTCAATGATACGTCGTGGGCAACGCATTATTATAACCAAAAACGTTCTTGGGATCCCACTGCTTCTTCAACGCCGCCAGCCGCGGCAATTTGTTCCGCCCGTAGATCTGTTCTAGCGTCTCGTCGCCATGGGCGTAATTCACGTAGATCGAGAGGTCCGGGTAGCCTGAGGTCTGGACCCAACTCTGACGGAGCCGCAGAGCCAGCTGATCTCCGGCTTGCTGCGTCTCGTTGCTCGCGCCCTCATTCGGGATGATTCCTACCTGACTAACAACGAGAATGGCAGGCAAATTAACTCCATAGTCTGGATTTGAAAGCGGGAAATTTGGGGAAACTTACATGAAGCCAATCGCGTCTCGCCAGGGATAGGCGGTGGCATCGTCCGGCACGGCGACGGTGGCTTGATTCGGAAAGGTCTCGATGTTGATGTAGGTGGACGGAGCATCGGGGTACCCGGCGTAGAACTCTGCCATCTGGTCGAAGGTCTCCTGGAAGGTGGTTGCGGTGAGGGTGCGCAGGTTCACGGTGTAGAAGTTCCGGTTGGCCCCCTTTTGGCACAGGGCGTCGTTGAAGCCGGCGCCCCCGGCGGTAGCGAGCAGTTTGTTCCACGGCACGTAAGTCAGGGTCGACGAGGCGGGGTGAAGCGCGAGGATCGGAGCCAGGAACTGACGGGCCTCGGCCTCGGGACCGATATAAATCCAGTTCGCGTGCACCTGGGGCTGTGTGGGGAGACGGTAAGGAATGGTTAGTGGTGGGACAAATGCAGACCCAGCCACGCAAGCTAAGCAAGGAGAGGGAACAGGGGTGGTACCTCCTGAGTGGTGGTGTTATAGTTCACCAGCGTGATGGCGGCCACGTGGGCTGGCATGCGTCCGCTCCACGTGGCCAAGTACCGGAAGTACGCCTCGGTATGGTTGAGAGGGAAGATGAAGTCGGCATTCATGATCATGCCGTTGTTGTGGTCCGACATCCGGTGCAGCTTGTAGGTGGCGGACGTGATGACTCCCAGGTTGGCCCCGGCACCTCGAAGACCCCAGAAGAGATCGGAATTCTCGGTGGCAGAGACCTGGACCAGTCTTCCGTCCGCTGTGACCATCCGAGCAGAGACCAGTCCGTCACTTACCAGGCCAAAATAGCCCATGTACCGTCCGACTCCCGCGCCCACGGTCAGACCCACGTATCCCGGACAAGAGCCGGAGCCGCTTTCTGTCCCATCAGGAGTCAGTCGCCCTCCTCTGGTCAGAGCAACGAGCAGGGTTGGCAGTTTCTAACGTACGAATCATGAATCCGGCCGCAGCGAGCGGTTCCAACAAGTCACCAATGGTGGTGGAGCCGCCGATGGTGACGGTTTCGGCGATCGAGTCAATCTGGTAGGAATTGAGCTGGCCAAGGTCGATGGCCAGTCCTTGATCCAGCTCCCCCAACGTGACTGTGAATCCGTGACGGCCGCCAGTGGTCAGGAAAGAGATATTCGCAGAGGTAGCCAGTTTGATCTGCAACCGTAGCGGTCAGCATGACTGACTGTTTCTGGAGGGGAGCGAGGGCTTTCATACGGCGGTGGCCACGTCCTGCTCGGTAGCCGGACTGACAGCAGCAAAATAGCTGGGAGCCGCCCAGGTGGTCCAGCGTTCGGTGGCATTCTCGAAGTAGGCATCTTCGGGTAGAGAGACCACCGTGCCGTGCGACCACAAATTGGTTGTATTTGCGAGGAGAGTCGAAAAGTCAATGGGGGCTTTAGGAGCGGCATAGGTGACCGACAGCAGCCCTATCCAGGGCCAAACCATACGCAACATAATGATGATCTGAAAACCGTCTATTGGAAGGTGCAGGAATGAGATTTCTTTTGCGCGCCTCTGGTCCGTTCCCATCTCGACGGCTTTCTCCCTACGGGTCCTTTTTATAGCCTACAGACGACCCTATCTCGAATCACTTGAATCCGCATCCAGGTTGAGTCTCTTCGGCCCCCAAATCAAAGCTGTGCGCATCCGTATCAGCCGGTTTATCTCGTATTTCCACAAAGCCCCTTGGAATCATTTCGAAAGCCAATTGGGATTCCTCGGATGGTTCGCAGAAGGCTAGAGACTCGCTCAGAGAGGAATCCTTCGGAGGCCTGTTCCACTCTGACTGCTACTTTGCGGGCCTGAAGGCTGAAAGGATTCTCTCGTCTGACACTGCGTGAGTGTAAGAGCTAGCAATAGCGGAAGAGTGTTGTTTTGTTCATGGACTATCACTTGTGCTTAGTGGTTGATAGTACCGATAGGAAGTGTGGCTGATATGGGCGGCCCATTGCATGATATTGCATGGTGTCACTGTCATGTGGCGGGTCATATAGGGCTTATGAATATATGAACCTAATTACTAGCGTAACTACCAAATTAACAACTACTAGGGACCAGTAATTAGCTTAACGTACTCTGCATATCTCCGAGAGTAATAACCCGTTCGTACGCTTGGAGTAACTAGCGAACTAAATCATCGACCTATCCACCGGCCACCCTGCATGCATGCATGGATGCATGCATGCGCAGTGACGAGCGAAACACTCTCAACTCCGCAGTCCGTCGGCCGTTTCCACACATCCTCCTTGATTATTTAATAAGCTCTTGACCTAGAACTCGTTTCCCTGTTGATAGTTTTTTGACAGGGTTGTCTACTCACTACTACTACTACCACTACTACTACCACCACCACCATCCCACCCACCATGGCAGTCACATTTGACATCACTCCCGAATGCGAAGCGAGCAAGCTCCATTTCCTCTATCGACAATTCTTCCTTGCCGCCCCGGTGGTCAGCCGGAAGGAAGTCGACCTGACGGGTCAAGTGGCGATTGTGACGGGGGCAACGGTAGGGCTGGGTTTGGAGACCGCGCGGCAGCTGCTGGATCTGAACTGCCAGGTGATCCTGGCGGTGCGCGACCTCGGACGGGGGGAGCAGGCGCGACGCAATCTCCTGCAGGGACGGTCGCCGACGGAGGCGACGGAGCAGGTCAGCGTGTGGGCGCTGGACCTGGATTCGTACGAGTCGATCCAGGGGTTTGCGGCGCGCACGCAGACGCTGCCGCACCTGGACATCGCGGTGCTCAACGCGGGGGTGTACAAGGTGGACGAGCAATTCCACGCGACGACGCACTTCGAGGAAGGGGTGCAGATCAACTACCTGGCCAACGTGCTGCTGCTGACGCTGCTGCTGCCGGTGTTGTATGCCAAACGCCGCGCCCCCGACCGTCCCGGCCGGCTGGTGCTGGTGAACTCGGACACGGCGGCGTGGAGCGTCTTCCGGGAGGGGCGCGGGGGCAGGGGGCCGCTGCTGCCGGCCTTCCAGCGCCCGATGCAGCCCGCCTGGAACATGCAGGAGCGCTACGGGGTGTCGAAGCTGCTGGGCCAGTTCTTCCTGGTGGAGTTGACCAAGCGCGTGGCCGCCTCCGCCGTCACCGTCACCAGCGCCAACTGCGGCATGTGCTACGGCTCGTCCATCGGCCGTGACGGGGTCGGTCGTCTCGAGGGCTACGTCTGGGCCGTCGTCTCGCGGATCTTGGGTCGTTCGTGCGCGGTCGGCGCCCGCACCTTCGTCCACGCCGCCACCCGCTTCGGCCCGGAGATCCACGGCCAGTACCTCGAGGACGCCCGCTTGCGGCCCCTGGCCCCCATCATCTACCGGCCGGAGGGCGTGAAGATTGCGGGCGTGCTGTGGGAGGAAACAATGGAGGAACTCTCGTTTGCGGGGGTGCGGGAGATTGTGGAGGAAATGTCGAAGCTCAAATAGTACAACTTAGTTACTGACAAGATCCATTGAAACTGATAGTTGCTGTACGGCCTAAGCCTGAGTTTTCGTTCAATTGGAGCACTACCAGTAGTTTGATGAATTTCCCTCGAGACAGATGATATAGTCAACCCTTATATCCGTTTCTTGTTATTGTCTCCATTCCCCCTGCCACCACCACCACCACTCCGACGATTATACTCCGGATAACTCGCCTGATATCTAACCCCCAGACAAGAGTCAGCAAAGCGCCAGACCAGACCAGAGAGATATGAATGTACCCCAACAAACCCTCCGCAACCCAATAAGCCAAGACATACGCCACCGCGCGAAGAATCCAGATCGGCACCCAGAAGGGCAGACAGGGGACGGTGGCGCTGTTCATCCCAAACAAGATAATCTGGAAGGGGGAGGGGGCGATGCCCTGTCGCTGGCAGTCGCGCAGGTAGCCCACGAAGTTGCGCAAGAAGTTCTCGTCGAAGCTGTGGTCCAGGTCCTGGGGATCGGCCCAGACCCGGAAGATGACGTCTTCTTGGCTGGTTGCGTGGACGAAGAATCGATGTCTGTTGGGGATGGTGGATGAGCAGTCGTATTCGAGAAGAAAAGAAGAAGTCAAACTCACCGCGTCCCCGCCGGAACCTCGACAGTCCCATCCGCTTTCGTCACGATGTGTTCGGTTTCATTCTTGTAGATGCCGAGGACGCCTTGTTGCACTTGAAAGTATTCGGTTTGGCGGAGATGGATGTGACTAGAGGTTAAGAAGAATACGCATCGCATCAACACACACGACGACGACAACATCAAGGAAAAAAAGGAGGAGGGGGGGCGAAGGGAAGGGAAAGGAAGGGAATTCACAGCTGCGGCCCTGAAAGCCCCTTTCGGGCTATCGGATTGTCAATGTAATGCGTCTCTTGCACCACCCATCGATTCCCTTCTTGCAAAAACTCGAACCGGGCGGCCTCGTTCGCCGCCAGGATGGTGGGTTCATGGGAGGTATCCGTCCGGACGAGCGGACGCGGCGAGAGCCAGAGTTGCCAGCTTCGAGCCATGATGTTGGGCCTTGTCGTCGATCCAATTCCAGTATCCAGTCGGTAGTCAGTATACACACCTTCTTCGTAGGAGTGATTGCGTCGGCGGTGATCCTTTCTTATCTCCTTTTTTTTCCTCCTGATGAATCGCGGAGACTGCGCGGAGATAGCCTGTAGTGAGCAATCAAACCGAGGGGGCGTGCTGCAGGGAGAATGGTACGACTCCGGAGACATGCCACCTTGCGCCGCACTCTTCCTGTCAGCATGCGTCTGCTTGTACGGAGTACTCATAGGTCATCTCGCGTCAGGATAGATGAACCAAAAGTTACTAGCACTATGGGGGAGGGGCGGGACTGCTACTGTAGTAACTAAAATCTGACCGCAAAAAGTTGCTGATTGACCGTGACCGATGCTTGCATGCAGTGGCGTTGCAGCTTACTCCCTAGTCTGGATCGTATTGTACTCCACACTGCCTTTCGTTATGAGTGGGTCTCACCCTATCTTATGGAAGGGGCGGAAGTGTGAAGAATTCTTATCTACAATACACTCTGCAGTTCAAACTGGCTTCGGATCGGGTTTTGGCTCGTGGTCTGAGCTTCGGCCGTATGTCTGACAACCCGTGTGACCAATGATACTCGGGGATGTCCGATCCACAATCCTGCAGGTGAGACTTGCAGTAAGTAGTACGGAGTATATTGCTGGACAAATCAAAAAAAAAAAAAAAAAAAAAAGGATCTAATCTGGTAAAAAACATTTCCATTCCCAGAGCAGCACAACAGTAATCATGCTTTCTACTAACTACTGTTCCCAGTCTCCATGATAGTTCCCCAACACTTCAACCACCCCCCAATCAAAATGTCGGGTCATATCAGACCGTTTCCACCTCATCCTTCCAGATCAATCCTTCTGGCACAGACTTCCACTGACCAGCCTCATCCAACATGGGCTGGACCGTCTCCCACTCTTCCCGCACCCGTTGGGCCTTCTCCCCACTCCTCGGGGTAATAGTCACGGGAAAGGGCTTAGGCATCGCCATCAGGCCCTCCACCAGCGCATCCTGGTCGGGGACGACCTCCCGCTGGGTGACTGGGTCGACCACTCGCTGGAAGTCGAACGCCCACAGCAGGCGCGAGATAGCGAGATACATCGACCGGTCCGCGATGTGCATTCCTTGGCAGCGGCGACGGCCAGCCCCGAAGACGAAGTGATCGCGCTGGCGGACATTGGCATTGGTGGCCGCCTCCGCCGAGGTCTGGTGGTCCTCGATAAAGCGCATCGGGTCAAAGCGGCGAGGGTTGGGATACCGGTCGGGATCGGAGTGCAGCGCCCTGTGGATGGTGAGTTGGTGAGTGAGTGAATAAGTAAATCTGGCTGCACCACGAGGCGAACAGTCGTAGACCTACCACACATTCACAATCACCGTTGCCCCCTTGGGGATCCGATATCCCATATAGGTATCCTCCTGCGTGGTCGCGTGCGGAACCCCTAACAGAAAGCCGGGCATCCAGCGGAGGGTCTCCTTCGCACAGGCGCGAATGTAGGGCAAATCCGGCACGTCGTTGAGATCAGGCAGTCGGTCGCCGCAGACTCGATCCAACTCCGCCTGGGCAGCCCGTGCCACCTCGGGGTAAATCACCAGCGCCTGCACGAAGCCCACCAAAATGCTGGCCGTCGTCTCCGAGCCCGCCTGCAGCAGCGCCCCGCTGATGTAGGCCGCCATGTCGTCAGAGAACCCCTCGGTTTGTTGTAGGCGGACCAGGTCGACGCAAAAACAGGGCTAGAGGAGATGAATTCTCCATAGTTGGTACAAGGCGGTTGGTTGCGACATGGAATCTGGTTAGATGGGGACATACCTTGGCTGTGCCATCCTGGAGTCTCCGTTTGGCATCCAGATAGTGATCTCGGAACAACTGACGCTCCTGGCGGTGCACCGCCCTCGCTTCCTGGACCACCGGCAGCATGAAATCCGGCAGGGATCGGAGAATGGGAAACAAATCGAGTAAGACCGCGGTCTGGGTGGAAAGGTCGAGGATTAGCTTAACAACAAGATCTATCGGGTGGACGGTCTGCGATCATATGAGAGACATGCCTTGGACGTGATAATCTCGGAGTTCCGATCGAAGGTCTACAGACGTAATCAGCGAGCGTGCTTCTCCCACGTTCGGGATCCATTGAGAAAGACTACATCAAAGGCTTGCTTGAACTTCGGGTCTTCGATCGTGGTGGTGCGAAACCCAAAGGCCATCTGCGTCGTCAACGAGCCGGAATAGCGGCGGATGTGATCGACGAAGTGCGCCGGGGTCTCCAGCATGCTCTTCAGCATGGCCCGGTTTTCCAGGTCTTGGTAGGGGACATAGGTGCGCGCCGCTGCAACGTTGAGGATGCGATGCGCCAGCTGTCGAATCGATTTCCACGTCGCGCCATCCTCCTGCCAGGAGAGATTCATGAGCCACACACCGGGGCAGGAGAATCACACGCACACAACACCCACCATGAACAGCACTCGCAACCCACCGCTCAGCACGTCTTGGGCCACATAGCTATCGGGCCGAGAGGAGTAGATGGCCCCGCGTCGGTCGAGGAGATCCTTGACTGCTTGCGCCGAGTTGAGCACAATCATCGTGCGTGTCCCGAGCACGAGAGAGTAGATGGGACCGTATTCGCGACTCCATTTCTCAAACTGAAGGTGTCTCTTCTCGGAAGAGATTTGATGCAGGTTGCCCAAGATCGGGAGTGTTGGTGGTCCAGGGGGCAACGCTTTAGCTCGTCGGCCGATTTTACTCAGTCTCCAGACCCCGCTGAGAAACACCGCAAAGACAACAGTGTACAGAGTCTTGCTGAGATCGAGATAGGTATTCACACTCATGGTGTAGTAGCCCGATGCTGTGATGGTCAGTGAACTCGGTCTGAATGAAGCACCAGATATGATCAATTGTAGAGAGAGGTGGTAGATGGATGGATTCTGCTACGTGAGGTTATCTGCGGAACGAGCAAAGAACCACCGAGGTGGGAGGTGAGCAGCAGCCGCCGTCAAAAGGATGAAAAAAAAAAAATGAAATAAAAAATAGACAGACTGTAATGCAAGTCCTCAGAAATGGTCTAGTCTAGAAGAAACCAAAAGCAAAATAACGGGCATGGGTGGTGAGATTCTGAGTAAGAGCCCAAAGTCCCCCCCGCTCAGGCCCAGCTTAGGGTTGCATGAAACTCATCCCCCCCTTCCGAGCTCCCATGATAAGGCAATTCAAAAGGCATTTTCATTCATATTCAAGAAAACTTTGATCCCAGCTTTGGTACCTGTTCTCCGTGATAAACTGTCAAACTTATTCCCTTCTCTCGGATCTACACCATGTCACGAACCCAGAAATTCGCACTTGTCACCGGGTAATCAACCTCTGATCTATTCCTTGCCCATCCATTCCAATGCTCACTGACTCCCATATAGATGCGGCCAGGGTGGAATTGGCGAAGCGCTGGTGACCGAGTATGCTCGCCGCGGCATTCATCCCATTGCCACCGTTCTGCCCAGCGAGTCGAGCCAGCATCTGTCCGCGAATGGCATCACCTTCTTCCCCCTCGATGTGACAGTCGAGGAGTCAGTGGTGGAGCTCAAAGCCCGCATTCAGGAGCTCACGGGCGGATACCTCGACATCCTGGTGAATTGCGCGTACGTGAACCACCAGCGGGGTGCCAGCAGGGCTGACTGACGGACTGACCGGTGAACTCACGGCCAGGGGGATTGCGTATACGATGACGGCGATTGACACAGACGTGGGTGCCGTACAACGCATGTTCGATGTGAACCTCTTTGGCCCGATGCGCATGGTGCACCACTTTCACGACCTCATTATACCAGCAAAGGGCACGATCGTCAACATTGGCTCCATTGGTGGCGTTGTTCCGTACTTGTATGGAGGTACGAAAGGCCCTGGGTTGTAGCGGCCCCTGTTGTGTTCTGTTTTGCAGTGTCGATCCATTCACTCACCACGCGAGAGAGAGGAGCAGCATCGTACAATGCCACTAAAGCTGGTCTTCATCACTGGTCCAATACACTGCGTGTCGAAATGGCCCCCTTCGAGTAAGTCAGCAAGCCCCTGGGCCCTTCGCTTAGATGGACTCCTTCATTGATCGACCGTTTCGGCTACTCCCAGCGTCCGAGTCATCACAGTATGTTTCTTTTCTCAGTCTCCACCTTTCCACTTGGTCAGGTCAAGTCTTATTTAGTATACACCTAGGTTATTTCCGGTGAGGTATATACCAACATCCTGAAAAACGACGCCCATCGCCAACTCCCCGAAGGTGAAAATTCCTCATATCTTTCTCCTTGGGAAGGCAGGACTAACAGGAAGACCGGACCGCAGGCTCCTACTACAGTCCCCTGGCGGAAGAATTCCGCCAGCACGTCACCAGGACCCCGTCCGGGGCGACGGATCGGTTCCAGTATGCCTCCAAGGTGGTTGGGGAGAGTCTACGCTCCAATCCGTCCGCCTGGTTCTGGACGGGCAGTTCGACCGGGTTAATCCGTTGTTTGGATACTTTCGCCTGGCGAACGATTTGGGTAAGCCCAGCCAGCCCTCATTCCTTTTCTCTGATCTTGCCAGCAGCGGCGGCTGATTGATATCCTTCAGGATTGGATGTTTTGGCGGATGTTTAACCTGGGAAAGTTGCATCGATCTCACGCCGCGCTGGACAAGAAGCAGGTTTAGTTCTAGCGTAGCCTTGGCTTTCCATGTCGAGTGATGGAATTACAGTATGGAGGGGTACCAGCTCACCTCAAAAGGAGGTCAGGATTAGTGCGAGGGGGGTAGAATGTCTGACTTCCTGGAATAGTAACAGCTTCTCTAAACCCCTTAGGGCTTTTCAGTCACATATGCTTAAAGACAACCCTTTCAAGGCTTATCTTATATGAGAAATATTACAGTTCTTTCAAGCTGGATTTCTTCCATTAGGGATTATTACTAACTAGGAAATACCTTGGATTACTATTATTCGTCCTATTCAGGGGGTAGTTGCGATAAACATAAATTGAAAAATAACTATATAAAAGTCAGGAACTTTTCAACAACTTAAGTACTTTCAAATCCTTAGACCCCCGCAGAGGATCATCACATGTTTCCACTGCTCTATACCCCTCACCCTAAATTCTGACCCCTCGGAGGAGCTGGTCGCCTGAATGACGCAAATATCTCTCGGACTTGACCGGGACCCGCTGAAACACAGTGAAGCGGCTCTGGACGGGTAAGTAAAGAGGGGTTAGGGTTGAGGGGGGGAGTGGGGGCGGAGGCGGAGGAGGGATCCCCGCCCTGCGTAGTTTATTGACAGCTGATTATCTCTTATCGACGCAGGTGGAATTTGACAACTTACGCTAGACGCTAGTATACGCTCTCCGACATATCACTAGTGGAAGCAGCTAACGAGTGCCAAGCACTTCTAGCCGTATCTATGAAGAATACTTAGTTTAGTGAATCAATTCGAAATATATTCGGAGATACTATATACTTCTAAATTGTAGAGTTTCTATCTATAATACTACAAGTAACGCCAAACAAGACTATTTTGCTGTAGCGTTATAATACTATGATTAGAATCGGAGAAATATACAGTATCTGACCAGGGAGGGTTTAATATATATATCACAGTAAGTATGGATAGCGATAGCCTACCAGTACCAGATAAAGGAGGACTCCGTATGATACTCGATTCAAATGATTTGGTCTGGGTGCCCTCCTTGCATCACGGCTCTAACCCTACACTACACTAATTCATGACTCCCTGTACTACTATAGCACGTCAGCCCAAAATGGGCATTATTGCCAACAAATCTAACTTGCAAACCGGTGAATACTTCAGTCAAGTAAAACTGATCAAGTAAGCTTTAATCTGACAGGAAGCGGCTCCAAGTTCCAGAAAAGAACGACCCCAGTCTAACGACCCTCATAATCCTTCGCCAAAGTCCCCAAATACCCCTCCAACTGCTTCCCACCGGCAAACACCGGGTTGACATCCAACAAGATAAACAACATCCGGCCGGGCAGCGTCCCATTGCCGGTGACGTTGATCCACTTGTGCGCCGTGGCGCGGTTGACGCACGTATCGCCGGGACGCATGAGCCGTTCCTCGCCCGAGTCCAAGACCAGCTTGAAGACGCCCTCGATCACCACCCCGTAGTCGAGGCTGACGGCGCGATGGAGGGGGGACTCGACTCCCGGTGCGAAGTCGATGAGTCGGGCCACCGTGCCGTTATGCACGTGGATGCCTGGCTGTTTTTTTTTCCCATGTGAGGAGCAAGGAAGAGGGATGGGGCGATGGAGTAGTAGTAGTTTCTCACCTCATTTTCGCGGGCGTACTTGATGTCCACATCATCGTTGAGTTCCACGGGACTCTGGTTGGTCGAGTAGATGATGTTACCGATGGCTTGCTGCTCGCCCAGAACCCGGTGGTGAGCCCCGTTGTCGGTGGCCAGGAAGACGGATTGGCCTTGCTCGTCGTGGCCGGTGATGTGTCGCACAACGCGGCTCAGTCCGGTGACTGGGAAGTCCGCGGTCACGTAGCCTACGCCTCCCGGGTAGGTCTTATCAGAAAAGAAGGTCTTATCGGTGCTCATGATGATAGGATCGAAATTGATTGTGATAGAGAAGTTCTTGCTGTGGGTTGTGGTTGAGGAGATTCTGGCAGATGGAGGTACAGATTGTCGGCAAACGGCTTCAGCGTCTATTATATACCTTTTCCCGGGACTCCGTGCAGTACATGCCACTGTAAACTAAGTACTAGATTATCTCGCAGCTTGATGCTTCCTCGTTACGAGCGTTACTAGCCTTTGTCTCCGAGGGCTTCTCCAATACTGCTCTCTCCATGTCGGAACCAGACGGAAAGAAAAACAAAAAAAAAAGGATTGTAGATCAGTCTATCACGATGCATATACGGAGGAGCCGAGAGGGGGAATATGCTGGATTTCCCACCAACAGGCGGAGCTGAGGTCGTCGCGGAGCCGCTTATCTATATCTGACATGCAGCTGGAACGGTCTATCTGCAGCTCACTGCAGCGAAATTGCGACTAGGACGTGCATGGTGAAGAAGCTACGGCGGAGTAGCGGATGAGGCCGCAGCTTTTAGTGCTTACTCAGGATCCAATATCGCTGTCTGCAACGTTCCAGCAGAAGTTATTCATAGATCTGCACGGGAAAAAGGGAACACACAACAACAGGCCTAAGGTCTGCACAGTCAAATATCTGATTGATAGATCCATCAGGATCATGCAGACTACACTACCTTAGCGCGAAGCCGTCAAAGTTGTCCCGCCATCCACTATCAAGTCGCTTCCAGTGATGTAGCTCGAACGGGGGCTGCACAGAAAGATCACCGCGTCGGCCACTTCCTCGGTCTGGGCAATGCGTCCCATCGGAACCGCCGCCTTGATGAAATCGGCCAGTCCGTCCACCCCCGCCACAGCCTCCTGGACCATCGGGGTATCCACCCATGATGGACACACGCAATTCACCCGGATGCCATACTCCACATTGTCCAGAGCTAGAAAACGCATGTCAGCGCGGTTCCAGGCCAAATGGTGAAAACACGCGAAGGGATGCTGGCGATAACTCACCTGCGTTCTTGCTCAACCCCAGAACCGCATGCTTGGATGCCGTGTAGGGTAGGACGCCTGGTGCGGCAACCTTGGAAGAAGCAGAGCCCAGATTGACAATAGCCCCGCGCGTTTCGCCGCGCAGGATCGCCGACGATAAGGAATTAGTGATGGGCGTCTGGCCGCGCATCACGGCCGAGACCTCGCGAGTAACAAGAAACGTGCCGATGGTGTTCACCTCGATGAAGCGCTTGATGTCGGCCAACGAGAGGCTGACGATGTCAGTACCTTGTTGCACGCCAATCTACACACGAAACACAATCAGTCAACTCAATCTCGCAGAAGAGGAAAGTTTCAACAGTGGGTGGCTCCAAACCCCAGCGGAATTGACACAATAGTCGATGCGGCCGAACGTCTGCACCGCCTTATCAACGGCACGCTTGACCGATTCCTCCTGCGTGATATCGATCTGGATGGCTTCGGCGCGGAATTTGGGGTTGGAGGCCATTGAAACGCACTGAGCGCCCACGGTCTCGGCGGCGGACACATCTAGATCCGCAACAATCACGCCAGCTGCGCCTTCTTTGGCGAAAAGTAGAGCACAGGCCTTGCCTATTCCACTTCCTATCGCAATGGTCAGCATTGGGTTTGAAGGAATTCATCAGATAGCTTCTAAGTGCGCTTACCCCCGCCAACAACGAGTGCGTAGCCAGTGGTCTCCATGCTGCCAGAATGAGCGTGCAAGTGGGGTTGTTTCAAGAGGTGTACGGTTGAGGAAAATCTCTCGCCACGGGGGTGTTCACAGGGTCAATTTATGTCTCCAACTGGGCTGCTATTTGTCTGATAAGCTTATGGGTGTACTTTTGCTACTCCAACGGGAAGATGCCTGATGTGATTGCCTCCTGCCCTCCGATATGAGACAAAGTAATTGATAATGATTATGCGGAATGCTGATGACCGCGAAGAGGGATCACTACCCTGGCACGAGTGTAGTCTCGCCGGACTGAATGTCCTATTCGCTGGCGCGTAATTGACCTCCATCTACTGCAGCGTCGTGAAGTATATAAAGCAGGGACGAGACGAGGATAGGAGAGCTGTAGTGACCGGATACTCTCCTCTCTTTTTCTTTCTTTCATCATCATCTTCTGAGACTCGATACCATGTCTGATTCTGAGCCTGTCATGGTGGGCTTTCCCACCACCCCCAGTACTATGACAGATCCTATTCCCGACGGGACTGAAGCCCAAGACCGTCAGCCCTGTGATGGTGACGATAATGCCATGGAGTCTCTCCAGGCCGACCCCCCATGTATCATCGGAATGGGTATGGGGTCTAAAAATTTCCACTCGATGGTTCATAACACTAATGCCGTGGTCAACAGCGTGCCGCCTTCCGGGAGACATCCGCTCCCCCTCTGATCTGTGGGACTTCCTTGTCGAAGAGAAGTCCGGCCAAGGCCCTGTGCCTGCCGAGCGATATAACATCAAAGGATATTACCATCCAGATGGACATCGCAGTGGCGGCATGGACGTGCCTGGCGGGTACTTTATCAACGAGGACGTCCGCCAGTTCGAGAATAGCTTCTTCGGTATCAACAACCTAGAGGCAACTTATATGGATCCGCAGCAACGGAAGTTGCTGGAGGTAGTATACGAGTGCCTCGAAAGTGCCGGCACCAGCATGAAGAGTATCTCTGGATCGAATACTGGTGTGTTCGTCGGCAATTTCTCAGTCGACTACCAGCCGATGCAGACACGGGATCCAGATTACCTACACCGGTATACGTCCACCGGTTCCGGTGCTACCATCATGTCGAATCGTATCAGCCATGTGTTCAATCTTCATGGGCCAAGCTTCACGCTGGATACGGCATGCTCCTCATCGGTCTATGCGCTGCACCAGGCTTTGACGGCGATGAAGATAGGAGACTGCGACAGCTGTATCGTGGCCAGTGCCAACTTGATCATGTCGCCCGAATTGCACATTGGCGCGGCAAAAGGTGGGGTGCTGTCCCCTACAGGCACTTGCCACACCTTCGATGCTTCGGCCGATGGCTATGGCCGTGCAGAGGGAGTAAACGCCATCTACATCAAGCGTCTATCGGCTGCTCTCAGAGATGGTAACCCAGTGCGAGCAGTCATCCGGGGGAGTGCAATCAATGCGTAAGTAGTCGTACCGTCCACAGAGCCCGACAACACAGGATAGCTGATGAAAGGTCCCCCCCCCAGCAATGGAAAAACTCCCGGCATTTCGTTGCCCAGCCGTGAGCTTCAGGAGACGGTAATGCGGAAGGCATACCAGAATGCGGGCCTTGATTTTGCCAGCACAGACTATGTCGAGTGTCATGGCACCGGTACGCCTGTTGGTGATCCCATTGAGGTTGATGCGGTGGGACGTTGCTTCTCCCCACGTCCGGCAGTTCAACTACTAATCGGATCTGTAAGACTCCCTGCGACCGAATTCTGACTGCGAGATATATTGTCTGACTGATTTGAACATAGGTCAAAACCAACGTGGGACATAGCGAAGCTGCGAGTGGCCTGACGTCAATCCTGAAAGTTGCCATGGCATTTGAGAACGCCAAAATCCCACCATCGCGAGGCGTGGTCAAGTTAAACCCTAAGCGTGAGCATCCCCATCGGCTTCCAGTATGACCGCACGAAGCTGACTCCCCCGGATTGCCATGTGCTATAGTCATCCTAGAGGAACGAAACCTCAAAATTGCAACCAAGGTGGAGGAGTGGCCACGGGCACTACGCCGCGCCAGTGTCAATTCTTTCGGCTACGGAGGCGCCAATGCCCACGTTATTCTGGAGTCCATCCAGAGTTACCTGGGGGACAATTATCGGGAACAGATCAAAAGCATTTCGGGCCCATCAGTGTCCGAGACTCCGCAGCTGCTTGTGTTACCTGTGTCTGCGGCTTCGATTTCGTCTCTGGAAGCGCGTATGAAGCATGTAGCCCAGGCTGTTGCACAGAACCCGGGTCCAGAAGCACTTGCAAATCTGGCATACACTCTTACCAAGGGTAGAGACCACCTACAGTTCCGCAGCTTCCACATCGCCAGCGCGGATGGTAAACTGGACCCTGGTGAAGACGCCGGGACCCCCGGCAGGACAGACAAGGGGTATCCTTTCGGCTTTGTTTTCACTGGCCAAGGCGCACAGTATGCCGGCATGGCAAAAGAGCTTTTGCTCCAAAGTGAGCATTTCCGGGCTACGATCCGTGGTCTGGATCGGGTGCTCCAACGACTACCGGTTCCGTACGCCCCAAACTGGACCATTGAGCAGACTTTGCTCAATGACAACCCTCAAACAAGCGATATCAACAAAGTTACCCACAGCCAACCTATCTGCACCGCTATCCAGATAGGAATCGTCGAGCTGCTGCGCAGTTGGGACGTGCAGCCCGCGGCCGTTGTGGGCCACTCGTCCGGAGAAATTGCCGCAGCTTACGCAGCAGGACTGCTGTCTTCCACCCAGGCTATTCTGGTCGCGTACTATCGTGGATATGCCGTCGGAAAGTTGCAGACAAAAGGATCGATGATGGCCGCCGGCATAGGAGCCGAGGCGGCTAAACAGATGATCAAAAGTCAGGGGTTGGAGGCCCAGGTCCAAGTTGCCTGTGTTAACGCACCAGAGAGCGTAACCCTCAGCGGCTCTTCTGAGTCAATTGATGCCATTTATGAGGAGCTTCAGGCCCAGAAGAAGTTCGCCCGCAAGCTAGACACGGGAGGACGGGCTTATCACTCTCATATGATGAAGGAGGTCGGTCCCCTTTATGAAGAACTCCTCGCCGATTTGCTCACCCTCCCGGGTGACGATAAGCAGGAGGCTCCTTCTGGTGGTTCTGAGGTGAAAATGTATTCATCTGTCGGTCATGAACCGACACAACTGCGCGTCTTAGATCGCAATAGCACCAGGACAACCAACCTGGCGGCCTACTGGCGGGAAAACCTGGAGCAACCGGTTCAATTCAGCTCCGCACTGGCGACATTGGCTGCCGGAGGAAAGCGACACTTGATAGAGATTGGCCCTCATTCGACGCTGAAAGGACCGATACAGCAAATCCGGGCAGCGATGGGATTTGATCAGAATTCACTTCCTTATTCTGCTACGCTGGTACGGAAAGTCAATGCCGACTTGAGTCTGAAGCGGTTGGCTGGCACTTTGTATGCCGCTGGCCATGCTCTCAACTGGGATAAAATTGATGGCCTGCCGCGGTCTGGCTTGGAGGCCGTGCATTCACTTCCGCCTTACCAGTGGGACTATTCGAATGGTCTTCGCTGGAGTGAACCTCGTGCCAGCGTCGAAATTCGGAACAGAAAGCATTTGCGTCACGAACTTTTGGGGACGCTGGCTCTCACCGGAAACAACATCGACTTTACCTGGCGCAACTTACTGCGACCGAGTGAGATGCCGTGGATTCAAGATCATATGCTCGAGGGACAAGTGGTCTTCCCTGCAACGGGATACATTGCCACGGCCATTGAGGCTGTCTCCCGTATTACTGGAGTCAAAGATAGGTCCAACAAGTCTGACGTAGCCTTCCACATCCGCAACATGAACATCAGCGCTGCTCTTGTGGTTCCCGAAGAGAATGACCCGGCGGCCAAGGATCTTGAGCTTCATACCACTATGTCTCTGCGCAAGTCATCGACAGCAAACACATCCTCTTATTGGTATGATTTCTCTATCACATCCTGGGCTGCAGGGCAGACCACAGTTCACTGCACCGGAAGCATCCGTTTGACGGAACCCAGGACTGGGGCCGGGAAGGGCAGCGTGACTGTCAAAGATGACGAAGGGTTTGAGGCTTGGGCAATGGCGCGGTGGTACTCGAAATGGCGACAGGAAGGCCTTTGCTTCGGCCCGCAGTTTCAGTCTCTGACAAGCCTCCGAACCGACAGCGCACGCACTCGGAACGAGGCCATCAGTGTTACTCATTTGGATCCCCCGGCCACTGAAAACAAAGAGGAATATCCTGTGCACCCGATCACACTCGACGCTTGTATCCAGGCGGCGATTTTGGGAGGCACAGCAGGACGGCTGTCCTCGCTGAAGGCATATCTCCCCGTGTTCATCGCAGATTGTCGAATTCAACCACCGCAGGAACCCCTCCCTGGCAGCGAGGTCGAAATCCACGCACGCTCGGTCGAAACGGGTTTCAATAGCCGAAAGGTTGACAGCACGTTGTGGGATGCCCGCGGCGCGCCGATCGTTGAATTCACCGACGTGCGCATGTCGCTATACACCGGCAAAGGTGGATCTCAGACCCAGCCTGAGAGCAATTCGCCTCTGGATCTATACCTGCAGCGTCAGCCCACATTGCGGGTGCATTGGAAGCCCGACATGCTGCGACTACCGTCGAACGCTGACAGCCAGCTCCGACGCTATATCACCAGCTTTGTCGACCGTCAGGCGCCAGACATCCAGGACGACGAGAGTCTGGGCATCATCGGTGCTCTAATCGATCTGGTCGGACATAAGTTCCCACGTATGCGCGTCTTGGAGCTCGGTGGTGATCGGCTCGGATATAAAGCTCAACAATGGTTGCAAATCCTAGACAAAGATACCGCGTTCGCGCGGTGTCGATCGTGGCATACCGGGTCTGTCGACGAAGACGGATGCCTCACAATTGAAGACAACAGTGATGGACCTTTCGAGGTCCTCATCCTTCCAGGCGTGGGTTCCAACTCTCCTCCAAATCATAAATCTACATTGTGGCTGACTGCTATTATTTGAATTATTTAGCTTACCAGTTCTAAACAGCAATGGATCCAAGCTGCCGAACCAGTTTTGTCGACACTGTCCGACCAGGGAGTGATCATCACGAGAAGTTCGGACGAGGCGGTGGAAGCATTGGCGAAGGCAGGATTCACCCTGTTCGATGTTGGAAAGCAAATTCTGTTTGCTACGCGGCCACCTCCGACAAGCAATCTCAAGGGCCGTAATGGATTCATCGTGGTAAGTCTGGGATGGTTCGCCCTCTTAGCTGATGATGATGATGTACTGATAGTCTGTCAGATTCCGCAAAACCCGGCCCCAGCAGTGACTAGCTTCGCCAACAGCCTATCTGAGTTCCTCACGACCAAGGCTACCCTTAGTGTCGTGAAGATTGTCCCCATCGACCAAATCCAGACTGTCGGGCTCACCGCAAAGGATATCTGCGTGTCGTTGTTGGAAGCCACGCGTGAATACCTGGCCACAATGAGCCCGCAGCAGATGGACTGGTTGCGTGTCATAACTGATGTGGCAACCGATCTCCTATGGGTAACCGGGGCGAACATGCTCAGCAGTCACCCCGACCCCAATCTTACCCTAGCCAACGGTCTGTCGCGCGCGTTGATGCTCGAACAGCCGGCTCTACGGTACTCTGTCCTCGACATTGGATCTTTCCAGTCGCTGGAGTCCCTTGATCACGTTGAGCGGGCCTGTGAGAACGTCGTGCAGGCCCTAGTCACCCGGCAGACTGCCGACGATTGTGAATTCATTCAAGTCGATGGCCTTCTTTACGTCAGCCGCTTTGGGCCAGACTTTGGAGTCAACGCGGCATTCCGGCGGCGACTAGACCCGGAAGCTCCGATGGAGAAGGAGACTTTGGAAGCTGCCAAGCCAGCACAGCTCTCTATTAGCCGGGCGGGCGTGATGGACACAATGCATTTCCAACAGCTGACGCCCCAGACCACTCCTCCTGCCGCGGGCTACGTCGATATCGCCGTCAAAGCTGTCGGCTTGAATGCCAAGGACGTATACGCCATCAATGGTCGTGTTGACACCCGGGATAAGACGACAGCTCTTGACTTTGCGGGTGTCATCACTGCAGTTGGGCCCGATGTGCGACACCTCAAGGTCGGGGATCGCGCTGTGGCATGGATGCCTAGTCACTTCCGAACAACCGAGCGTGTGCCCGCAGGAGCCGTCCACCGGCTACTCAACCACGAGGAATTCACTGTAGTTCCCACGCTATTGACCGTCTATGGCACGGCCTTATACGCATTGCATGATCGCGCGCATATCCGTGCGGGTGAATCCATTTTGATTCATGCCGGCTCCGGGGGGGTGGGCATTGCGGCCATCACGCTGGCCCAACAGCTCGGTGTCATCGTTTATACCACAGTGGGCTCGCCTGCGAAGCGGGACTACCTCATTCGCGAGTTGGGAGTGCCAGCCTCTCATATCTTTAATTCGCGAGACGGGTCGTTCGTCCCCGCCATCATGGAAGCCACTGGAGGCCGTGGAGTTGATGTTGTGCTTAATTCCTTGGTAGGAGATCTCATGCACGAGAGTTGGGACTGTCTCGCTGAGTTCGGTCGCTTTGTCGAAATCGGCAAGCGGGAGCTTCTCGACGCTGGCAAATTGGATATGCGCGTTTTCCTCCGCAATGTCACCTTCACAGCCTTCGATTTGTCGGAACTCTTCTACGCCCGAGACGCATGGAACCGATCCATCTGGGATCGTCTCATGGCAGAAACGATGACGTTGTATCGTGAAGGGAAGATCCAGCCCCCTCCATTGAAAGTCTTTGATATCACCGAGGTCGCGCAAGCATACCGTTTCTTTGCGAATAAAGACCGTGTCGGTAAGGTGGTCATTTCGATGGAAAATGATAAAGCTCGCGTTCCGGTAAGCAAATGCAGACAGAGCCACTGAACAAAAACACCATTCAAGCAGATTCACTAATGCACGGTTCAGGTCATGCCCACTCTGTACCGGACCACGTTCGATTCCGACAAGGTCTATCTTCTCATTGGCTGTCTAGGGGGGTTGGGTCGCAGTCTGAGTCGCTGGATGATGACGCGAGGAGCGCGCCATTTTGTCTTCCTCGGTCGCTCCGGCTTGGACCGAAGCAGTGCTCAGCAGCTGGTTTCACGTCTCGAAGGGGCCGGGGCGCAGGTGACCGTGGTGCGAGGAGACGTCAGCAAATTTGCCGACGTCCAAGCCGCAGTGGCCGCTTGTGCAGCTCTGGGACGTCCCATCGGCGGCGTGGTGCAGGCGGCCATGGGCCTGCACGAGGCTCTTTTCACGCGCATGCCCAACGAGGCCTGGCATACCGGTATCGAGCCGAAATGGCAAGGCACCTGGAACTTGCATAATGCTTTGGAAGGCCACGACGACCAGCTTGATTTCTTCCTTCTCACCTCTTCGGTATCCGGCACCGTTGGTACGGCTACGGAGAGCAACTACTGCTCTGCCAATGGCTTCCTCGATGCCTTTGCCCGTTGGCGTCGCTCGCAAGGCAAGTGTGCCGTCGCCGTCGGACTGGGCATGATCTCCGAGGTGGGATATTTGCATGAGAACCCCGACATCGAGGCACTCCTCCTGCGCAAGGGCATTCAGCCGCTCAATGAGGAGGAATTCCTGCAGGTGCTCGACCTTGCCCTTGAGAGCGAGGCGGCGCATAAGGTGGATGAAGCCCATATGCTCACCGGGCTGGAACCGGCGGGCGTCCGCGAACTCAGCGCGCGCGGGTTTGATGTGACGAGTCATGGAGTGTTGGTCGAAGCGCGCGCGGGCATTCTCTCGGCTGCGCTGTTGGCGGAGCAAGAGGTGCGCGCTGGGGGCTCGGGCGAGGCTCGGGGAGCCGATCACCAAGCGGTGACTTCGGCAGCCCCTTGGTTCAAAGAGCTTCCGCCAACCATGACGGGGACGTTTGCGTCCGAGGCAGATGCCGAGAGCCTGCTGGTTGCCATCGTCCGGCTTTTGAAAAAGCGGTTCGCCAATCTGATTCTGATGCCCTTGGATCAGATTGACGATCAGAAGCCTTTGCCTGAATTCGGGGTAGACAGCATGATTGCTTCGGAGTTCCGGACATGGTTCTGGACGGTTTTCCGGGTCGATATCCCATTCCTTGATATCATGAGTGTGAGGAAGAACTTGAGTCTGCTCGCTCAGTTTGTGGAAACAAAGCTATCACAGAACTGAGCGACAGAACATTAGCATGCTGGATGTTGAGCTGGGATGAATCACATTATTAAGAATGGGAGTGGAGGGGAAGTACAAGGTTGTTGTAGATGCTTCTGTCGGAAAGAACAAGACTGTCCTGCCGTTCTTTACCGCCTACCTTGATCTATTCTGATGTATGAATTTCCGCAGAGCTCAAGGATGTTCACATCCAGACATCTCAAATGTTCATTCAAGTTCCCAGTATTTTGTAGTATGTATGCCTTTTCATATTTGTGACTCGGACCCTTGCGAGATGAAAGAGGGCCCGGGACTGGTCATTGGAAGATCTTACCAGTGTCTCCCCGTAATCGGGGGCTCTTCTTCCTAGTAGTGACTTGTATACTATACAACAGATCTAAGAGGGTCACTATTCACTAGTCGATCATTATAGTCCAGTCGCGAGCCTTCTTGGTAAGCGATTACACAACCATATATATCTACTAAGAGATCTCCTTATCCGTCATCCCACACCTGTCTTCTCCATTCCATATAGAACTGGAGTCTTTGTCAATATTTCATTAAGACCGAAAAGAGAGAGTACAAAAAGCAGAGCTATATGAGACTAACGCGCAACCAGAGCGCTTGCCACCCGGAGCTGCAACAGCATGGTTCCATAAACACAGCCCGGTTTCTCTTCAACTTTCAGGACCTTAGGGACTGAAGAGCAGTTTGACTGAACTTCCGCGAGAGTTTTCCTGCAGGGAAAGTCAGTCAGCTGCGATTCACTCCGGTGAGAGCCCTGCTGGATAGTAACTCGATCTCATTTTAAATTGTTTGGTTTATATCTAGTTGCTTCTTTCTCTGTGAGATCAAGTACTGTACTGAAACTTCCAGGCCAGTACTATTAACAGCGCTACTTTAGTGATTTGGATGAAAATACTGCATCTCTCGTTTTTTGGTTGTCTATCCCTGACCGTAATTTAGGATCCTGTGTACTGCACTTGATAAGCTGCTTTGGGGGAGCAGTTTCAGGTGTTGAAGGAAGGACTTTGACAGTCTTGCTTGAGCAGCTTCTTGATGTTTGATGATGAAGATTGCTTCTGAAAATTGAGGAGCCTTGATGAGGTGATAACATCTCAAGTGTAGAGGCGCAGGTGGAGTTGCCCACGGCAGGTAGGATAGAGATTCCAGAGTCGAGTTTGAATGGGGAGGGCATGCATACTGTGCCTAGAAATAATAAGGTCTTCAGGATAGATTCTGATCAAACACAGGGTAAGATGCCTTCCATGACCCATCAAGCATCAAAATAGGTCTTGACTAGTGCTTAGTATACAGCCCAAGTGTGATTACCGCAAAAATCCAGTCCACTAGTAGTTTACAAACATGGAGGGTATACATATGCTTCGGGGACGAATGTCTAAAGATATTATAATATGTGTGCAATCGCCCAACCTACGCATCCACATTCACTCTGTCCTTGACATTAGCATCCTCAATTCTCCGCCAGATACCCACGAACCCACCGCCCACAATCCGGGGCCCAACCTTGGGCCGACAAACCAGCACGCGGTCCACCTCCTCCTCCTCCTCCCCCTCCGCTGCCGCCACTGAGCTAGGAGCAGAGGTAGGAGAAGAGGCCGTCTCCTCCGCAACCTCCGCAACCTCCTCCACCGGCTCTACAGCCTCCTCCTCCCGCTGCTGTTCCTCGACCACCTCCACTCCTGAGGCTGATCCAGACGAACCACCACTACCGCTCTCAGCAAGCGTATCCTTGTTCTTCCGCACCGCAAACCGCACATCCCACAACCGCCCACTACTAATGCCATTGCCCAGCTCCACGACCTTTTCCTGCACCAGCGGCAACCGCTCCCGGCGGATAAGCTCCAAACAGTCCCCAATCTGCGTCACGCTGGGTGTGAACACGGCCAGCAGGCCGTCGCGCTTCAAAATGGAGGTCACGTGTGGAATGCGCAGGTGCGAGGATGGCATGTCGAGGATCGCGTACGAGAGGAAGGGATCCACTGCTGCTGTCTGACCATCGATGTCGGATGTCGTCGCGGTGGAATGGCCACTACTACGGCTTCGTTCCTGTTTCTGCGCTGCGACCCAGGTCTCGACAGGGCCGGAGTAGAAGTCGACGTTGCCGGCGTAGATGCCGCGCCGGAAGCCCCGCACGAGGGTCTCGGCGTGGCGGGCGGTTTTGTGGGTGATGTCGACGGTGTGGATGACGGCTTTGCGTTGGGCGCGCCAGGCGTCCCAGGTTGTTTGGGTGGTGATGGTGTCGGTGGGGGGTTGTTCAATTGTGGGGGTCGTTTCGGGGGTTGTTTGGGATGGTGGTGGTGTGGGCGAAGAGGCGGAGGAGGCAGTAGCAGAGGCGGAGGAAGGAGAGCGGGAGGGAACGAGGTCCTTGACTTGTGAGGTGGTTGGGAATGGAGGAGGGACGGAGTTGGCACCCTGAATGGCACGCGCGAGATGGAGCGTCAAGGAGCCATGGCCGGTGCCAGACTCGAGGATCTCGAGGGGAGGTTGCTCGGGATCGGAGGAGGGAGCCACGTGGATGTCGAGGAGGGAGACGATTAGATTGGCGTCTGCGGAGTAGATCTAGCATCACCGGGTGCATCTTGCGTTAGAGTGTTTTCTTCACCTCCCTGAGGCCTGCTGTGCTTATTCTTGGTGTTGTTCATACCGGTGTCACCATGCGCGGTGTCAGCGCGACGTATTCTTCGAGGGTGGGATGATACAGTCTGTAATCGGGCCCTGAAATAGCAGAATCATAAGGTCAGTTCCCGTTTTATCCTTCACCCTGAATTGGTGACGCGCGAAGAACACACACCTTTATGTGAGGGGATTTGATCTCGCACTCTCCGGCCGATGATCTCGTCGTGCTCCAACCTTCCACCCCGACGGCCATCCGTCCGACCACCCTTGCGCAGCGGTCTGGTGAGTGTAGGCACTTTCCCATCGATCACGGCTCTGTCTCCCTCTAATGATGGTCGGGCTTGTTAGCATGCGACGGAGGATGTTCGCAGGCGGGTGCGGTCGCCTTACCCCGGAGATAAGTGAAGTTGGTATCAATCGATGGAAACCGACGGGGTCCGACAGATTGCGACGGTAAAGAGGGACTGGAAACCGGAGTCTTGGGCGAAGGTGGAGGGCTCGAACCCCAGAGTCGACGCAGCGCTTGCAGCATACGCGCCATTGAGGGCAATTGATTCAGGATAATTGAAAAAAAATGAGTTCTGAATCAAGAGTCCGTCTCGTCGAAACTTTTCCGATTCTAAGGCCGACTACTTTTTCTGGGCTTATCCGGGCTCGGTCCGATCTGGCGCCGCTTTAGCGTGAACCCCAGAGTGTGTACGCTGGGCCCATAAGACTCCATACAGTCCATACTATCTGAGAGCCTTAGTTGTTTCCAGGGTTGTATCACAGGAGTTGCCATGGCACCAAAGACGAATGCTTACAGTAGGCTCTCGTAAGGTTAAAGGAAGTAGTCTTCCCTGGTCTCATCTACGTATTCAACGAGCCCGCCCTGAGTGGCCGGAAGACATGATGCCTCATTAAATCAAGCAAAATCCATGGCGGAAAATTGAATACAGTTTCCCTGACTGAACTAGTCTCGAAGTGGGACAATTCTGGGGAAACTCCGCCGATCTATTAGCAAGTGCAGTCCACTGTCCGATGACTGACTCAAGCGTGGTCCAATTGATTGTTTTCTATGGCGGATTCTCGCGATTATCCACTCTTTCACTGATCGAGTCTAGCTGCTGCACTGCTGACGCTCGCTCTTCTCTTCTTTCCCTTCTCACTGCGGGGCTGTTCCCCTTCAAGTTTCCTCAGACTTGCGAATCTTCTTCAATTGACCCGAGTACAACTATCCCAAGCAATTCCGAATCTATCAGTTCGCCCTCCCGCCGCTGCTCTCTTGTGCCCCTCTTCCAGGTTTGTTGATCCCGCTTCCCGGCGCCAGCTGTTCCCTCCCCCTCCATGCGCACTACATCACGGAATTCGAGTTTGATCGGATAATCTCCCTACAAGTATCGCGCGTGGCTACCTCTGACGTTTGAATAAATAGCGATCATGGCTGCCTCAACTCTTCCATACATGAAGACCAACCCCAAAATTATCTTCTTCACCGATTTCGATGGCACAATCACTCTTGAAGACAGTAAGTTTGATGTGGCTGTAACATCAGTCTACGAAGCCAGCTAACGACCTCCCTACAGGCAACGATGCTATGGTACATTACCATTCTATATCCCTTCGACGTTCCGTTTCATGTGGCTGACCTCTCTTTCGCTCGCAAGATCGACAACCTGGGTTATGGGCGCGACAAGCGCCGCGAAGGAAATTTGGCAGTTCTCGAAGGAACAATGAGCTTCCGGTGCGTCAGTTGAGCCAGAGTCGGCTTCCCGATAGCCAACTGATCCCGGATTTAGTGATTCCTTCCGCGACATGCTCGACAGTATCAAGACCCCCTACAATGAGTGCATCGAATACCTCAAGAAGAACATGAAGCTGGACCCCTACTTTGTCGAGTTTTACCACTGGTCGCGGGAGAACAATGTGCCGATCGTTGTTCTGTCTTCCGGCATGATCCCCGTCATCAGTGCCCTGTTCGAGACGTTGCTGGGCGGCAAACCGGACGATCATCTTCACATCGTCGCAAACGAGGTCGAGAGCCGTGATGGCAAGGACATCAACAGCGAGGGCGGATGGAAAATCAAGTACCACGACGATAGGTAAGGGAGCCTCACAATGGGCCCTGTCACCTACCCAAACATGGCTGACGTCATACCATCAGCCATTTCGGCCATGACAAATCCTTGGAAATCAAGCCCTACGCGGCGCTACCGGACAGTGTGCGCCCCACCTTGCTGTACGCGGGTGATGGAGTTTCTGATCTGTCTGCCGCCGTAGAGACGGACTTATTGTTTGCTAAGAAGGGCAAGGGTAAGCTTTTTCCCAGGAGACCTTGATCGAGGTCGGATGTTGACATTGCTAGACCTCGTGACATTCTGCGAGCGCCAACAGATCCCTTTTACTCTTTTTGAGAGCTGGGAGTCGATTCTTGCGACAACGAAGGATATCCTGGCGGGCAAGGTCACTGTTAAGAAGGTGGCTGAAGAAGGGTTGGAAGCGGTTCAGCAGGGAGCCAACAAGGCCTGAGTCAGGCCAGTTTTTGCAGCAATAGATATAGACTACAGGGCCATAGATACAGCCAGGTTAGGTGCTAGACTCTATAATGATAGATAGATAAGATATAGTATATTATTATCAGCTGGAATTAATCTCACTAGATATTTCGCTAAATGATCGTAACTAAGAGGAGATTGATGAGCAAGGCCAAACGAGGCTAGTGCAGGGTTCCCCTTTGGCTAAGCTATAATAGGCTAGCTGCCGCCCAGCTCCCGATTTGACGGGCCAAAGCCATGTGACCATCTCTTTACCGCCTGCTGATTGCGGTACGGACTGGGGGCGGGCTCCGCCTCGAGCAGGCCAGCCAGCGGATCGCCTTTCTTTCCCCTCCTGAATTTCCAAGAATATTATCCATCAAGGGCCTTGTGAGATGACCGGTGATCAGGTCCTTCTCTTTGGCAAGCCCCTGAATCTTCTGTGTGGTGTCTGTTTTTCAACATGCTCCTGTGCTCGGCCGCTGCACACATCTGTTTAGCACTGGCCAGGGGTACCAACAACTAATCTTACTTTTAGCATGACACGCCGAATTGTACGTTGAGGCGCTTCTTCGTCCCCTGCGATCGTCCATTATTTATTATGTGCTCTATAACTAATACTTGTGTTCCCCGTTTAGGTTCGAGCGGGCGTGCAGCTCGCTCTCTTCGCCTCCTTCGTCACTCTCCTCGTTGTGGTCTTGGACAATCGATTCCGTGTTCTTCCTGCCTCCATCCATGGCCACCTTCCGTCCCACTACAACGGCCTCGTCGTCACCGATGTGACAGTCGTGACCTGCTCATTGATGAACGTTTTCTCCAGCTGCAAGACAAACCCTCAAACGTCGTGGACACAGGTGGAAAAGGATCTTTACCTCCGCACCGGCTGGACCTCGAGCGCTTTCGTCCGATTCGAGCGCAAGAAAGAAGAAGAGCTCCTCGCCAGCGACCGAGTGGTGATTGATCTCAAGATTAGCCGACTCGTCCCAGAATACTCCGACAAACCTGAGGATGCGGAGGAAGGGGAGACGTGGGAACAAAGACCGGGAGGCATCTGGCTGAAGCGGACGTCCAAGCGGCATGCCAGCGACTCGCAGAAGGCGATCACGGCCGTCGACGTCTTGTTCGGCGCCGATGCGGTCGACCCCCGTGCGGGCTGGGAGGTGAAGGATACCCCGCTGCTACTGGATAGCCGGACGGAGGCCCTGGAGGCCCGCATCAGCGTTCGCAGGGGAGATCCCACCAAGACGAAGAAGCCCGTGCCGCGTATCAATGAGAATGGGCGATTCAAAATCATGCAGTTGGCCGATCTGCACCTGAGTACGGGTCTCGGGGCGTGTCGAGACCCCGTGCCGGCGGAGTCCGTTCCGGGCCAGCAGTGCGAGGCTGATCCTCGGACGCTGGAATTTGTGGAGCGGCTCTTGGACGAGGAGCTGCCGGATATGGTCATCTTGAGCGGAGACCAGGTCAATGGCGAGACGGCGAGGGATGCGCAGAGCGCGCTGTTCAAGTCCGTGAAGCTGCTCGTCGATCGCAAGATCCCTTACGCGGCAATATTCGGCAACCATGACGACGAGGGAGACCTTTCGCGACAGGAGTTGATGGCTATCCTGGAGGATCTCCCGTACTCGCTCTCGAGGGCGGGACCTGAGGAAGTGGACGGCGTCGGGAACTACTATGTCGAGGTCTTGGGTCGCGGAAGCACTCAGCACTCAGCTCTGACATTGTACTTGCTGGACAGCCATTCATACTCGCCTGATGAGCGTCAGTTCCGTGGCTATGATTGGATCAAGCCAACCCAGATTCATTGGTTCAAGAACACCGCTCATAGCTTGCGGAACAAGCACCACGAGTATACCCACATGCACATGAATATGGCTTTCATCCATATTCCTGTGCCTGAGTACCGTGATGCCCGCAATTACTACCGTGGGAACTGGTCCGAGCCTCCAACCGCGCCGGGCTTTAACTCGGGCTTTAAGGATGCTATGGAAGAAGAGGGTATCCTCTTTGTTAGCTGTGGACAGTAAGTGGCGCCCTCTTTTCTTCAATCGGTTCGAGAGATCTAGAGCCTCCGCTAACCATCCGGTAGTGATCACGTCAACGACTACTGCATGCTGAATCGCGATCACGAAGAAAAGCCATCTCTCTGGATGTGCTATGGAGGCGGCGTTGGCTTTGGCGGGTACGGAGGCTACGGGGGCTACGTGCGCCGGGTGCGATTCTACGACTTCGACATGAACCCCGGTCGCGTGATGACCTACAAGCGGCTTGAGCACGGCGAGACCGAAGCCCGGATCGACGAGATGATGATCATCGATGGAGGTATGGTCAAGGGGCCGGATCCAGAAGAAGCTTGAACCGCGTTTTATGAGAAGTCTCTTTCTTCTACTTCTACTTCTACTTTTCTTCTTTGAGTTTAGCTTCTGATTGAAACGGAGAACGCTTAAGCTCCAGTTCGGGTTGACTTTTGACTTTTCTTTGTACTATACCTACTCTTTATACCTATGCGTTGAGCTCGGAACCGGCAGTTGCGGAATTTTGGCCGAGGACACTTTCTATTTGTTGTTTCCAGGTTGCAAAAGGGTTACCTAAAAGGTTGATTGCTAAACAGTTGAAGTTATTTGAATGCGCTAGTATCGTTGTTATCGTGCTTTTTTCCTCTGACTTCTCCAGTACTGGAGTCCCAAATCTCTTTTTCCGACTGCCCATTAACTAAACAAAAATTGAGGCTTTCTTCCGCTTCCTCACCACCACTTCTCATAAAACACTCTTTCCCCACCCCCGAGTAACCCCTCCAATTTCCCGACGATGTCATCGGTCATCCCCGGCGGTCCGCACACATAACACACCGTCTTCTCAGGCTCGATGGTACCGTCTTCCGAGATCGCCGCAGCCCGTAGGTCATCGGCATTGATCCGACGCCCGTGTATCCGCAGGTCATCAAAGGAAACCCCGCGAGTGTCGTCGTCCAGGTCTGTGATGAATAGGTCCAGTGCAATCCGGAGCCGACGCAGCTGCGACTGGATGTTGACGATCTCTCGGAGGCGTGAGAGGAAGAGGATCTGGTCCAGGCGCTTCTCGGGGTTAGTTGTTGGGGTGGTTGCCTTGTCTGGCTGAGGCAACTTGGTGGAGTAGAGGAAACGGATGTTGAGGGAAGGGTGGCGGAGGGTGGTGGTTGCTTCGTCGTCGTTGTTGAGGTGGGAGAGCATGGAGATTAGTGGGCTGAGAGAAGCGTTAGCCTGGGAGCTTTTTGTTGAACTTGTTTGTCAAGGGGGTCTAGAAGGGTCGTATCGTTTCAACTCTACATAGTAGGCAACAACGCAATAAGTTCCCCACACGGCACGATTGTCCCCATGTTATACCCCCCTTTATTGAGGAGAAACCACTGCCCCAGAGACGAGACAAGGCAAAGCACAGACACCAAACACAACATTGCAGTAATCAGAACCGAACAAGCAACTTACTTAATCCCCACACCCCCCGCAATGAACACCACATTCCGCACATCACCCAACCGCACCCCCGACGGCGGCCACACAAAGCTCCCTCCTACGCGGATGGCGAGCTCGGAGCCAAGGATCTCCTCCGCGGGCTTCCAGAGCCATGCGCTGGCGGGGTTCGACGGTGCGGCGCGCACGGCGAGTTCTACGTACGGCGGTCGGCCGTCCGGATTGAGCGGGGGCAGACCCGTCGCGTCGTTGTTGACGATGGCTTGCACGGCGTCGGAGTCTTGGTTTGCGAGCGAGGGCAGGACCTGTGCGTCCGCGGGGGTGGAGGTGATGCTGAAGCCGCCTGCGTTGGAGATGGAGGGGATGTGCACGTCGAGCCATTGGCCGGGGAGGAAGGTTAATGGTTGGGGTGGGGGTTGGGACTGTTGTTGTAGTTCGTTAACAACCGTTCATATGGATGTATGTGGGTACTATGTATGTCTACTGGTGTTGGATCGAGGCGAGAAGTAACTGGCAGTGGTGCAGTGGTGAGGACAAGGAAAATGCTTGCAGCTGCATACTTCCTGATCACTTTCCTGATAGCTGCTATCGTCCGGGTTTTGCACCTCCGGGGGAATGGTTAGTTGCAGCAGTCGCACACAGGGGTTGACCTGCTCGATATGCGACAGCCGGACATTGTATAGCCGGTTTTGGCGGGGCTCGGCGGCAGTGCGCATCTGGTGGGGTAAGGAGCCCTTCCCACTCGTTGCGGCGCTCATCCGGGATCGCTGGAGCTTTGGTGCCGTTTGTTGGCGCTTAATGAGGCTGGATAGTTGGTACTGGTAGTGGCGTGACGGGCCGCGTAACAGGGTGTGACTGCGCATCCAGATGTGCCTCACGTCTGTGTGATACCCGGGTCCGCGGCTTGTTAAGACTTTATCCGAGGGCTTGATGCGAGTTGCATGGACTTGCTGTGTATGTTTGACTGTTGACTCTGTGTGGTGTTCATTGTATGAGAGAACCAATGTTGGAAGATGGGCTTGTGGTTCGAGAAGGTGGTGACGTCCATGTCATGTGCTCGGCCACTTTCTAAGTTACTCCACAACTACTCCGTACTCTCTCTCTCTCTCTGTGTCTGTCTGTCTGTCTGTCTGTCTGTCTCTCCAGTTGAAGGACATACCTCGAGCATGAATTATGGCGAAATCATCACCAATCATGCATGACCCGTCACAACTGCAGCACAAGACCTGGTTGACCTCTCCACCTGGGCGCTTCGACCCCATATACAAGCTTTTTTATCGATTGTTGTTCATTCCATAGTACTTCGTACTTACTTCTAAAATCAATCCAATGCCCATGAAAAAGCCCTTACTCCCCTACATCTTCGAATTTATCAGCTTGTGCTAGTTCCTATTCAAATAATCAGTCTAGACCCTGAATCCCTCTAGGATCGAACTGATGTCATGTATTATTTTTTTCTTATAGAATTCCGAGAGAAGAGAAAAGAAAAAGAATCGATCTTGGTATACCGGCAACATACTCCTACATACACAATACGGAGTACGACAAACTCATTTGATTTGGTTCTTCTGCTAACTCTTAAAGTGAGACACTGATTATTCTGGTTCAGCCCCTGTAGGTATGCCCACCGAGTAGGATGACACTAGTGTAATCACTAGCCTATGAATATGACCCTGAACACAGTATACAACTTCTTCCCGTCGGTACGCCGCTCCGCCCAGCTGCCGGCTGTACCCCGATCTGCGTTTTGCCGACCTGCGCGGCAATGCAGAGACTCGGCTAGCCAAAGTCGATGACCCTGCCAGCGAGTATACCGGTATGGTAATGTCGGCGGCCGGACTGGAGCGCATCGGTCTTCAGTCGCGCATCAATCAGTACCTGGGCTCCAAGAGTTTGGGGTATCTTGCATGCTGTCGAGCAGGGAGCGCCTGAGCTTAGAGATCCGCCAGAGTGATGCGCTGATGCAGGAACTGCGTGACCGGCTTGCGTATCCGCAAGTCTACGCTGGCTGGTCTGGCCGAGCAGTAGCTTATGAGGACACTGGAAGGCGAATGCGGTGTTCCCATTGGCGTCGAGACGGAATGGGTTCAGCCTCACCAACTGCGGATAAGTGCTATCGTGGTGAGTCTAGATGGCTCCCAGAGTGGTGATGGTGATACCCTCGATGCTCGAATCGAAACTACCAACGAAGCGGATGTCCTCGATCAGAATTTGGCGGCCTAGAACGTGTCAGGCAGCTTTTACATCCTTTCCTGCGGGGAGCGCAGTAATCATGCGAGACTGTGTTCATTCCGGTTGAGAAGGTTGAAACTTCGACTCTGAGAACGTGTGTTTGAAACTCTTAGGTAGGCGATCTGGTCTTGCGTAGCGTGTTTCTGGGTTTTATCGTCACTACCATCAGGGGCTCGGGTACCAGATGCACACCTAACAGGAGCCAGTTCGTGAGCAGTGCATTTCAATGTCTTTTCGCGGTCATCTCGAGCACACGTGCTAGACCCAGCTGAGATCGTGGAGAGGTTAAATTATCATTGTGTAGCACTCTTGTGAAGTGGCAAACAAGTGCAACCTGCCATTATGACTCCGAATGAGTCAAGAGTTAGCAGTATCTCTTTCTATTGTCAAAAGTAATCTGTCATCGGAGGAGGAAGATTATGAGGTTCATCGAGTGCTATGGGAGATTATGTACGCCAGCCGCTGATGCCTAAGGCAGACACAACCCATCATATACTGTACTGTACTGTACTGTAGCACTGAGCGGCCCCCTCCTCCTCCCTCCTTATCCCCAGATTTGGGTTTCTTATAGTAGTGTGATAATAAAAACCATCTCTATCTAATTCCTCACACCATGTCACCCTGGCGAGTAAGTGTTAATTGCTGTTAGAAATCTCCAAGCGCCCGCGAGTACAACCACTAACTTGAAAGCAGACATGACCACACACCACCAGCACACATTCACATTCACATTATCCTTTAGACACTGGTTCGCTAGACAGACAAACCAGCCACAAAAGCGAGCGAACCATCTATGTGGGTGGCATCTTCCAATCCTCTGCGCATGCAGATCTCTCTCCGCCCATCACACGGCCCTAGTAGTATGTGACAACCAGCCGGCCGCCGAACCCCCCTCATTCTGACGCCCTATTGGCGACCACCCCTCGGCCTGGCGCCGATGCGGGCGCTTCCAACTCGGCACGCATTGGCCAGATGCACACCTGCAGGCAAGTGCAACATGCAACCTGCAACCGGTATCTCACTGCTTGTACGGAGTACAGTGTGTGCTCACACTTTCCACTAAACGCAGTACTGTGCTTGTTGCTCGCCTTCCCCCCTCCCAGCATCTGTGCTCATGGGCAAAACCCAGAATGATTCGACCTAGAAGCCCCAAGTGGGAGAGGAGGCGTCCCGTTCTTCATATTTATGCGCCCCCTCCCATTTTCCCCCAACAGACGTGTACCCCTGATATCTTCCCTCCTGGAATGCAATGCAAAAACGGACAGTGAGTCTTTGGCTGTCTGTCTTGTTTCGATTTCAGCTTGTTGGGTCTTTGTCTTTGATGTCCCTGATCTGAACGCCCAGCCAGCTGGGCTCTGGCCGCCTCCTTCACCTCCCCTCCATTCCCCTCATTCAGCGAGCGCAGCTTGGAAATAGATACGAGCTTTGAAGCGCCCAGATAAACGCCAGCCAGGAGTTCTCTTTTTTTTTAAACTTCTGCCAGCGCCTGAAGATCTTGGCGTTGAGAAAGACGGAAAAGAGAAGAGAAGAGAAGAGAACAAAGAGAGAACTATATAACACAATCTAGCACAACTGTCTCACCATGTTCGGTTTCAAGAAGTTTTACTTTCCGACCCGATGGCGGAATCATAATCTGCTGTATATCCTCATGGGGGTGGAACTACCGCTGGTGATCATCATTTTGACCTTGACGGGGATTGCGAACCATGACACCTACCGCACGAAACTCTGGCAGGATGGCGCCGATAATGGCTTCAACAGTGCCCCCAACGAGGCCCTCTACGCGGCGGCGAATCATCGCTCGTTTACAACTCCCTTGGTCTGGAGCGGGGTGTAAGTTTCTGACCTTCTCTTTACCAAACACTGATGCTCCAGTAGAAGCGGAGAAACGGCAAGTTAGGTATTGCAACTCACACATTGCTTTTGATTAGTATCACTAAATACAATCTCGTCCTTGGCATCCTGAGTGTCTTCATGTGGATCACCAAGATCCCCCTCCACATCCTCCACATGATGTATCCGCCCCTCTGCGCCTTTGTCCACGCCGGCCTGGTCGCAGTCTGGATCTACTCCGTGCGGTACCAGGCCGGCCCCGACATGTCGGACCCGGATCACCCTCAGCCCGGAGCCCCGTGGTACATCACCAAGAAATGCTCCGTGGCGGCCGTCAAGTCCAATGTGCACTACTGCATGCAGGCAAAAGCACTGTTTGCATTCTCCATTATCATCATGTGAGTCTACCTTGCCGTCAAGATCAATCTCAAAGCCGGCTCAATGGACCACGAACGAGCTGACCGATCGCGCATTTCAGTCTCTACTACTTCTCCATCACTTGCCTCAGCCTGCGCAACTGCCTCATCACCGAGGAAGAGCGCGCGGAGATTGAGGAGCGCCTCGAAGACGAGCGAGCCATGAAGGAGTTCGAGGACTTTGTGCTCAAGTCCCCCGCCTTCCCGATGACCCCGATGCAGCCCCTGGGCATGGGTATGCCGCCCAAGTCCCCCATGCACCACGTGACCTCTGCTCCGAGCGATGGCGGCTCGTCTTCGGACCTGCCCCTGCGTCAACACTTCAGTACCCCGCATCCCCGTCGCTCGATGCATCAGGAGTCAACGGAGACGCTGTCGAGCAATCCGTCGCAACCACAGCCGTATTTCCCCCCGCCACCCAAGAAGGCGTCCAAGAAATGAGCTTGTTTTACCGTTCATCAGGGTTGTGATGTGGAAAGAGGAAGGTTGTTTGGAAGGAACAAGCACATCGTAGTCATGAGCATTGACGTTGTCTGCCACGACGCATATATCTCTTCTTCTTTTTTTTTTTTTTCGTCACCAATGTCGGTCTCTCATGTCTCATGCATTGTTCATACCCCATTGCCATTCGGATATTTGCCGGTGAAGAGCATAGCCCATAGCTAATTTTGCCATACGCTGCACAATCTGAACTTAACTCAACTGTGTGACCAAGAAAATCATGCGTTGATCGTGTTGCAAACCGGAACGACTTCATGCCATCTGGACTCAAAACTCGATATACACATTTCCGCATAGAGACGTACCATGATAGACACAAACCATGACAGGGAAGCACCGGACACAAATTATACAGGCTCTGCTGCATTGACACGCACAGAAATTGAACCCATTGAAGGACGAAAAAGGCGGTATCCAAGAATGAAGAGTAACAAGCAGGGGTATCCTCGCACGGGGGGCCGGTATATGTCCACCCCAAAGTGGCAATTAGTGAAGGTAGTACCGTAACAGTCATAGCAAACACAACATATCCTGATGTCCCTTGGGTCTCCAGCATGACTCATCTCGCAGAGACAGTGCCGGAACCCAGACAGAGGTTTGCTGGATCAGGGATCCTGGCGTTTCTTCTCCCTTTTCGCCCAGCGTACTAGGTCATATCGAGTTAGTCAGAATTCCACAAATCTCTAAACTGACAGAGAGAGAATGCAAAGTAAGAGATTAGAGAGAATGGGAGGGGGCAGCCAAGACTGGGACTCACATCCACAAGCATTACACAGCGTCTTGGGACCCTCGGGCCCCTTCCGCCACTCGGGCGAGTCACTCGTCCCGCAGTCCGTACACATATACTCGCCCTTGAGTCGCTTCCTGCGATCCGCATCCCCAACTGCTCGATTCGACTGGGGATCGTTCTCGCCGGCAAGATTCGAGCAGTGGACCAGGCGACCGTGTTTTTGGCCGGTACTCAGACCCTGCGACCGCTCGCCCTCGCCATAGTACAGACCCGTCATAACCTCAATGCCCTCGATATGCGAGGTATCGTCGACCGAAGGCAGGCGCTCCACAACGCCCTCCATGCCGGGGAACGAGCGGTCGTCGTCGGCGTTGCTCGTGACCGTGTCGGAGGACTCGTTGTCCTCGCCAGAGCTCGAGGGAGTGTCGCGGGCGGGCGGCATCCGGTTCAAGGTGGATTGCGTGACAGTCTGCGTGGTGGTGATGTAGGTCTGGCGAGTGGTCGTGGTCGAGGTGTGGATAATATGAGCGTCTCTGTTGTTGTGGTGGTTGTGGTTGTGGTTGCTGCTGCTGCTGAAGGATTGCTGCGTCGCATTGAGTTCTTCCTCTTCCTCCTCCTTGAGCTGTGCGATGCGTTGACTGAGGCGGATATTCTCGATCTTGTGTTCGAGGAATGAGTTCAGGAGCTGGGCTCCCCTTGTCGGGTAGGGCCGACAGACGAGGAAAATGCCTCTGCATATTGATTGTTTCTGCTGCGGTTGCTGTTGCGGTTGCTGTTGCTGTTGTTGTTGCTGCTGCTGCTGTGGTGGCGACGGAGATATTGGAAGCGGAAGTCTTCTGTAACCGTTCGAGCTACCTTCATTGCTGACACCATGACTACTACTATCACTACTGCTGCTTCTCTCGTTACCGATGCTGCTGGCGCTGGTACTAGCGTTGCTGCTGCTGCGAACACCATTACCACCATCAGGGCCGATGGGCATAGATGAGGGATCCGAAGGAGCGATATGTGGATGACCGTGCGCCTCGAGCAGACAGAAGCTGCTATCCAGCTTACAAAAGCGGAAATGGCAGCGGAACAGCCGACGCGTCTGGATAGACTCTTTCAGTTCCTGGGTGAGGAAGGACTTGTCATCCTCGTGTACATAGCGAAAGAGGTCGTGGTTTTCGAGCGATTTGTCCTCGAAGCCTGTGATCTCAGCGCACGAAGGGGACGCATACAGAACCCGACCGTCGGGACTGAGCAAAAGCGTCAGGTCCCTCATCTCGGCAAGGGTTCGCTGGGCCCAGTCCTCGCCGTTGCCATTGCCATTGCTCATCCCATTTCCGAGCGATTCGGCGGACTGCTGGGCGGCTTCAGCGCTGGCGACCGCGGTCTGGGCCGCGGCGTGCTGGTGCATTACTGCAGTGCCTGTGGCAGCTACGGGAGGTGTTGTAGGTCCGCTGGGAGTACCGGAAGGTGACGTTATTGATGAAGAGCTTGAGGATGATTGTTGCTGGTGCTGCTGTTGGAGGTGGTTGACAAGGCCCGGGGGCGCGGGTGATGGGCCGAGCGTGCGCGGGATAATCCGCGAATCCCTGCCGCTGGACGGAGGGTCTGATTGCTGCTGGCCTTCAGATGGGTTGGAATTTGGTTGGTCTGGCGGTGGTCGAGGACCATGTCCTGGCGGTTGGTTCTGGATCAACGCCCGCCCTGGATAGCCGAGATCCATCTTTCAAGGTTCTCGGGGAGAACAGTAGAGCTGCGATGGTGAGAACAGCGGAGATACGAAGCGACAAAACTAGGTGACGATGGTGAGGGGAAGACTGGCCCTCAATGCGATCGTGAAATAAGACGGTGAAAACGACGACTGTTGCAAGCTAGGTTATGGAAGCGATGGAAGAGAGAATGGGTGGAGAGCCCGTTCCAGACACGCTCTCTTCTTGAATGATGAGGATGAGTTTCGAGGGAGATTGGATTGGATTGAAGAATGACGATGATGGATGGGAGTTTGGCGTGTTTGCTTGCGAGCTGTCAAATTCCCGCCGGGACCCGCCCACCCGATGATTGGATTTCCCGCTTCTACAACCTTGACCTTCTCCTGTCGACTGGCACTCATCAATTGATACCACGCGTAGGTACACAGCCTGACAGACGACTTAGAACCTATGGCCTTCTCCACAGTGAAAATCTAATCTTGTCCCAACCATTCTGAGGATGGTTGAGCATTCGAAGCCGGTGCAGTGAAGCACGGCCTGAAAACCTTTATCAGGTTCGGAGGGAAAGGACGTGCATTGCAACAGGCCCAGCTTGCTTCTAAGAATATCTCCGCGGGGTATCAGAGACATCGTATCTCAACGCCCGTTAGCGATCTTTCCGGCCCTATAGGAATTTCACGCCTGTTATATCCGCCTGCAACCCTTTCCAAGGTTGCTACCAGCAGAGTCTGGTGAAGTGATACATGAACACACTTCTCATTCGATGCATGAAAACTTTTTGTACTTTGCTATGCATCATGTTGCCACTGAGAAACGCAGTATATCGCAATAGCTTGCTGTCTGATTCCTAGCACTTTCGCAACCAGCCGACAGGAGCTATTTTTCGTGATGACAGCATTATAGAATAATTAGTTTCTCTTCGTTCGGCCGAACAGCCGTGTACTCCGTACATACTCCAACTCATCCATCGGAAAGTGATCTATCAACTGATTTAATGACTATCTCTCGTGCTTTTGTTCAAGTTGATAGCTAAGTCGGTTCCCCCTCTTCAGAAGTGTGGCGTCGGTAGCAGACCACCACGCCAACAGATAAATGCACTGTCATCCATGATAGCGCCGGTGTCGTCCGGAAGAGGAAAAAGCTCAGTGACTGGTAAAGGTGGAGATCTGATGGCTCCGATAAGGGGGGGCGATCCCATAGCGTCACTCTTAGTGGCGCATCCACCCTGAGGTCATCAGGAACCGCGACCGCGTAAATTGTGCAAGTGAATTGGAGGCTTCACGGAGAACTCGTCATTATCAACTGTTTCTTTCGAGTGGTTTTCGAAAAGTCTCTCTTCATTTCAGAAAGGGTATCTTGGCAAAATGCCCGTGCTTACACCTCCGCTCATGGATGGTATCTTTAAGTATAGGGGGTTGGTCAACGGGTTTCAGTATGATGCCAAAGTACCAAACAACCAATGTTCCTTGAGGATGAGTAGTTGGAAAGCTAATATGATGCGAGCCATTTACGGCATGGCCAATATGATCGATATACTATCTTTGCAAAGGCTAGAAGAATGCTGAGCTCAAGTGCAGAAACTGTGAGAAGCATGGTTCATCTGCGATTCCCTCTCAACCAGCTTCTCGAAAACCATCGAAGCAGTCTGCTTGAAGCTGTAAATCCTCGCATACTTACTACTGCAAGCACGTCACGTTGCTGAAAGAAACATTCTACCAGCAGGTTCGAGTTACTGCACCCACTCTACTGCTCTACACTTACTGTCTGGAAGGTCCACTGGAAAATAATGTCAAGGATTCTCTGTTTGTACAGTAAAAGCATCACATAGATCAACATGAACGCAACATATCATCCGGCAGTGATCCTCGGAACAAAAGTCCTAAGGCCTCAACAAGAAATAATCGAGCATAACTCAATCACATTAGCCTCCCTCAAACATGTCAAGATGCAACCAAACCAGTTTAGTTCCCGCACGAACACGGACAGAACATTTGGTCTGCCTTCCACGCATGCATCTGCCATGACCAGTGTACCGAGCCTTGCGACCCAGATCACCGGGAACCATTCACAGCAATCAATTCTCGTCTTCCTTAGCAGTGGCCAGTTGCTCGTCGGTGTCCGAGTACTCAGTGCTGTCTGTGGCCGCGCGAGGGGTCAATTTGCTTGTGTATCTTGAGCACGAGCATCGGTCACCAATTCTCCGGCAGTGGCATTGGGTCAGACCGGACGGGCAATTACACTTGTGCTTCAAGGTGCAGACACCCCCGCAGGTCGGTCGGAATGGTCAGCAAAACAAGTCAAGGGCGAGAGGTTCTGAGATTAGGTGGTGACTCACCCAGTCAGGCAGTACGTCACGCGGCACCGGTGCCCCAGGCAAGTGGTTCGATGACTCGGTACTCTGGTCGTCGGTGGTATCTGAAACATCAATGATGTTCGAATTGGCGGTGGTATCCAGATCAGATGCAGTGGTGTCCGGCTCATCAGTGGTGTCCAAGTCATCAGTGGGGTCCGAAACATCAGTGGTATTCGAAACATCAGTGGTGTTCGACATATCAGTGACATTCCACCCATCAGGAGCATCAAGGCCGCTGACATCATCCTGATCATCGATTTCCTCAGTTCCATCACCGCGCGGGATCCTGAAATGGTTCTTGCATTTGCAAGCCATTCTAGGTATCATACAGCGGCACTTGACCATTTTGGAACTATAGCAATGGCAGACGTGATCATGGAAACAATAGCCCACGCAACTTTTCCACTGCGCAAGTAGAAGAATAAAAGATGAGAGTCAGCAATCTTCAACAGGTTTTGATCAGAGGATTTGCAGCACTAGACCTATCACTTACCCCTTTAATCCCGAACTCACCCTCTCCTCCATCCAGGGTCTGATTCTTGTTCTCGATGCCGGTGCCGTCGAGCGAGTCCAGGGTGTTGTCGTTGTTGACATCTTTAGTGGAAGTCACAGCGGTGGCACCACCCTCACCATCAGCGTGCGCACCGCTCTTGGAAGCGTTATCAACATTGACGACATCAGTGGAAGAGGAATCCAGAGACTCCGTCACAGCGATCTGCATGAACAATCCAAACACCAGAAGGAAAACGAAGAGCTTTTTGAAATGGAACATCGTGAACGACGCAAAGGTGGAACTTGGTTTTGGGAAGCAAGGACAAATGAGAGGAAGGAACCCGAGCGAAAGGAGAGACGAGAGAAACGAACGTGGGTGAGACAAGGAAGAAGGAGAAGAAGAGGAAGAGGGAGGGCCAGACGGAGGGGGATCATGGGAGCTCTTATATCCCACACGAAGGTCAATCCGGATGGTGAATATCGAAATGAGCTTCAGTTCGCTACTGGGCGAATTCTGATACTAGCCGTGATCAGCTCGATGCAGAAGCTGTCTGAGACCTCGAACAGGATTTTAAGATTACATCCTGCTTGTGACCTATTGCGGATGATATCAGGCGTGATCATAGAAGCTTCATTACGCACGCTATCAGTGAAAGCTGGAACATCTGAGTGAATAATGAGATTACCCCCCAGCCCTTGATCATTATTGTTTGACATCACAAGTGGTCTGACAACCGGATTGGGGAACTCGTCAAAGAAATTTAACTTATTTGGTGAGCACGTATGATTCTGAGTGGCTGGAAACCACAAGGCAATATTACTGTTCACAAGCTTCGGTTCATGGCGACGCGTCAGGCTGTAGCTGGCCATTAGCTGGGGTTATGATATCAACAAGATGATGACGGTGAGAGGCGGGACAGAGGTGACTGGCTGGCTGGTGCCGGGTTATGATATCAACAATGACTACGACAAAGGGCACGAGACGGCTGGCTGTGGTGAGGACATGATTTCAGCAGGAAATTTCTATGCGAGATGACTACAATCACACAAAAGACGGCCGAAATAGCAGATACAGGGTCGATGCGCATTGCGGGATATACCGAGCTCACAAGGCAGCAAGCTGTATGGGTATCTATCCAACCTAGACATCTCCCAGAGCTCACAACCCCATTTGACAATGCCCGTTGCTTCAGGCCCACGGTTCCAAAATCGATCTGTACACAACAATTAAGTACAAGCCGTGATCTATATAGTTCAAGCATTCTCAACCTTGGCCCTCTTGAGGACCAGAATCTTATTTTCCATCCTCACCTCTGCCCACCATCCCCGTGTAACCAGCCGCCGAGCGAGTTCACGGCCCTTCGTCCAAACCTCGACTCCCTTGTCCCCTAGGACGTAGGCCAGCAGATTACCTTCAACATTACCAACAGCCTCATCGCCGGGCCGAAGGACACGAAGTCCCGCGAAACCAGAAACTGCATCGATTGGTTGCCATTTCCCGGCTTCGGAGGAGGAAGACAAGACGAGCTCAGCCTCTTCGCCGGGCTCGACGAGAGCGTAGTCGAACTGGGACCAGAAGGCAGGATCAGATTTCACAACAGGGGATTCGGTCTTGTCGTAACTCCAGGCTGAAGGCCCGGAGTGAGTGGCAGGGTATTGGAGGAAGCGGGTGACGCCGGTCTGGCAGGCGAGGTTGCCAAGATAGACTGATGCGTTTGAGGTCTTGTCCACATGCGGGATGGCGTGGTTGTGGAGGGCGTGGAGGGCGTGTGCACCGGGATAGTTGGCAGAGGAGGCGGGGAGAAGGACGAAAGTAGACACTGCGAAGGAGGCCAGGGTGGAAGCAAGCAGGGCGAGGGAGAGGAGGTGGTAGATGATGGACTTGGTGCGGTGTGTCCATATGTATGAGGCGCCTGGGGCACAGGCTGCGGTCAGAGCAGGGATGGTGTAGATGATGAAGCGCCATTCTTTGTGGGGCTGGGCGCTGTAGATGGCGAGGAAGACGAGAGAGGGGACGAGTAGTGAGATTGCCAGAGAACGGGTGGCGGGTTGCACCAGCGAGGTGGGAATTCCGACGAGATAGGCCAAAGGGTTGAGAAGCAGACGAGGAACGGCGTTGACGAAGTAAAAGTACCACGGGTCGACCCCCCAGGCTGATGCTTGGCCGTGGATGACATTGAACTTGAATGCCTCAAATTCGGGCCACAGGGGAAATCGCTGCCAGAAGAAGGAATCCACGAAGACAGTCGTGGTCAGACCGATGGCGAGGCCCACAATTCCGGCGGGGATAATCTCACGGAGAATGCTGATGCGGCGTGTCACGAGGAGGAAGATGGTGTTGGTGGCCAGGAATATGGCAAGCTCAGATCGAAAGATAATACCAGCGACTGTCAGCAAGCACAGAGAGAGCCGTGCGCGACTTCTATACGCTGCGGTAGAAATTGATGGCTCTTGAAGAAGGTAGCGTAGAGCTAGGGTGGTCATGCCAAATGCAAACATGTTTGAGAGCGTCCGCGATGCATAGTACAGAACGTGGAATTGGCTGCTCTGAAACAAAAGGTACCAGACGGCGGTTGTCTTGCCGGCAGTACGTCGCAGACTCCTCGCAAACGACAGCAACGAGACGGCATTGAAAAGACCTAGAATAGCTCTAACTTTATACAAATTGTTAGTCTTGCCTTGGCCTACTGGTAAGCGAATACATTTCCAAGCTACTTACTAAGCAATTGTCTGTCGACATTGTCTTGCAACCAAATGAATGGCCGCGCCAGACCGGCCAGCAGTGCGGCGCCGACGAATGTCCGAGGAACAGCACCAGGAAAGGTGAAATGATCATAATCGGCACGAAACCTCTCGCTGACATTGCGCGTAGGGATTCCATAGGCCAGGATATCATGAGCGGCTTGGATATGGAAAGACTCTTCTACCTTGGTGTATGGCGCAACGACCAAATGCAGAAGAATGAGGGCGGGCACTGCGGCGAGGAGCAGCACGTAGACTGAGGGATGATTATTAGTATTATGGTTCGAATAAGATTCAGGGATACTGACCAGCATCTCTCCCACTCATACTGACCCTACTATCGTAAAAGGTTGCTCAAATAATTTTAGTGATGTTGCATAAGATAGAATACCCGGTACAAAACGAGGAAGTATGAAGCCAGATGGTCAAAATCACATGAGTTCCCGGGAGGGAGGCGGCCTGGGCTGGGCTGGTCTTTTCCGCACTTCCTCTCCGCCGTTATCAAACCACTTCCTCCGCTTCAACAACCATCTATCGCACTGACTTCACCTCCACCACCTCCACCACCCTCGATATCCCAATACCTCTCCCGCCAAGATGTTCTTCTTCGGCCTAGGGAAACTCGTCTACGGTATACCATCCACCGGACTCCATCCAAACACAACACAAACATAAACCACGCACCCGAACAGTTGAGCCCGCAAGCTGACCTCGCGTGTGTGTCTCCGCAGTCATCATCCTCTTCATCAACTCCCTTGCCATCCTCTCCGAGGACCGTTTCCTCGCCAGAAGTACGTCCACCCCGACCCGAAGCCCCTGGCCCGCCAACATCCCTCCCCATTCGCTTCCTCTTGTCTCTGCTTCACTAACCACCGCTCCTCCGCAACAGTCGGCTGGGGCCGCATGCAAGCCGATCCCGCCTTCGGCGCAACCTACGACAACACCAGCGTTAAGGCCAAGACCATCAATCTGATCGCCAGTGTGCGGACCGTAATGCGAAGTACGTTTCTCCTTTTTTTTGTTTCTGACAAGCAACAAACTAAATATACATATACACACCTGTTCCCATCCCGTCGGATCATCTCCCCCCCCCTCCCCCCCCAACACGTCATCTCAATCCTGCTAGCAACCCACCTAGAAAAGATCGCTAACCTCTACCTCCCCCGCTCTCCTCCTCCGCTGGCCGGAGGAAACAGCCGGGGGAACTGTCTACAGTACCCTTAATCGTGATCAACACCATCGTCATCATCTACGAGCTTATCCTGGGGTAACCCCCGCGCGGAGATCCGAACGTCTGTTTTTCCTGTCGCGCCCGATCTAGTTTTCCCTTCCATCCTAAACTCGATCACGGGGTTTCGACTTTTTTTTATGTATAACCCTTTGTTTACATATACTTATACTGCTTCGTCAGCGAAATCTATGAGGTGTTTTTATTTGTGCTGGTTTCAGGGAAATGCTTGCTTCGATTCAAGGAGTGAAATGGGATAAGATTTGTCATAAATACAGATGCCATGTGAATGGGCCTCCGGGATCGCACTTTTACATAATCATTGGAGGAACGATCAATGCTTGGGGGTATGAGGACTGCAGATATGGATCATAAGGAGGCATGATTACTGCGGCTGCGTGAGAATGAACCGCGGGCACATATAGGCCATGTCCGGGGTCATTTGGGATGCCTTGGCATCGTTGTGCTATAAGTTGGTTAGTTAGTTAGTTAGTTATACTATTTATGTCATATTGGCCAGGAGGGCCGGAGAGGGAGGACGCCATTTGTATACCCTACAGAGAACAAAAAAAGCACACTTCGCATACATGTCATTGGTATCAAGGTCTATATACCGCGCGTACCCGCAAGACTTGCTCATGCGAGTTTCACACATGATATGTCCAGTTGCCGTAGGTACAGCGTCAGCACTAAAGGTCATTCAAGGATTCTCTCAGATTTTCAGGTGGAGACGATGCGCTCGCCTGACGTTTCCATCGAAAACGAGCGAATATATCCACCCACAAACCATCAGACGACAAAGTTCGAGCTTCCACTCTTGATATCATCTCACCAGTTTGAGCAAGTAGAACAGAAAACACCGTCGCCAAACGCCTCATTTGCCCAGTGGTGTGACCCAGGCATGGGTATCACAGGGAGATGAATTTGAGAAACAGGATCAAGAAAACAAAAAAAAAAAAAAAAAAAGGCTAAATCATATGCAGACCTAGGCGGGTTGTTCGATGCAATAAAATGCAAGCAGGTCGGAGCTGGCAGAAGAAAATCGTGCAGTTAAAACAGAGACCGGATCAATTTCATCCACACGCAGCCCGGTCCAACATGCATGATAGGAATGAGCCACGTCGTGAAAGTCAAAATGAAACCGGCCTGGAAGGAAAGGGTGGTGATACATCGAAGAAAGAATATGTACGACAAGAATGCGTCTTTTATGTGCATAGAAAGTGTAGATCTGATACACGTGGTGGCGGGTAATAGGTCATCATGTTCAGGAAAGCATGCTGAAGGACTTCTTCCTAATGCTGAAACTCCGCCATTTACCATGGGTCGATCGATCGCCCTTAGGACTCTTAAGAGAATCCGGGTCATCATCTTGAGGAACTAGGAGGGTCTCGGGAGAAGCGACCTTTTGAGGCGACAGGGGCTGGAGTGGTTCAGGTGGCATATTGCTCGAACTGGAGTTATCAGAGTTGGGCACCGCAGGCAAACCAGATGACGACGCCCGACTGTCTTTGTCCTTCCCCAGTCTCTGGCTGAAGCTCCTGCTGCCTCGCTTGAGTCGACTCAGTCCGCCACTCTTGCCACTGTCGTTACGTCGGTCTTCGTCAGCCTTGGACGCTCTGCTGGCCTCCATCGCCGCCTTCATTTCAGCTTCGTGACGTCGCTGATTCTCTTTGCTCTCCTTGAATCGAGCTTCTTGCTCCTTCCGACGCTGTTTTTCCAGCTCTTTTTCGGCTGCTTTGCGTTCCTTTTCCTCTTTGGCCCGCTCCTTCTTCGATTGAACGTCGCTCTTCTTGGGACTCAGTGGTCGCGTGTTGACCTCCGGGATCGGAGGCACTGGAGGGAGCACGGCTGTCGGAGTATGCGGGGCAGCGGCTTCAGCGCCGATATGCTCGGTGTGAGTCGGGAGTTGAGGCGCCGTCGGGGCGCGTTTCAGGCCCGTGAACCGGTGAGGCTCGTCTTGCGTGGGAATTTGGGATGCACTGTACACGTGAGATAGCCCGGTTGGGGAGGCAAACCCATTCTGCTTCACGGTAGTCTCATTCAGATTCAACTCTGCCATGGTCGCATTGAAATTCTCCTGTTCTTGTTCCTTCATGACCGCCTCCATCGTAGTCTCCTGATAAAATAAGACGTATGCGCAAGCGAGGCCGGGTTTATCTCCGAAAAAATTCCGCACGTAATTTTTGTCCACAGGCTCTACCATCTCGTCATCGAAGAGTAGCCAACCGCGATCCTGCGTCTTGATGATAGCCACGTAATGGCCGTGGTAAGGGCCGCCTCCGATATGCACCACGACGGCATACAGCTCGTACAACCGATCGGGATCCTCTGCATCGTCTGTTGTGTTGAAGAGACGCAAATGATACGGGTAGACGACTCGGTGAAACAACTTTTGCAATTTCTGTAAATCCTCGGTGTATTTGAAACGCTTGAGATGGAGAGCCAAGATGCGGGGAAGACGCTTGATTTTCATGCGCTTTTCTGCCTCCTGCAGACCGCCACAGTTGTCACAGTGGAATTTATTCCGCTCACACAGCATCTCTTCTGCCGAGAATTTCCTTAGACACGATGTGACCGACGAATGTTGTTCCAGGTCCACCGACAGGTCCAGAAAAATCTCATCTCGCTGAGAGACGTTCTCGCAGGTCAAGCATTGTGTTTCAGATGTCAGAGTCCCTTCAAAAAGCTCGTGCACCCATCGCGTAGTGTTGGGGGTCTTCGAACCAGAACTTAGAGACTGTTGAGAGGATTCCATGTTTTCGGTGGACGGAAGGCTCTTCTCTGGATGTTTCATGGCCTCGGATTCGACGTTTGCTACCACCTCATTCAGCAGAAGAATCAAGAACTCATGGGCATCCTGATGCATAGCAGTCCGAAACATCTCGTGATCCCGGCGGAGAAGTTCCAGCAAGCGCTGGGGCCGTGCTATGCCAATACGGGTCTGGCTCGCCACAATAGACTCGAAGATATCTTTCAATGATGTAAACAATGATTCCGACATTCCATAACTAGCCGAATTGTTTGTGGTTTCTAGAAGGGGCAGAGTCTGCAAGGCCATCTTCTTCTTGTATTCCGGGGAGTCTTTGTCTTCAGGCTTTTGCGGCTGGTTCGGGGGCGCCCCTGGACGTTGTGGCGTAGAGGCTTTTTGCTTCTCCGCTTGGGCCTCGGCTTCCAGGTTCGCGGCCGGATTCTGATAGTGTAGGTTCTTTGCCAATGCGGCTTCCAAGTTTTCTATTGGGGTTCTGGTGGGGTAATTTATGACGGCTTCTCGGAAAGGTACTGAATAATAGAGACACTGTAATATGGAATTACAGTAACTGTTCGAGAATGTTAGTGATATAGTCGTCCCTCAAATCTAAAAAAAATTGCCCCGCATATATTAGGCGTCTTTGGAACTCACCATGTATTTCCGAACTGGAAGAGACGAGGTCCATTAGCAAAGTTCTAGGAGCAAGATATTCTAGACCCAGACTTACATTCTCCATCGCAAAGAACTTATCACTGCCATCTTCTCTAATCGAGCCCATATCTTGGAGCATTTTCTCTAACGGGGTCATCGTCGGCGCCTGGGGTTCTTTCTTGGTGGGAGGCGCCCCAACCGAAGGCGTGGGTCCCTGAAGACAGTACGGTTAACATTCATCGTTTCCTACTGATGCAGATAAAAGGCTTCATTCGGTCCCAATGAGTCCCTCGTCTAGCTCCGAAGGAAGGGCGCACGCAAATACTGGAACGAGATAATGGCAATTGCCCAGCATCAAATTAGAGCGAATGCGCCACCCAAAGAAATATGTTTAAACCGTCCAGGCACAGAGCATTGGGACACGATGGGTCGGGAACAATCCAGAAAGCCAGGCTGACCGGGACATTAACTCACCACATCTTTTCGGAAACTCCTCAGAAAAGACCCCATGATTATCGCACAATGTCGTGGATCCTAATTCAGCCTCATCGGGCAAGTGGCGGGTGAGAACCAAAGCCAATACCGGAGCCCAAGGAAGAGCGGCAATGCGTAGTTTCTCGAATCACGCGCGGATCGGGGAATCAACAGGATGCGGTCGGGAAGGCTGAGGGCAAGCAGAGGTTCTCTCCCGAGGTCGTGATATGATCTGGAGCGATTGAAAGTCGACAGAAACCAGGTGGAAGAATTCGGAGTGCACGAAACCGACAAGAGTTGTCGCAAAACCGGGACCTGGATATGTGGATGGGAGAGCGTGGAATGGGGCGGAAACGTGAACGGGCGGCGGATTCGAGAAAAGGTGGAGAAAGACCGCGGTCCGAGTTGGGGGAAGAAGAAACCGAGAGCAGAATTGGGAGGGAGGCAACAGGATTACCGATCGGTCGGAGGAGATATACTAGTTGGAAATAGCAGGAGAAGGAGTGGAAGTGAGATCAAGAAGGAGCAGATGTTGAGAAATGGGGGGAGAGGGAGAGAGTGAAAGAGAGTGAGAGAGAGAGAGAGAAGGTGGGAAAGGCAGTCAAGTAAGTCAGACAGACAGACAGACAGACAGACAGGCAGGCAGGCAGGCAGTCAGTCTAATCAGTAGTTGGCGGGAATCTCCCCGGGCTTGTCTGTCAGGAACCCTTTTCTTAGTCACAGCCTCGAAGCACCAACGAACTCAGTTATAGTTAAAGATTACTGTATGTATGGTTTGCACGCCGTATTGGTATTGTCCCTTTACCCGTTCTACCTAATGTTACCATTCCCACGGACAGGCCTAAGCGGTCATGTCATACTTTGGCACTTTTTGGAGGGGGAAAAATGAGGGGAAATGAGGTGGGAGCTCATTACCTATCACAATGATGTTTATACTTCTATCCAGCAGAGTCATATCCCCTTTATTTGTTGTCTATGCTCGAAATGATCTGAACGGCCAGGAATGGAGTCAAGGATGATAAACTCTGGCAAGGCTGCTGCCGGCGAACCTGGATTCGGCTCAGTCGGTATCTTTAGTCATTACACCGAGTCTCCATCTTCCATCATTCCAGCTTAACTCCGCCCGTTCACCGATAACTCACTAAACTCGTTGATATCGCGAAGTAAGACTGGACATCTGACTCAATGCTTTTTTTTTCCTTTTTTGACTGTGGAGGAGAAGCATCTTGACACCTCTCTCACTCTATTGTTTCTTGATTTCCTGGTTTTCTGGAAAAGGGTGAGGTGAGGGGAAAGGCTGGGTTGCTACGAGGATGTGGCCCGGGCCATTCGACTCTCTACGTCAGTCACCGAAGGACTTGGTTTAAGCTCCTCCACCAGGCAATGAAACATGGACGTGCGCGAGGTCCAATCTCAGCAATTATAAGCAAACACCTCTGGAGCACATCCACCCGGTTAGTGGATTAATCACCGAGGAATTCCGGTCAGCAGCCTCACAGGCTACACGCGTTCACCAACGGTTTGACGTTGTGTGACATCTTTCTTCGACCAGGACATCATGGGTATGCACTATGATGCCCATTGAGGCAGTATGCACAGAAAGAAAAATAAAGCACAGCAGAGCAACCGCAGAAAAGGAAGGTGACCTTGTAGGGCCTGGCGAAGCGATCCTTCGGATAATATAGCCCACGCATTATCAGGTGCAGCCAGTCTTGCGGCCGGGGGTTGCATCGACCTCGCCATCCCCCGACTTTGATTTGTTGCCAGCCCATTGGCATGGCTTAGCACGCCAATGAGCAATGCCAGCTGCCAGAATGCTATCGAGTAATGATCCAAGATAGACTCCGGCCGAGCGACTGACCTGCAGCTGCAGGTATGAGCACCCAAACAAGATCTGTGGCCTTCCCTACTGCGCCCACCCTCTGGTTTGCTGCAGGCCTATAAAAAGGAGGGGAATCGGAGGATTGACCACGAATGACAGACCATGGGATTCTCCCCCTAGGCAGTGAGACGAAAGGCATTGCGCTATTTTTCCTTCCTGGCCGGCCTGTCCTGGCGGGCGTCCTTGGCGGCGGTTTTGGTGCCATTGGCGAAGCTGAGTTGGACATCCCAGGGTGACTGCCTAGAACCAGGAATGATAAGAGGGGGACACGGAAGCAACAGCTCGAGATTCGGATATTCCGGGCCTCGGTGCTCGATCGGAACGCGTATTGGGACATGCTTTTCCATGAGTATAAGTCTCTTGAGACGAGCCAATTCTCATAATACGTCGGCTATCGATTAGGATAAGAGAATCGCGAGATTGTTCTGTTCTCCTTCCCCTCCTTATTCCTCCTCTCCCTCCCTCTTTCGCCCCCGACCGTGGAGCGCGTTATTAACGTCATACCTTACCGGTCCGTGAAATGGTATGGTATTGTATGGTGCTACACCAGAACCACGTGGAAACACAAGGATCACAGAGGGCCAGAAAACCAATCGAGTTCATTGCAGCTCCCCACCATTCCCCATTCACCCCCGGCATTTCAAGATACTAGCGTCATACCACACTGAGGGGGAAAGTGGAAGAATTGGGAACCTCGTATAACATGAGCCGACCTCCCCAGACCAGCCACTCGTGTCTGTTACCGCATTGGTCCGACCTGAGGTGGGAATGGAAAGTGTCCCCTGCCAGGATGGATAAAATGCATGGGGGTTGCATGGCTGGTTGCATGCTCATGTCAAACTCAAATTCGTTTCTGATATCCGATTCAGATGACCACGAGTCGGTCTTGCCCGGGTTTCACCCTTTGGAGGAGGGGGGAGACTCCGCTGTTTCAGCTGGTTTGACAGCAGTTGTCTCACTCTCCCACACACACACACACACACACACACACATACATACCTGACAACTGATTAGGAAGTTAAGGATTACCCAGATGAAGCAAGTGCGCATCCTGTTGGCAGACCGCTACACCCAGACAAGAGATTCATGTAATGAGTAGAATCCGTCCATGAACTTCAATGAATCAATGAATCGCCCGAGTCACCCCCACTTTGTGCTGGAGCAGCACTGATTCTTGGAGCCAATCGGTGTGGAATCCCGGCCTGGCCCCGCAAAACTCGGACTGCGCTTACAGTACAGGAACATGAATGTACCTGACTTCGGTTATGACTCCGTACATACTGTACCTACTTAGTATGTATACGGAGTATAGTACATATTGTACAGTGCGTCGTCAAGTTCATGTCTGGCGGTCACATCACCCCATGCAAACCCCGCCCCTCTTCGACTCCCGCCAATGAAGCTTACTGTGTTCGATGTAGCAGCACTGGCCCGTGGCTGCACCCCTTCCTCTGCCCACAAATGTTAGGGGGAACAGCACGAGACTTCCATCCCAATAGCTTCGCGGGGAAAATTAAACGAACAGAAATACGTCAGGTCGGAAAAGGATTGACCGACAGAAGACTGCTCTCATCTCCTCATCAACAGTGCTCGGATAAGCCACGGTTTGGCACCGAACTGGAAAGAATACAAGCTCCAACTTACTGATGGACAATCAACTCCACCCCACTCCACAGCCACCTTAGCTCACCGCTCATACGCTCTTGTGGTTGTGCTGGAGTCATCTACGAATGGAGTTCCTCTGAGAGCTTTGGGCTTGAGCGCAATCTTTGTGTTGAATGGGGTCGCAGAGGAGACATGAAGCGACACATGGTTTAACTGAAGCTAATTGAGTGGGGAAATCCCGAATATTAATCAAAAGCAGAGCATCGACTACTCCGTATAACAACAATTGAAAGACAAAGCATTTGGTGCGGACTTCTCTTTACAACTCAGCTGAGAAAAGGAGAAACGCCATTGTGTTTGAGACCATGATCCCAACGGAGCGGAGACGTTCTCATCCTCCGGTCAGTCTATGATTTTCGCAACCGCCGCGACGTCCGGATAGTCCCTCAGGATTGAGCTGTCGCTACTTACTTCCAATCCCTTCATCAACCATGGATCCATCAGCAAGTCCGAGACGGTAGGACGAACTTTCGGGTCCCATTGCAGAGCTCGACGTAGCCATCTGAGGAAGCCCTCCACCTCGTCGCCTTTGATATCGGCCGCGGCCTGCTCGAGACTTCGCTCTGGGATCGGAACCAGGTTGGTCCAATTACCATCGTCGTCCCAGAGAAGGCGTGCAAAGCGAACCCGACGGACGAAGTCAATAGGTGGATGGCCGAGAAGGGCGACCAGTTCCGCAAGGTGGGCGCCATCGTCCCATTGACCGTCGAATGTATGGTTTGTGATGAATCTGCTAGTACTGGCAAGGTCCCAAGCCTATCTCCGATGCCAATGTCAGTATATGAAATGGCCAAGCTTTGACAGTATAAGAGCGGAGGGTAGCTGCGTATTGTCTTATGACTCACCAACATTTCAAGGCCCCAGCTAGCGACTTTGTAGTCCCAGATCAAATGTAAAATGACCTCTGGGGCACGTTGAAAGTTCGGCATGATGTAGATGTAGTCAGTTCTCCTGGTCTTCAAATCGTGCTTCTCCGAGATCACAGAGCAATGGATGTCCGTGCCCAGTAGGGAACAGTCTGGATCACATAGATAGTTCGACCTTCGAGGATCTTCCTTTGCAGGGGGTACTTGATTACCTTCTCTTCGTACTCAAGGATACTGGCGGGGAAGGGCGCAGGCATGAGTATGTATCGCAACTGGAGATCTACAACCCGGTTGAATTTCCTGCTGTGGAGCGGTTCATATACAGACTTACAGTATGAATAAGCTGAGGCACCCGATGCAGATTATCCAAAGCATAAATGAAATTCCTGAGGGGTCCCTTCGCTTGCTCAAGTCTGGGTACGGGATCTATAACTCCCAACCTGCTCCCGATCAAGCCTAGCTCGAGCAGGCTCATTCCTAAGACCTCATGGACGAGGCAGACATGACGACCATGAGGGCCTCGGATCGAGAAATGATTGAGAAGCTTGCGAACATATTTTGTGCCCGGGTGGTCGGTCTCGATGGACTGCATGCGGTTGTAGACATTCAGCTCATGGTCTACTCCTCGAGCCGACACATAGACCTTGAGGGCGACATGGGTAGACTCGCTGGATTGTGCCGTGTCATCAGTAGATTGGTTTAATGCTTTCGGTTCGCTGTTCTCAGCTAGACTTACACCAGATCGCGGGCCAACCAGACCGTCGAGGTGACACCATACCCGATCTTGGATATCACCTAATACCTATCGTTCATAACCTCACCTTGTTCCACTGGGTAGTAACGCTCGGCGAGGTGGTTCGGTAACGTCCCCTCTTCGATCTTGATGGATGGATCGACCAAGTCGAAGCCAGATGTCGGAAAGACCTTGAGCTGACATGTCCATCTCGGGAATGCATGACTGGGTTGATAAGTGCGTGGGCACGTCGAACGCAGTTACTTAGTGAGATCTTTTGAGATGAGGCAGTCAACAGTGCAGATCGAGTCAAGCTTCGGCTAACAAAGTGAGACATGTAGACTGGCCCGCCCTTATAGCTGGGTGCATGGCGGTTGATTCTTGCTCGAGTGTTGACACTGACAGGATGAGGTTCAGGTTTGTGGGTGGAAGAAAAGTCAACATTCAGTTCCAGTAGTAACCAGTCAGACGGGAACGTTCCCCGAGATGATATTTTACTTCACTTCAATTGACCTGGACACAGACCTTCAATCACCTCTATTAATGCTGTACTATTTTGTTTTTTAGTTCATGTTGATCAAGACCCCTGAAACATGTGGAAGTTCTGTACCATTTTCTAAACTAAATTTGCATATACAACTACAGACAGCCAAGAACACCTTCATGCTATAGATGGGTGCATCTCGTCCAAGTAATTCTAACGAAGCATAATATCCTTCTCCGCATATCATGTTCTTGTAGTTACCTTCAGGCGCAAGCCTCTAGGTCAGCCAGTGAATATGTTCGTCCCTGGTGCTATTTATTTCATTTCTTCTTCCCAGTCTCTACGTGTTGCTCACTGAGGCAGTGACGGCACTCCTCACTTACAACCCTATTATCTTTCAACAAAGTTAGTTACCTTCATGGTCTTTTGCGTAAAGATATATAGCCCTACGAGACTGCCCTAATTTCCTGATTGGGAGACGGACGGAGAAATGGAGGGCCGAGGAACGGCCGGGTCGAGCCGCGCAGGAGGCGACTTTGTTTCCAAATCCATGAATTAGCATCTATCGTTGGCAAATCGATCACCATTATAATATTCTTCTCCTTCTCTTTGAATGCCCTCTCCACTGCAGCCCGTGTCTTTGCGCAGCTCTCAACGAGCAATTGACGTAGCACGGAGACTGATTCATCTCCGTGGTGGCTGTAGCATTAGCAGCATTAGCAACAACCGCAACCGCAACAGCAAACGCGACAGCGACAGCGGCCGCCGGCGACCAGTTGGCCGCCCAATCAGTCAAGCCCCCACCATCCCCCACCATCATTCTTCTTCTGCATCCTGTTCTTCTTTCTCTTCTCTGACTCCTCCGGCCTTCCCCTCTTCCACAAACTCCTCGATACCCCCCTTCCCTTCCTCCACATTCCCCTCTCCAGACAGCACAATGCCTAAGGACAAGGAATCCAAGGTTTCCTTCAACCTGAAGACCCCCAAGGGTACGAAGGACTGGTCCGGCTCCGACGCCCTCCTCCGCGACCGCATCTTCTCCACCATCGCCGACGTCTTCAAGCGCCACGGCGGCACCGCGCTCGACACCCCCGTTTTCGAGCTCCGCGAGATCCTGGCCGGCAAATATGGGGAGGACTCGAAGCTCATCTACGACCTCCAGGACCAGGGGGGTGAGATCTGCTCGCTCCGCTACGACTTGACCGTGCCCTTCGCCCGCTGGCTGGCTATGAACCCGGACGTCCGCAGCATGAAGCGCTACCACATCGCCAAGGTGTACCGTCGCGACCAGCCCGCCGTCAGCAAGGGTCGCATGCGCGAGTTCTACCAGTGTGACTTCGATATCGCCGGGACCTTCGACCCCATGGTGCCGGACGCGGAGATCCTGCGCATCGTCACCGAGGTCTTCGAGGAGCTCGGCTGGAAGGGCCGCTACAACATCAAGATCAACCACCGCAAGATCCTCGACGGGCTGTTCGAGGTCTGCGGTGTCCCCGCCGACAAGATCCGCCCCATCTCGAGCGCCGTCGACAAGCTGGACAAGATGTCGTGGGAGGATGTGCGCAAGGAGATGGTGGACGAGAAGGGCCTGGACGGCGCCGTGGCCGACAAGATCTGGACGTACGCCCAGAAGAAGGGCAGCCGCGAGCTGCTGGACCATCTCCTCCAGGACGAGACCCTGACGGCCAACGCCAACGCCAAGGCCGGTCTGGACGACATGGCGCTGCTGATGGACTACCTCGAGGCTTTCGGTGTGCTGGACCGCATCTCCTTCGATATGAGTCTCGCCCGCGGTCTGGACTACTACACGGGTGTCATCTACGAGGTCGTCACCGAGGGCTCCGCCCCCGCCGTGCAGAAGGGCTCCGAGGAGGCCCAGGCGGTGCAGAAGAAGGCCAAGAAGGACAAGGCCAAGAACCTGGAGGACGACGACCGGTCCAACGACCCGACGCTGGGCGTGGGCAGTGTCGCCGCCGGCGGCCGCTACGACAACCTGGTGGGCATGTTCCTGCCCAAGGCCCAGATCCCCTGTGTGGGTGTCTCCTTCGGTGTCGACCGCATCTTCTCCATCACCAAGGCGCGCATCGAGCGCGAAAAGAGCGCCGAGGCCCTGCGCAGCAGCGAGGTCGACGCTTACGTCATGGCCTTTGGTGGTAAGGGTTTCACCGGCATGTTGAAGGAGCGCATGAGCGTCTGTCAATCCCTGTGGAACGCAGGTGTCAAGGTAAATTTTCACCCCCGGATGACCCCCCCTTTCCCTTATCTTCATCCCCACTCACGAACCCCTCCTTCGCTGCAGGCCGAATTCTCGTACAAGGTCAAGCCCAAGCTCCCCCAACAATTCAAGGCCGCCGAACAGGTCGGCGTTCCCTTCGCCGTCATCCTCGGCGAGGACGAGCTCGCCGCCGGTAAGGTCCGCATCAAGGAGATGGGTCTCGAGGACGGACACCCCGAGAAGGAGGGTGTGCTGGTCGACCTCGCCGCCCTACCCGCCGAGATCAAGACCCGTGTCGCCAACAAGCGGGGCCTGAGAATCCAGGAAATCGCTGCGCAATTGGAGGCTACCACGGTTTAAGCTTGAAGTCCCCGGTATGAGAGAACTCAAAAAAAAAGAAAGAAAGAAAGAAAGGCGGGCAGCCAATACAATCTGTTCACTAGATTTACAGCCAAAAAAACGTTCACACAACGGAACGAACGTGAGGGGAATACTATATAGGTAGATGGTTTTCCCCCCAGAATACCCGAGTTTTTTAGATTGCAGTCGAATTGAAAGCGTGCAGGATGAATGAAGCATTTCATTTCTTCTTCTCTGGTATGTTTTTGATATAGAACGGACGCATGATGGATCTGCATGTGCATGTACGCAAGGAAGTATTATTCGTAGGAGGGGAGTGCAGCAGCTACGACTACTCTTATTCTAATCTCTGGATTAATGGATTTTCAAACCGTACAACCTGCTAAACCGGTTATATAGTGGAAAGATAGTTAGTTATTTATACACGCGAAAGAGAAAAAAGCGGAGGCTGAAAACCCAAACCACCCTGGTTTTATTTATATAGATCATTGCGCTCCCCTCATCAACAACCCCTTCACAAACGGCACCGAATCGATCACATCCAAGCCAAAACTCCGCGCCCACGCCACAGGCCCATTGCCGGGAACGTTGTACAGCTTGTGCAGGACGTCGCAGGCACCGCCGATCTTGGCGTTGGTCGCGAAGCGCTCCCCGGCATACCGCTCTAGGGTCAGGATGTCGCCGAGGTCCATGCCGTGGGTGGCTGCGTATGCGACCGTCTCGGCCAGAGCGGCCACGTCGCCGAGGCCTAGGTTCAAGCCCTGGCCGGCGAGTGGGTGGATAACGTGGGCGGCGTCGCCAACCAGGGCGATGCGCGGCGAGACGTAGGTGGAGGCGTGGCGGAAGCGGAGCGGAAAGGAGGCGACGGTGCCTTCCTGCACGCCGGTCACGAGGGGTGGCAGCTGGCTGGGTTTGCGGGGCTGCGGGGTGTGCTGCACTCGCCAGGTGAGTTCGTCTTCGTGGGGGTCGAGGGCGGGGGATGAGGCGGTAGTGGGTGATGCGGGGCGTTCCATGCGAAGCATGTAGTTCAGGTCGGTCATGGAGAGGCGGAAGGCGGCGTTGACCATGGCGATAAAGGCGCGCGGGGGCAGGGCTTTAAGGTAGGCGGCATTGGCGGGGGTGGTCGACCAGACGAGGCTGGCGTTGTTGTTGGGGAGGGGGAGAAGGGCGATGGGACCGCCGAGCGCGGGGAGGAAGCGCTGGTAGGCTGTCTTAATGCTGGCGGAGTAGTGCACGGGGTCCAGGTCAGACAGCGAAAGCGTGGCGACGACGCCGTGTCGGTCGTAGTCCCAGCCTGAGGTGGAGATGTCGGCGAAGCGCCGTACGGGACTGTTGATACCATCCGCACCCACGAGGAGGCGAGCTGCGATCTGCTTGGGTGGCTGTGAAGTAGAGGAGTTTGTCGGAGCGAGGGAGAGGATGGGCCAGGCGGAGAGATCGGGTCCGTCGGGGATTTCGGAGCCATTGGAGATGGAAGAGACGGTGGTGTTTGAGAAGATGGAGAGATTTTCGTCTCCGGACTCAGCGATGCGCGAGAGGAGGGCGCGCACGAGGTTGGAGTTCTCGGTCATGGTTGCGACGGTGCGCATGTCCTCGAAGGGCGAGGACTCCATGGACCAGTCGAAGGTGATTCGCGAGCCGGTCTCCCCATCCCAGACCTGCATTTCTTGGTAAGGCTGAGCGCGAGCCGTGTCGACATGGTCCCAGACGCCGATTCTTTGGAGGAAGGAAACGGAGGAGGGCGTAAGGCTGCTGACGCGGTTGGAGTAGTGCCGTGCATCGAGAGACCACGAGCGGGCTTTCTGCAGGTCTTGGGTCTCCACAAGGGCGACCTTGAGCTTGGAGGTAGCGGAAGACGCTCCTGTTGGTTGTTAGATCATCCTATGTAGTTCATTGTCATCACGAAGCGCATACGCAGAGCTGCAAGCAGGCCTAGGCCTGCAGGACCACCGCCGACACAAACGACATCGTAGATCTCGGGCGATGCACTAGTCGGCGTAGAGTGAGATGCGAACCTCCGGCGAGCGGGTAAACCGCCTAATTGACAGGACGGGCAGACGTAGGGCCGCGCGGCCGATCGTACAAGGGACCGCATGGTGACTCTGATGCTTCAGGACAAAAGACGTCGCAGTCGTCAAGAGGTCAACCGGATGTGAATCCGAGGTTGGCTGATCACTTGCAAACCAGACAAATTAGGATGGGCCGCTTTGCTCACCGCCCGGCTCGGCAGAATAAGAAAGTTTAGGCGGTGGCAGAAACATCGGCCACCGTCTCCGTCGAGCAGACGTCATCAATGTTTACACTCCGAGTCGTGGATAGAGATGGCGAGCAACGAGAAGCAGCGGTGAAAGATGGGGAGAGATGATACGTAAGATACATAATCTTTTATCTTTCAGGTGATGCTCTCAAATCTATACTACTCTCACTTCTCGAGCCCGATCAAGAAGCCACCAATGCGTGTATCGTTTCGGTGATACACAATCTGGTCTAAATAGGTACCAATCATTCTCTTCATAAGGCGCCATGCAGTTTGTACACCGGATAGCCTCGTAATACTCTGGATAGAACCCACTATATTCCCAATCAATAAGTCCAGTAATAGTCCATTCATTCCCCTTCAGATCTACGACAATATTTTCTGGACGAAGGTCACCATGTGTGAAAACGATTGCAGGCGAAGGTGACTGGGTGGGAGGGGCAAGCTGACGAAGCAATTCAACAAAGACCTCTCCACCAGCGCGATTACTGGTGAAAAGAAAATCTTCGAATTCATCAACAGTCAAGATAGGTTCAAGACTCCGACGAAGATGTCTTCGAATGTCTTTGCAGCCTTCGCCACTAGGTCCTCCAAAGGGTGTGCCCGTTTCATACGGCAAGGACCTCAATCATCCATGATCAAGGTAAGCTGTTTCTTGATGGAAGCTTTTTGGACTGTTTGGAGAGATGGCCATATCTCAGCCAGGGTAGTTGAATGCAGGTGAGTCATAAAAATGAGCGAGATGTTGTTCATTCGAACAAACCCAAGAGGTTTTGGTGCGGCTATGTTCGGTTTATGCTGGTGAAGGTAGAGTAGTGTTGTGTATTCAGTCGTATCATCTAAGTCTCGCACAGCCTTTAGAATGATATTATGACCACAGCTCAGGACCATTTTCCGACGGGCAAAGGGACCCTTCCAGATAACCTTGCTTGAGCCTATAATTTCAATTATTTGCTGCGCAAGGTAATGCGACTGCTCTGCGGCTGAGCCAGACGTTCCAAGCAGATCCTGAACTGTGTCGGATAGAGGAAAAACCATCTCAGCCGAGTCGGACGAGAAGATCGAAGCGCGAATGTCGTCTTCTCCGTGGTCTTGGATCGAGGTTGCAGTCTCCTAATCTGGAAACAACATTAGAAGGTTGAATACCTCGATTAAGGACTACTTGCCACGTTGGACATTCTGGCGCATTTCCTTCAATCGATCAGAATATCTCAAGGGCAATTTCGCTGTTAGGTCAATCTCCGGATCCTTCTCGATAGCCGCTTGAAGCTTGGTCAGGGTGTGCGCATTGAACTTCGCAGCTTTTGTTTTGCAGATATGAGCCATGATCAGCGACCGTTCTACTAAGGTGAGCGAAATCGTGTTGAAGAACTGGTTATGAAGGTGGGAACGTAAGATGGAACGTTATGTAAGATGCAGTGGACTGGAGGAGTGACCATTTAAGCAAAGGGACCCCCCGAGACTTGGGAACTCCGAGCATGTGACTTCCCTAGAAGTACTTAGTAGTAGTTACCATATTCTGAAGTACGTACAATACATCAAACGAGACCACATTCTTCCTCTGTGATAAACTCCACCACCTGAAACCACAACATACCAGGCTAGCCAGTCAATCCCTCCCGTCCTGCACCACAGCCCCCAGGCCCCAGACCCCATGCACTCACTCCGCCACAACTGATTACTCTGTAGAGGTAGCAAGAAACTAGAAGTAGAACTAGAAACTAACCTCCCTTTTTCTTCAATGTCTAACTCAACATTCTTTTCAATATACCTATCTATCCTACAATGAAAAAGTGCATCATGAGCATACCCGAATTACAGCCACCACTACTACCACCACCAGTAGCAGGAGACAAAACCCCCAATATGCCTACCAATTCATCGTCACCATCTTCACCAACATCAACACGGAATACATGTCTAAGATCCCCAACCGCACCATCATATAGACACCACACAACCACAACTCCCACCCCCCAAGAATCCATGCCTATAACCCCCCAAATTCCCGCACCAACACCACCACCACCACCTACATCCCCCCACCTCAGCGCCAACTTCAACCGAAACCACACCGTCGACTACGACCACGAGGTCTACCTCGAACTCATCACCAACAAAAGCGCGAATCCCAATTCTAGCGACAAAGATCATGCGACGGTGTCGAAGACCCCGAATCAGATTTATCGGGAGGTTAGTATTGCCCACCCCTTCAGTTCCTTCTCGTCGAATTGCAGGGGAAAAGAGGAGAGGGTGGCCAGAATAAGGCCGGGGAACTTTTTTCTCAGTAAAAAAAAAAGAAAGAAAGAAAGAAAGAAAGAAAGAAGAACAAAGCTTATATTAAATATAGAATCTCGTGCGGAGGCAAACGACCCGTGCGTTAGATCTAGCGGTGTTGGATCCGGTGGGGCATCAGGATCCGAGTCCCGTGGATTTGGAGTGGGCGGAGAGGGAGAGGGTTAGGGAGAGGGTTGTGGGGAGTTGAGTGGACTTGGTTCCATCTGTCGAGATTGGTGCATAGGTATGTTGCATAGGGGATAGCCAGTTAGAGGAGGCTCGAGGCGAGAAAATCGAATGAGAAGTCACTCATTTCATAAAACCTCACCCAGGGTACCTTGGTTGGCGCAAGCTGAGAGATTTATCGAGAAAGACTTGCAGGCAGGCAGGCACCACAAACAGGCTAGTCGATGAACAATAGAGAGTATACCTAAAAGATTCGAAAAGCACAGGATCATCATTTAAACACATCCCCACAACTACCGGCCCTCGCCGGTCCCTGAGTCGCCCGGATTCTCGTCCAGATCCCCCTCCATCTCCGCGACGAACCGCTCCCAGGTGTTCAGCACCCCCTGGTAGAAATCAATGTGCTTCTCCGCCAACGCTCCCAGTGTATCCTTGAATTCTGCCGCTTTGATTCGCTCAAAGTCGGCCACCTCGCGCACCACCTCCTCGTCGAACATCTCCGACGTCGTCTTGGCCGACTCCACCTCCCGGGTCAGCTCGTCGATCCGAAGCTCTAACTTGCGCACCCGCTCGCGCCGCGACTGCTCATGGTCGACCCCGCGCATGTCCTCCATCTTGGATCGGATGAACGAGGCCGGGGACGAGGTCAGCGGATTTGAGGCATAGTACGACGAGGGGTTCGAGGCCAGCGAGTCGCGCTCGGCTACCGCCTTGTTGCGGTAATCCACCAACGCCTCGAAGTCAAGTTGCTTCTGCTCGCGCGTCTTGAGCAACGACTTGAGGGATACAATGTACGCCTCCATATCCCGTAGGGAACCCAGGTAGTTCTGATCGGTGTGGTCCTTGAGCGTCTTCAGCCCACGGCCCGTCTCCTCCACCGAGGCCGCGAATACCTGCAGCGGCACCTCCACCTCCGGCTCGAGCGGCGTCAGCTTGCGGAACTGCATCGCCAATTCATTATAGTCCCCTTCGAGATCCGACTCCCGGCGCGCTACCCGGGCCACAATCTTCTCCACGTGGTTCAAGTCCTCGTCAAGCTTGTCGGCCTTCTCCCGAACCTCGATGAACCGCCGATCCGGCTTGTGCACTTTGGTGAACGCATTGACGAACGTATCGGTGAAGTTATCGAACAACCCCGGCACCCCACTCCCGTCGGACGTACTGGTCGAGTTGCGAGACGACCGCAGCCGCATGTGTGCGTTCCAGTCGGGCGACTCCAGGAAAATCGCCAGCAATGGCGCCCGCCGTAACACCGGGTGCAATGTCAGACGCTTCAGGAATCGATGTAGAGACCACGCACGGCGGGTGGTGAATTCCGGCCCAAAGCGATCACCGCGGACGTACTCCATCTTATGCTTATCCGGCAGCGGCGGGACCGCGCAAGCGGGGTACTCGCGGTAGAGCGTTTTGTAGAGGAAGTAGAAGTCGGTGAATCGTCGTCGTACAGTAAATTCTGGTTTTTGGAAGGACTTAAAGTCGGTCTGTAGCGAAGTAGCGAGTTATTAGTACCTATGCTCTTGTTCCGTCCCAACATCCTCATCCCTCCCTCCGGGCGGCTAGGCAACCGCACTGGGGTAGCACTGCGATAATCTCGTGGTGTGAAGGAGTACACCCACCTGTGTCGTGACCAAGTAGGATATATATGCATCTTTCGTGCCATCATTCTCCTTTAAGGGCGAGTCGACCCGGCATTCGAGCACGCCGTCTCCGATCCCAGCGAGGTCGACGGCATCGGCCATGGGGCCGGCTTGGGGGTTCTCTTGGGCGGAGCTCATCCGTCGCTTGCCATTGACATCGTGGCCATATCCATGAGGCTCATCTTCTGCGTCGGTTCCGGACGTTGTGGGGCGCGAGACATCGCTGTCTGGTTCGTGGCGCCACGAGACGCTATCGAAGTCGTCGTGGTGGTCCATCGAGGGGTTGGTTGCCGTCAAGAGCCGGCGCGGGATCTGCCTGCGTGATGTCGGAGCTGCGTGCCTGAACAATACTCAAAGCTTACTAGATAAAGAGCCAGTACACGGTACAAGATGGGCAGGTGATGAAGTGGGGTTTGGTGTTGTAATGCGGAGAAGAGCACCTTTAGATGGCAGAGTGTGGAGGTGAAGTTCCGTTTCGAGAGCTGGAGGGATCGGGGCAGCTGCCGTCATTGCCAAGAACCCACCCGTCCCGAGACTCGATTCGGTGTGTTACACTCTATGCAGTTGATCGAGTGAAGTATACCAGATAATACTAGGCTGCAGCTTCCACATCATCAATCTTCCCCATCTCATATGCAGATTACGAGTTTCTAGCCATCTCTGCTATATACACAGCTTGACTCCTTCATGCACATATCCAGAAGACACGTTTCCAGCAAATAAAAAGAAAAGAAAAGCGAATCCTAATGCTCGTCGTTTCATAGATCAAGCAACATGAGAGTAAGTGACAACCCAATGACCAGCATGTCTATTCGTCCCCTGTTCTCTGACGGTGCCCTACTCCATTGGCACCGTCCCGGTCATGCTCTTCACTAATACCCCGATCCCTGTACGGTTCATCATCTTCGTCGCTAAAGAGAGGCTCTTCTTCGTCGCTCTCTCCTGCAAAAGCATTGTACAACTCTCCGCCGCGGCGACGAGTGCGTACCGACCGTCCGTTCATCGCTTGCAGCTCATCCTCGTCCTCGACCATCTCAAAGTCGTAGTCGTCCCGGTTGTCGTTGCGGAGGCGTTTGCGACGCTGAACATGGAAGTAGACGCCAAGGCCAATGCAGAAAACGATGATCGAACCAATCGCGGCATAGATCCAGGCTTGAGTTCGCTTCGATGCGCCAAAGGTGGGGAAGAAGGATGGCAAGAAGCTGTCCGAAGCTGCTGTGGGCGCTGGAGCGACGCCAGTCTCTGTAGGGGAGACCACTTCATCCGAGATAGGAGTCGGCTCCGCCGTTGTGGTGGGCTTGACATTTACCGGACGATCAACAACATCGGTAGGTTGAGTGGGGGGTTGCGTCTTGGCCGGGCCAGGGTCAATGCTGGTCGTAGCCACATGAGTGTCCTCATACTCGTGATCGTCATCGTGTTCCGTGGGCATGGGGTGCAAGGGTTGCTTGGTACCATCGATAGACTCTCCCCAAAGGTTGAGACGCCAGTCCACGAAGAACCCACTGTGCTCATTGACTTTCGTATCCTTGACAATCACGGTCCATTTGCCCACACCGGACTCACCCCTGGGAATAAATTAGCAAAGGCCACGAGAGGCAAGTACAGAAGAAGATATGTGAATTACTTACCAGTGCGCGACACTCATGAAAGTCCAGTCGACGTAGCCCTCACTTTCATTATCGGGTTCTCTGGCTGTGCTAAGATGGCTGACCAATCCTTCCGGGCTGCGCAATTCGACGCTCAAATCCCCACGGCGCGTGTGGTTGACGTTCATTGTCACAGTCACATGCTCGAGACGTTCGAGGTTGGCTTCGTCCATCATTGCTCGAGTCACCTCGTACGAGCTGGCCAGACCCTGATCGCCCTGGGGAACCTCATGATGTACTCGCAGCCACGGGGAGTGAAACCATGCCTGGGGTTTAACAAGATCCCAAGTCTTCGCTTTCTGCACCATGGTGTAGGCGTCGACCCTGCCAAAGCCCCAATCATGACTGAATTTCCTGCCATTCTTCGTATTTTGCCAGCTACCATCGTTCTCGTGGACGGGTACTGCTGACTCTACCATAAGGTATTGCGCGTCGCGCCAAGTGAGCTCGGGCCTCACGCTGAGAGCGAGAGCGATGGTACCTGCAGCTAGTGGACCAGCCGCGGAGGTACCACCATGCGACGAATAGCACTTGTCCGTTCCCACATCAGTGGTGTGGATTGCATCACTCGAGCCACTGCTGTATGCGACAACCAGCTGGGCGGAGCAAGACTCGGAGTAGCTGGGGTGTTTGTTCTCGCGATCAATCGCACCCACGGTGATGCTGTAGATGCTGTTTGTATAACCGTCAAAGTTGCAGTTGTCATCATAGTTCGCCCCATTGCCTGCCGCAAAGACAAAGATCGAACCCTTTCCATCTCGACCATTTTGGATCCCGTTGACCATGGCGCGCTTGATCAAAACTCCCGGCGCCTCCATAGTGGCGCCGTCGTCGAATGGGCCCCATGAGCAGGAGTAAATATCATTTTCTTGATAGGCGTAATTGATAGCTGCTGCCTCGTCGGCATCATCGATGGGTTCGGACAAGATCCGAATGCCCGCGATGCGACTGTCATACGCCACACCCACACCACAAACATCGTTTCTTGCCGCAGCGATTTCACCCGCACATCTGGTGCCATGGTGGTCATCGCTGAGACGGGGCCTCGGTTCAGGACCTTTGTCATTGTAGTCGTATGACCCCTCGGCAAAGTAGTTGGGTTTCAGATCGTTGCTGTACATATCTAAGCCATCATCTACCACTGCAGTGGTCACTCCTTCTCCGGTAATGCCCTCCAGCCAAAGCCCAGTTACATTCAGGTCATTCCCCAGCTGGATAGTGTTGTAAAGATGCCATTGACCGTTAAAAATAGGATCTACGATCCCAAGGGAGGCGGTGATTTGTTGTTGAGCCTGCACGGCTACCGGGTCCTCTTTGGGAGCAGCGGCCAACCGATCGACGTTCACTGGCTGGGGGATTCGTTTCTGGAATCTCTTCTTCGGGGCTAGTTTCTCGGACCAGAGAATACCGTCCAGCCCCTCCTCTCTCCTATCCAAGGCTGGAAGTCCGGCGGTGGAAGCTCCGGAGTGTCGCCGCAAGCTCCTCCGATGCCGCAACTGATCCAATAACGTATTGACCTCGTCGCTACTCTCTTTCGGTATGGAGAATGTATGATGTTGCGGTAGTTGTCCGACGGGGCCTTCATGGCGCGCCCCAAGTCGCTGTGCTATATCGGCTGGGGAGGCGGACTCGTCGAGGTGCAAGGCGAAATAATCGCGGGTCTCGTAGGATCGGTGAGGATGGAGAGAGGCCGAAGCAGAGGCACACAGAAAGCCGAGGGCCACTGCGGCACCACTAGAGATACGCATGGCGCGAGTGCGACAAGCGGTCTGAAGTGCGTAATCAGTCTAGAGAATTAAGACAGAGAATGTGGTGATTGCGGGCATGGACACCCAAGATATCTCGCAACCAGACAGCGATCGACCAGGGGAGTCGGGGGAGACGGAGCTCAAGTGGCAACGATCGAGACAGGTAGATTTTGAAGTGGAGTGGGAATGAGGGTAAAGGGAGGGAGTGGATAATTCGACCAAACCCCAAGAATTCTGGGGGAGGGGGAGAAATTAATTGAAGGAACGTGTTCTCAACCCGTCAATAGCAACTGAGTTAAGTTAATGGGTGGTAGCAGGGGTTGCGCCTCGGGAGGGTAACGATAACGGGCGCCGCGAGCGAGCGACAGGCTGCCGTGGCTGGAGACAAAGACCATCTGCACTCTAACCCACCTGGGCTTAGCCCGGGCCCGATTGCTTCTTGGCACCTGCGCCTGACGTGGACATAGTTTGTAGTAAGTTAGATGTGAGTTATTAACTATCGGAGGACTGCACTGGGCAATGGACTTGTCTGTGATTGACAGCGACGGACATACCCTTGCTTTAGAAATCTCATCGGAGTGATGGGACAGGCCAGCCCTGATAATGGTACATGTTAACAAACAATGATCGAGCAACAAAAATGTGAGCCCCATTCAATTCGTCAGCGGCCCCAATCTTGCGTGATCGACTGGGCGGGTTGAAACTGATTCCTCTTGGCGAAACGTGACTGTCGATAGGGGTAAGTAATACTGTGTATTTCTCAGCCAGATATGAGACAGTTAATGGTAGTGTTAGTTGTATAGTGCGGCAATAAAGGATACATCCATTCTGAAGCAAGTCGATCGAGGTGTAGATAAAAGAAATATGCACCTGGCCATGATATGAAGAGAACAAAAATAGAACTTGAGATGCTCACACTCGGACTCGAACCGAGGATCTCAGCATTACTAGTGCTGCGCTTTACCATCTAAGCCATGCGAGCGAGATCGTTGGAAGCGCATTCAAGATTTGTTCCATGTTGCCAGACATATATAAAGTGACATCACCCGGAGCTATAGTAGACAGCTTTGTAAACGGAGATAAAACTCAATTATGGAGGTAGTTGTACTACGTCACGCTGAAATCCGAACCAGACACTGATTTTCTCAAGACACATAGTATCGTCTCCAACGATTTGGACTGCTTGCCAACCGTACTCGTCCCGATTATTATACTCTAGGTTTTTTTCTGCTTCGTCGGTACCACTGGAAAGGATTGATTGATATGCATTTGGAACAGAGAATAATGAACGTTCTCCTAGCACTCCTCCAAATAGAAAGCTGTTATTTCGTCGTTCCCAGCGGAGCACCGCAACCGCCAATCTTCTAGGTAGATCATGTCATGACTTACATTCCCACTTCCGTGCGTAGCCGATGTCAGTATTTAAAGCATGGAAATACCCCGCACGAGAGCAATAAATCTTAATCCACCTCAACCATTCGCCCCCTCAATCCTTGATTTCACACGAGACAAGAGAGGACCATTCCATTCCAAGACGTGAGAAGCCTATCTTCGGATCTACATTATCCGCTCGAAAAGTACGAGAATCCCTCTATGCCATCCGCACTTGCTTTGATCTAACCAAGCGAAACCCCGTGAAGTTCAGTCACAATGTCCGAGCGCCAAACTGGAATCGTCAAATGGTTCAATGATGAAAAAGGATACGGCTTCATTACCCCGGATAACGGGCCAGATCTATTCGTCCATTTCCGGGCAATTGAAGGGAGTGGATTCCGGGCTCTCAAGGAGGGTCAAAAGGTCACTTTTGAAGTAGTGCAGGGGCAGAAGGGTTCCCAGGCGGAAAAGGTTCGGGTAGAGGAGTGATCTTTTGCGGTAGCTTATGTGTTGTTCTACCAGCAAAGCAAATGACTGTAATGGGGTTATCAGGAACGAATAGGCTTGGGTTTCATCAGACCAAGCGTTTCGCTCCCAGATATTATATGGTTTCAAGCATCTTTCTGTACAGATCTGGGACAATTCATTGCCATTACCATACACCATACGGAATATTCAGTTGTGGTTTACCATCTATTCCTTACCCGCACACAAGGAAGCGTAGACAGCCTGGTGATAGCCAGAACCATATTTGTCGATGTGAAATCGCCGCTATTGCTGCCCACGGTGCCGGACATGGCTCAGTACTTGGGTTTAAGCACACCAGGCTCTCCCAATGCCACCATTGACATGGAATTCAGAGGTCAAGGAAGTCACCTGCCGGCATGTTAGGCAATTTCAATGAGCAATCACTTGAGTGGGACAGCGTGTCTTGCTTAAGTTCAAGTCTTGGGTGCATGTGGGGGGATTGGAATATTGGAGAACAAGGTGGGGGAACAAGAGCAAAAAAAGCAACGACACCTGTGAGATTCGAACTCACGCGGGCGAACCCACTGGCTTAGCAGGCCAGCACCTTAACCACTCGGTCAAAGTGTCTTATTCGTTGAAGGTGGCGAATTTTGCTCATCCATGACCATATACTCAAAATGGAAGCGCATAGATGCACAGCGTTTAGTGGAGCGATAAATGTAAGGGCTCGCTGGGCGATAAACAGGAGCACACATGGAATAGTACTGTGGTTCAGCTCGTTCAATCGATGCTGCCTATAGGTGTGATCACAGGCGGTCTCTCATTGTTGACGGGGTTGTGAGGAGAAGCCAATTGACGATGGTCTGGCTTTCCTTACGGGGAGGTTATGATCAAGGATAGCTCCAGATCTCCTCGATTTGGGTACTCTGGTCTTCTTAGTCAGTGAAACAGTGTTGTGTGCTTGGGAATTAAGACAAATTTCCAGCAGCCAAGGGTTACTCCAGGTCTGGTTGCCATTCGTAGGGTTTCGAGAAAACATTAGTGTGTAGCCGCCGCGTCGGAGTATTCATACATGAGACCAATCTCGGTAAGCTAGGTATCCATCGCACAATTAACGCGGCTGTAGCGCTTGACTACTCTGATGTAGACACTCATGTGAAACGATATTTCCCGGCAGTATCGGGTTCGCTAGGATTTGTTCTCACGGGGCAATGGCGGCGAATCTGTAGACATGATACTAGTCCAGTGTGAAACTCCCTGAAGGCTTCAATACCAAAGCATTCTTGCTCACTCAAGATGGTGGGGAGTAGCAATTATCAGCTTCTCTGCTTAGCTTAATTCTCAGACCAGCATAGCAGTCAGCAATGCCAATCTGAATGATTTCTCTGCGAGGAAAGGAAAACGGGGAGTAGAGGCATCCCACCTTGGCGGACTGCACGAAAATCAGGAAAAGACCGGATTCTGGGCATGGAGTACGTTATCGTAGCTGGAAGTCTTTGAGCATAAGAGATTAAGCTTAGACAGCTATAGTTTGGAAGTCCCTTGATCCTGTCATGACATGCGCCGTGCGCGATTTGCTAGGAAGAGGTGCCCGATTGCCTCATACGCGAGGCACATCAACACGTGAGCCTTTTGAGTAACTTGTCTGGCGGGTGTTGCTCCTCGTTGAGGAGAGGGAGCTACTCTTCAGTCCGACCTCCGTGGAGGGCAGGAAGGGAGAGAACATGTCAGCTTTCAGGTCTATTCGGGTGTTCAGGTCTCACGGGAAGAGCACATGTCCTGCAGTGGCTCCATACTTAACAATAATGCATGTTTTGGTTTGTTGTATCCGTCCGCTCTGACTCGGCAAGCAATCAGTTGGCTGTCGTTGATGTACCTTCGATGACTACTGATTCGAGCATACGGTGTGTAGAGATTGAGATGTCGCCAGCCCTCTGCTCCTTGATCGCTACGAGTGCGACTCCACCATCTTGTAGTGGCGAGGGTGCAGTACGAGTGGGTGCATCTTTGAGTTTCTCTGGATAATGCTCTCGGCGGCTGAGCGAGTGATGATAATCCGGGAGTAATTGTCGGAAATCGTGGCGATGGTGAAAGCGCCGTAGGGCGCGAATGTACCAACGTGACCGACACTTAGCTTGCTGCGCGAATCGCTGCGAGGCCACTCTAGCAGTCTGGGCAGCTGTAACTGAGTGCTCGGGCAAGTGACTACTATAGCACATGACATCGAACAGCGTCGATGGGGGTGGATGACTCTGCCGGGCGGGTAGATCAGCGCCGGCTTCCCGGGTTCCTGCCTTCCATGGGTCGGTCCTCCCGGACCGCGGCGTGGAGTTCAACGTCACGCGTGAGGCTGGATGGACGCATCTTAACATGCTGCAGTATATCCTCATGGAGCAACCGGTCAACAAGACAATATATCTGGTCAGCAGAGTGAGGATAATTGGGGAATCGACAAAAAGACATGACGACACCTGTGAGATTCGAACTCACGCGGGCGAACCCACTGGCTTAGCAGGCCAGCACCTTAACCACTCGGTCAAAGTGTCAATTGCTTGTTCTGAAGGTGGAGCTGAATGATCTTGACCCGCTAGGCTAAGAATGAGGATAGATTGTGTTGGGGTGTAAAAAGAAATCGACACCTGTGAGATTCGAACTCACGCGGGCGAACCCACTGGCTTAGCAGGCCAGCACCTTAACCACTCGGTCAAAGTGTCCAATTGTTGATAACGTCAGCAAGCTAACTAACCTAGATACTAAGATTATCAAGCCAGCATTGTCTCACTTTTGATCTGAGTGTCTTCGTGACTAATGTATAGCTTTGAGGGAATCTGCTATGTGCCGGTGCTACTGATCTGCCTTTCTTCCCTGCTGTTTGAAGTATGCGACTGCCCTCAAATCAGCAAGTCTTGTCATGTTGACACGTCCCATTTCCGTTACTATAGCCGCATCGTAGGGTTGATCACTGGCGATGTGTACTAGTCCATCAACTTGGCTGGTCGAATACGTGATTAGTTCCCGGTGTTTCAGTTCCTGATCCTTGTTTACCGTAAGACTTCATTGATTTGTGTGGTTTGTCCTGTGGGGTTTCGACTATTAGAGTCAAAGGTTTTGGGTGTATCTCCAGGTCCGGTAACTGAACATGGATCCGGAATATACTATTTCAGACGCACCCCACAAACAAGAGGAGTGGCATGAGCATCGACCAGGTCAAACGAGCAAAAAAAAAAAAAAAAAAAAAAAAAAAAAAAAAAAAAACAAAGAAACCCATGGCAGGCCACACAACACCCGACAGCAACAGAAGCAGCAAGCACGTAGCATAATCCACAACCGATATCTCAATAACTCTACACATTACCCGACCCGTGTGCATGACCACGGAAGAAGAGCAAGATATACACATGGTAGCTGGATCAAGCAAGCGGTACTAACTAGACTGTTGTAGCATACATACACAGTAAGAATGCGCATACATACGTCCATGTAAATTGCAAATAATTAGTTGACTGGTTGCTGGGATTATTGCTGCAGGATACTTTAAGCCCATGGAGCTGACACCGGAGCCCACCTAGTCTTACCCATACAAGGTACGCGAAAGCGTATATGCGAGAACATCATCTGCACAAGGCCACCCGCCATACAGAGTACCACACATTGAAGTGCACAAAGCCCGACGTGAAGAGTCAAAACGGATACACATAGCATACATGGAAAACACAGCCCCAAGCAACCACCATACGGTCCATAAAATATGGCATGCAATATACATTCATCAGAAGTCTTGATGCGTACTCCATGGGATTATGCAGATGTTGATCATGCTTGGGGTATGCATATTTTCAGGGTACTTATCCAGCTTCTTCTCAGAGAGAGAGAATAATAGAAAAGAAGGCAGAAAGGAAGAAAGAAAGAAAGTCGTGCCTGGGGCAGTGCACCATCCCCGGTATGATCGGGAAAGTGTAAGAGACAAAATAAGTACATATTATGCAAGAAACATGAGACTGATAGTAACTAGACACTTTGACCGAGTGGTTAAGGTGCTGGCCTGCTAAGCCAGTGGGTTCGCCCGCGTGAGTTCGAATCTCACAGGTGTCGTTTTTTTTTCAATTCCAGATTGCCCTCTTCCACCAACCACTTGTTCTACACCTGCTCAATAGGCGATTTCGCTGGCTCTCTCAGCCTCGAGGTAGACTTGCAATGTACAAGAATACGAACCACATCCTCGCCCCAACGCTCTGGTTTCCCCTACCTGTACCAATCACGCCGCATTAAATTCGCGTAGACGGCAACCTACGCATCCATGTAGCACACCAGACCCAAGCCACATCAAGCCCAAGGTACAGTACATTGACCAGGTACCTCGCTGACTCCATTGGCTGGAAACACGCCGAGACACCCGCCAGATCGATGCATGTCTATAAGAACCCAACCCCCAGCATCCGAGGTCAAGTTAAAGTGTTTCATGCTAAGCGACGGCCCAGAAAAGTGGTAGCAACTTGCATCATCCTAGCCCAGTACTGCTGTTAGGTCTCTAATCTATTCCCCTGCCGTCGTCATCGGAGCTCGATCGAGGCCGTGCGCTTCCACAGACACTAATTTCATACTGCACCGGGAAGAACCAGACCGGAATCAGGACGGGTCCACACAGCAGACCAAATCAAATGGTCGCAGCTGTCCCTAGACCCCCTAAACTAGGCATTGGGCTGAATTGACAACTGCGCTGCCAGCGGCGAGACATGAACTGATCGATAAATCGGTGAGAGGTGCAACGTTAGAATTGATGATTTGACGAAAGCATCGAGGGTGCCAATCACAGAGGCCAGAACACACATGATCCTTCGAAGTCCATTTTCAAATCGCAGCAAGGACGGGTAGAGACAGAAGTCCCGACGAAAAAGAAAAATAATATGGAAGCCTGATGATACATAATTCAGTTATCGTACGTACGTACGTACTCGGCAGTACTCGTGGTGCAGCCCCGCCTGACGCAGCAGGAGCAGGAAAAGGCTGAGGATGAGTGAGGACGAGAAGGCAGGGTTGGTCTGGTCTGCCAGCCACCCGTTTATATTATTTTCCTCCCCACACTCTCCCGTTGATCATAGCATTTCATCCCCCATTCTCCCCCCCCCTCCCCTCTTCCTCCACTTGAATTCTGCGCCAAACTCGACAGATTCGGGCCCATTATCTGCTTTCCCCCTTTGTCGCATCTTCACAGGCTTCTTACTGCCTCCATTCATTGTTCTGCTACCGGCCAACCCCACTGTGTTCCGCATCTCGTGGTTAGTGTAACACGGCACCCAAGGGAGGTGTATACATACTTGCTCGCTTGTGGTTATACTCCGCACCGGCGCATTCGCTCCCCCTCGACACCACATCGCAGGGTTGCTTATACTACAAGCTGCTTGCTGCCATTGAAAACTATGCGATCATATATTCTGAATTGAGTTTCCTAATATAGCAACACATTAAAGCGTGGTTGTGTCGCGCAGTCGTGTCACCTTTGTCGCCGCAGGGTCGCCGCAAGCTTACGCTGTAGCAAGTTATCCTTTAAGCAGCAATCGCCCGAACCATGACCACAGAGAGTATTCGAGCAACAGAGCACGCAGACAACATGTCCTCCGATCCAGCGTCCAGCAGCAACTCACGTCCAGTCTCGTCACATCGCCGACAGCCTTCGCAAGGCTGGCCCGCTGCTGACCACGAACACGACAGGGAGAATTATTCCATGAATGCGATGAAACACAACGTGCCTTACATCCCTGAAAGGCCACACGGCAGCCGTGCAACCCGCTCAGGTTCCACAAACAAAGGCAGAGGGAAAGCTCTCAAAGAAGAAAGCACAGAGCGAAAGGACCGGCTACCGACTTTAGAACCATCACTATGGTCCGAGGCGAATGAGCCGCTACCGGCCGCAAACATGAAGAACACTGGCGGCAATGGCCTCAAGGGGCCAAGGCCCGATACCCAGGCATCTCCCATAGACCGATCGAATACCCGTCGGTCTACGACGGACCGTGCACAGCCCTTAGCTTCGGATCGCTCGCCTCTTCAACTGCTAGAGGTGTCCCTGAAAGAGAAAAAGAGAGCACGGGTGCTGGAAGCTGAGATGAAATTGAAAGAACGGATGCAGAGGGAGGCCGAAGGCCGAGAATCGGCAACGTCACAACCCTCAGATTGGGTAAACCCAAGAGCAGCAGGTCGCGAGGATACTGCGCGAACCGGGACTGGGCAGGCTCCTAGACAGAAGCAGCCCACCACACAAGGTGCCAGACGACCGGATCATCGACGCTTCCCTTCGGAGAGCCAGGCAGAGTATGGGCCCCTGGAACAAAATCCGTACGAGAAGCCCAAGTCCTCGCGCCCCAGAGCACCATCGCTGCAGGATCCAGCGGCGTACCCGACTGACGATGGCCCTTACTCTAGCGCCCGAATTCCGGACCCGGCAGTAGTGAATAGAGGCAGTGCTCCTAGACGTACAGTCACCGTGAGCCATAGACCTGGAGGGCCGCCCATGGGCCCACGAGCAATGAACACGAGCGGACACCAGAATTCGCGCACGCATGGCCCCGTTGCCCATGACTCGAACCAATCCAGGCAAAATAAGATGGCGTCTATCAGCAGAAAGGATGTAGCGAACCAACCAGAGACCAGGAACACTGGGCCTCTGAACCAGAATGAATTCATGATACCTAAAGGCAGACCACTGCCACAAGCTGGCTTGGACGCGACTTCCGCAATTCCGAAGTCACTGCCCCCACAGAATGCTGCAAACAATCTTGCTAGCGTTACGACCGAGCTATCTACTCCCCTAGTTGCGGATCTGAGCGCTGACTTGAGCCGCGAAACTTTCGGAACAGAAACCAGTGCACCGTCAAAACCCAAAGTCTCGTTCAACGTGCCGCCACCTACACCCCCTCCGCTGTCAGAGTGGAAGACTGCGCAAGTTGCTCGGCTAGGGGCTTCCGACTTCGACTTCCAGCGATTGGATGCAGATCGAAGCAAAGCTTGGTGGGAAGGCGGAACGAGCAACAACCGTCGGCGCAGCAGGGCACTACCAAGCGACTTTCCGCACAGATCACAGACTCAGAAGTCAACAGGTAAGTTGTTTGATGGGATGATAACCCGAGGAGGGTGGTTCGAACTACTAATTTCCCCTGTCGTGTAGGTAGCAAACGCTTCCAGCCACCAATATTCCTTAAATGTGGACCTTTGCTTCGATATGGCGGACTTAGGCGCATCCGTATCGATGGGCCCAATGGACCATTCAACAAGGAGACATGGAGAGGTAGCATCCTCATTGTGACGCAAGACTCACGCTCATCCTATGAGCCACGGCCGAGTCTAAAGTTGTTTTCGCAACCAATGGATCTACTCCCACCTCCACCAGTCCAGGTAGATGGAGAGGAAGCTCGCCTTGCACCCGAGTATGTCGATCCTACGGCGGGATTGGTGAAGTTAGGGCGCGACGGGCGCGCTCTCTACGTCAAACCAGTGGACCATATTGACGAAGAGATGGACCTCTCGATTATCGAGAACGATGATGGCCTCTACGAGATGTCTCCCAGCATGGTCGACTATAGTAGCGAGGGTGTCAAGCAAACTATGCCGGCCAATCGTCTTCACCAAATGGACGGAGAAACTGCGGGGAGTTACACCGAGGTCACCGGAGCCCGCCTCTATGCGGATCCAGGGCGCGATGTGACATTTTGGAGGTTCAACATTGAGGTTGAACTGGGCCCAACTCAACAACGAATCGCCTATAGGCTGAATCAGGGCCCAGCCATAGGGTTCTGGGTTCCCGCACGGGGACAATCTATGAACGTGGTGTTCCATACAGGCAACGGCTTTAGCCCAGCTGTCGACTCCAATAAGCTGTGTGGGCCTGATCCTCTGTGGCGTGATATTCTGACCGAGCATCAGACCCAGCCGTTCCACGTTATGATTGGTGGGGGTGATCAGATCTTCAACGACAAGGTCATAGCACAGACAGCGCATTTTCAGGAGTGGGTCAAAATCAAGGGTTTGGGTGAAAAGTATGATGCATCGTTCACAGCGGAGTTTCGAGCCGAGTTGGAGGACTTCTATCTCGGAAATTACTCGACGTGGTTCTCGCAAGGACTCTTCTCCCTGGCTGGCTCTCAAATTCCCATGGTGAACATGTGGAACGACCACGAGATCATTGAAGGCTTTGGTTCTTATCCCGAGGAGTTCATGAACTGTGCCGTTATCTCGGGCCTCGGAAACATTGCTTTCAAATACTACCTCTTGTTCCAGCATCATAGTGTTCCAGAGGAGACCGAGGCGGAGGAGCCGAGCTGGCTTCTTGGAGCTCAACCAGGCCCATACATTGATCAGAAGAGTCGGCATCTCTTCATGTCCCTGGGCGACGGCCTGGCTTTCCTTGGACTAGATTGTCGCACAGAGCGAATGGTAGGTCGATAAATCCCAGCGCTTATGTCGCATTTACTGACCCATGTCGTGTGTAGACGGATGAAATTCTCAGTGAACAGACTTGCGATCTGATCTGGGATAGATGTCATCGCGAGATATCGAGGGGTGAGACCAAGCACCTGATTGTGTCTTTGGGTATTCCATTAGCATACCCCAGAGTGGTAAGTGGTGGAGCCAATACTTGCGAAGTCCAAGCCTGCTAACATCTTCCAAGGCGATGGTCAAGAATATTCTCAACAGCCGCAAGTCCTTGGGCAAAGCCGGTCTTTTTGGCGGCTTGGTTAACAAGAATGGTGGCAAAGTAGAAATCTTTGACGACCATTGGACGGCCAAACACCACAAGTCTGAGCGGACATATCTGATCGAGGATCTTCAGGATCTGGCCGCCGAGAAATCAGTTCGAATTACTATTTTGAGGTAAGTTTGAGCGCTGTTATCTACGAGCGGCGGCTGACTGGCTATCACAGCGGTGATGTCCACCTGGCCGCTATCGGCCAGTTCTACTCAAACCCGAAGTTGAATATCCCCAAAGACCAAGACTACCGGTACATGCCCAACATCATCTCCTCGGCCATCGCGGATCTACCTGAGACAGAGATGATTTCCGATATGCTGAACAAGCGCAACCGGGTGCATCACATGGATACCAACACGGACGAGGATATGATTCCCATCTTCACCCATGATGTGAACAACAAACCCCGTAACAATAAGAGACTGCTACCGCGACGGAATTGGTGCTCCATTCGTCGATACCAACCAGGTCAGTCGACTTGATGTCTGCCCGAGCGCTTGAGGACGAGATTACGCTAACTTACTATCAGGTGCTACGCCGCCCGGGACGCCGCGGCCTGCACTGAGGGCAGGCGCGGAGGAGCCTCGCCCGCGGAAGCTGAAGAGGACTCTATCGCTGACGCGTGGGGATAAGCCTCCCAGCGGAGGCCTATTCCGTCGGCTTTCTGGCCGGGGTCCACCACCCACGAAGGATTTCAACCTGGGTGAGGCCCCAATAGGCCGGCGGATGAGCATGGACGGGCACTTCCCGTCGACTGAATCTGGGAATGGCTATTTCCCGCCTAAGGAGTTTCAACCCGGCTTCTTACAGCGCCGCCCAACAAATGCTAGCCAGAAGGCGAGCAACCGTGCTGGTAGAGGCCTCGATGCAATCATTGACATGGAGGAAGGACTAGCTATTACGCTCAACCTAGAGCTCAACCCCAAGGATCCGGCAGGTATTACGACCCCATACAAATTGCTGGTTCCTGCACTTCGGTACGAAGGGTTGGATTTTGACCAACCGGCCGCTCCGGTGGCCAAGGGCTGGAAGAAGTGGTTGGGAGTCCGGGGGTCCAACAGAGAGAGAAAACCAGCGGAGGATACGGAGGTAGAGGACGAGGAGGATGACGATTTGAGTGACGAAGAGGACGAAGAGGACGGAGGAGGCTACGAGAATCCTCGGGAGAGATCCGGTGGAGTAGTCGGTGCAGGCAATGGAATGGGGCCGGCCGGGCTGGTCGGTGCAAGCGAGGAAGATGTGGAGGCGGAAGAGGGCGATAAGGAGGAGATGACTTCTTCCAAGCGGAAAAAATGGTTCGGGCGATCGAAGTGAGGGGATTGAGCGAATGAGATGTAACGATTGACGATATGGATGAATGATGGATGAATGAACGCTAGAGATGCTTGAGTGATGTGAGTGTAGATCATTTGATCGATAAGCAACGGCGGTCTCGGCCTGTTCCCGGTTTATAAGCATATCACGTGACACAAATCTGGCCGTGGATAATTTGTGAGAATTCTTGAGAATTCTGGTGAGAATCAGAACCAAGAATCAACAGAAAACCTCCATTGCATTCCGTCTGACTAACGACCGCTTGCTTCTCCAAGTCTGGTCGCGATTAGTTATCTCATTGATCATTCATTGATAAGTAAATCCCGGTGGTGAGTGGATCTTTAGTTATGCAGGATTGAACAATCTTAGCTAATCTCGCCCCGGCCAGCCCAACTTTCTGGTGGATTCGCTGCCCCTCCGTTTGGCTTCTCCCATCACTATTAATTCATTCTTCTTCCTCTGCCGCCTTTAAACTTCAATTTTCTTCCTCTCTGTTCCCCCATCAACACCGCCAATCTGTTCTCCTCCGCCTTTCGTCGGTTTCCCTTCTCCTCCCTGCGTGCATCTCTTGGATTGACTGCAGCGGCTACTTCCTCGCTCCATCAAAAATCCTCACCAGCTACCTCCGCTCTCCCTAACCCCCTTTCGACGCCACTGCGTGTCAATCCCCCGTCATCTTCCAGAATGGTTCACACCAACGTCGTCAGTAAGTACTATCCGCTCAATTGGATTGTTCGAAGCGGGCCTTAACCGTTCCTGCCTCTAGTCATCGGCTCCGGCCCCGCTGCGCACACCGCGGCCATCTACCTCTCCCGCGCCGAACTCAAGCCCGTCCTCTATGAGGGTATGCTGGCCAATGGCACCGCCGCTGGCGGTCAGCTCACCACTACCACCGACATCGAGAACTTCCCCGGCTTCCCCGATGGTATTGGCGGTGCCGAGCTCATGGAGAACATGCGCAAGCAGTCCGTCCGCTTCGGCACCGAAGTAATCACGGAGACCATTTCCAAGGTGGACTTCTCGCAGCGGCCCTTCAAGCTCTGGACCGAGTGGAACGACGGCCCCGACAACGAGCCTGCTCACACTGCCGATGCCGTTATCATCGCCACCGGTGCCAACGCCCGCCGTCTCGACCTCCCCGGTGAGGAGAAGTACTGGCAGAACGGTATCTCCGCCTGCGCTGTCTGCGACGGCGCTGTGCCCATCTTCCGCAACAAGCCCCTCTTTGTCATCGGTGGTGGTGACTCCGCCGCCGAGGAGGCCATGTTCCTCGCCAAGTACGGCAGCAGCGTGACCGTTCTCGTCCGCAAGGACAAGCTCCGCGCTAGCAAGACCATGGCCCAGCGTCTTCTGTCCCACCCCAAGGTCACCGTCCGCTTCAACACCGTCGCCACCGAGGTTCTCGGTGAGGACAAGCCCATGGGTCTGATGACCCACCTCCGCGTCAAGAACGTCGTCTCCGGCGAGGAGGAGGTCGTTGACGCCAACGGTCTCTTCTACGCTGTCGGCCACGACCCCGCCACTGCCCTCGTCAAGGGCCAGATTAAGCTCGATGAGGATGGTTACATCGTCACCCAGCCCGGTACCAGCTACACCAGCGTCGAGGGTGTCTTTGCCTGCGGTGACGTCCAGGACAAGCGCTACCGCCAGGCTATTACCAGTGCCGGTAGGTTCTTATCTATTCCCCACTCTCTCCCCTTTCGCAACCCCTAACCCCCGCTGACATTTACTTTTACCTGCAGGATCTGGCTGCATTGCTGCCCTCGAAGCCGAGAAGTACATCGCTGAGAAGGAGTCCGCCGACGAGGAGCCCGTCATCAGCGTCGAGAAGTCCACCGTCCAGCCCACCCAGGAGGTCAACGGCGAGGTTAAGAAGGAGTCTGAGGGTGCTACCGCCGAGTACAAATCCAACCCCCTTCTCTAAGCGACTATCAGCCCGCCTTACCTTTCTTCCTTTCCCCTCTGAAACTAAACCGCTTTTTGCTCACCTCACCTGCTCCTTCTCTTTGTCCTTCCATCGCATAGATGAAGTTTCTGTTTCTTTTCTAGACTAGACATTCACGGTTTTTCTTGTCATCCTCATGTCTAGATGGGACTCTTTTCATTGTTCGGTCTGATTCTGTTACGGGTTGTATCTTAGACTTAGCGTTTTTCTTCTTTTTCTCTATCATCATTTTTCCTCTATATGATTTGATCCCATGCTTGTGATATACACGTGATACACAACGCGCGCAGAAAGGGCTGGGTTCTTTCTTGCATGAATTGAACTATGACTGGAGGACTTTCTCTTGACTATGAATATGCACTACAACAACACGATAGAATTTATCCAGAAATAGAAAGTGATGAACGGGGGGGTTTTCTTGCCATCTAAGAATAGTATAGAGCTGAGTAGTACTAGTCATGTGAACAGTTCGAAGAATTAGGTCAGGGAGGAGGATAAAATGAGCCGTTTGCTTGTTGCTGCTGGTGCTGAGCAGCAGGAGGAATCATGGGTTGTGCGAATGGTGAACAAGACGTGGGCGCTTTGGCAACGGTTGAGACAGTTGTGCCGTTGGTCATGCCATTAATGTTACTATTGGGCACAGCCCCGGCCGGCGGTACAGCTGAACCAACACCACCACTACTGGCGCCCGTAATAGTAGTAGTAGTACTATTAAGAATACCAGTAGCAGCAGCAACATCCCCCAAGGGAACACTGCCAATACCACCACTACCGCTATCACGACCGAACTCTCTGTCCACCCACGCCGCGTACGGATTCTCTCGACACCACCGCTCGCGTACCTGTAGAGCGAATTTCTCCCATTCAGCAAGTTCGCGGCGCCACTGGTCCATAATCGTCGCGTTGGTCTGCCGGTTCAGCTCGATCTGCTCGAGATAGGGCCGCTTCTCGGCCTCGCTGGCCTGACGCCACATCAGTCCCAAAGCCTGGCGAATCTCGTCGCGGGCCGCTTTCGCGGTGGGGTCATTTGTGGCGGCGCGACGGGCTTCATCACACTGCGCGCGACACCGGATCCAGACGTCCTTTTGATAGAGGAGAAATGGGTTGAGGACTGCGCGGGCAGGTCGAGGCACCGGGGCACCGATTTCCGAGTAGATGGAGGCCCACATCGCTTTATCGTAGGCTGCGCGGTGGATGGATTCCGGGGAGGGGGAGGGGTCGGTCGGGTTAGAAGCTTGTGGCTGATTGGGTAGTGGTGGGAGGATGGACGTTGTGGATGGGTGTTGTTGCTTGCGCTTCTGACCGGTGCTTGCGATCGTCGTTGTTGACGCCCTGTCAAAGTCTGTAGCTGGAACGACGATTTTGGCGCCTTTGTCGGGAACCAGGGGAGAAGGTATTTCGATAGGACCGAGAGTGGTTTCGATGATCTCTGACGCGGCGCGCAGTCCTGAAAGGTATGCACCATGCACGGTGGCAGGGTGGGTGCCGCAGGTGGCTTCGCCGGCAAAGTGCAGGTTGCCGATGGACTGGGCCATGAGGTCATAGTCACCAGGGAGGGAGTGCGCGGCGACGAAAGAATAGCTTCCACGGGTGAACTTGTCGCTAGCCCAGCGAGTGATGATCGTCTCCAGAGGGTCTGGAACGGCGACGTGCTTGAAGACGTTGCGGAGCTGGCTGATTACTTCGGCGATGATCTCGGCGTCCTGGGTGCGTTCGGCTTGGTGAGCGGCATCACCGGCCATCAGGGCTATAAGCACAGGCAGACCGGTGGTCCGCATGCAGTTCCAGAAGAGGTAGAAGCGACCTCGATGGGCCGCATAGTCTTCTTGTCTCATACTGTCGCGGTTCTGGGGCTCGCGTAACAGACCAAACATATCGCGTTCCGTGTCCCAGAAGGGTTGGTCGAATACGAGAATCACCTTGTTCATGACTCCAAATCCTAACCGGTCAATCGCTCCCAGTTTCCATTCCGGAAGAGGAGGGGAGAACTGGATGCCTCGGTGCTTAAGAACGCCCAGGGAGCCTGTGAAAACTACTTTGTCCGCAGTGAAAGACTCACCGTCCTCACACTGGATGACGGCTTTCTGGATACCGCGTCCAGTCGAGTCGTAGGAGATGTTGCAAACAACTTTGTTTCTGTGTACCTCGAGCTTGGTGGGCAGTGACCATAGCCCGTATGGAAGCTGCTGGTAGCCGCCAATGACTTGCGAGTGCTCCCCTTCGAACTCGTTGCCCATATCCTGGTCCCAGCCGGAGAGACTGAGCTTGCCAACATTGGCTGCGTTCGCATATTCTAGGTTGGCCATATGCCAATTCATCAACCGCATATCTTTGGGAGTCAGCGGCAGCATGCGTTGGTATTGCCTGAAACCCTCATCTAAGACGGCTCCCAGTGTCTGAGTCCGAGATGCCTTAGCCGTGGGATCAAGATTAATCTTCTCAGTGTCTGAAATCCCGGGTTTCAGGCTCCATCCCATCGTCTGACAAGCAAGCTTCGTTGGGTTTTCTTCGTTGCTGTCAGCGTTTGCTAAAGGGGCACTGGCTGGTTTGATTTCTGCTGTCTTATGACCCACGCCTCTACGAACCTTTTTGGCAGGGAAAAGGAGTCCAATTGTACCGGCAGCCCTGGCCTCTTCATATTGACGGACGGTGAGGCCATCATTGGTCACAATATCACGACCAGTATCGATCAAGTCCCGCTCACCTTCCGCTGTTGGGACTATCACGGATTTGTGACGGTAGAGACCTGAACGGTCCAGTACATCGTTATAAAGCATCTCGGCTGTTGCATCACGGGCTTCATCTACCGCGGAGCCATCAATATCATAGATGGTTGAGATATCACGTAAAAGATGATAGGGAAGAGCTAGCTGACCGCGGACTATCTGATCCAACGGATTGCCATGCTCGAAGCCCACAATGATCTGGGCGCCCATTTCAGCCTTCGGAACCAGCCCGGGAGCCAGTTTTGAGGACTGCAAACTGCGGAGCGGGTGCGAATAAATGCGACCGCCAATCCTGCGCCTTCCTTCTAGGACAATGACTCGTGGGGATGAATCGGCATCGTGGTAATGGCGGAAGAGTCCCTCCAATTGTCGCGCACAGCCTAACCCTGCCACTCCTGCTCCAATGACCACAACCACTGGGCCATCCTTTCGGCGACCCTTTCTGGAGTTTACGAGGGCTGTGGGAATCTCCACACACCCGAAGTTGATATAGCCATTCCTTATGAGCCATTCATAAGCGAAGGAGGCAAGATTCACCCAACGATAATCTTTCGTGCACCCCCAGGCTTCCTCTTTCGAGACGCTTACCATCGGGTTTCGTGTCCACAGTCGCAGGATGCCATTCCGGATGTTCAAATACACAGTAACTTGGAGGTGACAAAGATGGTCCTGTAACGCCTCCTGCTCCTTCCTGTGCAAAGCATAAGGATTGAGCCGAGAGGCATACGCTGCGGCAACGCACTGCTGAGCATAAACTGCTGCGGGCATTCTCGGCGGAATAGAAGACCGTGGGCGATACCTAATGGGAGTCGGTTTGCGCTCCGGAACACTCATGGGATCGGTTCTCAAAGAAGTGGACCCTGAGGAGATCGCCCCAGCCAGTGTAGTGGACGGCGAGCTAGACGTCATCTGATCGAAGCCATTTGAGGGAAGTGAGTGTGAGTTTGTCGATGGATTGATGAAAAGATCGCGCGGTGCAGTAGTACCATTAGGCGCAGGTAGTGCGGATGCGACCTTGGGATTAATAATAGACGTCGAAGTTGCAGGATGTCCGCTGGATCTCTGCAAAGCATTCGTGCCTTCTAAATTAGAAGACTGAAATGTACTGCCATTCAGGATTGATGTCGCAGCTGGAGCCATGGCGCCACCCGCAGGCAGGAGCGCGGTAGCATGCATTTTAGTGGGCGGCATTATTGCAGGAAGCCGTACCGGCTGACTGCTCCCAGGAAGGACTTGGCGTGTCGAGAACATGGAATATTGCCCCCCATCACGGGCCATGGCTCCGAGGCTCGTGGGCAAGTATGGGTTCAGCGGACTGGTATGGGAGACATGCCCGTTGGGGCCCTGAGCCCCAAGAGAGGCGGCGGTTTTCATGCTAGCTGTAAATTCCTCTATCCACTCATGCTAGGCTCTACCATGAGAAATCCCTGATCTTGGGGGGAAAAACGGCTTGGCTTGTAGATGTATGAGAATTCCTTCAAATCGAATTAGAGACACTCCGAGAATCAAGGTACGATGAACGATGCTAGAGCATTAAATGGAACGAGCATTGACTTACCCTTGAATCAGACCATTAAAACAGGCTAAGAGGGTTTTCGATTGGATCCCTATCAGCCAAGCCCATGACGCCCCAGTTTCCCCGCAAGCGCAAGCATTGAAGAAACAAAACCAGCGATATTACCAACCTGAAGGATCGTACTAATCAATAGTAGTCGAGCACTATCACTCTCAACCCTCTCATTCACCAATAAAAGGGGGATGGATCAAGAGAAGGGGCAAAGGTCCGATATGTGGAGAACGGAAGAGGAGGAAGCGGCGATAAATTCAAGATTGAGGAGATGCATTTCTGGATCGGCGGCATGTTCGGCCGACTCCCCGCCAGTCCGCATTGCCCTTCTTCCCTACTCAGAGCATACTTTCAGCAGCCATATTCATATCAGCTGGGATGTAATGGCTACTACTGTTATGAGTACTCCGCAGGTCAAGTTTCGTCTGCTTTGTATTGCGTAATGATCTACAAGAAGTGCAGGAAGCCACCGGGGTGCTGCGTGCCTGAACGTCGCGCTTCGTAACAGATCTCTCATTCTTCAGGATCTAAACAGCAGCCTCAGACCTTCAAATCAGGATTCATAAACCGTCATTTTCATGTCCCTCTCTCTCTATAGAACAAGACATCACTCATTAGAGGAGACTCTAATCAAGCAACAAGGCTCGGATGTATATGCAATGTGGTCTTAGCCGGTACCCGACGGCCCTAGAAACTTCAGTCTCGGCGCACATGAGTATGCAAGGTATACGTCTCCTCATGCGCACCGTCTTCGTCCCGGAAGGCATCCGAGTCGTTATCGGTGAATTCATCCCAATAACGCGATGACTTGCCGTGGCCATTGTAGTTCTCACTGCCGCTCTCGTCGTCCATAGCCAGTTCCACGTGGTCATCGTCCAGATCAGTGAATCCGAGCTGTTCCTCCTCATCGCGGGCAAGAGTTCGGGCGGCCCGATCGACTTCCGGGTCCTCCGAGAAGGCCTGGTGTGAGCGATGAGAGGCATGATCTGCTTGTAGAGTCCGTCGAAGATCTTCTCGCTCTTTGGCCTCCAATTCTTTCGCTCGAGCCAGGGTCCTAAAGGAGCACGTTAGCTAGAATGCGGTGGGGAAGTGCTGCGTGTGTATTACCGTTTGTATATATATAGTCCGGTGAAAACGCCAATGGCAATTGTGAAAACTATACTGCAGATATTTACAGCCTTCGACCCAGCACTCATTTTCTCATTATTTTCGGAGAGGATTCGAAGTCTGCTGCCGATGAAGGCGGGCACTAGTAGCTTAGGGGTGACGAGGGCAGTGGCGAGTCCATACATCAATGGATGAACGGTCGGGAAGGTCGAAACAGCCCCATTACATACGGAGTAAGGCAGTGGGCACAGGCGAATCATGCACAGCAGCTTCAGTCCATCGTACTTCAAGGTCAACGAGAGAGCCGCGAATCGCTTGTCACGCTCAATCAACCGGTGCACAAATTTGGACAGGACTGTACGAGACACAATGAATGAAACCGTCGAGCCGAGCACAGTTGCAGAGGCGTAAAGGAGCCACCTAGAGAGAGGTCAGAGTCATGCCGCTAGTACGCGCGGACTGCCACTACTTACCCTTTCCATACGCCAAATAGATAGCCAGAGACTGTTCCGAAAGTCGACCATCCGACCAACGGAGGGAAAGAAACGAAGAAGACACAAAGCCAAAGGATGAAGAACGCCAAACGGGACTTCTCCCATTGTGCTGCCACGGGACGGATCCAAATGAACACCTTCCCGGTGAAGAACAAGAATGCCAAACCCAGCATATTGGCTAAGAGGAAAGCACCTACTGCGCCAACTCTCTGCCAGAAAGTCATCTTTCGCCAAGCCGTTTTTATTCGCTGTGACATCTGGGTCGCGCGATCGATAATCTGTTCCCTGAAGGTCGCTGGACTGCGGCTGGCGGCACCTGGTGAGTTTCGCTGGGCGGAAGCTCGTTGACTCCATGGCGGAAAGACATCCTCGTCAGATGGGGAGAACGCTTCTGGCGACGTTGGGGATACGGAGAGGGCCTTGGCCGTGGATGTATAATCCGCAGGCATATTTCTGGGAGAATGGACAACGCGAGTGAGTCGGGGGGCAATTGAAGTATGGAGCTCGATTAGCTACCCCGAGTAGAGGCGACAAGATCGACAGCCGAAAGTGGAGCGGAGGCCTGGAAGGAAGAATAACGAAACGGGCGAGAACCCGTGAACTCGATATCGTCTCAAGGATTATCTACTCCCTATATCAGTCACAGCACGGTTTGTGCCTGTTGAAAGTCCCAGGTATTCAAGTGCCAATGATAACTCTGCAGGAGGGCGTTTTCAAGCCCTCGACTCGAAACAGAGCATGGGCGGGGGATGGCGGAAGAGTTTCGTCCACACTGATGCGATGATGAGATGTGCGAACGCGGTCGGACGGGAATAAGAAGCAGCAACGATGAAAGAAGTGAGAAAGCGAGAGGGGTATTCAATTGAGTTATATTCAAAAGAGAGGAAAGAGCTGACCAGCAGTTTCTCCCTTTTTTATGTTTCTCCCTGACTGATCAATTATTGACGGCAACTGCAGGTCCGAGGGTTGAAGCTCCGTCGGTGTCATTTCGCTGGCTGCCTGGCGAGCCTTCGACATCATCCATTTTCTGACTAAGGCAGGAACGTGGTCTAAGCGGGTAATTTATGTAATTTAGGATTTGTAATTTACCATACGAGAATGAAGACAACCATCTTATTGTCTTATTGATGGCAGGCTATCTAGGTATCCTTCACGTTGACCTTGGATGATTGTACACCAGGAAACGAACGAGACAAGAATTGACTTCTATCAGCGAGATGGACGAATGTCTTGCTCTGCATATCTCGGTAGATCTGCTGTCTCCAACTGTATGTGATTACTAGTCTAGAATCCCCCACATAGCCGTCGGTCTCTTCAGCAATCAGACCAGTAGAAGGACCATGAGGGTCAAAAAAGGGGGAGATGGAGATAATTGACAGCCCGACAGCCCAAAGGCAATTCTAACACCGGTTCGAGGTAGTGATTGTGGAGATAAAGAACAAACAGACCCGTCGAGTCCAGGTTAAACGTTAGTTGATAGGGCAGTCGGTGATTGGGAGAACCATTTATCAGTCAATCAACCAATAACCAAAGAATAAAGGGGGAGAGAGAGCTGGAGAGGGTGGTGATTAGAATTGGTTTGAAGTACATAGTAGGTACCTGCCGTACCTTAGGGGTCACTCGGTGGTTCCAAGTACCTCCGAGTACTCTTCTCCGTACTGGCGGGAATAATCACTGGCTGAACTTCCCCCATTTCATTCCCAATCAATCCAATCCATCTCTCTCCCTCTCTTTATTACCTCCTCCCCCTCTTCGTCCCCCCTCCTCTCTTCTTCCCCATCATCCCTTCTATCTCTCCCGCCGAACAAGCTTCGTGTGGTTCACACTCACTTTCTTTCATCCCTTTCTATTGTTTCTCTCTTTTTTATCGTTGCGCCGATCATATGGGAGAGCAGATGCGATGTAATTACCCGTGGAACCACAAGCTTGTTGTCCTGTCCCCCATTGAGCGTGCTAACCTCTTTCTATCTCAAAAGCCTCTCATATAATCCACAAAGAGTCGTCTGGGATTACCTCCAATAATGGATACTGTCCTGTGATTTCTGCAACTTTCCTCTCAGCTCCACGCCATCCGCTCAACTGCTGCCCCCGTCGAACCCGTAATCACTGATTACCCCACATCTCTCCTTCGCACCGTGTTTCCATCGCTTTCCAGCTGCGCTAGCCAACCACAACACCTTCTTTCACCATGATATCAGACGAACTCTTGGAAGAGTGTCTGCAGATCCTCCAAGACGAAGCTTTAGATGAGGAGGATCAGGCCGAGAAAGTCGAAGACTTTATTCGCGAAAAGACCTCATTATCTGGCCCAGCTCTGGAAAATGCCGTCCTCGACGTTCTCTGGCGCCATCGAAATCGCACACTACCTGATTCCTCACCACCACCTCCTCGTCATACAGTTATCCGTCGTTCGTCCCCCGCTCCTTGGCAGATGGCACGCTCAGCCACGCCCTTATCGCCGCATTCCAACCTAGGCACCAGTCCTGGAAGCACGTCATGGCTTCAGAGTTCCCGAGGGGGCTATCCACGACCTCCACTTTCCTCGACAGTATCACCGTTCACCTCACCGCGTCCGTCGCCCCGGCTTGCCCTGGCCCAGCCTATACCTCATTCTCCGAACTTGAATGCGTACGAATTCTCCGACCAGAGCCACGTGTCGGACTTTTATGGAGATTTTGGCAGTGATAGCAATGTGGATTGGTTGGTCGCGGATGATGCCAACAGTGTCGCATCATCCTTCGGCACGCCCAGTAGTACGGCCGCATTAAGTGCGACAGCACCGGAGTTTGTTCCTGATATGAGCCCGCACGACATTCTGCGCACTGTTCTTGGGGACAAACGGACAAATGATGAAATAGAAGCAGCCTTGGAAGCGAACAGCTATGATCTCGGAGCGACAATCGCATCGCTTTCACAATTTCCAGACGGAGAAAACTTGGTAAACCCAGCGGACGATAGCCATGTCGTGGTGGGAAAGTCGATGTCCATGGAACAGTCGAAATCTTCCAGTCCGTCCTTGCAGAGTCGCAGTCCGGTGGTTTGCAAATACTGGCTGTCCACCGGACAATGTCTTCGTGCCGATTGTCGATTTAGTCATGATCTCACCAATCACCTTTGCAAGTGAGTTGTTATCATCATAGCGGCTGGTTTGCCGAGGCTCCTCGAACTAATGGAACGTAGGTATTGGGTGATGGGAAATTGCCTTGCAGGCGACGGCTGCCCATTTTCCCATGACCCGTCAGCCCTGGTTGCAAACATGAGCCTGGGAGACGGTAGCCAAACAATTCCAACCGGCCCGCAGTTTCACATTGAGAATGTTTCAGACGCGTTCCCCCCTCTCCAGTCGGCGGGCGGAGATCAATGGAGTGGCCAGTACCTCGGAAAGTATCCCGGCCACCTATCGGGCCTTTCGGCGGGGAAGCATTCGCCGCAAGCCATGCAGTATGCCATGGGAAAACGTAATGGGAGCATGACGAGCCTTTCTCGCCCCCATTCTCGGCCCGGAAGCCGACACCAGCATAGGGAGTTGAATCCTGCTGCTCTGTCGGTGGATGATCCAGATGCATTTCCTACTTTGGCTGCCATGAGTGCGAGGAATAGTGGGAAGAAGCATCATGGAAAACGAGGCATGCATAATCGTGAAAACAACCCCAGTAAGGAAAATCTTCCCGCTTCCTTGGCGGATGTTGTTCGTATGTCACCATCACCAGTACCGGGAAAAGGCAAATCCACATTGAAGAATGGTAAGGATGCAACTAGAGGCCGGGAGTTTAGCGCTGCTGCCCAGTCAATCCCAGCGCCGCAGAATATTCCATGGCTGGAGACAGGAGCCCGGGCCAACGAACAGTATATCAAGTATCGGACAAAGGCCATAAGCCATGGTACGGTGCGGAACAAGTTTCTTCAAGGGTAAGTCTGCCGAATATGTCAAGACGGCCCATGAAAACTAATTCAAGTCAGTGCTGCCCAAGCCTGGAATCGAAACGATGCCCGGGCAGCCAAAGCATTGTCACTACGGGGTCAAGCGGAGAACGAAGCAATGAGGAAGTGTCATCGCGAAGCAGCCCGGCAACTTTACGAAGAACGAAACAAGCATCTATCTCATGCTGGCTTAGAGGATTTATCAGAAGAACTATACGTTGATCTGCACGGACTGCACCCTGAAGAAGCAATCGAATATTTAGAGAAAATTCTGTTGAAACATGCTCGTGAAGGTCGGAAAGTCGTCTATGCCATCACTGGCACGGGCCATCATTCGAAGAATGGAAAGGATAAGATTGGCAAAGCCGTCAAGGCCTGGCTGAACGAATGGAAGTATCTTTTCCGCGAATTTAGCGTTCCGGGCGAAAGAGGTGGGTATGTTGGGGGAATCTTAGGCATCGACCCTACGAGTTATGACAAGAGCTTGGCCAAGAGCCTTGAAGAGGGTGCCGAAGGGAAATCGGACGCTGATACCACCCCACCTGTGCTAACGATGGGTAAGATCCAGCTGTTGAAACGCGAAGACTTGGAGCCGAAGTCATAATTCATGCATCTTCATGGGGCCCCGGGTCTTGCTCCTCATGATATATAACGCGGTCTTTCATACCCATAAACTTCTCCTCTCTTTTACTCTCATTATCTTCTCGGTCACAGCTCAGCCGATACCTCTGGGAGGCGGCCGTGCTACACATCGGTGTTAGCCAAAGAGCAGCAAGCGAACCTGGAGCAGAACACTGCCCCCTTGCGCAAGGAGGGATGCCACGAGCAAGTTGGGAGAGCCATAGGCAAGAGCTTGATTAGACCTTCTCTTTTGACCATTCCTCATGTAGAGCGTTTAGCCAACCCATCTGTTCTAGCGTGCTTTTGCTTTACCATTCTTACCATGCAGACAAATCCGACCTTACGCCGGACGGGGTAGGCTATGCTAGATATGGAAGAATACTTAACATGTATATATACTTTTGAAAGCATACATGTATGCATCTAATCCAGCCATGACGCCAACAGAAGATATCCTGTTCCTTTCCGAATGGGTCGAGCTATTTACTCCGGCTCCTGGCCCTTCCACTTCTCCTTAAGCTCTCGCACGTTGAAGCCGCACGCTTCAGCTCTCTTAACCACACCCCTTGCCTTCTCCGCCACCGGTACATCAATCATCTTCCCATCCAGGGTCCACGCCCCGCGTCCGGCCTTCGCGGCCTTTTCGTCAGCGATACACACCCGCATCGCCCACTGGACCTCCTCCGGATCCGGCCCAAAGATCCGCTGCGCGGTCTCCACCTGCGACGGATGGATACACTGCTTTCCGTTGAAACCCAATCGACGCCCGTCACGACACTCCTCCTCCAACGCCGCGGGAGGTGATCCGTCTCCCCTGGTCGACTTATAGGCGGTGCACACCAGATCGATCGTCGAGGGGAGTTCGGCCGCGCGCGCCGCAGTGGCGATCATGGACCGCGCAAACAAGAACTCCGTGAGCGAAGGGGTACGTGTGAGGCTGAGGTCCAATGCAAAGTCCTCGGCCGCGAAGATCAGGCCCTGAAGGAGCGGGGTAGAGGCGCAGATCTGGGTTAGGTTGGTGAGGGATTTGGCAGATTCAATCAGGGCAAGAAGGGAGATGGGGGGTCGTTGGGCATGTTGCGGTTGTTGCGGTTGCTGCGAGAGGGTGTGGTTGATTACGTCGGTGACGAAGGTTAGGTCGGAGGGCGAGTTGACTTTCGGGATGACAATTGTGGTGAGGTTGGGGGATTGGAGCTGTCGCGGATTTGATTGTTGACGAGGTTAGATAGGCTGGTTCAGATGATGAAATAGGGTGTTGAAGGTGCGGAGGAGACTGACTACTTCGGTGAGATCGCCCAGGGCTAGTCCACTGTCCACAGAGTTGATGCGCACGGCGCGCTCGCGGATGCCCTCTGGCGCGGGCTGGTCCAGAGCTCTCCGCACTAGTGAGCGGGCTTCCGCTTTCATGTGCGGAGTGACGCTGTCTTCGAGGTCATAGGCGACACAGTCGGCGGTTAGCGTGCGGGATTTGTCGATAAAGCGCTGCGAGGAGCCGGGGACTGTTTGATCAACTTAGTGACAGGATTGATGGGGTTGTGCTGGCGTGAGTAGTGTAGAAAGTGTGGACATTTTCCCGAGGAAAATGCGGGGAGAGCTCGTGTGGCTTGGCGATTAAGTGCGATTGAACATACTGTAGAGAAGAGCTCGACGGAGCGTGTTGCGGGCTGCCATTGTGAGGGAGAGTGGGGGCTTGACCGTTATCTGTCAATGCTTCGGAGCGCAAATTCGAATACGCGAGGTCCTTATGGTGGGTGTAGAGAGAGGGAGAGAGAAGAATTGAGGAGGATCTGGACTGATGGACATCCTCGGGTTGCTGGCCGCAGCGCATAAAGGCTTCTCCCGCCGCCAGGAACTCCTTTATCAGTCCAATGACCTCATTCATCAGGGTGGATCACTCATGCACGGTCCGCCATGAACGGACTCTGTCCCCTCCTTGCGTCTTTTCTGCATTTCTTTATGCGATGATGGGCTATCCAGAGAAGACCTGAGCTAGAAGCGCCGTTCTGTCGCCGTAATGGAGCGCGTGGAGCGAAAATCATCTGGCCCATTTGGAGAAGAGAATACTAGCAACCATTCATATAGCCGGCGGTGGCTCCGCATTCTGCCAGATCCCACCGCCCGGTCATGGAGACACGCAAGCATCAACGCATTGAGCACATTCCTGCTTCATGTCGCGTATCATACAGCTTGACTGTTGTCCCACTCTCCTTGACCCGCCATTTGAAACCGCCTGAAGAGCTGCTTGACTCTGGAGTCTGCACTCAGTCATCATGGAACAACAACCCCTCCAACCGCAACAGGGAGACTTGAACTGGCGCCTCAGCGCCCACCCGATCACCCTCTTGTTCTTCCTTGGCTTCCGCATCAGTGCTTTGTTGATGTACCTCTTCGGGGTCCTCTTCATCAAGAATTTGTACGTCCCAGACAAACTTGCCCCTGCTATGTCGATGTTCACGTCTGCGACACAATCCCACCTGTAACCGGCGAATTTGCCCTTGGTGGGCCAAGCTACCGAGTTATCTGACTGATCTCAATTGAACAGTGTCCTGGTTTTTATCCTCACGCTCCTGCTCCTCTCCGCGGACTTCTACTACCTCAAAAACATTGCTGGGCGCCGACTAGTCGGACTGCGTTGGTGGAACGAAGTCAACACTTCGAGCGGCGATTCGCACTGGGTCTTTGAGTCCTCGGATCCTACCACCCGTACGATCGCCGCTACGGACAAGCGCTTCTTCTGGCTCAGTCTGTATGTGACTCCCGCGCTGTGGGTTGGCTTGGCTATCCTGGCTATTGTTCGTTTGAGCAGCCCGATCTGGCTGAGTCTGGTTGGTAAGTGTTGCCGCCCCTAGTTTCCAGCTCCTTACACGAGGTTATTGACTTGCTGTAGCTATTGCTCTGGTCTTGACTATCACGAACACGCTGGCTTTCTCCCGGTGCGATAAGTTCAGTCAGGCATCTACCTTTGCCAACAGTGCGCTCTCCGGGGGCATTGTGAGCAACCTTGCGGGAGGACTGCTGGGCAGACTCTTCAAGTAAAATCGGCGCGTTTCGTACTGTGTATGATCTCCGTCTGTCTATTAGCATCTTTATATTCCTGGCCTCTATGTGTGCGCAATTAAAACGCGCGGATCAGGGTGTAAGCAATCTTGATGGTCAGTTGAAAATTGCATTTAACAAACGGTTTAGATTCTTTATCGTTCTGTATACATGGCGTAGCTGCGCAAGTCTCGGTAGGGACTACGGCACCCCAGTGTTTGAATTCTGCGCGACATGCCTAGCCTTGTAGCGCAATTGAGCTAGATGATAACATGTTCATACCCTGTTCGCCTCCCTGTCAAGCGTCCGTAGGACGTTCGTAAATCCCGAGAATTAGGTTGATAGCAGAAGCCATTGTGAAGACCAACATGTCACTCTGTCAAAACCGAATGTTTAGAAGGCGTGACGAGGAAATTTGGTCCGCAGTTACAGCATTGCATACATAAATCATACTGCCATAGTGTCTCTTCGATGGGTCATCAGTACTTGAGATGATTGACCTTCTCTATAGTTTCGCTTATGTATTGAGGAGTTTAGTCTCTCCAACCATGATGTTTGCCAACGTAAGCCTGATTAGACTTGACAGTTACAAGACGATCACTTTTTCAAAGACTAACGAATGAATAGCCTGCTGACCTGCTGAGTCATTTCCTCATACAGCGCAGAAAATGGTCTCAAATAAGTTCACATCATGTCAAGATATAATCAAGTCAGAAAGAGAATGATGCCTTAAGATCTTACTCCCTCTTTAACTTTGGGAACCAGTTCTTCAGGTCTTTCTTTTTGATTTTGTTTGTGATTGAGACATGAGATTTACAGCCTAGTTCAGAATGTGGCGATGTCCTACAGATATGATATGTTGTTAATTGATGTAGCATTTTGTTACTGTTAAGGACATTTCAGCATTGTGAGATTTAAGTATTTCATCAACATATAATGTTCTATCAGCTGAATCCTTCGACATGTTTGAGTTCTCAAAGACAAATGTGAGGTGAATCTCAGACCATTCTTCTAATCCAAGGTTACTTCCTATCACCTGCGAAGTTGCCTTTCTTACATTTGCTATCTGCACATTTGTGATCTGTCACCCTTTCCCTTAATATGAAGGGAATAGAATGAACAGTCTGATTGCTTTGTTTTCATTGACTTGCCAGGGGTTTCTTCAACCCTTATTCTGTCTTATTGTCTGGTTTCTCCACAACTTTCCGATCTCATCTATCGGACGTGCAACGGGCTACCTTGTTGATATGATGGCTGTTTAGGATGTCTACAACAGCAGTCTCACCTCAAACAGCTCCTTTGCTTAGTACACAACTGTGTTAGCTTACTCGTGGTTTGTGAGATCTAAACACAAGCTCTACAGTTAGGGGTTGTTTTTCATTTATTTACTCAGTGACATACTCTTTGACTAGTCTGCAACTCACTTCCAGAAAGTTGCCAATCTTGTCTAACACAACTACCTATCGAGCATTATTGCTGCGGAATAACCAGTACTTGCTGGTGTAATCATCCATTTATTTCATCCCTCTAACTGTCCAACACCACCTGATACGCGTCTGCTTTTCAATAATAGGATATTTATATCCCCACTATCACCACGGTGCCTGACTGAACAAGAGCCTTGCGTGATCCACTCTTCTTACCAAGTCACAAGCTGTCACTTCTACACTCTTCCTTCCCAAATCATATCCCTCAAGTGCCTGAAATCGAATTTTCTTATGCAATCGCCAGACACGCCCAAGAAGATGACTCCGGCCCGCCTGTGGAGTGAGGCTGAGAAGAGCCGTCTGCTAGAGTCACGAAAGCGAGATATCCGTTTAACGTGGGCAGAATTCCAAAAGGTACTTATTAACTCTCAAAAACGAACTTGATCTTCACTGACGCCCAATTCCCCTTCCACCAGCGGCACTTTCCTGAGCGGACCATCAACGCAGTCCAATCAGCTTATGGAGTAACGCACTACATGTTAATTCATGCTTCCAGATTTTCTACTAACATCCTCTAAGATTTATTCCCGAGCAGAAAAGGAACCTAAGCAAATGGTATTCATGAATCCATCTCCACTACTCACATCGATCGCTGCTAACATTTCGTCACTATCTCTAGGTTGCGCAGAATAAACCGAGTCCGGCATCCAGCATGGGCAAAAAGCGTCCCATTACTCGCTCAGGATCCCCGGAGAGCTGCGGTGATCCGAAAAAGACCAAGACAGTCTGTGGCTTCGAGTAAGAACCCTATACATCGTTCTCTTCTAGCAGCCATAATGACAGGACACCAGCGACTTCTCAGAAGACGAGGACGAGTCATCCAATCAGCTTTTTGTCGAAGAGCAAACCTTTGTCAAGGTAAGCATGGGGCAATCACACTATATTTGAGACCATGAAGGTTAACCTTTCTCTGTATCCGTATCAGGCTCAGAACTCAGACAAACGCGATACCACAAAGACGACCAAGGCTGTCAGTCCGCCACTAACTGATAGATCCTCGGTCAACAACGCAGGCATGCCTGATCTGCCAGAAGATATACGGATCTTCGAGAGAATCATCAACGCGTTCAAGTCACAGAGGCAGACGCTTATGGATACAGAGACCAAGCTAAAGGAGGTCGAGGGAGAGCTCAAGGCCTTGAAGATGAGTAGCATGATCGATCGCGGCCAGTCTCAAGTGACAGTGAATGAATTGACAGAAGAGGTTTCCAACCTCAAGAGGGAGCTTCTGCAAGTCAAAACCGAAAAGGAAGATATGACTCCCGATAAAAAAGACAACTGTGAGCGTTGTGCCCAGTTGGAAGGCCAGCTCAATCAGATCGTCGCAAATTTTCGGCCTCTTCAGAACTAGATATGCTGATGCAAAGGAGTTATTTGGAGATGTTATTGTTAGGGGAGGGCATAGATACTCTGGTTTGATCTCTACCTGTTGCTCTGGATTCTGATTTCATGATTTTCGCGTTATTTTTCACAATCCCTGGGAAAGTCTTGATGAAATGTTGATAAAGCAATTTATATAGTGGAAGGGGTTGTACTATCACAAATTTCAGCTGCAACATTCACGCCATAAAAGTGGTATTAGCGAAGGATAAGACAAATAGTCCAGCAGATCACGAAGAGGAATGGATGGCAGCAGTTGGGGATGCTTGCCTTATTTGCTTCGTTTGTCTGTGTTCCCACTGGTTCCTGTCTCTGTCTCTCTCTCTGTCTGCACTTTCTTCACTCTCTTCCCATTCTCTTCCCACCCCCAACACCCGCATTGTCTCTGACCCCCGAGTCTCCCTTTTCCCTCTCCCATCCCTTCCCCTTACTCGTCATATCTTCTCTTCTGATCGTTTGTCATCCGATTATTTCCCATTCAAGCTTGGACTCATCTCCATTGCCCGTGTTCATACTAAGAATCATCCACTACTACTCGATCCTGATCTCCAGACCATAGGTAAGTTGATTGTTCGACCAAAATCTCGGGAATAAAATGCTTTTGTGGAATGTTTTGAAATGCCATTTCTCGAAGGGACTCAAGGCCTTATTCGCAGTCTCCAGCCTCACCTCATGCAAATGGAGACTCAACCTACCCGTGTTCCCCTTAGCAGACACAAACTGTTTTGCTTCAAATGACTAAGTCTATAAGTGCTTCGCAGGTTATCCTACTCTGGTAGCAGCCGGGCTATATACCAAAGATGGATAGCTGGAACGATAGAGACTGGAACGACGAAGGCCGTGACACCGGTTAGTGAGCCATACCCAATCTTGAGCTCTCTTAACACACAAAACTCGAGACAAGCGTGCTTCAAGATCATTCAGCAATATTACAGCCCCATGTGAGAGAGCTACTAATGTACTTGAAGGTTACGGTAACGATGAAAATGCTAGCCCCGGTGGTTACATCTCTGCTCCTTATGCCGAAGTTGGCTATGACTCTACGTCTGCTGCCGAAAATGACAACAGGTGCCGCAAGTAAGCGCTCACACCTATGCTTTTGACTTAGTAGAATTCTCTGACACTGAACTTTGTACTTGGTAGCTGTGGGGCCGATAATCACTTTGCGCGTATGTGTCCCGAGCCTAGGAAGTCTATGGGAGTTTGCTTCAACTGTGGCGAGGACGGGTAAGTCAAGAAAATGCGATGATACTTCGCTGGCTAATGTGACGAGAACCAGGCATTCCAAGGCCGATTGTACCAAGCCCCGCGTGTTCAAGGGTACCTGTCGAATCTGTAACCAGGAAGGGCACCCTGCCGCCGAGTGTCCTGAAAGACCACCTGATGTTTGTAAGAACTGCAAGATGGAAGGTACAATGAATCAAAATCTTCCAAAGTCGACCAGTCATGTGGACTGATGGGACCATTCTTAATCAGGACACCGTGCCATGGAATGCAAAGAAAATCGTAAATTCGACTTCAACGATGTTCCTGACATGTATCCCGAGGAAACTTGGTCCGTACTGAAGAAAGCTAGCGATGAGAGAGACCTGGAAGATTTCCGTACAGTAAGTTTTGCAATTACTTACTAATATCTTTACTCTCACTCTTCCACCATCCTTGGATCATTAGATCATACATGAGCCACACTAATTCATACTCGGGTATCAAAACTTTTTCGAAAGCGGTTCCAGATGCTACTTTTGTGGACATCGAGAAGAGGATGCGTGAGGAGAATCTCAACTTCTATATCGTCGGGCTGGTACGTATATTCTAGAGCCTGCTTGTTTAACCCCAAAAGCTCATGTGGTCATCGGATGGTTCAGGAGCGAGAGGCAAACGATTGTATCAGCTTCATCAATCTTCAAGGCAAGTTGGATTGCACGTACGTGGTTGGGTTCTTCTACAGTCCTAAGCCACAGCGCGCACATCTCAAAGAGCGTTGGCCGTCTAGCATCGAGGAGAACTACGAACGCCTTGCAGATGCTGGCTTCCCTCTCGATCGTCAAGTCCCTAAGTGCGCCAACTGTGGTGGTAAGTGAATCCTCATTTTGAAGGTATATCTGCTGACATGGTTCAGAAATGGGTCATACTGTCCGTGGTTGCACGCAAGAACGAGCCGAGTACGAGCGGGTTGAAGTGAAATGTGTCAATTGCAATGCTGTCGGCCACCGTGCCCGTGACTGCACCGAGCCTCGTCGTGACAAGTTTGCTTGTCGCAACTGCGGGTATGTATCTTATCACGATTCCAATGAGATGGAGGGACTGACAGCTGCAAGTTCATCTGAGCACAAAGCTGCTGAATGTCCGAACCCTCGCTCAGCGGAGGGCATGGAATGCAAGCGTTGCGGCGAGAGTATGTCACTCATCTAACCTACTTGCCCAATCGCGAATCTAACAAACTTAGTGGGGCATTTCGCGAAGGACTGCCCTCAAAAACCAGAGCCCAGAACCTGTCGCAACTGCGGGTACGCATCACCTTTGCCTGAATGGTATATGTCATACTAACTGGACAGATCCGAGGATCATATTGCGCGTGACTGTGACAAACCTCGCGACGTCTCGACCGTTACTTGCCGTAACTGCGATGAAGGTATGGTTATCAGGTAGTCTCCTATGTTACGCTCGCTGACTCCATGACCCAGTTGGTCACTTCAGTCGGGACTGTACTAAGAAGCGAGATTACTCTCGAGTCCAGTGCCGCAACTGCGGTGAGAGTAAGTCTCCATCCCTACAATCACAAGACGGGTCGCTGATCAACTAACCTATCTTATAGTGGGCCACACCGTCAAACGCTGCCCCAAGCCTCCAGCCGAGGAGTCCTTTGGTCAAGCAGATGTCGAAAATGCCAAAAGCGAGCCAACTGAGCCCGGTCCTTGGGTTTCTGGAGGTGGAGGCGGTGATCACGCGCTCGCCGCGGTCGAAGAATCATATGATGACAATAACTGGAACAGTGGTAGAGGAAGTGGTGCCGCCTGGTAATGCCGGGCATCATTCGAAATATGCAAAGGGCAAACAGCGAGCTTACTCGTGCGATAATGTTCAATGTCTTAGAGATGCGGTGGTGGCCTGTTCAGAGGTTAACAAGCTTGGATGTCTGGATCTGGTCGATGAGCAAGTTCTTACTAGCTTGACCTTGGATCTGGCGCCTAATCTTGATGACCTTTGATGCTATCATCTATCGCCATTCTGTGCCTGTTTTTATGACAATTACGGTGTGTTTCTGGTTCTTATTGCATGTTTGATCAGCATATCTGGGAAAGCCAGTTCTACTTTCGGGTTTGTATTCGGATCGATGGAGCCACCTTTTTGTCTTCTGATGAAGTGACGAGAAGAGGATCCATTGGACGAATGGCCCGTGGTGGTGGCATCGACGAATGAAGACTGTTTAACATGCATGCTATATTCAAAAGCCAACTGAGGAAGTAGTCATCGTAGTTGCGTTGATCAGAATAATTCAACTCTAGCCATAATCTAATTATTATACATAGATAACCACATCATGTTACGGACGTAAGGCTGGTCTAATCTATATCAAGCAACATCTAAACGCTCAAAACACCATCATAAATATACCCACCCCAGGATAACGAGCCCAGATATCGCTAAACCACACAACAACATACCCAGAACATATCTTCAAAGACGAGATCAAGAAATGATGAAAGAGGTGAAAGGATGGATGGAGATGGGGCAGAATCCTCCCCTTCAATTCTTCTTCCCGCTCTTCACCAGCGACGCCAAGCTCCACTTCTTCACGCGGAAGACATAATACAACAGCACCGCGGCGGCGATATCGGAGACGATGTAGGCCCAGAAGATGCCAAAATTGCGCCAACGCTTGCTGTAATAAATGTTCACGCCGGCCAGATACTGATCAGCGGCGGACATGGAGCAGTAGCGGCAGTCGGCGGTGGCGTCGGGGTTCTCGAGGTAACCTGCAGCAGTCTGGAGGTAGTCACTGAGGTAGGCGCCGCAGGTTTCGTTGGCGGGGGGATTGAAGATGGACATTTCGGTGCTGCTGCACTGGACGGCACGGCCGTGCAGCTGGGTGGCGGTGACGCCGCCGACCCAGTAGGTGAAAGGTGAGACGCGGTACATAAAGATCCAGAAGCCCGGGAGAGCGGAGGGAGTCTGCATGACGCCGTTGAAGGTGAGGGCCATGGAGAAGAGGAGGGTGACGATGGCGCTGGCGGTCTCGGCGTCCGGGAGGGCGGCGATGCAGAGGTCGGCGAAGGTGCTGGCATAGATGAAGAACTGGATGCAAAACAACAGCACCAGCCCCTGGCGGGCGGAGGACTGCACGCCGTCGACGGCGTACTAGTAGCAGGCGTAGACCAAAGCAGCAACTCTCCACTTTCTAGCACGCCATCAAAACCTTGTAAAATCTGCTTGGCATTTTTGTGGCCGAGATTAAACGTTTCACGCGGCCTGAGAGGTGCTGTGAACAAGCCAGACACTGTCTGCTGAAGTTGCAGTGCTGACCCAGTGCCAGATACTCGAAGGTTCTCAAAGTAAATGGCCGCTTTCTTCTGTGATATGCCTCCCTCGTTGGTCAGTTGTACAATCTTTCGAAGCCATTTGTAAAGATCGAAGTCTTTACTGTCAGGATTGAGTACGGGGTCATTTGTGGATATGTTGGCCAGGGTATTGACTCGAGAGATGTTCTGGTCGGCGCTGACGAGCTTGGTCAGATATGCTTCGTCATCAGGGTTCAGCGATGCACGGTGATTAGTTGTGGGGAGTCGGTTCTGTTCAATTTCGGTTTCGGTAGTTGAGCTTGTGGAAGAGATAGAATGGGCATGACGTTGTTCAGGTTGATCAGACATAGTAGGGGAAGTCCGCGGTTGGGATTGTGATTCCAGCAGATATCTTTCATGGTTGCCTGCATGGAGCTCTGACTCCTGTGGCCCTGTATTTTCAGCCATGTTGTGTCAGAATGATGTCCAACATGTGAATTGAATGGAAGAACCGAATTCAGGAAGGGAGAAGGTCTCGATTTAAGAATGAACTAGGCAGCCAGAATCAGTTTCCCACATACTGTCCAAAATGAAGTATACATGAGTTATGCTACATGCACACTATGCTTCATAAGCGGAGTGGAACCGAAGTTGACGTTCAGAGGGCGCTCGGAATCTCCGCTGAAACCCAGCCGAGAAGAGACTGTAATCATGGTGGTCCCTAAGAAACCGTTGCCTCATCATCATCATGGAAGGTGGGTTAAACTATGGGTCTTGGAAAAGCAGATCGTTGGCAGGTGGTGAATCTAGTGATATCAGAATGGGCCCGGAAGGGCGGAAGGCTGCAAAACCGGGCCCCCGTCTTAATCGGATGCCTCGACTCCCGTTGCTTGTCCAGGCACCCCAGACACTCCAGACACTCCAGGTACCCCGGAATGCTGGCAACCGGTCAGATTCTGCCCCACAGAACCATGAATCCTTGATGATAAATCAAGTATGATTAAGCGGATAAAGCTGTCACGGTGTTCCGTCAGGATCGACTACTGTGTATGAAGGATCCGACAAGAGCTGTACTGACTTGGTGAGAGTCCAGCAGCGGATCGCCACGGATCGCCATCCCAGCATCAAAGATTCCTTCCATGCAGATCGTCGAAACTGTGATCAGTAAGAGACCATGGGCGCTAGCGGCTTCTGTAACCGCTATGATTCTGAAAATCCGAAGGCAAGAAAAGCTATAGAATCCAGTACTGTTGGATCGTGGATGGATCTTCCGCGTGTAGTGCCTTGTCATCTGATCGAGCACAGTGCCCCTAATAGGTAGTGACAGATCTATCAGGATCAATAAATGTGTTGGGCCCATGGATTTCAGATCATCTGGCCGAAGATTCCTCACTGCGAACCAAGTGCAAATTCCGGCGAGTCACTGATGAAACTATACATAGATCAGCTTATTCTCTTCTAGAGAGTGCAGGATATGAATACGAACTTAGACTCTTCTCTAGTACCTCTGAATAATTTCATGGTCCGAATATCCAGATATTTTTATGACGGTTGGGGGAGTCTCTCGCCAATGAGGTCTCAACTATCGTGATTGTTCAGGAAGGGGACTCGGATCGTGACCCGGAAAATCCATGCATTTAGCCCCAGTGGAAGAGAATCTGTGTTGCCGCTCAATTATGGTCATTGGGTCCTCTCTATTGATCTCATGGCACGTCAAAAGCTGAAAGGGACACTCAAGCGCTTAGATTTATGTCGTGTACATCGGTTCGGTTATATTAATACGGCTTGCGGACGGTGTGTGAGGAACCCTCAACGCTGCTACGAGGCCAAGCTAACGCAGGTGTCAAGCTATGTAATCAGCGAGTACAGACTCTCCAGAAAAAGGCATTACTCGGCTGAGCACTTTATGTGTCTGGCTGTAAGCATTTTTCCTGCTCGAAATCTCGCCGTCAGCTTGCGAACATAGGCTCTAATCTCATTATCAGACGAATTCGGAGCGATGATGCTCTGTCCCATGAGCGAGATTCCTCATGTCGGGAAAACCCGCCGTACCTGATCACATTTGCTACATTTTTGCTAAGATCCGCCTGAGTAACCAAGCTCAAGTCTGTCAATGCTTTCCTCGGCCTATATTTTCCGCAATGATGCCTTGGCACTTCAGCACTAGCCACATGAGCTGCCTTTCTGCACGACCTTGCAATGTTTCAAAATCGAAAGGGACATGATTCATGTTGACTGTTCTAGCATCGCACACAAGAGTTGTCATTAGTGTTTTCTTATCTGGATACCTGCCGCCATGTGCGGGCCGGCGCTGGGTCCACGGCTTCTGCCTACAGTGTCGATGAATGGTAGCAGTGATCTCTTCCTGCATGTCCATGCAACTAGTGACTAGGTAGTACTTGCATCAGATAGAGACACCCTATATGGGGAGTTATATCGATGATGGCTTACGGTGGTTGGCTGATAATGTCTCTCTGTGTCTGCCGGAGACCTTGAAGCAGAATATTCTTTCTTTGAGTCAATCCCCATTATTTATCCGCCCGTGCACGGGTTGCCAACAGAACAGGTCGGACTTGCCTTCTTGGTGACTTTGATAGTGACTAGTTTTGCTGTTGCAATCACAGGGCCACATTACGGATGTGCGTCCCATAGATCCCGGTTTTGCTATTACCTCGAATCCGGGGCGATTTCTACATGGTTCTCAAGATATAAACCGTCGAGTACCTTTAGCTGACCGACGGCATAGGCGGGACCGTTCTTCATAACGACATCTTCTGGCCTATTGGCCTGTTTGCAGTGTTTCTCTATGCGTTTGAACCTTCCTGGTGCTGCAAAGCCTATCCTTCTACATCATATTGGTGTTCTCATCCTATGTCGCATCCAGGCGGCACAAGGTAAGTCAATCTCTCACCCTCTATCCCTCCAATTCTCCGTATAGAAAGACAACTAACCATTTTGCTCTTCAAATGCAGCAACAAGATCACAGAAACCTCTCTTCCATGGCCCTACCCGCTTCCCAGTCACCCAGCACGAGACACAAGACAGCTATCCGCCTGACCGGCGACCCAATAACAAAGACACCCACCCAACTCCACCATGGGAATGAGCACGACACCCATCTGTTATCAATTCGAGACGTCACCCCATACACCAGCTACCAGACACGCAACTCCAAACCGATAAGTTATTGCCTTTTCAGAGAAAAATGAGCAAGAAATCCCAACTGCGTAAAGCTCTCTGCCTATTGGCCTTCCTCTCCTTTCCCCTTTTTGCTGGCTCGTAGTTGTCTACTATTCAATCATCACATTCATCAATCGCACTAATCTCCTCCTGGCCTTCTCCTTGATTCCGAGAGTCTTTCTTAGCTTGGCTGCTGCCTCACCTCTATCGTGTACTTTGACTTTTAACCACAAGATCCACCCTCCAATCCTGCCCAAACGAAACCAGATCAACCCTTCCAACCGGTCACGAGAAGATAACCTCAAGCCAAGAACCCATTGCAGAACCTTCTCAGCCTTATCTTCTTCTCGGCCTAGAAGCCCAGAAATGTTGGGGTCTAGAACCAGACTCCTTCGACCTCAGCATCCCGGAGCTGCACTGCACCTTCATATTTCCACATGGTCAAACCCGAGATAGAGAAAGGCCCGCCGCAACCTCCTACCCCCTTGCAGCTGCTCTCCCGGATCAAGTTCCCAGCTTTCCTCGTCCTCGAACTCAGCCACATCGGATCTAGCTACTTGTCTTGTCTAGGTCTAGACCTCACTTGCACCCCCTTGCAGGCAGCAAGGGGGATCATACCAGTCGGATATTCCCGCCAGTCACCTGGACTCAGAGGCCTAGACCCAGGATCTATTGAAAAAAGGAAGGTGGAAGAAAGCTCAAATGATAAAGTGAAGAATGAGTGAACTCTATCTCGACTATCGTGGTTTTCTGCATGTCGGGTCGATCCTTAGGAGTTATTCGCAGCCACTTCAAATAGACTAAAAGTAGACCGTCACACGAAACCTTTGTCTCCCGATCCACATGAATCTCGTTCAACTGTTAAAAATCAGTCCCCATCCCCCTGGATTTGCCTTGGGATATTGGATGTCCGTAGGCACGATTGACCACGTGGAACGGAATACTAATTTGATAGGCATATTGAATCTTCTGCATCCTAGTGAAGAATGATGACTGATTGGCAAAGTAGGCAGCGAGTACCGACCACAGGAGAGATACCGTCTTCACATCCACTTCGCACTCAGAACAGGAAATGCGGCGGCATATACTCTTGGTACTTGAGCATTCGCTCTGCCCATTGAGGGTCCTCCGGTCCAGATATGGCGGAGGCTCCGCAAAAGCTGTGGACCCAGCTCCAGTTGCACTTGGAGAAGGGTCAGGCTCGCAGGTGTTATTTCACAGTAGCCATTAATGCAGCTGGTCAGCGGCGACGACCACGCTGCAACAATGTGGAGGCGAATCAAGACTTCCACATTGGGAAGGTGCACTTCTCACTGACTGGAAGTCCTTCACTGGTAAGTACGACACATAGCACCTGCTGGCCTTGAGATCCAGTCCTGTTAATCAGCCATGAGAAAGGCTTTGCATTCCAGTTTCATTCCCAGAGCATGAGAACAGATATGCATGGACTGTCAAAATGAAATTCTTCTGACAAACTAAACAGTCCGTCCAACAGCAAACAGATTATAAGCTTCTTTCTGCCCTATTGCACAGATTCCGAATTGTTACCTATACATCTTCATGGATGACTAGTGATGGTTTAGCAGGGAGGTACTTCGGGTCTCAGAGCAGATCTACTGCGTAGTGATGTATCTGTAGTTATCTCCGGCGATTAATCAGACGCTAATATCATCTGACTGTGGGGTCGAAACCAAATGACGTCACTTTCAGGCCGCACTGACCCGTTCGGCCTCAAAAGACGGGGGAATCATCCTGTTTTCCCATACGCACCCCCACTCCCCCCGCGCGGGGAATATCCAGGAAATCTCCTACGGAGTCACGGACAATTCCCTCAAGCCACTTAGCTCGGTGGCTGACTGTAGCAAGGGGACTCGACAAATGGATCTGAGGTCAAGGAAAGTTTATCGTGACCTCCGAGCACGCCGATTTGATCTCTTACCGATATGGAACAAACAATGCATGTACTACACTATACCAAACTCTCGATGATCTCTGAGCATCCAGAAAATGTTCATACTCCACCTGAGCAACCCCTGCTCACAAACTGATTGCAATGAATCACAGAATCAAAACGAACCATTGGGAATTTTAGGATCATTACCGCCAAGTAAGCGCCAAAAAGTAGGAGGCTTGGCGGGCTCCACTTGAGGCTTTCGTTGGGTATACGGAGCACGGGACGAGAAGCACCAGGCTGTCGGGATATCTCGGTTATTGTTCACGACTGGGTTGAACTGCAGGGCTACTGATGCGATTGCAACTAAGTCAGGAGGTCAAACCTGTTGCCGTCGGGAGCTCCTCGCTCCTTGAGGGCAATGAGCTCCACGGCGGTAGAAACGTCGGTGTAGTATGGCTTAGGAGACGCGATTGGCAAATGTTAGACCGCAACGCGTGTGTAGACAGTCGTCTTCGGATTCGGGCTGGAAAGTCCAGTGTCCTGAGCGGATATGATCGGTGTGTACGGCGTAGATGTTATAGCAAGCGGGTCAATCATGCCATGTCTCTATCCGCTCGTGCATGACGGGTTATGATCACAGTACATGACGAGTATGTCTTTACATTGCTCTTAGTCGGGTGTAACATGACAGCGACATCTCTCGACCCGCATCTCTAGGTCCTCGACAGGCAAGGGAGTTGTTCCATAGCAGTAACATAGAGCTGAAATACTTGTCCTTTCACTAAGTGGAACTAACAGGTGAATGCAGAGTGACTAATCCATGCTTGATGTTCATGCCTCCATGTCGCCATTATTTTCCTGATCTGAGAAAAACATTTAGCCAACCGCCCAGAGCGAAGAATGGTTCAACACCTGCAGATACTGTTCATGGCAGATTGGTGATCAGCAACAGCTAACTTCTGCTTGAGAACGCGAAACGGGGAGTGGGAGAGGCCATTTCGTCGGGAAGGCGGGGCAAATCGTGATAATCCCCCAGGTTTCGGGTTCTCCTAATAGGGTAATCCGAGGTAACGCATGGACGGGGAAAACTGACTCGGCCACAACCGAATGGTTCGACTGTGGAGAAAACTGGAGAAACAGTGCCCTGACCGCGGCCTTTCTTGGCAGGCTAACTTGAGCAGGCTAAAATGCCGCTACGCAAGAGCAGCCCCTCTTGAGGTGTGCGCTTTTTATGCATTTGTAAAGTTGAGGAAGAAGTAAGCCGGGAATGGTGGGTGGCTTTGGACTGTACCTTCACAGTCGGCCAGTAAGAGGTGCGGGTAGCCCAGAAGAGGCTTACTTGCCGTTTTCTCCTCCGGACAAGCCGGCGGTTGGCGACGGCCGATTTATTTTGTGGTACATCTACGGGGTTAGTCGGTTGTATCCCTCTGTCTCGAACTGTATGATGAAGACTTGGTAGCTGGAACAAACAGGAGGACGAGATGATTAGAATGGTTCGAGGCCTCAAAAGGTGCCGCGGCACTGCTCTGGTACAGTATTCTCAGGTCCGGCCGATGTTTCGGAGGCGGGCTTTCGGCCCATCTGGGCGCCTCTTCCAGCATTCATCATCGGCAGGACCGGGCAGCCTCAATTCAAGGGCGACCACCACAGGGTTTCGTCTGGTTCACTGAGTTCTTCGATCCAATGCTTACCTTCCTCTTTTCAAAATTGGCTGATTCCGGGTCAATTCATCGCGAGCTGATCAGGCGACATTGTTTTTCCAAACCGGCTCTCAGTAAGCGGCATCCCGCGTCCTGGGTGGCCCAGGTGGAGATCGTCGATCACTCCAATTGGACATTTATGCAGTTAACGAGTATAAAGAAATGTAGTTCACGAGTGTAACAGAACGACCGATACTGGAGTATATTTGCCGACTAAAAGTCGACGAGAAAGACAGACTTGTTCGGAGAGGATTCGATCGGGACTAGTACACAGTAAGACGGCCCAAGAGTCTCGTCGACGAGAATATTACGGAACCAGAACAACACAGCGGCCGCCTGCATGAGCCTCAGTTGCATTTCAGATGGCGGATTTATTATCACTTGCGGTCAGCTTCTAAATCAGAAGGAGAAGGAGTGGTTCGAGGCCATAGTGCAAAATTTGCCTCCTTCTTGGTTGGAATTCTGCTTGTTTATCAAAAGGGATTGCTGGCAAAGCAAGGGAGAGCAGGAATCAAAATTCGACAGCCACGAGGCGGATGGAGCCGAGGCCCTCTTGGATCCCTTTCCCGAAGCAGTAAAGCGGGAGGGCCTCGGGGCTGTTGCGGAGTTCTCCAGAAACCCCCGGATTCTCCATCATCACTGAGGGGGAAGAGCCCGATCCATGGTGGATATCATGGATGACACCGTAACATAACACCACAGGAGATGACGATTAGATCCCCCCAAGTGTTGCTTTTCCCTGCTTTTTCAACCCACGCGAAAGAAAACGAGAGTAAGGTGAACTGTGACCCCCTCTTCCGATCGGCCTTGCTGCGTGGAAGGTGGAATCTTCTGTTATTCTTCTCTTCCCACCATTCAATATTCCGGTAGATTGCATTGGTGCGGTAAACTGACAACAGTCGACCACCATGTAGAAGCACTTAGTAGTGTGTACTCCGTACTCCGTTGTTCTTGCGAAACGAAAATCCAGAGCTGAACGGATTACCAAAAGCAGCTAGATGATGACGGCATGGGCCAAAGGCACTAAGACAGTATAAGTTAGTATGTAAGACTAAACTAAATCACGCCCCGCCCCGCCGATCTCTGCACCGCCCGCCCAACTGGCTTGGGGCTTGCCATTTGTCTCTCTGCCACAACCATCAAGACTGAAACTGTCTTCGCCTCTCAGTCTCTAATGTAGGGTTAAACAAGGAGGAAGGCATCAATCGGAAATTCTACACTGTTTATCTGACACATTGTCTATCTATCATGATTCATCGCAGTAATCTGAAGAATGTGCTGAGTACTGCTGAGTACTCCGGCCCATCTTCTACAATCGCAATCCATGCCGGCCCAGACCAATCACTCTCCCTCTTGCATACCAGCATTTGATCGTTTTCGGCCGTCTATTTCCATGCCCCACCACCTCCTGAAGGCCTGACAATGAATGGATGTCTTGCTTCAGATGGATGATAGCCCCGGTCTCCTTAGGGAGCGAATAACCTTGGTGTATCTGACCAGCGCAGACCCACTCCTCCCTCCTCCCCCCCCCCCCAGGAGGGGACAGTACAACCGTACAGATGACTGCATACTTCAATTGTTCAGTGGTCTTGACGGTGCAACTGGAAGTACCACGATACCCAATGAACTCACAGATGGAGATACTATAAGTACCTCGAAGCACTCTCAAGACTAGTTCTTCCTGAGGTATCTGAAGGTTAAGTTTGATTTCCCATGCGCCGGTAATTATGACCACAGTCCGTCAGAGCCAATTTCTCCCATACCTCTTGCTGATTTAAATTCCCATCCACCTCCTCTCCCCCCCCCCCCCGACTGTCAAAAACAATCTTTCTCTAATCCTTGATCTTTCTCTATCACCTTCATTTCACTTTGCTTCTGTACTGCCCGTACCTGTCCGATGAATCGCAGCTCTTCACGAACATAGCGCCTGACCCTCCTCGTCGTCCATCCACCTTCGCAGAAAAGTATCATCCGCTTCCGAAAGATTCGCGTTAGCGACTGGAACTCGCTTCACCACGATGGCGCGCAGCTACTTAGGTCTCACAGGAGGCAAGTTGCAGATTGCCATCAGTTTGATCGCTGGCTTAGATTTTTTGCTTTTCGGATACGATCAGGGTGTCACCGGTGGTCTCTTGACCCTCGATTCATTCATCAAATACTTCCCCACGATCTCGACCAATGGCTCTTACTATGAGAATCTAGACCCATCTGCGAGAAGCGCTCAGTCGACTCGTCAAGGTAAGCACGCCTGACAATTGTCCGCCTGGCCAGCGTTTTCCTAACTCATATCACAGGTATCGTTGTTGCGGCTTACAATCTGGGATGCTTTGCCGGCTCGATTCCGACCATTTGGATTGGCAATTGGCTGGGTCGACGAAAGACAATTTTTGTCGGCTCGGCTATCATGGTCGTTGGTGCTCTGCTGCAATGCACCTCGTACGACCTGGCTCAATTTATTGTTGGGCGTCTGGTCACTGGCTTCGGTATGTTATGGGTTGATATATGTGGAGGATGATGATGATGAGGAAAGAGGCTGACTCGCGCTCTCACAGGCAATGGCATGAATACTTCGACGGTGCCCACCTGGCAATCCGAGTGTTGTAAATCGAACCGTCGTGGTCAGCTAGTCATGATTGAAGGTGCCATGATCACCTGCGGCATCACTATCAGCTACTGGATCGATTTTGGCTTGTTGTTTGCCGATCCCAGCGAAGTCGCCTGGCGGTTTCCGCTTGCCTTCCAGATATTCTTCGCCCTAATCATTCTCGCTTTCGTCATGTTCCTCCCCGAATCGCCTCGCTGGCTCATCTTGAAGGGCCGGGAAGACGAAGCGCGCGACGTGCTTTACTCCTTGAATGGAAAGAACGACGAGACCTTCATTGAGACCGAATTCGCTGAGATCAAGGCCACCGTTCTGGAGATGGCTAAGGGCTCTTTCCGCGATATGTTCACGATGACGGAAGATCGCCATTTTCACCGCGTGGTCTTGGCCTATGTCAACCAGATGTTTCAACAAATTTCGGGTATGTTGTCCGAGTCAGTAGCCTTTACGACGATTCTCTCTAACGAAAGAACCAGGTATCAATTTGATCACCTATTATTGCCCCATTGTCCTCGAGAACCAACTCGGAATGAGTCTTGAAATGTCTCGCCTGATTGCAGCTTGCAATGGAACAGAGTACTTCCTTGCCTCATGGATTGCCGTCTTCACGATCGAAAGATTCGGCCGGCGGCAGCTGATGCTGTTCGGCGCGGCGGGTATGTCCATTTCCATGGTCATTCTGGCTGTCTGTGCCAGTCTCAATACGGACGGTGCCCGAGTCACTGTCGTTGTGTTTTTGTTCGTCTTCAACACTTTCTTTGCCATCGGGTGGCTGGGTATGACCTGGTTGTACCCAGCCGAGGTGGTTCCGCTGAAGATTCGGGCTCCGGCCAACGCGCTGGCCACGTCCTCCAACTGGATCTTCAACTTCATGGTGGTGATGGTTACCCCTGTCGCTTTCGATAATATTGGATACCAAACCTACATTATCTTTGCCGTCATGTAAGTACTCCCTTGTCGCGACCCGCGTGCATGGGAACCACCGACTAATTGGCTCGAAACTAGTAACGCCTTCATCTTCCCTGTGGTGCTCGTCTTCTATCCCGAGACCGCGTGCCGGTCACTCGAGGAGATGGATCGCATTTTCCGCAAAACAAAGAGCGTGTTCCAGGTGGTCAAAGTCGCCAACGAAGAGCCACACATGTACGGTCGCCGCGGTGAGCTGCTGCGAACGTTGGATGATGAGGAGGATGAGGCGGTACGCCGGACGAGCGTGCTGAATCACTCCGTCAAGGATGCCGATAAGGACAGCGATGATGTCGCGAGCACCGAGAAGATCTAGCTATTCGGCCCTCAGACTTGCGTGGGTTACGCCGATCATGCTTGCTTGCTGTGCCGAGTGCACGTCGTGAATTTGCCTTTTCTTCCTGTTTGGGTCATAGCGCCCCATTTACGATTCCTGATTATACCCCTGATGCATGATGCTAATCGACGAGACGTGAGGTAGTCTAATGAAGATGACCTGGGCTCTGCCCATCGCACATGATTGGTGTTTGGTGTAGGCATTGTATTCTAAACGGTGCATGTGATTTCAGGCACATTAAGCCGCCCTTGCAGTTTGCTTAGCTTGGAAATTTGCGTTGATCTAAATCCTGGTAGGCCTTGCAGGTAGCCTGTGGGCTTTCCCCAATTTCCTCCATGCATTTGTTCAGCAGCGATACGGCCCAATCGAGATGACCACCGAGACGGCGTTTGTTTTCCCCATCGATCCACCCAACCTTCAGATGATTTTCTACCCGGTCGACCTTCCTACAATACCACACTGATATCGGATGCTGCTAGAGTTTAAACACGTGCTCTTCGGGTTCCAAGGCCAATGGCTGTCACTGTTCTCCCTACCCGGGGCCTTCGTCGGATTGTTCTCTTGTTCGACCGGAGGCTGAATTGAAGTACTCGCAGCAATTCAATTACATCAAGCGCCTGTCAGACTGCTGATCGTTGCCAATCCAAGTTTGCTCCTCTGGGCCATTTATGCTCAATTCTCCTGCATTGCGCCTTCAAACCATAGACAGTTATACTGGGCAGATGCTGTGAGGATGACAGAAACGATTCCAACTCGAGACCCTGTCCTCCTCGACCAATACCCTCTCTACTTGGTTTTGGGTTTACAACCAGCCATGGTTCAATTCAAAAGTCTGTTGAAGTGCCAGATAGAAATACTATATTGATAGTTCGAATGCACGGCCGTTAGAGAGAACATCTTGTTGAGACGCCATTCTGACTAGGGAGAATGATTCCGCGACTCGGTAGTTTGAAGCAGAGCTAAAGCAGAGCAAGATCCTGCGCATCACCACAGGGTATTTTGTTGAGCGTGAAAGTTGAACGCGTTCCCATCCATGTCCCCGAGACATCTGTAGTTGAGATCCGGCAGCAGTGGGGGTGTTGGGACGTGTGAGGTGGGCCCTGAATTGCCTCTGCCGCGCTCAACAAGTGGGCAGCAAAACCCTCGGTGATGGCAACAAGGGAAAAGCTTTCACCGGCCTGATGGATTGAGTCACCGATTGTAGCCGTGCAAAAGAGCTCTCTGATGCAGGCAGACATGCATCGCTGAAGATCTTGCTTTCCACTCATCGGCTTTTCTGATGCCGACATCGGATGGTTGTAACAAAGGCCGAGGAAGTGAGTCACTCGAGGTTGAATTAACGTTGAACTAAAAAAAGTAGTTGAGAACAAGAAGCGGACGGATTTCGCAAAACCATCTCCGGGACAAACTGCCCCCCCGTTTCTACCCGTCCGAGGCAATGCATTCTTCCGGAGAAAAGGAGATGATCTTGTTCTTGTTGCTGTTCCTCTTTTTCCTTGTCATACCTTATCTGTTTGTCTGTCTGTCATACTTGAGTACTAGTTTGAGTTTGTAGCGATGAGTTAGCGAGACAGAAGCCAGAAATCGGGCCAATGGTTCCTCCGGCGGGTCTCTTTTTTATCTATCGGCAATCAATCATTCATTCAATCAATCATCAAGCAATTCCCCCGCCCCCCCCACAAAATCGCCGTTGCTTTTTCTTCACACATTATTATTTTCTGCATCGCCTGCAGCTCATAGCTACATACAGCAGCTCTATCCTCCCCCCTTGCCTGTTGTTTGCCTTGCCCCTTTGTCGCCAGTCCTCAGAAACCAGCCATCATGGTTGTCGCACTACAGGTACTGTAACAATGACCGCGCCTGCGCCTCCCTCTGCATTCCTAGCTTATCACGAGTCGTTTCGTGCTTGAGCTGCATCTCCTCCATCCCCTCCTTTGCAGAGTCCAATCACAATAGCTTTCAGACAGACTAAGACTGACCATCTCCGACCCCATTCCAGGGCTGATCACTGCCATCTGCATACCGGATAACCCCGATCTCTCCTCTCCGTCGTTTCATCTCACAGAATAAGAAGTGCGGGGTTCCCAGCTTCTCCGTGAAGAAAACCACCATTTTGGGTTGGCTTCTTTCGCGAATTACCATCATCTTTCGTCTGCTTGCACAATCCCTACACCTGCAGTGCATTTTATAGAGAGCATTCTCACTAGTGGCACCAACCGCGCGCCACTACTGCTTCGATTCCCTGGTCCCTCAACAAGGATCACCGTTTGAGTGGTCGCTCGCCAAGATGTCCCTGGCAGAGTCCGCCCCTCACCACCCCGGCGGGGTCAAACAACCCAACACCGAGAGCATTCATGAACGGTCGCTTGAGAGTCGTGAAGACGATCATGACCCTGAAACGGGCAGTGAGCCCGAGTCCGAGGCTGACATTGCCGAGATCGAGCGCATCTATAGGTTAGTAGGAGTCGCTTAGTTAGCTAGCTAGCTGACACTAGTGTGTTTGCTTGCCTTGCATGCTTCTGACATAACATGCTGACGGCTGACACGGTTCCTTGCAGGAAGCTCGATTGGCGCATTATCCCCGCATTCTGGGTGCTCTATTTCCTCTGTGCAGCGGTTCGCTCCAATGTCGGTCTCGCGCAGACGATGAACGAGAGCTCGGGCCATGATCTGGGCTCCGTGCTGAACATGACCCCCCACCAGATCTCCACGGCTCTGGCGCTGTTCTATGTCTGCTATGTGATCTTCGACCTGCCCTCCAACCTGATCATGACCCGTCTGAGCCCGCATGTCTGGATGAGTCGCATCGTCATTAGTGTGGGCATCATCGGGAGCTGCATGACGGCGATGAAGGCCGCCTGGAGTCTATAGTATGTTGCTCATCTCACCATCTCTCCTGCCTGGTATACCACTGACCATCATCCCCCAAAGCCTCCTCCGTCTGCTTCTCGGTATCGTCATCGCGGGCATGTGGCCCGGCATGACCTACTACCTGACGCTCTTCTACCCACCCTCCCGCACGGGCAAACGCATCGGCCAATACTACACGGCCGCGCAAGTTTCCGCCGCGGTCGTCGGTCTCGTCTCCGCGGGCTTCCAAGAGATGGACGGCGAGCGCGGCCTAGTAGGGTTCCAGTGGATGTTCCTCGTGTACGGGGTGATCACCACGGTGGTCGGCGTCCTGCTGCTCTGGTGGCTCCCCGACCGGCCGCTCGCACCCGGCGCGGAGCCCAAGAAGCGCAAATACCTGTGGTGGCTGCCACGCAGCCCCCCCGCGCTGACCGGCCGCGACGCCGAGATTCACTACCAAGACCTGAAGCGAGTATACCACCGCGCGCAATGGACGTGGCGGGATCTGTTGAATGTGTTCCTCGACTGGCGCCTCTGGCCCCTGCTGATCATGTACTTTGGCGTCGTCGGCGTGGGCATCGGCACGCAGAGCTACGCGACCGTCATCATTCAAAGCATCAACCCATCCCTGAGCGGAATTGATCTAAGTTTACTCACTGCCCCAATCTGGATCGTACGTTCCTCCCTCCCTCTTTCAAACCCCTCCACAACCACAACCACAACACCCAAACTAACCACCAGAAAAAGATGGACCTAATCGCCATTCTCCTGGTAACCCCCATCAGCGACCGCTTCCACCGCCACCGCTCGGTCTTCTTCTCCGTACCCGTCCTCCTCCAGATCCTCGGCCTCCTCCTCACCACCTACGCGGGCACGGCCAGCAACTCGTGGCCCCGGTACGGCGGCCTCCTGATCGTGGGATTCGGACTGGGCCCCACTGTGCCCATCACCATGACCTGGACGACGGAGATCTTCCAGCCGCGCCACGGGGAAGTCGGCGTGGCGGCCGCCTCGGCCGTCGTGTCGGGTCTGGGGAATCTGGGCAGTATCATGACCACGTACGCGCTGTACGCCGGATGGAAGAGCGACTACGAGGCGCCCGGCCGCGCCAAGTATCGGAAGAGTAATCTGGTCATGGTCGGCATCCTCTGCGCGAGTATCCTGGCGGCGATCACGATGGAGGTGTTGCTCCGCGTGGTGGATGGGAAGAACGGGAGATCCCACAAAGCGGAAACGGACAATGCCGCGGGGGCGGCAGTCGTGATGGATGGGGCCGCTAGACGGGAGGCCAGGCAGCGCGGTCTCGATGGGTTGGGGTCTAGCCTGTTCAAGGTCTTTAAGAGGGGTTGATGATTACCTCTCATGGGGCTTTGGGGTGGTGCCTGCTCTCTTCGGCTTGGTATGAGTTTTCAAGGCAAAGAGCAGGGTAGAAGTATCTTTTCTCAAAAAAATAAATGGAGTGAATGATGATATGGATAATCACTAGCCTATATGATTGTGGATACTAGTCATGTATATGTATAGCTCACCAATAGTTACTTAATCCATAGTATGACATGCATTTGCTTGAATTCATTCAGTTGAAATAGACGGGAATACTCGGGGTTGCTTATAACTAAGCGATTAACCAGAGAAGTAGGATATACCGAAGAAAAGCGACTAGGTCGATTATAGTTGAGTAAAGTTGAGAGATTTAAGTTAATTTCCGGTCTTACCGGTGTTTAACAATAGATTAATTCGAACACTATAATACTGACCGGGATCCGGCCGGGAAAGCTATTTGATCCTTCCAGTTTCATCCCCAGCTTTTAATTTTTCAAAAGACAGTCGTCGGTTTGCCTCCGATTCAGTCCTCTATGCCATACGTAACACATAACCCAAGGTAAGAAAGAAACATGCAAGACCAGCAACAGGATAACGAATGCACGACAGGCGCTGGCACAAGAGAGAGTTTGGAAGAAAAACCCCGGAAGTACCGTCATGAAGAGTAGAAACGAAACGAAAATTCTATAGTTGCTCTCACATGACCAGGCTTGCGTTGCAATCGGTGACTCCATGTCGACGCCGGAGGGTATACGAGCGCTAAGAGGAAATGTTTTCACATTTTGATAATCGTGCTGCAGCACTTAGTTGCCACCGCAGAGAGTCTCCACGATGATACCGGTAATTTGGTAGGGACAAGCATTGCTGGCGGGACGGCGGTCCTCAAAGTAACCCTTGCCATCCTTGGCGACCTGGCGAGGGATACGGATGGAGCCACCGCGGTCAGCAACACCGTAGCTGAACTTATCGATGTTACCGGTCTCGTGACGGCCAGTCAGACGCTCCTCGTTGCCCTCACCGTAGACGGCAATGTGCTCAACGTGGCGGGCCTCAAGCTTCTTCATGTAGGACTCAATGGCCTTCATACCACCGTCAGCACGAGTGGAAGCGGTAGAGACGTTGGTGTGGAGACCGGCTCCGTTCCAGTCGCCCTTGATGGGCTTGGGCTCGAAGGAAATCTTGACGCCGAACTCTTCAGCGACGCGGTGGAGGAGGAAACGGGACATCCAGAGCTCGTCACCCACTATGAGAAGTAATTAGTATGTGATGAGCATCTCTTCAAGGAAGGCGGGTTACTCACTCTCGATACCCTGGCAAGGGCCGACCTGGTACTCCCATTGCGAAGGCATAACCTCGGCGTTGATGCCGGAGATCTTGATACCGGCGTACAAGCAAGCACGGTAGTGAGCCTCGACAATGTCACGGCAGTAGACCTTGCCGGTTCCGACACCACAGTAGTAGGGACCCTGGGCACCGGGGAAACCACCCTTGGGCCAACCATAGGGCCAGCCATCGTTACCAAGGAGAGTGTACTCCTGCTCCAGACCGAACCAGAACTCCTCCTTGGCGTTGACTTCCATCAGACGGGCAGCCTCGTGGCGGTGGTTGAACTTGTTGGGAGTTCCATCCGAATCCCAGGTCTCGCAGAGGACGAGGATGTTGTCACCGAGACGGAAGGGGTCGGGGTAGATAGCAACGGGGCGGAGGTAGACATCAGAGTTGTCACCGGGGGCCTGGCCGGTGGAGGAGCCGTCGAAGTTCCATTCGGGAAGTTCGTCAACGGAGGTGACAGTCTTGGCCAAGGTCTGCAGATGAATGAATGATTAGTCACTGTGTCCGTATGTCACGTGATGGGCATGCAGGTAGGTTGCAGGCGGCGGGTGCAGGGTCGGATCCCCGTGCGCAGGGCTGGGCTTATCGGAACAAGACCATCTTCCATCACTTCAGATAACAACCACCCCCTCTTCCCGCGAACCCAACCCATGCTGCGTCGCCTACGATGAGGAAAATGACAACATGGGAAAATGTGAGAACGTACCCTGGTCTTGGAACGGGTGCCACCGGCGGCGTCGATCCAGATGTACTCAGCCTGGACCTTACCCCGCTGATCGAGGGACATGTACTTCATGAGCTGTTGCCAGCGCATCAGTCAGTATGGATTTCTTAGAACCGCAGAGCGGTTCAAGAAAGATTGTGCAAGGTAGCAATGAGAGCAGAACGCACATTCTCCGTGTTGGAGATGGTGGTTGATTCAGCCTGCAGGTGAAGAGTGTATGAGTCAGCGCGCAATTCTTGTCGTTGCTGGGCATCCAGCCAAGAATGAAAGGATCAGTGGAAGCAACTGGAGGGATAAACATACCATTGTGAATATGTGTGTGTGCGAACGATAGAAACAAAGTATGCTTTTTGAAAGCGGTGGGAGCTTGCTGATGCAAAGCTGGTAGACTTCAGATTATTCAATCACAGTCGAACACAAACAAGACAATCGAGAGATTGTAGTGATGCGATTTGTAGCGAGAGCAGCGGAAAGACCAAACGTAGCTCTATAAAATAGAGAGAGAGAGAGAGGATTGGGAGATGGGGGGGAGAGAGATAAAGTATGGCGGAGAGGAGATTGAAGAATGGGATGAGAATGGAGAAAGACAATCAGAGCGGGAGGTTTGGGTGGGGGAGGATATCCTTTAAATTTAAGAAAATGATTTCTTTTTGGGAAAGAGGGAAAAGAACGGCGGGCGCGTCTTTTTTTTTTCGCTCAAATTTGCCCATGAATTTAATCATTTCATTGATTCATTCATTGAAACTGATCCTGTGGTCGACCGGGCCTGGGGCTGCCGGCAAAGAGGCAAAAATAAAAAAAAAATTCCTAAAAAAGACTTAGTCCCACCCAGACTAAACCGTTCAAAAATAACCCAGAAAACGAAAATTACTGGTTCCCTTGGGCACTCGTTTCGGGTCCTGTAATTTCACACCAACCTCTTTTTTGTTTGCTACACTACACCATTGATGCACATCAGTGAAGTATACTCCTACTAAGTATCGCTTTCGATATGACTGCTCCATGCTTCTTTCCTCTTTGCTGCCCCCAATTTACCGCAAAGAAGAAATCTCACTGAGGCAGTTCTCACATAGGGAAACCCTCCTCAGCAACATACAGCGATACAACCAAGGGTGCAGGAGTGACCAGGGCTCCAAGACGCCACCATCGCTGCGCCCGCATTCTGTCAACGGGCTAGCTTTGACCATTCGCAGTTTCCCATGTCAACATGTACTCCGCTGCCAGTAGTAGCGGTAGTAAAAGTCAATCCATCCATGACGACGCAGTAAGTCAATAGTAACAGCAATCAAAGCTCAAGTTGACTTCTCCATGGCCGCTGAAGGGAGGAGGATCTAGTCCAGCACAGATATTACCCAAACGGGTAATCTCGAGGCGCAAACTGGACCGTTTATCAATTCCGCGATTAATCTAACTTCATCCACTCCTACTAACTATACCGGTAGCGTCTACTCCGTACTGGCTATCTCTTCTCTGCCTCTCGACATAATCCTATCTACCCGCTCTCTCATAGGCAAAAGCCTTCAGGTGATAACCCATAGCCACCTCCATTCCCAAGGCCGGAAGCCGTTGGACTTCCCCAGATGGATCACCTTCGATGCTGAGCCCCCACGCACAGGTGATCTGAGGTCACACATGGATCCATCCATTCCTATCAGACCAGAAAAAGAAGCCCTCCGAAGTACTATCAGCATTGATGATTGGCAGGCCGCACCTCTTTCCCTGTCGGCTGACCATGATTTACTCGATGTCCCTACCCTCCATCTCCAGTGTTAAGGTTGTCATATAGCCAACTCCTTGTCTGCCTTCTTTTGCTGACCTTCCTGCCCATGGTGGCTGAGATAGCAACACGAATCGGTTGCTAAAAACTATTATCAATATCAGCCAGTCGTCAGTGTCAATGGCCAATGCATATCAGCTGCAGGACCCGAATAGCTCGGACGTGGCCTGCGCCTAATCGCAATGACCGGGGTCCCTATTGGAAGAAGGCATATGACCTGGGAAAGATAGGGTTAATAGCAGGCCTGAGCCTGGAGAGGGACGCAGGTTGCCGCATCCTATCTCCCGTTGCCTTATCGCAGAGTGGACATGTGGCTTGAGTGACACCCAAATCGCCGTCTACGAGAGAAGAGAAGCGATTCCGGCGCGATCATGCGATTGTCCAATATCGCACAAAAGGAGACCGAGTCAACGACAATTTTGAGATCGCAAAGCTTCATACCAGAATATTACCGCCGCATCAAGATACCTTAATACGTACTGGTGCAAGTTGTACCTGCGGTTATCTAAATCAAGAGGTCTTATCAACGACTGCCCCTCGAAACCCCGCCATGAATCGCGAGGGTGGATCCTGGCGCGCCTGCCGACTGAGTTGGGACAAAAAAGAGTTTTCATTTTAATCGCGCATGGACGAGATGCGACCGCGTCAATCCTTGATACTTCCGTGTAGTGTGTAGCGCGCACAGGTTGGAAGCAATTTCCCTACCCCAGACATGGCGGCCGACTTTTTTGGCGAGGGGGGGTAAGGTAGAAGGCAGGATTGAATCTCCATTCTATCCTCCTGTCATTGACAGCTTTACCCCAGGCAATGCATTCCTGTACATTCAGCCGGTAATTCCAATACCACGCGGGCAACCCAGTTTTGCATCCGGTGGGGCGTGGCAAAACCATTCTCGAAGAAAGCGTCACCATCACGGTCGTCACCCCCGAGACCGGCCATGTTTCCATGTTAACGGCAATTTTTTCTGGGTTCGGGTGACTAATACGAACAACCAGCCGAGTCACAACCGCTTCCCTGCCACCGCCGGGGTGAAGGCAGCCAGAAAAGGGGAAAAGGGTTCCTTGCACCGGCAGATGGGGGTAAAGTCAAAGGGGGAAGGGAAGAATGAACGGGTGAACGGGGTAGTGTAGTTACAGAGTACAGAGTAAGTAAGTTAAGTGTATGGCAGATGAAGGTTTCCCGGAGAGAAACCCTTATCCATTCGCCTTCATCCCTGTCTATCCCCCGGACTTTTGGCTTCTCTCTGCCTGAGCCTGTATTTGCGCTTGGTGGCGACCCTCATCATCTTTCTTAGTGTCCGATCACAGGGAGGGGCTCCCGCTGCATCAGCGTCATTATTATGGCTTCCCTTCCCCGGGCAATCTGCGACAAATGGCAGCAGGGCTAAGCCGGAAAATTCAGGAATCCGGGCGAGAATGAGTGGCTGTCTTTCCTGTTCTCCTTGATCAGCCTTGTGGATGTCGTCAAGGTATTTTCCATCCAGCATCCACCCGCCTGGAAAGGCTCGTTCATCTGAGCCCCTCCGATGTCATGGGAGACGAATCCAACGCATCATAGCTTAATTCCACGCAATGGCACTGCGACCAGGAAAAAGAGACAATGTTTCTATAAACAGGCCCCCCTCTATCTGAGGTGCGGAGGCGGTCACGGCCAGGAATAGAATTGGCAATTGTGGCGCAGGCCTCGAAGAGTCTCGGGGGTTTTGTCTGAGGCTTAGCCTTACACACAGAGTCACACCATTTTCTCTTTTTCCCCTTTTCTCATTCACAACTCAAAATCTCATTTCAATATCAACTGCCAACAAAGGCCGGTCAGTCAGGCACGATTCGATTAACGAGCCATGGCGTCAATTCCATGGCGGGCGGTGGAGTGGCCTGCGCCCTTTCAACTCCAAGTGCGAAACCAATGGGAAAATAATCCCTCACCGGGGTCAAGCCGCAGCCAGTGTTGAATCAGCTTATCGGAAACATGGCCACAATCCCATGGGACCAGCTGTAGATCCCCGCCTCTGGGATCAATCACCCCCTCCGCTGCCTGCCTGCCCCTTATCGTCAACTGCCGATTGGCTCTCTGCCCCAGACTATGACAAACGCTGCTGACTGGTGTCGGGCCGATGCCATCTAGGATAGACAGTGCTGAGGAGGGTGATTCTGCGGGGGATATGCTTGCAGTCCAATTGCGCTCATTACCAGCGCACGGGGGAGACGCACACCGTCCAACTTGGCTGAAGAAAATCGAGCCAGTATGGCGGGCGCCAGAGAAGTTGATAGAGGCTATGGCGAGTCGATTGTTCGATGGCCGGACCGGCCGTCGGGTAAGGAGTGCGGTGTAATTGGTCGGTGGAGCTTGGCAGTGGAGGTTGAACACCTGATTTCGCTTTGATAGGGGAAGGAATTAGTCTCCATCTAGGATATTGTGGTTTATCACGATACTTACATACGGAGACGGAGAGTACGGAGGAATTGCAAATGTTTTGCTCATACGAGGGAAACCAGGTTGGTTGGGTAGCGGTCGGTCGAGGTTCTAGACGTGCTGTGTGGGATGACATGCATAGAGAGTAATAGTAAGCTGAGGCCTGCCGTACAAATGTACTACTGTGTAGTATGTACTGGATGTATCAGACTACAACGGAGATCTACAATTTTCAGTTGGTTGTTCCTGAGAGACTCCATCTGGAAGACGCGTCTGAGCTCTACGTAGTTCTGCTACTTCTCCAGTCACCCACAGTCACCTCCCAGCGAGACACGACGCACCATATTTCCCAATATATGCATCTCTCCCATTTTCAGACTTGAGAAAGCAGAATTCTCACCGCAGTAAATTCTTAAGCCAAAAAAGCACCCTGATGTTATGAACTTTGAAAAAGTAAGTATTCCGGATGTACGGAGGACAATACTAATGAAATGACAGCTCCATCGTGATAAACCCCCTGCTACCCCCACTTTTATCCGCCTTTGGATGTCCAGATCAAATTGTTCTAGGATCAAAGACCGATCGACCGAACAGATTTTGCAAATGTACTATATGCAGAACGCGAATTTGGGCGGGAGGGGGCTTGTGACTCATTCGAAAAAAACACGCACTCAGGGTCACTCTACTATGAGTATGGACGCGTCTTTCTGTTCAGGAAAGTAAACAGTCACTTCAAATGCTTGCAGCACCGTGTACAGTACAGCATAACTATTGTATCATATGTATTGCTCGACAACTCCCTACCCGTCGCCTACTAAGAATCAGATTGACCCAGCTATAAATAATATTATATTGTGTAGCTTACCTACTCCCAAACTCACCCATTTATCCACCCCAAAGATAGTACACAGTCTTGTGGGTAGTAAGTGCTCCGTTCTATACATAGAATAGCATAAACAATAGTACGAAGCACAGAATACGGAGTACTCCATAATCGTATCTCAAAACCCAACCTCCTGCAAAAGTCAATTATCACAATTTCAGCCCAATAATAACAATCTCCTTCTCCCAACCTGAAACCGAACCCGCAACCGCGCGACAAAAACCGCAGCTCCATCGTTAGGCCGGCACCCTTGACCGCATCTGACACTAACCACTAGCAGTAGTTATTAGTTAGTAGTTAGTAGTATCCGTACCTCGTAAGTTAATAGCCACAGGGAACTACTTTGCATCGTCAAACCTCAGAGATAGTAATTCGCGCAGATGATCCAAATTCTGTCTGACAGACAGACAGACAGACAGACAGCAGCGCCCAATTTACAGTAGATTCACTGCAACTGCACGGCAAAGAAATTCCCGCATTCTTTCTTGTAGTTTAGGGTTCCCAATATTCCCGTAACTACCGAGAGATTTACGTAGTTAGTAGAATTCTGACATCTCAAAATATGCGCACGGAAGTTGGTAGTTTTAAGTTAGTAGTTATTAGTCTGCATTGGCTGTAGTTTAGGTTGGCTTTGCTCTTTCCCCTTGCTTCTTGTTTGTTGGGGGAGCGGAGAGGAATGAGAGTGAAAATCCCTCATAGTCTACGGAGTACGTAGAAGTCTGTTCAATGTCTGTGATGGATTTATTCTTGATGGTGCATTTTACGTGTGACGTACGATTTCTTTGGCAGATTATAGAGGAAGTTCCTGGGACCAAAGTAGCGTAGCCCCCGGTTTTTGGTTTCTTCGAGTTTTACTGTGTGCCACAGTGCGTGTGTACACTATATCTGCTCGGCTCGCGGAAGCCTGGAAGAGCCGCACTGTTTCAAGGGGCGCGCGAAAGACGCGCTCGATTCAAGTCCTGGACCCCCGTTCCTCTCTTTCATGAACGTTGGGTCTGTGCTCGGTTGCTGCCGATTTTCCCTACTGCCTCCTACTGGATGGGCTGTTGAATCGCTCATACCTCAAGTGGCTTTTACTCCAAGGGCCATGGTAGGTGTGAGTGGTACTATGGAAGTCGGATTTCATCCTCATTTTCGATTCTGGAGCAAAGAGCTAGCTACTATAGATCCTGCAGGTACAGTACAACAACCCATAAATCAGTCAGACGGCCTATTTCACAAAATATCACCCAGCTGGTAAAATATCCGCTGGCCTCGTCTCGTATCCCCTGGTCCTCGGCTGGTGCGAGCTCCCTAAGGGCCGAGGGAACAATCCCCACGCTGCACGGTCTCATGGCACATGACATGACGCAGCGCTGTGAGCTCACAGGGAACCGCTGAGGAAGTTGAAGTGAGCAATCTCCTGAGCCAGATCCGGCTAGTCGACAAGTTCATGCAGATCCGAGGTGCTAAAATGGGATCTGATGTCTCCCGGGCGGACGCCCCATACAGAGGCGCTGGGACTAAATTCAACCCAACGGTCGGGGCCATAGTCTGCTTCCAGAATGACGCACAAAGCTTGTTCAAGCCTTCATGCACAGAGGAAGGAGGGAGAGAGGACCAGTCACGCATGGTTATCCAATTACGTCACCGCCATGTCCATCGCCAACCGACAGGTCACTATCTGAAGACATTATTGCCCCACACACTGTGGTTGCAGCGCATATTAGCCTACCCCGGGTTGGGAGAAGAAGCTATCAGCGGCTCTTTCGCTGCCGGGCCCATCGCAGTACCCACTCGACCAGGATCCCCAAGTCCTGCGAGACTTCCAGCACCCTTGCAATAGCCTTCTGCAACTCGGACATCTCATTGTTGCGGTCTTCGGCCGCTTGAGTGTCCGTTTGATCTAGATGGCTGTTTTCATCATCAAGCAGTCCGGTTATGTCGAGCACGGAAACGCGACCGTTGACTCCAACCTCAAGGCTGACTGAGACCTTACTTATCACATCACGGTCCTGATCCAGTGCCGATTCTCCCTCGGAGTTGTTCATAGTGAACAGAAGCATAATAGCTGGGGCTTGGCCAAGCTGCGAGCGCAATGTCACGTCTACTTTGACGTCATCACTGGTGGCCGAATCCCCGTCAGAGCTTCCAACCATAGTACCTTTCCCCTTGCCGGTAATTTGAGCAGCGGTTTGCCCAAGACTTCCGAGCAATGAGTTCAGCTTCTTCTCATTAGGATCCTCATTGCTAAGAATCACGATGTCGCCCTCTGTCACCGTCTGCGTTTTGTTGGACTCTGCGTGATCGAAGAGCCCCTTGGTCAAATCTTCTTGAGCGTTGAGTTTGTCGTTGTCAGGCTTGGAGGAGGTGGTAAAGATGCTCCGGATGAGGTTCGCCAAGAATGCGTACTGCCGTAAGATCTAACAAGATTGGGTTGTTAATATAGCACGTAGAACACATCAGAGGACGGAGCCTGTACCGGGAGTATGTCTGCAAGCTGTCTTGGATGCGAGAATGGAATGTCTTTCATGGTGCGACCCGCAACTGATTCGAAAGGCTGGAACGTGTAGCAGTGGTGTTTCGTGCACGGCTTGCCGTCCTTGTCGATAGTCTGCAGCGACAGCTTGCGGCTCCTGCGACCAAGCTGCGATGCTTCTTCCGGACCCATCCCCATTGCACCGGCTGCCGACAATGGTGACCAGCCAGGCGCGAGCAGCCCATCATACGTCACCATTTTGAACTCCTGAGGCAACTGCATGCCAAGATGGCGGTATATATCCGACGCTGCCAGGATAGGCACGTCCAGGGGAGGTTCGAACCTAGCCACAAAGCGACGATTAGGCGCAGAAGAGCCCAACATGTTCGAGTCGAGCGCCATGGCATCTGAGTGGCCTTCTGGGGCTGGGATCAAGGTTTCAGGAGGCTCGGTCCAATTCACCACCACCCCCTGAGATCCGGTCGAATCACTCGAGGACGAGCCGATATCGCCGCTGTGTACCGTTGTCAAAGCCTCCGAAGCAACCCAGTCCTTCGACACGCGAAGAGACGGATATCCTTCCTCGCACTCCACCATGATGCTCCACTTCCCCTTCTGCCCAGCCTCATCTTCTTGCTCCGCGGGCTGGTCCACTGCCATCTCATCCGGGGACCCGGAGTTCTGCTTCGCCTGCCTCGCATCGAGGACACGTGCTTGCTGCACCCAGTAATCGAGACTGAGTCCGACGCGAGCCCCCTGATGCAGACATGGACGCCCGACCCAGCCACTGCACAGATGATCGTAGACGCCCAAGAACTTGCGCTGCTCCCACTCGGCATCCCACACGCGCTTCAAGCTCGCATGCAGGCCCTCAATCGCCTCGAAGCAATTGACCTCTTGACTGAGTCGATCATGGCGAGCAAGCCACTGCAGGTTCTCATGGAAACCCGTCAGCGGCTTCCACACGCCGCGCTCTCCTTCTTCCGGCGACTGTACCAAATCCCGCTTCAAGACCGCCGTGGCCTCCTCGCGCCGTTCCCCATCTGTCGACTCGGGCGTCGCGTAGCTCAGATTCACATCCTTGACGACATTGTGGCCGCGGTGGAACTCAATCTCGAGATCCACAAAGTTACCGGCGATACTGAGGCTGTCCTCCTGCCAGATGGACTCGAACCCTTCCAGCTGGCCCAGGCGCTCGATGCTTTCGCGGCACACCCCACGGCCCGAGATGCGCGTCCGCAGCAGCTGCACCACATCCTCAATGTGTCTCCTCCGTTCCAGTTCGTTGTCCCGTGCGCCGCCGGGGCCACCGCCGCCTAGCTTCAGGCCTTGCATGCCTAGCGCCTGAATCTCGCTGTCGTTCATACCCGCGCCCACCAGCCCGCCGTCGTGGCCGGCCGGCGACGGGCTGATCCCGCTGTAGCCGCCAAGGGCGAGCAGTGCTGACGGCGAACTCAGAGTGACAGGGTCATCGGCCCCGGCGGACGTCGCCGCCAGAGGGGTGGCATAGTGGTGCGCTGAGTTGACCGGGGGTGGAATGTGGCCGCCCGGTCCGGAGACTGAGGGTGTTCTCCCCGCGGGCGATTTGTGCGCTATAGGACGAGCCGGATGCGCGCCTACTGGTCGGGGCGATGAGGTCAGGTACGTCGGGGTTGCTCCTGGGTTGGGCTTGGAGGATGGGGTCGCCATTGTGGATTTTCCCTTTAGTAGTCAGATTGAGTAGAGATCGTAGTCTAAACTTTTCACCAGATGCGACACCAGGCTAACAGTCTTGGCTCTGGGTATCACGATAAGAGAATAAATAGATCACCACACTTGCTAAGGCAGAGAGCCATGCGGACCCGAACCAGCGTTACTCGGCAACACAACTCGTAATAAGAGAAGTAAGAAAAAACCCTTTACGAACACTCAAGCGATAATTGCAAGAGCAAGGAACGAGAGCGCTAAGGACAGAACAAAGACAAGGACGAGGAAGTGAGCTCCCTTCAAACTGCGGGCGGAGGAGGAGCTGCAACCCGCCGCGGCCGAAAACGCGCAGTCACATGAGTTTGTTTGGTTTGTTCTACAATCGTCATCGGCCGGGGGTGCGAAGGTTGCGCTCCACCTCTTTCGATTAGATATCGCGAGGATTTAATCAGCTTCAATACTACTGAACACGCCATATATCAATTGGCCAATATGTTTTCGCTCAGAAATACCGCGCGTCAATTCCCTCGGTGGGCTCAGGTTCGCTCTGTGTCGACCTTGGAAAATAACCCGCACATAGTAAGTACACTGATCCATCAAGTCGCTGTCGCAGCCACAACTAGTGAGACCTCCACATTACCGTACAATGTATGTTAACATGATATCTCACAGTATGTCTTTCCCAAGAATGGCATCAATATACTGTCCTTGCTGCCTTCAGAGCCAACTAACCCCGACCTGGCCATTGGTGTAACATCCAAGCTTCCTCCGACTCCAGACTCGTTCAAGGAGAACCCGAAATTCCTGGAGACCTTGCAAGATGTCATGACAGAGCATGGCTACCAGGACCCTGACGCTATCTCCCAGGCGCAAGTCATGGTCTCTACGTCGGGGGCTAATCTGAGCACCGGCGGGGTGCTTTTGACTGGGGGACAGGCGAGGAAACGCCGCAGCGAGGGCGATTCCAGTGGCGGTGCTAGTGGTCAGGGAGGTGCTGGCTCGGCTGGGAGAGGTGGTTGGATCCATCTCTCGGATAACCGACGGCCACCTGAGTTTGGACGGATCGCTTGGTATGAATGATTTCTGGGCCTCAAGCGTGGGTGATGACTGACTAAGCGAACATAGGCCAGAGGATATCTTTGGGAGTTTGGAGGTTGATGGAGAGGGAAAGTTCGTGGGAGGGAACGGCAACTACCAGCCTAGCGGTATTCACTCCGATATGCAAGGCCCTTGGACGCGCAGGCTGACGACTCAAATAGGGACGTACCGCATTGTGACTCGGGATGGGATGTAAGTTAAACAGCCACCGCTTGTCCAGACCGCCACTAATCAGCCTGTGATAGCTTGGGCCTGAGCCCGTTCTTAAGAGAAAAGCTGGTGCAGAAGCTGCGCCAGCAGGAGACGAGATCGAATCCCGTTGGTAGTGATCCTGTACAATAGACTCTCACTGTCTTTCACGCCGTCTGGCAAGACGGAACCAACTCAGACTGCTGGACAGCTGATAAATTCTGTAGTATAAATCCCGAGAAGAAACCACGCCGCTCAGAGACCAGCTCGTCATCGCAGAAAAAGAAACCATCACGCAAGAATTGACCTTGAAGCACAGATATATTGGGATCAGATTCACTTCTGAAAGAAGTTAGTTATGGGCTGAGTGCCTGCCGTTACTTTCTTTTGCTGGGCCTTCTTCGCCAGCTTATTATTGTGAGTGGCACTTCGCATTTGCCTTCCTCGTCCCGTTGCTTGCCCAGGACTACCTTTCTGCTCGGTGCTTTGCTCGGGCGACGTTGCAGCTGGGCTAGGCTGGGTCTTCTGTCTCTTGGCAACTTCATCATCCACTTCTTCCGGGGTTTCCGCCGGATGCTCGCGTTTGACCCCCGTAGCTGGCTGCGGAGCATTGTCCTCTGTCCACTCGGTATCTACGGTGTCACGATGGTCCGGCTCTTCAGCCTTGACATTTGGGGATCCTGGTTCCTTCTTGGTCAGACCTTCGTTCTGACCGCCCTTATTGGCGTTGGCGAAAAAATTAGCAATGTTGCCTTTATTCTCCTTACTGCTGACTGGCACGATGAAGTCGGGAGAGTTGTTGCCCACTTTTCCCACCTCTTTTGGCACGGGGTAGCACTCCAGCTCGCCCTCGTATGGTTTCAAGGTGGCCTGTAATTCCTTCGACCACGTAGTCCTCTCCGGATCCAGCCAGCGCCTCATTTCCTCGGAGTTGGGATCCAGAATCACCGGCATGCGGTCATGCAGAAACTTCAGGTACTGATTCGAAGACGTCGTGATGATTGTAAAAGTATAGAGCTCTTCATCCGACCCTATCCGTCCGCAATCAGCCAAATTCCATCTTCAGATACCCGCCCTACCCATACCCAGAAGCCCTATCAAAAATTCCCGAAGCTACACCCACATCCATAGGCTACACACGCAGGTAAACCAAAAAAGGAGAAAAGAACTCACCTTCATATCTCACACAATCCCACAATCCCGCAAAACACATCAACTCGCCATCCTTCCGACGCACAAAATGCGGCACCTTCTCCTTCCCGCCGGGCCCCTTCTTCAGCCACTCATAAAACCCCTGGCAGACGACGACGCAGCGCTTCTTGCGCTTCATCGACGTCCACATGCCGCGATCTTCGACCAGCGAGTCGTCGCGGCAGTTGATCGTGCGCATCAGCGAGCCGTAGTCGGGTTTGCGCTTCGTCCAGAAGGGGATGAGGCCCCATCGCATGCTTTGGATTTTGTAGCGGGGGTGATTGCTGCTCCCCTCTGGAGGTACCTTTTCTAAAGCCTCTTCTTGGCGGTGATCATCTTGCTGCTCTGCTGCGCCATCGCGCGAGTCACTACCATGTGTTGTTGGTGAGGGCGATGTGTCGACCCGGTACACCGCGCCATTATTCCCCGGCGCGAAATTATAAGTCTCGCGCACTTCGTCGTCGTCTGGTGCTTCGTCAACTTGCATGCCTTGTTCTTGGAGACGGCGTCGGACAAAGTTCATGCGCTTGGGGTCGGGGGTGGTTAGCTTCGAGATCTAAGACGCCCTCTAATTTGTCCGTAGCGAGACTAGTTATAGTATATGTCTTGCTGGGAGGGTATTGAAACGACGTACCACGCCTAATGCGTATCGTCCACACATTGTGAAGAGACTTTCCTTCGGTTTCAGAGATTGGGTCAGGACTTCTGACTTGACGATGAGTAGAGCTTCAGTATCATATGGAGGAAAACCATCTTTGAAAGAAAGCGATCATGTAATCGACGTCATGGAGCGCAGGGCAGGACAAGGCGGGCGGCGGAGGGAACTTAAAGCTCGGACCACTTCCTTTCCGCTTTAGGTTGAGCGATCCATTTTCGACGGCAATGAAACTCTCCGCTCCGCTGAATTGCCTGCCGTAGTCTCCATCATATACTGTGGTGCCAAACTTTCCCAACTTTCATTCTACCTACACATTCCCTTCACACATCAATCCTTTGAGGGGCCGTCTGTCATATCACTGCACCTCGAATCATAAAAGCCGCTCCACTGATTCACCAACAATTCCAACCTCAACAAACAGAAACAACGAACTACAATGCTCAGCACGCTCTCCCGGCGCGCCACCAGCGCCCTCCCCCTCATCCGAGCCTGCACACCCCATCATTATCCCACGCAGCCCTTTTCAACAGCACGCCTCTCTCGTCGATCACGCTTGCCAACTACCCCCCTCACAACACCACCTCCGACGACCCTCTCCCTACCCTCGATCATCGCCAACCAACAGACCCGACGCACGCTCACGACCGCCCAGAAATGGAAGCTCGGGCTGCGCAAAGCCCGCAAGGACATCTGGCGCAAGAACCCGATCGTCCTCCCGCTGGCCCTCTTCTCCATCTTCAGCGCCACCTGTCTGTTCGCCTACATCGCCTACGTCGAGGTGACGCAGGTTGCGCCGCAGTACAGCAAGTTCCCGCCGCCGATGGCGGAGCGGCTGCGCACGGCGGTCTACTACACGGACGTGGATCTGCAGCCGCAGAAGGCGATGGTCGCATACAAGGAGGCACTGCATATCGGGCATGAGATGGGCCTGCACACGTGCTCGGACGAGATGCTGGGCGTTCGGCTGCAGGTGGCGCATATGCTGGAGAAGGCGGGGTTGGTCGAGGCAGCGGTGAAAGTGTTGGAGGAGACACGGCAGCAGGCGCTGAATTGGGTAAATGAGACCAGGAAGAACCGCATGCTCTCCCCGGAGAAACGGGCGAAGAAGACGACGACGACGGCGGGGCTGGAGGATCTGAAGAAGAGCTACGAGGCGACGCAGGCGCGCACTGCGAAGGAGTCCAAGGAGGATGTGGCGGCCCTGTCCAAGGCAGGCGCTCAACCTGACCAGCTCGCCGACAAACCCCCAGAGCTGGCCTCCGATGCTGCGGCCGTGGAAGAAGAGTATCAAGCGTGGGAGGACCGGCAGACGAACAAGGTGCTCAAGAAAGTGATCGGCATGTCGATGAAGCTGGCCGAGCTCTACGAGAGCGACTACATACAGAACTCGGACCGTGCCGAGGAGTGCCAGCGCTATGCTGTTGACCTCTGCCTCCGGGAAATGCAACGGCGCGTGCAACTTGGCCTTCCCGTCGGCAACCAAACGAATGCCACCGCAGCGGGTGACAACAACAACAACAACCACGAAGACGACGATGGCTGGCTGAACCTCGAGGAAATCGCTGTCGCCCTGAAAGACCTGGCCACCTTGTACTTCAACCAGCAGAAATACGACCTCTGCCTGCCGCTGTTCATCCGCTCCGCCGATCTGATGTTGACCGCTGAGGGCGAGACCCCCACCTGCAAGCAGCCCTTCCTCATGTCTTCAATCGGCGCAGCCATCGGCGAGATTGCCGCCGCTCCGAAGCCCCCCGCGGGCATGCGGGCCCCGCGGGAGCAGTTGATCGCGCAGGCCCGTCAGTGGCTCGACAAGACCCGCGAGGTCGCCGACAAGATCGACCCGCAGGGCCAAGAGGCGGAGTGCAACGAGGCCTGTGTCTCTGCGCTGCGTAGTCTAGGCGAGCTGGCTCGGTTGGAGAATAAGCTCAAGGACGCTAAGAAACATTACACAGAGGCTCTGCGTATCGCGCAGCGCTTAGAGGATCCCAGCCTGGTCGAGAGCGTCAAGGCTGGACTGAAAGAGATCAAGGCGTAGGTAGATACAATCATCAGATAGGCTCGGGGCTTTTTTTTTTCAGCCTGAACATGGCTCTCCCAAAACTGTACATTATATGAGATTTAGAAAGTAGTTTCGACTGCTGTATTTGTCAATGTCAAGGCCAAGAGTCGAGGCCCAGCTGAGTTGAGCAAGACAGTAACAACCATCAACTGCCTGACCGGCGTGAGTATGCATGAAGCTCAGCTCAGCTCAGCTTCATTCTACCGCTTTGTCTCATTTAAGTAAGTGATATGACGCTAGGGATAAATGTAGGTGCTATGGACTATTATAGTCCCAAGGGAGCTGGATAATGGAATGATGGTGACGAGACGACCAACCAAGCTTGCAAGTATGACTTCATCCAAGAGGTCGAAAAAGAAGACTTAAGTCTAGAACTCGCTACGCAGATCACTGGAACTAAGTGGGGGAGGAGGATGAACGTTTGAAATCGATGGAATAGTAATCGAACATTCGCCGCGGTATTCTCCGCTAAGATCCACCACCCAGATAATCAATCATTCGGAATGTTGATGCACGGAGCAAGTAAAGAAAGCTACTAGATCCCGATGCTACTATAGGAAAGGCAACGAGAAACCCAGGGACATGGGGAAACAAACCCCAAAGGGACGAGAAAGGGAGGGTGGGGGGAAGGGAGAGAGGGTAGTGAACGGTGGAAACACCAGGGCCGAGGAACCCATCGAGGTGCTTGATTTTATTCATTTTGCTCGTGGCTCATACAATCCCAAAATTCGAATGCCTGTCCCTTTTTAAATTTTTGATTCGGGGAAAAAAGAAAAAAGAAGTTTAACAAACATGAGTTCATTTGGTAGTTGTCTCTCTCTCTCTCTCCTCTCCTCTCCTCTTTTCCTTCTTTCTCCGGGCCTCTCGCCAGAATCCTAATTATTTAGCTTGAAAGAAAAACAAGGGATATTCATTCAACCGCGTAGACACTTAAGCCCGCGACATGACACCCCAGGCACGGATCTTGTTGTCGGTGTAACCAGCGAACAGAGTCTGGCCATCAGCGCTCCAGGCCAAGCTGATGCACTCGGGCTCGCGGCTCTTCTTGCCCTTCTCGATGAACTCGGGCTTGAGCTCATCAACCTTGCTCTTCTTCTCGAGGTCGAAGATGGTGATGCTGCTGGCGGTGGCAGCGCACAGCCAGTAGCGGTTGGGGGAGAAGACCAGGGCGTGGATCTCGTCACCGGCCTGGAGGGAGTAGAGGTGCTTGGACTCGTTGAGATCCCAGAGCATGGTGGTACCGTCCTTGCCACCGGAGGCGCAGAGGGATCCATCGGGGGAGATGGTGACGGCGTTGATGTAACCGGTGTGACCGATGTGGTCGGTCTGGAGACGGCAGGAAGCGAGCTCCCAAACCTAATGCAAAGATAACTGATTAGTATCTTGAAAGAAGACCAAGAGAACGCAAAAGACTCCGGATCTCATCAAGAAGAACAAGAAATACAGCGGCTTTGTAGCGAAGTCCATCAGGCATTGGGTGATTGTTTGTCTCATAGCCAAAAGGCTCTGAAGTAGCAAATACGTAGATATGCAAAACATCTTCTGGACGTATCGGAAAGACAAAACCGGAAACTATGCAGATGGAACGTACCTTGACGAGCTTGTCCCAACCAGCAGAGACGATGACGGGGTTCTGGGGGTTGGGGCTGAAGCGAACGCAGGAAACCCACTCGGAGTGGCCCTTGTCGGTGATGGTGAACTTGCAGTCACCGAGGGTGTTCCAGAGCTTGATGGAGCGGTCGCGGGAAGCGGAGACAATCTGGCGGTTGTCGGCAGAGAAGGAGACGGAGAGGACGTCGTTGGTGTGGCCGACGAACTTGCGGGTGGTCTCACCAGTGGAGAGCTCCCACAGGCGGAGGGTCTTGTCCCAGGAGGAGGACAGAGCGTAGGCACCGTCGGAGGAGATCACCTATAAACATCACCCGCACTCGGTCAGCCCATCGATTCCTTCTTCCTGAATTCCTTGAATCTCATCATGGCCCTGATCGGCTTGTCGCTGAACTCTCGGGCGGAGACGGATGGAGGATTGGAGAAACGGGTGATCGGTAGCATACACAGTCAGAGACGATGTGAGAGTGGCCCTCAAGGCTGCGCTTGGGGTAACCGTAGGCCTGCTCATCGCGAGTGAGGTTCCAGATGATCAGGGTCTTGTCGCGACTGGCGGAGAGCAGCATGTTGGGGCTAGAAGTCGAGAGAAGCAGAAAATGTCAGAACTCATGTTGTCCATATCAAATTGTCATTTCTTTCTCAACCTAGTGCGATTTTCGCCGTCATTTCATGCAGACAATTAAACACCCTATATATACCACTCCAACCATCCGGTCCTTTCGTTTTGTTGGGCGCAGCATATATAGAAATGTTCCATCGCCCTGCACCGAATTTCGCAAGAAAAATCGCACGTCGGTTGGTTGTGTGAATCCGGTGGTATGTGTGTTTGCCCTTACTTCTCCAGAGAGGTAGCCAGGGAGGTAACCCAGCCATTGTGACCCTCGAGGGTACCGCGGAGGACCAGTTGCTCAGCCATGTTGGAGTCTGGGTGACGATGAGGAGAGAGATGAACGCGGGCGGAGCAATTGTCCTTGACTCTGGGCTGGAAGTAAAAATGCACAGCAACTGTTTCGAGGATGGAGGAGACAGCGTGCCCGCCTGAGCCCTAACTAGCGTGCCCGCCCGCCTGGTTGTTGTGCGGCTCGCCCAACCCTAAGCCAGGACAAGCGAGTCACGTGTTCTGTATTGCTGACCTCAGCATAAACATAATCTTTATGCCGAGCGATCCACGGAGTATACCCCAGCGTAATTCCCCGGTCTCCATGGAATATGAATATGCGGTAGAGAAACCTGCCATAGCGCGTTTAAGAAGCAACCCAAAGCTGTCGTAGCATAATGTACATAATCCACGGAATCGTTCACACAACACCCGATCTTTTTTTATAGTACTGTACACACCCACTCCATCCCTCTCCCTTCAGTTGAAAATCTGCACATTGGGCATTCTTCCCAATCCAGCACCGCCAGTCTTCTTACTCTTCGCCGCCTGGAAGCCCGTCGCGCTGTTATCTCGGACATGCGCCCGGAGTAGCTCCAGCACCTTCGAGTCCTTCCACCGCGACGGAACGGGCCGGTATGCAGCCTTGTAGGCGCCCACGGTCTGCGCCCACTCGCCGCTCTTGGCTCCAGTCTGCTTCCAGGTCTCCGTGACAGTGTCCTGAGCTCCCTGGGTCGTGGACGAGGGAGACTCCTCCCCTCCATCGGCCGGGGGATCCTGCGTCGCCCAGTAATAGATATCCCAGTCATTCTCATCCAGGAAGCGGTCGTACTCCTGCAGCTGCTCCTGGTCCATCTCCTTCAGATAGACATCTGCGAAGGTAGAGAGCAGGAGGTCCGACTCGAGGATGCCTCGCTTTCTACTCTGATCTGTTTCGAGACAAGAAAAAGTTGAATTAGTGGCGCTGCTCCCGACAAATGATCTAATACAAATGGGTAAAAGCGCACCACAGGATGGGGGAAAAGAAGCGCAGTCGCAAGGTAAGAAAGGGATCAAGACATACACAACAACCGAGCACGCATGGTCGATACATCCTCTCCGGTCCGACGGAGAGGCTCAACCCGGAAGGTGATGCCCTCCATCTCTCCAACTCCCAGTTCCGGCTTCTGTGCCCCGGTCTCCTCCCGCCCGCCGGTGAAATGCTCAACCTTGCCGGGGTACGGATCGGCCGGCTTGTAGTTCGGGTTGACGGCGCCCACGAGGTCGGGCGGCGCGGACTTTGCGCCCACTTTGGGGAAGTCCTTGGTCATCGTGGAGGTCGTGTTGGGAACATTGGGGTTGGGAGGCTTGTTGACCTGGTTCTCCCGGTGCTGGGGCGCGGTCGAGGGCGCGCGATCCTTCACGGTGCCATCATCGTTCCCGCTGAGACGAACAGCCGAGCTGCCGAAAGAGCGACGGGCGAATGTAGTCGTGGTGAACGAGATGGAAGAGGCGGATGGCCGCATAAAGCGGTGGACGAGTCTGGATGCGGACATACTGTATCAATTGTCCCTAGGATTTACTCACTGGACCGAGTAGGATTCCCAGAAGATGACGGTTCTCGAAAGAAATTCTGGGGAAGTCCGTCGGTAATAGGACGCTGACCACGGCGAATAAAGACCGGGTTGACATCATCCGGCGATGCGGTGTTTGCTGTGTTTGCACTGCTCAATGCACCAACCACGCCCGGCCGATTGAGAAAAGTGGCAGCTTTCGCCTCTGATGCTATCATGACTTCAGTTAAGGATGTTCCGTCCATGAGAATTAGCTGCGGTTGCTGCGGGAAAGGTTCTTTAACTGCTCATGCTAATGGCTTTGAGCTCAAGGGTAACAACTACTGTCAACATCCTGCGAGACGCCTACTGTAGCAGCAAGACCACCACCATGTCGATAATCATACAAGGATGACCCAGTAGACGCCACTACAAACTGGCGCAAGAAATCTATAAATGCAATTGGAAGAAAGTCCATATATTGGTCATGACAAATAGAGAAGCATCAACCTGTAACCTCCTCCATCTCCCCAAATTATACCCCAAGCCACACGCAAAGAATCTAGATGAGGTGCTTAGATCTGTAACGGGGTATATTAGCACAATCGCCCGGAAAGCCAGATCTCCAGATCTCATATTCGACGAAAGCAGACAAATCAACATACCTGAAGTAAGCCCTCAGATAGACTACCTGCCAAGCGCCCAATCCGACCAACATGCCCATGGTACCGAAAGCGAACCACTTGACACGCTCGTTCGTGCTCTCGTTTGTGTCGCGCAGTTTCTGCTCACGGGCGCGCAGGTACTCCATCTCGCTAACAATCTCCGCGACCATCTCTTCGATGCGACGGAGGTCGGTCTCGACGGGCTTGAGCTTCTCCTGAACCTGGATGCTGGACCAGTCGCGGGCGTCGGCTCCGATTTCGACGTCGAGCTCGATCGATTTGTAAGGATTAGGAATAGCATCTGTGTAGTTTCATGCGGGTTAGTTTTCCACTTCTATAGGCTACGTTCTCGTTGACGGAGAGAAGGCCGAGTGAGACGTACGGCGGGTGGTAAGCTGGTTGTCAAAGCAGACATCAAAGGCAGTGTCGGCAGGGGCAGTGAAGGCCTGGCGAGTCTCCCCGGCGATATCCTTCGGGCGACCGTGCTCATTGCCCAGGGCATCCTTGATCTAATCCACAACATATATCGTTAGCTGATATTGAGTCGCAAGCTCGATCCTTCTATGAACCGTTCGATACCCCGGTCGAGTTCGACGCTTCACTCGAGCCGACGACGGCACGAGACCAGCTTGGGGTTTCTCCCACGTACGTGCATGTTGACCACCTGTCCGTCACCCTTGTTGCCGCTGACAATGGCAGTCACCACCACCAGCTGGTCCTTGAAGACGAAATTACGGATACACCGTTCATTCTTCCCACTGACGGCAGACAGGTCGAATTTGAGGGCGGTAGAAAGTTGAACAAAGAGAAGAAATAGGAGACCTAGGAGAGACCTCATAGTGAAGTGGGTTGTCGCCATGGTTAATGGCGATTGTCACAGCGGCCGACAAAGTAAGGTCCAGGAAATTGACAACGAAGCTCGGAAACGGCCAGTATTATTGATGCCACGCCGCGTTCCAGGGGATCGGGCCAGGCCGGCTCAATGTTGTTCCGGTTATCGGCCCCCCCTCTTGTTTTCAAGTTGGTAAACAATCGTTGCCTCAGGCATGGAACTTGTATCGGTAGTCTGGATAGATTCCTTAGGTCTTAATCTCATAGTCCATCGAAATAGCTGATTCCGCATTAGAATCACGCGCAAATCTTAATCTTGCATCATAAAGAGGTTATTGGGTCATACAGCTACCCGTCATGTTACTATGTACAGTTTCGACACACAGACCAATTCATCCATCCAACGTAGGAAGTAAGAAGATCTCGATGAAATAGAAATTATGCCATTGGGACTATATCCCGGATGCAAAATTGGCGATCGGGTTCCAGATTCTGGCGGTCGCATTTGTAGAGAACGACAGAAAAAAAAAGAGCAGAAGACGACGGGAATCGAATCCACGCAAGAATCGAGTAGGGAATCGCTGCAAACGAGAGGACCTTGTTCGAAAATAAAAAGAGAAAAAAAAAAAAAAAAGCCGGCGAGGGTATGTAGCGGCAGAGGAACAGTTCCAGTGTAGAAACAAGAGTGGGTGAATGGAGTTTCAATATGAACAGAAATGGTAGAGATTGAAAGTAAAGGTATCATCATTGAACACACAACGCTCAGAAAGACAGGTCATTTGCCAGTAATAGCATGTCGTGTTCGAGCCCGCACAAATAACAATCATGCAGAAGACAACAGCTGTTCTTAAGGAAAGCTAAAAGTCACAGTGGGAGGGGTTAAACTTCGATCTTCTTTCGACGTGTGAAGAGGCGCGAGAAGCCCGATTCCTTCGACTTGGTTGGAGGAGGGGTTTGCGTGGGCCTGACCACTGGAGGTTCAGGAGGACCGGTATTCCTGAGAAAGTCGGCCAGTGCACTAGTTTCAGTCTGCCTTTGAGAGACAGATGGCAAACCGTAGCCACTACTCATGGTTCTGGTGGTATAGTTGTTGTTTGCCCCGGTCATAGTACTGTCGGACGCTTGGCGGAGATCACCTCTGGACGGTTTGGACAGAACGTTTTTCTCGGTAGCTTGGTTCCGAGATAGCAAGGTCTTCACAGATGAAGCACCGGCGAAGCCTGCGGACGAGCCCCGCCGAGCACCCATATTCGTAGCCAGGGGTTGCAGGGGACTCGCAGCTGCAGGGGGCGGCACATTTCGCAGAAAATCTATCAGACTTTCCTCCTCGCGCTTCGGTTTCGGAGCTTCAAGAAGCTCGTCAAGGTCGTCATCATCTGAGTCAATTGCATAAGGGTCTCGGACCCGGCGCTGTTTCCGTTTGGGCCGAGTATCCTCGGAAATCTCCTTGCTATATGTGGTCGGAGTGCTTGCCCGGTTTCCGGTCTCCAGAAGGCCGGTGCGTGAGCCGACAGACGTCAAAGTGTTCGCATTCAGTGACCCTTGCATACTAGGACGTCCTGATTCGAGAGCTTGCAGCTCGTCCGAGTCCATAGTATCACGGAACGGTGCCACTGCACGCGAAATCCGGTGAGCTCCTGCAGTAGGCGGTCCCTCACGGATAAAATCAATCAAGTCAGATGTTTGGTCCCCTTGGGAGGCCACGGCAGGGCGTGCTTGCAAACGTGAACCGCTAGTACGGGTTGAAGCACTACCGGGTCTATTGAACTTTCGTGAGACATCCGTGGCATCGGAAACGCGACGCACACTTGATGGCTTGACAGGGCCACTTTTGTCAAAAACAGCGATTGTAGGGGTGCCGGATTCAGATGAGATGATCGAAGTTGGAGATGCAACAGTTTGGTCCATGGGAGGTTGCGGTGGGAGAACATCAGGCACCACAATCGGGGTGTATTTTGGTTGCTCTGATGATTTGCACTTTGACATGGGGGCAAGTTCCATGATACTCTTAGAGGAAGCGTGAGAGGTCCTTGGTCGCCCAGTTTCAGAGTCAGACGGGATGGTCTGCTGGGCTCGCCATCGGGGAGAATCGGGCAACTGCTTCAAAGTTAATGGCAGTTTTTTGAGTTTAGGAAAAAGTAGCTGCAGACTTACCTCCATTTCTCGCATGTTTCTGGGTGTGAGTGTGAAATGTAGAGTTTCTTCGCTACGGATCAAATCATCCAAGCCGGTGGTGTCGTCGAAAGCCGACTCCCGGGTTGAAACTCTGCTTATCTCAGACGAGTTGCGCAGGCGCAAGGAGTTGGAATCGCCGGTGCGGACAATCAGGCCTTTCAGCTTGCTAGAAGCGGATGAGCCGGACGTCACAGGACGCCTCTCACGGCTGCTGCCAAAACTGTCCGAGCGGCGTGGTTTGGAATAACTCGAGGACGCCACCGAAGTGGATGGCCGCCCAGATAATCTTTGGACCGCTGCACGTTCGATGCCGGATTTGACAGATGAGATACCAGGGCTGGAACGCCCGTAGCGGTGGTGAGCCCCGTTTGAAAGAGGACTAGATCTGGGCAATTTCCGCGAGACGTCAGATAAGGTACTCTCCCCAGACGTTGAGATGGGCCTGGATGCCCTGTACGAATTGCCGTCATCGGTTGAAGATCGAGTGGTAGGAGGGGCGACAGATTCCCCGCATGATAACTCGTCGAGATCGACGGCGGGCGCTACCGAGGCGGAGTCAGCCCCTTGCGTCTGCGGTGCGTCCTCGCTAACCGTCGACCCAGCTTGTTCATCCACAACAGGAGTGACAGGAGGTGACCCCTCTTCGTGAATCGATGGTTCTCGCATCGTTCTTGGTCGTGGTCGCTGTGCAGAAGCCAATCTAGGTCTAGGACGCACCCCTTGACCCTCGAGAAGTTCTGTCTCGATTGGGGACGTTGGAGACACCGGGGTGGCTACCTCGTGAGCAACAGCAGTGGTGGTCGCCTCCTGCATTGCTTCTGCCTCCTGATTCATTTGATTCGCGAATTGTATCTTCTCTGCCTTTTCTCCCTGATTGCCATCCCGTTCATCATCCTCGTCATGTTCGTACATTGTCTCCAAGCGCCGCCGCTCCTCGGACGCAGTCGGGGACGGTCGCTCTGGGTACTGCTCAGGTTCGGGAGTTTCTTCCTCAGAACCCGCATTAGGCAATGATCTTGATCGAGCATGACGGGTGATTTTTACGGTCTGTAACTTAGGAGTGAGGGGAGAATTGACACTCGACGATGGCAACCTCGGAGAAGGTAATGTGAGCACCATAAGGCTGTGGGGCCGAACTTTGTGAGCTACTACCGCCTGCATGGTCTGGATCTCACCAGTCTCAAGCTCCGGCAGATATCCGGGGACCTCGATTTCCTGAACATCATGGTCGTTAAGCGGCAATGGGATTAATGTTGGGTCGATATCCTTTGGTGTTTGGGGCAGAGGTGAGGTTGCCGAACGCACGGAAAAGTCATCTGCGGTAAATACGTTGCTTTTCCTGCTGCCCGTGGTAGTGAAGACGCTATGGCGGCGGCGCATGGATTCTCTTGAGACTGCCCGCGACGGGTTGGAGCCGCGCACGCGTTTGCGCCATGTTCGCCAGAGTCGACCCAAGGTCGGGTTCAATGCTAATTTCTCCATGTCGTGATCCTCCACAACCAGCCGATCCATACTTGCCCGATTGACACCAGCCTCCGTAGATTCATCCGAATCCTGCTCGAGTTTGGTTGACAATCGTGACCGAGCTATTTCACCCGCGATGATCAAGGCTTGTTCGCCCAAATGCTCGATGATCGAAGTCAAAAAGATCGCTGCGGCGGGGGTGATATTTCCCACATGACTAGCCAGCCTCCGCGGAACGCCGTCTTCGTCGGCTAAGCTTTCCCTTGCGATATGTTCTTCCTCCTCGTCTTCTTCCATATCGCCTAGCCGTGTGTAGACCATGCATCGCAGGCGAGTCAGTTTCCAGGAATGAATCAGGTCAAAATCACCCCCAGGAGTCTGGCCGCCGCGGAACTCAATCTGCTCGTCTTCGGGGCCACCCATAAATTCACTCAACTCGTCATCCGCTGCCTCAACGACTTCCTTGGCAAGACGGGGCTTCAGAACCTCCACCACCGCTGGTCGAATGCAGGCCAATTGCGTCGATTTCGCCGTAGCAAGGATATTGAATAGAAGATAGTCGAGGAATCGATTGAGGGTCGCCAAAGCCTCGCGAGTCACGAGTGCACTTGCATTAGAGCCCGGTCCATCCTCATCGGCGACAAAGTCGGCAGCGTTAAACTCTTGATCCGTGGTGATGATTTGGGCTGCGGCGGAAGAGGCAATGAAAGTGGGTGCTGGTGTAACTTCCGTCGGGGCGAGCAGATGGGCTCGGGGAATTTGGGAGTCACTGGAAATGCTAGTGCTGCGCGAGCGCGAGACCGTCCTCCCCATCTCCGGAGAATCGGGTCCTTTGCTGTGCTGCATGATCGCGATGCGAGAGTCCCATACAGTGGTAGGATTGTCGGTGGAGAAATGGCAAGTCGAACAAAGAACGTGGAAGAGGGGTGAGATACTTTTGAAGTGTCAAGCGGGAGTCAAAGCGATCGAGGGAGACTTGAGTATCCTGAAACAAGGTAGAAACAGCGGGTCAGCCTTTGAATAATACGAAATGGGTTGCACAGCCCATGTTGGGGGCCTTGCGCTCTGATTTGTTCTTTTTTTCAATATGCCTTGATGGTGGATGCCGTAAGATTGCGTCAAAGCCTCGAAGCATAGAGAAAAAGCAAATACTGAAGAGTGAAGAACAAAGAAGGCCGAGCAGAAGAAGTGGGCAAAAGCAAAAGCAAAAACCGGCAGTCGCAAATCGGGGATGAGTGTAACGAACCAACTAGCAGAACGTAGTGTTCATGTCGCAATAGTTAGGCGCGGATAGAGACACTGGAATCCGAGCGATCAATCAAGATCTGGATTAAGCTTAATAGATAGGGAAAGATGTGTTGTTGAAGTTGTATGGAGAGCCTGATTCGGGGAGTTGGTCGGAAAGAAGCTCTTGAGAGATTAAGAGTATCACGAAGAGGAAGAAGGGTAAGCAGTGAATGGTAGGAGGAGGAGATGGTGAGCGAAAGAGAAACGAGAGGGTAAGAACAAAGACGAAGAGAGAGAAGCAATAGAGAGGAAACGAAGGAATGAGGGAGGGACCTTAGGGAGGGTGGAAGTTCAGGAGTAACAGTCAGTGTCAGTCCATCAGTCAGTCTGTATGTACGGAGTAGTGAAGAAACGAGTGTGAATGGTTGGAATGAGTCTGAAGTCCACACCGTCTCTGTAAATTAAGATCCGAGGAATTCTTTACAGTTTACAGACCAAGTGTAGACAAATGGACACTGGAAAGAGATACCAGCGGGACCAGGTAGAAAAGTGACTAGCAAAACCAGGAGAGGTGGAGCCTTTCATCCGCTTCAATTCCACCAGGAGGGTCAATTCTTGTTCAGAGAAGCAAATGAACATCGTTGCATTGTGGAGACTTTTGGAGCGAAGAGGAGACCGACGCTTTGGCTGCACAGGAACTTAGTGGGTTTTTTTTTATTCCCTTTTTCCTATTTTATTTGACCTGCACCTCGACACACAACAGTTAACTACTACAGTGCATACACCGTCCAAGCTTATCCGCTTTGTGAATTGTGTGGAATACTGGATCAGTGGATAAAGGACTTCCTCATGCATTATGACTTGTTAGAGTTTCCAGCCAGATCATCATCTGGAATTTGCCCTACGAGTCGGAATGCATCAAGCACGAGGGCTTTGGCAAGATCGACATTGGCTTGGGGTGTCGCCACTCTGACTTGAGACTTTGTCGGGTCAGGAACACCTCGGCCTCAGATATCGGTTTCGGGGAGGGAGAGAGTCAATCCATGGGACCAAGCACTGCACCTAGTTTCGCCCGATAAGCGACCAGCAATTGTATCCCATGGTTCCTCACTCTGTTTCGATTTCCGGGCATCATCCGGTTGTCGGGGTTGAACTGTCTATTGCTCATGATGAACCCATGGTGAAGCCGATAAAGATAGCCACCACCAACTGCACCCCAACGAGCCAGCAACATCCAGGAGAGTTGGATGCGACTAGAAGCAAATAAGAAAAGGCACCGAAGCCCCAAGAAAGCCGACGATCTCCAGACCCGAACTAGTGAATTGGCCCCACTCAAGCAGGCAGGGAAAAGGAACCCTAAACAATTAGTAAAAGTCCACTTCAGGAGACCAACAAAGGCATACCGTCCCGACTGCAGGGAGCACGAGGGGGAAAGGGTTAAGGGGGCGCTACTGCAAGCCCAAACTTGTAACTAAAGGTCAACCGAAAGCCACACTCGCCTCTCGCAGCGAGCCGTGTCTCATTCCTTTTTAGTCCTACTTTCGCCTTCCATGTGTATTTCATTATTCTGATCGTCTTAGTGAGCATTGACTAAGGAGTCGCAGAAGGAATGAATGAGAAGTTATCTCACCGGATATAACCGAGGAAAACAAATACCCAAACTCCGTAGACCAAATCCGTGCATGATCCCGCTCCAAAAGTTTGGGTTTCCCCCTCATATCTTCCCGAAATCAGTCTTTCAAGCGTTGGCTTAAGACTCAAACTCTGGTTGCTACTAGCACCGGTCGGTGGCTTGCATGACCAATCCACCCACCGCCATCAAGGAACATGGCTAATTATGCCAGCTCCTTCTGCATAAAGCGCAAGTATTCGAGCATCTCTGCATGCTTGAATTGGGTCGTACTGTATTCCGTACTCAAGTCAACTGGGGGGGGGAAGGGGTGCGCGGGGGAAGAAGGACGCGCAGTCGCACAATGATCTCCGTGTTGACAGGGGCAGATCATTAGTGGGTGCACCGAAGATGATCCTGGGACATGCCGTTCTTGTATGCTGCTCTCTCCATACTCCATAGTCTACCCCATATACTACTGGACCTTGTTAGTAGTGATCCATGGGGGTTGCTCAAGATACAATAGATGCCTTGACAAATTATCAACGTTTGATTACTCCGTAAACCATCGCAGACCGGCTCCTGAGTCCTGACAGCACTCTTCCTTCGTCGAGCACGGGTGCGAGTCAGAAATCTCCTGTTTTGACTTTGCTGTTCATACGCGACTGCGGGACTACAGGCCGACGGTGCCAAATCCTATTTTTCTCCCGGTTCCCACCTGCTTTTCTGCGACGCTTTCACGAGTCACTGATCTTGACCACGATCTGATTTTGTGGGTAAGTAAGGTCCTGGTCAACCAGAGAAGTATCTGAGATCCCCGAATCCCTGCTCTTCTGCATCGGTGGGCCCGGTAAAACGAAGCACGAGGGATCCAATCAAAGGAACCATTTCCGTGCTCTCATTCTGGTTCACCACGGCCCAAATAGTCCGCCCCATGTCGTGCTCCCACACTCCGGCGGATAGTTAATCGGGTACGGCTCGCTGATGGCCGCCGATAATTGGGTTCCAGCCTCCGATTTAATATATGCTGGTGGGAACTGCCAGGAACTATCAACAATCCACTTCTTCAAGTTTTCAGCTGAATCCCCAAACCCAGCGCGATCCCGGCACATGGCCGGTGGAGGCGGGCGCAATATATGATACGAGCTCAAAATGGATTTTTCCTTGCCTGGGTGTTGCTATATTCAGTACAACCTTGGGGTGGGATGGTAAACCAACATCTGCCTCTTCTGTAAGATCATGGAAGATACAATCTACTTCTAAGCAGCAAACCACTCTACCTAACTATCATCTATGGACTGTCTTTCCTGCTTGTCGTCTGTCGGGTTTGTCCACGACGACCCAAGGTGAACAAATCCTGCCCCGCTACGACGTCCGACTGAAATTTGAGCTCTCAGCTTCCGGGGATTCAACCCATCTTATCTGCACTTGTTGCAATCTACCCTCTCGTATGGTGACTTTACTCTGTCAATCGCCAATGACCGGTTACTCGGGTGCCTAAAGCTTGTGTCAAATAACCAGGTTTACCAGTAAAAGCCACAACCCTCAATTGCCATCCATAGTAGCCTTCTAGCCCAGTAGTTACAGAATAATCCCCTGTGATTAGCCCCAATGATAAGCCCTCAAGCAAATGAACATCGACTCAAGGATCCAAACATACGCAGCATACTAACCAGTGAACCCATAACAAACAATGAATCCCGGTTGACACCCTGCCAAGATACACTCTATATACACACCACCAACTACTAGTAGAATATCAATCCTTCTCTCGCAGCGTGCACTGACCTTGCCTACTAGGCACCTTGCAGGCCCCAAGCCAACCCTAAGCACAGGGCAAAACAGCACAGGACAATAAGGCTCTCCCCGGAGGCCATTGCATTAGGTTGACACAACTCCACGGAACTTTACACCCACCAGTAACCACACTGCGTCCAACCAAGCCTCCCGCTCTGAAACTGGCCCCCATATCTCTCTCTACCTGGACCCCAAGTATACCCCACAAGCAACAAATGTTATTATACCTCGAAACCCAACAGCCTCGCCACAACAAGCATAAGTTGGCCTCTTGATTTTATCAACAGACCACCAACAATCATTATGATAGGCACAGTAACTCCGTACATCTGCATGCATGATCCATCCACCGAGTGAAGTCACCACCCGTGACTCAAAGTTGGAAAAGAGTGGGGAGTTTGAGGCATTACTAGTAACTTGATATGTCTATTCAACTATTACCTATTATACTGTACATATCCATCTATGCAAGTATATGTCAAGGTCCGACCAAGGCTAGCGTCACAGGGATCAAATCTGGCTAGTCCTTAGCAGACGGATAACTCACTCCGTGGCCCAGTTTCAGATCGTATGATCTCGAGGACCCCAGCAGCGGATTCGCTTGAAACACTGTGAAATTCCCGACGTCGTTTCTTTTTTTCCTCAGGTTAGGCTCGCCTTTTCTTGCAAAATCTAGCTAGAAAATCATCACTAGGTGCAGGAGTTAAAGACTCAACACAACACCCTTTGCTGATCTCAAGCTGACAACAGAGTCTGACATCAGCCTGCATGTCCAGTCCGGAGTACTGCGCGGGGCAAGTACATGAGCCTTTGTCGCACTGGTGTCTTTCGAAAACAAGGTAATAGTATTATAGAGACTGTGTTATCGTCGAGAGCATTTCACCACCCCCTCACACGCACACACTCTCCGCAGACTCTACACTAAAAAACTGTCTGGTCTAGTTTCCGCAACCTAGACTCCTGCAGCGAGTGAGTTTGAGGTGCATACGTCCAAACACAAAGGTCCGGGATGTTCATTGGTAGGAACCAGCCGATGATCGACAGTGGTCTCAGCCTGCGCTCATACTCATCGCACCCGGAAGTAATAGGCAAGTTCCTCTTACTTTCACCACTTCAAGTGTTTCAGTTTGACTGGGATCTGACAGAGGGGGCGGTTGTAGGGCACACTACCTACATCATACCCTGGGATATGATATCATCCTCACATATTCCGTGGGAACCCGTGGATTGACGGAGGGAGTTGGTGTTTCAGAGTCACTCCGGAAGGAGGAAGGGGGGTGGCTGGCCTTCTGCTTGGCAACTAAGATCGATCCTTCCGGATTCCTTTCGGAGAATATAGTCACCTCGGATTATGTAGTGCTAAGCTTGCCAAGACCAGGTGCTGTTGTTTTCAGTGGCAAGTATGGTAGGCAATAACAGTAACACCTGTCTACATGGGCACTAATATGCAATCTGGATTTTTGGAACTTTGGATTCATGCTGAATAGCTCGCTATGGACGATGCTCATAATCCCCGCTCGTAAGCTTTTGTGAGATGCTCGTGGCTCTCTAGGTCATATCAAATGAAATAGCGACAATTTTATGCCTCTTGGGCTATTTGTGTGTGTTTTTCTTTTTCTTTTTTCCCCTTCGTGGGTCTTCGTAGATACCGTGTCAGATTCATCCCGTCATGTAACCATTCCAGTGGTCTAGAGCGTATGCAAGACCAGTGGTGAAGAAACTCAACTCGTCAGGCCCGATGCGGACGGCATCTGAGACCAGTCTTTCGGAGAGGATATTCTCAAGCTTGCATAAGAGCTTCTGGTTGATGCACCCACTGGGGCCTGTGCAACTGCCTTTGACGTGGCTGAGGTCAACAAGCTCGTTGAATTCCTCCTCGGCGACGATGTTGTGAAAGACGCCGATAACGTGGTTGAGCGCGTTATCGATGCATGTACCAGTGGTGCCATCTTCGTCGAGATATGGCGTATGCGCACGGCCTGACTTGATTTCGTCTACGCGATGGCGAAGACGAGATTTGTATTGAGGGTCGTTCAGCCCATTGATGCCATTCATGTAGGCGACGAAAAGACTTTTGTCCAGATCAACAACATCATCGGGATGCTCTTCCGGGAGCTGCTTCAGTGCTTCTAGGATCATGCTGTCCTCGTCTTCGCACTCGTTGAGTTGGTCTCCAGGACCTTCCCCTTCTTGTAGTCGCAGGCTACCAGATGCTCGGGCCAACTCAAACAGTTCATGGCAAGTTAGCCCAGCCTCAGGGCTTTCGTCATCGTCTTCAAGCTCTGGTGCTTCGATATAGCATATGTTCGCATCGAACTGGACATGAGATCCGAATTCAATGATGAACGAACCATCCAGAGACGCAACATCGTCATTGTCCCCATCTGATTGAGACATTATGTCTGAAGCTTCATCCCACTCTGAAATTTCACACATATCATCGTCCGACTCGTCAAAGCTGTCATACTCGTAGTCAGATTCCGCTGATGCATAGCCAGACTCGCGCTCTTCGTCGTCTTCAACTTCTGAGTATGATCTTTTCAGGATAGGCTTCAAGGTCGACTGAAGAGGCGTCGCAACCGCAGGCACTAGCGATGAAGCATCAAGAGTGGTAGAAACAGTTGTAGGTTTTGGAGGGTCAGAAAATTCATCGGAGGCATAGCAGCTGTCATGGGAGATTGAGATTTCCAGCTGAGAGAATGTCGACGACAGAGACTCCCATGACTTCTTGTTCATGTTTTGGCTGCTCATGGCGATAGGCCGAGTGTCCAGACGCTGAGCGAGTTTCCCGGATTCTTCCATCAATCGCGCCAGTAATTGGTTGGCCTGTAACAATAAGATGTAAACTTTATGAAGCTTAGATCCCACCCGTACCTGCCTTAGCGACTGGCGACTGGGAACAAATTTTGTGCTTTATAGGATGCGAACAAAGGAAGTTTTTTTTCACGTTCAAACCGTGGCTTGCAAGGCCCCCAATGGTGTTGAAGGAGTCCATCGTTAAGCACAGAAAACCAAGTGGAAAATTCACTTAGTGAGAGCCGGCCGGGCCCTGAACAAAGACAACGTTGATGGACATGGTTTTTTTTTTTTCAAATGGTTTCGCTTCGAGATTCAGTGTTGAGAAAGGTTGTGACACATGCACACGTGGTTGTTCCAGAGGTATGCAACTAGATGACAGCGTTCTAATCCCCCTTCCTTCAAAATGCGGTTGTTTTTGATGGTTAGGTTCGAGTGATACATATAGGCTGTAGACCTGTAGATTTTGAGCGACTAGGTCAAAAGCGCAGTATCTGACGTGAATCAAACACTACGACGCGTGGTGGCTGGAGGCGTTTTCAGTGTCGAGAGTGTGCAATGTAGTCCTTGACGGTATGGGAAGAGCCAAGGAAGGAGTTCGATTCACAGTGAGGGGCAGGGACCGATGAGCGACGCGCAGGCGCTATAATCTCATGCCCACTTTTCGTGGGGAGTGGTTGGCGATGGTGAATGAAGCGGGGGCAAGGGGCGAGGGGGCGAGGGATGAGGAGCAAAACCCGTCGGCAGTTCTCCCAGACAGTGTCTTTTTAAGAGATGAGATGAACCTCGACCTGCTTCACGTCGAGAAGAGTCTGGAAAAGATGAGAAATACTAGCACGAATGACAGTGCTGTGCTTGGGCAGAGGAGAAAGATTAGAAACAAGGCGAACCTCGACAGCCAGATTTCCGTCATCACCGGGCGGGCACCTGACTTGAGCCCGTTGCCTCCCTTCCGGCAATGATGTCGGTCCGGATCCGGAAACACCCGCTCTGGTTTAGCGTGCGAGAATCTGCACTCGCTTTTTCATGCCGCAGCGTCGTCATCCTGAGTCAGCACTGCGTCCTCCAATCCCAGTCCGCAATCGCTGCACTATTATATTCTATGCAGTGGAATGAGAGCACTCTGCATGAACACCGCTCGTCGGCCGATATACTGGATACTTGTGGTTTGTGATTAAGCTGGTTCAGAACAGTATCAATCCTTTATCTATGTTGGTAGGAGTCAGCTGCGAAGTTAGTTCGGCAGGTCCTATTGAATGCAATGTCTCATTATATATCCTTCAAACACTGATAACTCTCGTGTTATCCAGCAAGTTTCTTCTTTCAATAGTAAGATAGCCGCTTCTCGTATCCCGAGTAGGTTGAATGGATCAAGCTAGCTTTCACTGTTATAACAATAGTACATGCGTCATGTAGGTAATATACAAATGTCGCTCGAAGCTGACATGTACCCTCTGAAGACTCTGTCTCGAAGAGCATTTCCCGTCATACATAGATCGGTATCTCGCTCACCAAATCATGGAAGCTGGTGTACTACGTCGGCTTCCTGGGCTTCCGAATACGCCAGCTGACCGCTATGGAACCCTGGTGCAAGATGTAGAGTGAAGAGTGCGGATCCTGCAAACATCCAGACAAATATTCAAGCTTTCATCAAAGGTCGAGCAAGTGAGGATATTTAGTGGCACGAGTCGCGCGCTCCACGCGACTTTAGAGTGACCATCAATGATCAGAAAGGTTGAAGTCACATTTTGCAGCAGCCGTCCGGCTCATCTCTGAGAGGACGTCGGGTTCCAAGAGTCCGGCTGCCACTTCTCACCGGGGCTGCTGGCGGCTTTGGCCCAAGGATCTGGTTTCGCGGCTGGTGTTTCCTTCTTCTCAGTTCGCGGGCCAGCAGGGGTGGCCGTATTTGATTGCGTCTCACCCTTTGGAGGATTCAACGTGGCGTCACTGGTCTGAGTAGCTGGGACGGGCTGCTGAGTCTGCGGTTTATCGAGATAAGAAGGCTTGCTAGCCCAACGCTCATCCGCAAGACGAGCCAACTCCTTGAGTTGAATCTGTCGGAGGATATCCTGTTGCTGTTCTTCAATCGACGGAGGGTCGGCTCGAACATATCGTAGCCATTGGTGCCATTGTGCTAGAAGAGAAACCGGTCAGTTTGATCGGGTGAATCTGGCTGTATAAGATGATCGAATGTGGGGACCGCAGGGGAACCTCTTACGGCTAACTTGAACATCGGAGAGATGGGTTTTGGGGTCACATTTGACGATGCGACGATATCGGTTGGCATTCAAAGCATCCTTAAACTCCCAATAAGTGTTGCCCTTCAGATCATGGCCTGTAATGTGCATCGCAATGTCAGACAGTGTCTTGTTGCATCGAGAAGATTGATGGAGACGACATACCCACGAGATATGAAGTGCGCCAGGGCAATTTCAGGCTCTTCCACTTGAACCAAAGACTGTTGATGGGACTCATTTGTCCGGGTCCGGTATCAACCAGAAGGTGCTTTTGGGTCAGAAAGGGTGTTCAGGCAGCAATGAAGGGCGTTTGTGGTCCAGTTAGAAGGGAGTAATTAGTTCCAGGACAGTTGATGGAGAAGAAACAATTACTCCGTAATAATTCATTGCGGCCGGAACGTCATCGGCACATACCGCCCGGTATGGGCGGTACGAAGTCTGGCGTATTGGCGACGTATTACGAGGGCCAAGAGTCCCGCATTCCGCCTGTTGCCGTCGTTCGGGGTCTGTCTTTCTCTCTACACTCTCTGTGTTTCCCAACCATCTCTCAAGTACTCAAGTACTTCTGTATCCTCTCCCAAATTGAAAAAGTGTTTCTTCCCCTTCTTCTCCTTTGGACTTTCAACATAACTCTCCTATTCTGCTTGCTCAATCATCCTGCGCTGATCCCTTCGCATTCCATTCTAATCTCGCATCCGTTCGATCCGCCAGTCGCTATCCTACGCCACAAATCCCTCCACCCCCCTGTGACGTACCGCGGTTCGTCCCACTCGCATTTAGGCACTATATAAACAGAAGCCTTACACTGCGCCCCCTTTCCACCCCTATTTCAGCGCCGACTCAACAATTTTTTGGAGCTTCTGGAATTCTTCTACATGCTTTGCACTCTGTGAGCAAACTACGACTGAGTGTGGTACTCGAAAAAAGAAAAATGGCGTCCGTCACATCCTTGGATAAGGACTTGCGCAATCTGCGCCTGTCCCGCTATACCCCGCAAGCAGCCGCGGAAGTCCGCAGCTGGATTGAAGAAGTCCTCCATGAAAAGCTCCCTGCAGGCGATCTTCTGGAAGCCTTGAAAGATGGAGTTGCTCTATGCAAGTAAGATTCGCAAGCCCTACTGAGACGGGATTCCCCTCTGCTTTTCCGTCCTCGGGAACCGCAAAGACTAAATGCAGCCGTCCTCGCAGACTCGTAAATCTCGCCGTGTCGCCAGGTGTCAAATACAAGCAGTCATCCATGCCTTTCGTGCAGATGGAAAACATTTCCCACTTTCTGCGCGCATGTCAAATGCCACCCCTTAGCCTTCCCCCGCATGACGTCTTTCTGACCGTCGATCTCTACGAGGCCAAGGACCCCGCTCAGGTGCTTCAATGTCTTACCTCATTCAGCCGACGGGCCAATGCTCTCCAGCCCAACAAATTCCCTTACGCACTTGGCCCGCAATCCAAGGGCAATTCTCTCAGTCCGCATGTGACGGGGTCCAGCCAGGGAGGTGCCTATACACCCACCAGGTCGCGGGGGTTCGGCGGTAGTGACTCGGGTCACACGAGCCCAGCGAGATCGCCGCAGCCCGTAAGCAGCTGGAGCAAGAGGTCGGACGAGCATTCCACAGCTCCAGCTTGGAACATCCATCAGTACGGCTACATGGGCGGAGCCAGTCAAGGGAACCAGGGTGTGGCATTCGGTGCGCGACGCCAGATCACCACGGCAGCCCCCCACGTCCCCAGCCTAGCAGAGAAGGAGAAACGCCGGCGGGAAGAGGAGGAAAGGAGACGGATACAGGAGCTGGAGGACGAGCGTCGACGCCAGCAACAGCTCGAAGCCGAAGAAGAACAGGCCCGCCTTGAGGAAGAACGCCGCTGGGAGGAGGAAACGGCGCGCGCGCGAGAACAGGAGCGGCTGCAGGTGGAGGCGGAGCGGAAACGCTGGGACCAGCAACAGCGCGAGTGGCAAGAAGAGGAGCGCAAGCGTCAGCGTGAGGAACGCGAGACGGAAGAACGACTGGAGAAGGAGCGACTGCAGCGTCGCGAAGCGCAGGACAGCCGCCTCAACGGACAATTTCTCAGTCAATACCAAGCAAGCATGGCCGGCTCCGGCAAACCCGCTGCCGCGTCCGAGTCCCAGGAGCGCCAGCGCATTCGACAACTCGAGCACGAGCTGGAGCGGGCCAAGGAGCGCGAGCGCCAGTACGAGCGCGAACGGCAGGAGGATGCCCGCGCAAATTCCCCTGAAACCGCACGTAGTCCGCGCAAGGTCCCTGTGCCTCCCAAACCAAGCTACGACCTCTCGTCCCTCGAGCAAGAACGCCGACTACTCCGCGGCGAGTGGCAGAAGCACAACAGCCAGGATCATGAAGGAGTCCCGACTCCCATTGCCGAAAGTCCAGCCAGCCCTCCTCCTCCCTCATCACCCCGCCGACCTCTCCCCGAACCCAACACTGGATCCAAACCCGCCCCGCCTCCCCGCCCTCTCCCCGACCCCGCCGCCTACGCCTCCCCGCCTCAATCCCCCTCCACCCCGCGCAAACCCGTCCCCATTTCCAGCCCCGTCCGCGGCGCGGGCGAGTCCCGCATCGACCGCTTCCTCTCCTTCAACCGACCCCCTTCCTCCCCGAAACCCGCCACGCACCGCCCTGCCGACTTCACCACCACCGCGGAGGTCGACGCCGAGAACAGCCGCCGTCTCGCCGCCCAGGAGAAGACCAAAGCCGGCGGCTGGGCGTCCAAGTCCCTGCTCGAGCGGGAGATGGAGCGCGAGCGCGAGCGCCAACGCGAATGGGAGGAGAGCCAGAAACAAACCCAGGAGGCCGCTGCTAAGGGTCTGCGTGATGGGACTCTGGGCAGCGGACCGGGTCAAGCCTGGGACGTGCACCAGTATGGCTACATGGGCGGCGATAATCAGAACCGTGGCGGGCCTGGCTTGGGTGTTGGAGGCGCCAGGAGGCAGATTATCGGGTCCAGGCCTCCTCAGTAAAGTTGTTTGGGAGGGGGTCAGCAGGGGGAATGTGACTGGACGCGGCTTCGTCCCCTCCCCTCATTCTATATTCAGGATATATATCTGATTTGCTTGCCTATGTAGTGTTCAGATGCTGAGTGTCATCGATTGTGGAGGACATTTTTCTGGATTTAAGTGCTGAGCTTCTGTTGTGTGCTGAGGGAAGGAGGTTGTTCTTATTCTATACCCGTCCGTCGATTGGTTTTAAAATCTCCCTTATCTGGAATTGATATGCATTGGAAAATTCATGGAATATTTCAAGTTTGACTTTCTACTCCCTGAGATGGTGTAAGATACCAACGTCCGCAAAACAAGATCTCTGTAATTCAAAAGTCCGCAAATGAAGAAAAATATTGTGCTACAAGATCACAACAACAAGTGACAGGGTATCGAGCCGGTTATCTGAGAAAGCGCACGCAAAACTCGCCCGATAGTCTAAGAATAACAATGACAAGATCAACACAGAAAAAAAGCACAGGGCAAAGGTCACAATCAGCAAATAAGCATAGTTTGTCCCCACGCGGAAAAATTCAACAAAGTAAGGGTTCCCCCCGCAATCAACCCGTTTTCTCATCCTTCTCATCCTCCAGAGCCAGAGAAGTGAGCGGGATGATCTCCTCAACCAGAAAGTGCAGCCTCCTTCCGCTCTCCAACAGCCACGCCCACTCGATATCGCCGGCATGCAGGTCGGCCTCCTTCTTCTTCTTCCGGCCGTCGTGGATCGGGCGCTGCTCGCGGGCCATGACGCCCTGAGTGACCGCCTTCTTCAGCGCCGGGGTCACGGTCAGCATATCGTTCTCCGCGAGCAGGATGACCAGCGTCTCCAGGGTGATGGAGATCTTGGCGTTGTCGGCCGGGGAGTTCGTGTTGGCTCCGTAGGGCAGAAAGCAATGTTCCAGCTTGGCCTGGCTGAGGTACTCGTCCTCGGTGTCGGGGGCGGCGGACTCGCGCATACGGAAGAGTAGATACTCGCAGAGCGTGGTCAGCGCGGCCGAGGTGAAGTGCGGGAGGGCGGTGGGGCTGATGAAGGCTTGGTAAGATGGGAGGGGTAGGTGTCGGATGTTCTCGGCGAAGAGGTGGTAGAGCTCTTCCAGCGGGGTGAAGTGCTCTGGAATGGTCTGGGAGACGGTGGAGAGGAGGTGGAGGAGGCGTTGGCGGAGGGTGAGGGAGCGCATGCCGCCGAGGGTGCAGGGGTCGGCGTGCATTGTGGCTAAGTGCTCGGGAGGGATTTGGTCATCGGGGACATAGCGCTTGGAACTCGGGTCAGAGTACTTGAATGTGCCCGTCGAGTTGCCGTAATTTTCAGGCGTCATGAGGTTCGCCGGGGTGGTGAAGATGGTGGGTTCGGGCCATGTGCTTTGAGGGCGAGTGCCTCGTCGGGGTCGTTTCGATTGACGAAGAGCAAGACCAGCGGAATCTTGTTTTGATGAACCCGCAACGCCTGCGCCGCCGCGGCCACGGCCACGGCCCCGAGCGCGTGCTTGTAGTGTTCTTGCCACAACGTAGTCGTCGTTGTCGTTAGTCGTGGTAGTGTCTGCGGCGTCGATGCTGTCCTCGTCCTCGTCATCGTCCTCGTCGTCGGTTAGATAGTCCCCAAACTCTTCTGCATCGATGTTGACCTGCGCTGAGCGCTTTTTGCTGTTAGAACTGTGCTTCTTGTGCTTAGATTGCTTGAGTTCATTTTCGAAAACCTCGCGGAACTCGTTGGAGGAGGTGACACCACCATCGGCGAAGATAGATCTCACAATACGACGATTGCGGCCGTAGGTGGCGCTGGCGCCCTCGATGTAACGCAAGATGAGGCTATTCTTGAGGATCTGGTCGGCAGCATCATTCGTTCTGTTGCTATTCCTGCGTCTGGAAGCGCTTGGAACCTTGCTATCTGCGCTGGATTCCTTGTCCTCTATCCACTGCCTATACCGCTCGTTCCAGTCACTCTCGAGCACCTCGCACATAAACTCGAGCCAAATCCGCCAGTGCTCCCAGCGCTCATGGTGTAAGACGGAGCAATTGAAGGCCCAACCTACGGCGTGCCAGAAGTCTTCCGCACGGGACCATATCGACTGCGATTCGCTTAGATCGAGATTGACCGGTGTCATGATATCCTCCGCTGCTTCCGAGGTAGGGGTGTCGTCCGCACCGCGACGTCGTCGGCCATGGCGAGAGGTTGCAAAGTGCGTGAAAGAGAAAGCGAGCCCGAATTTGGCGGCGATAGGTCCAACAAGAGCGTTGGTGAGGCGGAGGAGACGGAGGGCTGCATTGGGGGCTTCTTCTCCCTCGGCCGTCTTTGCGCGGGTGGTCGTGGTGGGATGTACTAAGAAGGTTGCGGCGACAGCCAGGTGCTGAGGAGGTGGAACAAATGCTGGTGTAGATGCAATGGTGCCAGCAGTGAGAACTTCAAGTAGGAGGTTAAGAGCCTGTGTATCTGGCGACCGACATTAGCGTTCGCGGACAGAAAGGCGAGGTCAACTCCCGGTAAGAGACATACATAGCTTCTCCTCGAGGAAAATGCCCGAGTGCTGGACCAGCTCAAAGGGTAGTGGTTTAGCGGGGCGATAGGCAGGCAAGTTCGCCCCTACACCGTCCGGAACAGCCATGAGAATAGTCGCGAAAGAAAGGGAATGGGAAGATGAAAGAGATGCGATGCGCGGAGAGAAAGAATCGCGCCGATAATGGCTGATAAGTCACAAAGAACGCGGCGCTTATCGATAGCCGCAGTCGACGTGAGGCAACACGTCTGGGACAAGTGGGAGTTGAATAGGAATGAATTGATGATAGAGACATCTCAATACCATAGGCACAACCTGTCTTGACGTTATCTATTCGTTGTGACAGAGAATGGTAGAAAAGAAAAAGAAAATTGGAACAACCCTGTGCAGTTGATAAATTCGACAATGAGAAAAGGGTAAACAAAACAAAAGGCAAAAAAGTGGCGCTGCCCGGAATCGAACCGGGGCTGGCACGGCCACAACGTGACGTCATACCACTAGACCACAGCACCTGTTGTTGTGATATAGGAGTTGACTTCATGCAATATAACCCAAGTGTTAGTCTTCAAGGAGATTGAAATGAAATAGAAAGAAGAAAACTGAGATCGACTGTACGCTTGGTGTTGCAACTTTACTTCTGGCTCAGCAGTAAGCTGGTGAAACTGAATGTACTCTTTTGAAATAGTGAGTTGAAGAGATTATATCCCGTGTAAAGGTTGATGCGGAAGTTCCTCCTCGAATCTCTCAATGCACAAGCATCGTTATGAGAAGACTGAGGTACGGAGTAGTTTCTCCCCTCTTCTAGCAGGGCAATCTCTACTCCTTAGTAGATAACCTTCTCCCCAATCAAATTCCTGTCTGCCCGCTGCAGTCACTACGAATCCCTACTTTCGTGTCGGGCCATCTGCTAAACCAAGGAAGCATCGCTGCTTCACCTCGCATCCAGAGAGCATACCAAAGTTGGCCCCACTGAGATACGAAACTACATGGTGAATGTATAGGGTCGGAAACCGATCTCGAGTGGCAAACATGCAACAGTCTTGTTCGGATCACAGGTTGGACAAGGATCTGGGAACCAAGAGAAGTGTCAGCGGAAGTAATACTTGCACTCTTTTGAGAAGTATCACAATCTCCAGCGACAGGCCATGGCGAGTTCTCGTTAAGCACATCAGGAAGCCATGGCAAGGGCTCGAGGGGATCAAGATGTCTGCTCCCGAGCATTGCCCATCCTCGCACAAACCGTATCAAGGGGTCTCGTGCCTGAGATGATTGAGGGTTCTCGTCTGTGGTTGGTTGTCTTACCCACCTCGCACCTGATGCAAGTGAGCTCATGTCGTACGCTGGTTGCATGCAAGCCGGCAACGAAGTGAATAATGTGTGGTGATATCTGCGTACGTACTGGTATAACCTTGAAGTTTCAGCTCAAGGCCGATGGTCACCGGATTCAAATTCCTTATACAGGTTCTGTGTAGCTGTTAATTCCCGCTGTCGAAGACTGCCAAAGGCTCTCGGACGGATTCTCTACAAATAGGTATGTCTCTCCATGGAAATATGTTCTGCGGAAAGCGGCTCGGCTCGTACCTTGACGTTGCGATTTGTACAGTAAGTACCTGGGATCGTCGAGCCGCAAACATGAATGTGACCAGGTCAGGAGCTCGCGAGCCACGATCCATTGGGATATAAAATCTCCGAGTGTTACGGTAGGATCAAAAATCACCTGTCGGAAGAAAGGAAGAAGATGTCAAGCGGTTTGCAACATCTCACGTGGTTCAACATCTAGCATTACAACCTTATTTCGGAGGTGCAGCGATGGGTTGCACCAGCCCCAAGTGCTACAATATTGGCCTCTGAGATGTATTGCTTCAGAAAGGCTATCATGGACTTGCTCAGAGATGGCAAGAAGGTCAGAGGGGAATCCTTCCTTCTCGTTCAATCCTCGAAGAATTGGCATAATGGCGAGTCGACATATAAACCCGGGCTGTAAAAGTCCGTCTGTTCTTTCAGCTTGCATCATAACTTGAATCAATCGACCTCCAAGTGTGACTTGAGTTGAGACATCATGAAGTGGAATACCTTGCTTCAACTTGCTGTCATTGTTCTCAGTATCTTCCCCGTTTGGGGTCTTCCTGCCGTGGAAGTCGAGCGCGATGAGCCCCGGGCCTCGGACCATTATGTCTTTGCCCACTTCATGGTAAGTCAATGATTCTCTCTTTCGAACAATGCTCAACTTATAACTCAATGTGCGAAGGTCGGAATAGTCGAGAAATACGAACTGGACGACTGGATCGCCGATATGAAAGCCGCCCAAGCCATCGGCATCGATGCCTTCGCCCTGAACTGCGCCAGCATCGACAAATACACTCCCACACAGCTGGCGCTCGCCTACAAGGCGGCGCAGCAGGTGAACTTCAAAGTCTTTATCTCCTTCGACTTTGCCTACTGGTCCAACGGCGACACAGCCAAGATCACCGAGTACATGCAGCAGTACGCCAACCACCCGGCCCAGATGCAGTACCGGGGCGGCGCCGTGGTCAGCACCTTTGTGGGCGACAGCTTCAACTGGGGCCCTGTGAAGCAAGGCACCTCGCACCCGATCCAGGCCATTCCCAATCTTCAGGACCCGGCGGCCGCGTCCAGCAACAAGGCTCGATCCGTGGACGGGGCGTTTTCGTGGTACGCGTGGCCGACAGATGGGGGGAATAGCATTATCCAGGGTCCGATGACGACGATCTGGGATGATCGGTTCATCAAGGACCTCGCAGGGACGACTTATATGGCACGTAGGTTCAACCCGTCCCTTGCGGTGGCGTCGATGTCGGACGATGGGGACTGACCGAGCTGCAGCTGTCTCGCCCTGGTTCGCCACCCACTTCAACAGCAAGAACTGGGTCTTCATTTGCGAGAACCTGCCGACACTGCGGTGGGAGCAGATGCTTACTCTTCGCCCTAGTCTGGTTGAGATCATTTCCTGGAACGGTACGCTCATTCCTCTTACTGTCAATGCGACAGCAAGCACCGACCCTTGTCTGTTCGCTCACACTGCAGTCTAGACTACGGCGAGTCGCATTACATCGGCCCGTACGCAGCAAACCACAGCGACGATGGCTCCTCCAAATGGGCCAAGGGCATGCCGCACGATGCCTGGCGGGACCTGTACCAGCCCTACATTGCCGCCTACAAGTCCGGCGCCAGCACCCCGAAAGTCGAAAAGGACAGCCTCGTTTACTGGTATCGTCCCACCCCCAAAGCGGTCTCGTGTCCGGAAGATAATCTCGGCCCCCCGAACGGGATCAACATGCTCAGCGACAGCATCTTCGTGGCGACTATGTTAACCAGCCCGGCGACGTTGACGGTGACCAGCGGGGCGAATGCGCCGGTGCGGATCGACGTACCGGCGGGGATCGTGACGTCGAATGTCTCGATGGGGGTGGGGAAGCAGACGTTCACGGTGAGTCGAGATGGGCAGACTATTCTGAGTGGGCAGGGGGGACTGGCGGTGCAAAGTCAGAGCCAGTATTATAACTTCAATGTGTATGTGGGGAAGATTGCGGGAGCTTGATGGAGACTCGACCTGGTTCTCAGTCAACTATAATTACCAGTTAGTGGTGGCTACTCATATCTCCAGCCACCTATGGTTTCTGGCTCAGAAGCATGAACGCTGTTGGTCGATGTATGCTTCTTAAGTGACACTTGGGGGGATTGTGACGCGTGATACTATTCTTCGTAGGGTATGGCATGAACTTCCCATCAGTCTGATTCGCTTGTGCAGTCTTGAAGTCGACAGTCGACGTAGATCCCATTAGCAGGTATTATGCTGCTTGTACTAGGTCATGATTGTGGTGACTGGATATAAGAAGTGACAGGCCGAAGACCCAATCCACTGGGAGAGAAACACATCCAAACTGCCGTCTGACCGTATAAGGCGAAGTCCAGAAGGGTCCTTCATAGTGTGGTCACTGGAGCTGTCAGCCCAACTATGTAGTATTCACAGACACCCCTTCGCTTTGCAGTAATTTCAGGGGTCCAGTAGGATAATGCTACCATGGGAGACGCAATCCATTACTTATACATGGAGGACGTGATACTTGAAAAGCAACAAACTCATACATTTCACTACCAAGTACCAGCTAAACCCCAGGTGAGCTCCCTCATCCTCACCGAACTGAACCACACATCTTTGAGACAACAAGAATAAGAATAAGTTAACTAGTAGATCCATTCATCTAAGAATCTACAACTGGACTAGTAGTACCTACCGCACTCTCATCCACCCCACCCCTGAATCACAAAGCTCGAGGAGATCTCACTCAATCCCTCACCAGCACATCCTCCCCCAACTCCTCATCCCCCACCATCTCGACCAACAACCCTCGAACCTTCCCTTCCCCTTCCTCCACCCGATTATCCTCTACTTCCGTCAACCATCGTTCCCCAACCCCCTTCGCCACCTCCTCTCGTCCAAACACCACCTTCCCAGTGCCTTCATCCCGCCACGGAATCATCATTGTACCACCACCACCAACACCACCACACAACTCCTCCGTAAACAACCTTACCTTATCCCCCCAAACCACCACAGCCCCGAACTGCCGTATGCGCGGATAAGGGTACCGCTCGCGCAAGTACACCGCTCGCTTCTGCAGGGCGATCTCGGCGCGGGTCCAGGTGTCGTCTGTGTCGGGGTCGATGGCGAGGATGAGCTGGAGGATGGTTTTCTGGGGGTGGCGGGCGAGAAGGGTTTTGTTAGTGAGGAGGGTTTCGATGTGGGTTGAGCTGGGAGTGGAGAGGGTGTTGGTGCTGATGGTTTTGATACTCATGTTGGGAGTCTGGGCTAGTATGGGTTTTGGGTTGAGGTAGTAGTTGTATGATAGATCTGGGGGGTTTGGTGGGATGGGTGTGGTGGGTGGGTTGGGCTGAGATTGTTTTGCTCTTTCTATTGAAGGTATATATATAGGTAAGGTATGTGTGTGTGTGCGTGTGTGTCCTGGGTGGTGAAGCTGAACAGGGAATTCTCCTGTACAATGCCTTGTTGTCATTGCATGTCAGGGATTTGTGGATGGATGATGTGATAAAGAGGCACTAAGATTGATTGTGTGGAAGACAAGGAAGGAAGCTCCGTTCGGTCTATACAAGAGCTCTGAATAAAGGGCTTGCTCGTTTGTTCTCTTGGCATGAGGATATACTAAGCATCTTCAGTGTAGAGTTTGGTGGCATGGCTTGGTGTTGCAGTTTGAGTATAATGCTACTAGATGGAGACGAGCACTTGCTGCTCCGTAGAAAGGATAAAACATCCTTGTCGGTACATTTTTGAGTATCAATCAACCAGCACAGAGCATTGAAGCTGGTTGTTTCATTTGACTCGGAGAACCATCCCTCGAGTCGATTCTAGTGACCCTTGTAATACTACTCGTGGGGCACCTCTTGGCAGAACTCATACTCACTCCATGCCTCGAGATAGTGGTCATTACAGCAGAGGCAATGAAAGTATCATTGGCCAGACAGCAATCTGTCTGAATTCACAGTGACCCCTTAGTCTATACCTAGTCATCCCGAGGTCTTCCCCACATAACCACAACCCAACAACTGCGGGACCATTACCAAACTACAGATGCATGCAACCAGACGTAACAATGAGTAGGATATATAGGTAGGTTAGGAGTGATGATGGTTAGGATGAATCAAGGGTAAGAGACACAGGAGCCAACCCCTCTGATCTCCCCTATTTTTGGAACTGAATCTAATGTGGCCCGCCGTTCCCCTTTTAAGCCATCGCCCATTTCTCTTTTTCACAACTATGAAACCGCGATTCAATTGTCCTCTCCAGCTCCTAACAGCAAACCCCGCAGAGCCTTCTTGTTCGCAAAGAGGGGTCCCTGAAATATACACCGGTCCAGATTGCGCAGATGAGATGCCCCACTTGGTGTCCCGGACCGAGGCACTTTCCTAGGGCGAATAGCGCGTGGTAACTGGAAAGGGGGGTTCTTGAGGTAATGACCGTGAGGAGAAGGCAAAAGACAACATAGACCCCAAGTGGAGAATATTAGCAAGAATGGAGAAAGTAAAGGGGGAAGACAAGTCCGGAAAATGAAACATGTGTGGTGGATTAAAATAAGGAAATTGAATGCTGGAGCCGAGAGCGACTACTCCTCGGGAATGTCGGAGAAAAGCCCTATTCGCAAACGATGCGACTGGGAGATGCCAAATTAGCGATGCGCGAAACTTCCAGTGCACAGGTCCGAACTTACAAAGGGCAACTTCGGGATAACCACCCCCAACGTAGCCAGGAAGTTAATGGTGAAATACGTCAGGTCGTAGTGGGTGTAATGTGTGCTGAGAAGAAACAAGCAGATGGGCACGCAGAGCAGAAACTTCTTGGTCGGAGTATATTGGTCGCCGTTGTCGATCTGCTCCCACATGTTGAGGTTGTCGTACGCCCCGGCGTTGAACTCGAAAGGGATGCCCCGCACCCAGTGAAACATGATGAAAGAGCCGAACATGTAGCTGATGTTGGTGAGCGTCCAGGAGGTTTCTTGCGAGACGCCAGGGATAATGTCATAGAAGATCTTCAATGCCACGATCAAGACGAAATGGATGGTCCAGGCACCTAGATAAAAGTCGCACAACCCGTCAGCCATGTCGGTTGTTCAGTACTTGGACTGCCTCAAAACTCCCCCCGCCTTCGTATCCCTGCACAGCCAGAACTCACCCTTGGCATTGACCCAGTTCGCATTCAGATTGGGTAGGGCGGCCTGGTCGCTGGTCCGCTCGATGGACTCGGGAGGCTCCTGATAAATGATACTGCTCGACCGTCTCCTCCGCCCAGCCTTGCCTGAAGACATATTGGAATCCGGAGTTAGTCGGTGTCGGCCAGTATCGACCTCCGGAGGGAAGGAGATGGCACGGGGAACGAGTAAGGAAGACACTTTGGCGGTATTCTCGGAGGCGTCAGAGGAGGGGAGTCGGAAAGGAGGAAGTGGAAATCGTGGCACGAGGAGAGAATCACAGATAAAGGAGTCGGAAGCAGGGAGACTGATAGTAGATGGGGAATGAAAGGGAGAGAAGAGAGGATGTGAAAGTTTGACTTGAGGTAGGTGACAAGAGCAAGAAGAAAAGAGAGCGTGAGAGCGAGAGAGCGGAAGTGAGGAAGAGGGAGAGAGAGAGAGAGAGAATATGAGAGAGTAGGAAGCGGGATTGGGGAAGCCGATGTTGGACTTTGGGGATTCGAGGCGACGGCGAGATCTGAAGCGGATCGGCGATGGTTGGTCACGGGAGCACTCGTACCGTATTACCCTTACCATTGGTATTCTATTCTACCTGGCTGATACGTAGTAGTCTAGTCCTCAGAACATCAACAAGATGATCAATACGAGTAACGCCGATGCAGGAGATTTTCCAGAGTGAAAGATTTGAGGAGGAACTTAGAAGAAAAATCACTGGCAGTGAGTAAAAACAATGCAATTACTACTCCCACGCAGAAGAACATGATACGAAAGATTCCGCGGTGTCCAGGAGAGAGAGAGAGAGAGAAAGAGAGAGAGAAAAGAAACCAACAACTAAGAATAGATGGTCGGCAAGAATCCAGACGCGGACAAAGTCATTAGTTCCTCGGCCATGCATGGTTCTAGACGTCCATCGATCGGCTGCAGTTAGAGTACAAGTCATATAAGTCATATAAAAGTCTACGGGTATGAAGGACTAATAAGACTCCATACTCCAGACAAGAAAGAATCAAAATGTAGCCTAGCTGGAGCAGTATGTACAGCGAGTACTATATGTCAGGTGCTGCTAAGAATAATGTGCCAATCGGATCAGGAGCGATGGTTCCTACCGCCTTCCGTAAAATTTCCCATCATGTGCGATCTCCAGTGAAATGAGAAAAGCCTCGCGTTGTACAAAGCAGCTTGAATTCCCCTCCAGTCAGCGTCGGATTTGAATTTCCTCCCCCCCTCCCTCCCCTCCGCGCCACTTTTCTTCTCTCCTTTCTGCAGTATGTCTGCTCCCCCCTCCGATGACGGCGACTCACGAACCGCCGCCGTCAGCACGCGTACGCAGTCGAACGGCTACCGTCAAAGTTCCCAGGACCCGAACCCGAACCCTCGAAAGCGTCAACGACGGTATGGCGGACCCGACGACCGTAAAGTCCAGGACTTTGTGCCCCAGGGAGCGATCTTCAGTGCCACTGCCGCGCTCGAGGTAGATCCCGACGAGACTTCTTCATCCGGTTCAGATAGCGAGTCGGCTGGCACCAGTTCGTCGGAAGATGAAGGTGGCGCAGCGCAGTCCGCCGCTGCCGCACAACCGGTCAGCTGGAATAAGGGCAGCAAGAGCGCGATCAGGACATCGCTTCGCGGGGCGCGCAATGCAACAGGAGAGAATCAGGAACCCAGCGCCTCGAAATTCGACGCGGTCAATGATAAGTTCTGGCGCAGTCGGAGCGCGTCAATATCCTCCGCCAGTGACCGCGACGATGCCGCACCCAGCAAATCCGACCTCGACGAGGAGATGGAGGAAGGTGAAGTAGACGAGGCCAGCTCTGATAGTTCGAGCCAGATGCAGAGATCAGGAGATTCGGAGGATGATTCAGAGTCGTTGGACTCGGAAGCAGATGATTCGATCCTCTTGAACATTGGAGAGCGGGGTCCCGGCCAGCATCTTGGCCAAACTCACGACGGAATCCTCACGCCAGACGGCGACGATGGTTACGATTCGGTCGCGAACGGAATAAACCCTCGCAGCGCACAAGACGATCTCATCGGTTCCCCTAAGATGTCAAAGGAGGATGCACACCGCCGATATTCCCAGAAGTACCCGATCGCTCCCTCCGTCCTCGCGGATCTTGACCGGGAGGACATGGACTTCCAGGCGAAGTACCGATTCTATGACCGCGACATTAATGCCATCGACCTCCAGCTACCAATCGCCTGCACCGAATGTTTACAGGAGGGACATCTTGCAGACATCTGTCCCACGAAGGAGGTATGCCTGCTCTTCTGATTTTCTGCCGCCCGTCATGATCCGAGAAATGCTAACCTGACCAGTGCGTCCACTGCTCCGCCTGGAACGAGCACCAAAGTAGCCTATGCCCCACCTGGCGACGCTGCCAGCGGTGTCGCGAGCGCGGTCATGACGGCGACACCTGCCCCTCCGCGCTCAAAAGCTCCGCCTCCGAGGTCCCATGCGATCTGTGCGGCTCCTCCGAGCACCTCGAATTCGACTGCGATCAAATGTGGAAGCTCAGCAACGAACAAGTCCCCGCGTCCGCCCCGGTCCTCGTCTCCATCTCCTGCGCCAAGTGCACCAGCAACCGCCACCTCATCGGTGACTGTCCCTCGCTCACAAGACCTCTCCTCTCATCCACGTGGACCCTCCGCGGCATCGACCCGGGCATGATCACGAACCTCAATTCTGTCATCAGTTCTCGACGCGGCGGCGGCCGAGGCGGCCAAGCGCCCGGGCCCCGCGGAATGAAGATCCGTGGCCGGGCCGACCAGCAACGTCCACCCTCCTCCGACAGTGATGATATGATGAGCCGTCTGCGTCAGCCCGGTAACCGCAGCAATAATAACAACAATAATAGTAACCGTGGACACATTCGGTTTGGTGCCGGCATCGGCGCGAACAATAAAAACATTGCGTCGGGAGGCGGTGGCTATCGCGACCGACAGCGATCGTTGTCGCCAAATGGCCGTCCCGGCCGCGGTGGTCGTGGCGGCGGCGGTGGTGGAAGGGGGAGAGATAGTTATCAGCCTCCGCCTGGTGGACGCAACGGAAGGCCACCGCCTGCACCTCCTTCGCGTCCAGCTAGAGGGGGAGGGGGAGGAGGGGGAGGACGTGGTGGCGGTCGAGGTGGAAAGAGAGGGGGAGGTGGAGGCACTGGCGGAGATGCGTATCGCCCGTTGCCTAGTGCAGGCAAAAAGGCATGGGATCGGTATAGGATGTGAATGGTTGATTGAGTTGTTGCGATTAATAGATACCCCCTCTACGAGTGGCCGTGGGTATACATGCATGTTTGCATACTTGGTATATACCCCCTGGACGATTACTGTCTGTCTTATTGTCTTTGTGAGACGGAAAGGGGCCAAGGGCCGGTCCTTTCCGACCGTATTATGTACATATGTCACAAAAAAGCCTTTGTCTTTCCTCGAATCATAAATTGGACAATATCATTGGGCTGATACCGTGGTGGTCGGTGGTGCATCGGTCGTGGGAACTTTCTCCCCACCTCTGTGACCGACAAACCCGCGGCCGAGGATATCTATCAGCTCGTCTAACCGCTCAATGCAGAGATCGGTATGCTCGTGGTCTTTCAGATGGGCGTTGTGGTCATTGAGGAGCAGTACGGTCGCGGCCCCGGCCGTATGACCGGCCGTCATATCATCGAGACTATCTCCGACCTGATTGCGGCGACGGCAGCAGCAGCAGCAGCGTCAAGTTAACCAGACGAGCACAGGTAGTAAGTACATAAGGGAAGGGCAAACCGCACGCACCATGATCAATCCCTCCCCACCCCCCTCCAACCCCCACTCTCTCGCAATATGCAAGATCCCCGCCGGATCAGGCTTGGGCATCAACCCGGGCGTCTCCCGGGTAATGATCGGTAAGAACACATGCGCCGGGAGATGGTTCTGGAGGAGATTCGTAACGGGCGCCCTGATTTGTAAAAGTTAGCCGAAAAGTCCATGCCTACCCTACACCCCGCAACTCAAACACCAACACCTCCCCCCCGCCTCCACCTTCTTTCTTTCCATGATATCGCAACGATGGAGAACAACGAAATAGGCGGGAGAAGGTCCCATACTCAAAATTCCTTGTGCACAACGCCCTTCTCACGCCCTTCGCTTCAAGATAATCCATCAGATCCACCAGCCCGGGCTGCGGTTGCTGGTGTCGCATGGCCTCGCGCTCAATGGCCTTGATCTTGTCGGCGGCTTCGAGGCGGGCCTCTGGGGTAGGGAGGCGGGCGATGTGGTGCAGGATGTCGGTTTTTTTGTCGATGCCAAGGATGGCTCTGTCAGTTGCGGGGTTAGATTTTTAAATCTGAGGGAGGGGAGCGGAGGGATTGGTGTGTACCGCATTTCTGCGAACATGTAGTTCTGAGGGAGGCTGTTGCATGGGGTGGATGTTAGCTGGATTTTGGTTGTGTGGAGAAGAGTGAAGCGGAGAGTGAAGGGCTGCTGCAACACTCACCATAATGTGCCGTCGACGTCGAAGACGATGCCCCTCAGAGCGGGTGCGGAGGAATCTCGCGGGTCCTCCGCATTGAGGGGGGCGAAGCGTCGCTGACGGAGGGAGGGTTGGTTGATTGAGAGAGAAGCCATGAAGCGATAGGGGAAGCGAATTGAATTGAATGAGAAGAGGGACATCGGAGGGGGAATGAATGATAAGTTTGAAGTTACAGTGAAGTGGAAAGAGAGAAGGGGAGATTCTGTGACGTTGGCGGGTCCGAGTGGCTCTGCAGCCGATAAGATATGAAAATGCGGAGAAAGGCGATCAGTTCACAATACTATATTCTGGCAGTATGATTTAGATCTGAGTATGATGTAGTGTACAGGAGTTCAGAGAATACAGTGGCTGGGCCATTGCTGTTCTGTACATCAAAGATAGTCTATTGTTTCATCATGTAAGGAATCAACACTGAAGTGGTTCCTTCCTGCAAATGCGATGCACCTCACCCTCACTCCCTCCCACCACCATCCAATTCCTGCCTCCCTCTGCCATCATCCCACCATGGAAGCATTTACTATCTTTTTCGTCTCGCCATCCCCACTTCCCAAGTCCATATTTACGAATCCCGTCCTCCCTCGTCCACGACCCTCCATGGCCAACATGGCGGGCCCCAAGCAACCCACCCTCCCCGGCGCCAGTCTCGGTCGAGCCCTCCATCTGACCGGCACCATTCTCATGCTCAACCTGCTCCTGTTTGTGGCTTTCCTCCGTAACATCGATCCCTCTACCGAGCTCTTCCGCCGCAACGGACTCTGCCAGTCCATCCGCCGCAAGGAGCGGCGCATCATTTATCTCAGCTCGCTCATTCTGGGTCTCGAGCCCGCCGTGCCCAACGACCTCGAAGCACACTCGCAACATGCCACCGTCGACGCGCAAGCGATGAATACTCTTATCTCGACGTCACCCTCTTCCCCCGAACGAGTCAGCGAGTCCTCCCTTCCACCCAAAAGACCGGCGCCTGTTGCGAGCGTCCTGTCGGTCCGGCCGTCGAACCGTACGTTGAAACTCGACAGACAGAGCAACAGCGCCCTGACCAGCCATTCTGGCGTCGTGAAGATCCTAGATCCAGCTGCCAGCGCGCATCAGCAGCAGGAGCAGCAAGACCTTATCTACCCCCAACGGGTCAGCGACTCGATTTACTCGGCCACCATCAGGAGGAGTCTGTCATTGGGGTCAGAGCGTCATCAGAGTATCGTACTGCCTCATATTCGCTATTCTGGGTTTATGACTGAGCGGTTGCGCTTTAGTGTGTTGAGCCAGCCCTGGTCGGTGGTCTCGGTGGTGGCGGCGGATAACGAAGTGGCGGCGGCGCCATTGCGCGCAGAACCTGTCGTGGTCGAGGAGCTGGCGAACCGGTTGCAGCCGGGTTGTTCCGTGGATAGTTATCCAGGGCAGTTTCCGATCAGTGATGGGATGGAGTTGAGCTGGTTGGCAGCAGCGTCGCAGCGACTGGGCGCTGAACCGGCGGCGGATGAAGAGAACTGTCCTAGTACTGTTTCTGTCCTGTCGACCTCTGCGAGGCCGTATACCGAGGTTTGAAGACGGTGCGTGGGTGTGCGTGGGTGTGCGTGTGCGTGTGTGTGTAAAGATGGAAGTATTATTAAACTGGACTGTACCTGGAAGACTATACAAACTCGCATCTTGTTGTGTCACGACCCGATGCATCCGAATGCCCACGGGTTGATATGGATATACAGTAAAGCAGAGCAAGGCATGCAGTGGATAAATACCTTATAGATCTCTCCGTCAAGAACAATCTTCCTGGTGAATAGCATGGTCCAGATATCCCATCGCCTTGACGAAGATCTGAGCACTCTCCAAAACCCGCTTCTTGCTATCTCCATGCGTATGCATTCCCACGAACGCCCCATATGTTGAATCGAAGTCCGTATGCTTGATCGCTTGCCAAATCTTGAGAACCTCATCTGGCGGCAGCGGGATCTATCTACATTTTAGTATCTGTGCAGTCATGCCCATCCCAATTCACCAGTAAGGGAAAAAGAAAAAAAAAAAAAAAGAAAGAGGTTGGACAAACCATATTCGGATACGACCACATGAACGTAAACGAAGCCGTGCCCGGCACGCGATCCACATGGTAAATCCCACTCGGCACCGTCCCGATAGTATCGGCAATCAACAACGTGCGCAGCTTCCGCCACCACAGCACCGTACTCCCTGGAAAATGGCCTCCGGTTTTGATGACTTGCAACTCATCATCCTCCTCCCCCTCCTCCTCAGCACCACCACTACTAGCAGCAGCAGCAGCAGCAGTACCACCATCTTCCCCCTTCCATGATTCCTTGTGTTTTGGCAAAACATCAAACAACCCCAATCGTCCTCCCTCCCAAAACACCTGCTCCCCCTCCAGGCCCTCCTTCCCTCTCAAACAAACCCACTCCTCATCCTCCCTCGCCAAATAAACCTTACATCCAAACGCGCTCGCCCACTCAAGATGCGTTGCGTAGTAATGCGGATGCGAGATGACGATGGCGTTGAGTCCACCCAGCTCATTGATCCGGCGGATGGTCTCCTCATCGAGGAAGGGGATGCAGTCCCAGAGGACGTTGCCGTGGCGGCGGGTGCGGCAGAAAAAGGCGCGCTGGCCGATGGCGAGTTTGGGGACGGTGTGGATGGCGATGAGTTCGTTTAGGTGATCCGGGCTGGTGAGGAGGTGTTCGAATTCGTTGTGGTATGAGGGGTGGGGGGGTTCGTTGTTGGTGGTGGTGGTGCTGGGAGGGTTGCGGAGGGTGCGGAGGGTTGTCCATGCTTGTCTTTTTGAGTTAGCAGGATTTTAGATTGGTCACTGCTTGAGAGGGATTTGGCTCTGGGGAGTCTGGCTAGGGGAATGTATAGGGTGAAAAGGGGATTGACATACCCAGTGGGAGGGATGAATTGGCGGGGATCATCGCAGATCTGGCAGTTGGGTGGGGGTGTGGTCGTAGGAAATTGCGTGCCGCATGTTGAGCATATCACTAAATCGAGTGATGAGGTGGTCATGATGGGTGAATAGAGACAGTTTGTTATTGACTGCAAAGGGTGGGAGGTCGAGGGAATGGTGGGAGCAGGTTTGAGGTCTTATACTTCGTGTTGATTTACCCCGCATGAGGAGCATTCCGTGGTTCCAATGCATGATGAACCTCCATCCCACTTCATATCTCCTCCTCCTATTTTTTCAATGCATTACTGTATGAACCCTCCTCTCAAGATACAATTAATCATTACACAATGTGAGTCAAGTCAATAGGGAGGCATCACTAAAACTGTAGGCAATTGGATACATGGTATAACAAAGGCAAAAGCACGACCGCCGAATACAAAATATCATGCTCGCACAGATGCAAGACGCTGGTCATAGCACATGGTGCAACTATCATGTCATTATGTCATAAATTTTGAAACAGTAACCAACCAAAAGAAAAGGGTATCAACTAAAATCATCACGTCTAGTCAAGCTCGGCATCGACCTGCTCCGGACTGGTCGACCGATACTGGCTTCGCTTCCGCCGGGCCGGGCTGTATTGGCTGCCCGAATTAAGCGGACGAGGCCCTGTCGGTTTGCGCGGTGGAGGCGTGCTGCGTGGAGATTGCACAGCAGAACTCTACAGAAACATAGTCAGTATCGCTCGTCTCAACCGTTCCTTCCAGGTATGGGCACTAACCCGTGAAACGACACGATCCGCATAAGATCGATCATCATCATCCTTGATTTTCGAGGGTCTCTCCGGGATCAACGGCCCTTCATCTTTGATCTTGGGCGGGCGTGGAGGTCCCGTTTGGCGAGAGCTTGCTTCAGAATAGCCTGCATCGGAAATGGGAGACAGCCGGCCGCCACCACTGTAGCGTGGGTTGGTGTTCACCCCCGACAAGCTGGGATTGGATCCCCACGGGTCGGATGGTGCGGTGTACACCTGAGCCTGCGTCTCTAGTTGAGATTGATATCGCCCAGTGGGCCCTTGACGGGGCTGTGGATGGTGCAAATCGAGGCTACCGCGGTGAGCCCGATACTTGGGCGTCTCGGAAGCCTGGGATGGTACCAATGGCGATGGGGGCCGATTCTCGTGCTGTTGGTCATCTAAAGTATAAGTGGACTGCAGTCGGTCCTCACTCTGAGGATCATAGTAGTTTGTCGTGGGGTATGGTCCCTGTGCAAGGTCGGACCCAGACCGCGAAGCATCGAAAGACGCCCGATCTTTGCGATTTGGCTGGATGCTATTGCGGATATTGTCACCCATAGAGGAGGCAGTGGTTTTGGACCAGCGCGAAATTTTGGGGAAAAACGAGGAGCTGCTGGACTTGTGCTTCTTGGCCTTCTCCGCCGTTTTTGGAGTGGTATCGGCGCTGAGGGCACCTGAGGCCATCGCATCCCGCGGAGGCGTCGAGACAGGGACCGAACTTGCTTTATCCGCTCGACTAGTAGGTTTTTGGGACATGAGATGAGGGCTGAGAAACTCTCCACGATCGTCTTCCATATCCTCATCGACCTCCTGGACTGTGCTCACCCGATTCTCAAGGCCTTTGCGGAATTGAGTTGGGTCCTGAACGAGCTGTGACGAGGTCGAAAGATACTCAGAAGGATTTCCAGGCGAAGAAGTACCTGCATGGCCTTCGGGCTCGTAGCCTTCGGGATCAACACTAGCAGCCCGGTTGCCACGCGCATATCCTTGATCCTGATTGAGCCGCAGCGCCTCGACCTCCTCCAGCAACTGTTCCAACATATCCTCGATTTTGGTCAAATCATTCGAGTTCTTCATACTCAAGCCCTTCAGCGCACGCTTGAAGATGTTCTTCCGCTTCTGGCTCAGTTCCTCGCCATCCTCCATAGACATCTGACGAGCGCTGCGCGCACTGACCGGCAGTGGACGCGGTCCCCCCACAGCCCGATATGTACGCTCATGTTGTCGATCACTGGCTTCCATTAGCATCCCATCTTGTTGAGCGATAAACTTCTTCATTTCCTCAAACGAGTTGCGCATCTCGGCCGCGCTTCGAACCAGCGTCACCAGAATCTCCGTATCTCTGGCGTTTCGTTGCGCATCGCGAACGGTAAGATGGTCCATAAGGGCGACGATATCTTTCGACTGGATCCGATCGATGCCTTTGCCAGTGGCACTGTCGTATAAGGGAGAACCAACCCCATGGGAATACCCACTCAAGTGTCGCTGATGGCCAGACATGAAATCATCATCAGCTCCCATTGGAGCGTCGAAGTAGCCCATAGTCGCATCAATCCCTCCCATCCCTTTTTTGAGTGGTTCAGGAGTGTCAAGGCTCGGAGACCGGGGGTTGGCAGCCGAGACGTAGCCCTCATCCTTCGCTCCAAGAGGCGTCCCATACGATTGCCGAGAATACTGCTCGCCATAATAGTCATTGGCAGCGTACTCGTCTTCGGGGTAATAGTCCTGGTTGTAATGCGAGTCTAACCCCAAGCCCGCACCAGCAGCAGCAGCAGCACCACCACCACCACCACCACCACCACCACCCTTGTCAAAGAGAGGGGAGGGAGCATCTTTGGAAGGCGTGTGGTTGAACGACCAACTAGCTTCTTGGGCCGCCGGTCCTTGAATGATGGAAGGATTCGTATTGATTTCTGATTCGGTATCTGGAAGCGGGTCCTCCTCGGGAAGAGGGCTCTGGTCGCGAAGTCCGGCAAACATGTGGTTCGGGTCTGTGAGGTCTTCATATGACTGCGTGACGCTCTGGGGAGGCGAAGTGGCGCCCATACGCCTCGGAAACGATGTAGCATCGGGACTCGGCGCTTTTTGACCTTGCTTGAGGGGACTTCCTTGGCGAGAAGCATGAGGAGTCACTTCAGACTTCTCCATCTCGTCATCTTGATCGCTTTCCCCTTGTTCCGGGATATCGTTCATGGAACGGTTGGCCGCGGACTGACTAGACTTCGTGTCTAGAATGGTGGGGTCCAACAGCGAAGCCACTGCCGACTCTACGGCTAGAGGGTGCACAAATCGTGGATTGGCCGCAACGCCGTCGGCGACAGGCTGACCTTGTTTTGCGTGGTCCATGATATTGGACTCGCTGTCCTCCTTGTGCCTAGGCGTCCTTCTACCCTTGGTGCTTGCGTCTGAGTGTTCATAGGCATCGTCCTCATCTTCTGCATCGGAGTGTTTGGCCCAGTGACTAGCTCGTGGTGATGCTCTAGGCGTTTCCTCGTAGCCCAATTCATGTCCCGGGTCATGCTGGTTTCTCAAGGACTCGGTCTGACTATTGATGCTGAGGCCTTCCGGGCGGGTTGACCTCGCAAGATTGGTACTGGGAGCAGAAGAGAGCGAATCGATCGATAACCGTGGCTCCAGTCCCTTTTCATCGTCGGAATAGTCGTGTTGATCGTAAGACGTCGGGTCCTGCTTGACTGGAGACTGGCTCATATTACTTGCCACGCTCTGGATGGGGCTAAGTGTCCGTCGTCGACTTGGGAGATCACTATAATTGGTATCATGGTGTCCTGGATGGACGTCGAGTAGGTTTGCTGCAGCCGCCGCCGCAATCGCTCCGTCCGCTGCGTCACCGACGGACGAACGGCTCGAGACGCTGCGCAGAGACAGATTGTGGCTGGAAAGGTTGCTATGTTTGAGTTTTAGATCATGGCGCGAGTCCAGAGAAGCCTGACCCGGGCTGCGTGGAGTCGGTGAGAGGGTTTGGTAGGGAGACCCATGCGAGACATCCTGTAAATGAGAACTCTCGTAGGGGTACGGATCAGCAGACTGCTCTGAGAGCAATGAAGCCCTTGTCAGGTCCGACTCAATTGCACTGCGTAGCGGCATAGGAGCGACGTTGTGTCTTTGGAAGACCAGCTCGGTCTCGTTAAGACCTTCAGTGGGGCTCCGGGGGCCGCTGCTTCTGCGTCTTCCTTCGCTACTGGCCAAGCTCGAACGCGAATCGTGGTGTTGCAGAGCCGCCGCTGTTAGAGCGCTCCCGACGATGGCCGCTTTCTCTGCCTCGCGCAAACCTTTGCTTCTCTGGCGACGCAGCTTTTCTTGCTCGGTCAGTTCCGGTCGGTTGACCCATTTGATGTAACCGATGTCGGGTGACTTTTCGCTCTCCTTACTCGATCGCCGCTCGTTCCGAGAAGGGACCGAATCCCCGGACAGAGTGATTCCCTCGTCACGACTATCCTTGTTGAGAACGACTTTGGGCTTTCGGACGTCAGGTGCACTTGCATGCTTTGATAGTCGACGTCCCAATTCATCCCGTGAAGGTGTACTGGCAGACGAATGCGAGGCATTCATATCCCTATCAAACTTGGAAGTATTAGACATGACTTTTTGGTCTTTCTTCAGCTCCTTCAACTCGGGCAAGATTAGCCTTCGGATCGCGTCCTCAACGGTTTCAAGTAGTTTCGGGTTGTTGATAGAGGACTTGGAGGTACCGGAACGGAAAGAGTACTGGTCACCGGATCGTCGATGCGAGGAGACGGCCGAGGCGCTGAGGAGGCTGGACTCAGGACTCATCATATCGTCGTGTCCACGGTGCCTCGGAGACTTAAAACTTGCCTCCTCACTGTCGTCGAACTTGGTCCTTTCTGCCCGTCGACGCTGGCGGGAGCCGTCGCGAGGGTCGTTGCTAAGCTTCTCTGCCACGCGATGAGCGATGCGCTCGGTGCTCAAGCTCCGACTTCTTTGCCGTCTCGGAGCCTTGAGGTAGTCCTTAGACTCGTGGCTCGGGGCTCTCTCTAGACTTTGACTGCGTTTGCGACGGAGGCCAGACGTAGGGGCGTCAAGCATGCTATCTGCAGGCATGGATGAGATGTCTGAGGCGGGTAACATGTACCGTGTGTCGCGCGACAGGCTGGAAATTTCACTACCCCTGTGGCGATCCATGAACTCAATTTCGACGGGAGAATGACCAGGAGGCTGGTTCTCATCGGTGGCTGAGTTGGAGGAGCTTATACTGTGATCATCGGGACCGGACTCGGTCAGTAACTTGTGCTTGTGGGGCGAGCCGAGAGAAATGCGGCGGGAGTAAACCGGTTTGCGGTTGCCGCTAGACTCGGTGATTTGAAGATGGTCTTTCTGATCCTTCAACTTCCGAGCGGAGGAAGGGGTCACTCTGACACGGACGCTAGGCCGAGAAACCAGGGAACCAGAACCCTTCCCGCCCTCGAAGTACTCGATGAGCAGGGAGGTCTGGGAGTGCTGCGTTGAGCGGGACAGCTTGGAGTCGTCCCCGCGGGAACGGTGTTGTCTCCGACGGGTGGGGATGGTGACGGGAGTCCCGTCGTCTGGAATGGAGTAAGAGGATTTGTCTGTGCGGCGAGAGATGTCAGTTGCCAGATCAGTGCCTGTGAGGCTGCCGCCTGTGGTGTTGGTATCGACGATGGATTCAGTGGGAGCAGGCAAGACCGGTCTTCGGCGTGTCTCGACGCCCATCATGGTCGATAAGGAAAAGAAATCAAGGAAGTGAGTGAGGGAGTGATTCTCGTTGTCTTTCTTTCCCTTTCCTCTCTCAGCCAAAGTGAATCATCGTCGGCGGGATTTCTTTCTGAGATTTGAAAGGGGGGAAAAGGCAGGAAGCGTGCAGAGGTGAGGAGGGAAGGGGGGGGGGGGTTGTGTAAGTATTGGACAGAATGAATGGATGGCACTGATCCTGAATCTCCGACTGCCAGTTAGCAGATTGGAGTCTCAACACCACAAAAGCTTGGACCGATTGGTGGATTGGAGACGAGGCAGACAAACACGCACGGGGAGAAATGGAGTGAGGGAGGGGGATGGAGGTAGGACAGGCAAGGATGCGATCGATATCAAGATCAACAGAGTCAACAGAGAGAAGAACAGCGTACCAGCACTAGAGAGAGGGCGATGGTGGTGGTGGGGAAAAGCAGATGATAACAGGCTGGAATGGAAGCGATTTACTCTCTACCTTTTCGCGGGAGAACTCAGAAAGCACTGAGGAACGGGTGGAGTGACCTGACCCCAGTGAGAGGCCGACTGGAGAAGAGAAAAGAGAAAGTGGAAGGAAGAGTAGGAAGAGAAGGAGAACGTGAAAGGGAAAGAAGAGGCGAGTTGTTGAAGATCGCTCCCACTGGGGGTGGATAATTCAATCAATCAATCAATCAATCATCAACCATCAATCATCGGGTTGGTGGCCATGCGCATTCACCGCAAGAGTCCCCATGCATTGGGGGCTGTCCAGCCAGAGATCAGAGACAGAGGGGGGATGGCAAAGTTAAGATGGCAAATTAGGTTGCAGAAAGAAAAGTAGCAATGGTTAACACAACAAGTCAACAACAAGAAGAAGACGAAGAAAAAGGAAATCAAATGTATCAGCCCAAAGAGGGAGAGGGAGAGGGGTGGATGTGATGGTGATGGAATCAGGTACAAGACAGGGTTTGGTGGGATTCAGTCCGAAGCTAACAGTTCCCGTAGGCAGAGAGGAGAAACTGACAAGAGGGGAGGGGGGAAAAAAAAGCAGAAGGCTGGTCAAGGAATACTAATATCAGCAATTGAGATTTAGTTCGCAATTAGCAGCCACCACTGCCTTCTTCTTTTCCCTCGTAGTCAAGCCAAACTTAAGTAAGGTACGCCGATTACACTGGATGAGCTGGCACAAAAATATTTAGTCTCACTGAGGCAGAAAATGGAAAACAAAAAATTAAATGCAAAAAGCAAAGCCATGAATTGTAACCCGACAACAACATCAACACAATAAAAGCAGCACCGTCGCCCTTCCACTAAGAGCATAAGCATCACCCTCCAGCCTCGCTCTCTTCGGGTCTCCCACCGTAAATTCTTCCGAGTGAGCTTCAATCGTCCTCGCTTTGGGTTGCCATTGCTCCCTTCCACGTTGGTTGGGTTCGATAGAAGTGGGCTTTTCCTTCTTACGTGTGTTATGTGTCTGTCTGTTTCTCAGCAGAGTGAGATCCAAGCGATGTGACCGAGCTTTGCGCGATCCGTATCTCCCTTTTGGAATCGAAGTATCAATAAATACCACCCATCCGCCTCCAGGGTGGGTTTCTCGAAATTAATCAATTTCGACGGTTCTCTCAGAGTTCCCGGTCTTGCCGCAGTCTACCTTAACCGCAAGACAAGCCTCAAACCTCGTAGAATAGGGATCCTCCGCATCAAGGATTTGACGCGGATATTGCCGACATTTCATACCTACCTCCAAGCAACAACCGGGTTCTTGCCTCCCGTGGTGCGACCCAAGATGTGACCTGTATCCTGTCCGTCTGGCATTCTGGGTCTTGGGTGGCCCTATGACCGTTGTACAGGTGTGAGGAGGCAAATTGCCAAAGACACTTCCATTCTGGTGGTGAAATGAGCCGGGGGGAGAACAGCTTGTCGTGAAAAGCTGTCAGGGAATTGGCTGGGATTTATAGAGCATGAGACACGAGCAAGCAGAGCATCCGTAGAAGAAGCCTTCCCTGTGACCCATCATAAACTCGGCACGATCTTCGGATCTGAAACGAGCGGCATCGCGATCCACCATCATCACCATCAGCATTATCAGCACCATCAGCCTCTGCTTGCTATCTAAAAGGACAGCATCAGATCCAAATGGACTGACTAGTGTAGGTACTGCAAAGGGAGACACCGGCCCAAGTCATCCCAGCAGTGGGCCTGTCCGACCCGCCGCGGACCCGCGGGCTCGAGAACCTGGCTTTGTTCCCCAGGCCGCGGGCAGAGCAGAGCTCCAGAGTGCACTCCGTAGCCAGGCCCACCCAAAGGCCTGTTCGCACTTTCTTGAGGGCCCCTGCCCTGCGATGGAGAGAGGGTCTCCAGGACGACCGACTACCCAGTCTCTTTGGGCGACTGGGATCTGCCAACTCATAACATCCCGTCGCTGCGAGACTTCTCATTGATTGGTGACGGTTTGTCACGAGAGTCACCCAGTAAGACCACGACGGTCAAGGTTCCGGCCGCTTACTGCCATGTCGCATGCAACATTTGGTTGTGTATCTATGCCTGGTAGTCCTAGATGGAGAGAGATGACTGGGTGGATTCGCGGGACAGCGGGTCCATGGATCACTGACTGGCTCTCTCCCAGCCACCGGAAGGGGTGGAGGAGAAGGGAAACAAAAAGACGACCCAACCAGCCACCTTATGCTCCTTGCAAAAAAAGAGACCAAACAGGAAGCGAGATGCATCTGACTCCCGACGCCTGATTTTAATTCTCGCGATTGGACGCCAATACTGCGGTGAGAACCCCGATCGGAGATAGGAAGTGGACAATGGCAGCCGGCAGTCGGGCAGGCAGGAGTCAGGACGCATGGGTAGTTTTCAGAGGTGCAGCCGTTTGACGGACCAGGCAGCGGTGCTTGATCGCATGGACTGTGTGTATCCTGCAGTGCTAATATCAGGAAATTCTCAAGTTTGAAGTAGATGGATTCGAAAGACAGGGTGTGTGTAGACGAAAGAGTTCAATCGCTTTTGCCTTGGACTGAAGGTCGAACCCGCCCTCCATTCCTGGCTGCTAAATTAGGCAGGTAGGGTCTATACCGTGGACCTGCTGAGTCTGAAGTTCAGCCTCAAATACTCCTGAATAGAGACAATGCCTTTGTCATTGGCGAGAGTCGTGTCGTCCGAGCCATTTTACGGGTGTCCAAAGAGTTGGATTAGTACATATTCTCCTTTTGGCATCTCCACATCCTGTGCAATGTTCAGATCTTACCCAGAGCTTGCATCTGACGCGAAATGCATGAAATTGACGGGATGTACAACGCTAATCAGCGCAGCCACGGTCAAAGAATTGCATACTTGGGCGGGATGCAGCTGTGATTGTGTATCAGGGAGTCATCGGCTAGACTGCTCGTTTTCCTTCATCTATTGCTTGTCATTGCAGCATGTTGATCGAAAGTATGCGCTATCTCCTTAATACCTTTGGCTCATGTTTATGCTCTTGATTATGGCTTCAATGTGTCTAAATCCTGCGTGCTGCTCAGCTAGTACGAGATGAAGAACGAGTACAATTGAGAATCAACCATATGTAGAAGACAAGCCAGATATCCACAGTATCAAACTCCGAGACTATATGCCAAAATTCAGAAACCACACAATGTTACAATCAATCACTTTTGCTCTACGCTGACACATTAATCGTCATCGTGCTTCCGCTTGAACTTCAGCCCCTTGTTCCCGGGTTGGCTGCCGTAGTTGCGCCGGCCCTGCTGCTGCTGCTTCTTGTCGCGGCTGAGGCTGGAGCCTAGTGTGATATCAATGCGGGGTGGCGTTGAGAAACCGAAGCCCTTGGCCACCTTAACAAGGTCGAGTTTGTGCACGTCGAAGACGGAGCGGAGCGAGTGTGAGGCATAAGCCTGGAGATAGGCACGGTAACCTTCCTTCGCAGACTGTAGGAAATGGTCAGCATTCAGATGATGAGAACGAAGGCAAACAGCCAGGCGTACCTTGTTCAAGTAGTAATTCTGTCCGATCAGCTTCTCGAGCTGAGACTGGACATTGACGATCTTGTTGGCGGGGAAGTCGAACTCCACGACAGGAACACGAGCCTCCTTCAGGTGCTTCAGGAACCCAACCTCGGAAGGCTGAAGGAACATCAAACTGCGTCCCTTACCGTTCACACCACGGGCGGTACGACCGACACGGTGAACGTAATCTCTGGTGTCATCTGGGGGATCGAACTGGATAATCCAGTCCACAGCCGGAATCTAGCAGGGAGTCAGTAATGCTCGGGGGAGATGTAAAGCGTGGCAACATACATCCAAACCTCTAGCAGCAACGTCCGTACAGATCAGGGTTCCCTGCTTGGCGTTACAGAACTCGAAGAAGGTGTTGGTACGCTTCTGCTGCTTCTGCTTGCCATGAAGGTCGAGAACGGGGAGGTCGATATAGTTAAGTAACTCGGCGTGGTACTTGACGCAGTTACAGCTGGAGAAGAAAACAATGATCTTCTTCTTGAGGTTGCGCTTGAGGAAAGAGAACAGAAGCAAGAACCGCTTGTCCGCCTCGCAAATGACGTATCCCTGCTCCAATCCCTCAACCGTACTATGTTCTTTCCGGTGGTCAACGTTGATATACAAGGGGCCAGGGCGGAGCGATATCCGGGCCAGATCCTCAACCTTGGTGGTCTGGGTAGCGGAGAACAGCATGGTCTGTCTTTCTTCGGAGGGCAGGATCTTGACGATTTGGCGCATTTCATCCTCGAAACCGACTTCCAGGATACGGTCCGCCTCGTCTGCAAAGTATTAGCTCATCCTCCTATGCAATAATCCGCTAGAAACGCACCGATAACGAGCGTCTTCAAGTTCTTGAAAACAAATCCAGGGGTGTTCTGCAGATGATCGAGCAAACGTCCAGGGGTGGCAATGAGCAAGTTGACACCCTTGGTGAGCTTCTCGGCCTCAGCTCTTCGGTTGGCACCACCAATAACGATACCATATGTCTGGGAGTGGTGCGCCATCAATTCTCTGGCGACACCGAAGATCTGGAGGGCCAACTCTCTAGTGGGAGAAACCACGAGAACACCAGTACCTATGACAAGCAAATTAGCAAGACGGCGTCAACGGTCAAGCTTGTAAAATACACACCGTTACGGGGCTTGAACCGCAGAGCACTCAACATCTCGACAGCGGGAATCAGAAAAGAGAGAGTTTTTCCAGAGCCCGTCTTCGCAGCACCGAGGACATCACGACCAGCAAGCAGCGGTCCAATGGTCCGTTGTTGAATTTCAGTCATGGTCTCAAAACCCATTTCCTGGATAGCCTTCATCGTCTTCTCCGACAGATTCAACTCCGAGAACTTCTTGGGCTCCGAGTCTGTCGTTGGCAGGCGAACAGTATCGACCGAAGGCAGATCAGCACCGACAGTCTTTTCTTCCTCATCATTATCCGCCTCCTCCGCCTCCTCCTCCTCCCCATCTTCCTCTACCACCTCCTGGCGAATCTCCTCGTCGCTGTCATTCGCCTCTTCGTCGGAGTTATCGACCCGGCGCTTCTTGGACGACTCCTTCTTCTTGCTGCCATTCTTCTTGGGGCCCGTGGCAGCTTCCTTCTTCTCATTGTCGGCGACTTCGGTCACGGCTGCATTTTCAGCTGCGGAGGAGACTTCCTCGTTGTCGGTCGCAGGGCGGGCGCCTCCGCCGTGCTTTCTCTTGCGCTTCTTGGTGAGAGTCTTTGCAGAGTCCACGGGGATCGGCATTTTCGCGGATGGTCTGGGATCAAGTGATTCCTTCACTGCGAAAACACAGAAACAATTCTGGTGGTAAAAGGCCTGGAATCGCGCGAGACCGCTTTTCTCTTTTTTTTTTCTCCGTTTCTGCCAAACTCCGCGTCACGTGGTGATAAAAGATTGAGAATGTGGGTCGGTGGCAGTAAATGCCTGAGGCACGAATCAACTCCAGTAAACCCCTCCAATGCGCATCATAAAGCGAATCCCGAAGCTTAGGAACGGCACAGGTGGAAGATATTTTTTCTATCCGATAACAATGAGTAGAAACTATTACGTTAATGCTGCTTCAAGTGGGAATCACTCGGTCGTATGGGCTCTGCCTACTGTTGGGTTATAATTGCTGTTACACAGTGCGCAGTCATAGGAGTGACCAAGTCTATGGGTTACTAGTAATGATTGAATTCTAGATATAATTGTTAAAAATACCAGAGTAGAATGGCTTGAGCAGTACGTGTATTCTACTTCTTACGGCTCGCGAATAAGTGTTGATCTTTTTGAAAGCGATCTTCGCCAGATGAGCGCAAGAAAAGGGGCGCGGCTTCAGTGAATTGCAATTATGCTGCCTGACGCATGAGCCATTTTGATGTCTTCTTGGCATCTCATCCCACAGAATTGACATGGTGTCTCTAGCTAGATTAAAAAGCTTGTCACTCGGTCACCTAGACAGCATAGGCACAAAATATTTTCGCTTGGCTTCACACAACGATGCTTCAGCATGTAAAAAGGAGCCGAGCTATTTCGGAATCTGATAACACGCATCTTAAGCCCAGGGGGTTGTTGCCGGACATATATCTCATGCTGAACATACTGAAGTACATAGGAGACATCGGTATATAGTGGTTCGTGAGCCTGCTCGGCATCTCCACTATTCTACAAAAGGTGGCTGTGAAGGAACTGCCACTTCTTGAGTGTATATGCCAAGATTCTTGTGTCTATTGGTGGAAGTTTTGCTAATAGCGCGATGCTTCAGACACCTCACCCCTTTCGCCTGCTTACATTCGGGGGAGAGCTCGAAAGAGGAAGTGACCGTGATGGAGCAGCCTATGAAGCTCCCATGCAAGTAAGAAGACAGGAGAACTGGAGTATCTGTGTTGGAACATGAAAGCAATTGTATGAATTGGTAATGCTTGATGAATACAAAAAGACACGGAAGCCAGATGTGAACGAAAGCGAGATGGAGATTTGGAACTAGCGAGCTACGGTCTGATAACTCACTCTTATCATCTGTATCTACAAACTGGAACATAAAATGCCATTATGCGGAGCAGCCGAGACTCGAAGCACGTAAAGACGTCATTGTAATGTGGGAACAGTCCATCCGTTCCACATAACAGTGTACACAGTAATGCTAGGTAGTCAAAGTCTATCTGCCCATGCGACGGACAGGGATTGACATACTGGCATGAGCATATCATTGTGTACAGTACAGGGGCGGCTCATATCCGTGTTCATGGAAAGTACACCGAATGCCCAGTCAAGGTGCTTTTGCGTATTAGGCAGCCGCATAATGATCGTTCGGAGACTCGGAATTATCTTAGCGTGCTGCAGTGTAATTGAGAATTACGGAGCATGCAAAGTAGTTACACCATGTGCATAGACATGGCCATGCAGAGGCAAAGCTGAGCCCAGATGGTGGGACAGTCACTGATGATGAAGACCGCTCCCTGCATGTGGATCAGATCGCTGACAGGTGGGAGATCGAATTTTAGGGATCAAAATGGCTGGTGAAGCGAACTGGGGAACATAGGGTCGTGTTGTTGCAAGACCGACTCCCTTCGTGGGCTGGACTAGATCTGGTGTAGCGGACAGCCACGCAAACCTTGGTTTCTGCTACAGAGAAACTCTCGAGCAGAATTTGCAGTTCGCACGCCAAAAATAGGAGGGGGCGTGCCGTGGTTCGCAGTGCCCAGCAGGTTGGATTGAGCTGGACCCTTTCCCTGATTATTAAGGTACCGCTCAGGCTGAATTGCTGGTGCTGGTGCAGGTTGCAGGTGCAGATGCTCGTCTAGGATCTTTCCAAGGAATTCTCAGAGAGACAACCGATCCATTATTGCGTGACTGTTCTCTGTTCTGTTCGTCGGAGACATGTTATCTGTCGTCCTCTCCATATGATCAATAAGACATGGGGTTGCCAGAGTGGATCGATGGGGAAAAAGACGTCATGATGCGCAGACACGGACGGCCGAGTCGTTGATCAGGGATGCACAGAAGGGGGGTTCATTCAGTGGTCAACTTACAAACAATAAGCAGTAACTACAAAGCAATCAATTGTGTTTCGCTGGAACCTTGATGGGTCTGGTTCAATTCATCTCACCCTGTCTTCCAGGTCAGATCGCAAATGTACACTGTAGAAGAGACAATAATCGACCTAGAAATTGATTAAAGGAGATTCTGCGGTCCCACCCTGAAGTTAAGCACTGCTGCAGAGGGAGGCTGTGCAGTACCAGTACAACTTGAGCGGCGGGTTGAACTAGGCAAAAGAAGCATACGAATACGTGAAGGATCAACTAGATCAACCCGATGTAGCAGAAGCACGGCAGAGGCACAGACAATTGGGTCAAAGTCCTCAATGCAGAAGGTAATTGACGCGGCGGAAATCAAGTTCGGCGTTTTTCGCACAATGTCATAAAGATGGTCAGTCCACTCGAGATTCAAAGGACTGAATGGTTCAAGAGATGCATTAGATGCCAAAGCCTTATCCAGAGCCTTATAGTTCGCGACGGATGAAAGTGGTCGAAGGCACGGGGCGTGATCGATCATCATACTCTCCCGCTTATACTACTGGGTCAATATGCGCCGACCAGTTTCAGAGAGGCGAAGACGACTCGTGGTAAAGTCCGGTTTAAAAATAGCAAGTATGTCACTGTCACTGGCGAGGCCAAGTGCAAGCCCAGTAAGAGATTTGACGTCGTCGTCGCCGTCGTCGTCGTCTTCTTGCGCACCCAACTCGTTTTCCAGCGCCTAAGCGTAGACGATCCACTGACTGGCAGACTTAACAGTCTACGACTACGAGCTTACTGGGTAGGTAGCAGTCGTGTGGAACTCGGAGCATACTCTGAGTAGACTCCAAACTCTTTAAGAATCCGTGGATAGACTTGAAAGTTGGGGACCATTCACCCAGTCCCAGCCTTTCTTCCAGTTTTCATGATACGCCCCAAGATTTTCTCTGGGGCGGTGGAATAAAGACAAATCAGAGTTAAGGGCGGAAGGACGGGAAAAGCGCATCAAGACAATACCCGCATTCGGCCCAGACCCAACCCCCCTGAGGGGACGCGCGTGCACTTACTACTACTATGAGTCTATAATACTTTCATCATCAGTACTACTATAAGACTATGAGTACTACGTATCATGGTACTGTAAGTGTAGCATGGTAGGTAGAATAGTGATACTAGTCATGAGTTAGGTAAATATGGTAGAGTATCAACGGCATCTAACTACACTCTACAGAGTACTCACTCATTCCTGTTTTAATATCTTGGCCCTGTAGCAACAACGGCAATGACAGCAATATCCATGATCATCCTCCTCCTCATTATCATCCTCGTCATTGCTGTCAGCATTAGTGCATACCTGGAAGAGGAACAGAGCCCCCACGATCGATTCTGGAACCTTGATGCCAAGAGCACAGCCATTTGTTGTGCTTTCTCCGCCTTGCCTCCCTTGACCTGCCCTCTACTCCATACCCAAGTACACAATATATATCATCTTCTCCAGATTGGGTTTGAATCTGAAGCGCAGTGGCATACACAAGATACAGTACTCTGTAAATAATACAGTCTCCATACTGGGCGCTTAACCAGATCCAGCCGCGCCCCACCCATCCGTGACAAGGCCACCAGTGAAGCTGATTCGCCCCCGATCAATTGCCCCCGTGCTGAGTCAGCCCGTAGGAGGGTCTCAGCTGGTTTCACAGGCACATTCCCGACCGTCTCTCCTCCGACCAGCTCTCACTTTCTCTCCCCTGAGGAAAAGCAGACGAAGACGAGTGATTGACTGAGTGTTAAGGTGAATTTGCCGTGGTACACTGAGGAAGTACCTGTGGAAAAGAGAAGAGGGTCGCCAAATTTTCCCTTCTTTCGCTTCCCTTGTACTTTGTACCCATTTTCTTTTCTATTCCTTCGTTTTCAACTCTCTCACTCTCTCTTCCTCTCGCTCCTATTCTCTCTTTCGTGCTACTCGGCTTGCCCTGCACTTACTTGAAAGGAGGGCGCGAACGTCGGCCTTAGAACACCCACTTGTAGGGAGACTCAGGCACCCATAACTAATCATCGACCCGGTCTCCTGTTCCCTTCTTCCACACCCACCCCCTCCTCCTCCAACTTCCCCCAAACAGAGGCCATACTGTGTGTCGCCATTCACGCTCACTTTTTTTTTTTTTTTTTTTTTTTTTTTTTTTTTTTTTTTTTTTTTTTTTCCTATTTACTTGATTTTCTTTTCGAGTTCCCAAGATCACCAAAAAGACACTCGCTTCAGATCAGTCGACTTCGCTCGTTTATATACTCGAACTACTGCACCCCCAGTCCCTCCTTTGACCAAATAGAATCACTTAGCCGATCATTTACCCTGTTTCTTCTACCAACCACCGCCTTGGGACCATCAATGACGTTGTGAACCGTAATTCGCAACGAAACGTTCCTCGACTACCGATCCATCTCGACCAGCGAGGACACTCTCTTCCCTGGAACCTGACCCAAAAAGGCCCTGCCGCAGGACGACTTTCGAGGTCCCCCCGACTTCCGCTTTCGGCTCGCGCCTAGTTGGTGCTCTGGAGTACCACCCTCGATCTGACCGACCACTCCGATTACTACGTACTACGTCTTCTCCGCATTCCTACATAAGATATTCACCGGTGCCCCTCCATATCGGTCAATGATATCGTTGTCCGCGGACACACGTTTCGGCCAACATGCGACTATCCCCGATCCTCTTCGGGCTTTTCCTCGTCCTTCTCAACACCCTGCAGGTAACTGCCACCAGGTTGATCGAATCTAGCGCTCTTAATCTTTGTCAAGCGAGCAACAATTTCACTGTCACCTACTTTAATGTGGTATTCACGCCCGGGAATCGTTCACTCGCCTTCAGTTTCGATGGAGTGTCCGCAATCTCCGGCTATGTTAATGCGGAGCTACAGCTCACGGCCTACGGCATCAATGTTCTCTCCAAAACCATGGACCCATGTGAAATGGGCATCTCCGGTCTTTGTCCCATGAATACCGGCGCCATTGATGTCGCCAAAGCCACGATGACCATTCCCGAGTCTGTGATCAAAGATATCCCAGGTGAGTCGAGTTGATTGCAAGGGGGATGTCATACAGAGACCAGACCCGCTAATCCGCATCCAAAAGGCATCGCTTATACAGTCCCTGATCTTGACGCTAGTGTGCGTATCTACATCAACTCGACCGAGACGAACTCCAGCATCACCTGCATGGAAGCAGAGCTCTCGAACGGCCAGACCGTTTACCAGAAGGGTGTCGGCTGGGCCACTGCTGTCATCTCTGGCTTAGGTCTCGCCGCTTCTGCCATCACCTCGGGATTAGGGCACTCGAACACCGCAGCTCATGTCGCAGCCAACGCTCTTTCTCTGTTCAGTTTCATGCAGTCTCAGGCCATGATTGGCATGACATCAGTGCATATGCCCCCTATTGTTGAAGCTTGGACTCAGAACTTCCAGTGGAGTATGGGTATTATTCACGTTGGCTTCTTGGAGGATATCTGCACTTGGTACCAAAGAGCAACCGGAGGGACTGCCGCGACGCTATTATCGAGTCTGTCAACTACTTCAGTCGCGGCTTACAAACGCAGAAAGCGTTCACTCGAGGAACAGGGCGTTTATAGACGAGCGAGCGGCTATCTGAACTACATGCGGAAGCGCGCATCCGGCAACAGCAAGACGGCGACTGATGCCACGGTTATTGTACGAGGTATCGAGCGTGTTGGCTTCAAGGCCAAGATTGAATCGACCAATATCTTTATGACCGGTCTCATCTTCTTTATTGTCTTCGTTGCTCTGGTCATGATTCTAGTTGTCCTTTTCAAGCTTGGCTGCGAGCTACTGGCTAAGCAGGGAAGGATGAAGAGCAACAAGTTTCAGGACTTCCGGAACGGCTGGAAAGTGGTGGCTCGTGGCATTCTCTTCCGACTGACACTGATCGGTTTTCCCCAGATGGCCGTTCTGTGTTTGTGGGAGCTCACCCAGCGGGATTCTGCGGCGGAGGTGGTTTTGGCCATCGTGATGTTTTTGTCCGTGGTCGCCGCACTGGGTTGGGCAGCCCTCAAGGTGCTCCGCCTCGCCAGCCGATCAACCGTGATGCACAAGAACCCGGCCTACATTCTTTTCTCTGACCCCTCCTGCCTCAACAAATGGGGTTTCTTGTATGTGCAGTACCGAGCGACTGCATATTACTTCATTCTTCCTTACCTGGGCTATATCTTTGTCAAGGGCATGTTCATCGGCTTGAGTCAACAGGCCCCTGTCGTGCAGACCATTGCCCTGGTTATCATTGAGGCCTGTATGCTTATTGCTGTCAGTGTGTTGCGCCCGTGGATGGACAAGAAAACCAACATCTACAACATCACCATCGCTGCTATCAACTTTCTCAACGTCATCTTCCTCCTCTTTTTCTCGGAAGTATTCAACCAACCCGGTATTGTCACTGGTGTTATGGGCGTCGTGTTCTTCGTAATCAACGCGATCTTTGCTCTCGTGCTCTTGATCATGGTGCTTGTTGCTTCCATCTATGCCATCGTGTCCAAGAACCCTGACACGCGTTATCAGCCAATGAGGGATGATCGCGGTTCGTTCATCAAGTCGGGCAGCCAGCTGACCACCGAATTGGACGCTCTGGGTGCGACTGCGCGTGGTGACATGAAGAACTCGCCATACAAGTCCAGTCCTTTTGAGGATGATAATGCCTCTTTCTCTAGCGGCAACGGGGCCAGCGTCAGCCGTCAGAACCTTGAAGCTCCTGATCCGTCGCCGAACCACGCAGCGCGCTCCCCCGCTTCGCCAGTGGACCCTTCTTTACCTCTGTTCCCTAGCGACAACCGCAACGGATCGCATGATGCCAATTTCGGCCGATCACCATCGCCTGTCCCGCGGTACGACACCGCTTCTCCAATGCAAAACCCGCATGCATACCGGCAACAAAACAACCCCAGTCCGTGGCAAAGGGGGGCAGGATATGATCACTAAAGTTGAATTAATTCACCTGAATTGCTTTCTAGCCTTGCTTGTGATGAAGTTATGGCCTTGTGTGTGTGCGGGGGAAGGCACGGATTGACTCCTATTCTATTCTATCCAAGAGCCATTCTAGCTTTCTACTACCTATACAAATTTTTTACCCGCACCAGGTGCGTTTTTTTGTTCTCTTGTCTGGCTTTTCTGATTACCACTATTACTATTTCCATGTTATCATGCTTTTGCCCTTTCCCTTGTCGTATACTGTGATGAGCCTCCCCCTTTTCCCTCTCTCTCTGACCAACCCACCCTCTTCGTCTACCTACCTTCCCACGTACCTCTCATCTGACCTCGACGCCCGACGCCCCTTTTCACGCAAGGGGAGGCTACCATTTTTTCCACCTACGAACTACAACCCACCTCCAAGCTACACCACCCTATCTCCTACTCTCATGTTTTGATTCCTATACAGCTGGCGTTCTGAAACAAGGATCTGGATATATATCGATTTCATATTATACTCTTGTCTATGTATGGGTAGGGGGACTCTTGTCATATTACATTCTATCTTGGATTTTTTTTTTCTCTTCTAGTCTTCTTCTACACATCACCTTCTTATGCCCGTATTCAATTTCCTTTGATGTGCGCAATAATAGAGAATCAAATGCAGGAAAGGAAGGAAAGAGGGAATGAACCCCACTTGGAACTTTTCTTTTCTTTTCTTTTCTTTTCTTTTCTTTTCATGTTGGCTGTGTCTCAGGATACCTCATCTTTTTTCTTGTTTTCTTTTATGTGCACTATTGTTGAAAGGGTTTTACTGATATTGGGACGTGGAATTCTTGCTTGAGCTGGCTGCTTACCGCTATACCGAGAGAAAGGGAGATTTAGGTCGGGGAGAGTGTGGGGCAGTGTGAAAGGAACAGATAGATAGACCGGATGAGAGGGGAGAAGGAGCTTTGCAGATTATCCGGGGCGTATGTACGCAGTACTGTTCGTGTCTATCAATCAGATATTGTCAATTCGTATGTAGACTATCGGAACCTAGCAGACTAGTATGGACTGAAACTCAAGACGATGGTTTGCTTTGTAGGAAGACGTCACCTTCTTGTACGTAGTCCTTTGCTATCTTGGAACCCACTACTTTATTTTTCTTTCTTTAGTACGTAGTATGAAGACCATATAGGATGATACTGGATGAGAAAGTAGAACCCGAATCCACAGATTTTAAATTCAGAAACCACGCCAGTGTGAGAGCAAAAAGAGGGGGAAAGAAAAAGAAAAAGAAAAAAGAAAACACAATCACACAATCTAAACAGCAAATCAAGCTATTTGCAAGGTCAAAGGTATAAAAGCATTTCAAAATATGGAGGAAAAGTCCATGAGATGGTTTAGGAGGGAGGGAAAAGAGGTGGGGGGGGAGGGGTGCGGAAGTGATTTCAGATTTAAATGCAACTTGTAACCACGGTTTCAGTTTTCTTTTGTGAACAGCAGAACGCCATTTTACCGTCTATCACCCAATCCCGGAGGGGGACCAGGCAGAGAAGAAGATCCCATACCGGGAGGCGGAGCCGCATGAGCGAATGCGTCCGAGCCTGGCGGGCCGTTCATCCCGGGAGTCGGACTGGGACTGTAGCCTGCTGGCGGAAGCTGGCCCGGGGGAGGAATGTTGGGAAATCCCGCCGCACCAGGAGGGGGCGTGGGAAAGCTAGCGGGGAATCCGCCGGGAGGTGGGATCGGGGGGAAGCCCTGGGCTCCGGGGGGCATGTTAGGTAGAGCTGGGAGACCGCCGGGGGCACCGGGGCCGCCGACACCAGGGAATGGGGGTGGGAAGGGAAGGCCTCTTGCCCCGGGGGCTGCGCAGTTGTCGTTAGCTTATATATATCAATCGAAATGAGGGACATGGGTTGTGGGGAGAGTGTGGAATTATGCCACTTTAGAGGACGTACGAGGAGGCATGCCTGGGGCTCCGGGAGCGGCGCCAGGTGCGGGCATTCCAAACGGCGGAGGAGGAAGTTGACCCGGACGGCCTGGAGACGTGTCAATCAGCATTCAAGCTACTTTTTTCGGCATCAAAGCACAGGTGTATAGAATGATGGAACGTACCCGGGAATCCAAAGGGCGGAGGGTAGGCGCCCGGGGGAACCATCGCAGGGTTGGGTACGGCCTGGCCTTCGGCAGCGTATGAGGATGTGATGGAGTCGATGACCGATTGAGCCTTTTCTTGTCCAATCTCTGTAAACCGTGTTAGATGAAAGCTGCGAATGGATGGCATGTCCGATATGCGCGAGGGCGTCGTACGTTGATAGTATTCCACGACATTTCTCAGATGGTTACGTCCGGAGTTGTGCGCCTTGCGCACGCTCATCGAGTCGTGCGTGAGGTAGACATCACAGTAGTCACCTGCGAATTGAGGTCGATGGTCAGTCTCCGTGTGGCATGGTTGGTGGTGTTGGGATGAGATCTCGCGATTGCCACAAAGTCCAAATGTCGTAAGAGCGAGATTGCGCAGTCACGTAGACCGATGGTGTTGAAGGGATGAACCTACAGAAGAGTAAAGGCTGTGTCAGTAGAGTTCTAGTGAGCAAGTGGCGGAATACTTATATTTAGGCATTTTGATCTTAGATAGCGACAGCTCTTAGAATGCGGATTAGCTTCGCTCGGCAGCGCTCAGTTGGCGCGTTGCGCGTGGACGGGACGATTCGCTCAAGTCGTTTCAGCGCGTTGCTTGTAGCCAGCTTCAAGGTGGGAAAATCGGGTTGTTGACAAATGTCTTCGTGCGCAGAATTGTTGATACTGGGAAATTTTGGGCTGATCGAAGACGGATAACTGGAGGCGGAGTTCGAGGCGATATCAAGGCGGTATCGAATGGCAGAATATGTGGCACGGCAATGCAGCCTCAGGCATTCAAAGGTATTCTAAATGGGCGATGCCGATGAACTGGTGCATGAAGGCACTGCAGCTCGTGTACTCATTCTGTCAACCATTGCCAGTCGATGCTTAAGTCTTACTATGCCGATGTATGAGATCTTTTGGCTCGAACTCTGCCCAGAAACCAGCGCGGTAATGTGTTACAGTTGTAGGACAGTGTACCGATGTGTTCTTGTAGAATACGATATATTTTCTGAATTCCATTGTAATTGCGGAAGCTCTTGGGTCACAAGTGAAATGGCCACACCACTGAAAGCAGTGATGGCCACCCGGCAACGGAACTGTTCCAATACATAGTCAAATCAACAATGGCTTCAGTATCACTGATCTCGCGATGCAGGCCTGACAAGCAGGAAACGGTGACAAAATTACCGCTCATCACCGGCGAATCTACTCATAATAGACTGGGAAATGGTGCCTAAGTATCTACACCCTCATCCAGTGACTTGGTATGAGGTTCAAACTATTAACTTGGGCCCGAGAACCGACTGGGATCTAGTTGCGCCATGCCTTCGTCTTTATGGCGACAACTATGAAGTAGACTGTCGACACTGGGATCTCGTGGTGTCGAAATTAACGAGCGAAACAGGCGCCCAAACGGAAAACCGCGCAAGACGCACATGACCTTCAGTTTCTTTGCTATCCGGGCGATATGCCACAGTTGGGCACCTTATGCTGTCAGTAGATCGAGCAAGACAAGTTGAGGTAGGGATCGATGCAAAATGCTGGAAAGTAGACACTCCACGAGTCGTAATGGCTGGGATAATCCATGATCATCAGGGCAAGGAAGCAGATCCCGGAGGTTGTCCCCTGGGCATTGGTTGCAACCCAGCTGGGGAGGAGGGAGCGCGCGCATCCACCGGCGCAGAAGAGTGGCCAGGAGATCTCTGGACTGTGAGTCACCCAGTTCTTGCCTCCGGGCTGCTTCGAGGTCCAAATTTGGATCTCACTACGTATGAGACATCCCCCGGATTTGAGGGACGGTAAGGAGTGGTTCTTGACCTTGTCCGCGGGGAGTCCGGAGACTCCTCAATGATCAGGTGCTGCGTTTCCCCCACAACTCGGCGTTCCCAGCCATCAACCGAGGGCCGGGGAACAACATTTGGCGACGGAGTAAGGACCCGGAAGGCGCAAGGAAGAAATTAGAACAGATGGAAGTTTGGTTGAGAGACGTCATGTTTTCGCGGTGAAAGAGAAGAGGGGGAAGACGGAGAAGAGGCAACGCAGTTCAACGGGATGTCGGTCGAATGCATGTCACGCCGGCAGGAAAATCCGGGGAAGAAGCAACTGGAATCCTTGAACGCCTTGCCGCCTCAGGCTTTTACCGGTATTCTCCACCACAAACGGAACCGGCGATTTGCTGGCTGGACCGGCTCGGTTGTCATGACCATTCAAATGTCTTCATAAACCACTCTACTATGTGTACTCTGTATGCACTACTGAACATCTGAGGGGTTAGTGTATTGCCCCTTAAGACATTTGGAGACTATGTGCCTACGGACTACGACGTACTTGGAGATATCTCCAAAGAGCCAAGTGTCACCCGTAATAACCGCCAGTCTGGCCCGGGAAAGTTCAAAGTTGACTAACGCAGCAGCCCTGTGGTGTGGGGAAAGGGAGAAAAATTCAACCCCTGGAGGGAGAAAAATAGCATCTGTGGCCAGTGCACAGTGAGGCATTTCTGGCATTCGAGGAGAAAGGGGTGGGGTTGTGCCATCGTCATCCTTCATTTGGCCCGATCAACCTCGTTTCATGAGAAATTTCTCGATTGTCTGTCCAGTCGAGTTGGGAGTAGTGGAAAATTCTGCTAATTCTGGGGAAGCTGTCCCTCTTGGGGTTAGCGGGTTATATTGGGTGGATATTTGCTGTTCACCTGATGAAAAGAAATGAGAATGATGAGGATGATGATGGGGCTGGAGTCCATAACCTGCGTATACTCAGCCTTGGCCAGCAAGGCGCTTCGCGTGGCAGACCAGTTCCAATGAGATGGAGGTATGAGTATCATGTTGGTGGTGGTGGTGGTGGTGGTGCGGCGTGGGCAGACAGAGAACGGTGAATCGTAGAGGTAAGGGCGGTGAGGGCAAGAGGGCAAGAGGTGGATGCTGGTGGAGGATCTTCGCACAATGAATCGGGGCTATTGTGACTAAACATGCCTAAATGTGACTAAACGTCGATGGTCTCGAACATCACCACAAATTTGTCGACAACAACAACCGATGATGCCTTGGTTCTCCTGACTCTCCTGATTCTACTGGCTTCTCCCCTTCCCCCCTTTCCAGCCAACACAGGCACTCGGGCACAATGGTGCGAGTCGCTGCACAATAACGTCTTCGAGCCACGGCAGGATTACCTAGCTTCTTCTCCGCTAGAGGTGCCTGATCAGCATCATCTTGCAGGAGGTGACCAGCTGGAAGTTGGCATCATTCGCGCAATTTCTCTCGTAATTGCAGGACTTCCGAGAGGACATGTTGGACTGTTGTTGCGGGGATGAGGAGAAGGTGCTTGGGATGTACTGTGTGCATTTCGACGATGATGCAAGTGTATACTACTTCCTGTTACTGTTTACAGTTCATCCGATGGCTTTTTGCGGGGAAAGCAGCAGTAAGTTAGAGGGTTAGCGTGGCTTGCCTGCATCTGCCCACCACGCTATGAATTGAGAGTCTTGGGGGGTTTCCAATGCCTTAATCTTCAAGTCGTACGGACTACGGAGTAATCATCTCAAGCCACGAGGGCAGCTGGAAGGGCTTGGTTGAACTCTTGCAACATCTTGCAACATCTTTTCAATCTGCGACTATTGCAACAACTATTGCAACAACGATTCAAAATGACGCGTGACTGACCCGTGCACATTTCCATTACCCCCAGGAAACTCCATGGGCACCGAGGCTGGAGGTTGATTGGTGCAAACTCCTATTTCTGTTACGTTTTGTTTTGGAGCGGGAGTCAGCTGATCGGGGCGTAACACCTTTCTTGATGCTGCTTTACCGACGTTATGCGCGCGGTTCAACCGGCAAACTCTTTTCTCCATTTTTTCATCAATTTTTTTTTGAGGTTTTTCAGATTTCTTTTGGGCTGACGCTCCACTTCTGCACCGCGTGTGACCCTGGCTTTCCCTGGCTTTTGGATTGCGGTGCCTGGAAAGGGAAATATGGATTTCTCAAGGCTTGTCCCGTGGTGCAATCATGAGTCGTCCTGCCGTCACAAAGCTGTATATTTAACCCATGTCCCCGCCACACTCTTTGGGTCGACGCTCTATAGAAGTGGATAGTTCCAGCATCACGACATCTTTGAAAGAAGAGCAAAAGTGGATTACAAGAAAAACAAAAAAGGAAAAGAAAAAAGAAAATTTTTTTCTCTTTCTCTCCTTTGAATCATCATATAGTTCAACCACTGTTCCTGCCGCTGGCTTCCTTTGATCACTTTATACTTCACTGTTCAGCCCACCCGCAGGATATTATATCCTCACAATCACCACGCATTCTCCTCCACACTCAACTCGAAACCAATTCGCAATTACACCTTCGAGTCTCAATTGCACGTCCAGTCTCTCTTCGCATTGCATCATCGCTGCATTGACTCATCGCCGTTAGCGCAATCGCATACATACGCACACACCAACACAGTCCACCATGCCAGGGTCATATCGAGTCATCGAACCGCACCCGTCGGTTCCTCACACCAGCCGTCCGGCTTTACATACAGCTCGCGGCGGCGCCGGCAATGTCATCAACCTGAAGGGCACCAAGACCACTCCCTCGCAGACGGCCACCGGACCGGCTTCGTTGACACGCCTCGACTCGCGCGTACCTACCACCTTCAAGTCCGGTCGGGGCGGCGCCGGCAACGTCCACAGCGGCAGCGAGCGCGCCATCTTCAGCTTTGACGAGGAGTTGGAACGCGAGCTGCGCCGCGCTGCCCCCGTCTACCACGTCGGCCGTGGCGGGGCGGGCAACACGGTCTTCAGCGGCGACGACTCGTCCAGCAGTCTCTCGCGCAAGCTCTCCGCCTGCAGCAACGGCACCAGCAGCAGCTCGGGCTCCGCGCGTGAGCGGGCTCTCCGAGGTCTGAATAAGGGCTGGGACAAGATCCGGGGCATGGCCTAGGCCTGACCCTTTTGTCCTTTTTGCGATTCGGAATCAATTCAGCCTCCTGCTTGTCAAGTTCCTTGCACCAAAGCGCCCTGCAATTTGTCCTCCTGGACCATGACTCACGACTCTTCACGACACCAAACAACAAAAGTTCTTGATTTTCGACAAAACCCCACCTTATTCCCGGTCTTGGCAGTCTCGATATTGATTTCCACATGCATTCAACCACGCGTTCTTTGAATCCTTTATCCTTCAACAACCGCATCAAGGGGTGTGCTACAGCTACCCATTCCATGAGTCATCAAACAACTCTCATCTCACTCTTCAACTCGATTCTCAAACTCAAACCTCTTCAACCTGTGATTTGATTTTGCATTCTCTAATCTAATCCTCTTCAACATGATACCCCAATTAGCTATGTTCGAACATGACTCCATACGTGGATCAGCATCGCATGGCATTTAATTTGTCCCTTTTTCTTCTTTTTTTCTTTTTTTTAATTTTGTTTGGTCTTGTCTGCCTGTCATATACGGCAACAACAAATCTGGATCATGTGCCATACTTACGTTAGTCATCCATTTGCATCTTCCATCTGCCCGAACATCCCCTATCTCCTGTCCTGTGAATATGATCTCTAGATAGCTAGCCAATACCTCGGTACATTGCAATGAAACCAAACCAGACAAGCACCAACTATCCTTCTCATCTCATCAGTCATACCCGTAAAGTGTCTTCTTCATCCAACCTGTCACACTCATTTAAAACCCCAGCGTCCCGTAAACCTACGCCCGAATCGTAAGGTTAGCGAAAAGACAGCTAGACACAAGAGCCGTACTCGCAAAGAAAACTCAATCCTTTTATGTCTGTCTGCTTTATGTGGAGACACAGACCCTTTACTTACAAAATGAAATCCGAGTACGAACAACTTGTTATTACTAAGTTACGAAGAGGCGAAGAAAGGGCCACGTCAAATGTCAAAAAGGGAAAGAAAGCTCGGGGATGATGACGGATGCTGGAGGAAAGCTTAACTTTAAACTCCCCTCCTCTCTTTCTCTCCATCATGCGGTTCGTTCCCGAGTTCAGCCAGTCAAATCGCTAATTGGACGTTTCCACTTGGAAAAGAGAGGACAGATTGTAGGAAGCGGAGGGTCTGGACTGTCGTTCGAAATTTGGTCTGCATTGGTTCTAGATGCAATCTTAGATGGTTTGCATGGTGTCATCATAGGCGCCAAGCTATTTCTTTATACGCTGTGTGGTTATACGCGTGTAATTCCTTGTTTCAGCGGTTGGAAGGTTCTTTTGATGGGTTTATGGCGTTTAATTGACTATCTTGGTTGTGATGGTGGTGGTGGTGGATGTGTAGATCTGTGAGGTGAGTATATACTATCTTCACGGGTGTTGAAATATCCTTTGGGCATTTAGCTTACGAAAGAGATACGGAGTAACTTAGAGAACGACTGGTCGAGAGCAGGCTGGGCTTAAATACGCACTTGGAAACAAATCATCTATCTCGCTCATTCATCGCATCTATGCCCTCCAATATTCACACCAAAAGTACAGTCGAGAAGAACAAAGGCCGAACGCTTGACATAGAGCAGGAAGCGAGAATGCTTGTCATCGCTCAACTACTCGCTAAGCCATCCCTCAGCTGCGTAGATACTCTGGTCAAAACCAGCACAAATGGTGTCGAAAGATCCCAAGTAGTCCTTGGTCGCCATTGTGGTGGTGGATAGCTCGCCCAGCAGAGCCATGTGGGTGATCGGTCAAGCCAAGAGGTATGACAGTTGGGATCGAAAGCAGGAAAGAACACGCTGAAATGCAGGTGCACGTGCATAGGGGGTACTATGGAGTGACAAATCATTTAGTCACCGAGGATATGCACGAAATGTATCATCTAGATAAGGTGCTATGTGTTCGGAGGGTCAAAGGCAGAAATTGGATAGGAGGCAGGGGGTATCTATGAAAATGCTGCTGCTGGTCGTGGCATGGCCCTGAACTTCTTCAGGTCCCTGCGAAGACAACCATTCCCTTCGTGCATGCTGGTCGTTCGCTCCTTGGGATGCATCCGTTTGACTTCCGCACGATGGGGTGGTTATCCGTCAATCATTTCATGATGTTTCTAACCGGTACGTCGTCCTGCGATGCAGTACAATTAAGCAAATTTCCGGTGGATGATCTCAGGATCTTCGTGCCATTCATCCGCGCTCACCCACATCTGACTCTTGGTTAGCAAATCGATCGAGGGGGCGTACGATGTGAGCGCAACTTACCTTGCGGAATGTGCTCAAACCAGCTAATATACCTCCTCCAATCCAGGTCGTGTACTTGCGCTCGGCAGGCGCAGAGATCCGAATCTTCATGTCCTCCACAGCCAATCGCTTGATTTCACGCATCAACCGGTCGGGGAAGTTCTTGCATAGCGTCGAGCCACCGGAGAGGACAATGTTAAGGTACAGAGACTTGCGCAGATCGAGATCCGTCCGGGTGATAGCATCCTGCACGATCTGATGCACTCCTGGGTACTCCAAACCAATGAGTTCCGGGTCGAAGAGAATTTCCGGGGCGCGGTAGCGTTCTTGTCCGATCTGTGCAAAGTCAGTAGGGAGCGGTGTCGCGTGTGCTACACCAACAAATTGTGCGTACTTTGATCTTGTGCCCGTCTGGCAATGCATAGTCAACCGACTTTGTCTCCAACTTGTGATAGTTGTTCATCCACTCCTTCTCCTCTCGCTTCGGGTCCAGCGACACGTAGCACACCTTCTCCTTGATCATGCGCACCACCTCCTTCTCCGCACTAGTATGCAGCACATGGCCATTCTTACGGAGCAGCAACTGCAGCTGCTCCGTCACATCCCGCCCCGCCACATCGATCCGCCGGATACTGTTGGGGATCGCGAAGCCCTCAAACACCGGCACCGCATGTGACACGCCGTCTCCCGAGTCGAGCACCACGCCCGTCGTCCGGCCGGACGCGTACAACGACAGAACGGCCTGGATGGAGGTATACAGCGCGGGGACGTTGAAGGTCTCGAACATGATTTGGGCGGCGGCATCGCGGTTCTTGCGCGGGTTGAGCGGCGGCTCCGTCAAGAGCACGGGGTGTTCCTCCGGCAGCGTCTTCAGCTCGTTCTCGTACACGTAGTGCCAGATTTTCTCCATATCATCCCAGTCGGTGACGATGCCGTGTTCCAGCGGGTACCGGATTTTGAGCAGGCCGCGCAATTCCTGAGCGCGGGAGCCGATGAAGACGTCGCCCTCCAGGCCACCGGCCATCACCCGCGGGTGTTTGGGCCGACCGACGAACGAGGGGAAGAAGCAGGAGGGGATCTCCTCCCCCGCAAAACCGGCGCGAATGGTCCCGCTGCCATTGTCGATGACTATCGGGGCATTATGAAGGGTGGCTTCAGCCATTGTGGGGAGGGAGTTGGAAAGGGGAACGGAGCGCTGGATGAGGTCGGAACGGGTGTTTTGGGGTTGTCGATTGTTTATATGCAGTGCAGAGGGCCCCGCGGCCGATTTAGTTTAGTTTCAGTGGAGGAAATTGTTTGAATAGATCAAGTTTCCACAGAGACAATAGTCCAAATAGAAAGAAAGCACGCGCTGAAACAAAGAAAGCTGGAAGGGGGAGAGAATAGGGAGAGCTTAGAGGGACGAGAAAGTCGGTGGTGGTTCTTTTTGCGCGTTCGGGGAAGGGAAAGTAAGTCAGTGGCAGTTCGGACGGACTGCCCGCACGGGGAAGCTTGGGCCACTCCACCACTCACTCGCTGCACCCCGGCCCCCTTCTCTCTATACTTCCCGACTATGTTTGAGGGTGGATGATTATGATGATTTGTGATACAATGGAGATTCACTTCATAAGCAAGATAACGATTAGCGAACAAGGAGACCTGAACTGCCATTGCTAAGGGTGATCGCAGCCCCCCAAAAGCCACGATCTTTAAGAGTCAAGTATACACGCCCCCCAACGCCCTTGCCTGGCGTCAACAATCTCCGTCCGCGATGGTAGAAAGAGTGATAATTCGTGACAGGTAATCAATCCAAGAAGCCCAATTCATCAGACATGACTTGTTCCAGACTAGGAGGCGGAACTTCCTGAGCCCTGGAGACCGGCGGCCACTGAGCCATCTGTGCTCGCAGGCGCTCGGCCCTATCTAGTGATGACGCAATTTCCCTATTTGGATTTCAGCCTGAAGCCCATCACGCTTGAAGAAGGCACTAGGAAACCTACTGATAATGACTTGAAATGAGATAACCCTGCTCTTGAAGGATATCAGCAAGCTCCTGCTGGTGGTTGTCTTTGAGAGTCGGATTCGGGACCACCATAAGAGGCACGCCCAGTCTCAATGCATCCATAATGCTACCGGAGCCTGTGATTATCGAGGTCAGCTTGGGCAATGTAGAGCACAAAGGAGATGAAAACACTACCAGCATGGCTTATAATCAAACCACCAAGTCGACCCTCTGAGGGCCAGGCTTTAGCAAGACGCATCTCATGATCAAGACCGTCGGAATTGAAGTCGAATCCATCAATCACCAGGCCATGGTGACCCTCACTCCCGGGAGGATATTGCTGCAAGAATTCGTCGAAAAGACTCTTGCCGTCTTTGCCGTATTGGATCAACAGGTTGGTGTAACCGTGAGCCCGCAGTTCACGAAGAAAGCTCTGCTCGAGAATGGCTTGAATGAGTAGATTAAAAGAAGCTGTGGCACCTACGGTCACGAAGCACAGCTTCATGGGCTGATCTTGCGTTGCCATGAGTGGAGGTACGAGATGTAGGAGGTATGTGAATGGATGGATAGATGTTTCTTAGTAAGAGTACTGAGAGCGAGCAAAGACACGAAGATTGATTACGGATTGATCATCAGTACTGCAGCTAGACACCAGTCATTAGGAGAAAAATGATCATACCCGTGATTCGACTTGAAGATGAGTCGGCCAGTTAGTTACATGGTCAGTTGACTACGAAGCACCGAGTCGAGAATCACACGAAGGTTGGTTCTTCATCCAGCAGGTGGAATCAATGTCCTGCAGTTTGGATGGCGGTGAGACGGCCGCCTTCCCAAAGTGGGATAGTTTCCCATCCCATCAAAAAACATCGAATTGAAACCGCAATCCCCGGCCGCTTTCCCCGAGAGATTCCCTCCCAAACCTCCGAAATTAGACTCTTCATCCTCCTCTCGCCTCACAATGGCCTCAGTAGCCCGGTCCCTGGGCCGTTCGGCCTTCTCCATGGCCCAGAGAGGCCCGATTGTCACATCGTACCGGTCTTTCTCCGCCACGCCGCTCTCCTTCCTGCCTGATGAGCCAGCCGTCCCTGAGACTCCCGCACAGCCAGATATCCCCACCATCAAGGAGTACTCGCCCGAGACATTAGACCCTCAGACACGGTCAATGTACGACCTGATGTCCCCCGAAGAACGCCAGGCTTTCGACGCAGCGAACAAGCGCCTGGTTAGCGAATTCAACGACCCGGAAAAGCGCAAGAGCAGGGTTGCGCAGCTCGAGAAGAAAGTCGCCGATTTGGAAAAGAGAGATCCCTGGACCTTGGGCTCTGATTTTCAAAAGAAGAAGTTGGATTTTTGGGCTGATGAGGAAATTGACCCCATGGGTATGGTTCCAGATATGGACGACGACTTCAACGACGACGATATCACGTCCATGGCCTATGCCGAACTCGAAGAGCACCGCGAGATCAGAGAGTACGCTCGAATCGCCGCCTGGGATATGCCATCATTGAGCAGTATGACCACCTTTTCTTATCCCGCTCCTGGATTTGTGTTCCTCCCCTCCTAAAGACTTCTTCTCACAATGGATCGCCCACTCGACCATCGCAACGAACCAAGAATATAACATAGCTAACTCCAACTGTCCATTCATCTCTAGAACTCGCCAAACCCTTCACACTACCCCCCGAAACGCATATTCTCCGCTTCCGGTACACGACTTACATGGGTGAAGAGCACCCGGCTCAGCACAAGGTCGTGGTCGAGCTGGCCTCCAGAGACCTGACCCCCAAGTACCTGACCGAGGCCCAGCGCCAGACCTTCCTCAAGCTGGTCGGCGTGCGCTACAACCCGCAAACCGACATCGTGCGCATGTCATGCGAGAAGTTTCAATACCGCGCCCAGAACAAACGCTACCTAGGCGACGTAATCCAGGCCCTGATTAAGGAGGCCAAGGAGGGCGACTCCTTCGCCGACATCCCGCTCGATCTCCGCCACCACAAGCCCAAGAACCACCTCCGCTTCCCCGACGAGTGGGTGATGACGCCCCAGCGCCGGCGCGAACTGGACGGCAAGCGTGCCGCCCAGAAGGCGCGGCAAATCGAGCAATCTGACGTCGTGGATGGAACTTCAATCATCACCGAGGCCGTGAGGACCCTGCCCGCTTTCAACCCGGCCTTGAGGCTCCCAGGCAAAGATGATAAGGCCGGTGCGAAGGTCGGTGCGAAGGTCGGCGTTAGGGTCGGTGCCAGAGCTCAGCCACAACGGAGACTGCGCTAAGGCTAGAAATCAAAACATGAAACTTCCTCTTGATAATTTGTGTGAGATGATGATGAGATGGAATTTTATGTCGGTGGCCAGCCACTGGCAAGAGATCTTTGTGTGTCTATATATGTGTGTATGATGTGTTCATCTCTCGGGGGTAAGCCGATGGGTCTCTTCCTTTCTCTTTTTTTTTACTCCTCCTTTTTCTTCTTTCTGGTCTTGTCTTCTTGTTTCTCATACTCGTGTTTCCATTCTCTGGATCCTATGTATGCTCAGACAAAACAGGGTGGCGCAAATGTTTGTTTTCTCTTTTTTTTTTTTTTTTTTCCCTGCGGGGTTGTACTAGATTCATCATCTCAATGTATTATAACTTCATTCATCTTTGAAAACATAGCGCAGGGACTTGCCTGACTGTATTCTCCTTCTACAACGACTTACGGTGACCGAGACCAACATACTCAATGTCATCAGGTGATGTTTACCATGTTCAAGATCTACTGTGTCTAGAACAAACGCTAACAAAGCTCAAATCGGGCTGTTGTATTTCATCAGGACATGCCTGGACTTCAGATCTCACGTCGAATCCTTTTTCGCCTCTTGCCCTAATCCCACACAGATATAGACATGACCTCTGGTATAACAATTTTGTACACGAGACCGAGTCCTGTCTGGGTAGGAGAAAAGGGTAAAAGCAAGGAAAGTGAAAACTGGACAAGATTAACTGCAAAGCAGCAGACTTTAAAAAAAACAAAGAACATCATAGTGACAGCATACATGTAAGAAAGACAAGTCGGGGGGTCAGTTGAAAAAACTGAGCCTAGAGCCAGAATAAGCTTGCGTTCAACAAGGGCTAAGGTAGCAAGTAGTTATTGAAACTGTAGTTTGTAGCGGGACGAAAGAACCACCCATGTTCCATTCCAACGTCAACGTTAAGTGGCGGGAGTCTCCGTCCCCATGAGGCAGAAAAAAAGTATATTTAGTCCGCAGAGGAGATCCCGTGTAGTAGCATATCACAGTAAACCGTACCGTAACACCTTAAGAAAAAAACCCGCAAAGTCGCATGTCTTTCGTGTGACGGGGGAGGAAGGGAAGACGTCACGAGCCTCATTCAGTGGAAAGGAAGATTTTGACCCATAGAAGTAAACATCTCCCAGTCTCGCCATCAGATATCCTTTTCTAGTCACTTTTCCTCTTCCATGGACAGGCCGAAAACGTCATCTTCGGATGACCCGACAGAGCGCTGGCGATGAACCTGTTGACCGATAACTCCAGAAATTGGCTTGTGGTTTTTGCTCTTGACGCGATTGCGACGCTTTCCAGGGCTAGACTCCGACGAGCCAGTACTAGAGTGGGTTGAAGGGGACGCATCGCGACTAGGCGGGTCCGATGTAGCACATCCATGCATGAGCCCCGGGTCAGCATGCGCCTGACTGGACCCAAATGTCCCGAATGTGACCCCTGAGGTAGGTGATGTACAGTTCGACGGCAAAGTGGCCTGGCTAGAATGGCTCGCCCCATTAACTTGCTCTTCTATCTCAGGGCCTGGTTCTTCCACTGGAAGCTGCGAACGAGGCTGATACAACCGACGGGATTTATGTGTCTTCCTGGAACGGCCCTGAGACGCAGTGTCCCGCGGGAATCCCGAGGCCTGACATGCATTGATTCCAAGTGGAGCAGGTATGAACGATTGAATATTGCTGAAAGTTGCATGTGGGTTTTTGCATGCGCCTTGGAAAGGATCAGTGACAGCATTCTTGTAATTAGCACTTTCCTGGGAATGCGAATGATCAAAAGCAGGCGAGTTGTTCTCGTTGGCAATTCTTAAAGTCGTATAGTCCTCATAATCTGGAACCGAGTCCATGGACAGATATTCGAGCTTTCTGAGAGCCACGTTCGTGGAGTTGGGAGCTTGCTTCGATTCTACCCTCTGACTCTTCGAGAACTTCGTTGCATCGGCAGCCGGAAGAGCAAGCCTTGAGGTACTAGGAAATCTCAGGGAAGGTTGTTGAATGGAGAGATGATTTCTAAGTTCCTGCTCAGGGTCCTTTCTGATCTCTGGCGCGTCAATGTTCTCATTGATAGCCATGCGCTGGTGATACTGAGTCGGTCTGTAGGAACCACCGTCTGCTGGAGGAAGTGCGTGGCTGATGGGAGTACGGGGATGTCCATGTCCGTTGGGAAGAAGGCTTGGTATATTGTACTTATCGCGATACCAGCGAGGGATGTCGCGCAGACCGAGCTTCTCTAGCATTGACAGATCATGAGGCATCTCATGCTTGTAGAGGCACCCTATGGCAGGCGTTAAATTCGTCCTTTTATATTGTGACATGAATCCATACCTTGTTGCTGATAGTCGCATTCGCCGTGACGTATCCAATATGAGCAGTACTCTTTCTTCGAGTTGTAATGAGGGCTCTGCGAGAAGATTAGACCAATCAGTCACCTTGAACTTGAGTTTCTTAGTGTCACGTAGTTTACATACTTGTCTAGCAGCACCATTTCCTGTGGAATTCAGAGGGTTGGTCGGAACCAGCCAATTGCTGGATGATGGAGGAGTGGAAAACCAATTCTGAGATAAACCATGCTGCAAAAGCGCACTGATAGCAACTCTCTGACTAGCTGGGACGTTCTCATCAGAAGCGAGCCTCATGAGAGTCGACTGCACGTCATTGTCGCGGGAGCGATGTCCAGGCGCAGCGCCGGATGACGGGCGAGTCCCTTCAACGACATAGCATTGCAGTCGCGAGTTCACTGTGCCCAGACTAGTCATTCCCTGAGTTTCGCTTGCTGAGAGAATACGGGGAACGCCGCGGATTGAGATATGCGAGGGCAGCTCGTCCACTGCAACGAGGGGCGTGAGGGTGCCATTTGGACGAGTACAGAAAAACTGAGGGCGAATCGGGGAAGACATGGCTGCTTGGCAACGCCGAAGTGCAACCTACTGTCTGACAGGATTCGACTGATGAGATTTCGAGTGTAGAAAGCGAATAACTTTATTTAAAAGATAAATTATATCGCCATTAGAGATGAAAAGAAGAAAGATTGGAAGAACGAATGGTGGGAAGAAGAGGGAAAGAAGAGAAGCGGAGGAGACAACACAGCGAGGAGAACAAGAAGAAGAAAGAAGAGAGCCCAAAGCAGTGAACAAAAAAAATAAGGAAGACAGTGTTAAAGATCGGTGAATCACCAGTGCGCCAAAAACAGTCGAGATTCACTGCGACTGGCGTTGGCAGCAGGGGTTTGATAACACCACAACGCCGAGAGCACTACACCACCCACACCAGGGATAGGAATACCTTAGAAACGTGGATTCACAGAGAGCAGTGCAATGCCACAGATAACCCTGCAAAAAGAAGCACGTAGCGAAGACACGACAGCAATGGGAGTGAATCTAAGCACTTCAGTTTGTGAAAATATCCCACGTTCGTCGTCCAAAGGATCTTTTGCTGCTCTTCAGATTCTCAACCGGCCGGAATATTAACAAGAGGCCAGGAAAAAGGAAAATCAGCGTGAAGAGTCCTGCAGAGGTTCGAGTAATTTTCAGGGTCCAGATTCATTCATGACTAACTGCCGTCAGTGTTTGTCCGATGATGCTCGCCAGGACAACCGTCCCGGATGGCTGCAGCCTCCTCGCTGGTCGCATGCTACTTATGGGGCTTTGGTCTGCTCCAGTGGGTGTTGGGGGGGGGGTGTGGAAGCCAATGCCGTATTTTTGATGAATCCAGCCTCTGAGCGAGATCTTGTGCTGGAAGTGGTACTATTCGATCTCATCACCCTGAGTTGGTACATGTTATCTATTTGCAACATTTTTTCTCGGGCATATTTCTCACGAACAAAGCACGGAGTAGATGGAACGAGATTATCCTTGGAAGGTCAATTGATTCTGCTCGTCCGCCACAGAACTAGACTTGACATTCTAGCTTCGACATGCTTCAATGCCACCTGCTTGGAGCGTGGATGGCGTAGGTAATGAATATATGGGCCGCGGATTGGTGGTGACACAGACGAGTCAATGAATGGGCAAATCAGCATTATCCACAAACGGGCATTGCAAACATTTCTGCATTCGGCGGCGGAGTGGGAAGGGGATTCAACAAACGACATTCAGAATGTAATCTCTCTCTACTACTCGGGACTTGGGAATTGAAGCAATTCAAACGAGATTCAGTCGACGGACGGTTCTGGTTTGGACCAGCCGAAGCCGATTTGGAAGGAAGCTCAGAGCACGAACATGTGACCTGGTTGTTTACCTAAAGGACAATGTCATAGTATCTGGGTTGTTAATTACAGCAGGTTCTTCTCGATGCAAACTCCTAAAAAATGCTATGATATCCTCGACTCCGAGTTCCTGGAGAGTACCTATCGCTGAAGCAAATCCATCTAGAAGGCCCAAAAAAGAGAAAAAATAAGACAAAAAAATAAACCACCAATGACACGTGCTGTCCCCCGCTCCTCCTCCTTCAACTACATAGTTCAGGCACCGTGTTCAGGATGGTGGGGGGCCCATGTGGGTAGATGGGGGGCAAAAGAATGAGCAGGGTTCATCAGTGGTTGGCCAGCTGACGCCATGCGATTATCATTAGTGAGGTCGATAACGGAGGAGCTGGTTGTTGCGACAGGGTTGGCAGGAAGAGGAGTCGCACTGCCTGCTGCAGCCTTACTAGCCTCCTGCTTCTTGCGGTATGCAAGGTTGCCACGAATGCCAGTCAGGTATTTCTTTGCTAGACGAATAAGCTCTTTGTCTTCAGTGCTATGCTTGATAGCCTCGAGCATTCTGGCTACTTGTGTATCAGACCTTAAGTGCGGACATGTACGCGAATGACCATAGTGTGCGAGACCACAGAGAGGACAATGCTCAACTCCAGCTAACTGCAAACGACAAGAGCCAACCGGATGAACCTGCCGGCATGCAATGCACGCTTGTTGCTGAGCTAGGTTAGACTCTACAGTGCCATCCACAGCCAGCGGTAAGTTAATGGGAGCGATCCGTTGAAAATTTTGGACTGTGGCTTGCATTAGCGGGATGCGAACACCTCTACTTAACAATGCATTGGGTGCTTACTCTTTGTTCTCTTCGGGACCATACGCAGATCCTCAGGGTCTAACTCAGGAGCTGACTCAGACTCAGAGTCAACACCATCGTCGGCCCGGTACTCGCCGTCAATCTCTTCCAGACGAAGTATGCGATCTTCAAAGGGCGAGGTCTCCGGGGCATTTCTACCATAGTCGACATTGGCCCGCTTTCTCTTGCCACGGCCCAGTGTTTCCGCTTTTCTCCTCGCTTCCTCAGCTGCAGCTTGTTCCCGCTCCAGCAAAATCTTGTCCCAAAGATCAGTATTGGGTGCAGCTTGCTCAGTCATCTCCGTCATCTCCTGGAGCCGGTCTTCAAGATTCTGGTTATCGTTTGCCCATACCCGAGCAAAGCTAAATTGAGATTCTAGGTCACCTTCAATGGGCACCTTTGCCTGCTCGGCTTGACTGCGATCAAGAAGCTTGTCGACAGACTCCGAGTCATATCGGACATCACCAGAGTCGTCATCATTAAAGAGAGCCTGAGCTCCATGCCGTAGGACGGACTCGAGCTCTTGCCCGTTATCTTCCTCCGCCACCATACGATCAATGAGAACGTGATCCAGGACCATTTTCTTCTTACCTATTTGCATGATCTTTTCTTCGGCACTGCTTCGCGTCATAAGCTGAAAGACAAGAACCTTGTTTGCTTGCCCAATTCTGTGAGCACGAGACAACGCCTGCATGTCTTGATGAGGATTAAAATCGGGGTCCATAATGATAACCGTATCTGCAGTAGCAAGGTTGATGCCGACTCCACCAGACCGAGTAGAGAGAAGAAACGCGAAGTAAGGCGAGTCTTGTGCGTTGTAATCGTCAATTGTCTTCTGCTTCTCGAGCGAAGTCATTCTACCATCTAGACGAAGATGTGGCAGACCCATGCCGTCCAAGAAGTCTTCGATAATGTCGAGATTCTCGAGGAACTGACTAAAGATAAGGACTCGGTGACCGCGATCCTTGAGTTTGGGAAGCATTAGTTCCAACAATTGAAGTTTGCCAGCTGCGTCCACTAAGTGACGATGAGATTTCGTCCTATCAGAAGTTCTTTCCTCGATGGCTCTGCTGTAAACAAATGGATGACATAGACATTTGCGCAACTGCATGAGAATATTGTTCAAGTTATGTCTTTCTGCCTGTTTTAATGCCTTAGCCCCACTGCGTTGGAAGATCGACTTGATCAGCTGAGGATTTTTGGCAAGGATAGATTTGTACAGTTTCTTTTGCACTAGAGACATTGAAACCGGAACAATGATTTGAGCCACAGGAGGAAGGAAGGTAAGCACTTGCGCTTTTGTCCTTCTCAGGAAGAAAGGTCGTAGCATCTCATGCAGCTTCGGAATATTCTCCTTAGAGAGCGTGCCGTATTCTTCTTCAAGATCAATGGCCTTCTTCGACGGGTCGCAGAACTGAAGCAAGTTGAACAGTTCTCTGATATTGTTCTGGAGCGGTGTCCCGGTCAAAAGCAATTTGAACGAAAACCTGATTCGTGAGAGTGCATCATAAAGCTGACTCTTGTCGTTCTTGAGCCGCTGGCCTTCGTCGACAATCAAACCGGCCCAGGGAATTTTAGCCAGGAACCTGCGGGATACGTCGTCCACCATCGTCTCATACGAAGTCACGACAACGTGGCATCGGAGAGTAGGATCATCATCAGCATACATCTCATACTCCTTGGCGAGGTTCCGAGAGAACGCAGACCCGTAGTAGGTCACCACCCGCATCGAAGGAACCCATGACTTGATTTCCTTGCGCCAGTTGGGACAGGTGGAGTTGGGCACTACTACTAAGAACGGCCAGCACCTGTGATAATGAATCAGAGTAGCCATAAAGCCAATTACTTGAATTGTCTTTCCGAGACCCATCTCATCGGCAAGAATGGCGTTCTGCTGTTTGAACCACATATAGTAGAGCCAATTGACGCCATCATCTTGATAGTCCATCATTTCTCCACCCGTCATAGTGGGAGGCTGATGGTCCTTAACCAAGTCAGTCTGAAAGTTCTTCTTTCGCTGCTTGGCCAAATGTCTCCGTAAAGATGATTGATTTGGCTCGCGAACGTATTCACGCTTAACCCAATCTGCGAAAGCAGCTTCGAAGTCTTCCCATCTCTCCACGTCACTGCGATCGGGAGGTGTATCCCAGACTACATCCTCGTACGGGAGACCTTTGAATTTGACATATACCTGAGACACATTATCAATCCGCTTTAGATCTGCTTCGTAAGATCGCTTGCTTTCTCCAAGCGGGGATGTGCTGGAAAAGCGAACATCAAAGACGATATCCACCCTGAGATAGTCCTCCGGAATAGCTTCTTCAATAGTTCTTTGTGGTGGAAGATCCTTTTTGATAAAAGCCCGCCGCATATGATAATTAACGAAACCCCATACCCAGCTCCCAGGCATCCATGTCGAGTGGCTGTAGGATTGATTCTTCCATTTGATAAGATACTCTCGATTGGCTTCTTCAGCTTTCTTTGCTTTGGGGTCGACTGGCCGCCAGGCAACCATGGCACCGACCTCTCCAGGGATCGAGGCACATTCTTGGCAATGCCATGTAAGATGAGCGACATCAGAGAGGTGCTCGAAATGAAAAGCGCGGTGACAGGTAGTACAACGAAATAGCAAATTGTTAACATTATTGACCCGCGTCATATCGATAAACGTGATCGGATCCTTGCCACCGTTTTGCTGCCGAAACTGTTGTTCTTGCTTCGGTGTTAAACGATCTCGCAGTGGTCTGGACATGTTCCCTTCGCGATTGCATATAGCGCAATAACCCTGGTGTGGAACTGCCGGGTCTTTACTATGAGATACTCCCAAACAGTTACGGCACTGGAGGACGAACAAGTCATCCGTGACTTTGGTGACAAGATGGTCTCTCGCGGCACGAGGACCCAGACATTGATGATGGAAACTGCTGGTACACCCCTGGCAAAAGACGAGAGGCCCCTTGGCATAATCGTCTCCAATGACATGGCACCTCTTGCAAGCGCCTCGATGTCGTTCACGGAAAGGATCATTTTCTGGTATTTTGTGGAACTTCTCTTTCGCTCCAAAGAACTTTTCATGGTGCTTCGGTGTGCCCTCGTTCTCAGAGATTTCATCCTCATTCCGTTCGCGCAAATTCTTTCGCAGAACTTTTCGTGTTCTAGTGGAATGCCGTGTGCCTACCGGAGTACTGCGATTGCTTTCTTCGTCTGACAGAAGTATTTCGGAGCGCGACTTGCTCTTTCGAGCTCGTGACATGCGACGTCTCCTAGTTGTGGTGCCGGATGAAGCGATAATATCTTCACTGGAAGAATGACCTCGTGAGTGAGCTACATCGTCATCACTGCTCAAGGCTCCAAAGAATGCCGCGAATCCACTATTCCTGGCTCGGGTCGATCGCCGGGTCCTTCTCTTAGTGCGATATTTTGAGTCGGACAAGGCCGAGTCCTCTCCCGATACGTCGCTCAAACGGGGGGAGACCGATTCAGTGGGACCGTATTGAAGAAAGTTCGACAAGGCTTGTCGGCCGTTCTTAAGACTTTGGATTTCATCGGATGAAGCCTAAGAAACAGTACGGTCAGTGACCAGGTACGAGGGCAGAGGATGCTGATGCAATATACCTTTTGAACCTCGCCACTTTTCAACTTGACACGATATATAAGCCCACCCTCGGTCTCAGAAACCTCTTCACTGATGATGTAAAGAGCTTCAAAATGCCCAGGGAGAAATCCACAGTTTGAGATGACACTGCTCGGCGCAAGTGGAACTTCCACAACAGGTTGCGGTAGCTGAGGCTGAGAGGGAAGATTTTGAGCTAAATCATCTTCGGGCGAATCCGGATGAAGCGTGATACCCTCCGACTCTCCTACCTGCAGCATCTCAGCATCTCCAGGTGCATCATTTTGGATCGCTTCGGGAGAGCGAGCTGCAGGGCCGCTCTTGAATCTGGCAAGAAGTGCCTCAACAGGACCGTCTTCACTATCGGAATTATTGGACATATGCTGGTCTTGTCCTTCATTATAAGTGGCCAAATCTTCCATTGTAGAAAGTTGTCAAGCGTGAGTCATTACTGACGAAAGCGAATAAAGTGCTTTGCGAGCTCAGAAGTTGGGTCATAGGAGGCGAATGCGAATATGAGTCGGACCCGGGTCAGGGTAACACTAAAGTGGAATTTTCAGGGATTGACCTGCGATGAGTCGACCATATGCCGAATGAAAAAGAGAGACGTATGCGGGATCATCATCAAGAAGAAGTTGAACTCCTCCTATTTCTTCCTATGACGGTGGACATTAATTACATGCCGACGCGTTCTATCGACGCGATATGGAAAGGAACAATGATAATGCGCTAATCTTATCAGAGTTTTGCCGGGCGGTGAATAGAGGGGTGGAACCCACAGTAGCACAGTTTAGTAGTCACTATTTTGATGGATGCGTACAATCAACTACCTCATTGCTGTGATATCCTGCGTTAAGGTAATAAAAACTCACTTCATGGCTTCAGCCAGGTCACAATTATTGCAGAAGAAGATTAAAAGAGGAACATTATAAACTACAGTAACATCTAACTTATCTGCCAACGCCCAACCCGGCAATATATGAAACATAGTTGTGAACCAAATCCCATCCCTTCACAGGTCTTGCCAAACAGTCTACAGGAAAGTCATAAAATCTTAGTCATTCAATTTCGAGACCTCAGAAGATAGAGGCTTCACTTCTTGCGACTCTTCGGTTTGGAGGCCGCGTTGGAGGAAACACTGGCGGCTCGTGATGTGGAGGCTGAATTCGCTTTGCTGCCATTCTTGACAGCCTTGACCTGCTTGTTCTGTGCGGAGAATTAGTAAAAACCATATAAAAGTGGAATTTTCGAGACAGGACACGAGTCAAGAAGACTCGAGAGATCGGGGCAACAGGGACCAAGTGATGGAAGACTTTGACTTACAACTGCACCACCCTTGGTTTTCTTCTTCGCAGGGGCCTCTTCTTCATGCTCAGCCTCCTCTTCGTCCCGATCACGCCCGCGGCCTTTGCCACCCTCTCCATTCACCTTTGCATCTTCAGTTTCGAATTCCTTGGCGACTGTATTCAGGAGAGTGGTGCACCGACGCCCAATCTCGACAGGAGTACGGCTGAGGAAGAACCAATCGAAGCGGAAGAGAGGCGACTCGCGAATCTCATCGCGAATTTTCTCATAGAGGCCTTCACCGTCGACCCCGTACTTGTCCAGCATGACCAACAGGAACCGATCTTCTTCTTCCGTGTAGACTTTTTTATTGGTGGTAGACACCGTGTAGTTGATCTTGAGCTGCTGGAGGGGCACGCGGTACATCTCCATCTTCTTACGCAGCATCTTGCGTTGATGGTTCATCTTGCGAAGTTTCTCCTCGCCTTGTTCAATCACGCGAAGGTACTTGGGATAGTCTTGGATCTCAGTGTACCGTTTCCAGAATACTTCAGCGTATTCCTCAACTTCATCCGGTTCCTTGCTGTCTACCTCAGTTGCGATACCGACGTAGTCAGTGCGACCGAATTTGGCCGATCCATTAACGAACTGCTGGAAATCACGACGGTTCCAGGTAGAAAAGCCCTCTTCGGACATCTTCGCCTTCTCCGCCTGCTCCTCCTCCGTCAAAGGTACAGCATTGTCTATCTCTTGCTGCTCCAGATCACGCTCAGCTTCGCGCTCACTGAGCTCTTCATCGGGACCGTCAGACAGAGGAACTTTATAGCCGATCTCTTTGTGGAAGTAAGCCGTCTCCTTCTCCTGAAGCTCTTGAAGCCCAGGAGGGAAGAATTGCCAGTCGTGAACAGCGATTTGCTTGGGCGCGCGCGGCACTTTGGGTTTGGGATCAGCTGTTCTGCCTCCAGTGGCTAAAGCTTGACGATAGTACTTGTCGATGGAGTAAAACTGTTCCTTTCGTTCGCGTTTGGCCGGGTTGATCCAGTTGATACCAATGTCTTTCTTGCGATCCGCGAAGTCTTGTCCATTCCACTCGTATGCACTTTCAGAACTAAACTTCTGGAGGTCATCGATACCAAGCTTCTCGTACTTCTTGTTTAGTTCCGCGGTCCTCTCCTCTCCCTTGCGTAGGATAGCATCTATGTCATCTTCGGACAACTTGTTTTCCGTGGACAAAGGCCCTGTTGCGCCTTTTTGGTTGAAAACGTTGGCTGCTCCATGCTGGATCATGCCAAGCAGTTCGTCTTTCGATGCAGCATTCTTAGTCTGCTGCTGGGCACGCCCTTGCTGGATGACAAGCTGATCCAACCGCAATTTCTGGGCTGCACGTTCCAAGACCTTTTCCTCAATGGCATTTTCTGTAATGAATCTAAACACGACAACCTGTTTAGTTTGACCAATCCGATGAGCACGATCCATAGCTTGCAAATCCGCCTGAGGGTTCCAATCACTATCGTAGAGAACAACGATGTCGGCAGTGGTCAGGTTAATTCCCAATCCACCAGCTCTGGTCGTGAGAAGGAATATGAATTTATCAGAGTCAGGTTTGTTATACTCATCGATTGCGGCGATTCTATCCTCGTGAGCGGTTGTACCGTCAATACGGCAATACTTGTACTCTCGGAACACGCAGTAATCCTCCAGGATGTCGAGAACACGACTCATTTGAGAGAAAATGAGTACGCGGCTGCCCTGCTTCTTCATACGTGCCAGGACCTTGTCAAGGATAACCATCTTGCCCGCATTGTCCACAAGATGTTCGTCGGTTGTGTACGGAGGACCTGGCTCAGCACCTTCAAAGAGATATGGATGATTGCAACACTTGCGGAGTTGCATAACGATGTTCAGCAAACGAGTCTTGGATTCGCGCTTGCCAGCCGCACCGTTTACGGCGTCAATATCCTTCTCCAAAATCTTCTGGTACCATTTGACCTGCATCTCTGACATGGGCACGTAGAGGTTGATTTCCTTCTTGGGAAGCAGGCTCTTTTCCACGTCATTCTTTACACGGCGCAACAGGAACGGCCGCAAGACACGATGGAGTTGTTGCACAACGGTGTCCTGATCGGCGTCTTGACTAGAGAACCATTGATCAAAAGCTTCTGAATCACCGAAGACATCGGGCAACAGGAAGTTCAGGAGCGCCCAGAGTTCGTGCAGGTTATTCTGTAAAGGGGTACCGGTGATCAACAAACGGTTCCTAGAATGAAAGACACGAATGATTTGGGCCAATGACGACTCTTCGTTCTTGATGCGATGAGCCTCATCAATGATGATATACTCCCAAGCAAACTTCTTCAGATGACTCTTCTCCCGAAGAACCATCTCGTAACTGGTGATACAAACATCAAATTTCTCATCCAGGAGGCGCTCATTGATCAATCGGTGCCGCTCTTCCTTGTCACCCTGCAAGACCAGAACATTTACTTCGGGAGTCCACTTTCCAAATTCTCTCCTCCAATTGTCGAGTGTTGATTTCGGAACCGCGACGAGGTGTGGTCCAGTGATCCCGCATACATGTCGAAGATAGCCAAGGAAAGAGATTGTCTGCAATGTTTTGCCTAGACCCATCTCATCCGCTAAAATACCGGAGATGCCGTTTTCATGTAGGGAAACGAGCCAATTCAGACCGGCAATCTGGTAGTCACGCATTTCTCCTTTGATGAAGGGCGGGGAGTCTCGAAAAACGGTGCCCGTTTCACCTCCACTCCTTTCATCCTTGAGAAGTTCAGCATCTTCCTCTTGTTCTGTTCTGCGACGTCTGTCACCGCTCGCACCACCGGAGCGAGCTGACCCCTTCTTCTTGGCTCTGGCTTCCTCCTCTTCATTCTGACGGTCGATTTCGGCCATGATTTCCTTGATCCGCGGGTTGGGGTTTGTCTCGATGAAGTGGCGAAATAGGTCGGTCAAACCAAGGAGATAGCGAAAACGTCGGATGGAATCATCTTCCTACAGTGAGACACGAAATGAGCGACTGCAGACACAATCCAACTCAACATGTCCACTTACCATAGACTCATCCAAGCGACCATGCTTTTTACCAAAGATATTCTTCCTCATGTGGAAAGCTTCGGATCGTCGTCTCCGCCCATCCAAAGGCGGTGCGTCGCCTGCAACACTGCTCGCCGTGGTGTTAGGATTCGTATCAGTATCCTATGAGCGCCCATTAGCTTGTTCCATATGATATAGCAGCCATGAACGAGTGTACCGTGTAGTCCGGGGTATCCTAGAGGCCCCGAGGCAGTCCAATGATTAGCGCAAATGTCCTTGCATATAGGATGATGTAGCATGGGGATGTTCCCGGGGTGCGCGCGCTCTTACCGTCATTTGCGCGTCCGCTTTATCAACAGGCACTGACGTGACGGGCTCTGCGGTCGCATCTGTCATTGGCGTATCTGCCTGTGACGGCGGGTCGGAAGGTGGAACTTTTGAAGGAGCCATCACTTTTTCATAGCGCATTCTGCGCAGGTGAGTCCTACTATATCAAAAGACGCGATTCGATAGTGATCGGGCAACAGTCAAGCAACTGGAATGACATGCAAAAAAACTCGATTGTAGGCAGTCGTCCGAATACGAAATGGTTGTGTTAAGGTCTCCCGAGACTGGAGCCTGGAATGGCAGACAAGGATAGGGAGTAAGTAATTACTTATTAGCGAAGGATGCTCTGAAAGGGACGAAAGAAGTACTGCCGGGGAGAGTCGCGCCGAGATGGCAAATGGAATTTCGCCGGCGAAGCGCGGCCCCTGCACGCGCTGATTGGCAGGGGAGACGCGCAGCAGAAATATTAGTCATCTCTGAGTCAGTAGGGAAGGAAAGAGGGGAACCTCGGGCGGTGAACTTAGGCACGCGGCATTGACTAGTTTAGTTAGCAAGTTGAGGAAGAGCTCGGCGGAAATCAAGTTTCCCCGCTGTGGAGTCACGTTACCCGGTCAGAAGCAAAGAAGGATCAGCTGCGCCAACATTCTCCCGATCGAATCATCCTTGAGTCAACATCGTGTCTAATTTCACTCTTACACTCCCTCCTTTCCCCTTTCTTCACATCGTCCTTACTTCTATAGTCTCCTTTGTGATCATATTCTTGGAAATCTCGATATTCCTCCGCCCTATTTGACTCTTGCGAGAAATTGTCCGTGTCCTGTTGGCAGCCAACGCACGGTGCAAGTCACCCCTCCTCGTGGCGGTAGTGAAGACCTCTTCTCCCAGACTTTGTCTCAAATCTTCTACAACCCTGCTTTTGTTGTTGCGGTCTAACTCGCCATGGACTCGATGAGATCCCTGAATACGTCGTTGCCGAGCTCAACGCCTCGTCCGCAGCCCCCTGAGCAGCTTCTTCAATCGTTCAAGGCTGCCGCCCTCTCCGTCACCAATCTTTACAAGAATGCTGTTTTTGAACAGGCTCAGGCCAAGCAGGCAGGCTACCAAGAAGCAATTGAAGATCTCTTGCACTTCCTAGACCGGGAAAATCTCGGATTATGTGATGGAGAGGGCTGGAAGGTTCGACAGTGGGCCACGGAACGGAGCGATGGCATTGGCGCTCATAGCGACGACGACGAGGTTGAGAAACAAACCAGAGGCACAACCCCTGCTGCCGTCCGCAAGGCACAGCCCGAATCTGAACCGACACGTCAAGCAACCAAGTCAACATCTCCCTCAGTGGACGAGCCGAGAGCCCCGCCACCTCAAGCCTCCTCACCACCGTCGTCTCCTCCATCGTCCGAATCCAACACCTTCGACAGACCTACGATCTTTACCTTTACCGCCGGACCAGCTTTCCCACCCGAGCAGGATATGGATGTGCAGCCCTCAGACAATTCAACTCCTTCATCTCAAGACGGCGCCCCCGTCAGCGTTTCAGTACTGCCTCGAAACTCGCGGCAGCAACCTCGGCATAACAACTTCTCGCGATCAACTCCTCGATCATCCACCCGCGAGTCTTCCGTCGGCCTTGGTTCGAAACGCAAGCTCACAGTGCCCGATTTTTTCGATTTATCTGGACTTGGGAATCGAGATCTGTTCGGGGGCGGCAAGCGGGGTCGCTATACCTGAAAGAATGTTGTATCGACGATCAGACGAACTTCATATTCCTATGGTTACGCAGCGGCTATTAGTGCATTGATCATTTTCTTCTTGTTCATCCTGGTGCATGTGTCGGAGTCTTGCATGTGGCTCCTAGGCCACGGTCATTTACTTCTCTTTTTGTTCTCGCCCTCTTCCTATCTCTTCGATTGTATTTTCTTTCTTTTCATTTTCTTCTTACTCTTTCCTTTTCTGCTTCAGAATCATGAAATTTATAGACGTTAACAGGCTCTGGCGATACCCCACGAGGCAGCTCGTGTCAATGCTAATCGTATGAACATTCCACGCACTGATTCACAAATGATGCTTATCGATCGTAGCAAAGTTTTGAACATCCCAGCTATAATACAAAACGCCCTGAGTGGAACATGAACACCAAACTCGAAACCCGGGGGTATCAATTGAAAGCCCTCCAAATGCCCATGCCGACGAGGGTAGCGGAAATTGTAGCAATGCCGAGACGCCGAGATCCCATCTTGTATTTGGTAGCACTTTGCATAATTGTCTTCTCTTGCTTTCTGAGGTTGCTCATGCCCGTCCAGTAGCTGTAGACACCGAGGCCGATAAATGCGGCGGATCCTAGGACCGTCGAGGCTTAGTTTCCAGATCTCGAATGCGAATAAGCAGTAGTGGAACAGGAAACCCACCTGTGATGCGGCAGGAAAGACAATCATCATAGGCGTCTTCCGCAAGCATACGCTTTGCATCTTTGGGCTGAACGTCCCAGCGTTCAACTTCATTCGAGGAGGAAGGCATAGCGGGGGCGAGGATGGAGGAAGTACTTATGAGGAATGGAACGGAGGACAGCCCAAGCATGAGAACTCAATAGAGATGAAAGGATAGAGGAATAATAAGGCGGGGATGGGTGGCAGAACGCGGACGATTTGGAGACGGATGGCCCTCGATCCCCATTCCCGATCATCACCTCCAGGACCTGACCATGACCTGCTTCCATTCCCCCCCTCACCCTGTCGAGTTAGGTCGCCATGATGAGCGGCCAAGTCGATGCGCTTTATATTTACGATGAGCAAATGTGTGTCTTTCTGGTCTCTCTTGCTTCATGTGAATGTCCTTACCTAGTTACTGACCTCTGCCTTCCCAAAACTCACAGCACCCCGATTGTTGAGCAGGTCTACCGCTCCCGTCCGCCCTCCGCACCAGCAATCCGTTCGCTCTTCCTAGCTCATCCTGCCCCTCGCCCCTCGGTCTTGTATTTGCCCAATGCGATTCCGCCGGTGACTGTCTTCTCTATCGTCCAGTCGAACCTCACCTTCCTTGCCGTTTCCGAGGTCGACTCGGAACCGCTGCTGATGCTAGAGTTCCTACATCGGGTCGTCGATGTCCTCGAGGAATTTGTTGGCGCGCCGCTGCTTTCAACCAAGCTTCAGGCCAACTACGATGTCGTCGCGCAGCTACTACACGAGATGTGCGATGGTGGCATCGTGTGCAACACCGAGCCCAATATGCTGCAGGAGGTAGTGGAGATGCCAGGATGGATGGGGAAACTGTTAGGCGGGGTCGGGTTGGCTGGGTGAGTATACCTTGTTAACCACCTAGCCGATTGCGCGCAAAGAGTTTTCAACAATTTAGCTAATCATTGAGGACTTGCTAAAACAGGTCATCCACGCCAATTCTTGGCCAGCCCAACGCATTGAAGCAGTCTTTATCGTCCGCCGCAGTAGCACAAGGCCCCGCAATACCTTGGCGCAAATCTGGAGTTCGTCATACCTCCAACGAGATCTATGTTGACATTATCGAGTCGCTGTCAGTTACCATTGCCCCATCCGGTCGCTTGCTATCGGCTTTCGCGTCCGGCACCATCGCTTTCACCGCCAAAGTCTCCGGTGTACCCGATCTCCTTCTTTCATTGAGCGCACCCGGTGGCCAGAAAGTCTTGGGACGAAAGTTGGAGCTTCCTGTCTTCCATCCTTGCGTGCGACTGGCACGATGGCGGGAACGGCCGGGGGAGCTCAGTTTCGTTCCACCGGACGGACGGTTTATTCTCGCCGGATATGAGGTAGATCTTCTACCACTTGATCCCAACCTTGATCAACCGCCAACACACATGGAGAAGCTCTTTCTTCCGGCGATTGTGGATGTTCGGAAGTCCCTCGGCCCAACAGGTGCCGAGTTTGAAGTGCGCCTGATTCTCAACACCAATTTCCCCGGCTACACATCCGCCAATCGACCCGGAGTTGGGCGCAGCGGCTCTGGGTCATCGACGCCTTCATTCCTGGGGGGAGGCGGCAACTCAACGTCACCTGTGTTGGAAGAGGTCGTGGTTACAGTGCCCATTCCCAAGTCGGTCCGAAATATTACAGAGATGCAAGCCAGCCGCGGAGAGGCGCTGTACTCTCCGGGCAACGATGTGCTCGAATGGCGCATCCCAACCAAAGACGCCGGTACGGTGTCCGGCACCGCGACCCTGCGGTGCACCGTGATGGGCCACCACGATGACGACGATGTTGAAGACGAGTTGGAAGATGCAGATGCCAATCTCCTGCAAGGTTACTACGACCCAGCCACTGCATATCCAGACCCCGAACGGGGGACCACAAAACGGAAGACCAAGAAAAAGAAGAAGAAGAAGGTCGTTAAGAAGTCCTCTCGGGCTGCTACTGCGGCTGCGGCTGCCGGCGCGGTAGGAGAGGCAGAAGCGTCCGCATCCCCTGCCGCAGACCCCAACAACCCCCTCGAAGCCGACCAAACGCAATCCTACCCTCCCTCCGACCCCTCCGAACCACCAGCTCCCGCTCAAGCTCCCTTCGAATCCTCATCATCTCCAACCCTCCTCCCCGAAGGCGAAACGCAACATCTTACCCCAGAGCCTGCCCCGGAATCCGCATCCTACAGCGCCCGCCCGCAAAAGTCGCGATCACCACGCCCGTCCAAACCCTCCAAGGACGCCCACGGCCAGCCCGGGCCGGAACACAGCATCTTCCACACCGCGCCTCGCAAAACCAAATCCCAACTCAACGCCATCCTCATGCCCACCTCCGCCTCGGTGTCCTTCTCCGTGCGCGGCTGGCTCCCCTCAGGCATCAAAGTCGACAGCCTGAACATCGACCCCCGCAAGAGTCGCGGACTCGGGGAGGGCGTCAAGCCCTACAAGGGGGTGAAGTACCTCTGTGTGAGTCAAAAAGGCGTGGAAAGAAGGTGTTAAAGCGGGGAAAGTCCAAGGGTGACTGACCCCTCCCTGGTGGACCATATAAGTGCCCGGCATTTTCAGTTTCCCCTTTACATCTGGATGAAATTTTTCTAGTTAGCTTTTTGTCACTACCATCAGTTTCCTTGTATACGGTTTGGGTGCCATGATCTATCTATCTGCTCAAAATCTTTTTTTCTTCTTGCTTATTTCTGTTCCCCATTCCCTCCTCCTCCATTTCTTTCCTTATATCTCTCACTCTCTGGCTCCTAGACCGACGATTTGCTTCAAACTCAGGTCACTATTTGATTTGACCTGTCGTGCATTTTGACATGGGCTAAGATGCAATGTGACATGCGACGATGATACTAGACAATAACTTTTCCACCTCACCCCAAGCATATACACATGTCGCAATTGTCCTACTTTTCGAGGCGAGGCAGTGAGTGAGATTAAAAGCCTTCCAACTCGGAAGGAGTCTTCAATTATACTTGGATTTCTGCTTGCTGGCTAGTAGCTAGCCTGCTCGCTAACCACCCCGAACCTAAAAATCATATATACAACCCCCATTCCGCAGAACACAAGATGCAAACAAACTATAGTATACATAATCATAAACATGGTGAAGATCGAAGGTCAACCCATATCAGATCCGGTCATCCACCAAAACGGTGGGAGGGGACCGGGATAGCAGACAACATGAATCAAGCACAAGACATATCGGACAAATCCCAAAACCCAGTAAAAACATCACTCAATCATCTCAAAGTTCAATTACCAAGAATAGATTAGAACATGACATAAGCGTGCTTGAGATCGTCAACATTACAGCCTTGAACCCCTGCGGTCGAGGAGCTGTAATGCGAAATACGCCACTAGAGAAGATGGTAAGTATTATTGTCTGTCTTTTTGGGGGGTCCAAAATTGCATATTAAGGATTAAGATTAAACAATAAACAGTATATGTAAGAACACAGTACGACGGAAAATCAAAAAGCGCGAGAGACGGTCGATTGGGTATGCGAGACATGGCGTTTGCCATCACAGATGAGAGCATCGGGCACCGCCATCATCGGGGTATAGTCGAGCCCGGCGGATTGACCGGGCGGAATATGCAATCGATTTCGATGTGAACTTGGGTTTGCAAGTCGACCTTATTCTGCCGATGGGAACGCGGACAGTAAGAAGACTGCGAGCGACACAGAAGGGAGCCCAAACCCGCAGAAGAGAAGGGAGTGGGGTATGGGGAAACAACCCCCCCCCCCCCAAGAGAAACAAATTGAGAAGAAAAATGAAAAGTGATAGTCACTTACCCGCAGCAACAATGGTGGCACGAGTGACGCCGGACTTGGCCGATCCGCCTCCAAGCGTCAATAGATAGCGGAGCCAGCCAAGGCGAAGCTTCTGTCCGTTGCGATCAAAGTCCGGAGTCAGGCTGCCGGCCTTGATGAAGAAGTCCTGCTTCTTGCCGAACGGCGGATAGCGGATGGCCAGGGCGGATTCAACCCAGCCAGGGCTGGTGGTGATGGCGCGGCGGTGCACGAAGACGTCGAAGCTGGCCTTGCCACGGTAGGCGCCGGAGCCACTTTCGCCTACACCGCCGAATTCGAGAGTGGGGATGTGCAGCGACGCATCGTTGATGGAGACACCGCCGGAGCGGGTTTGGGAAAGAACTAAAATGCGAAGCACAGTTCAGTCAGCCTATTTGTAGTTATAGACTCAGAGGGGCGGAAATCGATCCACATACTCTTCTCAGCTTCGGCTTTGGTGCCGAACGGATAGAGAGCCAGGGGTGTAGCCTGCACACCGTTGGCGATCTCGATAGCCTCATCGAGGCTGTCGACGGGGAGAATGGTTAACAGGGGACCGAAGCTCTCCTCGGTGACCAAGGAGTCATTGATGGAGTCAATCTGCACGAGCGTTGGCTCGATGAAGCGCTCCTTCTCGTCCATCGTTCCTCCCAGAAGGATCTTGCCCTTTGTGTTGTCGACCATCCTCTTGATGCGCTGGAACGACGCATCGTCAATGATGCGACTGAAGTCCTTCTTCGTTCCCTGCGGCCAGAACTCGCTGTAGGCCTTCTTGAACTCCTCGACCACCGCGGGCAGAATGGGTCTCTCTACGAGCATGTAATTCTGCGAGGTGCAGAGCTGTCCGGCATTCAGGGTTTTTCCCCACAGTAGCCGACGCGCCACCAGCCTGGGATCTGCGTTTCTGGAAATGAACGCAGGGTTGAGGCCCCCCAGCTCGAGCACGATCGGGGTCATATGAGTCGCAGCTGCCTTGCAGACGATGCGGCCGACGTTGGCGCTGCCGGTGAAGAAGATCTTATCCCACCGCTCGGCAAGGAGCGCCTGAGTCTCCGAGACTCCTCCCTGCACTACTATGTACGCCTCCGGATCCAGCGCCGCCTCGATGATCCGCTGGATGACCACGGCGCAATGGGAGGACTTTTCACTGGGCTTGACCACCACCGTACAACCAGCGGCGATGGCACCGATAACCGGACCCAGGGTCAACTGGAAAGGAAAATTAAACGGTCTATAAAGAGCCCACACAGCATTGTTAATGCCAATCCCACTTTCCAACCAGAAAAGAAACAAAGAAAAGGCGGACACATACCCAATGACCAAAACACAACCCAACGGATCCTTCCGGATTTTCGGGTTCATGAGCTTGAAAGTGATATCAATATTCTCCGCCTTCTCATCCTTGACCCAGTTCTCCAAGTTGCGGCACACAAAGATGATATCGTTCAGCACCCAGTTGGTGTCGCCGAGTTCGGCCTCAAATTTAGGTCGGCCTAGGTCCAATCGTAGCGCTTCGCGCATTTCCTCTAGATGATCCTTCACACTATTCGTAACCAGCCAGAGATTAGCAATGCACCATATACACACTCGGTCAGGTTCATGCCAACTGTCTGGCTTGGGACGGAACTCACGACCAGTAAAGCTTGCGGAGCTGGACCAGCCGGTACTCCACATCGCGGGTCTTGTGCGCATTGAATGTCTTGCGAGCCGTCGAGACATGAGACTGGATCTCCTCAACGGGAGTATATTGTAGAGGGGGGATCTCCACGGCACCCATGATTACGATTATTGACGAAAGGAACAAGACAAGGTAAGAAGGTAGAAGTGGGCGAGGGAACCTCGGAGGGGGGGGGAGGGGAGAACAAAAAAAAAGGCCACCCAAGAAAGCGAGCGGAGGCAGATGTGCAGGCCTGTCTTATAAGAGAAGCACGGGAGGAGGAGGGGGAAGGGGAATAGGATCACCAGGGAATTCAATAACGAGATTAAAAAATGATCGTCATGGTGTGGTGGAAGACCATGGACGAACAAGACCGGATGGAGGAATTGCGCCGATGAGCTTGAAAGATGAAGGCATTAAAAAAGCAGAAAGAAGCACATGCGGCCGAACCATAGCTTTGTTCTCAGGCGGATTTTCGGGACATTTCCGGCTCCCCCGCTCTGACCGGACCGCGGCTTTTGTTCCTTTCTGTCACTGGCAACTTATTCAACTTATTGATAAGGTGGTGATACTGTGTGATACACATTTTACACAGACAAGAAACAGCTGGAGACTAATATTCCGGCTAGTCTTCACACTAATTCCTTTTCTCCCGCCCCCTTCCCCCCCTCCCTCCCTTCCTGTAATTCTTTTCTGCACCAGACTACGATTGCCTATTGGTGGATGGTGTAGCATGGACACGGTTCCTGCATGGACCCCCCTCCGACGAAACACAATGGATCTGTTTGAGAAGTTATAAAAAGATGGGCAATGGAGACAAAGTCACGAAAGAGAGAGAGAGAGAGAGAGAAAGACACGCAGGTCAGAACTTTAAATATCAGCCTACTCCGTACTGTTAGTGGCGCTGACTTTCGACAGCCATCACTGCCACATTCAACTCCACAGCAGCCCACTCCCCCTTTATCGCTTACAGCCCACTGATCAACAAAATAAATGAAAACAATAGCGATAGGGAAAGATGAAAACCGCTGGCTCAAATTCGACTCATCACTCATCACTGCAATCAACACGACTGGCTAGTAACTCCAAGATACTTCTAAATAACCAAAACAAGAGCCAACCTCAAGGTCCTCCAACAACTTGAAACTGACTTACACGACTGCAGAATCCCATCTCGACTTCCAACTAAGAATATGTCAAAATGACTCAAATCAGTTATACTCTATCCCCGCCGCTTTTCAAGGTCCTTCTAAAATTCTTCCACATGAGTCGAGACTGCAGAACGAGAAACATGTATTCCAATGTTCGACCCACCTAAAAAGAGATCTCGTACTCTCGTATCGAGGCAAAACGTATAGTCATTCATTCCATGTCATTCACAAGTGCAGTTACAGCACTTCGTCTTGCACGGTGATCGCCTTGTTGTACGTCTCATAAGGGGTAATGGCTCCCAAAGCACGTCGTTGATGGGCGTTGAGAATCTCCAGTCCGTAGACGTAACTGGCATTAACCCAACCGAATCTAGGCAGAAAATGAGTTAGTGACCGGTACGCCAATAGCTGCGTTCCATGCGACTACGACGCGGGAAATCTTACCCTTCACGGGGAGCCCCCTTGAAATCCACGCCCTGATTGCCGTATTCGGCATCCACTCGATGTGGGTCAATGGGCCGAGTGACATCGTATTTCTCGACCACCACTCCGTTGAAATCCACAAACGCCTTGGTGATCATGTACAGCCACTTGTAGGTCAGTCGTTCCGCCTCATCTTGGTACCCATACCGGATTAGGCCCGTCCAAGCAAGCATCTGCTGTGGCGCCCAGCCATAGGGGTAGTCCCACTGCCGGTTCGGACGATCCAATCCGATGACACCCCGCGACTCTTCAGTCCCAGATACCAGACCACCATATGCTTCGAATCGATGAAGGGCTTTGACCATTTGAGATGCTTGCTGTGGTGTAGCAAGGCCAGCCCACATCGCCCAATAGGTGGTAGCACTTTCGTAGTTCGTCCGCTCTTGCTTGACCGTGTCATAGTCAAAGTACATGCCTTTCTCCTCGTCCCAGAGATAGGTATCCATGCGCATCTTTCTGCGTCGTGCGCGACGGTCCCACACGGACGAAGACTCGAAGGCCATGTCTTTGGTGGCCTCCGTCCGGAACTCAGGTGGGATTTCCAACTTGTCCTTGAAATAGGTGCGGATAATCCGCGCAATGTCCACCTCATACTTGTACAACAACGAGTTGAGATCGACTGTTGCCAAATTGGCACAGACTTTTTCCAGACGGTAGCTGGTATCGTGTCCGGACTCTCGGACGGCTCGATCGTGCAGGAAATACTCGTCAAGCTCCGGCTCCAATACCTTCCGTTCGTTGTAGGCCTGCACGAATTCGTCGAAAGACATTCCATGCTTCTCGGCGTAGGGGGTGAGAATGTGATAGAAATGAGTCGGCTCGGTCTCGGGCGGCACACCACTACCTTGGGGACGATACCTGGAGAGACCAGACACCGGGTCAAACCGCGGCTCCGCCGTCCACACGCTGTAGTATTCCTTGATGGCGGCCAGAGTGGCGCTCCGCAGGAAATCCATGGCATCGGGTTCGTTCTTGATCCGCTCGTACACACGCAGAGCCATATCGGTCAGGAACGGTGGCTGAGAGCGCATGAGATAGTAGGATCGGTTAGCATTCAGAATCTTCGCGTAATGCTTAATACAGAAACAAAAGTTGATCACCATAGCCTTGGCTAGATCAACCCTGTTGCTGACCAGTAGACCGAGCGAGATCATATAACTATCCCAGCCGTACAACTCATTAAATCTGCCTCCAGGCACGACGAAGGGAACACCAGTGTACTCCGTCTTTCCGGTGGCCTCGTCGACCTTCTTGTCCATCGCCAGGGCCAACATTCCAGGTTTGCTGTTTAGATCCTTCACATAATCCGGTGTAATGTCGGCCTCCAACATCACAACGTCCAAGCGTAGCTCGGGGTAATCTTCTGCAATCTTCTTGTAATATTCATACTGCTCGGGAGCCCCCACGGGGATGTAGATCCGAGGCCTGGGGTCATCAGTCCAATCTTTGGGGTCTTTGCCAGCTTCTGCGATGTTTGAACCATCGATCCGCCGGGTCAGGGCCGTCCAGAACGAGTTCTTGATCAGACGAGAGAGACGAGAGACTGGGTTCTCGCTCAGACGAGCCTCATCCAGAACAATGGTCTTGCGACCGTAGTCCTGTGCAATTGTGAGTTCCTGAAGTAGGTTGGATAGCATGTATGTGCCTCGCAAGTCGAATCTGTTGTATCCCGACGATGCAGCCGTTCCTACAGAGAATACCTGAGTCAGGTTAGTCGTTATTTCCAGAGGATCAGCTTGATCTCTACCATACCTTTGGGCCAACGTCTTCGATCGTAATCTGCATGTTGCGATCCGTGTCCTCCCGCTCCAGGAGATCGTGCAGTGTTTTGTCAACATCAATAAGGAATTTGCGTGGGTTTGCAGGAGTCTCATCTGTGACCCGTATGCGGTCAGTCAAAAGTACCTTGGAGCAGCCCTTGAGTTTCCTCTCCGCACGTACCGTGACTGGCTCTTCTGGCAGGAAAACCGCCTCCCAGAAATTCTTGAATGTCCTCTCGATTGAAGGACTTCAGAGTCTGTGAGAGACATCGGGAAATAGTTAGCCACGCTTATCCCGGGCATATCTGACTCAGTTCGTTGTACGTACCGATGAGAATGCTCGCTTGCGATCCCGGATGCGCGCGGTGCCATCTTCGCCTCCATAATAGACATCGGGATCTGAAAATGGATCAAGCGACTGGTTTCGACGGTGTTGGGTACTTGACGAGCTCATCATCAAAGAAGGGATGTAAGATGGAGGGGAGAAAAGGCTGCTCAGTGACAAGCCGGGAGAAAGAAAAAGATGACTAGGGCAAAAGAGGATCGGAGCAGGGGTTGTTGTTGGTCTGCCGGCTAAAGGGTGTAGCACAAAGATGCCAATAATTCAAGACGCTAGGCTCGTTCGTGGCGCTGCTGGGATCACGAGCACGGGGAATGATTCCTATAAGTGGAAGGGGGAAGTAGGAAGAGAGGTAGATGTACTTTGAAACAAAGAGGATGCTGCCGGGAGAAGAGTAATAATATTTTTTTTTTGGCCACGAGTTCGAAGTTTCGTGTCCGCGGATTTCGGGGTACGTCACACTCGGGGGTGGGCTCTTTCTTTCAGTCAGAGTAATTGAGGCTTATCGCGTGGTGGAAAAAAGGAGCGGTGTGCACTCGAACAACAAAGCTCAAACGGATTGTTGTAAAAAATAAAACTGAAAAGGGGGGAAGTAAATGTAAAGGCTTTCTTAGGCTGGTCTGAATTCCTATCTTTTTTAACACCAGGGTTCAATGAAATGTCCCAAAGAGAGAAGCGGACGGGTGGTGCGTGAAAAGGCGAGAATGAGGTTCCCTTGGAGACTATGACGCCACGAACCGATGATGTCGCCTGCTCCACTCATTAGCGATTTCTTGTTGGTATTTCGCCCGCGGACTTCGGTTCTAATTAATGATAAGCCAGCTAGTATGTACCGATCAGTGCGAAATCGCCCGAAGCCTCAAGATCCCTGAGATTGTTACTATACTGAATAGTGCCTGCTCATGCTTCCTTTCTGCGTCTTTGACGTGGCGTTGGATCGCGGTGCGATAAGGGAACTATCGGCAGCGGGGGGGCGCGAGGGGTGTGGATCATCACCACAATGTGTTCTGTGTGTCTGATAATCGAGGCACAGTAAGAATGAGGTGGACGCGTTTCACCTACCCAAACTGTACAAGGAAAGAGCACAAAAGAGCACATGATTGAGCCACAAAGAAGCAAGGAAGCCCAAGAGAAGCAATAGAATCAAGATTGATGGTCAATTCCGCTGTTTGGGTATGATGCTTTTGCTTGTCCTTTTCACCTGCATGACGGATTTGTTTATCGATTTGGTCCATGCACATTGCTGCGGTCGTACCAGATCCGACTTAGCAATGGATTTAGGGTTTCCTCAAGCAAATAATCACGGGGAAGTAAGATCGACATGATCGAGATGCTAAGACAATCCATGGTTTGGTAGCACGGTCGAATAATCATCACCCCAGTCTGTCTCACAGTGAGGGGAAGTCGTGCTGTCCCTTGACTGCAGCCGCTAGAAAGTCGTTGGGTAGCTCAAACATTGTTGTTGAGCAGGTGGCTGGCAGTCCTCGATGAGTACCTAATGGAAATCCAATTTCGATACGCAGTGCAGCAACAATTGCACAGATTTGAGTGAATTGCCATGGCAGGAACTCCAGTCCGGGCATGAGATGAGGAGAAGTGATCGGGGTCTCGACAACGCCCAAAAACCATTCGCAATGCCGACTTGAAGAGTCACAATCTGCCAAGGATAGATGCACTGTACCACCTGTCGAGGTTGAGCTGTTCTGACTGTGGTTTCAACCCAAAATGATGATGGAGGTACTGAAATCTGTGGCAGATCTCCGGGTCGTTAGTGTCTGGACTATCGTGCTCGGCGCTCATACTATTAAATACTAGGCAGGCGCCAGCAACCTGTCTCTTGCCCGAGGATCTCCCAGGAGAGTTCGGCTTCTGAGAGCTTGTGATATAAAATCTGGTGTTTCTCCGAGGGAACAAAAAATATTCAAACTTGCATGGAGCTGTCGCGGAACCTCGTCTCTGCTCTTCGGAGGATGGAGATGATGAGATTGAAAATGTCCGCTCCGGAACGCAGTCGCCTAGAGTTCCTAGATTAATTCTCGAAACATTGTTCGTATGCGAGTTCAACGTAAACATTCCGATCTTTGACGGACACAATGATCAACATGGTCATGATATGATATGATATGTTGCCGATGAGTAACATGCTTTTGCCCTACTAAATGACATGCAGACACAATATAGTATGGACCGTCAAGATAATCAATGTGACGAGTACTCATTTCTCGGAGTGGAGAGAGTCTAATGACATATCAACAAATTGATCAGGTGATGCTGGGAAGTACTAGCCCAACAGAGTGGCGCATCAAGATATAAGCTATTGAAACCGACATTTTCCACCAGTTCGGGATCTGGGAGAAGAGAGAAAAAAAAAGAAAAAGAAAAAAAGACAAAAAAACCTTGTTCGTGAGTTGTATCTAGCACTTATGACCCTTCATTTGGAATATTTCCCGAATCGGCTGCGCATTGTGGCTCCGCATGCTTTAAATCTTTGGTAGCACTCCGCAGTATTTACAGCTTAGACGCAACAGCACTACCACCATCAACAGTGATAGTAGCTCCATTGACATATGCGCCCGCCCGGCTACCCAAGAACAGGCAAGCTCCTGCCACATCTTCAGGGGTTCCGATACGACCTAACGGAATATTCCCTTCAATGGTCTCCCGATGCGCCTCCAAGGTGGCGGCCATCATCTTACTCTGGAAGGGGCCACAGGCCAGAGTGTTCGATCTGTAGAGAGAAGACAGACGGTCAAGTTTAGCTTATTATCTGTATCAGCCAATCGCACAACGAAGAGGCCACAACATACGTGATATTCCTCCTTCCAAGATGACTAGCCAAGACCCGGCTCAGATGGTGTAGACCGGCTTTACTAGCACTGTATGCAAAGGTCTCCAGCGCCGGAACCCTCAGCCCATCGATACTGCCGATGTTGATGACCCGAGCCGGATCGCCAGGCGCAGCAGCCTTCTCCAAGAGCGGCGTGAGGAGCTTGGTGAGGTCGAAGACTCTGTGAAGATTGAGGGTAAGAACCCGCGTCCAGGCGGAAGACGGGTACTCATCATAAGGAGCACCCCAGTTCGATCCGGAGTTGTTGACCAGGATATGGAGCTCTAGTGGGATAAGTGAGGTGAGCCAGCTAGTCCTTGCCACCCGGTAGTTGTCAATTGTCCCCGCTTGGGAACACGAAGGGAGAAAGGAAGTCAATACTCACTGCTCTCTCGCTTCGTAAGCTCTTCAGCCAATTTCTTGATATCTTCCTCCTGGTAGAAGTTGGCGGGAATGGCATAGGCTTGACCCTTGCCGAGCGCATTGAGCTCGCTGGCGGCCTTCTCGCAGGCCTTGGCATCTCGCGAAGAAATGTAGACGGTGGCGCCATTCGTGACATATCCCTCGGAGATCATGCGGCCGATACCTTTGGCACCGCCGGTGATCAGCACGACTTTCCCCTGATAGCTTGCTTAGCATTTGATCTTCGACTAGGAAAGGGGGGTTGTGTGCGGGCTCCTCCGTGACATGCAACTAACCTTCACATCGAAGAGTTTCTGCACATCCATAGTGGGCTCGCTTTCAGGTGAGTTTGACTGGAGCTAAATCAAAGCAAGGGGTCTATTCAGGATTCTCGTGAGCAGGCTCTTCACATTCAAAGCTTTAAGCTCGTGGATCGGTGCCAGACGAAGCTCCTTATACAATGCGGAGAGAGGAAGTTGGGGTAAACTAACCGACGGCCGAGCGATTACTGAGCGCGCCTTGGTAGAAGATGCCGAGGCATGATGGGATGAGAAGAAACCACGACGCGTGTCAAAGATTCTCTCACTGCCCTCAGACCCTTGACACATATAATGAAGCTAGATCTCTCCATCTTTTAATTTGGAAGATTCAGAGCAATTTCCTATACGGTCAGTTTTTGCGACTGCAACAATGCCCGGAGCCTGGCATTACATACACAAGCCGGTCGACTGGTGGCTGCCTAAGGCGCCAAACACTGGATCGGAGCGACGGAGACCGCGAAAAGTGAGCGCAGTCTGCAAGTGGCGGGGCAATCCCACCCTGCTCTTGTTTCCAGTCGCCATCAAAGCATTTCCAAGCCCATCTTTAGGAACGATACCCTCATTTGCCCACGGCCTCTTGCATATCATTTTACGAAGCGTTTAGAGCCATATTTCGGAATTCAGAAGATTTTCTGATCCCTAGATCCCCTCGTGTACCGCAATAACCAACATAAACCAACTGATTCTGCAGCCATGGACGAGCTGTTAGCCAAACACCGCAAGGAACAAAAAGATCTGCAAGCAAAAATCACACAGAAAAAGAAGTCTGCCACCAAGAAGACCCGCAAAGGCATCAACGATGAATGCGATCGACTGCAGAGGGAACTCACCGATCGACAACAGGCACAGATTGCGGAACTGAACGGCGAGTCCGTGAATGGGATCGAAGATCTGAGCATCAGCAATGAAAAGTCCGATGATGAGTCGACGAGCAAAGACGAAGTCAATGACTTCCTAGATAACTCCTCGACCACCATGACAGTGACTCCATCGCCCCCGAGCAGTGGCAGCAGCACGACTACCGCCACCCCGGAGCCGTCCGGGCCTCGTCCTAAGAAGCCGAATCGGCAGAAGGCGCGTCTTGCGCGCCGTGCCGCGGAGCAGGCGGCCCAGTCAGCAATCGCAGCAGAGGAGGCCGCAAATCAGACGGATCATCGGGGCAACGAGAAGGAGGTCATGGATGCCGTGTTCAAACGTTTGCAGCTGAAGGAGATCGAGATCAACCCGGATGGACACTGTCTGTATTCTGCTATTGCGAGTCAATTGGACGAGATGGGTCTAGGCCTCAAGCCGGATCCTAAGAGGATGGTTCTCCAAGCTCCTACTCAGTCGCGGGTGGATACGGTGACTTTCCCAAAGCACGATGGGTATCGGGCAGTCCGTGCAGTCGCGGCAGACTTCATTGTCGAACACAAGGATGACTTTGAAGCGTTCATGGAGGAGCCGCTCGATCAATATGCCCGGAAGATCAAGCTGACAGCCGAATGGGGTGGACAACTTGAACTACAGGCGCTTGCGAGGGCGTACGGCGTTGAAATCAACGTGATACAAGGCGATGGAAGAATCGAAAAGATAGAGCCAGGCGAGACTGACGGACTCGATGACCATGAGAAGAGTAGACGGGTCATCTGGTTGGCATACTACAGACATACATATGGGCTTGGGGAGCACTACAATGCACTTTCGAAGCAGTCATAGAAAGAAAGCCAGAAGCGAGTGTCAATTGAGAAAATCAGACCAGTGGATCCATCAAGGGTTTGACTAAATCCTGATGATGTGTATCCCCGTCTTGAATAACGAATACCGGACCGCGAGCGTTCTACCGACGGCGCCAAATAGAGACTCGATCTTGAATCACCCCGTCACTGTCTTTACCACTTTCATGTGTCCGAGCAGGCTGCCAGTACGCAACGCGCTCGAGACCGTGCTCGCTTGGCTCGCGCAAAGGGTCCATTTTGCATCGACCTTGAGCGTCATATCGGATTTGTTCACCTGGGTGACTCAAATGCTCCATGTAGGCCTCCGATGAGACACCCCAAGGGGGTCCTTGCTCCGCTGTTGCCTTGTGCCTTGGAAACTCAAGGCAGATCAGATTGCCTCGTGGTGACGGTGCCAGGAGTTGAGTGTGGCGTAGAGCCCAATCTGGTCGCATTGTTGGATTCAGTGCACAAAAGAACTGCATATACACGTAAGCCAAATAGGTGGCAATGATGGACAAGCACTTGATAAGCGTGATCAAGTAAGTCAAGTTGGCTTACCGTATAATCGTAGATCAAATCAAAGCCGTTAAGCGGCAGTTGCAGTCTCTTCAGCCAGTCGTCTTTGAAGAAGTCACCTTGCACGAAAGTAATCTTCCCTCGTCCAATCTCAGCATACCTGACAGAATACTTGTTACCGTTCCGAGCTGCCTCGTCCTTACACATCTTGACTGCAACGTCACTATACTCCAAGCCGTAGGCATCATAGCCAAAGCTGGCAAGGAGAAGCACGTCCACACCCCTGCCACAGCCAGGGACCAGTGCTTTCTTTCTGTAAGCCTCTCCCTGTGCATTCGTGGTGATTGGACCTCCGAGAGTCGCGCTTTGCTGCGTGAGGGTATCTTCCAATGCGGGATTAGGAAAGCCTTTGTCCCAGGGAAGATTCTCATTCTTCTGCCACAGTTCAGCCCAGCCGTCAACATAGTCGTCCCCTTGATATCTGGCCAGTGTGTCCATGACTTTTCGTTGCATGGTAGCCCTATCTGAGCCCGACATCTTGCTTGTGATGAACAGGGATTATGATCGAGATTCGAAAGTGTCAGTTAAGTTCTGTCAGATGAGAGGTCACTGAGTGTTTTCGAGGATGTGTGCCATACACTAAAGGGAGTACTCAGGCTGGCGGTCTGATTAGGAACTGGTTCAACCTGCCAGTGTACGTGGGGCAACCTTAACCGGCGGTGCCGGGCCCAAGTATCCACAAAGAGTTGTTCAAGCTTCCCCTCTTTAACGTGGATAGCATTCGAACACGGTAATTTTTGATAGAAAGATAAGCACTTAAATGATGTGGTTAGTCTTCCAGACCACGTAAGATTCTCAATCTATCTCCATCAAAACTAACTCATGTTCCAAGTTCTCCTTGGCTCTCCGGGTCTGGTCAAGAATTACTGCACATGACTAAAAAAAATCCGACTGCTCGAATGCATAGATTCACTGACAACCTTAAGCTTAATTGATGCAAGCATGTGGGGTTGAGTCCAGGCTCCAACCGTTGGCCAATGGGCCATGGTTGCTGAGACGCACACGACAGGTTGCTCGTCCCGTAGGATTGATGACTCCTACCAGGTTTGTCTCTAGTAAGCTGTGCCTAGTGCTGGAAGAGGGAATTCGAGCTATCATCCATCTACTTATCCATATCTGCGCAATGGTATATCTTTCTTGGCGGCAACAAATGCCCGGTTCCGAACCGAGTGTCGATGCTGTCGCCATGCAACATAGCTTGGTAATCGAGATGAGGTTCAATCAGAGACTGACTGCTGTCCCCTTCAACTCGTTCTACTCTTTGTCTTCCTCTTGCTCTGAAGCTCAACATAGACCAGCATTGTCGAATACTCTCCAGACGAGCAACTGGGGAACCCTTTACCGAAACGCTCGGATAAGCCCCCAGCTCCCCCACTCTCGTAGTGAGCATTGACCTCGGTAACTTCTTGGATGGAGGGCGGCAATGCCCGCTCATCAAGCCTTCTGACTGGAGCTCTCGGGTGGAACGGCATCGGCACTGGCTGGTCAGGAACCGAATTAGGACCTGATTTGTAGATCCCTACTGGTCATGGTGTGCTGCTAACTTACTGTAGACTTTTAGATGAGATGAATGAAATGGTTCATGCTTTTTCTTTGTCTGACTCATGCCGGTCTTGAAGCACACAATCGGCAAATTGATAACGATGGACCCGCAAGAAGAGAGGGGAAAGGAAGGAAAGTGGGGGGTGGGAGGGGGGAAGTTGGAAGGGGAGAAGAAGTGTTCGCCTGCCTGTTCAGGGACCCATGCTAGAGAGATGAAGAGCACAACATTTTTCAGTCGGTTCCCAAGACTGCTTCTACACAAATCTTCTTTTCTTTCTTTTCTCGCCCTCTTTCGTCTGTTCTGCATAGTTAAAAAGATCAGCTTCCGCGCGATTCGACAATGGCCAGCGAGCATCAATATACTAGCTAGGCATTATTTCAACTCAACTTTTAGACGCGCTATACATCACTGAAGGTCGCATGCGTGGTCGTTCTGCTTGCTCGCTTCTTTCACCTTTCTTGTTTCTCATTCTGGATATAGGAAATATTCACCACCCCACCGCTCCTTGAACTTGAGACGAAAGTCGAATGGAAGAGTATAGAGGGCTTTTGTTCTCGCCAAGCCGTCCATTGCTACTTGTTTCATCAACAAGTCATTTCTCGAGTGTCAATACATAATCTGTTTTTCTTCTAAAAATCTCTATGGATAATGGCATCAGGAAAGAGCATTCGCAAAGACGATGTCGTCGAAACTCCTGCAGCTACCAGCGAGACTCATCGCCATGTCGTACCGTCAAAGGACAGTATTATCGATGCACACATCGACGAGAAGGCCCTCTTTCAGATAATGAACGAGTCTCCGAGGATGGAAAGTAAAGATGAGGAAGACTGTGCTTCATCTCACACCTCCGATGAGCAGCAAGACGACCCAGTTGTGGTACCTCGACTGGAGCGAAGGGGGCTCTTTGGACAGTTCACACTGCTGGCAGAGGTGCAAGACCCTAAGGTCTACCCTCGAAAAACAAAGTGGTTCATTACGTTCATCGTTGCAGTGGCAGGAGCTGCAGCTCCCATGGGAAGTTCAATCTTCTTCCGTGAGTCTGGCTATGTCCCTGAAATCATGACATGCTAACCCGTGCTTGCAATGAGCATAGCATCTTTGTCTCAGGTTTCGAAGGAACTAGGGACCTCGACTACTGTCACGAACTTGTCGATCTCATTGTATATGCTTAGCATGTCTATCTTTCCACTGTGGTGGTCTTCTTTCAGCGAGAGGCTTGGACGGCGGACAATTTATCTCGTGTCATTCTGTTTCTTCGTTATCTTCAACTCCCTGTGTGCCATCTCTAGCTCAATCGCTATGCTCATTGTTCTGCGACTCCTAAGTGGTGGTGCCTCTGCCTCGGTTCAAGCAGTTGGTGCAGGGACTATTGCTGATCTCTGGGAGCCGAGAGAAAGAGGGCGTGCTATGAACATTTTCTACCTGGGACCGCTGTGTGGACCATTGCTAGCCCCTATTGTCGGTGGTGCTTTGGCTGAAAGATGGGGATGGAGGAGTACCTTGTGGTTTTTGGCAGTATGGGGAGGCATTACTGTTGTCCTTATCTTTCTTGCACTTCCTGAAACCCTGGCTGCCTCGAGCCAGGTGCAACAAGTTATAGACGAACAAGCGGAACCGATGAATCGCCAGTTGAGTCGTGTCTCATCCCGGCAAGTCGTTCATTTCACCACAAGATGGCTGAAGTATTCCAAGATAGTACTCTTGGATCCTCTGAAAATTATCCTTTACCTGCGATATCCTCCTGTTCTGCTCACTGTTTACTATGCCAGCATCACGTTCGGCTCACTGTATGTACTCAATGTCAGCGTTGAGCACACATTCGGTGGTAGCCCGTATAACTTCAGCACAATCATTGTCGGCTTGCTCTATATCCCAAACTCGCTGGGCTATGTCGTTGCCAGTACCTTTGGGGGCCGTTGGATGGACAGCATCATGCAGCGGGAAGCGAAGAAGGCCCACCGGTATGACGAAAATGGCAAGCTGATATACCACCCTGAAGACCGCATGCGTGAGAACGCCTGGCTCGGAGCTTTTCTTTATCCTGCTGGGTTGATCTGGTATGGCTGGTGTGCGGATCGGGGGGTATTCTGGCTAGCGCCGGTACGTTCAAGGGCTTGATACCAAGACTCTCACTGTCCCTTCCGACATACAACTTCCTTGGGCGTCTTACTGACTGTGCAGGACAGATGATCGCGAACTTCTTCTTTGGTGTCGGGTCCATGCTCATTTTCGGAATGGCAACGACGATGTTGACCGAATTTATGCCAAAGAAGTCATCTGCAGGAGTTGCACTTAACAATTTCATGCGCAACATCTTTTCGTGTGTGGGCTCTGTGGTCACTGCCCCAATCATTGATGCCATCGGCAATGGATGGCTTTTCACCATCCTTGGACTGGTTGCATTTGCAAGTAGCTCTGTGCTCTTCGTGATGAGGATCTATGGGCCGCGGTGGAGGAAATCCATGGATGCGCTGAGGAAATGATTCCTTATACAACAAGGTTTTGATTCTTGGAGCTTGATTAAGGAGGGTGGCGATGCTTTGGGTATCAGAGTCACAATCTTGGGCTTCCGTCGACACAAGTCTACCACATTCTGGAATCATTTGCCTGGCGCTGGTATGGGTATTCCCCTGATGGATTTTCCTACGCAGATGCACCTGGCTCTAGGCTGTGTCCCTGCCTGAAGCTGTGTCTAGCTCGGAGCCTCATTGCTACGAAAGTGGCGATCACATCAGCATATTCCAGGAAACTTGCACAGCTTGATGATACCTGACGCACGTTATGTTATTTTTAGAGCTAATGATGATAGAATGGGTATCAAACAAAGGGAATTGAATTATCTGTTGGATTAAGATTATCTTGCTTGTCAAGAAAGCAGTCTCATCGGCGTCACAGCAGGCAGCTAAGCCTGGTTTTTGTGCTGATGATGACTGATGATCATTTGTATGTTTCATATGACTGTTTTTCATAGCCTTTTGGGAATTAGCAACCCAGACAGGCCTTACTTAGCACCTGTTGCATGGGTGACAGGTAGAGAAGTCAGCCTGTTCATTCCTAGACCTCCACTCCAAAACCCCGTTGCTGCTGTCGTTGGTCGTTCGTGAGCGCAAAGGCGGATATTTGTCGGAGCTTAGGTACACAGCATCACATGGAGACAAAGTGGCCTTGGCAATATTGATCCCGAATACTTACCATGCATAGAGATGTTGGGCCAAAAAAAAAAAAGAAGAAGAAAGAAGGAAAAAGAACAATAAGAGAAATAGAGAAGAAAATGGATTTATGAAGCATAAGACTTAACTGACCGACTGACTTCCTTCATCTGTCGGGTCCCAAGCGGAAACATGCATAAGTGCGAAACCCTTACTCTGTAGAATAATTCTAGCCTTGCACATGATTATCAGCAAGGATCACATCAAGATCCCGTGACAATTAATTCGCACGCCACTTTTCGGATTGATGCCACGCAAAGAGCCGACTGATTATGGGATACTAATGTATATCCTCAGTTAGTAATTGAGCACGGAGTAGTTAGAAGTCTGGCAAGATCCAGACGGAGTCTTCGGCCCGTGGCATCTGACCTTCTCTTTCTCTTCCTCTCTTTTTGCTGCTAGTCTTTTGTCTGCTGCTGCGTGGGATGACCGCTTGGGGCTTGAATGGTGTGGGATGATTTACAGAGAGTGAGATTCTCTGTTTGCAGGGCTACTTCTCATGGTACGACTTGCTCTTGGGTGCAATTGGTGCTTCGTCTATTCTTTTCCCCTCTCCCCCTCTCTGCTGCCTCTGTTTGACACCTCTTCCTGCAGATATCTTGATACTTTTTGAGATCTAGAAGTGTCCAAGAGGTGAACTGTTAGCAGCAAGGGCTCAGCTTTGGGCTGCTTGTTTCCGCGCGCAACTGCAGTAGACAGAAAAAGAGCAGAGAAACCCACGGTGACGGAATTTCGAAATTCAGCTTGCGGGCAATGAGTACAGTGTAGAGATGAGATCCCCACCTTTCGATCAGATGCATAGAAAGATCTAGATAGGTAGTCTGTAGAGTGTTGTCACTTTCTCACACTGTGAAATTGTGTCCATCGTCGCCCATCGGTAGGCCCGACCATCGGAGAGACGATGTATGTACAGTGCACACAGCCATTAGATAGTTGTTGACGTGGAGGACGTGTCATGAGGGGAAATGGGCAATTTCATCCCATCATCATCATCATCATCATTATCATGTGTATGTAGGCATGATGACTGCTATGTCCGAGCACCCTAAGCAGGGACCTTTTGTGAAGAGCTGTCAGTTTGATATTGTATAGTGACAATGGGGTTTGCGTGGGCAGCAGCGTGGTCTGCAGCGATCAAATTACAGGGTGGAGCAAAACATCGGTTTCGTTTCGATGGTAGGACTTTAGTTGAGAATAGCTTGGGAGGTAGTCAGCGGTTTCACTTACTGTCTCTCTCCGATTTTGATCGTAGGACGTAGATAAATCAATCCTAGTCAGTTAGTGGTGGTGGTGGATGCGATGGCGGCCAGTCACGGGCTGCCAAAACAGCAGACCGGCGCGCCTCACTTCGCTGTGGGTGCGAGACCCCCCGAGTCTGGTGAGGATTTCTGAAATTGATTTCTTCCTTCTAATTCCTTTTTCTTCCTCCTTTTTTTCCCCTCGCGGTGCCCATGAATGCCAGAGCTGCAGAGGTCGGTCGGAGACTAATTGTCAGCCGAAGAACAAAGTCTGGCAACGTCGAACCCCTGGTCCGTGTTGAATGACTGTAGGGTGTAGTGTGTAGGGTGTAGGGTCTCACTAACTACTTGTTGTACTGATACATAACGTTACTCTATAGAGGAAATTGAGCCTAAGCCAGTCCCGTGGCGCTATTCCTGGTTGGGCAGTCCAGTGATCTGCACGGGCTGCTGACTTGGCCGTCGCTCCCCGGTGGAGATTCATTCGCATCCAGACACTCTCTCTCCTCCATCTACTCAGTTCTTCCCCCCCTGAGGTGTTGGCTGAGTTGCTATCAGGTACCAGAGCGCAGAGCAATGTGGCCTTCAGTTATTGTCTCCCAAAAGATCTCCCACAGCTGAAATCTCGATGATGATCTCAGATGACGGTGGTGATGTGTCTGTAGGTGATCGATCGCCCTCTTCAGATGGCCAAGTATACGGAGTCTCGTCTCTCAGTCGATGGGCCCCGGCCAATATCGCGCGCATCCATAACCACTTCGCCTCAAATTATCATGGCGCCCGGTCGTCTAAGAAATGCGTCTCATCTACGGCCCTGTCCGCGCGATTGTTGGGCAGGAATGTTACGACTGCTTCCACAAGCGCTAATGCTAATGCCAGCCTCTACTTCGACATTGGTAATGGTCGCAGCTCACTGTTTTCCGAGTAACCCAAGTCATCTAGATCTCTTGCTATTCTTTGGCTATCGATTGCTTGCCTGCAATGGCTTAATGCCTTCTTAATTGGCTGGTCATATCACTTAACCTGGCATCAATCCGTGTTTACCCTGCAGCCGGTTGGAACCTGTGCTTTGTTTTCTGCCTTCTCCGCACGGAGAAACTCCTATCCCAATGCATCAGCTTGCAGCACTGCTAATGATCTTCCTGAGCGATCATCAAACAAGCAGGGTAAAAGAACAAACGGCAAAGGAGAGGAAACAAGGAAAATGAAAAGGCAAAGGGCAAAGAGCAAACCATCCCCGGAAGCAACAACAATCAGAGGGTCTCCCGATGGTGTGGTGGCACTACCCCCACCACGCTAAGGACTCTCTCAACGAAGCACCAGCCTGCATCCTATCCGGACTGCACGGCGCAGCCCACTTCCCCCCCCCCCGCCACCACTACTGCGAGGTTTTGCAGACGGCAGCCCTCCGACTTCTCCCCTCCTTGCCCCAGTGATGCTTCCGGAAGAAGACCCTCTGTCGATGTCCGTCCGCCCAGGGCCATTGGGCCCGTGAGACGTGGCCCAATCAGAAGGGATGCCGTTGGGCAGTTCGTCCATGACGTCCCCAGTCCCAAGCCCGAGTCCTATACCACCCGGAAGTGGATTCGCTACGATACGTTGCCTCGCATTGAATGCGAATGGAGCTCTCCTCTCGTTGGTGTACCGGTACATTCGGGCCTTTGTCGCTGCCTCCCTCGTCCTTCCAGGCTACCCTAACCTAATTCAACAGGGTTTGGTTTGACCTGACATTTTGCATATTTTCCCTTTCGTTTCACAGCCGGTGCTTCTTGCATTGCCCCTATTTTTGGTGCTTCGTTCATTCGTCTCCTTCCCCTTGTCATTTTCGCCCTATCTAGAACCCGACGGGTGTATGTCATAGTCCTTCAATTAACTTATATCCCTCCTCCCTTCTCCCTCACCAGGGTCATCTGAAGTCTAACATAGCTCAGTAACACTCGCCACTGATCCGATGCAATGGCAAAAAAGAAGACCAACAACAAGAAGAATAACAAGAATAATAACAACAAAAACCGACTATCAGTGAACGACAAACCCAATTCCAACGAGCAAGCTCCCCTAACAGAACCCGCCCCGGAGTCGGTGGCCGAAGTGATTGAGAATGGAGCAACCATCGATCCAGTATGCTGAGCTTCCCAAGTTTGAGTACCATCAGACACCCGAGCGTCACTACCAGACCTTCGACCGTCAAACCATGCAATTTCATTATTATTCTGTTGCTGCTACCTCGTCCAATGATGGTCTGACGCCCCCCAAGGATCAGGAAAACAACAATAGTAGCCCCGTCGAAGGCCAACCGTCCGACAGTCCCCAGGAAGAAGAATCTGTTAGCTCCACTACTGATAGCTCAGCAACCCCGGAGTCTGGAGGTATGTATTCCGGATCGGTGCCTCTTTGTGCTATCTTCCCCTTTGTGTCTTTTCCCGTGTTCATATCATCTTTCCTCTTCTTACTTATGCCCTATGTAGAGACGTCTGAAACAAGCACACCACCATCCGAGCCCGCTGAACCTGCTGAACCTGCTGCTGCTGCCAACGATACCGACGCGGCATCCAAAGAGGAAAGTGAAGCACCTGCTCCGGCGCCAGATGTCTCTGCAACGGATGAAGCCGATAGCACACCAGCAGGTGAAGACGCCAGTCCGGCAGAAGATGTACCCAAAGATATAGAGCCAGAGCCCGCCGCCGAAGCCCCCGCAGAAACTGCCGCCGAATCCGCAGCCTCAGATGCAGCCGACAGTCCACCAGCACCCGCAGAAGGGTCCGTTGAGCCTTCCCCAACTTCTGGTACGTCCGAATTGTGAAGTCAATCTGCTAAGTCAGCTAACCTTACACTTAGAGGAAGACTTCCCTGACTGCGATCCCTCTGCCGAAGAAGGCAAAGTCGAGGCCGAAAAGCAAGCAGCTGAAGCTACCACAGCGGAAGAATACACACCACCAGCCGGTACAGAACACCTCGTTGATCTGAACATTGAGATTGTTGACTTCGATGCGACGACTGACCCCTATATAGACGGCTCATCGACAGAAGAGGCCCCATCCAATTCGATTGCTGATAGTCCCGGTAGCGACGATGCAGGTACGAACGATAGCAGTGAGGTGAATACTGACACCACAGCTGCTACGGAAGCTGAATCGGAGGATGGACTGAAGGAGGTTGGGGAGACTCAGCCTGAGGCTGCCCCTGCTGCGGCTGAGGGGGACGGAGCAGCGCCTGCGGTTGAGAACGCTGACACCGCAGCCCCTGAAGCTGATGCAGTAGGGACTCCGGAGGAGCACGGAGCCGAGCCCGCCAAGGAAGAAGCGCCGGAGGCTGCTGATAAGGCAATGGAAGAATCGCCAGCAGAGACTAAAGAGGAGGGAACAGCAGATGCGGCGGCTGCCCAATCTGAGGAAGAAGCGACAAAGGCGGAAGAGCCTGCTCCAACTGAGGCGGTCGCCACCGAAACAAGCGATCCCGTTCCGGAAGGGACCGAGCCGCCTGCACCAGTCGAAGAAGCTGCGGCAGAGGCGGATTTAGGGACCCCGGGTCCTGATGATGCGCCCAAAGAAACTGCTCCAGGGAACAATGCTGAGGGAACGAGCGCAGGCGAAGAAAGCCCCAAGGACCCTGCCATAGAGACTCCAGCCGATGGGCCTGCTGCAGAAGCGGCAAACGCCACTCACGACGAAGCACCAGCCACACCTGAAGCAGCCCCCGAAGCTACGGAACCGGCAGTCGATGAAACACCAAGTGCAGAAACAGCAGTCGCAGCGTCAGCAGTCGACACGCCGGCTGCGGAAGCACCTACCGAAGCGGAAGCCGCGGCTGAAGCTTCAGCTGCGGAGACTCCTCAAGATGAAGCTAAAGAGGAGCCTGCTGTCGAGAAACTCGCTACAGTCGAAGAAGTGACTGGTGAAGATGCTGCACCCGTGGAAGATAAGGCTATAGCAGAAGAGCCAGCAGCAGAAGTTTCTGCCCCTGCTGAAGAGCCTGCCCCTGCTGAAGAGCCTGCCCCTGCTGAAGAGCCTGCCCCTGCTGAAGAGCCTGCTGTTAAGGAGCCCGCTGCTGCTGAAGAAACCGCAGCTGCTGTGGAGCCTGCTGCTGTTGAGGAGCCCGCTGCTGCTGAAGAAACCACAGCTGCTGTGGAGCCTGCTGCTGTTGAGGAGCCCGCTGCTGCTGAAGAAACCACAGCTGCTGAGGAGCCTGCTGCTGTTGAGGAGCCCGCTGCTGCTGAAAAACCCACAGCTGCTGAGGAGCCCGCTGCTGCTGAGGAGCCCGCTGTTGTTGGGGAGCCCGCTACTGCTGAAGAACCCACGGCTGCTGAGGAGCCCGCCGCAGCAGAGGAGGCTGCCGCTGAGGAGACTGCCAGCAAAGAGCTCGCTCTTGCTGGAGAGCCCGCTGCGGAGGAAGCTGCTGCTGATGAGGCTGCCGGTAAAGAACTCGTTCTTGCTGAAGCTCCTACGGAGGAAGCACCTGCTGCGGATGAAGCCCTTGCTGACGAAGCTGCTGGTAAAGAACTCATTCTTGCTCAAGCTCCTGCTACGGAGGCCGCCCCTGCTGCGGAGGACGCCCCTGCTGCGGAGGAAGCCCCTGCTGCGGAGGAAGCCCCTGCTGCGGAGGAAGCCCCTGCTGCGGAGGAAGCCCCTGCTGCGGAAGAAGCCCCTGCTGCGGAGGAAGCCCCTGCTGTAGAGGCCCCTGCTGCTGAAGAACTTCCTTCCGAAGAAACTCCTGTCGAAGAAGCCGCCGCCGCTGAGGAGGTTGCCCCGGAGGAACCACCTGCTGTCGAGGAGGCTGCACCGAAAGATAGCGCACCTGTCGATGAACCTATCGTCGTTGAAGAAGCCGTCGCCGAGGAAGTTATTGAGGAAGCTGCTGTTGAGGTTGAGGAAGCTATCGTTGATGAAGTCGAGGTAGAGGAAGTTGTCGAGGAGGCTGCGCCTGAAGAGATCGCTGCCGAGGTGCCTGCCTCTGGCGAAGAGCCCGCCGTGGAGGAAGTTATTCCTGCTGAGGAGCCCGTTGACGAGCCTGCGGTGGGGGAGGAATCCGCACCTGTTGAGGAGCCTGTCATTGTAGAAGTCAGTCCTGCAGAAGATGCATCTCACGAGCCTCCTCATGTGGAAGAATCAGCGATCGAAGAAGCCGCTTCTGCTGATAAGCCTATACCAGACGACGCGGCCGCGCCCACGGAAAGACCTGCGCCTGCGCCTGTTGAGGACTCTGCGCACATTGAAGAAAGGGCTCCAGTGGAACCCGATCTAGTCGAACGCTCTCCCTCCGAGCCTGAGCTTGTTGAGCGTTCTCCAGCCGAGATACCCACCCCTGTCGAGGAGTCTGCTGCCGATGAGCTCATATCAGTTGAACCAAGCGCCGAAAGAGAAATTTCAGAAGAAGCTATAGCTTCGGATCCTCCGGATGACCTCGACTCTGCAGATCATGACAATAATGCCCTGGCTGCAGCTGGCGCGGCTGCGGCAGGCGCAGGGCTGGCAGCAGCAGCAGTCCACAATTCACGAAGAAAGAAGAAGAGATCCCCTGAAGTAGATCGTGACCGTGACCGCTCCAAGAGCTCCTCCGAAGGACATCGATCAGTGCAGCGACAAAATAGTCGACGCGGTAGCGGCCTTACAGGCCGCTGGGCAGAATCAATGAAAGAGTCCAGACGACAGCATGAAGAGAAGGCAAAACAGAAAGCACTCCTGGCCGAAAAGGCTGAAAAGGCCGAGATAGAGCGTCGTACCTATGAGCGCGAGCGTGCCAGGCGCTCCGAACGCGAACGTCCTGAGCGAGCCGAAAAATCAGAACGGACCGAACGACATGAACGAACCGTACGGACCGAACGGCCTGAACGATCCGAACGTGCTGAGCGAGCTGAAAGGGCTGCAAGAGCCGAAAGGGAGAAGATTGAGAGGGAGAGGGTTGAGAGAGAGAGGTTCGAGATGGAGAGAGCCGAGGCAGAGAGGGCTGAGAGAGCCGAGCGTCACGAACGCTTAGAAAGATCTGAACGGCGTATGACCGAGCAAGACGGTAGCTCCAGTCGACCGCGACACCGCAGCTCCGCCCACTCCGGAAGCTATGAGGGCGAGCGGAAGAGCAGCTCCTCTTCGCGTGTCATCCCGGAATCCACCACAGCGAAGCCTCGCTTCTTCCTCAAGTATATGGCTGAGGGCCACTCGGACAACCGACCGCCTCTGACGGTCAACGCCGCCAAAGCGACAGCCAACGTCTACGACCGCTCGCGACGCCCTTCGACCACCCATTCGCACAGCCATCGTTCCTCGCAGGAAGGCAAGAGCACGAGCGAGCGGTCCACCGAATCTCGCCGCGACGACGAAGATGATCGCGCCCGCCGTGAAGCCCGCCGCGCCCGTAAGCTGGCCGAACAGGCCGAGGCCGAGGCGGCGGCGGCAGCGGCAGTGCAAGCCAGAGAAGAGCCCGTTGAACATCGTCATCGCCGTAGTGGCGGCGAGCAGCGCGATAGCACCGAGTCCCGTCATCGTCACCACCGCCATCGTCGTGATCCCACCCCGCCTCCGAGCGGAGCCTCCAAGATGAAAGGCTTCTTCAAGGCTGCAGTTGCTGCCCATTGATATGCTTCATCCCTCCCTCCTCGCCTCTGCTGCCTCAGAGTTCCGCAATTCATCAACACAATCTTTGCCTCCCCCCCCCCTTGCTCTACCCATACATTTATATATTACTCTTCTTGTAAACCCCCTTTCCCCTTTCGTTGTTTTTATTCTTCCTTCCATTTCAATGTTCTTGAGCATGCATTTGACGGTTTAGCATAAGGAATGCGGCATTGTCTGCTTGGTTTTTGCTTCATTGTCTTCGTTATGTCACTCGTAGAAGCGAGCACCCCCATTTTTCGGTCATGATTACTCCGGTTGTATCCTGACAACGTCCTCTTTTTCGATCCATCGTCTTGCCTGTAAGACATGTTTACTTGTACGTTTGTATACTCTTTCGAAAAGCAGCAGTCACATTCATGACCTTTTCACCGAATATATTGAAGTCCCAGAATAACGCGATTACACAATCGGAATCGCCAGCCCGTCGCCTCGTAGATCGCTTCCACCGCTGTAGATCAGTATACCCTCATCATAGTGGCATCGGATGATTTGACCTCGGCCAAACATGCCTCTCTCCCACCCCTTTAGGACCTTCACCTCGTGGCCCAGACGCTTCAGGCCGTCGACTGCCTCCTTAGTAATTCCTTCCTCCACATACACAGTGCGGTCTACGCTCTTCCCAGGGATCCGCTCGCCTGCGGCGATGCAGATCCGAGGGGAATCCAGTGCCGCCTGGGGGTGGTACCCAAACGCTAGCATGTTCAACAGCACCTGCACGTGGCCCTGCGGCTGCATGAAGCCGCCCATCACGCCGTACACCGAATGCAGCGATCCGTCCGAGCTGTTCGTGACCATAGCCGGGATGATGGTGTGGTAGGACCGTTTCCCCGGGGCCAAGACGTTCGGGTGGTCTGGATTCAGAGAGAAATTGGCTCCGCGGTTCTGGAGGGTGAACCCGCATCCCTTGGGAATGATGCAGGTGCCGAAGCCGCCGTAGTTACTGTTGATGAAGGAGATGCCGTTCCCTTCGCTGTCCGTCACGGAGAAGTAGACCGTGTCGCAGTGGTTGTGGGCGGGGCTGCCGTGATCAATGATGTCAGAGGCTCGGTCTGGGTTGAAGAGTTTAGCTCGCTCAGCGAGGTAGGCCTTGGAGATCAGTTCCTGGGAGGGGATCTTGTTGGTGTCTGGATCCGTGACCCACCACGAGGCATCGGCAAAGGCAATCCGGAGAGACTCAATGACCGCATGAAGGTATTCTGCGGAGTTGTGCTGGGCTTCTTCGAAGACCGGGATCTTACCGGTGCGTTCGAGCTCCTCAAGGATTCCCAGAGCCATGAGGGCGACAATGCCCTGGCCATTGGGCGGGTGCTCCCAGATCTCGACGCCTTCGTTAGTCTCATCGGTCGTGCCGGGGGTTTGCTTGGAGACGATTCCCTGGCCCGTGAACTTCAGGGAGATAGCTTCTGTTTCTTGGCTTCCAACCTCGGCATGGTACTTAAGGTCGTCTAGCGTCATGTAGCCGCCCAGGTCTTGGACGACCTTGACGATTTCTTCGGCAATGCGGCCCTCGTAGAAGCCCTTCTTGCCGTGGGCGGCTAGGGAGCGGAATGTTTGAGCGAGGGTTGGGTTGCGCATGATTTCTCCCGCCAGAGGGCTACGACAGCCGTCTTTAGCCGTTTGATCAGATTTAAGCATCTCGCTGAAATTGGGAGAAGCAGCACGGATGAGGTGCTCGCTTTCATGCCACTGTTTGGACGATCAGCCATGCCAATGCCATTTATCCAGTAGTTACCATAAAAAGTCAATGATGGAAGGACTTACGAAGAATGACGCCAATTCAGATACGGGAAATCCCTCTTCGCCTAGCTCAATTGCAGGACTCAAGACATCCTCTAACGTCAATTTCCCACTACCAAATTTCTCGAATGTGTCGACCCAACCTGCAGCGGCTCCCGGAGTCGTGGCTGCAAGGACACTGGTCATGGGAATCTTGCCCGAATCGCCCGGGCGCAATTTGAGGTCCTCTCGAACCTTCTCCAGCGTTGCGCTGCTAGGATATCTACCAGAGCCATTGATGGAATGTACTTTCTTCGTCTTGGCATCGTAGTAGAGGCAGAACATGTCACCTCCAATGCCAGTGGAAGAGGGTTCAGTTATGTTCAATGCGGCGGCTTTTATCACCGATGTCTGTGTCAGTCCTTCATTCATGTGCAGACCTGGGGTCATCAAAGTCACTGACCTACGGCAATTGCAGCGTCCTGTGCGTATTGGAGGTTAGCACTGGCAGGTAGTGGGTTAGAGTTCGGGATGATGACGGAAACATACTGCAGCGTTGCCGCCCTTGCTGAGGATCTTCTGCCCTGCAGCTGCAGCAAGAGGTTGTGTGCAAGTCACAATACCCTTGAGACTGTGCACAGTACTCCGTCGACTAGCAAACGGGGCAAAGTCTGCATTGAGTCGAGAGTAGATGGCTTTGGAATTGAGTGGCATTGTTATGACGAAGAGGGTCGAGATTCGGGGCGGGAGGGAGGAGAAGGGTTGCAATTGGCGTTCAAAGTACTTAGCAGCTGAGGATACGACCGATGTTTGTTATACGGAGGAAGGGAAGGATGGAGAAGCTAGCGGAAGCGATATGTCTCCAATATTGGCCGGAGGACTATTGGTAGATTAGGCCATGCCGAGGATAAGAGCGTAACGAAGATACCCACCCCACTGAGTGAGGGGAGTCTCCAACTGTTGCCGGAGGGCGAAAGTGTTATCTTATCGGAGGGAGACATCCTGCCTGTTGGAGTACTGTGCGAGTACAACCGGAGTATGGTGGCCGTGGCTGCCATTTTTTTTTCAGCAATTGAGATAATTCGTGGTACAGTGGTTCAGTGTTGCAGAGATGAAGAGATGCTATCCTGACTTTCCCTGAAATCTCTCTGAAGTTGAGCAAACAGTTTGTTTGCAGGCGTTGCAGAATGAGGGGTATTGATCACGTGGTATAGCATGACCTTCACAGAAAGGCAGGCGTTAAGGACTTGCCCGCCAGCTGGAAAGATAAGACGAGGATCTGATATGATCGCATCTGTTTGAAGAAGACTCATACCTACTCAGAGATAGTCTCCTTTTCTTCTCCACCTTCGCCGGTTCTCCTTGCAATTGATATTCCGATCAGACCCAGAGAGCTACCGCTACGGCTCCTTGATCGCCGAGACGAACCACTTTTCTCTAGTCATCGCCCAGCTCCTGGTTGCCCCGCGCCGAAGAACGGAGCTGGATCTTTCCCAGCCGTGTCATTCCACTCTCAACCCTTGGTGGGAGTCCGCGAGATTTTTTTTTAAAACAGAGAAGACTGCCGTGACTTTGCTAGACAAAGACTCCGCAACTTAACGAACCCAGCTGCTCCTGTACGGGACCCTTGCTCGCTGAAAACCAGAGTCTGGGCCAAGTTCGGATGCCCCGCTTCCTCGTACCTCTGCCGTCATCTTCACAATGGTTGTCTTCGTTGACTACGACCACGACGGGTTCAACACGCCTACATTTCCTCGCGTCCCCGACAATCGCCTGCATCCTTGCTTGGAACCTCAAAAGCCATTGTTGCCGAAGTCACCGGCGATCAATGTCGATCGACCATGTCCCTCGACGGACGTGTCTGCGGCTCTCAGTCAACCCGCCGATTCATCACACATTCCTCCAGTCAAACCCGACGATCCACAATATGTGCCCAACCGAAGTGCTTTTTCAGCCGCTCTGAGCTGCTATCCGTATGGATTACTCTTGGGCCAGGCTACTTGGGTGTCTGGTTCCTGATGTTATGCTGACTCGCCATCCAGGATCATCAAAGAAATCGCTCGAGCAGTCGACCTAAACACTTTGCATGCGCTCTCTAGGACCTGTCGGCAGTTTCATGCAAACATGGCCCCATATCGCTCGCAGTTGATCAAACAGACCTTGCGCTGTGAGAATGAATACGTCGAGACCGTCTCGGATATGCTCGACAGCGGAACAGCGATTCCTGATAGTGTCAAGTCCGTGCTGCAGCTACTGAGTCAGTATGCAAGGGTCTCGGGCCGGATCACCACGGGGAAGGTCGCCAAATGCGCTCGAGACATGGTTGCGGAGTGTCGTCGATGCTCCAAAGTGGTGTGTCGGGTATGCTTTGAGTACTCATTCTCAATCGTTTTTATGGTTGCTGGACTGACGCAGGCTCGCTGCAGAACTGCACCATTAAGCCTCCCCCCAGCAACATGTACAAGAACCGCATCCGACGTCTTTGTACCACTTGCAGAACAGCCCCGTTAACCGACTTAATCGATTCATTGCCTTCTTCCCAGAATGCGGCCGCCCACGACACATCACCAACCCACCCAAAACTGACAGCCGTTGCTATCCAGCGCACCCCATGCGATTGCTACGAAGCGATCTGGCTCTGCCAGCAATGCGGGCACCGCGTCCGCAGCAATGATACCACCTATCGTCGCGTCTGGACCTGGCGCACCCGGTACAGTACTTACCTGGGGGGTCTCGGCACGGGAATTGGTGAGGGCTGTCAAGGAGTCAAATGCGGCCGAGGAGAACACTGTCTCGCGGCCAAGGAGATCGAACTCGAGGTTGAGTGCGAAGCGGACGAAGCATCGGGGGGCAGCCCGCCCGACTACAGTCATTACTATGAGCATCGCATACACCATGCCCATAGTCCTCCGAGACACACAACCATCGAGAGCTGGGACCACCGTGAGGAGGACGAACCGGGGTATTTCCGACAGGAAATCATCGGAATCGGGGGCAGGGTGAAGCAGAAGGCCAAGAAGAGGATCGTCGTAGGAGCTTGTGTGGTGGAGCATGAGGACGAGAGGGAGACGGGCGAGTATCTCACGAGGGAAGAGAAGGGAGAGCATCGTAGTTGGTGTGGTTGGTGTTGGAGAGTCATTCCCGCCAAGGGTGAGGTGCAATCGCCCTAAAGGGTACGTACTACTGGCTCCCAGTCGAAGAAAACATCGACATTCTTAACCAATTCAGGTAGGTGGATGAGTAGACCTCCGTCGAGTCCAAAATACCTACTCGCTCAAAACTCATTTGTCGAAGTATACCTTATGTATTCAAAAGAAATGCTGTGGTCCTGTCCCTGTCACCAAGCTAGTGCATTCTCGACCCGAGGACTATTACGCTAAACATAGAACGAAGTTTAACCATCATGTCACCCTTTCTGGACCCCTTCCTTGTGTTTCTCAAGGTATGACACCAAAAGCACCGGCCTAGTACTAAGGTACCCAACTCAAATTGCACAGCCACTGCAGGCTTCAGCACCACCGCGTGTTGCGGTTTAAGCCAGACCAATCACATCGTTACCGCTCAGCTTTCCGTCAATTGAAGTCATTAGTAGCTCTATAACCACTCACTCCGATAACAGTTCTAGTATACTCCGAAAAGCTACCATGAACTAGGGAAGGTAAAGGGGGCACGTGTTGCAAGATCATGATGTATTTATTTATGTACCGATTCCAATAGGAAAGTCTAAAGCTAGATATACAGAGTAGTTATACAGATCGAAAGAGACTTGAGAAACAGGAGCATGGAAGATCTTCACCAAAGAAAAGACAAGATCCCCAAATTACATCAAAACACCACGCATTTGACTTGATATAGCATAACTCAATAATGCATCAACCAGTTAGAGGACATAGGATCAGTAGACATAGGAGATAGTGAAAAAAGCAAAAACTGATTGAACAAAGGAGGAGGAAAAAAGACTTCACAAAATTGGGTATATAGAGAAGAGGTAGAAGAGAAAAGAAGAAGAAATAGGATCATGCAGAAACAAAAACAAAGAAGATATAGGTGAGATACGGAGATAAAGTGCAGTGAGGAAGCCAACGCGAGTCTAATCAAACAGCTCTGATGGTAGGCGAGGGAGAGAGGAATTCGCAAGGGTTCTCGAGGTTGGGGAGGGGGCAAGAGGGGTTTTTTGTGATTCCATCTCTGGCGAAAGATTCTTCCAAGATTTGGCTTTTGGTTGTATTTTGTGGAGGCTGCTTTATTCCTTTTGCCTCCTTTTTTTGGGTCTTTTTGTGGTGGTTTTCTGCTGTAGGCGTTCTGTTTCCCGCTTCGAATACAAAAATTGGCCGCGTCGGGTGCGCTGATTTGCGTATTAGACATTTCGATGGTTGATTTCAGTCGGGATTTATCTCCCAAGCATGGTTGATAAGCCCTCCAGATTAGGAATCAGGCGAGGATCGGGTCTCATGGATTGTGGTCATTACTTCGTGCTTCTCGTGCGCGCTCTCACATCGTCCAGGACTTCCAGCCCATGTTGGGAGGCAAGGCGGCAGGCGGTAGCACATGCTCGTCATAGTTCAGGCTGTGCGTTGACCAGCTAGGCGAGGGGTAGGCGCATTGAAGGGACTGGGAAAATGATGTTAGTTGCGAAGGTTGAAGTGTGAACCCGGTTAACAACATACTGGCTGAAGAAGACCCTCGGTGAGAGGCATGGGCATCATGCTCATGGATGGCAAGCTAATGTCTTGCTGCTCCCAGCAGCCCATCCGCGACTGCATGGAAATCGGCGAGGATGACAAGTCGTGCTCAAGAATGCTTTCGGGATAGGAATCGACTGTGGTAACGGGCGTCGACACCATAGGAGATCGAGAGTAGGAATGAACCGACAGCGAGCCATCCGAGACCGGAGACGGGCATGTGTCAGGGGTAGCATAGAAGCGACTGTCTTCAATTGACTCGTGAATGTGAGGACCCTGGTACAACGGGGTGTGGGGCGCGGACTGCAAATCGACTCCGTTCCACATCAGACTGCAATCGTTGGTAAAGTCGGGATGGATAGCCGGTGCAACAAGCGACCCAACAGACATGGCGTTCTGGGGCTGAGCGACGGTGAGGTAAGGAGTCGGGTGAGAGTTGACCGGTGCACATTCTGGCACATAGACCTCAGGTAGAACTGAAGTGCGGTTCTGGCGCTGCCACTGTGCGGTGCTGTCCATCTGGGCCTCGAGCTCGCTAGGGTTCTGCGTTAGTGGTGACTGGATGACATATAACATGGAAGGCAACTTACTGTCTTTCCATATGGCGTGAGAGCAAGTCAGGGCGGTGAAATGCTTTCTTGCAGTTGAGGTGAGCGCACCGGTAGAGTGCCTCGGGATTGTGGTTCAACTCATGTCGTCTGCGCAGATGAAGTTAGTAAATGAAAACCTCGAGCTGGTTGTACTGCAACTTGGTATTATCAAGTACCTTCTGTGCTCTGCTCTGGTGAAAACCTTTTAATGCCAATGTCAGTCGAAGCTCATTATGATATGTGTTGAAGTATAGACTGACCTTGTTGCATCCCGGGTACTCGCAAGCGTGCACGCGCTTTCCCTTCTTCGCTTTGCTGATGCGATGCGTCGTAGGAGTGTATGTGATGGGGAGAGGAATCTCCGCTTGAGTAGTGCTTCGGCGCATGGTGATATTGTTTTGGCCAGCAGTCGAATTCGTAGTGGCAGTGATAGAAGAAGACTTCGTAGGAAGGGTCTGATGTTGCTGTTGGTGTTTGAGATGAGAATGGTCAGGAGTAATTGGTTTTAGAGAGTCGCGTGGAGAGTTGAGGATAGACGGAGAGTCAGCCGGCGACTGGGTCATAGATATAGTTCTGGTTCCTGAAGGAGATGATCCCCTGGTCATTCTGTAACAGGACCCAGACTTGTCAGGAACGGGTGAGGTTGAGCTATTGGTGTGGAGATTTGGGGGTCGTGAGTGAGGTGGGCTGTGGTGCAGCTATACTAGTAAAATTGGGGAACGGGCCAGAAGGGTAGTGTAGTGTAGTATAGTGTAGTGTAGTGAGATTAGGAGTCAATTGATTTGATGATGACCGGGGGGGGAGAGGGGAGAAATGCCTCGCATCTGCTAATCAAGAAGGAGGCAGTGAGATGCGGAAAAGAAAAAAGAAACGTCAAGATCTGAAACGAAGCGATATTTAGACAAGGGAATCAGAAGAAGAATCAGAAGGCTTAGAAGAGTCCAACAGGGTGAGAATGGCATAGTTACATGCAGAGATGATATGTGACTTATAGAAGATTCTCCCAATGCGGCTAAGTGTACTTCTTACTTACTACTTACGGTACCCGAAAGATCGCCGTGTTTACATTGGGGGGAGGGGGAAAGAGAAAAAGAGGAGAAGGGGAAAGAAAATAGAATAATGATTCGTGATTAAGATAATTAAGTATGAAAAATAAAATCAAAATTAAAATCAAGGAAAATAAATTCTAAAAGTATATATCCCAATCCAGATCCTCAGGAAAATAAAATAAAATCAGAAATGATGCACACCTGCACGAAAATGTTTAGTCGAATGTAACCAGCAGCTGGTGGCTAGTCCCGAGTTGTCGGAGGTAAGCGAGTAGAAGAGCAGTTCTTGATCATCATCAAGGGTGATCATACTGGGTTTAGCCACTATGGCTATGTTGGCTACTGGGGACACCACGAGTGGGTAACTAAAATTTACGGGATCGACCCATCCTCGTTTCCAAAGTCGAAAGGATCAGATTAATTCCAATTGTCCCATATTTAACGGCGCGGAAAATAAAATGGGGGGAAGAAAGGAACGACACCGTCGATAAGAAGTGGTGAAGAAACAACAGTAGGGATTATGGGAGGAGGATAAGTCCTGTGCTGTACAACCAAAAGTTAACGCCAAATGACAAATGAGAATAAATCCATGGAACACCATCATCATTATAATCAGCATCAGCATCATCTTCCAGCGAAAGAAGCAGTCCGCAAATTGCAGCGGGCAACAAACCAACGCTTCGAAGACTGGGCGTGCGGCTGAGGCGCACTGCAGGGATTGGCGGAGAGAGAGCAGAATAAAGAGGGAGGGAAAGAATACTAGTAACTAAAGAGAAAGGGGAACGAACAGCCCATGCGATAAATTACGATGTTGGTATGTAGTTGGTATCACTCATTAACTACCACCCAGCTATCCCAGATAACTCAATGGCTGTCCAGCCAGTCCAACTCAGTAAAATTACAACACAACGGTACAATCGGGGGATTGCTCGGTGGGCAGGAAGGAAGTTCCACCCACTGGCTCGATCTCCATCTAAACTCGCCATTATCATCGTCTCCCGCCGCCACGAGGCAACGGGGAGGGGAGGGGGGGAAGGATCCAAAGGGAAAAAAACAATTAGTAAAATTAAATGGCTTTTCCGATCGAGAATCGCATGGATCCTACCCATGGATCCCATGGGTCAATCTATTTCCCGGACAAGAAGGATATAGTTCACAAAATAATATTCATACCCGCACAATGCGGACGTTGGGAGTGTAGTAACTAATAACAGCCATAATTATTAATCTCAATCAATATGAACTTCGCCATCCACCCTCATGCCATACACTTTTCGGATTGATTAACCGGCTCGCGGCTCTGTCCACGAGTCTAATCAGGAAGATACCGGACTGATTTCATGCAGAAAGCTGACATGTCTTGATTAGTTGTCTTAGGGCTTACCACATCCTGAAGTTTTCGCACGTAGCAGGGGTCTTCAGCAGCTCCATCTGATCTTAGCAATTAAGATTCCGGCCATATCGACGACGAAGAGACAACTCTAGCATAGCCATTGGACGAGGGGAATGGGGAGAAGGGTTGCTGGATGGTGATGGATGAAAGTTGTGAAGAAGAGACGACAAAAGTCCAATGAACACACGGAGAGAATGTTGGGGATTTGAGTCTTCTGATTGGTGTGCTCGCGTGGACTAGTGCTAAGCGTCTCTTGGGCACTTCACTGTCATCATTCCTGAGGATTGAGGGGGGGGAGGGGGGAGGAAAGAGATACACCCCCACTTTACCCCCTCTGCTTAGCCTTAGGCCCTTAGCAGGTACTGGTGTAGCGTACAGAGTAAAGGTAGCGAAGGTATCAGACACTAGTATGTAAACAATTGCTGGTCGATAACGACTCATGGAGGCTCTCGCTCATTCTCCGGCCCTCACGTAGCAATCAACTTCAGGCTTTCCGTCCAAGCCTCAAGGGATCCACACTGGGGACTGGAGCTTGCTCTCCGCCCTGGGCTGAATCATGACTGGAAATGAGGGTACGAGCGGCCAGGGCCAAGGTCAACAGGCCTAGAGAGCTAAACAGAAGCTCCACGGACCACTCCAGCCAAGATCCCATCCCGAACTAACCATCGAACTAAGTGGGCCCTTCGACCATTCAGATCGTCTTGGAGTTTATTCGCGTGACATGAGCGGTTCTCACATTCGTTCAGTGATCTGCTACTTACCTAGACTGCGAATTGGGCGGGAAAAACCTGGGAAAGGGGGTGGGATGATGGCAGGTGAAAACTATGGTCCGGCTGAATCGTCCGGCTTCCTCGCTTCTAGTACCCAGCGTAGGGTCGGGTTAACCCGTCACTTATCCCACCCAAGCAGAATTCTGAGTTAAACGCTGTTATGACAATGGCAATCGATGGGGTCGCACTGTCAAGGTATATGGGGATTCTGTTGTGAACAAACGTCCAAAACGTCTCTTGGCACCCGTTGAACTGGTCGCGATTGCAAGGGCTAGGGAACAATGAAAAATTGTCCCAATGAGATAGATAGAACGGGCATTATAGAGACATCCATTATAGAGGGGATCAGGCAAGCCGCAAGAGGCCCAGGTCACACAACCACGTGTTGGACGATCGGCGTGTTTCCGTAGATTGACCTAGATTGCTTGCTGTCCGTTGGGAGAAGGGGGGGGGGAAATTGTGTCGACCAAGCAGGGCGCACTCCTCGCGCCTTCGTTACGCCCCTTGATTTGGTAGAAGCGGTGGTCAGAGCCCTTATCGGGCCTGCAGACAACGGGAGGAAGACTTAGCAACTGGAGTCTGAAGAATGTTTGATACGGTCGCGAGCGTTACCATACAAGCTGGACGCCTGACGAAGAATTAGAGTTCCTAGACTGGCTTCCTGAATAATAAGTAGGTTCAGCTTGCAGTATCTCGACAAGAGGTCTGTGTAGGTAGACTGTTGGTTTCTTGGCCTTGTCACACAGCAGAGACCATCGTGAATTATGATTAGTCTGACTGTGGTTCTAGCATGAGATGGAAGAATGCCGGTTGTTCGACACTTCGGTATCTAGTGACTACTACACTACAGCAGGTACGTCGAAGAGCGTGGTATGCGCATTCATGCACAAGGTGCACCGGAGGAAGGTGGCTTAGTAGCATCGCGGTACCAATGACGAGGACCTCCAGCCCTGTAGCCAGTGGGGCGTTGAGACAGGCTTCTCCTCATCCCCTCCCTCTCTCCGTTTCGGGGAAATGATACATCCATCAGACAGACTGGGAGCATGGACTTGACCCCTGCCCCCGTCTGGTTTTCCTGAATCCAACTGAACTTCTAGCTTCTTTCATGTCGAGGATCAACTGCACCTCGTACCGCGCTGATTGAGCCTTGTGCTTCGAGAACAATGTGCTTATCCTTGTTTGCTGCTCGACTCGGGCTAAACGATTAGTCGATGACATCGTGCATCGTCTGGACCAACGTGACGTGCGTCAGAAAGCGAACACAGAGCATCTCAGACCAATGATGAAGACGAGATGGCCGGGGAGGACTTCAAGGACTCGGGAATTGACCTGAGTAGATGGGAGGTGGGGGGGTTTATCAGTAGAGACTCGCATATCCCTGGCGAACATGCCGTTGAAGAACCAGCTAGTGATATGACGGTACTACTTGGTCGTTCTGCCGCCGCCACACTGCATTGCTCTATACTCCATAGTAAGCACCAGTCGGTCAACACGCCCAAACGGACAACAATTGGAGGCGGGAATATCATGTTCCAGTTGCTGGGTGTTGTTACTCAACGAAAGCCATTCTTTCTTCCGAGATTTGACTCGATCTTACAGTAGAGTGCATTGGTTTCCATGTTGACGATGGTGCACTGTTGACAAATACATTAGTCAACTAAAGAATGTCGCTAGCCGATCAAGGAGGCGGCTTAGCGATTAACCTGATTCGAGCGAACAGTGCCTCAGGCCCGGAATGGGAGGGAACCGAGTGCATGGGTATGACACCATCCGTCATTCATTCATTCATTCAATTAATTAATCACTCTTGGATGTCTGCACACTAGAAAGTCTACTTCACGTGGCAGGGGACCCGATGCCGGGATGATGATCCTTCAAAGCGTGGCATTGGGGCAATGGAGAGGGGGATCATGCCCCTTTCCTCCCTCAGTGCCTGTTCAGGGTATTCCTCGCTGCATTCGAGGTTCTCAGCAAATGTGTGTTTCGTGTTTAGAAGTCTGACTTTGGGGCTGCGCAACCCGGGTTCCTACACCACAGCTGCAAAGTAAGATGGTCAACGGTAGAGAATGACCCTTGTGTTGCCCATGCAGACGTGATGCCAAGTTGTCGAAGCAGGTTTGACACTAATTATAGCTGACCACAGACACACAGAGCCATCATCGGGCTCACTGGCGGCACATCCCGGTCCTGTGCGGCACACAAATAAGAAATCAAAAACAAGGGTGGAAAGTTAGTGGTGTCAGCAACAACGTGGCCTTCCTGTGGGGAAACGAAGGAGGAACAAGAACGACTGGCCTAGGTGTAGAGGAGAGAGAGTAGCATCGTAGAAGCCATCAGTAATCAAAGTAGAATTAAAGGCCTCAGAAGTCAGAACTCACTTAATAACTGGAAAGGACCGACCGGGGTTACGGCCGAGTCCTTTTCTGGTTTATTGTTTACCTCCACCATCAATCTAACTTATCATCTATTGATCATGCCTCGTAACATGAATCATATTCATATTATCGAGACGGGCGAAGACTCGGAGGCCACGGCCGAGACAGTATTGTGTATTGTGGTAGGTACAGTATGGTATGTACTGGTTGTTCTTAGCGGTAACTTGATCTCCATCCGCCGATTGATCGAGGCCCTGTCATGGCGTGTCATGGGCGCGCCTTACTCCCTCTCCTTCTCTCCACTTGAGCTACGCTCAACCAGGTGAGAGATTTGTTGCACCCGGCTTCAGTCCAGCCTAAACCCGGCCCGAAATAATTTGTCTGGTTTTCGACTTGTTGCAAATTACAACACACCGACCCTTCGCGAGTCATTCCTTTTGCAGAAACCCATGCGAGGCCTTCGACAGGCTCGGTCGCTGAAACAATATGACAGTGAAACAGCTCCCTTGCACACGTGCAACCTGCAAGTCATTATTGGATCATACACAAGTACATGCAGTACAAACATCATATCTCTTTAAACCTCCGAGTCGAGTCCGGAGAAAGGTGACTGTGCAGTGGTGGACCAGGTGTACATTACTGGAAGCATGAATTTGTCAGTCTCTTGCCTAATCAGGAACACTTCTCGAGCAACCTACCTTGAACCTCTCATCCAGTGCGGACCTCTACCCTTGGGCTGGAGAAATAAGGAAAATGGATCGGAGGCTCGGCAGGGCAGTGGATTCCGGCAGCAGCGGGGGTCTCGTACCGCCGGAGCCAGAAACTGCCCCGGTTTCCGCCCTGGCCGGGGCCTTGTTGTCTACAAAGTTTCTTAGCATGGCGATGTTGTTCAGACGACAGACTTCCTCCGTAACGCCAACAAAAGCTCAGGACTGTCAGGGCTCCCGGAGGATCTACGTTTCAAATCTCTTAGCAAACTGCAAGTTGATCCTGTTCCCTTGAATTGCTTCCTCTGCTTCGGCTGGATCCGGAGGAAGGGAGGATTTTGACAACTCCTTCTGCTGTATGTACATGTGGACAGTGCCTACCTCGAAGGATCTTAACGGCATTTGTCCAACAGGGACTACAATTTTCTTGGACTCTGGTCAACGACGTAGAGGGAGAGCAAAAACGTGGTGATCCGCAGTAATCTCGGGGGGCTGATCCTGCAGGTGCCGAACATCCATCCAGGTGGCATGAAGTACCAACAACTAGTTAGAGGGCCAGTGATTCCATCTCACCTTCAGAGGCCCCAAAGGCAATCTGCGACCCTGAAACACCCATACACAAAGGGGGGCTCATCATCGACTATGGTCCGGGAAGATCGCTAAAGGCTTATCAGACCAAGCGAGTCTGCCTTGCCTCAGGCTGTCTTGGGTTCTTGGCTTCTTAGGTAATCCCACCCGTCACCCCTGGTTCCTGTTTGTTCGTTTGTTTGTTCCTCTGTCGTCATGGAGCGTCGTCGAAGCCATGAATCTTACTCTCACTTTTACCTCTCTCTGCAATTAGTCTCATGCACGAAAGAGCATCCCTGATATGGGTGTTATTGGAGCTATTTCGTGGTTTATTAATGACTTTAATTTAACTATCATTCTCTCAGTACGAGACATAGTCACAAATCAGCTCGTCGAGCCAGGAATTCGGGCGGTGGTGGAAGAAGAGGCTCAAAATTCGGAGGGCGCACTGAGGGGCCGTCCGATCGAGAAGAAAGAGCCATTGTCGATCTCCGTCTCCAGCCGACGTTTTTACGGAGTACTTCGTCCATCTACAGTGGAGTCGTACAATACAAAGTCGAAGAGTGGACGGTATCCTGTGTTTGGCGGCTACTGCTCCGGCCTACCCTTTGGGAATGTGGATACCCAGTCGCTAATGCCGCACTGCCTTTCACTCACTTGAGAACGGAATTCATCCGTCAGGCATGCAGCACCCATGACATTCTGTATTTTGCGTGACGAGCTCAGCACGTACTGTACACTAAGGACCAGGGCTGCAGCTAACGTTCTAAGTCACCCACGCTAGCGACTCGGTTGAGGGACACCCAGACAGTGGACACTCAGCCTATGCTGAACTGCTGATGGTAGCTAAGCGCTACTTTCGAAGAGCAATTTCGGGACGGGGAGGCAGTACCTAAATTCCCCTTGTTCACAAAGAATCATCCATTCCACCACACTAGTTTTAGTCACTCACTAACTACGTGCTAGTGCTGTTCATGCCTCGTTTTCAGGCCCCCTGACTGCACGGTAATAAGCGACAGTTGATACCAACCCCCTTCAGGTCCTAGCAACCCCTACACTATACTACCCCACTGCCAAGCAATCCAGTTGAGTTCGTCCAGTTTGGCCTGCATGCTTGACCCGTCCTATGGGTCTACGACGCTCGCGAGCCTCTTACTCCGTACGTTGGGAAGCTCCATACAATCATGAGGGGCCCACTCGAACGGATGTTGGATAAGAATAGGCCATGTCGATATTCACGAACCGACGAATCAGCCTCTGCCATTGCAATGGTAGGTGGGGTCAACTACGAACCAGGGACGGTAAAAATTGGTCACGGCCGAGGCCGTCTGTGATCGACACCGCAAATGTCAAGGCGCTCTCGCTCAGATACATCTCCCACTTTCCAGATATGCACGGTAGACCTGCTCTTTTTCGACAGGCGGGCTTCCCCGCTGGCCGTTCCCGCTCAAATGACAGGCTGAGGTCCCTCAGGCTATACGTCTTGCCGTACATCACCTTTTCGTATAGGCTCGGGCTCCGAGGGGCCATAGATTGTCTTCTCATGAGTGTCAATAGTCTCAGTACTGTATGCCTCACCAGATCACAGCGTGCTTCATAACTAAATCTGACCAAACGAATTCATAGGTCTTACTGAGCCCGAATTGGAAAAATCTTGCTGCCCCAGTCAGCAAGCGTCCTCCACCGACACGAAGGGGGGCATTTCGTGATAGTATCGCCCGGTTAATGGGATAAGATGATCGACTCAGTAGGTCGTTTTTCGTGTTATTGGCCAGGAGATGATGTTCCATACTGCTTCGAACATTCTACACGCGATTCTACATATTACACGAGGCGCTTTTATGAGCCAGTTACGTCCACCTGCATGTCGTAGCTTATGAGCTACTGCACCCCTCGCGCCTAACTAACCTATACAATTTACAGAGTACATGCTATAGGGCCACGAGGCCTGTTATTCCGCCCCCATGACAGGGGTGCCATGCGGTTGAGCACGGCCACATGGCCTTGACTCTGGTCGCGGTATCTGTATCGCAACAATGCGATGTTACTCCACTTCTACCCTGGTCGTTTGTTTGCAAAGAGGCTGATGCCCTGACATCAAGGCGTGTCTGGCAATCCATTTGCAGTAAGGAGGTCGTTCGATCCGGCATTCACCAAGCCCACAGCCATGCTGCTGGCAAATAGTGGTCCCGTCGGCTGAAGGAACATTCCACCTCTGCCATATCTTTGCACCGCCATGATCTTGGTTATTGCTGTTCGCCAGAGGTATTTTCGCCCCCGTGAACGGGTGCATTGGTCCATGTATGACAGCCCCAAGTAATAGCCCTAACGTCGAACTAATGCCAATTTTAGAAAAGGTTGGAGGCTGGCGGGTTGATCTGTCAATGACTCTCTCGTACCTCGCTGTGTGCATGCTTGAACGAGTATGGATGGTGTTTTATCCTGCCCCACGTGTCCAGGGCTCGAGTTCTGGGGGCAATCATGGTGCGTTCTTGAACACGAAAGTATCAGTATCAGCAATGACACTTGCAAGCTCTGCCACCACCGATTTTCTCCTTCACCATCATCTCAGCGCAGAGAAACCAACGAGGTCGCAGCCAAACAAGTCAATTCTTGAGACAAGATTGCTAACAGGAATGCTAGAAGCGCCCGTGAGGCCAACTGTGTGAATGCATCCGATATTAAAAATCTTCGGATCAAGCAAGATCAACATCCTATCAAACCTCACCAGCATTATACAAGTGATGAAAAAAGGGAGGGTCACCAACACAAGCTTCTGCAAACCAACATGTTGGTCCGTCGCTTGCTGACCAGCTGTGCGAAGCCGCTACTGAGACTGACTATACCAACAGAGATATTGTTCTAGACGTTTCGCACAATGTGCTGATCGGGGAAATACTTGGACTGTCATAGTATATCTCACCTGCATAATTCCTTGGATGTACTGGCCAGCCACAGGTGGCTGCTAATGTTGGGTCCAGGAACGCGCTGTGAGCCTGTGTGCAAAGAGATATCTGAGACAAGGCACCATGACTCAACCATGAGGGATGAAACCTAGTTTTTTCTGACTGGCTTAGTCCTGAAACTCCTCCCATTTGATCATCCTGTGTCTCAGGTCAAACTCCGCTCCATCCACCACGAATCTTCCGTCCCCACGATGGTGCACCATCCTCATCTGCCTCTTCCCGCCACCACCAACACCACCGCTCTCCATTGATTGCTCATTGCATTGTCCATAATCCAAGTCGAGGTCTCTGTTGACCCATGCGCGCACCACCCGCAGTACCCACAGATTGTAAGTTGCCACCAATGCTCGATCATGAACTACACATTGGATGTTGGCCATGATATATTCCCCACCAACCAGAGGCGCATGCGCCGTCTTATCTGGCTTGATGTAAGCTTGCCCCTTTTCCTCTCCATCTCCAGATTCTGGATCGGTGTCTGCCGGTAACGGCGATTCCGGCGGCTCCACCGGGATCATTTTGAATGTCTTCCACTTATCAACTGTTTCGCCACTGCAGTTGCCAATATCAACTACCTGCTGCAGGATCTCCGCTGCCGGTACTGCAAGCACGCATTGGCCGGTTCTCTTCAGGCTATCGAAGCTCTTGTCCCACGGGCCAATACATGCGCCGATCAGTGTTGGCTCCTCATGCTGGATCATCATGTGAAAGCCCATTGTCATGATGTTGTGCGTCCGATCGGCCAGAGACCCCGTTGTGACGAGGACCACAGGCCCAGGCTCGAGTAGACGATTGACTTTATGCGTTGGGTAGGGGATGAATTGGCTCCGATCGTTGAGCTGGTCCTGATCCTGATCCTTTTCCTGTTCGAGGAATTCCAGGCTCTTCTGCTGTAGATGCCATCTAGGCCTCTTGCTAGAGCGGCGTGGACTCAGGCCTAGCGGTCTAGTTGGTTCCCCTTTTCCTGCACTTCGCTTGTCTCCTGATACCCGCTTGAGAGGCATTTGTGCTAGAATGTTGGAAGTCGTGGTGAATGTAACGGTAGTAGGTCGTAGGTTATCGCGAGCTGGCTTGCCATCGAAAGAAGAAGGCCCTGGTTGGAAGAAACGCTTGCTGCGGGAACTGGGGTGGTTTAACCCAATTCGAACTGCCAGTCTTATACGGAACTCGTGGACGCGTGGTCCGCGCAGAACAAAGAAAGGCAGACGGGGTGACGTCTTCCCCGCATAGGCGGAGTCCCGTGACTTCCATGCCTTTGAAGATGTCTTTAATCTCTCCTACAACTACGGAGTACAGGGTTGGGGAAGGCGCGTCGAGACGTCATCCCCCTCAGTCGTAAGTTATGGTCTATCATAAAAGCGTGTGGTCTCGGAGTAGATAGTGCTCCTAAGAAGTTCGTTCTATCGTGTCTTGACTCTGTGCCCTCTTTCATCATAGATGATTTTTTGACAGTGAAAGGTGGTCGACTGCCTTCTTGACAGAATGTGGACAGGGCATCTTTGATGTGCCAGATGAATGGAGTAGAGAGTGATCTCTGGGATTATGTATAGTATATACTTATACCCGTTTCCTCAATCTCTTCATTCACCACCTCGACAGATCCAATCGAAAACAAGCACGTTTGTAGTTCATTTTGGTAATGAGCTCCCATATGAAAGAAGGCCGTTGCACTTTCGAGTAGAGGCAGAAGAACGCAGAAAATTACCGTACCCGTGGGAAGTTGGACAGACAACACAGTGCTTGTCGCACAGGGATTTTACCTCTCTCTCTCTCTCTCTCCCTCCACATTAGGAAACTTAAAATTGAAGTACACACATAGATCGACATTCGAGGAGATATACACAATGGTTATGACAGTATCCGTGGCCGCCCAAAGCCACATCTAAAACACCCGACCCTCACATTTAGAGCAAATTATGCCGAGTAAACGTACTGTATGCAGTAGTATATATATATTCTACGCAAATGAAGTCGCGAGTGACGCTCTTCCCACCACCACATTCTTCCCATTCTTTCTCTTTCTAGTAAGAAAAGATCGACCCGAGAAACTCCGAACTGGAGCTCCGGGGATTAGGATGTTGAGGCTGGAGAGTGGCTGGATAGAGATTTTGGTTCTTGTCATCCAGGAATGGCCCGGTGGATTAGGGGATGACGCTAAGTACCGAGACGGTGTAACTTATACACTTTGATTCTAAGTTGTAGGTATCCGACTACACGGGCTGGATATATGTCCACAGTAACTAAGGTACTAACAGTCTTGTGGTGGAGTACCTCTTGCTATAGTAATCTTGGCCAGAGCGAAATCACCCATTTCTGTTCATCCATCCATTTCTGGTGAACGAATGACATATCAGCAAGAGCATTTAGAATGAGAACGTGAGAGGGAGACAGACAATATCTCCTTCCAGGTGTGAGAGAAGACTTCAAAAGTTGATGTTTGTTTGTAGAAGTAGAGATCCACAACGCATTAGTGTATAAGTATGATATTACTTTACAAAAGTCCACACGTGAAGATGATGCGATATATTACTCTACATACATCCAGCTGTGACGATACAATATACTAATATCGACCCACTAAAGTCTCAAACATGAAGCAACCAGACTCCTACTACAAACCCACCACGCACTCCACCATCTGAACTATTCGATGTCCAGCGACAGACTATCTTTCCATGGGCGGTATGCAGACGGGTGTGATATATGGATGTCATATAAGTTTCAATTCGTCGACGACAGTTTGCGAAAGGTGCAAACAGCGGTAGGAAGGGGCAGGTTTGAGCTTTTTAAGTGACGGGGCCGTGACTTCCTTTCTTTCCTGGAGACATTCAAGGCTAGACATAAATGGGGGCATGACAGGACCCATGACAAGCGCGACTGCTAACAAAGTAGACGCGGATTTAAGCATGGTTCTGGCAATGAGTCAGCAACCTACGTCTCACCGACACGGATCGAAAAGCGCATGATATATCCATTCATCCTCACATTAGTTACGAAGACTCGACTCGCCCTGTCCTTCCCTGCCCTGTCCCGTATCATTCTAGAATCTACAGCTGGTAAGAACAACGACAACGCATCGCAGCGAGTCCACGCGTCGTCAAGACAGGAGCACCGAACCCTTGTGTCAACAGACGAAACAGAAAGTATAAACTCGAGATCCGTCCACAAGGAGAGATAGTCAACGTACGATACGAACCATTCAAACGCCAGTTCAAAGAAAGGAGAATACAACAAATAACCTTGATAGACATGTCGGTGTTATCAAGCCGAGGGCGCATCAGATCTGGGTAGCCAAACCTATGCATTTCGTGAGGACGTCCCCGCAGTGCTCCTGAAGTGGCATCTTTTCAGGGAAAAAAAATTACCCCTCAGGAGCGGGAGGGCACTAATGTCGTGTCGCCACTGGGGACAATCTGGTACGGGCCATCGGAGTCCACGATTGATGAGGACGTGAAATGGTGTCTGATGACATGCTCTGATATTGAGATCACAAGGTCGCTAAATGGCCGGGCAAAAGGGGAATATTGATAAGAAAGAAGTGCTTTCATAGAAGAACCAAGATGACAAGCGAGAGGGGTGTTAATCGGCAGGAGGAAAGTGGCACAGGTGGTGCAAGTACGCGATGACTTGGTAGAAGGCATCGCACTCAGCGACGATCAGGGTTGGTTACCTTCGGACTGAATTAGCCTCACACATATGTACCGTCATCACCGGATAGAGCTTACCTGTAAGATACGACGCGAGAAGTCCTGGTCGTCGTCGATACTGCCGTTGCTTTGCCGCTTTTGAGCCATGAAGTCACCATCGAATCTGGAGTCGCTGCCCTGTGCCATGGGCTGTCCGTAACCGTCCATGCCAACACTGCGACGATATTGCGCTTCCACCGATTTGCGATTCTTGAACCGCCAGAGAAAAAACCCAGCACCAATGAGTGCACATAGCCCGACTACTCCAACAACCACACCTGCGGCGATCGCAGCAGTATTCGCACTCGAGCTTTTCGACTTTGCAGGTTGAGTAGCACTCGCGGCGGCGGCGTGGGTGGCAGGAGCTTCTGTGATATAGACCGTCTGTCCGCCACTGGTAACGGCATGGACCGTTGGTGTCTGAGTTGTCGACGTCGACGTGCCGTCGGTGCTCTTGCTGGAAGAAGAACTGCTCGAAGAAGAGTAGTTATCCACGTCGTCCTCAATACCTGTCAGATAGACCGAATATGTGGTTGAACCACCACCTAGACCAGTAGTCAGCATGGAAACACAGAAGAGCCTCGCCTATGGGAAAGACAACATACACATGACCGATGGCCAGCCAGCACACGACAGATTGCATTCATCATCGGATACTTTGTCTGCGGCAGCCGGAAGTTCGTTTCCACAGAGACAGTCTTGTTTGTTGTGAAGCGCAAATACGGCATAGTTGTCCTTCAAGCACAACTTCTGGCAATACCCGTTACTTTGGTACGTATAGGATCCTTGGTCAATCAGGGGCGTCGAGCTCGAGTAGCACCCGTTGTAAACTTCGTCATAGGCAGCTGTCGTTGGCACATGGCCAGCTAGGAAGAGGACCGAGGCCACAAGAGCCGACCGCAGAGTCAGGAGTTTCGTGATGGACATGATAAGATAATAACGATGCGCGGCTGAAATGGACGACTGGACACCTGCTCCAAACACACAAGATTGGATGCGGATAATTGATATGAACGAAGCAAAAGGGACGGCCTGCGTAACCCTTTCCGGAGCGCGGTAGATGTTTCAAAAGTCGGGGGAGTCTCGGCTTCCCGTGTTCTGTAAGATCTTTGAGGGGGGCGGGGGGGGGCGCGCTGCTTGTCACTGCGATCTGCCGGGGAAAGGCACAATGCAACGTATTTTCGACTTGTCAAGAGTTGAACCCCGATGGGGATGATGGGCGCAGAGGAGGGCTAGAGTGAAGCAAGCGATAGAAAGAGTGTGTAATGTCTGCCTTGGCGGGGGGAAGACAAGGGCCTTGAGAAACGGGTTGTTTCAAGCACCCCTTTCTGAATGTTGGACAGAGTTTAGTGGGCAACTGAGCGGGTAGCTCAGGCAGGGGGAAAGCAGTCAGGGTCGAGAGCGCCCCGAGTCAATAAATGAGCGGATTGGTCCTCGATAGTGTAGTCTTGAAGGGAGGGCTATCGGGGGAAACGGAAAATTTGACCGGACGGGGGAAGGGAAATAGCGGAATAACGGCTATACGAAGGCGTCGAGGTCCGATGTTGCGTCTAGAAAGCGACGTGTGACTGTGAAGCCTTGAGGAGCAATTGAGTGAATTGAGATATTAAAGCGAGAGACAAGTGAATGGGGGCAGAAAGGCAATAGTAGTAGTAGTAAGTAGTAGTTAGTAGTGCAGGGCCCACAAGAGCAAACGAGTGTCTAGGGTCAAAAAAAGCAAGCAAGCAAGCCAGCCAGCAATAAGCAGAAGGGGATGAAGGAGAGTAACGAGGAAGTTCAACGATTCCTCCGGAGAATAAAGCGAGCGTGACTGACTTAACTAGTCTGATGATTAGTTAGATTAGGTGGTTTGGATTGCTAGTTCTGCTGTTATTGCTGTTGCTGCTGCTGCTGCTGCTGCTGCTGTTGCTGCTGTTGCTGCTGTTGCTGGGCTGCTGGGCGGCAAGAAACTGGAAGGGGGGGAGAGGGGGGGGGAGAAGAGAAAGAGTGGAGGAAGCAAAAGGCCCTTAAGCGACGCACTGACAGGCTAGGGGGGGAAGAGATCATCACAACATGCCTGCTGCAGTAACTGGAAAGGTACAGGGCACAGTGGAAAGGAAGAGGTCGAACTGAAATCATCCCGCGTCAAGAACGAATGAGTGCATAGAGGGTCCAGGGGCAGCTCCCACTTTTTGCTGCTTTGGGTCAAACACGGGCGGAGACTGGCATGTGCGAATCCACTTTTCCGCCTGCGCTGAAACGGATGAACATCCAGTGGTCCACGGTACTCCAGATAACTTACCACTTTCCTCTGCTCTTCTTCAGGTCCTATGCAATCTGCATAACTGAATATCTGAAATAACTGAATAACTAACGTGTGCTGTCGACCTCCATGCATAGCTACAATATTGAATACTTCGATGACACACACCTTAATGGTAAGTCCGATCATGCTCATCCACCAGGCAAAACAACCCATCACCGCCACTAACTGACCCGGACGTGTGACTCCGCCCATGTCTTACTCCGATTATCGTCCGACCTCGAGTATATTTATAGTACAGGGCAAGTCCCTGACTGGTTCTGCTAGACAATTCGGCACACCACTGGATTGGATATTTTATCGCTGTCTTCCTTGCTTGTGGCGAATATTTCCCCAAGATACGTGGGTGGCGGTGTTGACTGAAAACCCCTCCTCTCGCCTCGAACTCCTGGGGTAATTGTACGATCATCTTTCCATCGCAAATTCTCCCACCACATTCTTGTCAGACGGGCAGAGGTCTGTCTGACAGTTACGGCTGAGTCAGCCATGCCGGACATTCCATAACTTACCGTGCTACCGAGAAATCGACAATTCAGCAAGCCTAAGGTGGGAATCCAGAGAGCGAGGCCACCACCGGCCGGCAAGGGGAAAGAGAACCAAAAGATCAGGGACTCACTTACTAGTCCTCTCACTAGGCCTCTTTTATCCTAGATGCCCCTTAGCCACCAATGGAATGATGGTCTAAGGTCAAATAGTCCCTGACTCCTTCGAGCCTTGCACCCTTTCGGCAAAGCGCAGGAAGGAGGAGTGGAGTGGAGAAATGCTCTAGCCTCAACCCTAGACTATTCCCGTCCGTCGATGTTCGCCATTCCGAACTTTTCCCATCGCCAGACTATCTGCCTGCCAAGTGTCAATGATGAACACCCGCACCCTGGCTTCTCGAGATTAGTTCAAAGCATTGTAGTTGTCATCGTAAGTGCCAAAGAGCTAAAAATCAGAATGGTCATAGAGGGTGAGGTCTGGGCCTTTCTGAGGTTGATGGGATCAAGTTGCTCCACCATCGCAATAACCCCATAGTTAACTTACATACCATGCCCATCCTTCATTCAAATGTTTCGAGCAGCAAATCTGCCTGCGGCACGTCAAATCTCCCCCTCTATACCACTCGGCCGGGATCCGTACTGATTTGGTAAATTGCACGTAAGAAGCCTAAGAAGCCTCTTTCTTCGGTTTGATTGTTTTCCCACGCCGGCCTGCCGTAACGGGAATTCAACCAGATGGTTTCTCAATGGTATGCAGCGTGCTGAATAGCGGTTCTAAGGCATGTTGACTGTCACGCGCGGAGACAAAACGCCAGCCTGTTAACAGCCCTAGGGTTGGCTGGTGCTTGATATCCAAACAAAGCCTCCGGACGCAGGTCGTTCTCGCAGCCTGCTCACTTTCACAGCACAAACCTGGGGGATCTCATGCCGGTATGAACACTCGAGGTAGTGGACCACGATCACGGTCTATTTTTGGCAGACAAACCCAGAAACAGCATCTGTACGGTTTGCAGGGCAACACCAGACGGGAAGAACGGGCAATACTTCGTGTGTTCACATCTGAGGAACTTCGATTCTTGTTCATCCGCTGAGAAATCAATTTCGTATGCTTGGGCTGGCAGTAACCAGCACGTTATCTCGGCACATGACCCGAACGGTTTGGACTTGGTGATGACAAACTGCCCTGTGAGTTCGGGTGGATAATGATACATGGGCTTGGTGGGAGAAGTCCTGAATTCACTGGAGGAAGCTTTTGTGTCTCGGTAACGTGCGCCCGGCATATCATTGTTTGTAAAAACCCCAAGGCAGAGCTTGAGAATCCCAATCTAGGGGGAGTACATCTCGTTCCCCACGCAGTGGGGAAAATGCCCTTGTATGTGAACCTTTGGTTGGGAAAACTAATTGTTTCTCAATAGCTGCACTGGTACCTAGGAAGGTAAGAAATTAAGAACTGCGGAAGTAAGGTCGCGTGAGCTATTCCGGTCGCAAGGGATCATAAATTTGCACAACTTCTATTCAGGCCCCGCGCACAAATCAGTCTCTCGTATGAGAAGAAAGAAGAAGACCATCGACACCGACGACGATAGTCGGACTGCTGAGGCGGGTTGTGGACCGGTCTAGATTGTGGGCAGAAACCTAAGGTACTGTAAGGATTTCCCTTCCTGGGCGAATCCGCAGGCGGTTCCGAATGGAGTAAGTTGCCGCTTTTTTCTCAACACCTCCCAATTTCCTGGTGTCGGCTACACCGGCATTACCACTAACATGCGTTTGCTTGGGGGGCCCATGCAGTATTGTATGGGGTACTAGCTATCATGTGTTTCATGTCGACTTAGACTTTAACAGGGGTTCTGGAGAAATGAACGACAAGGAAGTAGATTGCCAGTACAACTTCGATGGTCTACCGGTCTGGCTCGACGGAGATATATTTCCGTACAATACAACAATCAGCGAGTTCGACGACAGCGAGGCCTATCACCAGAGCTGCAGGCCCTTTATCCCCAACCATTCAAGGAGTAGGTTTAGTTTTACATTTGAGCATCTGCCGACATTCGTGGTATGATCTCTACTGTGAAATGGCGCATTCAAAGCGAGATGACAGAACCGATATAAGCTTGCTCGCCGTACCTAGATTTTCGACACACGGCAGAGCAGGCTGCGTGCTAGGAAACTGAAGAAGGATACGGGTTACAATAAACTGCAAAACTCATGGTCTACTACCAAGAAAAACATTGCGAAAGGCGATATGTAGAATGCGATTTCTTCAACAGCAGCGTTATCTCCAAAAATTACATCGTTGTCCACTTTTGACGTAGGCCCCCCCGGTATATATGCTCAATCGAATAAGACATCTCTACCAAGAAATGAAAACCTCGGCTGAGACAGGTAGGACATGCGTCTGTTGAGCTTTGTGTTTTTGTGACATGAACGTCCATCAGGGCTTAGGAATGTGCAGCGTCTTGCTGACCATTAGGCAGCCGTGGAGCACAAACAGGAGCACAAGAGGGTGGAATTCGAATGCCGTTCCTTGGGCTGCAAGACCCAACGGGAGATTGTCCTGTACCCAGTCCTTAGAGACACAATAGGCCATGAACGCGGCGATCGATAGGGTAGTTGGGATAGGAGTGCCCTCAAAGTACTTAGATTTGCCGCTTTTGTCCTTGGGAAGAACAGCTACGGTCACATTGAATCGTGCCAATCGAGTCAAGCCGCAGAGAACGAAGAACGTAAGGAAGAGGTGGTCGACAGGGGTGCGAATGCCCATGGCAAATGCTGCAGCGGCGGGTGCCATGCCGAAGGAGATCTGGAAGAGCACAGAAGCAGTTTATCAGCACCAACCCTCGAAGAACCAGAAGGAAGCGGCAACCATACCAAATCCGCCAAAGAGTCGAGCTCTTGTCCCATCAAGGACGATTTCTTCCTCCATCTAGCAATCTTGCCATCCATGAAATCGAAGAAAAGCCCGAAAGGCATAAATGTGAGAGCGGCCCAGAGAGAGGAGTAATCAGTGGGATCACCGAGACAATAGCGCATCGACGAAAACACAGACATCACTACTCAAAACTAGTCAGTATCAGGCTGCAGACTTCGGCGGACTGAGCTTGCCTCCACAAAATCCTAAAATCAACATAGGTTAGTTACATGGAGCGCAACGTGCTGGAAATAGGACGAGTTACCATTAAGTTCAGTCACAAGATCGGCGAGATGCAGAGCTCTGGTAGGTTATAGAACATGAGTATGTCACAACAAACACGAGCTCCAGAATCGGAAGTGCTAACCTGACCATGCTGAAATGTCCTGTCTCCGCCGAGAGAAGCATCTTCTGTTTTTCCTGTCCTGTAGATCGTGAGTAACCTACATCGCAGGCGGACTGACACCGGGATTGAGATACCTCCATCACTGGCAGATGAAACACCGCTGTTTTGAGACGTATTCGACGGCATGGTGGATGTCCTTCGAGACATGCTAAGACTGAAAGTGATTGAGAAATTGAGAAGCTTAAAGAAATCGTGGAATCGGCTGGGGGAGGCTTGAATATATGCGGAGGTTGTCCGTGGAGAATGAAAGGGGAATGATGCAATGAATGACCGGTTACCGATTGAACGAGTGTTGACAGGCGCACAGATTATTCTTTGACCGCTCATGCGTGGCTAGACGTCATTGCAAAGCGGTGCTGGCCGCGCCACACACAGCCACATTCTGCAGAATGTGCGCCACAAGAAGCCTGCGAGCTTGATTGATGTGGAATAGATTTTGCTCATGTAATCTATGTTCAGAACAACTGGGGTTATAGCTCAGTGGTAGAGCGCTCGCTTTGCATGCGAGAGGTCTGGGGTTCGATCCCCCATGACTCCATTTTTGGCGATCTTGAACCCTCCGCCCTATTCCAAGTCTCTTTACACTTGACTTGTTACAGCCGACACCGAGGCCAATGCTTTGTTGCACGACTGAATTTCGATTGCCAGAGGCGTTGTACCCCTCTGCCTCGGGCACCGACATGGCCGTACTCGATTGAGTCAAGGAGAATTGTACCTCAACCCAGACCCTCACATTGTCAGTCATCAGTCCTATGCTCTACCCGGTGAAATGCCACTACTTTTTACAAGGGCCAAAAAAGCAAGCCAACAATTAGTAGTCCTGGGGATTTAAGCTATACCAGGAGCAAAAAGGATTGGAGTCATGGGGGATCGAACCCCAGACCTCTCGCATGCAAAGCGAGCGCTCTACCACTGAGCTATAACCCCAGCTTAGTAATTGTGTCTCCTCAGCTGCGTACTTGAATGACTTGCGTTTAGCCGAGATCCAGCACCTCACAAGGAGGATTAGCAGTTGCACCACGCTTCGGGCACCTCAAGTGTCTTGCCTACCTCATTCGCCGTCTAGCGATGAGTAACAAGAGGCATAGGAACTAGCACAATCTTATGAATCTACGTACGCAGGAAAGCTCTAACATGACTTTCCCATAGCCGCCCTATTTGAGTCAAGGTGTCCAGCACAACATTGGCCCAGACAAAAAGTAAACAAGACAGATGCGGGACATGCAGATGCCCTCTTGTCCTAGGTGTATGTGTACTGCATGTCATACATGCGAGCAAAAATGGAGTCATGGGGGATCGAACCCCAGACCTCTCGCATGCAAAGCGAGCGCTCTACCACTGAGCTATAACCCCAGCTTAGTCATGGGGCTTCCCATCACAAGGCATTATGACTGCGGCATGGTATCTTAGGTTGAGATGTCTCATGGTAAGACCTATGAGAAAATGGGATCCTCCAAGGGAAATGAGATAGAATTAACAGGTATAATCATTGCAATATATGGATCTAACGACTGCATTGTGCTCACAGCCTTTGCACTCTGACAGGCAGCAATTTTTCGAGGATGCACAAGAATATAGAGACAAATAAATTCCTGCAAGAAGCTCCCGTTTTCCCGTAACGCCGTAATAAGACAGTACTTTAGGTCAGACAGACACTGTCTATCGTCGGAATCCACCGCTGCCACCACCCCTGGAGAAGCCACCGCGACCGCCACCGAAGCCACCACCACCGCCTCGAGAGAAACCACCACGACCACCACCGCGGCCACCACCACGACCACCGCCGAAACCACCACCGCCACCACGAGAGAATCCACCCCGACCACCTCCGCGAGGACCACCACGACCTCTAGCACCACCGCGGCCACCAGCGCCACCACGACCAGCGCCGCCAGCTCTCTTGGGCTTGGCCGCTCCTATACACAGCATTAGTATCGACAATCTGTTTGGACGTGCATATATTCAGAGTCATACCCGGTGGGGGCTTGGGCTTGGGAAGGAACTTCTCCAATGGGAGAAGCTTATCTCCGCCGATGTAGACCTTGTCACCAGCCTTGAAAGACGTCGCGACAATACCTTCCTGAGGCTTGACGGTGAAGTAGACCTGGTTGATGGGACCGAGAACCTCATCGACCTTGCCGATAGGAGTCTTGAAGCAAGTCACGTTAGTAATGACGCCATCTTAGACGCGATTGTCGGAGTGGATCGTACTTTGTTCTCGAGGTAGATGGGGGCGTTGAAGTAAGGAATCTTGGGGTTAATCGATTCGCAGACCATCTCGCCTTCGCAGGCATGCATGACAGTTCCCATCTCTAAGGAAGTCCATCAGTGACTAGGATCCAAATGTTTTGTGAAGATATATATTACCCAGGACTTGCGCCGGGGGTCCGACAGGCTGTTGGAAACCTCCGCGACCTATCCAGAGAAATTTTCGTTAGCACATCTTCCACGCGACAACCACTACTCCTAAGCTCTTCTGGCTCAAACTCACCACCCCGACCACCAAAGCTACCGCCACGATTGGCGCCCGTACCACGGCCCCGGAAAGACATGTTGTATTGCTGGGTGTTCTGATCGACCTGAATCCGGAGTCCGGAGAAGTTTTCAAATGGTGGGAAGCCTCGAAACGGTAAGTGTCGCTAGCCGCAAGGGCAGTTTTTACCCACGTGACTCACCGCCCGTGTCCCTCACTCTCGATTTCTGGAGTCATGATCGTCCGATTTCGATGCGGAAGAGTCCTCCCGCTGCCTGTTTACCTCTCTTAGATCGGTACACCTCTTCTCAGGTTGACATTCTGACGTTGCGGGCTACAATCATGGCTTCCGAGGGCCCCAAAGATTTGCCTGTCCGGCCTGGTGCCGACGCGAAACCTGCTGGTGAGTTAGAATCATGCCCCGCCAAATGTTATCAACGCCCCTCCTAATCGGGTTATAATTTAGGTGACGGTCTCCCCGATTTCATTGTCGAGCGTAACAACCTTTTCGAGGAGCTGTGGCAACAGTATCTTGAAGAGCTCAAGAACAAGCCCCACAACGACATCAATGTCACCATTGAGCTTGGTGATGGAAACACCACCAATGTTACCGCCAAGGCCTTCGAGACTACCCCCGCTCAGCTGTTGAAGAACGTCCCCAAGGAGTTGAGCGCCAGCGTTGTTATCGCGAAGGTGGATAAGGAGCTTTGGGATCTCGGTCGTCCGCTCGAGGGTGATTGTACCGTCTCCTATGTGCCCTTCGAGCACCCTGAGGGAAGAGAGGTTTTCTGGCACTCCAGCGCGCACACCCTGGGCGAGGCCTGCGAGTGCGAGTTCGGATGTCTTCTTTCCCACGGTCCCCCCACCCCTCAGGGTTTCTTCTACGATATGGCCATGCCCGATGGGTACGTCTGATCAGTCTCTTAAGATCGGTTTCATTCGCGCTGACTGCGGAGTAGTCGTGTTGTGAAGGAGAGCGACTGGTCGGCCTTGGACAGCAAAGCATCTCGCATCTTCAAGGAGAAACAAAGCTTCGACCGCTTGGAGGTCACCAAGGAGAACCTCAAGAAGATGTTCGCTTACAGCAAGTACAAGCTGCACTACATTGACAAGTTGGTGACAGGCGAGAAGAGCACAGTCTACCGTTGCGGTACCCTTGTCGATCTGTGCAGGGGTCCTCACATTCAGAGCACTGGCAAGATCAAGACATTCAAGATCATGCAGGTATGTTCGTTCACGGTGAAGCTTGCAGAGAAGGGAGCGCCCACTGACATTTCCCAGAACTCTTCAGCGTACTTCCTCGGCGACCAGACCAACGACTCTCTGCAGCGCATCCGTGGTGTCGCTTTCCCTGATAAGAAGCTGATGTCTGAGCACCTCAAGTTCCTCGAGGAGGCCGAGAAGCGCAATCACCTCAAGATCGGCAAGGAGCAGGAACTCTTTTTTTTCGACGAAGTCTCTCCTGGATGCGCTTTCCTTCTGCCCAACGGTACTAAGATTTTCAACGCCCTCCAGTCCCTTCTGCGCTCTGAGTACCGCAAGCGTGGTTACCAGGAGGTTCAGACCCCTAACATGTATGATGTTGGTATCTGGAAGACTTCTGGCCACTGGGCGCACTACAAGGATGACATGTTCAAGTTGGACGTTGAGAAGAGAGAATGGGCCCTGAAGCCCATGAACTGCCCCGGTCACTTCGTGCTTTTCGGTCACCGTGACCGCAGTTACCGCGAGCTTCCTCTGAGAATCGCGGATTTCGGTGTGCTGCACCGTAACGAGGCCTCCGGTGCTCTCAGTGGACTTACCCGTGTCCGCAAGTTCCAGCAAGATGATACCCACATTTTCTGTACCCAGGACCAGGTAAGGAATGAGCACAACTTTCCCCAGCACTTTACAATAGAACTAATGAGAAGTAGATCATGTCCGAAATCGAGGGTCTGTTCGATTTCCTGCAGTCCATCTACGGCCTCTTTGGGTTTACCTTCAAGCTCAAGCTCTCCACCCGTCCCGAGAAATACCTGGGTGAGCTTTCCACCTGGAACTATGCCGAAGAGCAGCTGAAGGCTGCTATGACCAAGTTCAAGGGCAGTGACTGGTACATCGACGAGGGTGATGGAGCTTTCTATGGCCCCAAGATTGATATCACCATCGCTGATGCCCTTAAGCGAGAGTTCCAGTGTGCCACCATCCAGCTTGACTACCAGGCTCCCATCAACTTCAAGCTCGAGTACATGACCAACGAGAAGACCCAGACTGCCCAGATGACTCAGGAGGAGCCCAAGGAGGGTGAGACCAAGTCCACCGAGCCTGGTCCCGGTCGCGCTCGCCCTGTTGTCATTCACCGCGCCATTATTGGCAGTTTCGAGCGTTTCCTCGGCATCTTGATTGAGCACTTTGGTGGCAAGTGGCCTTTCTGGATCAGCCCTCGCCAGATCTTGATCGTTCCGGTTATGCCCGCTGTCAACGACTACGTTGAGGAGTTGCAGCGGATTTTGCGCGCTGACAAGCTGAACGTTGACATTGACATCAGCGGCAACACCATGCAGAAGAAGATCCGTACCGGACAGCTGCAGCAGTACAACTTCATTTTCGGTATGTTCCCATGCTGCCTGCGCTTTTATATCTCTGAGCCAATGCTAACTCGTGATTCTAGTCGTCGGTGCGCAAGAGAAGGAGAGTCGCACGGTTAACATCCGTAACCGTGATGACCCAGCCACCCAAAACAAGGGCATTATGGTCCCTCTGGACGAGGCTCGCGAGAAGCTCCGTAGTTTGCGGAAGGAGCGCAGACTGGTCAACTCTTTGTAGAACGAGAATTGATACCATTCTGTTTGCTGGGAAAGTGGCTGCTTTACAGTTACAGAAATTCAAGAAATTCGTGGCGATATACCATATCTTTTAGATGCTAGCTCATATATAGAGCCCTCTGAGGAAAAGCGAAGATCACGATTTAAGAAGATGTGCTTCTAAAAAGTCAAGAGGTGATATTCCAGCAATGAGTTGAGTGTGTTCTTCAAAACGTATTTGTGGTACGAAGTAGGTGTTGATTGTTCAGTTCACTTTGTCGGATCCTTTTTCGGCTAAGCTCTCTATTCCGTCCCTAGTGAATGCTTAACTATGAGGCTGGCTAATCTAGTCAATGATAATGCAAACTGGCGGCATATCGGGACCGTGGGCTAACTGGTCATTCCTATAGCATTGCAAAAATTTTTCCATCACCCCAGCCCTGAAACCCAATTCCATCTGGATCCCTTTCTCTCCCTGAACTGAAGAGGCTATTAACATAGGCGTTGTTGATGCCCTGCTCGATTGATCATAAACCTAAACCTTGATCATAAATCTTCCAGTCGAAGCTCCACCCGAGCCCCTCCTTTCCGATGCCAACGTAAGCTTTTGAGGGCAGTTTCTCCCCCCCCCCCCCTTGGGGCAGTATTTGGTTTCGATTTCTTCTGCAAAAATACCCTCGTTCGTTCAGCAGTTCTGCCGCTCTACGGTGTCTTCTCCACACTTCCAGGGTAACATAGTGTGAAGTGATAATCGTCATGTTCAAGCGCCGATGATGTCTCGGTTCAATCGTCATCCCTCTCTGCTTATCGCGGCCGCGGTCCTCGCCGCATGCCTCTTCTTCCTCCTTTCTTCATCCCACGGGACCACCATCGATGAGCCCCTGTCTCAGAACGAATTGAACCAACCGCTGTCCTCTCCCAATGATGACGCAAATTCGTGCTCTGTGGACCTCGAACTCCTGCGGCAATATGTCACCAACCCTCTCTCGGTCGATTACGCGCGATTGGAGATTGCTGTGGACCAGTCGGACAATTTTACCGGCTACAGCGATGACCTGAATGTCAAATTCCCCAAATTTCGCACCGTATCTCTGGACGGAGATGCGCAGCGGGAAGACCTGTCTCCCGAAAGATGCACGCCCGCCGCGACCATCAAGGGGCCCCGGCCGCGTCCCCGTCCTGATGCATCGCACCTAATCTTCGGCGTCGCAACCTCGATGGATCGCCTCCTTGACTCTCTGGACGCCTTTGCGCATTGGGCCGGTGGCACAAATGCGCGGATTCTCGCCGTGGTGGACACCGCTGGCTCCGCTAAGAAGGAGGCCATGGCACGGGCGGAGGCATTGGGGATCCGTCTGATAATCCGGGAGAAGGAAGCAGAAGAACGCCTGGATCGATGGTTCTATCTGGTGCAGGATCTGTACAGACTGCGGGATGAGAAAACCCAATGGGTGGTTCTGATTGATGACGATACCTTCTTCCCTTCGATGCAGAGGCTAGTCGACCGTCTAGCCACGTACGATACGACGCAGCCTCTTTATGTCGGCAGCACGACGGAGGACTTGTTTCAACTATATAGTGGAGGACTGATGGCGTATGGCGGCGCTGGAATCTTCCTCTCGCTGCCTCTGGTTCAGCAGCTGCAGCCTTTCTTCGAGGAGTGCTATGTCTTCAAGAGTGGAGGCGACCGTATGCTTGCGCGGTGTATCTACGCGCATACGAACACGAAGCTTACCTGGGAAAGGGGCCTTTTCCAGGTCGATCTCCGCGGGGATGCGTCTGGGTTCTACGAGGCGGGTCGGGAGCAACCGCTCTCGGTACACCACTGGAAGTCCTGGTTCCAAGCCGATATGGTGGCTCTCAGTAAAGTGGCCAGCGTTGCCGGTGACGAAGCGTTGCTTCATAGGTGGCTTCTGCCCGGAGACTGGTACCTAGTGAACGGCTTTTCCGTGATTAAATACGCCACCATCTCGGACGACCCGATGCCCATGGAGCAAACGTGGGACGAGAGTAAGTATACGGGGCCGGATCCATTTACATTTAGTCTGGGGCCGCTTCGACGGAAGGATGAGAACAAGATCTCGTACCGCCTGCAGACTGCAGTATCAGAGCGCGAGCGGGTGCGACAGATTTACACGCGCGAGGTGGAGCCGGGGAGAGTAGAAGTGTTGGAAGTCGTCTGGGCCGTTGCTTCAACCAACAGCCACATTTAATGATGCGCAATTACGCCGATAGACCCGATAGACCCAATAGACCAGATTCATATCGTGGATGTGTCCTCAATAATCCTAAGCTACGACCATGCAATCTTACAATGAGCGGCCGTATCGCCGTGTATGATGCAGCGACTCGCCAATATGGAGCCATACTGAAGTGCACCAGCGAAGCTACTTCCTGTTAGGAACGGGAAGCCCGCAAAATTGGCAAAGTCTTCTTCCTGCATGGGCGCTGAAATCAATGCACAGGTGCCGCTGTTGCTACTTCTTACATGTGCAGCACAGTGCGCGCTTCGTAGGGCCAATCAGCGGAGCTGTCACATTCCAGCTTGTCTCCATCAGCCCCTCTCTGTGCAGCAGGCAGACTGGCGGTTATCTGTCTGCTGCAGCGGTCGGGTTCCCTGGTGGGTTTCAGGTCCTCAAGACTGGGTCCATCCATCGATCGAGACTAGCGAGAATGGGAGCATATCGTGGCCTCTCCCGGCCTGGGCTTTTTGGTCTACTCCGTAATGTCTACCCTTCCTTGGCGGGGCGTTCCGGACGGTTAACAATCAGTCAATCCTTGGTTCTGGGCTGCAGGTATGATCGCGGTTCAGTTTCTCCTGTGTGGAAAATGATCTCGTAATTGACGGGTGTGGCTTTGCTTTTCTTCGCTCAGATTGTTTGTTTGCTAGGTCTGAAGGGAGATTGAAAGAAAGACGATACTTAGAGGGAAAAGAAGCCCTACACTCCCAAAACTATTTGCTTTGAACCCCACCGGGTCGGAACAACTCGCCCTTCCCCTCTTTCCCCTTTGAGCCTCCCTTGTCTCGTTCGTTCGTCCTCCGTCTTCTCCTCCCGCCTTTCTCTGATTCATCTCTCTCTCTTCCCCTCTCTCTTTCTCCCTCTTTCCTCACTCTACATATCTCTATCTTGTCCCCTCGTTTGTGCCCCTTATTCACCTGTCTTGTACCGTCTTGCTCTGCTGCTAGTTCACAATGTCTGATCTGCAGGGCCGCAAGATCTTCAAGGTCTTCAACCAAGACTTTATTGTCGATGAGCGCTACAACGTCACCAAGGAGCTAGGACAGGGCGCATACGGTATTGTCTGGTATGTTGTGCAGCTTCTCAACCATCCGTGTCGCAAAACCAGGCAATGGAACTAACAAAGGACAGTGCTGCTACCAATGTGCAGACTGGTGAAGGTGTGGCCATTAAGAAAGTCACCAATGTTTTCAGCAAGAAGATTTTGGCCAAGCGTGCTCTGAGAGAAATCAAGCTGCTCCAGCACTTCAGAGGCCATCGTAATGTAAGCTCCCATCCTCCCGTTATCACGATCGCAGGGAGGTCGCTGACTCGAGCTTGTCGCAGATCACTTGCTTGTATGATATGGATATCCCCCGCCCCGACAATTTCAACGAGACCTATCTTTACGAAGGTGAGGCCCCCCACCCTCTGAGATCACCTGGAATAGCCGCTCACGCAACGCAACCTTTCTATAGAATTGATGGAGTGCGACTTGGCCGCTATCATTCGCTCCGGACAGCCCCTCACCGACGCCCACTTCCAATCCTTTATTTACCAGATTCTCTGCGGTCTCAAGTACATCCACTCGGCTAACGTGCTGCACCGCGATCTGAAACCCGGTAACTTGCTGGTCAATGCCGACTGCGAGCTCAAGATCTGTGATTTTGGTCTGGCTCGCGGATTCTCGATCGATCCAGAGGAGAATGCAGGATACATGACAGAATATGTCGCCACGCGCTGGTATCGTGCTCCGGAAATTATGCTGAGCTTCCAGAGTTATACCAAAGCTAGTAAGTGCTTCCTGAACCAGTCACATTGCACGTTCTGACTTTGATGATGTAGTCGATGTCTGGTCTGTTGGCTGTATCCTGGCTGAGCTGCTTGGAGGGCGTCCGTTCTTCAAGGGTCGCGATTATGTCGACCAGCTTAACCAGATCTTGCACTACTTGGGAACCCCCAACGAAGAGACCCTTAGCCGCATCGGTTCCCCACGAGCCCAGGAGTATGTGCGCAACCTTCCTTTCATGCCCAAGATCCCCTTCCAGCGCCTATTCCCCAACGCCAACCCGGACGCGCTCGACTTACTGGACCGCATGCTTGCGTTCGACCCCACGTCGCGCATCTCGGTCGAGGAGGCTCTGGAGCACCCGTATCTGCACATCTGGCACGACGCTTCAGACGAGCCCACGTGTCCCACCACCTTTGACTTCCACTTCGAGGTTGTTGACGATGTGGGTGAGATGCGGCACATGATCTACGACGAGGTTGTGCGCTTCCGCTCCACGGTGCGGCGGCAGTCGCAGGCGCAGGCCGCCGCGGCGCAACAACAGCAGGCCGCCCAGCAGACGAACGTGCCCATTCCTGAGAATCAGCAGGGCGGATGGAAGCAGGAGGAACCCAAGCCCCAGGAAGCGCTCGCCGCGGGCGGTGGCCATCATAACGATCTGGAATCGTCTTTGCAGCGTGGCATGGATGTGCAATGAGTGTGTGCGGTGCTGCCTGCGCTGAGCTGCCGGTATTACCATCAACGACTGTGCTTCCACGGGATCAAGTGAAGATGAAACATGAAACGATGCGAGAAGAGATTTAGTACGGGGCACGGTTGCTCCTCACGTAATATTTGTCGATTGCAGTTCGCTACAAACCAGACTCATCGACTTTCCCCGTTGCCGTTCTGGAAATGGCGGGCGTTTCCGGGACTATCATCTGCCCGAAAACATACTATGTCTATTACCTCCCACATTATAAAAATCTTCCGGTTCATGTCAAATTTACTATTATAAGATGCGAAAATAAAGCAAGAAACATCAATGCATGGTTACGGTGTGCCTCACCTCTGATACTCTTTGTGCCTTGGTGGCTTCGTGAGATGGGAAGTGCTTCAATAGCCGACTCGGTGCCCCAAGAGATTGTATCTATACTTTTACATGAATGCCGTGGTTATAGAACTGGCAGCTGTTTGTGGCGGATCAGGTTCTTGCTTGGCCGACATAATAATTGTTGTTGTTGAAAAAAATCCTTGGTAAGATTCCCTCATATTCATCAGTCATAAGTACTATTGGTATTCTACTATACTATACACATCAGCCACAACCTGGCCTTCCACCAAACCACTGATTACTTCACGTGAAAGCAATCAAATCCACCTTCCAAGCCGGAGTCAATATCATCCAAATAGTTCGCCCAACCCCTAAAAACTGACATTCCATGGTCAAAATCGGTAAGATGACACAGATACACAGAGACTGTTTAGATTCAAAAAGCATGGAGATGACAAGTCATAAGAACCCAATTGGAGTATTCCCAGGCGGGAGAGGGGGGCGGGGCGGAAGAGGACGAGGGGTGGTTGACTGCAACCCGCCCCGGGGCCCCGTCCAGTCCCCGTTCCCGGGCCCCCGGCGAATCTCGAAGCTCAATAATAATACCCCCGCCACCAGACCGCCATGCAGGCGGCGACAACCAGGTCCAGCATCTTGATGCCTTCGTCCTCAATGACCAACTTCCCGAGCTTGGCGGACTTACCGCGCATGCCTCCACCGGCGCGTTCGCGAGCCAGAGAGAAATCCAGCCGCTCGTCTTCGCTGGCGCGGCGGTGGTGCAGGAGGGTTTCCCTTTTCTTGACGTGGTGGGGGTCGTCGAATGGGTCCCCCGCGCCGCTGCTGGTGCTGCTAGCTGATGGGTTGCGGGTATGTTGTTGTTTGTGGTAGTGCTGTTTGGGCGGGTGATCTCCTACGTTCGCAGCGCTGGTTCCTATACTCGAGGTACTAGCGCCGGAGCGAGCACGGGGACGAGTGTAGGTGTTTGGGTTGAGGAATTGCGCGAGGGAGTTGCGTTTGGAGGTTGTCGAAGTAGCGGAGGTCGGGGTTTGTGGAGAGGCGAGGTAGCTAGGTTCACCGGGCGGGGTAAATTGTTGGGGGTTGGAGAGGTCGCGGAAGGGGGTGGTTTGACTGAGGGCAAAGGGGGAGTGATGGGACGGACCCGGTGGTTGATGGATGTGACCGGCCTGGAAGGGCGTGTTGAAGCGGATTTCAGCAACGGTGACAGCGGGGGACTCGGGTTGTTGGGCGGCCGAGGTAGAAGAGGGAAAGGGGTTAGGATGGCTGTCGTTGCTTCGGCTATGAGAGTGATGCGGGGCCCCGTGCGTGGGAATCATATGCTTGCATTTCAGGCTGCGGCCGTTGACGCTGGTTGAGAAAGTGCAGATGCCGTTCCATGGAGATGTGAATGTGTAGTAGCCGCTCTTGAGCTTGGACATGCCCGAATGCAGTGCCTTGGACGGACTGCCGCTTCCACCATGGTCAGGCGCCGCACGGTTCAAGTCCAGAGAGCCTCCTCGGGGCTCGTCTTGGAAATATGGCCGAGAAACGCAGAGCTTGCGGCGGAATCGCCGAGGTTGTGAAGGGTTGTTCACCCCGGACGTAGGATTGGGACTGGGAATGGGGTCCATGAAGCCCGGTGGAATCGAAGCCGGAAGCTTGAAGGATGCCAGCGACGGCGGTCGTCCGTTAGCTTTGGAAAGGTTCACTCCCAAACTGGCAAGAGAGAAGGGCTCGTCCTGCGCTAAGAATCGATTGTAACCCGGAGTAGAGATCTCGATGTCAAATGCGCTACCATCTAGGCGTGGAGTGGAGATTGTCGCAACATTCCACTGACTGCCATGTGTTGGATCGCGCCGAATCACGGTGATGTGAAATCCGGGGATGTCACGGGGTGGTTGATGCTCCTGCGGTCTCCGACTTGGAGAGTGCCCTGGACTCCGTGCGGGCGATCCCTGAAAGGAATGCGAGGGACTGCCATGTGCAGAATGAGGCCGGATCTCAGGTCGCATCCGAGGACGTCTAGTGTCTAAGCTATTGCGATTGGACGGCAACGCCTCGTACTTCTCCTTCCAGCTTTCCTGGCCACGAGATATGTACCCCGACAACGCCGCGCTCCACCGATTAGGTCTCCTCGCCTGACCAGTGTCACCGGCTGCAGGCTCCCCTTGCGGGGCAGCAGGAAGCTGCGTATGTGGATGCATATTCTCCACCGTGGACGTGCAATCTCCATAAGGATTTCTAGTAGCGAGCTGCAGGATGCTTTCGCGATCATCAAGTGACAGGTGGGGCGGGGGTGTAGGTAGCGAGGGTTCTCCAGGTGTAGTGCCTTGAAAGCTAGGACGAAAGGGAAGATACGGACGTTGTAGGGTATTCGGTGTCTGTGACGGGGACTGATCTTCTTGCGACTGCCATGAGGTTGGGAGAGGACGAGCTGAAAGAGGAGGCGATGCGACAGCGGCTTCTAGCTTGGGCGAGGCCGCCGCATTCGCACCACCTGGCACAGGCTTGCGCCGAACGTTGTTCAGTCGCACCAGATGCGGTGGGCTTGCAAGAGGTGCATCTGGATCATCCTCCTGGGTTTCCTTGCGCTTCCTTGCCTCCTCTGCGCGCTCCTGCTCATATTCCTGGAGAAGGGCCTCGTCTTCGGGAGTGGCGACGTGCAGATAATAGAGGGAGGCATTGATGGCCTCTGCGGAGACACTCGATTTGGTCGGGGGTTTCAAAGGAGTGAGGAAAACATCTAGAATGGTCCAAGTCAAGAACGGCAGTCAGCAGGCGAAGCGGATTAAGGGAAGATAGGTGGTTGGGGTAGCACTACTAGCCTCCACTGCAGGCGACTGATAGTGCGGGGTATGCTGCGGAGTCATGCAGAGCAACTAGTGGCAGTGACAATGTATACACACCTCTACTACCGGGCACACGCACGATGTACAGGACCAGGGGATCCAACTTCTTTTGCGCTGGGTTGCGGGGGTAGGCGGGAGGATTCGAGGCGATGGCAGTGATTGAGGATAGTGAGCGAGCCTCGACGGGCGCTCGAGGCAGCCCCGAAACAGCCTCTCCGTCCCCCGCGGCGTCGACCTTCGGCATGGAACGTGAAGGGAAAGTTTCAGAGGCAGAATGACCCTGCACAGGTATTTGTGCGCTTCAAAGAATAAGGACGATAGAGGCCAAATAACGAAAGAGTTAGGCCAGAAGAAGGCGAAGAACGAGGAGAAGAAGAAGAAGAAGAAGAAGGAGGAGGAGGAGGAGGAGGCTGGGAGACAAACAAACAAGAGGCGCGGAGAAGCCGAAGAGAGCGCCAAGAAGAAGTGTCGATCGTCATCGGGCAGCCATACGAGAGATACGGGGCGTGGGATCCGGGAAATACCTAAGTTGAGTTGAAATGACTGAGAGGGTTGACTCAAGTGAAGGTGGACTGGATTTTGTTCAAGAAGCAAGGAAAAAATAAAGCAAGTGGTTGGTGGTTGAAGTTGTTTGGTTGCCTGGCAGCCCCTCGTCGATTCTATTTTCAACTACTTCCGTAAGTACCGGCAATAATTCAAGGACCACAGCTACTTTGATTTATTCCCCAGTCAGGCAAGTCTCGTCAATTTGAGATTAATGGCAGATAGGTGATTGGTATCTCGCTAACGATATATCTCCACAAGAAGAAAAAGAGAAAAGACAAAAGTCCCTGAACTACACAGTCCCAAATCCCATTAATCATTCCCCATTTGTCCATCCAAACTTCCCAGTAGATACAACCAGGAAGGTCAAGTCGTAAGAATGCCGAGGAGATGACAGGCAGTCAGACAGAAAGATAGAAAGAAAGAAAGAAAGAAAGAAAGAAAGAAAGAAAGAAAGAAAGAAAGAAAGAAAGAAAGAAAGAAAAGTGAAATGAAAAGACAGACAGCACCTCTGATAACGCCAATGCTCCTTCCAGATGTATAATACCCGTGTGCAGTCTCCTTGACCATAGACTCCAAGATGGCTGTCTAGACCACTGTTTCCGATCGCTCGCCTGTCGCAATGATCGGCACATTGAGCCCGCGCTCGGGGCTCTGCAGCACAAGCTGCTCGTGGCGTCGCGCTCGCAGGAAATCACTGATGGCCCGGATCAGGATAAACCAACCCACAATCATCAGGACATAAGATATCCACTCGCTCGTAGTTATGCCAGACATCCCTCCACCGCCTCCTTCACCACCCGCGCTGCCGTCGACATTATTAGGGTCAAAACTGTGGCTGTTTGGATCGGGAGGCGTGACATATTCAGCCCCGCCCTCATCCGACCCCTTTGACTCGTTGCCACCCTTCATGTAAAAGCCGTATTGCACCAGTGTCAGACCGAGACCAGCCCGGCTACCATTCTTGGCCGCATGTGTGGTGTGAAGTAGATAAGTCAGAAGGAAGCCGACCAGCTGGAAAGACATGGAGATCATAGCATTCCAGACGAACGAGAAGATCGAGCCGACCGGCAGCCCGTCCACAAAAACCTCGTCCGAAGAGATACCAGGGGCCAAGATCGTCGTCTCCCAGTATGGTGGAGTGGCGTCAGCCGCCGCTTCTTCGTAAGACTAATCATTTAAAAATTAGTACATTAATCCTCCCGTATCGACTGGAAGCCGAGATTACAAATCACATACCGGTGGTAAATCTTCGTTCTTCTCCCCACGCTCAGGCTTGGCAGCCAAATTAGCAAATACACCGTCGTTCGCCGAGGTAATGACTCGGCTTGCTCCAGAGCTTGGGGCACTGAAGGACGGCAGAATAGTCGGTCGTCGCTGGATGCCGGCACTGCGAGTCTCCTCGGAGGACACCTCGGAACCACCGCCTGCCCGGCCAGACGAAGACGCCGCTGCCGCGGTGCTGTGATTGTCCGCCATCGCCCACGGTTCTGGCTGGGCTCGCATTAGCCGCTGGCGGTCGTCAGGCTCGTCATCGGGTTCTGAGTCGCTGCCTTCTCCGAAGGCATCGGCTAGGGTCTGATCGGCATCGTGTTGGCGAGGGTCATCATTGTTCAGAAGGCGTCGAGAAGAGAAAGAGGAAGAGCGAGAACGAAAGGAGGGGGGAGGAGAGTTTGGGATCGGACTGGGTCGGAGAGGGATGGACGATTGAGATTGAAGGTGGTCGTCCTCATCATGGGCATTAACCTGCATTTGGGACCGATCGCGTCAGTACATTTGATCTCGCGACAAGTATAAACTAAGCAAACCAAGTAAGCACAGCAAAGCCGCTGTCGCCTTTATATCAATATCTCGAAGGGAAAATCGTAGACATACCCTTTGATAACGCTGCGAGCTCATGATGAGCGGAGCGAGCGGAGTAACCGGATCGGAAGGGAAAAGAAGGAATGAAACACAGTCAAAACCAACACCGGGCTTGAGATAAAGAGATCGACAAAGAAGACAGGAGGAAAGGGAGAGAATAGCCCAGGAGAGGGTGGGGAAGAAGAGCGGGTGGAAGATGGAAGGCGAGTTGAGTGTGGAATGGAAGGAGATGATCGGGGATGACGAGGAGACAGGCGTGAGGCATTCAGGCACCGAGGGGTGGGTGGGTGGCGCAAGGCTGTGGGGGCCTTAGGCAGAAGCCAATGATGGGGGTTTCCAAGAGCATCCAAGTAGACACCAGTGGTTCGTTACACCACATAGTCCAGAACATCCATGCTGTGACCGACTACCTGTGGCAGCAGTTCTCCGGAGTTGACTGATGCAGTGATATCTTCCTGACTCGTGAAAATAGATCACCTGCCCCACAGACGTAACTCAGAGCCCACAAGCGAGATCACTGAGGGGATACTGTACTGCACACTCGGCTATAAACGTCAAGTAGATGTATGGCGACCGACTGACGACCATGGCATCCAAACCACTTTGATGCAAGAGATACTATACTCAATTTGGGCTTACGTTCTCGACACCGCGGTCATGTCTCTGCTTCTATTGTCTCAACCATGATTCAACACGATTCCCAGATACATTCCCGTGCAGTTGGCAGTAGAACGATAAGACCTACTGGCTTCCAAGACATGAACGATCAGTCCGAGACAACAAAGCAAGACCTCACATAGACCCCAAAGATCTCTTCTTTGATTGCTCTGCATTTTGAAAACAAAGCTCTTGTATTGACGTTCCACCGCCATCAGTGGGATACCAGTATACACGCAGCCGTGTAAGGTCTCTCACGATGGCCTCCAACCTGAACAACGACAGCGATCCCCACCGCCAAACTTGCCTCGTCCCCTACATCAACCCGGACACTGCACCCCAGGAAATTCAGGATCGTCTCAAAGTCCTCCCCTTCCGCCGCAACATCCTTCTCGTTCTCGCCCACTCCCAGGGTCTATTCCCCCACCTCAGTTGTCTACTGGGGGCCTGTTTCGACAGCAAGCAGCGGAAGCTCTCGCTCTTCGACTGGCAACTGGTTGTGCTGCGAGTGTCTCATGTTCTCGATGCGAAGTACGAGTGGGATGTCAACGCCCCCGTGGCCGAGGCATTCGACTTTCCTCCGAAGAAGCTCGAGGCCATTGGGGGCTTGGCTCAGGATGTGGTTGAAGGAAGGGGACCATGGAGTGAGCGCGGACGGGTGGTCTTGAGGCTGGTACATGAGCAGCTGAAGGGGTTTGCCAATGAGCAGGAGACTGTGAAGGATGCTCTGCAGCTCTTGGATGTGGACGAAGTAGTCGAGGTGCTGGTCATGACTGGGACCTATGCGATGCTGGCCAGGGTGATGAAGGGGCCGCAGGTTGACGATGATGGGTTCATTCCGGGCTTTGAGAAGAAGATCAAGAGTGCTGTATCGTAGGGGAAGTAGGAGAGGCTACGATGCTCACTTGTTTGCTAACTTTCATCTTGTTACTATACCTAGTACTACGCTGGTAGCTTTCACTTGTCACAATATATTATGCCAATCCACTGCTGAATTAACAAGGACATACTAGCACAGATTCAACATAAGATACATTAATGTATTCTCTCCGCTACAGCCTAGAGAGTCTTCCTCTCACAGTCCAGGATAACTGAGCTCTTCAACCTACACCTCTATATCCCTTTCTGCGCCAGCTGTAAGTGAAAGCCGTACTCCACAAATTTAAGATCCCTTTGGATATGTAGTGTGATACTTGTTTCAGAAACGCTAGGGTGTGTAGTAAACAAAAGCAGTTAAATAACTAACTACCTAGGTTACTGTGTAGTTGACAGATGACCCGCTGACTAATTATTGACTAACCACCCCAGTCCAAGCACATGCAGCTCCGCGACAAAAGTGCAAGCATATCGGCAGCAACCCGCGAGCTCGACTTCATCCCGCAAATTAATTCTATCTAAAAACCTCCACACCTCCATACCAAACCGCTTCTTCACACCGAACCAGTTTAAAATTCAAGGACTCACCCAACAAACGAATACCACCCACTACCTCCCGCAAGATAAAATTTTCCTTTCAACCGCCGCAACAATGGCCACCAAACCACCGGTACGTCCATCGCATCCCATCCATCCCCCATCCTAAAACCTCCCTCCTAATCTATACCCCCCACTCCCCCATGAGAAGCTAATCCCCTCTCCAAAGTCAGCAACGACAACCCGCATAACCCACATCCTCAAACACTGGCCCGTCGACAAAGTCCGTCCCGCCTCCGTCTCCATCCACAACTACCTGCAATCCCGCCTCCCCCAACAGTCCACCACTGCCCCGACAGCCCAAGCCCAAACACCCGGTTCGCAACAGACCCCCCAAATCCAAGGCCTCTCCAAAGCGAATCTTGACGCTCTCTCCTCCCTCCTCGAGAACCGGTACGCGCGCCGATACCCGCTCCCCCCGCGGCTGCGCCACCCGGCGAGCAACCCCCAGCACTATGACAATGTCATCCGGGAGTTCGATGAGGCGCCGGATCGGGATTGGTGGGGGCGGTTGCGGAAGAGGGTTGTTGGGATGTTGCGGATGAAATAAGCCAGTCACTCTACTTCCCGGAAGGGGAGTGAGGATGATCGATTTGAGGAGGTGGGCTGGCTGTCAGGTGGGCTGGCTGTCTGGCTGATGGATGCAGTGTCCTTTACTCTACTTTGTTTCTGTTCTGCTGGGGTTGTATAACATGCTGGTGGGTATTTGATAGATTGAAATGGGGAGAGGCGCCTTGATATGCGATTATGCCTGGGTTGGGTGTATGATCTTTGGAAAATTTGGAGTTCAATTGACTCATTCGGAGGAATTCGGAGAGGAAAAGAGAATGGCGGTGGAAAATCTGTACTTCTAAAGCGACAGAAAAACTTGTATATAGATGTTTTTTCTTTAATGATGCGCAGCAATCAAAAAGTGATGGGGAATTTGTTCTTTTGAACAAAATCAAACAGACTGCGGTCTTTCCGACCTTGATCCTTTATGTACAGTACAACCCATATTTCGAGCCTGAAACCTGTCAGGTCATCTACTTACAACATTACTCGACTCTTGGCCCCGCGCGAAAGACAATGCTTAGAAGACATGAAACAGATCACAGCATGGGCTTCACATCGTCGGCCACCTTGAACGGCGCCTCGGTCTTGCTGCGCACTTCCTCCACAGTGACTCCATCCGCCAGCTCGACCAGCGTTAGTCCATCAGTGAAGTCAACATCGAACACGCACAGCTCGGTAATGATCCGGCTGACACATGTCTTCCCAGTCAAGGGAAATTCGCATTGCTTCACGATCTTAGGGTTGCCCTTCTTGTCGGTGTGCTCCATGGTCACGACCACCTTGGTCGCCGAAGGGTTCGAGACCAAATCCATCGCTCCACCAAAGCCCTTGATCTTACCAGGAAGCATCCCTAGAAGCCCAATCTGTCAGCCTTGTCTCTTCAGGAATGTCGGACCCATGAATACTCACAATTGGCCAAATCACCCCTCGCGCTGACTTGCATCGCGCCCAAAATCGTCAAATCAATCCGGCCCGACCGGATCATGCCAAAGGACTCATCGCTACCGAAGCACGCCGCGCCAGGCAACAGCGTCACCGTCTCCTTACCAGCATTGATCAGATCCGGGTCCTCCTGTCCCTTCTTAGGGTAAGGACCCAGTCCCAGAATCCCGTTCTCGGACTGCAGCATGACCTCCACCGATGGATCCACAAAGTTGGGCGCAAGCATCGGCATACCGATCCCCAGGTTCGCATACATGCCGTTCTTGAACTCCTTGGCCGCACGCCTGACAATGCGTTCGCGCTTCGCGGCGGTCTCGCCCTTGCCCAGCGCGGCCGCCTCCTCGGCACCTTCCTCCTTAGCGAACGTGAACTTCTCGATGTTCTTCGGCGTGGTACTCTGGACCACACGCTTGACATAAATTCCGGGGAGGTGGATCGCGGCGGGCTCGATCTCGCCCACCTCGACGATATGCTCCGCTTCCACAATCGTCATCTTAGCGTTGCGACCCATGGCGCCGTTGAAGTTCGCCGCCGCGTAGCGGAATTGACAGTTGCCCAACTTGTCGGCCTTCCATGCCTTAACAAAAGCGTAGTCGCCTTTGATGGCCTCCTCCATCACATAGCTCTTCTTGTCGAAGACCTTGACGTCCCGCGGGTGGCTGTACAGCGCCACGGTTCCGTCAGCGTTGTGCTTTAGGGGCAGTTCGCCCGTCTGGACCACTGTGCCGCAGGCTGCCGGAGTGTAGAAGGCTGGAATCCCGGCTCCACCGGCTCGACACCGCTCGGCTAAGGTGCCTTGCGGTGTCAGTTCCAGCTCGATTTCGCCCGTCAGATACATGCGCTCAAAAGTCTTGTTCTCGCCAACGTAACTGGCGATCATCTTCTTAATCTGCTTTGACTGGAGGAGGAGACCAAGGCCCGATCCGTCCACTCCGGCGTTGTTGCTGACGACGGTCAGGCCGCTGATTGCCGAGTTTGCTCGCACGGCATTGATCAGAGTGTCAGGTACACCACAGAGACCGAAGCCTCCAGCCAGCACCGTCGAATTCGGCTTCAAGTCCTTGATGGCAAGGTCGGCTGAAGACACCACTTTGTTAATTTCTGGCCTGCGAATACTGCTTGAGAACGAGCGAGCAAGGAATAGCTGGTGCTAGATCGCAATAATATTAGTTAGCAAGGCGCAGCACAAGAGTAAGGCGCAAGAACCCACCTTGCTGGGATCAGTGGCGAGCTTCCGCGCGAAGCGCAGGCCCGCAGTCAGTTGAGAAGGCATGATAATTGTATAAGAAGGAGGAACGGGCAACACCGTAAGAGGAAGAGCTTTCTGCAAGACTCAATCGAGCGCTATCTTGGCTCGAGCCACTCGATTGCAGGGGGTGATATAATCGAGAGATCTGGCAGCAAGGAGAGGGGGAGATAGAGAAAAGAGGAGAAGCTCGCCTTATATCGGCTCGGGAGGGCCGCGAACGGCTTGAGGCGGGGAGATGCGGAAAGACAGCCGCTGCCCGCAGCTGCTGCTTGCCGCTTCCCCAGATTGTCGAGTCTCCCCCGCATCGGTCCATCTTCGACTCCGCACCGCCGTTTCTCGTGGCCAGCCTGGAGCTCAACGCCAGACACCAAAGCCTTATAAAAGGTCATAACTCGAGGAGTGTCACTAGTGAGACCTATTGCACAACTACTCTGCGGTTACACCCACGAGACACTAAGTAAACCAGCCATGCGATCATTTACTGAACGAACCTCGGGGTCGGGGCCACCTCCGATCCGCGGTCCCATCCGGATCTGTGATCTGACTAAGCAGGACGCAGCTCGTTAACTGAAGACCCTCCTTTGCTTTCTCTATTGTCTGTCTGTACTCCGTACTATGTATACACATCGTGATCCTCATCAATCAGTCGTGACGCTGAATCGCACTAACTATTTACAGCAAACATACATAAAAGATCCGCCAAATGCATTTGCAAAGAATATTGTACTGAGCATGAAACAAACACGGCATCTTATCTGCATTGTCAAGTCGATAGCAAATCCCCCGCTCAGCCGAAGATGACCAACCCTTCGATCCCGGTAAAGCAGTCTCCACGACCCGTAAGCAATGAGCGGTAGATTCATACCGATGAGCTCTGGTTGTTAGCTCCTATGCTCCTATCATCCCATGGTATCATCTAAGCCCTTGCGCTTCAGTGGATTAGGCGTTGGGTGTCGCTCTGGCGCTGCATCCCCGGGGTCTACCACGCCACGTCACGTAAGTTAGGATGAGTGCTGTAATCTGCGTCGATAGGGGCCTTTTCCTCCTGCATGGGGTGATCGGCGCCCGTACCTGATATGCTCTGGTCGGCCCAAATCGTATCATATGACGGCGGGTTCATATCCATATCCTCACTCAACGGCGCCGCGTCCGTGGCTTGACTCATGGTAGGAAAGCCAGTCTCAGGAGCCATCTCAAGTAGTTCTCTGCGCACAGGATCGACCAATTCATGCTTCATCTGGTCGTTGACGTAAACAAGGAAGTAAGGGGTGGGAGGATTGAATTGTCCCTGGTCCCGGAAGATCTCATCCACATTATACACTTCGGTGACCTCCTGATCATTGTACTTCCGCCATACGTTGCGATCGAAGTCGAAGATGTAGATATAGTAATGGCCGAACTCAACGGAGCCTTGGTGAATGAACACAGCATACAGACGATATGCCTCGTTCTTATGCTCATTGAATTGCTCGGCTATCATCGTTCGAGTTCTTTCGATCTCGTCTTGTACATCTTTTTAGAGAGTCAGAGATAGCTTGGCAATCATGGCAAGCAGGGAAAGAGAAAAGACAAAGCACTTACGTGTCAATTCAGCGCGAGCTGCTTGGGACAGCCGGTCTAGCTCTGCGCGAAGCTTGACGGTATCGATATCGGCAACATTTCCGGTGGAGTCTGTATTTTCAGGAGGTTCTGTAGTCTGTGTAGCTTCTACAAATGCAGATGACACCTCATCTTCAGCAAAGCCTGTGTCTTCGGCGATGCTCTCGAGATCCGACAGAATTCTGCTGGCCTCGTCGAGCAACGCCGGCGTATCAACCTTGCCATCTTCCTGAGAAAGTGGTCAGTATGTGGTCCCATACAAGAGCCAATTCTTGATCAACGTACTGTGGCGTGTTGTAATTCTGACTGCCGAGCTTCAAGTCTTTTCAGGTGCGCTTTCCATTTCCAACTCTGTTGCCGTTTCTCCATAAGTTCTGGCGACTTGGTATCCAGGTACCGGTCAAGGTATATGGTCTCCTCCAAGCCGAGATGATGGGTGGACTTAAATGAGCGCTTTGCGGTGTGGTCGAATTGGACACGCTGGACTTGAATCTGAAGCACTGGAGGAAGCTTGCTGATGGTACCGAACCGCTCGGCAACGGTATTGTCGACGTTGACTTTCTGGACGTCAAACGCCCCGTCAAGTGCTGCATAGATGTTGCGCGGACCTGACGCCACGTCGACCTTGATGTCGCACCACAATTCTTCCATCGGCCGTACGCCCTGCTCTGACTTGAGGTAATATATGGTCTGCCCATAGAACAACCTGGAGACAAAAGCGTCAGCTGGAGCTAGCTTGCTTCTCACTGATTTGACTCACTCTTTGACTTGGTCGATTTGTTCGCCATCGGCAGAGTATGCAACAGGCCGGATTGCGCATTGACTCTGAAAAAGCACATTATTGATAACCTCCGTCACATCTTGCTGGGCTCCAATCTCCAATTCCTCTTGAATAAGTCGCTGAGGGTCAATAACAGGAGTAGGTCGTGGCGGAACTGGCGGGGGTTGGCTCGCCACCACACGCTGGCTTGCAGGGGCAAGATCGCTGGAGGGCTCTGGAGTTACTGTCTGCGCGTCTTCCATCGTAGAATCAATTGGTGGTTTATTTTCCTTGTCGTCACTACGAGGCTCTTGGGTTTCTTCTGCGATCTTCTTCTCAGCCGATGGAACTTCAGTGGTAGCTGTGTCAGAGTTGTGGGTTTTTCCTTCCCCAGTGGGTTGCGGAGGCCCAAGAGGGCCGAGGATGGGCAATCCTTCGAGCTCTCCCAATGCGGCTGCCGGCCTGAAAGTTGAGATGGTAGAGCGGCGACGGATGGCTTCTTCGTTTGATGTTCCAATCAAAGTCAACCGCGCGAGCTCTTGACTTGGCGTGACATAAGGAAACGGAGATGTGATCATTTCGGAAAACAAAGTCCGCAACTCTTTCACAACTGTATAATGAGGGTAAGTATTTTCCATCGAAAGGCAAGACGATGGCCACTTACAGCGCTGAGAGCGCTCAACCTCCTTCCGTGAAACTTTGCGGGATCCTACTTTCTTTCGGCTCAGGTTCTCGTCGCTCAACTCCATGCTGAAATCCTCGAAATGCAGAATCAAGTCACGGTATCCACGGATAGAGAAGTAGAATTGCAATAAGCTGTTCAAATAGCAGGTATTGCCGATGTTCTGCAACCCAACCGGCCACTCGGAGAGGTCACGATCCGGACCAGTGCCCATTCCGGTAGCCTTGCTTGAAAGGAAGCTGCTGTTCTTGTGCTTTCCAATGATCTGCAAGGCTTGGTTGTACATCTCGATCTTGCTTGGATCCTCCGCGATACAGCATGTATACGCCGCCTCAATCAAGTCATCGTCAACCATACGATTGTCTATGCGCAAGAGACGATACGCATCGCCGATATCCATCTCACCGGCAGTCATCTCGCCGGTTTTGAGGAAGTGCTTCAGCGCATCAGACTTCCGCGCATCAGCAATAAGCTCTAGAGCTCGCCGTGCAAGGTCCCTGTTAGACGGAGCATCTTCGACCTACATGAAAAAGTATTAGCCCGTGAGAAACTGAAGTGGCCATGGGTGGGGTCTGACTTTGGCAGTGAACAAGGAAATGATGAAGTCATCCGCAGTTTCGCTGGTGACACCCAGATAGTCCTGGGCTTGTTCCACAGTCGTCACGCCTATGAACAACAGTCAGCTGCAATCGGAAGGATTGACTCGTAGGGTTGGTATCTTACTATCGTCCGCCACTGACTTGATGCGATCACTACGCCTACTCTCTCCTATGATTCGCATTTGTCTGCGAGACTCTTCTTCCTGGGCCGAGGTTGTGGAGCTGAGGTAAGCGTTGAATGTCCCAATGATACTATCTTCAGTGAGCCGAGGGTTGTCATGAGCCAGACCGAAGTATTTGTAGGCATCTACAACATCTTCGTCGGTGAATCTGCCTTCTGCATATGCTTTGATTACCGCTTGCTCGATAACAGCAGCATCATCGCCGCCCCTTAGCTGTCCAATCTCTTTGAGGCATTTCAGGTACAATGGCGACCGTGCGGGGTCGACTGCTACCTGCCTATTGAAAGCTTCGATAATTGTAGCGGACGACATGAAATCGACCGTGCCCAAATCCTCATAGTAGCTATAATCTCATCAGCAGGTGCTACCGAAGTGAGACACAGTGTTGACGTACGGTGCGGGAGCCATCTGAAATTCGTTCGAGCGTTCTGCGCCCGGGTCTAGGATGTTTGTTAGTTGCGATTTACCTCATGTTATGCAGAGCTCACTCACAATCAGCTGCATCCAAGGCACGAAGCAAGTCAAATGTTGCTAGCTCGCCACGAGCTTCCACTTGATGGCCCTTCTTTTCTATTACAGGTCGCTGCTCTTTTAGGAAAGAGATTTCGTGCAACACATCGTCTAGGAAGATCTTGAGCTGGTCTCGATAGGGATGCTCTGTCCATGGACTAGTCCGTGGAGGCTCCCAGAAACCTTCATTCTAGCTAGGATATAAGCATAATGGTCGAGCTCTGTCACGTCCAATGTACGAACCTTGATTGTGAATCCTAGGAATTCCAGCAGATCTTTGCAGGGAACACCATCAAGGCCAAAGCAAGTGATGAACCGTTTGTTATTGGCTGATATGGACTTGCTCTTGTCAGCTGCATTCAGCGAGTTGTAGAGGTAGGCGCCAAGGGTTTCAAGGACACTAAGGGGCTGCGGCAGGGCCAAGCCCTCCAGACGCTCGGGCTCTGCTGCGAAAGCCTCCTCTGCTCGCTGCTGAATGAGGTGAGGATCCGTCAATAACTGCACCCATTCATGGGAGAGAACCGGAGAGACGATTCGAGCCGACACCACCGTAGGGCATGTGAGATAGGAGCATTCGAACTCGTACGTCTCTACATTCTGTCCTTTTGGTGTGATGTCCCGTCCACCCTGTCCTTCCGATCTGTATACCAAGTGATGCAAGTGAGTTGACGAGTTCTGAGTGTGTTGGCCGATCGTAGGTGTGGAGTGCACGACAAGTTGCAGGTGGCAGCGACACTTGCGGCATACGGCAGACACTTTGGGAGGGTTCGCGCTGCTCCTCCTCTCCGGCTCAGGCACAAGGGTCTGCTTCGGCTTGGTCACATATTCATGCCGACATGCTGAAGGAGATATATACTCCTGTGGCCCAGCGTAGTGATCCGGGAAGACGGGTGGGGTTTGTGAGAGGAGATTGCGTCCAGAAACTGGAGGATGAACAGGATCGTAGTCGCAAAGGGCTTGTACGAGACCGGGCGCAGTCCTGCCTAAGAAAGAGATCTTCTGTTAGCCGCATTTATGGTTCGGGAATTTGCGCGCTGTCGTTATAGAGGATGTGCACGTACCTGGCCTCTGCGTGGATGACATGGGTACGCTCTTGATGAGCTTACAGCAGCGCGCGGGGTTCTGGCAGGCAACAACGAAGCTTCTGTAGAAGGCTTCCCATGCAGTTATTTACAGAAGACAATGATCAACTTTTATGGAGATGTATGAGCCACTCGAACGGCAGATTTGAATATGTGAAAATAGTACGAGGTACGAGACACTCCAGATGGTTACTGTAAGTTAACAGCAACGGCGGGGAGTGACGAGCGGCCCGCACACGGCCTGGCGGCAAGTTTGACGGTCGTTTCTCGCACCTCTGCAAGCACAAGAGAATGTGAAGAGGTTCAAGATAGCTTGGCTGGATAGCCAGAGAAATCATATATAGAAATGTCAATAAGATAAGAGATAGAGCAAATAACAGCCGACGAGGAAACTTGCTGCCGGATTGTCGTCAATGGGAAGCTCCAGCAGGGAGCCCGGCGGTAGGCGGTGTCAATAGGCAGAAACTCTGACGTCTCCAAATTCATTCGCACCCGTCCGGAGACGACACTTGAATGCAGTGCCAGCAGCCACAACTCGTCCATACACCATCTCATAGTCCACCGCCACCATGGCCTCTCACTCCGATGACCACGATTATCACCCCAAGGATGCGCTTCAGGCATCCTTGAAGACCACCATGCTCACTGGTGGAGTGGGTCTCTTCGCCTCCGCCGTTCAGAACACCCTGACTAAGAAGAACGTCGGACCCTGGGGTGTGTTCACGAGGACTGGCGGCACGATCGGTATTTTCGGTACGATGGAATCTTTGCAATTGGGCATTGATGAATAGCCCAAGGCGATTGTCTCGCTTGCTGACAATGGGATGTCTAGCCGCCATGGGAGGTACCTACGAGTTTGTGAAGACTGCTTCCGCCAACCTTCGTCAAAAGGAAGACCACTACAATGTCGCCCTGGGAGGTTTCTTCTCCGGTGCTATTCTCGGACTTAGACGTCAGTTCTCATTGCTCATCAGTCCATTTTAGATGCCGAATTAGGCCTAGCTGACGCTGTTGAATAGTCCGCACTTTCCCCGCCGTCCTCGGTTACGGTGTTGGCCTGGCCGTCACCCTCGGCGCCTTCGAATACGCCGGTGGCTCTCTCTTCGGTCAGCGGCGGGATCCGACTGTCGACGAGTTCGAGCGCCGGGAGAAGATCAGAACGGCATACAGAACCTCCGGAGAGGAGACTTTGGCTCAGCTGGGTGAGGGACGAGGTAGGTTCAATTGACCGAACGACTTCGGACACCTCAGAGAACGCGCAGAGCTAATCCGTATTCACAGGCATCTACGGCCCTGGCTATGCGGAGAGACGGGCGCAGAGAATTAAGGAGGCATACGGTATCGAGGTTCCCACATCGTCCGCTCCTGCATCATAGAAACGGTTTCTTCGAATTTTCGCGCGCAGTCTTTCCATTCCCGATTTTGTTGTGTAAAAATATTGCGTTACCCAGATGCCGTTCAGCTAGCAGATTTGGCATGTCCCACGAATGCACCTTTTCTTATATTCGTCTCGACCTTTTGCTTGAAAACAGGCAACTCGGCTTTAAGTGATCGACCATCCCGGAGTCATGCGATGCGTGAGACTTGTATTGGTACACGAGAGGTTGCCATGGATCAAGTCAGGTGAATATCATATTCAAGGTCGCGCACTCCACCGGCGGGCTAGAAGTCGGACAACCCGCGCAGACCCCCCCTCCCCAGCGACACAGTAAAGATCCATCGCTTTGCATCAAGATTTCCTAACTTGATCTTCGGCTTACATGTAGAGACACAATGTCGAATCATTAGAAATAGATTCAATCCCGAGAAATTCCGCATTGGTTTTGCAGGCTCCTGATGGGCAATGCCAAGCATCAGTCGGATTTACCTCCACTTTCAAGTTACTTTCCGTTGAAGTTAGCACCGGAGGGGTTTCAACCAATCATATAGCCAGCTTATCAAGCAGCGGAGAGTCAAGCTACATGGAATTGACCATTACAAAGTACTACTTCAAATTGAGTATTGCAAGTATGCACTACAAACATGGCAGCGCTTAATGGAAAGACTTGGTCTGATTCATATCTTATAGTTCATGCAACCCGCCAAACACACTACATTCAGTGCAAGTCAGCTGATCCCGGTAAGGCGGACTTGGCATGAACCATACCTAGCGGCCACTGTGGGTTATTCATCATATGGGTCATAGTTACAGCGAAAGAAAAAGAGTGACGAGTTACTCGATGACTGATTCAAGTAGTCCTGAGAATTTCTTGATTCATGTGGGGCCGTCCCAAAGCCTCGACGAGATGTGCTGTCTTTCCCCATCGTCAACCGGCCACACAATCGCAAGGAGAAAACGTGAAACGATGCTCAAATTGGTCGCACAAACATGCCATGCCATGCGACCAGGAAACCCCAAACCAGATTGCTAGGCTCGCCAACGTATGCGATGCAGGGAGCGTAGAACGGTGGCAGGAGCAAAAAACAGGAACAGGACAGTAAGAAGGAAGGAGGCGAGCGGGTTTATTCTCCGCATAGTTTGCGGGTGTCTGCAACAAGCATTCCCAGCAGATCGGACGAAAGGCCGGTCAGTGTCTGAGATCAGAAAATCCCATCACTCTTTGCCAGAAGTGAGACCTCGCTTCACGGCAGCAACCTAAATCGCTATACCCCAAAACTGGGAGTAGGGTGAGGACTCGCAGTCCCTATCATCATAACTATATGCTCCACTTCATAGTATGATCAGATAGGCTTCGTCCATAGGTAGTATCAGCTGCGCCTGCGCCGCTACATGACTACTCACTGTACAGTACAGCACAGGCAGAAGCATTTCCATCTCATTCACTAGAGGCAAGACTGCCAGGCCTGCAGACGGACAACCTTGCACCACAACAAGTCGCATAAACGCCGAGAAAGCTGCAGACCCCTCGTCTTCTAAGCTTCTAGAAAAGGCAAGGGGAGAAGGGACTGTTCTTCGAGTTTCTCTGTAGGGTAAATCACTTCCATCCAGGCTGCTGGGTCCCTCTCTTGTCCTTGTCCACGGAGACACACCGAGCCAAGGGATGCATGATAGTTGATGCAGGGGAAGTTATGATATCACATCGTCGGGGGGAACTTAGCCCCTCCTTTCTCCCGTCCTGTTATCCACGGTACGTACTTCTGCTTCGTTGAGATCGACCAAAACGACGAATCGCCTCTTCTACGGGGGGGCGTATGGTTGTGGTGGGAGTAAACGGATTTACTCCGGAGTACAACAGGAAAGGCGAACTGATGTTCATGCTGCTCCAGCAAGGTCCCATTTCCGGGGGATGCACTATGTAAGTGGGCGACAGGGACTACGTCAAGGATGCGTGCATCGCAGAGAAAAAGAAGGGAAAAGAAGGGTATGATGTGGAGCGGTTGCAGAAACGAGCCCATCAGAGTCAGACAGACCTCTGGTATGTGGCTCTCTGACTCCGATCGTTTTCGCGATCGATAAGAGACCAGCAAGAGACTGGCCTCAAGATCGGTGGTTCTTCCTCGCAAAACTCTGCATTGTATACGGACTAACTTATGGAGTAGTCGCGTAGAGGTGCATCCATCCGGATCGACATGGAGTGGATGAACCGTGCATGACGTCGAGGATCGAGGGGAATCCTGGGATTGCTGCCTCGCCGATACCCAAAGGGGCAAGACCACCAAAGAAAAAAAGAGTTGCGCTGAGAGGGGGAGTTCGAAGAGGATCCATTCCCGAAGATCCGTCCGGGAGTCTCCTTTTCTCCTGGGTGCATATTCTGGGTTTGTGGGATGAATTGCCACTCAGTTTCGGTACAGGGGACGGAAAAGGGGGTGGGTGGGTGTTTCCATCGAAGGTTGTGAAGAAGAGCAAGTACACCACAGTAACAGCTACCTCGTCGGTAATTGCGCAAACTGTATCAGACGATCCGTAGATTGGCTGGACGGGCAAACCCCTCGCCCCGCGGACCATGGCTTGAAAAGGGCAAAAGGGAGCCTGGTTGTGCAGACAAAATGGGAACTCCCTAGCCACAATCCCACTTATGTAAGGTAACTGGGGGATGGTGCTTATGCATGGCACCAGCCACGTTCCATGCATGAGAGATTTGATCTACAGTACGGAGTACAAGTTATGGAGTACGGGGACTCAGACTAACTAAGATCATCATGCTTCGGGCAGTGAGGATAGGCATCAGCACCAGCACCAGCATCTTCAGCAAGCAGTACGGAGAATGGACTCGCACATCTGTCTCCCCACCAGCATTGGGTGGCGCAATACTGTGTAGGGTCATGAGAATGATGAGGTTTCTGAGAAAGGATGTGCATACTGTGTGCGATTTATCCTGGATTTCACCTGGGACGATCATGCACCATTATACCTCGTCATTGAGATTGGTGACTGGCGTCTACAGATACTCATGTGTCTTGAGGGGTCTGGATTATGTGATTATTTATAGACCCGGGGGAAAAGGAGACAGACCATAGTAAATGGCGCCCAGACCTATTGACTGATATGTACGGAGTACATACTGTGTGTGTGTGCGCACATACTTGGTTGAAAAAGTGGCTCTATAAGGTTCTCGTACTCTCTGGCCAACCTCCCCGCCCTTCTCCCCTCCTTCTTAACAATTAGAACCTTAAAGAATGTATATGATGAGAGTAATGGCGAAAGGATAAAGAAGTCACCAACCAAAAAGAGAGTAACGAAGAAGAAAAAAGAAAAAGAAGAAAAAAAAAAAAAAAGGTCAGAGGTCGGGACCGGAGATTCCGTCCCAAGCGTCATAACGTCGCATTACCATTTGGATCATTTGGCTGGGGTAGACGTCATCCAAATTGACACTGGATATAATCACTTCCCCCCTTTACTTTACCTCCGATGAGCCAGAGCAGAAACTGTGTAAACTCTTTTGTTTTATTTTTTTTTAAACCTACAAACTCCAACTACAATACTCACAGTCTACACTACACTGCACTACTCTCTACTCTACACTCGAGATTCACAGTTAAATTCCCCCCCTGAAACATTGACGGCGATCTGAATTGCACATATCGGGAGATTGTCCTGTCACTACTTGAATTGGAGACTCCTTATTGCAATCTACTCTTCCCACTCTAAATACTCCGGGTCCAGCCCATCCTCCTATACGAACTAGTTTCTCCCTCAGTGGAGACCCAATCTCCCCCCGAACGTCGCGTCCTGATCGACTGTGGGCTTCGTTTTCTACGCAGTGAATATCATTCTTCTAGCCTCTCTTCGTCGGTTCGAATGGGAGAGAAAAAGAGACCCTTTTAGGTCTGTTTCGTTTGCCTGGTAACCAATACCACCTCCCGACATCAACCACTATTCCCCGTTAGTTACTGCTACTACTGCTACTACTACCACAACCTACCGACTACTACTACTACTACTTCTACTTCTACTACCACTCTACTAAATCCGATCATTCGCCTGATTCTTTTTAATTTGACTCTCCTTTTCATCTTCCTTTCCTCTCACTCGTCCTCTTACGACCGACTCCTGTCCTCCCTATTCTCATTTCGTCTTTGACAGCCCGCGCGTTTCATGATATAGTGTTACTCTGAACGTCTTTATAACTCTGAACACGGCCCGCATCCGGCAACGGACCTTTTTTTTCTCAACGACGGACCGAATTGATATCGACACACGGGCCTGGACTGTTCTTGCACCGCCCGCTTGCGCTGACTTGCATCGCCCGTCAACCACTCTTACTCGCAACACGCCGACGACCGCCACTGGTTTGCTCTCCCTCCCATTCCTTACCTCCTCGCCTCGCTCCCTTTCCTGCTCGGTCAGTCATAGTCATGGCTATGGCTGTCAGGTCGCAAACGCCAGTACAGGATCCCTATGGCACCCTCCTTCAACATCCCGATTCACTATTAAATCGCGGAGCGTACGGCGCGCGCTCCAGCTCCCGACCCAACTCTATTGTCGCCAGTACTTCCGGTTACAACAACGCCCCTCACGCCGCCGACCCCGCCTCTCTCCCTCACACCGGTCGCTTTCACGAGGAGTTTGACGCTGCCAGCCAGCGCGGCTCCGTTCTTGTCGACGGTCCTTCGAGACCTGATATGCAGCGCTCCGCTTCGCAAATGTCCCAGTCTCGTTCGGCGACTCCGACTCGCTCCGGTACACTAAGAAAGAAGGCCTCTCTTAGTAGAAAAAGCAGCATGCGTCGCAGCGGGAGCAAGAGAAGTCTGCGAGCAGGCAGCGTACGAAGCCTCATTCTAGGCGACAAAGAGAAGTATGGCGTCGATGGCGAGGATCCGAACAGCGCTTTCTATATCCCCGTACCAACGGACGGAAGTCCGACCGAGGTACTAGCTAACCGCTTTCAATGTAAGGACTCCTCCCAAACTGCAGAGAGACTCGAGAGATTATATGCTAACATGTAGCAGCATGGCGCAAAATTCTCAAAGATCTTATCATCTTCTTCAAGGAGGTCCAGAAGTCGTACGAAACACGCTCGAAACTCTTCATGTCCGCCTCCAACATCATGAACAACACATCGCTGCCACCGACCTTCCTCAAGTCGGGCGGTCTGGCAGATGCGACCGAGATCTTGCGCGATTTTCACCGCCAGGGGTATATGGAAGCAACCAAGGCGGCCGAGGTGGAGAGCGAGGTTGTGAATCAGCTCATGGGCCTTCGTAATGATCTTCAGAAGAAGACCAAGGAGATCCGTGGCTTGTCGGGCGATTTTCGGAATTCCGTCGACAAAGAAGTTGACGCTACCCGCAAGGCCGTGCGACACTTACATGAGGCTTTAGGTCTTGTGGACACTGACCCATCCGCGACTTCCGGGAAAGGTGATCCTTTCATTGTTCGCTTGAGCGTGGACAAACAGATTGAGAAGCAGATTGAAGAAGAGAACTATCTGCACCGGGTATGTCGCCAGCGGCTTCCCGTATCCAAATGCATCATGCGCGAGAAACGCTAACTCTTGTCTAGGCATTCCTTAACTTGGAGAACTCTGGTCGCGAACTCGAATCGATTGTTGTCAGTGAGATTCAGAAGGCGTATAACGCCTATGCCAGCATACTCAAGCGCGAGGCGGACGAAACCTACGATACCGTCGAAAAACTTCGTGCTGGCCCTATTTCGATGCCGCATGACCATGAATGGAATGCATTCATCGCAGACACTGAGGAACTGGTCGATCCACGAGTGCCTATTCGCGACATCGAGAATATCACCTATCCAGGCAAGGACCACCCTGCCGCCGCAGAGGTCCGATCTGGTATGCTGGAGCGTAAGAGCAAGTACCTGAAGAGCTATACGCCTGGCTGGTATGTGCTGTCGCCCACCCATCTCCATGAATTCAAGTCTGCCGACCGTGTCGCATGGCAACAACCGGTGATGTCATTGAATCTCTTGGACCAGAAGCTGGGGTCGCACTCGCAACCCGACTCAACCTCACACAAGTTCATGCTCAAGGGGAGACAGACCGGGACCATGCACCGGGGTCACTCATGGGTTTTCCGCGCTGAGTCCCATGAGACGATGATGGCCTGGTACGAAGACATCGAGAGCCTCATGTCCAAGACAGGCGAGGCTCGCAATGCGTACGTGAGGCGTCATGTACGCACCGTGAGCGGAGCCAGTTTCCGTAACAGCAGTGATGGCATGGACGAGGATGAGGCGGACCGGACCCCGTACTCGGCGGAGTCAGCTGTCCTGTACCAAGAGCGTCCCACCTCCCAGCCTCGTCAACCCGGTGGCCGTTTTCCCAGCGATGTGCAAATCGACCGTCACTTAGAGGCGCCTCTGTCGCCTTCAAGCGGTGAAAGCTCTGGGGACAGGGACCTTCTGGCGGCGGCCGGCTCTTTTTCCGACCCTAGGCCATTCGGCAACACCATGACGGACGGCGAGGTCAATGGAGCCCGTCTAGAAAACCAAGAGTATCCCAGACCAGTAGAAAGGCACGGCAGCTACTATGGCACGTGGGTGGGAGCCGGAGGTCCCGACCAGCAGCCCCAGCCGATGCAGCAAAGCTATGACCGAGACTATCAAGACCGGGATGCTGGTGAGGCCGTTTTTGTGACTGGGATGGGATCCACGAGCTCGCGAGATCCGTCTCTGACTCGTCAACGCAACCGCGGCGCAAGCGCCTCAACTGCGCCCTCGGCCACAAACGGCACAGAGTATACACACAACACTGTACCTACCTCCATCGATGAACACGAAGGGCCAGACGTCAATGTCGTCGGAGTCGAACTTGACGGCGCAGCCAAGCAGCCCATGACAAATGCCGACCTTGATGAGCCTGCTCTTGCTGTCCCCTCCGTCGGAACCGCTGCCACCGACATGGCAGTCCCACAAAATGGCAGTGCCAAACGACCTCCAGCACATACGAAGAGCAGCGTTTCCGCCCTTGAGTTGCAGATTCCTGGCCATTACCCCCCTGCAAACAACGTGTCGCCGTGAATGCAGAAACCATAGGCCGTGGCTTCTCAAAGCGAATGGCTGTACGCTGTTTGCCAAAATGCCGAAAAGTTGAACCTCTAATAACAGAGTCAACCTCCAGGCATATATTTCTTTTGTCACACCATTTCCTATGTTCTTTTCCTTTGTACATCCTCACGAATTGACGGCAATGACTTGGTGGTGTCGAATATGTGCGCCCTTTTATCTTCAATCACATCCGAGGAAGAACAAAAGGATGACACATTACAGCAATTTGGGGGAAGGTGTTGATAAAGACGCGAACATCTTTACCTTGACCTAGCCCATCCCAAACTCTCTCAGACCTGGTTTATATTCAGTACACACAGACCAACTCCCTCCCCCCCTCCCACAAGTCTGCATGCGCCCAATCACTCTTGCTGTTGCTCGCACTCCACCGCATATGACAGGTCCGATCAACGCGCGAGAACAGCTTGAGGCTATCGCATTCTGGGTACTGTACAGCTCGACAGGTCCAAGTGACGCTTCACCGCAGCTGAAGTTTTCTGCTTCTCTTTTCCATTTTCTTTTCTCTAGGCGTTGAACAACGGACGGACTGGACAGGCGGGATGGATGGAACGGTCGGTCGGTCGGTCGGTCGGTTGATTGAGGTGCAAATGGTCCAGGAAACGGGGGAACTACGAAGGTTTCTTTCTTGATTGCGCGCGAATTGCTTTTATGGGTTATTGCTTTCTGATTTGCTTGCTGCGTTGCTCTTTTGCATTTTTTTTGTTTTTCTGCGCTTTTACTTTTCGCGTTTTCTCCTTTCACATATCCCGTTTTTACTTTACTTCACTTCATGTATCATATTTCATCTCGCCCTCAGCATCATCTCTTCGCTTCGCACCTGGAAAAAGCCACCAGTAGAAGTGACGGAGAAATGAAGCTGAGGCATATTTTTCTTTCTTTTTTTTTTTTTTTTTCTCTTTCCTCTTTTCTCCTTGCTTCGAAATCTAAGTTCAATCCAGGCTGGGTTCTTTGCTTTATCGATTCCATTTTATCATGGTTGTTTCTCTGTCTCTGTCTCTGCGCTACTTTGGGCAATACTACCAAGTCACTACTTAGGAACAGAAAGGTACTCCCTAGCGGGTACGTGACAAATTTGCATCGATGATAGTCTTTTCCCTCCCTCCCCGCTTCACCGTGGAAAGTACCGAGAAAGAGGGACCTCCATTACTCACTCCTTGACCGAGTACTCCGTAGTGGCTGATAATATACAGTCGATGCAGGCAGGGCTTTGCTGTAGAACAAGCTGCTGTGAGCGCTTTTTGCATTTAATCACCGACTCGACGGTCCGCGTGTTGATATGCATCATATCTGTATCTGTGTCTTGTTGGACACATGTGTAAGAACCCAGCGCGGGTATCCTAATAATATACAACTAGATCGTACATACAAACATTTGTGGATAAAGAGAGGAGGGGTGTGGCAACTGTTCCGTCCTCCTCGAGCAAGACCAGAGGAATATGGACAGTCTTTCAACGGGCAGTGCTTACTGAACAACACAAAGCCGCCCACCTCCCCCCCTACTTACTGTGCACAGCCTACCACAGCCTACCACAGCCACATTACCAGACCTACCAAACAGCGGAGGATCCAGCTAATTCTCAAACCGTAACCCAGGTGCAGAGTCGTCAAATTTGTCGGAAGCAGAAGGCATCGTAGGGGCATCGGATGCAAATGCCCTTTCTCAACTCGGGGTGCAGACACATTCTTCGATAATGTCAAGACAGGTCTGATTTATGCCCACAAACCAGATCGCCGAAAGATCAAAGGAAAACATATAACAAAAGCTAACCAGCAATAACACACGTCATGTACGATGACATGAATACAACACAAATCATATCGAAAATGGGGAATGAGGCTAGGGGCGATATTTCAAGGTAATCAGCAAACGCGAGCCCGCGCCGACAGGTGATCCTTTGAACCACTCGGAGTCATACATCGCAAACTTTTTCGAACAAATCCTCCGAAAGCCGAGATATTTCACCAACCCGGTACAATTACATGATCTGGTCCTGGGTAATAGGAGCCGTGGGGTCCTGGCCCTCCATCGCGTCTGCGGGAGGGCCGCCCACGTTCAGGTACTTGACGAAGGTGATGCCCAAGGGACGACCACCGTACTGATAACCTGTGAACTTGGCTGCGCAGGCAGTGAGTATAAGATCCACGGGCAACTTATCTATTGAAGGGACATGCACATACCGATAGCGGTCTCAGCAGTTTCCGCATTGTCGAATTGAACCACACCGGTGCCGCGGGAGCGACCGTTGGGCTCATACTGGATTTCGGCGCGATCAACCTTGCCGATGGTCGAGAACAAGTCGACGAGATCCTCGTGGCAGGTAGACCAGGGCAGCTACGTTGAGTGTTAGTTGGCGACATGAAAGGATAATCTGTAGGGGTTCACGTACGTTGCGCACGTAGATAACGGGGCTCTTCTCGCCGCCGGAAGTGGCAAAGTCGGTAAAGGGGTTGGGAGGAACCGAAGCGACACCCTCAAAGCCGGGGCCGCTAGGACCGCCAGGACCGCCAAAGCCAGGGCCGCCGCCGCCGTAGCCGCCGCGACCACCAAAGCCGCCGCCGAAACCACCACGACCGCCAAAGCCACCGCGGCCACCGAAGCCGCCTCCAAAGCCACCGCGGCCGCCGAAGCCACCGCGGCCGCCAAAGCCGGGACCAGCACCAGCGAAGCGATCCTCGCGGACCTCCAAGGGCCGACCTTGCCAGTCGTAACCGTTGAACTGCTGGATAGCATTGCGCGCATCCTCGGGAGACTCGAACGCGACGATACCGGAGCCCTTGGGCCGGCCGGTAGCATCGGTGTGAACATCCGCACGAATGACCGCACCTTGTTGAGCTACAGAATTAGCTGCTGTCTGGTCTTCGTGACACGTTTCATAAAGTGAAAAGGGCGCCGCATCCTTTCTGGCCCGGATGACTCACCGGCTTGACGGAACAAATCCTTCAGATCTTGCCAACCCACGTTGAACGGAAGCTAGACATCTCGCCATCAGTTCTCCATCTATTCCAATGCTCGTTCTGGCAGCACCTACGTTGGACACGAAGAGCTGACGGCCGCCAGCACCACCGGCACCGCCGGCACCGCCGAATCCACCACCACCATAACCGCCGCGACCGGCACCGCCGAAGTCGCCGCGCGAAGGTCCGCCGGTGAAACGCGGCTCGGGTTCACGATCCTAGAGCAATCCAGTCAGTCGTCGTTGAACAATGAACTAGAGTGGAACATCACCTACCTCACGAACGTAGACAAGGCGGCCCATCAGGTTCTGGTTGCTAAGGGTGTTGACCGCATTTTGCGCTTGATCCCTGGTCGCGTATTCCACAATCCTACCCGCTGAGTTAGTGCGCGTTCCAAATAGACCGTAAACAATCAGGTCCATGCTTACCCGCATCCCTACAGTATCCCGGACGGCCAGGCCCAGCCCGTCAACCCAAACAGTCCATAACAAGCAAACCAACGAGAAGGGGAAGGGTAAGGGGAAAGAGTCCAGGAATAACAAAAGGGCAGAGAGAAGGGAAAAAAACCAGCCACACTACGCATTGGCGCCCACCTTCGACATTCCGTTGGGAAGAAGCAAGACATCGGCAAAGATAACTTCTCCAGCTGTAACACACGACGCGGGTGAAACCCCCCCTCCAAAGTCAGCCCTCACAATCCATAGCAACGGGTCGAGCGCACCAGGCGCTCGAGACGATGTGACCCTGCTCACCCTGTCTCATAAAGTCCTTAAGGTGATGCCACTTGACATCGTAGGAAAGGTTGCCCACATAGACCCGACGGTCTTGCTGGGACGACTCGCGCACGGCTTGCATCATTTGTTCTTTGTGAACGGCGCGTTCTTCGTATGATCGAGCAGGAGGCGGGTAGCTGCTGCGCCCACCGTAGCCAGAAGCTGAATGACCACCAGAAGGGCCTTGAGCCGCACTCATAGGCGAGCGGGAACGACGATCGGAGCGGCGGTAGTCGTCACGACTGCGTGAGCGACTGCGAGGAGAATAGGAGCGACGGCTGCGTCGGGGGCTACGAGAACGGCGACGGGGAGAACGAGACCTCTCGCGCTGGGCGTGGTCAGTATCGTCGAAGGCGGGTGGAGACATTGACGAGGAGCGAGAATTGAGCGCGCGGCAGGTAGGCCGGGCACGGACAGAGGAAGAGAGAAAAGACTGTGTAGAACAAAGGGAAAATTCGGGAAAGGTGGAGAATGTGCGCGCAAGGTCCTTAATTGAAAGTTTTCCGGGGGGGGGGGGAGCAGGAATGAAGGAGAAGAAGTGATATTTGGGGGGGGGGTGTGGTGAGAGAGGATGACTGGAGATGGAAGGATAAAAGATGGGGACCGAGTTTGGGAAGGGAAGGGAAGAGGAGTAGCAGCAGCAGCAGCAGCAGCAACAGCAACAGCAGACCGAGTTGCCGGGCGGTCCAGTCAGGTGACTGACCCGGTGCGGGCAAGACAAGGCTGGAGGAACCTTGTAGGAGCAGTGGAGAAATGCCCCCGTATGGAATTTAACGGCAATAAGCGGCAGTGAAAATCAAGACTCGCTTCAAAGGTGACACGAAAGAGATAACAAGAATCACAGCAGACAGAGAATTGCGATACTGAAGCAGCATCAGGGAGAACAGAAGCCGACGATGCAGTGGTGGTCGGTGCTTCTTGGCCCCAGGCGGAGAAGAGGAGCAGCAGCCCAGCTGTTACAACCGCCCGGGTGGAGACTTTGATGATGGTCCATCTCTTCCCTCGCTCATACTCTCTCTTTGCCCTTTGTAGTCCCAAGGTGTAAAGGACCCTGCAGACAGAATAGTCCTTTCGCTACACAATACACAGCAACAACAACAACAAGAAAGAAGAAGAAAATCCCACACTTACTGGCTGAGGTCGATACACGTCGGCTGGACACCGGATCTAGATGGTAAGCCACCAAACCAATGGTCGGGAATCAACAGACAAAGGAGCCACTCAGAAATTTACCAAAGTAGGGAGAATGGAGACGAGTCAAGGGGAAATGGGAAGCAATAAGAATGGGAACCAAGTGAGGTGAGAAAGCAAGTAAGCAGGGGAATCAGGAGGAGGAGGGAAAAGGAAGAGAAGAGGTAGGAGGAAGTAGAGGAAGAAGAGAGGAGGAGGAGATGGGAAGAAAGAGTCAGTAGGCAGTAGTCAGCCGAAGGACTAGTTAGTTAAGAGTAGAGAAAGAAAACGAGAACGAGAAAGCTGAAATAAAGGAGGGTGACGGCGGCGGGGGTATTAGAGGGTGGAACGAACACTCGTTGGTTGGTGATGGTTGGGTAAGTAGTTAGTAGTAGTAGTGGTAGTAGTAGTAATCATAAGGTGGTAGTTAGTAGTGGTAGACATGACAAGGTGGAAAAGAGAGAGAGAGAGACAGACAGACAGACAGACAGACAGAGAACACAATGCAATGGTGGTTCCAGCCCGTGTCTGTCTCTCCTCAACATGCAGGTCCACACTATGTGATTGGCCTTGTTGCGTCTCTTCTTCCCGCTGTCTTGTCACCACCGAAGAGGAGACATGGGAAATCGGTCGCATAGACGCCACACTCATGCTCCTCCTCCTCCTCCTCCTCCTCCTCCTCCTCCTCTCACCACCGCTCATGTCTCTTACTCGGGCAAGGGCTTGAATGGACCACGTCTACAGGGAAAAGGGATGAACGCGCAGTCACCGGATGGGCTCGTGAGAGGAAAGGGTCAGGGAAGAAGCAGAGGGGATGGATGGATGGTTGGATGTTGAAGGCAGTAAATGTAAACAGACAGCGAGCAGATAGCAAACGAGAGATAACCCACCCATGATAATTTCTGAACAGGGACAAACGGTCCAGTCGGCAGTAAGCAAAGGTTCAGAGGGAGGAGAGAAGGAAAGGAGAATGGCTTTGAGGGGATAAAGGTGTGTGGTGTGGGTGGAAGTGAGAGGTGGATGAGTGGATGGGAGGAGAGGATGTGGAATGCAGATGCGGATGATGACAGGAGGATGAAAGGGCGGGGGGGAAGGGAGGAAAAGATAAGATGAACGAACTAGTCGGAAGTAGTCCGTTAGATTGGAGATTGCCGACTTACATTAATGATTATTTACGGAGTAGTAAACAAGTAAGATCGGTCAGATCGAAAATAATTGACGCTGCTGCCGTTCAATCAAGTCAATCCGACTGGTTACTTGAATAAAAGATGTCAACATGGACATACTATGATACTATGATAGCTTGCGCCTCCATAACTATCCCTATGGTTTCCATCACCTCGCGACCAACAGCCAACTTGATTTCACCCAAGATCTACAGTTCACTCTAGTGCCAAGTCAATTGAGAACATTACTAGTAGCCCTTAGCCGACGCAGTAGTATGAATAATGAATCATGGAAGACTCCGAATACTCCGTATACTCGGACCCGGCCAGCTGAAGGTCAATCAATCTTGGCTCCGCTCAGGCCACCGCTTAACAAATTCCTCCCGCCGAACATCCGACTTTCTTCCAACCACCACCACTACTTTTTGCTCAACTTGCCTCCATACCCTCTCCGATTCAACAATCGCGAAAACGAAAGAAAGAAACACTCTCCTGAAAAGATGACCCGTCCAACCTCCCTCCTCACTCTTACCCGGAGAGGACTCTTCCATCCCTCCACCCCCCGCACCGCACTTCCCCTGGCGCCCTCAGCTCCCCGTAACCATCTCCGCCAATGCCAACCCCAATCGCAAATCCACACCACAACCACCCAACCCAACTCGCTCACAACTCCTCGCCTCTCTCAAAAAACAAGTCCAAAACTATCGCCTAAGCCCCGCGCCTACCATTCCGACCACCACCCCACTCAGCCCCACGACTACACCAACTCGCAAACCACCATCCTCTCCGCCGCCCTCCACCACGTCCCCACGCACGGCTTCTCCCGCGACGCCCTCACCCTCGGCTGCCGCGACGCCGGCTTTCTCGATGTCTCTGTGCAGCTCCTCCCGCGCGCCGAGTTCGATCTGATCCTCTTCTGGCTCGCCAGCCGCCGCGGCCTCCTCCGCTCCAAGGTCGAATCCGACGGCCTGTTGCTCCCATCCTCCACCGGCGGTGGCCCCGTGCTCTCCGTCGACGACAAGATTCAGATCCTGTTGATGGAACGCTTGCGCATGAATGCGGAGGTCAAGGATCAGTGGCAGGATGTAAGTTTGCTTCTCCTCCTTCATCCTCTTCGGGTATAGGAGGGTTTGTTTCAAAGGAACCCCCCCGTATACACCTTCACCCAGCAAGAAAAAACCACTAATACTCATATGGCACAAATCAGGCATTGGCGGTCATGTCCCTCGGTGAAAACATCCCCCTCTCGCTCTCCGAACTCCACGCCCTGGCCGACGATATCCTCAATCTGGCCGGCGATAAATCCGTCGATGCCTCGTGGTATTCGAAGCGCATGGCGGTGGCGGCCGTGTACGCCGCCTCGGACTTTGTCATGACCCGCGACACGAGCGCCGGACTGCGCGACACGGAGGAGTTCGTGGCGCGCAGATGGGCGGATGCCCGCGCTGTCGGGAATAAGCTTACGGGGGTGAGGGAGTGTTTGGGGTTCATGGGGTCGACGGCGGTTGGGTTGGGGCGGAGTTGGGGGTTGAAGATCTAAAGAGAGAGAGACAACGGACTCTTTAAGCACCCTGAATAATAATCTTATTGGTAACCGGAGAATTCTGTGTTCTATTCATAGGGTTTGTATAAGTACTGTACAATATATTCGATCTTTCTGAGGCTCTCTACAGAGCTTACACTATGCCTTGCTTCGGCTTTGGGAGGCCTTGGCCGGCTGCTCGTTGCGCTGCAGCTCTTCGTACCGCGCTTTCAACTTGTCGACATACCCATCCTTCCCACACAGGATCCAGTAGGCCTTGCGGTTGGGCGCCAGGTCCCACCACGTCTCGCGGCCTACGTGCACCTTCTCGGACGGATCTTTCCGCGCCGGGAGCGAGCTGACATGACGCTGCCAGTGCGTCTTGAGATCGCGCGTGCGCTGCGTGTTTATTGAACTCAAGATACGCACCGTACGTGCGTCCGGCTCAACACCCGTAACCTCCATCTCGCGCATGAGGGCAACCACAGCCGGAAGATCCTGGCACCCGCGCCAGTAGAAGTAGATGAGGTCGTTGTAGAGCCCGGTCGAGCCGCCCAGCATGGCGGACGTGGGACCCATCAGGCGGATAGTGGCTCGGAACTGGCCGATGAGTGACGACATCGGGAAGTGCAGGTTCAGCAGGCGAAAGGCAGCCAAAAGCATCTTGGGATAGAGCTCGGCCACGACCGAGGAAACGGGGACACCCGCAGGAACGGTTAATTTGTACTTCCCGCCGGCCTGTTTGATCCTCTCATTGACAGTCATCTCGTCCTCCTTCTCCTGCTCCTCCACCACCACCTCCTGCTGTACTTCCTCATCTTCATTTGCCGGCGTCTCGGCCTCCTGTGACTCAATGACCGCCTGTTCCGGACCCTGGGCTTGCTCCTCCACGCTCGCCGACGATGATTCCTCCGGTATTAAGACCATCTCCCCAGATTGGCTGTCCTGCACCTCCATCTCATCCGCCTGGTCCGCGTTATCAGGCGCCACTCCCATCCCCAAATCCTCTTCTAGAACACGCACGAGCGGGAAGATGGTCTCACGACAAGTCTTCCAGATCTTCCTGTCACCGCTGATCTTCCTGACCGACCTCTGCATCTCCGCCTCGATTACGCGACTCTCGCGCAGCACGACTGCCTCGACCGCCTGCTCCGAGGTGACGAGTCGTCGCTCAACCCAGTCCGCCAACTGCGCGTTGACGAAATCACCGCTCCGCATCCGCGTCTCGATGAACTCTACCATCGATGTACTCCCCGGCAACGCAGCCGGATCGTCGCCTCCCGCATGATACGAAGTCGAGTCCGCCATCACCAGGGATGACTTGCCCTGTTGCTCCAGTTTCCTCTGTTCCTGCCGCTGCTGCCGGACCTTGCGCTCCTTCAGATCCTGGAGGACGGATTCGAAGATGGCGGAGATTTGCGAGATTTCCTGGCGTTCTTCGTCGGTGATGTCCTTAGACAGGGACTCGGAGTCGGCCGAGGATTCAGAGGATTCGTTGTAGAAGGAAACGTCAGCGCTTGAGGGTTGCGGTGGCGGCGGTGGCCAGGCTGCCAATGGAGCATCGGCTTGAGTATCGGGTTTGACGCCGAGCGTCTCGAGAAGTTCACCAAAGGCTTGTTTCTCGCTGCTAGTCATTACGGGACGCTGAGTGCCTGTGATGGAGGGCTGAGCTGCGGTGGTGGTGGTGTCGGCGAGAGGAGATACCGAAGCGGCTTTGCGTTTGAGGAAACTGCGGCGTCCGGACCGGGGTTTCGATGGTGTGCTTTCGTTTGCTGAGCTGCCCGAAGATCCTGTTGTAGTAGCATCTTGCTTTTGTCGCTGCTGTTGTGCCTCGGTCGAGATCGACGCTGTTTGAATGTGCTCGCGCCAGTGCGGATATCGCCAACCAGGCACAGCGGAGAGTGTGCGAGTCTGATAGAGGAATGGGACAGAGGTATTGCGAGTCACGCGAGCCAGGGCCAGCCAGGCGCCAGAGTTGCGAGCACTCATCTTACTATTGCCGTGGTAATTGCAAGATAAATGAAAAGAAAAACACCCCCAGGTTTTTGCGGACTTAAAAAAATGGAGCACCGATAAACTCCCGCGCGGGCCAGGAAATAATTTCACTGCTTCTGCTTCTGCCTCCCGCCCGCCCATTAAAGTCACGTGCTTACGCGGCACATCCAGAACGCGCGCCTTTTTTTCTTGTCCCGATGGCAAATGTAACTAATTCTCGCCCCTCATTCTTGCGTGCGCCATTCATCTTGTGTCAGAACCTCAATCTGACATTTCCTCAACTTGCCGGCAGTTAGCATACACCTCTCCAGGGCAACAATGGGCGAAGAGATCTCCGACTTCGAGAAGCAGCGCCTGGCCAACATTGCCGAGCGCGATGCGCTGCTGAAGAAGCTCTCCCTGGAGGCGCAGTCCTCGGGTTTGTTCCCGCCCAAGATGCAGCCCAGTCGGACGCCTTCGTCGCGGGACCAATCCGCTCGCGCGAAGAAGAAGAAGACGCCCGTGAAGCGCGTCAAACAGGAGGAGGCGTCGCCGGTGCCGCGCCGCATGTCGTCGCGGCTGCGAGGCATTGCGGCGGAGAGCGAGGTCGCTAAGCGGAAAGCGGAGGAGGAAGACGCGGCGCTGCAGGCGGCGGAGCGGGCGAAGCGCGTGCGCAAGTCGGATGCTTTCTCGTTCAATGAAATGGTGGTGTACGGACAGAAGCTGTCGGGGGAAAGTCTGATCGGGGTGGATGTGGTCACCAAGGGCGTGGCGATGCCGTACCAGCGCACCTTTGACGAGGAGGATATCGAGCAGACAACTGACAAGGAGCTGAAAGCATTGAGAGAGGAGATGAGTGGGCTGAAGCTGTGGGAGGCGTGGGAGCCCAACCGTGTGTTTTCCCCCTCGGTCCCCGGTTTACTTCCAGGTTGCCTCTATATGCTAACCACAACCCTCACCATCTAGGCATCAAGCTCACGCCGGAAAGAATCTACACCATGGCCTTCCACCCGACAGAGACCAAGCCGCTTGTCTTCGCGGGCGACAAACTCGGCCACCTCGGCATTCTTGACGCCTCGCAAGAACGGACCAGCATGATCAAAGCCGAGGAATCCAGCGACGAGAACGAGGACGACGAAGACCCAGATCCCAGTCTCACCACCCTCAAGCCCCATACCCGCACCATCAGCTCCATCTACATCCACCCCTCCACCCCGACCCGCGTCTACACCGCCAGCTACGACAGCAGTATCCGCGCGACCGACCTCGAGAAATCCACCAGCGTCGAGCAGTACGCCCCGGAGTCCACGACGGACGATGTCCCGATCTCGGGCCTCGATATGGCCGCCGACGATCCGCACGTTCTCTACTGGACGACCCTGGACGGGGAGTTCGGGCGCTACGACACGCGCCTCGCGCGCTCCAAGCCGCAATCCGTGACCACCTGGCGACTCGCCGAGAAAAAGATCGGGGGGTTCTCCCTCTACCCAGCCCGACCGCACTACTTCGCAACCGCCTCGCTGGACCGGTCCATGCGCCTCTGGGATCTCCGCATGCTGCAAGGCCCGGTAAAAACACCCCCAACACCCTCTGGACGCTCGACCCGACGCCAGCAGCAGCAGCAGCAGCAGGACGAAGTCAACAACGAGGACAATAACAACGACGACGAGACACAAACATGGACCCCAATCGGCGAGCACTACAGCCGCCTATCCGTCTCGCACGCCGCCTTTAATAGCGCAGGGCAGATCGCTACCTCCTCGTACGACGACACCATCAAGATCTACGACCTCAGCGGACCCAAGGGTATCAACTCCTGGACCAAGGGCCATACCCTCTCCGAAGACGAGCTCAAGCCCCAAACAGTCGTCCGGCATAATTGCCAGACAGGAAGATGGGTGACGATGTATGTTTTTCCCCCCCGCCCGACTCTCCCCTTTTTCCTGGCACTTGAATCACCCACCCTCCTCAACTAAACCTATAGCTAACGAATGATGCAAGCCTCCGTCCCCAATGGCAACAAAACCCCCAATCCCACATCCAGCGCTTCTGCATCGGCAACATGAACCGCTTCGTCGATGTATACAGTGCCTCGGGCGATCAATTGGCTCAGCTCGGCGGCGAGGGCATCACGGCCGTGCCGGCGGTCGCGGTCTTCCATCGGAGTAAGAATTGGGTGGCCGGCGGGACGGCTAGCGGGAAGATTTGTCTGTGGATGTGAATTGCAGTACAGTCTTGGGGCTGGGCTCATTCTCTCATCATTTATTCGACGCTTCAAGTATGAGTTGGGTTACTTACATGTTTGGAGAAGCGCGCTGGTGATTTGGGGTTTGGTTTGGGCCGTCGAAAGGGGGTTGGGAGGTGGTGGATTGTTCGGTGAGCGGCCGTGGATAGATGTGGGTAACTTTGTTAGTTCAAGTTGTATTTCCACTGCCTGGGTGCGAGGCAAGTGAATGCGCATGCGCGTGATGGGGATGGGGTTCAATGATGAATCACGGGTCTTCATGCATAATCAAGCAAGCGGTTCAACCTGGCTTTTTTGTTCTGTCCCGTTTTACGAGGGGAATACTTCAAGACTTGAATAATCAATGATTATGAATTACACCGATACCTGAAACAAGAGAGTGATCGTTATCTAAAGTTCAATTGGAGTCGTCGTGTCATCTATACCCAGAGCGGATGGGGAGAGGTTATAGCAAAAGAGAAGACGCTATTTACACAAGGAGCAGATGTAAGATGGGGGAGGAATTTAAGAAACAGAAACAGAAAAGGGGTTCGTCAAGAAGACTGATCTCTCTCTCTGTCTCGTTCGAAACACCCCCTAATCTCGAGGGTTCAATATATCCAGTGGGCTGTCCACACGTCCTTGGATGAGTCAAATGACGCAAAATCAAACAGTCCCCATTGGAGCAGGGTATCAAGACCATGACCAAAGAAGCAAATGGTTTCCAAAAAAAGAAAAAGGGCTACACAGGCGAAGTACGTGAAATCATGGGGCACATGCTGATTGAAGATGAAAGACTCGATGAAGATGAAGGAAGAAAGGGACGATGGGAGGAAGACGGAGAAGAAAAATTTACATCAGAAGACGCAGGTCTTTCGATAATTGAATCGATCTCTTGTGTTATACAGGAAAAGGGGAAGAAGACCAACAAACGATAATTCTGCCACCTGCTATATGTTTTGCTTTCAGCCGAGCTTCGCACCTTTCTCTGTCGGCGGGCAGTCAGGAACCGTTTCGTCGTTCTATCATAAGAATAGAGGCTCAGCTCCTGCGGAGCTGTCATTGCTTTGCGAGGCAATTATCGCCAAGCTCATATAACAGTCGGGCCAATCCTGGTCCGCGTATATGTCATATATGTTGGGGCGCTCATGTTCAGCTCAAGCATGAGCTGGATAATCATGTCTCGCTCCGTTGTTCTTCACGGGACTGCTGTTGCGTTTGATCTCGGTCTTTGGCCTTGCGCCGAGACGTGGCGGGAACAAAGTCAAAGAAACGATATTTACTTGTAGTTTCCCTTGTGATGCTGGAGCGTCTGGATCTGGAGGGCTCTTGATATTCGAGAGAATAAGTCGAGGAGTTCTTTGAGCTGCCGGTACTATCCCGCGGATCCGCCCACCGAGGAATCGTGAAGGGCACCCGAGTCTGGTCCCACGTCGCGGACGAGGAACTAGGGGGCGTGTCTTCTTCACCCTCCGGGGCATGGTCAGTTGACCGACGCGGAAGGGACGGCCGTGAAGTGAAATAGCCGATTGAATTGCGATGACTACCTGTTACTGAGGCAGATCCCGCCACGGCCGCTTCCGTCGCTGGACTTGTCGGCTTGGAGCTGTCTTCATAAAAGGTCGCGGACCGCTCCATTGAATCGATCAATTCTTCCCACTTGACCTCTAGGCTTCCGCTTGGACGTTCAGCCTGCTCGGCCTGGCTCATGCAATCCTTCGTTCGCTGATGGAGCCGGAGCGCCAGTTCATGGAACTTGCTCACAGCGGAATCGACTTCCTCCAATTCGTTCAATCTCTCAGATGCCGATTCCAGCCAGATGCTAATCAGATTGGCAAAGCTTCGCGCATGGTCAATTAGGAAGGGAAGACTAGGAAAGCCCTCGCGTGAAGTTAGAGGTAAGCGGCCCAGAATCTGGATGGGTGTGGCGTAAGAGGGAGTTACGATTGGGGCCGGACGATCAGCAGGTATGGCGCAAATCGCATCCACAAAGTGTTTGAAATCAGACCGGTTCGTGTTCAGGAACTTATTCATCGGCTCCATCCAAGGCTCTTTACTACCGAAAGTTGTCATGTTGGCTAAGCCCTGTAAGGCCTTTGCAATGAGGGTCAGGGTACGTTGAGCACGAGGGCGCGGGTGATCTGTTCCGGCATTAGCGCTGACGCGGATGGTGACCAACAACATTGGGCTGCATACCTTTCAACAAACCAAAGAGCTTCGGATTCAGGATTGCCGGGCAGAAAAACCGCAAGAACAGGAACCCGGAAACACTGCTGTACGTGACGGTCCGAAGAAAGTCACCGTATCGGTCCTCCGCGCATGCCCGGATATGGCGAAAAATGAGTCTCAGTTCGGCGGGACATCTAGACGGCGACGCTGCGATCGACTTCCAAACACCATTGCTGAGAGCTATCAAATTTCTCCAATTGCGGTCGAGATCATCGGAACGATGTACACGAGAAGGGTCGACTTCGCAGTCTGGGTCAGTCTCGTCAATCTCGCGAAGTCGTTCTCCAATCGTCTCCTCTAAATATTCCTTTCCGAGTCGTCGCATATGATAATCAAGGGCCTTGGTCAGGAGTGAATTACCACGAAATAGAAGGTTTGCCTCCACAGTCGCAGTTCGGCCCAGGTCTCTAACGAGAACTTCGCGATCCTGAGCCGAGTCTCTTGCGTCGTTGGAGTGGATCCTCGATGTGTAGCGTAGTCGACTTACCGTCGACTCCTTGTGCACCCCGTCGATTTCGTCCTCTACTAGAGCGGATATCCATTCGACTGTCGTCCCTGAAACTTGGTAAATATTCAATAGCGCCTCCGATAGCTGGTTGAGTTCAGATGACATGACCTGTGCCATATTTATCGTGAGGCCATTGGTGAAGGAATGAAGCAATTCGGACATTGGTGTGTATTCTTGTGACATGAGTACAACAGTCTCTTCCATCCGAGCCCTCATGAGCATTTCACCCACAGGTTGATCTTTATCGTCCAGGATTGGCCACCATTTTTCGGTTTCAACACCCGGTTGCAAATCGTCCAGTCTCAGATCCACTCTACCGAAGGTGGCATCTTGGGAAGTGAGTTCTACGTCATCTGAAGAGCGCAGAGGGTTCGAATCGTGGCCCAAGGCATAAGAGCCATGCGAGATCAATGACCAGTCCTTCTGGGTTGAGTTGATAGTTTTCACCAGAATGGATGCTTGTGAGAGAACAGGGGGAAGATCACTAAAGGTGAAATCTTCTCGCCAGAAAGGGTTTGCTGTACGGTACTTGACGGCGGATTTGGCCCGAATCTCGCCGTCCAGTAGAACCTCGGTGTAGTAATCGCTCACTGCAGAGGCCGGGGCCGAGTTGCTATGCGACCGAGACTGCTTTCGACTGCGGGGTGTCTTTTCCGCGGTTCTGCAGCGGTAAAGCTTAGCTTCTGTAACTCTTACATCCAGGACTCTCTCAATCCGGAACATATCCGCGATTGAAGCGACGCTGAATTCGCTTGATCCCGGAGTCTTCGGAGACTCTTCTTCTACCGGTGTCTCAGGGCCATAGAGCTCCGGAATAGTGAACGCGCGAAGAAGAACGAACCACACTTCGAAGAGGACGCGGCTTTCGAGAGCTAGATATACTGGACGCGTCAAGCCCGAAGCAGAGTGTACCGCATATTGCGGGTAGATTGCAATGCAGAATTCATCTTCCAAGACGGATGAGTGCAGCTGCTGTACCGCACAGCGGGAGAGTTGTGATAATTGAACGCAAGTGACCAGGGTGATGTCTGATTCCGTGTAAAGCTTGAAAGCGCCATTTTCCTGCAAGGTGCAGCTTACTCGTGTCCAAGACGCAGAAAGTGCCCTTTGCTGTCTGTACGTGGACACACGACGCCCTGATGACGGTCGAACGCCAGAGACGCTCGGCCGATGCCAAAGAAGCATTTTACCAACCTTGATTATTGCCGCTTCCTTCTGAACAGTGCTCTCAGAGTTTCTCCTCCGATCAACCAAGCGACGGTCTCCAATGACCACCGATTGTGGTTTCGTCATCTTGTTCTGAACCCCTTTCGGTCGGATCGGCTGCCAGCATAACAGCGCTGCCAACCAGGAATCAAATGTTTCGCTCACATGAGGCTTCAACTCCACCCCCAAGCCAGAGGTGAAAGTCGACACGCTGAGATAGCTGGTGCGGGTCTCAGGGTCGACTAGGGTGCGAACCTGACAGCCACGGAGATCGGGAATCAGCGTCTTGGCCAACGCGGGCTCTCCTTTAGCTTGGTATATTAAGCTTCCCGTGGCAACATTGATGGCGCAATATCCCGACGACCAGGCGGTTGTAGATGCAGTCCGAAACGAAAGAATGCCGTGCATCCTTCCACAAGTTGTTTTCATGAGCTGCAGAATCTTGGAAGCATCGGTGCTGGCAAGCGGGGAGGGCGTTTGATTGGCCGATACGCTCGTCACCAAGTTCGAGCTTCCCGGGGGCTTGCTTGACCGCTGCCGGCCAAGGCTATGGCTAAAGTAAGTGGGTGACTGTATGGATGGAAACCCAATCGATGTCGTAGGATCGTCGGGTGTTCTGGGTTGGGGGGTTGCGGTGTTGACAGAACCCAACCGATTTCGGGATCTGAAAAAAGTGCTGTTGGTAATTTCACTGCGCTGATCATCCAGGGTGGTGGTCCGTGACCGTGCGCGCTGTGCCTTCACTTCCAGTGGTGGCTGCTCGTCTTCGTCGCCGGCCGAATGGCGCGAGTAGAATTCGCGACGGGCCTCACGATCGGAGGCTCTTGCCCGAGCGGCAGCACGGGGGGAAGGGGCTGCACTTGATGCCTGATGCTCCGCTTCTGAGGAAGTAGAATGGTTCCCGGCCTCGGGGTCCGGGGTCACTGTACGAATACCTGTATCTCTAAAACTTTCCGGATAGACCATCCCATGCCGGTCCTTGGAGGAAGACTTCTTGCTCGGGCGCCGTTCGACTGGACGACTGTATATTCCGTGGATGGAATTCCGTTTGAACCCGTTGGAACTTTCCGGCTCCATCTTATTTTTTCCAACCACACACGACGGAACCGGCAGCGGCGGCGCTCAAACGAGGGTCGCTACAGAAAACGCAGACAGGCGAGCCGAGACACAGAAACCGACGAGACAATGAGATGATGCGGGGTTGTTACGTTGCAGGACGTTGACACCCAACGTGCGCTGCGCAACCGTCCTCGAACAATTGAGGGCCTTTGTCGTCCAATGGGTCGCTAGCTGAACGCATGGAGTCCGGGGTGAGGAAAGGATGTGAAGTCGCACATTCGGTCGAGGCCGGCGTGTTTGGGAGTACAAGCGATGAGGAGGTTACAGATCGACTGTTTCTGGGTCAAATGGAGGAAGTAACAGCGATGGTGCTCGAATAGGCGAGTGAAAGGAGGTGGTGGGAAAAGGTGCTGGCGCTGACTTTGGGTGCGGTGGCAGTTGTTGAATGGGTGGGCGGGAGGAGGCGTAGCAAATTGTCGAGGGGTTGAAAATCGCTAATCAGTGCGCTCTTACTCCTATCCTCGAACCGTCGAGTGTCAACTCACGGGTTCGCTGCAAAATTAAAAGACATTGGTAAGCTTCATTCAGGAGGGGGGGAAGGCAGGTGAGAGATTAGGTCATGATCATGACAGCAGCTGTAAGGTACTCCTCCTCGTACTAAGGAATCGGTCGGCACAAAGGTTTGGTTCGAACCACCGGGAAGCGTGATATCACTGGAGCCCGCGGAGAAAAAGATGGAGACATATGGGGAGAAATATGAAGGGCGGAAGAATGGTGGGACAATAAAACACACCTGCATCCGTTGAAAGAAGCGTGTTGCGCCTTGTTACCCTCTGCTCGAAGGATTCAATATTTGGAGGAAACGCGACAACGGTTTTGCGGGTGGAGGGGAGGTTGATTGATAGATTGTGGAGGGAGTGGAAGATCAATGACCCTGACCATGTACGTGGTGAAAGCTGCAGATCCCGCATCAGCATTGATGCATTTTCGTACGACAATTTGGGACTTGGGCTGGGCTGGACTGGTCTTTTCGATGATGGGTGGTGGTTGTGATGTTTGTGGTAACAATAATGATAGTGAAGGTGGGGGGGGGGAGGGAGGTGGGAAGGGAACAAGCCGGGGAAAAGACGTGGAGGCGAATAGTAGGTAAGCCAAGTGAAATAAAAAGAGGGAGAGAGAGAGAGGGAAGAAGAGAAAGGTAGGACGAAGTAAGCAATTAGAGTTGGCTTGGCTGTGGAGAGCTGAGAAATTGAGAAAGAGAAAAAAGAGAGAGAGAGAGAGAGAGAGAGAGAGAAAGAGAGAGAGTAGGAAGAGAGAAACCGGGAGGCGGTGTTTGAGGCCGTGGGCCAGAGAGAGACAGACAGAGACAGATAGAAACAAACGAAGCAACGCGGGAAGAAGGTGCAATTGAACGACAATCAGCAAAAAGAAATAGAAATAAGGTCCGAAAGGAGATAAGAAGAAGAAGAAGAAAATTGAAAAAAAAAGAACAATTGACCGTCCCGGGTCAATAGTAACTCGTTGGCGAGAAAAGTGTTCTGTAGATGGAGCTGATAGAGCTGTGGGCGTGCAGCAAAGAGTAAGTTTCCTTCCTCCGGGGTGATCCCAGTGTTGCTCCCACTCGAGAAGGAAAAAGGAATCATGCAAATATCAAGCTAAAATGCGAGAAACCCAACGGCGAGAGGGTTACCAAAGGGGAACAAGCACAAGCACTTACTATACACTCTTGTTCACCCTGGGTAGGGTTACTGAGCCAGCCGGATGGCGCAAGAATAGGATACGGATAGTAATGCGATGGATGGGTAATGAATGGTGGTGAGAAAAGAGAGGGCGAGATGCCAATTCGGCCAAGATGCAGGGGGAATCTTGGTTGGGTGCTTTGGAAGAAGACTGAAGAAGCCTCAGGGAACTTCAATCAGAACTAGAACTAAGATTGTTCTCAAACAATTACTGCCACTCATTGGCTGGCGCATTATTATCACCACTCCTAGCTGGTAATTACTACTATGTGAGTAACTAACTTACTAGGTAACTGGAGATGTGGTTGTACTCCGTAGGTTAGAATGTCCCCAGGCACTACCCTATTTGATTTTGATTGACGACCTGGAATGTCTATTCATTGTCTCTCAATTGAACAACTGAGGCTTCGTATCGCCATGAATCCACGGGGGTATGAGGATTTTTTCAATGGCCTGATCGATTCAACTTCGCTCCAGAGTAGCTACCACCAAGTACGGAGACTGTGCAGCTATCTAGAAGGGGAAGGAGAGTGCCTGGAGGTAAGGAAAAATCCCGGGCCCAAAAAGCATGAGGCTGAGATCCACTATTGTTGCGCTTATGGGTTGGAGTGATTGTGGGCTTCAACATTTTGTGCGGCCGTCTGCTATCATCTTGACCACTACCGGTAGACACCATCCGGACACCCCTTGAACAAAAAAGGCCACTGCAGTCTATAAAGCACAAATTCTCATAAAAGGCATCTGAATCATTTCTATCTGCGAAATTCAGGAGTAAAAAAGTGCTGATTGACTCTCAACCCGCCTATATACCACTGCTGATATGGATGGAGACTTTTCTTTTCCTTTTTCTGTTTGAATTCTTGCTGCGGTGTGTTTCCACCCCTTCCCCCTGACGAATCGTGTTCCCAAGTATTTGCCGAATCATGATTTCCCAGAATATCCACGAAAACTCAGCAGCAAATTTCCAGGCCTCATACATGTTCGTCCCTCTTATTCTTCGCATTCATCTGCATTCTCCTCGACTTCGAATCTTTCGCCCTCCTCCTAGAATCAGCTCACCGGACTTACTGATCCCCATAGAGTGGAAGTCCACTCTGATGCATGCGGAATATGGTTACCCCCCGGACAGACTGCCTGCCGCCAGTAGTAAGTACGTAGTACGGAATAATAGAGTGGAAGGATGGAACGGTCTGAGGACCAATTCCAAAAGCGGACCAACAGGGTGCGGCGGTCAGATCCGAGAGACTAAGGATAATCGCCACTGGGATGCTTCCCGCCTCCCTTCTTAAAGCAAGTAATATATTCGGTGTGTTGGCGTGGCCCAATGGTAGCTGTAATTATCTTCAATGCACCCGTCAACCGTGTGCAAGACTCGATCGTTGCCCGTCTGCCCAGGCTGTGGCCAAGTGGCCTGCACCCTGCAGGCCATGCTAGTAATTGCGTTACGTCTACTCCGTGGAAAGCGTAGAACGAGCCTTTCCACAGTGGAGAAGTGGACACTACGTACTGTGAAGTGTAAACTGTACGGAGTAGACACCGAGGCCTGAGTGGTTCACTAATTCCCCATGAGACACAGCCTTCTCATCCTTGGAGTGGTCTCAATCAGTGCCCAGTTTGACTTGACAAATACTGACGACAAGGGTTATAGAGAGTGTGTATGTGTGAGCAAGCATTGTCGTTCATCTCCATGAGGAAAGAAAAGTAATGGACATATGCGAAATGCATCTAAGCATACCCCGGCCCATAAGTAGGGAGTCCACAGCCTTGACCCGAAAAAAGGGCCCGAGAAACCAGTTGATCACTAGGGGTTTCCCATCCTTCCATGAGCAGCTGCAGCCGATGAGTGGTTAAAGCGAAGGACCGCTGCTGACAAGGATGAGAAGAACCGAGAGGAACTTCTCTCACTTTGACGGCACATCAAAGACGGAACGATAGATGTCAGCCGAACCCGGGCTAAACCAGCTGAACGCCATGATGATCTTTTAGTATCTTCCAGTAGAAAGTGAGTGAGCTGAGGCCTAAGGGACGACTCAGTTTCGGTCGTCAACTTTCTTCCCTCCCCCGCACGAGCCAGCCCAAGCGGCCATGGGACAAGATAGCGAGCGCTGAAGCCAATCAGTGGTCCTCGTTGGCGTTGGCGGTCCATCCCGTGACTGACTGACCACTAGACCAGGTACCTACCTATAGTAGTGTCGTCAACACTTGTCGGCTTTGTCAGCATGCCAAATCACGTGCCATAGTCACGGACTGCGAGGCTAGATTCCCCCGATCTCCTCCTCCACATATATCACATGATACTCACTAACTGTAACTGACCGCCTTGATGCCTTGGCCTGGAGGCAGTAAGTTCTTTCCGAATCAGTGACCGCCTGCATCATCGCGGCTTATCACGAGGGCAGTCGGTCACCAGCTTCTTTGGCACTCCTGACCTTGACCGCGTCAACCCGTTTACTCACCTCAAAAGGCGGTTAATCTCCATCATTCGCCGACGCTTAATGATTCTTTGTCTCTTCTGTTTCTTGTATTTTGGTCCAGCGTCAACTCTCGCCTGGTAGGCTTCCTCTTATCAGTCTCAGAGGACCGGTAGTTTCATAGGGTCCGATTCCGTCCCGCCGTTTGACCTCAAGAGCACCCTCGCGGATCTAGAGTACACCAAAGCTATTTTGATAATCCGACAAGGCTCTCAAGTGATCTACAATCCGGCTGAATGGCTGCTACTAGCTACAGATGCGTCTAGAGTCCATGCATCTTATGAAACTTCTAGCCAAACATGATGACATCAAATATATTGTCCCGTTTCCTTCCTCCGAATGGGTCGCCGTCAGTGTATGAAACCATACGGCAGCACGATTCTGACTCACCGGATATTGAGGAACGTGCAGGACTAGGTCTACTTGGGGATGAGCATCTGAGTCTTTATGGCTCCGGAGAATTGGAGGAAGCTTTGGCAGATGTTGAGAGGGATCAATCCCCAAGCCCGAGTGATCCCTTTTTGACCCCCCAGGCTCCTCAGAGCATGAAGGCTGCCGGAAAGGCTCTCATGAAAAGCGTATCGCGGAATCGCTCGCGTCGAGCTCAGGCATTATCACCCCGGCATAAACCCGAGGACAGTGACGACGAGGTTCCAGCCTCCCTTCTCGTAGAAGGTGACCAAGACGATGAGGAAGATCTCAAATCAAAACTCCCACCACCCCCGCCCTCCCGCACTTTGCATGACCATGGCTCTCACGCTGGTCCGTCCTTGCGTCGGGATCGAACACGATGGGATACAGCCCGTGAGCAACTACCGGTACATAATACTCCTGGGAAACGCCACCATGGGGCTCTGTGGTCAGCCGGATACCCAGATCTAGCCACAGTAGATCCTAAAGTGAAAGCAATGTGGATGTGGGCGAATGTGGAAAACCTGGACAACTTCCTGAAGGAAGTCTACACGTACTACCTCGGGAATGGGATCTGGTCAATCTTATTGAACCGAGCTCTAAGCCTTCTGTACGCTTTTCGTTCCTCTGTGTCTGGTGCCTCTGAATGCTGACCGCTACTGTCTGACCATAGGACGTTTGCGTTTGTCGTAGGTTTCAGCATCTTTCTGACGAATTGCATCGATTATCGCAGTGTACGCGGAAGTAAAACGTTAGATGACATTTACATCCAGCAATGCACCAAGAAGATGTCCTTTTCCTCAAATTTCCTGCTGTGGCTGCTATCGTTGTTTTGGATTGGCAAGTCCTTCCAGTATATTCTCGATATTCGAAGACTCAAGCACATGCATGACTTTTACCATCATTTACTGGGGATATCCGATCCCGAGATCCAGACGATTTCCTGGCAGGAAGTGGTCAGTCGCTTGATGACGTTGCGAGACTCTAATCCTGCGACAGCCGGCGCTGTTTCTGCCAAAAATCGCAAGTTTATGGGCAGTCAATCCAAGCAACGAATGGACGCTCATGATATCGCAAACCGACTGATGCGGAAAGAAAATTATCTGATAGCTTTGGTTAATAAAGACATCCTCGACCTCACGCTTCCGATCCCGTTCTTGCGAAACCGGCAACTGTTTTCACGGACGCTAGAATGGAATATTAATCTGTGCGTCATGGATTATGTTTTCAACGAGCAAGGGCAAGTTCGAACATTGTTCTTAAAAGATACCCACCGACGAGCATTGAGCGATGGCCTGCGCCGCCGGTTCATCTTCGCCGGCATCATGAACATTTTCGCCGCTCCGTTCATTGTTGTGTATTTCATGACTCATTACTTCTTCCGCTACTTCAATGAGTACAAGAAGAATCCTTCCCAGATTGGGTCGCGTCAATATACTCCCTTGGCGGAGTGGAAGTTCCGGGAATTCAACGAACTATGGCATCTCTTCGAGCGTCGGATCAATATGTCCTATCCATTCGCTAGCCGCTACGTGGATCAATTCCCCAAGGATAAGACTGTTCAGGTAGCGGGGTTTGTTGCCTTCGTCTCTGGCGCACTGGCGTCGGTGCTGGCTTTGGCTTCAGTTGTAGATCCGGAGCTGTTCTTGGGGTTTGAAATCACCCCAGATCGCACCGTGCTGTTTTACCTGGGTGTTTTTGGGTCTGTTTGGGCAGTCGCCCAGGGCATGGTGCCGGAGGAAACGAACGTGTTCGATCCCCAATACGCGCTTTTAGAGTTGATCGACTTTACTCACTACTTCCCGAGTCATTGGAAAGGTCGATTACATAGTGACGAGGTCCGCAAGGATTTTGCCACTTTATATCAGATGAAGATTGTGATCTTCTTGGAGGAAATCATGAGCATGATTTTCACACCTTTTATTCTGTGGTTTAGTCTCCCAAAGTGCAGCGATCGTCTCATTGATTTCTTTCGGGAGTTTACCGTTCATGTTGATGGCATGGGCTACCTTTGTTCCTTTGCCGTGTTCGATTTCAGAAAGGGCACCAATGTCATCTCCCAGGCGGATCCCAGTCGACGAGATCCCGCACGGCAGGACCTGCGGGCCGATTACTTCTCGACCAAAGACGGTAAGATGTTGGCTTCCTACTACGGATTCTTGGATAACTACGGGGCGAATCCACGTCCGTCCAACAAGCGACCGTTCCATCCTCCGCCCACGTTTCCCACCCTGGGATCACCCTCGGCCATTGAGATGGGCACGTACGGCGAGCGAATGGATGCGGCCCTGCCACGGCCTGGCCCGGCTGGCGGAATCATGGGCCAACAGTCTACCTTTGGGGGGGCCCGGTTCGGCCCCCCGGGTTTAGGCGATCACGCGTCTCCCGCTCCGTCGATCCTCCTCGATCCGCATCACCAGCCGTCTGCGTCGGGATTCCGTTCCAATCATCGTGCAGGAATGTACTCTTCTCGCTATCGTCCAACTCGACCATCGCGTACTATCTCCGACCCGATCGCCGATGAAGACGGGCCTTCCACGCAGGCTCGTGGTCTCGGGGTCAAGGCGTCACCGCATGTGACCTCGGGATCGAGCGGTGCAGGTATCGGAACGAGCGACAGCAATTTGGGCGAGTCGTGGCGGATGAACTTGGTGGAAGAGAAGGACGAAGATGGTGGGGATGGAGAAGGCGCGGAGAATGTGGATGCGCTTGCTGGTGGCGCTGGGGTCTTGGGGCTGATTCAACGGTTCCAACAAGTGAGCAAAGATAATCGGGGGCGTACGACGGTTGGTTTGTAGGATTTTCAGTTTTCTGCAGACTTTGTCAATCCGCCGAGATGTGATGTGAATATGTGAATTCCGGGCCATTTCGGCTCTGTGAGCCTCCGGGATTTTCTTCCAGATAGAAAGTCATGACCTATATTGATAGAGTGGGCGTCAACCTACGAATCATTGTGTTTTAAACGATGTCTACTGCAGGCCTAAAATAGATAATCAAGAAAGAGTCGGGATGTACCTTCAACCCTTAGTTCAACTTCGGTAATCATCCGTCATTCGAAGGAGCCAGAAGGGTGAAGCCATTCCCACAACCGTCTCAACCCGCCGCTTTAGGAGAAAGTATTTTCTCCCGGGTGTTTCATCTTCGGAGAATTCGGTTTCGGAGGGCAAATTGAGTATCCGCCAGGGTCTTATGCCTCCTCTCGACGGCACCCCCGGTGAATTTGGCCTGAAGGGGTCTGGTTGCAGGTCTCTTGCGGATAGTGGCGGTTGTTCCCTCAATAATGCAACCCTCGGTTAGACATTATCATGTTTCAATGTTTCTCTATGCACCTCCTCGACAAAGAGGAATGACCTTGTTGACTGTAACTGCAGCAGCTCGAGACGGAGGTCAACAACATCACGCAGTCAGGGAGGCCAACGGAAGTTGATTGGATATGGGGAAATTCGCTTCGGTGTTTAAAGAGCACAGGGGGTGGTGGGTGGGAGGATGAAATGATATTTTATTTTTAGTAAACTCCGGGACGGGCCCCTCTTCCTGAACCAAACCATCCACGCACAACTTACACCTTTCCCCCCCCCTGGATCCTGCACTCTGCAGTCAGATGATGGTACGGAGTAGTTAGTCACTTTGGTCGTTAATGACTAGCAGCTATGCACTTGTTTCCCACTCCGAAGTAGTCTGGATGTTTTGGCCACGGGAGAGTGATCCGCCTGGTAGCGTCTGAGCAGTTTATCCGGATAGATAGATAGGATTGAAAAGAACTAGTTAGTTATGGAAAAGAGAGAAAGAGAGAGTTGGGTTGAGGTCCCAATGGGGATGGATTGATCGGCTGAACTAATCAATGAGTAGGTAATGTTAGGTATGATCGGATAGTTAAGTATTCCTTTGGACTCTATCCGAAAGTCTGAATCAGGTTTATCTGACTGCGCGGATTCGGGGATTCTTGTTTTTCCGTGCTTCTCTTCTCTCTCCCATCCTACTCCAGCCTCATGATAGTTATCAGTATTTCGACGCTTTCCAGCTTCAACCGAAGTAAGTAAGACTTCAAAGTGACCTTGCCCTAAATGACCCGGACTCATCCGGGTTGGCATTACGAGAGATGGGAATTGGCCTGAAGATTCCAGGCCAGTTCAAACTGGAATTATTTAATTTAAGATTTTGATTATTTATCCACGGGTTGCGACACCCAAGTGGGTTCTTTTTTCTCCACGCTGAATCCAACTAAGCTGGAGAATGCTTTGACCCAATCCATCACTCCATAACTCCATCTCATTCCAGCGAATTAACCATTGTTACCATCCACTTCGGGGGGGGGGGTCTGGCCCAGCGGTCCTTTTTTTCAGGTTCAGGTCTCCTCCGCCTCATCCTCTTTTGGGTGCGACGCTTATCATCTGTCCATGTTTTCTTCCCGTTTTCTTTTCTTTTTTACTCCTGATCGGTTTCTTCGGTTGTCTTTTGCTCTGAACTAATTACATTTACATACTAGTTAGTCAACTTAGTCTACTGACTAACTTACGGAGGAGTATAGTCAGTGAGTGAATGGTGCTGGCGCTTTTTGTTCTGCTCATTCACTTGATCTTGTCCCATCTTCTTTCTTCTTTCTCTCATACACCCATCATGATCGAATAGAGGCTTCACTGTCCTCCATTCTTCCATTTCTTCCCCCCTTCCTCGAATTTCTGTCAGTCGTTTCTCTGATTAGATTGGGTAGCTTGACTGATCGATTATTGAATTAATCGATTCACCCCATCATCATCACCATTGTCACCATTATCATCACAACCCCCTCTCAAGTCATTCCTTCTTTCCTCTGGAAGTCGCTTTATGTTGACTCTTGTCTGTCGTTAGCGATTACCGCCCTACATATCATATCATTTTCTTGTTCATCTTTTGCTTCACTCTCTCATCGCGTGGATTCCTACTTCCTGCAGGTTCAAAGGCGACATTTATTTACCCTCCCCTTCCAACCTCCCTCCCACCCCTGGGAATCGCGTGATCTTTTGGCTCGTATTTTCCCCCTCATTATCATCCTTTAGCCTCTTTGACCATCTCATTTGAAAGTTTCCATTCCTCTCTCTCTCTCACACTCTTGCCTTTCCACTCGTTTCCGCTTACTCTTTCACCTTCGTTTCCTTACCTCGAGCTTCCCTCCTCCCCGACCCCTCGGTCCGGGATTTTTCTGTGTTACCCCCGTACCTGAAATCCTCCCCGATCGACTTCGCCATGATGTTCCGAGCCCGGCGATACCGGGTCCTCCTGGTGTTTGCGGCTATCTTTGTTCTGGCGCTGGTTCATTTCGCTGGTTCACGAGAACAGCCCTCTGCTAATTGGCGTGCATCGCCGCCCGCCGATCGTCGACCGGGGGCCTCTAGCTCAAATCCGCCCGTCATTCCTGCGCAAGCAGCCCCTCCATCACCGGCTGCTCCTCCATCTGCCCACGAATATAAGCCTGAGCAATTCTCTACCGATGATTCCAACAATTCCTCCCCCGAGGTGGCCGCAGAGGCTCCTCCCACCGCTTCAGCTGAACCTTCTCAACCGTCCGAGAATCCCACCACCGGGAAAGATGGGGACAGTCGGAAAAACACCGGACTTGGGGCTCCAGTCAAGGGGCAGGGCCGATTGGGGGCAGACGGTCCTGCCACTACGTTGGCACGCCCGCACTGGCAGAAGCAGCCTGAACTCTTTCCCATCCGAAGTGAGGAGATGATCCAATTGCCATTGGGTCAACCCAATTCGATTCCCCCGCTGCAGGCGGATTTTAAAGACGAAACATCCGCAGATAAGATGACGCGCCTCGAACGCTTGTCCGAGATCAGGAAAGTCTTCGAACGCGCCTGGACTGGTTACAAGACCTCTGCTATGGGGCACGATGAGATCAAGCCTTTGCGCGGTGGGTTCCGGGACCCTTTCAATGGTTGGGGGGCTACACTGGTGGATTCATTGGACACGCTTTGGTTGATGGGCCTGAAAGAGGAGTTCTCCATCGCCGTGGACTACGTGAAGACGATCGACTTCACCATCTCGAAGAAGAATGACATACCTCTCTTCGAAACTGTCATTCGTTACTTGGGCGGTCTCCTTAGTGCTTACGATGTCTCGGGTCACAAGTATGATGTCCTGCTGGCGAAGGCCGTGGAACTCGCCGAGGTCTTAATGGGCGCTTTTGACACCCCAAACCGCATGCCCTCGCTGAAGTACAAGTGGTCACCGTGAGTCGATTCGACCCTCGTCCATTCATACGACAACGCTAACCATCTGGCTCTACAGATCCCACTTGTCCAGACCCCATCATGCCGACAAGAAGGCTGTCCTGGCCGAACTCGGCTCCCTCTCCGTGGAATTCACGCGTCTGGCACAGTTGACTAATGAGAACAAATATTATGATGCCATTGCGCGCATAACCAACGAATTGGAGAAGCTTCAAGATCAGACCCAGTACCCGGGACTGTGGCCCACGAAGGTGGACGCCTCGGGGTGTCGCAAAAACCCCACGGTCAATAAAAACGGCATCGCAAAGGAACTCACCAAAGCTCGGCTCGAGCAGGAGTATGCGCGTGATCGACTCCCAGCGACTTCCACGAGTAGCTTTTACTCCAAGCCGCACCCCACTAAGCCAGCCCCGACGGACGCGAAGAGCTACCAGGAGTACTTCAAGACTCACGACACGCGGTCTCTGCCTGAAACTGCGCAGCTCGCAGATAACCCTGTGGCCGCTGGGCGAGGGTCCGGTGGCGCGGATCTGAGCTCTCCTGAAGCGCAGTGCACCGCGGGATTGGATACTCCTACGATCGATAAGGAGACGTACACCCTCGGCGCTCTTGCCGACTCGACATATGAGTACCTGCCCAAGGAGTATATGCTTTTAGGTGGTCTCAATGACCAGTACCGAACTATGTACGAGAAGGCCGTGAAAGCCATTCGGCAACATCTGGTCTTCCAGCCTATGATCAAGGGCGACTGGGACGTCCGATTCCTGAGCACGGCAATCATCCCCAAGAACAAGCCAGGCCCCACGGTTATGGAGTACCAAGGAGACCATCTGTCGTGCTTTGTTGGTGGAATGGTCGGCATTGGAGCCAAACTTTTCGGGTTGGATGGAGATATGGAGTTGGCCAAGCAACTGACTGATGGCTGCGTTTGGGCGTACCAGTCCACTAAGAGTGGCATTATGCCTGAGGTATTCTCCCTTGTTCCCTGCAAGAAAGGTCAGCCTTGTGAGTGGGACGAGTCCACTTACCACACCGCTCTGGATCCGGACATGCTGGAGCGCTTCGCCAAAGCGCAGGAGCGCAAGGAGCTGAAGGAGAAGGAGGAGGCAGCGGCGGCCATGCAGGCCGAGGCCGAAGTAGCGGACCTGAAGAAGAAGAAGACCCTGCTTGGAAAGCGTGAGCGCGGCAACTGGCATGTCATTGGTCTGGAGGACGAGTCAACGGCGAAGAAGCCGGAGCCGGAGCAGCCTCCCGAGGAAGAAGAGGAGAAGGTGCCCTCCCATGAAGAGTATGTGGCGACACGCATCAGCAACGAGCGCCTGCCACCGGGTGTCACGAAGCTCAACAACCGCAAATATTTACTGCGACCCGAGGCGATCGAATCGGTGTTCATCATGTACCGTCTTACTGGTGACGAGTCCTGGCGGGAGAAGGGCTGGGAGATGTTTCAAGCCGTCTCCAAGTACACTCGAACCGAGTTTGCCAACTCGGCCATTGACGACGTCACCGTCACAACTCCCGAGATGCTGGACGAGATGCAATCATTCTGGCTCGCCGAGACGCTGAAGTACTTTTACCTGCTCTTCAGTGATCCGACGGTCGTCAGTCTCGATGACTATGTACTGTGAGTATTTGCCCCTATCCGATTCCAGCAAACACCCTGGCTAACACATGATGTGCAGGAATACCGAAGCGCATCCTCTGAAGCGTCCGAACTAAATAATGGCTTTGTATGCATGTGCACTTTACGTTCGTCTTGCTTGGTTCTTATCCTGTTTTACTTCCCTCGATTGCTGCTTTTGCTTGTAAAAGTACAGATACCACCGTCCAGTACATGTTGATTGATGCATTCGCCCTATTTCTTTCTTGTGCCCTTCGGTTTCTGTACGATTGGCTCCGTTATTTCTATAGCTGGCTTTGGAAATAAGAGGTTGATATATGGTATGGTGATGGGGGTGTTGTCATTGTCGATAAGGGTGTCTTGTATAGTCGTACTATTGTACGGACCTTAGTAAATAATGGATAAAGTGGTAGTTATGTCTATGTGTGGTCACAATCGATTTGGAGAATTTGGGTTGATCTGTATGATTATGCTGGAGACCACGTGTATAGTCAGTCTGTAGACAAGGAAGGGATAGCAAACACTTTTGAGGATGACAAGAGGGCGGGGATGACGTCCGCCCGGCCCACCTTCTTTAATTGATTTTATTATTGACAGCATTTCCCTCTCCGCTCCAACTTCCCTCTCCTCCCCCTCCACTTCCTCCACTTCTTCCCCCCTCTCTTCGAGCCCCTCTTTTTTCGCTCCTCTTCTGGTCGTCTTCAGTTTTTGGATCTCAATCTTCCCTTGACACCACTTCGTTCTCTTGTGTTTGCTTGTGCTCCCGTTTCTCTGGCTGGAGCGGCACTGGATCCAACTCACTCGCTGCGGGCGCAAGACGGGATGAGTGCAGGGACACGCCACGCCCGACGAGGACGACTGAGCTGTGGGAAATGGAGTTTGAGATCACCCTGGAGAACGAGCAGCAGTTCTGGGACGGTAAGTGCAGCTCCGACTCGATCTTTCAACTTAACGGCCGATCAGCAGCCATTTTTCTTTTGGCGCGTTGCGAGGCGCTACTCAATCGACTTGAAACTAATGTCGTTGCGCAATTTGTTTTGCAGAAATCCAAGAGATCGTTTCCGCCCCTTGCTCCTCGGAAGACCATATCGACAACGCGCTCCGATGCTATTTGAGTTTGGCCACGAAGTACAAAGGTCCGCCCAAGCTCTCTCCGACGAGCGGATTCAGTGCCGCTGACCGGGAGCAACGATAGATGAATACCTTCAAGGCGAACTGGATGTCACCCGGTGCTTGTACAAGCTCCTGGCGTCCAGTATCTTTGCATCGCACGCCGATTATGTTCGACGACAGATGATCTATTGTTTGTTGCAGGTACGTCAGGGGAACCCCCCATCGTGGTTACCCTTATTCGAAGTGACGGCGGCTAACTGGCTATACTCAGGACGACGACCCGGCTACTCTCCATCTCATTGCCTCATTCTTGCTCTTTGACGGCTGTCAGCATGAGGAGGCTTTTCGGATGATGAATGAGGAGGGTTCGTTTCCGCGGTTGCTGGAGTTGCTGCAGGTACGCAACCGGTTCGCGGATGAGAGCATGCCGGCGGGCCTGCATCGGCTTCTCATGGACTTGTTGTACGAGATGTCGCGGATACAACGGGTGAAAATTGAGGATTTGGGTGGGTTCTGATCCGGTTTCCCTCCTTCAACATGGCTTCGTCCGGATTGTTGACCCGGTCTATGTGTGGCAGTACTTGTGGACGACGAGTTTGTTCGGGGCCTCTTCGACATCATCGAAGACCTCTCGTATGATGTCAGCGATCCTTATCATTACCCGGTTATCCGCGTTCTGGTGAGTCTGGTGCGTGGGCTGGAGTGGAAGCAAGCCGCTAATGGATTCCCGGCAGCTGGTTCTGAACGAGCAATTCATGATTTCGGCGCATGATCCCGTCGACGAGCAGTCACCCATGACTGTCCTGACTAACAAGGTCATCAAGGTGCTGTCGATGCATGGAAATCTGTACAAGACCTTTGGCGAGAACATAATTCTTCTGATCAACCGAGAAGGTAAATGTTTAGGGTCTCGGCAAATGCTGCGCAACTGTCTAACATGCTATAGGCGAGACGTCGCTCCAACTTCTGACACTCAAGCTTCTATACCTTATCTTCACCACTCCGAGCACCTACGAATACTTCTACACGAATGACCTGCATGTCCTGGTTGACATCTTGATCCGAAACTTGCTGGACTTGCCGGAAGAGTCATCCGCCCTTCGACACACCTACCTGCGTGTCCTCTATCCGCTGCTCGCTCATACGCAGTTGAGACTGCCGCCTTATTACAAACGTGAAAACATCAAACGAGTGCTCAGTATTCTGGTCAATGGTCAACTTTTTCATAGCGAAGCGGACCAAGAGAGGATTATGCACTTTGCCGATGCGGATGACACCACTAGGAGACTGGTTCTCCGATGCGCAGCCGTTGACTGGATCCGAGAAGAGGAGTCGACGGACGCTCCGAAGGATGCAGAACCACTCCTGAACTCCTCCGACGGCAATGACGGGTCGCCTGATGGCGAGTTTGGCGCGCCGCTGGAATCGACCCAGACACTCTCTCCGACGAGCACTGTGGACAGCTCTTCAGAGAATCTGTCTCCAACCCGTGCTGACGATGAGGCCGGAACGGGCTCCACTAGATTGGACGCGCATCGTAAACTCAGTCAGGCGCAACGACTGCTGGGTATGCACCATGAGCCAGCATCATCGTCAACGCTCAGCGTGCAGGAGGTGGCGTCGCAGCACGAGGCACCCGGCGTGATCACGCCGAGCCGGAATAATTCTCTCTCGGGCCCTCTTCTCAGTCCGACCAGGGTTCGGGCCAAAGTCAAGCCGCTTCCCCCGAAGACTCGACGCTGGAGAGGCCGTCCCAGGGCCGAAGAGGATGAGCACGCGGACCAAATCCCGGAGGATCGGGAAATTCAGACCACTAGTCCGCTACCCCCGCCCACCGCCAGCGGAGCGGGCGATCGGCGGAACTCCACCAGCACATCAAGCTTAACCATTCCTGTTCCTCGACTCACGCGTCGGTCCGCCTCCAATCCCCCGCCGGCGGTTCCTCCGCCGCGACGTTCGACCCATTCCGCTGTCCCGGGCACGGGCACTCTGTCGGTGTCCAGCCATTGTACACCGCTCACCAGTCCATCGCGAGTCGCTCCCCAGCTTCGTCACGATGTCAACGCGCCGGGCGGTGGGAGCAGCTTGGCGAGTATGATTTTCACCCCGAAACATGGACAAAAACCGGAACCCCCGAAGACTCGTCGGGCGGGGCGGGGAAGACACCCTCCGGGGGATTCATCCCTACGGCCGGAGTCACCCGCCGAGCACGAACTCTCTGCTCATCTGAGTGGCGATTATCTGGGCAACGAGCAAAAGCACCCTCTGGAGCCGCCGTTGATTTTGGGGAGGAAGTCTGATGGACCAGTGAGTGTGGAAGAAGCGGTGCAGAACATGTCTGTGGGGGATGGGAATGACGAGTATTCCGAACGTTAATTTTTCGGTAGTCTTATCTTGGCATTGGCATAATAGCGCGCTTTTGATGTTATCATGGTTTGAGCTACACTTGTCGCTTGGAAATGCGCATCAGTGATCACATCTTGAGCCTTGGGGAGATTCCCTACAGTACGGAGTCGAATTTTAAGCTTAGCCTGTGTGTGATTTCAGCACGATGGCTTTCCATCCAGCTTGGAGACGCGTAGCAGGAAGTAGTGTACGGAGTACGGCGTGGTGTCTTATGGGGCCTGTAATTTCAGTAGGCTGCCTCTGCTGCCCCATTAAGCTCTAGAGAGCGAGTTCCACTGCGTCGTCAGCCGGATCCATTTGTTTGACGAGTGGTATTACCCGTATGGTTAGCGGTGGTGTATTGTATGTACGGTATTCAACGGTGATAGTGCAAGTTAGTCGGTACGAGGATTGCTATAGTTGTGCTTCTTAAGAGCATCTTCTCTTCGATATCAAGCTAACTAATACAGACATTGCTAACTATGCTACAGTAAGTACAGCCAGTCCCTCAGATACGCAAACCACTCCACCCCCCGAATAAACCAACAACAATCGAGACCCAACTCACTCCCAACAACACCAAATAACCCTAACTGCTATGTATCCCAACGACCCAGCTGAACACACAAGATGCATGCATGCACATCCATCTCCAACCCACAACCCACCCTCCACCCAATACAATACACTCCCAGTTCCACAGAGGAGGAAAGAAGTGGCTAATGCCCCAAAATGCCCCAAAACTTCTCCGCTCCAAAGGTATACCCATTATCGACCTTCCAGAGATCATCAAACGAGGAGAAGAGGACCAAGCGTACCTCCTCATCCTCGGCGGAGGGATCCAGCGCAAACGCATCCCGGAGACTCTGCACGGCGGCTTTCTGGTTCTCCAGCGAGGGCACTGCCATACCATTCGTCTGACCGGCGTGTGGCCAGCCGCTTTCTGTGATGAGTACTTTCTTCCTTTTGGGGGGTGGTGCAGCAGCAGCACCACTACCACCACCACCAGCATCATCATCAGCATCATCAGCAACATCATCATAATCATCATCATCGTCATAATCATTCATCATCCCCTGTAACACCCCCACCTGCCCCCAAACATAATCCCCCGCCGCCTCGGCCGGGACCGTCTCATCAAAAAACGCATGACAATTCGCCGCACAGTAATCCGAGACCCGACAGAGCTCTGGGTTCTGTAGATGCGCTGCGACCGTATCCACCGTCACCACCGGGCCGTGGTACCCGGCCGCCCGAAGCGTCTCGCGTGCGGACTGCACGGCGGCTACCACTTCCGCGGCGGTGGCTTGGGCGCGGTTGAGTAGTTCGTTGCCGATTGCGACTGTGTGGATTGCTTGCCAGGGATTGTTGTTGGCGGCTGGGTTCGCGTGCACAGCGTCGATGATGAGCTGCAACTGCTCGTCGAGGTCGTGCAGGTCGAACAGGCCGGCGAAGACTTGCAACCCCCCTAACGGTTGAGCGGCGGAGAGGACGAGGTGGGTTTGGTTGCAGTCTGTGCCGTAGATGCGGACGAAGCGAAAGGAGGATAGCTTGGTGATGTCGTGGGTGATTTGCGGGGAGGTTTTGCAGGTGCCGTCGGGGTTGTAGGGCGAGTAGGCGATCCCGTAGGATTTATCGTTAGAAGCGGAGTTGGCGTTGGCGTTGGCGTTGGCGTTGGCGTTGGAGTTGGCGGAGGGGGGTGGTGTGTATGGAATTGAGGATAATGGGGTGGGCTCACCGTCACTGTTGTGAATGGCGGCGTTGAGACCGTGGACTACGCCGGAGCTGAGTTGGTCGGCGCTTTGGTCGAGCCAGCTGAGGGCGTCACCATTGAAAGGGTTGGGGATCAAGTTGCCTGTAGGTAGAGCTGTCACTTGCAATTGACTGTGACTACTACTGCTGCTGAGCAGCAGCACTGCTGCTGCTGCTGCTGCCAGTTGCGACGGCGTCCACTGCATCCTGCACTTCTCTGATCCGAGTTATACTTAGTTACTGGTCGACTACATTTTATCACCTTTCAAACCAGGGAGACCTAAAGGAACCGAGCCCTCTGTATCTCCCCCTGCCCCCTTTCCCCCTGTGAAACAGACAATGTCAAGACTGAGAATCCCCCCCCTCTGGAATGCTGCACCAACAAACGATCCCAGGAATGCCACTCCCTGATAAAGGGTCAAAGGGTCACTGCAAAAGGTCCCGCCTGGTCCTGGATTTCTAGCCACAACCACCCCTTTTCTCCCTACTATAGCATCATCCCCACAAGATCTTGGACGAAAAATGAAGTGTATTAAAATAATAAGAATCTCTAATAATGTCCATGGTACCAATGTAACCGAAAGGAAGATACGCAGTAGGGCAACAGTTGCGCCACATCTAGGTGCAATATGCTGTACAGGTCTGTCCATCGACAGCGGTTTTATCAACAAACGGAACAATAAGGCTGGGTAGAACATGACAGTGGAAGGGCAGAGGGCGTATCAGGGAGGCATTAAACGTCATGGCCAGGTTCCTTGGGAATCCGAGAACTACATGAGACAAAAGCTTGGCTTACTTCCTCTTGCTCAGGACTTTCGTGATCGCGTGGCGGATAATGGTTCCGGCCTTCTCAATCTCTTTCCTCGTCAAGCCGATCGTCACGCACACCTTCAGAGCAGGCGCCACCACTTGCTTCGGCTCGAAATTGTCCTGGAGAGTCTTCAGGCGGCTGATGAGAACGCCGTTGGCAAGACACTAGCAAAAGTCAGTTAACATGACCAACCCAAATAAACAGCAGCACCTCATGTTCTTTACCTCGTCAACGATGTCTTGCAGCAAGAATTGTTGATCATCCTCAGACAGTTTCTTCGCCTGGATCACTTCCGGCTTGAGGACAAGAATCATCATAGGATTCTCAGGCGCACTGGTGCAGGACACCCAATCACTACGCGGGTCCAGCTGCGCCCACATGGCTCTGGTGTGCTCCCGCAACTGGGTGACCGTCTCCGGACTGTTCTGCAGCATATTGATCGTGGCACTCGCCGTGGTCGACAGCAGAGCGGGCAGCGCGGCAGAGAACGTGTATGCGGCAGCGGAAATACGTTGGTGGTGAACGATCTCCTCCGATCCCGCACAGAAGCCTCCTCCAGCAATCAATGGGCCGGCCAGCGAGCCCACAATCATGTCCACTTCTGCCGCGTCGACGTTCTGATGCTCCGTCACACCGCGACCGGTGCGGCCAAGGACACCAAACGACCACGTCTCGTCCAGGATCAGTCGGAATTTGTACTTGAGTTTCAGCTCAATCTACAAGCGGTCAGTAAGCAGCACATTCTAGGCAACCCAGACCGTGCAGGCAGGAGCACCTACAACTTTAGGCAAGTCAACCATGTCACCGTACGACTCGAAGAGACCCTCGGTGATGATGAACCGTCTGGTGAGTGGCTTCCGCGCTTGCTCCTTAGTCACCTTGGCAAGGACTCGTTCCAAATCCTCCATATCATTGTGTTCATACCACCGGACGATACTGCGAGAAATCTGGATACCTTTGCGGATCGCAAAGCTGACCCCCTTGTCGGCAACGATGATGTCCCCGCGCTTCGAAAAAGCAGGAATCACACTCGAGATAGTCGAAAAGGCCTGGGCGTAGATAATGCAAGACGCGGTTCCGAGGAAGGAGGCGACGTCGGCTTCGGTCTTCATGTGCACGTCCTGGGTGCCGTAGAAGCCTCGCGGGCCACAGGGTCCGACTCCGTAGTTGCGGAGGGTTTGGATGGCCTTCTCTTTAAGAGATTCGTTCGTGTTGAAATTGTAGAAGTTGTAAGAACCCAGATTCATGACCGTCCGGCCATTCGCGAGCTTCGACTTCGGACCGACGGGGCTGCAAAGCGTCCGGGCGCGTTCGCGTCAGCAATCGCTCTTCCAATTGAGTCGATCGGGGCGATGATAGTCCTTACCCAACAATGACCGTACGCTTGTCCACTTCCATCGCCTCCAGGGGAGTCGGCTTGCCCACAAGCGGCTCCGGAGTCCACTCGTCGACCAGGTCATCTATTTCATCTTCCGAGAGTTGGACGACACCGGGCTTGGTCGAATACTTCGGCGCAAGAAGGTAGCGAACGGCGAACAGAAACAAGAAAAGCTCAACGGCGGAACGAATCGGATCATTCTGGTAGCTGGATTTCACGTAGCGGAGGAAGATTGCCGAGCCCGGCAGGCGATGGAACAAGGCAGCGAGCTCATGGAGATACTCCGTCAGAAGACGCTGAGTCTCCTGGATGTCCATGATGATCGGGGGAGTTGGCGGAAGCGCTCGTAGCGCTGAACGAGGACGCTTATCGGTGGGGAAAGCCCAGATAGGAACAGAGGCGACGACAGCAAGTTACAACCGAGAGAATTGCATTGGGACAAAGGTGTGAATTTCCAAAAAGGAGCTCCCGTCAGAAAGTCGAAACGACGCGGCAGGCCCAACTTCCGGACGAGGAGGAACAAGCACGTGACTTCATTCGCTCCTTGCAGGCAGCCAGTGTAGATGCTATCGGTCATGTGATTCTACTGAAAAGATCCACCATCAGGTGATGCATGATAGTGAGGATATTTCTCTGATAATTGCAGCCATCTGCAGTATCTACGCTATCAGATACCCATCTCGAATAGTACACTCGTCTTGACTCAGAGGTACAGTTCTTCCAGCACAACGAGTCCATTGTTTGGCTTCATTCAACCATACACCTTCCCTTGGCCTTGTCCCCATCCATCGCCAGCCCGTTTCTGGGAAGCATGGTATTCCTCAGGCAGAACGGCCGCTGATAGGACACGAAATGTAGATTCAATGCTGCCATTTTCAGGGTGCTGAAGTAGCTGCCCTCGGTGGGTTGGAGCAGAGAAGCCACGAGCCAGGAATCGTTATCACCAGCAGTGAAAGGACCACCATGCTTGCATCTTGTAATCACCAATTGCCTCCGGTCCAATCATCAGACGGGCGAGACGAAGCCCCAGGACTCAGCCCGTATTTTCATAGATTCGGAGATGGGGGGGACAGTAGCGAACTGTGGTGCCTTGAAGTGCGTGGATCCCACCTGAGCGGTCGTAGCGGCAGGTCAGGCATAGCACGTCGCCCTGACCAAGGACATCATCAGCCCTACGAACCAGTGGCAGAAGTCAATTAGGTGCTTATACTTATACCTGTGTCTACTCCAGAGAGGCTTACAAGCCTTTGACAGCTGTCACCAAGGTAACTCCCCGAGGGTGATGTTGGACGAGCCATCAGTGAGAGTACTTTCAGTGGTGGTCGTTGTGACGGGAGCCAACTTGCGGAATGTTCATTATCAGGCGAGCGAGACTATCAGTGCGAGCGCTCCTACCTACGCAGAGACACGAAACGAGAATTCCCAAGGGCCCGATGTACAGCTTAATGGCTACAGCTACACGTCAAGCGGCTACGGCAGAGCACAAGAATACGAAACCTAATGAATGGTGGCACAGAAAGAAACTTGCAAGTCTAATGAACATACATAAAGGACTGAGAACACCTGGAGGATACAGAATTCAGTTGACAGATATTGGATCCATTAATGTTGATAACAGAAAGGAGCACGGGCGAAGAGTGTCATTCAAGAAGCAATGAGAATAAAACAAAGGCAAATGTATGCGACTCCGCAGCGTCTTCAAGGCGCTGATAACTTTATACAGCTCGTTTCCATGTTCCATTTTCGCAAAAATGAGAGAATGTAAAGAAAAAGATGACAATCGATGCGGCAACAGGCACCTCAAGAGCTCGAGCCGGTTTTCGTGGCAGCCGGGTTGGTGGGAGTCCAGCCCGAGAAACCGACAGGAAGACCTCTACCAGTGTAACTGGCGATGGTGTCATTGTTGTCCCTGTCGAGCGGCTGCATGATGTCCATGGGCAAGCTCGAACCGAAGCTGATGTTCTGGTTACGAGCAACGAGAGGGGCAATGAGGAGGACGAGGAAGATAACCAGCATCGTGAAATAGAGGATAGCGAAACGAATGACTCTGCGCTTGCGAAGCTTGGACTGCTTCAGAGAGTAGATCGGAGGCCGGATCTGACGACTCGGGCGCAGCCAGAAAAGAATGACCGAGTGGAACTTGTCAACGTAAGGCACGCAGAGCGCAGGCAACATGACAAACAGGAGAATGTGACCCAAGACGAAGTCGGCAGAGAAGTAACCCAGTTCAGTGATCTTACAGAGGAATTCACGACCAGGCTGGGACAGAGTGTGCCAGCCCATGCTGTACCACTTACCAGTCCACCAGGCGATATTAGACTGGTCATTCTTGAATTCTCTGGTAAGGGCGAGGGAGATGATGAGCTTGTAGATGAACCGCTGGATAGCAGCCATGGCGATCATGCCCATAACACATCTAGGCCAAGACCAAGCCTCGAGGAAGAACATGACTTCGAAGATAGCCAGAAGGACAATAACGGCAATGGCGTGAGCAATAGCAGCCAAAACAGCACCGAACTTCTTGCAGCACATGCTGAAAATTGGGCCCATACAACAAGCCATGCCGAAGAACATACCCGCAACACCGGCGTTGATAGCGATGGGACCAAAAGCCACGATGGCGATACGGACAATGGCATTCGAAGCATGATTGTTGTCATTGGAGATACCAGTTCGGGAGTTGATGTAAAGGTAAGGGACAAGGGTAACACCAACAACTACCAGAGGAGCGACAACCTCACTGAAGAAGATGTTCGAGATGCGAGCTCGGGGAATATCACCGGATCCCTTCTCAGAAGGTACACCAAGAAGCTTGCGCTTGTAACCAGTGATACGGGTACGAGACAAGCGACAGAAGGCAATCCAGGAAGAAGCATGCGAGCGAGAGTTACCGCGAGAGAGCCAGCGGATGTAGTCGCGGTAATCGATGAAGAAGTCATGCCACGCGAACTGGTGAGGGTTGAACAGGAAGGGAGAGATGACCAAGGCCAACAGCGAAACCCAGAACCAGATCAACGACGCGGTCCAGACGGTGGAGGTCGCAAACAGAAGCATCAGAAGCTGACGAGCACCGGCGTAGATGGAAGGCCCAGCGAAACGCGAGTAGAGGACACCGAAAGGAATACGGGCAGTGGCAAAACCACGACCAGTACCGATATAACGGGCACCACCGAAAGACAAGTTGTTATGGACAGCATTGGCATAGATCTGGCAGACGAACACCTCGAACATGAAAGAGAAGGAACCGAAATGCTTTGCCAGACGAGTCGCCATGCGCCACACGCCTCTCTCAGTCAATTCTTGGACGGCCAAGGGGACGAAGGAGATGAAGAAGACGATGAAGATGGAAATAACACAGCGGTTGACCCAGTTCACAATGGGCGTCAAGTCGGCACAGTATGTGGGACGCAGAGGATCAGTGATCGGCAAGTTGGAGTCATACCGACAGGTGATGGTCTCGTGTCTCAAGGCTCCAAGGTTGACGAGGACAATCATGAACATCTGCACAGACAGCATAATGAACATGTTGTTAATGTGGAAACCAGGGTGAGCATAATAGAAAGACAAGAAACGGTCAAGAGGCAGCTGAGTTCCGAGGTAGTAGTATTCTCTGGACAGCATCTGCTCACCCATACCAGTACCAATCTTCGTGGTGAAGTTGAGAATGGAGCCAAATCCAAGATCACGACCCTTACCACATTGGAAGTATTCGCAATGCTTAATGCGTCCACCACGGAGCAGAACAGTCATACCAGCATAGATATCCTCGTTCAGGTGCAAACCCTTTTGAGCCTTGGAGATACCACCACGAGTAGTCATGAAGATACCATTCAAGAAGTCAGGGTGACCATAATGCAGCTTTCCGCCGATCTGAGCGAGAGTACGGGCGAACAAAGTACCGAATGTCTGTTCCTTACTGGCAGCGACGTCACCAAGAAGACCCACATTCTCCGAGAAAATGTATTCACGGGCTCCGAGGATGGCGACGGGTGTGGTTTTGTCAGAGGGAACACCAGGAGTGTAAGGGGAGACATTGGTGGTGGTCAGCTCCTCAAATTCGGCCAGAACGCTGCGAATCTTCAAGCACTCTTCCAGGTAGTTGTCCTGGTTAGCGTCAATGACCTGAATATATTCACCACGGTAGAAGATGATGGAGTGGTTCTGGTTGTCAGACTTTCCGTCTCCGAGAATGGGGTTGCCGGAGAGCTGAATCCTGAACTTGGGCTTGCGCATTCCGTTGTCGAGAAGCTCACAGTGTCCATCGATCAGAGCAGAGTACAAGCGGGGCTCCTCGCCTTCTTCCGTCGGAGGCTCCTCATCAAGGTAAGCAATCTGGAGATCAGGGTAGGCACGCAGAAGGAACTCGGTGTTTTCACGCTCCTCCTTGTTAAACTTGGCGTAACGCTGCATGGAAACACAGATCTTGAACTTGCGACGGGCCATGCGCTCGAGCTCACGCTCAAGCTTTTCGGAGTTGCCACCGAACATTTGAACGACTTCGGGATTCTCAACACGGTACAGCAGCTTGATAGCGCGGCTGAAGTTCATGAAACCAGAGATAGTCCTGTACAAAGTCTGGGAGCGCAGGGAAGACCAGATACGGGTACGAAGAGTGTACTCGGGAGCAGCAGACTTGAAACCAATGCAGTAGAAGGGGAGATCATCGATCTTGCTCTTCTGAGCATCTTTCTCGCTTTTCTCCTGATCACCGTTGTATTGCGAGGTCTCATCAGCCAGGATCTTGGTGTCCTTGACGAAGCAATCCCACTCGTGAGGGTGAAGCTGCTTGAGATATTCCAGCAGAGTAACACGAGAGTAAGGCTCATCTTCACGGATAATTTCACGAAGAGACAGAAGAATCTTCTCACCGTAATGAGGGATAAGCACCGTGAAAGTGGGCATGTTGTCAACAGGGAGAGGCTCGGGCATGGGGGTGGACAGAGACTGGGCGAAGAAGGAGATACGACGTTCAGCCTCGCTACCAGCAGGGAAGAACTCGGTCTTGAAAGACTGATCTTCTTGGGAGACGAAGAACGTCGGCGCACGCAGAGTCCGCTTGCCTTCGACCTCGGACGGAACCTGGTGATAAAGGAGCTTCTGGACGTGATCGATGGCCAGAAGGTGCTCCCTGTACATGGAGATGATGATAGCATTCCAAACCTGGGAGATGAGCACCTTCGGCTTGTATTTGATTTCCATGTCGGTCGTAGCGAGCACCTTGGAGTAGATACGCTTGGGCAGGCGAGAGAACACGTTTCTCCAGGGCGACCAGATCGACACACCGAGATAGAATGATCTGGCGACCGAGAAGATGGTGTTGCAAATGACGTACCACAGATAACTATCCAGGAAGAAGAGCGTCAAATCCATGAAGAACATTAGACCCAAGAGAATCTGGGGCTGAGCGTGGCAGAGGACGTTGGGGATGTATGTCACACCCGCGCACTGGTGGATGCGCATGGGCGACAAGATCCGGATGGGATCCTTCAGCGACAAGGTCAGGAAGAAGTAAGACTCGACCAGCTTCGCACCAAAGACACAAACCCAAAGACCATAGGACATCCACATGTCATTACCGGTGAGCCTCGGGAAACTAGCCGTAAACGTCTGACTGGCAACGTATTGGCGCCCATGCTTCTTCAGGTAGCTGCCAAAGAGACCGCCGAGCGGCATAATGGAGAAGAAGAAGAACGTAGCCAACGCGATGAAGAAGTGAACGATACCAATGACGAGAGCAATAGTCTCACCAATGCTACTCTTGAACCCGAAGACGACGACACCAGGAGCAAGATTGACGATGAAAACGGCCAGGAGGAAGAACAAGCGCTTGGTGAGATGCTGCGCACCGGCCCATCGGCGAGGGACATACATCCATTCACAAATAGTAGCCATGATCTGAATAAACGAGACGAGAGCACCTCCAAACCCGACAGCAGACCATTTGTAGGAACCAGGCGGTTTGTTGTCCAGCTGCTGTTGGTAGTTGTGAGTGTAGATGGTCGGGGCGTTGTAGGCAGTGAAGAACCAGAAAGCACCAAGGTGGATCACCCAGATGCGGTTGAAATTGGTGATCAAGTGGAACCAAGAACGTGTTTCCCGGTAGGTCTTGAAGAAGGCCTTCTTCCAATCCACATCCTTCAGCTTAGTCCATCTTTCCGCGGGCGGGACATCGACGAGGCGGGTCTTGTCCTCGAACGAGATGCGTTCAATACCCTCGGGATACCAGAACAACTGGTTCATGTCATCGTAACCAATGATCTTGTCGTGATCACGCTCGCGCCGAACATACTTGCCATCAGAGATCTCATAGCCTTGATCACGGCAGAACTGATACAAGGGGGTGATGATCTCATTGAGGTAAGTGAGCTCCTCTACTGGCTCAACCCGGTTCTGGCATTCGGGAGAGCTGTAGTAATCGTCCGCACATTTGAAGATAAAGCAAAGACATTCCGGCAAGTAACGGACCTGGTTAGCCTCACCCCAGCACAGCAGATAGAGAGCAATCTGGCGTACTCTGTCATGCTGAGACATGCGGTTCATGCGTGTCTTCCACCGGTATTCGGCAGCTTCCAGACTGTTATCTCCCTCCAGAGCCTCAAGGTTCTCCTCAACATTCTCGGGGTTCTGCTGAGCAGCCTTCTTGGCGGCGGCGCGAGCTTTCCTTGTCTTACGATCCGCCTTTCCAAGTTTCATGTTGGCAAAACCAACGGCATCGTCCAGGTCCAGATGGGCGGCAAAGTACCAGCGGCGGTAATTCGCGTTTTCGCCTCCAATGTAGTCGGCGTGGAGTGACAGGAGAGCCTGGTTAGGAGTCATACGAGAAGCGCGAGAGTCCAGCTGTGTCATCAAGTGGTCGTACATGTTACGCATGCTGTCACGCTGGAAACCGAATTTGTTGACCAAGTCAATGAAGATATCTTCGATCTCTTCCTTGGAGACAGGCACTTGGCCATCCGAAGCCCAGGCCGGGAAGGGCTCCCGCGAGCGCTGGTTAGCGGGCAAAGCACCGCCGTAGTCCATGCCGTACACGGGAGTGGAGGCTCCGGAGGATCGGTTAGCACCATATGAGACTTGGGATGATGGTGGCCGGTAGCCACCGTATCCGCCACGACCACCATACTGGCTGTCAGCATAGCTGTTGTAACGCTCATCGCCCCGGCCGTAGTAATCCATGTCAGCCGCCCGGGCAGTCTCGGATCTCATGGTGAAGTCGCTGAATGTCTCGGAATCTTCTTCGGAGTCGCCGCGACGTCTACCCCTAGCAGCGCCATTGCCTTGGTCGTAGTACTGGTCACCGTAGTATTCGTCCTGGTGGCCACCATCGTAGTATCCGCCTTCTTGTTGGTACCCCTGACCTCCCTCGGCGTTGTAATAATTGCCGTTCCTGTCAACTCCATTTAGTTCACGCAAGGGAAGGGGTCAAGGGAACCCATGGAACCTACCCTCTATCATAGTAACTATCACCATAATTTTCATGATCATAATAAGGCTGGCCATGTTCGTCTTGGTAGTACGAGTCACCAGCATGCTCTTGCTGGTGGCCGTAGCCCTCCTCATACTGGCCTCCTGCGGGATAGCCGGACATTTTGACGTGCCACAATCACTAAAGTCTTCAGAGAGTGTCTAGACGAGGGCGAATGGTCAATTCCTCTGCATTCGAACCCAGCAAGCAGCACCCCGTAAAACCAGTGTGGTCACGACTTACATGAACAATGACCCATTAAAGATTAAGCCGAGAGTATTTCCGATGGCTGGAGCATGTAACAGGCAGTCGAACTCTCGCTAGGATTCGTTCGCTGAAGATCGCAAGGTCGAAAAACGTCGAGTACACCTGAAACCGAGAGCGCTTTTTGTCCTCTGGAGGCACCAGTCCCCGACAGTCAAACGGTGTCGCAGTGATTCAAACTCCAAGCCGAGAACGAATGATTCTTTTGGTAGTCGACTCGTGAATCGGAGTCAGACTTGTCGTAGATGAGAGACCGTTTGTCAAACGAGTGGAAGGCAGAAGCCAAATAGTCGAAACGAAACTAACAGGGGGGGTTGGACGGAGAAGTGTCAATAACTGACCGTTGCAGGTAGAACCTGTCTTAGTCAAGCAACACCTCCCTCTTCTTTCCTCGAAACGAAAGAATCAGAAAGAAGGAAGGGAGCCAAGTCGCGTTTTTCCTGAAGGGAAAAGTGGTTGGGTGACTTGGGGGTAGGTGTTTGAAGGGGGGGGTGGGTGGGTGAGAGTGGATGATAAGAACAAAAGAGTGAACTGAACAAGACAGGGAACCGAACAGAAAAAAAAGAAAGAGGTTAGGGAAGAGAGAAATCAAAAGAGAGAGAGAACGAAAGAAGGAAAGGACCCAGAGTGAAGGACGGTTAGAGGGAGGCTTGAGTTGAACGGGTATTGGTGAAAAAGGGAATTGATTGACCGACAAGCAGGGAAGATAGCACTGGCGCTACTACTGACTGGGCCAGTCTTTTTTTTCGCTCTAACAATGTCCTTTCTCAAGTTCCCTGGGCTATTTCTTTTCTCTCCCTAGGATTGGGGGGCGAGGGAGGGAAGAGGGGGGGGGTGGGAGAGAGGAGTGGATGTGGATGTCCGATGTGTGGAAGGGGGGGGAGAAATAGAGACAGAGAGAGAGCCAGAGACTAATGAGACTGTGGTTATTTTGGGATCTGGATCTGCTAATTTACTAGTCACGATACCGATTTCTCCTGGACTAGTGGTAAATATGCCCGGTTAGCCAGACCCAGGCGGGGATACGCAGCCAACCAGCAACTCTCCACGTAATGTTCCATGGGATGATACCTGCAGTGGTACCTGGTAATTACTATGCCTTACCACATGTTGGTATGTTAAAATACACGCAAAACACCATAACGCGTGTAAGCAGAGAGTACCCGTACCCACCCACCTCTATCATCCATTTTCCCAGTCACCTACACTTATCCATCCTTCCTACGGGCCAAAGCCAAAGGTCCAACCTACCTTACTGACTGATTCAGCTCAGCATTATTCTGGGACCACCTAACAAGAGGCTGGGCCAGAGAAATATAAGCTTCAAAACAATTGCGCTCAACAAGTGATGGTTTCTCATGCTTGCTACGGCGGACCTACTAGTTATCTGTAACTCATCAACGGTACGGAGTACCTACTGTAGTTAAATGCCCCCCCGGGGTGCCACATCTGCCGAATGTGAGGTACGCGTAGAAGATCACTAGGTAACAATATGCCTTCTCAAAGAACAGGAAATATCTATAGTAACCCCCTCCCATCCACATTGCCCAAACCTATTCGCAACCCATCCTTGATATCACCGAAAGCAACAGATTCAGTGAATTGACTGACGTAGCTGGAAGCCACTTTGATCCATCGTTTCCTCTGGGAGCCCAGAGTGGACATAAGAGTTTACAACGGAGGCTTACCGGCCTCAAATCTGCAACAAGACTCTGCCGGAGATGCGTACTTGTGGTTCGGAACCCATGGAACTCAACGACGGCCCCTGAAGCGCCCCCCATCTCCCCGACCCACAACCCCATCAGAGAATGGCAAATTACGCAGATCGCACCGTAACAACAGAAGGAACGGGGGTATCAGTGTATTGAAGATACGTACAGTACTGTAATTGACATGCCCATGCTGTCTTGCTTGTTTACTTGATTTCTTACCAGTCAGTTACCACACCTAAGCATGTTGCTCCCACCCTGACGGCATGAAGGGATGGATGAATCATGGACCGTTCTCATTCCTCAACCCGCCTGTACCAGCAACCACCAATCTATCTCGTTACAACATCATAGTGGCAAGGCCACGAATGCGTCGCCAGGGCCGGTGGATGTTTGTTGTGGCCTTCAGTTCAATGCGCTAACTGAGCAGGTGACGGATTGTTGCTACCGAGCTGTGAAAGCTCGGCTCCGTTACAATTCTCATACTTGCGATCCTCAACGGGGCCTGCATGAATGTAGCACTTCCTGCATCTGCATATATGCTTCGCCTCGTAGGAAACACATGGTTCATCACTCTCAACGTAGCATGCATCGAACAATAGGCAAAGATAGGCCAGAAGAGGATGTAGATTAAGCCCCAACCTTCCCTCGGCGCAGTGCCATTCATAATCTACCTGGCAGCATAAAGTCCTGATCATATCATTTTCTTCCACAAATACCTGGTGCAAGTATCTATCCTCCATCGGATACTCGAAACTCCGTACATACAGCATATGCAAGCACAAAAAAAAAAGAAGAAAGAAAGAAAAACTCTATTTGTGTTGGCATGAGTCTTCCGCCACGAATCGACGCGCATAAGGAGGCATATATCGTACATAATTAGCTGCGTTTTCGACCTAAAGCCGCTGATTAAGACAGACAGGCAGCGAGCACTGGCATCCGACCTGCTTTTCCAATTATAGGCACGGAGTACTGAGTACCTGGTACCTTCTGTGTATAATCTGTCCAGTCTCCCTTGCCACTCGGTATGAGAAAAAAAAAAAAAAAGAGAAGCACATTCGCTCATGCGAGGGACACTGGCTGCCATTTGACAGCCCACAGCTCGGCCCCAGTGGGCACGAAACTTATCCATTGACAGCGGATGCACATCAAATTCTTACAAGGACGGGGAGGTCTCGACAAACCCACCAATACCAAGCTGCTGTAACCTGTCGAAAGAATCCATCCACTGAACCATTGCCAGTTGGGTACTCCAAGCTTCACAATAGGGGGCAACGTGCTCAGGTAAAGCCAATTCCTGCGGGAAACTTGCATGGAGTTCGAGAGGTTACGGAAGTTTCCCTTTGGATATTTGGAGCTGGCATACATTCCGAAATTCCTACTGCAACAGAAGCTTTGTCGGGAGCGGGGGTTTGCCAATGTCCATATTTCCATACTACATACATACTAGTAGTGACCATCGCTTGGAAAGACCCAAAGATCGCCTCCGCGCTCCATACTTATCTATTCTTAAGCATTGCAGATGGGGGGCGCATCTAAGACAGCAGTTGACATGAGCCACTCGTCGTCTCCTTGCGACCCGCGAGAGGATTGCAGAGATCTACCCAACGATCAAGGGATGCACTAAGAAACGTTATCATTGAAGAGGATGAGGTGCACTCATCGAACCTATTTCCTGGTTTGGCCCATCCATAGTTAATTGCACTGCAACTGACTGATCGACTGAGATGAAGTTTGGCTCTATGAACATCACTGCTAGCCAAACATATTGAAATTATCGGATACTCTTCATGAACATCGAATACTATTTTCTGATCCAAGGCCCTTACATTCACCAATTGTGTGATCACTAACTCGATGTTGCCAGTCGATGCGATCCAGATAAGAATGATGGAACAGATACAGTTGTACTCCCACAGTAGACACATATTTGAAACTTACCTCCGAGATACGTGCAGGACCAGTTCCGTTCGTACGAGGAGAGTAATTGTACGACTACAAACTACCGCCTCTTAGCGGCATGTATTCTTTAGTTTGCAAGACACAATCCGCCAACTGTAATGCTCGAGCCACTCATATTGCGCGGATGGAAAAGAGGGGCGCGGCGTACCTTAGCACCAAAACAAAAAGCCCCCACATCCCAAGAAAACAGGACCCAACTTCAAGCCTTGATTGTGGTGGCTGTTTTCTTGCTTTTGTTCGGTGTCTGCGGTCGTTGCAAGCCCATTCTGAACTCCAATGGAACGTCCATGCTGATTGGTAAGACAACTGAAATGGGCACTTCCAGTGCTCGACTCGATCAGCTGTGCTCCGTAGTCTAGGATCGACAGGTGCGGTGGGTTGTGGTGTATTGTTCGTCGTTCCAGCCTCCTGTCCTGGCCCCTTCCAGGCTTCCCAGCCTTCTGGCCTCTTTGCTAGAGACCGTGGATACTGTACTTACTTGGATTCGTCCTATTCATGACATGAATACTATAATTTTGAAAACCCCCTCTTCTCGAAAGAACTACCCTTATTCATTATACCAGTAAGGAGATTGAACCCCGCGCCCACATTGACAGAGATCATACAAAAAAAAAAATTAAGGGGAGCAAGCAAGAGTACCTCATTACATATCACTGCTCTTCATTCTAAGGATTGTGGAAATTGTCATTTGTAGCCATGGCGGAAGCCCGGGTTCTGAGTGAGAAGTTCTCACCATTTCGGATAAAGACTAGTAACTAGGTAGAAGCGTAGCCGCCCCACCAGCTACGTAAGATCCATGATGACATCGACATCGGTGGGCACAAAACCGTCCACGATAACTGGTCTCTTGGGTGTTCCAGGCTATCCATTGGTTTGCAGCAAATTCATGTTTGTCTATCTCAACGTTCTTCTGCCTGCGTGGATTGACTGATTTATCGTTCCAATAAACGAACTAGTTAATGGCAAGTTTGTCAGTCATGAATGGTCTAAATCAAAACCAAAGTTCCAAAAATATGCAAACTAAAACATGATGAATTGGGATCCGGGTTCCAAGTATGAAGAAGCCATGGAACCGACTGCCGCTGCTCTCTGTTCTTTCTGCTTCCCCCAACACAATAATAATAATAGTAGCTCCGTCGTAATCAGCCGTCCGCTGTAATATGTATAGGGATCTTCGCCAAATATATTGGAAAGAAGGGTTCACTGGACCTAGAACCTCTAGGAAAAACTATAGCGCAATGACTAGTCGGGTCGGTGGTCGGAATAGCAATCTGGCAGCTGCCCGGAAGCGATAAATATGCAAGATCATATGTATTTCCATGTCCTGCCCGTTCCATTTATATCTCATCTTTCAGCCTTGCCCTTGCAGCAGATCAGGAACATACGGAGTAAGATAGTGCTGTGCCGAACAGCAGCCAGATCCCAGCAAATTCAGTGTCTATTACTATATGTACATATCCTGAATCATGCGAGTCTATAAGTAGACGATCAGACCTCCCTCCTCGCAGGATCAACCTCAATCATACGGCATCAGACCCTTTTTCCCAATTGCCCCTCAATCTCCCTCTCCCCCTGGATGAGCGGATGCAACTTTTCGACGTATCTCGCCATGTCACTCCCCAGAGACCCCTTTCCCCTCCCCCAGCTGCTCCGTACTGCTCCGTACAGACTAGCTTGCGGGATATGCGACCGCAAGCAGTAATCCCAATCCCAGCCTAAAAGGCCTTAGTTATCCTTCGAGCCGTGGGGTCAAATAATCAGGGATAACAGCTAGCAGGGAGCAGGTTTCAACACTGTTTGGATGGGCCAATGTCCAGGCACTGCAGGAGATTCAAGACCCAAGTGGCTGTGGGATAATGGAGCACAAGATGTAGCCGAAAACCAATCGGACGGGGCTGCAGGGCGGGTGGCAATATCCGCGACCGAAGATGATTGAATGGAATGGGAAAAGAATAGGGGGGTTTCCAATGTTTCAGGTTTCATCCCCACCTGACTTCCGCCCCGTCACACTAAGGTAACCATCAACGTCCTCCACCTCCCTATCTACGTACGGTACTATGATTTGTTGCTTCTATCCGTTCAAGTGCTCGCCACGTACAACGCTGACAAACCAATCGTCTACTGCTAACTACTAACTAATTACTGAATTAACTCCGGCTTACTGTGCAGCAAGCCATGAAGAAACAATCATTCTGGTTTCGTGCACATAACTGACGAGGCAGGGTTTTGGCAATCGATCACATGGTGGCCGTTTTCGACAGCTGACGCCACATATGCAATCGAATGGCTTTCCCAGGGTGTGGCGGCGGATGCGGACCGGTTCGGGTTTCTGATCAGACCGGTTGTTGCATCTTCGAAGGGGGATCCAATTCAACCTCTCTTGGTGTTTAAGGTGCGATGATCATCTGTGCGAACCGGCTCACGGCGTGGCTAGGTTAAGATTCCCGTTACTCCAGACTCCAGTGTGGTGAGTGCGCTTTGTGTCTGGGACTGTTCCACTGACGAGAAAAGAAACGATCGTCACATGGTGATTCAAACTCCTGGGGACGTCGAATTGTAACATCGCATGGGGATCTTCACTCTGTTTGATGGGCGGTTTTGCCACTTACTGTCACGGAGCACGAAATACTGCCTGGGCGCATCATACCGGGTGGCTAAGAACGCCAATTCTATGGCAATCATGTTACTTGAGAACCGTGGGTCGACTTGATCTGCGAGCTATGATATTCTGGACGCAACGAGTACGGCGGTTGAACGCCTCCTATCTTGACAATAGGCGATCAATAGGCGAACACTGTTTCTCTTGCCTCTTCCTCCGCCCTGCACATCGATGCTGGCCGCATTCATCGCCGTGTGATGACCACTGGCTCGCGCATGGATATGCCTTCGGATTTGTGTGACAATTGACGTACTGACAAGTTAGCATCACGCGCACGGCCATAGTCGCTGGGGAGCGTCGTCGGGTCGACTGGGTGGGTGCCAGTTGGTTGTGGACGATGTCTGCTGGTCGAGATTGTAACATGGACTTGAACATGTTTACCTCCTATCCACCTGCGGTCGATGGAATAGGCTCTTCAGCTTTCCCTCTCTTGGTTTCATTCTGGATCCGCGGTTATTCCTCGTTGGGAACGGATGTCTCAGTGGATGAATCATGATATCCCGCGATCTTCTGCTCGCTTTGGACTATAGCCACTTGAGTTGTGGGTAGACAGCAGTGCCTAGGAATCTAGCCTCTTGCACGTCTTGCTCTCGTGGAGCCCTCCTTCTCTTAGTCGCTGCAGTCCTTGCACATGTCGCATGGGCTCACCCGGGATGCTCCCGTTGCTCTTGTTTCTTGCAGTCTCGGTGTCTTCGATAGCTCGTTTCGAGCATTATCCCATGCCTGGACTTGGTCACGTCGGTTAGGCTCTCTTGATCCTGTAGTTCTTGCCAGGGGCAGGCCCGGCTTGCAAGAAGACCGATGGGTGAAATAACTCTCTGTGCTATATGCATCGCTGCGTCCGCGGAACTTGGTGGCTGTGGCAGCTTCGTGTTATCTGCAGACTGTGCGAACCTCGTATGTCATTGGAGCTAGTTTATTATCTGCATGGGAAGGATAATTTAGAATTGCTCCCGGGGCACTCGGATGTCTGCCTGTCCAGTAGCCGCTGGCCAAGCCTCTGGGCTGGGGCCGGTCTGGAAGATGCTGTCAGCCATGGTGTCTAAGCCCTGTGTACGTACGTGATTTATGAGATGTCGTAGTGCAGTTTTATATGCTTCTTTGTTCTACCGTGTACCTTTTTTTCGGTACTCGTGTTTGTGAGACCTGTTGTAGACCCCCACCCCCCTCGACCGTAAGTACCAAGTATATATTCGATGATGGACATAGATCCGAGGCTGCAGCCCCGGAATCAGCCGGCGTCCAGAAAGGTAAACCATGCACTTGTCCATACTTAGGAAGAAGTCGAGGCTGGTACCATTGCATGATCAACCACCAAACGAGCTGCCATGGACTAGCGATTTTGCGAGCAGTATGGGGTGGTTATCTTCTGCAAGGCGGCAGATGCGGCATAGAAAAGGCGTCACTCAGCTGCAGTTACCTCATAATAACAGACTTTGAGATTTCTACCATAAGAAGCCCGGGTGGTCTAGTGGTATGATTCTCGCTTAGGGATACAAACCCAAGCATATCTGCGAGAGGTCCCGCGTTCGATCCGCGGCTCGGGCCTTCAATATCTTTTTCTTTTTGCATTTGCCGGAACTCGGATCCAATCTCGCGATCCCCAGCCTCCCCCCCCACACACGACGATGCCATCCCTAAATGCGTTTAGAAACACCAAGCGGTGTACGCCCACGGGGCACCGGATGGGCCACCCTTGGCGCCAAAACTCCACCACCATGAATCCTATCGGCCAGTGCCTTGGTTTCTGTCGCCGACGGGATCTCGCCCGACGCGTTGCTGTGCCAACCGGCCTACAAAAGCTCCCACCGCAATTCAATAGCTCTTTTCCGAGTATCCAGCCTCGCGCAGATAAATCGTGCGCAGACCTGTAAGTCTATCCACCCGCGACGACTGACCGTCCATCAACTGCCACGCCACGGCAGGTACTGATGACACCTCAGATCGCCACGCGACATCAACAACGCGGAGGTGGGGACAGCCGCACCGCAAACGCAATCGGTACCTACAGCATAACTGGATTCGGATTCGATAGCCTTACACGATGGCGCGACTCAACCCCAACAGCCCCATCAAACCCGCCATCTTCCGGCCTCAGGCTAAGCCCATCACCAAGACGGTCGTCCGCGAGGTCTCCCAGTACACGACCTCGTCTGCCTCCGAGGCAGAGGATGATCACCAGAAACAATGGATAGTCACCGCAAGGAACGGGGCCACAAAGAGTGATCGCGCAGCAACAATCGTAACCACTACTGAAAGACCCCAGCAGCAACAACAACAACAACAACAACGAAGAGTCAGACACCAACGGACTCCGACCGTCTCCAGTGGTATATTTGACATCTTCTCAGATAGCGACGGCGGGTTTAGCGAAACCGAGTACAGCAGCGCTCGATCCTCGACCCGCTCCTTGTGCGAGCCAACACGGACAACGGATCCTTTGAGACTGTCGCAGATCAACTCTTTGTCCGCGGCCTCATTGTCCCAACCACCGCCGTCCCCCCGGCGCAGTAGGCCAACAAGGAAGCAGGAGACCTACAACTACGACAAGGAGAATGACCCCATCGAGCACGAGCAAGATGAGGATCGCGATGTGCCTTCGCTGTCGAGGAACCCCTCCGACGCATCATCGAGCCGCTCAACGACGCGCCGATCAGCTGATGCTCGACCGACACTTGGGAGAGGGACGACGAACAACCGTCAACGGCCCGCGAGCTATCGCCGGTCGGAGCCCGAGTCTGCCGACGATGAAAGCGAGCAAGACAATGACGAAGACTCAATGGCTGATTTCATTGTCAGTGACAATGAAGACCTCAGTTACCACAACACGTCCGAGGATGAAGCAGAGGATGAGATAGAGAAGCCCGCGCAGCCCTCACCCTCTCCACCAAGAACGGCAGCAAGAAAGAGATTGTTCAGGGGTCGACGGCCAGCTCAAGTAGAAGCAGAGATAAAAAAAGATCTGCCAGAAGATGCAGATACCGTTGTTCCTTACAATGTTAACCTGAAACTGGAACCGACTCTGCCAGTCAAGTTGACAATGGTACCCCCAAAGCTCGAGGCCAAGCCCAGACGTCTCTTTCAGGACGAGATCAATATCACTGAGAAGCTGAACCATTTGCACCTGGATAACAATGACCCGGCCTCTCAACTTCAACAGGAACTATTCACGTAAGTTCCATATAATCCCCATTGACACCCCTGTCTCTTTGGCACCCCACCTTGTTCACAAGCTAATATACACTCCAAGCTCCGGTCAATACGATGACTCTCCGGTCAAGAGATCGCAGGCCAACAAAAGCAGTGCATCGGCGACGGGAACGACGAGAACTAGCTCGACACCGCCATCGAGTCCCTCCAAGGGACGCCTCCGATCGCCTACCAAGGACAGACTTCGGGTACACATTCCGCCCACCCCCCATCGCGAGAGCGTAGACGCTTTCTGGACTGAGGAGGTAACCACCAACTGGATCAGCCAGCACTCCCCTTGCAAGGTCGAGGACCTCCTCCGGGAGTTCGACGAGGAGTCCGACGCCGGAGTCATCGACGTGGACATCATGCCCAGGGGAGCAACCCGCGGCAGCCAACTATCCACCCCGACCCGCAAACCCCCGAGCAAGACGGCGCTCAAACGTGCTGAGACGGAGAAAAAGAAAGCCGAAAAGGCCCGCAAGCAAGCGTTCGACGACAGCAAGGCCGGTTTCGCAGCAGACTTCTTCAAGGCACTCGACGATGCCGTGACTAAAGGCAAAGTCCAAGAACTCGCCGCCGCGACCGGGGGCGTTGATATCGTCTGGAGCAAGACGCTCCAGACTACCGCCGGCCGCGCCACCTGGAAGCGAGTGACGCCTAAGCAGCAGCGCGAGTCGGACGCCGGCTCCGACAAAGAGACCCCGATGACGACCACCTCGGCTGCCAAACACTACGTCAAAATCGAGCTCGCGGAGCGCATCATTGACTGCGAGGAGCGCATCATCAAGACCGTGGCGCACGAGTACTGCCATCTCACAAACTACATGATCTCGGAAGTGCACGATAACCCGCACGGGGAAAGCTTCAAGGCATGGGGCCGGAAGTGCATGGAGGCGATGAAGGACCACCCCATATATGGCGGTGGCCGCGTCGAGATCTCCACCAAGCACAACTACAAGATCGACTACAAGTATGTGTGGAGCTGCGTGACCTGCACCCAGACGTACGGGCGGCACTCGAAGAGTATCAACCCGCTACGGTCGCGGTGTGGTCGCTGCCATGGGTTGTTGACGCAGATCAAGCCTAAGCCGCGCAGTGTCTCCCCGCGGAAGAAGCAGCCGCTGTCGCTGCTCCCGAACTCGAAGGGGTTGCTGGCGGACGTGGCTAAAGCAATGGAAGAGGTTGCTGCTGTGACTACTCTGGATGAGTGAGAGGGGGCTCTGGGTAGCCACATCTTTTTGGTAAAAATAATGATTGGATGGCGTTTGGTTTCTGGTGCTGCTTCAGCGATCGCGTTGGTGTATTTATTTCGGGATTTTGGTTTGTACTTAATGAGAGCTGCCGACCTGGTGTTGGTGGTAGTATGTATGCTCGCTAGGCTCAATACATGTACAAAGATAGATAACCAAGGGTTTTGCGTGAGTAGTTGTAGACTGCCAGTGTGGATTGATTGATGTCTTTGATTGATTCATTACCACCTAGGTATCTATCTATACAAGGGCAATTTGCCAATAACTATCTACTATCTATATATATGTGAGCATCTGAGGAGCCCTCCCTCCCTTGTCATTCCATATTCGTAACCTCCACGTACCACTGCATAACCGATTCATCCCCCACCCAGGCCCAAGAGTGTCCGTAATCCTTACCCGAGATACACACACCTCTGTCAAAGAGGACAGACAGGACATACATGCATCAAGCAAACAACTCCCACTCCTTCACCTCCAGCCGTTTCACCAACTCCTCCACCACCCCCTCCCCAATCGCCTCCTCCTGCCGCAACCCCTCCACATCCCCGCGCTCCTCAAACTCCTTCTGCGGCACATTCACCAACACCAACAGATCAGTCTCCTGTTCCACCAACCGCACCAACAAGAACCAGCACAGCGTGGTTGTTGTCAACGCCCCATCCCCACTCGATCCCGCCGCAGCAGCCCCTGCCGCGGTGTCCCCCGCTCCCCCCGCCACTCTCTGCTGCAGCCCCTGCCCCTCCTTCCCCCTTCCCCTCGCATCCTCCACCTTGGAGGTGAACGTCGCCGTCCCAATATACCCCGCCACCTGACCCGGAAACTTCGCCAGCGAGACCCGCCTCGGGGCCGAGGTAATGGTGAGTGTATCGGCGGGGTCACAGATGTCGAGGAGGTGGTGGATGGTGGCGGCGTGGTTGAGGGTTTCCTGGTCGGGATCGGGGAGGCTTTGGCTCGCAGCAGGGAGGAGGCTCGGGTGGGAATTGAGTGTGAGTTGCGCGGTCGTGTTGGGCACGAATTGGTTCACTTCAATGATTAGGGAGGAGAGGGTTGTGGGGGAGAGGTAGAGTTCTTGGTGGTCGGGGATTTCGCGGAGGGTGCTAACACAGAGACATTAGTGGGTGTGGTTGCGATGGGGGGTTTGGGGGGGTTGCGAAAAGGAGAGATAGAATGGGGAACCTGGGAGAGAAAGGGGTAATGGTGTGGCTTACCTCGCGTCAATCCAGCCTTGGGGGACGATGCCTTGGATGGCGCCTCCGTAGAGGGGTTGTTCAGTGAAGGTGGGCATGATTTTTTTTTTTCTTTTGTGTGTAGGTGGAGGTTGGGGTTGGGTGTTTTTGACAGTGACGAGTTGAGGGGAATTGTAGGTCGTGATGCAAGTGATCGATGGTTGCGTGGATAATGTTGAAGTATTTATGTGTATTGTTTTGCTCGAGCTGCAGCTGAATGCTTCTCAGAGCTGAAGGAAGAACTTCACATGATAGCGGGGCTGCGGGGTCTGAGGGCCCCAAGCCCAAGGGAATGCATAATGACTAATTATGCTCAGCCTTATGACTCACTCCCCTGCTTGGCGCCCCTGAGATATACTTATGACTACTACCTTTGCATCATCAACAGCACCAGCCACCCATTTATGAAGACTCATCTCATGACTCACTGCCTGTCTTTGAGGACATATGACGTCGCAGAGCGCTCTAGTTTCTATATATCCTAGTATATGTACTCGGGACGTATCCAGAAGCCAAGACTCGGAGACCAGATTGTAGGTAGTATAGGTGTATAGGAGGTCGACATCTCACACTCAGTAAGTAGTGTCTGTATCAAAGCTCCGTTATCGAATGCCACAAAGATAACTTCTGGGGGCAATAGATCTGCATCTCTGATGCATGCCAAGATAGAGTCATGAAAGATCATCGGCTCTCCGTGTTGTGCACCTTCGATACAGTATCATATTGCTAGAATGTCAGCAGAGACTGTGTCGCAAGATTGATTGTCTATTCATAGTTCCTACACAGGAGAGGCTGCGTGAACTACATAAGATATCCCAATCAGACGTGGGAAATACTGTTAAATACATTCCAGGAACCTTGTAAGAGAATCACCAATCTTAAGTTGTTTTTGCTTTGCGACACTTATAGAGTGTCTTGACCGTTATGCTTTGATTGAGCCACGGCAGCTTATATCGCAGGCGACAGTCCCTTGAGGCGACCACAGCTGCAAATTCAGCTCAGATCAAGTCGGAATCGGCACTGTCATTGCCTCTCCGCAGGCCGGGGGTCAAGTCCGCTGTTGAGCCGTCTGGACCGAGGGCATGAATAAGCGGGCCGGTCTCCGCAGCGCTTACCCCCAGATACCACGAACTATGAGGTAAAAGAATAACTTCTAGTAGTTCGAGGAAAACCAATCTTGATCGAACCAACATGTTAAATACGGTTCTGAAAGCCATTGGCCCGCGACGGACAAAAGCGCCTGTTCCGGGAGTTAGGGTTCGCCTCCCGGAATTAAGCCTGGACCTACTTCGCATTATCCCCGACAGAACTACAGAAACTACAGCATCATTACTAGTCTACATACATACCTAAAGAGTTGCTACTCCAGTTCCAGCCCCTCCCCCCAAAATTACCCAGAGTATCAATCAGACTATTCAACAATCAACATTCATCTAAACGACCCCCCAAAATGACCAAATCAACCCACCTCCTCATCATCTTCGGCGCCACCGGCCAACAGGGCCGCTCCGTCATCTCGCACGTCCTCCACGACCCCGAGCTCTCCGCCCAGTACACCCTCCGCGCCATCACCCGCAACCCCGACCAGCCATCCGCGCAGGCCCTTCTCGCCCAGTACCCCGAGGGAAGCATCGAGCTCGTCCGCGGCGACCTCGACTCCCCCGCCTCGGACCTCCAATCCCTCTTAGAATCCACCCACCACCAAAGCGTCACCATCTTCGCCATGACGCAGACCATCTACAGCGACCCGGACTTCGCCGCCCGCGAAACCCGCCAAGCGCACGCCCTCGCCCACGCCGCCGTCGCCAGCGGCGCCGACTACCTGATCTGGAGCTCGGCGACGCACGCCCAGGCCGCCTCGGGCGGGAAGTACTCGGTCCCGACCTTCGATGTGCGCGCCGAGGTGGAGGCACATATCCGGGGGTTACCCATTCGGAGTGCGTTTGTGGCGCCCGCATCGTTTATGCAAAACCTGGAGGGATCGGGGATGATGGCGCCGAGAAGGGGGGATGGTGGGGAATACACCATCACGAATATTCTCAAGCCCGATACCAAGATCCCATGGATCGATGTGGTGGCGGACCTGGGGAAGTTCGTGGGGATGATTCTCAAGGGGCCGGAGAGGTACGAGGGCCAGTGTTTGGCGGCGGTGTCGTGCGTGTATTCGTTCGAGGAGGTGGCGGAGATGATTGCAAGGTCATCGGGGAAGAAGGTCAAGTATCACATGGTTGAAGAGGAGGTGTTCCGGGGTTTCTTGCCGCCGGTTGCTGGGGTGGCGGACTGTGTGGTGAATATGTTCAGGTTCTTTGAGGAGTTTGGGTATTATGGGATGGTGGGAAAGGAAGAGGAGAAGGAGTTGGTGGAGAGGGCGAGAGAGCTGGTACCGGGGGGGTTGGTGGCGATGGAGGAGTTTGTGCAAAGAATTCGATTGTGATTGATAGTGTTTTTTTGATATCACGGCTGTACTATACGGTGAGGAGATTGGGGAGTTCTTGAGTCTTGAAGTACTGATGTAAGGGATGATAGGATAAGTGGAGTTGCAACTATCACTCGTGCGCACATAACAAAGCCATGGCAAGATGAGGCTACCCGCAGGGAACAATGTACAATATAGTCCACTTCTGTGGCAGCCAAACGGGTGGAAGGTAGAGATTGTCACTGATGTGTCAATTTTGATGAACTACGCTCACTATACGCGAGCCACCGAAACTACCAACCGGGGGCAACGACTCTTACTTGGACCAACCTCCATCTGGAGTCCTCTCTCTCTGTCTCAAGTTGCAATCTACGTAGCGCGTTATCCGTTTAATTCTCAGGCTATACGACAAACCACCCTTGGATGCTGTCAAACTGTGTCAAGGCCAACTCACTGATTCAAAGTACAGCAATATGCAGGCCAGGATGTATGACTTAGTACCTTGATATGCTTCTGGACGTATGCACTAGACAGAGTCTCGGCAAAGCTTTCAATATGCCGAATCTGCCGAGCCCGGGTACCATACGATCTGATATGCTGAGTCAAGCGTGGAGATGTTCGATTGCGAGCGTGACAGCAAGAATCGATCATGTAGTATTAGTGAAACAAAAGGCTATAAGCCGTACCTGCGCCTCTAGACGAGGGTAGTTCAGCCGATTTTCCAGGGATAGAGTATTCTTGAATCCTGCCTCGCTCCTCATCCCCGGATTCTCGGGCACAGGCCTTTACCACCGCAATACACCCCCTACCCGTAATATCCCTACATATGTCTTTCAGATGCTTCAATCTCTTCTTCCCATTCTCCCTATTAGGACGCCCCCTTATTTATTTTTGAAAGGTATAGTAATAATAATCGACAAGGGTTCCTGACCCTCATGATGTTGAGCTTAAGGCTCCGTCACCATCACCACCGCCAGTTTCTTTGCTCTCTCCATACCTCACACGCACCACCACCCGCACGAGTCCGAATAGCCTACGAGCTTCACCATCCCCATCACTCCCGCCACCATGACCATCCTCTACCACAAAAACGCCCTCCCACGGCTCCAATCCTCTTTTTGCATGGGTTTCTCGTATCGAAACGCGAGAATCGGCAGATTAGTAGGCAAGGTGCCCCCTCAATCTAATCACATTCTACTTCATTATCCATGCTAATGCTGGAGCTTCTTATGCAAGGACTATAGACAACTTGCTAAAGACACCTCCCGAACAGTTTATGCCCTGGTATGTCCCCTTATACCAACCGTGATTCAATTAGCCTACTTCCTGCCCTGGTAGACCATCCAAAAATACCGATGAACTGGTGGGAGACAAGGATCTGCGCAACCACGGAGAATCCGGCCACCACCCAAAACACGACTAGATGGAGATGGCGCGGGATGTGAAATGGTTCCTGGAAGAACACCAACTCCAAGAACCGACCATTATTGGGCATTCGATGTATGGGCCTGTCCCGGCATGATATGACTTTTTCCTCTCCGAATCTCTTACTCTACCTCTTTCCCGCCAAGCTGATTTGAAACTAGGGGAGCGAAAACCGCTCTGATCCTAGCGCTTGAATCCCCCAATCTAATCAAAGATGTCGTGGCTATCGACAATTGCCCTATTCATCTGCCGCTGGAAGAGGACTTCGTGCGGTATCTGCAGGGATTGGCCCGGCTGCGAGAGTTGCCAATAACGAGCCATCGGCAGGCCGATGGCATTCTGGCGGCTTATGAGAAGGTAAGGTCTAGGCACAGTGCAGTTACCCGATTGTTTACACTTCTCCATCAGCTATACGTCTGTGTCCTTTTGTTATTCTCTCAAACTGACCGCCTCATACTTGCATAGTCACCCGCCATCCGGCTCTGGCTCATCAGCAACCAGGCAGTTCGGCGGGCGCGTGCTCTTCCTGAGAGCGCTCCAGAGCCAGTATATCCCCGAAACGGCATTTCCGAGTAATTATTCTTTCTTTCCAAATGCCAGGATTGTGGATGTCGATAGTAGCCATTGGATTGTTCAGGAGAAGCCGGAGGAGGGGAGGAGAAGTACGTATATTCCGGTGTGATTCCAGTGGTGAATGCATGGCTGACTCGGCTGTCTTCCGATATGAGTTCCTCGCATGATTTTTAAAGTTGCTCCATCTCCATTGTGATGAACTAATGCATGTTAGACACCGGGCCCAGTGTCCATTTCATCATGCCCACAGGTTCCAAGTAGCGAGCCATAACTCAGACAATCAAGGACGAGACGTAACGCCCGTATATGCTACCGTGTATATATACTCCTAGTGCCAGAACTACAACCTAGCCTACCAAACCTCCAAACTAGATCTTCACCTTCCACCTCCACTTCCACTCCAACAAGGCCCACCTCGAACAAGCCACACTCACCAACCCCACCACCAGCACGGCAGTATAAAACCCGACCAAAACCTGCGGCGTCGTCGTCTGCAGCAACTCCCCGCCAATCGGGACGGTCAGCAACCCCCCAAACGCCGCAACACTATACACGGTCCCATAGAACCGACCATACTCCTCCGTCCGACACAACTGGCCCGCACACACGGGCGCCAACGAAATCCAACCCCCGGACCCAAACCCAAAAATCCCAACGACCGTATACAGGGTGGCCGCACTGCGATCCCCAAAGGGAACCCACACTGCACTCATCACCAGCAACGTCACCACCATCAAGAACAGCAGAACATTAAACCTGCCGAACAAATCCGCCGCGACGCCCGGCAGCACGCGTCCCAGCAGACTCATACTATTCATCACGGTGAGCGAATAAAACTGAATATCCAGATCCAGCCCGGCGTAGCGCACATACGTCGGCAGCAGCGAGGCACAGCCGAAGATGATAAACTCAAAGGCGAAGACCGCGAGAGCCAGGAAACAGAAGCGCGGGGACCGGAACACCGCGAAATCGACCGTGACGCGACTGTGGGTGCTCACGGGCAGCCGGCCCTTCACCAACACCGTGCCCAGGGAGTAGCACACGAGGGCGATCAAGGCGATGATGCGCAGAGACCAGGTCCAGCCGTAGTCGCTGAAGCATTTGCGCAGGATGAGCGGGAAGATGGCGCCGCCGGCGGACGAGCCGGCCATGCAGATGCCCGACGCCAGCGCACGGCGGCGGTGGAACCAGTGGCTCAGGACGCTGATGGCGACGGTGGTCACGATTGCGGTGGAGATGCCGCCCAGGATGCCGAGGCAGAGGATGAAGTGCCAGTAGCGGGAGCATTGCGCGAGGAGGAGGTAGGAGAGGAAGCTCCCGATGGAGCCACACGCAAGCAAAACCCGCGGCCCGTACCGATCAAAGAGAGGGCCCACTTGCACCCCGAGGAAGAGGGCTAGAAACACAAAGATGGCGGTGATCCAGCCGACATCCCGGACGCTGTAGTGAGCGAGCTGGTGCACGCTGATATAGTCCTGCACGGATCCAACTGCACAAAGTTATTTCGCTAAACCCTTGAACTGGTCCAGGGAAGTGGTGTGTGGCGATGCTCACCCGCGGTTTGGAACCCAAAAGAGGGAAACATGATCAAAAACGAGCCCAGAAGACAAGTCCATGCATCACGGCCGCCTTCGGGGAAAGCTAAACTGACAGCTCCAGTGGGGGCGGCAGTGTCGGAGGATGTCTCCCCTTCTTGGGTTAGAACAGCTAGTTCTTGAGCTTGTTTCGACATCTCTGAGCGTCTGGAACTAGTAACAGAACGGTAGAGACTAGAAGCAAGCTTTGGAGCGGATAAATTCAATCTTATATCCCACAAAGTGGCAAGCGCGCGATGTCACTTGAAGGGCGTCAGGCGGAGATTAGATTACGCCTAACGCAATTTGCCCGCTAACGGCGCTTCCGTGGGGCTACTGAGTCATACGAGAAAAACTAGCTAGAGTTGACTACACCGTTTACCCAACGTTACAAGGAGGTTTGAATCGGTGAGAAAACTGAATGCTCGTGCGTAAGTGCATGACATAAGATACTAGTGATTATCACATATCGAGGAGCTCCTCGATGTAGTCATCCAACGCTATAATGCGGAATTGACTTCCCCATTTTGCGCGAAAGTCCTTCCTACGATAAGCATAGCTAGTTACCTGAGTGAAACTAACCAGTTCCACGGTCCACCCGCGTCGCAATGCCCTCTCCACCATCTTCATAAATCCGCCCGAGAACTCGGCTTCCGCCGCATCTCCCGTGGCAAGGACGATGGTGGAGGGTTCGTCTGTGTCCAGCAGACTTTCCAAAATCTTCAGATGTAGAATTTCGTCCACACCTTGCTCGACCCAACGCTCCTCCGGCCCTTCGTTCGTTTCCGAACCACTACCGGAGTCGTGGGGACCCGTCCGATGATTCTTTCGAAACTTCAATTGACGGGCAGTCATGTGCTTGACCTTATGCACACGATCCAGGATGTTCGTTTCGTAACCGAGCTGTTCCCCTTCACGGATGGCAGCAAACCGGTCAGACCCAACCAAGACTCTCTTGGCGGTGGGCCGCCCGCGCTCAAGAATCAAAGAGAAATTCTGGAAAGACAACGGTAAGCGTCGAATGCGCGTCTTGACGGGAATATTACGAGAGAGCTTCACGGTATCGTGATAGCCGACCATAATCTAAAACGCGTTAGTCATGCAGATGGTGCTCGCTGAGAGAGATAAACCCTACATTAGACATATCCACAAACACGTGAATAGGGGGGATTGAAGTCTTGTCCCTCTTGGAGATCGCAGGCCGATTTGCTTGGGCGACAATGTTGGCATAGTCCGGGAAGTTTTTCAACAACTTGGTCAAGAGACCAATTCTCCGTTCCGTAGTCGACTTGTAACTGATGGGCTGGATACGTAGCGGGTCGGGGTTAGAATGGCACTTGACAACTCTCGAAGTCAGAGACTCCACCGACTCGTCGTAGGAAGATGGCGGGGTCTCGTATGGATCGACCAGAGCACTCGCTGCACCCACTTGCGAGGGAACCAAAGATAGGATACTTTTCTTGATACTGAGAGGAGGATCGAAGACACTCAAACTACCGTCCGAGTCCGCACATGCGGTGCTCTCGCTTGAGCTGAGGTCGTGCGTAGCTTTGGTTGATGCATCGTTGTGGTTGGCCTTGCATGTTTCAGCTATAGCCTGGGCTTGAGCTTTGGAAGCTCTCCCCGAGCTTCGTATGGGTTTAGGTGACGTCCGAGCAAGTTCTTGGTCGGTAGTTGCCAAGGTCACGTTTTTGGAAGAAGGGCGCTGTAGAATTTCGATCTTGGTGGTGGGTGGCGAGGATGCAGGAGACAAACCTTGTGCATCCTCAAGCTCAATGTCGGCACCGGAAGACAGGTTGCCAGACACTCCCAAGTGATTCCAGAGTGGACCGAAGTCACCGAGTTTAGGAAGGGAGCTCAAGCTCAGTTGACTGGGCTGAATGCTGCTTGAAGTGGACTCATCCTGGGTTACAGCTCTGGAAGCCTGGGAAGCAGGGGGAGGATCACGGTGGCGATAAGGTGCAACTGGGGAGCCGCTGCCGTAGGTAGGCGTACGGAGGAGGTTGAGCACCGCCGTGAAATCCCAGTTCGAAGTGGACTCAACAGACGATGGCATTGAAAGATTTGACAATGAGAACAATAGGGTGCGTGGAGCGGAGACGCTGCAGCAACAAAGACACCCGAGACAGATAAGGGCGGGGTTGTTGATATAGTGTAGATGAAAAGATACGAAAGACTGCCCGAGGGAAAATCACACGAATCCAAAAGACTATGAGAACGAGTCTGCAAAGGAAGCTGAAAGCATCAAGATGCAGAAAATCCACATGGTGGTCAATAGACCAGTGTACTAGAGAACGTTGGCATGCAAAACAAGAAGGAGAAGGAGGAGAGGGAGAGGTGTTATCGAGAAGGAGAGAAGCGCGGTTAGGCTTGGGCGACGGCGACTCGGGCGCCGAACGAGGCGGAGTCAGACTGTGTCGGTGGCGGTGAACAGCTGGCACTTTTCTGTCGGCAGTCACCGCCTGCTGGTTAAAGCAGAACTTGCCACTAGCACGAAAGAGGACTAGCGTTTTGTCGGAGAAGCTAAAATGATAATCCGTGACTCTTGGCAATGTAACCACGCTAAGCCGCATTCGGCAATCTGGGGATGCAGTCATGGCGACGTCATGTTCCAGACTTTGGATCTGGACTTAATCTGAAGATGGAGAAGAAATGGAGAACTTCCCTGATTCTTCGCAAGCCTCGGCCTCTAAATTGCAGCCAGAGGCCATCCACATCCGTCAGACCATGACGATCGTTGCGATCTGGCCCCATTGATTGGGACTGGGGTAATCCCCTCATGATGACGTTGATTCGTTGGTAACTCTTCCATGGAAACACCCCTGGAAACGAAACACAGGACCGAGATGGCGTATGATTATGGAAGGTATGAAAAGATAGATGAGCACGACGTCATCGAAGACCGTCTCTGGAGTGTTCGGGATCTTATATAAAGCCTTCTTCATCGCCTCTCAAACCATCTTTCTCCCATCATCAAACAATCTCAAGCAATCTACAAAGCTCTTCTTCAAACTCTCACAACCACTTCCAAGAACAACTTCCGTTCAACCACAAATCAATCAACATGTCTGACACCGGTCGCAAGGATTTCTCTACCAGTAAGTGTCTACTGCACTGCTACTGCCCCTTGCTACGAACTTGACAACTCACATGCATCTGCAGAGGCCAAGGAGGAGATCACTCCCGACTCCACCAAGTCCACCCAGGACAAGGTCAAGGAGACTGTCACCGACACCACTGATCGCCTTGCTCGTGGCACCCAGTCCGACAACTCCAAGTCTACCACCCAGGAGGCTTTCGACAAGACCCAGCGCTCCCATGACAACCACGCCCACGGCGGCTCTTCCGGCTCCATGTCAGTATTTATATTCCCCTAGCACGGCATGAGTCAATATACTAACAGCCTTACAGTGGTGACAAGATCAAGAACGCTGTCGGCCTCGGCGACAACTAAGTTCCTTTCACCAAGAACTGATCACAACTGTATCATGGGATAGCGGCAGACTTTCGGGTCTGCTGGCCGGATGAACTTTAGCTGGCGGTCCTGGGCAGATTGTTCTTATGATTTTCATGAGTTGACGATACCAACAAGCCTGTGATTGTATTACTATCGATAGGTTTAATACAGCCATTCAACAGAAAGCCAGAATCCGCGTAAATGAATTAGTAGTACTCTTATAGAATTCTAGAGAACCTTCCTCTATTCTATCAATCAGCCGAAGTGCCTCATTCCTTAATCATCCTCTGCAGTTCTCGTTCAAGCTCTTTACATTTAGCCTGAGCTCCAGGGACGTCCCTGGGAAGGTCATGGAACATGTTCACTTTGGTTTCTAGACTCTTAACTGTCTCCAGAAGTTCAATCACCTCCGCCTCCTTAGCGATAACATCCTCCAGTCGGGGTTCTTTGCCTCTACTCCTTTGAAGAGAGGCTATCTTATCCCGGGAGGCTGCAGCCTTCGCGTTCAGTGACTTGGTATTCCTTGTCCATTCGGCCGTCAATGCTGGGAGATCAGCAGGCGTTTCATACGCCTCATTGGTCTTAAGATCATCTAATTGCTCCCGCAATGTAACGAGTTCTTTCTCCAGATAGGTTTGGAGTGCTTCCACACGAGACATCTGCTCCTGCATTCCGAACTCCTCCGTTGTCAAATCAATAATGGACTGACCGAGATCAACTGCGTCGGTGCTTATTGCGCCAAGCACTGTGGTTGTTTCCGCCAGGTCGTCAAGGCTCTGCCTGCCGCTCTCGTCAAGTGAGAGTTCGATCTCGTCTAAGATCTCGGTTTTCTGCTTGTCCTCTTTCTCTTCTTGAGACTTGAAGGCCTTAACGGCTTCCTCACGTGCTTTGTGAAGAGTCAATGCCTCTTCGTCCGCTGCATCATTGGCAGCAGCCATTGCAAGTAGGGTCCGTAGTGTGTCTTCATTACGTTCGAACTTCGGGACTGGATTGGGCGCATACTGCCGATTGAGCCAGGCGTTCACATAGGCCCAATCCTTGGCTTGGATGGCAGCCTGTCGTGCCTTGGCGGGGGAGAAAAGAGGACTATCCATGAAGTTTGTAGCAATTGATGAGTGAAATCGTGTTGAGCACGCAAGTTGCAGGTACTGAATGTGAGAAGAGCCACATGTGCATACAGTATCTAAGGGTGGGTTTGTTCCTGAGACTGCCTGACATAAGCGAAGCGCCCGCCGCTCCTTTTCCGCCCGCGGGAACTTCTCCGCTTATGTTTGCGATACTCCGCAGGCTCAATAATTCCCCCTCAAACACGCAGCTCCTCAGGCAGCATCGAATCAAGTCGTCATGGCCGGCTACTTTCCGCCTAATGCACATCTCACAAGTCATGCATCGACAAGAACCTCTTCTCCAGCTTCCTCTCCACTCTCCCCGCCAACCCAGCAGCGATCCAATGCCTTGTCTAACCGGTTGACAAGTGTACTTTCCGCCTCGTACGCGGATTCGGATATCCGCGATGCTTTAGAGACCCTCAGTCTTCGGGGAATCCACAACACCGCAGAAGTTCGAAGACAGCTTCGTCTAGATGTTCAAAAGGAGGTCGTCGACTGCAATGCCGAAATCGTGCGCGACTTTGGCAAGGTTGCGGAGGTAAGAGGTCTCGGAAGAGCTACATCAAGCAAGATATACTGACATCCTCGGAATCCATAGCAACTGAAGCGGATCGGAACGGTCATTACGAACCTTAACCAGACATGTGAGGAGATGCGCAAACATATAGTCCTAGCTAAACAGGATACAACGCCCGTCCTGGAAGAAGCGTCTGCGTTGATGAAGCAAAAGACCGATGCTGAGACTAAGCAACAGCTGCTCGATGCATTTACGCAACATTTTGTGGTTCCAGAGGAAGAGACACTGGTACTGACGGCTGCTGAAGAGCCGATTGATGACCACTTCTTCGAAGTCCTTGCCCGTGTGAAACAGGTTCATCGGGACTGTGAAGCGTTGCTAGGTGGGGGGAATGAGCGACTCGGTCTGGAGCTAATGGAGAAGAGCTCGAGGAGCCTGAACTCCGCCTACCAAAAACTCTACCGCTGGGTTCAGAAAGAGTTCCGATCTCTGAACTTGGAAGACCCTCGCATCAGCAGCTCCATCCGGCGCGTCCTGCGCGTGCTGGCGGAGCGACCTAGTCTGTTCCACAGCTGTCTGGATTTTTTCGCTGAAGCTCGTGATTATGTCCTCTCCGATGCCTTCCACTATGCCCTTACGGACGCTGCCACTGGAGGTGGGGGAGATAGGCAAGTCAAGCCCATCGAGTTTTCGGCTCACGATCCTCTGCGGTATATTGGAGATATGTTGGCTTGGGTGCACTCGACTACCGTCTCGGAAAGGGAGGCACTCGAATCCTTGTTTGTTGATGACGGCGAAGAGCTCGCCAGGGGCATTCAGGCCGGTTTGAGCAGTGAGCCGTGGTCGCGCATCGACGAAGACCAGGAGGTCACCTTCGACGGACAGAAAGCTCTCAGCGATCTTGTCAATCGTGACCTTGTCGGCGTCTCACGGGCCCTCCGCCAGCGAGTCGAACTAGTCATCCAAGGCCACGACGACCCTGTTACATGCTACAAGGTGGTCAATCTCCTATCCTTCTACCAAACCACCTTTGCCAAGCTCCTTGGGTCCCAATCCAGCTTGAGCGAGCTCCTCGAGACGCTGGAGAAATTCACCTTCCACCACTTCGAAACCCTCATGCAGCAGGAAGTCGGTAGTCTGTCAACCGATCACTTAGCCCTGACCCCGCCAGACGATCTCTCGCCCCCTCAGTTCCTCCAAGACGCGCTCGAATCGCTTACCCTGCTCATGAAATCGCACGACATCTCCGTTGGCGCAGAGGAACCACCATCAACCCTCGACAACAACAACAGCAGCTCCCACGACCCCACACCCAACCGATTCAGCCCAGTCCTTCGATGCGCCCTGGACCCGTTCCTCGAACTCGCCAAATCCACCGCCCAAGACCTGGCCCCGACTCCACGAACCATCTACCTCACGAACATCCACCTCGCCACCCGCGCAGCCCTCACCCCGTACCCCTTCGCCAGCGCAACCCACCTTCCACCTCTGTCCGCAGCCCTCTCTACCCTCCGCATGGACCTCCTCGCCATTCAACACCAATACCTCCTCACCGAATCAGGCCTTCAAACCCTCCTCGCCGCCCTGGAACCCTTCTCCCCGTCATCCACTACCGCCACCGGCCCCAAGACCCTCCCTCCTCCTTCCGACCCTGCCGACCAACAACCACCGCAAAGGGCCCAGCCACCCGACATCGCAGACCTTACCACCCTTCCAGCCTTCCAGCCCGACGCCCTCATCCTCACTAGCCAGCAGCTCGACGACTTCCTCCCGTCGGCGCTCATGGACGCCACAGACCATTTGAAGCGAGTGCAGAGCGCCACGTTCGTGAAGAGCGTGACGGAGGAGGCGGTGGAGGCCTTCTGTCGGGACTTTGAGTTCGTGGAGGGGATGATTATCGGGGCGGATGAGGCGAGGAGGAGTGCACGGGGTGGTGGTGAAGGTGCGAACGGGATGCCTGAGAAGGAGGATGCAGAAGCAGCTGAAGAGGGCGAGGGAGAGGAGGAGGAGGTGGGCAAGGAAGACGGTCGCGATTGGGGGTTGAGGAAGTTGTTCCCTCGGACTACCGGGGAGATCCGGGTTTTGTTGAGCTGATAGTCGTCAACCAGTGGTGGGATTGTATATAGAGAGAACCTGATGCATAGATGATGATTGTTTTATGTATGTTGTGTTGGAACTTACTTGTGGTAGATGTAAGTAATTTGCTACCGCGCACGAGTTGCTTAGAACACACTTTCTCTCTATCCACAAGACTATGTTCTATCCTATCCCATCCGTTCACAGACTCCCACTCATCATCATTAGGACTTTCCACTGTAATCTAAACCCGTCTCACCATAATTCCATACGGATCCCGATCCGCCTCACTAACCGCCACCTCACACGAAGCATCCCCCAGCACCTCCTTCCACCCCTCCTCCGCCTCCGCCTCACCTTGCGACTGCTTTTCTTGCCACTCCTCCCTCTGCGCCCGCCACGTCTCCTCCACCTCCTTAGCCAACTTCTCCCGCATCACCGCCCGCAAGTACCCACGCTCCGTGTTCGAGTGCGCGAGCGCCACGACCACAGAGCCACGCTCGATAGCCGCCAACGCCTCATGGTGACTCAGCTCGCCTGTGAACAGCAGATCAGGGAGGGGTGATTTCTTCATCAATACCCCAGACCCAGAGCCGGGACACACGCCCACCGTGCGGATCTTGAGCGCGTCCACCGAGGCGCCCTGCGGGATGGCGATGGGGATGCCGCCGGGGAACCCAACGCCGCGGGCAATGCGGTCGACGATGGCGGTGAGAGGCTCCGGGGCGGCGAAGGTCACAATGCGGCCCATGCCTGCGTCCTCCATGCCTTCGGGGGTCGGGGTGGGGGAGGGGAGGATGGTGTGGCGGGTGTGTTGGGGGACGTTTGTGCTGGACGAAGAGGAGGGGTCGGAGGGTTGCGGGGCGGGGTAGATGGGCTGGGTGTAGGATGTGGAAGCTGAGAAGGAGGAGGAGGAGGAGTTCTCGGTTGGGATGCGCGGGGTGATGGCGCCGGTGACGATGTCGCAGAGCCAGTCGGCCATGCCGCCGGGGGTGGCGTCGATGGCGGTGTGCGGGGAGTAGACGCTGATGCCTTCCTGGGCGAGGCGGAGGAGGGTCTGTTGTTGCGGGTCGTTGAAGGTGAGAGACTTGAGGCCGCGGAAGATGATCGGGTCTGTATACAGCCACATGATGGTTAGGTGAGATAGGTCCCCCGGAGCATGATTTGTTTGATTGAGAGCGTACGGTAGGCCACGACGATGGAATCGCGGCGGGCAATAGCCTCGTCCGCGACGGCTTTGGTCAGGTCAATTGTGAGGAGCACCGAATTCTTCTGGCGGCGAGTTGCGTTGAAGGGTGCTTCCAGGAGTACTGCATTGTTGCGCCGGAGTTAGTGGATGGAGGCGCAGAGTTAGGGCTGGTGGAGGGGTCTTACAGCCGGTGTTGTCCCAACTCTTGTCGGCCAATGACTCAGGGTAACTGAAGAATAGACAAGTTGTGTTAGCCGAATGTGCCAATCTAGCCTGCTGAAGGTGGAATGACATACAGCTTCCGCATGGAACTCACCACAGCCTGAGTGAACGGCGACGAGGCGGGGTTCAAAGAAGCAGCCATTGTGGTATAGAGACGAGATGATCGCCGCAACAGGAGGTTCATAGACACTGTGAGAGTCCCTGTGTCTGTAGTCGTTGTCAAGGAGTGGTATTAATCACAATAGCACCTGGATTGAGCTCATTGACAGGATGAAAGCCAGACGAGTCGGAGAGTTTGATCTCGCAACGAAGCCGAGGATGAGCTGGCGCCACAGCCGCACGGACCCCAAGCTAACCCAAGCCCACACTAAGTTCTCTCACCAGCCACATCGGGGGGCTGTCGCTGACCAATATCGGCGTGCAGAGAAGCCCTTTTCCTTAGTTACTTTAATAAGTTAATGAATGCTAATCGGGTTCCGTCATCCTACATCGGAAGAAGCATCACCGCTCCGGCGACGTTTACCTGCATCATCTCAAGAAAGACACCGGAAAGAAAGCTCCACAGAGACAAACAATAACAGCATTAACAGCCACCGTCCCACCTAGATTCTCTTCTCTCTCTCTCTTTCTCTCCTCTCTACCCCCAAAAAGCACTTGATGTACTCCCGCACCGGTCTCTCCTCGTTGAGCAGAAGTTGCCGCTATCTTCTCCGCACTCCGGGCCTCGCTCCGAAATCGACTTTTTCCATCTCCGCGCGCTCCTTCGCCGCCATCAACGCAGCCATGGCCGATGCGACCCCCGGCGTCACCGCAGATCTGCTGAGGAGCAAGCTCTTCGACCAGCTCCAGGCGCAACATGTTGAGATTGAAGATTTGTCGGGTATGGTTATTCGTCATTCATCCCCCTCTATCGTTCGCTGATTAATCCTGCGGTATCGCATGGGTTTCCTTGTGTTGAGCTCTTGAGAATCGATGAAAAGTTTGGCAGGCTGACCATGACTTCTCCTTCTGGATTTTAAGGTGGCTGTGGACAGGCTTTCCAGGCTGTAATCGTCTCCCCGCAGTTCGAGAAGAAGAACATGCTGGCTCGTCATCGCTTGGTGAACTCGGTTCTCAAGGCTGAGATCGCTGCCATCCATGCTTGGACGCCTAAGTGTTACACTCCTGAGCAGTGGCAGGCTCTGCACCAGGGCTGAGGTGCTTGTTTTGGTCAAATGCTGCTTGATGTGAGAGCCGACTACGAAGATCATCGGCGATGGGGATATATCCTGGGTAGTTATCGGCTTGTATACGCTCGTGGCTTATATGAGGGCCATAATTTGCGGCGTTGGAAAGGGTGTTCCATGTGCGAGGCTTTGCACTGCCGGCCATGTCTAAAGTTCTGCTATGGTTGCGAGAAAGAATTTATAAACAAATAAATCTTATATGTTTCTCCTGCACGTATAACAGAATTCTATGATTACAAGATAGTTTGCCGTGCCGAGACTTCTCGACTTGCTTAACCCAACACCTTCTCGGCGGCGGAGACTATAACAATCATATCAGTGAATGGATGTTCTGACAATTGTCACTTCGGTGTAGACATACCGTTTACCCCGATGTTGTCGGGCTCAACGAAGGCCTCCTTGACCTTGCCGTTCTCGACAACCAGCGCGTAGCGCTTGCTGCGGTTGTTACCGAAGATGGAGGCGCTGTCGAAGGTAACGTCAAGCGCGTCAGAGAACTTGCCAGTAGGGTCTCCGAGGAACCGGATCTAACGCTCATATTTTAGTTCGATGTCGACCTGGTAGAGAAAATACCGTGGTGAACTTACGCCGCTCTTGCCAGAGGCATCAAGGGACTCGCCCCAGGCCTTGGTCCTGTCCCGATAATTAGCCCACCATACAGCCCCCGAAGTCTTTTCAGACGTCGCAGCTTCGAGAAATCTTACACGAAAGGATCATTGACAGCGACAACAAACACCTGACCAGCCTCCTTCAGCTTAGGGTGCTTGATATAACCGGGCACGTGCGTGCTGGAGCAAGCGGGGCCTAAGCAAGAACGGTCAATCTCGTTCCTCCGTTTCGGCACAGCGTGCTGCAATTCAATGACTAGCTCCAAACTCAATTTGGAAGCGAGTGGGTGGAAAGGTGAAGCCAGACAGAGCCTTGATGCGTGGCTGTCTGGGTTCAGGCGTAAAACCGGGAAGGGCACATACTGAAAGCGGCGGGGACACCAATGATAATTCCCTTTCCCTTCAGCTCCTTGGCCAAGTTGACCTTGTTGCCAGGGGAGTTCTCAATCAGAACATCGAGGTCGGGGATGGCGTCGCCCTTTTGAACAAACGCCGGGGCGGTGTTATGGAAAAGGGCCCTCTGGGACAGGACGCGAGGAAGGCCACCGGTCAATCGGCGAGCAGCGAACATTGTGATTGGCCAATTGAGAGGGAAGGGTTCGGAAAGGACGTATCGGGGAGGAGAAATTGGATCGAGGTTGAAATGTGTAAAATCGCCACGACTACCCCTGAACAGAGTTGAGATTTCAGAGTTTGTTGGAGAAGAGGGGGGGAGGAGGATGAATGTTCCTGAGAGCTTCGGAGGGCGGAGATGGACCGGGCAGCTTCAACCCCAATCTCGGAACATTATTTCGTCATGAGTCGCTAGTCCCGCCTGCAGCGCCCGGACGGCAACCGTCTTCTCTCAGTTAAAAAACAAAACGTGCGTTTCTACTTCGTGTTCAATAGAACAATGGGAGTTGTCCCATGATCAGCTTTGATCAGGCAAAATTTACAACCAGACTCAAGCTGATTTTCTCGTTTTCTCGCCCCGAAGGTCTCGCGCGGGATGTTGTTGTCTCTACGCGGCATGTATGGAGGAGGATGGCTCAATTCTCGGATTGGAAGAAAAGGCTGCATACGATTTGCCTGAGCTAGATTAAACTGACCCGGACTGGCATTGGTCCTTCATGGACCCGGTTGGAGCTCTGGAGGATGACAGTTCAGATGCCAGTTTCATTGACCGCCTGCATTGTTTCCGGGATATCGAACTGCAAGGGTGCGGAACATTCAAGTGGCTTTCTCTCTGTGAGATGAGTCTGGACTCAAGGTCAATGTTCAAGTTTTTACTACTAAAACTACAACAACTACTACTACGAGAAGCTAGAGCTGGCCGGGCTGGACGGGATCGACTGATGCTTTTACTTTTTTACCCCAGACCTATCTGTCTTCCGTCCTGAATCCGAGAGAAGGTCAAGTCTGCGGGAGACCAGACAGTCGGGTACCGGTTCATATTAAATTCAAGTAGTAAGAATACTACCTAGTACCACCATCCTGGACTAGCGCATGCATGAGGAGGCCATAGCTTCATGTATGTATGGAGTACAGTACTTTTACATACTGTGACTGTGGAATGATTGATATTCATCGATTCTTCTTTGACCCTGTCGGCTATTGAGTTATGAATGAATCAGCCATGTTTCAACGAAGGATCGGCAGCCGTTGCCGAATCCCGTGAAACTTCCCCTCATGAAATGGAACCCAGATGTTCATCAGTGGTTGATGATCATCATGGGGAGAGGGGACGGGAGACTAGGATGCGATGGGGGGAAGACTTACAAGGCAAGATGAAAACGAGAATAGGGACTTCATTGTTGACTGGCTGCAGTTACCGTCTAGTCATTCGTGGGTATTCGCTCATTCTCACGGTGATGCTATTGCATTCCTAGCTTCGAGCCTAACAAAGCTGTCTGAAATTCCCCCACTCCTCTTCCACCAGACGGAAGGAAAGACGAGAAAGTCATCATTTATTGGGTCCGAGACACCGATTTCTGCCCAGGTGATCGTGGCCGCACAGATTAACGGCCCCTCCCAGCGGTCAACAGCCTATCTCCATGGCATCCCCCCCATCCTTTTCATGCGACTTGCCTGCAACCATTCAGGCGCACTGACAGCTTCCAACCGGCTTTCCCGCCAGAATCGCTCCACGCATCGCTCCACGCATCGCGAGGCATCAGGGATTGATTAGTCTCTTTTTCTTTGCGTTATTTTATTATTATTTACCCCCCTCCTTTGGGTCGCTTCTCATTAGTTCGCGATCTTCTTTCCCAATCCTGGTTTTTTATCCTTTGAGCTGTCCAGTGACGCTGGTTTGTATCGTATCCTCAAACAAGTGTCCGTTGGGTTGGGCCATCTTGAGTTGTCTTTCGTTAGCTCCGAGGCTCTAAAGATTAGTGAGGGTTCGGATTCTTGTCTACCCCTCCTGCCTCCTTGCTTAGGGAAGTCAGGGAATCCAAGTCATTTCTGGCATTTCAAAGCCTGGTAATCGCATAGGAGGGGAGAGGGAACTGCAGACGATGCAAGTCACGACAGAGTCTCAAAAGGATGGCAATGTCTAGGGCGATGAGTTCAGGTAAAGAAAGGGTGGTGGTAACTACGGAGTATATCTCACCATCCGATGTTTGTGGCTGGTGATCAACCCACTTCTACCTAGGCTAGTTACTACCTACCTACTTAAGTTATAATAGTAGTAGTGGATTTTGCTGCTAATAAGGTCTACACCGTAAGGTATGAGTGGAAAGAGCACACATCCACTAACTACAAGCACGATGACGATGATGATCGTTCTTCAAACCAGAGAAGAAAGAGATAGTACTGTGTCAAATCAAATCATATTTTATCTCCTTTATTGAAACATCAAAGCAACACCACCATGGACTTCCACCCAAGCCAACGCCCGCCCATCCGCCGCCGCCGCCTGCTGGTTCATCCCCTCTTCTTTCTTCCCCCAAGAACTAACACTAACTAAACTGACTGACTGACTGACTGCCTGCCACAAGCCCAGTCAGTCCCACCTTCAAACTAAAAAATCCCAGAAAATTAACTAATGGTAACTAATCTCCATTCCCAATTCCTACTATTCTTTCTTGACCTTAATCACTCCCTTCCCACACCTCCACCACTCACCTGTTGTGCCGCCGATTCGGCCATTCGGAGGGTCTCTGAGAGTCTGTTTCCCCTTCTCTTCCACCCTCCCCCCCCCCCTCCTCCTCCCACTCCAATTCTCTTTTTTATTTTTTTTTACCCTTCCTCAACTCTTCTTCTCTTCCCCTTCTTTGATTGCGTCCTTCGTTTTTCACTATTGCTATAATTTATTTTTAATCTCGGGTCACCGCCCGAGAGTCTTATTTTCTACTTCCCTAGACGACCTTTGAAGTTGCGCGCCCGACTGGTTCCCTTTCCTCCCGGTCGCTGCGACGTGTGTTGAGCCTGTTGCTTGTTCGATCGGTCGCGACCCATCTAGCCCATGATGGACGGTGGCCAGACCTCGACCAGCGCCGCCCCTGCCGGCAACTCTAGCGATTTTGTAAGTCTTCGTCGTGATCTTCGTGAAACCGATGTTCAAGAACATCATTCTATCGTATTGTTTTCCTATGCGTTTCACTCGCTAACCAGTATGCTCAGGTACGGAAACTCTACAAGTGAGTCTCTCCTCTCTTTCCTTCTCCCGTTCCTGATCGTCCCTTTGTGCCGCTCATTCAACCCTGTCTCCTTCCCGACGCACTCGCCCCCCGCTCACCACTCGACCCCTGCTGCATTCAATCTCAGTATTGACAGTTCAATATCTTTTCCCTCCAACATGGTCACTGACGTTCTTCGAAAAGGATGCTGGAGGACCCCTCGTATGCGGAAATCGTGCGATGGGGTGACGAAGGGGACAGCTTTGTCGTCTTGGAGGTACCGTGCTGGGCAATTCTCCCATGTTTTCTCACGATCGCAAACCGTCTGACCAAATGGCTCCATGATCCTAGTGCGAGAAATTCACCAAGACCATCCTCCCGAAGCACTTCAAACACAGCAACTTCGCCAGTTTCGTGCGACAACTCAACAAGTACGACTTTCATAAAGTGAGACAGAATAACGAGGAGAATGGGCAATCACCATATGGGGCAAATGTAAGTGCGCAGCGATGGGCGGCAAATATCCGGATTGGCCTAATACGGGCTCGCAGGCGTGGGAATTCAAGCACCCAGAATTCAGAGCAAACAGTAAGGAGTCGCTCGACAATATTCGCCGGAAGGCCCCCGCTCCGCGCAAACAAACTCAAAGTACCGACGACGCGGTTCCCACCCAACAGATTGATCTCTTGAATCAACAGATTGTGGCACAGCAACAACAAATTCAGCACCTGTCGGACCGATACGCGCAATTGACTGTGGACCATCAGTTGATGCTCCAGGAGGTTATGAGGGTTCAGAAAACGGTGCTCAACCACGAAAGTGTTATCCACCAGGTAATGAACTACCTACTTTCTGTCGACGCCAGTCGAAGGCGCGACAGCAAAGCGGCCACATCGTTTCAGGCCCAGGGTCAAGCAAGCTCGACCCTCAGCCCCTCCCAGGTGGCTACAATGGATGACGAACCTTCTTCGCCTTTGCAACAGGCCACAAAACTTCTGAATGATATGAACGCAGAGATTCAGTTCAACCTAGTCGGACTCGATGGGGTTGCTGATCCGTCCAAGGCTACAGGGGCGGTTGTCTCTGCTCCGGGCATGGATGGCGCCTCGCGGAACGGCGTGGTACGTGCGCCTGCGGCGACGGCGAACCCAGCTCTGGTGTACTCGAAGATGAATGCTGATGTCGAGCCTGTTGTTTACCCTGTCGGCGCGACTAACGGTATTGATCCTATGTACGGCGAGCATGTTAAAAACGTCCCCTACCCTATGCCGAAGCAAGAGGTCGACGACTCTCGGAGACAGCAAGTTCAGCAGGTCCCTCAGGTCCCCCAGGTCCAGCAACTTCAACAGGTCCAGCAGGTTCCCGACAGTCGGAAGAAGAGCGCCAATGTCGACCCTGGTTGGGCCCGCAGCCCCCGCATTTTGCTGGTGGAAGACGACCAGACGTGTCGCCAAATTGGTGGAAAATTCCTATACTCATTCTCTTGCATCATCGATACTGCGGTATGTCCCTCTATCGAATTTCTCTCGACTTCATCGCTGACGTGGTATCCAGCTTGATGGCTTGGAGGCTGTAACAAAAGCCCAGGCTAACCCTGGGTATGACTTGATTCTCATGGACATCATTATGCCCAACCTGGATGGTGTCTCTGCAACGCACCTCATCCGCCAATTTGATAGAACACCTATCATTGCCATGACCTCCAATATCCGGAGCGACGATATTCAACTCTACTTTCAGCATGGTACGTCATGTCTTCCAGCCTTTAGCTATTTCTGAAAACGAAGTCAGCTGACATTTGTAGGTATGGACGATGTCCTTCCAAAACCCTTCACACGAAAGAGTCTGCTAGAAATGCTCGAGAAGCATCTGTCCCACTTGAAGGTTGCATCGCAAAACATGGAAGCTGCTCAGCCTGCCGTCCCTGTCACGATGGCCGCGCAGAGTTCCGCCGCACATTCCATCAAGGAGGACAGTTCTCCGGGCCAGTCACCAGCAACATCGGTGAATAACTGGCAGTCGCCCGGCCAGTTTCAAGGCATGACCGCTGTGCCCCATAACATGCAAACAGTTCCCAGTCAATATATTCCTACGACCCCAGGTCCTCCTGCGTACGCCGTCGACCAAAATGGTGTTCAATACACCACCCCCGCAATGGCTCTGGCCCCAACGGCACCCGCTGCTCGGCCACAGGTACGACGACAGCTCTCAGAAATGTCTAGTGCGGGTGAAAATCCAGCCATGGCGAAGAGGCCGCGGATGTACACACATCCGAGCCAGCCGATCGTCAGTTCCATGCAGGCCACGCGGACAGGTTAGGTCGTATCTGACCACACCTGCATCTCTCTTTACCAACTTTATTCCTCGACACCGACGACCTCCAAATTCTTCTAACATTTCCGCTTAACTTCTCCACACGCCGTTTATTCCTTTCGTGAGCTTCTCCACCTCATGAATATCAATGACCCTTCACCGTAGTCATTGAGTTATACCTCAGGGTGACAGTCAGGGGTTGTCCTGCATTTTTCTTTTCTGCTTGGAAATATATGATATATCACGGTGTCGCGGCGCATGATTACACTTGCATCTGATTGAGGGTCTACTTCGCATCAAAGCTGGTCTGCTGTCGTTCGCATTGAATGACTGGGCTTCTTCTGAGGGTCCCTGGGGTCTAGCATCCAGACCCTGTGGGTCAAAGGCCCATGGGCTGGCAGCCTTGTCTATCATATTTTTGTACGTATTATTGGTTCGTTTGGACTGCGAAGGCGCCGGCATTTCTGTTATTCTCATTGTGAGGTTCAGGCAATTTCTCAGTGAGTAATTGTTTTCCTTGAGTTGCAGGGAAGTTGTGCAACAAGACTTGTGGTTTAAGATACACACAATTGCTTTGAAACCATGAATCAATAGCCTGGATATCCCTCCGAACTTGCGCGTAGCATTCAAAGCCAGTGGATATTTTCACCATCTGTCAATCTGTGTGCGACACACGTCCACTACCAAAAAGGGGCTACGTCTACAGATACCACATAGGTCCATCCGACTTCAAGAAGCGCCGATCTGATCTTCGTCCCCGCTTCAACCTAAGCTTCCAGCGGCTCCCAGATCGAAGGTTCGTCAGCTAATTATGACAGCTTAAGTTCTGGACCCGCGGTTCCTGGGATAAGGGGGTGTTCCTTTGAGTCCAGGAGGGCCCAGACCGTGGATGACGTTCTGGACTCGAAAACCTCCCAACCAGGGTTAGCCCCCAGCAGCAGCTGGAGTGTGGCTGAGGCTAATGCGTCTACAATCACATGATTATTATCACGTGATCAAAAGACGGGCGGCGAGCAAAGGGGTCGGACAAACACAGCAAACAGGCGCAAGGTGGGATGAAGTCTGACTCCGACGGAGGAGACAAAGGCTTGGCGGAGATTTTGCGATTCTCAAGCGCGCTCAATACTTCTGGTCGGCATTGTACCGTCGGCTTTTCGCTTCACGTACGACTTCGCTCCATCGACCTCGAAGAAGCTGTTTATTGACTTTTGTGAAGCTGGAGCAAGCCAAGCGACCGCTGAACCCGAAGAAATCCCCAGTCTCTACCGTGTATTTCACCCGATGTGAGTTGTGCCCTTTGTGTCGCTCGCTGTGTCTTCTCTTCCGGGCCGCGAATGAGTCATACTAATGTACAGTTTCACGCAGATGGGTCCGAAAAAAGGTGGCGCGCCGAAGCAGAGGGGAAATGCTGCGGAAACTGTAGAGGAGACGCTGCAGGCGGTGGTATGTCGTTCCCATCGGACTTGATCCGTTCCCTCTCCAGTTCGAAGAGCTTGGCTAATCATTCTGGTGGCTTTGATGTAGGTACTTGCGGATACTTTCGAGACGAGATTTGAGCCGTTCACTCTGGAAAGACCTAGGGTATGTGGCCGGGGGGGGGGGGGGGTGATGTACACGGACTGTTGCGGGAAATGAAAAGGATTATGAGGATATGTGGACTGACTAGAGGGGATGATCGATTTAGTGTCTCTTGCCGCTCGCGAACACCCCTCTCATCGAGTATACTCTTGAGTTCCTGGCCAATGCGGGTGTTGAGGATGTCTTCCTCTATGGCGGTGCGCATTCAGACCAGCTGGAGAGATACATCAAGTACGTGGTCCTGTCGTTTGGAGAGCTGGCCGTTTTGAGCCACACGGTAGGCATGGGCATGAATGTTTTGAAGCTGACATGCGGGCTTTGATAGTGCGTCGAAGTGGAGAGCGTTATCGTCTCCCTTCAAGCAGCTGACTTTCCTCAAGTCGACATCCACCTCGGTTGGAGATGTCATGCGAGATCTGGACGGCAAGCATCTCATTACTGGAGATTTCATCGTGGTCAGCGGCGATGTCATCAGCAATCTCCCGATCGAAGGCGCTTTGGCCAAGCACCGTGCTCGTCGTGAAGCCGACAAGAATGCGATCATGACCATGATCCTGCGGGAAGCCGGCCGCAACCACCGAACCAAAGCTTCCTCCGTGTCTCCTGTCTTTGTGATCGACCCGACCAAGGATCGCTGTCTGCACTACGAAGAGATTGACCAACATAACCCCGACTCCACGCGCTTGAACATTGAGCCCGAACTCATCACTTCCCACCAGGAAATCGACCTGCGCCAGGATCTGATCGACTGCAACATCGACATTTGTACACCTGATGTGCTGAGTCTCTGGTCCGACAGTTTCGATTACCAGGCGCCACGCAAGCAGTTCTTGTTTGGTGTATTGAAAGACTACGAGCTGAACGGCAAGACGATTCACACGCACATCATCAAGGATCACTATGCGGCTCGAGTGCGAAACCTAAAGGCGTACGATGCTGTGAGCAAGGATATCATTTCCAGATGGACCTATCCTCTTTGCCCGGACACCAACTTACTCCCAGGACACAACTATGAGCTCCGCAAGGGAAGTCTGTATCAGGAACAGGGTGTGACTCTCGCGCGCTCGTGTGTCATTGGCCGTCGCACAGTTATTGGTCAGGGAACCAGTATCGGAGATAAGACGACGGTCAAGGACACGGTTCTTGGCCGGGACTGCAAGATCGGCAAAAATGTCACCTTGGAAGGTGCCTACATCTGGGACGGCGCTGTCATCGGTGACGGGACGACAGTGAAACAAGCCATCGTTGCCGAGCGGGCGGTGGTTGGAAAGAACTGTACAGTCGAACCTGGTGCTCTCATTTCTTTTGGCGTAGAGATCGCCGACGGAGTCAAGGTCACTGAGGGCCTGCGCATCACGAAAGCCCCCCGAGATGATGAGGACGGTGTGCCCGCTAGCGAGCCGGAGGTCGTCGGTGAGGGTGGTACCGGCTATGAATACGTTCCTTACGAAGATGAGGACGAGGATGACGCGGCAAGCAACGCCTCGTCAGGGTTGAGTAAGTAATTGTCCTTCGGCACTCTGTTCATATGAGACAATGAGTCGCTAACCGCATACCTACAGTTTACAATATGGCACATCTCTCGTTATCTACCGACTCCATCTCCACACTTTCATCAGAGATTTCCGACTTTGGCGGGTCCCGTGCTGGTAGCTTTAGTACTACGATGTCTGATGATGAGGATTCGGATCACTTCGTTCATGATGCTGCGGCCAGCGTCTACGACAGCTTGCGAGAGAGTGTCTCGTCGGATGTGGTCCAGCTGGAACTGGTCAGTCTACGTATGACGGCCAATGCCTCGGATCATCAGGTCCGCCGCGCCGTGGTGTCCGCGTTCATGAAGCGGGTGGCGCAGTTGATGGAAGCTGGAAAGGGCGCCGGAGAGGCGGTCCGAGAGATCTTCGGCAAGTACCGGGAGATCGTCGAGCGGGCCTTGTTCGACCGCGAGCGTGAAGCCAAGCCGGACCAGGTTGACCTACTTCTCCTCCTCCAGCAGGACTTGGTGCACCGCAGCCGGGGCGATACGGTCCTTCTGTTCATTGCCAAGGAGCTGTATGACTTGGAGATCATCGACGAAGAGGCTTATGAGCAATGGTGGGACGACGAGCGATCGAGCAGCACCGAGGAAATGCGCCAGGTGCGTAGTCAAACACAGCAGTTTGTTGACTGGCTGGCCAACGCCGAGGAAGAGGAGAGCAGCGAAGAGGAAGAGAGCGAGGAGGAGGAAGAAGAAGAAGAAGAAGAGGAAGATGATGAATAAACGACCTAGACAGTGGCATATAGAGTGCTTTCAAATCAAGCTATGATATGATTCATCGGGGATCGACGATGGTATAATACAACTTGGGTATTGCATTTGTGCCCGAGCGAACGAAGTTCTTCGGAGCCATAATGTGCTAGGAAGTCGCCATATCAATACAGCGGCTGTAGCATTTGTTGGAGGTCTTTTAATGGAGGTAGTCTGCCATAAAAACGACAGTTGGTGGTACAGAGGTGTAACTAGGCTGAATGGTTCTGCAGCCTGCAGCCGATCCCCACTTTGGAGCCTCAAGGTGACATATAAAATCCCTTTTTCTCTTTGAAGTCAGCGCTTTTTCCCTTCCGATTCTCCTGGCAGTCTCTGCATCCTGACAGAACTGGCAAATAGCTCATTGCCAGCTTTTTGGGTGTTCATCATTAGAGCTGAAAAAAAGGTCAGGTTGAATGAAGGAGTAGGGTGGGTAAGAACAGGTCGATGTGGTAAGAAACAAGCACACCCAGAGAGACACAGAGGAAGAAGAGCATAAGGCGGTCGGACCAAGTGATCTCCCCCCACCACATCATCATCATCCATCATCATCATCCATCATCCATCATCCATCGCAGCATTCCCTCCCCCTCTCTTTTTCCCCCCATCTCCCTTCCTCTCCCTCTCGCTCTCTCTTCCCGTGACCGTCCATCCCATCTCATCCACTGCATCCATCCACTATTCCCCCTCCCTTTAGTGACACCCACCCCATCATCTTCAACCTTCGACCCTTGAACAGTAACCCACCTCCACCACCACTAATTACCTCTTCCTCCTGCCTCCACTGCACCCTCCCTCTTCTTCCACTTTCTCTCAAGATTGATAATCACGGACCATCTAATCACCAATTCTACTGGAAGCTAGTACTGCACTATTCCCCACCACCACCCCAAAAATCCGACCAACCCACCAACCAAACCAAATCAATCTCTCTTTCATTTTCCTTTTCATCCCCATCTTCCGGAACCCGGAAAATTACCTTACCCTGATTCCCTTGGTACGCTGTGACTTGTGTTGTCCCGGAAAAGAGTAAGGTCTCGATCTCCTATCTCGAGACCTACTTTTTTTATCGCGTCAGCACATACCCCGGCTTGCCAACGGTTTCTACCCACACTATCCACCACGCCTCCCCTCACGAGAAAGAGAAAGGCGGCCGAGGCGACGTTCGTCGACCACGCGACCACAACAGCAGCAACAGCCGCCACCACCACCCCGTCCGATCCGGACTCCGACGTCGCCCTCTCGCCCGCCGCCACCGGAGTTTCTCTCTCTGACAAACCCTCACGAAAGAAGAGGAAGAAGCAACCGACTGATACGGACCCCAATCCCGAATCCCTTGTCACGATCTCCAACGGCCTTTCGGATTTGTTGGAGAGGAACAAGGAGGAGGAGGCGACAGACCTCGTTACCCCTGCATCTACCAGCATGGAGTCAGATGAGGATTTCATGAGCGTCGGCTCTAGCCCGGATGACTTTTTGGACACCCAAGGCAGTGATGTCGAGAGCTTAGGCGATGGTATGTGATGAAGCTCCTTAACATCCCTCCCTCCCGTCGGCGCTACTTTTCATGAGCCCATTTATATTCCGTCACTAACCCGCGTCCTTGGCATTTGTTTTTCTGCACCAGATTTTGGTGATGAGTTTGATGGCGGGTTCTCCAAAGATAAAGATATCATCGCGACGAAACGGAAACCATACGAGGTTGAGTTCAAAGTCCTGAGCCCGGAAGATATCGAGCGGCAGCAGAATGTGCAGATCAACGAGGTCTCGTCGATCCTCGGCCTGCCCCCAGAGTCGTCGGCCATCCTGTTGCGGTATGGGCGATGGAAACGCGAGAAGTTGATCGAATCGTATATGGACCATCCAGAAGAGACCCTGGAGGAGGCTGGTCTAGGGACAAATTTTGAGGGAACGCCGCAGACCGAAGTGGTCTCTGGCTTTATGTGTGAGATTTGCTGCGAGGATGGCGACGAGCTCGAGACGTATGCTATGCGCTGCGGGCACCGCTTCTGCGTTGATTGCTATCGCCATTACCTAGCACAGAAAATCCGCGGGGAGGGTGAAGCCGCGAGGATTGAATGTCCAGGTACGGACTGTCATATGATTGTGGACTCGAAGTCATTAGGACTGCTGGTGACGGATGATTTGAAGGAGAGGTAAGATAGGACTTGTTAAAGGCTCAGATTGTCGTATTGCTAATCCCTTGTCCTACAGATACAAAGCTCTCCTCATGCGGACGTATGTCGACGACAAGGATAATCTCAAATGGTGCCCGGCTCCGGAATGCGTATATGCGGTGGATTGCCCAATTAAACAGCGCGACCTTCGGCGCATTGTGCCCACAGTCCAGTGTGACTGCAAGCACTACTTCTGCTTCGGATGTACACTCAACGACCATCAGCCAGCGCCATGCACGCTAGTGAAGATGTGGTTGAAGAAGTGCGAAGACGATTCCGAGACGGCCAACTGGATCTCCGCCAACACGAAAGAGTGCCCGAGATGCCATTCAACGATCGAGAAGAATGGCGGCTGCAACCACATGACTTGTCGAAAATGTAAGCACGAGTTCTGCTGGATGTGCATGGGTCTGTGGTCCGAACATGGCACCAGCTGGTACAACTGCAATCGTTACGAGGAGAAGTCCGGATCCGAGGCCCGCACCGCACAGGCGCGATCTCGGGAGTCGCTGGAGCGGTACCTTCACTACTACAACCGGTATGCCAACCACGAGCAGTCGGCCAAATTGGATAAGGACCTGTATCTGAAGACGGAGAAGAAGATGACCAGTCTTCAATCGCAGTCCGGTCTTTCCTGGATCGAGGTCCAGTTCCTGGACACTGCATCACAAGCATTGCAACAATGTCGACAGACCCTGAAGTGGACGTATGCGTTTGCCTACTACCTAGCACGCAACAACCTGACGGAGATCTTCGAAGACAACCAGAAGGACCTAGAAATGGCCGTCGAGAGCCTGAGTGAGATGTTTGAGAAACCGGTACCGGAGCTTGCACAATTAAAGGTCGATATTTTGGACAAAACAGCTTACTGTAACAAACGGCGGGTGATTTTGCTGAGTGACACAGCGGAGAATTTAAACAATGGTATGTCCTACCTTCTTTGTGCCTTCATACGAAAGTGAACGGCTCACTAACTTTGGACAGGCGAATGGTCATTCAATGTGGATTGGTAGAGAACAAGCAGACTTCCCTTTTTCGCCCTTCCTTCCCCGTCTTCCCGTTGAACTAGAAGAAAGCATAAGAACTCACGACGTGCATGACAAATAGCCAGCGCATATGGAATTTCTCCATCCTCGGAACGTTTATATCATTTTCCGTTACTTCAAATCGTTGTCCTCGATGCAATCTTACTGTATGTATCTCTACACTTGACCGACTACTTCAAGGGCCAACCCATCTTCTGTGTGTGTTTTTCTTCTCTTTCTTCCTTGTGCGTGTTACTGGCCCTTTTAGTATGACCTTGTTCTTTTCATGTCTTCGCAATCTGATACGAGGGCGAGGAAGTTATATTTATATTTCAACTTGAGTTTGAGTACATGCTCTCTATCATGTGTACCTATTTTGAAACTGTCTCTACTAGGAAGGAGATTATGGACGATGTTGCATTTCGGAAATTCCGAAGTCACTGGATGGGTAAGGATAGGCATATAGTTAGGTAGTTTGGGGTTTACAGCCTTATATTATTTCTTGGTTTACTATCGGGAATGGTCAGAGTGGCAAATGCTCTGTGGAACTAAGTACACAGTAAATCAATCTGGATTCTATCTCGCCTGGGAAAAAGCAAAAAGAAAGCGTTTACCTAGTTTTACGAGTACGGAGTAGTAGTCCCAACAGGTCCCAGCGCAGGACGGGCGAAAGACGGCAAGGTAAACCAAGGAGCAAAAAACTGTACATGGCCATGCACTAGCTCAGATAGACAGTGATGGTACTCCATACTTCCGTAGTAGGCTAGTATTAGTCTAGCAAGGTATTCATGTGCCGTCTTTTTTTGCTCGGGACTTTTCGATCCTGATGGGTCTGACAATCGACTCCGTAAGTCACCTGTCTCCTCCCGTTTGGAAAGCATTTAAGTTAGGTAATTGGTTTCCAGAATGAAAGTGGAAAAGAACATAACTTCTAGTGGGTGTCCCACTTTTTTCTTTTTTTTTTTTTTTGGCTTCTTCCTGTTTGCTCTTTTTTTCTCGAAGGATTCGATCTTAGATTAGGGACGGAGTATACTCTTACCCATAATCCATAGAGTCAGACTTAGGACATTACCTTCTGCTGGGGATGGGCGAGGAGTGTGGTATCAATCTTGTGACATTTGAGAGGGGGTTTGCGAGTATTACTAGCTACTGGCTACTGCCAGTGACGAGGATAATTCCCTAAGCGTGATTGAGGACAAGTCAATCTGAAGCAGTAAGTTTAAGTGTACAGTTATAACTAGTTACTCCAATCTCAATCAGATAAGACATGATGGGACGCGGACGGCAGCACAAAGTCCGGGTTCCCGTTCCTTTGGACCTTTCGGATCATCGGGCGGGCTAAACCCGAGTAAGTATCGATGGGGTCCCATGAGTTGGATTCCTCCGCGGTTCGGCGGTTCAGCCGACTTTGGAGAATTGAAAGTTGCACTTTTGTCAATGTTCCCTGTGGTATCGGTGGAGCCGACACGACTCAAATCATCCATATGATCGGTGACCAGTAATTATGCTTAGTAGTAGTAGAGAGAGGAGGGGAATAGTTATGCATGCTTTACCTAAATGGTGATTCGAGCGCGTAACTTACTATGTCAGTTGAATACTTGGTTATTATGACTCTATGAGGCAGAAGCTCCGTCATCGGATAGAGGCAGATGCCTCGGTGTAATTTCATGTTGGATTCGACTGTCTAAGCTTTAGAGGCTAGCCTGTTCCAGGCCAGGGAGGCTGATTCAGCGAGGCCGACCGGGGCACGGGAGTTCGAGAGGAGGGATTTTGTACGGGAGTAGATGAGGACGGGAATTCAGGACGAGAGACAAATATCATGGGTTTCTCGAGTGAGGTATTCAGATCATGAGTAGGATACTGTGTACAGCTGTAATCCAAATATAGCCCAGTGCAGTGGACATATCAATGAGTCGAATCGTTCAGTTATCTGATCAGATCAACTCGAGGGTAATCCATCTGAAGGAACAACAAAATAGTCTCAAGCTTGCAGGAAAGCATCAATGACCAATAGCATCTGGTCTCCTTGCCGGACGCTCTTTATCATACCATACCAGTACCGGATATTCCGCTTTCATTACCCTCTTCAGCACTCTCTAGCAGCCCCTATCACCCGCCCGAAGGTCAAATACCGTACCGTCAGAATGGTAATGCGTCGGTACGAGATACCTGCTGCTATCGACCTGCAGCCGGACTTTTTTAGTTAACCATCCCAGAATTATCAGCATTTCTCTTTTCCTGCCTCTTTCTCTCTCCATCTCTCCCCTCATCTTTCTACCGCCATATAATTATTCTCTACTTCCTCGGGTTGAAGCTGGTCTCGTTATCATTCTTCTGATAGTCCTCCCTCTGCTTTCCCTATCATTTCTCGAGACGCGCTCCCCTCCCTACCGGTTTTCCCACTTCCTCCGCCCGGATCGGTCTTCCCTCTCCGCTCCGCAAAGTCCGTTTTTCTGCGTCGGCATTTTTGGCCTCCAGCTCGAGACCAACTCTCCTCGGTCCTCCCGGAGCTTCTTTCACCTGTGCCCGCAGCCTCTTTCGTCCCTCTCTAGCAGTCGCCTCTTCCAGAAACCTCAAGAGCTCAATGGCGGTCCCCGAACAGATCCCCGGGCAAGAATATGAGTATGTGGCCCTTCAGTCCACGTCTCCGGTCCTGGTCGGCAATTGTCTCCACTGTTTCTTGACTCTGGCATATATTTGTGAAGGATATAATTCAGACTTTGGTGAAATGCGCTGTTACTATGGATCGCCAGAGACCGAGAGATATCATTTCCTTTTTTTCTTTTTTTTTTTTTTTTGATGACCTCACGCTAACCGCACCCTGACGACAGCTATGAAGCCCTCCCTTCCAACTACGGCTTAGGCGCCAACATGTTGGCTGGCGCCTTCGCAGGTATCGCAGTATGTGCCAAGCAGTGAGACTACATTCAAAGGGGCTGTTTGTGCTGACTCTGGGGTTCTAGGAACACTCCGTCATGTATCCAGTAGACTTGCTCAAGGTATGTGGCTCATGTGAATGGCGGTCCAGCAATTGCCAACAAACCCCGCTCGCTGAAGCTGTGCGCGGGATGTCCAGTGACCAGGAGACTGACAGCGGTGTAATATGTTTAGACTCGCATGCAAATCTTGCATCCTACGACTGGAGGGCTCTACACAGGCTTGACCAATGCGGTTTCGACGATCTACCGGATCGAGGGCTGGCGGACACTGTGGAAAGGTGTCTCGAGTGTGATTGTTGGCGCTGGTGAGTCTTGTTGCGAGCGCCGTCGGGCCACTTGGTTTAGCTGACTGGTCTCTTTGGATAGGTCCCGCTCACGCCGTGTACTTCGGAACATATGAGATGGTGAAGGAATTGGCAGGTGGTAATGTTGACGATGGCCACCACCCGGTCGCTGCAGGTGAGTTACCATTTTCCGCGGCTTAAAGCGACACGGGCGCGATGACTGACCACTACTGCCAGCCCTGAGCGGTGCCTCTGCGACTATTGCTAGCGACGCCTTGATGAATCCCTTTGACGGTGAGTTTTGTGCAACAGCTCGACACGGCGAAGCATCCTCTAACTGGCGCAGTGATCAAGCAACGTATGCAAGTGCATGGCTCGGTACATAAGAGCCTTCTTCAATGCGCCCGGTCCGTTTACCGCACAGAGGGTTTCCAGGCATTCTACGTCTCCTATCCGACCACCCTCTGCATGACTGTTCCCTTCACCGCCACTCAGTTTGTCGCCTACGAGTCCATCTCCAAGATCATGAACCCGTCGCAAGACTACGATCCTTTTACGCACTGTATGGCCGGTGGTCTCGCGGGTGCGTTTGCGGCCGGTTTGACCACCCCGCTCGACGTGGTCAAGACGCTGCTGCAGACTCGGGGGTTGGCGCAAAACGAGGAAATCCGTTCAGCCAAGGGATTGTTCAATGCGGCGGCTATCATCAAGCGGCAATTCGGCTGGAAGGGTTTCCTGCGTGGCGCCCGTCCCCGCATTATTTCCACCATGCCCAGTACTGCCATTTGCTGGTGAGTCTAATCTATCCGTAGAGTTTTTGGAGGGCTGTTCCGCTGATCGTATTCCTCTCCAGGACCTCGTATGAAATGGCCAAGGCCTACTTCAAGGGCCAGCCGGACAACTAAACCCAGTTTCCTTTTTCCAAATGGCCCGATGCATGAATCCAACACATCTCAGCTTTCAAACCACTTCTTCGCTTCCTTCCTCTTGCATGCCACCCCGGGGGGAACAAACACGCAACAACCCCCATCACATCAACCTACTCAACTTCCTCTCATATTCATTCCAGGATAGAATAATAAAATCACGACTCAGAAAATAGCCTAAAATACTACGACTCCGAGGGAGAGAACACAACGAATTCCTTTACCCCGATTTATCACATGCGAGGAGGAAGGAGGGGAGAGGATGAAGAAGACGGTGTTTCCAGGTGACACCGCCTGGGCGCTGATCTGAGGAGCTTCTGCCTTCATGATACCTCGCTTCTGGCTCTCTCTCCCGTTTTTGCTCGGTCTCTTTATTTCATCCTCATCCCATTCATCGAGTTTCCAGTACCATCCACGCGATACCCCCAGCAAGTCATACACCGGCCCGGACGGGGATACTCCAATCAACTGTCTATCTGCGAGCTCCCGCGCTGGAGCGATGCTTGTGTTATTCTTTCTGACGTGTCATTTTCATTTTCATTTTTCATGTTGTGGATTGGGGTTCTGGGTGACCGGCAGGATATGGAGATGAGCTGGAGGATTGATTGGTGGATGAGCGGCCGCCTCTTGGTTGGATTGAGGCCAGATCTTGAATCGGGCCTGATGTATGCTTAATTGGTAGGCGTTGACGGGATGCAGGGGGAAATTCTATCTGGACGAGTCTCCTTTGCTTTTGGTCTGTCTGGTTGGGTTGGACCATATATCCTTACCTGTTTGCACTGCACTGCACTGTACTGCATTTTGTTTGAATTGTTCTTCTTTTTTTGTTTTGTTGTTGCTCGGGATACACTGCGATTGATTCCATGTGAATATATTCATATATGTATGCTATAGAAGGAATTGCGGGAAAGGGTGGATTGGTATGAGGGTGGTCGACTGGTCAAAAATACGAGATTATAGTTCGTGAATCACAATCTCAAATGAATACATGAATCAAGATAAATGAATCATCTAGTATAGGAGAGTCTGAAGATGAGAAGCTGAAGATAAAGCAGAGGCGGCGGGGGCAGAGGAGGAGGAGGAGGAGGAAGAGGAGGAGGGGAAGAAGTGTGACGACGTCACTTGGAAAAATCGGAAAAGGAACGTCTCCCCCAAACCGAACCCGGCCAAACCCCCTCCACATCCTGCAGTCTCTCTCTTTTCTTACCACGACTACTTACTCCTCAACTTCAGTTCCATCACCTTCACATCCGACTGACGGATTCTTTCCCCAAGTCTTCCCCCCACCCCACTCAATTAATTGATTTGCACTGCCACTCGTTTCTCGCTCCGTCGATCTCCCTTTCTCTTCTCCTCTATACTTATGTAAATTGCGGGCGGGTCCTGCAAGATTCCCGCTCCATCTCCTCCCCTCCTCCGTGCACCCTCGAATGAATGATGCGCCCCAAGCCGGCGTCTTCACTGCAGAAGACCTACGATGATTGCTACTTGATGTGCTCGACTGCTGTCTACTTTGAGGGTCAGGTTTGTACTATGCTGCAATTCTTCACCATACATCTCCCAAACTAAGCTATCATCCTGCCTGCTCAGAATAATGAAGAGGAAGCCTTAAGATCTTGGCGCTCCGCCCTGGAAACGATCTACTATCACAACGCTTATCGAGTCCCCGCCAAGTATACCCCCAAGAACGAAACCGAACGAGCTCTGCAGGATTCCATCCGCCAGCTGGAGCTGCAATGCCGCGAGCGTGTCGATCTGCTCCAAGCCCTTCGCGAGAGTAGAAAGGATAATTCGGGCAAATTGCCTCCCCGAACCACCCCCGGTTGGATTGGCGACGGGACCGTTCCCGCCGTTGGTTATACCGATCTCTCGAAACCTCCTACCATCCCCGGTCGTCCGACACCCACCACGACCGTCAGCTCGGAGTCTGTCAGAAGAGTATCCGCTAGCACCGCCACTTCCCCTCCCCTACCTGGAACCCCCGCCATCCGCACCCAGTCGCATTCCCCGAGCAAGGCCGATTCGCGCACCTCGAGCCCCGAGCGGCGGAAATTGACCATGCCGTTCACCCTGCGCAATTCGGAGGGCAAGAAACAGAGTAAGAAAAAGGACAGCTCGCGGCGGAGGGAGTTGCGCCCGGCCGCAGCCTCTCAGGCCGCAGGGCTAGCCTGGGGTAGTACATATCCGTCATTCACGGTACCGGATAGAACGGCCAGTGATGCCGCGCTGGCCTCGACCCGCGCCTCCAACGACTCTAGCATCCGCCAAGATCCCGAACCCCGTCGTCCGTTCTCTGGCGACGAGCGTGTCCCGAGAAGAGCAACGCATCCGGCAGATGATCCAGACGAACGTCGAATCGGTAGGAAACCCCGTGCATCAGACCAGTCGGTATTGCGTCGGCCGCCAGCGAGGAGAACGGCAACCTTATCTTCAAATACCACCCCAACCACCTCGACGTACCGCAAACCAATCGGTCAGGTTCGACATCAGTCCTCCAACCAGTCACTCCCTGCTTCGGTGGAACCAGAATCGAAGGAACCAGAATCGAAAAATGCCGTTCGGCCGCAGCCTCCACCCAAACCTTCTATCAAACCGAAACCTGTTTCTCTCCGGTCACCCCATCCCACATCCTCCCCATCAGGTGTGTCACCGGATGGGTTGGGCAAGTCGCGAGTCAAGTCGACATCATCACGCCCGCGGATCACGCCCACCTCATCTACCGATGCCAGGCTGGTCCCTGGATTGGAACGACTGACACTTTCATCCAACGTGAGACCCGCCGCTCAATCACCACAGCGCTTGACTCGCACCGTGACGCCCCCTTCCAGCGACCCCGAGTCATCCGGTCCGAAGTCCACAGACCCGGATGAAGAAGATCTAGAGGAGGAAGATGAAGAAGATGCCATCATGAATGTGATGAACAAGCTTCCCAAGGGCGTCGATGCGACTGCTGCGCGCCAAATCCTCAATGACATCGTCGTCCGCGGCGACGAAGTCCATTGGGACGACATTGCCGGTCTAGACGGGGCCAAGAAGGCCCTCAAAGAAGCTGTCGTCTACCCTTTCCTCCGGCCTGACCTCTTCTCGGGTCTCCGCGAGCCAGCACGCGGTATGCTCCTCTTCGGGCCTCCAGGCACGGGCAAGACCATGTTAGCCCGTGCGGTGGCCACCGAATCGCGGTCGACCTTTTTCTCCGTCTCGGCCTCCACACTCACCTCCAAATGGCACGGCGAGAGCGAGAAGCTCGTACGCGCGCTGTTTGGCCTGGCCAAAGCGCTAGCCCCGTCCATCATCTTTGTGGACGAGATCGACTCCCTGCTCTCGGCACGCTCCTCCGGCACGGAGAACGAGGCTTCGCGCCGGTCCAAGACCGAATTTCTGATCCAGTGGTCCGACCTCCAGCGCGCTGCCGCCGGCCGCGAGCAGAAGGACAAGAAGATTGGCGACGCGAGCCGCGTCCTCGTCCTTGCCGCCACAAATATGCCCTGGGACATCGACGAGGCAGCCCGTCGCCGCTTCGTCCGGAGACAGTACATCCCCCTCCCCGAACAACATGTCCGCGAACAGCAACTCCGGAAGTTGTTGAGTCATCAAAATCACGAGTTGACGGATGAGGATATTGAAGTTTTAGTCCAAGTCACGGAGGGTAAGCATTCCTCCCTGTCCCCCGGCTTGTTCCAACTCCAGTCTCCACGAACGAATATTTATTCAATGCATGCTAACACCATACCATCAGGTTTCTCCGGCTCCGACATGACCGCCTTGGCCAAAGACGCCGCCATGGGCCCGCTGCGCAACCTGGGCGAGGCATTATTGCACACGCCGATGGATCAGATCCGCCCGATCCGGTTCCAGGATTTCGAGGCGAGTTTGTTATCGATTCGTCCGAGTGTGAGCAAAGAAGGGTTACAAGAGTATGAGGAGTGGGCGAGACAATTCGGCGAGAGGGGCGGATAATCCGAGGACGGTTGGTCTTTTGATTTCCAAATGTACACTTGAATCTGTTCTGGGTTTTACGGGCTGGGGAACACGGACTGGGAGTTCTTTCCCCCTAAATATACTTACTCTGTTTTGGTTCTTGTTGCTGGTGTACTCACTCAATCTTGAGATAAAAGGCGCTCCCTTTCTTTCTTTCTTTCCTCAGCCTTTTGTGAGTTTGTTTGTTCAAATGGGTTGTTGGTTGTTGGTTGATGGGATGGGATACTGGGAGCAGGATATTCAGGGCTGGGGGAGTACGGATGGTATGGTCTGGTTTGTTTCTTTTTTCTTTGAGGGGGGGGGTCTGGTTTCGTTGGCTTGTTTGTTCATTCCCATCACAGGAATCACGATCTCTGTCTATAGGTAGTGGTCTGTAAAATTGTGCAATTGTACGGAACAGCTGGAGGTCTATAAGGAAACTATTGTTTTTTAGTTTAGGTCTAGGTATAGGTATAGGTAGATGATGATAATCAAGGTCTGGTAGTGATTATGGTCAGTCAGTACTGTCCAATCAAGGGTTGTTGGTGTGAGTGTTTCGATAATCTGGTTTGTCCCTTTGTTTCCCCCTCTTTGCTATGTAGGTAAGTGTGTATGATGTCTCGGTGTCTAATGTTATCTTACTGGGCAAAGACAGCAGCACCCAGACATCTACACATACATACATACATACATACATACATACATACATTGTAGTGTAGAATGGATTTCCCTTTCACCATCACAGGAGATCTTTAGACAATATCTTCTGGGGTTGACGAGGTTGATCATAATTTACCGGTCGAGCGGGCGGCCGGGGGAATCGGGGAGCTGAGATCAAAGGTAAAGTGACTACTACGAAGCGATTGTGGAGGCAAGGTCTTTTTTTTGTGCCTGAGGTATGGCACTGCACCGCCCCCTCCCCGCTCCCCTCCCAGTTTCCTACTACAATGACCGGATAAGACATTTGGTGGGCCTGGAGAGTGGTGTACATATATGTCCATAGGGAAAGTACGGTACGGTACGTCGTCAAGTTCGCGGAATACATACCATCAAAAAGCGTGGACAGAGGGTAGAAACTCGGCATGGAGGGAACTGCTTCACCCTCCTCCCTTGGTCTTGATTCCGAGAGAAAAAAAAAAAAAAAAAAAAAAAAAAAAACAAATAAAAAAGCATTCATTGTATGTATAGCAACTTAACTTCGAAGGTTCACAATGATAGTAATAATGACAAGAAGAAACCTTTGGTATCCGACTACGATGACTCTTAAGATCAGCTATAAAAGAAGGGGATGAGAAGGGGGAGAAAAGATAAGGAAACAAGAGAAGGCAGATAATAACAAACATCAAAGGAGAAAAAAAGCCCGGGAGACAAACGGGCTTAAGATATCAGTACCAGGATTAATTCCAGTCCCCCACAACTAACTCATTTCACCCGTGACGCTACCCTTCTACAGATCTATCAAACTGCCACCCTGCTGAGGTTGTTGATGATATGTCTGTTGTCCGCCCCAAGGGTTGCTAGCCGGCTGCGCAAATCCCGTCTGCTGTGGAACAAACTGCTGCTGCGGCTGGTTGAAGAAAGGATTGTTGCCCGTCCGCGTGGCCCGGAGCTTGTCCAATCCCTGTCCTGCCGAGTTGACAAATGTACCCGGGGCCGTGTGCTGGGCGGGAATCCGCAAATCTCCCACATTGCCGAACGTGTCCTGGCCCTCTCCAGAAGCCAAGAGTGCATTCAACTGCGCGCGGTGCGGATCCAGCATCTGAGTCGGGGCGGTCTTTTGCGGTGTGAACGACTGCGGAGGCGCAGCAAGCGACTGGGGCTGTGCCTGGTAGTTCGCGATCGGATTGGGCGAGGAAAATTGGTTGGTGGCCTTCTCTTCTGCCAGGGTATTCAACGAGGGAGGTCCAGTCATAGCAGGCCGGCTCTGGAACTGCTGAGTACGTGGTGCAAAGGGATTGTTCGATCCAGTCGGCATGGGCTTCAAAGCGTCCGCTGGCTGTGGGCTAGCCCAAGGGTTATTTGTACCCGCCGACAAAAAGTTGTCCTGGGATTGCTGGAATTGCTGCGGCTGCTGTTGCTGTTGCTGTTGCTGCTGGGAGAACGCGTCCCCTCCCCAGGGGTTGTTGACATTGAACGCTGTGTGCTGTGGCTGTAGGGTGGCCTGCGGCTGCAGATAGTTGCTTTGCGCCTGGCCGTACTGGTTTTGATCGTATGGATTCGGCTGCGTCTGAAATCCGTTGTTATATCCATTAGGCATACCGGTCATCTGACTCTGGAAGCCAGTTGGCTGGGCATATTGGTTGTTTAGATAACCAGTCGTCAGAGGTTGTTGAGGGTTGATAGGATTGCCGAACCAGTCGACCGCGCTCTGTTGCTGATATCCCTGGTTGTATCCGGTGGGTTGGGGCTGGGCGACTTGCGTAGGGGTATCATCGAACAACGAATGAGCATTGCTCTCCTCCAACTCCCGCTTGCGCAGCTCTTCTTCTTCCTTGCTCAGCTTGATTGCCTTGGCCAGATCCTCGTCGTCTTCAGCCGACGCCGCTTCCCTGGCCCGGCGCTTGCGTTCTTCCTCGGCTTCATACTTGCTCGCCTCGATTGCCAGGCGGTACTCGGCATCGTCATCCTCGTTTGTCGTGCGGCGACGCTCGCGACGCTGGCGAGGCTCGGGCGTGTAGCCTCCTTGGTGGTCATCCAGCCCGCTCACTCGGGACTTCCAGAGCTTTCGGTCGGAGCGCTCGCTGCGCAAACGGTCCTCATCCAGAACGAGGGAGGTGAGTTCCTTGGCGGCCACGCGGACTGTAGACAGCAGATATTAGCCCCAGACATGACGTAAATCACCCCAGCCACCGCATTTTAGCTTACCGTTCTGCCCAACATCGCGTCCATCTTCGTCTACGTACTGGAACTCGCGCAAAGTTTTGATGATGTAAACATTTTTGCGGGCCCATGTCACCACTAATTCGGAACCTTCGTGCAGGCAGTAATCCAAGACTTTCAATGACTTGAGAACGTGGCGCCAGTTTTTGCCTTTATCGTTCAAACGCTTATCCAACATGTCCATAATCTCGTAGAAATCGGTGGGGCTATAGGGTTGCACAAGGAGGGTCAGTGTGATTCGTGGGACGATGCAGACCACGAAGGACGCGGGGTAGCCTACCTGCTAAAGGTCAAGGCGGCGATTTCGGCCATCTCGGTACCAGTCGGTCCCCAAGGATCATTACTCGTAGCTGCATTGGAAAGAGAGAACGAGCCGTTAGCTTAAAATGACCATGGACTCATTCAATGGAGAGTAAACTGAGATATGAGAGGGTTCATGGATTGCCCAGCGGTCACAACGATCAGGAGAGCGTCTCGTAGGCTGCAGCCGGTTGGAGGCACGACACGCGGGAAGTACCAAGTCAACGTACCATTTCGGACCTTAACCTGCACGGAGGAATAACCCTTGGTGACATTTTTCACACTGCGCACGACTTTGGACATGGTGGCGGTATCTGGGCGTATGTATGAGACAAGTGAGGATAGACTAGGCGACCCTTTCCGCCTTTAGCTTGCGTAAGAGGGGGAGAATTGGGAGGGAGGAGGGAGGCTGGGAGTGAGTGAGGCGAACAAGGCGATCGCGCAGAAGTCGGGGTGGGAATGACGTTCAGGAGGATGAAGCGATTGCGATGGGGAGGTAGAACCAGTCCGACTCTCCTTATCGCGCTTGATTTGCTTAGAACGGGGGGGAAAGGCGTATGTAAGCCGGGTTCTGAATTGTCACTTGCTGGCCGTGAGGATGCAATCTAGATGGTTTCGGGGGCAACAGGAGATTGCAAGTGCTTATTGAAAAGACAAGTTGATTCTTTCGATAGGAGTTCAAAGAAGAGAGAAGGTGTGTGAGGAAACGAGGAAGAGTGCGGAGGAGAAGAGGAGGAGGACGAGGCAGAGGACGAGGCAGCAAGAAAGAGAGAGAGAGGGAGAGTTCGGGCAAATTAAAGGTTGGGTGCCACCGGAAGAGCGTTCAGTCCCGGCCAAGTTCTCAAGATCACCCCTCAAAATGCTCCTGAAATGGCGGAAATTGTGGCTCGAGCTATGCTAGAATGCAATGCGCTCGTGTCAATGCAACGAAAATATCTTCCACGCCTGCAGCTGTGTTGCAATATCTGATCTCTGATCTGCCTTCTCGGGCCTTCATTCACTTCCCTCGGGCAGCGGGCGAGTCGAATAGGGGCACCAGAACAATGTACGAGGACCAAGAGGGAACTGCCGACCGGTTTAGTCAGTTAAGCATGTTACAACAGGATAGAATGCAATAAAGTGAGGGAAGTCGTAGAGACTGAAGGAATTTTGGCACTCAAACATCGGAGGGGAGACAGACTGAGGTGATTCAAGTGAACTACGGAGGTCTCCGTAATTGATTGTGGAGCGATGATGGTGTCATGCCTTTCTCTGAACTATCCTCTTAGTGTCTTCGACTATTTATTACGAATGGGAATATCAGAAGATGACCCTATCGTTCAATGCATCAATTGCATGGATGGATCTCTTGACGTCAATCGGTTCTGTTCCCCCCGCGTGTCTCCCTTTCCAACACCAGACCCTCGAGTATTCTACATCTATGCATAGTATGTGCATATGCACATCCATAACGAAAACCTGAAGGATTCAAAGCACGCTTCCTAGACATCCGACTCGTGCCTCTCAACCGGGACTCTAGGTTTAATTCGATATCGTTGTCTACTCCGTAAGCGCCTGGCCAGCCTCTCTTGCATCGACGTCATCGCCAGGGCAGCCCGTCTTCCTGCAGATCGAGCCACCTTCGGCTTCATCCCAAACTGTCCCTCAACCTTATCCACTTTCAATGAATGTCTCAATCACATCTTGTACCTAGAAAGAACATCAGAGATTTCTGCGAACAAACACGAGACTTGCAGGCAGCGTTGTCGGCTATGACTTCTTCTATCACCGCGGAGCCACTACTAATAGATATCACCGGTTCTGAACTGGGAGTATGGACAATACATGGCTACCAACTATCGACTATTCACGGTTCGTCTCAAAATCTGAGGTCCTCTAGTAATCTGATGAAGCGCAAGGGAGGAGATACAAGAACATGGCAGAGACTAGGACTAGAAACCATGAGAGGATAAAGAAGCAGCGCAATTCTAGGATTTTGGCTCCGCCTCCATGCTGAGATATTTGGCCTCCGCACCCTTAATGCAAGCGATGTTCGCCCCCAGCTTGTTCAGCGTCTCCACGTATTCATCGTACGGGTCCGAGTCGAACACAATGCCTCCTCCCGCCTGCAAATAGGCCACTCCGTCCTTGACCATCATTGTCCGCAGCGCAATGCACGTGTCCATCGCGCCCGGGACTTCCGCCGTGCCCTCTGCAGTGGCGATGTTATAGCCGAAGTAGCCCACCGCGCCCGCATACACACCACGCTTCTCCCCCTCCAACTCGGCGATCAGCTGCATTGCTCGCACCTTGGGCGCCCCAGATACCGTTCCTGCGGGGAAGATCGACCGGAACGCATCAAACCGCGTCTTCTCCGGCCGCAGGACCCCTGACACCTGCGACACCAGATGCTGCACGTGCGAGAACCGCTCCACCACCATCAACCGATCCACCTGTGTCGTCGTCGGGTCGCATACTCGATTCACGTCGTTGCGGGCCAGATCCACCAGCATCACGTGCTCCGCGCGATCCTTCAGACTGCTACGCAACTCGGTGGCCAGTGCCTCATCTTCCTCGGGCGTCCGGCCGCGCTTCACGGTACCGGCGATGGGGTGTGTGATGATGCGGCCCTTCTCCTCCTTAACCAGCAATTCCGGACTGGCACCTACCAGCTGGAAGTCTTCACAGTCGATGTAGAAGAGGTATGGTGATGGGTTGACCGTGCGCAGGTGTCGGAAGAGGTTGAAGGGGTGGAGGGAGGTCGGGCGGGACAACCGCTGCGAGGGTACCGTCTGGAAGATGTCACCCTTGGAGATGTGCTCCTTGAGGCGGGTAACATGACGCTCGTAGCCCTCGCGTCCGATGTTCGACGTGTATTCCTGGTTTTGTAAAATGGGACCCTGGGGGGGGAGTGGGTAGTCAGGGCGTAGTAGGGTCGCAACGATGCGCTGGAGGGCCTCCTGGCCCTTGCGATATTCCGCCTCAAGCTCCGTCTTGCTGGTGGGAATCGGAATGTATGTAATAACCTTGACCACTTGGAAGAAGTGATCGAAGGCGACGATAGTGTCGAACAGCATGAACAGCGATTCAGGAATACCCAGCACATCCTTCATGGGGCGGGCCGTCTTAGGTTCGAAATACCGCACACAGTCATAACCGACATAGCCGATAGCACCTCCGGTCAGAGGAGGAAGAGTCAAACCGGGTACTGTGGCAACGCGAAAACCCGACAACTCCTCCTCTAGGATAGGCAACGGATCACACTCGGAGCCATGACCGGCGCCAGTCTTGAGAACTTTGCGGGGATCTGCATATCGAGGAGCGAAAAAAAAAAAAGAAGAGATCAGTCACGGGCTCTTGTTCTCCGACCCGGGGTAGGCTGGCTAGCGAGGTATTGCATACCGGCTCCAACGAAACTGTATCTCCCGATAGTCTCTGTGGTAGCAGCACTCTCATAGAGAAACGATAATTTCGATCTAGGCCGGTCGGTCAGCGCGCATGCTCAGCGGCGATGGTCGCGGGGCGGCAAATGACTCACTTCTCTGCGATCTTCAAATATGCTAGGGTGGGTGTCAAAAGGTCGGCGGAGATGGAGGTTACCAAGGGTAGGAGGTTAGGAGCGAACTTGGAGTCTCGGACGGAGTCAATAACCTCGCCTGCAGTCTCGAGAGACGGCACAATCGTGATCTAAGGGAGTGTCGAAGAAAGTATCAGCATACAGCCACTTTCGCACCAATCTGGTTCGAAAATTCTCGTCGAACGCAATGAATATGTAAAGCAGCCAACAGAAACTGGATAAGCACTTACAGGCGGCACCATCTCTATTATTGAGTTGTGCTGTGCGGGCAGGGAGGGAGCAGGGCGAAGGGTGAGGGGAAGTTTGCGAGCGGGAAGGATAATCGGAAAGAGACCAGCCCCGGAAGTAACCCGGAGATGGAGGAGATGTTTGCTGGAAGGCGGAGCAACGCGGGCATGCAATGGCCGGGAAATTCCAATTGGAGAGACAGACAAATGCGCACAATGGAAAAGAAGAAGTAAGGAATGAAGAAATGGGACCACTGGGAAGGAGATGCGGAGGATCACAGTAACAAAAAAGGCTTGTAGTTTCTACGGAGTACTGCGTACAGTATTTAGTACTCCGTAGTTCCAGCTGAATTGAGTGATACCATCCGGACTGGTGGAATTTCTGCCTCGATTGACTGGCTGGCAGGCCACATCACCCAACCGGGACTAGCGTCACCAGCCTGATAAGCGTTACTAAGTTAAAAACTAAATCAGCAGTAAGTTCCTTAACTTAGTTAGCAAGTAATAAACAAAGCTACCTTAAGTTATTGACAGCTCTGAATTGTCAACAATCCCCATTCTTTCCATTCTCCTGCAATTGACCAAAACAAGGGCCCAGTGCCCACCAATGCTAGCAAACGATCGAAATCAACCTTCTGTTGTTAGCCCAGGATATCTATACGCTCTGTTGTCTGCCTATCAATCTTCCCCATCACCCTGTGCAACTATTCAAGCTTCTCACCGGTTCACCGGTTGCTGTGGTTTTTCTTGTGGACGGCACCTCGTATCATTTCCAACGTAGAACGTGAGTTGTTGCTTGACAGTCACCCATTGAAGCCTGGTTTTGGGTATCACTGCGCTTGGATCTGGAAACGCATCCGTTAGGTACCGTACCTCTCTCTGGTTTTGTTTTCCTGTCGCAACTACTCAGCTGCCCTGCAGCCTGCGCACGGGCGTGCAGCACACGTTCGTTATCGGCCCCCCTTGCACTACCCTCAGATCCCATGCTCATAGGTCTCACATTTCTAGAGACATCAGCCAGAGGGAAGAAGAGTTCGCATTAGAACAGGATTAAAGCCAGACCTATCTTAACGCTCCATGGAACATTCCACACCTTACTCACAACCCTCGCCGCCGTCCTCGGTGGCAGACCAGACCTGGGATAAAGCTCTCATAGAGGACCCCGCCTACGCTTCCCAAATCCTCGATGATGAGATAAATGATGCCAGCTCTTTGCCAGCACGTCTCATTCGACTGGCACGCCTTGTGTCCGAAAGCAACTTGAGACCTCTAACAGACTCTACCACACTACACCAATACGTCGAAAAGATAGAAGACCTGCTCGATCCACGTCCGGCCTTGTCACAGGAAATCGCGCGTTGTCGTCCGCGTGCCTCATCCCGACCACCCAGCCCGGAAAGCTCTCCACGAAGCCCACATATAAATTCTCGGGGCATACCATTACCGTCCACAGCAGATCCCGTCGCTTCTGTCCAGGAAATATCGCATTCCCAGCTCAAGAGTCTACTCGGCGAAATTACAACGATGAAGGCAGAATTCAGTGAACGCCGTAAAGAGTCGCTTGAGATCCACAGCTTGCTCATTCAAGAGCGCCAGGCGCTGAACCGGAGATTGTCAGAGCTAGATGAGGAGATACATGAGCTGTGAGTGGCCCCGGTCTGGGTTCATCTGTTGCACTGCCGTCGTTATCATACTAATCCCGACGCTAGCCGTAATGATATTCTCGAAGATTCAGCGGAACGAGAGGCCATGCAAGGAACGATCAACGGGCTGGAGATTTGGTTGGATGACTGGCATAAGCACCACATGTTAGCCGTGGCGGAGAGACCCACCATGAAATATCAACGAAAGAGTCAACGGCGCTGGACAAGGTGTTCCAAGGAAGAACAATATAGTACCGACGGTGATGTGCTTTTTGAGGGTATCGCAGCATGGATGAGGGGCTGGAAGGACGTCGAGGAGGGTTTCCAGAACCGACAGAGAGGTCGCCACCTGAGAAGGGAACAAAGACGAAAAGAACAAATGCAAAAGGCAGAAGGACCGTTCCTAAAGAAGGGTGAATTGATGGGATTAGGGCTCACTGCTCTAGAGGAAATGGACAATAAATTGGGAAACTAAGCTCCTGCGATGCTACCCAGAGCAGAGATGCCAGAGGTTCTGAGGGAGTTGTTGCCCCACAAAGCTGAAACCAGGCGGCGCGCACTTGCGCCGGATCATTCGACCAAAAAACAAATGGTACAAAGCGAGGAAAAGAAATGAAGCCACAAGAGCCACCGTTATCATCCCGCAAAATCGCCAACCGCCGCTTTTGCTGCCTGAAATCCAACCTGCGCCGTTTATCTAATCCACGTGTTTAGCGAATCAAAAACTATCATTATGTAGTATAGCTGTGAGGATGTAATCTGTAGACGTGATAGGTGCTTTCCCGGGACTGCGCTTCCACCTGGTACATCGGGGCCTGCCGAGGACCAAGGAGCGCAAAGACGGAGGCTCGTCTGAGGCGAAAATGCATGGTGCTGCAGCTAGTTCCTGAGCCCAGTATGCCTTCAACACCGTTCAAGTAGATGGACACTGTATGTGTCGAAAGTTCATCGACCGTGTTCTTCTTGAAAAATGATGTCGTAATATCCTGAAATATGGTGGCGTTGACTCTCATTCGACGACGTTTGATCATTCAGCGCTGTAAGTTGACAATGGCCAACTTTTTAAATCAGAGTCAGTATGCTAGGCTACTGAGGCTTCAATGGGACATACCTGGTTACCAAATCCAAAAGCAAGTCTTTTCCCGTCTGTATCCCACGCCAGAGAACGATCCGGGGCCGGCTCCGTGGTTCCATTGTGCCCATTCACAAGCCCACTTGGTTCATGGTTCCTTTTCCGCTCTTCACTAGCTGGAGCTTTCCAAGCGGCCATCGGGGTTCCGCCCCGTTGCGCATTCCAAATGAACAAGTTGTCCTTGCTAGCAGCAGCAAGGGCGTAGCTATCGGGTGAAAAACTAGCAGCCAAAGCGGGCGATGATGGGCCAAGGGAGAGCTGATGAATGCAGTCGAAATGTTTCGACTCCAGATTGATCTGCCAGACTTTCACCGTATCGTCCGTTGAAGATGAGGCCACGAAAAGATTTTGAGCATCTGATGATTGTTCTCTGTTGGGCTTGATTTCAATTGCAGTGATTTCGCCTTCATGGGCATTCTCTAGGTGCAAATCGTGGGTCGGTACCCAAAGCGCGGCACTGGCGGAGGATGCGGCAACAGCCACGGGTGAAGAGCCAACGCTAGCACAGCGGATGAAAGACCACACCCTCTCAGGGTTGCTCGAGGCAAAAGTCTTCGAGATATGCACGCTCGAGTCCACATCACACTGATAGACAGTCCCAGGACCGCAAGCATAGACTTGGCTGCTTCCTAGCCAGCACAGATCCAGTACAGTTCCATCTATGACCTGCGGGGAGGGGAACTCGTCCGGACGTAGGGAGTCGTCCCACAGAGCGAGTTCGGATATTCGACTGTCGGAAGCAACCACAATCAATTTCGAACCACTGTCGGCCCAATGTAAGCCAGTAATCATCCGTGGTACCTCTGGGAGCAGATCCACGGCGTTGCCGAAAACATCATACATCGTGATCGAGCCTCTCATATCATTATAGGTCGCTACAGCGAGCTTGTGCCCATTAGGTTCCCACGAGACTGCTGAGACACAGGTACGGTCGCCATTGTTCTCGATAAGCTTCTCCTGAACGGGCGGCGCGGTCGACGATAATCGCCATAGGGTACAGAATGAATCACCCGCGGCAACAACCACGGTGGGATCGTTGGGACGCCACAGGGTTCTCGTCACGTGATCAGCACCAGCCACCTCCAGCAAGGCGGTGTCGGGTCCCAGGTCGGCCGCCTTGGCGGGGGTGATCTGGACGCCAACGCTGTGACCGGTTGTCAGGGTAAAGGTTGGCGGCGGCGGCGGTGGTGGTGGTGCGGGTGGTTCCTGGTCCTGCAATTCCGGTCGAATGCCCACCATGCTCACATCGCCATCTCCATCCACGGTGACTTCGGCTGTGAATGGCAAATTTTCGACGGCCGCTGCAGCTTTGACCTCTGGATGTGTGACGCCATTGGAATCTACTTCCATCGGCCCCTCGTCTCCATTAGCTTCTGAGCGGTCGCTTTTGCGGGTTTTCTTGACGTTAGTAGGGGTGGGCTGGGCGGCGGCGGCAGCCTCGGCCGTCAAATGACCGTTGGTCACGCTGTCGCCGCCTTCGCGCGCAACAACTTTGCTCGCGGGCGAGACAGGCGCCTGGTCTGTGCCAACCGCTACCTCCCCGGGGCCATGTTGCACTTTTGACGTCTCCTGCTCCAATGGAGCTGGCCCGAAGAAATAACTTGATGGCGTGAATGATGTAGCATTTCCTTCCTATGTAGCGAATTAGACTTCAGGCGACACTTCATTTTCACATCTCACGTGAGAGTAGGCCAAAAAATCAGATAACAAGAAGGATGGGTACTTCCAACAACGGTAGGGGGATAGCGTTCATACCCGATCAATCGAATGTTCCAGTTCGTAATACTGTAGACCCTTTTGTACTAAGGAGACAAGAGCATGGGTTTTGATGTATGGGGCGAATGGCAAACTCTGCGGGTCATGATTCCACGCGCGTTGCAGTTGGATTGCGGCCTCGCCATGTCCTATAAACAAAAGTCAACAAGATAAGGACAGATTGGACATTCATTAAATCACAAGGCCAGCATGATTTTACCTGATTCTTGGAGATATCTATCATCAAGTCAGCATCGAATGCAACGGGGCGAAGGACAGGGGAGTGCAGAGGTGAAACGGGAACAAGGGTAGAGCCAGGTAACGAGATTGGCTTCACAAGGAAGTTGATACATACCTCCATATTAGGTAATTGACATGATGTGATGTAAGATCAGGGTGTGCCATTGTTACATGTATGACAGCTAGTAATATGAAGGGCCCGCTAGCATGCCAGGAATGAAAGGCTTCTCCCACGAGACAGACGAGCAATGGCGCGAGGTTGTAGGAATAGGATGAAGCTTGGAAACAAAAGGTGTGAAAGCTCCGGGGATGTCGACTGAATAAGCACTGTGGAGCAAATTCTTCGTGCTAAGAATTCTTGAAGCTGGGTAGCTTTTCTGGAGAAGAGGGGAGAATGAGACGGGTAAAGACGCAGCCAAGGCTGTGACAAGGGAGCAGAACAGTATGCGAAGGGGGGGAAGGTTAAAGATGCAGGACCTGGACGCAGGCCTCAAATGTCAAATGAAAAAAAGGAACGAGAGGATCACGAAGAGTGCAGGTTACCGGGGAACATTCTACAAGCTCCCTTCGGAAATTTGGTTTGAGTGAAAGAGAGGGATTTCTCTGACAGAAGCAAGAATTGGAGGTAAGTTGAAAGGGAAAGGTGAAGAACGAATAATATCGGGACGGGAGGAAATCGACACCAACGTGTGGCTTGACGATGGCAGACCCGCTAGCGAAATGCAACGACCGGAGAAGCAGCAACCAAGTGTTTGGCAGGAGGAGGGAGAGTAGAGGCGCGGAGGGGAGGAGGGGGAGAAGGAGGGGGAGGCAAAAGACAGAAGAATCACAAGAGTCGTTTAGTTAAGAGAGAGAGAGGGACAGAGAGGGTCAGTGGAGAAAGAACTGTAGAAAGTAGAAATAGAAATCGAGATGATGGGAAGAAAATACTTGGGGGAAGGGTGGAATTGGTGGGTGAATTAGCAGTGGACAATCTCTAAGGGAGTTTTTTGATTTGAATTGACTTGATGGCCAGACGGGGACGGATGTGGAAGTCAGTACCCTTATTTTCGGGGCAGCAGCAGCAGCAACAGCCGTAGCAGCAGCAGCAGCAGCAATAAGACTAAGACCAGGTACGGTAAGTTATGTGGGTAGAGTTTGGGAAGTGTAGGCCGGACACTCAGACGATCCTGGGCTCTTAGTCTGGAGACACTACCTAGACAGTAGATGCACTTTCCAGTTAGTTAGTTAGTCACTCAGACTTCAGTTGTTGATGCGGACTTCAGCTGGGACAAGTTCGGGGGATGGATTGGGGGAGGGAAGAGCCTTGACTCGTTGTGGCGTTTCTGGGCCACACGGTTTAGCGTGCAGTTCATCATCAAATTGATCAAATTGACGGCCAGTGGATCGGCCTGGCCACTGGTCCTGTCTGGGACTAGTGCAAACGGGGGCCCGAGTCTCTGTCGGTATTTTCTGGTTGGTTACCTTATTCTGATCAGGTCGACTGCATAGGTTTCCATGGAGCATCACTTCTTGCACACATGGTTTAAGAGCCTTTTGAGACACTAAGATTCTGTACTGGAGAGAGGAAAACCCCTCCTTTTCATCGCCGTCCATAGCCGTCCAACGCCATCCATCCCAATCCATCTCCAGCCATCCCCAGTGTCAGCCTTATTGCTCAGGCTCAACCGCGGGCGATTCGAGCGTATCCCGCAGGAAATTGTTAGTCGATCTGGATCTTGATCCGGTCCATCCTCTTGCTGGGCTGGCTGTCGATCCGTTCGCTGTACATACACAGAACATCATCCTTCGGTGTATGCATGCATGCATTTTGAACTACTTAGAAGAAGCCTCCCCACTGCCAAAAAATCAAATATAAATGTGCTTTGTGTCACCTCCTGTCTCTTGTCAAGTCTAGTCTTTGCATGGATAACATGCCCAGTAGACGAACTGGTAGCTGGGTCTAGTCTTCGAAGGACGAAGTTGTGCCCCCACCGCCCTGCAATGGACCCCATCAGCCTATAAAACGATGCTAAAGGGGAAGGACAGAGCACATGTCACATTATGATCCGATTTCTGCTACTCCTCATAGACCCAGGGCAGAGCTGGTTGTCACCACGATGCGTATCCCACCATGATTCTCTTAGGTCACGCGAGGGATTCTGGCACACCTTGGTATTTACTTGTCTTCCACATCCACAGGTTCGCGTTTCTCTATGCCTACTAGTAGTATCTATGGCGTACTAATATTTACCCAGAGTGTCTACCCAGTCCCTACTCCACCATATGATAAGGTTGGATAGTTGGAAAAGGTCCAAGCACCGCATATAAGGACGAAACTCCCATTCTAAGGGTCATGCCAGGTGGCCAATCAGATAGGGTCGATCATGTATCCTGGCAGCTTATCCTAAAAAGGACTCGTTTCGGGACTCCCGCCTGGTGTTCTTCGGGACCTTCTCCAAGCACTTCGTTTGGTCCTTCATCCACTTTTCTCCCTCCAGCTCCTCACAACTCTCCCCCCCCCCACCCCAAGCTGGGCTCAATCTATTAGCCTGCGGTTTAACAGCCGCAAGAGCTTTTTTCACTCCATCATTCACCATGGCTCTGCGAGTGAACATCCCACCGGCGACCCGAATCTGCCTTATTAGTCTCTTAACCCTCTCCTTGCTGTACAACATCGCCCGATGGCGCCAAATTGACACCACGGGGGGCACACCGACCTTCACCCCCATCGTACCCTACCTCACCCTAGTGCCTTCCTATATCATTTACTATCCGTGGACTCTGGTTACTGCGACATTTGTGGAGCAGAACATATTTACCGTTCTTTTGAACGCCGCCACCCTTTTCTACGGCGGCAAGTACCTGGAGCGCGCATGGGGCTCCCGCGAGTTTGCCAAATTCATTCTCACGATCGCGGTGATCCCCAATGTGGTCACCGTGCCCATCTATCTCCTAGGCACTGCGCTGAGCAGCAGTAGCACCGGCAGCGGGTACGCTCCGTTTACTCCCCGCGAATGCACAACTTCGTGCGCGTTCCCTGCTGACATGCTGGCTTCAAGCGTCACCCAGATTTGCGGTGGCATCTCGATCCAAGCGTCCTTCCTTGTCGCCTTCAAGCAGCTTGTCCCCGAACACACCGTCACCATCTTCAAGGGCTTGGTGAAGATGCGGGTCAAGCACTTCCCCGCCCTCTTCCTCCTCCTGAACACGATTAGCGGTCTTGTGGTCGGCACCCGGGTCGCCGCACTCCTCTCCTGGCTCGGACTCGTGACGAGTTGGACTTACCTGCGCTTCTGCAAGCGCCAGCCCGACCTGACCGGTACTTCAACCGACGGCTTAGGCATTAAGGGCGACGCCAGCGAGACCTTCGCCTTCGCCTGCCTGTTCCCCGACCTCCTCCAGCCGCCCATCGCGTTTATCTCCGACCAGGTCTATGCAGTTATGGTCGCGCTGAAGATCTGCACGCCCTTCTCCGAAGAGGATATCGCCTCCGGCAATCAGCAGGTTCTCGCCCGTGGTGAAGCCGGTCTTCCCAGCCTTCTGTCGAACCAGCGAGGGGGAAGAGCCATGGCCAAGCGGGAGGAGGCTGAGCGACGACGCGCTCTGGCTCTCAAGGCCCTGGACCAGAGGCTGCAAGCCGCAGCAGCAGCGAGAGCAGTCCCGACGACTCTGAACCAGCCCGGCGCTGCCGCTCATAATCAGACGCCGACCCCGACAGTAGCAGCTGGCCAGGCGATGCTGGGCGAAATCAGCTATACTCCGGATCACGCATGATGCAGAACATTCCCTGCACTTCTTACTTCTCATGCTTCCGGAGATATTCTTCAAAGGACATCATCGTTGTGCTGTAGAAGGCTGGTCACGGCTATCGATCCCTTATTTTTTTTTTTTTTTTTTTTTTTTTTTTTGCATTCTTAACTGGGACTCGCTTCTTGTCTCCTCACTTATGGTGACTTATAGGCCTTGCGTGTGGCGTGGAGTTTGTGTTATTGGGGTGTGAGTCCATATTTTTCTGACCGCTGTATATTTCCATGTTATGGTTTCTGTTGAACATGTGATGAATGCATCACATGGCCGGGATTAGATAAGTTCGACTGGTTCTTATTCAGTTGACATGATTTATGGCCATGGCCAACTGTGCCCAGATCCTACATTGTGGACAGGCTATACAAAATTTGACCCTCTATCAATATATGAATAATCGGTAACATACTAGATAATGCAGAAGAAAAATGCGTACAAATGGAACCCAAAGGTGCAGTTTCCCACCGAGGAGTTTGTAGTATTCTCGAAACAAACCACATAATCGAACAAGAGTATAGGAAATATGAAACAGGTAAAATGCTAGTATGCTACAAGTGACCATAACCAAGTCGTAAAACCCCACAAACCCCAAACTGTAAACCCCGTTTTCGAGCAGCGGATGTGACAATCTATGCAGGGACAAACACACAACCAGACGAGAGAGGGGTGCCGAACGAGACGAAGGGAAGGAGATGAAACAAGAAGAGGAGACGCGCAACATCCCAAATAGGCTAGATGATGATAGAGACCAGGGACTTGTTTCTTTAGAGCTGCTTCAACTTCTCAATCTCACCTCTAGCCTCTTGCAACATGCGCTCTTGGTCCTTCTTCTTCTGCCGCATGGTAGCTATCCGGACCCGATCATGCTCGGCTTTGACCTTCATCTGCTCCAGCTTGCGCAGCTCGGTCTTCTCGGCCTCCGTCGCGGCGATCTCCGTGGCGTTCGTCAAATTCTTGAGCTTGCTCCAGATCTCGGGATAGGCGAGGCCCTTGACGTCCAGGACGGCGACCTGCTCGTTGTCGGCCGGGGCCGGGGCATGGGTGTCCTTGAGGTCGGCGGCGGCGATCATGGAGGCGGTCTTGCTGGCCTGTTGGGCGAAGTAAACGCTCAGGGCGGCGGGCCCCTCTTGGTCTGTCGTCTGGCGGACCGTCATCGGGATGCCCGGGTTGTGGTACTTGAGCCGCGGGAGGCAGTTGCGCCAGAAATGCCGCGCGCCTTGGTGGCCGCCATAGATCTTGCGGGCATAGGTCAGGTGGAGGCGGGTGATGGCGGGGAATTCCGGTGTCGCAGAGGAGGGCGCGGGGAAGACGGCGGCTCCGGTTCCAACGCGGACATTGAGAATCTATCAGGACGGGTTTTGCAAGCGTTAGCCTTCTATGGGTTCTGATGGGGTTGACGGATTGCTCCCCGGCCGTGTCGGGCGGCATGTTGATGACAATTGATGATAGTTGTTTGGGGTTCAGTCTCGTAGCCAAGGCCAAGAGAGATATCGAATAGGTCTGTACAAGGAGGAAAACCTACCCTCTGTGAAGAGAAGAACTCTAAGTCAGTCTTCCGACTTTGTAGGGACAAGGGGGACGGTGGATGGTTGACTTACAGATTTCAGCTTCCGCATCCGCTTGAAAACATTGACCATTGTGACGGAAGTGGCTGGCAAGCTCCCTAACTCGTATTCGGAAAAGAGACAAGAGGCTATGTTCAGCGCAGTCCCGGCAGCGCTTGGTTGTAGACTGTTTGCGAGAGTTCAGGGCACTTTGCTGCTGGTTGGAAGCTTCCGCATTATGATTTTTGGGCGGAAGGAAATGCAACCGATATCAATCACGTGATCTCGTGCGATACTGCCGGGCGCCAGAACCATCAGTGCATGTGCTTGAGGAGACCGTTAGAGTAGGAACTTTTACATGGATAGAGGCTGCCAGTCGGTCAGGCTAGCTTTGACCTGGGTAGAATCATGGTGGTGACTACATGTAATCTGCCTTTCTCCATCAAGCATTTCTCCGGCTTAACCACTTTATCTGGGCTGGACAAACACCATAGTATGATTGGACCACAAAGATCTGATGCTTGTGAGTCACATCTGCACTCCATTGCGTCAACTTGTAACGTATAAGAGTAACTCTGATCATGAGATTACTCCATATATGAGCGATAGAAGGCAATCTCAAGGCTTCAGTGTGAATGCGTACTGTCGATAAGTTGCTCTATAGCCCAGTCAGTACAAAGCGGCAGGCGGTGACTCACGGACCGCCTTTTCCCACATACGGAGGAATTCTTTTCGAACCCCGCGGTGATTCAAGACGATCTATAAGACTCCGCTTTTTCATCCTTGCCCCAGGGCTTCTTCATTTTCAGTTTTACGAAAAGAAGATCATTCATCTGGAGCAATGGCAGCCGCCGCTGCATCTGCAGCTGCGCTCGATCAGGGCAACAGCACCAAAAACACCTTGAAGCTGGAAAACGTCCGACTCACCTGCCCCTCTTCCCACCGCAACTGCCCCTCTTTGTCATTCAAGCCGTGCTAACCTCAATTCCGTACTCACAGACCGAGAAGAGAGATACCCTTATTGCTATCGAGAAGAAATACCAGGAGCAATGGAAGAAGAACAAGGTGTTCGAGGTCGATGCGCCCTCCGCCGCTGAGGTGCCTTTTGGCAGTATCTCCGCCGCGGAGCTCCGCGAGAAGCACCCCAAGTTCTTCGGAACTATGGCCTACCCTTACATGAACGGTACCCTGCACGCTGGTCACAGTTTCACTGCCAGTAAGGTCGAGTTCATGACGGGTGTGGCCCGTATGGAGGGCAAACGTGCCCTGTTCCCTCTGGGTTTCCACTGTACCGGTATGCCCATCAAGGCTTGCGCCGACAAGCTCCGCGATGAGGTCCAAAAGTTCGGCCAGAACTTTGAGGGCTACAATGAGGAGAGTGAGCAGGAGCAGGCCGCCGTCGCTGCCCCGACCCAGGAGGTCAAGGCCGAGCAGGCCGAGAAGTTCTCCGGCAAGAAGAGCAAAGCCGCCGCCAAGACTGTCAAGATGAAGTACCAGTTCCAGATCATGTTGGCTATCGGCATTCCTCTTGATGAAATCTATAAGTTCGCCGATGCTGCTTACTGGCTTCAGCACTTCCCCCCTCTCGCTATTCGCGATCTCGACAGCATTGGTGCCGGAATTGATTGGCGTAGACAGTTCGTCACCACCGACGCCAACCCCTACTATGACGCCTTTGTCCGCTGGCAGATGAACCGCCTCCACGAGCTCGGAAAGATCCAGTATGGTAGCCGCTACACCATCTACTCCCCCAAGGATGGACAGCCCTGCATGGACCACGACCGAACTGAGGGTGAGGGTATTGGACCCCAAGAATACACCGCCATGAAGCTGAAAGTTAAGGAGTGGGCTCCTGAGATCGGTGAATTGGTCAAGGGCAAGATTGAAGAGGATGCGAGCGTCTACTTCGTCCCTGCTACTCTTCGCCCCGAGACCATGTATGGTCAGACCTGCTGCTTCCTCGGCCCTAAGATCACCTATGGTCTCTACAAGGTGAAGGAGAAGGAGTACTACGTTGCTACCAAGAGAGCCGCCTGGAACATGGCCTTCCAGGGCACTTTCTTCACCAGCGAAAACTTCCCCAAGTCTCAGGATCAACTGCCTCTTGTCGTCGAGGCCCCCGGATCGGCCTTCGTCGGAACCCTCGTCAACGCGCCCCTTTCTTTCCACACCGAGGGTGTGCGCATTCTGCCCATGGAGGGTGTCTCTGCCACCAAGGGTACTGGTGTCGTCACATCTGTCCCATCTGACAGCCCGGACGACTACGCCACTTTGCTTGACCTTGCCAAGAAGCCCGAGTACTACGGCATCAAGAAGGAGTGGGCCGAGCTCGAGATCTTCCCTCTTATCGATACCCCCACCTACGGAAACCTCACCGCCCCTACTCTGGTCAAGCAGCTGAAGATCAACTCTCCTAAGGATGTTACTCAGCTGGCACAGGCCAAGGAACTCGCCTATGGTGAGGCCTTCTACAAGGGCACCATGCTCGTGGGTGAATTCAAGGGCCAACCCGTCAGCGCTGTGAAGGACAAGATCCGCAAGGCCCTCTATGACAGCGGAGATGCTTTCCCCTTCGCCGACCCTATGGGCAAGGTTGTCAGTCGCAGTGGAGACGACTGTGTTGTTGCTTACCTCGGCCAATGGTTCCTCAACTACGGTGAGAACGACGCCAAATGGCAGCAGGATACTCTCGACCACGTTGTCAACACCCTTAACACCTACTCCAACGAGACTAAGAACGGTTTCGAGAAGAACCTCTCTTGGCTCAACCGCTGGGCTTGCGCCAGAACGTACGGCTTGGGCTCTAAGCTGCCCTGGGACCCTCAGTTCCTTGTGGAGAGTTTGAGTGACTCCACGGTCTACATGGCCTACTACACCATCGCGCACCTCTTGCACGGTGACCGCTATGGTAAGACTCTTGGCTCCCTCAATATCAAGGCGGAGCAGATGATCGACGAGGTCTGGGATTACGTCTTCTGCCGCCGTGAGCTCAGCGACGACCTCATTTCCAAGAGTGGTATCAGCAAGGACGCCCTGCTGCAGCTGCGCAGAGAATTCGAGTACTGGTACCCCTTGGATGTTCGTGTCTCTGGCAAGGATCTTATCCCGAACCACTTGACCTTCTTCCTGTACATCCACGTCGCTCTTTTCCCTCCCGAGTACTGGCCTAAGGGTGTCCGTGCCAACGGTCACTTGCTCCTTAACGGTGAGAAGATGAGTAAGAGTACGGGTAACTTCCTCACCTTGAAGGATGCCGTTGAGAAGTTCGGTGCCGATGCTACCCGTATCGCTTTCGCCGATGCTGGTGATGGTATCGAAGATGCCAACTTCGAGGAGACCGTTGCCAACAGTAACATTCTCCGTCTCCACACCTTGAAGGACTGGATGGAGGAAACTCTCAAGGACGAGAACCTGCGTACCGGCCCCGCCGATGCCTTCTGGGACAAGCTCTTTGACAACGAGCTCAACAGCCTTGCTCGTGAGACCAAGAAGCACTACCAGGAGTAAGCCAACCAAAACCGCTGAAGACTTGTGCGCTGTTCACTAACTTCTTCCAGCACCAACTTCAAGCTCGCTCTGAAGTCCGGCTTGTACGACTTTGTCAGCGCCCGTGACTACTACCGTGAGGCGACCACCACCTCCGGTGTCGGTCTACACCGCGATATGGTTCTTCGATACATCGAGCTGCAAGCCCTGATGATTGCCATCATTGCTCCTCACTGGGCCGAATACGTCTGGTTGGAGATTCTGAAGAAGGTACGTTCTTGACAAAAAGAACCATCCCAGCCCCTGAATTCCCACCTCACCTTGACTCAAATACCTAACACCCCACGACTCCAGCCCGAGACCATCCACAGAGCCCAATTCCCCACCGTGCCAGAGGTGTCACCCGAGCTCTCCGCCGCTCTGGCCTACACCCGCGCCACCTCCTCCAACATCACCTCCGCCGAGGCGGCCTTCGTCAAGAAGCTCTCCAAGGGCAAGCAGGTGACCTTCGACCCGCGCAAGCCCAAGAAGCTTTCCATCTACGCGGCCAAGAAGTACCCACAGTGGCAGGAGAAGTACATCGACCTGGTGCGCGAGGCCTTTGACGGCCTCTCCTTCAATGACAAGGAGCTCAACGCCAAGGTCGGCAAGCTGGGCGAGATGAAGAAGGCCATGCCTTTCGTGCAGACCCTCAAGCGCCGCCTGACCGTCAACAAGGAAGCCCCCGAGACCGTCTTCGACCGCAAGCTGCCCTTCGACGAGCTCGCCGTCCTCCAGGAAATGGTCGGCGCCATCACCCGCGTCACCGGCTGCAAGGCCCTCGAGATCGTCGCCGTCGACGAGGGCGGCAAGACCGGTGAGGTCGTCGGCACCGGCGAGAAGAAGGAGGGTCTCTTTGCAGAGAATGCCGTTCCCGGCCAGCCCACCTTCCACTTTGCCAACATCGAGTAAGATGCCTGATATCAGTTGCGGAATGACACGGAGCAGACCGCCGGTGTGGACGATGGGTTCTAGTTTTCCTTTGAAATGATCTTAAAGCAGGAGCAAGATATTGCATGTAAAGACAAGAGCTTATACAGTTGATGATTTTACGTTTAGATGGTTCCTAGTTGCTGTTCTGAGATCTATCCGTGGTTCTGTAGACCTTCAAGAAGACATACTGATGTGCAATCTCGGGTGTGAAAGCGGTATACAACGACTTAGCTCCGGCATTGCTACCCAAAGCACGAGTACAAACCCGCTACGTATTTTCTATATCACTGCCGTCAGACAAGAGCCAGCCAACGATCAAGACAATATATAGTGGAAACAGGGGTGGAGTAGTAGGAGTAGTAGTTCACCAATCAGTAGATGATATGAGGTGTTAGTTATCGCCTGATTCCAAAGGTTGTACACAGCTCAAAACAGTTATATATAAGCTTCTATATTTTCAGACGTTTAAACCCACTTCTTGATTAAAAGAAAATTTAGTCAATGACTACTGATGACTGTTAGCAATACTATGCACAACCATCAACAACCATTAACATGTGTGAATGACAAGCGTGAACTATCGCCTACAATATTTATATGTTTACAACTATCCTAATTGATGAATGATAGGTTGAGAATTCTAGACAATATTCGAAAACCAGCTACTATCAGACTAGCTAATTGGCAACTGTTGGCGACCATGATTTTTACCTTCATACCAACAATCACGTTAGAACTAGGCTTTGTACAGGGAACGTACCGTTGCTCCTGTGTTCAAAGTTCTGACCGTGTATAGCAAATATAACATCGAGGAGAGACTTTTTATATTTCACTCTATCATTTGTGCAACAATCGACTAATCCCAAAACAACACCAATCGCTATGCGAAACGCATGCTAATTTACATAAAAACACCAATTAACATCTCCCCAGCACACCCCCAAGGACGAGGACGATGTAACGGAGGAAAGGGTGACAGGAAGCTAAGAGGATGATTGTTGAGCACGACGACTGGCCTGCACCCGTTTCTTTCGGCTGATGCTCTGGCGTTTCCGCTCTTTCATCCTCCGGGCTTTAGCCTTTCTGTAATCGGCGATAAACTTCCAGGTTTCCAGGGGCGGCCGAGAGCCGATGTGGCGGCCGTGGGGGGTAAAGACCTCGACCTGAGGCGTCCGGGAGAAGCGACCCGCGTCCACACCACCACCACCACTATCGTCCTCGAATTCGGCCAGCAGGTCGCTTTCGGCATCCTCGTCGTAGTCGTCGAGTTCAAGGGCCTGGTGTTCAGCGCGAGTCTGCACGGTGAGCTCGACCCAGCCGCAGCCCTCGATCAGCACGTCGGCGGCCATCACCCGGTAAGGGAGGCGGGGAATGGGGACGCCCTTGTCTGCCGCGGCTTTAGCAATGCGGGTTGGGAGGTGGGACTTGGTCACATCCCATTGAAGGTTAATGCGGCCGGCAGAGGTGAAGGTATCGTAGGTCTCCGGGCGGAGGATGGGCTTGTTTGGAAAGTCGCGGTCGCCGGACTGTATTGCGAGGGCCTTCTGAGTGCTGGTTACGTGGGTATCGAAGGGCACGAAGCAGGCTGCCAGGACAATATCCTCGGGGTTTACGGGGGTGATGCGGATGAGGCCGCCACATAAGAGGAGGGACTGATGTCCTTTAATGGTCAGGGTGTCCTCGGGTTCCACGCGTTTCGTCATGAGAAGGTTACGTTGGTACTCGGGAAGCACGAAATCGGCGAGGTTGCCGCGTTCGAGGCCAGGAAGATCGATCATCTCGCCACGGCCGCGGCCGAAGGGAATGCGAATCGGGGAGACTGTTGTACCAGCGAGGGAGGAAACCACGGGCAGCACAGGGAACATTTCTTCACGGGGCGCGGGAGGCAAGAGGCCATCGGATGCGAGGAAGTCTGGATGCTGCTGGTTCTTTGCCTGTGATTCTTCCTCCCGTTGCTCCAAGAGGCTCGCGATCTTCTCCAGATTCTCCGAGTCCTTGGGAAAACAAGCCTCGATGAAACTGCTCTTGCCGACATTCGCCTTGCCAACTACCCACACTCCACCCCCGTGCTTCTGGATCTCCTCCTTGACTTTCTTCGTCCACCAGCCTCGCTTGGCACTGATCATGTGCACCTGGCCCAGTCGGACCTCTTCTTTCTCCAGTCCGAGGCGAATACGGAGCATGCGTCGGACGTACTCCATCTTCGAGTCGACCTGTTCCTCTTTTGCAGCTAAGAGATCAGACCTCGTAATGATGATGTGCAGGGTCGGCAGCCTCTTCGAGCCCCGATACTGGTGGGTTGCCGAGCGGCGATTCCGAGAGCGCGGATCCATGATGTTCAGCGCTTTGTGGATGTTGTCAACGAGAGACATGGGGAAGTCCACTGCATCAACCAAAAGATAGACATGATTATGTTTGTGCGGCGACTCGTCCAAGTAGGCCCGGATGGAGTCTATAGTCGGTGATATGGCCGGTACGGCTTTGTTTTCGTTCAGAAGGTCGTGGCATCGGTCACATTTCTGTGTGGGCGTCTTCGTCTTATCCAGGTATTCGCTAGCAGTGGCTATGTCTTTCTGGAGAAGGTCCTTGGCTACACATAAATTTGGATTGTTTAGCAATCAAAGACGTAGAGAAGGCGGGGTCAATCATCACTCACGCTTTCCAAGCGACTTCCCCCAGTCCGCAGTCCCTTCGGTGAGGTATTGCTGAATCCTTTCTCCGGCTTTCTGCCATTCAGCAGCTTCATCCTCTAGAAGCTGTTTCGCTACCTTTTTCTGCTTCCGGGTCTGCTTCCTGGTTTTGCTGTAATATCCGGGCTCGTTAGGATCGACAGTCTGCGCATAGGCACCACATCCAGGACAGCAAATGGGAAGCACGTCAGCCGAGATCGGCGAGGAAAAGTCGGGGGCCGAATCAGAGGAGAAGGTGACAGCTGGCAAACCAGCAGTGGAGGGTGGTTCGGTTGTGGAAGGTGAATCGGTCGTGGAGTAACTGCGTAATAGCTGGTGGTTGATACATCGACTTTCTGGCGTGCGGCGAGTAGGACCTGGCCGCGTCAAAAGGTGCAATGGGAGTCGTCCGGCGCGAGGCTGAAAATGCGACGGAAGTCGGTGTATCCTTGTTGCTCTGGGGAGTATGCGCCCAAGGTACGGCGGCATATTGGATTTGCACAGGTGAGGGAATGCAGCGAGAGAGCGTTGCAGCCAAAAATTGTGGATGGACAGCGGATGGTCTTGTCTCGATGGTCCGCTCGGCGGGCCGGAAAAAGTGGCTGTGGCGAACCCGGAGAGCTGCTGGTCATGACAACATAGTAGAGCAAATACTCGTTCAAGTTACGTTGGATCAGTGTAGATGACATTCGCGATTAATAGGTTAATATTTGAGAAGCATCATGCGAACAAAGAATAATATATGCTAAACAAAATGACAGTAATCCTAGCCCATCCCATGCGCCAATGAAAGACCATGAACCCCACACAATACAACCATTTCAAGCCTTCGCCTTTCCTTTGCCCTTCGCATCATCAGCAGGCTCCCCAGTCTCATCCTCTTCCTCCTCCGAATCACTCATAAACTCATCGTCCTCATCAAACCCGATATATCGCCTGGGCGCACTGCGATTCGAGGCTGACGGACCAGGTGCATCGACCATCTCCTCCTCCGCATCACCGACCTCATCACTGTCGTCCTCGGTAGACGGGGTATCACGATCACTGCCCTCACTCGCACTGGCACTGGTGCTCGAACCGCCGAGAATCGTATCACGTAAGTTGTCCGTCCACATGCCGTCCTTCATCGCCATTAAGACCGCCTCTCTCGCCTTCTCATTCATTTCCTCTTTATCTTCCATCCATTGACCATCGATCTTCTGCTTCCCGCCGCCGTTCTTCAACTCCTCCTGCCGCTTCTCCGCGGCCTCCACGACGGCCAGCCACCGCAGTCGCCGCTCTTCTTTCTCCTTCTTGTCCATCTCGGGCTTGAGCGCCAGGTACTCCGCCAGTGCCTTGGCTTCGTTGACGGTGCGCAGCCGCCGGCCGTCGAGGTTGCGGCTGGAGCCATTGTCGTCGCCTTGGTTGCGCTTGCGCTTGCTCGACATGCGCCCACCGGCGGCACGCAGCTGGGATCCAAAACCACCTTTACCTCCGCAGAGGGGCACGCTAAGGCGGAGAGGGAGTAGAGAGGTTGTTGCGATGGCCTCGCCATTGGAGCTGGCAAGATATGAGATAAGCGGTTCGGCGGATGGGAGGAGTTGTTTGTTATTCGTGGTGGTGAGGATCAAGGAGTGAAGTGGGATCGATGGAGGGAGGTATGATGAGATCTTGTCTGTGAGGTCGGCGAGACTTGAGGATGAGGGAAGCGAGAAGGTGACTGTGGAGGGGAGTGAGAGGCCCGGGAAGGATGAAAGGAGCACGTTGATGTTTTCCGACGCCATATTGAGGAGTGTCTGTAGTAGCAGACTGTAAGAAGAAAAGTGATATGAGCTTTGCGACGTATACGGAAGATGAGCAGAAACACAGCACTAGTGGGTTGCTGAAGGTGGAGTCGAAGAGGCGGTTGCTGAGGCGGAGGTCAAATACGGGCAATGCGGAGAGTTTCCCGCCCTCGATAAGAGCGAATCGATGACCCAATTACCTAAGCCAATATTTACCGCCTCAGGCAGAAGCCACGTGCCGTGAGTGTACTCACCTGACTAAAACCTTATCAGCCTTAGCGGAGTTGATTAGGGCGCCAACCCTGCCAACGCTTCCCGATTTGGAATCACCGCACTTTTTCCACTCGACGGCAGCCCGCTCCACTCAACATCAACTACTCTTAAACCACCCTCTTCGCGCGTTGTTAGAGCGATTCCCCGAAGAGCGCCAGGAACTCGCAACAATGTGAGTATAGACCCTTTTCAGGTCGCACCATCAAGAATGATATCATGACTGACCCCATTGAAGGCTTATCCCCAAGGAAGACCGCAAGAAGATCCACGAGTACCTCTTCCGCGGTATGTGCTCATCTTCACCACTCTCGTCGTGATGCCAGCAGACTCTCCCGGATAGTATTGATAGGCAGACGGCATAGCGCTACTCTGCTATCAGTCTATACCGTAGTAGTTTTGGCGTGGATGTATAGAGGGAAACTAGTTGCATTGACATCAGTTTACTGACGGATGACTTCCAACAGAGGGTGTCCTCGTGGCCAAGAAGGACTTCAACCTTCCCAAGCATGGCGACATTGACACCAAGAACCTCTACGTGATCAAGGCCCTCCAGTCCCTTGACTCCCGCGGTTACGTCAAGACCCGCTTCTCGTGGCAGTACTACTACTACACCCTCACCCCCGAGGTATGCTTCTTATTCACGCCGTGAAAAAAAAAAAAAAAAAAAAAAAAAAAATAAAAAAAAAAAAAAAAAAAAAAAACCATCGCCTGGATCTAACGGTGTTTCTAGGGTCTCGACTACCTCCGCGAGTGGCTCCACCTCCCCGCCGAGGTTGTCCCCGCTACCCACATCAAGCAGCAGCGTTCCCACGCTCCCCCCCGTGGCATGATGGGTGGTGAGGAGCGCGAGCGCCGTCCCCGTGCTCCCCGTGAGGGTGGCTACCGCCGCCGCGAGCAGGGTGAGAACAAGGAGGGTGGTGCCCCCGGCGAGTTCGCCCCTAGCTTCCGTGGTGGCTTCGGCCGTGGCCGTGGTGCTCCCTCTTCTTAAGAGAATGTCGCCTGCAGGTCTTCCGAGGGCTACACGGGATGTTGCTAGTGTGGCTTGAGTAGGCGTCTAGCCAGAAATTGCTGCACTATGCACTTCCCAAATCACAAAACTAAAAAAGTGGGATTATGCCTTGATTTGCTGTCTCGATACCATGACATAGTTAGGATTAATGGCATGATTCATGACTCAATATCGAACTTTTCGTAGTATATGTACACCTAGTAGGTTCTGGTCGGAGAACTTTCTCATTGGTTTGATCCCTATGAATAGTTTAACCAGGTCTTCCAACTAGACTTCCTAGCTTAAGAATCTCTTACGGTCATAACGAATTACGGCCTGCAAGATGACTGATGCGCCGGTTGCACAGTCTTCTGCCGAGCAGAACTCCTCAGGATGGTGGCTCAGCCCATCCTTGCATGGCACGAAGATCATGCTGGTCGGAACCCTCTTCGAGGTAAAGACACTGTCATGCCCTGCGCCGCTCATGATCGTTCTTGTCAGAGACTTGGGCTCCGCAGGACTGAAATCCGCAACGACTGCCTCTGCAGACTGTTGAACGCAGTCGATGCAGTCCGGGTGGAATTTCACCACTGGCGAATCAAAGTCCAGGGTCCATTCCACGCGACATGGTTTTCCAATACATTTCCCCTCTTCCGCTGCAATTGCGTCAAAGTCCTTTCTCAGTTGCTTCTCCACGACGTTGACCAATTCATCCTCTGGGCCGCGAATATCCAGACTGAAACTGACGACACCAGGAACGGTATTCACGCTGCCAGGCTTGGCTTCCACGATGCCAACGCTCGCCAAGCATCCGTGAGAGGAGGCAACCTCGCGTGCCCGAACCATCATCTGAGCGAAAGCATACAAAGCATCCGCACGGTGCTCAAAAGCAGTGGTCCCTGTGTGGGTGTCTCGACCGACGATCGTCAGCCGGAACCAGCGGTATGCTTGAACGGCCGTGACTACACCGACGTGCTGACCTGCAGTCTCGAGGTGAGGTCCTTGTTCGATATGTAACTCGAAGTGCGCAGCCATCGGTGTCTGTTTGTACGAACATGGTACGCTTCCGAGGTAACTGATTTTCTCAAGTGCTGATTTCATAGACTCCGGAGCCGAAGACGCTGTAGGTAGGGATGCGACTGTGGGCACTTCCTTGAGCTCGTGGGCTTGCGATAAGGGGATGCATTCGGCCCATACTCCAGAGGAGATCATACTGATAGGGAAACGCGCGCCTTCTTCACTATGGGAAGCTATCAGCAGGATTCTATCAAGTGAGCCAGGGCATGTTGCCATACTTTGTCCAATTGACCACGCCTACGCCACCCTCTGTTTCGATATCCATGTCGTCCATGGTCTTCAGCGCTTCGATACCGGAGAGGACGCCCAGGATGCCATCGTATCGACCGCCCGTCGGTTGAGTGTCCAGATGGCTACCAATAAAGATAGGAGGCACATCGGCCCTGCGGCCAGGACGCACTGCGAAGATGTTGCCCATCTCGTCTATGGTGACATGGCATCTGAGCGCTTTTGTCGTTTCGATGAACCAATCTCTTACTTGTTTGTCCTCTTGTGACAATGCCAGGCGCTGCATTCCCGTATCCGTGGGACCACTGCTCCAGTTATTAGTCCCCGTAGCTCCCAACTGACAATTTAACGGTTGTTGCTCGATAGGATTGAAGTAGGGTGCTCCTCAACCCCACTGAGCATAATCAACACACAAAGTATGAAGCTTCGCGAAGGGATAAGTCAGCACTTACTCTCCCCATCGGATCCCCGATCCCCACTGACAGCTATGGTGCAGATCCTTGGCGAGACGATCCTTGTTGGCTCTAAGTGCTGAGACCTGAGCCTCGGTCAACTCCGTAGATAACATGGCTTGCGTCGAAGAGACAGAAAATGGGCGACTTTGACTTGGGCGGATAATCCTCGCTGGGAGTAGTGTGTGCAAGTTGAGCGCAAATTTCGCTACACTGGCAGTCGCAGAGGTATAGACTCGGAGGTAAACCATCTTGAATGTCCTAAGAGGCAGTGGAGGGGTTTATGTACTTTGCATTTAGCAGTAGGACCCCTCCTTGTTGGAGTCACTTACTTTGATAAGAGAGGAGGCCGATAAGATAGCAACCTACTGTACGTATGCACGTACTGTAGCTGCCATGGTGCTGCGGGGGTGAACAGTCTCGGTCTCCTTGCCGAATCATGTGGCTGATGATACGTCTCGGCAAAGACTCTGGGGCAATTCCGGCAGGGCCATCATCGTATAGAACAGCCCTTTCAAGGTTTAGTCTACACGATGGAGTTCAGGTGTGGAGTGGTTATACCCGCTAAGGCAGTTGCTGCCGACTGTTCTGTATGAGCGATGCGATTACTCCACCCAATTCATACTCGGCATACAATCATAGATCGGAGTCACATTATGTGGATTGCAAGTATGCTGTCTCGATGAGAGCAACCACCTTGAGATGGTGTCAAAGATCAGACTTCCAAGGATAGAACTTCAAAGCTGGCACCTGTCCATCCAACCAAGTGATCCATACGCAGGAAACACAGCCGTAGCATGCGCAGCGAGCGTTGTGCTGTCTTGCTGTCTGTATATGGGCTGCACCTGGCGCTCAAAGACAAGCCGTTACGCCCACCCACCCTCGAGCCAAATGAAACGCACCGAAAACGCCAGAACACCTTTCCCAGGGGCTTAAAAATTCAGGAAAAATCAGCATCCCTGAAAGACTTCCGTAACGAGACCATTGGCGGATAAAAAGAAAAACAATAAAATCGACAGCTGTGTCGAAGGAAAGGTCCAAAGATTGAGAAGAGGAGTCTTTTGGGCAAACCACGGCCATCTCTGGTAAAAGGCAAGAAATGGGTTCTGAGCTAGTTTGTCCCACTCCTCGGAGGTTGACATTCAATGTGTTTACTATACTACCTTTTTGCAAACTCCAACCCGGGTTCGAGCCGCGGCCGACGCACCCTCGCCTCCTGCCCCTCTTTTCTTTTCATTTTCTCCAATTCCTCGTTTCGCTTCCGCCTTGAGCTTACTGTTTGAACTGAGTAGACCTTCCTCAACCCCGCATTCGGTCATCTCGACTCTGTTCCAAGCTCAAAAACACCTTACCACATTTCAAGTCCACCACGTACATACAGCAAAATGTCTGCGGCCTGTGTCTTCTGCAAGATTATCAAGGGTACTTTACTGTCTCTCCAGTCTCCTGTCATGTTTCATACCATTTTAGCCACTGCTCCTACACGACCTGCACTCCCTAACAGCTAGCTAATCAGAGTAATGAACAGGTGACATCCCTTCCTTCAAGCTCTTCGAGAGCGACAAGGTCTTCGCTTTCCTTGACATTCAGCCCCTTAGCAAGGGTCACGCGGTAAGTATTCTATTGATATGAGCATATTCCCTAACCATCTGGCAATAATCTTGACCCCGCACGAACCATTGTCTCTTGCACATGAACACAACAACATAACCGATTGAGCAATAACACTTCTCGACAATGATCTTTCCCCCCCCCACCCCCCCCCCTTCCCCCAATCGTGCAATCAGAACCCCTCACTAAGTCAGCGAAGAAGGAAGCACCACCACGCTAACCAGTGATATCCCTTGCAATAGCTCGTCATCCCCAAGTACCACGGTGCCAAGCTCACCGATATCCCCGATGACCACCTCCAGGAACTCCTGGTAAGTGACTTTGAGAACTGAGCCCCTCGAAACCGCCAATAATCTTCCTGCGGAGGAAGATCACCTTGGCTTTATTTATAGGCCACGAGATCAGATCTGCGGGGACCTTGGGAGAGACGCTCAGCGCCCCCACCCGCCGGTTTGGAAACGCCCACTGCACCATGCCACAACTTCCTTCCCCTGTACGGCTTTGTTGGTTTCCCAGGCTCTAACCTCTCTCAACAATCTAGCCCGTGGCAAAGAAGATCGCCCAGGCCGTGGGTGCCACCGACTTCAACATTCTGCAGAACAATGGCCGCATAGCGCACCAGGTCGTTGACCATGTATGAGAACCCCCCTCCTCCGATGTGCAGTAAAGGGAGTGTCAAGCTGATGCATTTCTCTATCAATCTAGGTCCACTTCCACATGGTAAGCTCTCGTGTCGCTCAAATGAAGAGAGAAACAGGCGACTGCTTTCGATACTAACCATCCTCGTCCTCGCACCTAGATCCCCAAGCCCAACGAGACCGAGGGACTCGGCATCCAATGGCCCACCCAAGAGACGGACATGGACAAACTCAAGGCTTTGTTCGAGGAGGTCAAGTCGAAAATGTAAATCTCCGGGAAAGTGCCCTGTAACCGCTAGTTTTTGCAAGAAGGAAATGCACAGCGATCACACTATGATCCATCTTTATCATGAATGAATGAATGAATGCTTGGGCAAGATTGCAGCATTTCTCAGCCAGCAGTAACATTTGAATTTTATCTTTGCGACGAGAGGGGATTGTACCATTGTTTGAGAGTGAATTTGCCTATTGTGAGATGAATTGATGAATTGGTGCAAGACGGATTAGCATCTCCGGGCTGCTCACTTGATTACTCATTGAGGAAGTCTCAAAACAAAACAGTACTTCTCTCGTAGTCCGCCACGGATCATCTGAAACACGACTAAATCCATACACCATGTAGATACCATTGTTTTTACAAATCTCTTGGGCAAGGTTTCAGAACAAAGTTCAGGACGCGGTGCCTGTTCATGAACCGTGATCGACAGTTAAGCTCATTTTTTGGGTCAAATGAAAGACATGCCCGATCAGGTAAATGCTTCTTTCACTGCAGTGCCCAAGGAACTGTTCAGTGGAATCACAGCTGCATGACGAGTCAAATTTGCGATAATGATATAGTCTGACCGACAAAAGCTAAAGCCAATGCTTTGGCATTGTCAGATTTCAATTTCGATTCTAATACCAGCCAAGAATCTTATGAGGCGTTTCCGGACAATAGGAAGATCCAACTCAATTGTACATATAGACATGTTCCTTCCAGGTCGCCATACAGCGCCGGGGCATCATTAGGACCCGCAGAATCATCTATCATATCACACAGCGTAACGAAACTCAACAATAAGTATTTATACACAGACCTTTATAAGGTAGGCGAGCCCGGACGTCTAGGTTCTATCCTTCGTACAACGCGTTTCCCTTCGTCTTGACCTCAGTCGGGTAAAACTCAATCTTGCCGCCTCCTTGGATGATGTTGACTCGATCGTAGAGGGAGGTAGCCCGAACATAGGAGTCGAGCTCCCAGTACTGAGCTCTCAGTCGGTCAATAAGACCGTTCCTCTTCTCGGTCGCCGCTTTGAGAGTCGAGTCGTCCTTCTTCTGGCTGGCTGCAATCCAAGCAATCGTGGCATCTTGCACTTCTTTCGCGAGTTGTTGTCGCTCGGCAATCATCGCGTCCCGTTTGGCAGTGTCTTCCAGGTCTTTGTTCTCATCGGGTTCAGCCTCGACATACTTGTAGGCCCAGTTCTCGTCACCCTCGAGCTCTTTCCAAATTTGGTCCCGAGGAATGAATTTCTCCAAGTCCTGGACATTCTTGGTAAACTGGATCTTCGAGGCAACCACGGGATCGAGCCAGCCTTTGATGACGTTCCAGATTCCTAGAGTACCATGGTCAGGAAGTTGCAGGTTGAAGAGCCATGAAGAGAGACAAACCTGAGAAGATCCAGGGAGCCTTGTGAATCAGAACTACTCCCAAGCACTCTGGGTAGTTGGCTTCAAAACACTTGATCATATACTTGACTGGGTGATAGTCCTGCGAGCGGTGAGTATGAACCAGGCGGAGGATGGAACGGAACGTACCATGTTGCTTAGCGAAAAGTCGGTCATATCAAAGACAACGCACTAGTCTCAGTTAGTGTATGCCTTCCTAATATTATATGCTCGTTTACTCACAGCTGTTTCAACCGGAGGCGCCAGCATCATCCGAGCTGTCTCGATAGTATAGACAGTGAAGCGATCCAGAGCCTCCACCTCCTGATCCCCTGCTTTGTGCAAGCGCACTCTGACCACACAGATCGGCCGGCCGGACCTGTCGACACCATGCAGGAAACTTTTGCCCATGCGAAATTGCAGTAAGAAGTCCTCGCCTGCCTTCTTCTCATCGGGATCGGAGCTCTGGCTCTGCTTCAAAGCGCCATGCTCGCCGTTTTTCATAATATCTTCGTCAAGCTTCACCTCCTGTAGTCTCCACCGGAGCGTAGAGATCAGCATGATCAGTGCCTTCTTCACATCCCACTTCCGCGCCCGCAGAAAACGGAGCAGCAGCGAGTCAGGATTGTCGTGCTTGATCATATTCCATAAGCTGGCCCGGATCTCCTCGGGTTTCATATCAATCAGAGCCTGCTGGAACTCCTTAGATTGTCCGTATTTGTCGTCGCCATCAGTGATGCTGATGGAAGCCAGACTGGACGAGATGTCGCTTGCCGACTGGGAACTAGCTGAATCGTCTTCAGCATCGTCGCCACCTCTTCCGAAAAGGCCGAATCGCCGTTTGGAAGACTTCTTCTTCTCCTGGGCTGGGCTGGGGGAGGGCGTCTCGCTGGGTTGTTGCTGCAACTGCTCGAGACCTTCCACACCACAGACTTTCAGGAGCAAGACCCAGAATTCCTGGAGCTTTGCTTCCTGTTCGGGGGTGAGGTTACCCACAGTTCCTGGTTGAGCTTCAACAGGCATGGTCTTCAACGTATCAATTATACCGAGAAAAGGCGAGGTTGTTTCTTGATGAGAATTCGAGATATCAGGCGAAGGGAGACGTTCGTCGGCGACTGTCCAGTATTTATTCTTTAGCCAGCTTCCTGCACCGACCAGAACTAAGGCGACTGTGATCGTCCAGAAAGTTGAAGCCTTCCTCGGTTCGTACGGATGCGATGGGAAAGTGGAGTAAACCCTCGTTGAGTGAGACCAAGATATAGGGCTTGGAGTGCGATACACGGACTGGGGGATCTGTGCACGGCCTAGATAATGAAGTCTCGCGGGCGCAGGAAGGATGGAATTGGCCGAGGAACGAAGCAGACGGCGGCGCAAGGAAGAACAAGCATGCATGTGCTTCTCTTTGGCGACTCCCGGAAAGAGAGAGGATGGGATGAGTCTGGGTTTGGGGATCTGGTTTCTCGGGAAATCCGGAGTTTGTTGCGCCAAAAGCTCAAGGTGAAACGTGAGAGGATGATCAGACCCTCGAAAATTGAGCCGGGAATGCGGGGAAAGAGGAAGGCAAGAAGAGCAGCAGAGGCGAACCTAAGGAAGGAGTCACGCTTGGAACAGTCAGGGTCCGAACTGCGATCGGAGTGTCTTAAACCGGGGGGGGGGAGATGGGAGGGAGGGGGGCGCACTAACTTAGGGAGGTGGGGGTGAATAAATTGTTGAAATGAGAGGATCCGGTCGAATTATCCAGGCATTCCTATATCATCATCCAGGGGGATATGCCTGCTCCAGAATCGAGTCCTAATAATAGTCAGGCCCATTAATTAGTGAACACTAACCTGCTCCAGGCAGAAGAACAGGTTAACTGCCTGATAGACCTGGCAGCAATTGCATTGGAGGGGGTCCAGTGACCGCACCTTCCCAAAGCGGGGATCATCAACAGTCCGCACCCCAAACAACCCATCAACAATCAATTATTAGACAGTACTCACTCTCCCGCTTCAACCACTGTCATTATGGATACTTTTTCTCGCTCGACCTCGCGCCCGCGCCCTTCCTCTCGGCCTACGACCCCCTTGCGCCCCAGCTCACGTTCCTCTTTTCGCGAAGTTCATGGGTATGGAAGCAGTATCGGCACTGCAGGCTACACTCAACCCGCCATCAATGCGTTGGAACCACAATTCGCGGAGCTGGCAGACTCGATGGCGGATCTGGAAGCCAACTTCATGCACCTGCAGTTAATGCATGAAAGCTTGACGCGGTTTAGTGAAAGCTTCGCCAGCTTCTTGTACGGCATGAACATGAATGCTTTTTGCGTAGACTTTCCCGAGGTATGGCATTATTCCGGTACAAATCTTGAATCCGTGGGCGATCACTCAATTGCAATCGCAGGCACCAATACCAGAATCATTCCGGAGGGCTAAGCAAGCGGAGTCACAAAGCGGTATAGCCCTCTGGTTCATCTTTTACATATACTGTATTGACATCGGACAGCAGCTGAAGCGGCGGCAGTGCAAGCGGCCAATGAAGCAGAAATGACTTTCATGTGAGTTTTGTCTCTGGTGCACTTTGGCCCGTATATATATTTTCTAGATGCTAGCTAAACACCTGTCTGCGCTTTAGGACTACGGATACCTCATTTGTCGAAAACCCACCGAGCATCATCTCCTCGAAACCCCCCCCGAGAATCCCGGCTCCTTCGCGGGGATCTACAAGAGGAACCACGAGGGGGTCAACCAGAGGGACAACTAGGGGAACGCGCGGTTCGACCGCGGGGCGCTATGCAACAAGAGGCTCTAGTCGAGGATCTCGTCCAAGCGCATTGCCCCGGGGAAGAGGTATTCGGTGAATGGACGCGGTCGAGTTGGTTGCTCAACATAGGGCGATAAAGCTTGTAGCAAAGACCAGGTTCTTGAAGCATTGCGCCCTGGAATTCCGGCCCATGAAAGAGCCTTGCGCTCGTTCACGCGACTGGCGGGACCGGCCAGGATAAGATTTCCTAGCCATATATCAACCCACCTAACGGGAAATGATGGAGCCGAGCTTGCGAAGCGACTTTTATCATGTCTCGCTTGCTAACTTATGCTGGCCGGCAAGGGAATCCTATCTGAGAAATATTACCTCCGAAGGACTATACTGTGTACAAAGCGGGTGTTGCTGATTTAGTCTTGAGGTAGTTCTGCAATGCTCAATGGCGTGATGCATGATGATCTCTTCAAGTGAATGCAGAGAAAGCCAGCGTGAAGAGGCGCAACCATTTTTTGCACTCTGATGTGTACTCTACTCCTGTCTTCAGCTAAGACGAAGCGTAGTTGATGTTAACAATAACGGTGTATTGTGTTACTGTAGCGAAGAAGGCGATTTCGGATCAAGTGCGGATCCGGCTTCTTGTCGCCGCCGGAGCAGCCGCGGCGACCCTTGCAAAAAAAAAAGATCTGACTTGCTTCTTGCACATTCTCATCCACGAATTCCAGGGCAATCTGTAACTGTTTGTCCTCGGGACTATCGCTTTGTGCTAGTTTGAATCTCTTATGCTTCTCTTCTTGTAACCCTAGCATTGGTTGCTGAGGCGAGAGCGACGAGGAGCTCCCCAAGAATCCACACCCGCTTTCCGATCCCCGACAGCGGAACCCGCCCGGTGGCTGGCGGAGTCTCTCCAGTGTGTCACTCACGGGCTGCTGCTGCTGCTGCGACTGCTGTGACTGCTGCATCAGTGCATCTACATTGTTTCTTCTGCTGTGTTCTACATTGTTCCCATTAGGTACTTGGATTGATCATGATTTCTCCCCCTACTCATTGTCCCTTATTGTTCCTCAATAGTCACTAATGTGGATGACACCTAGACCTTCCCCCGTGTTGCAATGCATGGATTCTGTCTAATCTGCAGTTGACCTGCTGAGCATCAAGTTCTCCTCTTCACTTGCCCCCAAAGAGTCTCACCTTGGCTGCGCCAGTGTGACTCTTGCTGCACTCTTTTTCAAAATCAGTCATATCGCTCATTCAATTCAATTTAACATGGCGACTGTGGCGACTGTGGCCAGTGTGGTCTCCGTCTCGTTGCTCTCCGAGGCCGAATTCGGCTGCGGTATGTATACCTCCTCTGTGCCAAGTATCGTCTACAAGATGATCATGATTGCTGAGACATTTATCAAGAGCATCTGGCCACCCAGCTGGGACAAGATGCCAGCACCGCGGACCAATTCAAGAGCTCTTTTATTAAGGCGCATAACTCCCTAGCTGTTCTGCCGAAGCCTATGGACGGACTTGCCAAGCAAAACGGTCGTCTGAAGGTCAACGGCTTTTTGAAACCCAAGTATATCTGTCTTACGTGTTCCGAGATGTGCTTGATGGGCGATCGCCAAGCTCACACGAATAAGACAGGACATTCATTCTGTAAATCGACCTCATTGAGGACATGGCCACCTACTGACTTTACTACTAGTCATGGATTCCCGAGCTCGTAATCTTTATTGTCAGGGCTGCGGCGACTTTGTCTTCGATCATGGCTTGGAAAGACTTCGTTGTTCTGCAGCAGAAAGTGCCTTACAAGGTAAGCGTGTGCTCCCAGCCGGACTCATGCATGTCACAAGCGCTAAAATGGCATAAAGTCGCCAAGAAACGTCGCTTTAGTGATAGTTCAGCGGATGAGCTATACATCCGGAGCAATGCTACGAAGCGTCCCTGTGCGAAACAGGGCGTGAGGGGTCTGTTCAACCTGGGTCAGACCTGTTATTTGAATGTCATTCTGCAGACTCTCCTACACGACCCGATTCTCAGCACATATTTCCTTGGAGACGGGCATCAGCCCCACGACTGTACTATTCCGGATTGTGTCGGCTGTGCAGTCGCTGAAGCATTCGCCGACTTCAACAGCATTGACAAGGCGGAAGGATTTACAGCTTTAAATCTCCTGGTGGCATCTTGGCGCTCAAGTCCTGTATGTGTCCGTCCCATGGTTCTGCAGGAACGACTTTACTAACATGCACTGCCCTTCAGACGTTAGCCGGTTATCAACAACAAGACGCCCATGAATATTACCAGTTCCTTGTGGATAAGCTTCATGCCAGCACCGAGGGTCATCACGAGAACCACCAGAAAGGATGCCCCTGCTTCTTTCACAAGACGTTTTATGGCAAGCTTCGCAGTAGCGTGACATGCGACAAGTGCGGCAATGTCACCCGAACAGAGGATCCGATGGTAGATCTTAGTCTTGATGTCCAGGTGAAGAAACGCGCCATGGGCGGTGGAGTCGGTTCATCTACTCCGACGCTCAGCGGATGCCTCGAGAGTTTTACATCGCCGGAGAAGCTTATGGCGGGGGTGTATAACTGCAGCCAATGTAATGGGAACTCCCAGAAGGCTACCAAGCAGTTGCGTATCAAGAAATTGCCGGCTATTCTATGCATGCAGCTCAAGGTACGTCATTTCAAGCTCCGCAACTTCCTGCTGGCTTAGACTCATCCCCAAACCCCAGCGATTTGAACACAGTGCCTCTGTCTCCGAAAAACTGGAGGGTCGAATCGAGTTTCCTCTGTCCATTAACATGCTCCCATACACGACGAATCCCAACTCCAAGGTTGACAAGGCACGCTTCATGTATGATCTCTCATCCGCCGTTGTGCACAAGGGCAAACTAGATTCCGGCCACTATTACGTTTACTGTCGCCAAGGAGACGAGGTAAGACTACCTATCCATTACCCTCCCCCAATCAACTCACCACCCAATTCCCCCTTGTCATCTAGCCGAAGTTCTAACCTCTCCCAAAACCCCAGTGGATGCTCTTCAACGACGACCAAGTCACACCGGTCACCGAAGCCGACGTCCTCAACGCAGATGCCTATCTGCTTTTCTACAACCTGCGATCCTTAGCCTCTGCGCCACCACAGTAGTTGAATGGCGCCGGCATTCTTCCACACATATCATCACACAGTTCCCTTATTATCACCGCACAGTACATATTATCATGCCCGCCACTGATAATCTCTTCACCTTGACCTCCTCCTCATCAAGCCCAGGGCGGGTGCTTTTTATTTTTCGTGCTGTCATACCTATACCGCATTCGGTTTGTCGCGACAATCTCAGTAGTTGCGAGATCCCCCTCTGGAGTCATCATCAGGACCATGGAGTTGTAATCATTTTTATCATGTGAATTTCCTTGTACTACTGCTTGCTTAGTTGTCATTTGTTTACATCTTGGCTTTGCATACATTGTATGAATGGATGGGATTGGGTTGGATGGGAATGGGTGGTCTTAGCATTTGTTATAGCAATGTCAGCAATTCGATTTTGCTTTCTTGAGTTTGTACGTCATGGAAAGGGTGTAAGGCTAGGTAGGTAGGTAGGTAGGTAGGCAACTTCCCTTCTGTATGTACTGTACGATATTGTGTTGCTTGGATGAGTTATTGAAATGAGATGACTAAAACCAACTTCGGAATCCCGAGGTCATACATAGGCGCGCCAGCAAGTGAAACCCCCCCTTTTGGACCATTTGCGGCGAAGTAAGCAATTACTATAGGTGTGATCGGCTTGAGCGGGACTGCATTCCAACTACAGCTACGATATCAGCGCTGCTACAAGCGTCCTCTCGGTGACTACAAGGGAAGCCACCCGAAAAAAAGGCATGAGGGAGCCCTTTCAAGCAAGCGTGGGGAAAAGCGTGGGGAAAGACAGAACAGACGGGTAGGTATCCATCCATAAGTCAGACCTCAATGCAGCACGAACCGCCCGCCCAGTTGGGAGTCCATCCGGACAAGCCAGCGACGCACACTGCAGCCTGGGCCTGAATTGCTTCCCATCACATGCGCAAGATGACCCAAAGAATGGCCCGTTCTGTCTGCTAGAAAAAAGCAGCGACAAACGGAAGTAAAAAAGCAACCACCATTGAAAGGAGGATCGACCAGCAAGATAGGTATTATGAAGCATCCCTCAAATTTTTTAAATTTCATTTCATGTTTTTCTCTCTTTTCTCCGCTCCCGAAAATTCAAAATCCTCCCCGAGTACCATGTGCGCCCCACCCCCAAAGTCCGAGAGGTTTGCTTTTGTTCTCAGAAAGCAAAGAAGAAAACCGCTTGTCCGAGCGGATTTGGGGGGGTTTCTTTCCCAGAAGTTCAAGGATTGACAGCGATTCTCTGGAACTGTTTGAAAAAGAGAGAGAAAAGAAAAATAAAAGGATCCTCCATTTCTCTTCCTATTTCATCACTTCATTTTGGTACCGAGCGCCCGAGCACGTGAAAGAGATCCGTCGTGAACCAAGGAAAATTGAATTCGAAAGAAGGAAGGAATTTAACGGAACTGGATGAGATACGGCGTTAGTCAAGGTGGTTCAGCTAGCCGATGTGTTGTGTGGCGCGTCGGCGTGTATGTTGCCTGATAGCACGTCCAAGCCGTCATCATTTGTCGTTGCTGCCGTCGTTGTTTCCCTCCTTGTTGTCTTCTTCTTCTTTCTCCTCCTCTTTCGTCGTTGATCATGGCGGGTCTTTCGTTCGGGTCGCAGGCAACATTATGCATCCTCCAGTCGTGGGCACATATCGTGTGACAGAGCAAGGTGGGAAGGTGCAGGTGGAGACCAACCTTGTAGAAACCGATGTCCGAAGCCTTCTCACGGAAGCACTGACGGCAGATGTTCATCTGTGAAGTCCTCCATCAGTTCACCAGTCCCAATATAGCCCAGTTGCAACGAAAAACAAAGGATATCAGGTGTTGCATACCCCGTACTTGCGGATGAGACCGGCGCGGTGGGAGCAGACACGGCTGTAGATCAATCGAGCACACATCAGTCATTCGTTCATAATTTGACCCTTTCAAAAATTTTGTCGATTCCATTTCATCGCGCGCCGCATTATCTCCTCCTTTTTTGCAGTCGTATTTTCCATGTCGTTCCCATCCCACTTCCACCTTTATTTCCATCTTCATCAGGGGAATTTAAACGCACCATCCACGGGAGCCCTTGCCGAACCTATACAACGAATCTCCGTTAGCCTCTCACGAATCCACCTCCAAACATATCGTATAGACAACAACAACCGCGGCGGGAGCACTTACTGGCGGGGACGGCTGTACCAAACAGACTCGTGAGTCATCTTGAATTTTCTGAGGCGAGAGAAAACCTGGGGGATGAGGTCGGGGTGTTTGGGCAGGCGGATTTGTCGTCGGCTGGGCGTTGAGGGGATTCAGACAAAAAGGCTAGGGTTGAAATTCCGTTGTGTGCTTTCCTGCGCTTGCCCGGACTGCGGGCTCGGACCACCTCGCTTGTGGGCGGCTAAGCCGTTTTTGGCGAATAAGTCACATGACTGCAGTCTGGCTTGCCAAGTTGCCTTGAGTTTCTCCAGGTTGAATCGACGGGAGGACAGGGGAAAGGGCGGTGAGGGAGGCGGCCCTTTCTTCTGTTGGTGCTCGCTTTATCTTCATCCATCTCCTTTACTTAGTTACTGGCTTTGTGGTGAGATAGAGGCTCAAGGTCGAGTACAAATGTGACTTCGGTGAATTAGGAGCTCAGGTGTGCTGCTCGTGTCGCTCGCACAGCTTTCTTCCATGTCTGTCTTTAGACGCTCATCAGCTGCTTCCACATCTCGCCCGCTAGATGTCCCGGGAAATCGATGATGCGCCCTCAGGCGGCGTGGTCTAGAGGGACTATCTATGTAATTTCTCAGGATGTCCCCTGCCTGAGGCGAGACGGGCGGGCCCCAGGGAGGTACTGTACGTAGGAAGTTGCGTAAGTCTTTCGCCGTTGATGCAAGCTCATACTTCAGAATATCGAGTGTAAAGCGCCCTCCCTCAGGGTAGTTATCCACCTTCAAGCATCCATAGATTGTTAGGATAACAATACACTGATGCGAATGGACGCCGGGCTTGTTGGGTACACCAGCAGATGCTGTGCATATCAGTTGTCACTTATTGACATCTCAACACTCAACTTCCCGGCATAGTATAAACAGCCTTTCAAGAAAGGATTGCTCGCGCCAGGACTTGCAAAAGAGGTATCTCCACGGCTTCCGCAAGGAACCAAGACCAGCTATTTCTCACGACCACCTAACCCTTGCAGTATAAGAGGAGCAGAACTGATCATCGACAGCCTAGTACTTAATCATTCAGAGGTGTCGATGACTCTGAAGACTGATGGGGCCTGAATTGATGTCCACAGCAACGCATTTAACACGTACGTACGTACGGAGTACTGTGTATACAGAAATGTCCGAATAGAGTAAAAGCCTCGAAGACATCCGTGATCCGAGATAAACCCGACCAGACCGAAAGATTTCTCGCTTCGCTCAAAGCCACTCTGCGGACGGGATCACCCGCTAGCTTCGTCCAAAACGGACCCTCATTGGGAAAAGCGCTTGCCATTCTTCAGGGTCAGCTGCCGAGGGCCGTAAAAGTGCACTGCGAGGAACAACACTGTTGATTACACTTGACAAGAAGTGGCGCCAGCCTCCCTCTACTGGCAACGGCAGGTTCGCGTCTTTCCGCCGCCGCGCTGCCCGTCATATCAGGATCCTGCATACCCTTTGCCAATCCTGTATAGAACGGGATTTGACTACTCAGTCTATTGAAGCCTGGACTATCGTACTGTGACTTAGTAGGCTTCTGGAGTTGCTAGCCCGTCGGGCCTTCTCATATCATACTATAGGAGCGCAGTCACCTGGGCCCAATGCCGAATTGCCGGTCTTCCAGGACCCTGTAGTTTTTCGTTGGGGTTCTCTCCCGCTCCCCTCGTTGCGTTTTACCCTTTTTGGGCACAGTGTCGGGATTTGCGGATAGTTAGATTCCGTCCACAATGTCCACTCGATCAAGATGAGTAGAATGAAGGCAGATACTTGTTATAGTCCTTCATCATCAATGATATCAAAATTGCTAGATTGCCATGTTGTGTCTAGCTTGCAATGCTTGAGCATCAACATATGCTGGACAAGTCCTAGGTCCCACAACGCATGGGTATCCGGATCGTTGACTCTATGCTGTGTAGTGTGCAGTTTCCTGAGGAGGTAAACAGTCGAGGGACCAGCTTGGGTCAGCTCCATTAGCAAAGAACATTTTCCTTCCTACAGTCTAGGCCAAGATAATTCATGTTGGCTGTTTAACGGCGTGCGTCCGGGCTGACTCCGTTCATGTTTGGCTTACTCTATTAGTATCAAGGATCCAAGCAAAGAAAATTTCTTTGCTTCCCAAATCCACCCGAGCCATATTATTAATGTGTTCCCGTCCGCGTGAAGAGGGGAGAAGATTCCATCGTGATGAGCAGGAACTAACGGCAAGGTGATTGGCTGGCGCATGAGAAGCACGGTTCCACTTGGAATCAATTACTCCTGGAATGGAGAACAATACCTGGAAAATGAAGTACTAGTTACCGCTACCTACTGCACACAAAAGAAGTAGGCAGTCGTGGGTTATGCTAGGCAATCATAGACGCATGGGCTATGCAACTATGGCTCCCGAGCCTGTCAGTGCTCACACCATGGAAACGCATCAGTTGGATGTCAGCCGTCCTCGTTGTACACTGTCGACTCTAGCATGGGATCTGTGCACACGGTTTTGTGCATTGCACTAAACTGGCAGGGATCTTATCGGGGAAGGGCGTAGGGGGCGGGTCCTCATGAGGCTGGCAGCACGGATGTCCAAGATGGTAATCATGATTGCTGCTCTGATGTTCGGCATCTTGCGGGGAGTGCCCCTTAAGCTTAGAACATAACCATTTCACTGCGTACAAACAGTGAGTAGCAAAAACCAAGGCCTCATCTCACATAAGCCGGTCAATATGCGCGGAATCAGCTCATATGATGCTCTGGTAGTCATGACCTCATGACGTCAAGCATCTTGCCGCAACCTGCAGAGGGATAACTCCCCGATTCCAGGTGCCTATTCAATGAGTCATACGATGCGCATAGGTAAGCACGAAAGGGGTAGTTAGTTATCTCGGGCGACTCGGCATCAAGAGGAGAAAAGGCCGGTACAAATGAGAAGTCAAAAAGAAAAACGAGACGGAAAATTCCCACCTGGTCATGCGAGTTGCTGTTTTTTTGCGGAGCGGTGTTGGCGCGTGTCTCCAAGAAGGGCCGGTGCGTGTCTCTTGACGGATGAGTCCGTGTCGAAATTCCCATAGCTTGGTTCGCCCCGACCTTCGAATAACATCATTTTTGCACCATTCTTTTAGTTTCTCCAGCCCTGCAGGTCGCAGGTTTAGCTGACCCCTTGATGTTGTGGTTTCAACTGCTCCACTATGCTGCCCTCCACAGCCCTATCCACCTTGGACGAAATGGCTATGAGCTCCTTAGGTATCACGCAGAGATGTATAGACAGCGCCTCGACATACATCGTAGATCACCAGGCGGTCAAGGAAGTTTGGTGTTCGTACGGAAGAGCGCGGATGCAGGTGCTTCCTAAGTCCGTCTTGGTGTCCCCCGATGGTCCACGCCAAGCCACGATCGCCTGTTGGGTTGTAAGACGAAAGAGAAGCACAGGGAAGAAAAGACCAGAGGGTAGCCGGCACACAGACACGAACAGGGCTGGGCGCCCAACGTGCGAGGGCCCGCCGGGTGGGGTCCGTTTCCCGAGGGTTGAAGGATGACACTAGATGAAACGATCGAGGCTTGTTGGTGTATTATTAATGCTGAACAATGAACAACAAACAACAGGCTCCCTCGCTATACAAGAACCTACAGGTTCTAGAGTTTGACTTGAAATGGGAGCCTAGTCACTAAATAAATATAGAACACCTCAGATTTTGACTCAGCGTCAGCAGCCAATCAAGCTGTCGGCCTTATAACTCTGGTATCGAAGACAGTTGAGTTGTCTAATAGTTCGAATGGTCGCATATAGATCACATCTCAGAGCTCTTCACGCCAGCACATCCCTGCACTGTGTGATTTCTCACAGCATATACTACATACAAGCTCCCCTCATTTTAAAGGTGCGACTATCTCAGAAGTGTGACAAGCTGCAGGAAGAAGTCACACTACACCAGTATGCACCTAGACCGATGACAATCAGACCATTCCGGGCATAATTAGGGGACATGACTTAGACGAACGCAGATATACCTTAACCCAGAGACTTATCAATCTGAGAGGCATGTACCGGTACTGTGCGCACACACACGGTGCTTGGACGCCAGCCGAGGCTTATTAGCAGTGAGCTATAAACAAATTTGTGCATATGAATGCTTCTTGTACGCCTCCTGAGGAATAATAAGCTTGCCGGCATCATGACCAGTATGTCTGCTCAAACAGTGATAGAGAGAGGTATAAAGAAGTCTCCTTACTCCCTATACTTATGCCGTCCCTGGCTGCGGTGACTTAATTTAGGTATCATGCAAGGGAAGTGTTGGACGGCTTCAGCCTGCTTGATCTTCGAGAGCCAATTGCAATTGGTTCGAAGTCAGGTTTGTGTCAGATGTAGTGTGAGTGACTACAAGCATACAATCGCTGTTCTCCACTCGATCGATTTGCGGGGAGACTGTTATATGTGAATAGAAACTTGTTGTCATTGGTACCCGAGGTACTCCGTATATCTATAAGCATAAGCTATGGGTTCACTCGAATGGACCTATCAGACCACCGGCCTTCTCACGCGGTCATGAACGATCAAGATCAATTCCTCATCAGCTGATTGAATGAAACTGGTCTACCCGGAAATGGATATAGGCTCATGCAAGTGCTTAAATGGACAAAACCTCTTACAACGCTAACACAGCTAGTTTGGAAGATAGATATCATGGCTGCTCTTCAATTTGCCAGACAATGCGATTTCCACTGTCACATGAGCTTATCGGACTCGGCGGGTAGATAGTTCCTACAGTCTGTGATGAAAGGTTTACTATATCGTCTAGTCGGAGTTCCGTATAATGTATACTTGCTTGCTAAGACAGCTGTATCGTCGGCATCAGCTTCCTTTGAGAAAGAACTAGGCAACAGCTATCCATGAGATGATAGTTCTATTCGTGTATGGACAACATAGCTCGCTGCTTACACCTTGTTATTAATGGTGAGCGGAATATGGACAAGAAGCTCAGCCGGAATGGGTAAAAGAGGGTCAGCTCTAGACCCGGCGCTAACAAGTCGGTACCATGGAATGAGGTCATTTTCCACGGCGCCTTCAGCCTAGCATGACTTCAATGCCCAGTATTCTTCTCTCGGCTGCTCCGGCCTTCCGATAACCGAAGCACACCCCAAACCCCTTAGTTGGATCTTTGTTATGAGTAGTATGAGTGATCTTTTTGTTACTCGTTAAGAGTCAGGATTCTGGGCTGGGTGGTAAGACCTTCAAGGCAACGAAGGCAAAAAAGGAGCTTGGCAAAGGGTACAAGCGCGTCCATCTGTTGTATTTCAAGATGGAGAGAATTCGGCTGGTTGAGAGCGGGAAGAGAAAAAAAGAAAAAAGAAAGAAAGAAAAAGAAAGAATAAGGTTCCAGAAATGGGACCCAAATGATCGTTCCAGCGATCATCCACAGTTAGTTTAACAGAAATAATCACTAATCCTACCGCAGTGAGAGACACCTCATGATGACGAGCAGGTAGCACTGAATGCGAACACTGAAGTACACCTGTTGTGCGGTGGACGATAACTTAATGTTTCTGGATGAATCTGTAGTTACCTTATCCAATGAGATACTACTAGGTACTTACTTGTACTTACTCAAACTTGATGGATCAATTTTTAATTCCATGTAAAAAAAAAGCACCAACTAGCCTAGTAGGCAAAAATGTAAGCTAGCGTGTCCACCTCAAAGCTCCTCCTTCTCCACTCCCTTCGGCAGCCGGAGCTCAGAGCAGGCTGTTGTTTCCACGGCCTCTCGGCCTTGTTGCATGGCTATCCCCGCCAGCTCCGAACAGGAAGAAAGCGACGAGCCAAGACCCAGCCAGCAACACGGCGCGCACGTCGGTAATGATGTATAATGAGCTGATTTAAAAAGAGTGGCGCAACCCTCTTGCTGCTCTGCGGTCCTTTATTCTCTTCTTCCTTCAATTCTTGGTTCATGCGCAAGCCACCAGTCGGGTTCGCTTGAGCTCTTGGTTCTTATACTTCCAGTCCGCCTTCCCTCGGCGTTCAACCGTACTTCGCATACTCGACCGACAGTTCCCCCCCTCCCCTCATAGTTCAGAAGTTGTCTTCTCCCTCCTCAACCTGGGGAGCAGTGGTCACATTTTCAAGCAAGCTCGTAGCTTTCGCGCTCTATACATTAGCTCCTGTCGCATCTCTCTCGTCGCAAACAGAATTTAAGCTTGCGCTCATGTGGCAGCGAGCTTCCCGTGCCGCACTCGCGGCGTCCTTTTTTCTATTCACACTTGCGAATGCGATTCCGCATGGAGATGAAGATGGAATGCACATGGATGATGGCATGGACATGTCCAGTCACGATTCGCAGCCCAAGGAACCTTCTGATGCCAGCGATGACTCGCCTATGAGCTACTTTGCTTATGGCAAGCACAGCGGTGCCATCATGGCGCACATCGGCTTGATGGTCATTGCTTGGTGCTTCATCCTCCCGATCGGTAAGGCCCCAAGTTCTCCATATGTAGCTTGCTAGGCGCATGCGGAACTAACCAGAAAATTTGCAGCGGTCATGCTTAGTGTTGGACGATCCCGCTTTGCCCTGCCGTCGCAATTCCTCTTTCTGGTCCTCAACGCGGTTGGCATGCTTGTCGGAATTATTTACAACAGCCAGACTCCAGATCTGTACGAAAACAACGCCCACCACAAGATTGGCTGGATCGCCACTTGGGTGGTCAGCGCGCAAGTGATCATGTCGTTGATCTTCGCCTACGCTGGAAGAGGAGAGACTGAGACCGATTCTTATGAACGTGCGACCTTCCTGCCTGTCTCGACTGATGAGATGGCCGATAGTCACCACACCTTCCCAGCTGGACCTCGCCACTCATATCGTTGGTCGAGAGACAGTGGACAGGGCACCGAAAGAAATTCTTCCTCGATCCACTGTCCAGAGTCCCCCTCGTGTGCCTCCGGGTCAGACGAGTATGACGGGTTTGAAAAACCCGAGGATTCTGTTCCTGAGAGCCCTCCCCAGTCACGCAGACCTATGCGGATCCCCGTCATTGACCGCTTCCTGGCCAGCCGCGTCCCGGGCATGGTGTCCAACCGTGTGCTTCGTGCCCTTTCGACTGTATATTTGATCATCGACAGGATTATCCTGCCTTTCGGGTTTGTCGCTCTGGTGACTGGATTTGTGACTTATGGCGGGATCATGGTATGACACTCGCTTCAGTAGCCTCATGAATATTCTTGCTAACGTGTCACACAGCGCGGCAAGGAAGTTTTCAACGGACTTGCGCATTTCATCAAAGGCGGTATTTTCGTGTGGTACGGTCTCCTGACCCTCGGACGGATGCTTGGCTGCTGGGCAGATCTGGGCTGGGCCTGGAACGTGAAACCATCCAGCGCTATTGTTGGTAAAGGAAAGGCCAGAGTCCCCACGGGCGAATTCACCGAATCATTCGTGATCTTCCTTTATGGTGCAAGCAACATGTTCCTGGAGCATCTCACAGGATGGGGCGGCAAGTGGACTGCGACAGATTTCGAGCACGTCTCCATCTCCATCATGTTCTTCGGTGGTGGACTGTGTGGTATGCTTTTCGAGTCGAAGCGCGTCAAGAGTTGGTTGAACAGCACTGTCCTGCAATATCCATCCCACATGAACGCTCATGCTTGCACCGATACTGCCTGGCAGATTCCCGACACTCAAGGCGTATCTCTCAATCCCATGCCTGCCTTGATCATTCTTCTTCTGGGCATGATGATGGGTTCCCATCACCAAGATAGCATGGTATCGACAATGGTGCACACACAGTGGGGCAACCTTCTTGTTGGATTTGCCCTTGCTCGAGGCGTGACTTATATCATCATGTACCTGAAGCCACCCACCTCCTACCTACCTTCTCGTCCACCGACCGAGATTGTGGCTTCCTTCTGTCTCATCTCTGGTGGTCTAGTTTTCATGCTTAGCGTAAGTTGTGTTTCTGGTTTCGAAGAAGGGATGAATGAACCATTTGCTAACGTTTTGTCCAGACACGAAGTGTGATTCAGACTATGGAATACTACGAGCTTGATGCGATGTTTGTGTTCACTGTCACCATGGGCTTGACCGCCTTCATCATGGCCTACGAAATCCTCTCTATCGCAATCAAAGCCTGGGCGGTGAAGCGGGAATCCCGCCCACAGCTGGCACCTTATCAGTTTCCCGCCTAAAGTGAACATACTAGATCATGCATATCTTGCTGGCTGAGAACGGCTCAAAGGACTCTTGAGGAGCCGTTGCAGCAGTACAGTGATCCGAGGAAAGGCATGCATGAGAAGAACTCAAAAAGAATATTTGCTTTTTACAGCATTATACCCCACGGATATCGGTTGTTCTGCGGCCTGGTATCGGAGCTCGGAATTCGAGCGCTGACATTTGAACACGACCTATTGACTATGGCTTTTGGTGATTTGTGATGACGCTTTTTTTTAACGTGCTTAATGGGCTTTCTATGAATGAATGAGCTGCTTGATGAATGCAGGCAATAATGAGGAGGACATGAGAAATGTTTAGCTAGCAAGATACTACCTGACATTCAGGGACTTAACCTTTGAGTACTGAGTGCTGTGCAATATGTGTCCATTTCCGTTGTTTTCAGCTACAGCGAGGTTTGGAAACCCTTGAAGACCCTTGGAATTTTGAGTAATGTCCTGAGGCTTGCCCTGTCGCCGGGCAACTGTATGCACGATGGTGGTAGAACTCGGTGGCTCCCGGAGCTAAGTCATTAAGTCCGACTCCTACCAAAGCTTAGCCAAAAAGAAAAAAATCACTCCCGACGTCGGCACGAGGAACTTGCCGCTTCGGCAATTTGTCATGTCACCGATGGATTTACTCTGTCTGACCTCCTCCTCCATGCATGATTGGGCATTTCAAACAAGGAGACAGGATGTTATCTTATTGTGCTTCTGCGACAGCTAATTCATCGTACAGAGTCCTACATTAGTGCGCATCTCCCCGTCAGAGACCAGAGAGTCAAGTCCGTAACTAATGTCGGTTGAATGCAGGGATTAGTAAGTACCAAAGTGGCTACGCCAATGGCCTGCCCTGCCGAACTAAAGTGCGTAAGCATGGAAGCCTCTAGGAAGGGCAAGAAGTGGGGTAGAGGGGAGGGGGGATGAGATTACTCCAATTCGGGGCAAAATGAATTGGCTACCTATATATCCAGCCAGATCGCAATTTGTGTCTTGATAACATCTCATCATTTCACTTACATTTTCCGCGTTGCGTCTTCTTCCTATCTATCTGCTTTCCTTGCCCACTCCCTATTCTTCACAATGGCGTCCAACCCTCCCGGAGCTTGCTGTGCCCAGGGCTTCAAGCACGAAGGCACTCCCGTTGGTGAGGTCAAGAATGTCAATGGCGGTAAGTCGTCAGCATCAGGGCTCTCATCCTCGTGGAAGGATTACTGAAAGCGTTGAATTGCAGTCGATTATTATATCACCTACCCCAAGGACAACAAGACCCCCGAGAAGGCCATCCTCTTCCTGAGTGACGTCTTCGGTCTCTTCAACAACGCCAAGCTGATCGCTGACGAGTACGCTGCCAACGGCTACCTCTGCGTCATCCCGGATCTGTTCAACGGCGATGCCATCCCCGTCGCCGAGATGGAGGCCGGCAAGTTCGACATTGGCGCATGGTTCCCTAACCACCAGCCTCAGCACGTCGACCCTATCGTCGAGGCCGCTGTCAAGTACATCAAGGGTGACCTGGGTGTCAAGAGACTCGGTGCTGTCGGCTACTGCTTCGGTGCCAAGGTGAGATCGGTCGTACAGTCCAGACAGTTGTAACTCATAGTAACCATCATTAGTACGTCTGCCGTTTCATGAAGGATGGCAAGGTCGACGTTGGTTTCAACGCCCACCCCTCTTTCGTTACCCACGAGGAGCTCGGCGCTATCACCGGTCCTCTCTCCATTGCTGCTGCTGGTAAGTCTCGTTTCTTTATTATTATTTTTTTGTTGTTGGTAAACCCCCATCGCAACTCGTTGCTGATGACATCGTTTTTTTTCTACAGAGATCGACACCATCTTCACCACCGAGCTCCGCCACGAGTCCGAGGGTACCCTCATCAAGACTGGTCAGCCCTGGCAGATCAACCTGTTCAGCGGTGTCTCCCACGGTTTCGCTGTTCGCGCAGATCTGAGCAACAAGCACTTCAAGTGGGCTAAGGAGCAGGCTTTTTGCCAGGCTGTTGCCTGGTTCAACCAGTACCTCTAAACGGCTCTTCGAGGTACTGTATATAGTGTGGGCCCGGATGCCCCTCGAGATTTCATCACTAGTCAATGAACAGACATGAGTAATGACAAGCTTTGATCTTAGTAATGGTTTTTTTTTTCGTAGAAATCGGATCTAAGCAGATGTAGTAGTAGAGCTTAATAGGAAATCTTTGTTGGGATAAACTGTCCTCCACGTGACCACAGGGGTCGGCGCTGGAAAAGGCCGACGGGGGGAACAGGTCAGCGCCTTTGTATTGATTGCCGGGAGCTACAAGAGCCAACAAGCAAACTTGAGGAAACAGTAATCTGTGTTTCTCTCCTATCCCCTGACTGGCGGGGCAATTACGTTAATTCTGTCTACTGTATGATCCCCTCGCTCCTTGTGGGCCTGATTGCCGCCTTCTTGCGACCCTATCGCGTGTTTGTCGTTTATTGCAGCCCCGTGGCTTGTCGCACTGACGAAGAACGCAGTCAGCTTTCCCTAACCCTGGTCTATCATTTCGCCTCTCCAACATAGATCCTGGCTTCGGCTAATAGTCCTTCTCTCCTTTACAAGCGGTGTCCGCTTCACGAACCCGATACACTGCTCTCGATTGACCGTGCGCTCAACGCCCTCGTCCGTCCCGATCTCCCTTTATTGCATCGAACCGGCGTTAAGTGCTTGATGCTTTAAGCTACACATTGTAGCGCCAATCGTGTTTTTGTCTACAATAATCCGCAATTTACTACTCGCACACCTAACATCAATGGCTACTCCGGCTGCGTTGCCACCATTGCCGTTCAACCCTTCCAGGGTTCGATCCTACGTTCTTCGTCTCCCTCTCTTCACTCGGCTTGTGCTCTTGGCTATCCTTGTGTTTTGGCTTCTCGAATTGCAAACGGTCTGGAGCGTAGTACAATGGGGTTCAGTGATACCGGAGGAGATCAACATTGGCACTAGTAAGAACAATCTCCAGGTATTGGCAATGACTACATCAGGATGCGTGCATCTGACATGGGAACTCAGTGTATCGGCTCAACACTTACCCTTTCATTCATGTCGGGTTTTTCCATGCTTTCCTGAATCTCTTGGCGCTCACTCCATTGTTGGAGCGGTTTGAAGCCGAGCATGGCACGTTGACTGCCGTGGCTTTGTTCTTTGGACGTATGTTCATCCAATCCGACTGCCCCCGAACTTCATTATCGCGAAGAGCCATTAACCCTGGGGTTGACTTATAGCTCTTTCCACATTTCCGGCGGGAGCATATGTCTTGTTCGAGAAATTCGTCTTGCATAGGAACACTGCAGTGGTCGGTGCCAGGTGAGTGACTTGGGTCTGGAACCCTATGATCTTGAGGGCTGTCTAATATGTCTCTCAGTGTTTGGGTCTTTCTACTCCTGGGCTCCGAAGCTATTAGAACATTCAAATCCAACCCGTACTTCAGGTAGGCTAAGGGATTCCGGCCACATACATTTTACTGTGAACTAACAACCCGTAATCAGTCTTGGGCCCTACAAAATCCCTACGTGGACATCTCCTCTGTTCGCGTGTGGTCTGGTCTCGATACTAGTTCCCAACACGAGTCTTCTGGGTCACTTGTGCGCCATCTTTGTGGGCTACTTGTGTGAGTAATCTTCCTCTTATACTCGTTTGTGTCCTCCACGATCTGACAAGCTGTGCTAGTCGGCCTCGGCTTCCTGAAAGTCTTCGTCCCCCCTGAGAAGGTCCTGCGGTGGATTGAAGGCAAGCTAAATCTCTTGGGAAGACTGCCACACTATGTGTCGGTGGACCAAAAGACATATGGTCGGTACGGGGTCCTTCCAACCACGACTGCCGGGGGTGAGAGAGCAACTCCGATGAGCTATCTGGGCTCTTCGCAGCGTCTGGGCGCTTAAGCACTTATAGACGAGCTACCTAATCGCCTATCGTTCTCGTGCATATATTACCATTTTTTTACTTATACTTGACTTTTGTTGTAATGTGTAGAGGCTATTGGGACAGCAAATATCATTTACTATGTGGATGTAATGTACAGATGGTCTCTAGCGGCTGACGTAAATTCGCGGGCTGGTCTGCGCCAACCCGCCCGCCAATCGATTGTTCCGCCCCCGATACGAAGTACAGCTGCAGCATAACCACCCTCCACCTCTTTATTCCGACAAGTGTTCCTCAATGTTGCGAATTTCATGGCTTTGAAATGTGAGTTGACTTAAGTGCCTGTGTGCACAATCTCCTCTTTTCTCTACCAGCTTGGCGTGTCACCGAGTACCATCCCTACCGTCTTGCCGTTTACCCCGGATCGCCCGCTGCGGGCCAAACAACACACCGGACCAATTCGAAGCCCAAGCTGACAGAAGAAACAATGGTAGCCGCAATCCGCAACTTGCGGACCAATCCTCACTTCCTTTTCGTACACCTGCCGCGTATTCTCTCCCTCGTCTGTATTATCGCCGGCGTCGTCTGGTTGCTCCTCCTTCCGCTCAACGACTACTCGCGGCAGACCTACATCTCCGAAAACGCGCTCCTCCCAGGCCAGGTCCACGCATACTTCTCTGGCAGTGAACAGCACATCTTCCGGGGATACAAGAAGGAGCTAGAGGCAATACTGGAAGGTCAGACTCCGAGTGGCCAGGAAAGCAGAAATGAAGAATACACCCCGGCGTATGTGATTTTCTCCCGAACGGGACCTTCCCGCTCCGTCCGTAGGGGATAGCACGTCTAGCTGACGAGGACAATTCGCCCCTAGGGTTTCCGAAAAGATCCAGTCCGTCTTGCGGGCGGCGGGGTTGAAAGTTGCCACGCAGAAGTATGAGTACACTTCCTCGGGGATTACCCATCAGGGGCAGAACGTCTATGCGATCATTCAAGCGCCGCGGGGAGACGCCACGGAAGCCATTGTGCTTGTTGCAGCTTGGAAGACCGTGGATGATGATCTCAACCTGAACGGCGTGAGCCTTGCGCTGACGCTGGCTGGGTACTTTAAGCGTGAGTGGTTGGTTTCTGGGCTTCGCTCGGCGCAGCAGCACCAGCATTTCTTTCCATTTTGCTGATAGATCTTGCGTCTAAAAGGATGGTCACTCTGGTCGAAGGATATCATTTTCTTGTTTCCTCCGGACAGCAAAACGGGTACTCAGGCATGGATTGACGCCTACCATGATATGCAGCCGGCATTCGTGCAGCCGCTGCCGCTGAAGAGCGGCGCGTTGCAGGGAGGCTTGGTCATTGAGTATTCATTCGATCACCGGTTTGAGTCGCTGCACATTCTCTACGACGGGGTCAACGGTCAGCTGCCCAACCTGGACCTATTCAACACGGCTGTATCGATCGCTGGTGGCCAGATGGGAATTGGGTCCAATCTGCAAGAAATGTGGGACCACAACGACAGCTATGAAATGCGACTGCAGACCATCATGAGAGGGATGGTTAAGCAGGGGTTTGGCTACGCGACGGGCCCGCATAGTAGCTTCATGCCATACCATATCGATGCCATCACGCTGCAGGCCAAGGGCGACGGCTGGCAGGACGAGATGGCCCTGGGCCGCACTATCGAGGGTCTTTGCCGCAGTTTGAACAATCTCCTGGAGCATCTCCACCAGAGCTTCTTTTTCTACCTTCTTATGCAGGCTAACCGCTTCGTCAGCATTGGCACGTATTTGCCTAGTGCCATGCTCATCGCTGGAAACTTCACGATCATGGCCATCGCGCTTTGGCTGCGTACTGGATACTATACCGGCTCGAAGCAAAACCCTGCCAGACCTCCTGCAAACGCAGAAGAGACGAGTTTGCGAGCCGCTGCTCTGACGGAAAAGCTTGATGCCAACACTGCGCAATCAGCCGTGACGCCAGACTCAAACAGCGTCATTGAGCGCAAACTTGCCCTTCCGCTCACCCTGGTCGTCGGACTTCATCTCCTCGGTCTCGTTCCCCTCTATATCTTCAACAATATCAACCACCAGGTTTGCCCTACCCAGATCCCTCCATCCCCAAGATAAAAGAAGTCACGAGCTAACGGACAGACTAGTACTATTCTACTGCAACCTATGCCAGCATCGGCGTCAACGCCATCCTCCCCATAGTGCTCGCAGCCTCCCTCACCCGCGGCCTAACCACACCGCGAGACCAGCCGCAACTGTCCCTTCTCATCAAGTCTTTCTCCCTGCTCGTCCTTGGCCTCTTCCTCTCCACCCTCGCCACCCTCAACTTCTCCCTGTCCTTCATGGTCGGCCTGCTCTGCACCCCACTCAGCTTCGTCAACCGCATCGACCCGCACACCACTTCTCGCCCCATCCGGACCGTGCTATCTGTCCTTGGTCTCGTCTTCCTGAATGTGCTCTCCCCGCCCGTCGTCCTTCTCGTGGCGTGCTCGTACTTCGGGACGGACGTGCAGACGGTCCTCACGCAGGCCGCCTTTGGGTGGGATGTGTGGGGCATGTGGACGCAAGTGGTGGTCTGGTGCGTCTGGTGGCCGGCGTGGGTGACTGGGTGCGCCTTGTTAGGGTTCTCCCTGTTCTAGGCGTTTCTGGGAGGGACCGGGGTGATAGAGCATTTATTTACACGGAGTGGTATTCAGCCTTATCGCCCATTTACTTTCACATGCCTTGTATAGTATAAACCTGTTTTAGGGTAGAATCAATCCTTTTTGTATCTTCTACCGAGAAAAACCTCCCTAGTTTGGGGTTATGTTCCGATCACTCTACTTTATTTGGTATCATAGTACACACTACGGACTATTTCCGAGTACGGAGAGTTTCATTGCCAGACAAATTTCAATTATAGGTAAGGGGATATGAAGCAAGTCTAGTGCTCAGTACATACACCGCCTGTGTGAACTACTCAGTTTCACATCATGAGGCGGAGTCCGGAGTTAAAATGGTTTGAGAACGTGATAACAGAGTCAGGGGGATCCGAGGGGGACATGACATGGGTCATAGTTGTTTCGATGGTAAGTTGTAATAGTTGGTTATATGGGGACGTGGGATATCTATGCTTTTACTCTCGATATATATCTCTCAAGCCGCCCACACATCCTTGCCGACTCCTTCGATCCAGTGACCCAGCTGGTTGACACCCGCATCCCAATCCTTCAACCGGTTGCGCATGCCCTCGATCTGCTTCATGTCCAGGACCTTAGGCTGAACCCAGTTGATCTGGGCGACCTGGGCGACCTGGTCGATGGCGCCCTTGAGCAGGCCCAGCGAGAGGGCCTTCATGATCAGGTGCTCAATCTCCTGGGGCTTGACCTTGGTCTCGGCGGAGATGGCGGCGAAGGTGAGGTTGCGGTCGTGGGGCGGGCGGCGGAAGACCATCTCGGTGAGGGCGGACAGCGAGATCTTCTGGTACAGGAAAATACGGTGCTGCTCCAGCAGCTGGTTCTTGGCGATGTTGCCGGCCAGCACGTCGTAGGCGGTCAGATCACCACTGTTGAAGGCGAACAGGAGGTCGCGCAGCCAGCTGTGCGGGGTCGCGGTCAGCGAGTCCAGGATTGGGTGCAGGAGGAGCTCGCCGAAGTTGTAGATCGTGTCGGACACCAGCGCCGCCACGCTGAGGTTGTAGGCCCGCGATACCCGTTCCGAGTCGCTGAGGTCCTCGAGGTTGATGCAGGCGAGGTAGAGGAGGGCGTTCTTGTAGAAGGAGGCGAATTCTTGTTTGGCCTGGGATTTAAATCAGAGGAGGAGTGATGTTAGAGAGGATGTTCTTCTTATGTGGTTGTTGGATGGTTTCTGGGCCGGGGAGGGGGAGAGGTTCCCCGGGGGGTGTGCGGAGAAGAAGCAGATGTCGAGGTAATCCTTACGTGGTAGTAGTCTGCGTTGACTTTGTAGAAGGATGCGTGAACAACGGTCTCAACGGAGTCAAAGGTATCTAGCACTTTCTGGCAAGCCTCCAAATCCTTCTGTGCGCCGTCGAGGTCTTGCAGTCGTTGTTTGACGTTGGCGACGTCTGCGAGGGCGTAGATGTAAGCATCTTGGCTGTCGGGCTTGTTGACCTTGTCGGCCAGTGATGTGAGGAAAGCAAGGCGTTCTTTGTCATCTATTAATGTGCCCGAAGACTGCGTCAGTTCAAGGCTTCGGAGCACATCCCTCATCGTGAAGCCGCCACAGACCTGCACACTCCGTCGATGCCATCAACCCCAGCGAGACGAACTTAAGCTGGTTGATTCTGTCGGCAAAGCTGAGGACAAAGTTCTTGAATATCGGTAGTCGTTGGGGACCGCTCTCTGGTAACTGGAAATATTCGATCAGGGAATCGGTAAGCTGGTGCCATAGTTTGCGCTCCCAGTAGTCTTCGAAGGTCAGGAACAGGGCCTGGCTCTGCTCGGGAGCTTGCTGGAGCTGATCGCTGAGGAAGTCGGTGATCCTTTGGTTCTCCATGATGGAACCGGAGAAGTTAGCAATATGAGGCAAGAGTGAAAGGAAGGAGTCAATCAGGAATTAGAAGTCGTGAGATGTGGGAGAACGTCAATCGGAGATGGGGGAGATAGAAGCAAGCTGATCTGAAAGTGTTGTAGCGGAGCTGAGGTGAACGCCCGCCTTGAAGCTCGGGCGGTGAGGCACATGACATCGATGGCCGATTCTCCAACTACATCATCACCATCAGCCTTTCTCTCCTTAGTGCTACTTTTGTGTACTTGTGCTCAGACTCAATTCAGCTTCATTGAATCAATAGTATTTCTCGGCGTGGGTTAAGTGAGCACTGCTCGATTCGACCAATCCAGCATGAGTCTCTACAGTAACCCTGTAATGGTAACAATAAGTGTCCGATATCTCTCCGAGCAGCCCTGAACCATCTACAATTAGGCTGCCCAGACTTCTGTCTCGAGAAAGGTATAAATAAGGACATTCAGTCTCTCTGTAGATGAGTTCTTTGTCACCATCAATCAGTCTCTTTCTTCCTAAGCTCTCTACCATTCTCCAAAGCTAGCAGTATATCTATCTTCGTTAATCATTGTACCTTTGAGCCCTTACACCATCATCACTATGTCTGACTTCACTGAAAAGAATCGCCAGTACTTCGAGTGAGTACATATATTCTCACTGGTGTTGTTGTTGATACTGATGTGGCTTGCAGCAAGATGGCCACTACCTACATTGACGAATTCAAGGAGTTCGTGGACGCGAATTCCAGAGAAGTTCTGAATCGCCGCGCATGGATCAGTGATACCTGGACCGACACTGAGTCTGGCAAGGGTAAGGTGATCAAGATGCTCGAGTATGCCTGCGGACCGGGTCCTATCTCCATGGTGAATTTCCCAACCATGCCTTGTTAGCCTTCTCAGCGAACCGAAGCTGACCATCGTGAAGGCTCTAGCACCCTTTTTAACAAAGATCGTCGGCATGGATGTTTCAGATGGCATGGTCAGCGAGTTCAACAGGAACGCACAAGAGGCGGGCTTAGGGGCCAAGATGACTGGCGTCAAAGCTGATCTTCTCGCCGAAACGGGTTCAGAAGAGCTCTCTGCAGCCGAATACAACAACTTCGACCTTGTGGTCGTTAGTATGGCGCTTCACCACTTTGAAACCCCCGAGTTGGCCTTGGTCCGCTTGGGCGAGCGCCTCAAGAAAGGTGGTGCACTGATGGTCCTGGACATTCTCGCGCAGGGGTACCACGATCACCATCACCATCATCATCACCATGATGAGCACCACGGTGAGCACCATGATTCAACACATCAGAAGCTTGACTTCGGCGAAGCTGAGCACACCATTGGAAGTCATGGTTTCACACTGGAACGCATTCAGCAGCTCTATGAGAATGCCGGATTGGGTCTGAATTTCCAGAGTGAGTTGTTGGAGCATAAGATGGCATTCAAGATCCATGAGAAGCTGCCAAAGACCTTGTTTCTTGCTCGGGGACAGCGCTGCTGAATGCATCTAGCGACTTAGTCAGTATCACGAGGATGACAGATCAGAGATCATAGTTGATTTTTCTTCATTTTGAGCGTTTTCTTGTCGTTCGTCACATTAGCATGTCGCTGTAGGCCATCCAGCCAATCAAATTCCGCGCATAGTCAGACGCGATCCGGCAGAAGATCGAGTGTCAGAGTGGAATCACACATGACGACTTGTCGCATATTGCTTCGGATGGGAGCTGCCACGTGAAGACATAGTAAAGGTCTATTATCGAACACCGATCATCATGTCCAGAGCTCTGTAGACAGCACGGAAGAAAGTCGGACAATCGAAGGAGTTGCAAGTCGGCCAGGGAGTGAACCGAAATGGGACTAGCGCCAGAGTCCCGTGCCCGCTCCAAGGTTATTCTGGACAGCGACTTTCAATCGACCAGCTGCGAGCACAAGTCCTGACGTCGAGCTTGGCTCTCTCCCCTCTACCTCCCCATTGTCCATCGCCAACCACCGATCCGGACGCATTTTGGTGGTCTCATCTGAATCGCAAGCAGAACTGAGACCATGCAGAGCTGCCGGGCCGCCAATTCCGCCATGGGCTCCAGGGCATTCGTCCCCGCCCCTCGAGTCCAATTCCAAGTCCAGCGCCGGAATCTCCAGGATGTTGCTATTACTCGGACCGGAAAGCCGATTCTGAAGGTTCAGGGTGGACGGTAAGGGCGCATATACTGGACTAGGGTGTTGCATGATGCTAACGAATTACTCCCGCAGGTCGTCTCTGGGAGGTAATCGCCCTGTGCTCGTGTCCTACTCTGCTCGCGTCGGCGCCAGGAGGCTCATTTCATCTAGGTCACACTGCCACCGTCTTCGGTGCTACTGGTTTCCTCGGTCGTTATATCGTCAACAAGCTCGGTAGGTTGGTCCGTGGTCAATGGAAGAGTGAGAAATTGACGCCGGAATAGCTCGTCAGGGATGCAACGTGGTTGTCCCTTTCCGGGAGGAGATGACGAAGAGACACTTGAAGGTCACTGGTGATCTCGGTCGGATTACCTTCATCGTATGACACCTCATTTTGAAGCACGACAAAGGCGTCTCTAACGCGTTGGCTCGTCAGGAATACGATTTGCGCAACACCCAGTCTATCGAGGAGGCTGTGCGTCACTCCGATGTTGTCTACAACTTGGTTGGTCGTCAATATCCTACCAAGTCAGTATAGCCAGTCCATGATCAATGCGCCTGTCTAATTAACAGACAGGAACTTCTCCTACACTGACGTCCACGTCGATGGCACGGAGCGCATTGTCGAGGCTGTTGCCAAGTACGATGTTGATCGTTTCATTCACGTCTCTTCCTACAACGCTAGCCGGGACTCTCCTTCCGAGTATTTTGCTACCAAGGTCGGTTGACTGCGTGTATTACCGCTATCGATGCTGACTGCAGCAGGCCTGGGGTGAGGAGATTACTCGCTCTATCTACCCCGAGACCACCATCGTCCGTCCCGCGCCCATGTTCGGTTTCGAGGACAACCTTCTCCACAAGCTCGCTCGTGCGACCAACGTCTTCACCTCCAACCACATGCAGGAGCGCTACTGGCCCGTACACGTATGTCTCCCGAGCAGATTATGAGATGGGTTGTGCTGACGATTTACAGGCCATTGATGTTGGCTCTGCTCTCGAGGCTATGCTGCACGATGACAGCACCGTTGGTCAGACTTTCGAGCTCTACGGCCCCAAGAACTACTCGACTGCCGAGATCGCCGAGCTGGTTGACAAGGAAATCGTCAAGCACCGCCGTCACGTGAACCTGCCCAAGGCCATCCTGAAGCCTTTCGCCCACTATCTCAACAAGTTCCTCTGGTGGCCCACCATCTCGCCCGACGAGGTTGAGCGCGAATTCATCGACCAGGTGATCGACCCCAACGCCAAGACGTTCAAGGATCTTGGAATCGAGCCTGCTGAGCTCAGCACCTTGACCTACCACTACCTGGTGAGTTTATTGTGCCTTGATGCTGATTGGATGATGGCTGACTTCTGTAGCTTGGATACCGTAGCTCCTCCTACTACGATCTGCCTCCTGCGACGGAGCGGGAGAGACAGGAGGAGAAGAAGTACCTGCATGTTCTCGACGACCAGTAGTCTGTTTCTTTAGTGTACATACCATGCTAGACCCATTGATTCTCTTTGTAGTTGTGTGAACTCTGCAAACAAACAGGTTGTAGCGCACTCAGAAAATACGTGCTGAATGATACACCTAGAGTAGTACTCCGTAGAGAGAATCGGGCAACGCCTCGGCCGCGGGGCAGCTCAGCTCCGCTCCGCTCCGCCCTCCGCACGCGATCCCCCATCAACGAGACTCGTGCAACCCATTCATCTCACGCGCACATCTCCCCTGATCCTTCAATTCCCCGTCGATTGACCGGCTCGCTCGCCAATAAACAGACTAGCCTGACGAACAATGGCTCAGCAAGATCCAGAGTCAGGCTCTCGCACGCCGATCCTCCTCCTCAAAACCCGCTCCACCCCGCACGACGGCTACGACGACTTCTTCACCACCCACAACTACAACCCCGCCTTCATCCCCGTCCTCGAGCACAAGTTCCAAACACCGAACCTGCAGCATGTCCGCGACCTGTTGGTATCCGGGGGTCTGAGTCCGGGCCACCCAGACCAGAAATATGGGGGGATTATCTTCACGAGCCAGCGCGCGGTGGAGGGTTTTGGGAAAGTTCTCGAGGAGATCTCTGGTATGTTGACTCCTCTCTCCCTCCCTCCTCACCTTCCATATACTTCCTAGTTACCTACCTACCTTACACCCACTCTGTGGTTTTCCACCTAGCCCCCAGATTCGTACGAGCACAGCACAAGCACCTTGCTTTCAAACGAACTTCCCTATCCACTCACTACCACTGACAATGGGCCCCCCCCCCCAAAAAAGAAATAGGATCCTCAACACCCACCACCACTATCTCCGACCTACCTACCCTCTCCTTCCCTCTCTACACCGTCGGCCCCGCCACCCACCGCGCCCTTACCAACCTCACAACCACCTACCTCCCCTCCGCAACAGTCCACGGCCAAGACACCGGGACCGGCGAGGTATTAGCCCAGTATATGTTGGAGCATTATCCTGCATACACTTATCGTGCCACTTACCCTACTACTACTACTACTACTACTACTACTACTACTACTACTACTACTACTACTACTACTACTACTACTACTACTACTACTACCACCACGACTGCTACAGACGGCGCCAGTCCCACCACGCAACAAACCACAAAGCACAAACCCCTCCTCTTCCTCGTCGGCGAGCAACGGCGCGATATCATTCCCAAAACACTCATGGATCCCGACTTGTCGCCCGAGGCGCGGATTCAGGTGGATGAGTTGGTAGTCTACGAGACCGGGGTGATGGCGGGGTTTGAAGAGGCTTTTGCGCAGAGGATTCGGGAGGAGCAGGAGGGGAAGCAGCAGGGGGTGGGAGTTGAGGAGCAACAACAAAATCAAGTGGTGTGGACGGTGGTGTTTTCACCCACGGGCTGTGAGGCAATGGTGCGGGTGCTGGAGAAGGTGAATGATTCGTCCGTAGCATCTGCTGCTCGCGGTGGTGGGCCAACCAAGAAGAAGTTCTTTGTGGCGACTATTGGGCCGACAACGAGAGACTATCTCAAGAATCGGATTGGGTTTGAGCCCGATGTTTGTGCGGAGAAGCCGAGCCCCGAGGGGGTGGGGAAGGGGATCGAGAAATTTATGGAGGAGTACAGGGCGGGAAAGCGATAGTAGCATCATCGGCAGTATGTATATAAGAAGTATGGTGGGTGGGAAAGGCCTCTACAGGGCAATCTTGCGCCTCATATTCCCAAGAAATGGTCATGATACATCCGGCTTAAGTACTATACTGCATGTTAAGGCTACTCTGCTCGCATATATCAAAGAAGCTAAATGCCGAGTCGTCACATAAACTCCGGTCCAAATGCCCATAATGGCAGCGTATCACCCAGGACCGAGCGCGCGAGCTTTGTCCCTATCATTTTCTTCTATCCATCCATGTTATTATGTGCTCGAATAAATTCCTGGACTCCGACAATCAGGCACTGCCTTATTCGGGTCCTTCCGTACTATGGTATCTTAGCCCGCATTCATATGCTCATCAAGTTCTTTACCGCATGATCTCTTCATAGATCAAAACTGCACCAATAGTCAGCGTAGCTCAATTGACACAGGCTATCTGCACTTACGCTTCAACTGCTCCTTGCTCAACGCATCCTTGTTCTTGTCAAAATCAAAGAACCCCTCCGGAATCGGTGGCGCCGTGGGTTCATCTTCCGGATCGTGATACGGCTCCAAGTATGGGTGACGCAGCGCTTCTTCCACGGTGATTCGCTTGGCGGGGTTAAAAGCGAGGAGCTTCTCCAGAAGATCCAAGGCAAGATCATTGCTCTTGGGGAACATGGCGCGGAAGGGAATCTTCTTTTTGAAAGGAAGCGATCGGATGTACTCTCGAGCCCGGCGGGACTTGATACCGTAGTAGTCTTCCATGGTTGGCGTTCCAAGGACATCGAGGATGAGGGTCAGTTGGTGGTGATCTATTTTGAGGTCAGAATGGCTCGTCTTTTGAAGCACCGGCATGGACACTCACAGTCCTTTCCGGGGAATAGGGGCTTTCCGCTCAGCATTTCAGCCAGAATACAGCCCACACTCCACACATCGATCGCCTTGGTGTATTCCTTGAACGTCAACATAATCTCCGGCGCACGGTACCACCGGGTAGCCACGTATTCCGTCATGAAACCCGAGTTGTCATCAGTCGATGCGGCCGACCGAGCAAGTCCAAAGTCACAGACTTTCAGATCACAGTTGGCATTCAGAAGGAGGTTAGAGGGCTTGAGATCACGGTGAAGAACGTTCGCCGAGTGCATAGCTTTCAGCGCGCGTAGGGTCTGGTAAATGAAATATTGGCAGTGGTCGTCGGAGAGGTCTTGGGTACGGATGACACGGTGCATATCCGTCTCCATCAATTCCTGTTTCAATCAGTTGCCGTCGTTTTTGACACTTGCGTTGCGGCTGTGAATTTACCTGAATCAGGTACACTTCGTTGAAGCTCTCATAGTTCCGAGGGCGCTGAATATCCAAGATAGAAATAATGTTTTCGTGGTTGAAATACCGCAGAAGCTTCATCTCACGTAGGGTTCGTAGACAGAACATGGAATGGTCGAACGGTGTGATCTTCTTGATGGCGACTTTCTGGCCGGACGGCTTGTGAACAGCCGAGCTATAGCTCATTAGCTCTCGGTCATGAGCCTCCCGGCGTTCGCGTAAACCCACCAAACAACGCCATAGGCGCCCTCTCCGATGACATCTTGAATCTCATACTGATCTGAGACGTTAAAGGAGATCTTGCGCGATCCTCCTTGAGGGGGCATTTGCTGCACCATGGTGACGGTTATGATAGGGGTTCTAAACGGGAGTCAGATCATGTCGAAAGCGCAGGCGTTTTGTGTGATGGACCCCGCGCCAGGTGATCGTCCAGCTCATCCTGACTCGCGAGCCCAACGATAAGGTAGAGAACTATCCAAGGCCAACAGTCCCTGATCATCGCCTTGATGGTGGGCATTGTTCGTCACATGCAGTACAAATAGCGGATCGTCCGCGAGAAAACGCTTGGGGCCCATCACACATTCAAGCAACAGACACATGGCGTAGCGCTTACCAGAAGAGCCTGGGTTAAAGCGCAGTTGGGGCCTAAATACAGCAACTCTGCATGCCAGGGCGTGTGCGTTGGACGAGTGAACGTGGTCGGGGAACCGCGAAGATCGGAAGCGGGGTACAGCGCAGTTCTGCAAGCAAACCCGAAAAGGAAGACGCACGCACGTTATCTGCAGAAGTTCCGGAGCAGCGTTGGTGAAGCTTGGAAAAGGCGAAAGAATTCCCGGGGAGGATCACGATCCAGGGGCGCAGTTGGTGGTCAAAGAATAGGAACAGATAAACTGCACACACGGCGCTTAGATCGAACCACGTCACTGCTGACGACCTGGACCACAGAAAAGACGAACTTGTCAATTATCCGCAACAGCGCCAAAAGAGACCGAAAGTCGGGTTTCTATAAAGATTCCTTGGGGAGTATGAAAGAAGGCGAGAGAAAAAGGGGAAGCATACCAGTTGTGAGGAAGAGTTGCGTTACTGTTGTTGGGTGTCTCACAGGTCGGTTCTATTTTTGGGACGGGGTTTGTCTTCCAAGTGTCTTCTGGCCCGGCTCTAGATCGACGCCAGCGGTCAGTTTCGAGTTTTCTTTGGCTAAGATACACATGAAGCAGGGGGGGAAATAGAGAGAAACCAACCCAGGGCGTTTCGAGGGAGAGGAGTGAGAGGAGGAGGAGGAGGAGGGTTAGAAGTGGGATAGTAGTGGAATAGTAGTGGGATAGTCGTGGGATAGTAGGTGGATAGTAGGTGGATAGTGGAGGGGGGGGGAGGAGGAGGGGGGGGAAATGACTGGGGAGGAAGAGCAGGCGAGGGAAAGTAACGAACGACGAGAGGGACAAGAGAGGGACGCAAATAATAGTGGCAGTCGTGGAGGGGAACTAGTGTCCGTAGTGGGAAAGTTAATCACCCGCAAGTGGGGGAAGTGAAGAAGAAAGATGAAAGAGGTTTACTTTGCACAGTACACAAGCACCCCTACTAGATTAATAGGAGTAGGAATGGAGGACAGAGATTGGGATTGAAAGAAATAAGAGAATAATAGCAAGAATAGAGGGAGGGGAGGAGGGAGGAGAAGATGGAGAAGAAGAAGAAGAGGGGAAATGAAGACAGTGGGAAAGCTGCGTACCTGAATCGCAGTGGAGGAGAGGAGGGGGAGAATCAGTTATCGATACGGAGGCACCAGATAAGACATTCAGAGAGTACACTGTACGTCTGAATTGCTTGACTGACTGACGGACTGACTGACGGGCACTGACAGGAAATATCCAACCTGATGATGATTTATGATTCCCAAAAATAAACCAGAAGCAACAATGCGAAGACGACAGAAAAGAAGAACCTTGGTTGATGAGACGGAGGGGCCGCGACAAATCGGAAAATCAAGGGTTGGTTCTTGTCTGGTTCCTGATCCAGTCCAGAATTATTATGGCGGCTTCATCATCGTCTTCTTACTTCTGCATATCTTCAACCATCTTATATCCTTTCTCTCCAAAGTTTCCAATCAACCTTTCTCATCAATCACAAACCCCATTCATCTCCCAACGGATACAATCCGAATCCATCTGCCCTTCACAATCCCCCAAAATGGACAATGCAATTCCCTTTCCCCACCTCAATAAAGGACACTGATCTTATACTCCAGAGTAGATCATCCCGAACGAAAAGGCTCATCTTCCAAGTTCCGAGTGATCCTCTTTCCCCCCTGTCATCTCATCGTGACTGTCAATCCCAAGAAACCACCGTCTGGACCAGTGTTTCAACCCACCCTCTCTCAAGAAGTCTCAACCCGTCACGCCACGGGCGCCAATCTCTGGCAGTTTCACAACTCCCTCTAGTTTCGATAATCCCCACTTTCCACTGCAACTGCACTTGCACCACCTCCCTTTTGCGCCTCTACTCCATCATCCATCCTGCCATCCACCCATCACCCTGGACTAGCCGCACAGATAGATTAATACTCTCGTCTTATTACTCCAGTCAACTTCCAAGCCAGCGACCGAAAGGGTTGAACTACTGTGTACTACTGGAATTGATCACAGACCTGGCTACCAAATCAGATCCCGTTATTTGAAGTCTGCTTATCACTTGACACTCACCAGTTCACACAGCCTACCCCTGCCCCCCGGTCATCATCATCATCATTATCATCCTGGAAGAGGATCCATTCACTGTAGTTGGGCTCGGAAAGCTCGAAATGTGATGACAGGCGAGACGACGTTTCTGCGTTAATCGGGGAGCTGTGATGTAAAAAGCTTACCGTGCATGGGCTGATCACACAGTAATCCCCGGTCAGGGCCCATGCACGGCCACCAAGCACCTCGGGTCACATTCAAACTCCTCTATACTCTACAAGCTCCATCGACACTATCTGTAGACATTAGAGTCGTGTAAGCCTACAAGAAGCCATACGGTCAACAGCATCCATGTGGGCGCACTTGATTAGCAGCACATAGCTCAGTGCCGAAAGCCCTTCCGCCCCAAACACACCACAACGCCCAACTTCAACCACATAACTCCACCCGTACTGTATACTTTTTTCTCTTGTCATACTGCCTGCTCGGCGCTGACAGCAAACGAAAACCAACCCGTGAAGTGAGGTCACAACCACAGCTAGTGAAGAGAGGAAAAAAAAAGAAAAAAGAAAAAAGAACCTAACATGATATAACCACGGAAATTGTATTGATGTATCTTTCAAATGATTTACCAATAAGGGAGAAACTATCATTACTGAACAACCTGTACGTGCGTTCAAAGAGCTCGTCAGCCTGCATGACTTCAAGTATAGACTCGCGTGTCGATGACGGCAGGAAGGGTAATAGATCAACTGGCAGTGACAAGGCGCTTAGGAAACGGAGCAATCAAACCTTTTCCCGCAAGGATCCCATCCATTGCACCAGGCTGACGCTCTGGTCCGCACGGTCTTCCACCAACATCGTCTGCGCCCACAAGCGGAGACCCGGTTCGCCATCCTCCTTGACCACATACAGGTGCGGCACCACGATGCTGCCCACCCCCTTCGACCGGTGGTCCCGGCTCTTCTCAATCACTGCACGCACCCGCTGGTTGAACTCATTGTCCAGATCCGGCAGGTTCTGCTTGCCCACCCGGAGCTGCGACCGTTCTGCCAAGCCAAACACGTCCTCGATCAGCTGAGGCACCGCATCGCGTCCAACCCACAGAAACTGCGTCTGGCCATCGTCGATGAGGTAGAGGCCATAGGGAACCACCCGCTCGGACGACAGGTTCACTGGAGGAGGGAGGACAATTTCGCCCGTCTGCTCATCGGGCAAGCCAGCATTGTCCGGCATGTCGTGAAGGGAATACATTTTCGGGTAGATGTACTGGATGAGAAGAGGAAGTGGCAATGTTGACAGCATGCAGAGAGCCGCAGAGCGCATATCCGTGGGAATCTGCGCAGATTTGCGAAGGCCGAGCTAGTCGAGAGTTAGATGTTGATGACAAACGAGAAAGGCTTTCCAAAAAAAAAAAAATAAAAACTTACATTCTTCATCATGGCAAGGAAGAGAACGGGCAGTGCTCTCAGGTTAGCAGGGAATTGAAGGCCTCCGCCGCTCACACTGCCACCCGCAAGTTCCTTCCGGTAGGTGGAGAGCAGTTCCACGGCCTTGGCCTGGAGGGCATCCCGGGCGGGCTCCAGACCACTTCCCAAAGCCCGTTCGACGGCCTTGTGGCTGAAGTAGGTTGCGACTGCTTGTTGGTCCGCGGAGGCGAAGACGTCAGCCAGGTTCTGGGTGGTAGGAAGTGCCAGGGTCAGAACACGGATCCTTCGCTCGCCGTTGCATGTGGTGTGGAGAACGGCGGTCTGCAAGCAAACAACAGGTTTCGTGACTGTCTCATCGATGGCAACCTCGACAACATAGGCCTGGTCACGAGGGAAGGCGGGGAAGGCGCAGAGATCAGAACTGCGATTGAAGAAGTTGCCGTAGAAGGTGTTCATACGGAGGCCGGTGGTAGCGCGGACACGGAGCACAGCCTCGAGTCCAATCTCAGAGGACAGATACTCAGAGAACTCGCGCGCGAACTTGATTGCATCTTCGGGGCGAGCAGCATTCCAGCCCGGATAGAAGTATGTTTGTCCACCAGTGTACCGGGGCAGGTTGCTGAGCGATGCAACGTCCTGGTACTGAGAGGAGAACAAAAACATGTCGACAGATACCTGGGCCTTCGAACACTCGACGGCAAAACTCTTATAGAAGCTATTTGCTGTTTGAAGGAGCGCATTCTCCTTGTTGGTACCAAGGACCTTCTTGTCTTCTCTCATCGTGAGAGCACCGTGGCCGATGTTCGGCAGAGAAGAGCTGAGCACGGTCATCTTTCCGCCTACGGGAGAAATCAGTTTGTAACCAGCGCGCAGGGCAGATCCCATGGCACAGCCGTTGCTCTGAGTGTTCTGGAACATCTCTTGCAGCTTATCGAGGAACAGCTCAATGTTCTCTCGGCATTCGCTCAGCGTCACAAGAAGATCGCCCGGAATGGGCAAGAAAGGCTCTTCTAGATCACTGACAACCAGCATTCGGGGCTCAGAGCTATCCGATCCATCCCGGGGAATGCTGAAGTAGTGAAGACTGGAGTCGACAGCGACGAAACCCAGTCGAGTTCGGCGGTCGGCGTTCGGAATTCGGTCAAGACTTTCCTTGATGCAACGTGCACTTGTCGCCAGCAGACCATTGGTGACCGATGCGTAGCTGACATCAATCAAGAACAGGTAGACAAGCGGCTGGGGAGGGCGAACCATGTACTCCTGGGGAGCAACGAACTCCACGACCGAATGGTTGAGATCAGCCCTCAGCGACCGGTCCGCAGGCTTCTGGAGCGCCGTGTCCCAATCGAAGGCCTGAGGTACGTCATTGGTCAGATTGCACATGTTACAACGCCAACGGTGTCCATGGTCGAGGAATGTGACAAAAGGGTTGATATAAGAACGGCAGCGCCGGCATCGGGAGATGACCTGATCGGGGATGACTGGGATAGGATCTTCGGCGTCATGAAGGGCCGCATACGGCTGGATGACGAGCGCAAATGGCAGCTTAGACTTCTTCAGAAGGGAGTGGGTGGTCGGAACCGCATTCAACGTGGAGCGAACGTATTTGGGAGGGCAATTGGCATGGGGAGAGGGGTAAACGCTTGTCTAGTGAGCCCGGTTAGCGACTCCTGTTCGTGCTCTGAGAAGCAGCCGTAGAGAACTTACACCTGGCGGCAGAACAATAGGAGGCGGAGGGTAGTCGAGTTCGGCGACGTTGAATGGCTGAGTGAGGAGGTCGGTAGGATAGAGCTGGTTGAGGGGAGCAGCAGCCCGGGGAGCCTGCGGAGCTTGAGCCATTGGCTGCGGAGGCATCAAGTGAGGATCGGTGACTCCCAAAGCACCGAATTGCTGGGTCAACTGCGCGACCGGCGGGGAGGCGGGCGCCCCGTACCCTGGGGCAGCGGCGTGCATCTGTGTGGGATCTGCGTAGGCCGGTTGCTGATATCCCGCAGCAGCTGGTGCTTGCGGCGGGTAAGCTCCATAGCTACCACCTCCGGGTAACTGGCCTCCTAGAGCAGCATTGGCGCCGGAGCCAAAGTCGAAGGCTTCACCTGCATATTGTCTCTTCTTTCGTGCGCCAGCCTGACCTTGAGCAGCTGGGGCGGAGGCGAGCCCCGCGGGCTGTTGTTCGGAGGTTCCGTAACCGGCAGGCTGACCGTACCCTTCCTGGGGAGGATAGCCCCCTTGTGGTGATGCCATGGAGGACTGTGATTTCTGAATATAGGTAATTAGGAGAGAGAACCGTATTTGAGAAGTGTGCGGGTTGGTATGTGAATCTTGTAGGGTCCCTAAGCGGGGTGGATGGGGTTGGTCAACAATCCAAGACGAGTGCAGGTGGGAGAGTTTCAAGGAGGGGAACGGAGGAGTAACTGGGAAACTAACCACCACGAGATAGATTCACCAAACCGCACGGATGGTAGGACAGGAGGTTAAGCAGACAAGTCTGTCAAGGCGATGATCCGGGCGAGCAGATGGAAAAGGAGGTAGGTCGTTGGTTAGAAGGCAGAAACACGCCGTACTTTTAGGTAGGTCGAGTTGGTGGACAGTAGGTTAGTTCCAAGCAGTGAGTAGTAGCGCAGTGGATGGTGTACGGTGGCCTTTGCCAACCAACCGACCAATCAACACCTCACCGCATCCGAGGCCCGACTCAATGCCTTTTAAGTTGCAGGCACAGGGCAAAATTGTTTCTGAGCACCGCATCTGCTCATAACAGAAATAGTCCTTCCTTGAATTTGCGCTGCCAGATCACTCCTACAAGCGATAGCACGATACTTGCGAGGATGATATATGACAGAAGGAGGTGTAGTGTTCCATAGATGTCCCTGCAGGCTGAGTGGCATAATGATCTCATCCGGGCCAATAACTTATCCTACATTAGCTATAAGTATCTATATCATGGATACATGTAATCCCACTAGGGTACGGGGGTATGGTGTAGTCAGTGCTACCATGGATTGGTTGAATCCAACATGATGCTATAAACACGGCGATCTTTTTGACTTGGTCGCAAGGAGCTTGTGTCTTATCCATGCATAAACTCTATATGTCAGTTAATGCCGATTGCGATAAGTCGCTGGTAAGATAAATGATAGACAAGCATGAGTAACTAAGTCTCAGACCGTAGACTCTCTTAAATATGGACTATACCCAGTATATAGACCATATACGCATGTCATGTTCGATAACTATGGAAATAAAGGCAATGCCCAGATCCGCAGGTGGGATGGAACGGGGCGGAGAAGATGGCCCAGGTTGCCGTGCCAACAGCACTGACCGCTGCAAGTCGCACCACAACGAGGCTATCCCTGTCGCTCTCCATCGATTCGAGCTCATCTTGTCATTATCAACAGCCTCTCAACACCACCCGCCCCCTCGTGCGCAAGTCTCAGATCCTGTTCACAAGGTTGTTGACGGATCAACCTGTGAAGAGTCTGGTACAAATTGAATCCAGCGACATTGAGCGACACTCCTGGATTTGATTCCGAACCCATATTTCATGATCCCAACACTCACGCTTGAAGCTTCGGAGCATAATTGGTCGCCACGGTCAAGTTGAGAGTACGAGCCAGCTTTTTTGAATTTGGACAATCAGTTGTACTTGACTGTGCTGGCACATCATCCTCGATAATTCATAATGAATGTTCGGGTCGTTGCACGTATTCGACCGCTTCTGAAGTCAGAACGCGATTTGGACGTCATTCTTCGCACCGGTCCGTCTGCCAACAGTGTCGACAGGAAGGCTACCGAACTAGAAAAGGGTCGATTGGCAACACTGAGGGATAGGGATACAGTAGTACGCATCCCGAATCCAAAGAATGAGAGTGAAGAGTACTCCTTCCAATTCAATGCTGTCTACGAGGCAGAAGCCACACAGCAGGAACTATATGAGGCAGAGGGTGAGTGTGACGATTCCAAAACGTGAGAAATACATAGCTGACCCAATGCGTAGTTGCCCCCACCGTGAAACACCTCTTCAACGGCTTCGATGTTACACTATTCGCATATGGAGTTACGGGTACGGGTAAGACGCACACCATGAGAGGCGGTAAGAGCTTGGTCGACAGAGGCGTCATTCCTCGTCTTCTGAGTAGCATATACAGACGCAGCCGGAAGATGGAGAAGGACAGCAACGGCGAAACCAGCGTCAAGGTTTCTCTGAGTTACTACGAGATCTACAACGACAAGGTGTTCGACTTGTTCGAGCCCCCCGAGAAGAGGACGTTGGCAGGCCTGCCTCTCCGTGACAATGGAGGCAAGACAGTTGTTGTCGGTTTGACGGAGAGGCCATGTCATAATCTGAAGGAGTTTGAAAGCCTGTATGACCAGGCGAACATTAACAGGTCGACGTCTGCCACCAAGGTGTGTATCTTTGCTCTTCGTCTAGAAGTTGAATCGCTAACTTCAAGACAGCTGAATGCCCACTCATCACGGTCTCATGCCATCCTCTGCGTGCGCGTGGCGGTCAGCACTGGTGACAAAACATGTATTAGCACCGCGTCGGCCATTGATCTTGCCGGCTCAGAGGACAATCGTCGGACAGACAATGACAAGGAGCGCATGGTCGAATCCGCCAGCATCAACAAAAGCTTGTTCGTCCTCGCTCAGTGCGTGGAAGCGATCAGCAAGAAGCATTCCAGGATCCCATACCGTGAATCGAAGATGACCCGGATTCTCTCGCTCGGCCAGAATAATGGGCTGACCGTGATGATCTTGAACCTTGCCCCCGTCAAATCTTACCACCTGGACACAATCAGCTCCCTTAACTTCGCCAACCGTACAAAGAAGATCGAAGTGCGCGAAGTGGAGAATGAACCCATTTTCAAGGGCCCTCCCCGGCCGGTGGCACGGCCGTCGGTCATAGGCACGTTGCGCCAACCGTTGCGGCCTTTGACTGCCTCGGTCAATGTCAATCTGACCACGACGGCAGCCAAAGACGCAGCCAACCCCGAGAAACCCCTGAAAGCATTCCACGTCTACTCCGACAAGTCACAGCCCCGTTACTCCACCCAGTTCAAGAAACCTGAATTACCCAAGCGGGCGTCACTTAGCGCTGATACCACCATGCGAGTCGCGAAACAGCCCATGCGTCTCACCCAGCCCCTTCAACAGCAGCCCCCTAAGCAGTTTGAGGACATTTCTGCTGCCAGAATTGAGGAGATGGTCGAGAGGAAAGTCGAGGAAATCCTCGCTGTGCGAGCAGTCAGCGAACAGTCGAGACAAACACAAGTACGCGAGCTCAACGAGCAGGTGCAACGCCGGCTGGAGCTTCTCGAACAACGCATAGAGGGGTCGGAAGACGCAAGAGCAGAAGGCCTGTCATACCTCCTCATGGCTAAACAGCACCAAGGCCGTGGCGAAGACAACTTCGCTCTGAAGATGTACCAACTCGCCCTTCCATTCTTCCCCAACAACGAGAAGCTCGCCCGCAAGATCGCAACCTTGAAGGAGCGCCTCCACGGCAAATCCCACTCAGACACCCTCGCTGGTGATACAACCAGCACCACCATTGCGAACTCTGCCGGCGGAACAGGAAAGCGCGATTTCGGAAGCATGCTGTCCCTGGAGAAGCAATGCACAGCCAAGACGAATTCGAAACGCAATCACGCAGACGACTCCGACGCAGACTACGAGCCCGGAGACGACACCACCACCAACCAAGGACACAACCAGGACGAGGAGATCGAGGAAATCGAGCTTGACCTGGAAGAAATCGCCCACTCCCGCCGCCGGAAGCGCACTCGCACCAAAACCCCCGTTGATGCCGTCGAGGATTTCGAACCGCCTTCTCCAAGGACTATCCACCTCCTCTCCATAATCAACTCGCGGGACGTGAGCCAGATCAAGCTCCTGAAGGGCGTGGGCGTCAAGAAGGCCGAGGCTATCGTCGACTGTCTCTGCGAGATGGACCAGCACCTGGAGAGTCACGAGGTGGATCAAGAACAAAGCGCCGCAGCTGCCGCAGCTCAAGTTCACATCCACAGTCTCGCAGAGCTGAGCAAGTTGAAAGGAGTGGGGATGAAGAGCGTTCAGAGCATGCGCAATGGCGTTCTGGTGTAGAAGACTTTCTCTCCTCGAGTTTTTGACTTATCTACCTTCAATCAATGTGCAAAATAGCGAGCTTTGTTTGCTTTCCGTTGGCTTGTACACATCATTTGTTTTTTTTTTTTGTTTTTTGGTTTGCCTGGAACGGCTTTTTGGATCTCTGCTTCGGGCGTGCCGTGCTTTCTTGCATTTGCGTGCTCTTTCTTCTGCATGTGCATTTATATGCATTGTTGCTGTGAAACCATACCTGGAACCATTGAGCGAGGGAGTTTTCTGGAGTTGGGGTTGGAATTATTAGTGTTTGCAAATGCGATACGGGAAGATTTGAAGTGAAGATGATTGTTGAACCTTCTTGAAGGCCCATTCTTGATCTATGAGGACGAGACTCACACTCATGGCAGATGCACACATAACCAATATTATCTATACTATGATATACTTGTTCCCGAAACAATTTTTCCTCCGTCCGTCTATAATTTCAACTCTTCCCTCTCCTCCCTTTCAAATCATCCTGACCCAAACCTCTCTTCACCACCACCTCCCCACCACCACCCTCGACTCAATCTTCCCTTCCCCCCAACTTGCGAAAGAGAAGACATCAAACCTTGTTCCACACCCTCCCCCCACTAATCCACAACTTCGCCGCACAATAAAACCCCACCCCCGAAAACATCACCACCGCGCAGAAGACATTCAGCTTCAGATACGAGCCGTGCAGGGGATCCGGCAGGAGGGCGCCCGCGATGGGCGTCCCCGTCAGCGCGGCGAAGCTCACAATAAAGAAATACGTGCCGCTGCGGACGCCAATCTCCTGGATCTCGGAGATCTGGGCGACGAGCGCGGGGGCCAGCGAGACGGCGGTGCCGGAACCGAACCCGTAGAAGGCGCTGAAGAGGATGGAGGGGACGTTGCCGTGCGTGGGGAGCCAGAGGGCGAGGACGAGAATGACCGACAATAACGTCATGAGGATCATGAGGTTGAAGCGGCCGAAGAGGTCGGCGAGGTAGGGAGGGATGATGCGGCCGGGTGTGCTGTTGGGGTTTGTGGTCTGGTTAGTTTTAAGAGGGCTTGGGGAATCGATTTAGAGGGCTGGGTAGGTAGTAGGTTTTGAGAGGTGTATGTAAGGGAGGTGGGTTCTGTGCAACGAACCTGGCGGCATTCATGATCGGGATGAGGTACGAGGCTAGAGAGGCGGACATGCCGTTCTTTTGCGCTTGACTGGGGATGAAGGAGAAGGGCAGGAACATGCCCCAGAAGAAACAAAAAGTTCCGGCAGTGGTCAGGAGGAAGGGGATCTCGCGGAGGGGACGGATGAAGGCGATGAGGTGGAAGGGTTTCCTGCGGTGGTGGAGGCGGGAGCGCAGGGTGCAGTTGGCGAGGATCAGGCAGAAGAGGATCAGAAAAGCGCAGATGCGCACCGCCCAGCCGAAGTCGAGCAGCTCAAACAGTCGGGTCAGCATAATCGGAAGGACGACGCCCCCCAGGCTGGCTCCGCTGGTTGCAATACCAAGGGCGAGGGCGCGGCGCCGGCCGAACCAGGTGCTGATGGAGTTGATGCTGCAGTGGAATAGAGCGCTGGTTCCGATCGGACTGCAGATACCTTGTGCGAGGAGGAATTGATAGTACTCCGATGAGATGGAGATCATCATCAGTCCGAAGACGTGGAAGAATGTGCCTGCCAGCATGATGTATCGGGGGCCGAAGTTGTCGAAGAGGATTCCTACAAACGGACCCTGGAGAGATCGTATGTCGGATCAGCGTCAAGGACAGGTCCAAGGGCAGTTATATGGGCATCACACGCACCCCAAAGAACATCATGAACGTCATCAGCGAAGTGACCCATGTCACAGTACTCGTGGACTCGTCCTTCAGTTGATGCGTTTTGTAATAATCGATGAAAATGCCCATGCCTGAGTCCGCAGATCAGCAACGCCGTCATATATGAGGCAAGTCCATCTTATGTCTTCCAAGCCGGTAACTCACAATTGACCCAGCCGAAGCTGACGAACATGCCGCAGAAGCCACCGAGCACAGTCAGCCACGCTTTCATGCCACCATCCGGAGCTCCCTCAGGCCCTCGAGCCAGCTGCGTCGTAACCGCGGCAGCTCCTATCTTCTCCACCGCATCGTTCGTGTCACGGCCCCCTTCTGGCTTCATCCCAGTGGGTTGTCGCCCGCCGACAGGCTCCTCCTTACCCGGTTCGGCATCGAATTGCGTGGTCGAGGTCGAGTCATGGCTGTGATATAGTTCATTGATGTCTTCTGCGGGAAGCTCACTCGGAAGATCGAACTCCTGACGATGCATGCTGTTCGCCATCCTTCCAGAGGCCTGTAGACTCCGTGGGCTTGTTAATCATGTAGGTTGTTCGACAGGTCACTTCCAGGAGGGCAAATGGAGCCCTGGCCCTATTCTAGTTGAAGACTGCCTCTTCACCAAGCGACGACAGACAGTGAGCCTCGATGAGAACGAGGCGCCGGCACGGGCCGTGGAAGATTTTCAATTCTGGACGGAGTCAATCGGGGGGTGAGGGGGGATTTTCTTTGCCCATCGTGTGATTGTGCTATCCCTTACGGACAGGTTAGCTAACGAACGAGTCGTGCAAAACAATCGGTCTCAAGGGGGGAGCCTTGGCACAACAGAGAAGTCAGATATGATGAACAAACTTGTTATGCCCGGGCTAGCGAAGTCCCTTGCAGGACCCCTTCGGTCTGGAATGGTGTTCACCTCTTTCATTTTTGCCATTCTTCGCCCAATTGCAGCATCGCTTTACTGGATTGTTGATGGGCATGGTTTAGTCCGGCAAGTAGCAGACAATCTAATCGAAATCCAATAGAATAAGAAATCCAGGAAGTGATTTGGCGTACGATCTGACGCATGCTGTCTATGATACATTGAGCCTGCAATGAATATGAATCCTCCAACAATTGGCTCTCGGGATTTATGCAGAAGGAAAGGATAAAAAGACCACTTTCTCCGACTCGACCGGCTTACTTCAACTTCTCAAAGATGACCTTGCCATCCTCGGTGAGCCTGGCGATGCTTTGCGCCGAGCCTTTGGCTTCCTGGAACAATTCATCTACCGTCCGGGTAGGGGCAGGGGCAGCATTGACCGCCTCTTCCGCTGCTTTTCGAACTGGGTCTTCCGCCGGTGTCTGAGGCTTTGCCGGACCAATGGTCAATCCGCGCGGAGCACTGGCAAGCTCGTTCACCTCGTGCGTCGTCAGGACCTCATTGATGCGAGGACCGCGGGTCTGGAGAAGAATAGTTGTGGGGCCATCGAATTGAAGGAATAGCTAGACTGTATCAGCATTGGACAGAACGATCGCAAGGATCCAACGGCTTGGACGTACCCTATCTCCCCAAATGGTCATTCGAGACCAGGTACGAAGCTTGTGGACCAGCTTCATGGTAGCCTTCCAAGTATCCGCCTCAGACATGGCCTGGAGGAACTTGGAACTCTGAATGAAGGCGGGCAGGCTCTTGAGGCCTGGAACCTGAAACTTCAAGGTTGTAGACTTGAAGCGGTACGGACGAGGGGGGTTGGATGAAATGGTGTAGGCAACGACATTGCTTTTTGACGTCAGTCCTCTCACAGTCTGTAAAGTGCCGATTGACGAGCATACCTGGGGTGCACTACGTATTGCTCGCCAGCCTTGAGCTCGACCGAATACAGCTGGCCGTTGCCGACTAGTGCCATCAATCCCCTACCGGTGACCTCAGAGCTACCCCAGTGGGCCAGGCTCTTCGCGAGTTAGCTAGACCCCGGAATTATCCGCATGTTCGGGGAGACGAACCAGGTTCGTATTGATGGTGGGTCGGATCGAGAGCGAACGACCCGTCCAGGCAAGTAACGCCCGCCTTTGAGCCACCATCCAGTCGACCGAGCCATCGAGATGTACGACGGCAAAAGAAGTATTAGGGGAACGGACAGAGACTAAAGCCGTGACTGGGCTGGCCGAGGATATCTGCGCGGGATTCAGCATTCCAGTATAGCTCGAACTCTTAGAGACCAATCAGACCTTCTGATAGAGGAACGGCACGCCAACAACAGCTCTTCGGAAGGGCTCGAGAACACTGAGGGTAGAAATGACCTGGTTATAACGGGCGTTAGAACTAAGGTGAACATGTCCAGATCACGGCGGGCCCGAAGGCCACATACGTTGTCTGCCTTTCCACTCAACCCCACTAGAGTCCCTCGACGGGTGTACAAATTCTGCGAAGCGGAAAGTGAGACCGACAGCAGCGAGTAAGGTGCGCCGATGACATCGAACCGAGCATCTATTTGGGCGAGTACATTAGCAAGGAGTTTCAAGAGATGACCCGGGGAAGCACCGTGTTGCCTGCACCGAGTCTGAATATGTTTTGGACGAGAACTCACCGGCTGACTGGGCTGTTGTAGGGGTGCTAGACACAGGAAGATTGTCTCCATTGACCGGTGTAGGCTGTTCCGCAGGCGCAGCGCGGATTTGGACGCTTCTCATCTGATATGCGCGATGCAAGAGAGCTCCTTGTCGCGCACGAGAGGGGAGAACACGGGTCCAGGACAAAGCCCTGACAGCTCCCCTCAGAGGTTGGCCTGCTGCCATGATTAGCGTTTAAGGGATGAGAAACTGCGGCGAGAAAAGCAGATAATCGATAGCTGGACGAGGATGCTTCGGTTGCACCTCCGCGGTAATCCCAGTAATTCTGCGCAGTTCCTGATCGGGAAAAGCGTTGCTCTACGGCTTGGCACGCAATGTCCGACTTATAACAAGCTGTATCCGGTTTGCTTTCTTGGTTGCGTCTCAGCTACAGAAAGTTGGAGACCAATGCAGGTCTCAGAGGAACGAAGGAGCTATCACACCGTATCATAGTTGAACGACCCAGAGGGGTCGTTGTGCTGTGGTGTGGTGGTTTTTACTTATGCGCCATACAACTTTCCGCTGATGTCATACCGAGCTCACACTATATAATATAACTCCTCCAGTGCAGTTATTCCTTCCCCTGTCATTAATGCATGTGCATATATGTATATATTAAGAACATGGTAGTATCGTTGCAAGTCTTGATATCTAGATAGGAAGCCTATTCCTCAATCAAGATAATCAACGAACAATGTAACTGATCAATGGCTGTCATTTAATCAAACAAGTCGTCATGCACCGAAGCTCGTCCTTGCACAATATGCGCACCATCCGCCTCGAGTTTACCTGTCTAGAATTTCATCATGAACTAAGACTCAAATGATTCAATGATAGACAGAGTCAGGATAGAGAGCATCAACGCCTCCTGACCCGCATAGGAATGTCTGCGTTGGCTCGAACCGCGGGACGAAAGGGGGATGATTTCCAGGACCGGAGATTGTCCAACAACGCAAAATCGGCGATTGCGACAGATCGGCCTTCATTCGTGTCATTCAGCCTGCCGGTCTGCATATAACCTCCCTTGTGATCGACAGTTATCCGTCGTCACAAACGCACACTGTCAGTTTGCGTCTTTTACAGCACAATTCATAAGTTGCATGCTGGCAAAGGCTTGTTGATCCGGCCGCAAGGATAAGACAGTCCGATCCCCCCGCGCATCCCCGCCGACGATTTCCTCCGAACCCGGCGGGTCCCCATTCACAAGCCGGCATTCGCACGCGAGATACCTTTGCGTCTGTCTCTCTATCCGCGCCTACAATGCGCCATTGATCATTGAGGATAACCTCTTCCACCTACTGGTCACTGCGAAAACTTTTGACCGGCCACTATGCTGCCCAGGGCCGCCCGATCGCCGTGCTGGCGTGTCCCGGGACGCTTCGTATACCCGAACCAAGCCGTCACGCGCCCAACCTCATGGACGTCTGCGTCTTGCAGAGTGCAATTCAGAGCCTTCTCAACCCCCAGTGCTCGAAAGGAACAAGTGCCTGCGAATGCTTCAACCTCCTCGAAACCTCCAAATTCCACCAGTCCAACCGCGGCGCAACCGGGAGCTGCCAATGCGACCCAGGCTTCCGCCGCAGCCCCCGCCAACAAGAATGCTACCACAACGACGAAGAAGAAGGACTTGCTTAGTGAGGCCACGGTAGCCAGCAAGGAACAAAGAAAGGCGGACTGGGCGATCATGAAGGAAATGGCAAAGTACCTTTGGCCAAAGGTAGGAGGCTCGAATGACAGTGCGGCGAAGCTATCTTGAATGGTGCTAATGTGATGCGGTGCAGGACGACTGGGGGACAAAGCTTCGCGTTGGAAGTGCCCTATCTCTCCTCATTGGGGCCAAGGTCAGTATCATCGAGGATGTTGGTCATCTAGGCTGATGTGCTGACCGGCGCGCACTTAGATCCTCAATGTTGAGGTGCCCTTCTATTTCAAGAGCATTGTTGACTCGATGAATGTGGACTTTGCAACTGTGGGTGGCACGGCTTATACAGTTGCGGGCTCCATGATCATAGCCTGTAGGTCCGGATCCAGCCATTCAGTTGCGCAAGCCTAACCTTATCCTCCCAGATGGTGTCACCAGGATCGGGGCTACTGTTTTTCAAGAACTCAGAAACGCAGTCTTCGCCAGTGTGGCTCAGAAAGCAATCCGCAAGGTTGCGCGAAATGTCTTCAAACATCTACTACGACTAGATCTCAACTTTCACCTTACGCGCCAAACCGGAGGATTGACGCGGGCAATCGACCGTGGTACTAAGGGTATCAGCTTCTTGCTGACTTCCATGGTGTTTCACGTCGTTCCTACCGCTCTGGAGATCTCCCTTGTGTGCGGCATCTTGGTATGGCATTGTTCGGCCTGTCCCTGTCTTAAGCAGGGAATGCATTGGTGTCCTTATTGACCATGATGGCAGACCTATCAATATGGCTTCAAGTTTGCGGCGATCACGGCTACGACCATGCTCGCATACTCGGCCTTCACCATTACCACCACCGCCTGGAGAACCAAGTTTCGTAAGCAGGCCAACGCGGCCGACAACCGTGGTGCCACTGTCGCTGTGGATTCTCTGATCAACTACGAGGCCGTCAAGTACTTCAACAACGAGAAATTTGAGGTTGCTCGCTACGACAGAGCGCTCAAAAACTATGAGGACGCCTCCATCAAAGTGACCACCTCCCTCGCGTTCCTAAACTCCGGTCAAAACATGATTTTCTCGAGCGCATTGGCGGCAATGATGTACCTCGCAGCCGACGGAGTGGCCACTGGCACTCTCACCGTTGGTGACTTGGTCATGGTCAATCAGCTCGTCTTCCAGCTCTCCGTTCCTCTCAATTTCCTTGGATCCGTTTATCGCGAGCTTCGGCAGTCTCTGTTGGACATGGAAACGCTGTTCAACCTGCAGAAAGTCAACGTGAATATCGTCGAGCGGCCCCATGCGAAGCCATTGGTGCTAAATCAAGGGGGTGAGATTCGGTTTGAGAATGTCACCTTCGGCTACCATCCTGAACGACCTATTCTCAAGAACGCTAGTTTCACGATCCCTGCCGGTCACAAATTCGCCATCGTCGGGCCTAGTGGTTGCGGTAAATCGACTATCTTGCGCCTACTATTCCGCTTCTACGACGTTCAGGAAGGCCGGATCCTCATTGACGGCCAAGACATCCGTGATGTGACGCTCGAGAGTCTGCGCAAAGCTATTGGAGTGGTGCCTCAGGATACTCCCTTGTTCAACGACACGATCGAACACAACATCCGGTATGGGCGGATCGAAGCGACCGACGAAGAAGTCCGCAAGGCTGCTCGACGCGCCCACATCCACGAACTGATTGAGAAGCTACCTGATGGATACAAGACGGCGGTAGGAGAAAGAGGCATGATGATTTCAGGTGGTGAGAAGCAGCGACTGGCTGTTTCCCGGTTAATCTTGAAGGATCCGGAGCTGCTCTTCTTCGACGAGGCGGTACGTATTACTTCTCCCGTTGGCTCAAAACATCGCTTGAACGGTGGGGGTGGCCTGAAGACTAACGAACGACCCGGCCAGACCTCTGCCTTGGACACCTACACGGAGAAGGCACTGTTACAGAACATCAACAGCATCTTAAAGGAGAAGCGACGCACGAGCGTTTTCGTGGCCCACCGATTGCGGACGATCTACGACTGCGACCAGATCCTGGTTCTGAAGGAGGGCCGTGTGGCGGAGACGGGTTCGCATCGCGAACTTCTGGAACTCAATGGCATCTATTCTGAATTATGGAACAGTAAGTGGGATTTTGATTTGTTTTTATTTATTTTTTTTGTCAACCATAGAAGCCATAGATAAGTGTATATTTTTACGCTAACATCCACCACAGCGCAGGAAATGTCGCTCACGCACGGGCAGGGGTCGGAGAGCGCAGAAGAGGCGGAGGAAGTGGAGCAAGACGCTGGCCCGTCCTCCCACCAGCGACAGAACTAGACTTACTTAGTCTATGATTTAAACCCTACGCTTGGTCTTGGGTCTCAGACTCGACGTTGGAGGCGGTCGACTGAGCAACGGAAATCAAACTTTTACGTCAGCTAGTCAACTAACTTAAGTTAACTAGTTAAGGTCTTCCTAAGACGGTCGATAGAAATATGAATGAGTTCATGATCAGCTAGAGCTGCAGCTACTGCAACTAGTCTTCTTATCTGGGGGGAACTCGGTCAAGCACGGCTACTATTGAGTGTCGACCATGGAAACCCATACTTTGGAACAATTCCGTGTGAACTCTCATTAGTTACTGACTAGTGACACTAACAGAGTGTCGACATATGTTCTGCAGATCTGACCGTTTGCGTCCATGGAACTGCAGGTGTCAGGCTAATGCTCCGCAAACAAGCATGGACAGGAGAAGAGGGGTTTTCTCGAAGATCGAGCTGATCAATTGTTGTTAAAGACGATGAACTATGGGAATAGAGTCAAACCTTGGTGTCTCTGTTCTCATCTTGTGTTGTGATGTATTAGTTAGTGTCTTGAACTAGTAGTCATTTAGTCAGGGGTAGCAGAAATAAGACGGAACACGGACCTTTTGGATAATTGACTCTGCAACCGCAACGACTACTGTTCACTAACCATCACTAAACCACCAGCTCCACCCCTGGCTAGACCAAACTCGGGATTTCTCCACCCCCAACCCACGTTGTCAATGATCCGGTTTCCTCCCACTTCTTCTTCTTCTTCCTCCTCCTCCTCTTTCTCCTCTTTCCCTTCTCTGTCTCTCCTTATCCTTCTTCTGCTTATATTCCCTCGTGGTCTCGTCCTAATCTTCTTTACCCTCTTTCTGCATCCTTTCTCCACCCCACACTCGTTCTTTTGTTGATTTCCTTTCCCGTCCCCTCTGCCCCGTTAAAGTTACTCCCATCGTGCCACACCACGAGGCAGTACTCCACAATCCTGATACGTCTTTTTGTCAGCTCTAGTGTCGGAGCACCGTCTCTCCTTGGGTGCAACCCTTCCGAGCCACCGCGTTTTCCCCCTCCTCTATCCCCTGCAACCAACCGATTGAAGCCACTAGTTAGCTATTAACCCTCCAATCGCACTGGCACTCGGCTACTTTGCTTCGACTGGCATCTAGTCTCTCTTCCCACCCCCCTTCCCGCCTTCTCTATCGCACCATTGCATAAACCACCAGCCTTCCCTCCCTCTTCTGCGCAATTGAGTACAGAGATATATCGCTCAATCGCAACCTTCATACATCCATTGAAGGCCTGATTTTACACTGTCATCCTGCTTCCGCCCCCAAGGCCCCCAAACGTTAACGGCCTGATCCGGAACCTGCCGAGCCAACCCACTCCTAAACACAACCAACAAAATGGGCTTCATTGAGAAGTTGCAAGCAAGTACGTTCCGCTCTGGTAGCGCAGCCGTGGGAAAAAGCCCCTGATCACTCGGACATGAGCGCTGCCCACCCCCGCACAAACAAATCCACATATACTAACACGATGACTTGCACGCAGAGCTGGAGCTTTACCGACTAGAGCAGCGTTATGCTCGTCGCAAGCATCGCAGCACCTTCTCGGGTGTTCAATATGTCGACGGCGAATACGTCTACTCCAGCGGATCCAACTCCTCCACGGGCACTGTCTCGAAGCAATCCACAGGCGGCTACTGGAAGCCCCCAACATGGGGATCGTCGTCGGGCGATTCGCGCTGGCGATGAAAGCCTGAACCCGAATGATCCATCCTAACGCTTTCCCTTGGTCCTGGCTATTGTTTGACCATTTGATCCTCGACATTACGTCCCGTGTGGAGGATATGACGACTTTTGTCCTTGTCCTTGTTTTATTTCCATTCCTCGGGCCCAGCCACCCCCAAGTGGGAACCCAAAAGTTGATGATTCTGTCTTCTTCTTTGGAAGCGCGCGCACACTCCTTCGATTTCACGCGATGGTGCTGCAATTGAAGCGAGATCGGCTTTCGAAATCACCGCACCTCCAAAGGAATCGAATTCTCCATGCGCAAGCCTCTCTCGCTCTCGCGCAGTCGAGATCTCTCGTCCACGGGTCATTCAGAAGCTTCTTATCTGGGCCGGATCTTAGTCCTGACATACTGCGTCTTCCCATGACCTATCTTGATCGGAGTCATATGGTACCATCTTACTGACAGCTCTCATGCATGATTCGTTTCGATCATTGACTGCGTACGCTCCGCTGGTCCTCTAGCATCCGTTGCCCCTTGTCCATCTGCTCCGGAGTTTGTGCTCGCTCAAGCGATATTACACCTTTCTCTCTGTCCATATTCTACATAACATTAGCGAGTCGGTTGACGGCGCACCTTGTTCTTTGTGATTGTTCTTGTACCCCTTACTGTACATATCTTACACGGTCTGCTCCCGAATATACATTACTAACTAGCATTGAACCCTTGTTTTGCTCTCGCTCTCGTCAATTATCTGGAAATTTGATTCCTACCAGAAATCCGACAGCCAGACTGCGATGATCTATTTGCAAAGGTTCATAAGCTGCAAACTCTCATATGTCTGTATCGCCAAGCGAAGAACAAACAATGCAGGCTAATAAAAGCTAAGTAAATTCTAGAGATATAGTTAGTTAACTATACTGGGTCCGCCAACAAAACACACCGCTCCCACCTCCTCTTAACTGCTGTTCAACATCATCGCCATTTGTCCATACGTTTCCCTCTTCCCGCTCCGACGAGACATATCACCCCCTCGTCTGTCTCTGTATTGGCTGTCCGAGACGGATGATAAAAATAAATCAAGAGACAAAAACAAGGAACCCTCTCCCCTTCACGCCCCCGAATTTAAGAATAGATTTCTTCAAATCTACTAAGCAACAAGGAACCTCCCGCACCACCCCCCCCCACCCCTTGTCCCGAAACAATCACCGTTTCGACTTCCGGCTCCCGATCCCCAGACGCCCCAGATTCGGCAGGCTGGATTTATGCCTGTGCCCGGCCCCGGCCGCGGCTCGACCGGTCGCACCGCCAGCACCGCCAGGGCCCGAGCCACCACCGCCAGCATTTGCACCACTACCACCAGTAGCCCCCGAACCACCAGGCAACCCGGCATCGGGCCCACCTGCGCGCGCCCCGTCCCCACCCCCGGCACCACCTCCGACGCCGCCTCCTCCAAGGCCGTGGCCTCCCTTCGGCACATCAGGGAGCATGGCGGCGACGATGTTAATACGGTCCTTGCCACGGTGGTGATCCATGCCGACGCCACCGGGGTGGCCTCCGTCACCGAGGAAGGAGGACGCGCCGCCGGCGCCACCGAAGGGACCGCCTGCGTCGTGGTCGAGGGGACGCTGCGAGGCGCGCTGAGCGCGCCGGGCTTTCTCCTGTACGGATTTGAACTTGTCGAGCAATTCAACCCAGCGGATTGAGCTGGTGCTCGAGGATGTTGCGGCCGCGGTGACGACGGATGTCGTGGTGTAGGTTGAGCTGGAGGAGTCTTCGCGTTTGAGGCGGCTACTGCCCGTGGGGCGGTCGTAGGTGGAGGTTGAGTTGGTATTCAGGGAGGAGGGAAGTGCGGTTCTAGGATTCCCAAAGAAGGTGGACATTAGAGATTATGATGCTATTTTTGGTCAAAGGGGGAGGAGGGGAGCAGGTGGTTTTGTGTCATGTTGAACCATCTTGAGGTGAAACTTACAGTCGGGGGCCGGTGTGCAGGAGTCCGATGCTGCTGACGCTGTTGAGGCGGTTTTTCAAAGCGGCGAAGGCGGAGCTTTGTGGGAGGAGCATGAGGACTCCATACAAGCACTTGTAAAGGTAGGGGTATCGTTCGGGCTCGAGCAGCTGGAGACGGAGATCTGTCGTGTGTTGGCCTGTTAGGTCTGTGAGAATTTTGGCATTGGAACGCATAACTTACAGGTGAAGACGGGGGATTCGAGCAGCTGGACCAACTTGTCAATCTGAATTAACATGTTGACAGTCATTTCGAGTTCGGCGCTGGTGGGAGTATGTCAGTGATTATGGCTCTGTCCAGGGCGAAAAGTGACGTACAAGACTTGAAGGAGGTTGTATGCTTGCTCGTAGGCTTGTGCAAGAAGACACAGAGAGAACGTCGAGACTGCATTATGACACCATGACCTGAAAAGAGCGACGAAGAAAGCCTGGCCATCCTGACATTGGGTCAGTTTCTTGGAACACATGCTGCTGATAAATCCTACCTTGTTGTCTAGATTTCTGAGGCGTTTGCGGAGCTCAGAAAGCTCGGGTGCGGTAATTAGGTTGTTGTTGAGATTCTGCACCATGATGCTCGCAAACTCAATGTCCTGTAGTGATTCAGTAATCGTACCAGTGCGTGTACATCTCCTTCCCTGGATGTGCTGTCTTACCTCCTCCTTTTCGAGACAATCTGCAAGAGTCCTATAAATACGCTCAGGACTGAGGTTCATGCACAGCTGCCGTATGATGAGGTTTCCACGAACTTCAAGCAAATTGCGATCAGTCGAAAAGAGTTGCAGTAGGTTCACCATAAATGACTTGAAGTAGCTGTCCTCGCTATTCCTAGAGATTTGCGAGAGAAGCTGCAGATCCTTGGTTACCACAACCTCCGCCGGGTCGGACAATGTTTTGAGCAGAGCAGGGAACGTTCCATCGTTGAAGGCGATCACCTTTTTTGGAGCCTTGCGGTGTAGCATTATCAACCAAGACAGAGCAGCCACACGGGTGGTCTCATTCTCGTTCAAAAACTGTAGAGTAAGAGAGTTGACAGCAGCAGCGTAATCAAGATCTGCAGGAGGCACCGATGTTGAGATAATACTGCTCCTTGGAGTCGGCTCGGTGGATGCCTCTGGCGGTGATGCCTGCTTCTTGGTGTCATTCGACGTGCCTTCAGAGGGCCTACTTCCCGGCGTAGACGACCTCCTTTCGGTGACGAAATCTTTGGTGTTCGTGTTACTGGGCTTGGACACTGCTTGACGTGTCTCCTCCGACGTGTCTTCTGATAGGGTGACGATATATTCCAGCAGGGATGTATTCACTCGGTTTGCGGCCTGCCGCACTTGATCCGAGCCGCTGGACATTGCCGGAAGTACTTGAGTCAGAAGTCGAGGCACGAAAGGAAGAATGTCTTCTGGGCTTATTTCAAAGAAGTTATCGATCCAACGCAAAGCCGTCAACTGCATTTCCTCCACTAGCAGAAGTGATGCGCGTGAGTCGCCAGCCATTTGGTTATGGAGAAAGTGAACAGCTTACCGAATGATGTATCAACATATCCCACAAGGATCTCCAATATCCTAGCATAGTCAATCTGAACATCTTGGCCAGGGATCCAGTCCCCGTCCGCGTTGAATCCATCTTCATCCGTCACGGAATCTACTTCAGAATCCTCTATCGCATTATCATTCATTTCCGAATCGACAGCTAGTGTCTGATCGGTCGTAGTTGTCACGCTGAGGCCGTCACTCGTAGCCGATTGCCTAGTATCACTCCCTTGATCTTTGCGACTTTCCTCGATTCCTTTCTTGAGTCGAGCGATCCTCTTGATCTCCGACAAAAAGCGGTCTAGAAGCGCCTGGGTTGCAACGTTGACATCTCGGTTGGGATCTCCGAGAAACCGTATCAACCCTCCCAGAAAGTCCGGTAGGAATGAAATCAGCTCCAAGTCAGGTATGGTGTCCAAGAGTGTTAGCCACGAGACCAGAAATGTTCTCGTAAAGGGACTCGTGACGTGAATACGCTCCTTGAGCAAAGGAATGAACTTGGGGAGCGAGAACGCCGTGGGCAGGTCTGCATCCTCTATTGAGTCGGGATCTGTCTGCTGCTTCTCCGTGAGCTGTAGCACAGAGACATGTGAAGCTGCGGATTCGGAGACGATATCCTTGACTAGCCGGTCCAGGAGCTCTGCACCGTTCTTGACTGACAGTTCGGAGTCGGAAGCAAGCTACGAATCGAAAAGAAAGATAGTTAGACACAAGAACAAAAGTCCAGCGACAGAGAGCACTCACTTTGCTCAACGCATCAAATATCTCATTGAAGAAAAGTAGAATTTCTCCTTTGGCAACCTTGGCAATATTGTACATGCTCTCGCAAGCATAGTATCGGACGCGCGCATCTTGGTCAGAGAAGCAAGCCAACACTGGCGGTACAATCTCCTTCAGATAAGGTGCAACACCTTCCTACAATCACCCAACGGTTTAGCACTCGGAGCTTGGATTGGGGACGGATTGCGGGAACATTCCCGGTCAGACTCACAGATCCTAAAGCTATTGAAGCGGCCGCAAGCCCAATCAAGCCGCCATTTCTGGCATGAGGTTGATGCACGGCGTAGGCATAATCGTGACAGAGCTGGTCGACAATCTTCTGAATCTCCTCGTGCTCTCCTCTAAAAGCTGCTTCGCGAACGACCTTCTCGAGCCTGGATATCGCATGACAGTTAGTTTACCCGTGAATCCAACTAATCTGGCCTCTTATCGATAGATAGATCCATACTCCAAGGCTCCTTGCTTCCTCCGATCGTAAAGCTTATCGTTCAGCGAACGCTGAATTGAGTAATCCATCGCTCAAAGCAACATAAGAATTAACCGACTAATTAAGCTCCGGGGGGCCGAATTTAGATAGTTTTCATGGTGTGCGAACGTTGTCTGGCTAGGCTGGGGCGGTGAGGCGGTGGTGAGTTCGACTCGGGACTCGCAGAGAGAATATAAGCAGCTGTAGCTATTCAGCTATTCTTCCGATGGCCATCGGGCGCAGATAGCACGGCTTCCTTAGTGAGCTAGGCTGCTACTGCCCACTCTTGGCCTGGTTGCTCGGCAATAGACGCGATGTCAATGTGGGGAGCACTCACAGGAAGATGCGTTGGCACAATGTGCATAGCGGACGCGATGTGACGTAGTCGTGGCTTGCCAGTCAGCACCACCGACTGGCTGACTTCTTACCGCCTACTCAATCTATATCCTATTTGTTTATCTACTGTGTGTCTCCTTGCTCAATACAACTGCTCCGTACTCTTCAATCATCATATGATCAAACACAATAGCAGGATAGCTTCATCACTGTAATGGCAGTACATTGTCTATTCATGCGCCTAAACTCCACAAGTCCGAGCTTATCGAATTCTCCACCCTGAATCTTCGGTAGCAAGAATAGAGAAATGATTCCATGCACGCTAAAACATACCAAGACTAAGGAATGACCGCTATTGATCAATGACTGATATACTGGAAGACTGCAGAGACCTCTTTCTCCTCAGTTTCCTGTCGGATGAGCAGGTCCTGAATCTTGCTGAGGTGGCCTGTCTCTCCATCATTCACAAAATGGTTCCAAGTACTGGTATCACCGTACAGCATGGCGGGGGCTTTGATGTACTGCGTCCCATCCGGTCGACACCTTTTGCACTTAAAAGTATCGTGCGTATCGCTTCGAGTGTCTGGTTTGAACTGAAACAACTCGCGAAGTGATTCTAGAGAAAAGTGTCGCTCAACATCCTCGGCAGAATCCACAACGCACGAAGAGAGTAATTGTTTGTGGGACTGACGCTGGAAAATCTTTTCTTCAATCGAGCCAGTAGCAATGAAACGATAGACAAAGCAGTCTTTCTTCTGACCGTCACGCCAAACACGAGCCAAAGCTTGTTGATCGGCTGCCGGGTTCCAGTCGGGATCAAACAAGACTAGTCGATTCGCACCTATCAGGTTCAATCCACACCCTCCTGCTTTGCTGCTGAGAAGAAATACAAACTCCTCCCCATCAGGATTATTGAACTTATCAACGAGCTTCTGCCGCTTGTTCACCGTCATGGTACCGTCCAAGCGAAGGGAGCCGTAACCCCGTGACCGACATAGCTTCTCGAAGAGATCCAATGTCTGAGTATAGTTACTGATCAAAACAATTTTGTCGTTCGTGTCCTGTCGAATGCGTGCCAGCATACGGTCAAGGACCATCATCTTCCCCGAATACCAGGACTTGATATCCCTGTCACGCCCTCGTCCTTCGGGAGGAACATAGTCATCGGGGAATGCGTGTTCACAGCCAGGAAGGTCCATAGAGAGGTTGAGAAGATCAGGGTGGTTGCAAAGCTTCTTCAGAAGCCCAATAGCTTTCAATGGCTGACTCCCTTTGCCCCTAAGCAGGCTCTTGATTTCCGGGCTTTGGATGAAGTGATTATAGAGGTCGAGTTGGAACTGAGACATGTTGCAGAATACGACGTGCTCGTACTTGACCGGCAAGTACTTGGACAGCAGTTCGTTCGTGCGGCGAATGATGAATTTGTTTACTATGCCCGAGAGCTCGGCCAGCCGTTCATCTCCTTTCTTTCGATCTTCTTCTGTGCCTGCCGCATCTCTTCCTCGCAAAATCGGTAACTCAAACCTCTTTCTGAAGTCATTCTGTGAGCCCAGCAAATTCGGGTTCGCAAAATGGAGAAGTGAAAAGTACTCCGACAGGTCATTCTGGATTGGAGTACCAGACAGAATCACCCGGCGCTGTACATTTAAATTGTTCAATGCAGTCCAAGTCAAGCTTTCCTTGTTCTTCAATCGGTGGCCTTCATCACACAGAAGTAAACCTATCGGAGTGTCCTTCAATGTGTCGACATACAAGCGCAGGGTCTCATAAGAGATAATTAGGCAAGGCCTAACGACTGATCGTCCAGATGCAATAGCCCATTGTTTCAACTGAGCAATAAGTTCCGTTTTTGACGCTTTGCCGTCGACTGCAAAGGGGGTGGTTGCATCCTTGCCCAACCATTTGCCTACTATTATCAGTACACGTGCTATTTAACCAACACTTTCGACTTACCAAGCTCATTGGCCCAGTTTCCGACCAGACTGGAAGGGCATGCAATGATGCACTTTTGAATGGTTGTCTTTCCAGCTTCTGGGGACTGCTTGAGCAATGTCCACATCAACGAGATACATTGAAGCTGCCATCGTCAGTCGATAATAGAAATGAATCGAGAAACTATCATCATACCGTTTTACCCAGCCCCATGCCATCAGCCATGATACACCCGTTTGCGTTTTTGTCTACCATCCCGGTTGTACAACGATACAAGAACTAGGCAATGAGTGTTAGCAAAGGGAGGCGAAACAAGTCAGCCAGAAGCGACACTTACCTTGACACCTTCCACTTGATGTGGTCGTAGAACCTTTGCCAACCGTGGGTCTATTACAACAGGTACCTTTGGTCTGTCTTCTACCTTCTTCTTCAGTCCAAGAATATCTGCCAAGCTCTTATGCACCAGTGGTTCGTCCAGTTGAGGCTTCTCGGCCTCTGCATCCTCTTGCTTCTCTTTCTTCGACTCTGCTTCTTCCAAATCGTCAACAGTCGGGTCATAGAGCACTATGGCGAATTCTCCACTCGGATCATGCAACGGTTTCACAACGAAAGTAGCGCCTTGCCTCATTCCTAGCGTCGGGGCTGGTCGGGCGCCATAGTTGTCAGTTTGTTTGTTAATCAGAGGCACCTTGAACCTCTGTCTGAACGCTGTGTCCTTGTCCTTGGGTTTGAAGACCGGAAATCTGTTCACGTCTCGGGTGGCGAGCGCGAGCCGGTCCTCGTTTGTGTACGGCTTTTCGTTGTCATCATCGCCTGTTCCGTCTGCCCCTGCGTAATTCACCTTCCTTCTCTTCCTCATGGGCTTGTCTGATGTGCGCGTAGGGGTAGCCGAGCCTGGACATTTGAAGGGTCTTGAGAGCCGATCGATGGAGCTTCCGGGAGTGCCGGGTTGGAGGAGCTTCGACGGCGTGCCCGTGGCATTTTCTTTGAGGACCGGTCGTGGGCGATACCTAGATATGTTAGTGAGCCGCAACAGTGACTTTTGGAAAGACTTACATGAGTGAGATTAATCAAGATGTATATGATTCCCTCTAATGACCACTGTAGCACAGGTGGCGGTGGTTAATCGCCAAAAGACCGCAGTCGTTCACCTGGGCTACAGGCTATTGTAGGCATCCAGACGCGTTTGCCACATCTTAGCGCGTTGCCTGCACTTTCCGGACACCAAAGTGTCGCGCGGTCACATGACAGCATCAACAATCGACTGCCATGGATCTTGGTATTCGAGCACAGACAATGGCGTCGCCTTAAACCTCTACTCCTAAATATTTCTAGTAGGGATTTCCGCACATCGCACAGGTACATCAGGCATATATCATACAGCTGTACTCCGTACTATTTACTTATTTTTGTACTGCTTATCCAAGATAAGTGCCATTGGCCGCTCCAGGTAAAAGTACATTACTATGTAACCAATGACAGCGTCACGTCTATCTTTCTCTCGCAGTTCTTTTACCTTTCGTAGCTGCTTAAATGTCTTGCGGATATTCACCGACACTTCAATGGCTAATACAGAACGTGAGATCTTCATTCATCAGACTTACTGCTGGCGCGGTGAGAGCACGGTGCATGCTTGCATGTCGGGAACCTATATTTCGAAAACAGATCATATTATTCAACTGTTCAGTGAGAAATTTATCTACATACAAGCTTGAACAAATACAGTAAGTACATCCTGCACTAACGATCTCTATATGTAATTGCGGTGTGCTGCGAACGGACAACTCACTTCACATGAACCATAATGCCAATGCCACCTCTGACTGAGTGCCGGACAGTAATTGTTGGTCACGATATATATGTTTGCCGAGGCTCAGTACTGGATCTTAATTTAATGCAAGTACCCCGCAGAGACCACTTCAATCATAACTAAGGTCCCATTGAGTATAGTCGCTTTCGGTTCAGCTCCCAGTGCGGGACGGTTTAGATAATATATTCTGGCCGCTTGTAGGGATGACACAGCAATTCTGTACTGCGACACATCAAAGTCGCTAAGTAAGAGCGAAATATCTCCCATTTCTGTCACATATGATATGTCCGCCGACTTTTGGTCTGGCTACCTCAGCGGTGCTATCGGGATTATCATTGGCAACCCACTTGACATTATCAAGGTTCAACTGCAAGCTGGACAGCATGCAGAAGTCGTTGCATCATCCACCACCCAGCAGCTAAGTCGCCTGGAAAGCCTTACATCTCTTGTGCGAGGTCTGTACAACCCTTTAAAATACGGATAGCTCCGAGCCTCGACACTGACCAGTCATCCAGGTTCGGCTGCTCCGATATTAGGCTATGGAGCCCTAAACGCTCTGCTCTTCGTGGCCTACAACCGGTCCTTGATGATCCTGGACAACTCTATCACAGATCCGACCACCCCACAAGGCGTATCCCTGTATAAGGTGTGGCTCGCCGGTGCCGCCGGTGGAGTAGCCAGCTGGACTGTATCATCACCCACCGAGTTCATCAAATGTCGAGCCCAATTGGAAACCCGGCCCGGAGTTTCCTCCTGGACCGTCACCCGACATATTATTAGTACACGGGGCTGGAGGGGCCTGTACTATGCAGGAGGGATCACCTGCGCAAGAGACGCCATTGGCTATGGGTTTTAGTATGTGATCTGCCTGCCCCGGATCTTCACCCCGCGAACCCTTGCGGCTCTTGATAGGACGCCGTACACTAATTTCCCACCATCACAGCTTTTGGTCCTACGAGTACTGTAAGCGCCTCATGAACTCGGAAGAGGACAGCACGAATATAGCTACGTTAAAGATCCTTCTCTGCGGCGGCATTGCTGGCGTCGTAACATGGGCATCAGTCTTCCCTCTAGATGTGATCAAGACGAGACTGCAGGCTGGGACCATCGAAACATCTCCCCAAGATCGTCCATTGCTACAAATCCAGTCCAAGACGCGCGCTCCAAGCTCGTTCCAAGTTGCCAGGGAGGTCTATCGGACTGAGGGCTTGAAGGCCTTCTACCGCGGTCTGGGGGTGTGTAGCTTGAGGGCGTTCATTGTGAATGCGGTTCAGGTATGTGGGCTTGTCGCAAACGGGCAATTTGGACAGCACTGACTGATGGTACTCATAGTGGGCGACTTACGAATGGCTTATGAAATATCTACAAGATCCATGAACAATGATACAAGAAAGAGGCTTGACAAGAGAAGACAGCAAGACAGTTTGATCCCCCATGTTCTGTAATGAAAATAGCAACTTGTAAACTATTCTCGCCCAAGAGTCGGATCCGATCTGAGTGGGGACCTAACTGTACAATACTCCGAGGACCGGCAGTTTGCAAGGGGGTCACCGCAGGACGGAAACAGTGCGCTCGGCACAAACTGGCGATTTTCGGCACCTGGTGGTTTCACGTGCGTGATGTGAGGGTTGACGAATCACGCGTCGGCGACAAGCTTTGTCCGCAAACAGCCAATCATATCACTTTGGTGACAACGTCAACGGCTGCAAATTTGCATCGATGCGGTAAAAATTTTTGGGCTCTTGAAAGGCCTGTCTCAGTACCGGAAGGCTCGTTCGAATGCATTTTCACATGCCCAGCTTCATATTAGCAGTTTTCCAGAGGGCTGATTGCTTGTGTAGGATTGTATGTAGATTTTAATCTTCCATGGCTAGCACGGTCTCTTCCTGCACTCTCACGCCATTGTCGGTACCCAGGCCGACTGCGGCCTCCGCAGCCTTTTGCGAATGGGCTTCCTCACGGAGAAGACGGAGTCTATCAATGGATCGAATTAGCACGAGAGGATCCAACATTTAACCTAAATACTGGTGGACTAGGAACGCAGATCCGGGGTAGTTGCGCGGAGTAACTAAAGCCATTCACTAACCTTCTCTTGTGGTTCTTGCCCTTTCTGTGTCCGACCAGGTTGAATTCACTTTCAAACCACTTGGAGCATTCGACACAGTAGTGTTGCCCTAAACCAGGCAGATCCTCTGCATCTTTGGTAGCCTTGTACTGCGTGAGGTGCTTAGGCGTTTGGATATCGGCACGGACTTGATCGTAGTCCCTAGACAAACGCGCAGACAGATGAGCCCTGCATCTATGCGCAATCCATGTAGAATAATCGAAATAGGAAAAAAGAAACTTACCGAGTCCTGCGCTTGGTCTTGATTTTCCTAACAGCGCCCATTTTGATATCAAAGACTGCCCAAAGTAGCGATAGTATGGAATAGCCTGATAGATGCTCTCCAGGGATTGTGGTAGAGACAATTAGTTCCGATAAACGGAAGGAAACTAAAACCGTGGAGCGGGGCGCTGCCCTTGAAATTTCCGCCTTTGTGCGTGCAAGCAGAAGTTCCTCAAACGTCTTGCTCCTCATTGGGCACAGGGGGCAGGATCTTGGCGGCGGGCCGCGGGACTCCCATCGGCAGGCCTCGGCTCACGCTCGGCTCTCTGTCAGCAGAAAGCTGTACGTACGGCCATTTCCCCGTGGTTTCCGTAATTTATGACGTTGCTATGCGTTCGGCATGTTGCCGCCGGACCAGCCCAACGTCCACTGGCAAGACAGATGAAATAATACACCGGGCCAATGGCTGGCGCCCACTCACCAGTCTCTCAGCAACAGGAGGACACCGATGGAACGACGGTGCAACAATTAGGACTCGTGTTTTTGGACTAGCGGTTCTCCTAATGTTGCGACCATAGTGAATGATTTTATACCCTCTTTAATGTCGAGTAAAAACCTCGATCCTAGCATCTCATAGACATTGCAACAAAGTGACGTCGAAAGAATGTCCTTGATGTAGCATATAATCGGTCACACATGATTGGGTCACTGGCGGCCTCTCACATGCCCTGTGCACGAGCTGCGCGGCGCTGGTGGCCGGTAATCCTCATTACAATCTGGTATTGTCAGAAGAGTTGATGGCGCCCCCGGGATTCGACCAAAATAGTACTGTAGTCAATTGAAAACTGCCCAAGTAGGAGAGCAGCTCTCTGAAGGGGTCATGGAGGAACATGGGGGTGGATTTCGCACATCCCAAATCACGGACTTGACAGTCCGATTACGCCTCTAAACGCAAAAGACCACTGACAGCGCAGCGTTTTCGAATCGATGGGCAGCCTACCGTTGGCCGGGTAAAGGCAAAGAGACATTATGGGTCCTTCGAGTGAAAGAGAGGTCTGAAAGTCTGAAAAGGTCGACCGGAATTTCAGCCGAGTTTACCGTATCCTAACGGTAAGAAGGGGGTAGAACCAGCCACTTCCATCTCTCCGGTCGCACGCTACGCATGCGTACGAGACTTGTACTGTCAAGGAGCGGTTACGGGTGGTCCTCTTCTCCGGTTTTAGTAAATCGCTGTCTGGCGGAAACAAGAATTCTTTCCCACTCAGAGAGCTTCCTTTTATCTACTCCATTTTCCCTTCTCTCTTTACTTCTTCTTCTTTCTTCTCCCCTTCTCTCTATTTCACTCCACTCCATCACACCTTATTCGGGTTGTCTCTCCTTGGATGTGTTGCGGCCTTGCCCACCTCGCATAGAGAGCTTCCATCATGATCTCCACAAGGCTTGCGCGCATGGGTGCGCTGGTAAGTTCTACCCCCCGGACACGTACTCCTCATTCAGCGAGGCAGACATGGTCTCTTCCTGACAAGGAGAGTCGAAGGCTGCCAGCCAGCGTGGTCTTGGGATCAATGGATACTAACTGAATCGTCGATAGGCCCCTAAGTCCCGTCTTGTAAGCCTACGAACCTTCCTCGAACCTTGAGATCTCACACTGCAAAAGATGTGCGAAGAGGTGAAATTGAAAGAGTATCGCAATACTAACAGTAGCGTTTCTCAGCTCCTCGGGACTCGGGGTCTGGCTACCGTCAGCGACTCTCCTCTCGACAAGAAGGTCGAGATGACCAACCTCGAGAAGGTTAGTGGTGGAAATCCCTCAATGAACGCTCCCCGTGCCCTCGGCTGGCCTCGGGTATGCGAATACCGGATTTGGAAAAGTTTTGCTAACTGGCGCTCCGCAGGGTAACTACATCAACTACAAGTATGCAGACACCACAGCAGTCTTTGGCCAATCAAAGCTGCACAAAGCATTGGTATCAATGGATCGCAGGCTAATGTCGTGTCTGTACTTTACAGGAAGATGTCCGAGAACCTCGACATTGTCCGTCGTCGCTTGAGCCGTCCTCTCACCTACGCCGAGAAGGTTCTGTACTCTCACCTTGACGACCCTCACGGCCAGGACATTGAGCGTGGTGTTTCTTACCTGAAGCTGCGCCCCGACCGTGTTGCTTGCCAGGATGCCACTGCCCAGATGGCTATTCTGCAGTTCATGTCCGCTGGCATGCCCTCCGTCGCTACCCCCACCACCGTCCACTGTGACCACTTGATTGAGGCTCAGCTTGGTGGTGACAAGGATTTGGCCCGTGCCAACGAGATCAACAAGGAGGTCTACGACTTCTTGGCCTCCGCTACTGCCAAGTACAACATCGGTTTCTGGAAGCCCGGTTCCGGTATTATCCACCAGATCGTCCTTGAGAACTATGCGTTCCCCGGTGGTCTGATGATCGGTACCGACTCTCACACCCCTAACGCTGGTGGTCTTGCTATTGCTGCCATTGGTGTTGGTGGTGCTGATGCCGTCGACGTCATGGCCGGTCTTCCTTGGGAGTTGAAGGCCCCTAAGGTCATCGGTGTTAAGCTGACCGGTGAGATGTCTGGCTGGACCACCCCTAAGGGTAAGTATCCTTTTGGCGACCTTTAGCTATCTTTACGCACCAAGCTCACAGTTGTACAGATATTATCCTTAAGGTCGCTGGTCTCCTCACCGTCAAGGGTGGTACTGGTGCTATTATTGAGTACCACGGACCTGGTGTCACCTCCCTGTCCTGCACTGGTATGGCTACCATCTGTAACATGGGTGCTGAAATCGGTGCTACCACCTCCCTGTTCCCCTTCAACGACCGCATGTACGACTACTTGAAGGCCACCAAGCGTCAGCAGATTGGTGATTTCGCCAGAAGCTACGCTAAGGAGCTCCGCGAGGATGAGGGTGCTGAGTACGACCAGCTGATTGAGATCAACCTGTCCGAGCTTGAGCCCCACATCAACGGTCCCTTCACCCCTGACTTGGCTACTCCCATCTCCAAGTTCAAGGAGGCTGTTGAGACCAACAAGTGGCCTGAGGAGCTCAAGGTCGGTCTTATCGGCTCTTGCACCAACTCCTCCTACGAGGACATGTCCCGTGCCGCCTCCATCGCCCGCGATGCTCTCGACCACGGCCTGAAGTCCAAGTCTATCTTCACCATCACTCCTGGTTCCGAGCAGATCCGTGCCACCATTGAGCGTGACGGTCAGCTCCAGACTCTTGAGGAGTACGGTGGTGTCATCCTTGCCAACGCTTGCGGACCCTGCATTGGTCAGTGGGATCGCCGCGACATCAAGAAGGGCGAGGCCAACTCCATCATCTCTTCTTACAACCGTAACTTCACTGGCCGTAACGATGCCAACCCTGCCACTCACGCCTTCGTCGCCTCCCCCGACCTTGTTGTGGCCATGACCGTTGCCGGTACCCTCAAGTTCAACCCCCTCACCGACAAGCTCAAGGACAAGGACGGCAACGAGTTCTTGCTCAAGGCTCCTTCTGGCGAGGGTCTCCCCGCCCAGGGCTACGATCCCGGCCGTGACACTTACCAGGCTCCCCCCAAGGACCGTGAGACTGTCTCCGTCGCTGTCTCTCCCGAGAGTGACCGTCTCCAGCTCCTTGCTGGCTTTGAGAAGTGGAACGGACAGGATGCCACCGGTATCCCTATCCTGATCAAGTGCCAGGGTAAGACCACCACTGACCACATCTCCATGGCTGGCCCATGGTTGAAGTACCGTGGCCACCTTGATAACATCTCCAACAACATGTTGATTGGTGCCATCAACGCCGAGAACGGTGAGGCCAACAAGGTCAAGAACGCCTTCACTGGCGAATACGATGCCGTTCCTGCTACTGCACGTGACTACAAGGCCCGTGGTGTCAAGTGGGTTGTCATTGGTGACTGGAACTACGGTGAGGGTAGCTCCCGTGAGCACGCTGCTCTGGAGCCCCGCCACCTTGGTGGTCTTGCCATCATCACCCGCAGCTTCGCTCGTATCCACGAGACCAACCTTAAGAAGCAGGGTATGCTTCCCTTGACCTTCTCTGACCCCGCCGACTACGACAAGATTAAGCCCGATGACAAGGTCGACCTCCTCTGCACCGAGCTCGAGGTTGGCAAGCCCATGACCCTCCGTGTCCACCCCAAGGATGGTGCTTCCTTCGACGTCAAGCTCAGCCACACCTTCAACGAGTCCCAGATCGAGTGGTTCAAGGATGGTTCTGCCCTGAACACCATGGCCCGCAAGGCTGGCAAGGCTTAAATTGCTAGTCATTCAAGCGGCCTAGGGCCTTGATGAGCAACTAGCTCATCTGTAAACTACAAACTTGGTTTCTGTCCGCTGAGATGAAACATTATGATACCTCCAAAAGACTTTGCTGTTCATGGTGCCCATTTTTTCGGGGTACTGTGCAACAATGGTCTCGATGGACATCAAGGGGTAGCGTGGTGATGGGGACGGCTGCTGAAGAAGACGCGGATTGAGTGATCCGAAAAATCTAACGAATTGTTTCTGCCATCTGGGCCTGGTTTCATTTGTACCCTTCAGAATTAGGGTGGACTACATGGATATACTCTTTTTTGTTTTGTTTGATATCATACACTGTATGTTAGGGACTGCGTGCATACCATTTTTCCTTCTGTTCCAACCGTGCATGTTTGCAAATTGGCCGTATTGGGTTGCGATTCCCTGGTAGCATAAATCCGGAAGAAACACTGCCCTTTTGGATGCGTTTCGTGAGGATGCGGACATTAGACAAGCATATCAAGTACTCTCAGCTGATGAGGCCACAGCCCTGTTTAGCTAGATAAAACTAGATCTCTTAATCCGTGCACCCACTGGAAAAACCGAGAGGTAAACCTTGCTCCATCCTGAGTGACCCGCACGTGACATACCTGTGTCTGGTGCTCTCCGGGTCTCTTCAATTCCATTTACTGCGCGCTGCGGACAAGAGGAGCTTCTAGTGTTAAACCTCTGGGGTGGTTATATCTGCAGAATTGGTTTCATCATCAGGCACGAATAACACACCTTCATTCAGATTCCATAACAATCAGCGTTGCTTTCGTAAGCAGAACCCCGCTTGTCTTCATCAGACTGCTGATCCCAGATGATAGCACATCTACTACCACTCAGAGACTCAATCTGCTTTCAGAGGCCAGTCAGTCGCAGATTCAATAGCCCTGTAACATACCACATTGCCTTGCAGCATGGCGACCCAACTTGTTACTCTGCCAGAAGTGGAACGATTAAGTTCATCCGTGTTGAGGATCTTGGGCGGCAACCCGGGCAAGGTTCGTCCCATACTGTCTCAATAGTACACATGCAAAAGCCTGCAGCATGGCTTACGCCTTCTTCTGTCTGATCTTTGTATGCTATTTTAGTTTACACTTCAGGGTGAGTGACTTCTGAGCGCGCACACATTGGCAAAGCCTTGAATGCTGCAGACCTCTGTTCTAATCATGACTGGACAGGCACAAACACATATCTGGTCGGGCAAGGCCATCAGCGCATTCTCATCGACACGGGCGAAGGCAGGCCATCCTGGGCATCTCATCTCAAACGTGTACTTGCGCAGGAGAATGCAACTGTACACCAGGCCCTGCTAACTCACTGGCATCACGATCATGTCAGAGGTGTACCGGATCTCGTGGAGCTTTGCCCTAATGTGACCATCTACAAGCATGAACCTGGACCTGGCCAGAGCAGTATCGAGGATGGGCAGGTCTTTAGCGTAGAGGGCGCAACCCTGCGGGCGTACCACACGCCGGGCCATACGGTAGACCATATGATGTTTGTGCTCGAGGAGGAAGACGCCGTATTCACGGGGGATAGTAAGTGGTCTCGACAGACGTGTTCTTTTGTTTGATTCAGCATCGGCATTACTGATGCAACTGCTCCTCGTGCTGCTAGATGTATTGGGACATGGAACCAGCGTGTTCGAGGACTTACGAGATTACGTGAGTAGTCTACAGAGGATGCAGAATCGGGTTTCTGGCCGCGGATACCCCGGCCATGGGGCGGTGATTGACAATGCAACGTCCAAAATCTCCGAGTATATCAAGCATCGCCAGCAGAGGGAGGATGAAGTGATGCGAGTCCTGCGTTACGGACAGCCCGATGTTGTCGATGGCGAATCATCAATCCCCCAGGAGAGAACATTTTGGACTCCCCTGGAGCTGGTGAAAGTGATCTACAAAGACGTCCCGGAGAACCTGCATTTACCGGCTTCCCATGGCGTACAGCTTGTGCTACAGAAGTTGGAGGATGATGGTCGAGTGGTTCATGACAGGGATCTGAATGCATGGAGCCTGGAGCGTGGCAAATCCCCGCTTTGAGCCTGTCTGGGTTTTTGAGTGGCTGCAAGACTTCCTACCGTGAGCGACATGGTAGAAGCAGGGAGTATAAGTTAGCTGTGTTCGGGAATTCTAGGAATCATAATATTGTTGTGAAAGGAAGTCAGTCCTCATCCTCAGCTTCGGAGGGATGGAATGGGTCATTGAAGGTGGGTGGTGGTGGGGGGGAAGAAAGGCTAGACCCATCTACTGCTGGGAACTTCTTTGGGACGAATTCGGGCAGCCGAATGAGTCTGAGTTGCGGTCTGCATGGAACCGACGTCTGCTTCGTGTTCATACTTTTGAGCTCTGGGCTGATTTGACATCGGAGCCGGTTAATCACCCATGACTGGTCTGATGCGTATGACAGTCGCAAATTTTAGTGTGTAGAGACATTGGTGGTTGTGGATTACGCCTTGCAGCCGTCATCATATGCGCATCTGGGCGGGGCGAATCAAGTTGAGGGACCGATTTCTGACGGGGTCCTGTTCTTGCTTGAACATCCTGGCAGGCTAGCAGCGCAAAAGCATGAAACGTACACCAGATGTTCTAGAGTAACTGCTAGATACTCGCACTAAGTTAAGTGTATCGATATGCGAAATATGGACGATGAATGGCTGGCAGCGAAAGCCACGCCGAGAAATGGGGGTGAATCCGCATTGTGACTTCATTATTTGTTCCGTTCCCTGCCTTTACTGCGTTTTATGGTACTGTTTGTACTTGTCCCGTACTGTGTGTAGTTTTGACTTGGTGGTTGTACTGTGTAAATGAGTATCAGTAGGTAGTAATTGTAGTAAAAATGTAGTAATAGTTCTTTCCCCACCCCACCTGCTTCTTCCTCCCTCCCCCTCCCCCTCCCCTCCTCCTGCTCCCAATCTCTAATCTACTTACTTATCCACCATCTCATCATCATTGAATCTGTATTTTTCTTCTTCCCTTCCCTTTCCCTCTTCTCTGACTTTCAACTTAACTCGCCATCCAGAATTCAAACAGAAATCGTCCCATCCCCACAACACCACCCAAGAAAAAAACCGCAGAACAAAGACTAGGACTGATTGCCGTTGTTGGATGTGCAATTGTTTTCCGCCGCCCCACCACTGGCTCAGTCGATGAACTTGCTAGTGAGGAAGCTGAAGTTGCTGGATTCTCTTGATCTTCTTGCCCAAACCCAAGCCTGGGTCGGTTGGTCCGCGCGCTGCCCGCTGCGGTGAGGTCACTTTCGGCCGCTGTTCCCCGCTACTACCAACCCAGTATTGACTACTTCCTTCTCTGCCTTCTCTGCCAACCAAGAAGAGTCCTCTGAAGCCCTCAAACTACTCCGGTTCCTTTCTTCCTCTAGTGTGCCTTTCCCGTCTCATTCCTCACATCTCCCATTCTCATCAGGGACTATTCTCCCCATTCCGATTCTTTGTCGGAGTCGCCAGTCCCCCCCAGTCCTGCCGCTCAATCTTCAATTTCTTGTCCTACCCCTCCCTCCCCGCCCGCGTCCAGTCTTGTCTCTTTCTTCTATCAATTTAAAGCCTTGGGATCTCTGCGACCCCTCCAGATAACCTTTTTATTCGCCTTCTCGCGCCTGATCCGACCTCCGATAGCTATCCTCCTTTTGTGTGCTGATTCGGATCCTGCTCATCGAGTCGACCGCGCACCCTCTCGCTAACTACTTCTGCGCCCTCCCTCTCCCCCACCCCGCATCACCGCCAATATGCCTTCTCTCGATAACCCCGTTCCGAACGAGGCAAGACTTCTGCTCGTCTCCAATCGCCTTCCCATCACCATCAAGCGATCCGAGGATGGCAGGTATGACTTCTCTATGTCGTCTGGTGGACTAGTCAGTGGACTTAGCGGTCTGTCGAAGTCCACGACTTTCCAATGGTACGGCTGGCCTGGTCTAGAAGTCCCAGAAGAAGAAATTCCCGAGGTAAAAAAGCGTCTGAAGGACGAGTATGGCGCTATTCCAGTCTTCATTGATGATGAACTCGCGGATCGCCACTACAACGGATTCTCCAGTCAGTACTCTTCTCACCCATTGCGTCGCATAGTCGGCGCAATGGTCTAGAATACCCGATTCGTGACGGGCATAGCTAATCGCTCGTCGGATGCCTGTAGACTCGATCCTCTGGCCTCTCTTCCATTATCACCCCGGTGAGATCACTTTTGACGAATCTGCTTGGGAAGCATACAAGGAAGCCAACCGCCTCTTTGCCAAAGCCGTTGCGAAAGAAGTGCAAGATGGAGATCTGATCTGGGTCCACGATTATCATCTGATGCTGCTTCCGGAGATGCTTCGTGAGGAGATCGGCAACAGCAAGGAGAATGTCAAGATTGGTTTCTTCCTTCACACCCCCTTCCCTAGCAGTGAGATCTACAGGATCCTTCCTGTGCGTAATGAGTTGCTGCTTGGTGTCCTTCATTGTGACTTGATCGGCTTCCACACCTACGATTATACTCGACACTTCCTGAGTGCCTGTTCGCGCTTGTTGTATGTATTCACTCGGCTGTGCTTCTCATATGTAACCCGAAGTTACTAACTAAAGCATCAGGGGTCTACCAACCACACCTAACGGAATTGAGTTTCAGGGCAAACTCATCGCCTGTGGCGCCTTTCCTATTGGGATTGACCCCGAGAAATTCGAGGAGGGCCTCAAAAAGGAGAAGGTCCAAAAACGCATTGCCATGCTGGAACAGAAATTCCAGGGCGTTAAGTTGATGGTGGGTGTCGATCGCCTTGACTATATCAAGGGTGTTCCTCAAAAGCTGCATGCGCTCGAGGTATTCCTTAGTGACCATCCCGAGTGGGTTGGCAAGGTTGTCCTGGTTCAAGTAGCAGTTCCCAGTAGACAAGATGTGGAAGAGTACCAGAACTTGAGGGCTGTGGTGAACGAACTCGTGGGTCGAATCAACGGCAAATTCGGTAGGTGCTCCCGGAATTTCCTGGGATCTTGCTAATTGAAACCCAGGCACTGTTGAGTTCATGCCGATTCACTTTTTACACAAATCAGTCAACTTCGACGAGCTGATTGCCCTCTACGCGGTATCCGATGCTTGCATCGTCTCGTCCACACGTGATGGCATGAATCTCGTCGCCTACGAATATATTGCCACCCAAAAGAAGCGCCATGGCAGCTTGGTTCTCTCGGAGTTCGCTGGTGCGGCACAAAGTCTGAACGGCAGTATCATCATCAATCCTTGGAACACCGAAGAGCTTGCAGCGGCTTATCAAGAGGCTGTAACAATGAGCGATGAGCAGAGGGCTCTTAACTTTTCCAAGCTGGACAAATATGTCAATAAATATACAAGGTATGTCTGATTCCGACAGTGCTGTACAGGGACTTTTGCTGATGCAGCTTAGTGCATTCTGGGGCCAGTCCTTCGTCACCGAGTTGACTCGGATATCGACTCAGTCGGCGGAAAAGTTCCAAGCCAGGAAGGCTTCTCTAATCCCGGGCCCCTCCGATACCCAAGAGCATACAAATGGCGTCAAGGCTTCACAGGAAGCATAGGCATAGAATTGAATGCCACTAGCTCAGCCTGCCTCCAGAAAGCGTCGGGATTGAAGAACCTGCCGCGGTAGATTCGGGTATCAACTTGAATTTCAAGTGTAAGGCGTGCTTTCTTAGTTTCTGTTCGAGTCATTTATTTTCTACCGTATGGAGTACATTAAAAGAGTTATTGCGTTCAGGCAAATGGTTTCATGGTTGGGTTGGGAATGTGACTTGGGGTGTTGGTGTGCTGGGTATGTAAATGGAGCATGTTTTAGAATAATCTCAGCTACTTATCCCTCATTTTATTGCTCTAGCCTTGTGAGAGGGCACTCTAACCATGAACTACTGTGGAGAATTCTTGGTTGTCGGAAAAATCGTACATAGAGCGCATCGTGGATCTGATGCGGCGCGGAGAATGGCAAGTGCAAAAAGTGCAAACAGACCCGAGATTTCAGAAATTCTCGGCCAACTCGTCCGCGGCCGCGATGTTCCTCCGACCTGGGATCTAGCCGTGTTTTGAGATCCAGCATTATACCAACACTCATTGCGCTCTGGGCTCTGCTGCGATCCCACTATATCGGCTCTTACATTCTGGAGCAATCTATTCACTAGGGAATTGCCCGACTCTCCCAAGCCTTGCGCAACCGCAACATCCACGACTGAACTGTGCGGACTTTACAGTCAACCGAGTCAGCCGTGTCTAAGAACCGACTCGTTCCACACCCTCATTCGATCTTCTTTCATACCACAAAGGCTTCACCATGGCATTTAGCAAAGCGCTTCGGGCTTTTCAGCCCCTACGAAACTCCATCCTTCGCACCCCCGCCCCAGCCTCTCAGCTTCTCCCCAGACCTACATTTTTCCAACGATCAATTGCCACGACGTCCCCCAGGTTCAACGAGCAACAATCAGAACAGCAACTGCAGCAGGAGCAACAACCAGTGGAACAAGCAAACACGTCCCCCGAAGTCTCTTCCTCCACGACCGCCGAGTCTAGCGTCAAAACAGAGGTCCCTCCCTCCCTCCGCCAATATGCCTACACACTCAAAAAGGGCACCGTCACAGCCGCCGGACGCATGGAGCGCACCGTCACCGTCATGCATTCCAACACCGAGTGGGACTCCCACCTTCGCAAGTACTACCCCAAGAAGGAGCTCATCAAGGTTGCCGACCCCCGTGAATCGCTGCGCGTCGGCGACGTGATTGAGTTCTCGTCTGGGTTCCCCAAGAGTCGCAACGTGCGCCACGTGGTGACTCGGATCATCACGCCCTTCGGTACACCCATCGAGGACCGCCCGGCGGTACTGACGCGAGAGGAGTTAGACATCGAGCGGGCGGCGAAGAGGAGCGCTAAGTGGCAGCGCAAGGAGGCCCGGATCAGGGCGGGCGGTGGTAAGGCCAAGCCACAGCAGCCGTCTGGTGAGCACATCGGGCGCATCCGCAAGTTGATTCATGAACGGCGGGACTCGCCTGTGCCACGCCTTTGGTCGGAGGCTGCTGAGACTACACCGGCTGCTGAGGATGCGCCTGCTTCTGAGACCACCAAGAACTGAGCGAGTTACTCGGGGTTCCTCCGTATCTGGGTTGACTATAAGGCTTTTCTTGCTTTGTCTCCGTGATTGTGTATGGTTTGTATGTAAACCTTGTGTATATTATAGCTACTGGTCATATGGCATACCATGAAATCTTAGTTTATTCGGCTTGTTGAAGTACTTGTTGAAGTAAAATCCATACAAGCCAGATCCGGGGGATAAGAGAGAACTTGCTCGCATCATACAGAACCGAGCCGGCCTATACTTCTGCACTTCCCGCGCAAAACGCATCAATGATATTCAACAAATAGGTCGTAATTGGCTTGTTCTCAGATCTAGTGCTTGGGATCAAATTGACCGCTTCATCGATCTAATGGACGGTGTTACCTGCCAAGATGATCAGCTTTTGTCCCCCCCAGTTTGCGCAGTGCGGGCAGCAAAATTACGGCTGCCAAGCCATCTTTGGGTCGCGAAGTTCCCCCAGTGACTTTGCTTTTGCCCGTTGTTTACGTTCCCTCACTTCTTCCTCCCCGCTCTTTGTGATTGTGATCGTTTCCCACTCGACATCCTTGGCCTTGAGGGCTTGTCTGTTTCAGAAAATCGGTTTTGCTCTAAGCACCCTCCTAAACACTCGGGACGGCTATATCCCTACCAAGACCCCATACTGCGTGCTGGCCGTTGAGTTCCGGAACCACGCCTTGTCTCCGTTTACCCTGTTCGCCCGTGCACGAGATCTGCAACGCTCTGCAAACAATCAAGTACGTATGTCTTTGTGGGATGATATCTTGGACCCTGCCAAAAGAAAAAGCCAGAAGGGAAACAAGTTACTTTTATTGCTTCTGGAACAACCTGATATGCAATCCAACCCCTCGTTACGCGCGGGCGTTCGCCGTTTTGGGGGACTGAGTCTCAAACAGACGCAGTTGAATGTTATCAATCTCTATTTTCACTGGATCGCAAAAGCTAACTGTCTCTTCTCCTCTTTCTTATCAGAGCAACTTTCCACTTAATCCGTCATAATGGCTGACGGAGAAGAGGACTTCTCTTCCTTGCCATTGCCCGAACGGTTCGCGCACAAGGTTAGCCCTTTTCTCGATCAACCTCTCCCCCGCACAGCTTTCAGTCCTGCTTCGACGGCCCCTTCGTGTATGTGTGTGGCGAACTATACTGACTCCGCGCCGCATTGGCAAACCGCCCTCATTGTAGAACTGGAAGGTACGCAAGGAAGGATACGAAGATGCGAAACAACAATTCGAGAAGACGCCTGACGAGTCGCATCCGGTATTCACACCATTCATACAAGACCCTGGTCTCTGGAAAGGGGCGGTGGCAGATTCCAATGTAGCGGCTCAACAAGAAGGTCTCGGGGCCTATTGTGCATTTGTGAAGTTCGGTGGTGTGCAGGCTTGTACGAGGTAAGCTTCCTTATCCGTCTCAGACATTGGTTCAATCTGCGTGAAGGACCCTTTTGTCTCTGTGTCGTGGCATCCAAGCGGAGCGAGTCCGTCTTTTGTGTGCATAGTAGCTCAAGACTGACCGGGATGTCCTGTTCCTCTAGAACGCGCGCAATCACAATCCTTCCTATCTGCGAAAAAGGTCTCATATCAACACGACCAGCCGCCAAAACGAGTGCGCTTGAGGCCCTGCTACTGTGTGTGGAGATGGATAAGGCCGACCCCGTTATCGAAGAAATGCTGCCCGCCCTGTCACATAAAATGCCCAAGGTGATTGCGGCCGCGCTGGCGGGGTTGAAGGCGATTTATCACAACTTTGGGTGTAAGATTGTGGACCCGAAGCCCGTGCTCAAGGCCTTGCCCAAGGTCTTTGGACACGCAGATAAGAATGTTCGCGCGGAAGCGCAGAATCTCACTGTGGAGCTCTATCGGTGGCTAAAGGAGGCCATCAAACCCCTTTTCTGGGGCGAGCTGAAGCCTGTTCAGCAGACGGACCTGGAGAAGCTGTTCGAAGCCGTCAAACAGGAACCGCCCCCGAAGCAGGAGAGGCTTACGAAAGCGCAGCAGGATGCGGCGGCTGTCGCCAGTCCTGCGCTCGAAACTGGAGGAGACGAGATGGAAGGAGTTGAGGAATATGGAGAGGATGAGGCTGAAGTCGACGCTTTCGACCTCGCGGAGCCAGTGGATGTAGCAGCTAAAATACCCGGCAACTTCACAGAACAGCTCTCTTCCTCAAAGTGGAAGGACAGGAAGGAGGCTCTGGATGCCCTCTATACTGTGCTGAACGTACCTAGAATCAAGGATGGGCCGTTTGATGAGGTTGTTCGGATGTTGGCCAAGTCTATGAAGGATGCTAATGTTGCAGTCGTGACTGTTGCAGCCAACTGTGTTGATTTACTTGCGAAGGGATTGCGCAGCGGGTTCTTGAAGTATCGAGCCACTATTATGGCACCGATTTTGGAGCGGCTAAAGGAGAAGAAGCAGAGCGTTGCAGATGCCCTAGGTCAGGCACTCGACTCGGTCTTTGTTGCAACCAGTTTGTCGGAATGCTTGGAGGAGATTCTCGAATTCCTCAAACACAAAAACCCCCAAGTCAAGCAAGAAACGCTCAAGTTCCTCATCCGCTGCCTTCGCACCACCAGAGACGTGCCGGATAAGCCGGAGGTCAAGTCGATTGCAGAGGCGGCTACCAAGCTACTTACCGAGTCTAGCGAGGTCAACCGTGCTGGAGGAGCAGAGGTTCTAGGTACTTTGATGAAGATCATGGGTGAACGGGCAATGAACCCTTACCTCGATGGACTTGACGATATCAGGAAGACGAAGATCAAGGAATTCTACGAGACGGCGGAGGTCAAGGCGAAGGACAGACCTAAGCCTATTGTTGGCCCGCCAAAGACAACTTCTGCGGTTGGCAAGAAGGTTCTGGGTGGTAAAAAGCCAGCGCTTGGGACAAAGAGGCCTGCAGCTGCAGCTGCTCCTCCTCCTGTCGAGGAGCCAGCCCCCGCACCGTCCCCATCGAAGCCCGCCACGAGAGCTATTCCGTCCAAGCTGGGTGGGCTTGCAAAGCCTGGTGGCGGCGGCCTTCAGGCCCCTGGAGGTCTCAAGAAAAGGCTTGCGGGTCAGGCTGGTCTGGCTTCCCCTCAAAGGCGTGTCATGTCACCTCCTACAGAAGATCAGCCACCGCCGCCTGCCGCGCCTCGACTTGGTCTCGGAAGGGGCCTTGCTGGACGGCCAATCGCCAGGCCATCCGCTCCAGCTGAGCCAGCTCCAGCTCCAGTCCCAGTCGCACCTCAAATGAGTGGCATGTCTGCCGCTGAACGTGCGGAATTGGAAGAGCTACGTCTTGAGAAGGAGCGATATACCCGCACTATCGATGATCTGAAATATGACCGAACCAAGTTGAACTCTCAGATCACAGAACTCCAGAATCAGAACGCCCAGCTCATTGAAGACCACACCAGGGATGTCCTGAGCATCAAGGCTAAGGAAACCCAATTGGTGCGAGCACGCAGTGATGCCGAAGCGGCAGAACAGACAGTCCAAAAGCAGCAACGAGAGATCGAGCGCTTGAAGCGCGAACTTGCCAGAGCTCTACGCGCCAGTGCTATCAGCCCACCGAATGCCCTACCCGACAATATCAGTATCTCCGAACCAGGATCTCTATATCAAGATCCGGGCCACACTGGCTACAATCCGATGTCACGAGCTGGACTCCACATTGGATCGCGGTTCGATACCTCGCGGCCGCGTAGCTATGCATCCACTAGCCCGAGTGAAGAGAAAGAAAACAACGGCATGGACTCTCCAGGCCTCAGTGCCAGAGATGGCGGCCTGGGCCGACGAAAGCTGAGTCCTACATTCGGCACCGGCTACTCTGGCTTAGGGAGCCCCACGCGCTCATCTGTACGGGGCTCCGGCAGTGCTTCGGGCGAGGAGCAGCCTACCAGAACCACGGAGCCAGCCGAGAACTGGAAGAGAGCTGCAGAAGTGACGAGTCAGCTCAAAGCAAGAATCGAACAGATGAAGGTAGGCATAGCCTCCATCCACCCCGAACTGGATCCGGTACTAACAGAGGGTACGACATATAGGCAAGGCAGGGCCTCACACGACCACCCGCTCAGCGCTAATGACCGAATGACCAAATAACCAACTTCTACCTTGATTCCCTCCACTACACACCATTTCCTTGCTTTGACTGACGTCGACATTAATTTGCACGTATCATGTGCACGGAGCTTCCGAAGAACCCTTTCTATCTTTCTTCTTCTTCATCTATCTATATCATCTCAAGTTCTTGCTACTTTTAACCTGCTCCACCCGATAGCTTTTCACTCTTGTTGACGGTGTAGGCCTTGTCATCGCGTGATCAAGGGGCGCAAAACGGTTATTCAAAAGAAAAAGACGATGCGCGGATGGGGGGGGGGGGGGGGTTTTTTGGCTGTGTTTGATTTTTTTTTTTCTTTCCCAATGCTGGGTCCATAGCTTTGCCATACCACATACCACGTGTTGTTTTTCGCTGTATAAATGCATTTCTTGTACCTTGATTCTCGATTTTATGGGATGGACTTTTTTCACTGCTAGGATGCGATGGACTAGAAATTGGTGGTTGCAGTTTGCGTGTGGTTTCAATTCTGGGTGTTCTAGGTGAGCCTAAGGCGAAAACGCCGGTTGATTGAATTTGTCAATGTAGCGTTTCATCTACCATCTACAAAAGAAAGGGATCACAGAGGCAATTGAATCGAGGGGGAGGTCATAAGAGCCTCTTGATACTCAAGTAGTCTACGGAGTAGATGAAACAGAACACAGAACACCGTCCATGAATGCTTGGCTTCAAATTGTTCTCCTCAGTTTACAATGAACGGGGTGCGATACCTCTACAGATGACGAAGGGAGAAGAGGATACATGTTGAAGTCTTAAGAAAAATAGCATTCATGGGTGGGGGTATCTGCAAGGCTGTACATGTGGAAGGGGAAAAAAGAAGCGCGCGTCCTTGGAGGATGGTAAAAAAGTTCGTTTCGTTGGGGGTATAAACTTTTGGTTGTTGGTAACCCGTCAGTGCAGTGAAATTGTTCCAGTTCACATAGCTAAGCTTTTTTTTTTGGTTCTGGGGATCTAGTGACACGAGACTAGCTTAGACACGGATGGCACCCTCAACGGCCTTGCGCTTCTTCTCCTGGCGGGCGACAGCCTTGGCGCCCATGATACCACCACCCCAGTGGCGGCGGGACTCCTCGTACTTGTCGGTGTAACCCTCCTTGATGGCGGAGAGGAGCTTGGAGAACTCAGCGTTGTCCTCGGAGCGGACCTCAGTGAGAGCGAGGACAGCAGCGGTCTGAAATTGAATTGTTAGGAAGATTTCCAGGGTGAATCTGTTATGGGAATTTATCATACCTTCTTGTGGACGACGGTACCGAGACGAGCCTTGCCCTTGACGATGGCGTAGGGGACACCCATCTTGCGGCAGAGAGCGGGAAGGAAGACAACCAGCTCGATGGGGTCGACATCGTGGGCGATGAGGACGAGGGAAGCCTTCTTGTTCTCGACGAGGCCGACAACGTGGTTGAGACCGTACTTGACGTTGTAGGGCTTCTTGGAGACATCCTCCTTCTTCTTGCCCTCAGCGACGGCGGTGGCCTCGACGTGGAGACGCTCCTTCTTCTCGGCCTTGGTCTCAGGGCGGTACTTGTTGAGGAGCTTGAAGGTCTGGGCAGCGGTGTTGCGGTCCAGGGTGCTCTGGAACTGAGCGATGGAAGGGGGGACCTTGAGGCGGAGGTTCAAGATCTTCTTCTGGCGCTGAAGGCGGACATACTCGGGCCACTTGACGAAGCGGCTCAGGTTGCGCTTGGGCTGGATGTCCTGGCCAATACCGAAGTTGCGGGAACGCTTCTCGATGAGAGGGTTCTGGGTAGTCGTCAGCATATCCGTTCACCCACCAAAAGTGGTCTGCGAACTGCAACTCGCGGTTCGGTAACAGGAAGATGTGCTTACCTTAGCAGCCTTCTTGGAGCCAGCCTTACCCTGGGGGTAAGGGAGGGAGGCAACCTTCTTTCCGGACTTAGGGGGCTGTCATTGAGAAAAAAGAAGAAATCAGCATCGTGTGCTCCACCATGTTGTTTTTTTTAAGCTGAAACTCTTCTTTTTGAACTCTAGAGAGATCGTAAAATTGACGCAGAACCCAAGTCCCTTTCGCATCCTTCATAGACTGTGTTTCAAGTTTATCGAGATGGAAGAAAGGTATTGAAGAACTACGTGCAATTTTGCGACTCCAGCCAAATCATCACTGATTCCGCATCCCTCGAGAGGGCCCAGCGAAGGGTTCCCGAGGTCCGCGAAATGCAGCGGAAAACATTGCGATCTCAATTGTGTGTGCGAGATGCAAGCCAACCGACTTCCTACAGTCGTGATGTTTCACACGACATGTCGGTGCTCGGTAATTTGTCGATGACAAGGTGAGTTGTCTCTCTCTCTAGAGAACAGAGGAGTTTCCCTTCTGCTTATGGAATTTGGAAATCTCAAATGCTTACCACCATTTTTGTCGACTGAGATCCGCAGCGGCGTTGAGTGACGGGATTGACGATCAAGAGAAGAGAAGAAAGAAGAGAAGTAATTTGAATTTCGCCGACAAAAGGCTGCCGCTGCGTCTGTGGGCCGCCTTCGGATTAACCCCGCTGCCGAGGTTCCAGACAATCATCATACACGTGACTAGGGCTTCAACCCCCCGGCAGAACAAGGCGGTATGCTGGGCTAACTCCCGCAGTCAGCGCACGGACAGTGCGTTCTGAGCTTGGCATCTGACCCGCGCGGAAAATTCAGGAGACAGCAGCTTGTTTACTCCGTAGTTAGTACTACTAGTCAACTACCACTGATTAGTTCACCAAGGGTCTGTTAAATGTTCACGAGCGCTCTGTCTCTCGTCTGGCCCTATCGAAGCATCTTCCTCATTGACTGCATAAACAATCTTTTGCTAGCACCCTCCAGATACTCTTCAGAGTCCTCCAGTGAAACGGTGGGATCACTTCGGAGCTTTTCCATTGGCCTAGTTGAACGAACTATAACATCAGATACTTGAACTGATTGAAAGACGATTTGCGAAGAAACTCCGCAGGTGGAGGGCCGAGCATCGCGATTACTCCGGCGAGAAGTTGCGCATCAGAATGATGTTCATGCGGCCCTCTGCCGTCAAATAGATGGTGATCCTCAAAGAGATCCCAGATCTTGATTTCTCAGTCAACCCACTTATCAACGAATAATTAGACAAAATTTCCTGGTTCGTAGCCTACCAGCACTTCAACGTTCTATATATCAATCTTCGCTGTCCAACTCATCCCAGATTCACCTTGGGAGCGTGGTAGATGTCGGGCTGTACCAATTCATCGTGACCTGCTAGTTCGTTACTGCTGCATTACTCCGTTCCTGCTGAGAAGGTCTTGACTTTGACCCTTCCCATCTATCACCATTCGCCTCAAGTCACGGATTTGCTATCATAGGCAGTCATTATTCGCTCTATGTTGGAGCTAGCAGTGAAGCCACGCACGTCTCTGACGATCGAAGCTCTCAAGGAGCATAACAAGGGAAACACGCCTTCTCGCTCCTCTCGCGCGGTTTGAGATGGCTCTAGAGGAAAGCTGCACGCTGTGGGACGGCCCAATAGTTCCTCCATCCTCTCCTCGCTCCTCACAACAAACGCGGTCCATCAACCCGTCCAGATATATGTGTTGGCCTCTCGGATGAAAGCGCGATAACTGCTTTGGAGCCTAGAAAAGGTCTCAATGCCGCAAGAAGCTCCTTGCTTGATTTGCAAAATAGCTCTAGTCTTATCAGTGATCCATACTTCCATCCCACAGGGAATTCGATCTCCCTTCTGATTATTGAGGCACAGGACGCTGCAACTGGAGGAATTCTTGACCAGGCGCAGAATCAGGCTGCTGTCAGTGGCTCAACCGCGCTTCAGATTCTTAAAAAACATGTCAGCTCTGAATAAAGAAAGCCAAGACGGGATTGATATAGGCAATCAGCTTGAGCAAGACTCCATGCTAAAGCTGGCTTTCTCTGTAACTACCGAGGGGCCGATCCACAGATTATGGCTATACTTCCGGTCGATCAAGGGAGACTTGTGCATGGCATGCGTGGGAGCTCGAAAAACAGCTCTAGAAGACGGATCCATGGACCTCTTACGCCATCTTCTCGCGAGCTTACATAGGGGAACGGAGAATTCAGAAATATTGTTCTTAGCACACTCTATAACTTGTCTATCGTGAAGCTCACACTTCTAGACATGACTGGATCGGATGATTCGCAGCTTCTTTGAAATGCGTTATGTCCTGATGCAGGTCCAGATACTTTCAAGGAAGACTCATGCAGTGGGCGAAGGTGTCACTCCTTGCGTGATCCATAATAAGTTTCCGGGAGTGCTCATCAAGTCTGTCCTATTGTTAGCAATTAGCAAATATTGATGACCTGATGGATGCGACTACAAATAGCACACCCAAATAATTGAAAAAAAGATCAATCATTACACATCAATAGCTCGTCTCATCCTATTCTCGTATTCATATTCCATCCCCTACCATCTGCAAAACCTCATCAAGGTATTATTCCGTAGGTCATTATCTCCACCCACCCAGCCCAGGTAACCCACCCCTCCCAATGCCCGAACTGGCCGCCTGGATTGCCCTCCTCTTCCCCAGCTGACCCTCTTGGCTTTTCACCCCAGCCACGATCTTCTCGATATTCGTCTCGACAACCACCCCACCGACGATCATCTCGCCCAGCACCGCGTGCATCGTCTCGTACCCGAAGATGAGATCCAGCTCGCAGACGTTCTCGAACATGCGGTCCAACGCCTCGACGAAGACCTGAATCAAATCGATCAGCGCCAGAGGCGATTCGGTGGAGGTGGAGATCATGATGAACGAGAGGGTCGCGTAGGTGCGGTAGGTGATCTGGGTGGGCGCGTCGGAGGGTCCGTGGGCGGCGTTGGACTTGGCGCCGCGGGAGAGCAGAGGCGGGAGGGGGAGGAAGTTGCAGGCGCTGGGGGGTCGTTGAGAGACGAGGTTGTAGATCTGGGTGATAAGGGTCTGTTTGGTTTGGGTATCCTGGAGGGGGGATAATTGGTCAGACAGTATGTCGGCGGGGTTCATAATCCGGAGAGAACATTATTCTCACAATTTGAGTATAGAACTTGGTCAACCGGGGTTGACCGTTGTTGTTGAACACAAGGACGGCATTGATCATCTTTTTTTTGTGGTACCGCGCAATCGGAGGACCGAGCGGTATGTCGTTTTCTTGAGAAGCGTGGGATCACGGTATGTCAAAGACAGGGCAAGAGTCTGTGGAGGTTTGAAATGTGTTTCAATCTCAAGCAAGTCCAAGTCCAGTACCTGCAGTGAAGGTATCTCCGAAGTTCTCCGCCCTCCCCTCGTTCCCCTCTCCTCCTCGCCGTCTTATCGATTAGGCGGTGGAGTGGATCATAATCGACCTTCCATACCACCCACCGCCCGGCAGATTTCCTCGCCGCGGAGAGAATAGCTAGAGTTGTCTCCAAATTTCCCTTAGTTGTGCTCACCAAGTCAAACACATACAACATATCACCGATCACTATGAACCTCCGACTCTACACTCTGACCTCCTCGGTCAGGCCGTTACAGGCCCAATTTCATCGTTATTTCTCCTCAACAGCAGCAGCGAGGCACAACACCTCATCGGAGCCTGCCTCATCGGACTTTGTCCCACTAGACCTTCCCCCAACGACACCGACAAACCCCAATGCGCCAAAGAAGCTCCTCTCCGAACTCCCAGCCACCGTCTTCAACGACTACTACGAAACGCAATGTCCGACGGAAGGGCAGCTGGCCTATGCCAACAAGTTCTTCACTCCCTCGCGCCACTCCCCGGTCAAGCTCTGGTCCGCCAGCAAGTTCCGCACGACACCGATCGAATCGCACGAGCCGGAGGTCTGCTTCCTGGGCCGCTCGAATGTTGGCAAAAGCTCCCTCCTGAACACGATCATGGGCGACGAGATTTGTTACACCTCGTCGAAGCCCGGTCGAACCCGCGAGATGAACGCCTTCGGCATCGGTGGCACCAAAGGCGGCGAATCGAAGATCGTACTTTTGGATATGCCAGGATACGGTCATGGAGGTCGCGCCGAGTGGGGTGAGGAGATCATGAAGTATTTGGAGAAGCGGAAGCAGTATGTAGCACCACTCACCTCAAGCAACCTCCCACCTCCCCTCCCCCATCTTTCCCCAGCCCAAACCACCTTCAAACCCAACAGCACAAGAAGCTGAAGCTTACAACCACCGACCACATCCCCGCAATGCCTAGCACACACACCCGCATCCTCACACATGACCAGCACACTAACCAAACCCTACCCCAAAAACCCATAGACTCCGCCGCGTCTTCGTCCTAATCGACGGCCACCACGGCATCAAGATCTTCGACCGAAAAATCATTCGCCTGCTCAGCGAATACAACCTACCCTATCAAATCGTCGTTGCCAAGATCGACAAGATTCTCGCCAAGCAGACAGGCCAGCTCAAGTCCGGCGTCACGGAACGAGGCATCGCCGCCCTACAAACCGTTCACCGGAAACTGCGCCAGTCGTTTGCCGCCATGGCACGCGACTCGCACGGGCCCCCGCCCCTGGGGGAGACTCTGACCTGCTGTGCGGCCGTGCAGCGCGCGCCGGGCGACTACATCGGGATCTCGGCGATACGATGGGCGATTATCAAGGCGGCAGGGTATGATGCTAATGTCGATGCTGAGGGGAATGTTATCAAACCTGAGAAAGTGAAGGCGACGACGAAGAAGTCTTAGGCGCAGGGCACAAGTAATACTGGTTCTCTGGTAAGGAGGTCGGCGCAAAAACAGACTCTCACGGATAACAAGCGTACGATTGGCTATATAGCGTTGGATGGCTCGCTATCTGTTTCGAACGCGCGCAGATTCTGAGGGAGAGTCAGACAGTAAGGTGCAAGAGAGATTGGTGTGGGACTTGAGGGCTGCTCGCCCTCCAGGAAGTTCACCTTGTTCAAGGCGCCACCACTTATAGCACAGAGAGAGAGGTTGAATAACTGATACTTTGGTTTGTTGTGCACCGAATAGTGTCACTTGGAGCAATAGTTAGGCGCTCCAATCGAAGGCACTGGCGCTGATTTGGAAAACAACACATGATTCGACTCTCTGCTGCCAGCATGCACATTCGCGGGTTCGACATGCATGCACCTGGCCGGAAGTTCACCTGCAGATATTTCAATTAATCTCAAGCTACTTATCTCTCTCGGATCTGGAGTCCAGCTCCAAGCTTACATAGACCTTCAGGCCGGGAGATTCGACCAAAAGGGTATCTATGGGTGCCTGCTTGATCCTGCCATGGTCGTTAGCGAGCGCGATGTATTATTTATTACCTGTACTTTTATTTGTCAACCTTGACTCAGACATATATGTATAAATAGAGAGATTAACCAAAGTCAATCAAATCAAGGGCATGTTCATTGTTTTCTATGGCAATTGAGCATTGAGACAACCGCATTGTGAGCTGACTATGTTTAAAGCATGAACAAAGGTTAAAGCCTCGGGGGGCTTGAGATAGTTTCAGATGCATATGGACATAGAACATGCAAGAAATAGCGTAAACGTATGTAATCAAGACAATAAAAAAGGTGACCTCAAGACCAGACACGACGTTTTGATGCCACAACGCCCGATCCGTCATTATGCCGCATACCACAAATATGCTAACCACGCTATGCAAGTTCTCATAATAGAATAGATTATCCATGGAGGGGTATCGTAAATATTTCATGGCTGGAGATGTTGAGTAAAAATAAAAGGATAAAGCGGCCGCTTGCAGTTGCCTTGATATATCGACAACAATTCTTGAGTCAAACCGCTCGGTCTTGAGATGAGAGGCCGGACAACGAGCATCAGCGCCAGCTCTAGACGTCCGAAAGATCGTAATCCTCGTCAGTGTCACCGATTTCGTTGCCCCAGCGATTAACGACAATGCGTCTGCCTAGCTGGTCGCTGGGCACGCCGTCACGGGAAGCACCAAAATCAAGTACCTAGAAGTCGTTAGTCGACCAAGTCATTTCGGAAAGCAAACACACTACTCACCTCGATGTAGGTTACTTCATTACGTTGAACTGCGGCGACGCAGCGGCGATCATTGAACTTGACTTGCCATACTCCACCCAGGTCGGTGAGAAGGTCTCTGACACACTCTCCAGTGCGAATGTCCCACATTTTCAAGGTCCTATCCGAGCCCGAGATGACTTTCTGTCCATCATGCTGGAAGCACGTGATTGCCCCTGTGTGGGCACTCAGCATGTTCTTGCATTGACCAGTCTCCGGGTCCCAGATTCGCAAAGTGGAATCCGCAGCTGCCGATACCAAACGATCATATTTCAAGTCAAGTAATCCAACGAGAGAACTGTGGCCTTCCAAGTTGAATAAGAGAGATCCTGTTTCCAGAGACCAGACTTTGACCATGACGTCCATTGCTCCACTGATACATCGATTTCTTTTCTGGTCAATGACGACACTGTAGACCTTTGATGTGTGACCTTGAAGTCTGTGCACAGTTTCTCCCGTTGAGATCTTCCAGACTCGCACTGTGAAATCATAGCTGCCGCTTACCAACGTATCTCCGTGAGCTGCAATCGCTCGAACGGAGTGCTGGTGACCGGTAAGAACACGAACAAAATACGGGCAATCGGTATCATCCGAGTGAGGACCGCTAGGGTGATACTCAGGGTCGCCAGGCTTCGGAAGCTTCCAGATTCGCAGGTTAGAATCACGAGAGCCCGTGATGATGAGCGGTTCTTTCGGCATCATTTCAGGAGATCCATCAGCCTTCTTTCCCACTTCTGTTGGTAGGACGATCTGTAAGCAGCGTACAGTCGAAGTGTGCCCGTGGAAGACCTGAGTGCACTTCGCCTTTTCTATGTCCCAGACTCTGACCGATCGATCAGTAGACCCAGAGACGAGAGTGTTTCCGTAATATTCGAGAGCCCAAACACCACCTTCATGACCTTCAAGAGTCGCTCTTTGGACACCAGTTTTGGTATCATAGACATTGATGTTTGTGTCATCACTTCCAGTCAAGATCTTATCGGTGTCGAACTGCAAACAGGTGACGACGTGATTGCCGTGCGCCCCAAAGGCAATGTGTCTTGGTTTAACATCTGATTTCATCCAGGCTTTGTGAATGGCATGATGACGCTGATACAGCGATTTGTAGAGATGAAGTCCTCGTAGCGTTGGCAGTCCTATATCTGGATAAGGGATCGCGGCAGCGGCAGCATTCGCGGCAGCATAAGGACCTTCCGAATTCGACACTTCCGTCCTCCAGTCTGCAGGCTCAGAGTAATCTGTTCCACTAGAGGAGATCTTCCTCTTTGTCAACTTTCGACTTGTAACACGCGTGACAGCTTTCCTCTTCGGTCGACGACTGAACGCTGATGTTCTGTCACTTGACTCGGCAAGCGATGTCGTAACATGATTGTGGCCAGACTCGTCGTCAGACTGGCAAGTTGGCAATGCACTCAAGTCCTTTTCATGGTCCTCACTGCCACTGGGGAATTGCCACCCCCATCCCTCTCTGATCGCTCGTTCCAGCTCTCCATTCGGAAGCTTGTAGCCGTCTCTGTCGAAAAGCTCTTTCCATGATTTCTCGTCAGAGTTGATAATATGTCGCCATCTTTTGGACACCTGCGCAGCTCGGCACATGGTCTTAACATCGAAGTACTTAACGATATTAAGACTGAGCTCGGTCGGAAGAGCGGACAAGAAATCGCACTTGAGGGCCGGGTTCACAACATCGGCAACGAACTGCAAGGTCGGCTTGGGACAACGCGTGAGCAATTTATACATAACCCAGGTCTTCATCGCGTCCGGTATGGCTTCAAAATAATCCAGGATAGCGGGAATCTCCATCAGCGAAGCAGACTGCTGCGTTACCGATCCTGAAGAGCCTTCGCCGGGTTGCTCAACATATGTCGCCTTGTCCTGTACATTGCGCATAGTACTCATGGCCTTCGTATCATTATTTTCGAAACTCGAGTCCGTGTCAACTTCTGGATCTTCGGCAGAGTCAAATGACGAATCGACATTCATAGCGTTCATAGCAGCGACCGGAGATAGGCTAGGACTAGGCAAACACATATCTTGTGCCATGATGTTATCGATATACACCCGCTGTGACGCGGACTCCATGGGAGGTTGCAGAGAGTCATCGTCTGGAGCACCGTACCCGGAGTCCTGACTTGCCGCCGCCCCCAACTGAGGCCTGCTTAAGCTTGATTCGGTGTCATGTCGAACCAACGGCCTGCTTCGGTCTGAGACTACAGTCTTCGTGCGGGACGGTTCTCTCCAGGCATTGTTTCCGGGGAAAGTTCCTTGTGATTCGAGTTCGGAGGATAACGGCGATCGTAGCAATGATTCTCGTCGACTGTTGCTCAGATTGTAGACCCTCCGTCTGGGGATAACGCCCTCTCCCGCGCTGTTGTTGCTCTCCGTCTCCGGAGTGGCGAGGCCAGCGGTCATAGGATGGGCTGGTGTAGGAGCTTGAGAACGAGACGAGCGGATTGAGGACTCAGATGGGACGCGTGAAGAATTCGCATGAGTGAGCCGGTGACTATTCTCGATGTCACGACGTTTCGATATAGACAGGTGATTCACGGGTTGGGAACGTCGAGCTAGCTGGGCTTCATCTGAGGTAAATGAGGTTACGGATCGTACCATACCATTCGAAGCATTCAGTGCGACTGCCTTTTCTTTCAGCTGCGCGATAATTAGCCCAGACTATCCGATTTCGACAGGCGGAGAGAAAAATGAACTAATGTCGAAGGCACAATGCATGTGGATTACAATGACATACCTCCTTTAGCTTGGCAGCCGTGTCTTCGGGTTCATTGAACACAACCTGTTTCCCACCAAGTTCAAACTTTATGTTTCTCAGTGCTGACGGGGTAGGAGATGACGCCAAAGGATACAGCTTCGGGTCGAGTTTTCGCGTTGCCTGTGACCGCCTGAAAATCATAGGTGGGAAGGTGGTGGTCGTTGTGGTCGTCGTCGTCACAACCGTAGTTTGAGTGGTAGGAGGATATGAGAACTGTCCGACAGATGCTTCGGTAGAGCCAGGGCCAAGGCCATGATTGTTTTCCTGATCCTCCATGGCGTGCCTCCTAAACTTGGTGCTGCAGGAAACGATAACGTAGGGTGAGATACGAGTCTGAGAGACTGTCGCGCTAAGTAGCGTAGTCCGGGTGGGCTCAGGGTCGATAATGCGAGGAAGTATGCGGCATCGAATCTATTCTAAGACTCTTTGTAAAGCTGGTGTGGTAGACAAAGGCTTTTATAGTCGGGCGAGGAAGCGTTATTTGTGCGAAAATCGGCTAGACTCCTATCGAAACAACAAGACGGTGTTAAAGAGGGTCGCCAACACAATACACGCCCGTCACAACCATTTGAGTGCCCAAGGAGAGTTGGGGAAAAGGAAGTCGTTAAAACATGTCCGTGTCAGGCGAGAGGATTAATATTTAAGGCGAATAAATGAGGAGTCAAGAGAAAAGGAAATGAGAAGAGGTGAGCAAGGAATGGTTGAAATGGTTTAAGTGAAGGTGAAGGGCCGTGGCGTGCTTCGCTGACCAAGAGGCTGTTTGGGCGGCGGGTGAATTATGGGGGGAGGGGGGGGAGGAGGAGGAGGGAGGGAGGAAGTGAGGGTAAGGGAAGGAGAGTAAGTAAAGAGTTAGTAGGTAGAATTGGAGAGGAGAGGAGACCAAGACGGGGGGGAAAGTTGGAGGTGGTTGGTGGGCGAGTCTTGGGTCGGGGCCTTCTTTTCTGGTTAGAAGTTTAGTGAATTAGTAGTTACTAACTAGTAAAATGGGCTAGTTAAAATGAACTACTAAAATAGTTGATTACTATCCTACTAGACACTGACAGTTATTAGGCGGCAGATCATTTAGGAGACCAACCTTGAACCACCCACTTGACCAGGTTGACCAAGTCTGTCAACTGAAAATTCAAGATGAACACAACTCTCCGTAACCACTGAACGGAACTTGTAAGAAGTCAAGAAGTGATAACATCGGCTAGCCCAAATCTGGTCGCCTTCCCGAGGTCCTCCTTGGGGCGAAATCGTCACAGCTCCCCCCTCTGCAACTTGTTTCTCCGCAGCAGCAAATTCAGTGACGACAGCAAAGAGGCTGATAGATTAATCTGGATTGTACATCCAAAGCAGGTGGTGCAATAATTCCCTACACAACAGTGACCACCCAAAAAGAGAGAGAGAGAGTGTGTGTGTGTCTGTGAATTAACTTAACAATGTCTCAAACGAAAGGGAGGCAAATTCTTCTACTAAGGTAAGAGAGGCAACGAAAAACAGGCGGCTAGGCTAATCACAGCTACTACTGGGTTTTGCCGTCCTGCAGACTCAGGGCTCAAATTTGCCCATTGCCCGAAACGCTCGGTGACCTGACGCCCAATCATTTCTCCTGAGACATGTAGATTCATACTACATGGACTGTATACCATGTTACCTCCCGTGCAAACTCATGGCATCAGTAGGTTCCCGTTGCCCAGCACCACCAATGAGCCTTTTCATTGCTCTTCACTATCAGTGCATCTGACACTTTTTTTTTGTCTTACTGTTACTCTGGATTACTTCGGCTTTGTTTGTCCTCATGCAGATTACAACAATCTTGCCACTTGCCCTGAATACACGTGACATGGTGGGGTTTTGTAGATGGAGATGAAGATGGTGATGTTCATATACCATGTTTCTTAGAGGCTGGAACCAATCTAAGCAGAGGGAAAAACTTGTCTCTTGAGTGCGCAGCATCATAGGGGAACGGAAAACCCCACTAGGCAAATTCAGTGAATGAAATAAAGAGAATACTGTGTAAGATGTCGGAGACTTGCCAGGGACAACTTAATTGCGGGGAAGTGCCAGATCAAACTTTCAGACCCGTCTCGCTATCAACCTGAAAGCGGCGGTCGGTTACAATCCAGTTTTCCCTCGGCTGCAGACCTTGAGTATTGAGTATAGAAGCCGTTAATTGAGAACGCGTGGAGCTTGACTGATCGGTTCTAGCCCGGTTAATTGATTGGATTGTGTCAAGTGGCATTTTGCAATATATAACTAGGTAGCTACTAAGTTACTACAGTACATACTATTTCCCGCTGTCTTCCCTTCGCCTAAGTAATCAGCCACTGAGAAATCTCAGGCTGCAGCACCAATATTCGCGTAGATCAGAAAAATAGTATATCATCAAAATTGCTGTCGTTACATGTCTACTAATTTATATACATACCTTACCTAATCAACCGGTGAAATCTGCTGGCAAGAAGAAGAAGAAAACGCAAAAACTAAAAAAAAGAAGAGGCATGGGCTGCACTGTACATTCCCCGTGACTTCTGATGTCGTCAACCCGCGTTGGGGTCGGTCTGCTTTACCCGAAGATTACATTGCTTGCTCATCTGCAATGTTACTCTCCTTGAACTCCGGAGCCTCCCCCCTCTCTTCCCTGTGACTCCTTCCATTGATCAGACGTACCATACTGCATTCTTCACACTGCATCACTCATCGCGCCCGCTTCTCCAGCATGGCGAGGGTTAGAAGCTCCAATCCCCTCCCCCCCTCCGTGCAGTTACAGCCTCCGCCTCCTCGCCTCCTTCATGACCCGGCTGCGAAGATCGGGCCCACTGCCGATGGCCAGACACAGGCCGTCATTGGAGTTTCCCCCAGCTTAGTGCTCAAAGGAAGTATATCGCAGCAGCAGCAACAAAGTCTGGAGATGGTCCAGATTATGCTGCATGTATCGGTAGGGCCTTAAATTTTCATTTTCCTGTGGCCTGGTCACCCGATATCCGCCTGACACCTAACTAGTTTGGTACCTTGTTCTACCTTCGGTTCGTCGCGTTTCCGCCTCGATTCGCTATATAGCTAGAATCTCATAGATGTATCATGCCCCAGGGAATTTCTACCATTGCCCTGCTTCGATGACAGGGATCTCAAGGAGGCTCAACGCGATAAGAAATTCTCCTACCGCGAGTTCCTCGACCGGAAGACGCCATGCCCGACTCTGGAGTCGAACGCCCAGGTCCCTTTCGGAAAAGGCAAGCGAGGTCAGCCGCTCAAGGTGATCATTCGAGGCTCGGATCCCAAAGCGGATATGATCCTCGACATCTTGGTATGACGCCGGAGTCCGTCACACCCTACGGCATACTGACCTGCGCAGGAAAATGGCATCTTCGACGCACTGAGCAAGAACGTGCTGGAAGCGATCCAACTGACCGTCCTTGTTGATAAGAATGCACCGGAGAATGTACTCGAGTCGTACACTTTCTCGTTCAAGTACTCTGGAGAGTCCGGAGATATCAACAAACGCCTCGAAAGTTTGTCGATAGAGCCAGTGGGCCTTGTTGCCGACATAAAGTCTGCGCAATCGGCCAGGGTAGGCCTGGAGACGATCGTGAGGCGGTTGATCACCCTCAGTGCATTTTTACCAGCACTTCCGAGTGAGTATACCCCCTTCGTCCTGAAAATAGCTTTCGTTAACGGAGGATGATCATACAGACAAACGTAATCTAGGTGTTCATTTGTTCTACACTGATAATTGCCCTCCTGAATATGAGCCTCCGGGCTTCAGCGGAGCTAAAGATGACACGATCAGGTTTCCCCACACAGATAATTGGAAAAGAGAATCGCAATCATGCGGTCTGATGGACAGTGGCTGGCATACGTAAGAGACCCTGGATCTTTGTCCTGGCCATGTAGCTAACTGGAATCAGAGTGGGGCTAAGAGTCTCCTCAATGAAATGGACTGGGCCTGATCCGGAAGGGTCAGAAGCTTTACCCCAGATTCCATCTGATCTCGAACACACTGATGTAGTCAGAAGGATGGACGACGTCGGATTCGAAGAAAAAGAGAGCGAAGCTGCTATAAATGTTATTGAACAAAACAACAGCACAAAGGAAGCCGATCCGCCAACTCTGGACCCAGTCCCTTCACCGGGGCCATCGCAGAAGGATGATTCATACGTTGAGCCGACCCAAGATGCTATTGAAAGGCTGCAATTGCAGAAGATGCTGGAAGTGAGTGACACATATCCGCAATGAGCGATTCATCCCGCGGTAGGCGGCTGACCAGCATAGACGCAAGCTTCAGATTCTCTCTTCAATGGCGATATGTCTCCCACGCAGCCTATTGTACCTAGTGAACGACCCGAGTCTCCGGGATCAAGCGTCTTAACACCTCTGCCACCCTCACCACCACCAGAAGCTCAAAAGCCGGTTCTGTCTGAGGAAAGCATTCGTCAAATCAAGGAATATCGCAAAGCTCATGGCTTGGATGTTTCAACAGAGGAGGAAGGCCTAGGCAAGGTGAAATGTCAATGCGGCTGGGAAGGTGAGGAAAAAGCGAAGGCCATGGTGAGTAATCGATCGGACGATGTCGGGAGTGGAATGAAAACTAAGCTGCATAGATTGAGTGCTCTTTCTGCCACTCGCACCAACATCTGGCCTGCTACGGATACACTGATAGCGACGACCCCAGGTTACCTGAAGTCCACGCTTGTTATCGGTGCCTTCTTAGGCTTAAAGAGGGCCCAGTACTCCAAGAAATGACTAGCCTCGTTCTTCTTAGGAGGGCCATTCAGATTATACAGACGGAAGGCTATCCGAGCCATACCTCAACTTTTACGGAGAAGCTTCGTGAGTGACCCGCTTCTACCTTCTGCACAGTACTCTGACCGCGTGCAGATTGCAACGGACAGACGGTCATTCAGATGACCGACGTGCTCAGAAAGCGTGAGCTGTTGGAAGCGACACCGGGATATAAAAGTAAAGGTTTTATACGCAGGGGCTTGCCAAAGTTTTTCATTCCCGACTCCGAGGAAGTGCGTCGGACAATCCAAGAAGAGATTCTGGATCCGATGCTCAAGATTCGACACCATGTAAGTCTACTCGTGCTCACGAATAACCCCAATCATGCTAAATATACCACAGTATAAATTACCAATTGGTTCGCAACCATCTACCGAGTCGACTAAGTCGTTGATTGATAAAGAGCGGGAAGCGAGCAATGAAGTCACGAGCCGAGAAACGGACAGTAGCCCTACGACCAAGCCAAGAGAAAAGCGCGATACACAGCCGACGGAAGAAATACTGACGGTGACTGGAAGTGAGACTCGGAGTCGCAAGAGGAAACAGTCGTTGCCCGAGCCAAAGGAAGACTCTGAGCAACGCGAAAAGTCGACACCAGACCGTCTGAGTGGCAGAGTCACTAGACTGAGCAGTCGAAGGGAAAGCTCTCAGGGGACCACCCAAGCTCCGGGCCCCAAAACACCTACCACCACCCGCGAAAGAAGGCGGAGTAGTCTTCGAAGGAGCAGCAGAAAGCGCCGTAAGATCAGCAATTACTCCAAGCTCATTGATGTTGGGGCCGACGAGTTCGATGCATAAACCATGCGACTCGTGAGGTCTCATTAACGGATTGCGCATTGCCCATCCATCCCCTCACCCCCTCCGGTGAACCATGACAAGCTGAATACATCATTTAAACTCCAGATGCCACACACCGGTCATATTATTAATAAAGTGAAACGAGGACCCTGAGTCACGACAAGCTTTCATCCCAGGGTCTGGTTGGTTTTCCTCCGCTAGCTTTCATGTGCGGTTAGGGTGTTTCGAAGTAAGGTTATCTCACGCTTCCTGTCTCATGTCTCCCCACGCAGTCAAACCAACGAACATGAGGAGAGAGGGGAGTATTGGTAGGAAAAGGATGAAAGTTGAAACACGCACGGTTTGGGACGCAAAGATGGGGATGTTGCTCGAGTGGATACTCCCGCTGAGTAATGAATACTCCTCGTTCGCACGATGGCCATTGTGCACCTTGCTTGCAAAGCTTGTCATGTTTTCAGAAGCCATCACGAGCATATCAACAAGAATGTGATATATATGGGCAGCTTGTCAGGTTTTCTTATTGCCAAGCCGAGTCAGTTCCTATTCTATCTGACTCGTCGCATGATGGGTGGACCAAGTGCCTTTTTCTGTTCGAGTGTCAATAAATCGTATAATATGTGCTCAAAGCCGGGCCCTGTAAGAGCACGCAAAGAGAGTCGATTGAGTTAAACGAGGTTAAGATATCGGACTTGACAATCCTTTGCCGAAAAGAGCAGATACACGCTCCTGGAAATCCGCAGGGGGAACAAGAACACCTCTGAGAACGTGCAGAGGCACAATCGTGATCGGTGCTCCCTTTCCCTCGTGTGCGAAGTATATACAGTTCCGCTTATAGCCTCATACTACTTAGTCCCTTAGTTCCATTCACGCAGGCGAGTCATGAAGAACAGGACAGACACCTCCTGCATCAGATTGTGAGCCCGTGGTCCGTACCCTCCTCACTTGTATGCCATGCCCCTCCAACCTCCCATAGCTCCCATCCTCCTCCCCCAACCACAATCACCCTCTAGATCAACCCCGCCAGTCACTCAGCGAGCTCTAAACACCGGCCTCTTCCCTTCCCTTTCCCTTCTTCCTTCATCGAAGATCTAATGGTGCTGTACCGTGCTCTTCCACTTCTAGTCTCCGAAACATTAGCTCTGAGTATGCTCCGTTAGCCTTATATTTTCGGTCCGACAGGTCCTGCGCTTTGCTCGGTTCGTACAGCGCACAGTACCATCTAGGTAGCTCGTTTCTCTTGGCAACGGGGCCCCGGCTAAGTCCCAATGAGTCCCTATCACTATGGGGCTGAGAACCCAGAAGACGGCTGAAGGATAGCTTCAAGGACCTCAAACTTGGTATCTGTGCTGAGTGGGCTATGCTGCTCGCTCACGAGACAGAGGGACAGAGGTAATGGAGCGAGGGATAGCAAAATAGTAGATGTAAGACCAGTTGGTGAGTTTAGAATATGAAATTACAGGTATACGCCGCCATCATTCTTAGCACTACCACTCCGCCCCCGGCCGCTTTCAAAGCATGCCAACTCTATAAGTTACCAGGATGATGTACGCCGGCTCCTTGGCTTGATTGGTTGACATCACTGACGCCAGGAGAACCTGATGGGGCGGGGTTCAAGTGCTCAGGAGTACAGTGATTAGATCGACGAGGAGCCTCCAAGATTGGAAGTCGGTCAGCAACACCTATTAACGTACTGAGTGAGATTCCAAACCTCACCTATCCTTACTGGACGCCATGCCTGCAAGATTGTGTGCCCTAAGCAGCACGGACTGTCTCACCCAGGCCTCCCAGTTGGACCAATTTAGCGCGGTTGGGATGTCCGTGAAGAATCAGAGCAGGAGGCTGAAGTCACTGTGTATCCTGAGCCGTCATATTCGGAGCATTTGCAGAAGAGGGAATAGATTCGTGCGAACAGCGGGGCTATGGAGTAGGTTATGGGGGTGAATGTTCGGGGGATAGGTTTTGTTTGGGAATAGCGATGGCGGGAGAGCTGCTCCCTTGTTCCTTTGATGATCTTGTTGTTTGTTGTCTGGGGGGATAAGCGCCTTTTCCTCTTCTCGGAGTCGACTAGAGTTGACTACTATCCCGGCTGAGTTGCCCCTGATCTCTGCCGTACTGCATGCTTGACCAGATCTTTGGTTTCATTCATCCAGATAACTATCTTTTTGGGTTCTGTTTCTGAATTCCCCTTTGTGCAGGAAGGGGTGAAGGGGGTGAATTGGCAGCTTGAAAAAATGTCCCGTGGATCGATCAGAATTCGGTATAGGGCTTGTCGATCAGGGGTCTCAAACCAGAGGTCCCAGAGGGTTGGGTGTCAAAAGTCAGCGAACAGTTCTCCGATGGTCTCCTTATGCCTGAAACTGGTACGACAGGCTATCTGGAAGGCTGAATTGACGTGCGGATTGAGTTTTGCCATTTTCTGGAGAACGGGGCTGCGTCTTACTTTCTCGGGTTATCGCTCCAGGAACATTGTCGTCGATATTCTGGAGTCTTGTGGGGTGATTATGGCGCTTAGCTTTTCTGTCTGTTGAGCTTGCAGCAGCGTTAGCACCAGACGCAGTGGGCATGAATTTTGGTCCCCAGCAGGCCACCAGATTTGTCATAACTACGCCAGCTGAAGTATTTATTTTTGTCGAGGGGGACTAATCGGGCAAAAGATGGCCAGCCGGACGGACGGCAGCTTGGCGGACGATCGATCTGCTTATTGAACTACCAGGATGATGCAGACATTACTTGCAGGCCTTCGCAATTCCAGGATCTCACTCAGTCATTTTTCAGAGTGAGATACGGAGTACTGATGGGCCAGAGAATATCTGCAGACAAGACATTGCAAGCCCCGCATCTCAGCAGCACGTTGCAGTAAGTAGCAGGGGTTCATCATGGCAGGCGGCAAATCTCCACACGATCTGTCCAGGATCCAGTCGCATTCCAAGATATCATCGTGCATTCGATGAGCCGAGCCCGTTTGTTTTGTGGTCAGAGTGAACTCCGTACTGACTGCCGTGGGCATCATCATTCTCTGCTCATGCTGGGCGCTGCTTAACCCCTCTGCAGGTTGAGTGTGATTCAGCGGGGTCCCATGGAAACATGTGCATCAGGTCATCGATCATTATACTGAATGAGAACCAATCTGCCGTTCTGCGTGAAGATTCGAGATCAAGCCCTTCCTGGTCACCCAATGACGAACGATCGATGTATAGTTCGCCGCTATCTTGCCTCCCGATCGGTAGTGGCGCACGGTTGCCGACGAGATGTGAACAAAAAAAAACTTCCTCGATATTCCGCTTGTAGTAGAGATGGGCGGGTTCGTGCTTGCTTAAGATCGATTTCATCGACCACTATTGACTCGGGAGTGCAGCGATTGACCCCACCAATATGACGCTGGGACATGACATTGAGGGGCGGGATGACGATCAGCATCAACTAATAATCCCATTGGGGAAAAGAACCAGTCAAGGGACGGGTGGTCGAAGACAGGCGAGGAAGAACTGCCGTAGCTTGGAGTTCTACGAGGCCATCTTTCGAGTTTCAGTGAGTAAATACAGTAGTTAAAACATCCGCAGTACAGAGTGCACGCTTCACAGATCATCGATTGGAGAAAAGCTAGCCGCTTTTTAGCCCCTGAGGAGGTCATTCAGGAAGGATTTTGGATCACTGCTGACAACAACTTGGTCTGACATGACAGCACCCAACATTTCGTGTTTTGCATACTGGCACTCTCTTATGTATGTGTTGCATAAGAAATTACTCCGTAGTCAGCCTGTAGTATCGGTACACCATCCCAGAAGGTGGCAGTGGCCCGCTCTCCTTACCAAGGACTTTGTTCGGGTATCTCCAAATATTGCAGGGAGGCACGTGTGCAGCCGCGCGCCTAAATCGTTCCGTAATTAATTTCCTGGAAATAACGACTATTGCCTCTAGAACCACCCCTAGAAAAACGCAGAAGACGGGAAGGAATACATCCTTGAAGGGGAAAAAAGAAAAATCAAAGCAGAAAGTTCGACTAAAGCAAGGGGTTTCCAATGATAATCAACCACTTACACAGTAACTACACTGTAGATACCTAGGTCTGAGTTACTTGTCACTTTCTGGTCTTTCATGACTGTGAGATGTATCCTTCTTTTCTACACAGTAGGTCCTGGGTTCATGGAGGCTTTACCCGTCGTCCCGTTCGGAACCCCTGGAGTCCCCGGCGTCAATTTCCAGGTAATCAATTTCTTGCGTAGTTGATTAGTAGGTAGTCATCGGTAGAGGGTCTACTATGTATAATCCCTCATGTGATGATTCGGAAACTCGGAGCATTGAGTCTTTCACGGACCTTCTAGGGCCCCATAGGAGACCGAATGCAGAGCCCAGACAGAATTTGTGGCACAATGCCTCGTACTGACCTTGAGTAGTCTCCAATTGCAACATGAAGAAGAGAAACCGATTTCTTTTTGGCTCCTGTACTTGCCTTGATGGGGCATCGCTTGCCCCGGGGACCCATCATGAGTTATCAAATTATCATCACCGGGTATCCACGAATCCACCCCTCGAGCTCCCCTCCACCGGATGGACCACTCATGCTTCCTCGGCCTCTCAGCGGACATTTCGCGATCTATGGAGCCATGGTTGAGGGGTGTTGGTCGATTGTTACTGTTGTTGTACGCTGCTCGAATCCCCAATCGTTATTCGCTCTCCCCTGACCAGTTTTTCGCCTGACAGACAGGGCTTGGTCCTTGACGTTCATGCTCCAGCAGCTCCACAATCAACGATTTGAGTTGCTAAGAAAACCTTCCAAGGCATCTTTTGTTTGGGTTCAATGGGTTGACTATCCCGAAATACTCGCGTCGAAGCTGGTCCATGCGACTAGATTTAGACACTACTGGCGCCTCCTTCCAGTATTCAATGTCCTGTGTTCCACCCCTTTTACCGATAGTATTCTACTACTGTTTTACTATGCCCTCTGCACCGTGATTAATAGTTGGTTGGAATATACTCCGTACGGTTCCAATAAACAATTTCGCACTGCGCCTGCTGATTATTTGATTATTTTTCCTTTTCCTTTTTGATTTTTAGTTTTTATTTATATCATTTTTATCTTTTTAGCCTCTGGCGGCCGGACACGCCTGCGCCCGGTCAATCTTCTGCACCGGCATTCTTTCAAAAGCAGTTGAAGACGCTCTTCTTGGGGCCACTGCACATTTCCAACAATAGCTTCGCTCGTTCACATTGACCCTGAAAGACCAAGCTTCTTCGCTGCCAAAGTCGAGCATTTGTGTATGCAAGAGATTTTTTTGTCACTTGCCTTCTTGTTTCCCTTGACCTTATGCCACGAATCCCCGCTCCAACATATTGTGGCGTTGAAGGTCCAGGTACCAGCGACATTCGGTTTCCCAGACCGCCTATTCGAGCTCTATTAGCATTTGGCAGACGCTGAAGACGAAACGTCTGTCGTGATCGAAGCGGTAATCAAACATACGCATAAGGCGTTTCTGACAGCACACCGATTTACGCTTTTGTGGGGTAGACACAAGCGGACTCGAAGAGCAAAGCTAGAAAGATTCGACATCTCCCACATCGAGTCTCATCTTTCTGGATTTACCTCACCGTTGTACTTGAGCAACGATCTATGTGCTTACTCCGAATCTGATCTATAACCACACGTGAAGTGGTTGTATCGGATCTGACCGGCGCGGAGCTTACAAGTCCAAGAATCTAATTTCCTGACCCCAGTCAGATTCCGACAGTCTTCTGTCGACAATCACCAAACAATGGATGCAACCACCGGCGTGAAGCTTTCAGCAACAGGAAGTGAGAATGATCTGAGGAACGAAAATTCCTCAAAGGCCTATAAGATCTTGGGAGCCGCCGACATCCCATCACACGATGACTACTCAAAGCAAGACGACAAGAGAAGATCGAAAAAGCCGAGCTTCAGACGATCTCCGGATGTGAACTCGCAAAAGAGTGGTGGAAGTTTCGTTCCCTTTCCGACCGCCGCTTCAGAAGCCACTCTCCCGCCAGCCCATCTGCGTGTCCGAGCCTCGTCACCTCTTTTAGGCCTAGAATATCGGACGGAGGATACAGCCCTGCCCGCTGTACCCACAGCATCGAAGAAACTACATTTGACAGGCTCGTCTTCAGCCCTATTCTCGTATTTTAGCTCCAAAGAATCAACAACAAACTCGAGTCTGGCTGTTGGAACCGCAACCACCGACCTTGGAAAAAGCGAGGATCGCAAATCCGGACCGGGGCAAAATGCAGAACCCCGTCACGGGCCGAAACAACCCAAAGGATCTATGAAGGACTCGCGGAGGAAGATGCGGCCGTCTCGAATTGATCTTTCTCTACTGTTTCCCAAGCCAAAGGCGACCGCTGCGCCTCTCCTGTCTCCTCAACGTATGGTGGATTCGCCCTCTCCTATCTCAGTGATCTTCGAGCAGACTGCGATCAACCCACAAGAATCGCGAACCCATTACTCCGATCACAAGCTGACGAAAACACCGGCTCGTCCGAGAGCCTCTATCCTCAAATCTACCGACCACCACAGTCCTGAACCATCTACCACTCACAAGACCAAAAGCTCGGACTGGTTGAACCCTTCCTTTGAGAAGACCATGAGTACGAACGAGATGGACATCGCTCTGCAAAGGTATAGCGACAGGGAACATAATCCCCAGGTGTCTGAACGATCGCATGCGCAATTTCCAAACCGAGACAGACTTGTGATGAAGCGCGATCCAAGGTCGACTGAGCAGGAGTCAAGAGACATATCGTCTAATAGCTCCGTGAGCGAGTGGAGCAGAGAGTCCTACTTGTCTCCTAAAACTTGCCTTCCACCGAGAGCTTATCGGGCTTCGAGTGCTGGCCGCGATGGAGCTAATTTAAAGAACTCGATGCCCAAGAAAACCAGCAAGAGTACATTGAGGACAGTGGACCTCAACCATTCAAGTGTACTGTGTCTGTCTTCGTCCGAAGATGAAGAGGAGGAGGAAGATGAACATCAAGACTATACTAAAGGTCATTCTGATGCAAGTGCGAGAAATAGTGTGGCAACTTACGGCGAGTTCGAGCCTGAAATTTGCACAGCTTCTGCAGCACATACCACTAAAGGCACTCTACGAAGCGTCGACCGGCCAATATCCGGCATCAGTCGTGGATCGCAATATAGCCAGAGGAGCCAATCTATCCGTCGAAACCCCTCCATGTCGTCAGCGGGAAGATCATCGACAGCAACTAGAAAAAGTCAGTCCCGCCGATCGAGTGGGATCCCCACCATCTCCGAGCCGGAAATCTATTATGGCAATCCTACAGTCAACTATTCCAAGCCTGTTCCGCGCACCAGAAGCTCAATGACGGCGCAAAAAGAGACGAATCGGCGAAGCCGAGTCATTGCAGTGACACGGCAAGAAGAACACCTTTTGGAAGCGATGAGACAGAGGCAAGGCAAAATCACGCCTAGTCTCTTCAATGAAGTTCGTGTTTCAGAACCCGATCAGGGATCCATGCTTTCCGTGCCTTCGCGCGACTCATTTTATGGCACGGATATGTCGTTCTTACGCCTGAGCCCCGGCCTATCGGCTAGATCCGGGCAGACCGGTTCGAGCACCGATCGGGAAGGGCTGGTTTTTCAAAGCAGTTCCTCTGATGGGGAACAGAAGACGGTCTACTCGTTTCCCTCACCTCGCACTAGTTTGGCGTACTCTGAGAGTCTTCCGTCTCCAGTCACTAGCGGAGCTTCTCCTTTGACACCTACGCATCCCTCATATCGCCTCTCAACCCTTCCAACGCAGAAACCAACCCCAATGCGTCCTGCCCCAGCTGTGCCCAAGGCACAACGCCGACACTCTAGAAGACGAACTGATAGCAGTGAAGCGATCATCCTCGAAGAGTCGAACGAGACACCGCAGAGCGAAGACTTCCCACTCTGGGCTATCAGGTGGCAAAACGAGAATGGCAACATGACAGCTGTCCATTAAAAAAGCACGACCGTCTTCTAGTCTTTACGAAACCCACGTTTGATCACACTCTTATAACGCCTCGACCTTAGCCGAGACTCACTCACTCACTTGATGCATTTCATACTATCTACATACCCACCTGAACACTCGTTGCTTTCTCACTGATACCTTGCTTATTGCTATTTGTCTTTTGGAAACATGACGCCATAGGATCTTCTGTTCTCTCAGAACATCATCGCTGGCTCGTTATCCACTCATGTATATATTTCCTTGATTTAGGCCATGTGGTACAGTGTACCACGAATTTTACAATCTGAAAGTCAGAACATGATTTTCTCTCACAATTCGTCTAACGTGGTTTGGTCGATTGCGATGAAGACGAGAGAGTCGTGGCTATAACTGTGTACGAGCGTAGTGTCTAGACTAGAGAGTGCCCTGAGGCCCCGCCTGTTTGTCGCTGATGGTGTAGCTGAAAAGGAGCGAGCCCCTGAAGCCAACAGATAATACCCGCCGGGCTTGTCGAATGGCAGCAAGGCACGTTGAGTAGTACCACGACAGGGCGAGTAGCGGTGCCTGGATTGGAGAGTAGGTGGCTTGCCAAGGTGCCGGAAGACAGGATTGGTTTGTCGGAAGGATTCTCCGTCAGTCGATGCTACTGTGTAGAAATGCTAGTTAACCAAGTAATATGAGTAACGGATAGGTAGTTAGTTAGTGCATGAGAAGGTGACAAGCACGGATCGACGTCGACATGTTAAGTTATGTCTTAGTCTGACGTCAGCAACCATTCTTCAGGGGGGAGTTTGGACCCAAAGAAATCGAAATGGAGGCTGGAAAAGTGGGAAGTGGGAAGAACCACTTCAAGTTAGTTGTTAACCTTACCTCGTTTATTCTACACTACACTAACTACTATGTATGAAGATGTTAGTAACTTACACAGTAGGGAAGTGGAAGGGGGGGGGGGGTACTAGACCGCCACCGCTGCTCAGCTGCTTTGCTCCCACTCACCCTCCCCCCCTCCCCCCGTAATCCACACCGCCCAAACAAAGCGTCTCGACAATACCCCGGACTCTCTGACTCTCTCCTCCTTATGATTATTCCTGATTGTTCCTTAAGCTTTTCCTGCAGTTTTCCCTCTGTGCTTTGTTCTACCCCGGTGGTGCTCCGTGTGAGCTCGATCCTCAAGATCTCCTTCCTCCATCTTACCTCAACTGACAGTGGTCAACCGCCAACCCTGCCTCTCGCAGTCCACTCGATCGGGCCTCGGTTTACAGGCGCATTCACGGCCCAGTGCGAATAGACCTCACACTTCCACCTCCGCCTCCGACAACTGACCAACGCGCGCGCACACCACGAAAACATTTCCACAACGGTGGTCCCCCAAACATCAAGCTCACGCGACGAGTAGGCAGAACCCGTCGTGTTGACTATCTAGTACTGCTCAGTGTTCTACGGGAGGCTTGTCAAGGCACAGCGCCGGTACCGTCGACTAACGTCATAATGGGAGAGACTGCAGTGCATCGGTCTGCAGGACTGGGAACAACCATGAAGAATGCTTCTTGGGTTCTTGTAAGATTCTCAAGTCTTCCGCGCTGAAGAATCATTGCGTAACGATGCTATGCGCTTAGCGTCGGGCTCCCTAGCACCATTGCTGACTATCGCGTTCTTTGTAGTTGACGGCACAGTATTCTGCCTTTGTCTTGGTAGGTTCACCTCAGGTTTCCGTGTCTTTTTTTGCGTTAGGAAGAAACTAATTTCAAATCTTAGTTGTCACATTATTCCAGGGTTATGCCGCCAGCTGGCGGCAGACGGTATCTGACGTCCACTGCCGTGTTGCTCAACGAGGTCGCAAAGCTCGCCATTTCCTTGACCATAGCCCTATACGAGGTATCCAAGACGGCACCTCCTTCGGTTCCTGCAACGTCGCTCTTCTTCTCACTTACCTCCGCTGTGTTCTCCGGTGACAGTTGGAAGCTCGCGATCCCCGCTTGCCTTTACACTATCGCCAATTCTCTGCAGTACATTGCGCTTTCGAACTTGCAAGCTGCTACTTTCCAGGTGTCGTATCAGCTGAAGCTTCTCGTGACGGCCATTTTCAGCCTGTTCGTCTTCAAAAGGTCGATTTCTTTGCGCAAATGGGGTCTGCTGGCACTCCTCGTGATTGGAGTCGCACTGGTGCACATACCAGATGGCAGCGTCGACGAGGCCCACTTTGATGAAACTGCTCATCTTTCCTTCCCGCGTTCTTTGGAGGAGTGGAAGGCTGCTAAGCTGGGACGCGAAAACCTGCACAAGCGTTCTGCCACCTACGAAGGAATTGAGGAGGATATCCTGACTGCTAACCCTCGCTTGAACGGGACAATTGGTCTCTTGGCTACTGTAGGTGCCTGTGTTGCCTCTGGCCTTGCCGGTGTGTATTTCGAAAAGGTGATCCAGGACAGCGCGAAGGCGACCTCGCTCTGGGTCCGCAACGTTCAACTAGCCATTTACTCTATCTTCCCTGCCCTTTTCATTGGAGTTGTATTTTTGGACGGCGAGAAAGTTGCGGCCAGTGGTTTCTTCGAGGGATACAACTGGGTTGTTTGGTCTACGGTGATCATTCAAGCTTTTGGCGGAATTGCGACCTCTTTCTGCATCGGATATGCCTACAGGGACGCCAGGAATATCGCTACAGCTGCAAGCATTGTCCTCACAATGCTAGCGAGCACCTGGCTCCTTGAGTTTGAACTCACTGCCAATGTATGTGACCCCCCCCCCCCCTCTTTTACTCACTGTGCTGAAAGCTAATGCTTATTCTTACAGTTCCTCCTTGGGTCCTTTGCAGTCCTTGTGACCACTTGCCTTTGTGAAGAGTCGAGCGCCAATTCTGCTAAAGCTCAACGGCAGACTCTTCGCCCGCCCCCCATTCGAGTCGACCGCTATGAGAAGGACAGCAAGAGTGGCGAGGCCTCGCCAGCCTCGCCTTCTCCGAACGAGATTTCTATCAAGCTTCCTGGAACGCCTTTCTTGTCTGATGCCGGCCTTTCCACGTCACGACCTACATCACCGGGCCATGTACGTGTCAGTGCTGGTCGCAACTCCAACGGCGGATACTTTGAAAAGCATTCTCGGGATCAATGAGCCCGAATCTGCGACTAGCAATCTTTGCTAGTGGCTTCTGAATTTATGCGACACTGTATCATGGCTCCAGAAGTAAATATGGATGAACAGAAATGGTGATGTCTCTTACGCTCTCGATGGAATGTGCTCAACTTCTTGTACTCTACCTTATTATTGTTTCTATCCGCTTGTTGATTATAGCTGGATATGATGCTCAAATCTTATGCCTGTATACATCATGTTTCTGTATCATACCAAAGCAAACTTTACACGCTGCAGCTTGTCTTTTATAACCTAAGCCATATAAGTCTCTCATCGAAGGATGAGCGTAATGAATTTGTGCATCATCGTCGCTGATAGAACCCAGAGCTCAAACAGTTGCCTCATTCGGAGTCACATGCTTCCCTCCCATCGCAGGACTACAGTGTCTTTCCGCCCTATCCTCCCTTTTAGTCCCTCAGTCCCCATTGCAATCTCTCCTCAATGACAACCTATCTCTGCTGCGAGATATTGCAGAGATTTGCAGCATGCGGCCTGATCGTCATCGACGCAAATCCATCGCCAACCAGCGTACCTTGAACGAGCGCAGAGCCGGGCCACAGCTGCAAACACCAAGTCGGTTCAGTCGCCATGATAACCAGAGATTAGAAGAAGGTGCGCGAGTGGCACCGTATTTCAGCAGTCAGGCTCAACGAACTCCCGGAAACTATTTCCCCGAGGCCCAATTGCCATCACATGAGGATGCTCCGGAGTTGGATGCGTTCGGTGGGTCATGGAAGTACTCTCCACTACAGTCTCCCTAGATCTAACCTCAGAGATCATTGAACTAGACCTCGAGCTATTGGCACAGTCCAATGCACAGACGCAAAACCCTAGTCGTCAGAGCACGCATGTTGACCACTACGCTGCTCTGAATCACCCACGACCAGCTGTCCCTTTCCGAACACCGCGAACTCCTGGCAGTGTGTATAGCATCAAGGAACTGGAATGATGAAACACTGACAAGACTGATAGAAGTGATTCAGCTGTCGCCTCTGGATGTAGAATCTAGCTCCTCAGGTGCTGGGATGAGATCACCTTCGAGTCCCTTAGTCAGGCTCCAAACCCTCAGGGAGACCATGGATCATTTTCCACAGCGTCGAGAAGACGCTCGAGATCAAACGGAAATGCCGTACCATGCTAATCCGAACACAGACCGATTTGCATCCTCGCTTGCCATGTCCAAAGCTCCAGGGTCTTCGCGGATGGGACGAAGCACTGAAACCTATCGATCTGCTACGGCTGCTCGGGGCACTGTCCTTGTATCGGTGCATGAGCTTCCAGATAAGTATCGCTCGATATTCTCTTTTCGCGTGTTCAATACCGTGCAGTCCAAATGCTTCGAGTCCGTCTACAGGAGTGATTATAATATGGTCCTTGCTGCTCCCACGGGAAGTGGGAAAACCGTCATCATGGAGCTGGCGATATGCCGTTTGCTCAACACACTCAAGGATGAAAGGTTTAAGGTGGTCTATCAGGCGCCCACGAAGTCGCTTTGCTCGGAGAGGTTCCGCGACTGGAATGCGAAGTTTCATACCCTGGGTCTGCAGTGCGCTGAGCTGACCGGCGATACTGATTATACACAGCTCAAGACCGTGCAAAACAGCCAAATCATCATCACCACCCCAGAGAAGTGGGATAGTATGACCCGGAAGTGGAAGGATCATGCACGGTTGATGCAACTGGTCAAGCTCTTCCTCATTGACGAGGTTCATATCCTCAAAGAGGCCCGAGGCGCAACACTCGAGGCGGTCGTGTCTCGCATGAAGACTAATGGTTCCAGGTTGAGATTCATCGCCTTGAGCGCGACGGTCCCCAACTCGGAGGACATCGCCACTTGGCTTGGTCGCGATGCCATTAACCAGCACCTGCCAGCGCATAGAGAGCACTTCGATGAAAGTTTTCGTCCCGTCAAACTGCAAAGGTTTGTCTACGGTTATCGATCACAAGGGAATGACTTTGCATTCGACAAGATGTGCAACACAAAGTGAGTCCGCACCGAGTCATGTCACTTTCACGAGTTCTGACTAACGCCATGGACGAAGGCTCCCTGATTTGATAGCGGCGCATTCCTGTAAGAAGCCGATAATAATTTTCTGCTGCACGAGGAACTCAGCCGTATCCACGGCGAAAGAGCTCGCTCGCCTGTGGTCGATGTCCAACCCGCCTGCGAGACCATGGAAAGGAGCAAGCAGGCCTGTAGAAGCCCACAATGCAGACCTGAAGAGTAAGTTCTGATCCATAAGGGGGCCTCGAATCACGAAATCTGATTTTCAACATCGTCCAGATACGCTGAGTGCTGGTGTCGCTTTTCACCATGCTGGTCTTGATCCAGGTGACCGGCGTACAGTCGAAACTGGGTTTCTGCAGGGACATATCAGTATTATATGCTGCACATCTACCCTCGCAGTCGGGGTAAATCTTCCGTGTCACCTCGTTGTCATAAAGGGCACCGTGGGCTGGCAAGGTGGTGGATGTAAAGAGTACTCTGACTTGGAGATCATGCAGATGCTCGGTCGTGCAGGACGTCCACAGTTCGATGACAGCGCCACCGCTGTAATCATGACCAGAAAAGAATGCGAGGCACACTATGAGAAGCTCGTCTCGGGGTCGGAGAGCGTTGAGAGCTGCCTGCATCTGAATCTCATTGATCATCTAAATGCGGAGATCGGACTGGGTAATGTGACTGACATCGATTCTGCCATTAGGTGGCTGGGTGGAACTTTCCTATTTGTGAGACTCAGAAGGAACCCCGCTCATTATCAGCTTCAAGAGAATGCACACATAGAGGAAGAAGATGAATTGCTTCGGCAGATCTGTGAGAAGGACATTAGGCTACTCCAAGAATGTGGGCTAGTCACGGTGAACGGTCTGCGATCAACCAGTTTCGGAGACGCAATGGCTCGCTATTACGTGCGGTTCGAGACCATGAGGACGCTCCTCACATTGAAGCCTCAATCTACTGTTTCTCAGATAGTAAGTCCAGGGGTTCGATTATGCGCACTGAAGACTGGGTGCTAAAAGATGTCAAAGCTTTCCGTCATCGCTCAAGCGGAAGAATTCTCAGACGTTCGTCTCAAAGCTGGGGAGAAGTCCTTTTACAAAGAAATCAACCGTGCCAACGGAATACGCTTCCCCATCAAGGTTGATATAGCGCTCTCAGCTCACAAGATTTCGCTCTTGATCCAATCCGAACTGGGTGCGGTGGACCTTCCGGACGGTGAGCAGTTTCAGAAGCACAAATTTATCGTCCAGCAAGACAAGTCTTTCGTCTTCAGCCACATAAATAGGTTGATTAGATGCATTATCGACTGCCAGATCGCACGTGAAGACGCGGTGACCTTGAGAAATGCCCTCGAGTTGGCAAGGAGTTTCGGGGCTAAGGTCTGGGATACATCTCCACTACAAATGAAGCAGATCGAGCAGGTTGGGATCGTCGCTGTCAGAAGACTGGCCGCGGCTGACATCACAAGCATTGAAGCACTGGGGCAGTGCGAGCCACAACGTCTGGACATGATATTGAGCAGAAATCCTCCATTCGGCGCGAAACTGTTGGACCGCGTTGCGAGTTTCCCGCGGCTTCGGGTTGCCGTCAAGATGACTGGAAAGGTACGATGGAGCAGCAACGAAGACTGCACCAATGGCTAATAGACAAGCAGGAAATCAGGCCAGGATTGCTGGTGAAAGTTCGTCTGAAGGCAGAGATTGCTTTTATGAACGAAAAGTGCCCAACCTTTTATCTGAGGCGCCCCGTCTATGTCTGTTTCTTGGCTGAGGTATCAGACGGTCGTCTTCTGGAGTTTCGACGCATCAGGTAAGTTGGAAAATGCCGTAAAGTCGTGCATTCAAGCTGAAGAGATGTAGTGCGAGCAGAATGTCAAACGGCCAGGAGATTCTGCTGAGTGCGGAGCTGAAGGATAAGGACCAGTTCGTGTCATGTAGCGTTTCATGTGATGATATCGGTAACACTATGCCAGCCTGAACTCTAGACTTCTCCAGGCTGTCACTAATCTTGGCTAGCTGGGACATCGAGATCCGCTGTCCTGAAGCCTGAATTGCCACCGACAGTGTTCCCTATCCGTCCGAATGAGAGGCCCGAGACTGCCACGGCTTCGCCTCTTGTCAGTGTCTCTCGCCACGCTAGAAATGACGCTTCCCAAAGCAAGCAACCCACTTCAGAAAGTGTTGTAACTCTTGATAGTGATGAATCCTTGTTCGACAGCGTTCTGCAGCAAGGTATGTGTGATTTGCCGTAGCTAATAGAAGATAGTTTAACGTTCTCACACTAGAGGATACCGCCTGGTCGGCTTTGGAACCATTGCCAGTACCTACAAAACCCAAGACAATGGAGAAGATCCCCAACGTGAGCAAAAGCTTCGAGAGCACAAGCAAGGATGGCGATGTCGAGGACCCGGCGCCAATGGCTAACGGCAAATGGGCTTGCAACCATCGATGCAAGGATAAGACAGTGTAAGACTGGCACCTCTCAAGACAAGACATACTGCTAATCAGAGTAGGTGTAAGCACCTCTGTTGTCGTGATGGACTTGACAAGCCTCCCAAGGCGAGCAAAAAACAACCATGTTTTCAAACGGGCAAGACGAAGGGCTTCAGTCAGACAACTCTGGGAGTATCAATGACGAAGAAGGACAGGAGTCATCTTAATGAGCTGCGTGGCATCAATTTGGAGGGAGGGTCCTGTACCTCGACACGATGTCAGCCGCAAGAAAGTCAAGATTATCCCGTGGAGAGTGAACAGGAGCAACTTGGCCTCAGGGAAAGATCACCTCGGGATGTGTCCAGAAGCACTCTCTCGAGAGACCTTAGTGATGATGCCTTCAGCGAGTTCCCGTCCCCTGCTGCCTTATTGCTTGGAGACCAGACGAACACGGAGATTGAAGATGGCGTGCCCTGTAAGGGAAGTGGCATAGACGAAGGGACACCGAAGCTGGATGATAGCTGGTCTGATGATGATACATGGCTTGCTGTTCAATCACCGCTTGAAAGCTCAACTCCTGCGAAAAAGGCGAAGGATAAAATCGTACTCACTACACCTTCTCAAGGTCAAACGGAAGAAAAGTAGGTTAGCAGGACCCCGGGGAGCAACCACCGGCTAATACAAATTGCAGTGTGAAAGAGCCTTCTGTCGATGCGGTCCGTGAGAAGAAACGAAAGCTGTGTTCATCGGATGACATACAGATCAAGAGAATCAGATCGAGTGAACGGCCCTTTGTAAAGGAAAGCAACAAGGAAAATGGTCCGCTGCAGGAAGCTCGACAAACTGTCCCTGCTGAGACCCTCGTCGTGCCCAAGGGCTGGGAAGACATTGACCCTGCGTTGCTGGAGGAGTTCAAAGATATCATCAATTTGTTCTAGTGGCCAGAAGGATGGCTATGGGTTGATCCAGGTCAACGAGTCACTTTGCTTCTATTCCTGATCTCAGTTCGCTATAGTATGACACAGTGTTGTGAATCTTTAGCTGGGGAAGACCAAGGTATAGCTTTAATATCATAAAGAAGTTACAGGCATGCACTGTTTACCTTTCACACCTGAGAGCTGGATGCCCAGCTTTTTGTGAAGTGTTTTGTTCTGTCTGTTTGATAAAGGGCTGTCTATGGCGATGACAGTGAATCTCTCTGTGATCTCAAAGTGAATGTTGTGAGAGGAAGAATAAAATAGCAGAAAAAAATTCAGATACCAAGCGGCCTTGTTTGTAGCAAGGTTGTGATATGATTTGTATATAAGGTTGTTCGTTGTTTCTCACCTTCAAAGTCTTCGAACACCATCTTGGTTCTCTCTTTCTTTCCACCCCGCGACTCTGTGAACTCACAGATCTTGCTTTTCAGAAAGGTTAGTGCAGGTCGAAAAGCTGCTTACACTCCTTCTATCTTACCTAGCTGTGTCTATGCTCACGTTTGTTGGCTGTGTCTGCATTGTATCTCTATCGATCGATCTCTGACCTCTGAATCTTTTACAGACTACCTTCTCCATATTCCTCCCCATCGATACGACCTATCTCTCACAGCCACTCTCATACAGTTCCAGAAGCAGTAAGCTTCTTCGTTCGACTGTGCAGGTATTGGTTTATACTCTCTCCTTGTGTTCCTGGTTGGTTCATCTTTTCACTTATGAGCTTGTCTCTTCTGAGGCAGCGCGCTGTGCACGCGAGCGCGACCGTGTCCTGCAACATCACCGACGATGAGAGCATAACATTTCGCAAGCTGGTCTCTCTTTCATACTGTCTTCATGTCCTTCTGTGGTCTTGTTCTTTGATCTGGGCCCGTCTCCGCAGTGACAGTTGTACTGACCGGGGTCCAACATGCAGATCTGGTTCTGACAGTCGGAGCCCCAAGATGGGGAAGCTAAACTATCTTGCGGTAAGGACTCTTCATGATCCCCATAGATCACCAGGTACAGACTCCTCTTAGGACAGACCAGCTAACGATATGCACAGAGACGTATCAGCGGTCTCAAGGCCGGCCAAGCCGTGTCCAAAGACCTGGTAAGTCTGCCTGATCCCATACAACCAGACCACCCGAGTCTCTTTGCATAGCCCAGTCAAATCCGGCTTCTAACGTCAAACTTAGAAAAAACGCTTCCCGCCTGGTACAGGCTCCAAATCCGCCGCACGGGACCCCTTCGTCGAAATTGATGTGACCGGCAAGGCACTGACCGACGAGGGCCTGGCCCAGTTCATCGGTGATCTCGTGGAATGTCTCGTTTTCAGGGACCAGGAGCACCCCATAGGGCTGGCCAGAGTCACCGAGCTCCATCTCTCGGGTAACCTGTTGACCGTCCAGTCGCTACCCATGTTGGCGGAGGTGGTGAACCTCAGTGCGGGTGACCTTCGCGAGCTAGACTTGTCAAATAATGACATTCAGATTGTGACTCCCGACGACGTCAGGAAGTGGGTGGCTTTCTTGATGTCGTTCCAGAAGTGCTTTGTGCTTCGTAAGCTTGACTTGGGGGGCAATGCTCTCGGTCGTGCGGGCATCGAGCACCTGGCGCGCATCTACATGAAGTCTGACCTGGATTTTCTGGAGAGCGATGCTTATGAGGTTATCGGGTGGGATGGCGACGAAGCCGAACATTTATCGGGCCCAGACTCTACTGTCGAAGCAATGGGTCGCTTAAAGCTTGCTAATGCCAAGGAAAATGAAGGGGCTCCTCGTTCCAAGAAGTCTCCTTACAAGCCCAAGGCGGACCAGAAGCACGGTAAGTTGGGGTTGCAGCTCTCTAAGGCGTCGGGATGATAAGCTGATAAGCTCCTTTCTTCCTTCTTCTAGTTTATACTCACGATGAGTTGAAGACGTACGCTTGCACGCGTGGCCTGCGCTCAATTCCACACTTGATCTTGACAAACGTCTCGATGACTGGCAACAGCGCTATTCATCTCATTGCTATGCTTGAAATTCAACGCGCTCCCGAGCCACTGCTGAGCTATCTTCCGGTTGTTGGAAAAGCCGTGGCCTTGCCTGAGAGTGCGGCATCGTGCAAGAGCATCATATGGAGACCAAATGATGAATTGGCCCCTCATGTCCTTCGGATGATTGAGGTCTCTGAAGCCCTTCAGCAGCTCCGAGACTCCAAAGTTGAAACCGAGCTGGAGGATACCGACCAGGGGGAGGAAACCAACGTCGCCGAGGCGAGCGATACTTCAAGTGAAGGTGCTGGCGAATTTGACAGTGCTACCCAGCAAAAGCTCCAGGGCAAACTGAGAATCGAGTTCACTCGCGTGTGCAAGCGGGTTCGTCTGGAGGTTATCAAGGAGGATGGTGTGCACGGCAGCACTATCTGGAGCACAGCCCTGCGAATGATGCTCGTTTCTCGCGCTCTTCTCTTGGAGGACAGAGACCGCCCTCCAGACGAGGACATTGATATCCCAGAGCGGATGCCGTTCCCTCAACCCGTCGAAGGCCCAGTTGTCTCCTTTCCCATGGGTCCGGAGAGCGACGATGGCTCTGGCGAGCCCACATACTACCATGTGGAACATGCTGAGCCACACCGCATCCGCATCGCTCAGCCCGCAACTACGGCGCCCCTGAGCAGCTTCCTTCCGGTTCGACGCAACCTGAGCATATCGGAGGCTCCTGCGGTCAACGTCGTCACTCAACACACTCGGTCTGCGAGTTCGGGCCCCTTTCACCCCAGCGCCGTGTCTTTCGACCTCCAGTTTCCCAACCTGCCGTCAATGGCCCAGGGTCCTGCTCCAGTGCTGTGTATCCCGGCCGGCGACGTGTCAGATACCGTTCAGTCCAGGAAGGGCCCCCCACCCTCCCAGCCTCCGGCGCCAACCATGCGACGACGCCCCGTCCGCGGCAGCAGCAAGCAGGACTGGCGCTACGACCTTCCCTTCCAAATCTGGCGTCGCATCATCGCCGAAGCAGTTGGGGCGGACGGGATCCTGGATCTTGAGCAGCAGGGTCGTATCATGCACTACGCCAGTGACTGGGATGTCGTTGCCTACGGCCTGCAGATCAAGGGGGCTGAAGTTCACCAGCGTCTCTGGAAGTTCTTGGAGTCCGTGGGTTGCTTCACCTACACTCCTCTATGAACACAAGATCATTAAAAATTATCGTGAGCATGGTCTTGGCAGAAGCTTCATCATCCTCTGATTCTGATGCGCGTGTATCGTCAGACTTTTTGAGGCATTTGCATCAGCAGAGACCTGGCCTCCAGATGAAAGATATCAATGAGAGCATCAAGTTTGATGACAGTGAATGTGGATGATAGATCGGGGATGACCCTTCACGGGGGATTCCGAAGGACTAATGTGGTTGAATGATGTATGATCTGATGTGCTAGATTTAGTTACTCGGAAGTGTGGTGCTGGCGCTGGCATGATGAGTGGGGGTTTGGTGCTGGGAGCATGTATCTGACCCGATGTATTTTTCCATGGCTGATCTTGATGTTCATATTTCATTCTCACGACATACACTTAACACTCCAACAACAAAAAAAAAAAAAAAAAACAGTCTTCGATGCTGACAAGAGGTTGTTCTATTGATGGTAAGCTTATCGGGTTCCTATCGCCCACGTGATTTTTTCACGGGTGCTTCAACGTCATTTGGCTGGGATTCCCTATAGTTACTCCTTTTACTCATAGGGGACGATTTGCCACAATTTAGACTCGACGGTCGTTATTTACCCTGGCGACCCTGCAAGTAGCCACAGATCACGAAATCTACACATCTCTCCAAACTATCCTCCAACCTTGAAATTTTGACACAGAAAAAACAACAACAAAAACAACAAGATGCGCAATCGCCGAACCAACACGCAACCCGTGGAAGACAACTCCGTCGCCCCCGAAACCTTCAGCGACGGACTTCCTCTCCCCAAACTCATCGCCTTCGACCTCGACTACACCCTGTGGCCCTTCTGGGTTGACACGCATGTCAGCGCTCCGATCAAACCCCGCGACAACAACTCGCGCTGCACAGATAAGTAAAGGCCCCCTCCCTCGTCTAACCTGTAGGCAATAGTCTTCTCACCCCAAGCACCTTAACCCCCTCCTCCCCCCGCCTTCCCGTCCCTTGCTAACCACGAAACCACAGATGGAACGAGTCCTTCACCTTCTACCCCGCCGTCCCCTCCATCATCCACAGCTGCAAAACGAAATCCATCCCGCTGGCCATCGCCTCCCGCACCCACGCCCCGGACCTGGCGCGCGACATGCTCAAGGCCCTCCACATCATCCCCACCTTCAGCGACAACCCGGCCGCCCAGAAGACCAAGACCGTGCGCGCGCTGGACTACTTCGAGTACATCCAGATCTTCCCGGCCAGCAAGACGCAGCACTTTGCCAAGATCCAGCAGGCGAGCGGGTTTGGGTTCGAGGAGATGCTGTTCTTCGATGATGAGGCGAGGAACCGCAATGTGGAGACGGAGTTGGGGGTGACGTTTTGTCTGGTCAGGGATGGGGTAACGAGGGCAGAAGTGGATCGTGGAGTGTGGGCGTGGAGGAGGAGGAATGGGGTGAAGAGGAGGGACGCGGGTGAAAATGAGGAGGAGGACGAGTGAAGTGCATGTTGGTGTATGGTGGGGATAGATGAGATGTTGCATGGTGGGATAGAAGATGTGGTTATATACGCTAGATACCCTGCTTGGGCCTATGATTTGTTGGTTTCATTATTTTGATCCCCTGTCTATTTTGCGAAAATCGTTCCTAGCAGTTCGAATGCTGTTCAGCGAATAATCCTCGTAGACTGACCGCGCGGAGCAGCCGCACTCGGAATCCACTTCGAATCTCCGCAATCTTATCTTAGCTTCTTCGTTCTCCCACCATCAACAATGACCGAACCAGTCGCATAGATTACTACAATTCCTCGCTCCTCACACCACCACCACCACCACCACCACCACGCAACAGAACCTACAATCCCCTCCCCGGGGCATCCGCAGAGTTACAACACACCAAAATTCAATCTCAGCGACACAGCACCAATGGATCCCCGTCTCCAACCACAACCACCACAACAACAACAACCCACACACCACCTCAAACCACCACCCTCATCCCAACAATCGCAGCAGCACCACCACCAGCCCCGCCCTTCAATGTCAGCCACGACTCGTCCCCCGCTGACCATCCACCCTACCGCCCAAATCGCCGACACCACCATCTTCCAAGGCCTCCACCCCATCTCCATCGGCGCCCACACCATCATCCACCCGCGCGTCCGCCTCTACTCGCACGAGGGCCCTATCCTCATCAACAATAATTGCATTATCAGTGAAAAGACGGTGATCGGGACGCCGAGTCCGCTTCCGCTTCCGGTGTCGGTGTCAGCATTACCCACGACCAGCACCAGCACCAGCACCAGCACCAGCACCAGCAGCACACACGATCCTACCCAAGCAGCAGCAGCAGCAGCCACAACAACCCAGTCTACGGCTACGGCGACGGCTCCGACAGCCCTCCCCATCCGCATCTCCTCGCGCGTCACCATCGGTCCCGCGGTATCCATCGCGCCCGGAGCGCATATCCATTCGGCGGCGGCGATCGACGCGCTCGCGGTGATCAATCGGCGGGTGAACATAGGGGCGCATGCGCGGGTGTGTGCAGGCTGTGAGATTGGGGCGGGGACGGCGGTGGGCGAGTGGGTGGTTGTTTGGGGCAGTGGTGGGGGCGCACAGCGGAGGAGGAGGAGGGAGACCAAGGGGATGGTTTGGGGGCACCCGCAGCCGCAAAATCAGGGAGGAGGCGCGTCGGAGGCGCCGTTGGAGGCGAGGACGTTGGAGGATGCGCGGTTGATGGTTTTGGATCTAGAGAGAGAGGCGGTGGGGAGGTTGTTGGTGTCACAGAATAGGAGGAGGGCGTGAATCGAGAAGAGCGTCTTGAAACAGATAAACAGACCAGATATGAGGATGGGTTATGCATGATCTTTATTTTTGCAAGCTGCGCCGGTGTGGTCTTGTGCTTTTTTTTTTTTTTGTGTTGTTATACCCGGATAGATCATTGCATCCTTTCTACTGTTGCTTGTACGTTTTTTCTTTTTTTCCTTCCATAAACTGCTGGCGTCTGTCTGCTGACTGCACGACGAAAGTAATAATCACCGACATTGGATAGATCAGCTCGTACGCAATAATACATCAGTCATGACAGACAAAAGAAATATGATTCGCATCCCCCTGGGGATTGCAACATTCGTGAGTTCTCTCAAATCCTTGCTGAAGGAAAGCACTAGGACATAAGTAAAATACATGCATTTTCTAAAAAAGGAACGAAAGTCAAATAGCAATAATCACAATCCCTAGGAACCCCGGGTGTGACCACCACCACGCATCCTCTTCCCAGCTGCTCCATCGCCTCCGTCACCGCCCCCATCATCTCGAGCACGCTTGTTGCCTCCAGGAACAAATTGGCGTGCGTGTGCGTTCAGTGCACCGCGGCCTCCACCAGGACTAGCCGGTCCCTGCTGTGTCTGGCCCAGGTTGGCTGTTTGCACGTTCTGGTTTCCACCCCGTCCTTGACCTCCACGCCCTCCACGGGCGCCGCGAGGCAGATTCGAGCCGCGCTGGCTCGGCTGGCCTTGGCCTTGACCTTGACCTTGAGTAGCAGCTTGACCTTGTTGACCTTGCTGACCGAAAGGATTCTGCTGGCCACCGCCCCGCCCACCAGTTCTACCACCGCGTACAACTGGAAGTCCAGACTGAAGAGCTTTCAGGACGCCGCCAGAGGCAGCACCAGCGGGAGGTTTGTTCGGAAGCGACGCTGGTTGCTTGTTCTGAGATTGGCCAAACGGATTGGGGACTGTTCCGGCCGCACCCTGCTCAGGAGCTGTTTCATTAACCTCCTGTTTCGGGGCTTCCGTCTGCGTCGTAGCCTCCGGTTGAGACTGAGCCACTGCTCGCGGCTGGGCGGCGGTTGTTGCTGCAGTAGGTGTGGGGGCACTTTGAGTGGCAGGCGCTGGCGCAGGCACAGGGGCAGGCTTTGCGGCAGGGGTCGCTACCGGTGCCGGGGACGGTGAGTGGGCTGCAAGCGTCGGTTGCGCTGCTGCTGGGGCTGGCGATGGTGCCTGTGCTGGCGATGCTGCAACCTGCGCGGGCTTGGCCTGCGCTTGAGCGACAGGGGGTGCTCTGGTGACCTTGACTATCTCCCAAACCTCAACAACAGGCTTCTGAGGCGTGTCGGTTGCAGCCTTCTGCACCACGTCGAGCTTGGCCTGTGAATTCCTGCACCGGGAATCAAGCATACTGAGCTTGGCGAGAGACTTCTTATCGGACAACTCCACTGCAGCCTTGATCTTCTCCTCGACACTTCCTTCATGAGCCTTCTTCAAAGCTTCCATCTCCTCGTTGAATTTCTGCTGCAGAGCAGCCGCAGCTTCCGAGCTCTGTTGGGAGCCTCGCTTTTCAGCTTCCATTCGTTGAGCAACCTGGGCGCGGATATTGTTCCGAATGATCGTCTTGATGGTTTCATTCTTTGCGACAAGATCCCTTGCCTGAGCATCGGTCAGCTCAGGAAGAGGAGCAGCGGTTGCTGCGGGTGTGGCGGGCGTGGCAGGAGTCGCGGGAATTTGTTCGGCCTGAGGCTGCCCAGCCGCTGCAGGAGTTTGCTGACCCGCTTGTAAGCTGGCCTTGAGTCGCTCAATTTCCTGTCTGTGGTTTGTCCGAGACTCCTGTAACTTGCTGTTGAGAATCTCCTTCATCTTGTCGATGCGTTCCTTGACCTTCTTCTCGTGCTCACTATCCTTGGCGGCCAGCACAGCATCCTTCTCGGCCAGAGCTGCCTCGAGACGCTGCACCTTCTCCTCCAGGGCCTTGACTCGCTCGTCGTCGGTGGCAACAGCGATCTGTGTTATTGGGGCAGGGAATTGTGATGCGGGCGTCGAGTTGACTTCAGTCGTCGCTTCGGGTACTGGTACTGGTACTGGCGCAGGAGCAGCCGGCTTCTCCGCCATTCTCGTCTTGAGCTCTTCGAGTTCTTGCTTGGTCCTGGTCAACTCCTCTTGAATCACTTCCTTCTCCTGCGTGACTGTGTTCAATTCCATCTGTTTGGCATTGATACGGCCTGTCAGTTCCTTGGACCGAGCCTTGAATTGCTCGGTCAGCTTGCTGCGCAGCTCTTGAACTCTATCTTCAGCATGTTTGAGCTGCTCAGGGAAGGTAGCAGCCTGAGTTTGGAGAGTGTCCCGAGCTTGGATCGCCTCATCACGTTCCCTCTCGAGTGTCGCAAGCTTCTCCTTGAGTCCTTCCATCTCAGCAGGATCGACGCGATCGTACTTTTGCAAAATGTTTTGAGTACGTTGTTGCCAGCGATCGCGATCAGCCTGCAACAACTTTAACTCTCCGTCCTTCGTCTCCACCACGTTCTCCAATTCCCTGATCTTCGTTTCCAGAGGCTCTATCTGCTGCACCAATTCTTCAATACGTGCAGACTTCTCATTAAGTGACGTTTCTGCCTGCTTCACTTGTGCGCGCAAAGTCACACTGCTCTCGCGGAACAAGTTCAGCTCGTTCAAGGTATCCATAAGTTTATTGTGGCTTAGAGCAGTGTGATCGCTTTCAGCAGCAGCGCGGCGCTGTTGGTCCAGCTTGAGGCGTGCCTCATCGAGCTGAGACTGTGCATAATCCAGTTGTTGACGAAGACGTTTGCTTTCCTGTGTCGATAGATGATACTGCACGTCGACAATCTCCTTCTCTCTCCGCAAGAATTTGATGACTTCCTGGAGACCTTCAAGATTAGGTGGTGAATTCTCAGCATTTTCGTCGTCAGCTTCGTTCATATTCGCGCGGTCGCGTTGCAAGGCGGAGATTTGGTTCGTGATGTTCTCCAGCTGCGAGTGTAGCAGAGAGTTCTGATGAAGAACCTCTTCCCGGCGTTTCTGTAAGTCGGCAATCTCACCCTCATATCTCTCCTTCAGCTCGTGCCAACTTTCCTCCTTCTGAGACAGATCCTTCTTGAAAGTCTCAGCTTGGGTTCGTAGCTCAACCACTTCCAGCTTGAGCTGGTTCGCTTCGGAGCGCACTATCTGCAGGTTCTTAGCTGCCTCGGCGTGCTTGACCAATTCACTCTCATAGTTCTGTTGGGCATGCTGGGCAATTTCGGTCTGTGCTCTGAGATCTTCCTTGTGATATTGGAAGGCGGAATTGTGACGCTCATTCTCGTCCTTAAGTCTGGCAATCTCGGATTCCAAGACAGCCTTTTGCTCCTCCAAACGGCGGCCAGCTTCTCCTTGCTCATCGCGCAGCTTAGTGAGTTCATTGTTCGTTGTAGACAATTCAGAAGAAATTTCCTCAATGCGTTTTTCAAGGTCTTGAATCTTCTTGTCTTTCTCCTCAATAAGGCGGTCTGTCTCCTCCCGATATTGGTCGTTGGTATCAGTCGCAGATTGTAGGCGTTCCTCGCTCTGCTGGCTAATGGCCTTGTAATCCTCGACCCGTTCCTCAGCACGCTGAAGCTCGTTCTTAGCTAGGTCCAAGTCACGCTTGAGCTCAGAGACCTCGATACTGAGTTCCTGCTCACGGGTCAAGCCAGACTCCTGAACCTCCTCGGTCTCGGAAACTGCAGCCGGAGCAGCCGGAGCAGCAGAAACGCTTGGTCTAGACTGTACAACTTGGAGCCGCTCTTCAGCACTGCGAAGCTCAACCGTCAGTTCATCCACTCTGGACTGCAGGTGATCTCTGGTTGTCTTGGTGGCGATTAATTCCTCCCGAACAGAAGCCAAGCTTGTCACCAGATCATCAATCCGCTTTTGACTCTGCTCATGTTCGTATTCTCTCCGGAGAGTCGCCTTCTTGGACTCCTCCACTTCGTCGTTGAGTTTGCGCTTGGTAGACTGCAGTTCTGACTCTAATGACTCAACGCTTTGCTGTAGTCTACGGCGGCTCTCAGAGTCCGTATGCTCGCGCTCATTCAAGATTGTCTGCAGGTTGGCGTTGAGAGTATCCAGGCGGCTTCTCTCGTTTCTCAGAGTTTCGTTGTCTTCAATCAGTCGCTTCTCAATGCTCTTCCACAGATCCTTTTCTGCCTTGAGATTCGCGTTTTCGCGTTGAAGGCTTTCGACAAGACCCTTGGTTTCGACAAGGTCTTCGGCAGCTTGTTGGGTCCTCAGGTCTTGCTTGTTGGCATTCTCCAGCAAAGTAGCATAGCGTTTCTGCAGCTCTGCATTTTCGCTCTTCAGCATATTAAAGTTGCTTTGGAGAAGCTCAGCCCTCTGAGTAGCAGCACCAAGCTGACTGCTGGAACGGCTAATTTCACTCATCAACTCGCTGTTCTTCCGCGAAAGCTCATTGACCTGCTGTTTCAACGCGGCGTGATCGGTAGCAGACTCCTCGCGGAAGTTATCAAAGTGAGCTTGCACCTTACGTAGTAAATCAGCATAGTCAGGGATGTCCCTGCCCTGGTCATCAGCTGCTCCAGGAGGAACAGCCCCCAGCGGTAGAGACTGGGAGAAGACAGAAGCGTCGCCGACGGTCTGACGGCGACGGGTCAGCATGCTTCGGAAAGTATCTCTCTCCTTAACATAGCTCTTTGTCTGAGCAACTAGGTTAGAGATTTCGTCACGGTAGGTCTGCACACGAATTCTCAGCTCCTTTAATTCCTCCTGCTCCTGCTGGCGGATAACATCCTGCTCGCGAGCCTCTGCACCTTCCATCTTATCACCCAGCTCTCTGAGCATGCGGCGGAGAGTAACGTTTTGTTCCTGTAGCTCATGTAGATCCTTGAAAGTCGTCAGGTTCCGACTGATGAATCGTCCCGTGGGGTTGAGATCTTCAGACGAGTCCTCAATCTCCTGTCGAGCAATCTTCTCGAGCTCTTCCCTGTCGTAATTCTCCTCGCCCTCCTTGAGAATAGCATTCTCCATAACTAGGACCTTTACCTGCGAGCTCAGATCCCTGAGCTGCTGTCGCAAAATGTCGCCCTCCCGGGCGAGTCCTTCCACCTGTCCTTGCCATTTGCGAGCCTCCTTTGTCGCATCATCCCTTTCCTTTCCAGCCGTTTCAAGGATGTTAGACATCTCCACAACGGCGTTTTCCAATCTGGCGTGATCGGCCCGCAACTCATCAATCTCGGGCTTACTGGCCTCGAGATCCTGGACCATTTCATCCAGCGTCGACCGGAGCTCTTGGTTGGATCGCTGTTCAGCAGCCAACAGCGACCGCATCTTGTCGTATTCGGTGTACAGTTGTGTAATCGTAAGCCCACCCTTGGTTCTCGAGGCTCTAGGAGAGAATGCTCCGACAGGTGTACCTGAGCGAATGGGCGTAATGGGCACACCGCCATTGAGAGCCGGGCTCATGGATCTCCTTCCAGCCTGGCCTTCCGATTCGAGTTGGCTAACAGTCTGCTCAAGCTCGGCGACGCGGCGTTCCGCGGCTTCCTTGTCAGAGTGCTCGGTCTCAATCTCAACGCGAAGTCGAGAGATCTCTTCGGCCGCATCGTCCTTGGCCTTTTCGAGGGCTACCTGGAGTTCCTGGACCCTCTGCTTAGCGGTTTCGGAAGAATTGCGTTGCAGTTCAGCCAGCCTGTTCGCACTATCAAGTTCAATTCTGAACGACTCGCTCGCTTGTATCGCCTCCTCTTTCAATTGCTGAATGCTCGAAAGTGACTCCTCATAACGCTGTTCGACTTCGTCCAAGCGACTCTTGAGAGCATTCTCACTGCGTCTCAAAGAGTCAATGTTGGCGCTAGCCTCTTCGTTCTCTCGCTGAAGCTCTGAGATACGGGCGCTCTTCTCTTTGCGGAACTTCAGGTATTCTGCCGACTTCGTCTTCAGCTCGGTATCCAACCATTCATTACTCTTCTTGGTCAAGTCCAAATCCTGCTGTAGACTCTGTTCGCGGAATTTAGCGCTCGCAGAAGCAGAGTTAGCCGCTTGTAGGTTCTGTTCGGCAGTGGAAAGTTCCCGTCTCAATTCGACAGTCTTCTTATGTTGGGCGGAAAGCTCTTCGGTGAGCTTATCGTAAGCTGTCGTCTTGGATTCGAGTAACGCCATGGTATCACGATTCGAAGCCTCTAGAGACGCGATGCGGGATTTCAATGTGCTCACTTCGGACTCGTTGCTTGTCGAGGATGACTTGAGCGAGGCGATCTCGGATTCCAGGGACGATCGAGCATTTTCTGTAAACTGTCAGCAGGTAATCAGTTGACGGCGGTGACGTCCCATCTAACCTGACTCGTGAAGCTTCTTCCGTGTTTCTTCCACTTCAGCGTGGCCCTTCTCGATAGTACTCTTCAGGACCTTGACCTTGCTTTCGCTGCTGCGAACCGCGTTATCAAGCTCAACTTCCAAGCGTGTTTTGTCTGCTTTCAGCTCATCGTGTTCGCGTGCTTTTTTGGAAATGGCCTCCAGAAGCTGGTTGACTAATTCGACGGTAGGAGCTTGGGTAAGTGTCGAAAGAGTCGACTCCGCGATGGAGTAATGGGCCGAGATGAACGGCAGTTCAATTGTTGCCGTAGCCATGATTGCTGCTATATGCTTGCAGGCAGGCAAGCTGCTAGCAATAGTAAAGAATAGAAATTGTCAAAAGTGGACGTGCGGTGTCCTCAGACTGAATCGTGGTGTGATGGACGGAGCTATGTCCGCCAGGCGATGTCACTGCGCGTAGAAGACAAACGTCCTGTTTAGTTGCGCCCAGCACCCCAAATGACGGCTTGGGTCATGAGGGGCGGGGTGAGACAAGGGGAGAGAGTGAAGGGGCTGACAGAGGAGGTGTAAAGTGAAGATGAAGCCCCCGGTCGCACGATAGATGAGATGAGAGTGAATGAGAGACCGGCGTGACCGACTTGCACCATGTCGAGTAACCTTACGCATTGGCTTCAGGCGGAGCTCCGAACAGGCTAGCGCAGCTGTTTGTTATCACGTGATGTGTCGGTGCCTGAGCGGACCGCAAGGCTGCGACCTGCAATGTCAGAACCTCCAGATCCCCGGGAAAAGATGACGATCGCTCATCCTCTCCTCAGTCGCCTCAACCCTGTTGTTTCAACCACCGGTTGTCGCATCAGCACAGGATCGGACTTCTTCCATGCCTCTGTCTTGATTTATTGTATTGCAAGAAACAGAGCCCCTTTGTGCTCCCTCACAAAGAAAAGAGGCTTTGCCTCGTCCTTGTTCCCTTTCCCCGTCCTCTGAATCCATTATCTGCACAGGCCTGCTTCGGAGATCCTTCTTTCGTTCAGTTTTAGATTGGCACTAATCTACACCTTCTTAATCGTATCTCAGTCGCAAAACAAAAATGTCCTATCTTCAGCAACAGCTAAAGAGCTTCAACGCTAGCGTTGTTGACTCCGCGAGTAGACTTGCGCAACAGAGACGCTTCAACCACAATAATAACACCACCACCTCCGCAAGCAGCTCGCAGCTCCCCTCCTCCGCATCGACGCCCACGCCCGGCGGCGGAGACCGCAAGCGCCACGATGCGGACATCGTGTACTCCCAGCCCGCTAATACCGGCACGGGCAAGGATATCATGACTCAGGTCGTCTTCGCGATCGAGCACATGAAGTCCAAGGGCATGCCGCTCAAGTTTGCCGACATCGTCTCCTACCTCTCGCTACAACACCGCGCCAATGACCAAGGCTACGTCCAAGCCCTACGGAGCATCCTACAAGTGCACGAGAAGGTGCAGTATGATCCCCGCGGCGCCAACGGCGAGGGCACCTTCAGCTTCCGGCCACCGCACAACATCCGCACCGCGGAGCAGCTCCTTAAGAAGCTCCAAGCGCAGTCGACTGGCGCGGGCATGAGCGTCCGCGAGCTCCGGGAAGGGTGGCCGAATGTGGAGGACACGATCAACCAGCTCGAGAAGGAAGGAAAGCTCCTTGTGACGCGGAACAAGAAGGACGACCATGCGAAGATGGTTTGGGCCAACGACCCGTCGCTGATCCAGCACTTCGACGACGAGTTCCGGCAAATCTGGGAGAAGATCAAGATCCCTGATCAGCAGACGGTCAAGGAGGAGCTGGAGCGCGCCGGTATCGTCCCGACCAACAAGAACAAGGTCGTCAAGCAGCGACCCAAGATTGAACACAAGAAGGTCAAGAAGCCTCGCCGCAGCGGGAAGACTACCAATACCCACATGATGGGCGTCCTGCGGGATTATTCCCACCTGAAGCGATGAGCAAGTCATGCGATCGCTACTGCTATCTGACACTTCGTCCTCGTCCGCTTCTCTGACTTTCAATCTCAAAAAAAAAAAAAAAAGAAAGAAAGAAAGAAAGAAAAAGAAGAAGATCGAAAAGTTCGCCGAATTTTGCCCAGGTACATCAATCGTTTATCTTTTCGTTTTTCGCGCATCGCATTATAATGGCGTTTGGTGGGGGAATATTAGACGCAGGACAAGATATACTTCTGATTTGTTTGCTGCCTTCGACCAAACTATAGCAGCTCTTGGTCGTGTTTGTTTTTCGGCGATTCTCATCGCCCTTGTTGTATATTATACAACTGAAAATCGATACCCAGATAATTTGAACCCCTTTATGAATGATAAATCTGATGCAAGTGCGGAGCCGTCATGATGTTTTTGTCTAACAATACACCACCCAAGACTCATGAGTATAGTGTATAAACATCAGCCATAAAAATAAAATCTATTTCCCGTTTACTCTCTTTGATGTTCCATTCGCAAACGAGCACCCATACCGCGCACAATGCAAGGAACAACAATCCCAAGGAACCATTTCCAGATGCACAAACCCGCAGGGATACATCACTCGGGAAGTGTTATACAGCCAACCAAGCAAGGGAAAAACCGATCCGCAACTATACCTCTTGCATGCCTTCGTGTCGTTTTCATTGATCCCCGTTGGAAAGACCACCCTCTGTCTTCTCCACATACTCGACCAGGTCTTCAATGGTGCAGACCTTGATCCCCCACTTCTTGCCGAACCGAAGACATCCATCGCGTCTCATCATACCGTTGTTGCCTCGAATCTCGGGCACCCCTTCGACCAGCTCGCCATCCTCCACTAGCTCCGCAATCACACCAGCCGGGACTTTGCCCGTCAACCGACAGAACTCAACCGCCGCCTCCGTGTGTCCTCGCCGTTCACGGACACCGCCGCTGCGAGCCTGTAGGGGGATGATGTGGCCAGGTCGTCGGAAGTCGTCGACGCGGGCTGTCGGGGAGGCAAGAGTGCGACACGCGAGGGCGCGATCCTGTGCGGAGATGCCCGTGGTCACAGAGGGGTCGCTCGAGTCAATGGAGACGGTGTATGCGGTGCCCTTGGGGTCTGCGTTTTCGAGCACCATCTGTGGGAGGCCCAGGCGTTGGGCGATTTCGGGGGTGATAGGAGCGCAGATCAGACCACTAATCAAGACGAGAAAAGATGGTCAGCTAGAGAGTTTTCCAGGGCGTTGGTTTCCAATCGATACGCCGCTTTGAGGGTTGCGGTGTCCGCGCTGGGAGAGAGTAGAGAGAGGGGTCATTCTCTCACCTCGTATACCGAACCAAAAAGGCCATCTGTGCATCGGTGATAGACTCGGCGGCAATGATCAAGTCACCTTCATTCTCGCGATCTTGGGAATCAAGCACGATGATGAATTCACCCTTCTCTGGAGCGCAATTGAGGGGTTAGGTTTTTCACTGCGAATATTGCGGATTTGCGGCAGATGCGCGCAATTCTTCTGAAGCTTGAGGGACAAAGATAGACTAACTGAACGCGGCGATTGTGTCTTCGATAGAATCGAATTTGAGACTAGAATCCGACGGTGCAGCCATGATGAATATGTGTTATGGGTTGGATTTAGGTGGTAATTGACTTTGCCCCTCTATGCGGGATGGGAGGCGGGGCAATTGCTGCGAGGCAAGGCGAAGATTGTCTGCAGGAGGCTTCTGCTGTGTCGGAAAGTACTCCGTAGAGTGCCGGGATGTTGTTGCGCACGAGGTAGTGGATAGATATGTGGTCAAGCTCAATTGCGCGATTTTGGGCTGATGATGGGTCGTATCCGCGGAGGGAGCACCCGATCACAAGCGATATGACTCTATCTCGGCCGGAGATGATGAGGCGCGGGGCGGCGTTTCGGAAGCTCGGCTTCGGAGATGGCAAATGGAGGGTTGCGGAAGAAGAACGGAGATATGATCGCGGTTTAGATATTGCTTTTCTGCTTGAGTGTGAAGAAGTTTGAGAGTATACTCGGAAGTAGTATAGAACTAAAAAACACTCACGCAGGGATATGTCTTAGCAAAAAAGATGCACAAAGAAGGCTAAGGAAAGAATTGAGGACGGAATCGCTCACTAATGGTTTGTCAGAAGTCAGTCAGTCATGGGAGGCTGATTCGCCGAGGTCTGCCTGGGGCTGGCCCGGAAGCGGTCGCCATTTTTACTACCTTATTAGGCACCTCTTCCCACTAACTACAAAATCTCTGACAGCATGTAGATTTTATACCCGTCGGGACACTGATGCTGCAGTGTATGTACAGTAAGATTGGCAAGTAAGCGCTGCATAGTTTCTGCTCTGGTGTGGTATCAATACAATATCATAGCTTGACCTCCGCCGGTTGCTTTGACTCTGGCCTCCGCCTCAATTCTCCACTCCATATCACTGATTCTAGCGGCGCTGTTTGAATCTCTCGGATCTCACGTTGGTAGACCTATGTCACCATCATGTGCCAGAGGTATATGCATATATCCAGCTGATCTTTGTTGGTTAAACTATAGTGGACAGACTAGGAACTTCTACACGTAGCTCGGCCGCTAGTGAAGAACCTTGTGGCGTCAATGTCCTTTGGTTCACGATAACTCCATGCCAGCATATCCCGACATTATCATGACCTCCAGCTGTTATCTGGGAGTGTTTGGTATACTCCGTACATAATAGTATGTGGTTCGGAGTTTTGTATATATGCACGTGATGTTGGGTCTAGAATGCGGATTGTGGAGAGCCAACGTGAATAAATGGAGCCTCCCCCTCCTTCCAACCCATTCCCCCCCCAAAGAACCCGTTTTTGTGGCCTTTGCTCACGAACCCGCCTCCTCCGTCGCACAAGCCAGATGAATCTCATTCCTCCGCCCTCAATGGTGTCGATGTTCTTCTCCCTTCTTTTGCCTCACTACTCATGGAGAAGCTCCCCGTAGAGATCCTCTGTGAGATTATTGATTGTATGCAGATATCCCCCCTTTTGGTTTTGACTGGAACTACACAGAAAGACCCTTACTATCGGGTGTTTGTTTGGACCCAAACAGTTCTTCTACCCCACACACACACACATTCACTCACTCACTCACCCATACACACATACGCACCAAACCCCCTTCAGCCCATAAGCTCACAAATTTCCAACGTACGCAAAACAGGCTAACGAAGACCGTCCAGACCTCACCCCACATGAGCGGGTACAACTGCAATCGGTATCAAAGCGACTCTTTCTTGTCGCCCGTGACAATAGTCTTTGGAGGCTCCACTGCTACGAAGAGTCATGGAGTGCCGCGCGAGCCTCTCGTTCTGTGAACGGCCATGGCGGAGATAGGCCGGAGAGCCTGACCACCAACTCCACCGCACCGCTCAGTGCCTTGGGGCAGACATCGCTTCGATCCTTGATTCAGCCCCATGCTGGGAATCAGGAGGATGGTGCTAGATCATCAGACCGGGTGCCGTCCTTCGGTGTTCGATCGCGAGCGGCCACGGAGTGGGACCCTTCCTATGAGGGTGAAGATGTGAACTGGTACTCAGAGTATATCGCTCGAAATGGGCCCATCTCGCTTAGCTGGTTAGAGCGACCGTTCACAAAGGCAGAAGGCCAAAGGAGGAGGATGCATCGCGAAGTGAAGGGACTGGGCTTGCTGCGAGACTGGAGCTCGGCCAGGGAAAACAGAGTCGTCGCACCCTTGGACGATGGGAGCGTTTGCATCTGGGATCTCAACCACTCCCACTCGATCGGCTCTCAGCAGACAAAGGGTAAGGTGATTGGTGTCAGCGCCCCGGGCATCTTGATGACAGACCTCTCTGGCAGGCGGGATCACACTACGGCAAAACAGTCCCTGGAATATGTGAACCTGGGGGAATGTGTGAGCGTGGACTCCATACGTCGAAGGGCCTATCTGGCAGTAGGTAACGTGCTAAATGAGGTTGATCTGGAGACTTTGCGGGTAGTTTCTCAACAACGCTATCCTTGGTCCGTGTTCGCCTTGTCTCAAGAAACCGACTATTCTGTGCCGTTGACGCTTGCTACGACTTTGAGTCTGCACATCTACGACGCGCGACTGTCAGCGAGTGAGGAGGAAGAGGCCATAAATCTGCGGTGTGAGGAGCCAAGCGTGTCGCTGGTTCCGAAGTCGCAGCTGTATGCTCCGCCGGACTCGCCGCTTCTGCAACTGCAACCCGACGGCCGACCTCCGCATCGTATACGAAGTCCAGGCCCCTCACAGAACACCGACGATTATGCACCACTTTTCCAACCGGGGCCACTCTCACTTCTGCATCCCCCAGCGCCGCACGTTCACTCGATCTTCCTCGCCGGCCGCTTTCCTAGCATTCTCCAGTATGATCGCCGATTCTTTCCGCGGCTGCAGAACACATTCCATTCCGGTGGTCAGCTTTGTGGGTTAGCAGCCGTTCCCGCGCCTCGTTTTCCCATTTCCGACTCGAGCAGCTTTCCATCCTCACACAAGCTGGTAGCCTGTGGTGACTACAAAGGCAGGGGGTCCCTTGAACTATACAACCTCGCGCCGTCCAGCGACAGCGACATGACGAATTCGTCCGGATGCTCGTCCATGGTATCGACGATGTACCAGAACCGACAAAGTGTCGCCAGATCTAAGGTGCTGTCCGTCGAGTCCCACGGAACACGCATCGTCTATTCGGATGGGGATGGGAACATCAAATGGGTGGAGCGCGACGGGCGGTCGGAAGTCCGTCGCCTCAACATCAATACCGACCAACATCATCCTCCTCATCATCCCCGCCACCATCGGCATTATCCTAATCGGGCAATCTCTTCTCACCAGCCCTCAAGCCAGACCGCGCAACACCCTCGAGCAGCAGACGGCGACACAGACCACCCCAGCGGTCTTTGGGGAAACCTCTCTCGATCTCACAGCGAAGGTGACGTCGCCCGCAAGATCCTCCCCACCGGCGGCAGCCTGACAGGTGACGAGCTCCTCTTTTGGACCGGTGAACATATCGGGCGGGTTCGATTCTCGTCCGCCAGCCATTCCAACGCCGACCTCGACGAGGAAGACGACGAGGATATCTTGATGGACATGAACTTGGATGATGCGGCTCGTGAGGAGCTCCGAGCCCAACGGCGTGAATTACGCCATCGCGAGCACGAATACGCTAACACGATGCGCAAAGCGCTGGAGAGACAAGCGGATGAAGTCAGACGCATGGGCGGGCTTGGCCTATAGATCGGAGGTGTTGATTTCCCCAGGCGTACCATATACAATTTGCATCTACATTGTTCTTTCTTTGATACCATCGGCTATTTATCTTTCTAGTTTCGTCTTTCTCAGAATTCTGCGAGTTAGCGTATCGAGGGCGTCTCTGTTTCGTACCTCTTACAGTCGCTTGCCTTAAACTTGTGTCCACCGACACATGTGCTGATCTTCCCTGTCCGATAGAGCATTTACTATAATCCTTCCGCCTTGTGGTTTAGAGCGCTTTATAGTACATCTCTGCTGATTAACTGCGTTGCATAGAAATTGAGAGACTTGATGAGTGGGTAGAACTTCGCAAAGCTCGCACGCTTCAGACAGTCGGTTAAGGTGCGCCTTGGAAAGTCACAGCCTTCTTCCAAACCCCCTGCAAATCTTCTTCTAAGAACCTCTTAAGAGATCGACTTCTTGGAACAACGAACAACAGAAACATTTTGACCTATAGAATCACGCTTGCTTGTTTTGATTTCTCTCTCTAATCCAATCCCAAAGCCCATCATTATCGCATTAAATCGTACATTATCCATAAGACATAGAGTTACCAGAAGAAGCAAACAGACAACCAACAAACACACACACACACACACACAAAAGAAGAAAGTCCGCCAATGTGGCGTTTCCCACCAACCCAGAAAGAAGGGCACCGGAGATAGTAGGGGTTTGGGGCGGACTCTCAGCTATCAGGCTTGTACACCGCATCCTTGCAGAGCACAGCGACCTTCTTGAAGAACCGCCGCCACTCGAGCGGGTCGCCCTTGACCTTCATGAACTCGATCTCAAAGAGGCCCTCCGAGACACATTCGATCAGGACCTTGCCCTGCAGCGTGCACATCCGCCCGTCGCGGGTGATAATCCGGAGCGTGGCGGATGTGTCTCCGGCGGAGACGGCCGGGATGGCGGGCACCGGCACGCCCAGACGATGCAGCGCCTCGCAGATGAGGGGGACCAGGATTTTGAGCTCCCACGTCGAGAAGAACCGCGTCATGGCACGGGCGGGGACGATGTCGTGGAAGCGGAGGGCCTTTTGTGTGCGAGAGAGGGGCACGGAGGGATGCGGGGAGAACTGTGACATGGACGGTTCATCCTCGAGGTGGTCGAGGGGTTGGGTGTCGTTCTTCGCGAACAGCGGCCGGCCCATGGGCTGCGTGGAGGAGAAGGCGTCCGCCGCTTGTGGTGTGTCCCAGTCCAGCAGCATATCGCTTCGCGGCATTTCCGGCTGCGTGGACGAGATCCTCTGGTCGGAGTCAAATCCGTCCCCCATGTCAAGATCTATCCGTTCCAAGCCCTGGCTACCGCCGGCGTGCGGTCGGGCGAAGGGGTTCTGCGAGAAGTCGATATGGAGGGACTCGAACATCGTCGTTGCCATGTTGATGGTATCTCTGAGGGTCCCGTTGCGCGACAAGTACTTGTTTGGCCGAGTGTACCAGGGGTGTCGTCGGACGTCTTCGAGAGACCATCGACTGGCGGGTTCCACGGTCAACATGCCGCGGAGTAGTGAAAGCGTAGCCGGGGGCAATTGCTGCCAAAGCTCATCGGTCGTACGCCCACGAGTGGCGATGTATTCTTGATACTCGTAGCTCGTTTCCGTCGGGCTGTCCCACGGGGTGTTGCCGGCCAGGAGGACGAACAAGACGATGCCACACGACCAAATATCCACCAGGTCCGGTCGGTAGCCCTTCCCTTTGGCTTGACTCCTGCTACTGCACGAGATCACTTCAGGTGCAATATATGGCGGACTCCCACAGAACGTCGTGGACAGCTTGGTCACGCCCTTGTACTCGAATAGTGTAGCCAGCCCGAAATCGGCGATTTTGAGATTGCCATCCGCAGCCAGCAGCATGTTCTCGGGCTTGATATCCCTGTGTCCGACCCCCTTAGAATGCATATAGCCCACTGCGCTGATGAGTTGGGAGAAGTAGACGTGAGCGATGTCCTCGCTCACGCCCTCGTCAGCTTCGATCTTGTCGAAAAGGTCGCCACCCTCGGCCAGCTCCATCGCAACCCAGCGCCACACATCGTCCTCACCCGTCTGGAAGAAGGAAATAATATTGTTATGGTCGCCGATATGCTTGTGGACCGTCGCCTCCATCTGTAGTTGTCGCGCGCTGACTTTGCCATGACGAGCGGCATATTCCTTGTGAATGAACTTGACTGCGAAGACCGGGCTATCGGTATGTGTGGGGACGGCTTTTTTGATGCTGAAGAAGCACAATCAAGGTAAAGTTAGCAAAAATCAGTGCAAGACAGATAAGTCGGAGAGTGTCAAGAACAAACCAGGCATATGCACCCTGGCCGATCGTCTTGGAGACTATTCGGAAGGGCAAGTCATTCGGCAGCGGGGCGAGCTGCGAGTGATGCATCGTGGGCGAGTTGACCCGGATTCCCTCGTTTTGGCTTCGGATAGAAAATGACAGATCAGATTGAGAAAGCTGTAAACTGAAGAATTTGACCGAACTCTGTCGGCTTTGAGCTAGAATCAGGCGGTGTTTGAGAATTCATGCAAGGGCGAGCGATCGGAGGAAGCGAAGCTGGAGAGAAACGCGCAGCTCCGGAACGCGAAAGCCACTTTATCCTCATTAGGAAATCTGTTGACAGGCTGCCGGTCGCAGGCATCCATCATGGATTCCAGTGTTCCAATATCTGGACTGGCTTTGATGGTGTTTGAAGAGACGAAAGCCATTGAGTCTATTCTTTTTTTCAAGCTCTGGGTAGCCATAGTATCCAGTCTGTAAAGATTGAGCTTGTGTCGTGACAAGATTGAAAAAGAACGAGAAAAACCAAGAGGAAGATATTCGATCATACCGATATCAATTCATCCAGAAACTAAACCCCTTACAGTAAGTCTATCAAGGATAGCTGCAGCCACCAAAGAGCCATAACAATCTGTAAATATAATTAAGCTGCTTTACCGGGAGAAGTTCTCTACTGGGTTCTGTATCGAGAATTAAACCGGTCAAGCCATCTTCCTTGTTCTCGAAACCGAGCAGATTGATTGATGTCACACACCCTCTTCATAGTCGATCGCTGAATCGTACTGAGCGGCAGCCATGCAGCCATGCAAGTACCCCAGAGGTACTCCGTAGTCACAGCTCAATCTTATCCGACTCGGGGTGATTTAGCTCGGGTTGATGCCCACCCAGATCTCATACTGAGATATGAGGAATGGATGCCTGGAAACTGATCTCATTTGAAATCCAGCATGCACAGCGCAGATAACTCATAACTCCCAGCAGCACCCACGGGTCGACCCGGTGATTTCTGGTAGTCGGGGACTATGCTAGGGTAGGCGATGATAGATAGTCCCGGTTCCTATGGCCGCTTTCTAGAAGATCAGGCAATCAAATCTGGCACACTGACAGTTGTCGTTGTATAGCTTAGGTAGATAAGTATAGATGGATCGACCGCCTAATGGTAGGCATCATTCTGCCGGCTTTTTCTTTGTCCGCCAGCCGAGGCAAGAGTGCACGACGGTGACAGTCTCCTGCTGTGCATGAGATCATCATAGAATACTACAAGATCATATCAGGTCAGAAACAACGTCATGTTTTATGATCCCAAATGATCGCTTGCCTGTCAAGTGAGCGAGTCAGACGGAGAGAACCCGATACGGGGTGGATCATTTATGGCCAGCGAGCGTCAATCAGGGTCATGCATTCAACGGTTGCGTTGCGTTGCCCGGCGGATAAGGGCGTAAACAAAAAAAAAGAATAGAAACTAACCCAAATCAATCCATCGTCCAAGCACAATGCCGTCTATCCACTGGATTCTCTTGCCTTTCTTCTAGTAGCACTTGAACAACTTTCCTGCTTCTCAATTTTCAACTGCCTCAAGCCAGATAATAATACATACATACATCCACATACCTCTGCTGCAGCCTCCCGGTGTCCAAGGTTCTGATTTCGATCATTCTGGGGTTCTTGCGGTGGGTCAATCCGCTTTCCCTCCGGCCAACAGTCGCGCTGCTTTCAGCTACGCTCTCATTCCAACTGCCAGCAACCTTGAACCTTGAATCCAACACTATCTCTTGTTCCTCATCACTGCTCATTCGAGAGAACTGGCATTCTTCCGCAATTTCTGCTTGCACCACTAGTTTTACACCGAACATTACCTCGACTTTCTTTCGCCACCTCTCCTTCGATACTCCTCATCACCATGGACTACACAATGGAAGACACCCAGAACTCCGCTCCTGACGCTCACGAGACCTCAAAGCTCGGCTCCTCAGCACAAAGGAGCGACACTCAGAGCGTCACCAAACGGTCGGTTACAACATCTTGAACCCAGCTGTCGACCCTCAAATGGTTGCTTTGTTACTGACTACTCTCTTGGCTTACAGTCTCCAAGCTGAGTTGATGCAACTCATGCTGTCCCCCTCTCCGGGCATCTCCGCTTTTCCAGACGCCGACGGCAACCTACTCTCCTGGACCGCCACCATCAGCGGTCCGACCGAAACACCCTACGAGGGCTTGACCTTCCGACTCTCCTTCGCTTTCCCCAGCAACTACCCTTATGCTCCCCCTACCGTTCTCTTCAAGACCCCGATTTACCACCCCAACGTCGATTTCTCCGGCCGAATCTGTCTCGACATCCTGAAAGACAAATGGAGTGCCGTTTACAATGTGCAGAGTGTGCTACTCAGCTTGCAAAGTCTGCTTGGAGAGCCCAACAAGTATGTTCCGATTCAATACAAATGCCGATGACAACATTCCGATCGCTAACACATCCACAGCGCGAGCCCCCTAAATGCTCAGGCCGCCGAACTTTGGGACACCAACCAAGAGGAATACAAGAGACACGTCCTTGCTCGTCACCGTGACATTGAAGATATCGAGTAAGCAGCTAGAGATTCTGTTTGCTGTCGTGGTCGGTCTTGCGTACAGAGGAGAGGGGAATGAATTGCATTGCATCATTTGGGGTTGTTTTCGGTGTGTTCTTTTTCGGGGTGTGATCATTGCATGGTGTCTTCTGGCTCTCTTTCATACCAGAAGATCCTGAGTTCACCCGCTTGTTGTCATATGGGGGTTTCTGGAGTTACTGGGTTTGGGAAGGTGGGCGAATTTGCTCTTTTGTGATTTTGGTGAGGGTGACCAGTGTACTTTCTTGTGTAGTTATGCCTGAGCTCTTCTGGAGTCTTTGATTTGTTTCTTATCTTTATACTGGGTCGCGAGGCGTAAGTGTTACTGAGCGACCACGAGGTAGTTAGGAAAGATTTCGCTGTTACTTTCTCTGTTTTCCCGTTGAAAATGAACAAGACTACGAGCGATTAATTCAGAGCAGCTCTTCTGGAAGCTCAAAACGTTCAATCCAATGCGAAAAGAGAAATCTCGCGACAATGCCTAATCCTTCTGCTTTTTTTCCTTTGCGATTGGAGCGGCAGCGAACAGCATGCGGATACACTAAACAAGATCATTCTCATCAGTTCTTCGTCATACTGAACTTCCTGGTACTTGATCAAAAATCCCCGAGTCGGATAAGCAGTGATCAACAACATCCCTGCATCTACATACTGATCGCCGCGTTCGCATCGTAACTGACCCGCCACGCGGAGAGAGCCATCCCCGCCCCGACTGGGCGCCAGCTGCGACAGCACGCCGATCTGTGCTCCCCGCCAGTACGGCCCAGACTGGCGAATCTGGGGAGTACGTAGGTGGCTAGCAGTAGTGAGCATGAAGGAAGGAGATCACGCGTTGAGTGGTGTGATTGGTTTGTGTCTAGTGATGGCATCGCTGAATATTCTACTTTTGAGATGTTCGGTTGTCATTTCTTGGGTCTAGGGGTATAAACTGGCATAATATGGGCACTGAAATGTGCAAGTTGCAGCATAAACCAGATACACTGGGCTTGGGCTGTCAGCACTGAGATCGGAATGCACTCCCTCTTTTCGGAGAAAAGGTCCCTTTCGAAGTGATTAGAAATCCGAAAGATGCTACGGGGGGTAAATCATCGAAGAAGAAGAAGAAGAAGAAGATGATGATGATGATGATGATAGATACCATCGCCTTTGCCAAGTTCTGATTGTAGATTCATCGTATCCTTCGTTTGCAGACCCACCCTTGATAGACCGAGTATTTGTGTATTGTTCACTTCTTCGATATGCGACGGAAACTGGCCCTCTATCACCTAACACCAAGCATTCTCTTGATCCATCATTCCTCCCGTGCGAGTTGTCGAGCTCCGGAAACGGCAATGGACCGTAGGAGCACCGAACAATGGATGAAGAACTGTTGCAGTATCTGGTACGGATTAGGGATACAGCTAGTCGATTTCAATTGCTTAACCCGGTGCAATGCTGTGCAAGCCACGGTTCGATTCCGACTCGTCCATCCGAGCGGGGCAATCGAGATTCATGACCTCATGGGTCCCGCTGCAAACGATTCCGATGATAGTTCCTGGTTTTTCCCGACCTTAGTGATGAACGAAGATACACTCGGTTTCCACTCCATTCAGATGACTCCATGTGACGGACTCTGTGTGATATACAATGACTACCAACGACAAGGAGTGGGAATTAGAGCAAGGGATTCCTCAGCTTGAAGATCCTTTCATCCAACAGTACCTCAAGGGACGGGACTCGCTCATTCTACAGGAACAGAAGCAGCAACATGGTAAGATTGACCTTCCCCAATTGCACATAATACAATAGCTACCTACCTAGCATTCGCCCTTTTTGAATTTGCGACTAAGATATAACCCAGACTTCAATCTTCGCAGGGCTCAGACCGCTGTCGCCGTCAGAGCTGGCAAAATCGTGTCCCAGATCCGTGACCGGGAATCGGCGCAATTCCTCTCGTCTTCGGCTCAGGCACTGCCGTTTGTTGACAGGGAATATATCCAGAGAAGCGACCTTTGGAAGATCGTGCAGCGGATGCCAAAGGGTTCCTTGTTAAACGCTTCGATTCATAGCTTCATCGATATCGATAAGTTAGTCGATCTCATTCTCAGCACCGCGGGGCTGCACATCTCTGCCCCTCGGCCCTTGTCATCTTTCGCCGTACGACAAGATTCTCTCGTCGCATTTCAGTATGCTTCGGCCTCAACGGAACAAAGTGCTGAAGACAAGGGGGCTACGATATGGTCAGATGATTATCTTCCCTCAAGGCTTGTTTCGGTCCAGCAGGCAGCCTCATCCTGTCCGGATGGTGGAGAAGTGGGCTTTCGCACATGGCTGAAGAGGAATCTTACAGGCGGTGCTAATGATGAGCAATTACAGCAAAATTCTGGCCGCAGTGCAGCAGCACCGATCATCAATTCTCTACTTAGCTATGAGCCCATCCTGCGGGCCTGTCTCAGGACCGTGTTCGCAAATCTTGCTGCGAACGGAGTGGATTATGCGGAATTCCGGCACAATTTCAGCCACCCCTACCGAAGAGAAGGAAACAAAAGCCCCGACGAGGATCAGAGCGAATGGTGCCATGTGTTTGAGCAAGAGCTACAGCGCTTCCAAAAGACGGAGGAAGGGCGTGGCTTCCACGGAGCGCGTATCATCTGGACGGCTAATCGCTCGCTTTCGAATAGGGACCTGGCCGATAATATGCAAACCTGCATCTTCGCCAAGTATGACTACCCTGGAGTGATCTGTGGATTTGACTTAGCGGAGATGGACAGAGATGCAAGGCCACTCTCCGACCTCGTCCCGGTGCTATTTTGGTTTCGCAAAGAGTGCATGGACGCAGGGCTGGAGATACCTTTCCTCTTCCATGCTGGCGAGATGTCCGGTAGTGAAAAGGGCCATGCCAACCAGGGCTTATTCGATGCCATCTTGTTGGGGACTCGAAGGATATGCGAAGGGTCTACACTATACAAGCACCCGTTGCTGATCGAGTTGGTCAAGGAGAAGAAGATATTGGTGGAGTTCAACCCGAGCTTGCCCAGCAGTACACCGATTCTTTCGGCACTGCTCTCGCGGGGGGTTCCGGTCGCTCTCTGTGACAGCAACACACCAGATAGGGATCAGCGCGGTGCCAATGGGTTCACTCGGGAACTGTGGAGGGTGCTTCTTCACGGCGACGACCACACTGACCTTGCGGGCTTGACGATGCTGGTGGAGAACTCGATTCGATGGAGCTGCTACGATGATCAGCCCACGGCCGAATGGCTCTCTGACATTGGAGATGGCATTCTGGGGGATAAGGTCAAGGCCCGTCGTTTGCAGGAATGGTGGGCGAGATTCGAGCAGTTTTGCGAGTGGGTTACGGAGACTTTTGGAGCGGAGGAAGGTACCGAAAGCCAATCAGTCATCGAACCGATGTGAACCTGGTGCAATGAGGTCGTTTTGTTCACTGGGTGCATGCACGACGGGTGAAAGGATCTCCCGCAAACAGAGGCATAACATAGATATACAGTGTCTCGCCAAGCCTCGAAATAGGTATGAGTAACCTACGAAGACACCTCAACTCAATACCCATTCTTATTACTCCCCAGTTTGCCTAGCAACGTTCTGCCCGGGTTTCTATCGACTGCTGCCCTTCCGGCAATATTGTATCTACTACTATCCTTAATAATACTATGATCATCCAAGAGAGATGACTCTGACATCATGAAGCAGATTGAGTTGCAGTGCAGAAATGCTGGTCGTTGACAGAATGATGGTAGGGCGCGCACAGGTATATTGAGAATAGGATTACAGTAGTTACAGAGAATGCCTGGATAGATACGTGATCAGGCTGAATTGATTGGTAGTTTGAAGGCAGCTTTGTAGTAGGTCGAGTCATTGACGGGCACTAAACAACTGGTGACACAAACTTTGCGGAATGTGTTCTTAGTGGGATGAGTCAGAAACAATTAATCACTATTTACTCCGTAGTCAATCTGACTATCACTATGAATTGGAGTATTGAGTAGATGAGCTCGCAACTCAAGAAGACTGCATCACCGGCCCACTGCTGCTGATACGGGCTGGCTCGGAACACTGTGCAACCTTTTCCCTTAGGAAGAGTAGCAGGTGAACGTGCAAGAACGTGCATTCGGAGAAATCGACGACTAGTAGGTACGGAATCCTTGATTGGGATTCAGGCCTGAGTTCGAAGTCATGGGTCATGCGAATTCTCTTTGTACAGTACGTTGGCTGTGGCCGTCATAATTCCTCCTGTTGTGACCTGTTGTGCTGTATGTATGTACACATATCGGCCGACCACGACATCCTCACCTCATGAACTCATCATCATCATCATCATCATCATCATCATCATCATCACCACCACCACCACCACCAACAACAATAGCATCGAATCAATGTAGGTGTGAGTTGTCATGATGTGGTCTAGGTCAAACTAGTTTCGGTTGTTGGCTAGCCCCAGGCTCGAAATTCCGCCTGACTTTCTGATTGCTGTCGATCATCCCAGGATCCATCGATCGTTATCTCTTCTTCTTTCTCTTTGACTCCACTCCGTACCAGAAACTAAACTCAACGGCATTAAGCGCGTCCCCCCCTCCGCCATTTTCCCCCGAAACGTCATTCTCCCCCCGGCCCTGAAGCAACCCGCCTCAACCCTCCCGAAATTGCGTGTTGTTGCTGTGGCTCAGTTCAAATTTGTCTTCTGTCTTTTGTCTTCTGCCTACTGCCTGCTGCTTGGAGCCCCAGGCACCATTCACACATTTAGCCTCATTCTCTTTTTCCTTTCTCGTTGCCTTATTCTGTTTCTGCTCAGATGACTGTTGTGATCCTCAAATGAGCCCCCCGCCGGCTCCCTCCGCCCGAAAATGGCCTACTTCCTGCCTTCGTTCTTCCAGAAACGATTGCTGCGCTATGCTTTGTCTCGCTTGGAGCTAGTTGATACTGAGGCTCTGGATCTAGATGGTTTGGGCATACGATGGGGACAGCGCAGCACCGTTGAACTCCGGGATATCGGCTTGAAGCTTGAGGTGAGTGCAACGATGATCCGGCCCGCCGTTCGACTGCTCCGATCCACCCGTATCCAAAACCAACATTCATTCTCACATTCTCCATCGGTGAATTCCACTAATCTTTGCTCTTCACAATATGATTAGAAACTAGCTGCGTTACTTCACCTGCCTGCCTCAAGTGAGCTTCGAAGCGCCCGTGTCCGATACCTGAAAGTCACCATTCCCGCCGACATCTACAGTAGCAGTATCATATGCGAAGCCAGCGGTATCAATGTACATCTAAAGCTACTGTCGGAGGAGGCCTGTCCTACGGGGCAAGGAGACGGGGCCTCCAATTCACCCCATGCACCTAGCTCTGACACATTCATCCCCAACACTGCCGATCTTGCACAGTCTTTTCTCGAGGCTGAGCCCAAGGAGGAAAAGGACGAGTTGCAAGCCGCCATCTCCTCTCGGTCCCAGGTTTTGCAACGTACGTCGGCGTCGATCAGTGATGATGAAGAGGAGCTGGGTTTGGGCAACGAGACGGTGTCTCTGCCTAGCTTTGTTGCTGGATTCCTCAAAGGTGTCGCGGATCGCTTCCAGGTTCAGGTCGACGATATATCCTTTCGAGTCGATGTGGAGATGAAGCAAGATGGATCTGTCAGGAGGCAGCCGGAAGACAGACCTGATCTGATCACTGCACTGTTGACTGTTGGTCAAGTGAAGGTGGACGCTATCTCTGTACCTACTGCCACAGGTGGAGATCGATCGCCGAAGGGAAGACGATCGATCTCGCTCTCAGATATCAATCTTGCATTGGTGTCGGAACCAGGTGTCTTCGCCAACTATGCACGATTCGCTGCTCCCCCTTCCCCTTCGACTCCAGTCCAGGCGAAGACCACTCAGCCTCCGAGCCGAGCCTCTTCCCCTCCGCCTGAATACTCTTCGGGCACCTCCACTCTTGAAATGACACGATCGACTATACTTGAGCCATCGGCGCCAGCCATTGACTCTCAACGCCTTGACCGACATGCCCCAAAACTCGAAGGGTCCGTATACACCTATGACGGAAGGTTCTCAGACGCCGACACGGAGGAGGGAGAAACACGGCCTTATGGTTACTTGGAGGAATCTCAGGATTTCGCTGATGATGACAAGTTGTTGGATAATCCTGCCTACCTTGATTCTGTCATCAACTCTCAGATTCAAGACGACGAGTTGGATGAGCTGGAAAGTCTGGCCAGAGAAGCTGATCAGTTTACTGCAAGCGATGAGCTTGTCCCGCGCCCTCTACAAGTGCCCGCACATGGCCTCGCGGACTCGGCTCAGGATACACATAATGCAGTAGTACTAGCACTGAGGCCACGAGTGTCAGAATTGCATGAGGTCGCACATTTTCCCGAACCTAGTTTGCCTCAATCACGACCGGCGCTTCCTGCACCCGATGCAGAATCCGATCGAACCCCGGAGCCGTTCCCACCTATCCAGCTATCGCTACCTACATCCGCGCCACCTTCCGAAACCGATAGTTCAAGTTCAACCAGTGGGTCTTACCATCAAGGAGATCTTAGTGAATCTCGATTGTTCTCCCACGACGAAGCACAAAGCATGTACATGAGTGCTATGAGCCATGGTTTCACGGCGCGAAGCTTCATGCCGAATATGCCGGGTGCTTGGGACTTCTCTGAATCTCAGACTATGAAGGAACCCGTTGCAGAGTATGCAGTCACAGGCAGTTCTACCGGTGGCCCTGAGCAAGAGGACAACGATGGGATATCTGTAGCGACACCCAAACTCACCCCTCAATCTCAGCCAGCCCTGTCTCGGTCTCAATCAACCGAGCAACAGTCGCCAGTTTATCATCCTCAGTCTGATCGGAACGCAGGACTATCCGTTCAGGCTTCAACTGGAGAACAGAAGTCGCCAGACGTTGCGAGAACATTTTTTAGCATTGATCGGATTCAGATCTCAATCCCTTCCAGCAACTCTGACCAAGAGGACAGTGAGGAATCTGCAGGACCCAACCGAAGGAATTCGAATGACAACCCGAGGGGACCAACCGTCAAGTTGCACGAATCCCTAGCAGAGGACGGCCTCTTGAACTCGTTGATGCGATCTCGTGGCGAAACAATCACGCCTATTCCTCCTATACACGATGCTAGAGTGTGGGGTCAGCATGGACTTGGCATAGATAATCACATTGTGTTGGAAGTGTTCTCTGCAGAAGTCCATTTTGACATCGCAATAGGTTGGCTGGTGGTCAAGGTTGGGCAAAAGATACTAAATACATTCGGTGGTACGGCGGATGACACGACAAGAGAATCTCGTCCGCCACAGAAATCGCGGGCGCCCCAAGCCTATCGCATTTTCCTTGATAGCTTTGTTATCAAGTTTGTTGAGCATGTCCATGGGCACGCATACCCTCCATCCCCCGACACGTCGATATTTATTACCTCAAACCAAGAAGAAACTCTACTACAGGCCGTAATCTCGGGCTGCAGAGCTGATATTGGAGTAGACGACGATATCACTACTCTGCATCTTGATGTGACCAAATTCATGGTGGGCTTTGCGGATGAGGAACTAATCTCTTTCAGCGAGGAACTCAAGATGCGCGAGTCCATTAGGGACGTCACTTCTTCGAGTCAAGGTGACATCGCGTTGAAGGTCTACATGTCTCCGAAAGCGAAAACGGTTGAGCTCATGACACTCCCCTTGCAACTTAATATCAATATTCAGCGGCTAGAAGAGGCCATGGGCTGGGTTGGTGGGCTGAGCACCATTTTGGAGCTTGGAAGCTCCATTTCATCTAGCTCTTCCAGTAAAGGGCCGAGCAAGGACGCACCGAAGCGTCCTCGCGGTGTACACTTCGAGAGTGGCCCTCCCCCAGCGACTGCACAGCCACCTAAAACCGCACCCATTAAGGTTAATGCTCGCATTGGGGGCATTGCACTCAATATTATCGGGGAAAATCATTACATCAAACTTAGGACAACTGCACTTAAGCTTGTCAGTCGATCTGAGGGCTTAGGAGTTCAGATTGATAAGGCGAAATTGAGTGGGCCATTGCCTCTGAAGTTCGACCGCGATGCGCCCGCTACTGTGAGCTTGGATGATCTCAGATTTGAATACCTTTTTGCCCCCAAAGAGCGCGATCTTGATCGACTTCTCGCGTTGATCACACCTTCGAAAGATAAGTACGATGAAGACGACGACATAATGCTGGATACGCTTTTCCGTCAGCGTAATCAGGGATCCGTTCTTCGTGTGACGATTGGCGGGATGAAGGCCATCATCTCTCGAACCGCCGATATGGAGTCCCTTGCGCAGCTTGGGGACGAGATAAGTCGACTGTCGAACGTGACTAAATATCTGCCTGAGGACGATCGACCCGGGGTCCTGACTTTGTTATTGATCCGTGATTTTGAAGTGCAAACATACCTTGGTGGAAAGGTGGGCGTCATGACAGCTAAGCTTCAGAATACCGAAGCAGCATATATAAGTCTTCCATCCCTTGTTGCTGCTCAAATCGGTCACATACAGGTTGCAAGGAACGGAGATGAGGAACTTGTCGGCGATGCTCTTCCCGGCATTGAAGGATCTTCCTCTAGTGACACTGCAGCACCGGTTCTCATGGCCCGCTTCATCGCGGATGAGATGGATCCTACGATCAAGATCAAGCTACATGGCCTTCGTGCAGAGTACTCCCTTCCTTCCGTCATCGCATTCCTCGGACTCGGAGATGAGTTGACAACCGGTGATGTCGCTGCGAACATGGCAAGTTCAATAGCCAACCTTGCTGAGCGTCAGCCGGTGCATTCGCAAATGACTCGAAAAGAACCGAACCAGGAGTCTCCGTCAAAAGCCTCCAAGTTGACAGTCGATCTTCGAGACTGTGTCCTTGGTCTGAATCCACGCGGCACCCCTGCGAAGGGTCTCGTTGTCCTGACCAACGCTAAGTTCTCTGGTACCATGCATGACGTGGTCTCTTCGGAAGCGGTTTTGGATCTTCGAAAGGCATCGATTATGGTTATCGACGATGTCAAGAACGTTGACCTCACGGATATCCCTCATCCAAGGAACTTGAACTCCCCTCAAACCGCCCAGGTTCAATCTTTGATTGGCAAAGGCTATGTTTCAGTCTGCACAGTTTCTTCGGCCACGGCTACCGTGAAAATTGTGCGCTTGAGTGAAGACGGGGACAAATCTCTCGATGTCGAGCTCAAGGACGATTTACTCATTTTAGAAACTTGCGCCGATTCCACACAGACTCTCATAAGCATTATGAATGGGCTGCAACCTCCTACGCCCCCAAGCGTGGTCATGAAATATCGAACCGAAGTACTCCCCATACAAGACATGATAGCGTCTTTCACAGGAGATGCATTTGTGACTGATCAATTGGAAGATGCTACTGCCGCCACGCCTGATCACACCGAACAAACACGAGGTGTAGGAGAGGAACTGGATGATGAAGTCGAATATGTGAGCGTGGATTCCGGGCAAAGCTCTCTGCAGGGAGCCGCCTTCGCGACAGGGTCAAATGAGCTACTGGACAGTTTCCACTCGCAGTACCATGTCTCGTCAAGTGTCTCGGATCTCGACTTCCGTGAAGACCACTTTGCGCAAAAGTCTGCTGTTGGGGGTACGGCACATAGATGGGATTCGACACAGAACACCTATGGTCTCTCGGACGACTCGAAGCTTCAGAGAAGCCCCTTGCGAGTGAGAGTACGTGACGCTCATGTGATTTGGAACCTGTTTGATGGCTACGATTGGCAAAGAACACGAGATACAATCAGCAAAGCGGTTAAAGAGGTTGAAAGAAAGGCGACTGAGCGCCGTGCCCGCACCGGTAGTCGAGCGTCTCCGAGCTTTGACGAGGAAGAGGAATCCGTCATCGGAGACTGCCTGTTCAACTCGATTTACATTGGTATCCCTGCCAACAAAGATCCCCGAGAGCTTCGCAGCGATATCAATCGGAACATTGATGACCTTGTCAGTGAAACCGGGAGTTATGCCACCACTACAACTGTGACCGGAGCAAATGTGCGGCAGAGTCAATCACCTTCTTTGCGGGGAAAGAAACTACGGTTGTCGCGGAGCAAGTACCACAAAATGACCTTCGAGCTTAAGGGAGTATGCGCAGACCTGGTTGTCTTCCCGCCCGGCCTGGACGAGACGCAAAGCTCTTTGGACATTCGGGTGGATGATGTGGAGATCTTCGACCATGTCCCTACCTCGACATGGAAAAAGTTCGCAACTTATATGCATGAAGCTGGCGAAAGAGAGAGTGGAACGAGTATGCTACACCTCGAAATATTGACCGTCCGACCTGTGCCAGAGCTTGCCGCTTCCGAAATCGTTCTGAAGGCGACTTTGCTCCCTCTTCGATTGCATGTCGACCAGGACGCTTTGGACTTTATCTGCCGGTTCTTCGAGTTCAGGGATGACACTGCACAAACCCCGACCGCTCCGAGTGATGTTCCCTTCGTGCAAAGAGCTGAGATCAATGCCGTGCCAGTGAAACTGGACTTCAAACCTAAACGTGTCGATTATGCTGGCCTCCGTTCGGGTCGCACCACCGAACTCATGAATTTTGTCGTACTTGACGGAGCAGATATGACGATGCGGCACGTCATTATTTACGGAGTTTCTGGCTTTGATAAACTGGGTCAGACGCTCAATGACATATGGATGCCCGATATCAAGCGTAATCAGCTACCTGGTATCCTCGCTGGTTTAGCTCCTATCAGATCTCTCGTCAACGTGGGTGGAGGGGTCAAGGATTTAGTTGTGGTACCTATGCGCGAGTACAAGAAGGACGGTCGTATCGTACGGAGTATTCAGAAAGGCGCCTCGGCATTCGCTAAGACCACCTCAACTGAATTGCTTAGACTAGGGGCCAAGCTTGCGCTTGGGACGCAAACGGTGTTGCAAAGTGCCGAGGACATGCTGACCAACGCCGGTGCACCAACTGCAGGTCAAGACGATGATCTTGGCGACGATGAAGATGCCAAGAAGATCTCGCTGTATGCCGATCAACCATATGGGGTTGCTCAGGGTCTTCGAGGCGGGTTCAGAGGATTGGAGCGCGACTTGCTCACGGCACGGGATGCCATTGTAGCGGTCCCTGGCGAGGTAATGGAGAGCGGAAGTGCCAAAGCTGCTGCCAAAGCTGTGATGAAACGTGCGCCGACTCTTATTCTCCGTCCTGCGATCGGTGTCACCAAGGCTGTGGGCCAGACGTTGCTGGGCGCGGGCAACACCCTCGATCCGAGCAATCGCCGCAAGATGGAAGACGTAAGTTGGACACTTTGGGGAGTCTGGTCTCTTTTCACTCTTTTCACTAACGCACTGACTCAACAGAAATACAAACGCCATTGAACGACTTGATGCAATTCCCGGACGATCTACTTGATGACTTGAATGCTTGATACCACACCAATTATACTGCAGTCAAATATCGCTCTCTGAGCGTTTTCTTTTTTTTTTTTACTCGAGTCGAGACATAGCTGATGACGGCAGCTGCAACTCGGCTACTAGTGACAAAGTGATGGTGAGCTGTAGGTAGGGAATGCTGGTATTTATACACGTGTGCAGGGAGTTTTCTTCACATTGGGTTTTTATTTCTTTATGATTTATGATGGGTGATACTCCGATTTGACTTCTTATCTTACTGGGTCATGTGATACATTTGTTGTCTTTCGCCACTCGAGTCAGCATTTAATGGTGTTTGAATATCTCTTCTCTCGTTCTTCCCTTGTTAAAATGTTCGATTGGATCTAGGGCACATTTTGGCTTTGGGGGACCGGTAGACTGGTTGTAGAAACTTGTCCAATTGAGAATATATATTGTGTTTGGACCTCGGTGACTATACCAACGGATGATTCAGAGCAGCTTCGAATGTCGTTTGGCATCAAACCTCTAGGCGTGAGTCGCCTGTAGATATTATCAGTATGATGCAGTCCTAGAACTATTTCTAGCGCTGAATTCCTCCATTTCACATATTTTGAGACTATACATCATGTAGGAAAGGCAGTAAGGATAAGAGCCTACAATCCCGACTAGCCAGTCGGGATTGTAGGTTTCAACTTATGACTCTCGGTCTACGGAGACTCGTAGTAGGTACCTGAGCCAGTCCGCCGAAACAGATGAACACCCCGTTGGAGGTGACAATGAACCCGCCAAGTTATAAACTGAGCAGTAGTATGCTCTGTGTTCTTGTAAGATGATTGGGGTAGGTACTAAAGGTAACTAGGTACAGTTCGTTCACGTCCCAATGTATACTAAGTAGATACCATATACTTTTATGTACCTAGTGATATACAGTAGGTACCTTACCCAGGCACTAAGTCTATACAGGTCTGTACCTTAGGCACTGCGTATCCGGAACACATACATACCTTAATGCATGGAGATAAGGTCACTCGCTGTACTATACGTCGCGTGGGGAGGGGGGATTTTGGTGGAAGGCCATGCAAGCAAGGTCCCATCGTTACTTTATGATACTGTAGTTACCCGTGCTTGCTTCCGTGTAAATCACGATTAGATGGAGGCTGTGTGTATGCCTGTACTGTGCTGTGCATTACGCTTTAGGCGACAGTGGGTTGATCTCATTCTCCGCTCTTCGGATGACTGGCTGCCTTATCGGAAGGAAGTTTACTCGAAACGGATGGATGTTTTGTGGGCTTTGGAGCCGCAGTTTGGGTTATGGGTATATGGGTATGTGAGAGGGTGAGTGTAGGTGTGTGTGAGTGGGTGGGTGGGTGGGTGTGTGGAAAGTGTTGAGTTATTGGCTCCTCGTGATAGGAGTTGAGCAGGGATTATGGAATGTGGCAAAGGGAATAATGGGGGGTGCAAGTCATATGGTGTGGTGGTGATGGAGTTGAGGGTTTTGAACGGAAGAGCCAAGTCGGGGGTGGGTGTGTGTTTTAAGTGCGGTGTAATCCAATTCCATCTCACCAAGAATATGAGGAGTTCTCTGCTGAATGCCGAATGAATGAGAGTCTGATGGAAATCCTAAGAAAAGAAACGGTCAGCAAAGCAACCTTGCCGGTCATTGCCACAGCCACATTTGACGGGTCTGATTGGATGTATAGCCTGCTGTAGTCGACATGAAACCAGTCACACTCCATGCACTCATTGGTAGATGAAGTGAAGTTAGTCTCAGGGTGGGTTGAAACAACGATCGTCAAGCGGAATGAAGTACGAAGTACGGAGTACGGAGTACTCTGTAGTTAATACTCACAAAGTACCTTGTGATCTCTGCCAGTCTTGCTGGTGGTGCCATGTACTCCAAAAGTACTCCCCTCCTCATTGCTGCCCAAGTGGGAATTTCCCGACGGGGCGAACAACTCGAACTCCTCTCCTCCCTCTGCAACCTCTCGCTCTACATGTACGAGTATCTTTAGACCATGATGATGCAGGACCCTGTCCGGAGTCCTGTCATTGGTCCGCCCTTATGCATGTCAACCTGCAGATTGACCTGGCTATGCATTTAAAGTACCTTGTTACGGAGTACTTCTATCGCTTCCCATTCCTATCGAGTGATCGTCTTTGCGCTGCAGCACACCAGCCGCAGTAGCGAGCAAGAAGCAGCAGCAGCAGCAGCTTCTTCCTTTCTTTTGCTTTCTTTTATTGTTTATATTTTTTACCCTCTTCTCTCTTTTTCTCTTTCTTCTTCGCTTTCTGCCATCCTTCTTTCCACTGAAGGTTGACGATCTTGTCCTTCGCTACATTAGGGTGACTGACTGTTCTACTTTCTTGATCGATCTAGATCGCTGCGGAGGTTTGTTCTCGTGCGACTGTGACACTGCTTCAGCTCGAACCGTTAGCTGCCCCTCTTTGAGACAGTCGGTCTCGCTACCATCCGGAGTCTTCGCTGACAATCCGCCCATTGTTGTATACGCTGTGTCTTGTCTCAATTGATCCAGTCGCTGCTGATGTCAACCAACTAAAACGATCTGCACGTCCCCAATGCCAGCAATCAACAGGGCCGGGTTGGAATCCTCTATTGCTCTCATGTCCCGCAGCAGTTTCATTCTTCTCCATTCGTCTTCTATACTTGCCCTCGCTCGACCCCGGTCCCAGTCAAGGCACAAGCCGCCAATCTACAATGACGATAGCTCTCGAGGGCGGGCCACCCTACTATGGATCCCCTCACCACCCCGACGCTATACATTATATGTCGACGTCGCCTGCCTCTGACCCTCTCCAGTCACTCGCTTCAAAACCCCCTGCTATATGCTCGGCAGGATACGCGGGGAACCTGTCGCTGCACAATTACCGCAAATTGCTGTCAGACAGTGATCCTTTCATCGATGGCCAGGACGGGAAGCTGCTCAGACGCAAAGACGCCGCTCTGCATTTGAACCAGAACCAGCCTGGTTCCGATCCAGCCATTTTTCCTTGTCCCATGTCATCTCCAGCTTCAAGTCCGCCGCCACTATCGCCGTCCTACTCCCCTAGCGCTAGAAGCGATCAGGATCCGGAGATCCTGCACGGCTTTGGCCGTAAGTAGCTAGCTACTCCACTGTTGCTCTTTATTATCCTGCAAACTGCTAACCAGCCATACAGTGTCGCCAAGTGCCATTGTGTCTGCCCCATTGAGTGCACCATTGAGTGCAACATACCCTGGGGAGAACCCGCACAGGCTTTTGGTAAGTAAGGATCCCGCTGCAGCCTTTCACTCTCAACTCTGACGTAGGTATGCGATCAGGATACATTCCGGGACAGACTCGAAAGCTATCCCGAGCCAGGCACAGATCCGGAATGTTTCACCCGCAGACACACTAGGACCCGCTCCGACTCCATTTTATGGAGCATGAAGAAAACAACAGCGACCATTGTTGACCACGGCACGTCATTCGAAATCATTAACCCGCATGAGTCGCTCGATTTTGCTCGGATCGTCTCGTTCATCGAGGATGTCGATGGCTATTCATTACGGGCCTCCAGTGGCCACCAGCGCGATTCATACATCGAGGTGATCAATGAATCGGAGGTAGTCCTCGATCATGAAGGCCAAACGGGCATTGAACAGGCCGAGCCATCCTCGGACACGAATCCACAGCAGGTGCATCACGATCTGGTTGGAGACTCGCCGCACCTCCCCATGCCGTCGATATCGGAACTCCTGGAATGCGAGGAGGCCGATGACACGCCCTCAAATTACTCGCGCTCGCCCGGCCGCACGCGAAAGCGACCGGCGCCGCTCAGACCGCGGGCCTGGACTACGGACGAGGGGGACCTCGGGGAGCCGGGCTCTCCGATCCGAGAAGATAGCCATTTTCGGTCGCAATCACATGTTCCACTGCCCGTCCCCTCCCCCTACTCTCTGGATGGAAACCATCCGCCCTCTTTGGCCAGCACAGCAGCCTACTATGATCTTGACCTCTGGTACGGGCCCCATGGGATCGACCCCAGCCGCCACGGTCATCCTCATCCACTCCACTCCAATCCTGCCTCATCACATAATCTCTGTCCGTCTCCCATATATATTCCCCATACAGCCCTGCATCAGCAGCAGGAGATCCGTATTCAGAGTGGGATCACCAAAATCACCGACCGTCGTAAGAAGAACGCTAAAGGCGGGGGCAGTGGGCCTCTCAAGCCTTTCAAGCGGTTATACAACATGTTTCAACGCAAGCGGCAGTGACCTTGCGATTTTCATTCGTGCATCCGTCCTTGATTCTCTGAACCTGGCGTTGTATCCTTGAGATTTGGTGTATTGATGTCTCCGATGGTATGTGCGAGCGCATGCCAAGGTGGTTTCTGTGAGCGGTTCTGTTTCTGTCCGTATCACTTTGAGCGATTGGCAAATGCCTATCTGTGCACGTTTATTAGGGCCTTTGACAGGATCCAGCGGTACTTGTTCTTCCTTTCAGTTGACTTTCTGATGTCGATGTTGAGCAGGGCATGAAGTGAAATAGAGTTGTGTTAGTTGCCAGGCGGTCCGGATCCCTGAGGTAGTTTGTACGCTACGCTTAGGCTTTAAGGTGTTTCGTTGAGGAAGTCCAGAATAAAAGTACGAGATGGGCCGAACAGAGGGACGTATGAACATGTATAACTGAAAAGAAGAATGGAAGTAGCGTTTAGATAGTATATAAGTGACTTTTCGCGCTGCGCCTCTGAGAATATCCACGTTGCGCAGAGGAGCCATGAAATTTAAATGTACCATAAATCGAGTAAATAAGTAAAGTGATGACCAAGATAGGAAAAGCAGACAGTCTGGGTATCTTTCTTTGTTCGACATGCACACAATGCACAAGCAAATTCCAAACCCTGAAAGAAAAGCATTGCCATAAGAAGAGTAATAGTGGAAGGAAGCAACATCGAATGTGAGCAGTAGTGGAACCAGGATATAGTACAAGAGAAATCCAACCAGAAGAGAAAGCCTTAAAGAAGAAAAAAAAAAGGTGAAAGATACCAGAGCAGGCATCAGACCGAAAGAAAGGAACACGCGTAGTAGTTAGAAGTGACATATCCAACCCACGACAAGCGACATGTATATTTATAAATATCGAAGCAAGGTTAAGACGATGAGAGGTCCGTCCCACCTCACTCAACCATCGAAGCAAGCGCCGCACTAACAAGACTCTTCCTCCGCAGTCCCTGTTCACTTTTCTTGCGCAGGTCCCGGGTCGAGCTGAAATGATGATAGCTCTTCTCGATGCGCCGAGAAGAGGATTGCAGCGCACTGACGCTGCTCTTTCTCCTTGACCGGGGGTAAGATTCTCCCGCTGACGATGACGAGGAAGAAGAGGCCGATGCGGACGTAGGGGAGGAGGAGGATGCGTCTGTAGCGCCACCGCCGCCGCCGCCGGGACGGAACCGACTGCCGCGGGACGAAGCTGTGAGGGCGCGTCTGCGCGGGGAGGACTGCGGGGGGAGCGAGCTAGGGTGCCAGTCGTCTTCGCAGGTGGAGTAGTTATTGGAGACGGCGGTGCGCAGGGCCTCGTCTTCGGAGATCAAGGCCAGGCGGATGGCTTCTAGGTCGGTGGGGTTGGAGTATTGCAGGCGGGAGATGTGTTGGCGCTGGGCGCGGACGGTTGTGGTGGTGTAGGGGTTGTGGTAGCTGAGTTGTTCTTGATCGTCTGCGTTGCTGAGGTCCATTGGGGTTGTGGAGTCGGTCGGGGAGTTGTAGCTTTCCGCGACGGGCGCGGACGTGGGGTTCAGGTATGGGGAGGAGGAGGTAGGTGGGAAGGTCGGGGAGAGGGAGCCGGAGGTGAGGGATTCATCGTCCAGGTCAGTGTCTGGGGGTGTGAGGACGTAGCCGGGGAAGAGCTTGGGGCTGCTGCTGCTGTGATTGTGGTTGTGGCTGAAGTGGAGGTCGGAAGGGGAGGTGGGAGAGATGGGCGCATCGGGGAAGCGGTCATCGCAGATGGCGGGAAAGGCATTACCGGAAGCGCCGCCGGATGGGTTCTGCAGGGTATGCTCGTGGAGTTTCTTGGTGAGGGTGCTGATGGAGAAGCGCTTCTGCTCGTATGCGGAGAAGGGGACGGAGGTGGGCGCTTGAGCCGGGCCGCCTCGGGAGTAGGAGGCTCGCGACGAGCGCGAAAGGGTGCGCGGAAAGCGCTGCGCTGAGGAGCGTGGGGAGGGACACCGCGAGGACAACGGGGAGATCAATCCGCTGTCGTGGTCGAGGGTGCGGCGGTGGTATTCATCGTTGTCCAGGGCCAGGCGGGGAGGCCGAGTGGAGGAGGGAGACGAGAAAGAGAAGTCCTCGAACATGGTGATATTACCGCTGTAATCAAAAGTGGCACCGTTCTTGACTATGCTAGATGGAAGTAATTTCCTCTCGAAAAGTCGAGGGGGGAAATGACTTAAAAAGTGATGAAGGTGGAGGATGGAATTATCAAGACATGGGGAAGGGGAAAAGATAGATAGGGGGATGGAGGAAGAGAGCGCGCGCGCGTATATTGTGCCTGGACCCGAGATTATAAGGCTAGAGCGAGAAAAGAAAACCACAGGTCCCACAGTGGCCAACTTTCACTTTTTTTTTTTTTTTTTTTTCTTTTGTGGTTTTTGATTCTGATTCTGGAAGAGAGGGGCGAGTTTCCTTTTGCGTAAAAGAAAGAAGTAATGAGGCCTGAACCTTGGATGGATACTGGAGCAGTGGATCCTCACTGAATACACTGGATACACTGGATATACTGGATATTTAGTATTCCGTAGGGCGTGGTGGGAGGGATGGGAGGGAATGGGCCAGACTTCCAAGAGACAAGAAAGGAGATGAGATAGGGGAGAGACTGGAGCAGTCTATTCAAACTACATCCTGTTCAGTATTAAGTTACAGTTACAACAGTTAACTCCGTACATCCGTACATATCAAAGGGCGTTATCATATATTGCCCCTTTATTTGCTTTATTGGACGTGGCGGCGGATCGGGTTCCGGCGTCCAGTTTTGGCCGGGAGGAAGCGAAGCGGCCTTTTGTTCCGTGAGAGCCTCTCCTTTGTTAACAACCCTTCATTAACTACAGTGCAATGCAGTGCAGGGCAGTGCAATGCCTATTACACAAGCCCAAAGGGATAATTAGTTAGTTATCCAACAGATCTTGATCGGATTTTCACGAGATCAGGGAGGAATATCGCTCCCTCTTTCACTTCACAGGAACACTTAATCTTACCCCAACTGCGCCACTGTAAAAGCAATCTCGAATATGGCTCCAATTTTTTCCGGTTTGGACCCTTCCTTGTCGCCATCAGCCTTAACTGCTTTCGATCCAAGACTTAAATTACGCTCTTCGCTCCGACTCGAACCTACTCGGAGATGTCCGTTCCTTTGGGAATAGTGTGTGTCTATCACCCAGGGGGGAAGTAGTTAGTGAGTACAGGTACTCCGTACTTTTGACAACTTGAGATTCGTCAGGCATAACTTCTATATTGTGAATGTAGTTATGTACATACCGGGAGTAGCCCCGCCTCTCCATCCGAGGAGGAAGATCTGTGACTCGTGACCAGCACTTCGTCATCTCAAGTTGTTTCCCTGACACTTTTGAGCTCTCGCCTGTCGTAAAACGGTTTTCTTTTTCCCAGTGACGTGTCATGCGGCTTGTCCAGGACCGTTGGTGAGAGATTCCTTCCTGTCAGTCTCCGCAGACTGTGGGGGTGTGGCCGAGGTCGGCTCGTCGGGAAGAGAACGGCTCGTCGGGAAGAGAACAAGTCTATCGTCTTTAACTAGTGACAGCCTTCATGCCTCGGATGGAGACTAGAACAGAACAAAGCGATTGCGTTAACCAAGCTTGGTCCGGCGGGTATAATTTCGCCCGACTTCATTCGCTTTGGTGCGTCCTCCGACATACCCATGGTATCTGATCAACGTCTCCAGACACGCAACAGTGGGTGTTGGAAAATCAGTAGCCGGGTCTAGAATGGAGTCTCAATTTTAGAACGTCTTGACTCTCGAGGCAAATCGGCATAGAGGATAGCGGCGCTAACGCTCAGAAACGAGAGTTGGGCGTCGAAGAACCCGCTGTGGGCCGATCTGGCCCCCCATACCCCGTAAGCGCGACTCGCGTCGCAGCCATTGGTTTTCAAGGCATGCTGTTTTGTGCATGATTCGGGTGGAAATTATGGCACTGGTGATATCATTGGTGCTACGATCCTGGAGTTCGGGAAAATATGATTCCAAGACATTGCGGGAAGATATTTATAATCATTCATCAGGCTGCGGTATAACAGGTAGCTTAATACGCTGCACCGGCGTAAAACTGTATATTTATCGGAAGACGAACTTAGTAATCGGAACGAGGATCGCTCGATGAGAGGGTCTACGAGATCAGAAGTCATTTATAGCCTACACAGGTAGTTGAATAGAGTACGATAGATAATTGGCAGGACTTTGCGGAGCATTATTCGAATACAATCGGGGCATAGACTCGTGACGGAGAAAGGTAGATAAATCAAGGCTTTCGAGGTAGAATAGGCTGAAGGCCTCAGTAATGAATGCAGTGTCAAACACGCATCTGGATGAAAGCAGGAGGAGCTGAAATGCAAGACTATCGATCTCTCAAGAGAACAAAGCAGACTCCGTATCACAATATAGAACAGTTACCCAGCCGCTGTGCGTCGACTGACCTAAATTTACCTGCTGACGTTTCTCAGCGCCGCAGATGATCAATGATAGTCGAAACCTTGCCGAGCAAGGAGTAACTGACAGATGGCTCGATAAAATCATCATCGTCATCGTCATCGTCGTCGTCGTCAGAGCTGTCGGTATCACCTCGCTTCATCTTGGTGACAGATTGGATTGAGTCCAAGGCGTCATCGGCAGGGTTGAACCTCTCTACAAGATGCTCATTCTGTGACACTCGCGCATTGATGGAGGCAATCTCCACCGAATGGTGGTTTTAATGCGATTGTGAGCGAGAGGCACTCTGGTGACAAACACACCACGTGGGCTTACCTGGTTGGTAGCATGCTGCGGCGCGACTGGGCCGGCTTCCACGAGGGAGATAGTCGAGAAGGCATACAGAAGCATAAGAAGGCCCAATAGGGAAGCGTTAGAGCGAAGGGATGGCATGGTCATGGTTGATTTGACCCAGAAGAAGTGGCGAAGTTCAAAGGTTGTCCAATGACAAAGATTGAATGTTCAGGTAGATCACGATCTGCGTTAATTTTGATAAACTGAATTGCTTGACTTGGTGAGTGACAAACGAGCCCTAATCCTGCCTTTTATAAGTATAATCACTGTCCGGAAGTTGTAGACAGTTGACACCAGCTGAAGCTGAGTCCTTCCTGAAGCGTAGACAACTACTTCTTCAGGGCAGGTGCAGCAGAACAATGTCTACACTCCTAATGCGACACGACACTCCATAAGGCTGTGTCAAGTCTAAACTTCCGCATATGTGTTGACAGCAGAGGAATCGAAGGGATGCACATTGGTGCATAAGAATAGATGTGTATGCCCTAGCCGCATGCATATCGCATTCCCATGCGAATTCAAACGCAGAGTTTCAGCCTCACATGAGTCAAGCTTTATGCCGATGGCAGAAACAGGGCATAACTCTATTCATAGAATCATAGGGCACATTGCGTCATAATGTTGATCGTGCATTCCTGCAGATTGTCTTTGAGATGCGCTTTCACGGTTTCGGAATGACAACTTAGCATTCATCACTTGAAGAGCGACTTGAAGAATGTGGCTAGTGCTAATCTGGTAGGGCAATGTAGTACAAGAGACGAATGACGTCTTTCAAATGTTCCATCGAGCGATTTTTGTGCCTGCATCGAATCTCATTGGTGAGTTTGGATTTTCCGAGCTGAGTGGATGTATGTAGGCATGAAGGCTTTCCAGGGCCGCGATATTGTTAGCACTGGACTCTGAGTTGGGACGTCGTCTGAACTCAGCTGCCTCCGCTGAAGTTCTCTTTTGGCTGTCGCGACATCGTACATTTTTCGAGTGAGAGATAGGTCGTACAGTGCTCTCTAGATTGAGTACAGCATGTTATCGTTGTTCTGATTTGGAGTCAGCGATGGAGATGATAAGAGAATTGGAGTAGACCCGATAGACCCGATGTTCGGCGCGAAAGCCGCTTCCCCCGCAATCGCCGGCAAACTCCCTTTCATCACCGCAACAACCATCCCCTCATCTGCCTGTTTCTCAGCACCTCACAATCATGGCATCTCTTCTCAAGAAACCATTGAAGCTTGCTCTCGTGCAGCTGGCCTCTGGTAGGTGATTTTTCTCTCAAAATCCTCGAGTCTGCTCCTCCTCTAATCCGTCACCATTTTCAACTAGGCGCCGATAAGGCCGTGAACCTGGCCCACGCCCGCAGCAAAGTCCTCGAGGCTGCTAGAGCCGGCGCTTCTCTCATCGTCCTCCCGGAATGTTTCAACTCCCCCTACGGCACGCAGTTCTTTCCCAAGTACGCTGAGACGCTTCTTCCTTCGCCCCCGACCAAAGAACAGTCCCCATCCTACCATGCACTCTCCGCCATCGCCGCCGAGGCCAAAGCCTACCTTGTGGGTGGCAGCATTCCCGAGCTTGAACCCACCACCAACAAATACTACAACACCTCCCTCGTCTTCTCTCCCTCCGGAGCCCTGATTGGCACTCACCGTAAGACCCACCTTTTCGACATCGACATCCCCGGCAAGATCACCTTCAAGGAGAGCGAGGTTCTGAGTCCCGGGAACCAGCTGACGGTGGTCGACCTCCCCGACTACGGCAAGATCGGACTCGCCATCTGCTACGACATCCGCTTCCCGGAGGCTGCCATGATCGCGGCCCGGAAGGGTGCCTTCCTGCTTGTATACCCCGGTGCGTTCAACACGACCACCGGCCCGCTGCACTGGTCCCTGCTGGCCCGGGCCCGTGCGGTCGACAACCAGGTGTATACGGCTCTTTGCAGCCCCGCGAGGGATCTGGAGGCCTCGTACCATGCCTGGGGTCACAGCCTGATTGTCGACCCCAGCGCCAAGGTCCTCGCGGAGACGGAGGAGAAGGAGGATATCATCTATGCGGATCTGGATAACGAAACGATTCAGAGTACGCGAAAGGGCATTCCGATCTACACCCAGCGGCGGTTTGACCTGTATCCGGATGTGAGCGCCGGCAGCCAGTAGGTCGGCAGTGAATACGTAGACCGATTGCAGTATCGATCTTACGCAGCACAATAGACGAGTGATGAATGATCAAGCAGGCTTGCTATGTTTCTTCTTTGTAGTGAATATCCACTAGGATTAATTTCTCTGCAAGTAGGAAAGTATCGCGTGAGTCGTAGAGGTGCTCTTACATACCGATTCTGGGTGTATTGAAAATGTTTCGTATGCTCTATTGTGATTCATGGGCACTCTGTGTAGCTTAAGTATCCTAACTAGAAATTGTTTCACATACTACACAACTCTAACTAATGATAGCCTGGTCCTATCTTCTTCGCTCGTGGTATGCGGACGATGCTGAAGACGGGAACTGAGGATGATACAAGCAATGGAACCCAGCGGGAGCCGAAGGGGAATTCCCTTCACTAAGTTACTACTTACTGTTTAGCCCGACGCAACGCGACAAACATGCGCAAGGCTGTTCCTCTTTCAGGAGGCGACGTTCGGCGAGTCTGAATACATAGGGGCTACGTGATCGGTAACTGCTTTCCAAGTAAGATCACCAGATATTGGCCAAGTCAATTCAGAGGTGTTATCTACTACCCTACTGATGATAGTCGACCATCAACCGGGGAAAAGTGCGTCCCTTAAAACTGAAGCCGGGCAGATTCAGTGCACTAGCATCAGGAGATTGATTTGGTTACGACTGGGTGAGAAGGGGCCACATGGAGCAACTTAAGGACCTCTCAGCGTCACCGTGGTGGTGGTGGTGGTTCAGCGAGCGTTTTTACAAATGTTCTTGGTGCTGCAACGTATTGCAATTTGATCAGGCTGGTGGGTAGTATTTACGTTGATTTGTGATACGACGAAACTGTTTAGGTACCCCATTAGTACTGTTACAACTTCTCCCTCGTAGCCAGTACCGAATTCGAGCTACAGCTATCAGGAAATGGACCTGAAGTGATACGTGATTCCAACACCCATCAGATGTGACCTGATCCTCCTCCCTCCAAGTACAAAAAAAGAGAAAACAAAAAATCATACGATACAGATAGCCAACGCTTCACGTAATGGAAACAGCATAAGTCGCGCCCATCCCGATCGAACTACCTTTTTTATTGACACTTTATAACCCCCCTCAGACTATACCAACCCATGGAGACTTAAAGATTAGCATTTGGTGTCTACGAGCGCCCCTCAGATTTCATGTACTACTTTGTTAGCAGAAGATCCATCTCCGCATTTATGAATTAGCCAGCCGAGGGGGGGGAGGGCGGGTTGGTACTTAGCACGGAGGCGATAAGCCGAGTTAAGTAGGTCATTCCGGTGGTTTTCCGTATCGTGCTAGTCGGATGGGAAGGCAAGCTGGTGATACACAGTTGGACAGGTGGGTGAGGTTGCTGAGATACCCCTTTGCTGTATATGATAGATGGAGTGGAGCGGTTATCCGCAAAGTTCATTCCCTTCAAGGCATCGCTCGCTGCACACTCATGCTTTGGGAAGGTGATCGCGGATATGGATTGGCCAGAGCGCGGGGTAGCGATCAGCGATAAAAGTAGGTCCGATACCTGGGGGTCCTGATTGATGGGAGAGGCTGGACGCTCAGATAACATTAGTCCATCCATCCCTGATTAGGTCCGGTTCGGCAGGTCATTCCGTGGAACTGCTACTAGCGCTTATGTTTAACTACCTAGTGTCATGCTTGTCGTGACCCTGATCTACGGAATACTGTGTTGGGTAATTGTATGGGGATTTAAGTTACATCCAGAACCGAAATGCTAGGTTGGGGAACAACGGTAACTTAGTAACCATGTGAACAGGTAGCGGCTCATTAAAAGCGTAAACTCATCAATTTCGTCATAGCTATATACTCGCGGATGGTATATACTTAAGTTCGCCTGCTGTATTTCAGACAGAGCTCGAATTATCGGCGCAGCTCCAAGCCCCGGATCCGGAGGAGTCGATGATGTCCACAATCGAGCTGTACGTGCCGGCCACCATCAGGAACATCCCCGATATGATGACGAAGCCGCTCCAGGCGACCATCATGTACCACCGGGTGGTTCGTTCGTTTCTCCAGTTGTCGTAAAGCCACATACAGCCCATGGGCTGGAAGCAGGTGACGGTCCCCAGAAGAGCCCCGACGAGAGAAATCAAAGTGTTGAAGATGGGGATCCCACTGGCAATGACGTAGGCAATCATGCTGACGCTGAATGTCGAGCCAATCCAGGTGATCCAGTGCTTGGCGGTGTTGGCGGTCAGGTGCCGTGTGCCTCGCAGGCAACGGACGAAGATGTGCTTGCTGGAATACTGCGAGGAGTTAGTCCATGACTCCTCAAATCGGAGAGTATGTTAACAGCGGGAGATGGGTACTAACGTGGGCTGACAGTGTTCCAGAGACCAATAAGCCGGGTAGGGCGATACCATAGGAGATCTTCTTGAGTAATGGGCCGGCCGAGCCCAGAGCGGGCGACGCGACGTAGGAACCGCAGTAATAGTAGACGACGACGCCGATGGTGATATAAGTAATCGTAACAACACTTTGGCAGAGTATCATGGACTTGGTATAATGGCGTGGCTCGCTCATCTCGGCTACGATGGAGAAGAAGGCCGGCGTTCCCGCATACGCGAAGACCAGAGTGTTGATGGCAGAAATAGCGTCAGTGAAGCTGGGGCTTTGGATGACCTTGTAATTAGATTTCCACACCCCTTCCTGAGGCGCTGCTGCCGGACGGTCCTGAACCCCCACGGCAATGGTGACAATGAAAACTGGATTGGTAGTTAGACCGTCTTCTTATTCTTTTTTTGCATTCTCGGTAGATAATCTGACTCACCAGCGGTAAGAATGCATGCGACGCCAACCCATGCCAGCCAGGTGATACGACCCAGCGTCCGAATGCTAGAAAGCAAGAATAGGATCACGGCAGCAACAGCCACAAAGACGGCCGTGCATGTGCCGTGCATGGAGATGGCGTTCAGCGCAATGGAGGTGCTGAGCATCGCGGAGCCTGCGGTGAAGACGAAGAGCAGACAAAAGGCCCAACCAAGGAACTCGCGGCCCCATCGACCGAACATGAGCTGGCCAACATCATCGATGCCGTAGACGTGACGGTGTCGTAGCTTGAAGATACCCACGATGTAATCTGACCAAGTGGTGATGCCAGCTATAACACACAGAAGGATGACCCCAGGGACAATGCCAACGGTATCGAAGACGGAAGGGATTGAGAGGACTCCCAGGCCGATCTGAGTCTTCATCATCAAAATCGAGGTTCCGAGCCAGCCCACCTGGGAATGTCAGTGCATGTCACTTGAAGCATGTAGGCTGTACTCACATTCCTGTAATTTGGACCATCCTCTGATATTACACCAAAGACATCGTCATGTGCAAAAGTGTCGCCATTCTCAACCTCGCCCAGTTCCGGCTTGACCTCGCTGCCGGGCTCGCCACTGGCCTTGAGTGGCTTGGACATGTTGGGGAAGTGTGTAGCAGACGGCAAATCGACGGCTTATATGCTAAGGATGGAAACAATGAGTTCCAGACTCTAAGAGGTGCAGCGACTACGATGCGAAGAAGAAGAAGAAGAATGACTTCGACAGAGAAGAAGGTGAGATAAGTTGGAACAAAGTCTGAGGGCGGATCTGGGGAAAAGGCACATCAAATAACCTTAAACTCGGCCAGTTTCCATTTAGTCACCCCTGTTCCACTGTTTTCACATATATGAGACTGAGGATCTACTACTGCACAGTATATCAGGCGATTTCCCCTTGAAGATAAGCCCCCCGGGTTAGCGCTGAAGGTACAGACCCACCTACGACGACTTCAGCCTGCCTTGATACGATATGCAGAACTGGTAGTAGTGGTAGGTCAAGTACAGGACGGAGTATACACAATTTCGGACGTCTTCCTTCCATTTTTTCCATTCCATTGATAGCAGAGGCTTGGCTGTACTGTGTAGTGTAAGTAAGGCCAGAATTGATGGACACACAGATAGATAAGGAGTTTATCAAGGCTTATCTCGAGTTGTAGAACGTATCTCCACCGGAACAGGAAGGCTTCGACGAGACTTCCCCACCACCGCGCAGTAGCTCTGTTTAGACGAGATTGGAGGCACTTCTCCTATCACTAGGGATTGAGTGAAGTTGAGACTGTGATGTCACCCAGCACAGCTCTTGCCATGACAACCTCCAGTGATGGTGATGTAAGAGGCTAACAACATAAAGCCGCGTCCAACCCCACATTTGTAGGTCCAGGGGCTTTGAGTCTGGAGAAATGGCATAGTTCATCAGTGCCCGAATGGCGTGGTTTCACCCCGGATCGGCCTACCAGGCCAGGCCGGTGGGCATGCGACCTTCGATCTCGGACCGACGTGAGCCGCAACCGGTCTTGGCGCTTGCTTCCTGCCTCAGGCTGGCTGTTCTGCCTGAGGCGATGAAGGAAAGATACCCGCTGGGCGGTACATCACGTGCCTACCTCTGAACCAATCACCGTCGCCCCCAGCGATAAGCGAGCCCGCACTGGAATTCCCACCAGCGAAAACCCGACCATCTCGAAATCTCCTCCATCCTTGACCGTCGACGACCACTACAGCCAACGACAGCCGACATCTCTGTCCCTATTCAGTGAGTTATTGTCGCCCTGCCATCACGCTGCAGACTCGCCATTTCTCTCGCCCGTCTGGTCTCAAAAAAACTAACCGCATTTCTTGTTCGAATTGCAGAAATGTCCAGCACCGTCCAGAAGACCGGCAAGAAGACCCGCTCGGCCATCGCCGATGTGGTGTCCCGCGAGTACACCATCAACATGCACAAGAGAGTACGTTGAAACATACAAACACGCACTGCGATATCAGCCCGCTTTTGCTCCCCTTCTCCCCCTCAAACGACAATCGAACGATTCCTCAACCCGCGCGGGAAGGAAAGATTCAGATTCGTTGTCCGAGGCCATGGACGGAGAACACAAAAGACAAAACGCAACATACGGCGATGAGAACCACGAAGCGGCGCAACAAAGCCAAAATTCTCTATACCTTTTGATATCTGAAAAGACAAGGGGGTAAACGAGAAGCGCCGCATTGGGGGGAAATTGATCGTTGTTGCGCGTCGAGAAAGAAAAAAGAAAAGATTGTGTGGAGGAACAACTTTCGGGGGTTTCCTATTGACAAGGGAAGAGGGAGGGGAAATGATGTAAAACTCATTCTTCTCTCTCTCCCCCAGTCACACTCGTCTCTCTCTTTCCAAAAAGAAGAATTAGTTTTATGAAGTCCACCTCAAGGCCGGGATCCCGCAAAAGGAAACAAAAAAAAATGATTTTCTCATCTTTTTTTTTTCCTCTTGCGGGATCTTCTCCACAACTTGTCCCCAACACACATCTCTTGGTTTTTAAATATCTCAAAGATGGCATTCGGGCGGAAGACTAATATTTCTTCTTTTTCGGTATCAATAGCTGCACGGTGTTAGCTTCAAGAAGCGTGCTCCCCGCGCTATCAAGGAGATCCGCGCCTTCGCTGAGCGTGCTATGGTGAGTCCTCCTTTCCCCTCCCCACTTGTACACCTCTGCCGGTGTATATGTCGAACCCAAGACATGACTAACCACCCCCGGATCAATCCAGGGCACCACCGACGTCCGCGTCGACCCCCAGCTCAACAAGAAGGTCTGGGAGGCCGGTATCAAGGGTGTCCCCTTCCGTCTCCGTGTCCGCATCTCCCGCAAGCGTAACGACGAGGAGGGCGCCAAGGAGAAGCTCTACTCCTACGTCCAGGCCGTCAACGTCAAGGAGGCCAAGGGTCTCCACACCGCCGTTGTTGACGATGAGTAAATGTATTAACTTTTAAACCATCATCAACAACTGACTGTGCTTGATATCCCTCTGTTGAAAAAAATTATGGACCTTCGAATTAGTATGACACAATCTGTCATCTTTTCTTTTCCTCTTAGAAAGAAAAGAAAAATGAATGGGACAATGTGATGTCGGGTTGGTTTGCTGGAACCAAAAACAAAAATTCCCCTCTATGTTGTTCTCATCTTTGCTTCGTATATGTATTCCTGTAGTCGATTGCGTAGCATACTAATAAGCTGTGAAGTGGATCATGTCCTGATGCTACAGTTTGTTCCGATAATGTTCACGCAGGCCAGTCGGTATTATGATTCTTTTCCATGTAGCTCATCATATGTGTGTATCGAGCTGACAAGCAACAACAAATTGATGTTGAGAAATCAAAGTCTTCTTGCCTCTAGTAATACAACAACAAATCTCATTGGCAACCAAAGAGACACTTGGAAACAAGAATTGAAAGTCCCATATGAACACGAAAATGACAAATTTCCCCAATTTCGACGGGTGCAGGAGAAAAAAGAAATTAGAAAACAGGTTTTGCCTTTCTCTCAAATCCACGGACAACTCGCTATGCTAGATGCGCCTGTTTTCTCCAGCGTGGACAGAATGGACAAGAAGCAGATTAACGACGACGACGCTATTTCCCGACAATGCAGTGGCGTTACAACTCGAGAGAAATGCAGGGAGACAATCAGAACGAAGAGCAAAACTTTACATACATAGATGCCTTGAAAACCTGGGAGGGGCAAGCCAATCCTTTCCCTCCTACTCGAAGATATGAGAAAAGCATGGACAAGAAACGGTCAAGGATGAGAAGTCGATTTCAGGAAGTTGGTCAAGTTCACAGCGAGATGGTGATTAGGCGGCTGAAATAGGTAAGGATCAGACTTACATCACCAGAAAAACTCGTGCGGTACTGACACAACATTCGAAACTAACCCTGGCTTGACTTTGTAGATCGCGCAGTGGGAAAAATGATGTTCTCTAATGCATTGAAAACATCCAAATAAGACGAGAGAGAATAGAGAAGCCTTGTCCAGACGTTTCGCGCGTTGAAAGGAAAGATTGCCTTGAACAGTTGGACGAAGAAAGACTTTCAAAACCAAACCAGGACACTCGTTCGCACATGACGCCCGCCAAATTGATCATGAAAACTTGAGTGGTGACCCAATCCGAAATCAAGCCTTGTTTTCTTCCATAGCCTTGCTTAGACGTTCTGCATCGTCCTTCGTCTTGACGCGCAGCGCCCACATTTCAGGAGGGCCTTCGGCTTGTGGCACCATAAACTGGACGCTGTTGCCCGATGCCTTATAAGAGATGGCCTTCACAAGGTACGTGTTGAGAATAACCTTCCCACTCGGGTCGGCTCTGACCAGAATACGACTGCGGGAGGTGGTCTTGTGCTTCAAGATGCGGACGAATCCCAGGCCCTGGCTTTCCCACGCGCTTGGAGTGTGTTTCATTGCACGAGCTCGGTTCTCCAGAAGGACCTCTTCATCCTCTTCTCCGGCTCCTGTGCGAAGATCGGCTTGGGGTAAGTTTTCGGCTGCATCGCCGTCCCCTGCCTCTTCTACTCCAGTCTCAGACACACCAGGGGTGGACTGGCGGCTAGTAGTAGCCGATGCAAGGACGGACGAGCCTGTTGCAGAAGGAGGCTGAAGCGAGGGATTGCCGAAAGAGAACCCTGCTGAAGGCTGTGTAGAACCGGTACCAGGCTTGCTCAAAGATGAGGGAGCACCGAAGAGAGAAGTGAATGGTTTAGGGGCCTCGGATGCCGCGGGTGTTGCAGAGCCGGAAGCTGAAGGGCTGGCTGCGAACTTAATCGGCGAGTCAGGTTTCCAGGTGTTATCACCAGATGGCTTAGAGAAGATGGATGGGGTGGCGCCACCGGGGCTGGAGACGGCGGAGCTGAAAATGCTAGAGCCAGTATTTGCCGACCCAAATGGATTGGTTATCGCAGGCTTTGCCGCAGGCTTCTCGGACCCAGAAGTGCTATTCTGTGTGGAAGAGGCTGGTGTGTTCTGGGACGAAGAGAAGCTCGGGGAGCCAAATAGTGTAGAAACAGGGTTCTTCTGTTCGCCGTCGGCTTGACGCTTAGGTTTGCCGCCTTCATCATAAGAGACACGATCAAACAAGCTTCGGCCGCCCGAAGTTGCATCTGTACTGCTAACAGGCTTCGAGTTCTGGAGCGCTGTGGAGAAATCACCATTCTCGCTGCTTAGCGCAGGAGAATCTGCCGCAGTGGAAGCAATCCCGCTAGTAGAAGTTTTGGCAACATCATCTTGATCGTCGCCAATGTCAGAGGCTGCCTCTGTGTTATTGTCCTCATCATTGTTCTCATCATCGACCGTGTCATCGACTTCAGAGGGAGTAGCTGAAAGGTGTCCAAAGATATTATTGGACTTGGTCGCAGACTTATTTTGGTTGTCAAAAACGGAAGCACTGGAGTCCGAAGTAACAGCATCTTCTCCAGTCTTTTCTGACTCAGTAGCTTCGTCCTCAAAAACAAAACCCTTGCCAGGCACAAATTTGGCCTGTCTCTTGGCTCTAGCGGCATATTCTTCTTGCTTTTTGCGCTGGGCTTCGGCGTCTTTACGTTCCCACTCAGCTTCGTCCTCTTCTTCAGAATCAAAGTCTTCTGCTTTGCGCTTCGCCTTCTCTTTCTCGGCCTCCTTGTCGGATTTAGCCTTGAACTGAGCAAAGAAGTCGCCGCCGGCCGGGGCACTGAATTTCGGAAGACCAGGCATGGTGCTTGCAGCAGCTCCGGTCTTTTGATCGGCAGGTGGTTTAAGAACGAAAGGATTCTTTGGGGCAGTGCTGCTAGATGCGCTGGAATTTAGGGTCGCACTTGACATTGACGAGGAGAATAAAGAAGTAGATGTTGAGCCCTGGGTGGTTGAACTTGAGAACGAAAATTGCGGCTTGGCTGGCTCAGTCGCTGGTGTTGCAGGGAACAGCGCAGGCTTGGAAGCTGGAGTGGACGGTTTCGAGGAGCTTTCCTTATTAGAGATGTCCTCAGCAGACTCAGAAGCTTTGGACTTAGAGAATGACTGTGCAAAGATGTTCGCAGTAGTCGAGTCTCCATTGACACGCTTTGGGGTGCCGTTGATTTCGCTCTCGTCATCTGGTCTTCTCTTCTTGCTGTTAGGAGAGGCGTCCTGGGCTGACCCAAATGTCTTGGCAAGATTGGGGGTTGCAGCAGGAGCAGGGTTTTCCATGGTCGGGATAGTCCCATCGATGGGGGTCCCATTTTTCACTTTCTTAGACTCAATGCCATTGGAAACGTCTTCCGCTGCCTTGCGCTTAGTAGCGACAGGCATTCCAATCGTATCACGCACACGCAGATAATACTGCAAAATAGCATCAAAACTACCACTAGAGGGATCAACCTTAGCCATCTCACGCTTAAAGCATTCATTCAATGTACGCAGACGATGAACCGTTTCGGCATCAGCCTTGACAGCATGGTCCACAATTCCTGCAACTTTAGGAGATTCCAAACTGTTGAAAGTGGAAGACCTGAATGACTGACTGCCTGAATCTGACGCGGTTGGCTTGTCCCCGTTGACATGGAACAGAGCCTGGGGGGCCGCCGCGGGAGTCTGAGTTGCTGGTTTTGAGGTGAAGAGGCTGGGTGTTGGGGGAGCGGGACTGACGGGGGCATTAGAGGAGAAGGACGTCAGGATATTGGATGATTCCTTGGCTTGACTGGGCTTGGGTGCCTCAGCGGGCTTAGGTGAGAATAAATTGCCGAAAGGATTTGCAGGGGCCGGCTTAGACTCAGACTCCGGCTTGCTCGGTGTCGCGGGCTTTGGCGCATTGAAAGAACTACCGAAAGGATTTGATAATGCAGGCTTGGGCTCTTCCTGGTCTGCGGCCGTTGTCGTCTTCGGTGCAAAAAGGCTTCCAATTGAAGGTGTTTGAGCGAATTTAGTCGAAGAGCTGCCACCACCGTTTGAAAACAATGGGGTTGCGGTGGTCGTGGACGAATTAAATTGGAAGAGATTCTTAGGTGTATCCGCAGGTTTAGCTTCCTGCTCCTTCTTCTCTTCGGATGCCGTCTGCGTGGATAGTGCACCTGACGCTTGGAAAGTATTTTTGAGAGGGGCGGACGAGCTAGCTGACGACCCAGCGCCGAATAGACCAGCGAATGGAGTCGACGTAGCAGCAGGCGCTGGTGACAATGTTGATGCTGTAGAGGCAGCCGTAGTCTGCATGGAAGTGCCACCAAAAATCGGAGCGGATGCAGGAGGCTGCTCGGTCGACTTGGCTCCAAACAAGAACTTCGCGGGAGAGTTGCTAGAGGGGGTCGACGCGCCAGTCAAAGCGCTGCCGAAGAGTGGTTTGCTTTCGTTCTTCGAAGCATCGTCCTTGGCAGGAGCTGGTGAACTAGGTGTCGAACCAATACTTGTGCTGGAAAACAATGGCTTTGGGCTGCTCACGGACTTAGCATCTGGGGAGGTGTGCATTGAGTCTGAGCCAAAAGGACTAGATTGGCCGAATACCGAAGGCTTGCTTGCGCTGGCCTGGCCGAAAATGTTACTCGAAGGTGCAGAAGTGGTGTTACTCTGACCGAAGATATTAGTTGTAGGTGTAGCGTTCCCATTCTGCGTAGAGGAACCAGCATTGGAGCTAGCGCCAAAAAGACCTCCAGTACTATTCTGGGCGATTCCGCCTCCAAAGAGAGAGCCAGAGGGTAGAGGTTGCTGCTGTTGCGCTGCTGAAGACTGGTTTCCAGCTGACGCAGAGTTGAAGCCTTGGAATCCGGAGAAGCTTCCTTGCTGCTGAGATGACTGCGAGCTGCCAGTGCTCGTACTTGAAAAAGGATTGTTTACCTGTGGGCCACCGAACGATGAGGAGAAGCTGAATGAAGAGGATCCTGGCGCAGCTGAACCACCTGCTCCGAAAGAGAACGGGGTCGAGCCATTTTGCTGCGTGGATTGATTGGGCGTCGAATTGGCACCCGGGAAACTCTGGTTTTGTCCAAATGTGAACCCAGTAGAGGGGGGTTGTGAGGAACCCATGGTGGAGGATACTGTATTGGGGTCGATGGGATTGAACGCGCCCCCAAACGTCGGCGCGGATGCACCTGATGAACCTGCAGGAGTCTGACGTCTAGATCGCATAGGTCGAATTCTGAAAAGCTTGTCAGATGGAATTCACGCTTGTCAAAAACGTGTGAGGAGTGATTTGTGATGATTGGGAAAGACGGGTGGATGTGAGGAGACGGGATTTGGAGATGGGATGATGGGGGAGTAGGAGGGAGGAAAGAAAACAACACGCAAGGGAGAGAAACAGAAAGTTATCTCAACGTGTTACTCCACTCAGGGCACGTCGAGGCTGCAGGGTAAAATTAAATTCATGCATGAGGGTGCCCGCAAAGGTCGGTCTACATTCACTTTTCACTCACTTTCTCGCTGCCAGCTGCGCGGCAGTTGCCCGCTGTGGCTTTTCTTCCGGTGTGTTGTCCATGTTGAAATCGGCCATGTACGAACCAAGGCTACCACCTTGGCCACTCTGAGCGCCTCTTTTAGACATATATTACCCAGCTATAGCAACGTCTCAGCTGCGGGATATTCAAAGCAGCGGCTGGTGGAGCTTCGCGTGCAAACTGACTCTCATACAGAAATGAGAGCAACTTGAGCGCGATATATTGCTCTAGAGCTGGAAGCTCACCTAACCAAGCGCCAAATATTTTCGCGCTGATTCAGTCGAAAGCTGAGAGCGCACGCCTGCAATCAAGCTGGGCGCGGCGCGGCGGGTGGAGTGAATGAGTGGATGAGGGTTTGGGTGGGTAGGTATGGGGCGGTTGAGGGTTTGCGCAACTCGGCGATATCGGGTGCGCAAATGGTGATTGCTTCGGTCACTATTTACGAGTTCCTCGAGCACTGATGTGTACCGTATAGCTTGCTGAGGCGGAGGAGGGTCGCCCACTTGGTTCTAGGTCTGTATCCGGGGCGATGAGGAGCGCAGCGCGCGAAGACAAGCCAGGCCGGAAGACGGGGGAATAAGGCGGATGCGACTAGGTCAGAGGCAGAGCAACAGGCCTCACAAACTGAGATTGGTATTTCGATGGGGAATCACCGCCGTTTTGATGTGCTCTGCCTGCGAAGGGATGGAGGCGTGGGTTTTTCAGCCTTCACTTTGCGGGCTCGCGACTTCCTGCGGACAGGAAGGAAGACGCTGGCAGAAAAAATTACTATCACGTGAGCACCCGCAAGGCGAACATCAGACCAGCATGACATAATAACCCAGTAGAGCAAGCTGATGAGTAGTTATACACAGCGACTGTTGCTACGCTGGGAAACCCATTATGAGGTTGATTTACAGAAACTCCCCTGGTGTCTTCTTGCTTCCTGTAACTGACTCGAATATCAGTCCCCCTTTTTCTGGGTTATTCATTGCTTGAGAAAGAGATAATTTCTTTCATTGCCTTGTGCTCTCCCCGTCAATGCGTCTCCCGCTGGAGATGGGGAAGGTATGGTATTGTTACACTCCCGTCCGGACCTTTGCAAGAGAAGGAGCGGAAGGCATGTAAGATTACGGGGTCATGCACCCTCCTTGTTTCCATGGCAAAAACTTGAACAATGCAGTGCAGCTGACAGCCATCCACTCCCTCCCCCCCTCTCTCCCTTCATCAGGAATATGTTGGTTGTTATCCTCTGGTACCTCAGTTCACTTCCCCTTCATGCCTAAACCATCACTGTCTTAGCCTGGTACCACAGGATACGAAAAAAAGAAAAAAGACCTGGTTGTTTGAAAATATATATGTTGATGCGTGATAACTAACTACACTATGAGGAACACCGCACGGATCTGCCCACATTGAAAATGCGGATAAGTTATCATGCTAGGCTTAGTACTCTGTATCATGCGTGCATAACCCATACTTTAACTTCTTTCCTCTTGGAGACGCCGATGCTGACCGTAAGGCTATGTGTGCTATCCCTGTCAGTTCACCCAAGCGAGGCCACCCTCTACAAAAATCTGTATCCTTCATCCCTACCAAGGCATAACGGGCCGGTGCCCTTTGGGAATCATTCTACATCAAGTATGAAGGTCTTTCTATGTCCTTAAATTGGCCTAACAATCTTTGGAATAGCTATACAAGAAAGGGCAAGAGATCGCGGGTAGAATCAAGAACTGATCCAGAAATTCAACAAGGGGTATCTATAGCTTGGCCTTGCTCTGGGCCTTCTTCAGAACAGGCTCCATCTTGGTCGCCTTCATGATGTTGCCTTTAATCTTGAGCTTACCGCCCATGAACAAGCGCTGAGCGTTGGCCTTGCCGCTAACGAGGGAGCTGAAGTCCTCATCGGAAAGCGTGAGGGTGACTATATTTAGGTTAGATCAACATTTCGACAGCATTCGGTCGTATGAAACCACGGGCACAGTGAGATACTTACCGTCCGGTTTGCCACCCGGGGGAGAGGCTCCCTGTCCCACGACCCCCTTGTCCTTCAGATCTAGGTACCAGCTCTCCTCTTCACCGGCGGAGTTTTTGAGGGTGAAGGAGACCACGGCTTTGGCCTTGTTGATGGCGTCTTTACGCTCGGCAGCATCCGACTGTAGAGCGGAGTTGATCACATCGAACGCGGCGGAGGAGGGGAAAGCGTCTGCAAGAGTCACTCACTGTTAGCCTTGAAGGTTGATGCTGTGTAGATGGATAGGCGTACCGTTCTTGAGAGTCATGTTGACGATGTAGATAGAGAGCGGAGTTGATAGCTTAAGGAACGTCAGAAGGCGCTGAAAATACCGTCAAAGTATCGAAGCTAGATCGGAGAGTTCAAAGAAAAGCCGGTGATGAGGGTGAAAGGTAATTTTTAATAAAATCCGGGATGGGGATTCAAGATTGCAGGAATCAAGCTGAACTTCCCCGGAGTATTCGGCGGTCGGTGCATGTGAAATAATAGCGGCGGTCGCGGGGGGGCCCGGTTTTGGACCGAGGCTGACGATCCTGTGATTCTCCCGTCATCTGCACCAAACAATGACTGCCCATGGACATGCACAGTTATGGAACCTCACCGGAGCTTTGCATGCTGAGCAATGATCAGCCGTCTGCTGAAATGGACTTGGTATCCTCATCATTCTACAAAGATGATGCCCAGGTTTATGGGGTAATTAGCTGCACGCTGAATACCTACCACTGCACACCGCAAGGAGTCGCATGGCAAGCTTGTTCACAAGGCATCATCAATCGGCAGCTGCATGCTTTCATCATTGCCTTATTAATCTGTCTTATGTGAAATGACAGTGAGATGCCGTGGAGATGCACTACCACTACCTGGTGCATTACATCGAGATTCTATGGCAGTTCACTATTGCTTCATTGGCCTAGTGGAACAGGATAGCAAGCCACCTCAACGTTGTTTCAATATCTTTTGTCTTACAGCGAATGTGGCTTATGACTTGCTGAATCTTGCTTCCTTCTGGTTCAGGGTTCCTCTTTACATGACATCTAGGACTTGCCCGATCCCAACAAGTGGACTCCATCCCTGTACAAGAAAGCAAAAAGGCAAGGTCAACAACACAAAGACTCGAGATAACGAACGGACCAAATCACATCTAAGCACTTTTTCGTCGTTATTGTACATATTTCACACACTTCAGACCACATTTTTTTCGCACAACGATTCATAATCCACCCTGAGTTCAAGCAACGATGTTCTTCTTGCGACGAACACTGAGCTTGGTAGCCAAAGGTGGGAGTTGGAAACGACCCCATCCTAGTGAATAGGTCAGCGCCGGTTAGCCGTTGAAATGATGAGGAGTTTCACTTACTATGGATCTTAGGACGGGTCTCAATCGACTGAATGTCATACTTCAACAGCATCTCCGCAATCAGGACCTTGAAGATGTGCGCGAAGATCCAGCGTCCAGGGCACTGACGGCGTCCGTGACCAAAGACCACATAGGTATCGCTGGTGGCCGTAATCAAATCATTGCGTCTCTCCTCAGCCGGAACATTGGGCGCATAGAAGCGGAAAGGGTTGAACTGATCCGGGGAAGGGTAGAGGTCGCTATCACGGTGCAGTGCGTATTGAGGAATTCCGACCTTAGTTCCGAATGGGAGGTGAAGTCCGTTGTCCAGGTCGACGCCGTTGGTGGCCACGACCTAATGGATACGAAGCAACTTGTTAGAATTGCCGAAGCAATGCAGCACATGAGAAGTGGAATTAAGCATGGAAGAGAGTATGCTGAATGCTTACCTTCCGGGTGGGAGACACCGCGTTGATGCCATTCAGGCGAAGACTCTCCTTCACAGCACTCTCGAGCAAACCAGCCTTGGCAAGATCTTCAGCATTCCACGAACCGTCAGAGGCAATTGACACGATTTCCTCGCGAAGAAGGCCAACTAAGTCGTCATCGGAATAGCTGAGAATATCAAGGAGAACACTGGTCGCGGAGACACCGCTTGTATGCACGCCAGGAAAGTTGATCATGAAAATGCGATAAGCCAGCCACATTGTGGTAAGTTCCATAGGCCATTTGCTGCGTATACCGGCCTGAACGAGCATGTCCAACAGAGAACCCTGAACGACATCAGAAGATCGAACTCAAGGACATATGACAGCAAGACTTTACCTTGGACTTAAGATTTTCTTTCAGGACTTCAGAATCAGAGGCTTCCTTCTGATCTTGGATCTTCTTTTCGATTATGGGCTTCAAGCGAGCATGGAACACCCTCTCAAAGTAGCGATTTACTAGCCCGACGATAGGACCAATGATTCTTGTGGAAGTGTCAGACGGGAGCCAAGGAAGACGACAGTGGGACAGGGTAAATTTACGGATGGAGGAACGATGGAAAAGCCTTGATGACGTTCGCACCGAAGACAATGGCATTGGAACAGTGGGTGAGAGCGGCCAAAAGAGCCTTGTCATCACTGTGCCCAGGTCCAATTGCGAGTACGTTGATCATTCGTCCAGCAGTCTTCTCCATGAACGCATACAAAGGAACTTGTACCCAGTGTTCGGTATCCTCGCCCCAGAGCTCAGACAGACAGGCACGAGCCTCCAAGGCCAGGGACTCAGCAACAGCCGGGGTCTTGAGAGTTTCGGACAGGTCCTTGCTGATCAGTTTGACATAGAAGTCGTACTTCTCTGCGAAGGCAAGAGGCCAGCTCGTGTACGTGAGCTGAAAAAACTCTAGAATATGCGCCTTAAAACTGAAATCGGTCTCTTTGGCATGCAGGATAGCGTTGGACTCCTTGGTAGGAAGCAAGACCTCATCGCCCTCGTTAACGCTAGGCATCACGAACAATTGGTTGTTCTTGGAGTACTAAGAGGTAGGGGGATCCAGGTCAGCCTCTGCATCAAGCACGGATGCTATCTGTCATGCTAGGGAGGGAGGAAATAACCTCGTTATATCCATCCTTGATGAAAGCGATGGGGTTGACGCCGATAAACCGCTCGGTGGCTCGTCCAAGCAGTCCCTTCCTGCTCAGAACCCAGGGGATTCCTTCAGGAACAGGGGATGTCTCGAACAGCTTGGCTGTGAGGCAGGCCATGAAAGTCACCATACCCAGACCAAGCATGGTGGGGAAGTTGAGTTCAAGCAACATGTTTTCGGACCTTGTTGGTTTGACTCAAGCTTGGGAGATAATGAGAGACAAAGAGGAAGAACAAACGACGGAGTAGAAGAACGAATGATGGAGAGAAGAAGAAAGAAGAAAGAAGAAAGGAGAGAGTATGGTAATGGATGAAGGTGAGTTCCAAGCATGAGGACAAGAGCTGTTATATACCCTCTACTTGGATGAACTATTGCACAATCAACATCATCATATTCACAGTCTCATCCTCATCCAGTACTGACTTCTTTGTCTGTGCACCATTATCAAAATTACTCTGAGATCTCCGTTAGCTACTTACCTCATCATGGGCCCCACCTGGCTCACATCTCATGAAGCTGAAAATTCAATGTTGATATCAAAACCACAAGCCAATCATAGGAGCACGTCACGCCAGGGGCCCAGGGTCTAGATGTGAAAGCAGGCACAACTCTTCACTTGACAAGGAAGTTTTCAAGCCACATGAAGTTGTGGAGCTGAAAGCCCTATCATGGCGACATCAGACCAATGGAAAGAGGTAAGATAATGGAGGAACACGACCGCCAAGTGACCTGGCACTTTCATTTCAGATCTTGCGGGGATCATGAAATGCTACCGTTCCGGATATCGGTCTGCAAACGACAGCCAACCAAAAGGATGAGCTCTTCGACAGAACCGCCTCCGCTGTTAGCCTCAACCGGGGGTGAATTCTGTAGACAAACAGCAGTAGCCAAATATCTGTCAAAAGAAGGCTACGGCATATGGGTGAGGTTTGCGATTATGATAAAAAATGTCTCCACGAACCTACATCCCCATAAGACTCGGGTATAACTGAGACGAAAAGGATACCTATGGCAGAAAGCTCCTAGAGCCCTTGTCTAGTCCTGTCGCGCCTCGCAAACGGACCACTTTAAACCCTGCTGATCATCAGGTCAAAGCTCGAGTGCCGTGTTTGACACTAACTACAGACATGTAAATCTAGGAGGGCCTGGAAGGTGTCGATCGACCGTGAGCAATTCGCAACTCGCTATGCAGAAAGTCGCTCGTCTGTCAGAGCAGCTGCTAAGACGCAGCTCTATCTGGTGATGATGTTGAGCTTGCGAAGCGTCAATCTTCAGCGTTCGCGTTCATTGGAATTGTGTTCTCCATGGATATGGCCCTCTTTCCCGCTGACTTGTCATAGTAGTGCCTCGTCTCCACGGAGCAGCAACACATGAATGGGTGATGGCATCTCATTGCATCATGAGAATGACGCGATGGTCGTACCCCTTCAATTGGTTCATAGTCATTGCATTGATGATGTACACTCTCAGCGTCGTTAGGCACATGCTCCGAGTCTCAGAGCGAACAAAGTCCTATGCATTTGCTATTGCAACCATGTAGCTGATCTCAGCTGTTGAGTCGAACGTTTTGGGCCCTCAGAACCACGTACAACCTGGAACTGCATGCAATTCTATCGCAAGTGGTGAACACATGTTCGTTAGTTGCGTTTCCTACTAAAGATTTGTCTCATGGCCTACCATCTGTGGCTGGATCTCAAGTGTGAAGTCGAGTCATAGCGTGTCCAAGATGATGCTACAGAGACCCATAAGTCGACTAAAACTTAGCTCACAAGTGAGCGGATGATGGGAATCTATATAATCGATAGGTTACATCTTATGGCGGGATGTTATAGGTCTAAACGGAGTGGATAACAAATAGAACCACTGAATCATAGAACCAAAAAAAAAAAAAAAAAAAAAAAAAGGATTACTATCTTTGCCACCGGAACCTGACTGGTTTCTCTCACCGTCAACCCATCAGTTCATGGGGGTGTCTTCAATCTCTTTACGGTGTACTTCCAACTCGGAGTCTTCCAAAGCATGAGCTATACTAAAAACCGATATTCACTGGTGACAATTGGCAAACCCTGTGCTGGGAAAGGAACTCACCGCGTCATTGTCTTCGCAGGGCGTGTTGCCAAGAGATCCTCACAAATCTGATCCTCTCCACTTTCAACTTAAGTATCCGGTACTTTACTACTGAAATGGATCCCTGCGGTAATCGAGTCACTTTTCTCCTTTCCGCTTAAGGCTGACTTTGACGCCGCTTTTTGCTCACTGAGCAGCCTGGAGCGTGGGGTGAGCACAGGAGTGCGTGGCATGAGTGGTAGGTGAGCGATCCCGGATTTATCCGGGCGTAAGATCAGAAGAAGCTGGCGGTCACCCCCGAGTGATCTCGTGATATGACACACGTGATGCTCATGTGGCTCAAATAAACTGCAACACGACTAAACACATTGCATTGTACAGTACCAGCCCCACCGTCAAATACTCTGGCCCCCAAAAACATCTGGTCCCTCACTATGTTCCCTTCTACAGCCCCCCAGCAAGCTGCTAGCGAGGTACGGAGTACTAAATGACCTGTTCTGTATTAAGGTACTCAGAGGGAATGGTTGTTGCTTAGGACTGCTGCTTGGCACTTTACGGCCAATCTCATTGTTAGTCTCATCTAACTTATCTCTATATTGAGTTGGGACGGCCCTATGATAGTTAGGGAGAACAGTAGATGGAGCGTGGCTTTGACAGTTATAGGGCAGTAAGTTGATAGTCCACCACCTGGTATGCCTACCGCTCTAAATACCGCCTTACTTACCGTTTCTAATACCGCCTCTTTCACCGCTTACGTTCACCGCCTGGTATGTTTCCGCCCACCGTCTCTATCGCAACTACGTAGCTACATTTGCTATGTACATGTTTCTGCCCTCCATATGCGCTTTAGTTCTGTACGCCCAAAGACCTCAGTGCTCCGCCTGATCTGTTTCCCTACTATCAACAGCTCCGAATTGCCCAAGGAGCCCAGTGCGTATAATAAATTCGGCTGCTCGGATTGCTTAGCTTAGGCGTGTTAGGAATTTTGTCCAAACTCCCTTCTCCTTCCGGTCCCACCAATCCTTCTGCCGATAACTATCGGTTTTTATCTTCCAATTTATTCTTTTTGTTGGAATAGCTCTCCAACTCTGCTTTTAGCTTCTGCTATTCAATTACAGCCGTCATGTCCACGTAACAGTAGCCGCAGCCCCTTGAGGGGAGCTTCTTGTTCTAGAAACTTTTGCACATTGTCAAGGAAAGGGACGGCGAGCAAATAGATTTGTTACCACTAGCATTATCTTGATAGTAAATGAAATGAGAAGACTTCCGGGCGGACTAGTACTAGTACTGACCACTCATGGTAAGAGTAAGATTGGCAATAATCTCGCTCTGGAAGTCCTGAGAAACAGGGACGGTCCATAGCGTACTGTGTAGATAGTTCTTACCGTTAATTACCAGTAATCAAAACGTTCACTGGCGTCGACTATGCCTTCAGAGACAAGGACAATCTCAAATGGAACGTGTAGTCTTACGGGAAGAAAGGCTCAATACAACCCCCAAGGCAGATATTGGAATCGATGAAAAGTAAGATTCGGCTCAATGCGCCACCACAAGTGTGGCCTTTCGAGGGAGTAGTGAATAAAGATAATCCTTTTTGAAAAACAAGGTTTGGGGGAAAATATAGTAGAAAACTACATACGACGCCACTAGATCGCGCTCATTTCCAAGGTATCAAGTTCTTTCGAACCTGTACTAGTTATGAATTTAGTTTCCAGATGTTTAGCCTATGGCAACATATGGCGACCGGCACACCCCCTTGCGACTAACCACATCCTTCACTGCACAAGATGAAATCTTAGTTCCAGACGATGCCCCTTTGGAGATGACAGATACCCGTCACTTGGTTCCATGTCTCCATGGTCATGAATTGTGGTGGTGAAGTTAGAATAGATGCTCGCGAACAAGTATTTAATGGCTAGAAGTGTGGGGTTAGCTAGTGGCTTATGTTGTCAACTGCCGAGAAAAATGCAAGCGTACTCACAGTAATAGGCAAAGTGAAGTCCAAGGCACATCCTTCCACCACTGCCGAACCCCCAGAACCATTTTCTCATGACAGCCAATTCCTCTGGTGACGCATTGAGCCATCGGTCTGGCTTCCATTCATGAGGATCGGGAAATACATCAGGCATGCGGTGCAGAACAGAAGCGTATGACTGCACAATTGTTCCTGTGGGGATGTTGTGGTAGCCCCCCAGGGTACAAGGCCGTGGCACGACACGTGGTTGACCTCCAGGCACGGAGGGCCAGAGTCGAAGGGTCTCCATCAGGACCGCATGAAGGATTGGCAACTTGTCGATATCCTGAGGATGGGTCATATCGTCGATTTCCACGACCTTTCCCGGAATATGTTTCAACGAGGGGGACAGACTGCGCAGCTCTTCTTGAAGTTTTGTCTGCCACGCCGGATGTCGACTGAGCTCGTACAAGAGGTAGGTGCTGGTGTTGCCGCTGGTCTCGAAGGCGCCGGAGTTCAAGGAAAACATTTCACTTGCCAGTGGGAGACGACGAGGGTATGCCTTTGGCGGCTTGGAGGTGACCTCGCTCATCCCCTTGAGCGCCTGTTCAAACACAACCGGTTGATCATCCAGTGATAACTGTTCCCTGCTGGCTAGGAGTTGCTGGGCTTGGTCACACTTTTCCAGGTTCCAATTTTCGACGCCCTCAAATGCGTTGATCACGGATTTGGGGATGAGATAAATCCCAATCTTCTGGAGCATCTTGATCAGACCGGGAAACTCATATTGCCAAAAGGTGTATTTGGAGATTCCCAGAAACCCGTCAAGGTAGAATCTCCGTTCCTTTTCGTCCTCAACCAGATTGCTGCGCAGTGATTGCCCGAATTGCCACTGCACAAAAGTGTCAAGTAGATACGAGTAGTTGAGCTCGAGGACCTCAACTGGTTTGTTGAGGGTGGCAGCATTGTATAGAAGCGGAAGAAGACGCCTGAACAAGACGTCTCGGGATGCGGCGCGTGCACTCTGCGAGGACATGATAGAGGACTTGGAGAAGCAGTTCGCCAATGCTTTCTTCTGTGCCGCATGTGTTGCGTTATCTTTGATTGTGAATAAATTGCCAGTCCTATTGTTGGCAAGAGTTAGCCCGTCCCTCCGTTGTCGACATGTACATCATGTAGCATACCCGTATACGGCGAACCCATTGAAGTAAAAATCAGGCTTTGGGAACCCTCCGTGGTAGATCCGTTTCAATCCGTCTTCGAAGCAGTTCACACTGACCAGACTCGGGCCAAGTCGTACCACAGGGCCCTTTTCCAGATGGTGTTTGTATACCTCGCGGTTTTCCTGTTTCGACCATTTCATCCATAGTATCCACAGAGGGCTGAAGCTACAGGACCAATGGGCATTTGGAATCTTGGCCAAGGGAGAAAAGAAGGCCGGGTATAAAATGAACCTGAAGATGCCTGCAGTGGTAGCAAGCAGGGTGAGGACAGAGTAGAGATGGAACTCCATGTTTGCTGAACTATCAATGGCGCCAGGGACTTGGTTTCTCGATTGAGGATGTTTTAGCTCTCAATTTAGTAAGCATTTAAGACCTAGTCACCAGCTTTATAACTAGCCATCCATTCGCGCTTTTCCTGGAAGGCCCAAGCAGACGTTATCGGAAAGCATGACAAAGGGCTCACTTGGTACAGCTAGACTGCGTGTAGCAATCAATGCATCACGAGATAGGCAAGCCCGGGTGTAGCCTGAATCACATTATGACCTGCCTTGGGTAAGTGGTGAGCTTATCGCAATTTTCGCCTATGGTTATCCCCGCCAATTGACATTCCGTATCAGGTTAAGATGAATATATGAGGTGTCCACAGTGAGGTGCTCTTTGCTCTGCGTAGATTTTGACCAAATGTGGTCAATAAGGGCGCTAGCTGTGGACCGCCTCGGCCAGGGTCCATATGTTAGTCTGGAGTCTTCATGCCTGCCGCCCCTACGCCACGTAGGACGAAGTCAATACCATGATTGTGCAAAATACTCAACACCACTTGATTGAAACAAAGTTGTTCAAGACAGACAAAGAGAACTCATTCGATGTATAACTTCTTTTCCTTCCCTTGGAATGATTTCAATTTCCAATAAATTCTTGTATTTGGATTCACCTAGAGTAGATACGACTTTCGGATTTTCACAAAACTTATGCTATGTAAGGCTCACGCAAGAGGGATTCGTGATAAGTACTTAGACATTTCGATTTGTTATTTAATTTCGATACTTGGATGTGAAGTAGATTATTGTACGCATGGTCCGCTTTCAAGTATTGTTCCCTTTCTGGCTCATTGACGGAGTACTTTTCCTGAGGACATATCATTACTCTCCATTATAACCTCGAGGCCCTGTATTTCAAATTTCTATTACGGTCAGCATTGTTGAAGGCACCGACAAAATGTAGGGGAAGGAAGTCTTACCGGACCAGAGAACGTCTTCCGTTTACCTCCCCACCATGATAGAAGAATCAAAATTGTAATCCCACTGATCACCACACTGACATAGTTCATATCTGAAACTGTGGTCGGAAGAGAGGTGGGAAAGCAAAATAGAATTGTGATAAAAGGCACCCAGAAGGCAGAGAATGCATTACATACCGGGCCAAGGTATCGGCCCAAATTGAATGAGCGCTTGGGCAGAATGCGATCTCGCCCCCGGACCAAAACAATCGCCTGGGGCACGGCGTAGGTCATATTGAGGGACAGGATGGACATGGATATGAAACTGTTGAATGCTGTCGCGGATCCGATATAGATCAAACCGTAAAGTAGAATAATTGCAGCGCACCCGATCGTGGCATTAACGGGTGCCTCTCGTTTGGTGTGAATCTGGGCAAAGAACTTTGAGTATGGGAGGCCCTCGTCGCGAGCGAAAGCATACGCTAGTCGCCCGGTTGTTACTATGCAAGAGACTAACGCGCCGGCGTAGACGAAAAGAATCCAGACGGTGAGCATTGTGGCTGCGGGTTGACTTCTTGTGGCTTGTAGATAAACTGTGTAAATCGGTATACTCGAAGAAGCCACGGCGTCAGTGTCTGTCGCGGAGAACAGGAACGCAAGCGTCCAAGGGATGACCGTCGTCACACCAATCAGCATGGTTAGTCCCATGGCGCGAGGAACATCCTGACTAGGGTTGGGGAGTTCCTGTGCACGAAATCACTCAGCAAATATCAAGCCCGAGGTCAGGTGGGGGGTTCCTTACCTCTGCAATATGACAGGCCCCATCAATGGCCAGATATGCATACATACATGTCCCGAGGCCAATGAGAAACGATGTCCCATCACTCCAGCCACTGGTGTTTTTATAGTCGAGAAACACGGCTGCTGCCGACTGTTTATGATTCTGCGTCGCTAGAACGGTGATGAAGCTGGCGACAAAGCCTAGGAAGCTGCTTATAAACATCACGATCTCCCCCTTGGGAAGTGCTCGTGGGAGTAGGCAGACAATGGCAGTTGCAATCAAGATTAGCAGGGCATATATGAGATACGTTTGCCACGATTCTGCAGTGTAACTTGGGTGATATATGCTAGCCAGGTTTCCGATCATTTGAGCTGCCAGTCTTCATCAGAATCTCGTTGTGTTTTGATGAACCTCTTTTCGATCAAGACTCACCACAGACAATGGCAGTGGATGCACTGGTGAGAGCCCATGCGACTACACTTAACCATCCCATCGTAAAGGCCACTACCGGACGATATTTTGGGGAGCTGACCATAAAGGCAAAATGATACTGCCCGCTGCTGGATGGATACGCCGAGGCGAGCTCCGCCAGACCCGCCGCTAGGCACAGATGAGGCGTTAGGAAGTTTATGCATTCCAGATGAGAACAGGATATCTTACTGATGAAGCAACTCGCAACGGATGCAACAATAAGACCAAAGAATACTGCCGGACTGCCTCCCATCAAGAGTGGGGTGACGAAAGTGGCCGAGTATCCAAGCCAGGAATTGGTCATGCTGAATCCCAATGCGATTGTAGAGAAAAGAGAAAACTGGACAGGTAGTTCCTCTCGCCCCCGATCCAATGGAGCTTCCACATGGTCGCTAAGTCTACTGCTGGAGTCAGGCTGACCTTGTGACTTGGATATGCAGAAGGTCGTACGGTCTGTCATTGTAATATAGGGTCTGAATCTCAATCCTAAGAGGGTATTCTAAAGGGGAATGAAAAGATGAGGAACTAGTCATGTAAGATAGATATCCCCAAGCATGGCAGTATTATACCTTCTATACCCGCTATTCCAGAGCCGTGGATTTACGTAGCACTTGCAGCAGAACGTATATCAAAGTTCGCGTTACTACTGATAGGAGGGGGTCTATTGTTATCGTCCGGGATGGATGCCACAAAACCTTGTTGAAACTCGATGGATTGCGATAAGCTGGTCATTCAGTCGCCTTGAAAAGTCCTATGCATTCCCTTATCTCGAATCGCAATTCCTCGAAAGGTACCTTGGCTTTTTACTGGGACTCATGGTGATTAGCGGAGCTCATTTATATACCCGATTAGGTATGGTAAAAGGATCTGCTTTTGCCACCAGACTTTACTATGTGTTTCGAGCATCTGCGGTGGAAGGGACGTATGCAGAACAGCCCTTCTAGTCGAGGGTATAGTTTAACGCAGGGTGTGAGAAAGAATGGAAACGTGCCCCGGAGTGGAGGGGAACAGCCCAGGGCATTTTATGGGTATGATGCACATTTATTTCAGAAGCCGTTACAATTTTTATTCCCAGTGGATGATTGCTTACATAGATACAACTTGAAGAAGTAGCCGGTCTCTCATGTCTCACTGTTTCAATTTTAATCTCTCGCTCTTTTTTTCCAAGATGTATCCATAATGCGTTGAGTACATATCATGGAGCTTGAAAGAATGCATAAAGCTACGCTACTCTTGTGTCTAGTTAAAGTGAAGGAAAGATCCTCAAACTGATAGTTAAGTGCCTAGGATAATCAACAACTCTTCCGCGAGATACAAACTCTTGCTTCGACTGCTTTCATAGCTTAGACTGGACATTGACATGAACAGCCTTAATGTTCGTATATTCATCGAGACCAGCTTGTCCCAGTTCACGACCAATACCGCTCTGCTTAACGCCGCCAAATGGGACACGCCAATCCCCAACGTTACTGAAATTGATCCACACCGTACCAGCCTCAACCCTACCCGCGACTTGATGGGCACGCGTCAGATTTGTCGTGAAAATAGCACCTCCTAGTCCATAAGTACTGTCATTTGCCATCCTGATTGCCTCCTCATCGGTGGCGAAGCGAGCAATTACCGCGACGGGACCAAAGATCTCTTCTCTGTAGATGCGCATCTCGGGGGAGACATCCGTGAAGACTGTGGGCTCGATGTAGAAGCCTTTTCCATTCCCGATATCCTTGACTGGTTTGCCACCGCATAGCAGGGTGGCTTTCTCTGCCTGTCCCATGCGAACATAGGACATGACGCGGTCATATTGAGCTCGGGTCACCTGAGGGCCTTGGAAGGTACTAGCGTCAAAAGGATCACCGACCTTGGAGACGTTCTTCACCTGGGCCTTAAAACGCGATCAAAAATTGGTCGTATATGTCGTTTTGGACCAAGATCCGAGATGTAGCCGTGCATACCTGTCCCTGGTTGGACATGATGCCCCAATGAGCCCATTTCACGGCCTCCGTTAGATCGGCGTCGTTGAACACGATCAGAGGGCTTTTACCTCCAGTCTCCATGGTGATATTTTTCAGATTCCCACTTGCCATTTTCATGATATGCCTCGCGGTCTCGGTGCTTCCAGTGAAAGCGATTTTATCGACCTCCATGTGAGACGCAAGCGCGGCACCCGCGATTGATCCGTATCCATTGACAATGTTTACTACGCCGGGTGGGAACCCAGCTTCCACAATCAGATTGGCCAGAAAAAGAGCAGAGAGAGGCGTTTGCTCGGCGGGCTTCAAGACGACGGTGTTGCCACACGCCAACGCAGGCCCTAGTTTCCACGCTGCCATAGCAAGGGGGTAGTTCCATCTGTAATGGTTCAAGGGGAGTCAGCGACTGTATCTCGAAAGAGGGCAGTATTCAACCTAATCCGAGGGTCAACCAAACAAAGAGCACTCACGGGATGATCTGTCCACAAACCCCAACCGGCTCTCGCACGGTGTATGCAAATTTGTCTGCATTTGTTGGAATCACCTGGCCGAACACTTTGTCTGCGAAACCGGAATAGTATCGAATGGTCTCGGCTGTCTCGGTAAGATCTTCGTTCAAGGCAACCGTATAAGGCTTCCCGTTGTCGATGGTATCAATCGTAGCAAGTGTCTCCCGGTTGTCCTCGATGAGCTTCGCCAGTCGACTCATCAGTTTTCCTCGCTCCAATCCGGAGAGATCCCTCCAGGTAGGGTCTGTCAGGGCAGCCCTAGCGGCCTTGACAGCTTTGTCAACATCCTCTGCGGTAGCTCCATAGACAGAGATAATTTCTTCTGAAGTTCTGTTATTCCCAAGATGCGTTAGTCTCGCCCGGACAAGGTGGATACGATGAAACCAGGGGTAGATTTTTGAATCTTACGCAGGATTGATGCTGGCGATCTTATGGCCGTTGGACGACTTGACCCATTCATTGTTGATGAAAAGACCTGTTGGCTGCAACCATGTGCAGCCGTTTGGAGCAGAAAGTTGAACAAAAAGGTCTGACATGGTATTCATGATATGTTTGTTGTTCGTGATAGGAGAATGGTCAGAGGGTATAGGACCACCATCGGACTTTTTATCAAGCTGTAGCTCCAGCAATCACTTGCCAGTTTTGCAGATAACCAGCTCATCCTTACAGAATCCACTATCTACGACAGTGACGTCTGCTACCATTAGCTAAGGCCCTCCAGTGATCGATCATCTATTGCCCAAAGGAAGCAGGTACTGGCTGAGTCAGTCGGCTATGTTTCTGGATAAGAAATAGCTTTACTACCTACTAATTGACCACCGCGATAACGATAACAACACCGAGAGTAACAATGCATTGTGTGCTGCGTGGGGGGTGTTCTGCTTTTCGGGCCATCTCATCCTTTTACCTAAAGTAGTATCTCGATAACTTCTAACCATATGGCATTTCTTGCCCCAATTCCCTCTAGTCCCAAAGATGAGCCCCTAGACCATAACAATATACTTAAGAGCAACCCAGCCATTTCAGCCAGCTAAAACCCAAAAGAAGCCCTTAAACCTACATCTTTCATCCTCTCAGCTTCCCCCGGCAATCACATCCACAAAGCACACACACCATGCCCACTGTCACTTCGTACGACTACCCAGGCTATGAAGAACTCGGCCAAATCTTCAACATCTCAGCCGCCGTCTCAATCCCCTCTGACGCCCGCATCGTTGCCACATCCGGCCAAATCGCCGATAATCATGACCCCCTGTGGGGGACGCACGCGGAGCAATTCGAGAAAGCCATGATTAATATTCAGCGGTCCCTGGCCGTAGCGTCACCTCATATCACCGACACTAGACAGCTGTGGGAGGGTGTCTTCTACGTCACATCGTTTCACGTGGGTGTTTTGTCAAGGGAGGAACAATTACAGATAGCCGCGATTGCGACGCGTTACTTTGGGAAGAACAAACCTGCTTGGGCGGCTATCTGTGTGAATGCGCTGTTTCCACCAGAGGCATTGGTGGAAATCCAGGTTCAGGCGGCGTATCGGGATGGGAAATGATTTTTGACTGTGAACCCTGGTCTGTGATGGCATCGGTAAACATTGAGATAATTTGTGTGCTTTCTGTGGCTTAAGTACATAATGGACCTAGTCAATTCAATCGTGGGTTGTCACATGCATGCTTTCGCTTTAGTTATCCTCCTAACTTATAGATGAAACGAGCGGCTAGCAATGAGTAAACGTAGACTTGTTTCGGCAAATCATGTCTCTAGCCTATATTCGGGAGAAGATGTTTCTTGTTCCTGTTTTATCTTCTATTACAGGATTTCCTTTTCTTGTCTTCTGTCTGTCTTTGGGAGTTTCATCGATATTCCTGCTCTTGGTAGCGCTTTTGTCGAATGAATATGCACGAATTTGAGAAATGGTTGTTCCTTGTCGGCATGCCCTTGTATGTACTTTATTAAGTCCTTCCCCGGTATCTTTGGAGGTTTGGAATTTTACGTACTCCGTATAGGTATGATATCGGCATATGGAGAACGATTGTTCAGTCAGGAATCACCTTCAACTTCATCCACACTCCTGATTTGGTTAATGACTGATACGCTACCGGCTCCGAGGCCGAGCTTTAGACCAAAAGGGCACATTACCGATCACCTTCCTAATACGGTAAAAGGATAAGCACACCGGCAGAGAACCTCTTAGTGCATCTGTCAGTTATGGGTCTTGGAAAAATGATAATATCCTAGCGAAGTAGTGCCAAGTCATATTTGAACTTATTTTAGAGAGCCGTATTATCTTAATCTCGAACTCGTTAAAGAGAACGCAATTGATTCAAACCTCCATTGCTCGACCACAACGCCAACAGCAGAAGTTCAATACAATGCATTCGGGCAGCCAGGCCGATTTGAAAAGCATCCATGGTCGCGCATATGACTTTATCATCTGTGGGGGTGGTACGTCGGGCTGTGTCATTGCATCTCGTCTTGCCCGCATACCCAATATCTCCGTACTCCTAGTCGAGTCCGGACGGGACGCCGGTCTAAGTCCAGATGTTCTCATTCCAGGGAACTATGTCAAGCAGCTTCAGGAGGACAAAGCCGGGCTTTGGGAGTTGGAGACCGTTCCCCAACGGCACTTGAATAATCGAAAATTGGTTTTCCTGCGTGGTAAACAACTAGGGGGCAGCTCGTATGGGATTTCTTGCATTCCCTCCATAATATCAGTACTCATCATCTGGCACAGTGCGGTCAATTATATGGCTCTTGCCCGAGGTCCGGCTGCAGACTACGACGAATGGGCAATGTTGACTGGAGATGACGGGTGGAAATGGGAAAATGTTCTCCCCTTGATGAAAGAGGTACGACCCCTGAATGGAATGTGGCTGGAGTAGTGAGTTGGGACTAATATAATTGCAATAGCTCGAGGACTTTGACCCCCGATTACCACCGGGGATGGAAGACTTTGCGCGCCCGAAGCCTTTTGACCATGGAAGATCAGGGCAAGTGAGAACCAGCAGGCGAAGGAAAGGATCTTACTGACATCATGCTAGGCCCCTCAAAGTTGGCTTCGGCGAGGAAATGGTACCCGGTGTGGAGACATTTTTCAAAGCTTGTGTAGAGACCGGGATGCCGGTGTGCCTGGACAATAATTCCGGGAACCCCGTGGGAGTTGGACTGGCACAGTTCAATGTCCGCCGGGGGGAGAGGAGTTACGCAGCCAATGCATTTCTGGATCACTCTTCACGCACTCGGCTCCCGAATCTGACAATTATGACAGACACTGAATGTGACAAAGTTGACTGTGCAGACGGGACCGCCACTGGGGTTGAGTTATATCACAAGCCTACTCAAGAAACGGGTGGGTGCATAGTCGTTTCCTTCGTGTTGTTATTGAAAGCTGATTTCCTTTTTTTAAGTATACATCAGATGTCGAAGAGAGGTAGTACTTTGCGCGGGAACCTTTGGATCTCCCAAGATATTGATGCTCTCTGGAATCGGGCCCCTTGATGTTTTAAACCGACATGGAATCTTACCAGTCTTAAATTCACCAGGTTCGTCCTATGATCAGCTAAATTGATACGACCACATGGATGACCTGAATCGGACTAGGATGCGGTCGAAATATGCTCGACCACTCGATCATCACTTGTGAATACAAGGTGGACGATAAAATCCCTGCGCATAATCAAATCTTTCTTGACCCGGACCTCCATAAGAAGGCGAAAGCCCAGTATGCAGACAGCCGTACTGGGCCGTTGGCCATGTACGGATCCAGTGGAACCGTGGCATTCCCAAGGATTCAGAGACTGTTTGACTCCAAGGAGTTTGCTGATCTGGACGGCCAAACTCAAAAGTTTTTACTGGACTCCACCAGGCCTTCTGCAGAAATCTGGCTGGGGTCGGGCCCGAGCTTTTATCCCGCGGATGATCCAACAAAGAGTTACATTACCCATGAGATGCTCATACAGAACAATCTCTCCAAGGGCACCGTGACACTTCGATCACGCGATCCACGCGATCCACCTCTCGTGGATCCAAATTTCCTCTCTCACCCCTTTGACAAGCGTATTGCAATCGAAACGGTCCGTACTGCTTTAAAGGTGGCGAGCACGGCGGCATATCGAGGGACAATTGAGAGGATCGTGCATGGTCCGCGCATCGACATCTATTCGACGAAACCGGACAGCATAAGGGACGAAGAGCTGCTGGATTTCATTCAAGATCATCTTGACCAGGGCTACCACAGTATGGGTACCTGCAAGATGGGAAAACGTGAGGATCCGACTGCCGTTGTTGATGATCGGTTTCGCGTGTTTGGCATGCGGAACTTGCGTGTGGCGGATCTTAGTGTGTGTCCCATCCTTACCTGGTAAGTCCATTCTCCCCTTTCCTCATGAATCAGGTGTTGGCAGAAGTAGTTGGTAACATGTATGTAAACAGCAATCACACACAGATCAACGCCTATTTGATAGGTATTCGCTGTGCGCAGGAGATGGAAGAATATTATAGGGGGACCACAGAGCGGGCGGGAAGATTATGAAGGCGGATATCCCTAAACGTCCGAGAGCAGACAGGGAGAGCATTCCAAGACGGTGGTGGTGCCCCTTAGATCAGAAGCAAATTGACATTTTCAAACCCCCGCATCAAATCCAAATATTTAGAGGGGCGCTGGCCCGCCCATACACCTTCCAGGATGGTTAGCGCACTCTGCACGTTGCCAAATCCGCCAGATATCTGCATGCACTGTGCTCGTTCTCTGAGCCAGTTCTGCCGTTTGGGGTCTTTGGTTTCAAGGCCAGCATGGAAAAGTGGCCAAAGTAACTGGTCTGACCATCCCGAGGCCGGGGGTGTAGACCTGGCATGGTAGAACACACTGGAAACCAGCCAATCAATCTCGTACTCGTCGACATCACAGGGAAATAAACGGATCAAATACAGCAGAATGGCATATCGGTACGCCTCGGTTAGGTGAAACCAGTGCCTTCCTCGATTGGAACGAGGCCAGCCTTGTAACAATTTCTGCTTTATCTCTTCCACCTGGCATAACGTTTCCATTGACGGCCATTCCGGATTAGTCTGGCTTTTATAGACGCTGACAATCTCGCACAGAACTTGAAATTGTTCCAGTGTGCATGGGAAAACATCAAAACTCCAATCCGGCCCACCTCCATCAAAAAATTCTCCAATATCTTGGCTGGAGAAGACTGGCTGCCTTGAATGCGAAGCGGCGGCCATAATATCAAGCCTAGAAGCAACGAATAGGATTAAATTAAATTAGTCCATGAACACCACTTACCGAATCATTCCTGTAATTCACCACTTACCAGACAAGATATTGTTCTACGAAGCAGCCAACGGTGCGGTCAGAGCCACGTAGTTCAATCAACTTCTTCGCCCCACGAAAGTGCGAGTCAAACGTCGAGAAACCCCGGTGACAGATATCACAAAGACAGAGCATGAGGATCGTGGCTATCGTTGCAGGTTGTTTGGCCCGCAATGGGGAGTACAAATCCTCTTGTAGACGCTTCATGGCCTTACCCTTGAATCTTAGGAATTCGTTCTGGAACTGGGTTGTCCCTAGCCGTACGTTGAAATGGCATGCTGCAAGAGCGGCACACGCATACATAAGAGATGGAACCTCAGTGGCAAGAGGAAATATATAGTCACGGTATGGGTTTTTGGGATCATGGTTATCGACGCACAACTTGGGAACAACTTCGCAGAGGTCTACAGAGGTGGGGGAAGTCAGCTCCTTCTTTTCCTGCTGTGATTGACTTGGTGGGATCTTTTACGGTATTCTAAGATGAATTTCAGTTCGGTCGGGATAGCGATGATATCCAGGGCGGGAAAAAGAGGGGGTTGTGAAGCTGGGATTTGTCCTGATTCCAGAGGAGCGTCACAGGGCGCAATGGCTTCCGGTGCTATCTCTGCTTCGTCACTTGGTAAGAAAGGATCATCAAACACTTCAGGTTGAACAGTAAATGATGCTGAGTCCATTGGCGAGACTGTATCTGTATTCAAGTGTGACCGTTCAGCCGGTAGCCACTCAGGAGATCCGTTGCTAGGCGTCGCTTCGTCGTTAGGCTGGCAATCATGAACAAAGCTTTCTTCTCCGGTAGGTGACCGGGTAGTAGATGCAGGTGGTGGAGCATGTTGTTGAGACCGTCGCGGCCGTCTTTGTCGCTTTTCACTTGAGGCTGCATTCATAGGGAAAGTCTTGCCAGCAAGTCTTCCTCTGCTTGCTAGACCCGACCATCGCAGCAAGTATCCTTCACAAACCAGGCCATTAGATTCGCAGGTGCCACATGCAGGCAAAACTCGGTCACAGCGTCGTCCTCGCCGGCGACAGGTCTTGCAGGCTCTTCCGAAGAGCTGAGGGGTGGACATGATGACGAGCAGAGGTGTCTGGGTGTATGAAAAAGTGTGGAAAGGTGAAAGTAAAGGGCGGAGGACCATAAGGAAGAACGCGGGGAAGATGATGATGATAGGCCTCTTCTAGTTTATCTCTCGACCTCGGGTAGAACTTCCCGCTTGACCTCTTCCCCTACTAAACCACGATAAGCCAGTCGATAATTACTACTCACCTTCTTATCTCTTTCTCGCACTAACTAATGCACGATAAGCTACCTCCTCATTGTCACCGCACTATCAAACACTTCTACTGTGAAGGTCATCGTCTTTCTAAATTAATAGCTTATTCCTGGCCAACCCACCCAACTTCGCGTGCCTAATTTTCATGGTAAGTTATTCACAACTCCTTACCATGGCACTAGAACAAGGCCGTTCGAGCCAAAAGTCGGAAACAAGAAAAGAGACAATTTATAATCCATACAACTTCTAAGGAAAGCAATCTTGTATGCAATGAGGTGGGTATTATATAAAACAGTCAAGAATATAAGGGTCGAAATTCCGAAACAGGAGTCTGCTACACTTTCTTCGCCTTAACTGTCAAGGGCAAGAAGGGGTTCGGCTTTTCCGCCGGCAAGATAAATTGCTTGGTAGTAATATGACATTGAGAGTTGTTGTCTACTTATCCTAAGTAGGCGATCCGGGGCTCTACATATACTGAAAATCTCGCGAAGAGGAGAGCAGAGAATAGTACCAGAATGGCTAAATAAATAGCTTATAGAATCCTGGTAAGCGTCTCGTCGAACACTTGAAAAGCTCTGTACCAAGGTGAAGCCATCCACATTATACGGTATGTAAACGAGCCTTGAGGTAAGGGTCTGGAGTGTTTGGCAAGGCTAGAGCTTGCTGAAAGCGCTGCAAGAAGCAAAAGGGAGCGGTTGCCGTTCTGCGCATCCTTTTACTAACCATCATGCGAAGATACGCTATATGAAATTACTCACAATATTCTTCTATCAATATTCTATTTAGATTTTACAGTCCTACATATCCTAACATGTAGAAATTACCATAATACGCGCGTTGAGGCTACTGGGAAAAGCTTCAATTATCCCAAGTACAATAAGGCTGACCAGGTTGAAGAGTGCGCGTGGGCTTTTGGGTTGCTCAGGGCCTGCGTCACCAGCCGTAGCTATGTGCTTCAAAAGTCCAATGGCAAACTCCAGATTCATCACTCAAAACATAGCTCCACTGTCTCTTCGACTTGACACGGTCTCCCGAGACGCACAATCGCTATTCTACCTCGGAGTTCCATGACAATGCTAAATAGGGTGGCGTCCATTCCCAGGGGACCCTTCTCGTATCGACAAATTGAATACGGGAACCCCTCGTGGTCGTCCAACATCCTCATGATATCCACTGTATTTGGCCCTCCACCCGTAGCAGGAGCATACTTCGTCGCCAATTGCTGGATGCGATGCTGTCGTGCAGGCGAGTCGGGGAGCCAGTTCCCATCTACAGCGCCATCATGTGCCAATAGTAAATGGTTTGCGTGGAAGATGCGATCTCCCTCGGTCATATGCATAACCTGCAGTGTTCTCGCTGTTGTTTCAAGTCCAATAGCCTTTCTTTGATCAGCGATCAGAATATGCGCCGATGCAGCGATCCCAACTTCCTCCAGCTCCCGAACAGCGGCATCAACTGATGTGCTCTCCAATACTTTTCGAAGGCCAAGGTGAACTGGCAGTCGTGAAAAGTCACAGCCAGGGACTTTGATAGCATTGAGACAGACACCGATACCGAATTCATTCAACCCTATCTTTCCAATAATGCCTGCTTCGGTGATCATCTTGATTCGAGGCCCACCGACGCGGTTGATATCCAAGAGAAGAAGATTCTGCTTTTGTTCTTCCATCCACTGTCTCAACATGAGGAAATTTGTTTTGATCATTTGGAATCAACGCAATACTTACATCCCAGTTCTGAGCCAGAAAGGATTGCCTGTCAGTCTTCCAGTACAGGCTCGTGCACCCATCATTGAACATTCCAAACGCGATTTCGGTGCGGATATTGAGAATCAAAATGTCAACCACTGGGATTTCAGCGCCGTTTGCAATTCCTTGTAATCCTTTCTCAGTCAGCGACCTCTCAAGATAGAATTGGGGCCAGATTAATCAACACACCCTGCATTTCACTGTAATAGTTTGACCACTTCTGTTCTATTTCCCTCTTCCAGTCTTTGGCAATCATGCGGACAGCATCCCATTCGAGTTTGCAAGTATAGGCAAACATCTTCTTGTAGAATAAGATACTACGTCTGATCATGTCCTTCGCACCAACTCCATGTGCCAGTCCGAGCTATTACCCTGTCAATTCAATATACCTTCATGGTATTTGCCAAAGCCAGGACTGGTGACTTACTTCGTACGGCGTTCCATAGCACAATAATGTTTTCATCTTGGTGTGTTGTCGGTCAATCGAAGGGTAGTGCTTTCGGGTTCAGTGCATTGGCGAAAAGAATAAATTATTCAGACTTTAGATACAGAATAAGGTCTTCGTCTCCTCATGATGCAATGATTGAAGAATACTTCTAAATAAAGCAGCTCATCAGCAAATGCGAACTCTATAGAAAGTTGAAGTGATTGCCCGAATATACTACCCAAAAGAGGCTAACAGATAAGCTAGGCGGCTCACGGTTTCCCACTTTAGGAAGGTCTTTGAGCATGCCCTGCCTGCGTGATACGCAGCTCGTCATCCACCGGCTACAGGCACATTCTGAGGCAATGAAACTGATTTAAGCATTCACACGTTCCTAGTCATCGAATCGTAGTGTAGGGTAAAGATGCTGAATGAAACACTTTTCACCTCCCGAAATCTCCATCATCAACTCCCTGCTCATATATGCAGAATGGGAAAACGTGTGCTTGTCGGATATGGAATCGATGTTGATGCAGTCAGTGGGTGGTACAGGCAGATCATGCACCACAATGTATTATTTATTTATACCCATACTGAAAAACATTTATCAGGATAAACTCCGAGGATGGTTCTGCACCGGACTTGACCGACGTATCACGTGGCATCTTCGGTGCGACAGTGGGCATCGACCGACTACTCAAACTATTTGATAAAAACAACATCAAGGCATCTTGGTTTGTTCCGGGACACACGGTTGAGTCATTCCCAGAACAAATACAAAAGATAAAAGAGGCAAACCATGAGATGTGTGTCTTCCACTCGTCAGTTGGTGTGTAACGGGCAAGATCACGGCTAACATTAGCATAGTGGTTTACATGGTTACTCACATGAGCATGTCAATGTCTTATCAGATCAACAAGAGCGAGATGTGCTCGCCCGGTCTATTGAAGTCCTCACTAAACTCACAGGGAATCATCCGAAGGGGTGGACCGCACCATCATGGAAGACGTCTCCTCGCACCATCAAGTTGCTCGAGGAATTCGGCATAGTAAGAACGCATGCACTATATGTTCACATAGAAATCCAAAAGAAAAACTAAGTGGGCACCTAGGAATATGATCATTCCTTTATGCATCATGATTCTCAGCTCTACTACCTCCCTCACTGCCATGCGGAGATTACTACGACCAATATATCCCAGCCCGCCGCTTCCTGGATGCTTCCAATGGGGAAGCTCACCCCCAGCAAAATTGTTGAGGTCCCCGCCAACTGGCATTTGGATGACTGGCCACCTTTTCAGCTTGAAGATGGCCCTTCTCATGGGTATGTTGACCCGTATGTTATTGAACAACTGTGGAAGGATCAGTTCGACTTCCTCTATCAAGAGTACGATACCTTCGTTTTCCCAATCTCGCTCCATCCCCAGGTTAGTGGGAAGCCTCAGATCATGCTCCTGCACCAGAGATTGATCAACTATCTGAACGCCCACGAAGGAGTGGAATGGTGTACCTTTGGTGAAATGGTGGATGAGTTCAAGGCTGGAAGAATCGGCGGCGCTCAGGTAGCTGGGGGTGTTAGGTCATAGCATGGATACTCTTATGAGAACTTATAGTCCATGATCTTTTCATAACCATATATTAAATCGTAGGTGAAGGCTAGAATGATGAGGAGCTTGGAGTATTTACCAATGCAATTTTTGGAACGGGAAGTGGAAAAGTCTTGCTTGAAGTACAGTGTAAAATATGCTAGCTGGTAATAAATAATAAGAAGGGAGCAAATGCATTCAGTTTACTTCAAGGATACAGACACTCTGCACTGATATGCATGAGAGAGTCGGAAGTCGACTTCCAGGTCGGAAACAGTCGAAATATACAACCCTCCCCTATAGTTTTGGCAGGTTCTTCGATTCCCCGCCTGAGCAACAGGCTGGGAAGGCATTCCGGGAGATGCTGTCGACACAGAGCGCCGACGGTGGAACCCAGAGGGCAGGATTCCTCTGAAAGAAATTAGATGCGCGGAGCATGACGCTCACCGGTTCAACCGGCATGATGGGAAAGTCTTCCGTGCGCGGAAAATGAGTGAGACCGAACTGGATATAGCACACGATGTCGGCATTCTCGATACTCTCGTTCCGGTTGGCCCAGTCTTGAATGGTCAGGTTATCCGGATGGTTTTCATCGCCCGTCGATTGACAGACGTAGTCACCAGCTGGATACAATTCGTAATCTTTGTAGGGCAAAACCCATAGCGACTTCCGGGCGAAAGCGGCACGCTTCCAGACCACGCTACCGGGTTTAGCAAGGAGGGCAGGGCAAGCGTTGTTGACGATCTTGAAGGCAACAGGTTTCTTCGAAACTTTGTTGAGTCTGTTTGGATTAATGATATCCCACGAACGACTTGTCTCATGATTATAATTCGTCGCGCCTTCGAGAGCAGTGCGAAGAGGTGTCTTTTCGCAGTAAAACCCATTTCCGTAGTAGTTCTCTGAAGAACCAAGAGGATCCTTGGATACAACAGCGTCACTTTGAAGAACTGTATTGTTGTGACCGTCTATTTCAGGGTCGACACGCAAGGAGAATATGTGCTGATGGTTCTGGGCAATAATGGCCGGCGCAACTTCGGTGCCGTAGGGGGAGGAAGCGGCTTGTTCAGAAGGATGCATGCAGTAAGTGTTTAGCATCCCAGTCAGTTTGACCTCGAGCTTATAGGTTCCATCCAGAGTGAAGGTATGGTAGAAGCCGTACTCATAGTTAGCTGCGGTGATGATTTGGGAGATGATAAGCTTGCGGTCGCGGGCAGACACGACGGTCCCATCACGGTAGTCGGTATGCTTATATAGAAGGCCATTGTCCTCCTCATGAATACAAATTGCATTCTTAATCACCGCAGCCTCTCCTTTTCCGGTACATAGGACACCATCCATATAGTGAATCGCTCCCTTGCAATCACATCCTAGCTTGAGCGAGTTCGTCATGTAGCCCGAGCCGTACTCGCCCAGGTCGAAAGCATGTTTCTTGTGATGGGGTGTTTCTGGGCAGCCGTATGGAACAACCATCTCTACCACACTGATACGGTTGAACAAGGCACGATCCCGGTCTTCGTAGGGATCATGCATGCGGACGTCGGAAATCACAATCCCCTCACGGTAGTTGAAACCAATATGCATTTTATATCCTGCCCAGGTAAGTTCATTTCCCCGAACCTGGAAGGATACGCCCTGGGGCTGGGTGATATCAATCGGCTTCAACGTGTCGTGCTTGTACTTGTCGCCAATGAAATTCGGAAGGTAGTGGTGTTCCGTCAGCGGAATGGCTGTTCTCTCCCCGTTGACATATCGGATGTCAACGCTCAGAACTTCTTCCCTCTCGGTGTCAGCGATGACGGTAAAGTCTAACGGATGGGCATATTGGTTGTCGAGTTCGTGATTACGATAATAAGCCAGGCCTTGCTGAAGACGGCGCTCGAAGCCCCAGCGCTCATCAACACCAATGGCCCAGCCGTCAACGAAGACCTTCGACATATCTGTAATACCAAGACCCCTGCACGCCTCGATCACTCGAGAATCTTTTCGGGAGATCCGTTCCATTATGTCCAAGTCCTCCAGGGTCAATGTGGGCATGACGTCCTTGACCTCCTTCCAGCGTTCAACCTTGGACTTGGTAAGATTGACGACAACTTCGCTAATCTGACCCGACCCTTGTTGCTCGATGACTATAGCAAAGGCACGGCGGTCAGGCCGGCTAGCATGGCCCTCCTTGTAGGCGACATATTCCGATTTCGTTGGCTCGCGAAGAGTGATGCAGTTGAATTTGAGTAATTTGGGGCTTGCCCATTCACGTATGAGCTGAGCGGCGGCGGGGATCTCAATGATTGATAGCTGATCTGGTATATCTGATCAGATTCGCAGCATCAAGAGGTAAAATCGATAGTATCATACCTAATGGGTGGGGAACTCTGTCTGGAATGAAAGCAGCAGCGGACGCGGAATCATAGTCTCCTTCACGGAAGATGGTGTAGCCAGGAATAGTGTTAGTATCGGGAGCCATGATGGTGTCACAAATGCGATTTAGTTTGAGACAATCAGATGCCATTAATGAGGTCTTCTAGGGGGCTGTTAAATACAACATCCTGGAAATCTATCCAGCGTAATCTCAGGCGACTGCCAAAACCAGAAGATTGAATTTGTTGCTAAGGATCATCCTCATTGTGTTGATTATTCGCACTGCACGTTCCCGAAAGTCCTGACAACACTGTATCTGTAAAATTAAAGAGGAAGGTCCAATCGAAGGCTAGGTCTGCTAAGATCTTTTGGTCCACAAGCTGGTTCTCATGGGAATCTACCACAGTCGTCGTCTTTCTTCGGTCTTTATGACCAATATTCATGTCGCCAATGGCTATGTATCTATGTTCTAACCGCGTTTGGGTAAAAATGGCGGAAGCGTATTTACGGAGTACTTGGCACCGCGAAAGCCACGCTAACTTTAACTATACCGAACGAAGGCAAAATCTCAGGCACCTTCCGTTTTGGGGGAGCATTGCCGCAAATTTACTTTATTGAGCAATACCAAAGACTTTTATTTTCGTATGGGATGTGGCAGTCAACGATGCAACTGGAACAACTCTCATGCTTGATGTTTGACCGGTAGGCCGGTGGAAGAGAAGAATAGGTGAAACGGAAATTGCGAGTTACTCTGAACAGCCAATGTCTTCAGATATGCTCAACGACCACTTTTTGCAAAATTCCAAGCGGCTCGTGTCAGGTTTTAAAGTTATAGGTATCCAGAGCCTGTTCAACGTCAATGTCCGCAGCATCTATATTGCGTCAATGATACTCATTCCCGATGTGAGAAAGAACGGCACCGATTCAATGGTGATCAGTGGTCATTTCCAATACGAATTTTCTCCGGCGAGGCGCCGCACAGACCTGGTATAATATAATCAAGAACGGTGTCTCTTCTGTTACCAAGTCTATAGCCCTTGAGTATACCAGAATTGATATTAACTTAACACTATCCGGCCCACCTCGGGAAACACTTCTATACTAAATAAACTTATCAAGGTTCCTGACGGTCCTGTTCCTGCAGAGATTATTGAGACTAAGTATGAGATTATTTCAGTTGCACAAATGGTAGAACTGTCGGATATAGCTAGTATAATTCTTTTCTTACTGAATCTGCGAGTTCTATTATTACTAGTGGTGTTGAAATCTTGGTTAATAAAGCGCGCTGCATGTAAGCTATTCGTTGTGAACATGTTCTAGTGCAGCAAGCAAACAAACCCCCTTTATTCCATGGTAGCCTGGACTATCCTTTCGTCGATCCGTGATTACTCCAGTATTGAGGCGGTCGAAACATCCTCTATTATATCCGTATCTGGATATTCTTTTTTAAATAGTACATTCGGCGTAAAAACGTTCGTTTGTGACATGTTATTGGGGTTGATCAGTGTGATTGTAACACCTCCCCAATACACTATATGCCGTATGACCAATATATGAACAATGACAATACACATACTAATGATCGATCCCGATGCTTGACATCCGTCGGAGGAAGGTCGGTGGGGTTGGCTGAACTGTATCGGGGTCAGGTGAGACGGGCGCTAACCCGGAAGAGGGCGGCTGCTGTGAACAACGGCCCTCTGTAGAGAGAGAACAACGATGCATTGACTGGTTGGTTTTCTGCCGGCATTATTCCTTAAGCACATGCACTGCTTGATATTCTGTCAGTATTATTTTGCGCACATGCACCGCCTGCCAGCACAACCTATGCGATGCTTTCGCTTTCTGGAGCAGGTGCTCAAAACTTTGTCTTTTGTATTAACTATTTCGAGTCTATACTGGCTCCAGGACCCGTACCCTCAAGGTTTAGACGAATTTTTAGATTATCATATCAATATATTCTCTATATTTTCAGGAGCACATCGGCAGGTTTGGGGGTGTCCTTGTACTCTGAGGGAGCCAATACGTTGCAAAGCAAGAGTACACAGAATGGCAACAGCTGCTGGATCATCCAGTTGAGCGACGAGAACAATCCGGGAGCGACCGGTGCAGCCAGTGCGTGCTCAGTGAGCGACAAGTGTGTGTCCCGGAGCGCACAGGGAGTGCTCACGTGCTGTCCTCACAGAAGTGGCGGCACTTGTATTCAGGCAAGTGGACGGGACTTGTAACTTAGCAGAACATTTCAGTTATACACTACTAACTTACTACCTTAGCCCAACTGCTTAATTGAACCTCCTCCCCCTCCGGATCTCGCGATCCATATTTCTCAACTTGCAATTCAGCAAACCCACTTGTCTTCTACTTCTGTATCTGCTAAAGCACATTTCATATCTCTGACAGTCGTTGTATTCCTTGCACTGCTTCAAGTCAGTCGCCTCCGGTCGGTCGTGGCCTCGACCGGCCCTGTCCGCGCGTGTGCTTTTTCGGCTTTGCCTCACCACCAGCCACTATGGTTTTGGGCAACAAAGAAGCAGAGATCCGGGATCTACTGGAGGACATCGAGCTCCAAGAAGTTATTCTGCAAAGCTTAGATGAGCAATGTCCCGATGCTCAAGAAGACAGACAGGAGATTCTGGATGTCATCCAGGGTCTGCAGACGCGACTGGCGGAGCTACGCGGGGAACCTGTCAGCGGGACAGCCGATGTATCTCCGTCCACCTCTCAGTCGACATCGTCAACCATCAATTCGCCCAGAACATTTCATGACAGTGTCCCCGCCTTGCCTCTGGACAACTCTACGTCTTCTGCACACAAATTTGGACGTTCTACCCACTCTTTCGCGCGCTCTCCTACTAATCGGACCAATCGCAAACGTCGATTTTCCACATCCTCAGAGGCTGAAGATGTTGAAGAGGACGATGACTCTGATGACCTCGAGGCACCAATTAGGCGGGCGCAGCGAAAACGGATTCATCGCCGTCTGAGTCCTGACGTTACCCGCACTACCAGTTCTCCAGTGATCAGTTCTCCAGTCGTGTCAGATGAAGATGTGGGCGATGGCAATGACGAACTGCGGAGGATGCTAGGCCTCGACGGATTCCGTGCATTGCAAGAGGAGAACAGACGAGCAGAGCAATGGCTCAAAGAAATGAAGGAAATGGAACGTCGCGACGCAGAATTCGCGCGCCAGCTCGCGTTGCAAGCCGACAGTGATCCGCCGCAGTCATCGTCTAATCAGAGCCCCTCGCCCCCGTCTGCTCCCAATTTCTCTTTCGCAGCTCCGTCTGCTAGTGGGTTCAACCCGAATGCGCAGCGTGCCCCAGTCATGCCAGGAACGTTTCCCATGGGTTCTCAGCCTTCCAACCGTCTGCCACCTGGTCGTCACTATGACGGCTACAGAGATTCGAAAATCGTCACGCTCCCGGACAGTGATGACAGCGACATTGCAGAGATTGACCGTGATGAGTTCACGCCCAATATCTTGCGTTCCCCGTCTTCACCAAGCAGGAGCCTTGCCGCAGCCTGGGCACAGCGCAAGCTAGGCCCAACTGGGTCGGACCGAAACACCTTTCCTACCTTTGCCAACGGAAAACCGATCAGTTCTGGAGTGGGCCTGCCAGGGTCTCAGTATGGGCCCAGGGTTTTGCCAAGCACTATGGCACGATTGCATGCCGGAAGCAGTATGCTCGATAGCATGTCAAGCGCCGTATCTCAAGCAAGCAGGATGCTCCTAGGATCCTCGGACTTCTCGCTCATGGGTCCTGGTGGCTACGATTCTGCTCTTGATTACTACAAGCAAGTATACCTATTTGATTGCCATGGAAGTGTGCTAACCCAGTATGTGTTCAGCGATCTCTACGGGTATGGAGAGGATCCAAAGCAGACCAAGGAGGAAATCGTGAAAATGTTAGAGTCCATCAGACCCGACTCGGAAATCGCCAAGGAAAACCGTGAGGGAACTCCCGAGGCTCTCAGGTTCACTCTTCTGGAACATCAGAAGCTTGGATTATCTTGGATGAAGTCCATGGAGGAAGGCGAGAACAAAGGCGGAATTCTTGCCGATGATATGGGTCTTGGGAAGACCATACAAGCCATTGCTCTCATGGTTTCAAGACCTTCTACCGACCCCGAGCGAAAGTCAACGCTGGTTATTGCTCCTGTTGCATTGGTTCAGCAATGGAAGAGAGAAATTAAGAGAAGTCTTAAATCTGGCAAGCATCAGCTCTCAGTCCATGTGCTGCATGGCGATAAGAAGACTACCAATTTCAGAAATCTAAAGGATTACGATGTGGTTCTCACGACTTTCGGTACGCTGGCGGCCGAATTCAAGAAATTGGAAAAAGCCGAAGAGATCAAGAAGCGAGAGCCAGATCTGGGCCTGGCTCTTTTGAAGAATTTGCCCTGCCTAAGTCCAACTTCTAAGTGGTACCGCGTCATCATCGACGAAGCACAGTGCATCAAGAACCGGAAAACAAAATCCGCCATGGCGTGCTGTAACCTTACTGCCACTTATCGTTGGTGCATGACCGGTACCCCGATGATGAACTCAGTGGATGAGTTGCACTCGCTTTTGCAATTCTTGCGGATTCCACCTTATTGTAACCATCAGAAATTTCAGCGTGTAAGTTTGATATGTGTGTCCCACTTGCTGATGACCAGTGATTGACTCTGAGGTTAGACCTTCACACTTCCCCTCAAGGGTAGTCCTGCTGGCCGCGAGAAGACAATGCAGGCTCTACAAGTTCTGCTCAAAGCGGTGCTTCTACGGCGAACCAAGACTTCCAAGATCGACGGCAAGCCAATCCTTCAGCTACCTCCCAAGGTCTCGGAGAGGGTGCATGCTGTCTTCAGCGAGGAAGAGCAAGAGTTTTACAATGCTCTTGAAACCCGCACTCAGCGCCAGGTCAACAAATACATCGAGGAGGGTACCATGGGGCGTAATTACTCAAGTATCCTTGTGTTGCTCCTTCGGCTTCGACAGGCATGTTGTCATCCGCATCTGATCAAAGACTTTAACAAAGAAAGTCCTGTGACCTCAGAAGAGCTGGACCTTGTAGCGAATGCCAAAGCTCTGAGCGATGAGGTTGTTACACGTCTGAAGAACAATGATGACCTCGAATGCCCCATCTGTATTGACGCCGTCGAAAACCCCGTCATCTTTTTCCCATGCGGTCATGGAACTTGTACGGAATGTTTCTCGAATCTTTCAGACCCTGCAACTGCAGTCAGGAATGGAGTCGAGGGCGCACTTGAGATCAAATGCCCCAACTGCCGCGCTAGAATTGATCCCAAGAAAATCACCGATCACATCTCCTTCAGGAAGGTGCATTGTCCCGATTCGACTGAGGCAGATGAGGATGTCCCAGCACCGACCAATGAAGCGGCAAACGAGGATGACAGTGACGACGATAGTGATGATGACAGCCTGTCTCGCTTCGTCGCTGATGACGATGAGGAGTACGGCAGCTCGAGGAGTCGCAAGGCCAAAGGTAAAAAGCCCCAGAAGATAAAGAAGTCTCTTGCAGAGCTTCGCAAAGATGCCCAGAAGAATCAGAAGGCAAAACGCAGGTATCTGCGTCGCCTTGAGAAGACCTGGGTGCCGAGCGCTAAAATCGAAAAATCTATGGAAATTCTCAAAGGCATCAACAGCAATGACAGCAGCGAGAAAACCATTATCTTCAGTCAGTTCACATCCCTGCTCGACCTGCTCGAGATTCCAATTCGGCGAGAGGGGTGGGACTACCGGCGTTACGACGGCAGTATGAAACCCGCGGAGAGAAACGCCTCTGTGTTGGAATTCACCGACAACCCTGACTGCAAGATCATGCTGGTATCTCTCAAAGCCGGCAACTCGGGGCTGAACCTTGTCGCTGCTTCCCAAGTGATCATCTTTGATCCTTTTTGGAACCCTTACGTGGAGGAACAGGCTGTTGACCGTGCCCATCGTATTGGTCAGGTCCGTCCGGTGCAGATCCACCGCATTGTTGTGAAGGGCACGGTTGAGGATCGGATTCTCGAGCTACAGGATCAGAAGCGGGAGCTTGTCGAGGGAGCTTTGGATGAGAAAGCCTCGAAGAATGTTTCCAGACTGGATACCCGACAGCTGCGCCATCTCTTCGTAAGTTGATGAGTGTGTTCCCGTGTTGAGAGCTTGTGCTAATCGATCTCCTTCAGAATATTCATTGATGGAGGCGAGACCGTCTTTTCATCCAGTCATGATTGCAGGCGTTGGCAAATCCTCAGGCGCAAATCGGTACCACAAAGATACCCTGGCTTTCTTGATGCTTTTCACATTTTCGTGTTGCTTGCAGCATGTTTCTAATTTTGCAATGCGCTCTGCTGATGACATGGTTCCATATACCCGGGTTGGAAAGTCGAATCTAGAAAGCGGTGCGTTCAGGTTGGTGTTTTAGATGAATCGAGGCCGTGCATACCGGCCATACCTAGCGTGGTAGGGCGATGCACGCTGGCTTGTAGCCTCGATTCTTTGATTAATATGGCTTCCTAACGTTATATTCCAAGTATGAGATTGTTCTCTGCTATGTCCTGCTGATTAGCGTAGATAGTGTAATTCTATGAAGACCTCTGGCAGCCCCTTGATATAGATTTGCAACAACATGAAGCACCGCTGACCCAGCACCCCATGCAGTCCTCCTCTCAATTCTAAGCAACATCAACAACTGATCGCCTGTCCTATCTACGCACCCCTTCTCCCGGACCCTTGAAAGACCACACCTACACCCACCGTCAAAATACTCCCAGATCCCCATTCCCAGGCCAAACATATCTGTTTCCTTTTACCACATAGTTTCATACAGTCGCCAAGATTTTTAATGCAAAGGCAAGGTGGCCGAGTGGTCTAAGGCGCTAGTTTTAGGAATCCTACAGGAAACCACTAGTTCGAAAGAGCATGGGTTCGAATCCCATCCTTGTCATTTCCTTTTGGTTTTGTTCTTCTTGGCGCGCGTCGTTTATGTCTGTCGCTTGAGAGGCTTTTATGCTTAGTTTAAGGTCGTCTTGCGTGGGCAATTTTGATAATGGTGGGTGGTTGTTTGATTCTTTGTACGGTGGGCTGTGCTCCGTTGGCACTGTGTCTGGTAACTCATGTACTCTTGTATCGAAGCATGTGGTTTTGGTTCGTGGAGGGAGGGGTAGGTGGATGTCAGTGTTTTGTCTGCCTTTTTGCGGGGGTCCGGGTGGTGGAGGCAGGTTGCAGTGTTGCTTGGAACTCTAAGACAGTGTTGAGTATTGATTGTCGAGTAATGTAATTGTGATGTGGTTGTTTATTTACGTATTTACTAAACTTTGGTTAGTAAGTTAGAGGAGAGGATAAGTTGATCCTCTCTGTTGTGCTGTGGAAGCAAGCAACTTAGCAAACAACATACTTCCCCAATGCACAGTAGACTGGCAGTATATTTTAGGGTAACTTCAATGGGCCTGAACGCGGGATAAGAAGGAGGGGGAGGGGGAGGGGGAGGGGAGGGGTCATCAGTCAAACATCAGACTCATCATTTCAATGTCAATTGATTTCGACTAAACTGACTACTACAGAGTAACTGACACCCAATCTTTTCTTCTTTGCGGTGGGCTTGACACGGACTACTAAGCCGGGGATTTTGTACATGGGTGGCTGGTTATTGCGGTGCAGTCGTTGGGTCTCAATCTCATCCCAACCCAACTCCACTCCAGCCTCTTAGTTGCCGGTGACGTCACCTTTGGATTTATTCTCCCCGGTCCCCAAGTGTCTGCGAATGTTGGTTGGAAACTTGTCGCTTTCGGCTATTAAGTTCGGTCAGGGCGGCGGGTTGGACGCTGTGCGGGCGGGGAGATGGACGGTGTTGTGCTGAAGCGAGATGATGAATGGCGGTGCTGAATTAGGTTTTGCTTACTAGACCAATGAAGATTACAAAGTACTAATTATGCATGCTGGGGCAAGCGTATATATCCTCAATGCTGGAGACAAGAGTACAAGACACCCTCGGCAATGTTCTCAAGGTGGTGGATATTTATTGATTTGTTCGTTCAAGACTATCACACCGTCCGAAACCCACTAAGATAACTTCGATCAAACTTTTGTGCCTCTTATATGCGACTTATTCCCTTATTTAATTGGTATTGTTGGTGGCTGCTTCAAACCCGGCATCTGTGGCAAAGAGAAACTTGAACAGTTGTGTTGAGAGATAATAAGGAGTCTAGACTACTAGTGGTAAATATTGCAAATGCATAATCATGCTCCGACCCGTCTTCCTCGCGGCCCAATTTTGCTCCGCCTCCTGACTGCTTCTCGATCGTGGTATTCGTGATTCCCAGATATTGCAAACCGTGCCGCACCGCACCCCAGGTGGGGGCGGGGGAGCGAGTACGATAGCCATGCGATGACATTTCCCAGGGGGAGCCCCGGCAGCATCGTCATAGACCGCACGCTTACAAATCGGCGTCCTCCTCGTCGGGAAGGGGCATGGCAGAGGCCTCCTGCATTTCCTTCTGGTACTGGTCCATGAGCTCCTGGTTGACAGCGACCTCGGGGGGAGCGAGGGCGGGAGCGGCGACGAATTCCTGGTGGTGATCATCAGTCTGGTGCCCAGAAAAGTGAACGCGATCGGAAGAAACTCACCAGCTGGGGGTTGCCGACCAACTTGCGGGCGAGCCAGAGGAAAGGCTTCTCGAAGTTGTAGTTGGACTTGGCGGAGATGTCGTAGTACTGGAGGTTCTTCTTGCGGTGGAAGGTGATGGTCTTGGCCTTGACCTTGCGCTCCTTGACATCGACCTTGTTACCGCAGAGAACGATGGGGATACCCTCGCAGACACGGACAAGATCACCTAAATCGGGTCAGTCGAGAGGTTGGAAATGTGTGGCGCAGTAAACGGATGCACTTACGGTGCCAGTTGGGGACGTTCTTGTAGGTGATACGGGAGGTAACATCGAACATGATGATACCGCACTGTCCGTTGATGTAGTAACCGTCGCGAAGACCACCGAACTTCTCCTGTCCAGCAGTGTCCCATACGTCGAACTGGATGTGTCCCAGGTTCTGTTGATAGAGGTTAGTCTTAGATGCCGGACAAAGACGGCGAGGGCCGGTCAAAGCGGGGTTGGCTGGCGGGGCATACGGTGTGGAAGTTGAGAGGGTGCACTTCGACACCGAGAGTCGCGATGTACTTCTTCTCGAACTCGCCAGTCAAGTGGCGCTTGACGAAGGTGGTCTGTAGAGATTCTTGGAGGTTAGCTATTGACGCCTCGCATTGTCGGGCTGAAAGATAATCAAGTTTTTCTCCCGGTGACTGAGGTCTATCCAAACACGATGGTAAACAGGGCACCGCAGCGCAGCTGTGCTATCTGTAGTCGACAAAAAGGGCAGACAGAATTCGACATATCATATCCAGACAGGCCGGAGAAAATCAGGAGGGGCTCTTGAATCAATACTTGCCTTTCCGGTACCACCATCACCGACAAGGACGAGCTTGAAAGTTGGTACTTGAGCAGCCATGGTGAAGGATGTGTGAGGATTTTAAAGTAGTCAAAGCAAAAGGGTGGGAGAAAATCGAGGAGACGTCGTCACGTAGGTGCGACAGCTGATGGGGGGAAGGAGGGAGATGGAAAAGATGTTCAAGAGAACGGAAGTGGAGGAGGAACAAGAAGAGTGGGTGGGATGGTTTCTTTCTACCAGTGATGGAATTTTTGCCGCGAGTCGGTCACCCAAAGCCTCCCCTCACGTGCCTGGCTTACCTGCCTCAGGCCGCAATGCCCCGCCGTTCTCTCGATTTCCATTTCTACGCCAACGACCGATTGCCGATTTGCCTAATTGTCTATCCAATACCGGTTTATTGACACGGACGAGCCTCCCTGCCAGTGTCTGCATACAGAGTATCAATGTACGCACCTTCAAAAAAACAACTGCTAAGTCCCCGTAGTTCACAGTTTCCACAAGAATGTCAAGGACAGCTGCACTTAAATGTTTCATTATAATCCATTGTCTTCTTTAAAAAGACATCTCAAACGCCTCTTCAGATGCTCCTTTGGACGTGCCTAAAATAAGGGAAATAGTCATAAAAACATACCACATATCAAATGAAAGCCACCCGTCTCGTCACAGAGGAACCAGATGGCAGCCTAATAGACCCCGACCACCCCAGTCACGGCGAGGAGTGAGCTCCAGGCTGAGCTCAAGGTTACGGATCGAATTTGGATCCTTACGCGCGACGGCAACGGTCACAGCACGCTAGCACAAATCAGTCAGAGAAGCCATCAAGACAAGAGTAGCAGGAAGAAAGACACACCCCCTCGTTCTGCTGGACAACCTGGGCCACCTTTGAGAGACGTTCATGGTTCAACCAGTTTACGCTGCCAAAGCTCCTCACAGTATCACCGGCCTTCAGTCCTGCTTGGTCTGCGGGGCTTCCAGCCACAACACTATTGACTTTCGCAAAAGGGACCCCGGCAGCTTCGGATCTTGAATCGCCATTGCTGGTCGCACTGGCCTGCCCAGTTTGTGTATTGTTGGCACTGCCGTCAGACGGCGCAGTAGTCTGCGCCCGCTGCAAGCTTGCGAAGTGATCATGTATACCCTTTTCGAGAAGTGACATGACTTCTTTGTGATCGGTTCGTAGTCGGATGATGCGCGCTCGGGTGGTACGTACTATCCGAATCTTAGCAGTAACATTGTAGGCACGGCGAAGAGTGACTGACTTTGGGCGACGTCGATATCATCGCGAGGGTAGCCATCGAACGTCGTCAACGAGGTATTCATATGAACTCCATGCTGCATAATACATAGAGTATTAGTGAGTATTCGTAGAGTATACGGAGTAGAGCTTGGATTCTATAGCCCTTACAGAGCTGAGGACGCTGCTGAGAGCCGAGAGTTCCTCTTCGATGCGTTCTTTTTCTTGCATGAGATCGACGACACCGAGCTTGGACAAGTCGCGAGAAGGAGCCTCTCCGGACGTAGGCCCGGAGGCGACTGTAGGAGCATGAATGTTACTGTTGGTATCCATGGATATTCCCATGCTGATCTGAGGGGAAACGATGAGTGATTATCGGAATGTTGCGACGCAAGAATGGAACTGTCGGGACTCGGGAGGATGACGGCGGTGGGTCTGGCCGCGGCTGGAACTCTGGGGGAGTTTCCCCTCTCGCTAAAGCCAACAACATACGGAGTAAATTACTACATGTGCAGCCTGCAGCCATGTACTATTTATGATGCACATTACATCTGCGCATGTTGCTCAGACAAACTTGATCCAATGAAATGACATCTGCAGTCATAGCAGGCTTCTTTGTGCTTGCACTGTGCAGAGCTTCTAGTAACCAGTGTGACATTGATGCACGATCAGATGCAATAATGGCGGAGCACAGATCAGGTGTACACGCTTCGAGTATACACTCCAAGGCAGTGCCGCTCGATGGTTGTGCTCTAGACCCGCTTTAAGAATTTGCGTGTCACTGAGAAGAAGTATTTTGGAGGACTGAGAAATATGCCACCGCACTTTCTCACCATGTGCTGTGTTGGTCGTGGTTTCCTTCTGATTTGATGGCTGACAGTGTCATCGATTTTCAGCAGATATCAGTCAGCTTCTCTTGCTACGCGATTGAGTCATAGCGGTCAAGTTGTATGGAATCTGTCCGCGCGTCTGTTCCTCATGGAAGAATCCAAGGACATCGTTGAGACCCCACTGCTTGTCCTGGAGACGTCAGGACTCGAAAAAAAATCCAATAATGGCAATACCCCCGTTCCAGCAAGCTCTGACCCGGTGAAGGTATTCAAGCGATGGATAAATAGTCTACGATCCCGGAGAGGCTTTCCTCCTTCTGATCCTCAGAGATACGTCGAAGGCTGGATGGAGATTCCTCAAGCGGACTCTGACACCGGTCCTAAACTCTCTCTGACCCACGAAGCTCAAGAAAAGAAATGGGAGTCTTGGTCGAATCATTCCTCACATCTCGAGACAGTCAAGACAACAACAATCAGCATTGCTAGTCAAAGTGTTGTGCGTTCGAGAGGCACCACGCAGAGTACCACAAATCAGAGCATCAAGTCAGACCTTCGTGAATCGCTAGAGAGCATAAGACCAGCCTTGAGTTCTACTATCGACGAAGACGCTCAAAATAGAGCAATCAAGAGGCGTCGTGTCCTGCGAGAACTGGTAACTACAGAGTGCGATTATGTTTTCGGGTTGAAAGCACTTGCCGATGTATGCCATTCACTCCCCAGAACCTACATCCCCATTCCCGAGGGCTGGCCCTGACAACTTGCAGGCACTGTTCATTTTCTCCGTGCGACCTGAGATCTACTATAATGTCCAGCAGCTTCGAGATATACACGAAGATTTCCTGGCCCGACTTCGCAAGCTGACACCGATCTCTAATCTTGCTGGAGCCGAGTTTGACAACCTAGTGCCTCAGCCAACTCATAAGCATCTTAGCGCTCTCGAACTGGGATTCAAGGCACTCCACTCGAAGTCCTTGAGGTCGCGCAGTTTTAAAGCATCGGTAAACTCACGTCTTAGAGCTCTCGCTGCGGAGACAAGGGAGGCTCTAGAGGTTGCGCAAGCGGTCGGAAAATTGGTAAAGACATCACCCCAATCTTTTGGTTACTTCGCTGATGGCCCTCGCGTCCATAGTCGAGAAACTTCTCGACCTACAAGCTCTTCTGTAGTAGCTATGGTTTGCTCAGTTTCGATGTCGAATTGCTTCGTTCGTCTGTTCCGAATTGGCGAATCTTCGATCTAGGTATCGAGGCACTATCAAAATCCGTGGCTTCTATCGACAGACAGGCACATGAGGAACATAGGTCAATGGCCCTGGATGATCTTCTCATTAAGGTATGAGTCGTTCACCTACGCAAAGTATCATATATATATATATTCACAAGTTGATAGCCGGTCCAACGCTTGTGCAAGTATCCACTGCTACTGGAGGAGTTACTACGTTGGACGCACATTCAAGATGATCCATCCGCCCACGATGGGATTCGACAAATCCTCGAAAGCGTTCGACGGGTTGTGCAAGAAGTCAACCAAGTCAACAACAATCCGATCAACAGAATATTAGTCCTGAAGACGAGGGAACTACAGAATTTGCTGGACTTTCCAGAGGGCGTATGTTCTCAGTGTCAATCTTTATCTCCTCCAGCTACTAAGAGTGTGATTGGATTCTAGAACAAAACCCTTGATCTTTACAAGCAGCTCGGACCGCTGATCCTATGCGGTGTCTTACATGTTACATATTCCTCACCCACGGAGATCGTCGGCTGTTTCATGGTCTGCGTTCTGTTCAGCAGCCATATTCTTTTCGCTAACATGAATGACGACAATCGAAGGCTCCGAGCGCTGATGTGCCTTCATATCCCAGATCTGAAAATTGACACCCCGCATACTGGCGAAGGTAATAGAACTTCTTCCCAAGCACTATTCATGGACTAATAATTGAATAGACATCTGCTGTGAATGCGTTTTCTCCTGGAAGCTAGTATTTCAGGACTCTAACAAAAGATATGAGCTACTACTCAGCGCATCGTCTGCGACCGAGGAGAAGAAATGGACAACAGAGACGCTCAAGTGTGCGGCATTGTCTACCAAAGGACAGAGGGACATCTTGGAAAGATCACGACGGTACGCATTCATATCACTGGACTTGGTTCCGTTAAGTAGCACGGAGCTTCCTTTGGCACGCCGGCCATCTATGCAAGCATTAAGTGCATCCCGACCGCCACCTGAATACCCTATCATAGTCATCAAGAGGACACATTGCCCTTATCTCCTAGAGGAACATAATCCACAGAATGGCGAGAGCGAGCGTTTCAAGGAGCACCCAGACGACATTGTAACACCTATCATTGCTAGAAGACAAGACCGGATTCGCTTGGAGCGTGCAATTTCGGCAGTCTATACGCGGGATGCGCTTCCATATCCTGGCATGACTTTAGCAATGGGAGATCTTCTTTTCCGACCAGGCTCAATCATGAGAAGGAATATCAACCGGAAACAAATTCTTAGGCGACGTGCTAGCTTCGTGAACGTCAAGGCAACAAGAGCGGCAGCTGCCTCGGTCAAAACAGAGATTCGTCCCTTGAAAAGTGATTACAGGAAACTTGAGAAGAGCAATGGGAGTAATGTGATTCAGACACCGAAAGCAATCAGGCCAGAACCTAATGACCAGAAGGGACCTTGTCCTTCAAGCGATAGCAAGGAAACGATCAGGCGAGCCCGGACATTCAAAATGACAGGCACACCAAAATCAACGCCTTCGCCCGACTCCTTGTTGACTAAGAAGGAGACGGCTCAGAAGACTCCGGAAATCTCAACCATGAAGCCATCCACAATACGCAGGATGCTGAATTCCATGTCGACGAGGAAACCAAAAAAGAATGAACGCAAGAGAGTGGGGAGTGGAGCTTCATGATGACAATGATGCAACTGATTCCCAGGGGCACCTCTCTACTAGGAGCAAAAGGACAACTTGTGCATAAGTATGCATCTCAGGGGTGAACCAGTACTAACGAAGGCTGGACTTCATTCTTGCGGTTTCTTGAGGGTTCGAGAGTGTGGGGAAAATCGACACAGGCGTTGATGGGCGACTTGGCGGAAGGTGGGGACAATCAGCAGCGTTTGTCACCGTAAAGCGACCCAATTGCTCGGCAACTGAAGTGTGGTACGAGAATAGTGGTGAGAATGATGATGATAATGCTAGTTAGTGATGAGGAATTCTGATCACCTAATGAGCCCTAATGACTTCTCCACTAAACACACAAGGAGGGAAAATACTGGTGCTGTTGGGCGGATCAGTCGACGTAGCATGGAAAGCACCGATGACGTCGGGTTTCATTTCAGCTCACGATGGCATGTTTTGATCACGCTGGGATGTATTATTGAGGGTCTTTTGTTTCCAAGATGAGACCAGAATTTGTCTTAGCTAGATTTTAAGCATCGACCATATCTCCAGCATCATCAATTGACAACTACTGTCTCATCCATGCGAGCATTTGCCTGATTGCCGCTACTTCTTCGTTGATGACCCGTTTCGGGTAACATCCTAGTGACGTCATCCAGCCAACTGCCCCTCCATTCCTCCAACTCTTTCTACTTCACCTCAACTACTTTAATCTCACTTTCTCCCATCCTACCTTCTTCTCATTTTTCTCCAGCATCAAGACATCAAATCTGCATACTACGAGGATTCATCTGACAGAAGTACCCTTTCAAATCACTCAATTGATCCCCTATTACCACCCCTACAACCATCAAAATGCCTCGCGCCGTTGGTGAAAACTCCAAGATGTTCTACAAGGGAGCATCTGACGACTTCGTTATCTTCGTCGACAGTAACGACATTGTGAACAAGTGGCGCAAGGACCGCTCCATTCCCCTGTCCGACGTCGTTGACGGCTTCAAGATCTTTGTCACTCACAAGTAAGCTTCTCTCTCTCTGCCTTCTCATCTAGTCCTCTCGAACGAGGTTCATTAACCACCTTTGTCCATCTGTACAGGCACGGCGCCCAGGGTGTTCTCGACAACGCCAGCAAGTCCAGCCTCCAGAACGAGTTTGGCACCGATAACGAGGACGAGTGCCTGATCAAGATCCTCGAGAACGGTGAATTCCAGGCTACTCAGGTAGGTTCTCCACTGCCCTGCTCACTCCATAGTCTCGAAATCAAGTCAGATAAGATCGGATGAGATCTTGTGGACAATTTCAGCGGAAAGCAAAAAGCAGGTTGCTGACTTCGCTTGTGTGATCTATCAGTCCCGTGAGCGCCAGGATGACACCAACTTCCGTAACGGCCCTGCTCTTCGATAGATGGCTTATGCTTTTGTAATGAGCTGATGTGCTACTGCTGGCTGGCTGGCTGGCTGGCTAGCTGATGATCCCTGATCCTTCGGAAGTTCAGGGCATTTTAATTTATGTTCTTGTTTCTCTTAACGAGCCCATGTGTTTCTAGCGGATGATATGTTCTTAAACCTGGTATTTGGGGTGTTTGAAACGTGGAGTTTTATGAATGAGGTGCAATCGGTGGACGAATTATCTGTGGTCTGTCTACTGATGTGATAAATGAGAATCTAAATACCCATATCAGAACTGGAATATTTGTGCTTGTTCAGGTGAATATCAGTAGATTATCTTTTGCTAACGGGGTCATATATAAGTGGGCTCTGTATAAAGTCTATCATGGATCCTGACCGGGTATATCTTCCTGAGCAGCACTCTCTATCTGCTCCTGTGGAAGCGACTGCTGCTGCTGCTTCTCCCCCATCTCCCTCTCCCTCCGCCGCCTCTTCACCCAGTCCCCCAACTCATTCCAAACGGCCTGCTTTTCTGCTACCGACATCCCCGCCGCCAGCCCACTCGTCGTAGTAGCCACAAACACCCTCGCCCCCGGCCATCCCCCGTCTTTCGTAGATACCCCCATATTCATCTCCTCATCCTGCCACCCATACCGGAATTCCTCCTTCCGGATATTCCGCCCCGTCTTGACGCGCCACACCGCCTCCCAGATACTCTTCCCGACCAGACACACCACCGCCGGCCGCTGCGCCGCCACTTTGGCTTCTAGCACGGGCACCCCCGCGTCCATCTCCGCACGGCTGAGCATGCTGGCGTCCCGCGTCGGCCGCTCCACGATATTCGTGTTCCCAATGTTGTACAGCTCCGGCAGCGCGTACGTGTCTGATGGCGGGTGCCGGATCGCCGTGATGCCCGACCAGTGTAAAAGTTTCCAGAAGAGGTTGGATGGATGCGCGTAGGCGTGGCCTGTGATTCCCGTGAGGAGGCCTGGGTTTACGCCCACGAGGAGGAGGTCGAGGTTTGGCGGGATAGTATCGCGGAGGAGGCTGGGGGTGTTTTGTGGGGTGGGGGACTTGCGGGTACGGGTGCGAGGGGGTTTCGTCGTGGTGGTGGTGGTTGTTTGAAGTTGGGGTTCGGGGTGCGGGGTTGTGGATTGTGAGGGTGAGAATGAGGCTGTGGAGAATGGGGAGGATGAAGTGGTGCGTGAGCGGGTGAGGGAGCGAGTTATCCGTGTTGTTGTTCTTGTTGCTGCTGCGCGTGTGGCCGAGGGTAGGGTTCGATGCATGGTGGTCGTCGTGCGTCGGCGCTTGGAGGAGGAGGAGGAGGAGGAGGAGCAAGTGTTCAGTTCGTCTATCTCTTTTGAAGAGAGTGGCTGCTGCGAGGATGATGGCTTGCGTTTGAAGCTGATAGGCGCGATGTCTTGCTCGGATACGGAGGCATTGTTGTCTCTGTGCTTGGTTGTGGTCGTGATGGTCGGTCCGGTGGCGATATTCTTCGCGGTGTGAAAGTACTGGTTCAACTTCCCGTTGAAGCTGGTCTTCTTGTTCACGGGCACTTCCTCGCTCTCCCTGATGAGGCCAGGTTCTTCCTTGAGAGGCTTCGTGAGGAGCAGAGGCGACATTGCATTCGCTGCGACCGAGGTAGAGCGCGATGGGATGCTGTGCTGTTCTTGCAGGAAATCAGTAGAGGGAGGTTTTATGTCTACAAGTGATCTGGTTATTTGGTTAGCTAGGTTCGCGGGCTCATGTCCCATCCAATAAGCTCATCTCAATGGCAGAAAAATGCTGTGGCGTGGTTTGCCTGTCAAGTCTCACAAATGAATGAGATGGAGTCATGGTGCCTCAAGCGTCGCCTATGGATCCGTTATCCACTTCGAATGCCAGGAACGACTAATCCCAATGGAGTAATAATGGATAGCCACTAGCCTGTCATGTGTAGCTGATGCCTGAGGATACAGGCATTCAAGATTCTTCTCACTTTCTTTGTGTGCAGGGTTCAAAGGTAGTAGGTGTTAGTTTCTCGCAAGCAATACTCAGGATCCGGGTGTGCATTATAGTCTCTAATGATCTTTAGATTATGTATGCGAGGTATATGTTGGAAATGTACACAAGACATGACACAAATATTACAATTGCTCTTCCGAGCACAGGTCACTTATCCAATATGAATGTATGTGCTGATCACTTCAGCACAATAGGTGAGAAAAGTCATTGGACTGCCTCCCCGTCTTCCGCTTGCAAACGCCATCAGATGTAAAAGGGTATAGGAGATATCGCTGTCGTAAAATCCGTAGTCATAAGTCGTTCATCGAGGGCAAAAAAGCGAGCCAACGTCACATTATACTCTGTACTCGCTTCGCTTAGGCAGGGTCCAAGGTTCAGGACATACCACCTGTACTCTGGTCAGCTCATTTGTCACACAGTCGATGCGACTGTAACCCATACCTCTCCTTCACTATAAGCCCAGAAGTAAACCCCAATGCCAATGAGGTAGTATATCGCAGGGTCCGTCCCTTGGTAGAGGAGCATTGCGAGAAGAGCACTGAGAGGATAGAGGATCAATCGAAACTCGATGCTACGGTGCGGTGTCGAGCCCGCGACATATTTCAGAGGCCATTCCCACGCAATTCCGATCAAACCCATAAGCAAATTGAGGATTTGTAATATCGGAATCGGTGTGACCGCGCCGTTTAAATTTTGTGTCATGAAGTCCCAGAAGACTTTTGGCCAGATGAAGCCCTCGATTGCGCTTCCTATTTGAACTGACAATGAGCATAACATGTTAGCGATCAGAATTGATAACCAAGGCGAGGTGGTACACGTACATGATGCTGCAGTGAGGACGATCAAACGAGCCCAGTGGTTCTTGATAAGTCTTCCCATGACAGGCGAGGTGTTGGATGCAAAAAAAGTGTGGACAGTGCTGCCTTTCGTCCTGCGAAAGTGTCTATATTCGGGTGATGATGGTTCTCTTGGTGTTTTATCACCAACGTGCTGTTGGCTTGAGGGGGTATGGTAGATATCAGTCCATCACAGGGTCAACGATAGGTCCACAGGGTAATAATAGCAAAAGTGTAATTTCTTCTTGATCGCATGGCAGATGAAGCGTTCAAATGTCGGTGACCGTGCGTTTGAGATGTGGATGTCAAGATCAGATCAACCTCGTATCACCAGATCACATCACCTCAGTAGGTTCAGCCTCGAGAAGATCAGGTCATGCCTCGGAAAGGCCGATCCCTTGACATCAGTGAGATTGAGGAAGTGGTGAAGATGGAGTAGGGAGAGAGCGGCGGGACAATACATCCATTCATAGTAATTCCCAGCGGCAAAGAAGTACACACCACCTGACCGGCTTCTTTCTTCTTCAACTCGGGAAATCCATCCCAACCGAGCCAAACCACTTCCCATCTTGCCGTCTGCCACCTATCGTTGATGACCGAACGCCATAAATGCATCTGTCTTAGCAACCGCTCTTTTTGCCAGACCAATTGAGAACCTTGAGCCACTGAAATTCACCGACCCCCCGCCCTGCTTCTTCACAGAAGCGCAGCTCTCTGTACTCCTGATTGGGTGCTCAGGTTGGACTAGCCGTGGCCCATGCGACCGACTCAGGATCGAGTGACTTTGAAAAGCCCCGGTTGGGCGCTACCGGATGCAGTCGATAGCCACTGAGCGGCGAGAATCTGGCTAGATGGTCGCCTCCAGCGAGTCTTGAACGCCCGAGGAACGTGACGGTGGAGATGCCGATGCAGAGGGTTTTCGGAAACACACTTTAGCGGCTGATGCATCTGTACCAGTATCTTTTTCTTCACCTCTGATTGAACCACCTCGAGGTTCCTGTGGAGCAAGCGCCTTCTTGTGAAGACCGAGAAAGCGGGGAAGTTAAGTGGCTGGATGGCCTGTCAGTTCCTTTTTGCGTGGCCCCTGGAAGGCGCCTAGCCAGGCTACACAAAATCTACGCACCGAACGTCGCTTTTCTGCATTCAGTACAAGCGCCGTCCGTTGATGGCTCCTCGTTATGGATGTTGCCCACAGATATGAGGGTTTCCATGGCAAGGCAACTGAAAATGGTTGTCGTGAGTCACTCACTGATCTCTTTACAGTAGACTTCCATGGCAGGCTAATAATGTGGGTTACTCACATGGTCTGAGTCTAAATATGTGCAATCGTTATCACGGAGCTGTGTGATGGAACTTATCAACCGTGCAGCGCCAAGCGGCCTTAGAACACCTTCCGACTGACATGCTGATTCCTTCAATGCACTTTTCCCATCAATTCATGGCCCAGAGCTCACCTCGGAGGTGAATTCTATTTTGGTCTAGTACTTGGATGATATCTGTCTTGGCCAGCAGGAAGACCTTATTTTTGGCAGCATCATGAATCTATCTTCTTTCCCAGCCAGTGTATCTACAGCCACCACTAGGTAATCTGTCTTTTCTATGGTCGCTCGGGCCATGTGTGACGGGAAGCGCGCTTGCATAACGCTTCTCATAGGGTGAAGGCGACTTCCGACTCCACGGCTCCACCCTCTCAGAAAGCAAATTCCCACGAGACATGGAAAGTAGCCTGAACAGTTGCTGAACGAACCGAGCTTCGAAGATAATAGAACATCCTGGCGCCACATGGTTCGTCCTGAGGTAGATATCAAGATTTGAGAAGATAGACAAAGTGGTAATGAAAAGCCACCAAGCCATCCGGCTCTTCGGGCCCAGTCACGGCCCCAACCGATTCACCAATAATCACGGAATGATGATGGGCCCACAGCTGTCAAACCCCATGATAGACAGTGTGACGCTTGCCATTCGATGTTCCTGACCAGAAAATACGAGCATAAGTATGATCAATCACTGTGCAAAACCTTGGACACGGCTCGAAAGCTCATGGGCGACCTTTAGCGCACCATGCAATGGTGAGACTAAACGCTCTCTGCCAACACATTTAACCTACAAATGAATGAGAGAGGTGTGGTGAACGAGACTACGCTACTCTACCGGCTCATCCGCTTCCTGCAGGCTGCTCTAGCGTCGCTTAGGCTAAGGCCCTGAGCAGGGATTGCGTAAATATAGCAACACGTTTCCTCGACAAGGCGCTTTCCACTCTTCTTTTGCAACCAAAACCATATCTCTGGGAAACCTGACATCTGCCCGACAACGTTCACCGCTGTACCCCACACCGGAGGTCGCAAGAAACCGTCATATGCTGAGTACGACCACGATAACGATGATCGCATTTGGTCTAATGATTGGCCCCTAAATGGTCCCGAGCTTTCTTGCTTGATTGGTCTCTCCGCACGTTGAAGATTTCAGCCCGGCAGTTGAGAGAACAGGCTCTCTTTTCTGAGCATAGATCTTCGGCACCAGGGTCTGAGAGTACACACAGCTCATTACCGGCTCTTTTGATGTACTAAAAATACTCGGAGGTTTTCGGTATCTCCAGGATTCTAAGGAACTCGAACTGATCACACTCCTTGTCGTTCTGTGTGGATAGGTCATTGGCTGCTTTGTTGTTGCAGCTGTAATCAACAAGGCACCTGGCTTATGGAGTTATCCAGAAATGCAAGTTTCCGTGAAGAAAAGACTCGAAAGCATCTAGCATATTCATTAAGATCTATCGGAGTCGTATCTGATCATATCAAGGAAGCATCGCTTGTCGATGACTTGTCTGCTGACAGGAAAGACACCTACTTTCCTCTCTGTCTAGCATCTCACATCAACAATGACAACTGCCTGGAAGTCCCACTTTAGCGGGTCCAAAATCTGGTTCTATGCGTTGTTCTGGGGCTTGCATATTGTGCTTTTCGCAGTTGGATGGTAGGTCTCCTGCCTTCAAGATACAATTGGGACAATACTCACAGATCATAGGTACGTGCAGGCGACAAACCACAAACTTGACGCCCTGAACACGTTGAAGTTCTCAGTCTGGATCTCCAGGGGAGCAGGCTTAGTCTTGAGCTTCGATGCCGCTGTACTTCTTCTTCCCATGTGCAGAAATCTGCTCAAGACTGTGAGACCGCGACTGCGTTGGCTGCCTTTAGATGAGGCAATATGGTTTCATCGCCAAGTTGCGTATTCTCTCTTGATATTTACCATTATTCACACTGCAGCTCACTACGTCAAGTAAGTTAGACTCGAGAGTAGAGGGTACTCATATGCTGACAGATGTTAGTTTCTATAATGTCGAGAAAGACCATCTTCGCCCTACTACAGCAGTTCGGATTCATTTCACAGAGGCAGGAGGTATAACCGGCCATGTCATGCTACTGTGCATGATGCTGATGTACACAACCGCTCACCAGCGAATCCGACAGCAATCTTTCGAAACCTTCTGGTATACGCACCACCTTTTCGTCCCATTTTACTTGGCTCTTTACACTCACGCCACCGGCTGCTTTGTTCGTGACACGACGGACCCCATTTCACCGTTTGCAGGCAAGAAGTTTTGGAACCATTGCTTGGGATATGAGGGCTGGAGATGGGAGCTAGTTGGGGGAGCGCTGTACTTTTGTGAAAGGCTGTATCGAGAGATCCGAGCAAGGCGTGATACCGTGATCACTAAAGTGATCCGCCATCCTTATGGTAAGTTTAGCTTACATTTCCTGCAATAGGAGAAAGTACATGCTGACCCTTAGAAGACGCCATGGAAATCCAATTCCGCAAACCAAGCATGAAGTATAAAGCTGGCCAATGGCTCTTTATTCAAGTACCTGAAGTGTCCAGTAACCAGTGGCACCCTTTTACCATCACGTCGTGCCCATTCGACCCTTATATCAGTGTTCACGTCCGTCAGATCGGCGACTTTACCCGTGCCCTTGGAGACGCGCTGGGATGCGGGCCAGCGCAGGCAAGAGATCTAGAAGGCCTCGACCCATTGGGAATGTACGAAGTAGCCCTTCAGAACGGTCAAAAGATGCCGAAGTTGCGCGTTGATGGACCGTACGGAGCGCCGGCCGAAGACGTCTTCGAGAATGACATTGCGGTTCTCATCGGCACTGGTATCGGAGTGACCCCATGGGCCTCCATCCTCAAAAGTATATGGCACTCACGCGCTCGGCCTAACCCGCCTCGTCGTCTCCGCCGTGTCGAATTTATCTGGGTCTGCAAGGACACATCCTCCTTTGAATGGTTCCAGGCCTTGCTTTCTTCACTCGAGTCTCAATCTGCGTCGACAGCCGCCTATGAGGGGAGTGTCGAGTTCTTGCGTATTCATACGTATCTCACGCAGCGCCTGGACGACGACACAACAGCAAATATCTACCTAAATTCCGTGGGTCAGGACCTCGATCCTCTTACGGAGCTCCGGAGTCGGACAAACTTCGGCCGTCCCGACTTCAAGCGTCTATTTAATGCCATGCGTGATGGCTTGCAGAATCAGAGCTACATGTCGGGTTTATATGACAACACACCCACGCAAGTTGGTGTCTACTTCTGCGGCCCGAACTCAGCTGCGAGACAGATCCGCGAGGCGGCGTTGTCGACCTCGACCAAGGATATCAAGTTCAGATTCTGGAAGGAACACTTCTAGTTATCGGGTAATAAGTAGGCAGAAAAGGGGGGGCAATAAGCTGGGGCGCGGGATTCCTTCAACGATATGATACCATGACGATTGACGACTTTTCTTGACCTTGCTGTCTTCTTTCGAGTTTGTATGGATTTTGTGTTCGATACTCTGAGTTTTCTGTATTTGTGCCATGGCCTGTAACATATAGGGGGATTATATGGATGGGGATTGGATTTTTACTTAGTGCCAAGAATCAATTTTTGTTACACCAAAATGCTATAACTGCTAGTAGCCCTGGTCTGTCTACCTGGAAGACATACAGTCCTGAAATAAGAACTCTGGTGTTACATAATCTACATGCCAACCCTCTCGCTGGGCCTTCTAACCTCTCCCAACCTCACTACCATTATCCACGTCATCGTCAACCTCATCATCGCCATCATCAGGCATCCTAATCACCTCGCGCCCAATCTCAAGCCCCCTCTTCTCCACCATCCTCGCCGCAAGATCATCCAGCTCCTGCTCAATATCGACATGGATCCGCAACTCCTTCTCCACCAACACATTGTATACATGTCGCAGCTCGTCGAAGCCCATCCCTTCGCCCTTGCGCGCATCAGCGGGGTGATTCTCCCGGACAACGTCCGCGCGGAGATGCGTGAACGCGAGCATAATCAGCTCCTTCGACCAAGGACATGCCCGCATTCCACGGTAAAAAATCTCCTTGGCGCGCTGGATCTCGTGCAGCGAGAGTTCGAACAAAATGTAGAGTTTCCAGGTGGAGGGGTTGGAGCGGGCTGAGGATGAAGATGTAGAGGCGATTGTGGAGGTGGATGAGGAGGAGGAGGTCTGGTGGGGGCTCGCGGTGGTGGAGTCGTCGGCTATGGCTCCTTCGAAAGCTGCGCGGACGGAGTGGGAGGTTGAGCCGGCGAAGATGGGACGGCTGAGTTCGGTGTAGATGGAGAAGAGATGGGTTGTGATTGGAATGGGAGGGGCGGAAAGATTGTATGGGTCGGTTGGATTCTTGGTGGTTGTGGTGGTGCGGGTAGCCGAGGTGCTGCTGGTGATCTCGCGGACGACGCTGCGGACGCGGTCGTCGATGCGGAAGCGGGATTCGGTCCAGGCGAAGAGTGATAGGAAGATGGTGTTGTGGGGAAAGAGGGCAATGCTTTCGGAGAGGATGGCGCGGATGTGGGTTGGCTTGTAGGTGCGGCGCGTGTGGATGTGGTGGTACAAGAGTCTGGCGCGGGATTGGTGGAGGAGTTCGGCTGTGTAGGTTTTGAAGGGTCTGTGTTGCTCGGGTAGGGAGCTGAGCCGGTCAAGAGCGTGGGTGTACGCTTCGAAGGCTTTGTGGAGGTCTTGGGAGTTGGTGAGGTAGGAGAGGATGGCGAGGCTAACTGTGCTGGCTGTGAAGTTGGTGGCCTTGCGATGGGCGAGCACTTTTTCTTGAAGGTCGGAAAGATGCTGGTGTGGAGTGTTAGTGGTACATTATATATGGACTGCGGATTGGAGGGACTCACGCTCCGAATCTTGAGAAGGCTGGTGGGTGTGAAGGCTGGCAGGGTCGAGTCCTGCGGTAGAGCATTCAGATCAATGCTGTCTTGCGGGATGCTCAGCAGGATGTAGGCAGCATGGGCCATATTTTGAGTGTCCAGAAGCTCCCACAGCCATGTCTGCCAAAGTAGAATGCTATCCAGTCTGTCATAATCAGAGAACGTTTTGCTCATGGACAGGGCTGTTGCCCACACATGGTCAGCAGCGGCGTGATTGCCTGACCGACGCTCCATAAGGGCGTACGCGTTGTACAAGCGTAGATTAGATGATCTCTTCTTGAGTAAAGACTTCGCAAACTTCTTCGCATCTTTGCTACTGCATGCGAACTCTACGCAGAGCGTAAACTCGGCCAAGTCATCATTGCTGGGAGCGGCATCCACCAGCATTCTCAAAGCTCGTCGTGTCCAGAGAGGAACAACATCAAAATCTGAGTTCGAGATGGCTGTGTTCCATGTGCATAAAGACGAGAACCAACTCTCTTTTTCGGACATGAGAGTCTCAATTGTGCTGATGAAATTCTGCTGAGGAAATTGAAAAGGAGACAGAGCTGCAGATTCGTTTGCTGCAGGGGCGCGCGAAATCCAGTCATTAATCATAGAAAATGCGGTGCTCATGACTTCGTTCCGAACGAATGGATCCCCGGCCGTACGGCCATTTGTCTCTTGATTCTCCTCTGTTACTATGGGCGGAAGGCGACAGAAGGAGATAAGGCCATCGAGCAGCAATGTCGGCGAGTCCACGTGCCAAACAAGAGACAGGATTTCGTCGAGGTCGGAGGCTAGGATCACTCGGTAAGGATCATCCTGCTCGGAAATGTTAAGACTGAAAGCAGGCAAACGGGCATTGGTGATTCTTTCTCTTTCGCATGGTGCCCAGGACGGGAGCAATGCCTCTGAATCGAGCTGAAATACAGGCTTGAATTCCTGCTGAGTGGGAAGTTCTCTGCTGCCACTACTCCATCCTTTTGCACCCGCATCACCAACTCGGGCGATTTCGGAATCCCAAAAGTCGAGGAATGTTGACAAGAGCTCTTTGTCATCTTGAATTCCCTGCAGAGAATCTGGTCGAAAGAAGGCTATTTCAAGTATCGCCTGCCAGAGCGCTGTTGCATGCTCAGCATATCCTGCTTCGCGCATGAAAAGTGTCAACCGGAGGAAGAGATACATCTGGATCTGGGAGTTTCCCGGACTTTCCGGCGCAGACTTGTTGAGCCTCAAACACTCCACGTATGTATTGAAGCATTGCTGGTACGTGAAATTGAGGAACTCAGTTTGACGAAAGTCAAGGTATTTCACCCAAAGGCTGATATACTGCGAATTGGACCGTAGAACCGTCTGCCACTGGGTGGACAGCTTCTTGGTATCCCAGAGCTTTGCGCCCTCTTCAAGATAGCCCAGTAGAAGGCGATCCTTAGCATCGCTCTGACCGACCTTTTTCAAGGCCTTCTCATACAGAGACAATTTGATGTCGGCTAAGCTCTGCTTTTCCGCATACGTTAGGGGTTTGATCTCGCCAGCTGATCCGCGTAACAAGGATTCTTGATGGTCAATATATTCAAGCCAGCGATTGATATCTGCGGGATCCTTCTCCAAACCTTGCGACAACAGCGCATTCCTCTGCTTGATCTGCTCATCGGGATCTCCTCGAATGCCATATTCTCCATCAATGTCACTGTCAGACGTGGCCTCGACGTCACTAGGCAAATGTTCTTCTGGTTTTGCTTTACCATGAATCGAGCGATATGCGTACTTCTCATCGTCGTAATCAAACTCCCCGAAAGCTCCTAGATGCTTTCGACTTTCGGAAGTACTCAAGGGCAGATAGTCTTTGGAGAAGTCCGCAGCCGCGTCGAGCAATGACTGGGGCTTGAATCGAAGCAATCGGGGTTGTTGCTTGTTGAGGGCCGAAAGAATACTTTTCGCTTTCGTTCGCGAGAAAGCTTTCCTTTGTAGCTCATTTCTGATGACCAGCTTGTCTTCCACGACGCTGTCCCGGTCTATGCGATAGCTCGAGGGCAAACCCAACACATTGCCTCGCCCCACTCGGTAATAATCAGGAACACTGTAGCGATGAAGTGTACCATAGATCAAGTTGTACTTGTCGCCTTTGCGATCAATGACGTAGAGTTCCGACCTGTCGTCCTTCCCTGTGGTGTGACGGTCCAATATCGAAGTATGAGGGGTCTCGGGAGTGGGCCGATCATAGCGATCGGCTTTGTCAAAGCGTGCGTGATGTTCTTTGTCTTTGTGTTTTCGACGACTCTCCCGGGACCTCGATCGATCGCGACGATGAGATCGATGTCTTGTGTGGCGCTCTGAATGAGACCTGGACTTGTCCTCGCGGCTGATGGTGTCGCGACGCGGGCGCTCGGGTGGATGATCAGCTTCGGGCGGAGGAAGCTTGAAGCTAGCGAAGCGAGGAACGGGTTTCTTCTCCTGTAAAAAGAAAAGTGATGATATGTTAGTTGGGATTTTGTAGTAGCTAGGCGACTCAGAAAATCATGACTACTCACCTGGGAGCCAGACGAATCCATACTCCTGAACAATCAAAGCCTCATATCAGCAGGGAATCTCCGCCTTCTCCAACAGCAGCGGGCGGGCGGGCGGTGATGAAGGCTGGAAAAACTCCGCTCCCGCTTGCCGCACTTTTTTCCGGTCTTTAAAAAAAAGTTGCTCCGAGCTTCACTGAATCCCATCGGCGCCGGGGAAATTCTGCCCGCCAAATTCACTACAACCCGTGTCGAAATTCACAGGTGGCGCTCGTTGAGGGATGGGTGTTTGGTGCAGTTGTTGATCAACCTAGAAAATACGGAATAAGATTCACTCAACATGGCTTCATCTCTCGCCGCGCAGCTCGCGCAGGTTGCGGCAAAGTCGACCAACCAGTTGGATCTCAAGGCTCAGCGCATTTCGCATTCGCACTCCCTACTCTATGACCGGAGAGTCGCTACTTCCCAAGACTTTGACACCATTTACTCGAAATGCTACATTGGGTTCAAGGAGCTATGCCAACTCGACCCTCGATTCTCCCCGTTCGAGCGCACGATCTTCAGCCAACAGAGCATGTCGGAAGACCGCACGGAGATGACTGCTGCTCAGAACAAGGACCTTAACGCCGTTTTGGAGGCATTCTTGGCCTTGGTTGGAGGCAGGCTTATGTTAAGGCCTGCTGTAGAAGCCGTTGACTGGCTTATCAGACGCTTTCGGTATGACCACGACATGGGATTGGGATATCTCCATGTTTGGAGAATTTTCGCCTCCCTAACAATTGTGCTGACTGTATGACAGAGTCCACGAGTACAATACCGAATTTACCATCCTTACATTCCTGCCATACTACAATACGCCCCTCTTCCTGAGACTCCTATCGATCTTGCCCGAAGATCTGACGCCGACCTTCAAAATCCTGAACCCGTACAAGAAGAGCAACATCAACCCCCCACGTCATCCTCTTCTGCACAGCGCTACAACCAATAAGCTGTTTTTCGCCGCTCTCAATAGATATACCCTTCAGGTTAGCAGGCAGCGGGCGCATCATCACGCGCTTCTATCGTTTTGGGCCGGAATGATCACGGAAGCGACTGCTGGAATGCTGAACTCCTCGCGCACTGGTCGGAGAGATATCGAAAAAGAGAAGCACGAGGATGTCATACTCAAGGTGCTTCCGGTTCTGAATGACGGTCTGGGACTCAAGGACGTTTCGGAGCTGGTCATTGGCTGCTACATGGTTTGCGTCGTTCTGGCCACCAAGGCTTCGCTAAACGAAGAATTCCTTGATTCTCTCATGGAGGCTGTTGCGGGCTCTTGGACGGAAGAAACCAGAGAATCAGGTCTCATCTGTTTGTCTGTCCTAGCACAACACAAGCCTGACACGACAATTCCCAAGAAAGCCTTCAAGGCACTGCTCCGTTTGGAGGATCCCGTACAGCGGCTGGCCGAGCTTTCCGCTCAATACAAGACTTCCCACCTGATTCTTGGTCTGGTCGCCGGCTGCGTCAACGATCTCTCCAGACAAAAGAATTTGGCACGCCTGGAGCTCCTCTCTGAGATCTTCAATGCTCGTCTTCTTGAAGAATCGGACACGGCCAAGGCTATGTCCCTGATTCTTCACGCCACTAGCAATGCGCATCGGGAGGGTACTTTGGCTCTCGACGCTCAGACTCAACTTGCGGAGCTCGTGCAGCACTTCAGTCAGTCTGACTCCCTGCGACCGATTTTCCAGAAGACTATCGAAGAGGCCCAACTCGATATGGCTGCGCTGGAACACAACCTCCAAATCGTCATTGAATCTGCACCTGCGCCCAAGGCTATTGAGGATGTGGAGATGGGGGATGTTGAAGTTGAAAAGGCAGAAGATCGGTTCCCATCTGCCCTCGAATCTCTGGATGGAAAGAGCTTGGAGGTCTCGGCTCTTAGTGCACAAACACTCCCTGTTTTCGAAAGCCTTGTGCAAGTGTTTGCTCTAGGAGTTGGCTCTGATGAAAAGCTGGAGTCCTTCGGCAGCTTGCCGTTGTTGAAAAAAACCGATGCCTTCAAATCACCACAGTACCTGTCGTTTTTGACGAGAGTATTAACTGGATTCTACCCTACTGGTACTAGAGTTGCTGCGTTGAAGCTGATCTCTTCATTGTTGTCCTTCGCACCTTCTGACGTCGATCTTCAAGCTCTGCTGCCCTTCCTACTGGTAGCACTTGCTGATCCAACTGAGCGGGTTCGACGCGAAGCGACGGACGTTCTGGCAGCACTCAGTAGCCTTTACAAGAAGAATAAGAAGGTCGATATCAAGCCCTGGGCCAACGAAACATTGTATGGCCAGCAAACCAAGAATGTAAAGTGGATGGCCAGTCGTGATGCACAGAAGCTCGTGGAGCGTGTCCTCATTCCCGGCTTAGAGGAATATATTCTCGACCAGGCTCATATTGGTCGCGTTCTCGAAGCCACTTTGCGGGGCGTGTCCACATCCGATTCCACGGCAACTGAACTCAAGAAGTCACTTCGACTCAGTATCTTCACCTTCTTGTGCTCTCATGCTGTTTCTATGCCTCTTCTTGCTCCCAAGCTGGGATTGCTGAAGCTTCTAAACAGAATCGATAAGGCAGGTGGCACAACCCGCACGAAGGAACTCGAGCCCCTTCTGAAATCTTGGCGAGAGCTCGACCAGCTGAAAGTCGAGGAGATTTGTGACAAGGAACGCGTTTCCGTGGCTGAGATGGAAAAGCAGGTCGTTATGACAGTTACACCGAAGGAGAAGGATGCGATCATTGTGCTCCTGTCGAATGTGAGCCCTTATTCGACTGGCCTCAGACCTTCTTTTGTTGCTTCTATCTTCAGCCGCATGAAGGATATTTGGGCGTTGGTGCCTGAAGACCGACAAATCGAGGCTTCAGAGAAGCTGTTTGTCATCTCGCTCGAGGAGCCGAATTCTCCACTCGTCAGTGGATGCAGAGATGTCCTGCGCAGCGTGCCACTGACCGGATCCGTGCTTCAATTCTTCCTGCAGAAGATCCCTGTCTCCATTACTGACATGGAATCTGCCGGTCCGGCACCGAAGAGGAGACGCACCAGTCAGACTAACATGGTTGCGATGACTGTTAAAGATGAAGCTCAACTCAGCAAGTTAATGGAGAAGACGACGTTCATTTTGGAGCTGGTGGACAGCTCGAACCCTGAATCCCACCCCGAACTAGCTGACGGACTCTTCCAGACACTGGCAGCTCTTCATCATTTCAAATCACAGATTCAGTCCGGAATGAGTTACTTGCTCAGCTTGACGCTCGGCAGCCTTTTGGCTATTGTTAACAAGTCGAAGCAAACAGCTAAGGCTCAATTTGACACTTCAGTCATTCGAGCTGATCTTGTTGTTGATTGTGTCCGTACGACGGACAGTCCTCAAGTGCAAAACGCAGCACTATTGCTCGTTGCTGGCCTGTCAATCATTGCCCCTGAATTAGTGCTGCACAGCGTCATGCCTATTTTCACTTTCATGGGCTCTAGCGTGCTCCGTAAGGACGATGATTACTCCGTGTCTGTTATCGATCAGACTATCGATCAAGTTGTTCCGGCTCTTATCCAGTCTCTTCGCAATCAAAAGCGCGACGTGGTCTCTGGAACCTCCGAGTTGTTGCTTAGTTTCACCGCTGCTTTTGAACACATCCCTGCCCACCGTCGTCTGCGTTTGTTCCATGCTCTGGTTACTAAACTCGGAATGCTGGACTTCTTGTTCGCTGTTCTGGCCATGCTGGCCAATCGCTATGCTATGGACAAGGATGTTCTTGTATTGATGACTGGCCTTGCTTCTGATGCCAGCGCGCCTATTGAACTCGAGGTATGTGGCTTGATATCCGTTAGTGTTCGTGCTTGTGGCTAACTATCTTACAGACTTACAGCAAGTTCTTGGACCTGGTCATCGACTCCCTCAAGCCCAAGCCTGGCATCTCTCAAGTCCTGCTTGGAATTGGAAGTGATGACGGCCGTGAACCCCAGAAAGTCGCTGTTGACTTGCTCCGGTCATTGGCTCACCTATTCAAGCACTCATCGCTGAAGGTGAAAATGGCAAAGGCTTTTGCAACCGACTCGGAAGATCAGACAGTTCAAATCCGTACCCACTTCTCTCATATCTTGGAGAAGGTTCTGTTTATTGGCGAATCTATGCAGACCAACAAACCCATTAGTCAAGCGAACGGCGATGTCCTCAGTGCTCTGTTCGGCACCTTGTCTCTTGTTGACTTCCTTGATACTATCGAGGTTCTTCTTGGACGTCCTGACGATGAACTTCGCCGGAAAGTTCTCCGACTCTTGGAGGGTCGTTTGCGCCAGAATCCCGAGACTGATGGTGTGTCTCAGAACCGCATGCTGGATTTCCTGCCTACATTGGTCAGCATTGTGGAATCATCGCCAGATATCTTGCTCAAGCATGCTGCAGTTGCCTGCATCGACCGTATCGCTGAGAAGTATGGTCGGAAAGATCCCTTCAAGGTTGCCAGCGCTGCTCAGGTGGTTGCAGGCTCATCTTGCATTGGTCAAGATGATGAACGCATTCGCATCATGGGCGTATTGTGCCTTGCCTCTATGGCTGAGGTGCTTGGCGATGCTCTGATTCCAGCGCTTCCAGATGCTCTTGGCCGCTCCCTTGAGTTGCTGGAAATGAGCTTGGAACCTGGCAAGGTCAATTCGAGATTGCATGATGCTGTCTTGTCTTTCTTCTCTGCCCTCTTCGTGCATATCCCTTACATGGTGTCTGCATCCAACCTTGATCAGCTCTTGCTACTCTGCCACAAGTCCGCTATCACTGAGGACATTGAAGATGACAGTCGCGAGGAGACTCTCCGACTCATGGCTCGCAAGGTCGATGTGGCTGCGACATTGGCCGCCGTCGACCGCAACTGGCAACACGCTGTGGAAACTGGCTCCGACGCAATCTTGGAGACTCTAGGCGTAGTCAGCCTTGCCATTGAGAAACATCCCAAGTCCGCCACCGTCAACAACCTGGCGGTCATCACTAGTATCCTGTTCAAGGCGTTTGACCTCCGCCGCCAGCAAATGTCCTCCGATTTCAACGTCGCTTTCGACTCGTCCAGCCTGGATGAGATCGAGGATGTCATCAACGAGGTCGCCATCAAGATGGTTTACAAGCTGAATGACACCACGTTCCGCCCTATCTTCACCAAGCTCCTGGACTGGGCCACCTCTACTACTGCGAAGAAAGATACGCAAGGCAGCCTGGCTCGCCTTACGACCTTCTACAAGTTCCTTCAAGTCTTCTTTGGAACCCTTCAGGTAAGCTTGAGCTCAAGCAACTCAAATATGACCACGATCATCTCTAACAGAGTCAGTCTATCGTCACCGGGTACGCCAGCTACATCATCGAGAGCGTTGTCAAGGTCCTTGCCAAGGCCAGCCCCTCAAATCAAAACACCAAGAGTCTATGGTTGGCCACGATGCGCATGCTCCGCAATGCCTTCGAGCATGACCAAGATGGTATGTCACACCCTGCGCACATCAACCGTGGGACCTCATGTACTAAACAAACGATCCCCTAGAATTTTGGCAATCCCCCTCTCACCTCACCGCGATTGCTCAGCCTTTGATCTCTCAGCTGGCCCATGCCACAAACCCCTCCACAGCCGCCATAGTCATTGCTGAGGCCGTTCCAGCCATCACTGAACTGGCCGTCGCCGCGGACTCAACCGACAACCACAAGGAACTCAACACGGCGTTGATGCGTCTTCTGCGGCCCTCAGCCGGCCCCTCCGGCAAGGCCGTTGCCGGTGGTGAGAATCCTCACACGCGCCTTGCCGCCCTCAAGGCGGAGCAATCTCTCACCGAGCAACTCGGCGAGGAATGGCTTGCTTTGCTTCCAGAGATGTTGCCTTACATTAGCGAGTTGATGGAAGACGAGGACGAGAACGTTGAGCGCGAGGTCAGGAAGTGGGTCAAGCAGATCGAGGGGGTATTGGGTGAGCGATTGGATGATATGCTTACCTAAGCCGGTGGAAAGATTTAACAGAAGGGGAAGGGAAGTGAAGAAAGAAGTCTTGGTTGAGTTTCTTATATGATGCCGGACGGCGCACATTTGGAGTGGGGGTCTTTCGTGTGTAAATATTGCGTTTTGAAAAGTTTCCAGCATCAGTGTTTGAGTTTTTCTGTGATGTCGAATGTTGTTGGTGTTCTTCAACATATATACCTCATTCTTCTTGTCTACTGCTAGAAAGAATCCACTTGAACTACTAGAAGAAAAGCAAGGATCGCAATCTAGATTTGCATGTTCATCTTACAAGGACTTGGCTAGTACATATGTTGGTAGCTTGGACCTGAGTGACTTCAGGTACTATCCTGCCTGGTGGCTGTGCCCATGTTCATCCGCTTGTTCACAAGGGAATCTATACCATCCAGCCATCTCTTCCAAGTGACGCCGTCTCCCAGCGCTAGCATCCGCTTCATACGCGCGTAGTCACGGACCTCTTGATCTTCCTCTTCGCTCTTGATCGCCTGCCCGCAGTCCGGACCCCAGACTTTCCAGTGGCCCTCCGGTGCAGACCATGGTGCTTCGCCGTGAGCGAAAGTAATCCACGCCGTAGCGAAATCACGAGCCATGGCCTTCTCCCCCTCATTCAACTCATTGTCGAGGTTCCCAAACAGATACAGAAGCTCGATGGCGTGGTATGCGGTTCCCTCCAAGGCGTTCGGGAGACGGGACCGCTGGTCAAAGTGATAGAGGTAGAGGGCATCCTTATCGCGCAGAGAAGTGCAGAGCAGAGCAGTGGCGTAGTTTGGGATCTTGAAGATCGCGTCCCCGCACATATGTTCCACGCGCGCGAGGAACTCTTCTGAGGTTAAGCCCGTGGGCTCGATCGCGTATTCCTTGAGGATCTGGGCGGTCTCGTCTACGTTCTGGATCTTGCTTTGGAGGGTCTGGAAGACGGTGTCGTAGGTGTCGGCCAGCATGTTGAGATGGAAGATGACTCCTTCGTGGTAGACGTCGCCCAGCATGTAGGCCTTGAGCCACGCGGGTGGCTCGTGGACTTCCAGGGGGTTGCGGTCGTAGAACCACCCGTCGAGGCAGGGGTTGCCTGTGCCGGAGAGGACACCTTGGATGGCGGCAGTAGCGTTCGCGAGTTCCTGCTGGGGAATGTCGCGCAGCCGATCGAGGACGTCTGGCGTTGTGGGGTCGATGTCGAAGTATCGGCACACAGCTCGAAAGTACTCTTCGTGTTGCTGCATGGTCCACGGTGGGATGGCGACTGATAGGCCGGACATGCATACAGCTCGGTGGAAACGCGGAGGAGAGTGGGCGCCTGCTAAGTGGTTGCTGATGGAGATCCCACCGGCGGACTCGCCGACTGCTGTGACTTTGTCGGGGTTGCCGCCGAGGGACGCGATGTAGCGCTGGACCCAGTCGAAGGCCACCAGCTGGTCTGTGAAGCCAAAGTTTCCGCACCCTTGGTAGCCGTCGCGTTCGAGCTCCTGCTTGATGGCTTGGCTGGCCAGAAATCCGCCTATCCCAACACGGTAGTTGAAGTTGACGCATACAATGGGCTTTCCGATGCTGATACTATGGGAGACGAGGTTCACGCAATCGAAGATGGGGAGGTTGGCCCCGCCATATAGGAGTGAGCCACCGTGTACGTAGACAAACACAGGATATTGTTGACGGTTTGGAGCATGCGGGATCACGATGTTCATGACAAGTCCGTGCAGCTCATCCACCTGTGGGAGTTCTGAAAAGTGTGCTGGTGGTGGAACGGGGGTAAGGTCGTCCGAGTCGTCGCCTTCGAGCATCGGCCGTGGGACATCGGCTCTGGAGATCTCGCCATTAGTTCTTCAATTTTCTCAAATGGGAGGGAGTGTTCACCCTAGCTTTGTCCCATCATGGTGATTGTTCTCCCATGAACTATTTAACTCGGATCGTGACCACCGTTTTTGAAGGCGAGCGTAGGGAATGCCACAGAATTGCTGCACCCCATTCTCATATTGCAAACCTCCAAGCTTGCCGAGGAATGGAAGGTCAATTGAGCATTTGGAGACTGGAGCGAGGAAAGACATATTCAACAGGCGCAGTATATTACCAGTTCATCCACAATGTGCATCGTCCTTTCTGTTGCTTGTTCGCTTTCAATTGAATTGGGAGCAGGATGACTGAGGAAGGGAAGACTCGTCGTACGTGCAGCCATTGCTAAAGATATATTTCCAGTGACTGTCGTGGTACCTCAGTGAGAAGTTGATGCTGCATTTGTTCGCCCACCCATTGAGGGATGGAATCCCCATGAAGGTGGAAGGTAGATGGAGCTAGCCTCAATGCAGTAAGTCGACCCCATGATGATCCATCGTATCGCCTCTTTATCTTCCGGATTATCTTTCCCCTCATTCACAGATAAGGGCCCACATGTCGAGAAGCTTTGGACAATCGTTCTACTTTAAGGTTGCCTAGATCTGTTCCCCAGTATCTCACATTCAGACACTTGGTGAGCACCGATCAGGAATGTCGACCCCTCGCCAGCGCTCCCATCACGGCTGCTGGACATGCAAAAGCCGACGCCGCAAGTGCGATGGGACCCGTCCTAGCTGTCAATCTTGCATCCAGCGGGGCCTCCAATGTGAGGGTTATGAGGTTCGTCTGCGATGGGGAGCTGGGATTGCATCGCGAGGCCGTTTCACTGGCGCAGAAGAGCCAATTATAACCTCCGTGCCTCCAAGGCGCAAAGGCCGACGGCGCGATTTGAGTCGCGAGAGGCGCCGAACGCAGCAGGAGGAGCCATATATCGTTCACGTGGGGAAGACAAATCGTTCCGCTGCAGGTCTCGTCCCTATGTTTCTCATCTACCGATGTCTTGGCCTCTCGCTAATACCCTTGGAGCAGAGTATGATACGAGCACTGATATGACCTCTGTCCCGTCCTCGCCGTCGTCTGTCGAAGGGCGAGGGCGATCCCGAGAAGACGAAAGGCTGTTCCAGATGTGTATGTCACTGCTGACTATTACCAACTGTCTACCAATGGGAAGGACTAAGATCCTAGTGCGGTACAGTCCTCACTTCAGGTGTTAATACTCTACACTCAACAACCGCCAAAGATCCCGTCAATCTGCTGGCAGCCCACTTACCAGTACTATGTCAGCAGTCAAGTGCATTATATTACATCTCCCTGGCACTACAGGCATCGATATGCTACGACATCGGACCTCAATTCTTCGAGTACTATGATGCAGCTTTGAATCATTTCCGAACAGAATTGGCGCATAGTACCTCGTATCTACCGGATGGTACTCTCGCAGCTGGACTTCTCTTATGTAGCGTTGGGGTACGTTAATTTCCTCTTGAATCCTCTGCGTTGCTTCACAACCATAATAATCATTTGAATAGGTACTACGTGGTACTCCTTGGACGATGCACCTCCGAGGCATGTACAGTATCATTCAGTCGCACGAATTTCGAGACCTTCGATCTGAGAATAGTACGTTTCGGTCACATCTCTTCGAAGTGATGGGCGTGATGGATCTCCCTACTTTTGCAATTGGTCGCCAGAATCCATGCCTTGGTTTCTGGAAAATTCACTGCCGGGAACGCAAAGATCCAACTCCAATAGAGTCAGAACTTGGTCATGAAGTCGAGGTAGTGAGCGGGCTTCCAAGATCTTTGCTGGATATCTTCTCCTGTATAGGCACATCAGAAGTCACCGAAGAAGATTTTTGGAATTGGCCTGGTGCTTCGGGAACATTGCTACAATGTCAACTGTGGGAAGCCTACAGGTTGGCCGGCATTCTAGCTGTCAGAAATCGTCACTTACACCATTCTGATAATATCGCCGTATTCCAACCGAGCAAGTCGCAGACTAAAAAACTCCCTATTACGGAGGTGCTTGTGCTGCGTATCTTCAGTAATTTGGATGCGATATTCAGAGCAGCAAAAGAGCCTGAAGGTACGGGCACTTTGCTCCTGAATGCAATCTTTTACCCTATGGCGGTTGCTTCGTTGGAGTCTCGCGTCATGAATGAAAGGCCGTCATTGAAAACTCTGATGAGGAGCTGGGGTGACAACCTTCATGAGCCGCCTGGGAATGATCGGCTCTTAGAAATTCTTCTGGACATTCTCGAGGAATGGTGGAAATCTGATCCCGAGCGAACCAGTATACATGAACTTGCTTATATGCGAGGACTAGAGATTGCGTTGTATTGATCAGCAGCATACAGAATGACCAAGCTTGGGCACTAAGTCTTTTTTGCCGGTCGAAACATGAGCCAGACTTTGACAGCATCTTCTTTATCAATCAGATCAACTTCCTCGACGAGCTCAAAGCCTAGCCTTTCATAAAACGTGACGTTCTGCTCCGCCGTACACTCCAAAAATACCGGAGATCCTTGAATATAATCCAGGACCCATTGTATGGCTTTGCCACCTAGCCCTCGACCTTGAAGAGAAGGATGGACTGCCAGTACTTCAAGATACCACGGATCATTGACACCATACCTTTTCTCAACAGACTGGAGCGACGTTTCATGCGAGTCCATGAGGATTTCCACGCGCTGCGATACATTCGTGTTAGCGATCACCATGATCAGCACTTGTGTGTCGTCAACGAAGGACAGGGCACGTTTCAACCTTCATGCTTGCCCCGTCGTCTGTGACTGGGCTGACCAGATCCAATATCCACACTTTCACGGCGAGAAAAACTCTTCTGATTGTCCATTTGGATTGCCCGGCAGGAGGATATAATATCATAGCTACACCTGCATCCTCATGATCATCTGTGTCCGATTTCTCTTTCATCAAGGCTGGATCGTTCAACAGCTGTTGCCTTGATGGAAATACATGTGCAAGTTGGAAAATCGGAGTCGACTTAAAGACAAGCCCCTCAGTTATGGATCGTTGTACCCGACGGTATTGCCAACGGAAGGTATCCGGTTGTTGCCTCATCCAAGGGGTAGCCGCAGGCCGCAGCCATCTGATGAGGGGGTCGTTCGAAAAAGAAAGGCTGATAGTATGGGCAACTGCGCTGATGGAACGAGGATCTATCAAAGTCCAAAAGGTCACCTTAGATCAAGCTGCAGGCATGTGAGAGGTTTTCAAACCATCATGGACTCGGAAAAGTTCTAGCCGGGAAGCCGAAGCCATCTTGCTCGGGTGTTGATGACCAGAGGTCTGCCGATAATGACGCGAACATGACTGGACTTGCTGCAACAGAACTGGCTCTTTATCAGTTCATGGCAAGGATAGAATTGTTTCCGACCTATAGATAGCCAATGTTACAAGTTGCTCTGCCAGACAGATCAACCACCTAATCGCATATCGAAATTTGTGGCAATGTGTCTACCTTCCTCTCTGGGTCTGGCTTTCAATCATCGCCTCTTGCAGCACAGAGAGGGGTTGAGCGTGCAAATGCATGACTATGCACTCGGGGCGATGAACAAATGAGAAAAGTCTCAAAGTTCGATATCTACTAGACTGCTCCTGCTCAAAAACGCCTCCATACTTAGTGGCCGGAGGCTATTCCCTTGTTGGCAGGTCGACCCCTCGAGCCACTCTACCTTTTCTCATGAGCGACTCCATCAACCTCTCCCCAACCCTGTGTTGAGAATGGCGGGATACTGAAGCGGCTCCTTATCTATTAGTGTCTGATCCAGTATATGAAGTTCCCCGCGTTTTATGCTGGTTCGTACTGCACTCGTGATCCGCATCGCTATCGTCCATGATGATAGAATTTATGGCTCCCTAGCGAGTCACGGTTGAAGAGCATGCCGTGGAACTCCTCACGCCACGAAGGTTGAGCGTGCGCAAGGGACTATATATCAGACCGATGGGAATGCTTCGTGTCTGGTTCTGAAAGCTTGCAGATGAAATCTCTCGTCTCTTTACTATATTTTCCATTGAACCTACTCTGAAGGCGAACATTGATGGCAGGCCACGGCTCAACATTCCAAGACCAGTCTGCAGATGACTTACCACCAGGAACTTTCTTCTTCGTCAAAGGTAAGCCGCCTATTTCACTATGATAATATTTCAAAACACTAATAGTATGTACAGAGCACGAAGATGAGAGTCAGGGTCAACAAGTGATCCTCCTCAGCCCGGTCCCCTCAAGCGACCCAAACGAACCCTTGGTAGCATGCCCCCTCCACCAAGCATAGTACACACACTGAACAAAGCTGGAACAAAACAGAATTGGAGCACTGCACGCAAGGCCGTCAACTTCACATTAGTGCTAGCAGTGACATGCCTCATTTTCACTGCGTGAGTTGGCATCGCTACTGATATCGCATTGAGGATCATGGGTTGACATTGTTCATCTGCAGGCTCTCGATCCAGTACATTTTCTGGCAATTGATGGTGGTGGACTTGGACGTCACATATACCCAGCTCAATCGAGCCATGTCGGTCAACTCTGTGGGCCTGTCTGTGGGTTGCGTCATGTTCATTCCGCTGGCGAAGAAATACGGGCGTCGGCCTATCTATTTGATCTCCACTGCGCTCATGCTGGTAACTGCCTTCTGGACGGCAGAGATCAAAACTCTCACGGAACTCTACATCACAAACCTCATCCAAGGCTTGGCAGGTGCGACCAATGAGGCTATTGTTCAGATCACTGTGAGTATATGCTAGTCTCGATGATTTGCTGTGCTAACGTCAGTAGATAGCGGATGTCTTCTATGTGCATCACCGCGGTACAATGAATGCCCTATACATGACAATGATGATGATTGGTGTGAGCAGTGCACTTCCGTGTCTGATCTCTAGGCTTTTCAGCTGATTTCTGGTAGAGCTTCTTGACTCCTATGGCTGCCGGAGTGCAGGCGACACGCCAAGGGTGGAGGATGTCGTACCGCACTCTCGGCATATGCACCGCCGTCATGTTCCTGCTGTTTGTTGTCTTCTACGAAGAGACCAAGTACACGGTGGTGATAGACGGCGTGGATGAACAGCACGAGAATGTCAACGAACCCCAAGTCGACGTTCTCTCTAGCACCAAGAGGGATAGCAAGTCTGCCATAACGGAAGACCTGAGTCCTTCGACCGAGGCTTCCAGTGCTGAGCGTGTTGAGATCGACGACACTATCCCAATGAACAGCTGGCGTCAGAGACTAGCCCTCATGACATACACCTCAGAGTCGATCTGGCCCTATTACTATCGTCCTTTTGAGATACTATTTACTTTCCCTGCCGTGTTGTGCTGTGGTCTTCAGTATGCGTGTGGGGTTATGTGGCTCACAATCATGTCCAGTGTTCTTTCTCTTGTCCTCCCTCTTCCACCTTACCTCTTCAGTCCAGAACAGATTGGTTTTATGAGTGTCGGTCCTTTCATTGGGAACCTGATCGGATCGTTCTATGGGGGGTACCTTGGCGACCGATCCCTTCGATACTTTGCTCGACGCAACAAAGGCTATTTTGAGCCAGAGATGCGACTCTATATCCTTCACATCCCAGCGATCGCATTATGTGGTGGTCTGATAATGTTCGGAGTGACGCTGGACCGAGTGAGTGACCTGTTTCAGGCCGGAATGAAACCAGCTTCTCCTGCTGACTTGTGGTCCCTCAGGGTATGCACTGGATCTACCCCAGCATTGGTGGGGCGCTCTTCGGCTTTGGTCTGGGCAGTATCAGCGATGCGTGCCTGACCCTGGTCATTGACAGCCATGTGTTGGTATGGCAATTCCCCATGATGACGAAAAGATGTGTGCTGACTGACGGTCTAGCTCACGGGAGATGCCTTCACAGGGGTGGCCTTTATGCGCAATGTCTTCAGCATTGGTGTCCCGTTCGCCATCAGTCCATGGATGGAGACCTCGGGACTCACCAACATGTTCATCACTGTTGGCTTTATTAGTCTCGGAGTGAATCTGATGCTAGTGGTCATGATCATCTACGGGAAGCGATTCCGACGAGCCAAAGCGCATCGGTATCGGGAACTGGCCGCCCAACAGGGCCGGGGAAGTTGACCGGGCCGACAGTATGCGAGTGATTTTGGTCGGGAAACCTGCGAGGGGGCTGGGCGTGAGCGGAAAAGAAGATCCCTGTTCTGTCCGCCAGGGAAGAGAAGCAGAGAAGACGTGCTTGAGATCTCGGTTATGGGCGGATAGAAATGGAGCGACCGAGGGGGGAGGTTCTGGACGAGTGGGCCTGGGATCTCCGGGGCGGTTACCTTCGTCTGGGTCCGGACAACATAACAGCAAAAGCATAGTATAACTTAATGTCAGATATCGCCAGTGGTCCGATCTCACTCTATAGGAAATGGTGCAATTGCTGCCATGGGATGTTGTCAGACCCGTTGACATCTTCTCAGGATGTGTAGTCCAAAACGAGATGGGGGCAGAATTCCATCCATTCAATTCCCTTCAATTTCTCTCTTTTCCTTCTCGTTCAGGAAAAGCCTGAGCCGGCAGAGGCCACCAATGAGACCGCATTGATGCTCCGTCATCGGCAACAGATCAAGCGAACAACGCCCTTGTGGCTTTTGTGCATTTCATTGCAAGGGCGTGAAGGTGTGTGGGTTTGCCGAAAACGTGGAGTACTCCATACAGAGAGTATCGAATTCGTGAAGGGCGCAGGACGTCAGCGGCAAGCGATAACGGCGGGATGACTCTTCTTTGACTCCAGCTTTGGTTTGCGGAAACAGCCCCAGTTTGGGCTTAAACTCCTACGGCACAGCATCCATCTCTTTTCTCTCTCTGGTCAAATCAGGGTAATGAGCAAATCCCGAGTGTCGGTTCCCTCGTGATTGCGCTCAAGCTTCCAGAGCACTCAGCGACCCAGTCCCAGACCGCTGGGAGTTCGTGATTAATAATCCTGGACGTCAATGACAATGGTTACCGGCATCTGAGTTTCGTGTTCAAGCACACCCACGTACGCACACGCACACCCAAACAAAGCGGTCGAACCATCGTTTTAAAAGACGAATGACACGGGGCAGCAGATAGCCGATAATAGCGCCGGGAGAAGAGGGGAAGGGGGGGGTGGAGGCTGAAGTGTAAAAAACACCATCACGGGGTTTTGGTGTTCAAGCATCTCAAATCACATCATTCAGTTGTTACGAAGTGTTGTTGAATGAAAAGACAAAGGGAACCGAAAGAAAGGCGATGTATATCAAAGGGTCCAGAACACTAGGATGAGACCCATGAATAGGCTACCTGCGTCATTGTATTGCCGACTCGGACGTTTTTCCGCGGACATACACCATCAACCAAACCATCAGAGTATGCTTTCTTGCTGTACGAGATACAAAAGGGCGTGTGCTCGTCTTTGAACCGTAGGGCGCGACGCTTATCCTGAATGGTGGTTCCAAGCGATGTCAGCGAAGGGCGCGAAAACAGGAGTGGAGGGTCCATTCCTCATGCGAAGCTAATATGGGGTACGCTAATCCAGAAGGGAAAGTATTGGGAGAAAATGTTCTGAACAAAAAAATAACAATAGATCACACGTGCATCTCCCTTGATGTTCGTGCCTCGTTTCTTGGCATTATCATTCAGCAAAAACTGCGTGACTCATTTTGATGGGTCAAAAGAAATGAGAAGATGGATGGATGTTCTGTACGGAATACTTGAGGGAGGGGTCCTATTAAAGCACCAGCAGACCTGCAAGGAACCTTTTTTTATTGTCCATTCTTCACTCAGAAAATATCATACAACTATACTCTGATAGTATCAGAAGTTAACGGAAAGCAACGGACATCCATTGAGAAAGTTGATGTGGAAAGTGGATTGATCGACTCCACTGTGCCTTTTCTATTACTCAATTGCAACTGCTTTCCCGTCACCTCATCGGCGTCCATCCATCCATCCATCCCTACATACTTGCCCTTTTCCTCTCCGGAATTTCATTCATATATGCTCTGGGGGATCTAAGGGGGTGGGTTTCTATCAGAACTTTCTATCCATTCTTGATTGTGTCACCATTGACACTAAGATCGGGGAATACAAAGTCCCTGCGTCTCGCATCGGTTGCCGGTGTTATTTGTTTCTTGTTTCTCTGAACCGATCTACTTATACTTCGGGCGATCAACACAGAACACTCGGCCAAGCTGTCCTGCAGTGGTTCCTCACCTACCATTTGCTCATCATTTCAGCAAGCTTTTGGATAGTTCTTGGTCGTGTTTAGCGATCGCAAGTTCGATTGACTGCCGACACCCCAGCAATGACGAGTTCCTCGAGTCTGTCACGGACCTCTAGCTCCCTCGGGCGCTTTACGGTGCGCTCTCGCCCCAAGGTCAACATCGATCTGGAAGGTCAGCGTGATGGCTTGGTCAATGTTTACACCACCGGAGACACAATCAAGGGAGTGGTGACAATTACCGTGGATCATGATACGCGTTTCGATGAGCTGGAGATTACCTTCGAAGGTATGGCGGAGACCACGCGGGGACAACCATGGATTTACTGATCGGTATAGGCACCTCACGAACCTCAGTTGAGCGACAATCGATGCCTGGCAGGACAGGCGCGTATCAAACCTTTCTACGACTTCGACAGCCCATCGATGACACAGCGTATCCTACCCCACGCATCCTCGAGTCTGGGCGCAGCTATGAATTCCCGTTTGTCTTCGTGGTACCGGAGCGCCTGCTGCCCCATATTTGCAGCCACCGGAAGAACAATCTCCATGTCGAACGTTCGCACACAATGCTCCCGCCTACCTTCGGTGACCCGATGCTGGCCAGCGATGGCAAGACGCTTCTGGACGACCTGACTCCTGATATGTGCCGGATTTCGTATATCGTTCGCGCCACGCTGCAGAGAAACTCCGTCGGACAGGACGGCTCCATCGGTACCCTTGCCTCTATTGGGAAGAAAGTTCGGGTTATTCCTGCCGTGGAGGAAGAGCCTCCCCTCAACATTTCAGACGAGGAGACTTTGTACTGCATGCGCAAGGAGAAAGACGTCAAGCGTGGCTTCATGAGGGGCAAGCAGGGCCGCATTGTAGTCACTGCGTCGCAGCCGAAACCAATCCAGTTGAACCCCACCAGCAATGACGCTACAAGCGTCGTGAGCACTGTGGCAACCGTGCATCTTCGATTTGACCCGCTTGGAAATGAAGAACCTCCACGTCTGGGAACAGTGTGGAGTCGACTGCGGGCGACGACTTTCTATAGTGCGGAGCCGTGGGGCGACTTCCCTTCGACCGCCGCCATCCAAACGTGGGCGCAGGTCGGCCGAGGAATGTTCACAGAAGCTGTACCACTCTCAACTATGTGTGTAGCCTCAGCGCAATGGACCAAGCACACGAGCGCAGACGCCCCCCGCCGTGACTCCATGCAGTCGACTTCCTCGACGGAGTCTCTTCCGGGACCGTCTGCTTCGTTCTCCGGAAACACCTTCTACACAGCTTCAGTGGTCGTACCAGTCACGTTGCCCAGATCGAAAACTTTTGTGCCCACCTTCCACTCCTGCCTTGTTGCTCGCATCTACAGTCTGGAGCTCAGTCTCTCTTACCACACCCCGAACGCCAACATCTTGACTCCGACGACATCCCTCAAGATCCCCATCCAGCTGACCTGTCAGCCGCAAGCTGATGCTCGAACAAAGAATATCGTGATTGAGATCACGCAGGAGGAGGTGAATTCCGAGTTCTTCAGTCCGCGCAGTATCGCACCCCGTTGGATCTCGGAGCCTGACGTTACACCTCCCGAGTACACGGCCGTGCGTACTGCCAATCTACTTCCAGATCGGACACGGATTCTGCCCCCTTCGACCACAGCGAACCCCAGGGGAATGAGAACGGCCTGCTAATGTGCAGGCGATTTGATCTTCAGTGAACTTGAGGCCCTGGTCAAAGGGCGTTACCAATGTTTATTTTCCGTCGCAATATACCCAACTGCTTTATGTGATTTACTACTTACGACTGGAAAAGTTTGAATCTCGTTTGGTTTTATCGGGATGGCACATTTTTAGGTAGCTTAGTTAATACAATACTATAATGACTAGATAGACACTTATACCCAATGGGTTTCTCTTGATCTGCTACAAGTTCTGCTTCACATATTGATAGTACTTTCTTGGTGCATGGCTGGAGCGGTGAGGGCTCTTGGAGCGACTGGGAGCACATGCCCCTGGCCGACGGGGCGGACTTGGGGGTTAATTGCCTGTTTGAGGCCACGACTGAGGCTATTCCCATCGATGTCCCCGCTGGCCAGGAGGAGGTCGTACAAGCCCCTCCACCCCATCAGCGGTGACTCTTGCTTGAAGCGCATGATACATCCACGCAGCCACGGCAAGCTTTCTCGGCTTTGCCTGATATTTGCTTCTCACGGCATCATTACATCATGCGACTCGTCTCAGCCGGATCAGTTTAATAACCTGCATCGGCTGGGGTTAATCTCCGGGAGATCGAGGCAGAATTGAGGCCGAGTCAGCCCTGTGAGACAGTCTAGATGTCTCTTTCCCGTGAATCTACCTCCTTGGGGATCAGGTTGTGATTAGAGACTGTGGTCTCGATTCGTCATGGGGCACGCAGGGGGTGGACCGACTCTGTGACAGATGCATGTCTGGGTGGGTAGGATGATGCATGATTCACAGATATCAAACGGTGTAGGTGTAACAATCTGCATGCAAGTTTGATTTCACTGCGATTGGGCTGAGCATATTCACTACCTTGAAAGGAAAATACTTGAAGTTGGGTTGAGGATGAGTCTGAAGGTGAAGGTGACTATATAATGCGGTCAGAGATTTCAACCTCTGTGTCATCGTCTTCGTCACTCTCCCTCGCTCTCTTTTTCTCCCTTCTCCCTCTCCGTCTTTCGAATATCAAACTTCTTCTCTCCTTGACTTGACCTGTACGCCTCATTCATTTGTGTCCTTCATTTGTTAACGGAGTATCTATTCCCCCACACTCATTTTTCCAGACTACTTCAACTACATTATCGTCCACTCCTTTGATCGCGATGCGATTCGTCATTCCTTATCTACTCATCCTGGCTGGGCTGATGATTGTTGGCATCGCCCTTCCCCCTGGACCTTCATCACATCTGTCGCTAGGCCATCGAGGCCATCATATGCATCGTCATGTTAACCCGCCCCCCAAGCCTGCCAACTGCTCCGAGACCCCGAACTACAAGTCGGTTGCCTACTTCGTGAACTGGGTAAGACCCCTCCTAGATAAGACTTCTTCTCCAAATCAACTTCCTTCTACCACGCGATCACGATGCCTGACTGAAAGTGAACAGGCCATCTATGCCAGAGCCTACAATCCCCAAGACATCCCAGCTGAGAGTCTCACTCACGTCCTTTACGCTTTTGCCAACATCCGCGCTGACGGAGAGGTCTATCTCACCGATTCGTGGTCTGACGTGCAGAAGCACTACCCGGGCGACTCGTGGAACGATGTCGGCAACAACGCCTACGGATGTATCAAGCAGCTTTTCCTCCTGAAGAAGAAGAACCGTCGCATGAAGGTCATGCTGTCGATCGGCGGGTGGACGTACTCGCCTAACTTTGCGACGCCGGCTAGCACTGATCAAGGGCGGAAGAGGTTTGCGTCGACTGCGGTCAAGTTGATGGGGGATATGGGGTTCGATGGGCTGGATATTGATTGGGAGGTATGTTTTTTCCATTGGTGCTCTTCGGTGTCTAGAGATGCTGTGGGAGCTACAATACTAATGATCCACTTTGCGCAGTATCCTGCCAGTGATTCCCAGGCGAATGATATGGTTGCACTCTTGCGAGAGACTCGCCAGGTATGTTTCTGCCTTTATTCTTTTGTTGGCAATAGGTGACACACGACTGACACCCTATAAAGGAACTTGACAAGTATGGCCGCGAACACGCGAAGGCAAAACACTTTCTTCTAAGCGTGGCTTCCCCAGCCGGTGAGCTCTTAGTCCCCCTCCTTTCACATCGATAAGCACCCTGACCAGAACAAACCACTGACAATGAAATCCCTCCCCACCCCCGCACTCAGGCCCATCCAAATACAACACCCTCCACTTGGCCAGCATGGACACCCATCTCGACTTCTGGAACCTCATGGCCTACGACTATGCAGGAAGCTGGGACACCCTCGCCGGCCACGCCGCCAATTTGTACCCTGCGTCCAACGATCCCGGCTCCACGCCCTACAACACGGACCAAGCGATCACCGCGTATATCGCCGCCGGCGTGCCCCCCTCCAAAATCAACCTCGGCATGCCCATCTACGGCCGCTCCTTCGCCAACACCGACGGCCCCGGCAAGCCCTTCAACGGCGTCGGCGGCGGCAGCTACGAGAACGGCGTCTGGGACTACAAGGCGCTCCCGCAGCCGGGCGCCAGCGTGACTGAGCTTGCTGACATCGGGGCGAGTTTCTCGTACGATCCCGCGCGTAAGATTATGATCAGCTACGATACGCCGGGAATCGTCAAGCTGAAGACCGCGTACATTAAGAACAAGTGTCTCGGCGGGGGGATGTTTTGGGAGACTTCGGGGGATCGAAAGGGACAGGAGAGCTTGATTCTCACGGTAAGTTTTTTTCCCTTTCTTGCCCTTATTTTCTTTTCTTTGATTATGGTGTGCTGAGTGCTGGGTTTGCTAACACAATTCCGGTTAAAAAGTTCGTCGATGGCCTCGGGGGCACTGCGGTTTTGGATCCCACGGAGAATCAGCTCGAGTACCCCGTGTCTCAGTATGACAATATCCGAAAGGGGGGAACGGGGAGTCTTTGATTTTGGCGGGGTTAGAGATAGAAGGTGCAGATTGCTGCGGGCAGTCGTTCTGAATTAGAACGGCGAGTTATGACCTGTTGCTATTTTGTCATGTTGCATGTTTGCATGTTGCATGTTGCTCTAGCTTGTTTGAATACCAAGTGAAAATATCATACTCGTACTCCTTCAGTATTTGGTGTTGTAGGACTAGTCAGTGGATAATTGCACTGCAGTGTGCAGTTGCTCTGGGGTCGAGAAGAGAGCATGGCTTACTATTTCTTGTAGCTTCTACCCTCGAATGACTGACAAATAGCTACCTACACACAGGTGACTACTGTATACTGCCTAGAGCTGAGACGCCCGCTGATCAGGAATCACCCGCGCCAGCACCGACCTCCGCATGCGCTCCTCGCTCACAAACATCTGCTCCGGCACCCACGAGAGATCCAGCTCCTCCCCGGCCAATCGACCCTCATGCGCCAACACCATCATCCCCACTGCCTTGCCACACAACCAAGCCTGCACCATCCCCTCCCCGGAGAACGCACAAGATAGCCACTCTGCCCCATGCCCATGATCCTTGTCATCTCGAGAGTTCCCCCGTTCTGTCGCAGAGGAAGGGAGCTTCCCAATCCACGGATACCCATCCGCGCTGAAGCCCATATTGCCCGTCCACGCCATCTCGAGACCCTGGCCATCAGCATCCCCACCCTCCTTCCGCTTCTTCTCAGCGAATACCTTCCCCAGCGTCCCTCTCAAATGCTCCACCGTATACCCCGGAACAACACCATCATCCCGAGCAACACCCAAAGCCCAAACCCCACGGTCCACATGCTGCCCAAACCCCCCGCCCAGCATCATCTTGTTCGCAGTGGCGGCTGCAGTGGCAGTCGCAGTCACTTCGCCCCCCCACGAGGCCTCAGGCAACTGCGTCAAATAATCAAACCCATACTCATAATTAAACAGCCAAGAATGTCTGGTGCCCTGCGGCGGTAACCCACGCGGGGGGTCCTGCGCCGTCATCGTCCCCTGAATGGGGTAGATGCGGCCGCGTAGCCCCGGCACGAGGTGTCCGACGTGGGCGTTCGTGCAGTGGATGACATGACGGGCGCGGACTGAGCCTCGCGGGGTGGTGACTGCGTATCGAAAGTTACCGGTGTTCTCGGTGATGGCCGTGACGGGTGTTCGGCTTTCTATGCGGAGGGTGTCGGGGTACTGGTCGCGGAGTTTGGCGAGGAGGCCGGTTACGAAGCGGTAGGGCCAGAGGGCACCTGCAGGGCCGGTGATGAGCCCGCAAGCTGTGGGGGAAAGGTGGAAGTCCTGATGCAGGGGCGGTGGTTAGAGAATGCAGTATGGTTGGGGCTGCAAGATGGTCTTGGAAAGTGAAAAAAGATCAAGATCCAAAGGTCTTCTGGCTTGGATTCGGGCACAACCAACCTCGGAAATCTCCCCCTTCCCATAAACCATCCACTCCTTCGTCTCAGCAGGCATACACTCCTTCAATCGCCGAACGGACCGCACCGTCTCCGCCCACCTCGCTTCATCGAAATATACGCTCAGGAATTGCACCCTCCGTGCCTGCGCGACCTCGCTCAGCCCGTATTCCTCAGCCACTTGCAGTAGCTCGGCTAAATGCGCAAGTCGGAACCGCATCGTGCGGATGGCCGCCTCCACGCCGTATGTCTCTTCAAAGTAGGCGAACTCCTCGGCTGTCTCAAGGATGTGTCCACCATTGCGGCCGGTTGCGCCGTGGCAGATGTCACGGCCGTCGAGGATGAGGATCGAGGGCTGTGCTGCTGCTGCTGCTGCTGCTGTCTCTTTTTGGTCGCGGTTGGTAGACGCGTGGGTTAAGAGGGTACGCGCGATGGAGGCGCCAGTGATTCCGGAGCCGATGATTACGATGTCTGCTTCAACTGGGAGGCTGGACGACTGTATCTGGAAGGAGGAATGGGGGTTTCGGAGCCAGAAGGAGGGCGTGCCTTGCGGTGCTGGGATCCCAGGGTCGGCGAAGGCGCGGTTGAGCGCTGCGACTCGGTCTCGGTCGGGGACTCGAGGGTCGGAGAAGGTGGCTTGAACGAAGGCCATGATCGAGTTTCTGCGGGGAATCGTAATTGAGTGGATTCTATCAATGGGGCTCCGACGATGAAGCTAAATATTTAGGTTCATGTAACTTAGTCGTACTCTGTCGGAAGGCGAGTTCGGAGACCGGCGTATCTGGCTAATAGGAGCGCTACGATTGTCATGCCATCCTTTTCACAGCGGTCTGGACTGACGAAGATATCACCATCTCATGTCCTCTTCGGGTTCCTCGCGTGCCGAAATGATGAATGTTGAGTCGATAGTTCAAGATAACAGCCACGGGGGGTCGACCTGCCGCATCGGGGCTACAGCGATAAGACTTTCCGGGGGGCCGAATCAATCGCGTCCAGCTTCTTCTCTCATTGTCGCAACGACAAGCCGCCCAGCAGATAAATCATGGCATTGCCTCGGTCAATTGCTCCTCGAACAACATCTCCGAACAATTGCTTCAGACCACCAAGATGAGCGCAACAACAACAGTCCCGAACGACTCCCCCGGCAACGCCTTCTACCCCGCCACTCCCCCCATGCGTCGCCCGGGCTTGACCTACCTCTACCGTCTCGAATGTGACATCCACAAGGAGGAAATCAATCTCGGCTCCCCACATGGCGCGGGCGTCTTCCGCAGTATCGCTAACATCTCCGGGGGCACCTTCAAGGGCCCGGAGCTGTCAGGCACCGTCCTGCCGCACGGAGGCGCCGACTGGTCGACGATGATTGAGGGCACGCATGTGAGTACTTACAACATCTAGTCGTTGCTTCCTGGTCCTATCGTCAACCACGTCGAGTCTGATCTATGACTCTCGCAGTCCATCGCGCTTGACGCGCGGTACACAGCCAAGACCGACGACGGCCACTATCTGTATATCCAGGCCCACGGACTCTACCGCCCGGGTCCGGGCACGGCCTATGCGCGACAGGTTGCGGAGGATCCGCTGTCTCGGCCGCCATTGACGGTCTCCCAGGACGATGTGGAGTTCTTTTCGCATCTGCGGATCGAGGCTGGGCCTGGGAGGTATAATTGGTTGAATGGGTTGGTCTGTGTGGGGGTGATGACTTGCGTGGAGGATCGGATTGTGATTGATGCGTATTATTTGACGAATTTTGAGGGGGTGAAGCCGGAGGATGTGATGATGAGGCCTGTGGGGAGGTGATCCGTTGGTATAGATGTTGGATGATCGTTCGTATGTGATCGATTTGGATGTGTTTATTGAGACTGGTAGATTACCTCCTAACCCATGTTTCCCTTCAGCAGCGATAAGCTATTGGAATCAAACCGAGGCATCCCAAACGGGCAAGTGGACGCGCGAACTTCCTCTATACTGTAAGCTCCCTCCATGCGAGTCAAGTATTTAAACCCCCACTTGGGGCTTCTGCTAGACTCACACTCCCTCACTCTTCCGGATTATCTTACTCTGCAACTACAAATCGAATCTTCAAACATGACAGTCACAAACCTCGAAGACCCCCAAGACTGGCGCCTCATCGTCGCGCAGAAACGCAAGCAGCTCCACTCCCAAATCCCCTCCGCCTGGCGATTGAGCGACTCCTTCCGCGCCTCTCTTCCTACCAACGGCCACCTCCTGGCCTTCGACGCCATCGCCAAAAGCAACATCCTCACCCCCGAGGAACTCGACCTCACCGAGAACTACACCGCCGGTCAATTGCTTCAACGACTCGCCTGGGGTGATGTCAGCTCCTTGGCCGTCACCACCGCGTTCTGTAAGCGGGCTGCCGTTGCACAGCAATTGGTTAGTCAATCTCACTAGAGTCATGGAGCTAGTAACCAACGATGTATGGCCACTAATGTGAAGTGGCATGACAGACATCCTGTCTGACAGAGCACTTCTTTGATCGAGCGATCGAGCGAGCCCAGTACTTGGATGACTACCTGAAGCGCGAAGGGAGGGTCGTGGGTCCGCTGCATGGGCTGCCGATTAGCCTCAAGGATAGTTTCTGTGTGGAAGGCGTGGACACCAGCGTGGGATATGTGTCGTTTCTGGCGCATGGTCCCGCGAAAAAGAATGCCGCTTTGGTGCAGATGTTGCTGGATCTGGGGGCGGTCTTATATGTGAAGACGAATGTGCCGCAGACTATGATGGTGAGACCTCTCTGTCCTTCTTTTGAAGCTGCACGCTGAGAGGAGCTTGAACAACTACTAAACGAGATACCCAGACCGGCGACTCAGACAACAACATCTACGGCCGCACGCTCAACCCGCACAACACAACCCTCACAGCCGGCGGCTCGACAGGCGGCGAAGGCGCGCTCGTCGCCCTCCGAGGCTCCATCCTCGGCGTGGGCACCGACATCGCCGGCTCCATCCGTATCCCCGCCCTCTGCTGCGGCGTCTACGGCTTCAAGCCCACCACCAACCGCATTCCCTTCTCGGGCCAGACCAGCGGCGTCATGGAGGGCGTGCCCGGCATCGTTCCCTCCGCAGGCCCGCTCGCTCAATCCCTCGACGATCTGGAGCTCTTCGTGTCTACGATCCTCGACGCATCTCCCTGGCGCTATGACTGTGCCGCCACAGCAGCCCCATGGTCCCGATCCTTAGCCCTAAGCCAGCCGCGGCAGCTGCTCACAATCGGCGTACTAGGAGAATGCGCACACTTCCCACTCCATCCCCCAGTGGCACGAGCCTTGAACAAGGCAGTAGACGCCTTGAAGCAAAAAGGCCACCGCATAGTATATCTAACTCCAGACAACCGCACCAACACCACCACCACCACTTCCCCCTCGCTCTCCCTCGCAACCGACCTTGCCCACGCCAACCGCCTCGCCTTCCAATACTTCATCTACGGCCCCCACACAGACCACATCTCTCCAAGCGGCGAACCCCCGGTTCCCTCCGTCACCAAAGCGAGCTCGCCCATGTTCACAGGGCCCCTGCCGGTTTCAATGGGTGAGACCGTCCCCACCTTCACCCTGATCGATGATCTCCACAAAGAGCGGCAGAAGTACAGCGATGCCTGGCGCGAGACGTTTGTGACTTTCGACTTGGACGTGGTGCTCGCCCCGGGGGCCCAGAACACGGCCGTGGAGTGGGATACTTTTGGTTGGCCGCCGTATACGGTTGTGTGGAACTTGGTGGACGTAAGTAGTACTACCTCTTCTCCCCTTCCCAGCGCTTCTTCCATGCGAAGGAGCAGTGACTGGACATCTTAAGTGAGAGGGGGAATGCTGACGATACTGGATTCAATGGGGGATAATCAGTACCCTGCCTGTATGATTCCCTACGGCAAAGCGTCAAAGGATCTGGATCCTGAACCGATGATGGTTGACGATGGGGTGCAGCCTAGTTGTGAGTCCTCCCCTAACCCCTCTCCCCCCACCCCTTCTCTCTCCCGACTCTCTGTTTCTTATGTGGTTGTTGTGCATGTGGATAAAAAAAAAAAAAAAAAAACTAGGCAGTTGGAAAGACATGACATGATCGCTTTATGAGAACAAGCAATCCAACTAACATGATCATCTAGATCACCCCGACGCAGTCGATGGTGCTCCCTGCGCGATCCAGGTGATTGCACCCCGCTTCCACGACGAGAAATGTCTGGCAGCCGCGAGGATCATTGATCGCGATCTTCGATTGTAGTAACCCGCAGCATTCATGTTGGGGGAGGTTGGCTTGTGTGGTCGATCATAGACATCTTTTGAATTATATTATGCACTTGTGATTCGACTGCAAATGTCATCTTTTTGGGATTCGAGTTATCGTCATTAGACAAATTATGTGAGCAATTTCATCCTAAGGTATTGATCTAATTCCAGTCGACAAATGGCACATGTAGACTTACTTTACTGAGGAAAAGCATGAATGGGAGGGATAATAGCTTCCAATTTGCTTCATAACGAGATACTTCATTATTCTCATATAAATAATTCATCGAGATAGTGGGCTTGGAATCTTAGAATGTCCCGACTATAAATTACGATGATACCCGTGGCAATTGGCGAGTAAAATCGTACTCAAAAATCGTCGACGGCGTTTCCGAAGAATCACCTTCTTCTCGTCTCGTACCGAACTGCACCCTCGGTAGGGCACAGCGGCATCCAGCTCAAGATCATCCGAGGGAAGCGGAAAACCGAGCGAGGCAAGAGACTCAACCAACCTTCTACCAAACTACAACTCACCATCCTAAGAACAAAACAACCGAGGCAGTTACAAGGGTAGGCATTGCAATCAATTATGGGTATCTAGAACCCGCATACACGACATTATCCTGGTCAGACGCCAAATTCCAGCAGCAGCAAATCAGTAAGCCACCCGCGTGCGCATATCCTGATTTATCAGTTAGCTATACTCAACAGACTTCGGTGCGGGGCATATCTTACCGAGATCTTGCGCTCAATCTCCCGCACTGAGCGATCAAGCTCACCCGCAATCATCATCTTCGTGTCATTAGGCAATAAGAAATACATCTCACACAGATCACCGTCAATCACGCCCTTGACAGGTGCGTAGTAGCTGCGATAGATGAGGTGGTCCCGACCAGCGAGAGGAGGGTGCTGTGCAGCCAACTGCATCTCTAGGTTCTGGAAGAAGTCGACGTCCTCCCGACTGATGAAAGGAACCAGCATTCCAATCGTGCCCTGGAAGCCAGTCCAGACGAGAATGTCGCGTCCTCCCGCTACCAACTGCGTCTTATGCAAGCTGGTTGGGATGTCCTGAGTGTAGACATGGATCATCAACTCCAGCCGGTTCGGGGTTCCGTGCAAATAACCACGTTCATGGATCAGATGAGCACCCGAGCCATCCTCATCCGCCTCTTCAGAGGTCTTCTTGGGGCAGCGCAGCAGCCAAAGATTGCCGAATTTATCGCCACCAGCAGTGGTTTCGTAATCGACCATTGTAGTAGTGGTCGTCCAGCGAGAGAGTGAGTCGTCCACAAAAGGTATCAGAACATTCTCCTGGTACTTGTAGACAACGTATGTGACACTTTCGCGGACATCACTAACCACAATACGACTGCCCTGAGTCTGCAGACCGACGATGGTTGTGGGCACGACAGGCGCCTGGCACTTGCGAAGCAGTTGCTTCATACCAAGGTCATAGATCCGCAGCAAAGACCCGAGGCCAACAACAAGACGGCCTTGGAATCCAAGAAGTGCAAGCGGAGGATCATCAACTTTCGTCTTGTGAATAAATTCCAGCTCTTTACCGTCTTCTTGGAACCTGTAAATGTGGATGTATCCTCCGGCTGAAGACTGAGGGTTCACAGTCATATCTTTAACGGTTCCAACAACCAAGAACGTTTCATCGTCCTGACTGGTGAAGGGAACTGCGGCAACGCTGACTGCAGCCTCGTTTTCTTCAAGCTCCACGGTGTAGATCACCGTTTTAGCTTCCAAGGGATCGACGACCTGAATACAAGAGGCCCAATGGCCTGCACCTCGAGGATAACCGAACTCCTCTGGGGGCAGGACAGATTCTTCTTCACCTCGAGCTTTAGCATCCTCGATCAGCTGATTTCTCGTAGCTGGTGCCAGGACGTTGTTGTCTGACTCGATGACATAAAAGAGCGGCTGATCTGGGTGCTTCACGAAGCGTCGTGGGGTATAAGCAAGTGGGATTGATTGCTGAAGCATATTATTATCGAGCTTCTCGATAGAGAAAATCCTATATCAGAATTAGCTTCATTCATGTAGTGATATTCTGATAAGCAAGTGGTGGCAATAGTGATCTCAGTAGGAACAATTGGAAAATAATATAAAGTTGATCCACATAGATATTCGGATCCCTTGGTATCATCATGCGATCGGTGGAGAGTGGGGAAGAGAGAAAGTGCAGAAACATACCGTAGATTCTGTCCTTGAATACCAACCATGCCTTCCACGCACTGTTCGCTCGAGAAGTTCCAGCCCCATTCAAGCCCAACATAATCCAGCGGTGTAAGCATGAAGCCCTTCGTTTGAACATCGGAGTAGCCCAGCCAAGGACGGGAGCTGAGTGCAAGGACCGCGGTCTGCCCTTTGACAGATACCTGGAATAGCTTGACGGCCTTGGAACCTAGGAAACGTGTGCGAGTATCTGACAGCTCACCAGTAACCTCGTCCAGCAGTGTTCGAAGGTAAACACCCGAGTGCAGGCCGATGTGCAGATACAGAGTGGTGCCTCCAGAGCTAGAGTCCGCCATCGACATTATGTTCAGTGCCGAGGGAGCCGCGGTCAGAGCCTGAACAGATTTGCTCTCAAGCGTAGAGTCGGGATCCAAGCTCAAAATACGCACTGTCGAGTCATCACACCCGACAGCAAGGAACGAGCTACGAACGCGACCCTCTGGAACCTCCCCAAGACTCAAGCAGGTAACAGTACCAGACATTTGACGACGTTCATCATACTCAGCAAGGGAGCCATCCGCATCCATTTCAAAGTAGACAATTTCTCCAGAGCTCAGCGCAACTGCAACTTGACGTTCGTTGGTAGTAGCTGCTACAATCGACCGATGCTGGGGAGCAGGCCACTCATTTACTCGTCGATCAGCCAGGATGTGCCGGATACCACGAGGATGAATCTGGATTAGAGAATCCTCTCCCAGTTGCTGAACAGCGAGCGTGGGGGCAGTGGAAAGGAAACCAGTGTCTGTCACTTCCTCGACCGTCTCGCCTATACTGAGTACAAGCGTGCCATTGGCGAACGAGAGAATGATGTAAGCGTCGAACTCATCGGCGCGGGTCAGCTTTGTGGTCCACACGGCAGACGGGACGCTCGGAAGCTCGGACTCGACGATCTCAGACACCTCCAGCCCGTGTTTCAGCGTTCTGAAGGTGCTACGAGCGCCTGTGCCAGAAATAGTGTAGATCTGGGGGGCATCGTCTTCCGTCAAGTTGGCAACTTTGCTGTCAATCAACGGATTCAGGGAGTTGATAGTATCCACAAGGTTGAGGTTCTCAGCAGCTCTGGGCTGGAAAAAGACAGGATCGCAGGCCACCGTAGGATCCGCATCGACATTCTCACTCGAGAATTCAATCTCCTGGTCGTCATCGCCCAGTTTCTCGAATTGGTAAAAATGATGATTACCAGATTCGCTTGCCACATACAAGAAACCACTCTTGAGAATCAACAAATTAGACGCGACAGGAACAGTGTCAAAATACTTGATCTTGAGCCGTCTCACTTCACCCGTGAGTTGACCATTGTCGTCCTCGACCATATCAATGGTGAGCTTGAAGAGATCACCATCGTCGGATTGCAGAAGGAAGAAGAACGCTCCTCTCATCTTATGCATGACGCCGGCGGTGATATGACGCTTGCGCTCAGGATTTTCAGTCGCACCCTTGCGCCGCGGAATAGGAACCCGGAAGGCATCTTGGTTCGAATGGCGGTAGGTAACGCTATCTTCCCCACAGACCAAGACACCGCTGGGGCCATCAGCACCACCAGGGACTTGGAAGAGCAGAGATGCCGTGCGATCGACAGGATCGGACCACTTGCGAACGACGTGATTGAGGCCCAGATCCAGCTCATAGTAGACCAAGTGCTTCTCAATTTCTTCGAAGGCACGTCCAGTCGGATCCTGATCCGACTCGGAATAATCCACTTCCAATGCCGCAAAGATGGGGTTTTCATACCCTACATCCAAAGCAGACATGGCAAATACCAGAGTCTGTGGCTTGTGTGCCTCCAGCGGGGAAGAGATCGTCAGCTCGGCCTGCGAGTTCCGATTCAGAACATAAACGAGCTTGTTCTTCTCTACCGACGCCATCATGCAGGCGCGACCCTTGGGGTCAACAGCCAAATACTGTCCCGGAACCACTCGACGCACACCCGACTTGCCAAAAGTCTCGAGGTGGATCCGATGGAACCTATTCTGAGCAGCGACATACTCAATGATGGTGATGCGTCCAGAATCCGAGCCAATGATAATATAATCTATAGGCAGGTCTCAGCACCGTTTTCACGACTAGCACCCAGCATCAAATTGGCCGACCGGGGCACGTCCCATCACCGCGCGGGACGGTTCGGCAGGAATGGATCATGCTGCCCGGAAAGCTTGGAAAATCACTATGATGATCTTGGACCAGGCAGGGACAGGAAGAGTTAAACATACCTTTGTTGCTGCCAGCTAGCCTGAAAGCTGCCAGAGAGCGAATGATGCCAAAGACATCCTGGGAAAAGAGCGGAGTGACCTTGCCCTGTGTTGGGTCGGGACGGTGAATCGTCAACTTCGAGCCCGAGGCCGTGACGATCTGCTGTTCCTTTGTGCCAGCAAATTGACCCAGGATAGCTTGAGTAACAGCAGTAGGAGGCTGGATCGTCAAGGAGTACATGAACATGTGCGAAGTTGTAGCCATGGTGGGCAGTCTGAGCTCTCACAGAGCTTGCACTAGTAGGAGTGTAGGAGGGAGAGGAAAGAATTGTTGTTTACGTCACAATTGCAGCCAGGGAAGAAACACTACAATAAAAACAGTCCCATCGCTGCCAGGACGGTGATTGGAAAGGGAGGACTCTCGAACACGAGTGTCCTCGCAGGAAGAGGGGGAGGTTGAGGGGGTTGAGGAGAAAGGATCTGTACGAGACAGAACACTTCCAGGATTCTTAAAAGTGTGAAAATTCCGATGCGAGAAAGGAAAGGAGCTGGTACTGTTTGCTTGGTTTGTGATGTCACGTGGATTACATACCGTAACATATTATATGGAAGTATTCCGTCCTAAGTCGGTTTGAATACAGTCATGTACTGTATGGTAGCACACCGGGTGTCTCCCGCCCACCGGAAAGGCAGACGATGGGTTTCTGCCTGCTTCCACCGCGGGCGGCGGTGGTTACGCTATCGATCATGCATCTTATCACAACCTACCCCCAACCCAATAGCCCATCCATTACTATTACCATTACACATTGCAAGCAAGACTCGGCTTTCCCTTCTTACCACGTCACTCTGCACCAAACAGTCACTTGCAGCTTTTCACCTGTCTGCCTTCCCCAACTGTTTTTGACATAATCTATTTTTGAACTTTTGACTTGTTCCTGCTCTCTCGAGCCCCTCTTGCGACTTTACTCCCGGCAACCGGCAGATACCACACACTATCACAAATCATGGCTGATGAAACCGCCGCCTCGGCCGAGGATTCGCCTATCACCTTCACAATTAAATCGTCTAATGATGCCAAGTACACACTCACCCTTCCTCTGTCGACGACAGTGTCAGATTTGAAGGAGAAGCTCGCATCCTCGGAATATGCCGATACCCCCGCAGAACGTCAGCGCCTGATCTACTCTGGGCGAGTTTTGAAGGATAACGAAACTCTGGCTACCTACAAGATCAAGGAGGGACATACCATTCACCTGGTTAAGAGCGCTGCTAGTAATCAACGTTCTGGTGCTGCCACCCAAAGTGCTTCAACATCTGCGCCCACCGGTGCTGCCGCCAATACCCCCGCCACCGGTGTTCCCACGAATCTCGCAGCTGGCACGGGTAACAACCCCCTGGCCGGGTTGACGGGAGCAAGATACGCTGGTTTTGCGCAACTTCCTGGTGCTGGGATGTTCGGCCCAGATGGCGGGGTATGTAAAGGACAGCTTATGGCTTGCTTCGCAATGATCGCTAACTAGTCTTATTCCAGATGGGCCCCCCTCCGGATACTGAAATGATGCTAAGCATGCTTGAAAACCCTCAATTCCAGTCTACCCTCAATGAAGCACTGCAAAATCCCGCAATGATCGATATGATGATTCAGCAGAACCCAATGCTGCGCGACATGGGCCCCGCGGCGCGACAGATATTCCAATCTCCCGAGTTCCGTCGTATGCTCACAGACCCTAACTCAATCCGCCAGATGGCTTCCATGCAGAGAGCTATGGGTGGTGGTGGACTGGGCGGTAGCGCTTTCCCCGCCCCTGGAGTTACGAACACAACCCCCGAAGAAAACCGTAACACTCAAAATAACAACGGTAGCACACCCACCCCCAACGCCGCGTTCAATCCGTTCATGCCTACGGGCCTCGGTGCTGGTAATCCCTTCGCTGCTTTGTTTGGCGGAAACCCTGCTTTTGGGGGAATTCCGCCCAGCGCAGCCGGAAATACCCAGTCGGGCTCTACCGGCTCTACAGATGGAGCGCCTGAGGCCACCACTGGTAACAACACCAACAACAACACTACTACTCCGGGTGCGAATCAGCAACAAACACCTCAGAATCCTTTCAGTCTCCTTTTGAACCCTGCTTTGTTCGGAGGTCAGGGTGGGCAAGGTGGTCTGAATCCCCTCGACCCGCAACAGAACCCTTTCCTCCGGGACCCCGCCATGCTCCAGCAGATCATGCAAAACATTGGCGGTGCACCAGGTAATGCCGGTGCAACTGGCAGCAACCCCTTCGCAGCACTTTTCGGAGAAGGTTTTGGAGCTCCTGCCCCTCAGGACAACCGGTCTATCGAAGAACGCTACGCTGATCAGCTCCGACAACTCAACGATATGGGCTTCTATGACTTTGATCGGAACATTGCAGCTCTGCGTCGGTCAGGCGGCAGTGTACAAGGAGCGGTGGAATACCTGTTGAGCGGTTAATGAGCTTTCTACCTTCATCTTGATGCGTGAACGGTCATACATCATTCATGTTTTTTGTTAATTTCTCCTCCGTTTATTCTTGATTTGTGCGTTGCCTGCACTGTCTGAAACGTGGTTTGACAGTTTGATATTGGCGGATTGGCGGTTCTTACGATTTTTATTACCCTTTCTGCATGCTCTTTCGAGGCGAAGTGAGGTTGAAATTGGCTTTGACGGCCTTTGTGTATTAGCTATCTTACAGTCTTACCTTGAAGAGCTTTGATACTCTCAGCCGAGACATTGAAGAAGATAATTTTTCTCTACTCGGCGCACAGTACAATCATCGTAAATCGTGCAATACTGCCAGGCCAGGCGGCTTGTGTCTTTGTGGTGGTAGGATAGATCTGCTTGGATCTGACAGGACAGTAGAACTGGCAATTTCTCTGCATTGGCAATCAAGCAGAGTGCTCTGACTGGAAGAATGTCTTACACTGGATGGGTCTGCATTACCGTGCTAGTAATGTTAGTAACCACGTTGATGAAGTTCGCTGCCTGCTATGCCTCAGTACTTTAGCAACGTGGAGCGACAATGCTGAGGTCAGGAATGAATTCCTCAGACTTTGGGACTGCTTGGCCATTCTCTGCGTTTGAGCGGTTGAGAGGAAGTTGAGTCACAGTCGACCGATCGTTGGGAGACTTGAGCCGGGCAGGAGTCTGAAAGACGAATCAAACTACTAGCGTTCTGCTTCCTCAATATCAAGAGCATCGCATACGAGCTACCACCGATCATTGGGGGCATGAATTTGGGCTGCGGCTGCCATGCTCTTGTCCGGAGTGGACCGCACCAGATTCGACCACATGGTTGTTTCTACGGCAAGGCAATCAGCATGACTGTAGTACTTTCCGGGTGGCTCTGAGAGGGGGTTCTCGTCATCGCATAATACGTCCCTCCAAGGATGCATCCCCAGCGCTGTTTCGAACTACATTCTATTTCATGGCTTAGTCCAAATGGTCATGTGGGTACGAATGCTGCTGCCAGCCTAGGCATGGCTCCATCACTAGACTACCAGTTTCTTTTCCGGTATTGTATTCCTCTGATGGTTGAAGCCTTTCTCACAGCTGACAACCGCTCAGAATTGCACTACGTCGATGGACGACCTTCTGGCAGCAAACCCCCGAGTCAATTTTACAGCTTCTAGATCCCAACGGACCCTTACCGTTCACCTCCAGCGCACTACTCGGCCTAGTGTACATTCGTAACTGCTCGCAGTATGACAGCTACCATTTTACAGGGTCTTTGTCCTAGGATCCAGCTGCTGTATCTGGTCACCTTCGCTTGTCCTCGCCTGCCAAGCAGTAGTGGGATGAGCTTCTGGCAGCTCATCACGCGACACATTTCTTGGAAATGATCGTCAAGTTGGGCGTCCAATACGTTAAGCACAATCAGGCCCTGGTTTGGAGCATCGAGATGGCCCTGTGCGGGCTTGAGTGTGCTGTCTTTCTTGCCCGATGGCTAAGAGTGCTCCAATCATCCAGTTGCGGCGAATCCCTGTCTGGTAAGTGCTAGAATTTTCCAATGCACGAAGGATCAATTCGTTTTTCAGTTTCACATATGCCCCAAGACCCGGCTGACTAGCGACTCTAGTACCTGAATATCTTTTGATTGACTGGGTCCGGAACGTCGTGCACGAAGGCCTGGCGTCTATTCAGGGCACTAGGGTGAATGTCCTCCGCAATTCATTCGAGCTTCTGGCAGATCAGGTTGTGGAGGTCTGGTCTCACGTAATGCATGGGAACTCACCTTGGTCTTTTATTGGTGTGATCGGACATGTACTCGATCAGTATAGACAAAGCAGGTTAGAGTAGATCTATGCTTCAGAATGTACTTCACTTGCTCTAGACAGACCGCTTTCAAGCGATATTTAGCTTCCGGAAAACTTAGATTGGGATATCATCCGATTGCATGTAAGGTACCAGCCGTAAGCCGAGCGAGGTGTTCCCACTTGTTTCTATGATTCAAGGAAGCTTCTGAGATACTCAAAAATCACACCTATAGAGTATGTATCAAGCCATGGTCCTGCATCTTGAAGACCCACTTTTGGGGATAAGGTTTGGAGATTTGGAGAGGCGGGGCGCAGCTACCCATGATTTGTATACCATTTACCAAGTGTGTACCAACCACTGTACGGCAATTATTCCATGTGTATAGGTACTTTCCATCTCTCTCTCTCTCTCTCCAACACTCTTGCAGCAGGGAATGATTACTCATCATCCAGGATCAATTATGGAAGCATCCAGCAGAGAATAAGATATAGTAAGTCATCATGATGCCTGCTTCCAATCCTCTAGTACTATTCCACTCAAACACTCTCAAATATTTCACATCTCCCCCCATCCCAACCCACAACCTCAAGAAACCGAGCATGTCGCAAGCTGTCTTACGCCTCGACGGCGAACGCATCTCCGTCCGCAACCTCAAAGCCTTCCAGAGGCCAATCCAAGAGCTCTCCAAGCATGAAGTCCTGATCCGCGTGCACAGCGTCTCGCTCAACTTCCGCAACATCGCCGTTGCCACCTCTCAGTACTCCTTCCCCGTCACGGACCGCGTCATTCGCTGTTCCGACGCCGCAGGTCTTGACAAAGTAGGCGAAGGGGTTAAGAAGTTCGCTCCGGAGGATCATGTCGTCGCCACTTTTGATTTGACCAATCTACATGGACTGCAGGAGAACTAGGAGAACAGGCAGGGGGCTTCGATTGACGGCGTCCTCCGCGAGTACATCAGCATCCCAGCTGCCTCGGTAGTCAAGGTGCCCAAGGCCTCGCCCCAGAGCTTCTCGGAGTGATCGATCCTGGTTTGCACGGGGGTGACGGTATGGAATGCGCTATATGGCAATGTGCCTCTCCGGCCGGGCCAGACTGCTTTGTGCCTGGGTATGTAGTTGCCAGCTACTGCTTCGGTATCACCGAAGAGATTGTCACTAAGAGGAATAAGGGCTGACGTTCGAGCTACATAAGTACGGAAGGAGTCCCCATCACTGGTGTGATTCTCGCTAAAGCTGCCGGCGCCACCACGATTAATACCTCGTCCAGCGATGAGAAGCTTGAGATGGTCAAGTCCAAGTTCGGGGCGGACTATGTTTTCAACTACAAGAAATATCCCGAGTGGTCGCAGGAAGTGCTGCGACTCACGAACGGGAAAGGAGTGGACTACGTCCTGGAGAATGGTGGCTCGGGTACAATCACCAAGAGTTTAAACTCGGTCAAGATGGACGGCAATGTCTCCGTTATCGGCTTCCTGTCGCAGGCGAAGCAGTCTGAAATGCCTGATGTCGCCAGCTTGGCGCTGGCCAAGGGTGCAGTTGTGCACGGCATCACGGTGGGCTTGACCCAGCTGCTGGAGGAAGTCGCTCGGTTTGTCGCGAAGAAGGGACTACCTCTGCCGGTGGAATTGGAGTTCCAGTTCACGCAGGAAGAGGTTGTTGGGACGTATGAGTATATGGCATCTGGATCCCACATTGGCAAGGTGTGCATCAAGCTTGTTGACAAGGCATAGAGTGTGATGTGTGGGTGGTCTTGGTTTCTAATTAATTCTTGATTGAGTGGCTATGATCATAATTTAGAACCCAATGTTCAGATATCGTTGTTTGAACTAAACAGGATGTGGGATGTGTATATAAGGAGCTGCCTTGCGGAGACGACAGCGTCATGGTTGAATGTTTCTCCGGAAATGGCGACTAAACCCGAAGCTGCCAGTGAAACACAAGCTTCACGCTGGAACCTGATGGATCGACCTTAATTTAAGTTCCTTTTTCCCTTTCCTGCACTGCACCAATTTACTAGCCAAACACTGTGGATTCTTCATACTGCACAGTACTTCCTTCGCTGCCTGGCATTCAATGCCGATTCCATTCGTTCCCTCCCTGGCTGCACTGAGTTGTCCATCTCCAGGGATCGAGTCTCCCGTCGCAATCTGAACCGCTGGATCTCCGTTTGTCGACCGTCGGACTGATCTTCCCCTCTACTCTCTCTCTCTCTCTCTCTCTCTTTGCCTTTGCCTATCTGCGGGCTGTCTTTCCCTTTCTCCATCTGATTATGTTCATTTTCTCCAACTATCTTGCCCTATACATTGCTCTTTAATTGATTTATCGCTCGAATTGACTTTGAACCGATAAGAATCGGGCGGTCAGTTGCCAGACAGTTGATCTACAGCCCCCCCGATCTCGTATCCGCCACGTACGACTAATCATCGCAATCTGCTGGTGCATGCTTGCGCCGTCGTGCCTCAATCTCTGGTAGAGTGGCTGTTACCGTTTTCTTCACAACGCAATGATGGAGCTTCGCCAATTCTGCCGCCCTGGTCAATGGGCCTTGTGGTTTTTGTTCGCCTCCTCTACCTTCGCATTTTACATCCCTGGTAGGTCTATTGTTGTGTTGCGACAAACACCTTCCCTGCGACTCACCCATCGCTCTTCGCACTAGGATATTCTGTCAAACGCTACAACGACGACGAACATATTCCTCTTCTCGTGAACAAAATATTCTCCGACAACACCCAGCTTCAGTATGCATACTTCGACCTGCCTTTTGTCTGCCCTCCCAGCGGCCGAACCCACGGCGGATCCCCGTTTGGCTCCGGACAGAGCGTGTCTCTAAACCTTGGGGAAATTCTTCGCGGAGACCGCATTATGACATCCGATTTCGAGTTGCAGATGGGCCAGAACGTCGACTGCCGGGTGCTCTGTGAACGGGAAGTCGGGCGCAAAGATGTCAAATGGGGTCGTCAACTCATCAGGGAAGGGTACGTGGCTGAGTGGATCGCGGACAACTTGCCTGGAGCAACAAGCTTTGTGACAGTCGATGGAAGTCGCAAGTACTATGCTACCGGCTTCAAGCTCGGCTTTCAGGAATTTTCAAACATTGACGGCAAGCTACGATACTATATCAACAACCACTTCACTATTGTCATCCGCTGGCGGTCGGCACCCGAAGGAGGCAAGGTCATTGTCGGCTTCGAAATCCATCCGAAGAGTATCCGCGCGGAGGACCATATCCAGAACGGTTGCCCGAAGCAGGTACACGAGGCGCATGATGGGCTTGAGCTATACATTCCGCCGAACACTTCGAAGCTACGTGAGATGTACCCTGGATCGTCCTATATTCCCGAAGACGACGACGAGATCGATGATGGCGCTACCCTCAAGATTCCGTACACTTACTCGGTCTATTTTAAGGAGGAGAATGGGGTTGACTGGTGGAACCGCTGGGACCTATACTTTACCAACCAAGAGGAGGGCTCGGCAACCCACTGGCTTGCTATCCTCAACTCCTTGACTATCTCCGGCGTTCTCGGAGTCGCCGTCTATGTCATCTGGAGTCGGACTGTGCAGGGTGACATTAAGGGCCGCGGCGATGGAGCTTTGGAGGACGGGAAGCTTAAGGCCCGCGCAACCAAGTCAAGATCCTCAGAGAGGAAAGGTGACGGACTCCTGGAGCAGGGCACAGATGTCGAGCGGGATGCGGATGTCTCTGACGATGAAGGCCCAGAAGACATCAGTGGATGGAAGCTGCTCCATGGCGACGTGTTCCGGACTCCTCAGTTCAGTGGGCTTCTGGCGCCGCTCATCGGCTCCGGCATGCAGCTGCTGTTCATGGTTTCCGGGCTTTTGTTCCTCAGTTGCCTCGGTGTGCTGAACCCTAGTTTCCGTGGCGGGTTTGTCAGTGTCGGTATGGGCTTGTTTGTCTTTGCCGGTCTGTTTTCGGGATACTTCTCGGGCAGACTATACAAGACGTTTGGAGGTGTTCATTGGCGAAAGAACACGCTGATTGTAAGTTTCCTGCATTGATTCGATGCCCTGTTACTAACCTGTTCAGACCGCCTTGTTCTTCCCTGGTCTTGCCTTCTGCCTCATCTTCATCCTCAATCTTTTCGTCTGGGCGCAGGCCTCGAGTACCGCGATTCCTTTCGGCACGTTGGTAGGTCTTGTCGCGCTTTGGCTTTTGATCCAGGTGCCGTTGGTCTATATCGGAAGCTGGTATGGTTATGTCCGCACCACGCCTTGGGAGCATCCCACCAAGACCACCTCCATTGCTCGTCAGGTTCCGCCTCAGCCTTGGTACTTGCACAGCATCAGCGGTACTCTTCTTACTGGACTGGGTCCGTTTGCCGTTTTGTTCATTGAGCTTCTGTTCGTGTTCCGGAGCCTGTGGCAAGACAAGAGCGGCTACTACTATGTATTTGGATTCCTCAGCGCCGTGTCGACGATCCTGCTGGTCACGATCAGCGAGGTGACGATCATTGCCACCTACAGCCAGCTTTGCGCCGAAGTAAGTTGCCCCTTCACGGCGTTTCTGCTGATCAGCAGCGTGCATGCAAGTCGCTCTGATGAGAAGAATCATGCTAACAGATTAGAACTACCACTGGTGGTGGCAGAGCTTTTTGACGGGTGGAAGCAGTGCCTTTTGGGTGTTCGGCTACTGCATCTGGTACTATTACTTCCACCTTCACATCACCGGCTTCGTGTCTAGTCTTCTCTTCTTCAGCTACAGCTTCCTCGCGTGTACCGTGTACGGTCTGTTGACCGGAACCGTTGGGTTCCTGACGGCGTATGCGTTCATCCGACGCATGTACAGGTAAGCCATTCTGGTCTGGCCGTCGAACCTAGACTGACGATAGGCAGTGCTGTCAAAGTTGATTGATCACTACTTCGAGACGGGACGACTGGGTGTCGAATCGCAGTATTAGGCTGGGTGAATGTCGTGCCCGTGCACTTAGACGTAAGAAGTGCGTGTAGTCTTGAATCTGTTGACGGTGTACAACCATGGTCTGTGGCCATATAGCGTGTCGACTTAGATATATATACTCTGCCTTTAGCGAATGATCTCGTTTTTGTGATTGGAGTGCTCCCCCAATTCTCTTAGGCCACTATACTGAATCCGTCACCAGGATTAGTTGCTGGTACTAGGCATCATCACATGGCGCGTCATGCCAACGAACCACCTGCAGGTGAACCGGCGAACCGCATCAGCCTGGAGTCGTCCAACCCGGGCTTGAGCGTCGCCCACTCCGTACAGATCGATGTACTAGGCAGAAAGTTGACTCACGCAAGCCCAGCGTTCAGACCTCCGTGCAGTAGCGGGCGCGCTGCTTGCTTACCCTAATTGGGAAGCCGACAATGCTTAGTGCCATGCTTTAATTTAGTAGCCTGTTGCTTACATTTCTAATCAAGATCCGAATATTATGGCAGTAATCAACCTTCCTCGAATGTTTTTGTTGAATGTCGAATTGATTGCTAAGCGCATGTGAGTCACTCAGACCACGTAAGTTGCGTTGCCTGTCAGGTAGACAGACAGAAGAGAAGAGATGGAAGTTCTTAAAACCCACCAAGCCTGTCCAATCTTTCGAAGTTGAAGTTATTAAGCGCAGTCACCCAGCAGAAAGACGCAGGGATTTACTTCTACTCATCCTCTCCATCCCCCGACACCAAGAGCAACAACTTCACTCAAAAGCCCCTCAAACCCTTCTTTCATCTACCGTGCATTTTATACAGTTCTACTACTATACCACGAAACCCAAACAAACCTACAACCATACACCTATACAGCACCATCAAACCCCAACTATATCAAATACCGGGAACAACCCAACCGAACCTCCCCTTACTAAAAAACGAAAAGCGGGGGAAAAAAACATGACATCCTTCATAACCCTCCAACGACCCCCCGCCTCTCCCTCCTCCTCCAGCACAGAGCCTCGAAATCCGCGGCCGAAAACCGATATCGAGCTCGCGGTCGATGCGTGGCGGTTTGTCAATCGGCAGGTGCGCAGGGTGCGGGAGCGGGGGAGACGGCGGGAGGATGTGGTCAATACTACTACTACTACTAGTATTAGTGGTGCTGGTCGTGAAAGAGCAGAGAGTGAGCAGGAGGAGGGCTCTGGGGAGACGCGGTCGGTTTTGAGTGGGGTTGAGACGTTGGTAGGAGAGGAGGAGGAGGAGAAGAAAGGGCTAGAGAAAGGGGTTTAAGGTGCTTCGTGTGGGGACGGGGAATGATTCTCTGTAGCCTTGGGCTCTTTCTGGGCCTTTTTTAGTGGGCTGGGTTGATTGTTTGGTAGGTGCCTGTTGTATGCGGGATGTGATGGTTAATAAGAACGATGATAATGATATAGTGGGTAATAGGGATTGGAGTTGTGGACTTTGCTTGGTTTTGAAGCGCAGTTGATGGAGAGAGTTTTGAAAGTATGGGACTAGAATAATTAGTATACATATTGAATAGTTGTTTGCTGATTAGATTAGGTCAAGGTTATGTGTGTAAGAGGTCATATATGAGGCATAGGTGCTTTCGGGCTACGGTAGGGTACGAAGTACTCAAGAATGACTTTTCAATAGTTGACCTACCAGCTACCACCTTACAAAAAGCACAAACACAATCTAATCTGTGACAGCACAGGTGAGAATAACTACCTACCTTACCTAGTAAGATCAATAGGCTGATGACTAACCCGTGATGGCGTGCTTGCGGGATGAGATCCGATGACGTTGGGATCCTCCTGCGTCCGTGGCGGCGTGGCCATAAGCATTCGAAACCACTAAGTTAATGAACCCCCTGACGATAGATCCAGTCTCGTATCAACCACTAAGACCGTCAGGCAAAAGTCCAAACCCGACAGCTGTCAAGCTGAATCACGAAACCCGCCAAAATACCTATCCTCTGACTCACAAAGCTAGCAAGCTGCAACTGCAGCCGGCTTCTAAACCCATTCCAGAACCAGACAACAACATCCAGGGGGATCTCCAGGGGATCGTCCGGGGTAGGGTTGAACGGCTTACGACTGACCCGCGGCAGGAGCTGGAGCTGATAGGTGACGGATGATGCCATTGAGCCGCAGGGTTGGCAATGCGCTTAACCGCGAGGCTGCATAACGGATTCTTGCGTATGATTCGTGGGTCTCCGTTCTATTCTTATGTGGATGTCAGATAAATAGGGAGACGAATACAGTTGGAAGAGCTATGGCATACGTACGTCAGTCGATCCCCGTATCTTGGTGCAGATGCAGGAATGGGCCCATGGATAGGAGGGAGGTTACTTGGGGACTCGAGGATTATACTTTCACCCTCTGTTCGGATCTAGGCTGACAACTCAGAAGAAGATTGGAGATTGAGAGTGACGCGTGATGTTGCGATTAGAAATGCACATTTGCTGTGTCACCAAGATTGCTGTACTGATGTGATTGCTGCCTTGTATGCTTGTCCTACTACGGAGCAGTTGGGGGTTCTCATCTTAGAGAAGGTATACGCGTGTCTACTAAACTATGGTAGTAGTAACTTTTCAAGGCAATGGCCGCGACTGCCGACTTCCCCGGCTGACTCAGTCGGCTCGTGATCAAGCGGATCCGGGGATCAATCCACAGACCAATCATTCCCCACAGAAAACCCCCCCGCCAAGCAACCAAGATCGGAGCCGGTGGGAGTCCGGCCAATCCTAAATTGTAGCAAATCCCACTAGAAGATGGGCGGTCAAGAACAATGAAATTCCCTTATCAATGCTCAGTTGCTAAGTTCGTTGCTCCTGTTGAATAATGGAACAACGATCGCCTCAAATCCAGTCTGGCACGTGAGCATCGCCACGCCACCAGCGGAGATCGGGGCCTTGCGTGGCAAATCAGAACTCATTCAATTCGCAAATTACCCCGTCGATCCTGGTTGAGACATGATACTCCGTACATGATACATGATACATGATATATGATACATGATACTTGATAGCGAGCAGACCGCATGCAGGAGGAGATCCGCCTCATCTGCGAGATATTCCTTTCGACTCCTCTCAATTCCTCCCTCTCAGAAGACGTAGTTTTCACCATGATCAGCACCAAATGTCCGGGTGTGTCCCCCCTTGGTGACTATCCATGGATCCTCCCGCAATCACACCATCGTCCCCGCCGATGGTTCCATTGTTGAGGTGACATGGGGAGTAGGAAAGAGAGAGCGAGAGAGAGGGAGAGAAAGAGGAAAAGAGCCAGAGTGTCGGATAATTTTTCTTGTTTTTTTTTTTTTTTTTTTTTTCTTTTTCACTTTTCTTTTTCTCTTGCTTTTTTCCTCGTGCCGATTTCCTTTCCCTTCCACCTCTCCCCCTTCACATCCTGAAAAGGCATCTCGACTCGTCTTGGTCTTGCTGCAGTGGCCAGTCTCCACTTGAAGCCCGTCGCTGTCCGGTCATTATTACTTATAATCCGTTCTTTTCCCCCGTTTAGACTTCCTTCCTTCCCACACTCTCTTTCTTGCCCTGTCACTTTGCTTCAGTTCGCTTCGTTCAGTTCCCCATACACAGCCTGCCCTTGAGCAGCTGTACTTCCTACTCTAGCAGCGACCAGTTGACAGACCTCTCGAGTCCTCGCGTCCGCGGAGAGTCTCTCAGCGCCATGGCTGCCAAACGGCCCAACATCCTCTATATCATGGCGGACCAGATGGCCGCCCCGCTTCTGGCCTTCCATGATAAGGATTCCCCAATTAAAACCCCCCACCTGAACAAGCTGGCGGAGGAAGGGGTGGTGTTTGAATCCGCCTACTGCAATGCGCCACTATGCGCGCCCTCCCGGTTCGTCATGGTGACCGGCCAACTGCCCTCCAAGATCGGCGCGTACGACAACGCCTCCGACCTCCCTGCCGATATCCCAACCTACGCGCACTACCTTCGAAACGAGGGTTATCACACTGCATTAGCGGGCAAGATGCACTTTTGCGGCCCCGATCAGCTGCACGGATACGAACAGCGCTTGACTAGCGACATCTATCCTGGTGATTATGGCTGGTCGGTCAATTGGGACGAACCGGTAAGTCTCTGGAATCGAGGTCCGGGAGCGAGGAAGTATTGACCTAAATAGGATATCCGTCCCGATTGGTACCACAACATGTCATCGGTCATGGAGGCGGGTCCGGTGGTTCGCACGAACCAGCTCGACTTTGATGAGGAGGTCATGTACAAGTCGACTCAGTATCTCTACGATCATGTGCGGCAGCGCGGCGATCAGCCCTTCTGTTTAACCGTATCGATGACCCATCCGCACGATCCCTACGCCATGACTAAGGAATATTGGGATTTGTACGAGGATGTAGAGATTCCCCTGCCCAAACACGGCGCGATTCCCCAGGATCAGCAGGACCCCCACTCGCAGCGGGTGCTCAAGTGCATCGACCTGTGGGGCAAGGAAATGCCGGAGGAGCGCATCAAGGCTGCTCGGCGCGCATACTATGCCGCCTGCACCTATGTCGATACCAACGTGGGCAAACTCTTGAAGGTGCTCGACAACTGCGGGCTGCGCGATGACACTATTGTGGTGTTCACTGGGGATCACGGCGACATGCTGGGGGAACGTGGCTTGTGGTACAAGATGACGTGGTACGAGGGGTCGGCACGGGTACCAATGATCGTCCATGCGCCCAAGCGCTTCGCGGCTAAGCGTGTGTCAGAGAATGTGTCGACAATGGATCTGCTCCCGACGTTTGCGGATTTGGTGGGCGCGTCCTTGGTCCCCGGGCTGCCGTTGGATGGTGTTTCGCTGCTGCCGTATCTGACAGGCGAAGACGGAGTCAAGACCGATACCGTGCTGGGCGAGTATATGGCAGAGGGCACCCAGTCCCCGACGGTGATGATCCGACGTGGGCGGTGGAAGTTTGTCTATTCGCTGATCGACCCCCCGATGCTATTCGACGTGGTCGCCGACCCGCAGGAGCGCGTCAATCTGGTCGCGGGCCTGTCTGACCCGTCCAAGCTGGTTGCTGCCCACGGCAAGACGAGCCTGGTCGGCCATCCAGCTCCCTTGCCCACTCCGGGCGACTTCCCGCGCGTCTCGCGGGGTGCTGACGGCACCTCATCCTTCCCCTTCCCGACGCCCCCCCGCACTCCGAGTCCATCCAAGCACTCTTCCGTGTTGCCGCAAACCAACGATCCTGCCACACTGCTGGCTCACTTTATCGAAGAAGTGCACACGCGCTGGGATCTAGAGCAGATTCGCGAGGACGTTCTGCGGTCTCAGCGTCGTCGGCGCCTCGTCTACTCCGCCTTAATCAAGGGCGTGCCGTCCATTTGGGACTACGAGCCGCGCATCGACCCCAGCACGCAGTACGTACGCAACCAGGGCAAGGGAGCATTGGACGATGTGGAGCTGATTTCGCGCTGGCCGCGAGTCCTCCAGCAGGCGGCGAATGCCGTGGGGAAGTAGCATGTTTCGTCATGGGGTTATCTTATCTCAAAAGTGCCTGCAAGTTGATGATTTTATGCGTTAAGCGAGGCGCTATACCCGACATTACACGATTATTTGACATAATATTTGAGGGTTCGAGCATACTGTTTAGCTAGCTTTGTTGTTGTTGTTGTTCTTCTTGTTGATTGCTGATACGGTTGGACTGGTGTACATTGGCCATGAGTGTGTACAGATTACTTGGAATTTCGACTGTCAATAAGAATGAGTGATACAGTGCCATCTTCAGAGTCTTGTTCATGTAGAACTTGCAAAGATCACTCTGGTGGATGTAGTCAACCATTCACCACGATGAACTAGCACCGATAGGACCTGGCTTATTGTAAACAGAGCTTATGTAGATCCATCCACCCATTTTGTCTGCCATTGACGTTCGCTTCTCAGAAGATGAATGGAAAGTAATGTGGTCGTAGTGCAAAACGACAAAAACGACAACAGTCGGATTTGAACCGACGCCTCCGAAGAGAATAGATTTCTAGTCTATCGCCTTAGACCGCTCGGCCATATTGTCTTACTTCATGAAACGTGACATATAATGTAATACATTCAAAAGCACAGCAAGAGGCTTAAAGAGAATGCATGCGAATCACATTTTAGTCTAATTCCAACATCAACACCAACAGATAGATAGATATATACTCAACTCAAGCCATCCCTCATAACGTATAGAGACTCCGTATATGTAATATGCAAAAGACCCAACGCAACGCTATACAACCAACCCAACCAAGCAACACCAAAACAGCACGCTCCGATAAGTACCACCCTCCACCGTCGTTCACATATATACACACTCCCTTGGCCCCCTCTATCTACTCTACCTCACAAACTTGAAATCTCCCCAAACCACCCTCCGAATCCGGATATTCGCAAAATGCGCCACCCCAATCACCTGCCGGATCTCCGGAGTCCCGAGCAGCAACCCCGCCCGTCGTCTTCGGAGGTGGTTCAAGTTCCATCTGTCCCACCCATGACGATCCCCTCCGTTCTCTTTCCCATTCCCCTTTCCATACTCCTGATCAGGATCATGGTGATCATCCTCCGCAACAAACATCAGAAACAAGCCCCCTTCCTTCTCCGGATCCGGCCGGAACTTATCGAAATACGCCCGCTTTCCTTGCACGGGTAAGCGGGCGAAGGCGAACCGATATGCCCGGCGTGTTAGGCGCTCGATTAGCGGGGAGGTTAGGCCGGCCACAGCCCCAGCGCCAGCTCCATGCTGTCCCGACGCGGCACCTCCAGCAGCAACCGCAACCTCCACCCGCCCCAGCTCCTCGAAGGGCTCAAACCCCAGGGTTAAATACCGGCAGCCCATCTCCCGGAGGAGGGCCATCGCGGCGAAGACCAACAAGTCGGAAATCCCCTTGGGGCTGTTGGGCAGCGCGATGCAGGGGTCGAGGTGGTAGCCGTTGTGGGCGCCGAGGTAGCGGAGGACGGCGAGGCCGTTGGGTTTCTTGGTGGTCGGGTCGAGGGTGTAGAGGTAGGTGAGGAGGGTGCGGTGCGGGTGGCTTAGCGGAGTGTAGGTGGTGATATATGCTTGCGACTGGGGTTTCTGGGTGGAGGATTGGCTGGAAGGGGAGGGGGAGGGAGTGTCTTGGGATGTGTTACGGTGGTGGCACCAGCTGGTGTAGATGGCGGAGAGGTTGGATTCCAGTTCGGATTGGGATGCTGAGAGTGAGGGGGAGGTGGACGAGGGAAGTGGAGGGACGTAGACATCTAATTCGATGCCGCCCTTGGTGGGATTGAGCAGCTGTCGGTTCTGCATGAGAATCCTTTTCCCCATCTGCTGCTGCTCGTGCACCACCGGGTTGGTGGTGGGGTCGAGGACGCGCTCGCGGCCGAACTCCAGGATCGTCCAGTGTTCGTGACCGGTCGTGGTCTGGTGGGCGTAGTCGACCATGCGCTCGCTCGTCCCGAGGAAGGACAAGCCTAACCGCTGCGTCTTCCGCCACGCCCGGAACTCCGACAGCACGGAGGCGAACAGCTCCGGCGGACACATGGGGTCCCCGGAGACTATGGCGACGCGGTTGCAGACCTTGAAGCACAGCGCGGCGGTGCGGGTCGTGTTCACGAAGAGACTGTAGCTCGGGTCCAGGATGCCCATGTGCGAGACCTGTCCGTAGCGCGCGATCAGCGGCCGGATGCTGTCCATGCTGCAGCGGCCGTGGAGGGTGACGATGCGGTGGGTGGTGCCGGTCTCGTCGCTGTCCTCGTGGTTGTGGTCGGGCTTGTCGACGCGCGGGCTGGAGTCGTGGCTGGTGCGGCTGGAGGCAATGCTGCGGCCATCGTAGGAGGAGAGCGTCATCGAAGAGGATTTGCGTGAGAGGTTGCTGCTGCTGCTGCTGCTGGTGCTGGAGCGAGGGACGATGAGATGAGCAGCGTCGAGATGCTCCCAGTCCTGCTGCTGCTGTTGCTCCGGGGTCTGGTAGTGACGAGGCGCCCCAAAGGATAAGAGTCGCTCATACAATGCCGGTCCAATGGTATCGGCCAAGAGCGTCTTGACCGGTTTCTTCTGGTTTTGCGCATGGTTGGCAGACTTTTGTTTTTGCTTCTTTTGTTTCGGAGCTTTCCTGCTCTGCTGGGGAGGGTGAGATGAGGAGGTAGAGGAAGACATGGTGATACTATGAGCACCGCGGCCAGAGAAAAAGTCAATTGCTGTGATGTGATTAGAGCTAACCATCAGAACGAGACGAGGGGGAAACAGGAACTAAAAGGCATGATACTGGCTCCAGGCTCCAGCAAAGCTCCCTCAGCCCCCGCGCCAATGCCTCATTCCGAACCCGGTTGGATGTGAATCGGCTTGGGCGGCGGCCTCAGATTGAGGGCCGTGAACCCTGGTTAGTAGGTCGAGAGTGAAGCTCAGAGGTGAATGCTATGTACTGGGTAGAGCCACGGAAGGACCATGCCGGAACAGCAATTGGCTTTGGGAAACGTTGTTGACTGAGGATGGCCATCCTGCATTCTATTTCGGTCTTCAGTCTGGACCCTCATCGGATCCTTTGGGGGATGGTGTATGCAGTCGAATGGATGTCTGGCTGAGGTATGGCCCCAATAAGGATACCCTAAGGGTTACTGGTTGTCCGATGCAAAACATGGCTGCCTACGGTGTACAATGAATCGGTGAGAAAAGCGCTGTTACTGCCAGACCATCGAATCCATGCAAGTGGGGCCTGCAGACCAGGAGAAAAAGGGTCTTTTCTTTTTTTTCTCTCTCGTCAGCCTCAAGCCTTAGTTTAGTTTAGTGACTCCGAGTCGGAACTTGTCCGGCTTGTCAGCATTGGAGACCGCGGGAGCCGAGGCGCTTTCATCATGAAACCCAGCTATTTGGGGGAATTTTGCAGCCTGGTCTAGTCCGATTTAAGGACCAGAGATCGGCGCAGTCTCACACACACACACACACACACACACACATACGAAGCTTAGTTCGATTGTTGGGGTAATTCACTTGTTCTTGTGCCAGTATATTGGGCTGAGTCAGCGACCAAGCTTTCTTGAGGCTTCAGGGACCATCGCTTGGTTTTCTTGTCGCTCTCGGCCAGCATTGAATTTCATTACTTCTTCATCCCATCCTCGGAATATCGGAACATGCCGAGTTGCTGAATGAGGTCAACAACCAGAGGATTCGTGGAAGTTTCTCGGGGTCGTCTATCGGGGGATCCTCAGTCGCAACATCAAGCCTGACCAGACTTGATCGGCCGACTCGGATCCTGCAGCACAATGATGATGCCTACCTGACACTTCTTGCATCCGCCCTCAAGGCTGCCGCTCGGCAGCCCAATCGCTTCGGATCACCCGTCATCCTTACACCCGCCAGCAGCAGCAGCACCACCACCACCACCAACACCACCAGGTCGATTACCGGCTTAGATCTCTACCACGCCACCCTCTCTGACGCCCCCCAGCCGACCGACGTCTTCCTTAATTCCTTTTCCGGCCCATTCAACCATCGCCTGTTTCTCCCGACCGACGATGTCCGCACCTGGTGGATCGAGAAATTCATCGTGACCTCGAGGAGGCCGGATTCCCTCCTTCTGGCAGCACAATCCTGAGAATTGTGGATGAGAGCCAGAAAGACCCGAAATTGCGGCCTTCGCAAAATGGAAGTTGTACTCCGGGGCCCAGCAGCAACCCGAGCAATCGCAGAAAGACAAGCAGAGTCTCGCGCAAAAATGGCCCTCGAGCGTCGACCAGGAACTCTGTGAGGAATCTTTCGGCACTCTAAACTGGGGGAAATGGGAGGTGATGGGGGCCAAGAAGTTTTTCTGTAAGTTCACCCCTGCAACGTCCGGCTGGACAACGAATGGAGACCTACAGTTTCCATTCAAACAATAGATCCGGACATACTCGCTACCCACCCCGACTGTAATGGGACATGGGTTGGGATCGCGATTGCTGCGATGGGGGCTGCAGTGGGCGGACGAGGCTGGGGTCGAGACATTTCTGTCCTCGACGCCAGAGGGGAGACGGTTATACGAAAAGTATGGGTTGGTTCCAAGTGGCGAAGGAGTACAAGCTGGTGGAGGGACATGATCAGGTGTCGATGGTGCGGTTGGTGCATCGATAGTGCAGTAAAACTCAGTAGTGTATGATTGTGTAGGAGAATTGGATTGTGAGCACAAAAAGGGGAGACACGAAAATAGTCACGGATCGCCGGCTCAGCCCTACAGGGCGAGGAGCCCCACTCTTCACTTCTTGGTTTTCTCCACGTTTCCTCCTCTCCTCCTCCTCTTCCCACCCTTTACTCTGACTCCTCCTCTCAACCTCGCTCTCCCTCTCTCTCTTTTTTCTCATCTCCTCTGTGTGCCTCCACTTCCTAATTCTCTGCCCCAATGTGGCACACACACTATGGCCCCCCTCGAACCCGGCCTTCCTCCTCCCAAGCTCCTTCGTGAATCCACCGGCCTCACCTCGTCCTCCACCTTTACCAGCTCCAGCTCCAGCTCCCGCTCGTTCTCCTACACGCCCAACGCCGTGACCTTCACCCACACTCGCACCCGCACCCATTTTCCGTTCGTCTACAGCCGCACCTACCGCATCCTCCACCAGCCTCTCTTCCGAAATTCCCTGCTGGCCGGCGTTGGATACCTCGAACTGGCCAACGCGGCCGACTTCGCCGCCAATGTGTGGAACCAGATTCCTGTGCCGCTGCACGCCAAAATCCTGATGGCGATTGGCGGGCCCTGCGCGCTGTGCATGACCCTGGTCGCCGCGCGAGACATGTACCTCAGTGCTGCCAACGTGCGGCTGCTCCGTCAAGAGCGATCATTCCTGGCTGAGAGCATTTCGACCAACGTGTCCGATTCAGATAAACACCTCCCCTCTCGAGGCAAGCACAAAGCAGCCCGACTCGACGGAGAAGTCACCATCGGCAAACTGAATGCCTACAAGCACGGCGTCAACACCCGTGAAGTCCTCACCGAAGTCATCGACCGCATCCTCATGGATCTCCTAATGGGGATCGGTGCTCTTCTCGTGGGCATCGGCACGCTGCTGGCAATCTGGGGCGCCGACCGGACCATTTACCGGATCAGCAACCTGCTCTCTGGGTACGTGGGCAATGGACTAGCTGCTGGCTTTGGGCTTGTCAACGCCGTCTGGTCGGTGTACCTGGTGTGGCGGTTCCAGCAATGCTGGGCCGCGTGTTCATCATCGACATCTTCTGATGAGGTGTCTGAAAGTGAGAAGGGCCCGAGGTTGAACGTCGAGCTCCCTGCCCCCCTCAAGACCAAGCTGCGTGCTCGCATGCGGGCCTTACAGGTCCATGCTCTGGTCAACGGGATCAATGGGCTGGTTGCTGGCGCGGCCAGCATGGTCACGGCGACCATGTGGTACGGGTATGTGGTGCTGGTGCCGTGCATCGTGAGTCTGATTCTCCTGAATGTGTTCTGGCGAGCGCGACTAGGCTACGACCGATCCCTAGGCACATTCGCGACCGGGGTTGACTTGGAGGCCACTACATCTGGGATTACAGCGCATACCCATATCCCAGAAGACTCCCCAGCCACCTACACCTCTCCAGACCATCAGGAGGACGCACAACCCCAGGCTGAACCCTCCGCATCTACATCACCCTCACGACTCCCCGCCCGCAACACCCTCCCCCACCAAGACACACAACTCACCCCCACCCACGAAGACGCCATTTCCATCCTTCTCACTGAACTCGCCTACGTCAGCGACATGCACCGCGCACTCCTCCACACCACCGCCTCATTTTCGGAGGACAACGACAAGAACAACAACCAAGAGACGCAGATCCTGCGAACCCTCCAACTCCCCACCGCAGCCCCGACTCCGCCCACCACCTTCCTCACCTTCATAATCCACCACAACCTCTGGGAGAGTTTCTGTGTCTGGCTCGTCGAGAGTCAGACCTCGCCCTCGCCCTCGCTTTCGTCAGTACGGAAAAGACTCTGGGGGTTTCTCCGCTGCGGAAGACAAAGCTGTTCATCACCACCTGCCCATAAGGTCCAGACTACAGAGGCAGAACTAGCCGTCCTCCTCGGATTGAATAGCGCCGATAGGAATGGGACTTCCCCTGCTGCACATCCACCGTCAACACGCGCTCCGGATTCGCTTGATGGCGAAAGCCCGGACTCACCCGCAGAACCAGCAGCATCACCAGCAGTGTCAGTACTGTCAGCAGCAGCAACAGAACCACCAGCAGGACTACCGGCAACAACAACAGAAGTCACCCTCCACCCCTCCGACCTCCTCACCCGCTGCAGAGACCCCGACCTGCTAGCCCGCAAGATGAAAGCCTTCCTCGTCGGAAACGTGACGCGGTGCTTTGCGTACCGCGAGCGGTATCTGCTGGAGATGGTTGGGTTCGCGATCTGGAAGGAGTCTGTTCCTTCCACTCCATCTAGGTGGTGATAATTATGGAGACGACTCAGACACCTGGCGTGGTTATGAAAATCAACAAAGTCCCGCATGGTCTAGAAATGAGTCCGGGCAAATCTGAGATAACCCGGACGGACTTTGCGTGAACACCTACTTCTTTATTTATATTTGGAAAGTCTTTTGAGTGAACTCGTGCTGGACACATCAACTCGGGATCTCATTTCTATCATCAGTGCTGAGCATTGTGGCTTTTTTTTTTTTTTTTTTTTTTCCTCTGGCTTCTGGATTGTTGCCTGAGTAGACATAGAAGTCAAAATATGTTAGATACCTTATTTTAATCACGAATTGTCTTCTCTTTTCTCATCGTGCAATTCATCGCGCTCACGTCATCATCACACCTGTACATTCTAACATGATATCCATAAACAGGGACCACCTATACTATACCTCTGCCTCTCTCTGACTGGACCAGCCTCTCTTCAGTAACCAACTCAACATCCCCAACCCCTCCCACACACATATATAAACAACTCTACTCAATATATACAGGCGCCTTGACCAGCACATTCTGCGGCCCCCGACCCCGTACCTCCGCCAACACAAATGAGGAAAACCGGATCCGCGCCGCCCGCTCCCGTTCTTCCGTCGCAGCAGGAGCAGCACCAGTGGTGCCAGGGATGGTGATGTTAGAGACAGACCCGGGTCCCGTCGGGAGAGCAGAGATCGGGCCCGTTCCTGCTCCTGCTCCGGCTCCTGGACCCGCCAGCCCGGCGCTACCGGCAGGGGCAGCAGGTGCGGTAGCAGCAGCAGCAGCAGCAGCAGCTGGGCCCGTCCGTCGACCCATCAACGAGCTGAACATTGAGCGTTTCCGGGATTCTCGCTCGGAGCCACTACCGCCACCACCTCTGACAGCTCCTGAAGCGGAGAGGTCAAAGGGGACCCCTGGCGCACTCGGCGGTGGTGGAACAGCAGCAGCAGCAGCAGCAGTAGCCGTTGGGGCGACCGAGCCTGGTGGTCCAGCCGCTAAACCGCCGGCGGCAACTTCGCGGTCCATGTCTACCTCATCAGGGTTCGCCACTGCTTCTGCCGCTGCCGCCGCTGGGACACCCCGTTCGACTTCCTGTGATGTGCCTGTCGACCGTTGTTGCTGTGGCTGCTGTGGTACCGGCGGGATTCCCGTCTCCACCCGCATGGTTCCTTCGTTCACTGGCGTCCCGGGAAGAACGTATTCAACCACGATATCTCTCGATTCAAAGGGAATTTTCTCCGCTATGCCGATCGCGTTCTCGATGATCATCCGTGCTCCATTCTCCAGGCCCGGCACCATGGTTACGCCGGGGGTCTGTGTCTCGTGTAAATAGGCCGTCAAGGTTGCCACCAGGCTCCCAACCAGCCGCTCGACCAACTGTGAGCGGAAATCGCCGGCCTGCGCGCCCTGCAGCTCCGGTAGGCCGTCCAACGTGGTCCGGCGCCAATTGCTGATGCGAGCGACGGCATTCTCGCGATCTTCGTCCGTCGTCGTGGTCACCTGGACCTGCTGGCGACGGAGGTTCATCTCGATGTCCTTGAGGGCCCGGGAGAGGGTCGGTTCGAGGGCGGGGTGGAAGTAGCGCTCGAAGACCTCCTCGACGAGCCACCGACTCATCACGGCGCGCCCAATGGCCGTCATCTCTTTGGTTCCGGTGGTGTGAGCATCGTCGTTAACGTAGCCAATCAGCCAGGTCGGAAGACGCGCCCAGTCTTTGCGGATGGAAAAAGCAAGGTCTTTGATGGCACCGTCAAGGCGGGAGAAGCGACTAGCGTACTCATTGTCATCCAAGACGGTGCGCGAGACCGCCATGCGTTGGTGCGCCACTGTGTTCTGAAGATGTTGTACCTGAGCCTCTTTTTCAAAGTAGTACCGTTTGACTTTGGAGTATTTGGCCTCTATCGAAACTGTCTGTTAGCTAAATGTCTGCAGATAGAAGGCGGGGATAAGGCGCGTACGGAGCTCGTCATGTTTCTGAACCAAGGCACGCACGTCAATCTCGCTAAGCTCATCGCGGGCTTCTCGGCGGCTGTCGCGGGGCTCCCGCGTACTCGTGGTGCTGCGTCCTGCGTCGGCACTAGACTGAGCGGCATTGGTTCGATGTCCGTTATCTGACTGGGTGTTTGACGCGTGCGAGATGTGGCTGGCGCCAGGGGCTGGTTGAGTATTGTTGTTGCTGGCCTGCAGCACGCCTGAAGGACGTTCCGTCATACCACCGGGAGAGTCGGGCTGTGCGGTGGACAATTGACGCAACGGAGAGGGGGGCCCGATAGACTGTCTGGACGGCGGGCGAGCACCCACCGTGGGTTCGAGTTGAGGCTGCGCCGGAGCCAGATCGCCGTGGATACGGGGTGGTTCAATAGGAGACGATCGGGCTCGATGGTCCAGCAATCCTGAATCGGTGTTGGATCGTTGAATTGAGGCCTGCGGGGAGCGGGGCGGTCGAGTTTCCAGCGTTGGCACCGTATTCTGCGGCATGTGGAACGAGGCTGGTGGGCCTGCTCTTAAAGAAGGATGTGGACGAGGCTCTGTTTGTAGCTCCAGTTGCGGCGGGCGCTGTAGGGGTGACTCCCAGCGAGTTGCGTGGACTCCCGATCGTAGCTGAGGCGGTAAATGTTCCTGAGACGGGGTAGGGGGCGCCAGATCTTGTGATGACGGCGGCTGCGGGGTCTGCTCGAACCGTGGTTGCGACGGTTCGAACTGCGATTGCGGCTGCAACCACGATTGCAGTTGCGGCTGCGACCGAGCGAGCGGATGTATATGTTCTTGCGACGATGGTGGGGAGTATGCGGCGTCTAGATCATGCTCAGGTGCCCAGGTTGTCGCGGGGTGGTCGGAGCTGGTGTCGACAGACAACGGTCGCTGATGCTTGTTCCGGCGACCGGCGGCGGAGAGCTTCTTGACCGACCGATTTCGCTGCACCTGGCCGGGTGAATCGCGTGCGGTGGCAGACGAATGCAAGGAGAAAAGGCTGCGTCGAGATTTGCGTGGTTCCTGGGCTTCCTGCTCGTCAGGCGGGTCAGGGAGTGGCCACGACTAACACCTGTCAGCAAAGCACAGTCTGTAGATCGGCATAGCAGAGGGTATCCCGATAAGAATAGTGGAGTAAACGTCCTTACCGGATGCGGGTTCTCGCGGGGACTGCGGTGACTCTTGCTGCGTCGGAGAGGGGCAGCAGAATGAGGAGGAGGTTGCGAGGGAGATGAGTTTGTTAAAGGAGTAGACGACTGGGAGTGCGATTGGAAGTGAGGGTGTGAGTAGGCGTGGGAGAAATGAGGCTGAGGCTGAGGCAGAGAAGGATTGCGGGCGGCGGTGGAGGAGGAGGAGGAGGTGGTGGAAGACGTCGACAGGCGACGGGGCCGATCGTCGGGGTCGTGCTGCTGGACGCGAGGGGGAAGATGCTCAACCGATCGGAATGGAGACGCGACAGCGGCAGGCAACTTGGCTTTACGGCGAAAGAGGGGCATGGAGAAGGAAGGGGAGAAAGATAAGCGAGGTAAATTATGAGAAATGAAGAATGAAAGACAGAACTTGACGATGGGGAGTGAGAAAGAGGGGAAGGAAAGCGGCAGCAGGAAGTCATCCGCAACATTGGCGCCTGTGACACGAATTGAGGCGCAAAAATAGACTCAAACTGTCAGGAATGCTCAAAGTCCAAATTGAATTGCTCAGAAAGTCGAGAAATTTCCCCCCTCTGTGAGATAAATACTCAGCCTCTGCTCTGGTGCTTACGCGGGCTGGCTGTCAAACACTGCCTCGCCCCCAGATTTAGTGGCTCAAGTAAGACCCTTACTTAGTAAGACCAAGAGAGCCCCCATGGACAAGGTAAACTATTGTATCAGCCCCAAAGGATTGTTTCTCATGTGTCATTCAATTATCCCGACAATTATCAACCAGTGTTTACATCGTGTCTCATATATAATCTAGCACACCCCGTGAGTCTTGCCCGTCTTGCCCTGCAGCGAGTGCTTCTCGTTTTTGTAGTGGTGATGTGTGTGCTTGGCCTTGTGCGAGTGGGTGGCATGCTGGCGAACGTGTCTAGGATCCGGTTAGTCTAGATGCAATGAATCACAAGCAGACAATCGACTTACTGGGTATAGCGCTCCAACATGTTCTTGTCCATCTCGCTCAAGGTGCTCATCGCCAGCTTGATGTCCGCCAGCAAAGCGTCGCAGCGGTTCATGCTGAAATCCTCGCGCACCACCACCCGCATGAGCTTCAGCGAATTGCTGTTGGGTGCCATCGTGTAAGCCGGCACGATCCAGCCACGCTCACGCAACTGGTGCGCCAGCGCAAACTCGTCGAACACCTCGTCGCGGTCCGGCCGCAAACGGAACGCCACCAGCGGCAGGCCCTTGCCGCCACGCTGGCTCATGATGATAAAGCCCATCTGCTCCAACTCGTTCGCCATATAATCCGCGATCTGGGTGATGTTGACCATGATGGACCGGTAGCCCCGCTTGCCCAGTCGGATCATTTGGTAGTACTGTCCAATCACCTGCGATGCTCCCTTGGAGAAGTTTAGCGTGAAACTGGCCTGCTCCGCACCAAGGTAGTTGATGTTGAAGATCAGCTCCTTAGGCAGGTATTCGGGCGAACGCCAGACAACCCAGCCGACACCAGGGTACACCAAGCCGTACTTGTGGCCAGAAACATTGATCGACACCACCTTCTCCAGGCGGAAATCCCACTTGAGGGTGGGGTGAATGAAAGGAGCAACGAAGCCACCGCTGGCTGCGTCGACGTGGATAGGGCAGTCAATGCCACGCTCCACCAACAGGTCGTTGATCGCCTTCACGTCCTCGTACTCTCCCGTGTAGGTGGTACCCAAAATAGCACAGATACCGATAGTGTTCTCGTCCACCAGATCGACTGCCTCCTTCGGGTCAATCACATACCGATCCTCTGTGCAGTAGACGTAGCGTTCCTCCACATCGAAGTAGCGAGCAGCCTTCTCCCAGCAGACTTGGACGGCACTGTTCATGACAATGTTGGGACGAGAGTAATCCTTGCCTTCAGCCTTGCGCTTGTTCTGCCACCGGCGCTTCATGGCCAAGGTACCCAGCATGATAGCCTCGGACGAACCAACGGTCGAAGTGCCCATCGGATGCTCATCGTCACTATCGGTGGGAGCATTGAACAAACGCGCAATCATGTTCACACAGCGGTTCTGGATCTCCGCCGACTGGGGGTATTCTTCGTAATCGATGAAATTCTTGCTGAAGGATTCGGCCATGAGCTTTTCAGCCTCGTCTTCCTATAATCCATCGTCAGTCCGCCCAAATCGTTTGTGTGAGGTCAAATTTACCATGTAGGTGGTCACAAAACTCGCCAAGCTGCCATGAAGAAACAACATTAGCCACCATTCGGCTCGTGAACAGGACACGATGAACACTCACTTGAGCATGGGGTTGCCATCCAAGCTCAGCTCATCCTTAATCATGCGGTAGGCCACCTCCCGGGGCATCTCGCGCTCAGGCATCTCATGCTGGGGCAGCTGCTCCGTCGCGAAGCGGGAGCCATAGACGCTGGTAGAGAAGTCATCTTCCTCAGCGCTGTCAAGCTTGATCGAGTTCATCCGCTTGACGGACTGCTCGACTTCGCTATCGCGCTTAATTTGGGCGAGATGGACCATGATGACGTAGTGGGATGCAGAAATGAGTAGGACAGAGAAGGGATACGGTAGGGAAAAAAAAAAATAACAGCTCAGACGGTAGCCAGCAGCAGACCAATGGTTTAAATAGCGCGCGCAAGCATTGAATCAATCGAGCGAAGGAGAGTTTTGACACAACACCAGGAGGTCCAACCCTGCTCGTTGCGTCGGAGGGGGGGCAAGTGGGCGGCAGCAGCCCGTCAGCTCAAGCCTCAGACAACACGAGTGGAGAGCGAGGACAACAAGTGGCTATTGGTCTCAGCCCCAGACGGGCAAAAGCAGCCAGTCACAGAGAGTGATATCGTAGCCATCATCTATCATTCACTGTCCCAGAAGGTCGCAATTCCAGGCGATCCCGGAAGCACACCTCGGTAGAGTACTTGTGGTACTGAGCTAGAGAGGGGCGGGCCCTCTTCCTGTTTCCCCCCTCCTCTCGCAATCCGCTCGAACGAATAATGGATCAGGACGAGGTACAATTCAGCGCTAAAAGCTTGAGGAAAGCTTGACCTGGATCGGGTGGAAGGGGAATGTGAGTGGATATGATCTCAGCCACGATGTTGCGAGGAAAGATTGGTGGTTTTCTCGTGGGGCGAGTGGAGAGAGGCACACCGGCTGTGATATCATCTTCGCACCAGCACTTGAGATTGCCTACTATGTCAGGACGATGTCATCTGGTTTGTCTTGTCGCGATTCGACAAGACCCTGAAATTGACCGAGCAGATGTCTGAGTGTGCGATATTCTTGTTTGGGAGGGAAATGGCGTAGTGGCGTGTTTAGATTGTCGCTGAGAATACACTGTAATTCCGAGCAGCTTGAAGTGTCTCCATCAGGGCCCCATCCAGGAAGTGCTAAAGAATAAATAGAATCTCTCTTCGTAACGGGTGATGGACACCGCTAGCCTACTAGTCCGCCATAAAGAGGGGCCCAGACAATTGTAGAACAATAGTATTGATGATAGTAAGGGATAGTCGAGCAAATGTACTCCGTACTCTCCATAAAAACAGACTAAGAAGGGGGGATGTTTGGGGGGAAAAGAAACGGCGGTGAAATGCCTTCCTTTCCCCTCTCTTTGTCTCTCGCTATCTCCCTCCCTCCCTCTCTCTCTCTCTCTCTCGAGTCTCTTCTTCTTCCCACCCTTCCAATTACATCGGCCAAACCTCACAAGAAGACAGACTACACAGTAGGATTGTGATTGTTACGGTCGAATCCGGACCAAATTAATTGGGCGGACAAGCGCCACTTACCTTCTCTACATGAACTGAATTTCCAAGTGCCATACACGTATCTAATGAATGTTTGTTTCATTGTCTGCACCCCCAGCCCCATTACCATTAACAAAAAAGTACCGTATCGATCGTGCCAATCTCAATTTCGATTCAAATTGAACAGGATAACATGGATGCATCAAGAGAGACATCACAAAAAGTAAACAGATGCAGCCCAGTGCTTTGCTGTCATCCATGGCGTTGAGTCCCATCAGTTCCTGTCGCCCAGTTCATATCGTACAATCGCCCTCCGGCCATCCATCCTGGATATAAAGCGGCGATTTCCCTCCTCCGGTTCAGCCCTTCTGTTTCTATATCGTTGGTTGTTGCATTTTCGATTTGATTTTTTGGTCTTTTTCTTCCGACTGTGTTTCAAAATGATTAAGAACTGTCCGTCCGTCCGTATGTGGGTATCAGAGTATAAGAAGGGAGAGCAATTCGGAAATGATCTCCAAACGGCATTACAGCCGTTTGGAATACTTGGTCATACATCCACTCACAAGGTCTAGTTCTTGTCGCCCTTGACCTTGCGCTTGAGCCATGACCAGACACTACCACTCTTGCGCTTCTCAGAACCCCCCTTTGCTGCATCAGACTTGGCAGACTCTTGAGCCCGGCTCGCGGTCAGCTTGGCCGTATCCTTGGGTTGGTCGGCTGCCGATTTGTTCTCAGGCTCTTGGGCGGCGGCGGCACCCTCGGTGGTACCTGCAGCCGACGTGTTTTGTGCACCCGTGGTCTCACTGGGCTTGTTCTGGGTCTCCGAAGGGGCCTCGGCGATCTCTTGAGCATCCTTGGCAGCAGAAGCCGGCTGCGACTCAGTGTTCTGGGGCTGAGTCTCCTCGATCTTCGTTGGAGCCGCGCTCTCTTCCGGCGCCTCAGCCTCGGCGGCATCCAACTTCTCCTCTGGAGCCTCATTACCGGCTGTGTTCACTTTCTCTTCCGCGGCCTCCACAGGCTTCTGAGCCTCAGCAGCTGGGGCAGAGTCGGCGGCAGACACTACAGCCGCATCAGTGCCCTTGATGTCCGCGTCCGTAATGCTGGATGGAACCACAATGACTGGTTCGGCATCTGTTGCGGCCGTTGTGGGCTCATGGGAAGCGGACTCCTCCTTTGTGGTTTCTTTCGCAACATTGTCCGCAGCTGCGGGCTGTTCGGAAGTAGGGGCTTCGAGCTCCTCGTTGGTAGTAGGGACTTCGAGCTCCTTGGTAGTAGGGACTTCGAGCTCCTTGGTAGTAGGGACTTCGCCAGCGCCAGTGATCTCGGGCTGAACCGCGGAAACACTGACAGGAGCTAGGGAGACAGGGGCAACAGTCTCAGCGGCAGCCTTGTCAACGGCAGCATCAGTGGTCACGGGCTCAATCGTGCTGGATGAGGTAGTAGCAGGCTCATTGGGAGAAGCCGTGTCTTCGTTCAGGCCAGGAACCTCCAGTTCCCTATCGATGTTGTCCGAGGGGTCAGTGCCCAATCCCGGTACCATTTGGGGTTGAATAGCCGTGTCGACAGCAGGAACCACGGCCTCATCAGCTGGCACCGCAGCTGCACCAACAGCATCCTTGCTGGTCGGCTCAACAGCCTTGGCTGAGATGGTGGCATCCAGGTCCTCCTCGACCTTAGGAATCTTGGGCGGCTTGTGGTCTTCGTCCTTTGTGGTCAGGCTGCTCTCATACGGTCTCTTCACGTGAGTTTCATGGGTCTCTGGTTCAAAGACAGTGTCTTTGGGGCGCTCGGGCAAGGTAGTGGCTGCGTTAGAAGGAAAATGATGTCAACAATTCGCCCAGACATCCAATAGGTGCAACCAGCAGAAGGCAACAACTTACTCGTTCCAGCCACAGCAATAGGCTCCTCCACTTCCTCCTTGACAGCCTCGGTGGCAGGCTCGTCAGCATTGGGGGACGAAGAGTCCACCGCGTCGGATGCCTCCTCAGTGGAATCATCGAGCGGGGCAGCAGTGATGCCTTTAGCGGCAGTGTCGGGGAGAACGGAGGTAGGGTCCGCAGTCACAGCTGCGCCAGCATCAGTGACCACGGTTTCGGGCTCCGCATCGCTCTTTGTGACGGTCTCCTCGACTTCCTGCTCGGGGAGACTAGAGGCAAGAAATTCCGCGTTAGCGCGGCGCAAAATGGATTTTGTGCGATTGATGAGATGCGACTCACAGGGCAGCCGGAGTATCGGCGACCTTCTTCGCGGCGGCAGCGCCACCCTTGCTCTTGCTCTTGTTCTTGCTTTTTCCTTTCTTCGCCATTGTGTGCGCAAACAATCAAATCTGTTGGGGTGGCTCGTGGGCCAGCGATTAGAGACTGGCTTCTTGGTGGAGATGGACGACGGACGGAGGGTTGTACTAGGGAGAGAATAGCTCTTTGTGGACTCACTGGGTTGTGTAGGGATGCGGATGGCACAGGGTCTGAAGGGTCGTGCGAGTGTCCACGATGGGGGGATTAAGAAGTCGCAGACCTGGCAAAGTGGTGGAAGTTAGGGGCGGGCAGCAGGTATGTTGGTCCTTTCCGAATGTCTAATCAAAATCGGGGAACGTTAATCCGTGGGGGAGGTGTGTGTGGTTCCCCCGGGAAGTGCACGGCAGGGCTATAGTCTCAACAGCAACGACCTTTGACCGTGGGTGGTTCTGACTTAGTAGGTAGTAGTACTGGAATAGTCGTAGAACTGAAAGCTCAGACCAGGCGCCTCAAAAGATGGTGAAAATTGGTGTAGACAGAGGTTATGCGCAGGTAGTAGATTGCCGAAGTCGCAGTCACATGGAGGGGGACAGCAATTGTGTGATGCGTCTCAGGGAGGAAAGGAAGGTCGAGACAATTAATTATTCCATACACACCAAGCAACATAAGCTTGCGGATCTAAATCTTACATTGATTACGATTGCGACTCCTACCTACGAGGAGGATATTGAGCTTCTTGGTGGTGGTGGTGGTACCTCTATCTGAGAGACCTGGTTCTATGAGCTGTCGGCAAATCTGCTCTCGGCCAGAAATCCTCATTACTGTAGGGAAGAAGGGAGGAAGGGAGAGCAGCCAGCAGGGCTGGTAGCTACGAACTAATGTTTCTTTCCGCATTGAGAACGCGATAAGAACAATTGACATTCTGGTTGCATTGAGGGGTTTCTCCCCCCCTTCCCCGGAGCTCCCATTGTAATCAATTAGCACGAGATCTGAATCTTCAATAAGGAAGCAATGAGGCGCAACATCCCCTCCCCCCCTAATTTCCGACGATATTGATTTTTTCTCCGTACCTGCAGCAAGAAAAGAAGCCAGGCTGCCAAACCGTCTTCAGCCGATCGCCCGGAACAGTCGTTAATCCGGTTGCTCTATCCCAACCAGGCAAGGGATCACGACACTAGAGCAAAGAAGAAATATGCCAAGCACCCTCCCTGCAAAATGATGCAGAACAAACCAGGAAAGATTCTGGGGGAGGAAAACAGCTGGGCGGAAACAATCGGGACCATTAATCGCTGTACGTGTCATTGACCATCCAGTCACGAGAATAAGGTAAAGGAGACAAAGATGATCCTTTTCTCGGTCTACGGAGTACACTTTCTTCCCCCCTCCCCCTTCCCTCCAGAGCCCGCGTGGGATCAATTACATCATGCGAAGTGTAGCCGGCTGGGTTCAGTGGACGGAGGACTGTACCGTTTCCTTTCCCCCCAGGAATGTTGGCCGGTTGCAGAATCTGGCCCAACGAACTTAAGGATAAGGCTAGAGATACCGGGGTAATCCCTTGGGCCCTGGGGAACAACAGAATACCAAACGTGTCAAAGTCAGTGCCTTGTTTGACCAACTTGGTGCGTACCACGAGGATAGCCACATACCGCTCCAGCAAAGCACATGGACGGATGGAGCGAGGATCAGCCTGCAAACAGGCTCGCCCATGAGTCCCTGGCTGTTGTTGTATCCTTCCAATTGTTCGTGGGCCAGAAAAGGCGCATTTCCTCGAATGCTGTATCACCGGAGCACTCTATGTATTCCTACCCGAGAACAAGAAGCTGGCAAGTTGCGGCGGCTTCTAGAAGGTTGAGAGGGCTGACTGACGAAGGCGATGATGGTGATGACATCATGTAGAGTTTAAACCCGGCCTTTGATCCTTTCCTGCCCAACTCTCCGTAGCTGCGCGAGGACGCCCTTACTTGGAACAAGTTGTTGCCGAGTCGGTATCTAGAATAAGACCAATTGTCTCTTGGCGAGGCGTTGAGTTCGACGTCGCTTGGCAGAGTGATTATACACTGACCTGAGGAAACAAAAAATGATGACCGACGCAGGGCTCGAACCTGCAATCTCTTGATTCGTAGTCAAGCGCCTTACCATTGGGCCAGCCGGCCTGGCTGTTGAAAATGTACAACATAATAACCAATATAAACCAAACACAATACTATACTCGGATGTACCGTGCCGGGTGGAGGCAACCGCCGGGATATCCAGCGGGGCAGTCGGCGAGCTCAACCATCCCAGCCTGTTTCATTCGCGCATTATCTCTCGTCACCGCAGACTGGATACGGCTAGTCCACTTGGGCGGCACAATTCCCATTACATATTGTTATCGCTTTGAAAACCTATGATAGAGACTCCTCACGGAACGGACGGCGAGCAGATGCGGTACGGCTATCTATCTCGGTGCCACCATCCGACCCCTTCCGACGTTTCGTCTGAATCCGTCGTCAGTCTGTCCTCCATCCAGAAGTTCCGTTCCAACCGCCCACGGTTTCAACAAAGAGAGGGAGAAGGAGGACGAAGGCAGTCAAAAATGACGCTGTCGGTTATCATCCCTTTGTACCACAGATAGTTGTCGGCCGCTCACAGGCTTCCCCAAGGTTGACCAGGATCCCTAATATAGATGAGGTCGGTGGTGGTGGTAATGGTGATTGTGGTGGTGGTTGCACGTCGATCGAACATCTTGGCCATCCTTCTGGAAAGGTTCGGTGCAGGACTGGCCACGACAGCGATACAAACCTTGCGTCTGTTCTCCCCCCCGTCTTCGCGCCCTGGCTTTAGCCTAGCCCGGGCCATATGGACAGGAAGGTGGAGGTGGAGGACGAGGAGAAGGATGATGGGGTAGGATTGTTTGCCTTTTGCCACATCTCCTGCCCATGCCAGGAATGCAGCCTTTGGTTCTTGCTCGGCCTGTCCGGTGGATACGGATCACTGTACAGTGTCACTGTCACCATTCTCTTCAGGCGATTACCAGAATGGGCCACTTGTAGGTGCAAGCTCTGCACGTCACCTCCAGCAAAAGAGCTCGTGCCCCAACGGGGGTCTATCAAAGGACAACGCCGCGGCCGGAATCGACTCGGGATTGATCTAGGGTCGGCGTAGAACCACTGGAAGACTCAACACTACCATGGTCAAACTTGCCGGACAGTCGTACCTCGCGCTGTACAAGCGAATGCAACCTGACCGTCAACCTGACTCTGACTCGCGGTTGATTGGGGGAAGATAGATAGTTAGTCAGCTTTGGAGGGGGGAAAGTGGGAAAACCGGACGTCGGCACCGTGACGCCGATGCTGCAATCCCCGGAATGATTCAACTGTTGAAGCAGAAGGCAGGATAAGCCAAGTAAAAGAAGAACCATCCTGGTCCGATAGCCTTTGGATGATTCCGAGGGGGCGATGCATGATGAAATAATGGAGTTGCAGCGGAGAAGAATAAATAGTAGTATTATAGGAAGAGATATATCCAGCATCAATTCCTCCATCTCCATCTACGGAGTAGCAGAGTGACATATCACCAGACTGCTGGACTCGAAGCAGCATTACTTTTATCAGCACTTCTTCTCCGACATAATTCACGCACTTTCAGGTGGATCTCCTTCAACCCATCCACACAATCGGATTTGTCCGGGGGCGAGTAGTTGGAAGGCAAAGGGTGGTAAACTAAATCGCGGCTTAACCAGACTTGTCCAAGACCGTGGAGTCAGGGCTGGCCAGTGCAGCAGGAGGAACAGCAACACATTGCAAGTCAAGCGAGGGAAAGCGATAGGAGACAGCAGATGAAGCCGTGTGAAGTGGTTAGTAGTTCTTCCATTTATTTATTTCACTCTCCCTTTTCAAAAGATGTTGTTGCTTGTACATTCTATGCCCTTTGGCTCCCAACATTCTCCTCAGTTATTTTCTGGATTTATGGTGGGATGAGTGTTCCTGATTCTGCGTTTTCTCCATTTCTCCATCTCTCTCTATCTATCATACTCCGTACACACACAAACCGCTATCGCCGTGCGCTTAGCGGAATGGGGCTAAACGGCAAAAGTGACTTAGTGTCTTGAATCTCCTCGTGCCAATCAGCGATACCTGCCGGGGCCAACTCGTAATAATATCCCTCTCGAATTGAATCATAGGTATGGAGACGATCCGATTTCGATTACTCCTCTCAGTTAGTCGTTGATTTCTCCTACTGACTGCTGCTTAAGATACCCGCATTACGGTCCCCATCGCCTTCTTTAACCCTTCTCCCTCTCCTGCTACTTCTTGCGCTTACTTCGCCCTCCCCTTCTCCCCTCTCTTCTCTCTCTCCTCTGATCGTTTATTTCCCTTCGATCTACCTCTCCCCTCCTCTCTACCCCTCTCCACTCTTCTCCCCCATTCAGTTATAGACATACGATGAGATCGGGCTTTGCTTATCCCTGCAATTGTTGTCTGTGCCTGCACAACCTGCCTCCTGTCCAATCCCCGACTGGGAAAGGCCCGCTACTACTTTTGAGGTGCGGAGTTAAAAACAGAGTCAACGCTTAATCTCCACATCTGCACAACTTCGATATCTATTCGCCATCTTCCAACTACACCTGCTTTCCGCTATAATGAATTTCCGTGAAAAGGTTCGAAGAGTGTTCCGACGGAGCAGCAGCTCTTCGTCGTCTTCCAAAACGAAAGGCAGCGGCATTAAGATTGAATACTACAAGCGCCACGAGATACCTCGTTCTAAATTCAAGGGTCCCTTCGATCGGGAACACCAACGGAGTCTCGCCGCATGGTCCTTTCAGGGAGCACAAGATGAGCGGCGCCGGTCGCTAGATCTGTCGCTGTCGCCCTGCGCATCCTTACCGGACTACTTGAGACCCCAATGTGAGGAGGAATACCTGGCTCCGGATCAGATGCCAACAGTGGCTCCGGAGGTAGATATGTTGAATGGTATGTGGGAATATTCCTTTCCTTCGCTATCAATTGCGTCTTCCATCTCTTCTGTAAGCCCGCAGACTGACCGTATAGCTGCAGCATCGATATCCGTGTGCCATGACGAGTACGCTCCTGGCCGCCCGGGAGACAGCAGCGGCTCGACATCCTCGACTGCTGTGGACCCGGCGAGCTACAGCGAGTCGCTGATGACGCTTCTTCCGGAGCTCGAACAGGAGGACCCGATCGCGCTCTGGAAAGAATCCATCCGGTACACCTCCCCGGTTGTACGGACGATATCGCCGCCTCCGATGGCACCCAAGGACGCTTACATGCCATTCGCACCCGAAGATCTGACACGAGCGTTGAACGCTGTGCAGATCTGCTACTAGAACTTATATTTATCCTAATAACCACTTCGACTTCCGGCAAGATCTTCGCTTCATATCGTCACGTGAGACAGTCACCCAATGAGCGACCCCTATCCCGACGATCAACCTATTCCTTTTTCCCTCTTCGCACTAGACGAAGCAAACAATTACCGACAACGACATCCACTTTCTATTCTAATCCAGCCAACTCCAGCCAACTCCTTTACTTCGGGCGCTTAAAGGGCCCCGAAAACCGAGTCCTCCGGCCACCGCCCGGTCCATTCTATCAGCCAAGACCTTGGGTCCCAGTCCATGCATCGCACGACGTGAGGGGCATGTCGGTTATTGCATGTAACTGGGCCAGCGGCACTGCCGGCTTACATTTGACTTTTCACGCCTGAGACGAACGAATGTCGAAAAGCGCCTGGCTTTCTTATGCATATATTATATGCTTTTGTGCATTTATAATCGAGCGTATACCCTTCGCAGTCAAGTTTTTCTTACCGACCGTCTTTGGTCATGCTGCTGGCGGTGCTGCATCAGCTTACCATACTTTCCTAGCCGGGGGTTTGCCTACTACTAGCAACCTCGCGAGGCAAGAGGAAAGCCAGCCCGAGCAAAAGAACTGTGCTCTCTGAATCTACCCAGCCGACCAACAGACATTGTCACCAGGTCGTGCAGTAGACCAATGAATGAAGAAATCAGATTTCACTTCCTCACTTTATGATAAATTGTAGATTGTATCATCGCAGACAATGTCCGCTAATTGCCACATCTTCTGCTGTAGAGGTATAGGTAGACAGACCCCTCTTCCCACCTACAGTCGAGTTCTAAACATCCATTACAAGAGATACAGATAATCTAAGTCGATCTCGTCCCGCCCTGCGAAACCAAGAAACAATAGACACTGTAGTTCAAGATAGTCAACGAACACACTCCACTGCATAGTTTACCTCTTCCCTCCCCTCCCAGAAGCTCTCCACCTTCCACATGCAAGATCCCTGAACTATCCTCCAGTCCGAATCCACCTCACTTTCTTGGCAAGTTTGGCCCTACGTACGGAGTATCGTTACTGTAGTTGAACTGAATGCTCATCAACTCAATCTGGAATCCCTATACACTCTAGCTCAGCCTTGCTGGGGCTATTTATGAGTAGTGAGTGAGTACTAGTCCACTATCCTTGAAAGTTGAAATTGATAAAGTTCCTAGACTCCGATCCAGCTAGACATGCTTTACCAAAGTTACCCAACCTTCCTTTTCTTCCTCGCCCCCCTCTCTCCCCCGCTTTCCTCCCCTTCCCCTCCCGCCCGGATAACAAACCACCATGTTGAAGTTACACCCCGAACCCGCCTCAATTCAACCTTCCTTTTCCTCTGGGTTGGGTAAAAATGTAACACTGCAGTAACTTAAGCTACTGTAGACTGCATAGATTCGAGAAACTAAACAAGCAAGCACCGGCGCCGCCACGCCCACACCTCGCCACGCCACGCCACGCCAATAGTTCAAGTCCGGAAAGGGGCGTGGCCGATGACTTGGCGAGACCGCAACACTTTTTAGCCTTACATAGTACACTACTGTACCTCGTACTAGGATATTCTATCTTATTGGCGGGGTGGAGGAACGAGGAGGATGGATGGATGTGTTCTAGAATAAGAAAGGCATGGAGAGGATGCATGTACAGCACTACTGTACGGAGTACAGGGTTGGAGGAGATAGTGTAGGGTTTGGGGGGCGAACTCTGCATCTTTCTTCTTCTGCGTGCATGCGTGGTCTTCTTGGCTTAGGACTGTTCAGAGGTTTAGCGATAAGGAATCTCGTCAGTGGGGGAAGGGGGTGGCGTAGGTTGGGAGTGGGAGATCTACAGTACAGTACCGAGCAGGACGTATGTTTGTGGCGAAGTTGATGCATGGAGTTGTCATGTGTGTCACTTGCAGTTGATATCAATTCAGTTGGGACGGGAGGTTTGGATGAGTCGCTGATGTACGTGTGTGTAGGTAGTTGGTCCAAAGGGGCAACATGTACTGCGGAGGTGAAAATGTGTCGTGGTAATAACTATGGCGTTAAGCCGATAGACCGTGCGATGATGTACTACACTGCTAAGCCCCCGTCGGAAGTTCAATGCATGTCCAAATGGTTCTCGTACACTTCATTTCCCGCTTTTTTCTAGTCATCAGTCATGTCATCTATACATGCTTGGCTGAGGTCTCCCAAGCCAGCCATACCCTCATCTAGTCCTCGTGGGTCACCGCCATGTCCAGAACCTCCACTCGTCCTCTACCACGGGTCTCATTACCCACAAAGTCGTTGAGGCCCTTGAAAGCGCCAGGTTCTGCAAATCCGATGACCTCCCATTCATCACCTCCAACGATCTCCTGGGCCTCCACAGACTCGATATAACTGAGGATTTTGTCCTTGACATTGCTAGGGCTCTTGGCCGGTGCCGCCTCGGCGTCGGAGCCACCAGCCTCATCCTCGGAGTCTTGCTGACGCGCCGACTTCTTCGATCCCTTACCGCCCTTCTTGTTGCCCTTGCCACCACCCTTGGGCGTAGGTGTCTCTCGCTCCTTGTTCGTTCCGCCAGCGCCCCCCACAACCTTGACGCTCTGCTTCAGAAGCGACACGGGACAAGTCACACGGAGGCGCATCCGAGCGCGCATCACCGGAATGGGCTGCCACGCGATCAATGCCTTCATGGCGTCTAGGGCCTGACTCTTTGCGGACTTGTTCGCGGTGACACCCGTCCACAGTGGCTTCCGTGGCTGGGCCGGTGCGCGGTTCTCATCTCCTTCTCCGGTCATCTCGCCGTTACCGGACGCCTGGCCCTGTGTCTGCTGCTGGCCGCTCGCCGAGCTCAACTGATCCAAAGCCTTGGAGATCATTCCTGGGGTGTAGACTCGTTTCGTGGTGGGGTCGACCAGTCGACCCGACACAATATCCAGGATCTCCTTCTCAACGCGCTCGATGATCTCTTTCCGCTCTCGCTCGCCGACTTGCACTTCACCCTTGCGCAGGATCTCTTGACGGATTTCATCGGCGGGCGTGTCGGCGCCGAACGCCTTGGCGAGCTCGGCAGACGGTGCGGTTTGGGCTTTCGAGACGGACAGGAAGATCGTGGGGACTTGGAGGACATTGTCGAGGTCTTTCTCGGCGCCGGACCGGTATTCTAGGAGTTTGTTCTTATAGCAGGCGAGTTCGAATCGCTTTTTACCTGAAAGAGATGGGGTGTTAGCGAGGTGGTCGAGAAAATCTCGATAAACCGTGTCAAGCCTAGATCGCTAGGCCAGTAATCATTTCACTTGGATTGCAGCGACTAGAAAGAAGATGTATGTAGGCGGGGTGACTGTCTGCTTACCCTTCTTTAACCTGACGACTGATACATTGGTAAACTTGATCTGATTTGAGGGTTGGTTAATCGGCATTTTGGAAGACGCTTCCTTTCCGGGGAAGCTGCGGTGCGCGTCGCTGGTCTAATTAAGAATATGCACGAGAAAAAGGGTATCTGGTGGACGGGATTTGTTTATCAACAAGGGGATGTCTGGGTTTTGCTGAAAAAATGATGCCCGCATCCAAGCCTGCCTGGAGCCAGACAGTGGCCCGACAGGGCTGTGATTGGAGGAGAGGGCGATGACGCTGGTCCCGTGCTGATTGCTGACTCATCGCATGTGACTCGGCGCGTGACTTGCCTTGGTCCGGAAAGGCACCGCAGTATGATTGGTCGCCTCCTCCCTCAGCTATCAAGGCGTCATCTGCAGGCCACCGCCGGTCCTCCGTCCTCTCCCTCTTCCTTCTCTCCCCCATCCTCACCTCCCCTTCTCTTTTCTTGTTCTATCCCGGTAGACTCAGGTGGCTGGTGTCGTATCAGCTGCAATTCTATCGATCTCATCTGCCCTGAGCTGTGAGCTTAAACTCCCCATTCCCCAGTCACAGCCGTCTTGCCCTGATAGCTCTTACTGATAAGCACCCTGCCTACCAGATACCATCTGCCGCAAGGTCCTTGTTGTCATTCCCACCTCAATTCATCAGAGAACTCATCCCAGACCATCCTATAAACCAGTATAATTCATCATGAGAGTTCTACCAGCCTCGTTGCTGGTCGGAGCGGCTACTGCTGCCGTCCCCTCTACCTTCCAGCAGGTGCTCGGAGGCCTCGAGTCCAACATCAAGTCGACTGTTGAGAGCTCCTCCGAGCCCCTGCACGCTTTCAAAGAGCAACTGAAGACCTTGTCAGATGATGCTCGTAAACTCTGGGAGGAAGTTGCCAGCAGCTTCCCCGAGAGCATGGACCAAAACCCTCTCTTCTCTCTGCCCAAGAAGCACAACCGTCGTCCCGACTCTCACTGGGACCACGTTGTTCGTGGTGCTGATGTCCAGGACGTCTGGGTCACTGGTGCCAACGGTGAGAAGGAGCGGGAGATTGATGGCCGTTTAGAAGCCTACGATCTCAGAGTCAAGAAGACCGACCCTAGCTCGCTGAAGATTGACCCCGGCGTCAAGCAATACACCGGTTATCTCGATGATAACGAGAATGATAAGCACCTGTTTTACTGTAAGTGCCGATCTCTTGAGTGGACTTGACTTGCGGGAATCTGATGTTTAAAAGGGTTCTTTGAATCTCGCAACGATCCTGCCAACGACCCCGTCGTCTTGTGGCTGAACGGTGGCCCCGGTTGCTCGTCTTTGACCGGTCTGTTCATGGAGCTTGGTCCAAGCAGCATCGATGAGAACATCAAGCCCGTCTACAATGAGTTCTCCTGGAACTCTAACGCCTCCGTCATCTTCCTTGACCAGCCCGTCAACGTCGGCTACTCCTACAGTGGCTCTGCCGTCAGCGACACTGTTGCTGCTGGCAAGGACGTGTATGCTCTGCTTTCTCTCTTCTTCAAGCAGTTCCCCGAATACGCCAAGCAGGATTTTCACATTGCTGGAGAGTCTTATGCTGGCCACTACATCCCCGTCTTTGCCTCCGAGATTCTGTCTCACAAGAAGCGCAACATCAACCTTAAGTCGGTGCTGATTGGTAACGGTCTCACTGATGGCTTGACTCAGTACGAGTACTACCGCCCCATGGCTTGTGGTGATGGTGGTTACCCTGCTGTCTTGGATGAGGCTTCCTGCCAGTCTATGGATAATGCCCTCCCCCGCTGCTTGTCCATGATCGAATCCTGCTATAACTCTGAGAGCGCCTGGGTTTGTGTCCCTGCCTCTATTTACTGCAACAACGCCCTTCTGGCTCCTTACCAGCGCACCGGACAGAATGTCTACGATGTCCGTGGCAAGTGCGAGGACAGCTCCAACCTTTGCTACAAGGGTCTGGGCTATGTCAGCGACTATTTGAACAAACCTGAAGTCATTGAGGCTGTCGGTGCCGAGGTTCAGGGCTACGACTCCTGCAACTTCGACATCAACCGTAATTTCCTCTTTCACGGCGACTGGATGAAGCCCTACCACCGTCTGGTCCCGGGTCTGCTCGAGCAGATCCCCGTCTTGATCTATGCTGGTGATGCTGACTTCATCTGCAACTGGCTTGGTAACAAGGCCTGGACCGAGGCTCTTGAGTGGCCCGGCCAGAAGGAGTATGCTCCCCTCCCCTTGGAGGATCTCAAAATCGTCGACAATGAGCACAAGGGCAAGAAGGTGGGTCAGGTTAAGTCCCACGGTAACTTCACCTTCATGCGCCTCTTCGGCGGTGGCCACATGGTCCCCATGGATCAGCCTGAGTCCAGCCTGGAGTTTTTCAACCGCTGGTTGGGCGGCGAGTGGTTCTAGATTGGCGCTGCTCCGCTTGCTATTTGATACGAGCTAAAGACTTGCACTTACCTACATGCAATATGTACCAGCTTTCCTTTTCTCTATATGTCCCTTGCTTTTTTTGTTGTGAGTCTGCCTGTCACAAAGAACGCCTTTTACGGGATCTATGCCCACATGACATGCTATTTGCTAGAATTGATGGAATAATCATACTTTTTCCTCGAGACAACTTTGTATATGAAACACGATCTATGCCGCGTGCACTGTACCGGATGAGAAATCGCCCGGGGCTACATCTAGATTCGCCGAATTTTCCCATCGTAGTCGAGACCATGAATGCAGGAAACCCCCTTCCACGTAGCGAACTTGAGTAACCCGATTCGGAGGATTGGTACTTCGTCAATCCGAGTGATTTCCAAATATGACGTCCAGTAATTGTCGGGATACTACGAATAGATAGAAGGCAAAATCACAACGCCGAAATACTGCGCCGGGGAAAATACGTAGGATTATATTCTTGTATCTTATCTCTGATGTCTATGTATAAGTCCCCAAGGCTACATTAGTCCGTCACTTGTTCCAAGTGTCTAGTTGCCTCATTTCTCAGAAGATAAAGTTTCAGAAAAAGTCCCATCCGATCCCGATCGATACTGTGCTGCTGCATGCCCTGACAAAGGGGGGGACCCGTTTGACTCGGTATGTTACGCATACTTGTTGTGTCGCTCAGGGTAGAGCTTCCCGTCATCTGAGCTGGGGACTGGCTAGCGAGGTTGGACCTTTGAGGTGGATAACTAGATGGTGTGAATAGTCTAGGTAGAAGAGGAGGAGGAGGGGGGGGGAGAGCTGGCAAAGATTCACGCTCGTAGAGGGATCGTCTTCTTGGTGTCTCTGGTACATCTATTGCGAGAAGGCGATGCGATGGAAAGACACACTTGAAAGACATCGAACTAGAAAAGGAAACGAGAAATATGTACTTAAACGCCTAGGGGTAATAAGGACTACTAGAGACGATCTGATACCAGAAAAGATGATTAAATATACAGGACAAGCTTATATGTTATTGGAAAGAGCATTTTCGCACCGAGAGAAATAGCACGAGTTATGATAATCGAAGTACGAGAGATGAATGTCCCCTGGAGTGCCAGTGGTATATCCAAGGGAGAAGTCTGGAGAAGTCCATATGCTCTATATCGAGAAGCCAGTGAGGTGTTTGGAGTAAGATTAAATGTTGATGGGAGAGAGAAGTATAGCCTGGGGATAACATATGACCTGATATAGGTTTATGGAGACAGACGACGTCGTACGAGTCTTGTAGGAGATGCAAAAGACTCTGGGTATTTCACTTAGCATGTAGCGACGCAGCCATTCTAAATCATCTACAAAAGCGAGGACCGAAGTTTGGTTTTTTTTTTATTTCATTTCATGATGGTATGATTTCTTTTCATTTTCGCAGGAAACACGGGGTCAAGACAAAGCCATCCGGTTTCCCCTGATCCTTTCAGGTTTCCCAACGAAGAAGGGGGTAAATTTCGTTAAGGAGGTTTTTAAATCACACCAGCATCCTCTGACAAAGGTTTGCCCCCCCGACTCTCTTTTAATCCCATGATCCAAAGTAGCCCAGCCCCGCGCAAGAAAAGAAAGAAAAAAACAAGTCTCCCAGACGATTAAGGAGATGCTTAGTTCTTCTTCTTGCTGACACCGACGGTGCGACCACGGCGACCGGTGGTCTTGGTGTGCTGACCACGGACACGGAGACCCCAGTAGTGACGGAGACCGCGGTGGGAGCGGATCTTCTTGAGACGCTCAAGGTCCTCACGGATCTTGCTGTCGAGGTTGTTGGAGACGACCTGGGAGTTCTTGCCGTCGGTGATGTCGCGCTGTCTGTTCAGGAACCAGGCGGGGATCTTGTACTGCTCGGGGTTCTGGAGGATGGTGACGACACGCTCGAGCTCTTCGGTGGTAAGCTCACCGGCGCTGTAGGAGAAGAGAAATTAACTTGACTGTTGTCGGAAAATAGTTGAAGTGAACGTGACGTTGAAAGCAGAGGTCAGGTGCGAGCGCGAGTTGATTCCCAATTCAAGTAATTTCCTCGCGCTAGACGTTGCTGTGTGGTTGCGCGCCATCGGTGCTTCCTCCTCTTGTTTCCCGCTTGCCCAAGATCTGCCTGTGTGGATGGATGTGATGGAAACTCTGGTTGGGATTAAACGTACCGCTTGCTGAGGTCAACATCGGCCTTCTTGCAGACCAAGTTGGAGTAACGGCGACCAACACCCTTGATCTGGGTCAAGGCGTACATGATCTTCTGCTTACCGTCAACATTGGTGTTGAGGAGACGCAGAATGTACTGGAAGTTGGTCTTCTCGCCGGACACAAGCGCTAAATGTCGAAACACAGATCAGCAATTCCGTTCGTTCAGAATCATGGCGAATGCTCATGTCCCATCTTTCCAGAGCGATTAATTCTTCCTGCCTGTGCCCACGCCCCGTTCCATATCCGGTCGGTCTGTCTTGATTCCCTTATCGAGCTGACACTTTATTCCATAATTTTCCGTTGCAGCGAAAATTTCCCAACGCTATCATCCCGAGATGACCACCGAACCGTATATCAAAACCGACCGGACACAGAACCAGGATAGGGACACCAGAAGAGAAAAATCGTCGGACATGAGGGATCTGGAGAGACTGAGAGAATTGCACGTACACATGATGGGCGATTTGGCGCGGGACCGCGGTGTATTGTCGACAGGCGAAAGGGATGGGAGAAGGAGGGTGAAGGTCGAGGGCGTTGGGCGGTGCTTCTCAATCTCTTTCCTCTGGGACTTTCGCAAGCCCGTTGTGGGATCGGGTAAGCTGCCGTCTAACCGCTTCGGGAATGGTCGTTCTGAGGGCTCGCTTACGGCCCGCGCTTGCCTGTTTCGGGATATATTGTCTGTCGGGCCTGAGGCTCGGGCACGTGATTTGGTGACTTCTGGGGAGCCTCAGGCTACGGTTGAGGCTCCATAGTAGGACCGGTTGCTGAGCGACAGAGAGAAAGGCGTACTATCCATGTCTTAATACATTTGGTGGTCGATGTGCTTGCTTGACCATTTTTGGAGGATTGATTCCTCTTTCCTGTCTGGTCTTTGTAGCTGCGACTCTAGTTTCGATGGGGCTGTTGTCAAAGTAACTCCATCTGTCGCAGCGCCACTTAACATTACGCTCGGGTATCTGACTTGAAGACAGTGAATCTCCCACTTGACTTGGTCCAAGTTATCGTGTAAGATTGTATAGCCCGGCTTGATTGCATCACTCGTATGTGTCATTCCGGTGGTGGAGTGGGACTTCATAACTATTACCCAAAGCCCAGGATCAAGTAACTCGTTCTCAAGGTTCTTAGTACAGGAATTGTGAAGTACTTGTAGTTGTATTCGAAATACCAGAAGAGAGTGTAGAGAATATAGTTCCCAAATAATGTGAAACTGTGTGCTTAAAATGCTAACACGGTTTTGTTTATGATGCCAATGAGCTGGTTCACGTTGGCCAGTTCTGTCGTGTTACTCCGGGTGATTCTTCTAGTGTCGCTGCTTCCTGTTGGTTTTCCTCCTCACCACCACACACGCCTTCCCGTTTTCAGCTTAGCGCCCGTCCTCCCCAAGACTTAGCGAGCCTGTTAGCGTCTTCGTTTGTGAAGTATACGATCCGTGCCAGGAGATGCCTCCCAGCACCAGCCAGACACCTGCCTGCAAAAAGAGAAAGAGGGCCAAAAGCCGGCTTGATGTCCAAAAATACTGCTTCTCTATGCCAGGCGTGAAGTGGGATGAGGTGGAGTTTCCTGATCCAGCTCCTCAGTATGAGCTGCTGGATCTGGAGACCTTGCCCGATCCCCCGATCGATTTCAAGATAGACGGCCAGGTGAGGGGTCGCATCATCAAGGCTGGTTTGGCACGCAAGCATGAGCTTATCTCTCTGGTCCGTTTTCACGGCTGGGGATTTGAACATGGGTTAGATGAGCGCCATACCAACACCAGTGAGCTTCGCTTCGTCCTTTACAAGATCTTCTACAACCAGGCTCCTGAGCATCGACCCCAAAAGTTTCTGGAAGTCTTTGACCTCACCCGCGACGCAGGTCCACGGCTGTTGTCAGCCAGCATAGCAAGGCCGATTCTCCCAGTCAGTCGCTATTATCCAGCCCTGCCAACGTGTTGTGAATCCACTGTGTTAAACTTTCAGAGACCACCCGGTGCATCGCCTTTTCTTTCTGATCTGTGTCTGTATTTGATGTCCCTACCATCGCGCAATGGTGCCCTTCTCAACATATCGTTTCACATTGAGGATCACAACCAGATAAACGTCTTCCACCCCAGCACCGCTGGTCTTCTCCAGCAGGCGGCACATCATCCAGCTCAACTCGCCGGTTCGTTCGAGACAACTGTGACCACTGCATCTCCAGACGGGCACCTCAACAGCATCCCTCTTACTACATCATCAAGCACCCTACAGCCTCAGCTCCTTGACAGCGACATCGCCATGGAAGAATCCTTGTCTCGTGACAGAGGTCCTAGATGGAGCGGCAATTCGGAGATGATTGACGCTCTAATTGTGGTCGCTAAATTGCTGAAACTGACAGCCGTGAAAAATGAAGATATGACCTCAGCAGAGCTTGCCTTCATCGAAGCAGTCAACACAGATTGGGATACCTGTTCCGCTAGCTCGGGCCTACAAGTCAGAGACCGTGTCAAGGCTGAACTACAGGCACTTGACATCGATGTCAACGGAACTCCCAAAGACGTACAAGAGGCTTGGTTGGCTTTGACAAAGAGCTTCCCTCAGTTCCAATATCTCTCTGCCAGGCACTACTACTGGTGCGGCTGCAACCCTGATGTGTGTCCCGATTCTTCGTTTGTCGATGCCGGACTGCCTTTCGAGGAACGCATGCCGAGGCCGCCTTTTGTAAACACAGATACAAACGGTATCACCATGCAGGACCTTTTGAGCCGCTGGTTTGAACGGCGCGTGACCGAGGCTTGCGTCTCAAAATGCGGGAAGCCCGTAACCACAACCTATGCATATCATACCCTCCCGCTGTGCTTGGTAGTTGGTCCCGATCCCGGCTCATTTATTCGCGAGCACACGCGTGATCTCAGCATCAACTACATCGACTTCACGGGTGTGGAACGTAGAGCGATATACAGATGGATAGGGGGCATCTACTTCGCAAACAACCGTCTCCGTGTATACTGGGCTGATGCGGAACCCGACGAAAGTGGCAATGGCAGACTCCATGTCTACGAGAGCCAAATGACTCCGCTGATCATGCTTGAGCCCGTCGCCCTGCCTTTCGACCGAATTCCGGCATATTGGTGGACACACAAGGCTGTTCCATTGCTTTTCTACGAGTGCGTCTGGAAACCTCAACCCGAGGCTTTGGAGCAAGACCCGTTTGACTTTGACGTTGCGATTGCAGCCATGAATGCCTATCCGAACCATGTACCTACACAGTTCCAGACTATGGAAACAACCCCATATGCGTTCGACGCTGAGAATGCAGCCCTAAATGATCCCAAGAGGGTATTGACACAGACTGATGCTTGGTTTCAAGCACAAAAACATGATGCCAGTAATGTTGCAGCGACTTTATCAACTGCAGAAGGCAGCTTGGAAGAGCTTTTGAATGAGGCCAGCACCATAGTAGATTGGTCATGGTTTTCCGCTCAGCCTGAACTCCAGCAAGCGAGTACTGACGAGACGACTTGGGAACAGTGAGCCAGTGAGCCAATGAGTCAGCGGGCAAGTCAGTCTGTCAGAATCTATCTGGAAGTCCTACGATGCGAAAGAGCTGAGTGCAAATGAAAGTGGCAATCTGGAAGATTTACAGATGGGCCGAGCTTCCGAAGAGAGTTTCCTTTTCTGTTCTTGAGTGGCAGATCTGTACCCGTCGTTTTCGGATTCACCATTGGGATATGGCCTGTACAGTGCATATGCCATCTGTTTCTGCCTTCTGACAAACCATCTACATATGTACAGTGGTTGGAATCCCTTTCTGAGCTAGAGATGTACAGTACAGTAGTAGCTGCCGGTGCTTGATGTCGAGAGTATGTGCATAACTTTTCTTTTTCAAGTATTAGCAGAAAACAAGAATCCCCGAAGGCTCAATTGCCTATAACCGGGTCGATCGCCTGAATTCAGCTTCAAGTTGGACTACTGACTAGTGTAGTTACGTAGTAGTAGGTACTAATTAGATTACTGGTAGTTAGTTGTACAGCCCGTCAAATGCCGATACATGGTAAACAGCCAATGAAAGACAAGGGGGAAGTCAGCTCCAGCGGATCCTTGTTGCTTTCCCCGCATTTCGTCCTCCTCGCCAAAATTCCCCCCTTCTCTCATCCTCACCTTCAATCGATCTTTGTTTTATCCTTAGCTGAAGGATCTTCAGAACCGTTCATCCAGATACATGGTACTCGAAGTCGGTATCAGTCAGTCACATCTATTGAAAAACTCAAAAATGAAGCAAAACAGGCTAACTCTAACTATATCATCTAATCTAGATTCCATATGCGAGGAAAACAACGCAGTCCGACCGGGACAAACCAGGCCCGTACTCTATAACCTTGCCCGAACAGCTTCTTTCTTGGACTTCCTCGGCGGGCCAGTTGGGGTATCACTCTTCTTCGGCGCTGAAATATATCCTCCCTTGATGTTATCTGCATTGATGACCAGCCCCTTGTCATCTCTCTTGATGCCGAGCTCGATCAACTTCGCAAACGCCTTTGCAAAGTGATCGAAGAACAGTTCCTTATCTTTCGCATACTTCACCACCCACTCATGAAACTTCTCGTCCGTCTTCAGCGCGATATCCGTGGGCAACATCATCAACATCTCGTCCCCCTCCTCTGCATCCGGATCCACATAGACGAACTGAGACACTCCATTGCCCAGCTTCTTCGGCGTCCACTCGAGTTTCAACAAGAGGTTAAAGAACTGGTTGGAAAACCGCGTCGGATTATTGACCCATGGTCCTTCAAACCCGCTACGGTCGGTATGGCAGCGCCCGAGGTTGTGTCCGCCCGCTAGTGCAACTATCTCCTGGTCGTTGAAGCCCATCCGATAGAAGATGAAACGGAGGTGGTCGGCTCCCAGAGCTCCGTCGGGTAAGCGGCCGCGAGGCGGCACCTTGGAGTCGTCGACTAGATCTGTTCGGCCTGGTTGCCATTGGACTTCGGGCCCACCCATCTCCTTGATGGCAACTACACCAGCCAGGGTCCACAGGTCCGAATATGTGATCCAGGGATGCCTTTTTTTAACGGGTTCGAGAAATGCTCGGCCAAATTGGAGGCCTGCGTTGGCTGGGTCCCCGCCTTCAGCTTCATAACGCATGCCGGCCCCATTACTGCCGCCCGTGTCGGACTCCGCATCATACGTGCCAGCGGAGTGCCTGTGGGGAGATTAGCTGGTGGATATGGAAGTTATTTACTTCTCATTAGGGAGACTGACCATGCTAGACGAACAAAGACAGGACCAGCGCTACCGTCGTCATAATCGGGTTTTTTCAGTTGGGCGGCGATGTCCTTGCGGACAGCGTCATAATCCCCGGGGGTGCTCATCCCGGCCGATAAGAGCAATCTCTGGGGTAGAAAGGGGGTCTGGGCTGCCGACCGATTGGATCAAGTTTTTGTGCGCCGTGAGTTCTTCTTGCAACGATACGGTCGGACAACGAACGAGACAATCATTCAAATCATATACACATAAGGTGAAGAAATGTTGAAGAAGGTGAAGGGAAATTCAAATGACTGTCCGATTTACTCTTGTCTTCGTGCTGGCACATGAAGGTCGGACCGATGGCGACTAAAGATTGTGGATCACTGGATCCGCGGTCAAATTCCCTTGAGAGCAAAAGCCGAGGTTCGTTTTTCTGGTTTTGCGACCCGTGCTCTCACATTCCAGGACCACCACTTATCGCAATGGAGACGACTAATTTTTGCACTTCTGGCTCATCTGATTGGGTTGAATCTTGGTCGGCTTCATGGAGACCCATCTTTGGCTCTTTCCCCAGGTTCATGTGTCTCAATGGGTCTGGGACAGGTTTGTGGTCCTTGATGATTGTGGCAAGAAAAGGGATCACACGTGAAAATATGCAGACCAAGTATGAATGTGAACCCTGATATTATTCACAGTCTGGCTTATGGGACTGTCGTTGAACTGTTCCGAGCTATTTCTTTAGGAGATTCCAAGCTTCCCTGTACCAAGTATGCCGGTTTTTCCAGATCCAGCAAGCCATCATTAGCCGCTCGGAAATGTACCTCGGGCTGTGTTATGCCGAGCGTTTGTGGAATAACCGACAAGACTGCAATTTTGGAGCATTCTGCGCTCTTCTAAACGACAGTTGATGCCATGCACTGCAGAACGGACTCGTCTCAGATGTATACATCTGAAGCACTAATCGACTCCCAGATACACAATGAGTGCCTGTTCACATCCCCAAGTGCAGGCGCGATCGCTCAGCACGGATAAAAGCGCCTGGTAGTCGCGGTTCAGGATCAGCGCGAGTTTCCGAAACCGTTACAACTGAGCGTTCCGGAGTGTCCGTCCTTCACTCTTCAAAGTCTCTGAATCACTCCACCTCAGACTTGACTTAATTCAGTCAATATCCCATCATTGTGCACGCGCCGTAGGTTTCGAATCGCTGCAACGAAGATGGCCGGTGAAGTCCATACAATGAACCGGCGAGGTGTTTTGACTCTTCCAGCCGTTCTTGTTTCTGATAAGTGTCGGCATCAACGAGGATTAATCGCAGCTCGTAAGATCGGCGCGCTCCCTCATTTTGGCTTACATAGTTTGTGAGGGAATATTTGTTGTTGGTCGGAAATGAATTCGTGGTGCATAGCAGTACCAGACAGAGCACATGCCGCAGCAGTAGTAGGAAAATGATAGGAGGACAATGAATGACTAGGAAACAATTATCGTTCCTGTGTGAACATGGCACACGATAAATTTTTGAGACCTCCGCAAGCTGCACAGAAAACCCAACTACTATATCAATTCATATATTCTACACAAGAGGATGAAATATAAGTCAATTATGAGGTCAGTCCCTCTACGTAACCAGGTGAAGGCGCACCTCTCCCCTCGAGTTTGCACCGTTTGTCTCCACCCACCCCTCATCCCCGCGGAGCAAATTTCCTCGTCGCAACCATGACATTTTATAGTCTTTCTAGAAAGATCCGAAAAAGGATAAAAGCGACCCCGTCACCTCGCACCAAATTTCACCAAACCCTCTCACCGTCCAGCGCCAAGAACCGAAAATGGGCCAAATCGAAGAACTCCCCGACGACTTCGACGAATCGCTCAATCTGAACGACGGCGCCGCCAACGCCGCGGCGGCCGCCGCCGCCGCAGCGACGACGACGACGGAAGAAGAGATCCTCCCGATCAAGCACGAGCGTCTCAAGGATGTAGAGAGCAACGATCCGATGGCGCCGCGCATGCCGCCGACGATGCAGGCGGTGCAGACGCACACGACAGACGAGTTGGCGGATATCCTGAACCGGACGCCGTTGTTCATGACGGATATGGATAAGGCGCTGGATGAGAGTATGTCTGTTCCATTGGTTCATTCCGGGTTCGATATTGCGAGGAATCACTACCGAATAGAAGAAGTTGCGTGGAGCTAACCTAACCGGCTTCTGAGTATAGACGGCGAAAACGTCATGCTGGATGCGATCCGCGCGCTGCAGAACGAAGGAACCCGCGGCGAGGTGGCGCAGAGTTTCCGGTCCGAGGGGAATGAGACGGCAAAGGAGAAGCGGTGGATTGATGCGAAGGAACACTATACGAAGGCCATCGCGGTGCTGCAGGCTAAGGAGGATAAGTGGGAGAAGCCCGAGGATGAGGAGGCGGAGAAGAAGCTGCAGAAGGAGGTGGAGGCTGCGTGCTATATCAACCGCGCGTTGTGTCATTTGGAATTACGTGAGTTGTTGCAATTTGATTTTCCACCTTGTGGTCTTTTTTTTTGTTTGTGGATCAGGAGATTTATAATGGGCTGACTTGGTTTTCGGTGGAACCTAGAAAATTACCGCTCTACGACGCTCGATTGCGCCGCCGCTTTGAAACTCAACCCCAAGAATGTCAAGGCGTACTATCGGTCTGCGTCGGCGCTGCTCGCCCTGGACAAAATCCCTGAGGCGGAGGACGCTGCCGCGCGGGGTTTGGCGATTGATCCGGAGAACAAGTCACTGCAGACCGTGGCTGCCAAGATTGCAGAGCGCAAGGCAGCGGTAGAGCGTGTCGCGGCGAAGCGGAAGGCCGAGGAGGAGCGCAAGCAGAAGGAGGCGCAGCTGCTGAGCGTCGCGCTGCAGGCGAGAGGGATCCGCACGCGCAAGACGGATTCGCCGCCGGAGATGGAGGACGCGTGCATCAAGCTCTCGCCAGACCCGCTGTCGCCCGAGAGCACCCTCGAATTCCCCTGTGTGCTGCTCTACCACATGGACGCGCAAACGGACTTCATCAAGGCGTTCTCCGAAATGCATTCTATCGAGGATCATCTGGATTACATCTTCCCGCTGCCCTGGGATACCAAGCATGAATACACGATCAACACAGTGGACTGCTTCATGGAGACCGCCACGGGGGGGTTGATCAAGGCGGGCAAGAAGCTGCCCTTGCTGCAGATTCTGGCTAGTGGCAAGGTGGAGGTTGTGGATGAACTGGTGAAAATTTATGTGATCCCCACGTCGAAGACTGCCAAATTCATCGCCGAGATGAAGGCCAGGAAGTCGGGTTGAGATGGGCAAGACAGTGATTTGACCCAAATCAAAGTTGTGGTGGATCGTGACTTCGCCAGAGTGGATAGCCGGTCTATTCACTTGTATACCTTCTCGGTCTGAGAATGACGAAGGACAAGCCAGGTCAACTGTCTGAAAGCTGCTGTAGAGGCACTAATCATGGCGACCTGCGTCTCAGGGCAACCATATGCCCGCTACTGTCGGTCTTTATACCCGTTTATCGTTGGTCGAAGATCATTCGGTTCCGGCAGTTGATGCCATTGTAAATATGTGCTGTTAGACACGAATCAAAAATTATATGACTTCGACAAAGCGTGTTTTAGGCATGGAGGCATGGCTACCAGAGGGTGGATAGTGAGAAAGTGCTGAATTTGCGCTGCACCACATGCGATTATTCTGAACACTACTGCCGCTATAGCTTTAACACTTCTATCTTACCTGTCAAGAAGAACCATGAGCGCTGTAGGCTAGACAATCTCACACAGTCAACATGATGCTATTATGCCTCCGTTCTACGCCGAATACATTGTCTCTCAAAGGCTATCTCAACAGAGTTTATTCACTAAACGCCAGGCTAATTCATCATACGAATCCTGCATGGTGTTGAAGGACTTCGAGGTGAAGTGAATAGTATATATGGCCCAGACCTTGTGACTCCTCAGCAGTCTGCTTTCACAGTATACTTGGGCGGTTTTGACCTCGCTTCACTTGTCGGCCCTAGTAACGTATTCGGTGAATTTCCAGATTAATTGACAATGAAGACTGTGACTAGACCTTAATTAATCCGTAGCAGACAACTCTTTACTCTCCCCACCGACCTCCTTCATCCTCCCATTCCTCCCATCTTGGAACCTGCATATCTCCCTCGAATATCGTGGCCCAATGACTGACTGTATTTTCCACGCTACTACTGTGGTTTATAGCCAGTTCGGCCACCGAAAGACGCACATATATGGTTCAGAGTCAGAACGATAGGTTGCGCCCTCCGCTTGACCCCAACTAAGGTCTCGTGAGTTTCCAGTGACATTTCTCTGGCTGCAAGGCAACTGTTGCATGCAGTGGGACAACCATTTACATAGCGAAGAAGGACCGAGATAAACGCCCTCTGGTCCTGAATTGAAGAGCCTTCTCTTCTCTTAAAGGAAGGTTCAAGGTGCATCGACATTTGCAGATAAGCAGATTGCCCAAGCTTCGTCATATATCAAAAATCCCACCCTACCTTCATGCTTACACAGATCTTTCCTCGGAAGAAGGAAGAACCACGAAGCGCACCACAGCGCCGCCCACTGTAGCTCGGGAAGTGATGAGCCAGTGTGTGGTCACTCGACGTGCATAATCTGTTGGATCGAATTTAGACAGAGTTTTCAATACGGAACGTGCTGGAGGACGTCGAAAAACTTGCCTCCCCGTCACATACATATCTGCAGAGACATTGGCGAGCTCCGAACAGAAGCTTCGGGAGCAAAAGAGTGTTCCGGAGCCCCCTGTTCATAGAGCAGATGGGGTCTACTATCGCTATCTTTCCTGTTGGTTGATCAACTTGAATGGTTGATTCAGAAGCAGAGGGTAAACAGTCTTCTCAAACCTCGCTCTGCCAGGTCCAGCGAACGAAGGGGGAAGTCGGGAAACCGCAATCCCATGTAGAGAGTGAAGTAATCTAGCCTGGACCATACACAATCGTATATTTCAGCTGGCGAATAATCTCAACTGTGGATTCTGGAGACTTCAGCGGCAGAATGCAAACAAATGGTACAGTTTGCACCCTTGTGATATTACCCAGGGACCGAGTTTTCCTGTCCCCTACTATGGGTTCTTGAATCTCGGTATGCAAGGACTTTCTGCCCCGGCCGCCGACGAGGAAGACGACGACGAAGAGGACGATGATGATGATGATGAGGAGGAGGAGGCCCCCGCGGGCCGCAAGTCCCTCGAGGACCTGCTGGCCCAATTCCTCGTTGGGCGTCGCGTTGTTGCCCCCGCCCCCACCGTCCGCCCCCCCGCCGAGGACGTGGCCTGGTGGCTCGAGGCCTCCGCCGATAGCCAGGACGCTCTGGCGGTTGCTTTCCGGGCCGCGGCCGCGGCCGCCGACGCCGCAGTGGCAGCCGCCGAGGCCCAGGCCGACGCCGCCCGCCAGCTTGTGGTTATTAGGCCGAAGCTATATCTGAGCTCCATTTTCGCTGGTTAGAGCCTTTCCCTTCCGCCTCTTATACATTGGCTGATTAGCTCGCAGGTTTTGAGACAAGCCTAAAGAAGAGGCGAAGCAGAAGCAGGCTTGTGTGAGAAAGCTTTGTGCAAGGCAATAGAGTATTACCGCGCACCGACGTCCGACGGCCGCTTACGACGACAATATCGCTCAGGAAGATGTTGATAATGAAGTATCACCACCCCCTCCCACTCCGTTGATGGGTGATGGTCACACCAACGGCGCACCCGAGGAGAAGCATGATGACGACTACCGCCAGGTTTGGGATAAGGTCTCGGTATGACTATGTGTGTTCAAAGCTTGTATCAATCCGACTGATTGCTACGCCATGACAACAGTCCACCCACATATGCTATGATCTGAAGGACCAATATTTATCATTCAAGCTACATACAACCTTTTCCAAGCCCACTTCAGCCAACGGGCAATGTACAGTATAAGCATGCCGGTAAAGACAAGACTTGTGATTAGATAGGATGGCAGCCTCCAAAGTGGACGCAACTAGCTTTACGGTGCGTTGATGCTAGTATGGCGTGCCAGGGGAGCGCCTCGGGGACGCCTTTGCGAAAAACAAATTCCGGGTCTTGCCGGCCGAACAGGGCCCAAGGATGCCACTACAGATCAGTGAGAGGGAAGAAGCGGGTGGAGGGAACAAAATGGGCGCTGGGTTCATCCAGAGACTGTTTGGGTTCTCATCCTGACCTGCAAATATACCAAATGCATCCCCTTTACTGAGATGCAGAGTCATGGGCGGAGGTCCTTCTCGAAAGACTCGCCTTGGCCGATTAGAGCATCTCAAGAGTCATAATCAGCGACAGAGACAGCAAGTTCTTATCCATCCTGTGGACAGTACTTGTCGAGGCGCTGTAGCATACCTTCTTTCCTCTCAAATTCTTGTGGCGTCTTGGAGAATCCTTCTACAGGCGTGCATCCATTCTACCATCTGCAAACCACTATTGGTAGTGGTAGTTTTCAATATCTTTGACCTACAGTACCGACTAATGTTCCACACCGCGAGCCATACTTAAGTGGACGGAAAAAGAGAGAGGATGGAAAAACCAGAAGATGAACTAGACTATCAAGATTTCCCTTCGGTATACGGTAGCATTATTGACGGATACGTCGGATTGGCCTGAAGTATGCCACAGTTGCAGTTCTGCCGAAATTCACATAAAATGGCTTGATGACAAGCTCAGCCAAGTGGTACACTATTGGAATACAAAAAACCACATCGTCTAGGGCAGCCTATGCGGTATATCAGTACCAAGATACTTATTAATTTGAAGCGTCAAGAAAGACAATGAGGAATAGTAAGATTTCTTTCATAGCACAAAGGAGGAATGATAGCTTGGGGTTTCCAAAATGAGGTATCCTCGTATCGGCCGGCCCTTCTTAGGTGCTCAACACACTAGAGTATGTCAATGGCCAGCAGGACGGTAGAATCCGAGAGTCGACTATTCCAATAACTCAAGCGGTGATGAAGTGGTAGGTTGGGGATAAATACCGCAGGCGGGAAAGAAACGATGGATCCCTGGCGGAAGCTCAAGAATTGGGCGGAGAAAATGCCTCGTACAACAAACACCACCAACACCTCCTTGGATTCTGAGTCGCAGCTCTAAGAGAGCAGTGTGAATTGAGCAGTCGATTCCACGTGTGTTCCAGGCGCCAGAAGGCTTAGCTCCAGACTAAGGGCTGTCATTCACTTGCACGCTGCGTCAATTATTCCAGGCGAATGGTGATCCAGGAGGTCAAGCGCAGGATAGCCATCATGTCTCATATTTGAGACCTCCTTGCCTCGTGGATTCTTCCAGGCTGTTCTCTTCGCAGGTAACTTCAGCATCTCGCTTTCTCTGGGCATAACATTGCTCTGATCAAGTTAGCATCGGACACAATGAACGTCTTAACACCCTATCAATGCCAATTCCAGCCTCTTCCTAGTGAGCCACCACCACCGTATACTCCCTCACCACCCTCGTATACACCACGAGCGTCACATCACCACAACAATCACAGACATATTCCCCCAACGGTGACTCCTCACTTCCTCTGCTCCAGCAATCCACCTTCACATCTCTCCGACTCCACCATCGCCAGATACGGCGTTTATCTCACCACGCTGCACCACAGCGCCACCGGCACCACCCACCTCTACCGACTCTGTCCACGCGTCCCTACCAACAGCAAACCCGGACTCTTCGCAGTCAAAATCATCTCCTCATCCTCTCCACCCCTTGCACTCCCTCTCCTGCCCAAGTTCAACACGCTCAACAGCACCCACCCCAACGTCCTCCTCCCATTCCTCCCCCCAATCATCGACGATGCGGGAAACCACCACCTGATAACCCCCTACTGCGCCGGAGGCACTCTCCATAATCTAGTTCACACCACTACGCGACTGGCCCCCGAAGAAGCCAACTGCTTCTTCAAGCAACTTCTCCAAGGAGTAGCGTATCTTCACAAACACCCTCCGTTCCACAACCCCCACCACGACCCCCTGGAGACGAGCTTAGATCTCACACCAGAGTCCATCCTCCTCACTGGAGAGGGCGCCATACAAATCAAAGTCCGTCTCCCCTTGTCGTCTGAAAGGACTCATCCTCCTGCGGGCAGGAGGAGCCCATACTACGCGCCAGAGGCATTGTACAGCCTCCCCCACGAGAGCAACACTAGGGCCATCACCATCGACCTCAACCCCAAAGCCATCGACACCTGGGCCCTCGGCATCATATACCTATTCATGCGCACCGGCCATCCAGCCTGGAGCGTGGCCAGTGCGGAAAGGGATCGGACCTATGCGCAGTACCTGCGGGAACGGACGCAAGAAGGGGGTTTCACAGTGATAGAAGGACTAGGAACAGTAAGTACTTATCATACACTCTTTCCAGTTCCCGCTCGCCTACCTTAAATGGATGTAAAGAAAACATTGTTGTTTGGACTGTGTATTGTTTTGTTTACTGAATGGCACGGGGCCATCGCATGATATAGGAACCCTGCCGCAACGTCATTTACGCTATGCTCGACCCCAAGCCTTCTCGTCGGTTAACGGTCCATCAGGCCTTGCGCTCGGAGTGGATGTATGGCGCTGAGATTTGTGATGCGGGGGGAATGAAAGGGTAGAGTTACCGCTTGTCTGGAGTGGTTAATGTGAGAGATTGTAGTATGTAGATGTAGGAAGAGAAGATAGGAGACACACACACACACACACATGCACCTATCTCCGCTTTCAGACCTCAGTATCAACCTACCATACACATATCTCAAGACAAAGTTCGACCCTCTACCTTACCCACTCCATACAATATAACAGTACTATACACTACAGCCCCTGGGACACACATAGTTACACCCTCCACCGTTGGAAAGACTGCCAACACACACACACACACACACAGTATGTACAGTACAAAAAGCACCACCAGGCGCCCTCCTCCACTCCAAATAAAAAAAGAATCACTCATTGATAAGCAAACTCCAACGCATCGTGCCGCTTGCCTTAATAAACATGACATGCATAAGTTAACCCGCTCCTCTCCCCTCCCAAGCTACCCAGACCCCCAATCTCTCCCACTCACTCACTACATTGAAACTATGACAAGCTTCAAGTCAAACCCCCGTTATCCATCTGCTCCTAATTTTGACACTACTATCTTTCCCAGCCCTCACCCGATCAGACCAGACCGACTTATCCTCCCCTAGGGATATCTAGATCTACACACTGGCACCACAACGGAAAAAACAAAAACCGGTTTTCTCATGCTATGAAACCAACAACACCTAGATCACTCCCATAGCTTAAAGCAAAATCGAACATATCAAATCCGTCGGCCCGAGCACAGACAGACAACCAACGCAAGTACGGAGTTTACAGTGACGAGAGAACCGGTTGACATCCCCTCTGTAGGGGGCGGATGCCTTACCCCTTGCTTTAGATAGGATTGAATACAAGAATTAAAAGAAACAAGATTCATAGGGCCTTCCGGTTCCCGTCCTGCAAGATTTAACTATCATCATTATCCTCTTCCCCCCCCCCCCCCCCCCCCCCCCCCTTTTCTCTTTAAGTTAAAATCTCGCATCTGCATGTACTGTACAGTACTCCTGCATAACATTTCAAGAAGAGTGGGTTGAAAGAGCAGATATACTTGTGCATATGTGTGTGTGTGTGTGTGTGTGTGTGTATGTATTGACTCTTCTAATTTTCCACCTCCATGAAATCTGCTGGTTCTGTTCTTGTTTATCTGTTACTTTCTGCTCATCTCCACAACTTCAAAAAGTCACACACACTTCAACCTCTCTATGATTAAGTATTGGGAATATGTACATCAATGCGCTCCCCTTTTTCATCCCATCTCATCTATACAACCAGCCCTCTAAACCCTCCTCCATGCATATGCAAACCGAAAATGGGCGGAGTCAAAAACAAAAGAAAAGAGGTAAGTACATGTAAGACCTTCTATGTTTCCCTTCCTTCCTTCCTTCCTTCTCTATATGATAAGTTCATCCGATATTAAAAACTAAAGTTAGTGGAACGATCCCGCCCAGTGATGCGACCCTCTCAACCACCCGGTGGGAGCGAGACAACGCGATTGTTCTAAGTCCTCGTTCGATGCAAATATGATGATCAATAATTGAAATAATACGGGTTCGGCATGCCTCCTCCAAGATCACTGCTCGATAACCCGATCACAGGCAGCGTCTGCTGCGCTTGGGTGTGAGGATAATATCGGAGGGGTAACGTGCTGGCGTCAAGTGAGGATGGCTCGTGGTGATACATGGAGCTGCTGGCCAGGTCAAGAGGGTAGCCAGCGGCGGTCTCGCCATCGCGTGACCTTCTCGTGGCGCTGCTGCTGCTAATGGGTGCATATGAAGAAGTGTGGTTGCTGCTGTCCCACGAAACCTGGATGGTAGGGCCTTTGCAGGGGTCAATGGACTTGGCGGGACCAGTGCTGTGACTGCCCTTCGGCGGCACGGGGGAGCTGCTAGTGGAGGGGAAGACTGAGGTATGGGATTCCATGTCAGGGATCTCTTTCCGATATACAGGGTTGATGCTGTCTTTCATGGAGGAACCGGTCGGCGACCCCATTGCTTGACTGTCGGCGAGCTGCTCCGGAAGGTGGACCCGCGATACGCATACTACCATGGGCCCATCTAAAACTGTGTCAGTCTTCGGCCACGGCCGCCATGCAAGAAGGAGCATACCCGTTCTGCCTTCCAAGTACCGTTCTTCCTCCCCTCGAACATGGTAGATCTCATCAAGGATAGCTAACCGTTCGACAGGTGATATTTGCCGGCGTACAGATTGATCCGCTTCTTTGAGCTTCTCGACGCAGATGGCGTGACTTTCACGCAGTTCGCACAAAATGTGTACCAAGAGTTTGATTCTCTCTGCCACCCATCACGAATAAGCATAACTCGCGCCGATGCAAAACGCTTCACTTACCATTCTTAAGCAGGTGGTCAGGTTCTCGGTGGGTAACGCCTGCCGGCCACCATGCTGGCTTGGTGAGCTCGGGATCAAATTGTTGAGAGGTCCCAGAAATGATCTTGCGTCCATTGTACGGGTAGTTGACCTGCTTGCGGGGTTCAACAAGCTTGATATATGCTTTGGCGAGAATGCGGCAGTTGATCTGTTGTAGGCCATCGAAGGCCTTCTCGTAGTATCTCCGGAGAACACTTGCATTGCGAACAGGAAGCATGGTCTTCTGGTGACAGGTAATGCTCATTGGTACAAGACACTCATGCGATACTCGTTTTCGCTTGTTGGAAGATGGCTCTGGGGTAGCGCGGAACCTGGAATGCGTTAGTTGTTATTGTCACCCAGAAACATGGCGCAGCCCATACATCGACTTGCTATTGGGAGACTCTGGCGTCAATGGACTTCTGCCTCTTGACCCTTCTTCGGCGATGTCAGTGATCTTGACCTGTTACGCGGCAGTGCGGGACTTACCCAGAAGTTTATTCGACTCATCTTTTCCCGACAAGGCCACGGCGCGTAGAAAGCTTTCGGTCACGTTCGGTGACAAGATTGTTTGGCAGCTGTCTGCAATCGAAGGTGATGCTTCGAAGCGTAATTTCCCGTTGTCATCGATATAAATCAGAGCAAAGTGCAGACATGCAAGCCCGTCCAACGGGGCATCCATCGATACCGGAGTATGAGACTGGTGCAGTTAGCTTGTGCTGCAAATCGCTACCAGGATGAATCAATACCATGGCTATGAAACAACTAAACAAGAAAGGATGACAAGTCAAGGTGACCAATGGTACAGATAATCGAACCTCAAGATACTCTCTCTGATGCAGTGATCAAGAAAGGTTCAAGGCACATAGAAGTACTCACGACGAGTCAGAGACAGGGCACGAGAGAGGGCATTTTAAACATGCATCGGAGACGGTCTGGGAGAGATTTGAGGCAAATCGACTCAGCGCAATGATCAATAGATCCACAGCCTGTATCAACACTAGAGGATCGCCTTCGATCCAGGGTATCAGCTGTCCCCTAAGTCGCCTCCGGGTGGATGATGCACGCACTGCATCACCTTTAGCCCCAGTAACTCCACCTCACCTCGGGAAAGATCAGAAGCGAGAGGAGAAAAATAAACAAAAATCAAACCTCGATGCCATAGAAGCTAGACCGATGAACGCGCCCAAGCCGTGTCACTAATGCGTGGCACTATGTGGCACTGCAGCGTATGGATCCCCATCCGCTCACTTGCATTTAGACGTGAGCATTAATGCCTTTCTGCGTTGCCCTCCTCGAATACAAATATTGGAGAGCGAAAAAAGTACCTTTTGACAATTCCCTGAATGAGTAATGATTCCGTATAGCTGACAGTTCTTGGGGAACGAGCCGGGGGCCACTACCCCGTAGATGAAATTCGGTGGGTTCCAAGAAGTCTCTATCATCGTCGATCCTTCACTCACCGGCAGTTCAAGCCCCATTTGCATGCAGTGCAGGGAATAGACGACCAGAGAGTATACTTGAACTAGTAACTCTTGGTATGATCAATTACTGCACCCCGTAGTCTGAGGTTGCCTTGAGTCGGAGTGTTGACACGGAGTAGTTCGGGTGGAGAATGCTCTCCATGAAGCACACAGTCTCCATACACTACCCAATCCTGGCAATCATCGTGTTCATTATTTCTCCTGTCATTTAAATTGCTCCTCAACGAGTGACTTAATCCCGCTAACCTTTCGCTCCTTGCTTTGTGCATCGGGTGTATCAGGCACTGATCGTAGCGTTAGTTTCACCCGAGGAGCGATTTGCATTGGCCCGTGGATACAACTATCAATGCGACGTGGGTAGGTAGTAACCTACCTAGAATGAAGAAGTTGTCTCCGAATGACGCCGGTGTTATTTATCGTCATATGAGATGATAGGTGGAGGTATGAAAGAGCCCAGTGGTGACTAGATGACCAACATCGTACTTACGTGGTCTCTAGGTGTCTCATTGCGAAGCATTAACCATGCAGAACGCTGTATACATTCTGGGACTAATTGATCAATCAGAACTCTAGTGCATGGATCCTAGCGGCTGGAAATGACCCACTAAACTAGGACGGCACAAGAGCTAATCGCGAAGAATAGCACAACGACCTATTGAGAAAGCCGATTCGCGTGCGGAAAACATTTGCGATAGCCTAAGTGTTCATCTGAAGGCTACCTTCCTCTGTTCATGATATTCGGCTGCTCATAGCCATATCCCTTCCTGGGCAGGCATTATCCCAAAAGGATCCGGGTGGCATCTCGCCTATGTTGGCCATCAGTCATGTCATCCACATGACAGGCGTCAATTTGTCAATGACTGTCAATGCAAGCTGAGAAGTCTAGGCCCCAATCGTTCTTTGCCACATTGCGCTACTTGGTGCCGTCGTGAAAGTATGGCGAAGTACCTGAAGAGAGTAATTGGGAGCCTGGTTTGTCTAGCCTACTGCGTACAGCCCGTTGTCGGACATATGACCGACAGTAATGGCCAGAGGCGATAATCAAGGCAGGAGATGGAACACACGATGAGCGTGGAAATACGGAGTACCTGAACCCTCAACTGCTGGCATTGGACATTCTCGCAAGATCTTAACATCATTGGCCGCGGTCGCTTCCAATCCGCCGTCGGCGTCGCCCATTATATTCGAAAACAAGGTTGTAACTGGTCACCGGCCGAAGTTCCGATTTGCGAAGAATAACAATGCTCATTTCGCTTGGATCGACGTTTGACCTCAACAAATACGGGGTGCATGGGGTTCAGACAATGCCTGTAATTTTCCTCAAAGGTGACGAGACTCTAGTGGCACCGTTGGTCGGCTTCACGATTGGTGAGAGAGCACCAAATGCAAAACGACACCACCATCTACCAGGCGATCGGGAACGCCAGACCCGTTGATGGGGGCGGCCCTCTCCGTTGGGTCCAAGGGTAGACGAGTTGGGATTCCCTGAGTTAGACATCTGAGGAGTCGAATGAGTGGGCAGTAGCGGGTTTCAAATTGCATATGATTAGGTGACCTGTCAATCTGGCTGGGCGCCCAGCGGTCATGCATGTCGGAAGGCCTCCGGACGTAGCGACTTGACTATTACATGCTCCTGCGCCATCTCTGAATGGTTAGCCTCGTTTATTAATAACAACGCTGCCATCGAGGCGACGACAGCAATCGAGCTATGGTTCCAAAAGCCGTCGTTTACAGTGCCCATAAGACTATTGTAGCGACGAGGAGGAGATATTATTGATAGATAGAGTACCAACAGTCCGACCACTACCTGTTATTGCATTGGTGACATTGATATATCGTGCTTTGCACTGAAAGCGCATCTGCTGGCGTTTACATTGTATGGTAATCGTGTCAATCTTCTGCCTACCCAGCCACTAATTCCGTTCATTAGCCTAAGTCAATCAGAGTAGTTGGTCCAGTGGGCTCCCTCCCAGTAACTTACTTTGCAAGTCGGTCGGTTCTTCAGGGAAGCAGACTCACAAACCACGCCACCGGTGAGTAGGTGGTTCGAGCGCCGGCAGATCCCCCAATTTGGAGAGGGATACATGGACTGTACAACTGAGCACGGGACACTGACTTGTGGCTTTGCGGGAGTGAGGGATCAACTCGCGTGGGGCTGGCTGGCCCCATTGGCATGACAGATGCCACCCAACCTGGCAAAGAAGCCGAGGCTGGGCCTGAGATCAGTTTCATCGGAAACGCGTCAATGACCCTGGGTATTGGGGCTTCTGGAAGACTACCGAATCTGCGAGGACGATCCGCCGCGGAAATGCTCATCTGAAAAAAAGTACCTCTCGGTAGGCGACCAGTGGATTGAATGTATGGATTTAGAGATGATGTGCGTTGAAAAAGAGTCATCAGTGGAAAAGAGAGAGATGATGATGATGATGACGACGAGGAGAGCTCGCAGTGCTGAGCCTGCCAAATCAGGCAGAAAGGAAAGTAGACGGAACTTGATGCCTCAGGTCTTCCAAGTGCTCTGTACAGTAGAAAATTCCATACCTTAGATAGTTATCTACACTTTTGCTGAGAAATAAGCCCAGTACTCCGTACCTAGTAGGCAATAGTCACTACCACTATCCATGTTAGTACTACTTCGTATTATATTAGTTATTCCGACTGATCATCCAGTCCATGAACCTTACTCCGAATGTCTCCTGACCAGCAATACCCATAGCATACTGTAGTACACAGTAAGTACGGATGAAAATCCAAGACTCCAAACCAAAAGACAACTTACCACAAACCGAACAACTCCACTCACCGGCCCGCCCGAACGAATGGTTGGCCATGCTTTATCAACCAATCGCTCGCGGGCTGATCAGTTTTGGATCCGGCCAGCAAATCTCTTCCTGTCCCTCCACCGTCTCCGTCTCAGTCTCTTTCCACTGTTCGCTCTACCCTTCGATCCATGACTGTGTCCCTCGTCTGTCTCCATTCATCATTCTTCCCTCCCTTAATCACGATTATTGCTTTTATCTATTCCTTTCCTGCATATCCGTTTCACTCCCACTCCCTTTGGGTTTGGGCTGTCAGCTGTTGCTCCTCCAGTCTAGGCCCCCCTTAGTGGCCGCCTTTTTTTTTTCACTACTCTTTCCACCACCCCCCCCCTCCCCCCCCCTTGGATCTCCCTCCATCAACTGGAACCCCCCCAATCTCTCTCCGTCTCCTTTCAGCCCAGTCGGTCTGCTGGCCTGTCGTGTCCCCATCGGCCCAATCAAGATCCTCCTCTTCCCATCTTTCCCTTTAATCTTAAAATTGACCCTTGGTGATCTTCTTGCATTTTAATTGCTCCTATTTTCCCCTCATTCTCGATTCCGTGGGTTGTTCCAGAAAAATCCATAGGCAATTAAAGCCACCGATCACAGGCCACTAAGGCTTGAGGAGATCCGGGCTTAGTCTCGCATTCGTCCATCCCTGGATTCCCGCGAGTCAGAGAACCGTTCGGAACTCTGACACTGACTTTCTACGAGCGTGTTCCGTTGAAGGTTTAATTAGACAAAAAGAAGAAAAGAAAACAAAAAGAAAAAAAAAAAAAAAAAGAAAGAAAGAAAGAAAGAGAGAGAGAGAAGAATAAACAAAAGAAAGTGAAGAGAGGTTTTCCCAGTCCAGCTGTCGTCCGTCACATCATCGCCATGGACTCGAATAATCCTTCCGGCTTCCCGACTGCGATGCAGCAGACTGCAGCTTTTCCTGTCTCAACTCAGAGTCCTCAACAATTTCCATACTATCCGAATGCCATGCCCTCCTTTCCCCAGCCTAAATCTACACCTCCCCAGCAACAATTACCGCATTCTTTCAATTCGGTGCCAATGCAGGTCGGCCCCGGTGGAGCAATGATGCCGTCTGGCTTTTCCCAGCAATCACAAGGTACGTTGTCATCAGTCTATCATCGGAGTGGTGCTCCCTAGTCATTGCCAATTCTTCTTATCTGATTTGCCTCATCACCGATTGCTTAATACTGCCTGTGACCTCTTTTGTACCTGGGCTATTCCTCCTCTCCCGCTTCCCCTCTTCCCCTATAGTTTCCCCACCCTTTGAGTGACTTAGATCAACGGTTGCTTCGTCGCATTGGACATCATTTCCAATATTGACTCTACCGCATCTGACCCGGTCTGGTTGCGTCTTCGCTACGGCGAGGACCAATGGCTGAGTGGATCTCCACTATCGTGTCACCCTCTCCCATCACCCCGGTTGCCTCCTGATCGTTGTTGTCGCTTTCAAGCTACGCCGTGTTGCTGGCCCAAGTGTCCGAGTTAGACGCAATGTCGGCTGCAGGGACAAGCCGCTAATGAACGGGATGGATTAGCAGGACCCCACGCCAACTTCGCGGCGCCATTTGCCCAGCCACCTGTTCCGAATTCCATGGGCCAGTTTCTTCCTCCACAAACGACCTCAACCGCCGCGATCCCTGGCACTGCTGCACATTCATTATCTTCCAATATGGCTTCAATCTCAGCAAACAACATGATTTCTACGCAACAACCGAAACCGACTCCGCAACCCAACCTGGCGCCAACCTCGTCTCCTTCCGCTCCCCAGTCGCCTGCCGCGGTTGCTCGAGAGAAGGCCCGTGTGTCGGTGCTTCTGGATATCAATTCGATGTTGCTGCAGGAAGTCATTAATCTTCAGGCAGCGGGCAAGGCCGGGGGCTCACCTGCTCAGCAAGGTTCTCAAGAGCCCAACCCATCCCCAACCTCGGAGCAGACTCCTGACAAGTCCTCCCACTCTCAGCGCCCGAGTCCGGAGTATGTGGAGTGTATGCGACGGCTGCAGGCCAACCTGGCCTACCTTGCAACCGTGGCCGACCGAGCCAAGAAGTCAGGTGGTGTTCCTCCCAATGGCCCAGCCATTCTGACGCCACCGCCCAACATGCCTGCAATGAATGATCTCTACAATCGTCTCAGCGATCTCTTTTCCCGCTCTGGCCAACCTAGTCCCAAGGCCTCGAAAGGAAATGGGCAGCCCAGCCCTTCTCCCGCTACCGAGACAGTCGCCTGAACACCTATCCTTGGATATTCGGAAAAACAAACCTAGACTCCGCGGTATGCTCGAGGGCGCCTTGGCAGCGGGCCCAGGTTTCTCCCAGAGAAGGCCCACAAAAGCTTCACGAACGATGGAAGCCTCTTCATTACCTCTATCACGTAGTAGAGGCTCTTATAGACATAACCACCAAGCCTAGAGTGTATGTCTCGATTACTGCGGATCGCGAACACTGCGTTACGGCCTTGGCGCCGGATTCCCCGTGGATCGGTGTCATGATACGAATAGCAAGATGGAGTCAGTCTCGGCTTCATCATTCTTGAACGTAGGGGAACGCATCTTCGTTATCGGACTCATACGAGGGGATGGGCTCTTTCGGGGGCATTAAAACAGGACATCGGCGTTTTACAGCTAGAAATGGGCGGATGCCTCTAGTGAGTATGACCAAAGCGGTTTGGGGGGAAAAGGTGGCAGGAAAGGAGCTTGGAAGACAACCATCAAGTGTATTATAGCCACGCATTGATAGAGGTGTTGACAGACCTCAACGCCCTTACCACCCAGGTTCTTCTACTTCGCTAGGTAGCCGTCCATAGTCAGAACCTGGAATATATCATCCATCAAGCCTCCATCGGCTATAAATGGGCCTCATACTGTGTCGCCTTGACCCTGTCACTCTTCCCTCGATTGGATCCATCTGATCTGGTCATCGGACTGTGTTGCTGCAGCTTGACGGGCGGTGGAGGGTGAATGGCCAATCAGAGGGTAAGGCTTTTCTGACCGCGTAGCTGAGCTTTTCTGCCTCCAGCTGTCCGCTCTGCACTCCGTCACTCTCTCAGCTTTTCTCCCCCCCCCCCTCCTCAAACTCCCTCTTATTCCAACAACTTGTTGCTTGCGGACCTTGTGAATGTCTTGCGTCTGGCTCCCACTCTACAGAAGGAGCTCATTGTCTGTCGCTACTACCATCTTCCTCAACAGTACTATCACTTGTTCTGCTATAGCTGCCGCTTCCTCTTTGTCGTCCACCGCGCCGTCGCCGCCGCCGCCGCCGCCGCATTCGCCGACTGCATCCAGCTCTCCTGATAGATCTTGGCACCACCTCACTTTGCCTTCAATTAGCACCCAATCGCCTACGCTGAGATCGCCTTCCGCTTTGCATCGTGCCTATATATCACATCATAGTCATCGCGCCGTACGACTCCAGCCGACTCACCATCAAAGCTTGGCTCTCTGGTCAAGCGTCATAGCTCCGAGAAGCATCAACGCTCCCAACACTTGTTCAACTCGCCCCTATACTTCGCTCGCTACCCGATTCTCGAGACCCCGTGACTCTCGGATCCTTAAGCTACAGATGGATTCAATTGGTGACGCAGGCGCCAAGCGCAAGCGCAGCTCGATCGCCGCACCCGCCGAGCGGCCCACCAAGCACCTCCGTCCCGAGACCAGCACGTTAACGCCGGGTGACTCCACGCCTGCAAACGGAACCGTTTATAGTGTGGAGGAAGAGGAGGATGCTGGTCGAGTATTGCCCCTGGGGGCTGCACAGGCGGATTCGCCTGAATGGCAAGCTACCATTGAGGAGGTCGTGAAAAGCGTCGTCTCCATCCACTTCTGCCAAACTTGCTCTTTCGATACGGAACTATCAATGAGTAGTCAGGCAACTGGGTTTGTGGTTGATGCTGAGCGGGGATATATATTGACCAACCGTCATGTGGTGTGTCCGGGACCCTTCTGGGGATACTGTATTTTTGACAACCACGAAGAAGTAAGTTTCGATGACTCCTGCAACCCACTGCACGGACATCTCTCTCTCACTCTTGACTGCTATGCAGTTCTAACAGACTTCAGTGTGATGTTCGTCCTATCTATCGAGATCCTGTGCACGACTTTGGAATATTACAGTTCGACCCCAAAGCGATCCGTTACATGAAGTTGAAGGAATTGAAGTTGCATCCGGACGCAGCAAAGGTGGGGTCGGAGATTCGTGTCGTGGGTAATGATGCCGGAGAAAAGCTCAGTATCTTGTCCGGCGTCATCAGTCGGTTGGATCGAAACGCTCCCGAATATGGCGAGGGATACAGCGATTTCAATACCAACTACATTCAGGCCGCCGCGGCAGCAAGTGGTGGCAGTTCCGGCAGTCCTGTCGTCAACATTGACGGCCATGCGATTGCTCTGCAGGCGGGCGGTCGTGCGGACGGCGCGGCCACAGATTACTTCCTCCCGCTGGACCGGCCGCTGCGTGCGCTGGAATGCATCCGCCAAGGTCAGCCTGTCACGCGAGGAACCATTCAAACGCAATGGATTCTCAAGCCATTCGATGAGTGTCGTCGATTGGGTCTGACGCCCGAGTGGGAAGCCACTGTGCGCAAGGCCGCTCCCACGGAGACCAGCATGCTGGTCGCAGAGATCATTTTGCCGGAGGGTCCGGCAGATGGAAAGCTCGAGGAGGGTGACGTGCTACTCAAGGTCAACGGGGAACTGCTCACTCAGTTCATCCGCTTGGACGACATTCTAGACTCGAGCGTCGGGCAGACCGTGCGTCTGCTCGTGCAAAGAGGCGGTCAGGATGTAGAGGTGGAGTGCCAGGTTGGCGACCTGCATGCCATTACGCCCGACCGCTTTGTCACCGTAGCGGGGGGCACGTTTCATGACTTGTCCTATCAGCAGGCTCGTTTGTATGCCATTGCTACCCGCGGCGTGTATGTCTGCGAGGCCGCCGGCTCCTTCAAGCTGGAGAACACCCTGTCCGGGTGGCTGATCGACTCCGTGGACAAGCGGCCAACGCGGACCCTGGAAGAGTTCGTGGAGGTGATGAAGACGATCCCCGATCGCTCGAGAGTGGTTATCTCGTATCGCCACATTCGTGACCTCCACACGCGTGGTACCAGCATTGTCTATATCGATCGGCACTGGCACCCTAAGATGCGACTGGCCGTGCGAAATGATACCACTGGACTCTGGGACTTCTCTGACCTCGCAGACCCCGTTCCCGCTTTGCCGCCTGTGCCGAGGAAAGCCGATTTTATCCAGCTTGATGGTGTGAGTCAGCCTGCTGCCGCAGATATTGTGCGCAGCTTCGTGCGCGTTTCGTGTACGATGCCGCTCAAGTTGGACGGCTATCCTCAGGCTAAGAAGACGGGATTTGGCCTGGTGGTTGACGCGCAGAAGGGTCTGGTTGTGGTCTCGCGCGCCATTGTTCCATACGACCTCTGCGACATCAACGTCACCGTGGCCGATTCGATCATCGTGACCGCCAAGGTGGTCTTCTTGCATCCTCTTCAGAACTACAGCATCATACAGTACGACCCTAGCTTGGTCCAGGCTCCGGTACAGAGCGCCAAGCTTAGCACCGAGTACATTAAGCAGGGTCAGGATACCATCTTCGTCGGCTTCAACCAGAACTTCCGTATTGTGGTGGCCAAGACCGCCGTCACCGACATCACAACCGTATCCATTCCGGCCAATGCCTCGGCCCCGCGCTACCGTGCGATTAACCTCGATGCCATTACTGTAGATACTGGTCTTAGCGGACAATGCTCCAACGGTGTGCTGGTTGGAGAGGATGGAACGGTGCACGCGCTTTGGCTGAACTACCTTGGCGAGCGCACGGCGAATTCGCACAAAGATGTTGAGTACCATCTGGGCTTCGCGACGCCGTCTCTCCTCCCCGTCCTGTCCAAGGTCCAGCAAGGCGAAATGCCCACGTTGCGGATTCTCAACATGGAGAGTTACGTGGTGCAGATGAGCCAGGCCCGCATCATGGGCGTGTCCGAGGAGTGGATCGAGAAAGTGACGCAAGCGAATCCGGCCCGGCATCAGCTGTTTATGGTCCGCAAAGTCGACTGTCACCCTCCGGGCTTCGCCTCCTCGGGCCTGGATAGCTTCGAGGAGGGCGACATCATCCTCACGCTAGACGGGCAGCTGATTACCCGCGTCTCGGAGCTTGACATCATGTACGAGAAAGAGTCCTTGGAAGCGCTCATCGTGCGCAACGGCCAGGAGATGCGCATCCAAGTTCCCACGGTGCCGACAGAGGATCTGGAGACCGACCGCGCGGTGGTCTTCTGTGGCGCTGTCCTACAAAAGCCCCATCATGCGGTCCGGCAGCAAATCTCCAAACTCCATAGCGAAGTCTACGTCAGCGCTAGGGTACGTCTCCCCATTCCTCTTATTCCTCCACTGCGTTCCAATACTGACATTGTGATCTTGCAACAGAGCCGCGGTTCGCCTTCCTACCAATACGGCCTCTCGCCCACGAACTTTATTACTGCCGTCAACGGCACCCCGACTCCGAACCTCGATCGCTTCGTTGAAGAGGTCCGCAAAATCCCAGACAACACCTACTTCCGTCTCCGGGCCGTGACCTTTGACAACGTGCCGTGGGTGGTGACCATGAAGAAGAACGATCACTACGTATGTCGCTCGAGAACCATCTCCCGTACCATGTTTGGTTACATACAAATGCTAACACCGTCCATCCAGTTCCCCATGTCCGAATATCTGAAGGACCCCTCCGCCCCCCAGGGCTGGCGCACCGTCGCCCACGATAAGGACAAACATCGCGACGGCGCTGCGCCGGATGCAGCGAACCTGAACCCCGACGCCATGGACGAGGGATTTGACGGCGTCACTGATGTCGAGCCGGAGGCTAAATAGGGGGGCGGTTCACTGTGGTCTCTACCACCGCAATATGTGCTGGCGTGCTGATGATGGGTTCCCAGCCATATTCACATAAAACAAATCATTTATATTGTATGTACAATATAGACTTGTATATTCTTCATCCAAGTGCGTAAAAAGGTCTCTTCTTGGGGTATGTTAGGCAGAGCTTTGACGCTTGCCGTATTTCCTTCCGCTCTTGAGCGCTAGTTCTGTGTCTGTGAGGGGATACGATCGAGGATTCTTTTCTTGGTTGTTGGACTTGAGACTCAAATTTAGATTCAATACCAACCGCACGGCGAATCCGTGTATTCTTGTATGTTGTGCACCATAACCATTGACGTTAATTGTGTAGGCATACGAGTATTTACCTTTGCCCGGCTGGGGTTTTGCAGTCTAGTAGTTGATTGAACCGTCAAGTCCGATAGAGTCTCCCGGCAAGAACGTTGCCGCAGACATGAAGCCTGAATGCATATATATCATCATACATCATACACCCTGAACCTCCCCCAAACACCACCGACCGCAAAGCATCGTCTAGACTAAAAATCCCCTAATTAATAAACTCATCAAAGAAAGGAAGAGGCATTCCTAACCCCATAATACTCAGTCGACGAGGATGGTCCAAGGTCCTGGACATGGACACAATGCAGCTTTCAGCACAAACAAACTGACATAGGGTGATGTGACAAAGTTGGTCAATTTCTGACATCAACAAGCATCATTGGTCTAGTGGTAGAATTCATCGTTGCCATCGATGAGGCCCGTGTTCGATTCACGGATGATGCACATCTTTTTGACGTTTTCGTCAACGTCTAATCTGATTGTTCGACTAGTTATGGTGTAGATTAACTATGTAGTCCTCGACTACTCTGTGTCTCTTCCCAACCCCTTCTTTTTTTTTTTTTTTTCTTTTATCTCCTATATCTCCTCCAATTCAACCAAGGGTACTCGGTTGCACGAACTATAAAGCAGGGGGCGTATCGTGCACTGGAATGCGCGGCCTTACATAGTCCCGTCTGCTGCTCGTATACCGCAGACAATACCGGGTGATCATCCCGTGCCGGGTTAGTTTGTCTAGCGCTCGAGGCATAATTTATCTACTTCCAGGGAGAGTCTTCTCTGCCTTGTATTCTGTCCAAAAACTCAACTTTGAACCAGCTGGCCCTACATCAATTTGATTTACCCTGAGACGGTTGGGAAATTTCATACCGAGCATAAGATATAAGTGACAACCCAAACAAACAATGTACTCCACAGTCGACCTGCGAGCAAAAGGAAGAAGAGACGAACAAGGAAAGAAAAAGGGACAATGACAGGGACAAGAAAGACTTCTCCGATGATCACCAGCGATTGAAGTTCAGTTTGCCATCGTACAAACCCCACCACCGCATACATACCACCTGGCCTAGCCCAGCCGCGCCTGTCCCCACAACTGGCTTATTGGGACCGTTTGTGACTACCAAACAACACCCCTAGAAAGAGCCATCAATCTGTGCCCACCTTGATCTCACACTATCTAAGCCAAGAGAGGCTCCTTCTCCTCAGCATGGAGGGCAGGCTGCTCGATCGACTCCACCACGGGCGCAACAGAGACGGGGGCCACAGGCTCAGCCTTTGGGGCTTCGGGGAAGTCGGTCGTCTTAATCACGGGCTCAGTCTCAGTCTCTTCCTTGACAACGGGGCTGACCACCTTGGCCACCTCGGGGGTCACAGAGCGCGAAGCAGACCGACGGTGCACGAGACCCTGGGCCTTGGCACTGTAGTCCTCGACATATTGCTTGACAAGACCCGTTGCCTGTGCGGTGCGCTCCTCGGCGACTTCCTTCAGCTGGTGGGCCTGGCTGTTGACCATCTCCTGGAGGTGCTCAATCTGGCCATCGATGACCTCACGGTTGTTGATGTAGATCAAAGGACCCAAGTAAGCAATGGTGACAGTGATGAGGGCGAGACCCCAGAAGGGAAGGAACTTGATCAACCAGTAGGCGGAGAAAGCGGCAAGGAAGGACTAGCAGCGGGTTAGATCTGATCACACGCTGCACAGGCGTAGCATTGACCTACAGCAATGGTGTGAACGAGGTTCTCAGCGAACAGAACGCGCTGGAACTCGATCAGGACAAAATCCACGAGCTGTTCGAGATCCTCCAACACAGCCTCCACCGTCTCCTTGGGGACAGTGTAGTACTTGCGAGGGCGGAAAGATCCGACAACGCTCTGCTTGAGGGCAAGCTGACCACCCAGCTCAGCGAGCGCGGTGACTATAATATCCATTAGTCCGTGTCAATGGAGTCTGCCGTGTAGATTTCACTCACAGCCCAGAACCACATAGATAAACTTGAAGAACCATCGGAGGAGAGGAAGATAACGGGCGGCAAAGATGAAAGCGACGACGCTGATAAAGGAGACGGCGGTGGCTCGGGGTTGCTCCCACTAGAACGAAAATTTGGTTAGGACTGGCCTGGGTAGGACGGGCTCGCAGTCACTCACGCTCAAGAGGCTGTACAGCAGAGAGTGGTAATCTATCCGAGATCAGCAACGCGCGTGTGCTACGATTGTGAGTGGTACATACAGGTCAGGGGTTGGCCGGTCGCGGCGGTGGTGGAGGGAGTCACTGCTGCGTTTCGCAGCTCGCGCAACTCTTGACTGGTGCGGGATGCCTCAGTCTTGATGTTATCGGCAATAGGTCCTGTGAAAACCGTATGTCAGATCGATTGCAATTGGAATATGTCAATGCCTCTCCGCCTGGAAAGAGGCTGAGATTAGGAGCCAGAACTTACCATTGGTAATAATACCTAAGCGGAAGGATCTGTGGTAAGCCTGTGCAACTCGATTTCGGACTCACGGCGAAAAGTGAAATGTGTGGAACTGAAGATCGCACGCGAAATTAGCTTCAAGAGCTCTTCTCAGCCCGAGACTGACAGCAGGAAGCTCGATACGTACCTTACCATGGCCGTTCATGTTGGGGTAGCTCACGTCCGCAGCCATGACGAAAGTTGTGTGGGTTCGGAAAGCTGGAAAGATAAGGAAAAGGGTGGATTGTCAGGGGAAAACCCAGAGAGAGAATTGAGGATTAAGAATACCACGAGATTAAGGTGGGTGCGAAGAGGAGTCTGCAGTCAACACAGGAAGCAGAGAATTGAGATGATTAGAGTGAATTACTTTGGGTGTGCGGGGAGGAGGGGGGGATCTGGGAGAATAAGAAGAAAAAAGGATGAGCGAGAGAAAGTTCGGGAGAGCTGCGAAAGAGAGAAAAGAGAAGAAGAGAGGGTGATGCAATAATGGAGTCGGGGCGGCGGGCGGAGTTGATTTGGTCGTGTGCCTCAGGTTTGGGGGTTCACTGCTCACTGTTTGTTTCACTACTAACTTATTCACTGCTACTACTTTCTAGTACTGTGTACTGTATTCCTTCCTCCTCTTCCTCTTCCCCCCCCACATGAAGCAAGCAAACGACCAAACATGTGATGGCCTGGACCGGTGTTTCGGATTAACTTGCACGGCCAAAACTAATTATAATCTCGGATCAACTCAGCAGCTCTCCTCTCACTACTATACTATAGTATACTTATCAAATTGACTGAAAGACGGTGTGTGCGCTTATGCAAGGGCCTCCCTTCATTCATTCAGAATCTACTCATATCATGATAAATTCCCAAGCAAGCAGCAGTTCACGCATTGCTATGCATGTTCTGCAGGTCGAAGATCCAGACTTGCCCCTAGACGTCTGTCCGCTAGTCTACCCGGCAAAGCCTTAATGGCTCATTCATGACTGGCCGTTTTGAATCCGAGGTCCAATCAGTAACACCGTGCTCGCTCGCCATGATGCCCCTCATACTGTGTATCACTGTAACAAGCACATTGTCTGGCTGTGTTTATGTGGGCTGGAGCTGGGATGATGTCACTCTCCGGTCACACATCAATCAGTCAGCTTCCGCTCTATTATCCATCACAATTGAGAACCATCCCGCGGTTTTGCAAATGCTTCCATTGGCAACTGGCACGAAACCGGAAACCAACACGATTCGGTGCTCCTATACACGAGCGAGATCTTGGTAAGTGACGCAGTGGCTAGCGCTGGAATACGGAGGGGCCAGCATCCGTCCATGAACCGCCAACCACTTGATGGAGGCATATCAAAAAGCACATCATCCGCACCCAATCTAGATCTGGCCATAAATGATGTCACAGACACTTAAATATTCTTTCAGCTGTAAGAGGTACTCCTACCTGGAAGGCTGTCGCGTGGCAATTCCACTTGAAATTTGTATGTAGAATTCAGCCAGGTATCCACAAAAGCTCACTTTGAAGACTTGAAGTGACTTGGAGCGAAGAAGATAATACTTGTACATCGATATGGAGCTTGAAGTAGTGCAATAGTCAGTCCAGAAATCACAAGTCCTAGCTCCAGAGTTTTTAATGCTAGCCTAAGAGTTATGCTCATTATATCGTGCCTGAAGCGCCAGGCACCCATGATGTAGAGGTCACGTGCCAGAGCGGGACTCACGCGTTGGCCGATGTTTTGATGCTTCAAACTCCGGACGACAGGCCGCTGAAGCCCACCGGCCGACCATCCACCCCCAGCCGACACCCCACAATCTTATGCTGCTTTTCTCGACTGTCACTAATCTCTAGACTGGGCTCGTTTGCCCTTCCCACATGTTACATTAATTTTAATGCCTTCTTGACAACACCGATCCTCAATTCGCGTTTGTTTACATCGCCATGGCTGCGACAGGCGCGAGGGGGCAGAAGCCTGTTGGCTCTGCAGCCTGGATCTCATCCGAGAAAGAGAACTGCATGCAGCTTGTGGATCAGGAAATGGAAGAGGTCGAATATCCTGTGCGCCATGAGATGGACTGGTTGAACGAGCACATGGCCGAGATTTTCTCTTCGAACCAATTGTCAGTTGCGCCCGCGTAGCATCGGGTTCGTCCGTGTCCCTTACTGACCCTCCTCCAGCAACCTTACGGATGCGTTCAAGACTCCTGGCAAGTTGCGTGGCAAAACGCCGCGGACTGCGCGAAAGCGCGATGCGACCGAGCCTCGTGTGGTACGTTGACTGGCTTTCTACGGCGGACTTGTTGCTTACTATATACAGCCTTTGAGCGAGATATTCTCTTCCGTACACAACAGCAAACCCGAAACCAAATCGGAGAGCAAGCTTGAGAGCAAACCTGCTGCTAGCCCGACAGTCCCGGCAGTTCAACGCTCACCCGCCAAGACACCCGTTGCGTCGCCCCCTGCAGCACCGACCCCGGTGGCCGAACCTGAAGAGCCCGTTAGCAAGGACGCAGCTCAACCCGACTATCCCGATTTGAGCAAGAATCTCAATTCCTTCCCGGAGTACAATACCGACTCAGGCTATCATGGCATGCCCGATGCCGAAGACATGGAGGAAGATATCGATGATGATGTTGTCTTGACACAAGTACAGACTGAATCCCAATCGTCGACGCAACCGGTGGATACCGAGCTTATCGGTACCGAAAATCAGGCTCACTCACCAAATGAGCGCCGTATGACCGCTAGCTCTTTCCATTCTGCTCAAGAGAATGTGCGCCATCGAGGCGAAACAGTCGAGCCTGAGCGAGTTGAACCGTCACCGGAGCGGAGCACAAACTCTCAGACACAGCAAACAGAACCGGAAGAACAGGAGGCCGCTATCACACCGACGCCTGAATACGGAGAGCAACCCGAATTGGAAACTGCGACAAAGCCCGACAATGAGCCCAAGCCTGAGACCGATCTTCAGACTGAACCCGCACCCGAGCCCGAGTTCGAGCGCGATGAGCATGAGGGACATGAAGAGCGAGAGGAGCGCGAAAAGTCTGAACCTGCGCTTGAAGAGAATGTCGAGCCGCAACAGGTTCCAGACCCCGAGAACAAATCCGAACAACGGGTAGATATGCAACAGGAACCGGATGAGGAGGAGGAGGAAGTTCTCAAGCCCAGCCCTCTGGAACAGTCAGAGAAGGAGCCTGGCAAAGCTCTGGAGGCGCATTCACCTGCCAAGACTCCCACCGCACCTGCCGCGAAGTCCGTACAGGAAGGGAAGGAGGAGAAGGACAAGGATAAAACGGTTCTCGATGTCGATGATATTGGCTCCCCTTCGGATGCCTCTCCCCCGGCACGAGCCCCGATCCGCAAGAGTAGCCTTTCATTCGCTTCACTACCTGCACGCGAGCCATTGACCAAAAAGAGTCTGGGTGGTTCGAGATTGTCTCGCACAAGTCATCTCGAGATTTCCAAACTTAGTAGCGGAGGGAGCTATCTCGGAAGGCAGACTGGAGGACACAGAAACACACAGCCTGCCGCGGAGGACGAACACACCAACAATGACAGAATGGATATTGACGACAGTAAAGATTTGACTGACGAGGGAGAATCGGATATCGATACGAGAGCCAGCAAGCTCCATGCCAAGTCCTCGACTCAGAGACTGCATGAGAAAATCAGCATGCTCGGCAAACTACAGCCGTCGCGACCGACTAAATCTATCCCCGCAGTCTCGCGCTTGTCCACAGCTCAGGTTACCTACCCTGAGTTGCCAATCTCTAAGCCCGATACGAGACCGGATATCTCTAATTCGAAGCCCCGTGATGCGCATGCCGCAGCGCCCATGCAACTTGACGATGATTGGATTAAACCAATGAACTCGCCTTCCCGATCCACGGCACAGTCTCATCGGAGAACTGATAGCAAAGACGCCAAACTCTCGGGAGCTAGAGCTCTGCGGGCTGCCGAGGAAGATCGCTCCCCTGTTGCTCTTGATAATCCAAGAAGTGCGGCAGGAACGACGAGACCATCTGCCAACCGCGCCTCTGACGGAGGTCGTGGAAAGTCAACAACGCCTCTCTACTCTTCTCCGCAGCGGCCAACTCATCAGAAGAGTGCGTCTGCGCATATCGACTCTCAACTCTCAACTACGCCAGTTGGATCACCTGCAGCGGAACGCTGGGATGGCCCGTTGAGTGCGTCCAAGTTTAGACTCCAATCAATCGTGCAGTCGGCCAAGGGCTTGTTCACGAATACCGGAGGCTTAGCCGCTGCCGCTCGGAAAGAAGCATCCTCACCCGAACAGCCGAGATTGCGACCAAGTGGTCGGCCCATCAGCGAGCTCAGGGATGCTATGCAGCGACCACAATCTGCTCATCTCCTGAGCCCCCCGCGACAGGATGGCCGTAGGACTCGCAGCTCTACCGAGAGAGAAGAGAAGCGTAGGCAGATGGAACGTGAGGAACGCCAACGCGAAGAAGAACGCCGCCAAGAAGAGGAACGCCAACGCGAAGAGGAACGCCGACAAGAAGAGGAACGCCAACGCGAAGAGGAACGCCAGCAAGAAGAGGAGCGTCAACGAGAAGAGGAACGTCGACGTGAGGAGGAACGTCAACGAGAAGAGGAACGCCGAAGAGAAGAAGAGCTGGCTCAGAAGGCCCGGCAACAAGAAAAACACAGAGCTATGCAACTCCGGTCTGCACAGGAAAAGTATCCTGCTGATAACGAGTCCCGTGCAACTTCCGAGGCACCCGCCGCACCAACAACCCAGAGATTGCCCCAATTACAAAAATCATCCAAGGAAACGGAGGCTGTTGTCGAGGCTGGATCCAGAACCATTGTTCCCAGCTCCATCCCCCAACAACAGCAAACAAAGGGTCGACCTGTCAGACCTACCCGCGAAACTCTTCAGAAGCCCAAGCCTCAGCCTGTCTCCATTCGTGTGGGCAGTGCTCTTTCTCGGCCCATGACACTGGCATCTTCCACTATGTCTTCCGGGGTGAGGGAGTCTAGCGTCCCCGCCCCGACCCCGGCCAAGCAACCTACTCTGAAGAAAAAAGCCAGCAACTCTTCGTTACATACTGCTTCATCCAATAGCAGCTTCAAGAGTTCTATGTCTGCTCAGTCGCAGCGTAAGGCTCAGCTCGCGAGCGAAAGGAAGCGAGAACAGGATGAACGTGAGGCACGGCGTCGAGAGGAGCAGCGCCGTGAACTCGAACGCAAGCGTGTGGCTCAGCAGCAAGAAGAAGCTCGTCGCCAGGACATGCGCAGTCGGGCAGAAGCCGAGCGGCGCGAGCGACTTGTAGCCGAAGATCCTAAAAAGGCGGCGCAAATCCAGGCAATTGAGAAGCGGAGACTGGAAAGCCAACGTAGACTAGAGAGGCAGGGAAGCCAACAGCCTGACAACCATCCTGTCGAGAGACCGGCCTCTCAAGCAGCCCAGCGAAGTGAGATGGGGGCTACAAGGCCAGCTTCTCGCCTCGGATCAATCCAGCCCTCCTTCCGCTCCATCAACCCACCGCAACCCAATCCGGCCAAGCCTCCCAAGAGAGGTCTGGATGAGGAGGCTAATCAGCGACCTACAGCGTTGAAGACGGGCACTATGCAACCGGCGGGCGAGTCCAAACGCAGAAGGACAGAGGACGAACAGAATCGCATGTCCTCAATGCGCCCCACCATGGCTCCTCCAATCCGCCAGTCCAACATCCGCAAGGTATGTCAGAATCTTCGGCGGTTTGTTAGTCTGTTGCTAACGTTTGTTTCCAGGAGCCCAAGAAGCCCTCATTCTACAGCCATACTCAGCAACCAGCTTCCATTCTCAAGACTGGACAAACGCAAAGACCTGCACACCCTATGGACATGACCAAATATGCCAGTGGCAAAATTCCCTTCGCGGAACCACCAATGGCACCGCCAGCTGCTGCGCACCGAACGCCAGCTGCGAGCTCGTCGCAGAAACATGCAGTCAAGGAATCGCCCAACTATCCCAACGGCGAGAATATCAACCTGCCCGAAATTGCCACGGACAGCGAAGACGAGGACTCGGATGCGGAGATGCTACCTGTTCCCAAGTGGGCCCAGCCGAAAGAGTTGGAGTCTTTGTTGCGTCAGCAAGAAGGCATGGAGGCAGATTCTATTTTTGGACCCATTGCACCATTCTCCCTGGAGGAGACCTTCAAAGGGGACAAGAAGATCAAGAAATTCCGCGAGCGCACTAGTAGTGCGCACTGGTCTGGACCGGACGGACTGACGCAAGATGAGATTCGACGCGACCTGGCTGAGCGTCAACGCTTGCGACTCAATGGCGGCTGGACCTTCAACTGAACTGCTGTTATCCGCTTTCTCACGCTTGTGCGATACATGATGGCTTTCTTTTTCTTTGTTTTCTCTCAATGATGCCAGGGCTTTATTTTTTTTTTATCTGGGGGTAAATCTGGGACTTTTGCAGCCGGGGTTCTGCGAGGAAGGGGCTGATAGGCATAACTGGTCTGGCGTTTGTCGTATTCCGACTTAGGTTTCATGTTGTAGCTACATCATACAATTACTTTATGCATGTACCCAGTGGACTGTTCTCGCCATTCTTTCGGTCTGGATTGTCTGAAGGCGGCCATTGCGAGGATTCTCGATCATCGACATTGGATTAGACTCGGGGGCGAAGCATCAGAAAGTCGGACAAGCATTCTTCTCGTGCTACTATGATGTTTAGGGGACTCGAAAGACAGAGTCCGTGGTAACTCGTTGTTACTGTACTCCGTACTCCCTTGTAATCCCATCCCGCCGATCACGGATCTTGAGTGACGACGCGGATGCCTTCCCCCCGCTAGAATGGGATGGCCGAGTCCAGCCGACGTTCCAGGGTCGTCAGGCTCAAAGAGTGGAAGAGTTTCCGAGCCAGAAGAAGAGGTTGAAACTAATGCCCACTCACAGAAACAAAAAGAGCATAATAGCCCCAATAGGTGAAATTGAAACCCCGGCTGCCGTGTCAGAGACAGCAGTGGTGGTGGGGTTGATGTTTGTTTGTTGTTGTTGTATTGCTGAACAAACGCGGTAAGGGCTGACAACATCCCCTTTCAGCCGATTGCTGTAGCGTGGAATCTGCGTCTCTGCGCTTGTTCTTGGGTATATCTACTCGGTATGATACTCCGTACTTTGTTTCTTGTTATCGACTACAGCACGATATATGTAATGTCATGTTCAGTTAACTAGTTAGTACTTTATACTTAGATGATGTTTGAATGTGAAAGGACTCTTTGAACTGCGTTCCCTTTCGCCCTTGCTTCAAGTTCCGCCTGTCCCTGAGCCACTCCGTGATTCTCTCTCACTCCAAGCACCCTGCACTATAAGGAGGCATCTCTCACCCGAAAAACTACTGCGCTGGATAAGTATGTAGACCCTTGCCTGCAAAGCTGGGTTTTCCATAGGGACGCACTTATCAGGATATGCAGAAGTGCCTGAAGATTATGGTTGCGTGGGCTCGGGATCGACGGGTTAATGAGACGAACTTTTGTATTGAGGTGAATCAAGTTGACCATCAAGCAGGTCATTCATTACACAGTACTATGACACTCGGCCATATAAGAATCCCTTTATCCTAAATCTGCGGGTCAAAAGAGAAATAGTGACCATCCTTCCATGATGGCTGATCCTGTCGTCAAGCTCTAACGAAGCCCCCCCTCGTCTATTCAGAACATCGAAACATCACCTAGAGTATCCTTTGCCGCGCAAGGAAGCTCCGTACTTGAACAACACCCAAGGAATAGGCAACAGAAACAAGGACAGGAACGCATAGAGACTGCTCGCCCAGTGCACCCCGAGCTTCTCGTACATTTGTACGGTGAAAAGCGGGAATGTGGCTCCGAGGCAATATCGAATGACCCCGTTGGCGGCCAAGGCTGAGAGTGAATCCCGGATGAGTACGGGAATTAAGAGTAGAGTGGGGGAGAATGTGACTTACCAGATGCTGCAGCACCGGCTTGATAGACATCGACAAGGTAGGTGATGGCGGACAGCTACACAAAGGGGGGCAAGCACTTGTTAGCTCAGTGCATTGGTAGACGGTCACGAGTATGGGGTTTGAAAAGTCGTGGGAAGCGACTTACGAAAAGAGAAAAAGCTCCCACTCCAAAAGGGATTCCTGCGCACACAAGGGCGGCCCAGTGGCCACCGGCGTGGGCTTCCCACGCATACCTGAAGATACAAACGCGATGAAATTAGCAGGGATGCCTCACAGGCGAAGGCTTTTGGGGTCCTTACCAAAACAAGCCCACGGGTAATAGTACACTGCCTGCCATTGCCGAGTAGAGGCGATGCTCCGGGGCGGCAACGCCCCCGCCAGCCACGCGTGCCCTGACGTACAGAGTCTTGTCAAAGATCCCGAACATCAAGGCCGCAAGAACATATCCCACAATGACGCTGATGAAGGTTAGCCCAACCTGTCGCCAGTCGAACCCATAATAGATCGTGTAGACGTAGGACGAGCTGGCGAAATAGCTGAAGATCATGGCGTACGCGAACGCCGTATACAAGGTCAATGAGAACACGATGACTTCGGTGCACAAGAGCTTCACGGGCCTTCCTAATCCCGTGGTAATCAAGTCTCTCAGGGACGGCTTCGGAAGTTCTGGCTGCTGTTGCGAGCCTCCCCCCTTTTCGAGGTGGGTATCATCACTCTTGGTCTTGACCAAGATCCTCTCCTTCATGGTCTCCTGCATCAAGACCGCGCCGAGCCAGACGGGCGCGCAGAGAATCACCATGACCCATTGTGTCCATCTCCAGTCGTCGCCGTGGTCCTTGAGGACATAGGCTCCGGCCAAGGGCCCCGTCGTGGGGCCGAGGAAGGGACCCAGGACAAAGAGCAACGATGCAGGACCGCCTTCCTTGTCCAAATCCCAGATATCAGCCAGCGTACCCGCACCGATTGCAATGCCCGAGGACCCCAAAGCCCCAGCCAGCCCACGGCACACGAGCAGAGTCGCGAGGTTATTTGCCGCCCCGGCCCCTGCACTGAACGTCAGGAGACAGGTCGAGGTGAAAATATAGACGGGGCGGCGGCCGAACGTTTCTGACAGCGGCGCGATGACTAGAGGGCCGAACGCCAGGCCAAGTGTATACAGGGTGAGGGTGAGCATGGAGACGGTCTGCGATACGTTGAATCGTGTTGCTATGAGGTCCAAAGCGGCTTCGTTGACGGATGTCCCGAACGTGCTGGGGGAGGATGGAATCAGCGCTGTCCTTACGGCTCTCCCATTCATTCTGAACAAGAGCTGGACTGCAATACTTGCATCACAAAAGCGAGAACGCAGGGCACGGCGGTGTGAAAGAGCTTCTTCCATATTGGCCAGTTGTGAGGGTTTCGTTTCTCGTGGGGATCATCCCATTGTATCTCTCTAATGTCAGAATTTTGGAGAGAAGAACCCCCGACGGGAGCGATGGGCTTCGGATCGGCCATAACGTGCTACCCGGCGATTGTAATCAGATGGTGGAAAATAAAAGGGGTTTGAGTTGATTTCAGTCTTGTCGACAGGTCATGTCCTAGTCGAGAGAGGGCAGACTCTTTTCAGGGAACGAGGATTCTGGAAGTCTTGTCTACTTAATAAACTGAGTCTGTGGGTCAATGCGCAAAGGATCTGACCAGCATCCCTCGTATAAATACTACCTAGAAGGACAAATGGGACCTGAGCTTACGACCATTTTGACTAGAACCTTGGGTTGCCAGGTCATCTTTTCGTGGCTCCAGGGAGGGGAGTTGGTAGTCAGTATACTTTCACCTCGGCCATACTAAGGTGATTAATCATAGTTAAGAGCGATAAGCGATGTTTATGTGATCCACTCCGGTTGAGGTGGGGGAGTCCCGGGTTTCCCCCCCCCGGCGGATGAATTGATCCTCCCGTCTTGGTCCCGTTCCTGCGACAAGATATCGATCCCGGGGTTGCCTCCAAACAGGCAATACACTATCTAATATAATCCAAGTTTCGTGATGCTTACCTGAGGAATCTCAGAGCTTTCCTGACTGCCACATGGTGCCAGTTTACTTGGTCAACAGACGGGTGAAGAGATGTACGAGGGGGAGTAAACCAAGAATTAGAAGCGGGGTTGAGGGGCCAAAGGAAGTGAGACGAGGAGGTTTCAGTCAGTATAATTAGTAGTTTTTATTCAGGCCGAATATCTGTACCAGGGGGATAAATAGGATCTGAACAGGCCGTGTGTATCGAGCTGGGCACAAGAATTCAGTCTTGGAGATGATTTCCGAACAAGCGATCGGCAATTGCTTGAAGCCCAAACACTGCATGCAAGACGTATACCCCCTCCCCCCCCCTCCACCCCCCCAAAAAAGGTGGACGGGATCAAGAGAACTGGGGGGCAATGGAGACTGTGGTACAAGAATGAAAGAGGAAAAGGAGAGAAGGACATAAGAGCCAAAAAAAGAGATAAATCAAATCTTTGCGAGTACAGCGATCGAAGAACCCGAGTTGCCAAACAACCACACGAAACATCTCCATCCCGTGACTGTCTGTCTGTTCCCGTCACTTCTGCTTCCTGCCTGCCAATCTCACCAAACCCCCATGACTATCAGTCACTGGGTCTCACCCTCTGGCTTATGGGCTCAAACCAGAAATGGCTTGCTCAATGCGATCCTGTTAATTCGCGGTAATCAGCTCATTGACTCACTTTCAGCTAGATTGAATTGACTTCTATCCTGATTCAGCCACCAGAAAGTCTTTCTATTCTCGACCTTCCCCTGCTTTCCCGACCAACGAATTGGCTCCCACCGCGGACATCCCCAGCCGAACTCGACACCCGGTCTGCGGACTGGAGAGACATGGCTGCCAGGGTCTTGAGCAGAATTGGCCGTGTTTCAGAAGAAATGTGTTCTGTTGTCTTCTAGATTCTCTCCTGCACAGCGCCGTCCTCGACGAATGAGACTTAGAGGTGCCGATCAATGACAGAGCCAGTGCCTGTGCCATTGGCTTTCATCGCTGGGCTACACAGACTATCCGATTGCAGGATGAAAGGAGATTACCGTTCGGGACCCAAGCGGTGCTGACGGTCGGGGGTCATAGTCGGAGAGGAGGCTGGACTCCCGAGCGCGGCTGTCACTCCGTCCAAGACAGTGTCACCCGTCTAGGAGGGACAGCGTGGGTGTCCCTCACCTTGGGACGGCAGAGACCACGACCGGAATCAGTTGACGATATTCTCGCTGGATCAGAAGCTGGTAGAGAGGATTCCAATCATGCGTGAGACATGTTCAACGTGGAAATAGCCTGGAAACGGGCCTTTGGACCCCTAATCACCACGCCTGAGAACCACTAGCGTGACCGACCTGGTGTCACTGAGATGCTGCTCAAACAAACGCAACGCACCATTCGAATCATGCCAGTCCGCGCGGCAAAGTCGAGTCCTCCAGCACTTGCAGCCTGGAAGACACCGCGGAGAATCATGTGGTGTATCTGGCCAATGGGACTGTAGACATGGCTGTGACTGGTGAGATTTTCCAAAACGGACTTCAGCTCAGAATCCACAGCAACGAAACCCATACATGAATGCATCGTCATTCAGATGGTCGACTGTCGTCATAAGGGTGTTGGGAACAGGTGGGAGCTCTCTGCGACAAATGAGAAGAGCTCGTTTCCAGCTGCTGGCAATGTACCTGAGGATAATGACAATGGGAGGTTAGCTGGGGCCAATCACCCCTGTTGTCATTCCGAGACGCGCATATTTTCTGAATAAAAAAGCTTTTTGGCACATTGACTGATCTCCAGCAACATGGCTGATTCCCAGCAACCCCCATATCCATATGTGCTGTGCGTGTGGTGAAGCCGCATGTTGTCTCTTCTCTTCTGCTTCCAGGCCTATTTAATCTTCGTTCTGCCCCCGCCTTGGTTGCCAGCTCTTTCCTCCTTTCACCTGCTCATTAGACTCCTCTCTTACCCCGATCCATGCCGTCCAAACTTCCTATCAGTGCTTTGCTCAACCCAGTTCCTGAGCCAAGTCAGACCTCTTCCCCAAGTCCGGCCTCAGTCAACCAGGCTGACAGCATGAGTGCCACCGTGGCCCAGACCAAACCACACCGACGCAAGGGTGTCAAGAAGGGTGTCATTCTCCCTGGTAGCCCGCCTCAGGATCAGGTGAAGTATCCTGTTCATGTAGATTATGATAGTAAGTTCTCTGCTTTTCACGCGGAGTTTGGCATGGAGCCCACGCAAGTGATTGCGAATCGTCACTGCCACATCCCCTACGACCCCAAAAAGCGCGACTTCAGCCAGCGGACCGGGCGAACAGGGTTTGATGGTAAGATGAAACTGCTTGCTTGAGTTAACCGAGAAGTAGCATGCTGATGAGGCGCAGTCTTTCTGTACACCTTCAAGGTCCGTGATGAAAGAACCGGTTTGGAACAAGAAGAAAGGGAGATGATGTGGGACTACAAGAATGGCCTCGTTCGCACGACGCATCTTTTCCGGTGCAACAGATCTTTCGACAAGGCAAGGTTCCCTTTCTTGCAGTGCGTCTCTTTGGCTAATCTCGAGGTGCGAGGACAGACCTGTCCAAAGCGAATGCTCCAGTCGACGCCTGGTCTTATGCCGAACGCCCACAACATCACGGGTGGGAATGTCATCAGACAAGGTAATCGGATTCTCGATGGCTGAAGGTCTGCCTAGCTGAGAAATGTCTGTGATTAGGATACTTCGTGCCATGGGAATGTGCCCGGGCCCTGGCCACACGTTTTTGCTGGGATGTGCGATACGCCCTTACGCCAATCTTCGGCAATGACTTCCCTGAGGATTGTCTTCACCCGGATCATCCCGACTATCGGCAGTGGCTGATCGATCCAGAGATCGTGCACGATTCGGCTGAGAAACAAGCAATGTACTGCCGCCTCGAGGTTCAGGCCTCCCGACTCTATCTCAGTCCCAGCCCGGACGCCGAGAGCACCGGGTACGTTGAGAACATCTCTGCTTGCTTGAGTACTGTGTTCCTTGATTATTGTGCTTATCCTTTCAAAGTATCTTGAAGAAATCCTCGCCTCAAGAGGACAATGACAACCACGAGGAGTGCACAGAGGTGCAGAAAGAGGATGAGGAGCATCTGAAGACATATCCTACTCCTATCAGTCCTGCCTCCATCAACAACCCGCTGCCCTCTCCTCCTAGCCCAACCGCACCGATGACTCCAGGCTTGGAAGGTGAGGGCACCTATCGCCATTATTTCCACAACCCAGCTCTAGCGGAGACCAACGATGCCGACCCCCAAATACAAGCCGCGCTCACCATGCTCGGCATGAGCCAAGGCAGGTACATCTGGGATCCCCCCATTCAAAGCTCTGAGTTATGGTTCCGGCCTCCCAGCCCTTCCCAGTACTAGTTAGACCGCGTGGAAGGACGGCGCGCAAGTGAGCTTGGTATCAGGAGTACTACGCAGTACTACGTATGACTACAAAGTAAATACTGTACCTGGCAGCCTGGGGTCGGCACGTGGGACCCTTGGTGGTCTTTGCGGTGTCAAGTTGAGTCCATCTGCAGGGGTTTCTTTTGTGATGGTTGACTTTGCTGCATATTCCGACTGCATAGCGCTGGTGCCGAATGGTTTACTTTTTTGGGGGGGGGGGTGCACTGTTTACCATGTTCACTTTTCGGGATCGACTTTCTCTTCATCCAGAAAGAAGAAAAGATGATGAAAAGGGGGGAAACTTGAAAAAAGGGTCTTTTGGGAAACAAAGGGGGGGGCGGAAGAGGAGGGCGACGGCTTCGTACACTGTTCACTATTAGACGGAGGAGTTGGGTAGTTACACAAGACGATGATGACAGCGGTAGAGAAAAAAGCTTAACCTGGCTTTTTTTGCGGGGAAACATGTGGGGACTCCTTGATTGGAGTAGGAGTAGGTTTGCTCGATGAGCTATGGCCAATTCAATGTTAACTGCTACATTGACATCCACCTCCTTCCATCCCTATGTATCTCTTTCCTTCTCTCTTTGTTTGGTTTCCAACGCTGCCAAGCATATTCACCTGTTAGAAGACAGTCCCCAGCATACTGACAGCCACTAGGTAGCCAGTAGAGGTAAACCCCCATCGACTCAATCCTCTTGGCACTTCCAGCAGCTTCACCCCCGTAACAACTAACATGCCCCTTGTTGTCTATCAGCGTATCCTCTCCTGCTTCTCGACTCTATCAGGCCCAGTACATGAACAAGAAACCCGAGGACAAGCTGGTTGATGGAATGAATGGATAAGGTGACTAGTCGTGTCTACTTCCGATTCCAGGTCTCGGTGAGGAACCCAAACCAAACTGTAGAGTAACCTATTGGATTTGAGGTCTGAAAAGTGGACTACTATGCATACAACCGGCCGCAGGGGGGGTGCTTGATGGCATCCATCCTCCTTTGTCTGGCGCTTTTCCATTCAGTACGGCTTCCTCGCCGCAAAAAGGAGGATCAAGAGAGCTAGCTAAGCTCCGAGACAAGCGGCATGAACACTAACCCTCCCCATTTTGAGAGGATTGCTTTTGCTTTGCAAAGGGGAAGAGGGCTAAGGTAAGGTTTTTGTCACTGGAGTCCTGAAAGGACACACTTCACCATGCATAGCATCACAACACAACCCATCCAGATTGAAATCCAAGTCGCGGAGGGGGGTTGGTGTCAGCCCTGTCGGTTTCCGCACGCACGGGTGTGAGAAAGAACTGCACGCTGAGGCGATTTCGAGCTGGGTCTTTTGTTGACACTCTGCCCTCTTCATGAGACAGTTGAAGGAGCTTTGTTTCGTCCGCTACTTGGAATCTGGGGTTATAGGCTAGTGGGGTGGAGGTGTTGTAGGAGCTTGAGCATTGAGTGGTTGCCTCTGCCGCTACAGGTGCATTGGGTACTAAGAATCGTACTCATGGAACTCCTGGGTTGGGGTATGAGGAGCCAAGTCTTTCCTTCTTTACATTGCACTTGAGCTATCGTGAGCTACTTTCTAGTCTTAGTTCCTTGAGTAGAGTAAACATTTCATCTGTCTATTATTTGTATAGCTCTAGAACGCCATCTAATTATCTAATGATCTAGGTAATATTAAAGCCCCCCTTCTCTTCTAGTTCACCTCCCCCCTTCTTGCCGTCAAAGGCTTTCGTCGTACCTCATACCTCAGCATTAATCCATCAGAAAGGGACAGGTATTGCTTTTCGCAAGGGTTAGAGAGGAATAATTTCCAGAGACCCTCCAAAGAACAGAGAGAGAATCACCCGCCAGCCCCGACTACCTGTCCATGTAAACCTGTTTCCCGACATCCGCTCCGCCTGCCGAACCCAACCACCCAACCACCCATCACCCAACTTCAGCAACCTCACACCACGACATCCTCCATCCTCCATCCTCCATCCAAACCCACAAGCCAATCAAACAGCATACCGACTCCAGCCCCGAATCTTCTCCCCCCACCGATAGAACCCATACGGCACCGGCACCAGCAGCGCACTAATAGCCCCCAGAATCGTCAACGTCCAATGCACGCCCATATTCTGGTAAAACGGCACGCCGACGACCGTCATCCCGCCGGCAGCACAATACCGCGACACCGTCATGAAGCCCAACGCGGAGGCGGCGTAGATGTCGTAGGCGTCGATGACGTACATGTACGAGGAGATGAACACCGTGATGGTGCCGAACCCGAACACGGCGGACGCCACGATGGGCGACCAGACGGAGACGCTGGAGTAGGAGGTCCAGCCCATCCAAAACAGGCTGATGGGGATGAAGGGGCTGCCGATCATGGAAAACCACAGCCGGTTCTCTGGGCGTGGGGCGTGGTGGTGGTGGTGTTGGTGCTGTTGAGGGGATTTTTCCTCCGGTTGCTCGTGCGGATTATTTGGGTTGGGGTCGATAGGTTCGTTGTCAAAGGATGATGATGACGACGACGACGACGACGACGAGTAAGTGGCGAGGGCGGCTCGTTTAAATTCTTGCTTCGTCCACCGATAAATGAGCGGGACGAAGAGTCCCCCGAGGCAGATACCGACGTACATCGCGACCCAGACGATGTTGGTGAGACCTTGCGAGAGACCGTGGATGTCGCTGAAAATGTAGGTGTAGCCGTCGAAGAAGGTGAACAGCACAATGTAGATGACGGTCATGTAGAGCGAGATCAACAGGATGATGGGTTCATGGATGGTGAGACTGAATTGGCGGATGCATGCGTGGCGGATTCGGGTCAGCAGTGCGGTTTTCTGCAGATCCATGGAGGACTTGTAGCGCGGGTCGCCCGTGAGATGCCGGAGGTGGCGAGCCTTCCATTTGAGTAGCATCGGGCCGTAGGTCTCTGGCTGGAACAAGAGAATGAGGGCGAAGATAAACCCGGCGAGAATCAGGATAATCCAGTTGGTCCATCGCCAGGACAGCGTGCCTTCGCCCATGTACGAGGCGATGACCGGACCAAGAACAGGCCCTCCAAACGACAGGATAGCATAGAGAGGGAATGTGAGGGTCTTCTCCAACGGATTCCACAGATCTGCGATAGTCCCGCCGGCGCAAGTCAATGGAGGGCAGCCAAACACTCCAGCGAGGAACCGAAACACTATCTGCGCGCCGATGCTGGGTGCCAGCCCGGAAGCCATGATAAAGATCATGAACAGGGTGAGAGACCCCGTGTAGACGGCGTTTCGGCCAACAACCTCCGACAGCGGACCGGACACCATAGAACCAGTCGCGAAACCAAGTAGATACATGCCCGTTGCGAGGGAGGCGACGACATCACTGACATGGAAGGCAGCAGCGTTCTGGGGCATCACGCCCGATTCAATTGACGACGCACATCCCACAGCAAATGCCAACGCCGTCACGAGCAAGGTCGCCGAAAGCCGCGCGGCAATACTGTAGTTTCGTGGGTTGATGGGATCGCGGTCGTGTTCCCATTCGACGAGAAGGACAGCGGTAGTGGTGCCAGTCTCGTCGACAACCTCCTTCAGCTGCACCCCAGGCAATTGAGCGTATGGCCGATGCTGCGGTGTGTTTCTCGCAGCATCGTTGTCCGGAATGGCTCCTGAATCATGGGTCTTCTCTACTCGGGAAAATTCCGGATAATCTTCTTCGAGCTGTCTGCGCACGGCTTGGCCGATGCGACGGTACTGGAGATAGGCCTGCATGGGAAGGGTCAGCAAGACAAACACAGCACCGTTGCGAGCAGCAAAAAAGCACCAAAAGACCGGAGGGAAATTCGACTGGAAAATGAAAATGGAGAGACAGACCTTGACGACATTTTTTGGCACCGTTCGAGGCAATGCTGATTAATGAGAGGTCGATAGTTAAGCTTCAAGAATTGGAGCGAGTGAAGGCCGAATTCACCGAATTCACCGAATGTACCGCGGTCGACCCACTGGGCCCACTTCCTTCGAGAGCCGGACAAGGGAACCAATTCTTAAGTCCTGGCACTTATCTTGGTTGGGGGGTATTGACTTCTTATAGTCCGCCTGTGAAAAGAGAGAGAAGTGGACGATCTCTGGGTCACTGGAGGCGAAGAATCTACACTATGACGCCCTGAGGCCCACCAAAGGCGGTGGGGCTGTCGGAGCTCGGCCTGAAGTCCGGCGAACTTTTTTTTTTTTTGTCTTACAAACCCAAACTGTGTGGTACACAATTGATGCAGTTGCTTCTATTGCTCTCACTGAACAAATATCCCACCCATCATACACAAAAACGCCTGCAATAAAAGTGTCTCCTTCGCAATTTATGAACACATCCTATTATTAATAAACAAAGAATATAGATCCGATAGAAAGAAAGTAGTAAAAGGGAAGAAATGGAGGGAGTTATCCCTATGGACGCTCAGCATCGTGGGATCTCTTCCGGTGTCTTTGCACTCATTCACTGTCTTCAAAGTCTTCTCCCGAGTCATTGCCGCCTCCAAAATCATCGCTCTCATCGTCTATGACATAGGTCTTCTTCTTCGTCGTTGCTGTGCGTCGCGAAGGCCGACTGACGGGAGCTGCAGGCGAGTCCAAGATGTCATTGGCCATGGCATCGATGTCATCGTCCGACAGATCATCTGCCAACTGCTTCTTCTTGGTAGCAGCGCTGGTCTTGGCCTGCTTAGAAGCGTATGCCTTGGCAGCAGGGGACAAAGTTGTCTGCTTGGTAGGTGCGGCAGCGGCCGCCTTGGTGGTGGCATCCTTCTTCGGGCGACCACGCGGCTTAGCTGCCGGCTTCGCAGCGGTCGAAGCTGCAGCTTTACCCTTGGCGGCCGGCTTCGCCTTGGCTGCAGGCTTCACGGGCTCCTCTTCCTCCTCGCTGTCATCCAGAACGGTGACAGGTTCCTTCGACTTTACCTGAAGTGAACGCCGGGGCGAGCCTTGGGGCACCAGCTTGCTGTAGTCGGTCTCATCCGCATCAAAGTCAGGAGAAGGCTTGGCCTGCTTGGTGCTGGTCTGCAGTCCCGAACGGCTGCCAGGCCCAGACCGCTCTGAGAAGAGCTGGAGAGAATCCGATGTGGAGCCGCCCGCGGTGCCACCAATTCCCTTAACCATCTTGCTCACATCTCCCAACAAGTCATCTCCGTTGTCACTGTCAGAATCACTCAGGGCATACTTGGTTGGCTTGCGAGCCGCCCGCGCAGGTTTCGGGGAAGCCTTAGCAGCCTCGGAAGCCTGGGCCTTGGCGATCTCCAGGAAGGCATCATCGTCGGATTCGTTGTCATCCGCAGGCTTCGGCTTCGGCTTCGGCTTCCGTCCGCGCTTCGGAGCCTCTTTGACCTCTGAGCTCTCAGGGTCTTCAGATTTCACCCTAGTGGAGGCCTTCGAAATGGCCCGGCTCTTTTTAGGTAGAATCTCAATGTCCGAATCGCCCGAGATGGGCTCTTCCTTCTCGACAGACTCGGATTTTGTCCCGCCCCGGCTCTTCTTAGGAAGGACTTCCAAGAAATCATCGTCAGAGTCACCGTCGATTGGCTGCGCAGCGGGCTTGGCAGGAGACTTGCTCAAGAAATTGTGCAGCGTTCCCTTCGGTGCTGCTTTCTTCGCAGCCGCCTTCTTGCTCTTCGGCGCCGCGAAGTCTTCGTCATCGGGGTCCTCGTCCAGGGCTGCCTTTCGCTTCCGACCGACAGGCCCGCGAGCGGTAGTCATCAACTTGGAAGAGGCACGACGGCCCATCTGCAGGACCTTACGCTCGCGACGGGCTTCGTCATCGAGCTGGAATCGCCACTCATGGATGAAGTCGTCCAGATCCTTTCTCCAAATGTCTTCCTTGGACAACTTGATCAAGGCGTCGACTTCCATCTCCTTGTCGCCTATTTGTTTCCGGAGCTTTTCGACGCGCTCTTGCGTCAAGGACCAGATAGCCATGCCCAGCAAGTAGTCGTAGGCATTAGAAAGGTTGTCAGTGTCCTTATCATCGGTCGACTCCTCTTCTTCGTCCTCGAGGGCTGGCTCTGTTTCACCCGCCTTGACGGCTTGGACTACCTTGGGGAATGGCTTGAAGCCCTTATCTTTCAGTTCGAGAATGAGAACAGCCTTCTTCTTCTTCGAAACGACAAGGCTTCCGTCGATAATCATCTGAACAAAGCGCGCCTGGTTACTAAGCTTATCCAATTCCTTCTGTAATTCCGAGAGCTGGTGTTGCTTGCGTCGCTCATAGAACTTCAGACGGACGGTGTAGAATTCCTTGAGGATATCATCGACAGTAGCATACTTCGTAATCCGGCCCTCTGGATCGAAAGCGACGAGATTGGTGGTGGCGATGGTCTTTGAAAGCTTGAACTTATCCTCCAATCCTTCAGACAATGCGGACTTCATGTTCTTCTCGTCCAGCTGAATGACGAAATGAACCTTGGTGTGAGTATTGTAGTCCTTGTAATCCTTGATAAAGGAAGGTGTCTTGTCGGCTTTGATGATATCTTCGAGCTTGTCCTTGAAATCCTGAGTCCAAGTACGGATAGGAAGTTCGGTAATCTCGACTTCCTTGTCTCCAGTCTCCTTGATGACACCGCTGAATTTGAACCGGTCGCCGCCAATATCGGTCACTTCACCCGTGAAGCCTCGGAACCAAGGTTGCATGGGCTTGGTTGGCTCACCGTCCATCATGCGCTTCAAATTCTCTACAACATCTTCGGGATTGTAGTTGGGGATAGTAGAACTCCAACCCGTGCCAATACCATCCGCACCATTGATGAGAATCAGGGGCACGACAGGCACGTAGGTCTCTGGCTCAATTTGTTTCCCGTCATCGATGTTATACGTCAAAAGAGGTTCGTCAGCTTGGTGAAAGACGCGACGAGCAAACGGCGACAGGCGAGTGTAAATATAACGCGCACTAGCACAGTCGGACCCACCCTGGAGACGACTACCAAAGTTACCACTTGGCTCCAGAACATTAAGGTTGTTGGAACCAACAAAGGTCTGAGCCAGGCCGACAATGGTCTGCTGCAATGAAGCATCACCGTGATGGTACGCGGTCATACCCGAAACGTGACCAGCAAGCTCGACAACCTTCATATCCTTCTTCAGATTGCGACGGAAGCAGGTGTACAAGACCTTGCGTTGACCCGGCTTGAGGCCGTCGACAACTGAAGGAATCGACCGGATATTATCCGCCATACTAAACAAGATAAGCTCCTTGTTGATGAAGTCGGTATAAGTAATCTTGGACACGGAGTGATCGAGGTACGTTCCAGGCTTGAATTGGCGAAGCCATTCCTTTCTTTCGTCTGCCTTTTTCTTAGAGAAGGCGAGCTCAATGAGCCCAGCCTCATTGTCCTGTAGAGTGTGGAATTCCTTCAAGTGACGATCGAGATCACGGAAGTAGATCTGAGCATCCTCAGTAGTGCTGGTACCCAGACCCTTGTAGTACTTGTGCTCCCATCCACGTTCATGCTTGTGCTCCTCTCTCCACGCCTCGTATTCGGGCATGGTGAAGAAAGAGCGTTGCTTGGTAGGATTCTTGGGATCACCCTTCCACACCTTCACAATGGGAGTAATGAACTCGATGAGAAATTCAGGAATCTTGAGCAGACTGGGAAATTGAGCCTGGAGGAAATTGATGAGCAAACCCTTAATGTGACTACCGTCGTGATCCTGATCAGTCATAATCATCAAGTGACCATATCGAAGACCACGGGTGTCGGTGTATTCCTTCTTGTGTTGAAGACCGAGGAAGTTCTTGATATTCTGGATTTCCACGTTCTTCGAGATCTGGTCGAACGAGGCATCACGCACGTTGAGCAGCTTTCCACGAAGCGGGAAGACACCAAACAAATCGGGACCAACAACCGATCTTCCAGCCACGGCCAAACCCTTGGCTGATTCACCTTCAGTCAAAATGAGGGTGCAGTGATGACCATCCTTCGTGCCAGCTTTGTTAGCATCGGTCAATTTCGGGTTGTTCATGCGGCTGCGCCGGCCACCGTCGCTCTTCTTCAACATCTGATCGGCCTTCTGTTGGGCAAAGTGCAAGATGTTGTTCATCACCTCCGTCTTCAAGACCTTTTTGTAGAAATCCTCATCGAGAACGCATTTGCTACCGAATTGAGAGGTTTTTGTCGTGAGTTGTTCCTTGGTCTGGGAGCTGAAAGCGGGGTTGACAATCAGAGCGTTGACGAAGATGAAAATATGGTTGCGGATTTGAGCCGGCTTGAGAGTAGCGCCATTCTTGTTCTTCTTCTTGACATGATCGGACAACTTGCTGCAAATCTGATCTGCGATGTAGTTCACGTGTGTGCCACCCTGAGTAGTTGCGATAGAATTGACGAAGGACACCTGCTGAAAAGAGCCATCGGAAACAGCGAACCCGACCTCCCAGCGAGGATCGGGGCTGCAGGTAATGATCTCGTCCTTTGATCCCGCGTTCTCTTCGCCGCGCTCCCTTCTGATAGCCTTGGTGTACATCTCCATGTACTTCTTGAAGTTGCGGATGGGAACGCGAGTGCCGTTCAACTTGACAGCCACCTTTGCGGTTCCTGCCAAGTCGTAAACACGGCGTTTGACAAGCGCCTCAAAATCATCGTCAATGCCTGTCATTCCGAATTTGGCGAAGTCGGGCTTAAAGGTGACCTTGGTGTAGTCTTCCCCCTTCGCGTCGGTGATCTTCGGCTTGCCGCAATTGACCATGTTGTCGGTCCAGATCTGCTTATACCTTTTCTTCTGACGCGAGTCTTGTGTTTCCAAAATGAACTCGGTGGAGAACACGTTACAGAGCTTCGCACCGTAACCGTTTCGACCACCTGTGACCTTCTGCTGCTCATCATTGTAATTGGACGAAGTCAGAAGGTTGCCGAAGATGAGCTGCGGAATGTACATGTCCTCGGTTTTGTGCCACTCGATGGGAATGCCATTGCCGTTGTTCCACACACTGATCTCACCGGCTTCACGGTTGACCGTCACGCGGATCTCGTCCATGCTGGGATCATTTTGTTTGTTGTCGGCGGCGTTCACGACGATCTCGTCGAAAATCTTGTAGAGACCGGGCACGAACGAAACCTCGCGGAATTCCATGCCATCCATTTCCGAATTGTAGACCCACATGTGCTGTTCCGTGCGTTCAACGGAGCCGACGTAGGTATCGGGACGTTTGAGAATGTGTTCACGCGGATCAAGCTAGAAGATCTAATATCAGCCGTGGCACTTTCTCCTAAGGAATGTTATCAATCCTTACCCTCTGGAACTTCTCCGATGCGTCCATAGCCGCAGCATCGTCAAGGGAATCAGCCTTGCCGAAAGACTCGTTCTCAACATCGGCGAGAGGCTTGCTACCCCCCTTCTTCGAAGCCGCAGGGGCCTTCTTAACCTTCTTGGGAGGGGTGTGAGACATTATGGAATCGAGATCGGAAAAGGGATCGGCGTCATTCATCTCATCGTCGCTGTCAGGCTTGGCCCGTTTCTTGGGAGCTGCTTTGGGTGCAGACTTTGCCGTCAACTTGGTTTGGGTGAGCTTCTTAGGCGCTGCTTTGGAGGCTGCTGCTTTTTTGGGCGCCGCCTTAGCTTTGGCTTTCTGCATCGCAATAACAACAATTAGTGAGTTGTATGTAAGCTAGGAAACCGATTGAGACATACAGGAGCGGGTTCGGGGAGGAAATCTGAGCTTCCATCATCCTCGAAGACGGACTCCACCATGGAATCATCCATTGTGGGTGATCAACGCTCGGGGCGCGTGTGGACAAAAGAATGAACGACTGGGAGATGAGGTCAAGGAGTGACGGGATCGGGAAAACGATGTAAAGAGTTAGTAGAATCAACCTCACAGGTGGAGGCCTGGTGATATACAGGAGGAATAAATGCGGTATTGTCAAAAGAGTAACCTGTCCTCCCACCGGTTACCTTTGTTGTCGGCCGTGTTGAGTTGTTTTGTCGTCGTCTTTGTTGACGCGCTGGATGCGACTGAGCGGCGATTCAAAGAAACTGACAGCGACCGCTGCGGATCAAGGTTGGTCCGCCCCGCGAGTGGCGCTGATTTCACCCGAAAGAGTAATTTCCAAACACCTGAGCCCAAAGCGGAAGGTTGCGACCAAAACATGCAAGGACGATTGGGGTCAGGCGCGGGGGAGGGGAAAGGAAAAAAAAGAAAACAAACTCCTCATCGGCCCTGCAACAACTCCATCCCAGTGTTATTCTTAGCACAAAGCGGAAACTCGGAAGCGGCTTCAACTGCTTTGTACTCTGGTATGCTTGTCTATTTCTGAAGATGGCCACGCGAGATTCGATCTCAAATCTGCAGGCACTGAAGTAGTTTGTTTCCATAGACAACCACAACCGCGCTCTATACTTCACCATCTTTTCAACCACTCCTTGGGATCTTGCTCAGGCAACTGTCAGCTAGACTTCTATTCACATTCACCTGTCTGTCTGATCAAGTCAATACTATCTCCTCCAGAAGTATGTAATTGGTTCTTGTGGAATTATCTACATGTCGTTGGCAAGGATTTCTTAGAGGTAGATTCAACTGCTTAAGAAGCAGCATGCTCAGCGCTCGCGCCAGTGAAAAGATATGTCTAAACCCACCCCTTCAGTGTCCGAACCTCGGACCATTCTTCCAGGTTCTATTCCTTACAATGCGAGGTAGCTTTATCAAATGTGTAAGCTACGCAGCCGGTGGATGGCTTTGTCGAGTGGATCCTGAATGGTGCTATTAACAGACAAAGCATGGCGAGTCGTGAACACCAAAGCTTACTTGGTCCTGGCCCGAATCATCCGCATGCCTTCTAGAATCTGTGGACGTTTCGGACCCTGACGAAGTCTCGGCGGTAACGTACTGTAAGAGGGCCCAGGACAAAGCCGTCACGCCCAATAATATTACTCACACTTCATGTATCATCCAACCAGAGTACGGAAAGACATTCTCTCGAGCACTTGAAACACGGTAATCCATCTTTCACTAAGGTATTACCTTACCATTCAGGGGCAGTTTCTTCCAGTCCTTTTCCGTCAGCATGAGGGCTTTCCACCAACATATTGATTCAATCTGCAAGATAAGTAGCCAACCTGCTGCGGTCGATGTTGCGGTAAGTGTTTGATGTTGGGTCAGATCCTCTGATTGAATCATTAATGTCTATGCTTCTCCTTTTGCCTCTTTCTGCCCGTCATCTGCAGTGCTAGCAGAACGATAGTGGGTCGATCGCTCAGACAAACGATACTTCTGTGCCAACCTATACAGTCATATGGGTCCTGGAAGCTGAATCGACCGGGTGCCAAGCAAACCGGTAGTATACTGAGACTGGACTAGGGCGAGGGAAACCTGGAAGGGCCTCATCATAAAAGAATGAGAATTAAATAAATAGGGTCAGAATTGGTCCATAGTGCCTGTTTTGTACAAAGAATGGGGGTTTCGGGGGTCAGATCAGGCAATTTCCATGGTTCGTGATGCGGACAGATATCGGACATCGAACTCCTGCTGGTCTCATTATCTCGACTGCCTGTAGTCTACTTTGTAGAATGAAGTTAAGCGAGCAAGTGATTGGGATAAGCATTCAATTCGTCGTCTTGCTGCTCGTTGACGATAGGGATGATTATTGGCAAGCGATCGACGGGGCGAGGCTCGGTGGATGCCCTCAAAAAGCGACGGCGGCCCCTGAACAAATGGAGAGAGAAGTGGATGATGGGGGGGGAGGAGGGAGGCAAAGAGTGTCAGCATTGCTAGTGGCCGACACTAACACTGAACTAAACTAAACCATCATTTCATCGCGACTCACTCTCTTGCTCCATCCCCCAATTCCTGGCCCTGAAACCTCCTCCCC